CCGGGTGCTGTAGGTTTTCATTTTATGCTTGTTATTCTTACTTATTGTTAACAGTATATAATTTTTAAATATATTTTAAAATATACAATAGACATCTACGGCCATACCTAGGCGAAAACACCAGTTAAGCGTCTGAGGGCTTCGTTAGTACTGCGGTTGGAGACAACGCGGAATCCGGAGTGCTGTAGGTTTTTCACTTTTGCTTCCCATTCACTGCCATCTCATTTCCCTTCTTGTACCTAATTAAGTACTGTACAAACCAAGAGCGTTACTGTTTTTTGGGAGATTGAAATGTTTCCTTGAAGATGCAATATCTTAACCATAAATACTAAATTTACTTATAATGATACCCTATATAACTTTTATAATATAAAACAGACATCTACGGCCATACCTAGGCGAAACACCAGTTCCCGTCCGATCACTGCAGTTAAGCGTCTGAGGGCTTCGTTAGTACTGCGGTTGGAGACAACGCGGAATCCGGGTGCTGTAGGTTTTCTTTTGGTTTTCTAACTTCATTATCCTCTCTTCTCGTTTCCCTTCTTTCTTTCTCTTTTTTCTTTATGTAACTCGTTTCTCATTGCAATCACTTAATCATTATTAACTTGCTCTCTTCTTAAATACTCTTAATAGTTTTTCTGGCCTTTTACGTTAATACTGCACTCACGTTATCTTTGTGAGTGTGTTTTATGATCGTGGAGGTTTGTTAATGTCAGATTGCTTTAGAATTGTAATACGAAAGTGTATAACTCGAGCTGTTTTGGATGGGATTTTATACCGTGCAATGTTTGCGTTTATTTATGAATACGTGCTATTCTAGATTAACAAGATTAAACACAATTGAAAGACAGTTGTTGTCTCGCTAATTGCCATGGAAAATTGCTGTGGCAGTTTTTACTGTTTTGGTCGCATGATAACAAATTTTTTGTAGTTAATCGGGAAACTTTTGATAAAATAACCGTGCAAATGAAATGAATCAGCTCAAGTATGTTTAACCCCTTTTTTTTGATTTGTTTCAAACGTAAGTACGGGTCGGACCTTATAGGCAAACACTGTTAACTGGATATCACATATTTGGGGTATATTAACCGTAATTTATATGGAACGTTCGCAGGCAGCGCCAGCGCGTTTGTATTAAACACTCCGCGTTGGAATATACAGCTACTTTACGGTACAACCGAGTCATTCACTACCTTTAAATACAAGACTATTGGCTAACAGAAAGCTGCCTCATTTGCTATTCGAGACGTACATAAATGCCAAAACACATAAAAACAAATTTGGTGAAGCAGTCGGATATACCTTTTTTTATAATTTAGCATCTGCGACTAGCAGCAAATCATACGTTTTTTAGTAGGTTGTTTTTCTTTTTCATTCCATTACACCATTTTGGGGGGCGTTCACGTTCCGGTGGTTGGTGGTGACAAACGCACTATAAAATCCCCACACCAATCACCTTTCACCAGGTCGTTTACAAGGTAGTTTGGAACGCTTTTAATATTTTTACCAAAAAATGTCGCGTATGTATTTTTATTATTACCTTGTTGTATTCAATATATGAACACAGTGTGTTGCATTTGCACCAAGATACCGTATGAGAATTGGATGCTAATCTGTTAGGTGGTAATCAGCGTGAGTTGGCTCGTGCTCGCAATAGTAAAAAGGCGCAGGCTGTAAAGAAAAAAAAGGAGGGAAATCCCTCAAAGCGTTTAGAGGAGTATGCATTAGCAAATTTCATGCACTACTAACATTTGCAGACAAGCCGAGATTATGAGAGCCAAGCAGCGTGCTGCTGACGAGCGTAAGGCACTTTCTCAGCAAAAGGTTTGAGTACTATGATGTTGAAGGTTGTTCTTATTCTAATTTGTTGTAGAAATGAATATCGATATAAAATAATCTCCCTGTGGATGATAAATTAAGACTCAGTGCTGTAGACTTTGGTCGCCCGGTGCAAATGGATATAAACGCTAGTCTTGGCGTTAATGAGGATCTGTACTGTACAAAGAAAGCATACGTCGAATATGCCCCAAATATACATTGTTTTACTTTTTTATTAAATACATATCACTGGTTGTTTGGTGCCCTGTGAAAGTATCCCTTTTGACTTCTGCTACTGTATAGATGAAAATTTTGTGTCACACCAAGGCCTACCCTCGATTAACAATAACAGCCCCGTGATAAGTTCAATGACCATATTGAGGTTACCTCTGTGTCAGAACGGTTACTGGTTTTATCATAACATGATTTAAAACTATTTTCTTAATAGCTTGCCTTAATTCCGTAATCTCATTCATTATAATTATGTTGCGGAGGTTTTTGGTAGAATTATTTTTCTTCTTCCTGATTTCCTCAAATGTTGCCTCTTGTATTCAAGAACACGTAGATTTGGTTTTTTCAAACGCGGACGACCTCGCTTTGTCGACCATTCAGAATAATGATGCACTCGCTTCAAGTGAACTTCAAACGGAAGGTATACTGCTATTCACAACAGTTGATGGGAAACTACACGCATTGAACACACAAACTGGCTCTGTTCTCTGGACATTTGACAGCTCTGCTGATGCAGACGAAATCTGTCATAACTACTTACCAGTAAATTCATCTCAATTGGCTTCTACAGAAATGGCAAAGGTATCTGACTCAAGTTTTACCGGACATGTAATTGATGATGGAGAATATATCTGGTTTATAGAGCCCGTTCATGATGGCAAACTTTATGCATTTAATCGACATACCGGCATGTTGAAAGCGCATCACACAATTCGAGAACTTGTCGATTTATCTCCCATTCGAGTTCTTGGACCTGACACGGTTTTTGTTGGGAGCAAAGAAACAACTCTTTTCACTGTTGATCTAATAACTGGAAATGTATTGAAGCGATACAATACTGAATTTTATGGAGATAGAGACTCGCATCTAGGGAAAAAGACTAGCAGTACTCGGGATACTATGCAATGTATGCCTGCCGTTACCAACGATCTGGTACCTTCCGACCTTGATGAGTTGGAACATTTACAAGCGCAGGTTATGACGCAAAATGTTCAAGAGGAAAATCGCATTGCTGATATTGCGTTGGTGGAATACACCGTTACAATTTATTCGTCTTCACATGTCATATTAAGTGCCAAATACATTGAATGGTTGCCTTCGTATCAGGATACGATATTTCTCAGTCATTATGATCGTCCAGAAAGTGATCACGTTGCCATCGCTTTACCTGAAAATTTCTTCACTTTATTTGACAGGAAACTGAAAAAACCACTGTATTTTGTTAATACAAGTGCACCCATCTCAAATGCATTTAATGTCTATACTGTTTCAGTCAATAGGAAAGAACTAGCAGCAACGAATAGGCGAACGTTTGTTCTCCCTCAAAGGCATTTGTCTTTTTCGGACTTTGCTTTTCAAGGAGATAATGAAGCTGTATACGTAAATCACACTGAGGATGATGTTTGGTTTGCTCTATCTTCAGATAATTATCCTTCGATTATGGCCACGCAGAATGCAACTTGTTATACACAACATAATGCGGTGACATTGGAAAGTCTGACAGGGCTGCATTTTTTGAACAAGGCCATTCAAGGAACGTTTCTTTTAGGCCCATCTCATTCCTTTGAGCTGTTACCACCGACTACGGAACCATTATCTAAAATTCATGGATCGAATAACTCTACTAACTCTTTTTTCAAAGAACTGCTTGCTATCATTTTGTTTATGACCGGATTGGTCATATGTTTTCTGCTTTTATCGAGGTCACCCTTTATTAAATTGAAAGGACTAATGAAAACTTCAAAGGAAGCGACGAGAAGCTCGGAAGATGCCAAATATGATACTAATGTGTCAAAACGACGCAGGAAAAAAGCAAATAAAAAGAAAAAGGCAGCAAAAGTTGTTGCTGAGAATCAGCCTTACAGTTTAGAATCTGATGATCAACCAAAACTTAGTGTTGTACACGACGTGCAGAAAGCGCTTGACATTAATCGCCTTGAATCTTTTGAAAATGATGTCATTTTAGGTCCATTGGAAGTCTCTTCAGAAATCTTAGGGTATGGAAGCCATGGCACAATTGTTTTTCGAGGTCAATACGAGGGACGATCAGTTGCGGTTAAACGCGTGTTGCTAGATTTTTATGATATAGCAACCAGGGAAGTCACTCTGTTGCAGAAAGCGGATTTTCACCCAAATGTTGTACGCTATTATTGCAGGAAAGACAGCGGGAAATTCTCTTATATTGCATTGGAGCTTTGTGAGTGTTCCTTGTTTGATTTTTTTGAAAAAGATCCAAAGCCAACGATCGTTGAGGCGTTTGAACCCTATAATGTTATGAGACAGATAGTGCTCGGCGTTTACCATTTGCACCGCTTAAACTTGGTTCATCGTGATTTAAAACCTCATAATATTTTACTTGCTTTGAGTGAATCTCACAGAGTCGGGTCGAAGAAGGCAATTCGGGTTATGCTCTCTGATTTTGGTTTAAGTCGAAAGCTTGAAACAAAAGATTACACGTATCACGCTTTAACTTATAATGTTGCGGGTTCTGTCGGATGGCGGCCACGTGAAGTTTTAATGAGCAATACTACTTCAAATCATACCAAAAAAGGTGTAGAGGAAACGTATCAAAGAAGTCCTTTTCGGATTACCAAAGCCATTGATATTTTCTCCTTGGGCTGTGTTTTTTATTATATACTTTCAAACGGTGAACATCCATTTGGTTCTAACTATGTTCGCGAAAGGAATATCATCAAAGGGCGCTTTTCTTTGGATCGATTAAATGAAATGGGAGCAAAGGGCTTCTTGGCGAAGGATCTTCTGAAAACGATGCTACACTCATCTCCAGAAAAGCGGCCGTCAATTGAGCAAGTACTGATACATCCATTTTTTTGGAGTGTTTCTAAGAAACTTGATTTTCTCATTGATGTTTCTGACCGCTACGAGTGTGAGCCTCGTGAGCCACCTTCAGCTCTTTTGCAGCGTTTAGAATTGCATACAGAAGATATAATTAAGGGAGATTGGACTAAAGAACTGCATGAATCACTGCTTGAAAACCTTGGTAAATACCGGAAGTATGACGGCGGAAAAGTCCTGGATATATTGAGAGTTTTAAGGAACAAGGTTTGTTAATATCCGTGTTATAACCTGATACTAACTAGAACAGAAACACCACTATCAGGATTTGCCGGAAGACGTTAAACAAATTCTTGGGTCTCTTCCTGATGGCTTTTACGCCTATTTTAATGAAAAATTTCCGAAACTATTTGTTCACTGTTATAGGTTGGTAACAATTGACCTTAAAAATGAAGACCACTTTTGTCGATATTTTAAGATTGATGATGTACATATGTTTTCTTGAGGTTGGGCACTACTGTCAAATAAAAAAATGCCATAACGGCTGTCATCACTGACAATGTGCTCAAAGCTATAATGAATGGTAACAGACTTTCCGGTAAAGCATTGAGCAACATACGATCAATAACTGTTATGAGCTTTATGTCAAAGAAATGATTCACTTACCAAGTTGGACAGGAACGGATTTGAAGTCACTCCCGTCAAAAACCTTGCTTGGGTAAAAATCCGGTTCAACAATTAACGTCAAATTATCGTTTTTAACATGTAATAACATATGAATTGGGTACTTGCCTATGTTAGTTGATAGCGCGTAGATTTGAGCTTAGCACTGCGACTTACGACCGCTGGCCATGATGACCGCAAAGTATACATGCTGTTATATCTCAGTCCGCAGATTTTGACGGTTTGAGATGATGATGACTGGGTTACCATGGGTTTCATTGGTACATTTAAAGTTATCTGATTGCTTTTTTGAAGATTGAACATGCAGTCTGCAACATTTTCGTCATTCCGATTAAAGATACTGGAGCCTTTAAACGTCAAGATTTCAGTGTTCGCAGTTGCACCTTTTATCAAGTAGAAACCGAAAACTAGCAGAAGTATCCGTAAATTCATATCTAGAAAACGAACACTATAGCGGAGACATATATATAGTGGCTAACGGGATGCGATGATGAAAGCCAAAGTATTTGAAAACTGAAGTTTAAGTAAAAACAAATTAATATAAACGATTATGTTAACAAAAAAAGTTCAAATACAAATGTGCTCTTCTTTTGCTTCTGAATATCTTCGTTATTCTGGGACTTTGTTTTATGATTCCTTTATGAAACCTCAATCCACCACTAAGCCTTCGATTTGAGATATGGACCCGTCTTTTCTTAAAGAAACTCATATAGAGTATCTCAAACGATTGAAAGAGGTAATTTAACTGCTATTCTGTCTTCAGTGTGATTAACAATTTGTCATAGCAAGACACGAGGTTAGAATTTTGGCTTACGCAGCATCTTCATCTGAGTGCAGTTTACTGGAGCTGTTTAAGCCTTTGGCTATTGGGAAAAGACAATGAAATTGATCGTATGGCTGTTGTTAGTTTCATCAAGTCATGTTTAACAGAGTCTGGTATGTTACTAATGTCTGAATCATCGTTGACATTTAATTTTTAAGGAGGATTTGCATGTTATCCAGGCCATGATGAACATATCACAAACACTGTCTACGCGGTACAAGTTTTGCTAATGTTGGATGCTCTCAATGAAGTTGATACAGATAGAATTGCTAATTGTAAGGTCTTGTTCTTTTTAGGTGCTTATATTGACTTTACTTAGATGTGGTTAATTTACAAAATCCAGATGGCTCAATGCGCGGCGATAAATGGGGGGAAACAGATGCTCGTTTTCTATATGCCGGAATAAACTGTTTGAGTCTTATGGGAAAGCTCCATTTACTAGACCAAGAGAAGGCTACGAACTGGATCTTGAAGTGCTACAATTTTGATGGGGGCTTTGGTCTTTGTCCTGGAGCCGAAACACATGGTGCATATGGTACAAAAATATGTTACAACTTTATTAATCTAACCTGGTCAAATTAGTTTTCACATGTGTTGCAGCTCTTGCTATCCTGAGAAAATTGGACCAAATTGATGAGAACTTTCTTGGCTGGTGGCTTAGTGAACGACAAGTTAATTCCGGCGGATTAAATGGTCGACCTGAAAAGCTTCCCGATGTAAGTAAAGGATATTAGTATAAAGCGCGCGTTTCTAACGGGCAATGCGCAGTCTTGCTACTCCTGGTGGATTCTTTCACCTCTAGCAATTATAAACAAGATTGACTGGATTGATCGGGAAAAGTTGATTGAATTTATAAAAACATGTCAAGATCCGGACAGCGGGGGCTTCTCGGACAGAAAGGAAGACGTTGCTGACGTTTATCATACATGCTTTTCCCTTGCGGGCCTCGCGCTATTAGGCCATCCAGACCTAAAACCGATTGATCCCAGATATTGCATACCAACTGAAGTTTCAAAGAAATATGGACTCTGAAAGATGAATAATCATGTTGAGTTTTAGAAAATGGGTTTTCTCTCGTTCTTTTCTATTTCCTCGATTTTTTTTAACCGTTTTTCAGTCTTAGCTTTTCCTGAACCCTTACCGTGAAATTGATGCGAAAGCAGGTACTTGTAAGCTTCTTTTGGACCCAATTCCTGTCCAAACTCATCGACGTAACGTAGGTTAATCTCCGGCTTGTAATCCTGAAATTGTTCCATTTCAAGTTCCGCAACCATCTTATCCCATTTTTCATTCTCTCTCTTAGCATACAACTCTCTTTCTTTTTGAGACATGTTGGCCAGTTTTTCCACTAGAGCGGTCATGTTCCTTTTTTGGGCACGCCGCTTATCTTCAAGTTCAGCGCGAAGCAGACGCTTTTTTGCAACCCATTGTGTGTACAGTTGTTCCCGTCGCACACGATCGTAAGCATCATTCTGTAATTTCACAACTCCCTTTTGTTTAAGAATATTTAGAACTGTGCCAACACCTTTGGAAACTAACGATTCTTCAATGGCATTTTCCTCTGCATCCATTCCGTTATTTTGTTCATTTGCTGTATCAAAAGCATCTGCAGTCTTCTCATTAATTGATAACTTCGCAGCCGGAACGCCGTCTTCATTAGTCTGATTATTGTGTGACATAGGCTCGGGGGAAGTAACGACAACGTTCTTATTTTCCAAAGCGTCAACAAAAGTTCTTGTGGCATCGAGTACGAGTCCCGGATTGCTATCTGTACCGTCTAAATGCTCTATTTTCAAATGACTTGGTAACTTCATGACTTGATCAGCAACACTTTCACCATCTAGTGCTCTCTTTCTTTGCAATTGTTGCCGACGTGTAGAAAGGGCGCTCTGAAGATCATCGTCGTCTACAAACGACGAATTATAGAAAGCCCTATATTTAATGTTCAAGTTAACATCTTTCACAGTAAATTTTTTATGTTCCTGAGTAAGTTGCTCTTCTTTTTCGTTTGCCGTGGTCGAGCCATCCACTTCATCAACTGTGTCGATGGTGCGTTGGTGAACTGCTTTCCGCTTTTTCCGTTTGCTCTTTTTTATTTTAATGCTTTGGTAGTCAGTGATTTGTTTCTCTTCACCTGTATCCAGACTGAGCGCTTCTGAATTTTGAGTTGCGTTGGCAGTGTTGATTTTCTGAGTACTATCAAGAACGATGTTGTTACCGCCTATAACAGTTTCAGAAAGTCCTTGATTTTTTTCATTAGAGTACTGTGGAAGCAATGCACTGCCATTGAATGTTGTTTCATCTTCGTAGGGGACGTAACTCTGCTGCCGTAATCGTTCTTTAACGTTTCTTTCAGTCGTTTCCTGTTCAACTAGGCTGACACTTTCAAAGACGTCACCGTTGTTATCCAGAACATTGGCATCTCGGAGTGTAAGATACACACCATCGGGGGAAGAAAGCTGTGAAGTATTGTGTGCTATGCGAACACCTTCAAGAGTAGAGTTTTTTGGGCTCGTTGAATTGTTAGACAAATCGACACTCGTAGTTGAAGCGGGTTTCTGCAATTTTGTTGTAGAAGAAGGCGATAAAACTGACTTACGAACTTGAGAACGAGTGCGTTTCACCCAACTCAATGCGTCTTCCTCCTCAGCACCTTCTTCATCTTCCAAGAGCTCCGCAAGCGATTTTTTTTGAAGGAGTTTCTTTCGCTCCCTTTCTGCCCTCAGCTTTTGCAGCCGAAGTTCTGCTTCTTTATGCTTTTGTTCTTCGGCAGCACGTTGCTGTTCTCGCTTCCAATTTTCCAGGGCATCGTCCTCCTGGATTTGTGATTGAACGTAATCATCATTTTTATCTGTTGCATCCTTGTTGGCTGGCGCTGATTTTTCACCTGTTACATCTAAAGGTTTAAGACCACTGTTTTCGATTCTGTTAGTAATGCAGAAAAGCAAGCAAGGAACACCGAAATTAGCAGTGTGATTCACAACGTTTGCGTTCGACTTACAGAGAAATACGAAGTTTGTTCGTTTCATCTATGGAGAGAGATTCTGTTGCCTGATTTACAGCACTCATGGCCTTATAAGCTGATTTGTTACCGGCCGTGGGCTAAATGATGGTTGAAAGCAAATTTACTCACACTGAAGCTGGGTACAGCTTTTCGCGCGTCGACTTTAGCCTCTGACACGCTCACGCCCGTTAGTACTTACCAGGCACTCGCGACGGATACGCTTCATGGTGGTGAGTTTCTTTATATCGCTACGGTATAATGGCTTACGGCATATTAGCGTGTTATATAGTAATTCTTAGCACCTCCTCAAATTACTGTGCATTATGATAAGTATTTACTATGATTTACACTAACAATCGTTAAAGTCGTATACCGAATTACACTACAATGATCCTACTTCACTCTGGTCAGTGTCGGTAAGGGTGGAACGCATTGTGTACGCCGTAGGACACGAAGCAACAAACAACGCAAACAAGTGGCAACAAAGAAACATGTTTCTGCCTCAAATAAATGCTACACGCTTACTAGCAAAGAGTGTATTTTGGGCTCCGTTTCAGCAGCTCGAAATGGCTCGGAGAACGTTTCGGTGCAAGGATCTTCTTATTAAACTATACTCTACAAACGCTGCCAGTAACACCTCCGACCCACTTACGCAGCAAACAACAAAAACATTGACGTGGCCAGAGTTTTTTAAACTAAGAAAAAGACGTCGTCGTATCGAGTCGCTGACATCGATCCCCACGGCCCTTGCTGGCCTCGGTTTGGGTGGAGCATTCTTCTTTACACGATCCTTTGATGCAACCGCAACATGGATGGGTGCCGACCTCGCTGTGTGGTACGTTTTGGGCGATCTTGTTTGTGGAGGTGTGGGTTGGCTATTGGGTCCAGCTTTAGGTCGCCGAGTCTGGAGTGCTATGCATCGCGAACTGGCCGCCCAAATGCTAGAGAAGGAACGGCTTTTCTTCCACCATGTACAGAAAAGCCGAGCTATCCCCTTAAAGGACAGCTACTCTAATCCAATTCCCGACTACTATGGAGAAAAGATATCTTCTCTCCATGACTACCGCCGCTGGCTGCGTGACCAAAAGGCGTTCATTCAAAAAGCATCATGGGGTACGCGTCGCAACTAATTAACCGCGTCCTCTGATACACGAATAAATAACACTCATCGCTTAGTCGTTTAAAGCTATGCTGTAGGTTTTAGGAGGTGTGACGATTAATCTGCCCAAATCGTTAAGTTGCGTAATACTGCTTTTGCGCATTCCAGTGTGTGCCAACACATTTTTCTATGATGTGCCTGGAGGCGTCACTGTTTCCGAACCCCCCCCACACACACAAAATAGGGTCATAATTATGTCATAATTACGTCGCCATGGACCCTTTGGAGCACAGTCTCCAGCACCCGCGTTTTTTGTCGCAACTCGCTCGTCTCCCCCTCATACACTGCCTTTAGCCCCCCTATCCTCCGCTTTGTCCCCGCGGCAGCAACTGGTGCGCTTCCGCTTCCACTCATCACCTTGCTACATCGCAGCCGGGTCCAACCACCCACACCTAAACTTCACCACAACCACACTTCCTACCTTAAAGCTTAACCATCCCAGCACCAAACGCAACCGACGTTACCGAGATTTACGATTCTCCCACAGACGTCTACGTTTTGTCCTCCACGTCCCATTCTCACCGTCCAATTTTCGCTAAAAACAGCGGGTATTTAAACAACAGTTGACTGCATCAAATCGCTCCCTTCACTAATAGCCACCACTCCCGTCGCACCCCTTTATTCTCTTCTAAGAAACAAGTATTTTTTCTCGTTTGAATAATTTCTTCCATTCACAGTTCGTGACGCTTTGAGTATGTTTTTTGATGCAGCGAAAACTGGCCGACTGAGAAAACGCGCACCGGCTTCGCTAGAGTCTGCGTTGGATGAAGAACGTAAAGAGGTTTTACGGTGGATGAAGGAGCGGGAGGAAAAGAAAAACAAGGAGACAGCTGCTAAATATCAGCCCATTATTCGAGACTATGCATACTACAAACCGTCGTCGACTTCTTCAAAGTCCAAAGACGCGTCTATTAAGCAGGACGGTACCAAAACTACCCAGCGACATGCTGATGAAGAGCTGTCGTCGATTACCCGAGTAAAATCTGACCCTAGTAGCGAGGTTTATGTAAGAAAAACGTTAGAAACCATGGTTTCTTCGGAACAAAAACAGCCGACATTGGCTACCACCGAATCGGAACGGACGAGCAACCGTACCACCGTGAATGGAACAGCAGGTTCTGCAGCACCTGCGACCTTTGTGCCTGCATCACCAGCAGCTTCGTTAACACCATTAAGCCCGGTGATGCCTGTGTCGCAGGCATTGTCATCATGTTCCACTTCTCCCACTTCTCCCAATTCGTCGGTTTTGTATCGAGTCGACGATAATTCTGCACCACCTTCTACAATTTCCTCACCTGCATCCTCCTTTAGCACGCTGGCCTCACTGCCGGGCACTACGTTGCCCGTTTCGCCCGCCTCTCCCTCTTACCGTTTTTCCCCCAAACCGTCTATCCCACCGCTCATTATCTCGCCTCCAGTCGACGACAAACGCCAGAGGGAGCATGCTGCTTTGCTTCAAGCAACAACGCAACCACTCTCCAAGAGCCGCTCTTCGCCTCTTGCCAATACGACACCTTCTTTTAACTCTCGGCGTGCGCCGAATGCACAATCTGTCCGTGCAAACGCGACTTCGTCTACAAAGTTGCCGCAGACGAGTTCTGTATTCACGCCGCCTACCATTTCTGCTTCCCCGTTGCCTTCTGTAACGGGATCATCGAAGGAAGTTCATCCGAATACCAACTTTGTTTCTTCGCGAATCGACAATTACTTTGGTTCTGACCAGGAGGAGCTGGAACATGATCTTTGGGTTGCCAAATCCATGAGCGTTGACATCGGTGTGGCTCGCTGGATTAAAGCTGCTAATCGAACTCTCCGGCACATCCGACGCGGCGATTTTGAAACTGCTGCAAAGAATTCGAAAAGAAATAGTACGTACCTTGTCGCCATTGATCTCTCTGCAGAAAGTCTTTACGCTTTGGAATGGGCTGTTGGTGTGCTCTTAAGGGATGGCGACACACTTATTGCGGTCGATGTTATTGATCGTAATGAATCTCCTGCGAAATCTGGCTCCAGTAAAATGGAAGCTGAACAGATGCAAGCAATGGACGAAATCACAAAACAAGTCATTCGCCTTCTCAACAAAACCGTCCTTCAAGTTGAGGTTAATATTGAGGTTGTACATCATGAAAAACCAAAGCATCTGCTAATTGAAATGGTAAGTTCTTATTCACGCGTCTGAGGATGCTATGTTTTAGTTGACTATACTAACCTGGTAAAGATTGACTATGTCGATCCGACACTCGTCGTTTTAGGTAGCCGTGGTCGAAATCACTTGAAGGGCGTTTTACTGGGTTCATTCAGTAATTACGTTGTTAATAAGGTAAGTTACAATGCGTCCATTCAAAATGTTTTGTATTCTAACGTATATCATAGTCGAGCGTTCCCGTTATGGTTGCCCGTCGTCGTCTAAAGAAAACCAAGCAACGTGTCGACCGAAAACCGCGCATGGCAAACAATTTGGCAAACGCCATTGTAGATGAAATTGGTGCTTTAAAACTAAAATAGCGTGATATCAATTGGCACTTTTTGCTTTTTTCTTTTCTTTTTTGTTCTCAAAGAATTACGGTGCTGTTTTTGTCGGAATTCTCTGTGTGCACGCTAGGTTATCTCTGTTCTGTCTTGCCATATGCTACATGTCCGGCGTGACATCTAGTTCAAGCAAATTGTTATGGGTTACGTTGTCTATTCTTAAGGGCTTTTTTCACGCTGGCTAGCACTGGGTGCTGTGCTGTCGTCTCACGTCTCATTCAAATTGGTTATGCCAGTCTCTGTTGCATATCCAAACCATCTCCCTCTGGCATTCTCAAGCTCGCCATCCATAAAACTTCAACCGTGATCTACATATAATTAATGCGTGCCATGATATCAGAGTACATATGTCTGCGATGCTATTCGCTAATATTTCCTTGTTCTCTAAATCATGGATAAAACGTTAATGAATCTTTCAATACTCATGATGATATATGTGCCAAAAATTGCATTTCAAATAACATTAATGAAACGTGATGTTTTCCCCTTACTCCTGTCCATTCTTCTAGTTGCGTTTACTTTGTAAATGACCCGGTTGTTGTTGATATAGCAATGAGAGTTGATGGTCTTGTCACACAATCCTTCCGGACGGGCATGGTGTCAAATATGATCTTTTATAGGTACTTATTAGGTAATTGATATATTCATGAAAAGGTTTTCGAACTGTGCAAATGGCGATAACTTCTTGTCTCTTCTAAGCACGCGAATTCGTGGTTGAATCATACGCGCAAACTTAATACTACAATTTGGACATTATTGTAAAACGACTCCACGTATGTCGCCTACTTTTGTTTGAGTCGTAATGATTGACAGTGGCAGCTATGTTTGTGTGGAGCTTGTGACCTGTCAATAACTTCTTAATTCATAAAAAAGATACTGATGAAATCAGTAGTGATATTTTTCAATTTCCTTCTTCACGATTTTAGGAGCATTTTTCAGCAATTCGGGATCCTTAGCAATTGTTTCTATCACAGGAACGCCACGCAATTCTGCTTCATTCGAAGGATTAGGACCATCAATGATGTTGCGCGTAGTGTCGGCTTCTTCGCACACAGATGGCATGGCGTTTTCGGCCTCTTTGCTTTTCAATTGTCTATAGTACAGGAATACCGACCTTGACGAAAAGGATCGTTTACCGATGAGAGTCTGTAAAATATTCAGTCGGGAATTACCTCTAAAAATGAGGTTAAACATGTTCAGTTTGGTAAGCAAACTTTTTGGTACTTAAAAATCAATGATGTTAGGTTTTCGGCGAGGATTGGGTGCGTACACTATACCATGGATATGTTCCTATTAAAGGGTCTCGTTATCGCAATGGGAATCCATTTTTCCAGATGTATATAGCACGTCATCACTATTTAGCCATTTACGACATGTCGTTATCACGGTGAACGAACACGGCAGTGCGGCATAAAGAGTACAAGGAATTACCAACGGAAAAACTTACGGAGCACGATCCGAGGGTTAAGCTGACGGGGTGTGAAATGCTTTTCTCCTCACTAGCGGTCAATTACTATGTTTCTAAAGCTAACTAAAATGTAGTGAGTTCTTAAATGTGCAGAACATAGCACATGTGACATAACAAACTCAGATCGTCTCCATGCAACTAGCAGCAAATAATAAATATAATAGCATGCGTTGTTCAACAATCTGGCTTGTTCGTCGCTCTTTACCACTAATACAAGAAACTGCGGCAAATACAGTTCATAGACTTTAGTTAATTTTTGGCTTGTCATTAAAATATTCATCACCGAATTCTTTTTCAGCTTAAGGATCTCGTCTATTATTTCCTAGCTAAAACCAAAGCCAGTATTTGCTTGAATGGCAATGCTAAGCTTGTCACGTAAAATTTGTTTGGATCCATAAACAGGCAGCTTTAACAAGTTTACACATGTACTTGCCGTTGGAAGACGTGTTTCATCGTTGCCATTTGATCGAATACAGAAAAGTGGGTTGAGCTCCTTAAATCCTAGAATCGGAGGGCGAGCAACACTAGTAACAAATTTCAACAATGCACGCTTATCATCCTCGCTAAACTCTCGTAGTACTTGCCAAAAAAAGAGTATAGTAGGACTGTTTTCATCAAACTCACCCGCATAAACAGTGTGCTTGCGTAAATCATCAACATCAATAGATACCGGGGCACCTCCGACGAGTAACTGAAGTTCATTCTCATGAAACATAGCAAGCCAGTGTGGATTTATAAGTTGAGTGAAGCCTTGAGTAAAGGCTTTACTTTGCTTTGACAATCGAGCATTCAAGTAGTAATTAGAAACCAAATGAATGTACTGAAGACGATTCGCTTCAGTAACGGAAATATTCTTACCATTAGGAATGAGATCAATTTCCTCCTTTACACCGAATTCCTCGTGCACAACGGTAAAACTGAGCGATAAATCGTTTTCAACATCACCCTTGTAATGTTTTAAGAAGGCCAGACCTTCATACAATTTAAGGTCTAAGGCAGCAAGGTCATCAATATGACTTGGATGACCAAGCCATTTGGCAATAAAGAAGGGTGCAAAGGCAGCGTCAATTTGTATTCCTTCATATATGCACTTTCCAATAAGCATACCCAGAAACTCGTAGTAGTGAAGACGTTCTGGATCTTGGGCATATGCCTTTGTACTTGGGTACAACAAGTTCGCAAATGTTTCAGAAAACAAACCGTAATTGGTATCAAACACCGTTCGGCAAATTGACGTTAAGAACTCTTTTGTCAAACCGCCGCCATCAATGCCTTCTTCAACCACACCATGTTCATCCACGAAAGTAATTTTGATCGGTCCTTTGAACAAAGGACCAAAAGTATGAAAAGCATCATAACCATCGTCAAATATGCGATTGCGCCGAATAATGACATGACTCATTCTACGCCAGATGCTATCAAAACCATACTTTCTTTTGTCGGATTCCACTAAACGATGAAGCAAGTGGATGCGGAAGTGAAAGGGCAGCAGAAAAGGACAATTATTTAGAATATTTGTCTTTGGATACCATTTGCTATAAAAAGAAGTAGTCGGAGCCTCTGTGGAATCCAAAGTTGCATTCAGTTTTTCGGCCTCTTGTAACACGCCAGTTTCAAATTCTGAAAGATTAAAATACCCCGTTGCCATAAACATAGACGGGTCAACAAAGCGACGTCGCTCATTACCACGATATAGTTGTTGTAGTAATTGCGTAGTAGACACTCTTAGAACCTCGAAGTTAACATGAGTAGACTTGTTTATATCTTCTAGAAGTAAAGGATCCGAGTACAACCCAAGAATAGTATTCTTCAACAAGATGCACAAGTCTGGAAGTACCTTGAACAGTGGGTTGAATTCTTCGCTGTGAAATTCTTCGTCAATCATTGTAAAAAGCACTCGAGTGTAAACCTGTTCCATTAATATCATAATGAACCATTCATCCAAGTCCTTGCCAAAGTAGCCCTGGAGATCCAGCCGCTGCTGCAAAAGAGAGTAAATGGCATAATTGTGCAGCGTGTTCCAACAGTACTCCAAAAACGTTACTCCTTTACCGGATACATTGCTAAGCAGTGAAAGATACATCAAAGCAGACGCACGTTTCTCATTTGGTATTAGTTGTAAGAGCGAAGTATAAGCACGACAGATTAATTGAAACGCAAGACTGTCCGCAACTATTGATGATTCAAATACATCGGTAAGGAAGGCCCTCGAACAAAGTCGAGATGCCTGCTCCGACAAATTTCCATGAGCAAAGCCATTCTTTAAAACATTTCGAATGGAGCTTACTTGAGTAGTCGTCATGGTTTCTTCCTCATCACTATCCGACTCGTCATTTTCTTCTGGGTGCTGATTAGCAGAAGCAGCGCGCAAGTGGCACGCAGTCTCAAGCTCTAAAGATAGCAATGTCCATAAGTTTAGGTTGCTAGGTGCTTGTTCAAGAAGATAGGATGTATTTGCCAATAATGGCAAAAGCAACTCCGTGGAAAATGATTTAACAAAGGCGAAAGTGGGAAGAGGAATAAGGACGGAAAGGGATGTAGCGACAGTGAAAGACGCATCTTTGGAAGAGCGTAAAATTGTTGTAAATAACGAACTGGTAAGAACAGTCTGAACAAAAACCGACGCTATAGCAATGAACTTTGCAACATCGCCAGCATTGTCCTGTAAAGGAGACACAAGAGTCTGAATTAAATTTTTGGAAGAGTGCTTTAGTAAGTCCGGATGGTGCTGTGGCAAGGACAAAATAAGCGTGAAGTATTTTTGAGCATCTTGTTCTTTCATGTAATGAGAACAGACATGTACAACTTTTAGCGCTTCAGAAAGAAAGCTCGCAGCTTGTGAGTTTGGTAGTACTGAGCGAAGGTCAGTTGTGGAAAGGTCACTCAACGTTAATGATAAAAGCTGTTGCATCGTGACTTTTGGTAAATTCAATGTAGAATATAAGGATGAATAAAGGTGAATAACTGCCAGCAGTCCCTCTTCATCCTCTGGTAACGACGCGAACATGCAAAACTGCCGAATGCAATTGCCCCAATACTCGACATTTCCCATGTCGTGAAGTTCCCTAGGTTCCTTAACTTGGACTAATTGCTCAGGACGGTACTTTTGAAACCATATTTCACGACATTCCCTATGAAAACGTTGTTGAAAAAGCCAACGACGTACATGGGCTTGGAGCTTGATAGAAAGTTCTGAAAGACGTCGATCTTCGGCCCGCTGTTTCCTTTCTAATGCAGCACGTCGAAGAATACGATTCTTGTCGGTATCTGGACGTCGTCCTCCTAGGTTTATTTGGCGTCGAGGCTTAAAATTGCCGTCAAAAGACATTTAGGTCAATTGTAGACGGATCGTTGCTTTTTGGATTGAAAAGATTTCTAACAGAACAGCAGAAGTAGTCTGAACACGGGTGCAAAGGTCAGTGAATAGCCCGGCACATGAAATTCCAGTGCCGTACACTGAATTCCATCCATAACCGCAATCGCTTGGTGGTGAATGTATCCGCGGAATTGGTCAGCAGTACCACGGCGTTCCCGAAGGTCCATGGACGTCTCAGGCCGCGGTCAGGTAATCTGGTTACGCGGATGATTCCGAGGAAGCAAACACTTGGGGTGCGTTCAACTTCCATAACCAAGAATTTAACGAATTACATGATGAATTCTATAAAGTCGTGTACTCGACAAAAATGGCTGCTCCTTGGAGCTAGCGTCATTGCTGCCGTTGCGCTGGTGATCGCGTCTCGTCGCTTGCGCGTAAGCTCTAATCATCCTCAACAGAAACGTTCTGTCCTTACTATTGTGGACAAGGTAAGTCCGGGCTTTCCGCGGTATCGCATCCTGCTTCCGATTAAACAGAGCAATACAGCGGGCAGGTTATAGGTGTTACCGATTCTGATGTATATTACGTTATACTTCTTTAACTTTCGTTAAATATTTTAGCGAGTTTAACAGCGAACAGTAACATCCTTAGTGCACTGAAAGGTACTCCAGTGAGCACAGGCTAACTCTTATGAACAGAATTCACGTCTTAGTACTATTGAAAAATGCTACGACAAGTCGGCGCTGTTTCTCATTTACTTAATGTCCCCTGAAATGCTAAAGCTGCAGCCGGTGCTGGAGAAATTGGTGGAACATCCGTCCAGAGTGCTCAGGTGCAATCGTATGGAAAACATTATCCCCCTTCTGCGCCATATGGATGTAGACGAGTTGGTATGGTCAGCCGAATGGCCTGAGGAACTAAAGCCTGGCTGCAGTCGCTACGTAAAAACTATCTCTAACGCCCCAACTGCTCACAATTGAGCATCCGGACCACTGCCTGCCTTCCAGCTTTAAAACCAAAAAAGAGCATATGAAAAATAACGAAAATAACAAGATGTCAGCACAACAGTAGAAAACAAAACAAGAAAGCTGGCAAAGAAATCAGGAATCGGTGATGCAGCATACGAATAATGATATACTGAGTATGTAGCGCTTGATAAGCTTGCAAACTGATGCGAAATAAGCAAGAAATTCGGCTTGAATTCTGCTGCAATGTTTCACACCAATAGAAAGCTAGGAAGCACAAACGATCTTTAAACCAGTTTCAGAATATTTACTGGGCTTCCTTTGCAGCGTACTCACGCAAGACAGCCAAAGCCTCGTCGACCTTCTCGTTCAACATACCGTCATTCTCGAGAAGCTCCAAAAGCTCGGAATTGTCCATTTCCAAAAGCATTCCAGTGATCTTACCGGCAAGTTCCTCCTCACGGACATAGACCTTGGGGTACAAGAACTCACCGATCATTTGCTTTCTATTTTCCTCAGGAGCACGAGCCAAATCCTCGGCAGTTAAACGAGCGGGCAAAGCAGCCTCAGTAGGAGCGTCAGCAGGCTTGTCGCCTTCAACGGCAGGTACCTCGGCAGGTGCAACACCAGGATAAGCACCGGGTGCACCGTATTGGGGCATGCCAGAATACATAGGGATTGCACCAGGTTGTCCAGGAACGATGGGCATGCCACGAGCATTAACGGGGGGCATGGGATAACCACCAGGACCGAACACGATAGGAGCAGCGCCATATTGAACGGCGGCGGCAGGAATACCGGCAGCAGCAGCAACCTGTTGTTGCAAGCGGAATTGGTTGCGGGCTTGGATTTGGGCCTCCAATTGGCTGCGACGAACCTCCTTGCGTTGAGCAAGAGCAACATAGAGAGGCTTACCTGCTAGCATACGTTGGTTCATCTCAGCAATAGCCTTCGTAGCCTCCTCAGGGTTAGAATAGCAAACAAAACCGAAACCCTTAGACTTGTTGTTCTCATCAGTCATGACCTTAGCAGACGTAATGGTACCGAAAGCACTAAACTCAGACTTTAGGCGTTCATCGTCAATCTCGTCTTGGAGGTTCTTGACGAAAAGATTCACACCCTGGTACTTGTTAATCTTTTCGAGCTTCATCTGTTCATATTGCTTGCGCAACTCCTCTTGCCGCTCATGCTTCTTTTGTGCACGACCAACGTAGAGCTTCTTGCCCTTGTACTCAAAGTCGTTGAGCTCATCCACAGCCTGTTGAGCGCTGTCATGAGTAGCAAAATTGACAAAAGCAAAACCACGGAATTTTCCAGCGTTATCCTTAGCAAGGGACAACGAGGTGATCTTGCCATATTTCTCGAACAACTTGGTGAACTCCTCCTCAGTAGTGTCGAGATCCAAATTCTTCACGTAAACATTGGTGAAGTTGGCTTTAAGGGCCTCAAACTTGGATTGACGATCACGGCGGCTAATATGGTGGCCGACGTAAACCTTCTTGTCGTTCAAAAGCATACCGTTGACATGTTCAATGGCAGCGTTGGCAGAGTCGACACTGTCAAAATGAACAAAGCCGTATCCCTTTGAGTTTCCAAGCTCGTCAACAGCAACCTTGCACGACAAGATCTTACCGAAAGCAGAGAAAGTGTCATGAAGAGCCTTGTTATCAATTGCAGGATCCAAGTTCTTGATGAAAACATTGCCAGTGCCCATCTTACGCAACGAAGGGTCACGTTGAGACCACATAATGCGGCACGGACGTCCCTTGATGAGCGTGTAGTTCAACTCATCCAAAGCCTTTTCGCCATCTTCCATGTTATGGAAGTTAACATAGGCGTAGCCTAAGGAGCGGCGTGTTACAGCATCACGGCAAACACGAATGCTTGCAACGGGTCCAATACTGTTGAAAAGCTCAAAAAGCATAGCCTCCGTCACCATAGGATCCAACTCACCAATGTAAAGGGAAGCACTTGTGGAAGTGTTACCATTCTCGCTCTTCGTCTTGTTGGATGCACTCTCAGAGGAATCCTTTGTCTCCTCACTAGGAGCAGCAGCAGCAGCGTCCGTCTTCGAGCTGTTATTAACTTCGTTGGCGGCAGTAGGGTTGGACGTGGGCTTTCCCTCCACCTCAGCAACGGTCTCAGCAGACTTTTTCAGATCCGTAGAAGGCATGGCGTTTTCAGTATTTAAACTTGGTGCTTTTTTGTTATTTTTCAATATTTTTTTGATTTATGTGGTTTTGTGGTTGGTGGGATGGCAAACACCCAAGGTAAGGTACCTCCTCCTGTGGCATCTGGTATGGTGGTGAAGGTTGCTGTTACTGTTGGAATGCTGTGAGACAGTTATTTAACTAGTCAAACAAGGAACAGCCGAACCTTACTTATTTAAATACAGTAGTGAAAAAAACACTGTATAGCACTTAAAGAAGATTATATAGCGCGGAATTACTTTAAATAGCCTCTATGTTTAATGCATGCTTCCGCCTTTCCAAGACTATTACTAGTCCCCGTTTATTATCATCAATAACGAATAATCATTGAGGAAACGCTAACTCTCAATTATATTTTTTTTTGCACATTTCATTAGTGTCTTAATGAGTAACTACAGGAAAAGAACAAGTTTTCGTGTATTGGCAAACCTTTGATTCTGGTGACTCAACAAAAAGAAAACAGTTTCCAAGTTCGTTGTCATTCATAAACATGGGAAAGAAAAAGAAAAGAAGTTAATAGGTGTTCAATAGGGGGAGTGCTGATGTGACGCAAGTTTTGTCATGAGCGCTTAGTAGTCATCATCGCTGAGAGCGAAGTTGGGCCGTGAGTGCGTCAAAAAGTCACTTAGGCATAGCGATGAAAGAGATTTTACATAATTTTGATAAAGAGTAAGGTTGAGCAGTCAAGCTTAGACGCTTTGGGGTACCTGCTCCGCAGGAGGTGACTGATAATATGCAATTCTGTAGTTGTTAGTAGGTGAACGTGAGGTGTGAAATCTAGAGTTAAAAAACATACCCGTTAAGTTTGCTCTTCTTCAGTTCTCGACGAATAGCGGCCTGGTCTAAGGGCTTTAGTAGCTCGAAAGAACACAGCAGCTCTGGGTTTACGCTCATCACAGCACCCCAGTTGTCAAACTCTCCGCAATAGTTTGGAGCCGAAAAGACTGTGCACAATGTGCGGTCATTAAAGAATTCATAGCCATCTTCCACTACCATGTGTGCTCGACAGATAAGGTCAAATTCGAACTTGGCTAAAAACTGACGAATGACGTTTTTGTTGAAACAATATGAGACGCCTCGTTCGTTGTCTTCCCAGTCTTTCTCGTTGTCGGCGGGATCCGACCACAATAAATCATTCAGCAAGCCGCAGTCTGGCACGTCCGTAGGCCGCACAATTTCACGAATATCATTCATGCTGTTCAGACAAGGCGACAGACCGCCATGGACGCAGAAGATTTTGCCCGCAACAACGGATGCGATTGGGAGACAGTTGAATGTGTCAATAAATGTCTTCCAAATTTTTATATTACAGCGTCGTTTGCATTCATCGTAAAATCCATACACTCTTGTGATGTTGGCACACTCATGGTTGCCTCGTAATAAGAAGAAGTTTTCCGGATACCGAATTTTGTACAGTAGAAGTAAAAGAATGGTTTCTAAACTTTGTTTTCCACGATCAACATAATCACCGAGAAACAAGTAATTAGAGCTGGGGGGAAACCCACACATCTCAAATAACCGGATAAGATCAGAGTATTGCCCATGAACATCACCAACAATTTTGACAGGTGGCATCAGCTCAAGCAATGTAGGCTGGGAAAGAAAAATCTCAGAGACGGCCATGCATATACTTGTGATTTCTGCATTCTTTAAACACACGCTCTTGGTGCTTTTCCGTGAATATCCGGCATGAATGAGTCTCTGAATCATTTCATCCACATTAAGACCGCCAATTGCCTCGGGATTGTCAGTAAACGGAAGCACGGCGGAATTGGGAATAAGAACCGGCCCATTCTGGACAGGTTTCGGGTTTGCTGTTGAAGTACTCGTAGAATCGACAGCCAACATAGACGGCTGCACGGTGGAAGGCGAAGGTAAGTTATCAATAACGTGTTGAGACTGAATGTCGGCAGGCGTTGGAGACGTGGGAGTTACAGATGTCGCAAGAATTCCTGGAGACGGCGGAGGAAGGCTCGACGTCCTACTTGCCATAGTGTCTATCGAATCTTTGCGTTCATGACTCGAGTCCTTGTCTTTACGCAACACCGTTTTCAAAGAACGCAAGGAACGACTGGACTCTTGCGTATCCGACCTTGAGAAGGACGGGTACGACTTAAAGCTGTGATCACTATGCTTGCTGCTCCCCTGTCCCATGCTGTTGCTAAAACGTGAACTGTACTATGTGCGTGGTTTCACTCAATGATCGCCAAAAACGTTCCTGTTTTCGATATACTTATTATGTTACACAGGGGATTGGTTTCATTTAGTGAAAAAAAGCAAATTTCGTCAATTAAGACGTCAATAATCACTTTACTCTTCGAAAATGAAAAACTGTTTTCACTAACACAATCGACGATTCTTTAGATCAGTAACACCGAGTATTGTTTGAAATACGACTTAGATTCCTCGTAAACCGTATATGAGAATGACGCCTTCAATATTAAGCCCACTGCTTGTAGATGCTAGTGAGAAATGCAGCCAGAGAGCTTTTGGTGGTTATCTCAGTAGCGATATTATAGATAAAGATTGTTACTTGGGAGGATCAGCGGTGTTTCACAACTTGAGGCTTAATGCGGTAACAAAGTCAGAATTGCGTTGTTGCAAAACTCCGCGGAAATCTTCGGCGATACCGCGGACGTACTCCACCAAAAGTGGCCACGAAAGCAGCGTTGAGCAGAAGTAAAGAGTACTGACTGACGAGAAGACTAGGAAGCGATCTGCTCTGTGGTTTAATAAACATTAAAATCATTTTGACAGCTGGAGATATCACATTTTTGGAAGTTTGATTAGTTAGTTTTTGTTGTTTCTCTCTCAATAAACATTGGACACTTGCATTTACTGTGAATTAAGAGAAAAATAATGTTGGTACTCGACGGTGGATCCACTTCGATTCTGCCAAAATTGCCGAATGATATTTTAAAATCAAAATTGTGGACTTCGGAAGCACTAGTAAGGTTTCCGGATCAAGTGCGTGAACAACATACAGAGTTTTTGGGACCATGCAATGTCATAAGCACGTATACGTACCAGCTGGACGAATCGATTTATGATGAAGCCGAAGAGAACGCGCCTTTGGATGTTGTGTACTCTCGAGGAATGGAACTGCCTTTGCAGGCTAAGCAGCAAAGTGCTCAAGCTAATCGATTTGTAGCAATATCTTTGGGAAGCTATGCCGCCACAGTTCCTGGTGCAATGGAATACAATATGGTTTACGATGAAGAGGACTTTGATAAGCTGTACAACTTTCACAAACGTCGTCTTGAACGTATGCAACGCTCTAACCCAAAGGCGTTTGCTAGTATTGACTTCCTCGCTTTTGAAAGTTTGCCGCACGTGGTCGAAGCTAGCGCCGTTTTAAAGCTTATTGACGATATGAAGGGATATGGAAAGCGGTGCTGGATAACCTTCACCTGTCCGTCTGTAGAAGCCATCGATCGTGTGGATGGAATCCTTGAGTCTGTGATGAAGGGTCCTCTTACTTACCTTTGGGGAACAGGCGTAAACTGCTGTCACATTAGTCTTCTTCCTCAGATTGCTAATGTGCTTGAGAAACACATCTCCCCGCACCCGACCCTTCATGCTGTTTTGTATCCTGACGGTCGAGGTCTTTGGAATGCGCACCCGTACTCACCAAACGGCATTGCTCCTACACCTCGTGAATGGGCTCAGGCAGTTGCCCCTTACGTTCGCCTTAATGACGGAAAGCTGTTGCTCGGCGGTTGCTGCGAAACAACTGTTGAGCACTTGCAGATTCTTCGCGACCTCATTACCTCTGAGACAGCAAAGTCTTCTCAGAAATTGTAAACTTTATCGTTTCACTATTTAATACGCAAGTCCTTTTAGCGCAAAACCATGAACCTAAGCTCTATTTACCATTCAAAAAATAAACCTGATCTAACATTCCAAAAGAAAACAAAATAATAAACCTATACAACCAATGATTGGTAACGCATGGATGAAGTAACTGCATTTAACTTGAAGGAGCTTTGAGAGGTTGAATAACCTTGCCCTTCTTGGTGACAACGTGGGGAGCGACAACCTTGTGATGAGTAGCGCGCGTAGTCCACTCAGGTCCCATCGGTACTTGTAGCGAACGCTCATACTGTTCTCTAGATTCGAAGGGGAAAGGAACGTGGGAAACAGTCAGCTTGGCATTGTGCTTGTTGCGTTTTTCGTTGATAATCACATTTTTTAGTTTCGCGTCCTTACGCTTTGACGGGTCTAATCCAGCAACTTTTTTAACCTTAGGCTTGCGCTTGTTCTTGGTGCCAGCACCAGTCCAACTTCCCCAGCCGGGGAGGGAATTATCTTCTTCCTTGGGCGCGTCTTCCTTTACGGCTGCCTTCTTATCTCTTCTGAATTCCGCGACAACATTGTCACCGGCGAAAGCCTTAGCAACAAGATCACGTTGCTGTATCGAGAACTTGCTACTTGTAGCCGTGAGAGTGGGAATAGTGTCAGAGAGATTGGCTTCATCATCCGAATTGGATCCGAAACCTTGATTGACATCGACAACAACATCAACATCACCTTGGGCACTTGCTGAGCGGGCTTTTCGATTAGCAAGTTTACGCTCTTGTTTCTGTTGAGAATTAGAATCTTTGGACAAACTTGCCGACCGCTTGGAAGACTTGTCTGTGTCCAAACTTAACCACGGATTATCCGATTCTGCCAAGGCAGTATCTTTCTTATTTTGCGAATTCTTTTTACTAGCAACAGCCTCCTCCACGAGTGCTTTCGCTACTTCGCTTTGTTGAGAGCCTTTAGGCAAAAACACATTCTCCTTTCTTTTCAAATTGTGGGCGGCTGTGACCTGAGGTGCGAATGATTTTCTCCCATTGGAATCAGTCACCAAGTTTTCATCCACGGAGTCCTCATCGTTTTCATCAGTACGCCCAGCAACTTGGTTTTCAAAATCTTCCATGTCCTTATCCAATTGTTTAGCTTTAGCAGTAGCAGCATCACGCATAAATTTCATCGCCATGACACCCTTTAATTTTGGTTCTTGCTCAGAACGAATACGATTGAATGCACCTGAGACCTGTTCGTCCAAGTCCTCATCGCTATCGATTTCGTCACTCTCTAAGTTTCGATCACTGTCGTCGTCCAGGTCCTCACCCTGAATACGTCTAGTAAGTTCATCTCGACGTTGAATATGCTCCAAAACAGCTTCACGGCTGCCCTCTTCACCATGTCCGGCGCGGTCCAACATTTTCTTGGCCCATTTGCTAGTGTTACGATGTTTTTGAGTAACACGTTCTTTTGCACGTTCAAACTCTTCTTTGATACGTTCTTGTTCAAGTTCTTCTTCACTCTTCGGAACCAATTGAGCCAGACGCTCACGTTCCTTTTTGTGAATGCGGTGATAAGTTTTACTCTTAATCTTTGCAACGCGTTTAGCCTTACGTTCCTCACGGAACATAAGTTCACGCATGAAGCGAAGTTGTTTGGTACGCTCAGCAACTTCTTCGACGGACAACTTGTTCATGACCAGTTCTTCTGATTTTTTTATTTGTTCTTCACTGGCAACTCCTGCACTGGCCAAGGCACTATTAATAGCTTTTTCAGAATCGGTAACCGGCCTGTACGTCGCGACAAGCTCATTGTTTGTTTGGGTAGGCCGGACGGTATCGTTCATGGGAAATACAAGTTGATCAGCCTTTCTATTTTCAGCAACAATAGGCTTCCACTTATCCAAATTTTCTTTTGTTTGCTCATAAGCAGCTTGTCGCTCTAGCCGTTCAACAATTGGCTTTGCTAAGGGCGCATCAAGCTTTCTCTCTGAATATTTCGAGGATTCGCTGATAAGAGGCTTCAGAGAACTTTTGATATCTTGGGAAGAATTCAATGAAGAAAGGAGGGTGCTCAATTGTAGCTTTGGACGGGAATCTTCGGTGTAGACATTGAACTCTGATTCCTTTTTCTCCTCATTAAAGTCTACTTTTGTACGTTTGACTGGATCGATGGCTTCATCACTTGAGGATGGCTCGTCGTCACCAACATGTTTCCGCTTGTTGTCGATGGAAGCAATATAATTGTGAAGGCTTTCCAACTTTTGCTCGTTATCCTCGTCTTCAGATTCGGAGTTAAAACCCTGGAAGTCGCTTTCTTCAGAAGTTTCATCTTCCGAAGAATCTTCAGAATCGTTTTCATCCTCGGAATCTTCAGTTGCTTCACTCTCAGAGATTTCCTCTTGCGAATCACTGTCTTCACCAGAATCTTTGCCTAGTAATGTGTCCAGATCAACCATTCCTTCATCCTCATCGCTTCCCTCGCTCTCATCATCCTCATTTAGAGAAATTTCGTTCGGTTTTTCAGAGGTGCGCGAAGTTTTGGAAGTTTGTGCTTTCTGACCGCTTTTTGAAGCTCTGAAGGTCCATTCCGAGAACCGTTCTTCGTCTTCTTCATCGAAAGCCTCGTCACTATCAATTTCTTCGTCCTCATCTGAATTAACGACAGTTGAGTATGGTAGATTGTTGTCACTCTCTTCGTTTGCATCCATAAAGTCGTTCTCGGCTAACGAATCTTCATTGTAGGAATTCAAAACCTTCGATTCAAGAGTTCTTTTACTTGTACCCTTTCCCGTTTTGCGTTGTTTTTTCCCATTTTTACTGCCAGACCGTCTACCCATGGTGTTTGGTATTTACCAGGTACAATTCGTTCTACTTTGTCTGAGCACACTTAGCTGGCATGTGGGGCGTGTGGGGTAATCTGCCACATATCCCACCTGAAATTTCATTGTTACAATAGCAATAAAACGATGCGTCCGTCGGTATTTACTTTTTTCGCTATGGAAATCACTCGTTTAGCTCTTAAATTACTTAAGTAATTAAGTTTTTTTTTTATTTTTTTCTATATTTTTTTTAAGTCTCAAAAAAATAAACAAATGAATGCAGTTAGAAGACTTGCCTGCCTTTAGCTATTCATCCTTTAAGATTCTATTGGCTAAATACCGGAAAGTCTTTTAAAAAACAATTACGCACTGAAAAATTGAGTAACCGAGTAAAACAACATATCACATAATTCAAACTTTTAGTAGAATTCAGCCATTACAATTATGATTAAGGGCGATCGGAATTCCTTCAGAAATCGGTCAGAACAGAAGTTATACTTTTTCTCCAAGTGTCAAGTGTCAAAAAGTTTAGTATTTCATAGCGTCGAGAAGTTTAGACGATATCTTCATTAGATTTTTCGTCTCTCTCTGATAATTGGCCGTGTATTGTTTTTTTGACAATATCTTCATCAAAATAGCGACTGTGTGGCCAACCATCAATATGGTAAAGTTCTCCACACAGGGATTTAGTAATATACATGATACGGTCGATATGATTCACAATGGCATATGCAATCGTGCAACCGACGGCGAAGTTTACATAGTTTTTCTGGTCCAAAAGCGTGATGTCCACACGACTCGGTTCGTTTATAGATAAAGGGGGAAGGAAGATGTCACCATTTTTAGTGAAGAAACGGTCCACCAAGGGTGCAGGTACGATTTGAGGAAGGGGATTTTCAGTAAGAAGAGACGTTGAACACATGTACAGCACAGCCAGTTGTGAGGCTATGAACTTTGGTTCGAGCCAGCCGATGCGAAACATTAAGGCGTAGGTCCAATTCTCATCAAGGGTCGTTAAACATGTCATAAATGAATTAAGTAAGTCCAAAAGTTCTTGTTCGGTTTCTATTAATTGTTCATACCGATCACGAGGCCATCGGCCGATGAGGGCAGGCTCAAACTTCACAATTGCTAACCTCTTTTTCAAAGCCATAAGGGTTTGCGATAGTTTGAGAATAGTACTTTGAATGTCCGTATCAATATGATTATGGGATGAGCGTCGTGCGAAGTTTGAAATATCGCAGTGAATTGAACCTATTTGAATAAGGAGTTTCCCGAGCGTTGTCCTAATCATACGGTGAGCAGTAACAGGTCTTGGAATCATAGAAAATATAAATGCCGCTGTAATACCAGCAGCAACTGTAAGAAAGCGACGGTATGCGACGTCCCATCCTACTCCCAGAGTTACCAGACCAGGCTCATGGAAAGACTTCCACGAGTAGCCAACTGTGAGAGCAATGGATACGGCGAAAATGGAGGCAGGCATGGGTGTTAGGTATATAAGATGAATGCGAATAAACATAATGATTGGGAAGGCAATAGCCATCACCACCGCCAATCCGTAAGAATTGCCTTTACCATGTCCCGAACTTATGTACCATAGCATCATTCCTACGGTACAACCAAACAGAGTACCGAGAATTCTAGCCAGGTAACCGTATATAGTATCACCGCTGAAACGGGCCAAATTCATTGTTCCCAGAATAACGGTCCAGAAGCCACGATTACGGTAATACCATATGGCGCTCCCACGACAAAAAGACGGTATGGTGCATATGACTGCTAACATTCCGACTTTGATAGCATGTCGATTATCCGCAGAGAAGATGTGTTTACAGAAGTTGATTAAATGAAGGTCAATCAACTGACAGATGTTGTTTGGAGGTTCAGCATCTGGGTTTCTTGCCTCTGTAAACGTTTTATAGACGTCTTCTTCGGGATCGTTGGGGGCACTATCTTCGGTGTAATCATCAGATTTTGTAAACTGAGACATTACAGCAAAACGGAATGCGTGTAACGGCCACCAAAGCCGCCGCAATTGTCTGCGGTGTTCCAAGTCCATCGTTGCTTCAAGAATCTGCAGTATACCCCGAATAACTTGAAACAAATGTGCCTCGTAGAAGTAAATTACATATAATGAGCGCAATGAATGAAGGTAATTCAGGTCATCAGTTGTCAGAAGATCGACGATAGGTGCTTTAACATCGAACAAGCGATGCTCATCAAAGTCAGCCATAACTGCTCGCAGTCGTCGATAATGAATGCGCAGTGCGTTAACTCTATAAGAATGATTACGCCGTTGACTCTGTCGACTAAAAAGATGGTTAAGTCTGTCGCTGTTGTAGTCATCGAGCCACCCATAAATGCCGTCTAGTGCAACTATAGATTCATTTAACAACTTTGCAGTAGCATCATTAAGACAAGACACAAGTGATTCTAACAGCTGCGGCGGATGATAAGGCAATTTATTTTCCAAAGTCATGTAATGCTGCGCTTCAAGAAGACCAACTGGTTGGTAGGAATGATGCATCGCATCATAAAACTTGCTTAGTGCTGCCTGCACCTTGTTCTTTCCTTTCGAACGTCCAGTAGCGGCTGTACTTTTGGTCGCTATTGTATGATGTTCACTTTCATCATCAGCTACAGAATTATGGGCGGTGCTCGGGGCATTCGTACGTCCAAGAAAAAAGTCACTAAGAGAGACGTAAGATTGCGGATTCTGTCCATGGGAAAGACTTTGCGTAGATGCTACCCTACGTGGTTCAAGTCGACTTTGCGTTCCTGAAGTCGCAATGGAAGACGTCCGACTTATGCGAGAACGAGATCCATCCCTAGAGTGCTGACGTTCATGGCGCGAGTGTAAAAGCGAAGCCTCTTCGTTATTACTGACATCTTGATCCAATGCATTCAGGACATCATCGTCGTAAATTTGCACATTGTGAACAATGAGCCGATTGAAGTAAGAGAATGCAGTCATACGAAGTGCAATCTTCTCAAACATAACGCGCAGCGCAATGAGATCGGAGCCTTTCAATCGTCCATACGTAAATTCGGTGTCCATAAATTGCTCATTTGTTTGCATTTTGGAAATATCGTCTTTCAAGGAAGCGACGTCGGCATCAATAGACGAAAAAGCCGTCCAGCCAGCGGACGAAGGTGAAGTTGCCAGCATTTCACGTTGTTTTTGGAGAATGCACTTACTTTTCGTGGCAAGCCCTTGCAAACTTTCCGTATATGCAGAATTACATGTTTGAGGAAGAATAAATAATGTACAGCCAACAGCAATAGCTGTCTGTACGCAAAATGGAATGATGAAAAATAAACCAATGCTGACGGTAAAGTAAGGATATAGAGGGCCGTAACAAGCAGAGATAATAACACAAATGCACGAGAAAACGCAACTGAACGTCAACGGCGGGTACTTCACTTTGATTCGCATGATTACAGCGACACCGACAAACTCAAACAGAGCCCATATGATAGAAGGCAGCGCACGCACAAAGTAACCTTGGTAGATTGCTTCCAGCAGGCACTGATTCACATTAGTGAGCGACACCGTGCATTGGAAGCCTTGTGATACCGCTACCTGCAACGACTCTGCCGGCGATGGTGAACCTCGGGAAACTGTTGCCAGTTTCGAGGCTACAATTGTCCACGCCCAGGCTGAGAACAGAAAAACAAATTGATAAGCTGTCTTCCACAGCATTGGAGCCACAGGCTCCATGGGTGGGAACAGCGAAGCAACAATAACAACGAAAAAGCTTGATTGACCGAGAACACGATTTGTGTGTCGACAGATAAGAAGGAGCATTGCAATCCAGGCCGCAATGGCAGACCGAATTACCGGACGAAGACCCTTTTTGTTTAATTTCGGTCGCACCCAAGCTAAAACTTTGGGCCAGTGACAGCGTTGCATCCATGGATGTTTTTGACGCATCTCCTTGAAATTCAGCCATTTCTTCTTCTGTTTGGCATCATCACCCGGCTTTTTGCTGGAAGAGCCCGACTTTACTCTGTACAGAGGCAAAACATCTGGCAATTGGCCGGTCACATGTGGGTCATTGGCTTCGGGATCAACAAAGTGGACTTCACGATGCTCACTGTCAGGGGTTGTGTTTGTCGGTTGTGGAGAAGGCGCTTGTGCGTGCGAGCTTGTTGCACTAGCGCGAGTGGAATTGGTGGAATGGAAGCTTGATTCGGGTTCAGTTGTTCTAGATGAGGATGGAGGTGTGGAATCATCGGTGATGGAAATAATGGGGACTCTTACAGGGGTTCCTGCAGGCGGTCGTTGTGAAAGCCTCTGACTACTACTCCGGTTAGTGTCAGTGTTGTGATTGTCTTCATCGTCTGTGTCGGATGACGACGGCGAACGATCTCCAGGAAAATGATCACCCCCCGCAAAATGAAAGTGTGCTCGAGGTCGTGAACCGGAACCCAGTGGGCGAGAAGAAGATGTCGCGTTGGAGGAGCCTGCAGACTGCGTTGAGGCAGTCGATGGATGGGAAGCGGCAATTGCACTCCGAGGGTTAGTAGTTTGTTGACGTCGTTCCTGAACCTCTCCAGGCTCAGAACTGTTCGTCGTCGGTAGGGACTTGTTTAAGCTCCCACCGTTTGGAGCATTGTTGTTGGACATACTGCGACGCTGAAGAAGACGTCTTCATAAAGGGTTTGTGTGTATCTGTGGTGTGTCCGTAGACGAATATATAATCAATTAGAAACGAACGGATCAACAAGTAACGACAGCTAAAGACTCCGTAGAAAGAATTTGTCCAGCAGGTATTGGTCACAACCACGACAAGAATGTCAGAATTATAAAAATAGGCGCCCACAAAAAGACGGGTAGATCGCTTTTGCTGATTAACGTTGCAAAGTCGAATTGTTTACAGTTCTGTGTGTATTGTTCGTCTAAAGGTCAACTGCTCAGAAGTACTTATATGAACACAACAAAACACTCAATTCAAAAACCCAAATCGAAGATAAGATAGGGTCAAAAGATAGAAATTACAGCTCAAAATTCCAATTGTCGTCTGGAATAGGCAAGCAAATAGTGGAAAAGAGAGATGTTATAAACAGTAGTCAGAACACGTCCAATTTCGATCGGAAAAAAAATAATGCAATAGTACAAAACGAACGAATCCAAAACTTGCAACAAAACAGGCTAATTTGTATTGTCTAGCACAGTAAATCCGGGCTTCTTCGTGGTAGAAACTAAGTGAGGATGGCGTCTATACTAAATATTATATGACGTCAGCATCAGTAAGTTTAAGTGTGGAAGTGGACAGACCAGAGCCTAGGCTACTCGAGGAAACGCTATCATAGCCTATAAAAGAAGTAGGAGATGAAGACCACGAGAGCACGAGGTCGGCAGCAATAGAGATTTTCGCTTGGTTTCCAGACAGCGTTCTTCAGCCGCTACGACGACAATATGGGGTCGAGAAATAGAACAAGCGAGTAGAGGGGTGCAGGGGCTAAGACGTTGCTGGCTCCAATTCTGTTGACGTGTCCGTTTAAAAAACGACTAATCAGAGACGAACGTGTCGCAAAGCTTAAAAACCCGTAAAGTGCAAATGTGCGAGTCCATCCCGAGTTGTGACATGCTTTGTCCTATTAGGTGAATGATCGCTGATATAGAGAGTACGATATGCGACAACTGAGGCCCAATACGAGCGCTAATTAAGTCGGCTGCGAAACGATAGAGGGCAAATATTAAGTTCATTTTATTAACACACACACACACACACAGGAACGCACGCTCACGCACGCACGCACTCTTTCTCGCGCGCTCCTTCTTTCTGTCTCTCTCTCACTCGCTTCGAGCGAAAAGGAATTTACTCATGATCCCAAGTGTATCCGTCAGGAATTGGACGTTCCTGGACGCGCCTGCGCGACAATATGAATCCCACGGATCAAGTCGACGAGTGTATTCACACAAAACGTTTCCATCCGTGCATGCGGTTTGTATTAGCAAAAAACAACACTTAACGATTCACGTATTTCCTCACATTTGGCATACTGTGGACCCAACATCGCATGCGCACATCCCTTGGACACGTGTCCCTAAGCGAAACATTACCATCAGGTGACTTCGCTTAACCGCCCCGCCAGTTTACGAAACGGCACCCGCAAAACGGGCTACATCATCGGTATGACATCACCGACTCAAACAATGAGGAGGCAAGTGGGGAAGTGACGGCGATGGTGATGTCCGCCGGACTCAAGGAGTACGTAGGCGGTTGGTAGTTCAGTGTAGGGGGAATTGAGGCCCAAGACGGACATCGACGTGCTGGCCACAGCAATCCACACGACACCACCACGAAAACATAACAGGTATGTCACGCGTTTTATCGAACATGAGTTACAACTAACCATCAGCAGAACACCGAAACAACCTGTCGGCTGTCAGCGAGATCCACTTCGGCTAGCTCCAAAATTCAGAACAAAAATGCTTCTTCTTCGTTTTCATCGGCCAGCTTCCAAATCTGTTGTTCGATTTGCACGGTACACATCGAGCGGGTCATTTAACAATTCACCGTTCAGCGGACCGGTTGTAGAACCCGATCCCTTTAAAGAGCGCGAGAAAACGAAGGAAGACTACTTTGTGCATCAACAAGAGCTGGAGAAACTTCGCCGTTTGAAACGGAGCTTGCAGCAGCACCGTAAGGAACTCGATCAAATTGAACAGCGGGTGAACAGCCTTACCCAGAAACATGAAGAACAAATGCCTTCTTCAACGGAGAACAAGGACGACGAATCGAAGGAAAAAACACGCCCCTGAGCGAAACCAATCCATTGGACTTGGCTCATTGCTGAAAAGTTGTCTATCAGCTTACCGACCAACAAAGGTCACTAAAAAGGGAACTATGGACACCCCTGTACCGATATGTATGCACGACTGCGGAACATGCACATGAAGACACGTTCGCGTGTCTAAGTAGTAGCAGACCAAGAATTTAATGATGACAGTGAGAATGATTTGCATGTGATGTGTATAATAGCATCAGCAGTATTAGAGTTAGAGAGACGTAAAATTCGGTTGCAAGGAGTATATCCCATTGAAGATATCGTACAAAACGAGAGACAGGGGAGACAGAGAAAATAAAGAAATAAAGAGATAGAGAGAGAGAGAGAGAGAGAGAAAGAAAGAAAAAGAAAGAGAGAAAAAAAGAGAGGACAAGAGAAGGCATTCCAACAATTGGATCCATTGAACTGCAGTTCCCTTGATTTCGTGCGTTTTGGAGACAATGAATCGGCATAGCAAAAAATTAAATCTTTATACCTTGACAATCTATCCGCAATGAGATGTGTGCAGGCACTTCCACAAGTCGAGCGAGGAAATATTTGACATACGTGCGCCATATCAATCACAAGGGAATCTGGATACGACGACAAAAATAACAAGCTTAGAGACACAAACGAAGGAACCAAAGCATAAATAGCGTAGTGCACTTCCCTTGTTGATATTTCCATACAGATTTAATTAGTAGCAGCAGTAAAGAAAAAGGACCAATAGTAGTAATATAAATTAGACAGAACGGTATACATTTTGAACATAGCATGCAAACCAACATACTTTTTACGCGAAATAAAAGAAACAGAGGGGAAAAAGTAGGAACCAAAGATTGAGAAGTAGCAAAAAATAAACAAAAAGAGCGTAAGTGGGTACTATTTATTGTTCGGGAACCAAACACGCGTACCAAAAATCTTCTCGACATAACATTTGACCTGTCTGTAAGCAACACACATTGAAATACAACATGAACGAGTTTGTACGTGCGCGTGTGACAGATGTTTTTCGGAAACAGAAACGTTATAGGAACGATGAGCTTGTAAACTCAAAAGGGGGGGATATGTCTGTCATTGAAAAGCCAAATAAGGCACATGCAAAAGGTAGAGAATTCCAAAATCATCAACGAGCTCCGTCTTACTTGGCTGCTTCCAACCCAGAGTCCGACAAACCCATTACCGATTTGTCGTTACCGGCTAGACCATCATGATTGCCCATGGCGTCCTGTAAGTATAGCTGTGCTCCATCAGTAGCAGTATCATTAAGGAAGCTGTCAAAGTCAAAATCATTCATCATACTCAGATCAGAATCATTCTTGGAAGTGAAGCCGAAGAGGTTATTATCTTGATTCATCATTTTCGAACCATTGCCTTGAGCAAGACCAGACATGGCATTCGGATTATTGTTGCCATATCCGGCGACAGCGGATTTCGCTGCAGTGACGGAAGATGGATCGGACACCGGCATTCCGGATTTTGACATGCGTAGATTCATATCGCCTGCATTCATGGTACCCGTCGTCACATTATTCAAATCATTGGCACCTAAAGATGCTGTCGCCTCTGAATTAGTAACATCTTGAGGCAAGGGTGCAGTGGGGAAGTTGGTGGCCGAAGGCATGTCTGACGAAATCCGATTGATGTTGTTTGGAGCAACACCATTTGTCGTGTTAGTCATGCCGTTCGCTGGCGACGATTGCATTGTCGACCTCAGTTGTGGTGAAGGTGCTGTGACCGAAGCTGGAGACTGTGTTGCGCCTTTCATATGCATATTCGGACTCATCTGCGGTCGTTGGATTGGAGAAGCAGATGCCTTTCGTGCTTGCTTTAGATTGTTAGTATCACACACGGCTGAGTGAGGATTAATCAAGAGGCGTACGTATTGTTGTGTCCGCATATGTTGAGCAGCGGCCCAGTTATTTTGGGCGCCTGGAATCATTCCACGCATGGCAGCTTGATTTAAGACTTCAGGCGTCATCGCATTATTTGCGTATGGATTCGCAAAGTCAGGAAATGTGCCATTGGCATAAGGTGCCTGTCCATACCCGCGAGCCATGTTTTGTTGCATATTCGGATAAGGTTGTCCATTTAGGTTACCTGAGTTTGTTAGTAACACAAAGTCCTTGTGAAAAAAACTCTTTGAATTAAGGCACTCTTAGGCATAATATTGTCTTAGAGCTTGTTGAAACCGCCTTATATAAACTTACCTTTCTCTGGTTGATTGGGGACGAATTTTTTTTGGGCCATAGCAGCCATTTGTTGCTGCTGCTGCTGAGCCAGGGGTTGCTGTTTTTACACAGTTAGTGTCGTTTAAGTATGCGAAGAAAGCGTACCTTATTTTGAGGAACCTGATCGGCGCCAGGGCGTTTTTGCAAGGGTGGCTTTGGAGATGCAGAAACCCTTGCTTTCGGGCCATTCGCAAAATTGTCATTCACAGCGTCCTGTGGTGATGTTGTTCGCTCTTGTTCCTGTCGTGCCATCATTAGTCTTCTCTTGCTCTGTTCTTCAAGGGCGAGTAATTGCATATGATAATCGTTCAGCGCAGGATTTCCAGGAACCTGTTGCGGCATATTCTCGGGGAACACGTTGCCATTTCCGTACATATTCATGAGCATTGGATTTTGCGAGGCATCTTGTGGCATGGGCATCCGTCCACCAGCATGTGAGGGAGGTTGACCACGTTGAGCATTCATGGACATCCAATGCTGAGGGTCAGCCATGCCCTTGAGAAAATGCCTGAATTTGTTTCTGTTGCATTTGGGGGTTAACGTGGTAGAAATTAAGCAATTGCTGCGGAGTTAGACCAATAGGATTTATTCCTGCACGCAAGAGAATCTGTTGCGCTTTCCGAATCTGATTTGCATAGTTAGATGCATTGAACGACGCTGAGTTGGCGGGTAGCTGAGCTGTAGAAATAGTTCCCGAGGAAAACTGGGATTTAACTGATACCTTTTCAACATCACTAATAGGAGCACCCTGAGGGCGAACATTCGGCTGTGTTCCAGCTGCTGGAACGGCAGCTGCTTCATTCATTCCGGCCATGGCTGGATTAGTAGAAGGCATTGCACGGTTGGGTAGTTGATCAGACACAGGCATGGTCGGATGAGGTCCCATTTGGCGGGGCATTTTTTGCGCAGACACAGCCTTTTGTGCGAGCTGCTGTCTCTGAAGTTCATTGGGAATGGCGTTCATTGGTTGAATAGGAACCTTCGCAGATACAGGCATATGTCCGTGTTCGGCGGGTGTGTTATTTATAAGGGCTGGGTTGGAATAGGGATTCGGTTGACCTACACGAGGATAAGCCGCCATTTGCGGCTGTAAATGGTAGTACCGTTGTTGTAATTGCGGATGCTGACGCATCTGACGAAGTTGTTGCTGTTGTTGCTGTTGCTGAAGATAGTGCTGATTAAGTCGCATTTGCTGAATTTGGGCAGGTGTTGGCGGGAAAACAGAGGCTTGCTGGCCAGGGACCGATATGGTTGCGGAGTACGGATGGGGATGTGTTTCAGGATTGAGGCCCGTGGAATTAGATGAGATCGAAGGAGGGATAGTTTGTGAAGACGGAGACTGGTTTTGCTGTTGTTGATACATAACGGGCCGATCAGAAGGTACAGCAGTCGCCGGTTTACGCTCTTGCATTCCCTTTGCCGCCGCCTCATAAGCCGCATTACCGGTTTCCTGGCGAACTGGCGCCTGCTTGTTTGCTTGGACCCTGTTCATTGCATTAGATGCGTCTACAGAGTCCGGTAATTGAGAGCGAGCAAGCTGTGATTGAGGAGGAGCAGTGGGCGCAAACTGCGGAACAGCAGCCTGCTGGTTTCTGGTCCATACTGCTTGTCGTTGTTGGGAAGCAGCCATTGAAGCCAAACCAGCAGACGTTGTCGGACTCACTCGAGAACTAAACACGTCCCAAAAGAAATCCCACCATTCTATTAGAAAGCCTCCTGGAATATCAATCGGCCGTCGAGAAACAGAAATATTGTCTGTATTTGCATTTACTAAATAAGCCAATTAGTAAGGGCTCGCATGAGACGGAAAAAATACATACCAGAATTTCCCGCATTCGTTTCATTCGGGTAACTATCGGTGGGATTGTGCTTGGCTTCCACCTTCGAAATTTGCAAAGAATCTATCGCGGGTGAGCTAAAAGTTCCAAAGACGAAATTATTATCGTACCCTCTAAAGTTTCCGGCTTTTTTACCCCGTTATCCTGCCCATTTTGAAGTTGCACCTTTGCCTCGTCCAGAAAGGCTTTGGCAGCGCCTTCGAACTTATTTTTTACGAAATAGTCGTAAATGTAAAAGTTCAAGAGGTCAACGGGATTGGAGAGACATGACTGTGTACATTAGTAACAATAAATGAGAAGATTTCGAGATTTATACCTTCTCCATGCTGTTTAACTGCGCAACAGAGGAATTTTCAGAAACTTTGACTCAGTAATCCACCGAGTGTTCACACAATTCATACAATTTTTACAAGTACTGCTTCAGCGATCCTCTACCAAAATTCTGGTCAGATAATATATATCGTCCCTTAGAACCACAGAACCTATCGCGAAAAGTCGAAAACGGTTGTAAGTCGAGGGTTAAACGTTTTTTGGGGTCGGGATGTGTTGGTGAATTCTTGTCATTTGGTGGTGACTTTTTGGTGGTGAGTTGAAAAGCGCGCCCCCACAACACGGGATAAGCTACGGAAAAGCGAACTCGCAGAAAGAAAAATATGTTCAAATAGGGAAGGCCTAATTCACGGTATGTCACTTGAAGAACAAATTTTCTGAGAACACTGTGTTTGGCTGTTGTAAAGATGTGATTTCAGCAAAATTTCAGCCTTAGAGATGCCGTTGTTTCTCTTCTTTTTTTGTCTATGCAGTTTTGTAAAAATATAACTTCGTGTGTTTAATGCTATTACGATGGTTGGAAGGTTGCATGGGCAAATTGAGGTGTATACTATTATAAGAACGAGGTGGTGTTATCACACAAAGAAATAATTTTGTAATCTTTATAATCAATCGTCGATTGACGAACTAAAGCAAAATCCTCATTGGCTAGTATGAGCTTCCAGCGAGTGTGCTTAGACGTTATATACGATGCTAGGGGTTTCTGACTTATTTTGTCTCACTCTTTAGCAATGCTTCTTCATACGGTACTACCGTCTGTAAACTCACCCTCGTCATAGGGTGCACGACTCCTCCTTACCCATTGGAATTGCCGACCTTCTCTTCAACTTCTTCGTCTCATTAGTCATTTCTCTTTAGGGGAATTCTTAACAACGAATCGGGTGTTTTTCGTCCGTCCATTTTACAAAATTTAAATATCGTAGACATACATACAAAGGGACAATGATCGAGAAACTCTCTGAGAGACAGCTCACCAATTTACGTGAATTTTTAGACAACGAGTTTTCCACAATATCACAACGCTACCAAAAGAAGTATGTTCACATATTTTAAATGTCTTCTGTTTTTAATTATTGTATTCTCTAACCTATTTTCCCACAGGTTTCAACCAGACGGGTTTCAAACTCTCAATGATTTAATTGATGCAAGTAAATCGTATATTGAAGTGATTAGTGGAATACCACTTCCCAGATATACTTATCTGGCTTTAAATTATTTACTGAAATACCTGGATTTTTTCGTCGACGCTATTGTGACGTTTCCAGCGAGCCCAAAACCCATGTTTTCATTTTTGAAACAGCTCGACGAGTTATTTCAACAAGCTGTAATTCGAGGAAACATGTCGGTTACAGAAGGTGTCCGCGTAAAAAGTCTTACCGAGAGTTGTCGAATGGTGGTCCTTTCGAAAATGGAACGGACCGGCGGTTACGAAAAGGAATGTACAGAAGTTTTTGAGGCTACTTTACAGGAATTGAACATATAATTAAGCTGTCTGTAGTCTCTGACTACTGTACTGCTGACTATGAAATTCGCCTTTTGACACAATTTATCTGCAAAAATTCAGAGAAACAGCAATCTATATCGTCAAACAGAGTATGCTGTTTAAGAAAATAATCCGGAATATTTTGTGCTAAAGCAATATGTTTAATCCTTGTTTTACCTTTGCTGCTGACTCTCATTTCCCGTTTCCGTTTCCGCTTCCACACCCACCAACACTTGCAGCAGGAATTCTTTACCGAAGAGTGACTGTCTCGTAAATTGTGGTGATATATGCTTTAGGAAGAAATCGGTTGATTGTATAAATACAAATTGGCAAGAAAATGTTGCTTTTTAGTGCATTTTTGTTTTTCGCGGGCATACTCCTTGTGAAGGCCGACGCTTACTGTACGTGTTTTGCCCCAACGACTAATCCAAATATATTAACTTAACGTCCATAAAACAGTCGACAAAACCTCTTCATCTGCTCCGGTAGCAACTACGATTTATTCCGTCGTCAGTGGCACTGAAATTACCAGTGCAGTTACTACCATTACAGCTAGCAGTACCAAAACAAAAACTGCTCCAACTACCGTTTTTGACTGCCGGTCAGCAAGCTACATTGCCTCTGACGTTCCCATCTGCAAACCCACAGATGGAGTCCGCTGGGTGAAGGATAAGTCGTATCTTATTCAATGGGATCCCTATTACTTTGGCACAGAGAATATTAATCTTGTTCTTTCGTACAAGAATTCAACCGGTTTGGTTGCCGTGGAAAAGAAGCTTAATAATTACAAAGGTATGTTTTTTGTTGGAAATGGCCAAAACACTCGCTCCAGTGTTGTCAATCTTGGATTTGTCTGCTGACATGTTTCTTTAGGAGAGATTACACTCAAAGTGAACAAGGACTGGTTGCATGACGATGACAACCAAACAATCACCGTAGATTTGGAGACTACCGGCACCAACAACGTTACATTGATTACTGGCCCTACCGTCAACCTGGCCTCTGCATTGACGGAAGAAGAAAAGGCTGCAGAAGATGCTGCTCTTTACGGGCACAAACGAAACCTTAAGGCAGCTATCATTGTTCCTGCCATTTTCCTTGTGATCATTTTGGCCGCATGTATTTATCACGCCCATACCAAGGACACTTGGCGTTATTGGTTTTACCGGTTGCGTAGACCTCGTCACGGTTACGGTATCCGTCGCAGTCGTCGTCAACGTATGGCTGCAGATGAACAATGGAGCACTATTCCAGACGAGGCTTACTCTACTGTGCATGAAGATACTGATGACTATCACAATATTGCATCCAAAAAGCTTTACCAGTCTTAGAAAGTGGTCAAAGTGTCTGTCATTAGACTTTCTTTTTTCCGTTGACTTCCGTTTGCCCTTGGTGAGTCTATGATATTTTATTAGTAACGGTTTATTAGTTTAAAAGCGTGTCCAAGTAATATAATAAACTGTTCAAATAATGATTTTGTTTTCGCTGGCTACTAATATCACATAAATGAGGCGACGCGCCGGGCCCTCTGCGTCGCATGCGAGACCACGTGCGGAAACTTTAATTCGACATTTGAATGTTGAACAGACAACACGCGACATGTCTTCCCCCACTGACTCTCGAAAAGTGAAAAAAAGGAAATTGTCTATTGAAACATGTGAAAAACAGGATTCACCCATTTTCTTGAATTCTATTAAGTCACTGCCCGATGAAGAGAATGTTCATTGCCTCAGTCTTCGTCAATTAATTGGCAGTAAGAATCTCCGTGAGACATGGCAATTCAATTTTTGCATCGATCTTGGTTTCATCGTGGAAAACATGCATCCAAGTGTCCTTAAACAAGTAAAAGTTCATGTCACACACGGTTATTCATATGACTCACCAAGAATGGATGTCCTGCGACAACAAAAGACTCGTCTCCCTATGGATATAGAATTACACAGTGTGTATGTTCCGCAATGGGGAACTCATCATTCCAAAATTATGGTCAATTTCTTTGCAGATGATTCGTGCCAAGTAGTGATACACACAGCGAACATGATTCAAATGGATTGGGAGGGAATGTCACAAGCAATATACAAAACGCCTCTACTTTGGCGGAAAACAGTCGAACGGGAGGGACCACCCTCGGTTGGCGACCGTTTCCAAAAAGACTTTTGCTCATATCTGTCTCATTATAAGCACTGTGCCAAACTCATCTGCAAATTACAGCGATATGATTTTACTTCCGTAAAAGCCATATTCATTTCATCGGTACCAGGAAAGTTTGGAGGGGATAAGCTCGATTCTTGGGGTCACAATCGTCTGGAAAAGGAATTGGCAGCCATCGAGTCCATGGCAGAGTTTATGGGTCCCCGAAACAAGTTCCAGGACAGCGACATTTGTGTATCCCAGTGTAGCTCCATGGGATCATTTGGCGCCCGACAGGCATTCTTGAAGGAGCACACAAAGGCGTTACATTGTGACCTCACCCATTGGAAGTTGATATTTCCAACTGTTACCGATGTACGGGATTCACTGCTTGGTTGGCATTCTGGTTCTTCCATTCATTTTAATGTTACAGCGAGAGGTGCTCCAGCACAAGTGGAAGAACTCGTCAGACACAATCAGTTATGTAAATGGAAAGCAATGAAATCGGGACGTCAGCGCATTGCTCCCCATGTGAAGACTTACATGCGTCTAAACGACGAAGGTACTTTAATCCGATGGGTTCTACTTACGAGTGCGAACTTAAGCAAGCCAGCTTGGGGTACCCTGGAGGGTGTTGCTGCGAATTCTAAGACGGAGCATGGGTTACGAATCCGTTCCTATGAAGCGGGTGTTCTACTACATCCGGGTTTATTTGCTGATGACTCAAACAGTGCTTGCGCGTTTTTTCCCGTTTACAAATCCAATTCGCTCAAATCCCCCAACTTTGACTTTCCACTAAGCGTCGCTATACGTATGCCTTGGGATTTCCCCCCACAGCCTTATGGTGACAAGGATGACATTTGGTCTCCGTCAATTCCGCGTAATGAGACAGATTGGTTGGGTTCGAAATGGCCACCAACGGACTATTCATAGGTTTCCCCAACTCGGAAAGATGCTCTTGTTTGATTTCTCTACATCCACAGTTAGCTCCTCATCGGCAACTTCATTACTGGATCCAATCCATTCGGCGCACGTGTTCCAAAAACCAGATTCGCTTTTCCGGAATTAATGTCGCAAAGTTTCGGGTATGCATTAACTCCTGACGGTCTAATGACATCAAGTCTGAGGCAATTTTAAAACAAGTCAGACAGGATAATTCGAAATGAGTTACCTTCTACATTTTCTTTCAATTGTTACGAGGAATACTATCAAGTAGAAGAACAGGTTTCCAACGCATCAACGTTCTCTTTGTTAATTGATTTTTCTTATTTCAACTTTTGTATCGCTCTCTAAAGGTTTTTGCTTCAGTCTCTTAAAAAACAAGTTACTTTTTTCGAAGTTGTTGTTCTGTCAATTCTGTTAAAAAATACGAATTGGTGTCAAAGAAACCAACATGGAAGATCAACAGAGCAATCTTCGTTCTTCCGACCCATACTCGGGAAGAAGGAAGATTCCTACCATCCCTCGGTTTTTTCGTGAGCGAAAGGAACGCGCGGAACGGAAAGCTAAAAAGAAACAAGCCGAAGCTGAGCCAGAAGAGACTTTTGACCCAATAACACAACGCAATGTCACTGTTCAAGACATCAACTACGATTACAAGGCTGCATGTGAGAATCCCAAGCTTGTTGTGCCCCAGCAGAACGAGATAACTCAAAATGGTCTTCCGCGTCAACAACCTTACATATCTTCAACTCAGCCGTTGACAACTTACAAGCAACGTCAAGATGATCTTGCTCCTCCAGAAGCATTACACCAATACACACGCGATGTGCCTATCAACGATGAAAAAACAAATATCTTGTTCTACCCCACGCCCTCAGTTAACTTGAGATTTATCTCTGATGAATTGAGGAGGAAGACAAACAGATACACGTTTGTGTGTTTCATTGTGGCCGTCCTCATTACTTGGTGGTCGACTAGGTCCCGGTTTGCTTCAATTGTTACGCCATTGATTATGTCATGTGCGTTTTACATGTGGGTGCAATATGTTCAGCAACTCGGTGAACAAGTGCAATGGGGTTCCGAACAGGCGCGTGGTGAGTTCTCTCGTTTTAACCTTATTCCCGAAAGTGCCGAATGGATGAATGTGTTGTTGGAATCGGTTTGGACTCTCGTGAACCCGGAACTATTTTCATCCTTTGCTGATCAAATTGAGGATGTCATGCAAGCCTCTGTGCCATCGTTTATTGAGAATATCCGAATTGCTGCGTTAAGCCAGGGAGAAAACCCAATTCGCATTGTCTCCATACGTGCTCTTCCTTCAGATGAGTACGAAAAGTCCATGTCAGATGGTGATGCCAATGCTGCAAAGGCTAGGGAGCTTTGCGAAGAGAATGTACCTGGCTCGCGTTATTACAACTTAGAGCTTTGTGTCGCTTATCACGCTAAACCGAAATCCGATGGAAATTTTGCTAAGAGAGCATCTAACATGCACATTGAGATTATATTTTATCCAGGTGTCAGAGGTACGCTTCGTTTCCCTCTTCCCATTTGGGCAGAGATTAAGGGTTTTGTTACGCGCCTTAGACTTCGCATACAACTGGTTCCTCAAGTTCCATTTGTGAAGAACATCACAATGTCTTTGATGGGCCTTCCTCAACTTGACATTTCAGCTGTGCCCATGGTTGAAAATGGACTTAATGTTTTGGGGCTACCTGTAATTAGTAATTTCGTGAACAACTCGATTGCAGCTGCTGCGAATGAGTATGTTTGTCCTAAGAATATCACGATTGATGTTTCAAAGATCATCGTCGGTGACGATGTCAAAAAGGAAACCAATGCTCTTGGAATTTTGTTTATCCATATTGATCGTGCTGAAGGACTATCAAAACAGGATGTTAATGGATTATCTGATGCTTACATTACGGTTACACTATCGAAATACGGAAAGCCACTTTACTGTACCCGCGTAGTGAAGCATGACCTTTATCCAACTTGGAACGAATTTGCGTACATTTTAATTTTCCCTGAACATATAAAGGCCGCTGAAAAAGTTGCAATGGAACTTTGGGATAGTGACAGGTTCACTGCTGATGATGTTGTTGGAAGGACGAAGCTGGATATTATTCCTCTGGTTCAAAACGCCGGTACTATTTACGAACGTGAAGATGGTTTGGTGGGTCTTGACGAGGACACTAAACTACCTGGCAAGTTGTTCTGGAAGGTTGGTTACATTCCAAAAGCAAACTTCAAGTCCTCCCTTCGGACTAAAGGCCTTAATATCAGTGTCCCTCGTGAACTTCGTCAGCAGCCGGAATTTGAAAACCCTAAGGGTTCTTTAAGCTCAAAGGAAGAGGAAGCTGCAGTTACTACTGCTTTAGACCCGGAGTACCCAAGTGGAATTTTTGCATTTACTCTTCATCAAGCAGCCAATTTGGAGGTAAATAGGCCTGTTGCAACTTATGGTAAGATTAAGGGTGCGCATTCTTATGAGGCACCCCGTGAAACAGGTGCAGCAACCGCTGAAGAGGGTAAAGGACTGCCTTCGTCTTATGTTTGTGTTGATATAAATGACGAGCTGGTCTACAAAACACGGACAAAAGTATTCTCTTCACAACCTATTTATAATGCTGGAAGTGAAAAGTTTGTTGCCGATTGGCGCAGCGCCATGATTACATTCACTGTACGCGAGTATCGCCTACGTGAGCAAGATCCCATTCTGGGTGTCGTATGCATTCCGCTTGCAAAAACTTTAGAAACGGCGTCGCAACTTACCAAATGGTTTCCGATTGAGGGCGGAATGGGTTTTGGAAATTTACGAGTGTCTATTTTGTTTAGAAGCTTGAAGTTTCAAATTCCTCGTCCATTATATGGTTGGAATATCGGAACCTTTGTTTTTGAATCGCCAACGATTGAGGGTGTATCAGACGATATATCTTCAATCTCATACAGTCAGCTACGTTTCTATGTTGGCAGTTTTAAAGGGAAAGCTAAACTGGATCATGATTCATCTTCTGAGAACTGCAGGTGGACTGTGGGCCAACGTTATCTCAAAGTTCCTGTTCGTCAACGTTTCAAAACGCCTGTCTCCTTCGAATTACGATCAGGAGTGGGTAATCGTTCCAAGATTTACGGAATATTTTGGTTAATGACTTTGCTGGACAATGAATCCTCAGAGATTGAAGTCCCTCTCTTTACAGTAAAAGACCCACGTCGTATTCTACAAAACATGGTAGATATTGAAACCGCAGAACAAACGATGGGAGTTAAAGTTCGGGGGTACCTTCGCATGAAAGTTTGCTTCACTCGCGGGCTAAGTGATGTTCATGAGCAAACGCTCACCACATCTGATGAATTCAAAACTTATGAAACGTTTACGGCGTTAAAAGGACAGAAAATGCGTCAAGATTTTGTGAACGATATGACCAATCCCGTGCAAGAGTACTTTAGCAAATCACGGCGCCAGAGTGTGGCTTCAAATTTCACCGCGTCGTCTAATGACACTTTTGCATCGCCTGTACATCAACAGAACCTACAACCTGCAAACGCAAACTTGCTGCAACAAACAACCTATCAGAATGGAGATTCTAATTTGGCAAACGAATTAACAGAGCTTGGTACCCTATATCAAGTCCCAGATGCATCTGCAGAAAAGCATCAGGAATCTCCTAAGGTACAGCACAATTTGAATCCTCAAGCGCCTGCTAATCGTGCTAGTAATGTTCCATCGGGAGACGCGCTCAATGATGCCAATGCACGCCGTTCGGAAACGAGCCCCTCAAACACGAATCACTCAATTGATGAGGATATGGACACAGATGTCAGTTTTGAGAGTGAAAACGAACGTATTTCAGACGGCAGTGTTTATAGGCATGAAGATGACCTCAGTGTCCAAAGACGTCTGCATCGCGGTAGATACAGCCATAAAAGTGTTCGTACGTCGCTGTGGCTAAGAGACGGATTAAAATTACATTGGCATAGTTTCAAGCGACTTTTTTCCCTTGCTGGTGATCAGCCAGATGTGGAGACCGAAATTCCAAAGTAATAGGTGCTACGCTGAACACTGTGTATAACTTTTATTTAATGAATAATTTAAAGGATGACTAAAATCAACTATAAAGACAAAATGTATTATGAAGGGAGAGTAAACTGGGTTACATGTGTGTTAGTGAGTAAATTTATGAACATTTACATAATTAGATGCTTAACCGGTGTTACATGAATGAGCGTACAACATAGCCTTCGTATTATTCAATCGTACTACCCGGATTAAGATTTCAATACCAAAGCATATCATCTCTAAATAACAAAAGAAAAATTCCCGTACGATATTCCAAGTTAGACAACACCAGGAATATTATATTGCTACGAAACATTGATTTCTAAAATGACTAAGATCAAAAAAAAAAATAAAAAAAATAAAATGCCGCGCTAAAAACATAAAACCTTAGAGAATTTTCACGTCCGTAATAAATTAAAACTACAAATTAGAAGTACAACCTTAATGATAATTGCCATAATAGTCGGCGTACAATTCTACGTTTATTAAAGTTAGTCACGTGAAAACAATGAAAAGCTTATTTCGGGAACAAAAAAGTATACATATACCTGTAAAAAAACCAGTTTAACGCTTTTAATTGAATTACATAAAATGTATTCAAGTAACGTTTCTATTTATGTTTAATTCATTTTTATAACAAAACTAGGGTAGGGTTAAATAGGCTTGAACAAGAGGACTTTCCCTACCACACCAAAACGCAACCAGAGCCAACCACGCCAAGGAAAAGTAAAATTGCAAGATGGTTGCTTTTTCGCCTGAAGAGGTCCGTGCTTTGATGGACAAGCCGTCCAACGTCCGTAACATGTCGGTCATTGCTCACGTCGATCACGGTAAGTCGACGCTGACCGACTCCCTGGTCCAAAAGGCCGGTATCATTTCCGCCGCCAAGGCCGGTGAGGCTCGTTTCATGGATACTCGTCCTGATGAGCAAGAGCGTGGTGTCACTATTAAGTCCACTGCTATCACCTTGTTCGCTGAGATGACCCAAGAGGATCTCAAGGACATCAAGGAGCCTACTGACCACAACGAGTTCTTGGTTAACTTGATTGACTCCCCTGGTCACGTTGACTTCTCTTCCGAGGTTACTGCCGCTCTTCGTGTCACTGATGGTGCTTTGGTCGTCGTCGACACTATCGAGGGTGTTTGTGTCCAAACCGAGACCGTCCTTCGTCAAGCTCTTGGTGAGCGTATCAAGCCTGTTGTCTGTGTCAACAAGGTTGATCGTGCTCTTTTGGAGCTTCAAATTTCCAAGGAGGAGCTTTACCAAAACTTCTCCCGTGTCGTTGAGTCCGTTAACGTCGTTATCTCCACCTACTACGACAAGGTTCTCGGTGACTGCCAAGTCTACCCCGACAAGGGTACCGTTGCCTTCGCTTCCGGTCTTCACGGTTGGGCTTTCACTATCCGTCAATTTGCCAACCGTTATGCCAAGAAGTTCGGTATTGACCGCAACAAGATGATGCAACGTCTTTGGGGTGACAACTTCTTCAACCCCAAGACCAAGAAGTGGTCCAAGAGCTCTACTGATGCTGAGGGCAAGCCTCTTGAGCGTGCTTTCAACATGTTCGTTTTGGACCCCATCTACCGTATCTTCGATGCTGTCATGAACGGCCGTAAGGAGGAAGTCTTCAAGCTTCTTTCCAAGCTTGAGGTCAACTTGAAGTCTGATGAGAAGGAGCTCGACGGTAAGGCTCTTCTTAAGCTCGTCATGCGCAAGTTCCTTCCTGCCGCTGATGCTCTTATGGAGATGATTGTTCTTCACTTGCCTTCCCCCAAGCTCGCTCAAACCTACCGTTGCGAGACCTTGTACGAGGGTCCCATGGATGATGAGTGTGCCATTGGTATCAAGAACTGTGACCCCAAGGCTCCTTTGATGCTTTACGTCTCCAAGATGGTTCCCACCTCCGATAAGGGTCGTTTCTACGCTTTCGGTCGTGTCTTCTCTGGTACCGTTCGTTCTGGTCTTAAGGTCCGTATCCAAGGCCCTAACTACGTTCCCGGTAAGAAGGATGACTTGTTCATCAAGGCTATCCAACGTACTGTCCTTATGATGGGTTCCAAGACTGATCCCATTGATGACTGTCCCGCCGGTAACATTATTGGTCTTGTCGGTATTGACCAATTCTTGGTCAAGTCTGGTACTTTGACCACCTCCGAGGTTGCCCACAACTTGAAGGTCATGAAGTTCTCTGTCTCCCCTGTCGTCCAAGTCGCTGTTGACGTCAAGAACGGTAACGATTTGCCCAAGCTTGTTGAGGGTCTTAAGCGTCTTTCCAAGTCCGACCCCTGTGTTCTTTGCACCACTTCCGAGTCTGGTGAGCACATTGTTGCCGGTGCTGGTGAGCTTCACTTGGAGATTTGCCTTAAGGATCTTCAAGAGGACCATGCTGGTATTCCCCTTAAGATCTCTCCCCCCGTTGTTTCTTACCGTGAGTCTGTTAGCGAGCAATCCAGCATGACTGCTCTCTCCAAGTCTCCCAACAAGCATAACCGTATCTTCATGACTGCCGAGCCCTTGGGTGAGGAGCTTTCCGCTGCCATTGAGAGCGGCCACGTTAGCCCTCGTGATGATTTCAAGGCCCGTGCCCGTATCATGGCTGATGAGTTCGGCTGGGATGTCACTGACGCCCGTAAGATTTGGTGTTTCGGTCCCGACACCAGCGGTGCCAACCTTGTTGTTGACCAAACCAAGGCTGTTCAATACCTTAACGAAATCAAGGATTCCGTTGTTGCTGCCTTCGCCTGGGCCTCCAAGGAGGGTCCCATGTTCGAGGAGAACTTGCGTTCTTGCCGCTTCAACATTCTTGATGTTGTTCTTCACGCTGATGCTATTCACCGTGGTGGTGGACAAATCATCCCCACTGCTCGTCGTGTCGTCTACGCTTCTACTCTTTTGGCTTCTCCTATCATCCAAGAGCCCGTCTTCTTGGTCGAGATCCAAGTCGCCGAGAACGCTATGGGTGGTATCTACTCCGTTCTTAACAAGAAGCGTGGTCACGTCTTCGCTGAGGAGCAACGTGTCGGTACTCCCTTGTACAACATCAAGGCCTACCTTCCCGTCAACGAGTCCTTCGGTTTCACTGCTGAGCTTCGTCAAGCTACTGGTGGTCAAGCTTTCCCCCAAATGGTGTTCGACCATTGGTCCGCTATGAACGGTGACCCGTTGGACCCCTCCTCCAAGGTCGGTCAAATTGTCGTCGAGGCCCGTAAGCGTAAGGGTCTCAAGGAGAACGTTCCCGACTACACCGAGTACTACGACCGTCTTTAGGTTACTTTGGTTAGCAAAAAATGAAAAGCAAATCCATCTTGGCACGGTATATTGAGATGAGGAGTAAGGATTAGCAGGTGAGACTAGATACGGTAAGAACGAGGTCGGATGGCAGGCCGTGCCATTCACCACACAAGGTACGTAAAACCATGAAACTTCATTAAAGCGTACGCCAACAACACCGTCCACCCACCAGCACTACTACACCCAAGAACATCAGCAACGAAAAATTTTATGTGTTAGCTTCACCATACACTCGATATTTTATTTAAATGTTAGAGGGGTAAAGCATGACTCTGAGAGAAGCTCCGAAAGTCTTCGAGGGAAGGTTGTGAGTGAAGCGAGCACGGACAACACCAGAGTTACCGTGAGGACGAGCGATAGTACTGACGAAGTTAGTAAAACAAGAACCGAAGAAACTGTTTATTGACATACCCCCAGATAACACGAATCTTAGATCCACGGACGGCCTTGGCACTCTTGTAGACATAACAGATACGCTTGCCCAAGTAGAATTGAGCAGCCTCCTTGGAGTCGCAACCCTCAACCTTCACCAAGGAGGTACCAGGGCGAATGTTGCACTTGCTGCGTTGGAAAGAGAGGTGCTTGGCCTTAACGTACAGTCTGTGTCCTTGAGCAGGCATTTTGCAGTGTTGTGTCGAAGCTACGTTGACAGAGTCGCAAAGAAGATTGTGTTTTTCGACGTCAAAAAGAGCAGTCACACACATCACATACCCTACCCTACGACACCCTTATCACTAGGATACCTTAAAAATCCTTAAATGAATACGGAGCTACCTTAACATGCGTTGATATACGTTATCGATCGCTACACTCCACTATCACTTTTAGCGTAGAATACAGGGGTGTAGTCCGCAAGTCGTAAGGCAATTGGCTCTATCGTAGCCTTGGCTGGAACTAAGCTTTCCTATGACGTCTTGCATCAATTAGCTTCTTGAACTCGTGCCTCGTGTTCCTGCCCTTTCCCAATTACCATAACCTCCCATTTTTTTGAGCAGACTTCTCATTAACGTCGTGCATCCGTTTTTGGACGTAGCTTTCCCTCTGTGTGCGTTCTTTTCTTTTCGCAATTCATGCGATTTACTGAAAGGATCTTAGTATTCTGAGTTTTGGGATTTTGAACTTCGCTACGCGGTATGCGACTCGCTTCTAAAGCCTTTCTCGGAACTATTCACTTACTTACACATTTGTAGAGCTCTCTTGTTTCTATAATGAGTTCTGGTGCCCCCGGCCCGGGTGAGCCGGTTGTGGAGCAAACTGTAACCATTCTCCCTAATAAGCCGTCATCTTCGTCCTCGGCTTCAAAGCCCGTTGTTGTTAAGGACAGTCATGTCGTTGTTCCTCCGAATAAGCCCGTGACTTCAGGTGTTCCTGTTCAAACAGTTCCTGCTACAAGCCCTGCTTCGGGCACTCCTTCTAAGACGCCAGCTACACAAACTGGTTCTTCAGCAGCAGCTTCGACTTCTTCTCCTCCTGTAACGACATCTGCGGATTCTATACCGACACCTTCTTCAAGCCCCAGTGACAACAAGGATGGGAAGATGGTCGACATGCCTGAGACAGAGTCCCTAGCTTCAGCGGTTGAACGCCATCGCATTCGTTTGGAGAAAACATTCATGGGCTGGCGCAGCTTCCATAATAACTCAAAAGAAGCAATGCGTAAGTACTTGCTAGATGCGAAAGAAATGTTTGATTTGGATTCCGCTCGTGTAGCACCGACAGTCTTGGATATGTACCTTCCCGGAAAGTTAAACGGTGAATGGTGGCAGAACGCGGTTCTGCTTGCCGTTGTTGGTGTGCTCAGTTGGATCGTTTCTAAGTTATGGTTTCGCTGGATTTTCCTGTTCATTATCATCGTCCTCTCTACGTTGGCTTTCGGTTCTAATATGATCGCAATGCGCAGAACCATTCGTGACGCAGTTATCAAGGGTCTCTCAAAGCCCAAAGAGAAACTTGACTTTGAGAGTATTGATTGGTTGAATGTACTCGTTCAACGTATATGGGTGATGAATGAACCTATGATTTCTCAAACCATTTCGACCAATGTTGAGAATCAGGTTTCAGCAATGCTTCCCTCTTTTATTTCTGAACTTTCCTTTTCTACATTTACCTTAGGTTCTAAATCTCCCCGCATCGATGGTATTTGTTCCCATAATCTTACTGCCAGCGATGTCGTGGTTATTGATGTCAAGTTCTCTTTTGCACCCAATGATTCTTTAGATATTTCTGGTGATTCAATCGGCTTCCGTGTTAACCCCAAATTAACTTTAAAGGCGAAGATAGCCTTGGGAAAACTCTCATTCTCTATCCCCATTACTGTTCAAGACATTTCAATCTCTGGAGTTTTGCGTTTACGCTTCAAGCTTTCCTCTGAGTTCCCATTCATCAATGTGCTTTCAGCATCCATGTTGGATATGCCTGAAATTTATTATGTCGTTCGTCCTATTGATCTCCCTTTTCTTGATGCAGATGTTAGCTACATTCCTGGATTAAATCAATTAATTATGGAGCAAGCCCGGAAAGTCATTGCCCCCATGGCTTTCTGGCCCAATATGTTCGATGTGAATTTGGCATCTGCAATGGCCGGTGTTTATCCTGGAACGGCTCTTGGTGTTGTTACTGTTTCTCTTTATAGTGCTCGTCTTAAGGTTGAGGATCCCGCTATTCGTCCATCCACTTTTGCAACAGTGTCTGTTGGTAAACAAGAATATGGAAGAACTGCAGTTGTTAATAGCTCCTTTTCACCATCTTTTGATACAACCATTTATGCCGTTATTTTCTCCTTAAATGATCCTCTCCGTGTTGATCTTTACAATGTGGAAAATGGAAGAGAGGTCTTGTATGGTACCGCATACCTGGATGTTCGTTCTTTATATGTCAATGGTCCTACTGAGGGTCAAGATTATATTCTGTTTTACAATGCTATTAATCGTGGATCTATCGGCTTTGATGCCAACTGTTCCCCTTCCCTGTTTCCCAAAAAGCAGCTGGATGGAAACACTGTTGCTCCCCCTGAAACTTCAACAGGTATTTTGAACTTCACTGTTCTTGGTGGTCGCGGTTTTAACGAGCTCGCTGTTTTCGAAAAGAAGTCGAATCTGGTTTTCACCACATACATCAACGGAAAGAAACTTGACTCATATAAACTTAAGCCTACTGACAATCCGTCGGTTAATTTGTCCTCCGTTGTTTACGTACCGAGTCGTGCTAAATCCATCTTCGCTGTAGAGGTTCACGATAGTAAGCACGAAGACAAACCTTTGGGCGTTATTAAAGGCAGCTGCGACAAATTGATCAAGAAAGAGCGGGATACTGTCATGTTCGAAGGTTTCAAGAATTCTGGTGTTTCTCTCTCTGCCTCCTGGATTCCGGTCAACGTTGTCGAGCGTAAGAATGTGAAAAATGTCTTTGAAAAGGTCATCGGTGTGCTTCGTATCAACTTTCTGGAAGCTAAAAACCTGAAGAATGTTGAACTTCCTGGAAAGAAGAGTGACCCATACTGTCGTGTTCTTGAGAAATCATTAATCCTTGGTAAAACTGTCTACATTCCTAATGACCTTAATCCCGTTTGGGATGAAATTCTCTATGTACCTATTGTCGAGGGCGGCGAGGTGCTTGATATTGAAGTCATGGATCATGAAGATAACAATGATGATCGCTCACTTGGTTTCGTTAAATTGGATACGAGAAAATATATTCAAAAAGCAATGGCTCTGACCGAGGAGGAACGCGTTAATACGCTTTTTGGTTCTGATGAGTTTGAAACCTTGAACTTAGTTTCTCGTAAGGACAACACTACTATGCGCGGCACTGTAACTTTGAACTGTGATTATCGTCCCATCGTTGACTTGAAAAAGAACCCATCTTCTGAAAGCAACACCGATCTTTCACGGACTGTCTCCATGGCTCCCTCTTCGGCCTCTACCGCTGCACCAAGTCTCTCTAATACAAGTGGAGCACGTACTACAGCTGCGTCTGAAATTGTCCACGGTGATACAATAACTTATCCTTCTGGTTTGGCTACCTTAACGATTATGTCAACTGATCTGCAATCCAAAAACCTTGAACTCTGTATTTACGTTGATGATTCACCTTATCCTTTTGTTTCAATGAACACTGCTCGTCGCGCGTCCTCTACGAACTCTACCTTTGGTATATCAATGATTCGTGATCTTTCAACTGCTGAACTCTTTTTTATTGTCAGAGACGGTTCCAAACGCAATAGTGCTCCTTTAGCCGAATTCTCGAAACCAGCGAGAGAAATTTTAGGATCTGCTATCGGTCGCCCTTGCACTGTGAACATTCCCTCTGGCCAAGCAAAACCGCATAGAGTAAGATTTTCGATGCGTTACATCCCTTGTCTTTTTACTTTAAATCCTTCAGAGACGATAAAGAATAATGGCTTACTTTATGTTAATTTGAAACGTGGAACCGACCTCCCCATTGCTGATCGCAAATCTTCGGATCCCTACACGATTTTCCAAATGAACGGCAACCAAGTTTACAAGAGTGCCACCATTAAAAAGAACCTGAATCCTATCTGGAATGAAAAATTTGATACACCTGTACATAATCGTCTTGGTTCTGTGTTCAAACTAATTTGCTATGACTATGATGTTGGTGGAAAGGATGATCTTCTTGGAAAAGCACTCGTTGACATTGCTGACCTTGTTATTGACGAGGAGGTTGACTTAGTTCTTCCTCTCGACGGTGAAACGGGAAGCATTGAACTTTCTATTCGTTTTGAGCCCAAATGGGTACGTCGGTCCATTGAACAACGTGAGTCTATCGTTTCTTCGGCAGCCCATCTTGGTGTAAATCTTATTAAAGGCGGATTTGGACTTGCTGCTGGAGGTGTTTCCGCTATCGGCGGTGCTGCACTCTCTGGTGCTGGTGCCATTGGAAGTCGTGCGGTTTCTGGTGCGACCAACTTGACCAACGGCGTTAATCAGGTCGGTAGCAAGGCCCTCCACGGTTTCAAAGACGTTGGTAAAGGTGTTGGCAAGGGTGTTATGGCTATTGGCGATGGAATCTTCCATCGGAAAAAAAGTAAGCGACAAGTCAATAGTGCAGCTTCTCATAGGACGGATGCCACTACGTCAACTCAGGCCAACTCTGTTTCGAATTCTTCTGCCCCGCAATCTCCAGTAGTAAAGGATGTTGCGAATAAGGTTACAACTCAACGTTATGTGTTTACTATTACTCGTGGTTCAAACTTCCCTTCCAAGCCTATTCGTTTTATTGTAACTGATGGATTTGGTGAGTTGTATAAATCGAAAATTAAGAAGGGGCCTTCTCCAGAATGGAACGAAACGGTCTCTCTTAATTTGATTCCTAATGTTAAAATTGCTGTGCAATTTGTTACGCACGCACTCATGTCGCGCAATTCCATTGGCGAAGTTTCTCTCTCAGAAAATATGCTTGGCGAAACCACATTGACAGTCGGCGATGCTACTGTTCTCGTTTCAGCCAAGCTGCAATAAGTCTCTTGATTTTTTTTCTGTTAATAGTTAGCAACAAACTATACAGTATTACACTCTTTTAAGCTGCCTCAACGGCATTATACTCGCGTTGTCTATATTCTAATAAATAAGATATATAACTCGATTTTATACAGTGCAAACGAGGTATCACCCGCCCTTTGTAAGATTCTTATAATTAATTAATATACAAACTAGAAATCATCATATGAAAGACAGATTCTGGATTTAGTAAAGATTACGAACGAATTCTTCGGCGCGTTTCCCTTCACGAAGGAGCCACTCAATCTTTTGCTCACATTCGATTTCAAAGAGCTTAGCTTTCTTCGCATAGACATATTTAATCCACTGCTCCACTGTCATATCCAATTCCTCTTCTGATGGGGTGTAAGGCAATAAATGGCCTCCATCATCTTCGGGGCTGTCCAATAATTTAGAGAAATCAATATTTTCCCAATTTGGCAAATTGAATGTTTGTACTCTGTTTGCCCTAACTGGGGTTTGTGGGGCGAGGAATGAAGACTCTGCTAAAGCATCAACCGTTCTTGTCAGAGACGGAGACACCAGTGGTTTCGAGCTGTCGCGAAGTAACAATTGCTGCGCTGCCAAATCATCTGAAGAACCTTGAGAACTCTCCGATCCTTCTCTGTCATCCTCTTCCGTTTGGTCAAGCAACTCGTCTGCATCCGCTGGTATTAGCTGTAATTCCGAGGCTTGTGAGCTAACAAGCTCATTATGTGTGGACAGTCTAATAAGTTCTCTAGATTCAGTTTCAGGTGCTAAGGTCTCCTTTTCAAAATTAAGAGCTGGTTCAGAAGGCGACGCTTCTGAATGTGAATCGTCTGTCTTCGTGCTCTGTTCTTCCTCAATGTTGGACTCATTAATGTGATCTGAATTATTAACGTGATCGGCGTTGTCTTCCTCAGAGGGCTTTACAACAACAAGTTGATCTGAATAATTATCAACCGTTGAAGACAGCCGTTTGAGGACGCTGGAATTTCTGTGTTTCGAGTTGTCCGTATATTCATTTTCTGTCGCATTAAACTCATCAATAGCAGACACAGTGGCTTGTTCATTATTTTTGCTAATCTTGTCTTCCGTGGTAACTTTTTCAGATAAAAACGGGTTAACTCCAGCGTCTGTTTCAACTTCCTTTATCGAAGACCCCGTCATACGGGAAATAACTTGATTAATCCGTGAGCTTAAGCGCCTTAATGGAGAGGATGACTTAGTCTCATTTTTTAAAGCAACAGAGTCAGAATTTCGAGTTTTTGTAGGGCTATCATTTAATTTCTGCTGCATAGAGGAAAGAGTTTTCCTTCGACTTTCGAAATTGAATGTGTATTGAGGAAGACTCTCGGTGACATTAACGGATTCACGAAGAACAATATCATCTGTGTCGTCTTCAACAGGAACGGTGTTTTCATTTGGCTCAAAAACATCACCTTCCGTAGTTTCAGCATTTTGACTCAAAGAATTTGTGTCTGCATCTGAAGGTTTCTCATCAGTTCTTTGCTCATCGCCACTAACGTGATCTTGTATTTCATCGCTCTCTGTGGCATGAGTAAGCAACTCCGCGTCGTTGTTCGGTAACGGCGAACTAGAAGCAGGAAGCTCTGGTTCATAAACAAGATCAGTTGTAGTATCAGCCAGTGTGTTTTCACGTGGCTCTTCATCGCTTCGTTCTTCTTCAAGGATATTGTTTTGTTCGTCACCGGAGACTTCATCAAGAACATCAGAAGAACTATCAGACTCTGGCGCAGTTGGTAAGACCGTAGTTTCATGCTCGGAGTCAGCCATGTTTCCTGCAGACTGGTCAAAGGTATCATTGTAAATGCTCTGTTCATTTTCGCTGTCATCTTCACTTTCCTGTTTTGGATCCTCATCAGGTTCGGAAACATGAACATCTTTTTCCGTGTCAACATCAGCATCATCGTCTTTTTCCGTCTCTACAGTTTTAGCAAGTTGCCTTTTAGCAAGAGGTTCTTCAAGATCAAAGGCTGAAGAGTGTCGTTTGGTGCTCGAACGGCCTGCCGTGTTTGTGGGAGACGTCTCATGTATAGAAGCAGACGAGTGACGACGATTAGCAGAAGGTGAGGGTGAGGAAGGGGAAGGTTGAGCTTCATCCTTTTCGGACACAGAACTTTGTTTTGAGTGTTCGGATGAAGCACGTAATTCGTGTTTCTGTTGAGTCAACGGCGTGCTTGTTCGCCAATTTGTAGACGGTGATGTTTCTGCTGCCTGGGGAGTAGGCGATTTAGAAGATTTTCTACGTGATTTTTTTTTGCTTAAAAATGCGGTTTCCTCTTCATCACTGTCAGTATTGTCATCTGAAAACACCGGGAGTACAGGTTTGAAGATTGCCGTCTTCACTACTTTTTTTGGAGAATTTCGTCCTTTCTTCTTTGGAGATGTTGAGTTTGGTACATCAGTATGTGCTTCGTCCTCTGTAATATCGCCGCGTACATGATGTGAAGGTTGTTTACGCGTAGAGAGCTTCGTTGAGGGCGTTAAAGGCTGATTGGGTGTTTGAGGATAGGGTAGCAGCGACGTTCCGCTGATGTCTTCGTCGGTTTGTTGATCTTCAGCATCAGTTAAAGACAACATATCGAGCTTTCGCGGGGATAGACGTGTAGGATCCTTCCATACAAAGAATGGACAATTAGGTTCTCGCTTGTAATGCTCATCATATGGATTATCGTTGGGTTCCCAACCATAAAGAATGATGTTGCAGTATAAGCAGTGAGCTACATCCTTTGATTCTGAGCTTGGAGTATAGACAAATCCTGCCTCTGCCATGACCCGCGGCTGACAGTGATGGTTGCTGTCATTAGTGTACGGCCACATCTTGTCGACGAAGGTAAGTTCTCTGCATTTCACCAAGGACTTTGATTGTGGATTGCACTGAGGATTGTTTCTTGCGACCAACACATAAGCCCAAGGACAACTGGGACTGTGCAAAATGTGTTCCTTTAAGGGATCGTCGTCTGGTTTCCAGCCGTAAAGTGATTTGTTACACATGTAACAGGTGACGTTATCTTTGATTTCTGAGGACTTCTTGGGAGCCTTATAATAAAAACCAACCGCGGCAAGCTGAATAGTTAGCATTACTCTAGATGGATACAGCAATGGGTGAAAACCAACAAGATGTTTCGAGTAAAAAGTTAATCGCGTCAAAACAAAAGACCAGACTCAAGTTTAACAAGAAAATCATATTGTTTACCACTTAGCTGTTGAAACTCCTAGTAGCGACAAGAGCTATATGCTTACATACCCGCTCAGGAGATGGCGATTTTAATGGCCATTTTTTCTTCTTAAACGAAAGTAAGCGTGCAGAAACATTGCACATGTTCCTCCTTGCGCGTGTCCAGCGTCCGCTAGTGCCAGTATCCATATTAAAATATGAACAAGCTTGTCTAAACTGGCCTACACGCAATTTCTGAAGTTCCCGGCGGTGAACTTGAAATGCTCGTCGCCTACTCAAACTAGGATTTTTGGTGTAGTACGAAGTCAAGGGGTGTAAATGGTAGGGTACGTACAGACTTGAGTGTAACGAACTTAGCGGTAGGAATAGAGCTAGTAAGAAAGATTCATAAGCGAGACTTTATCAAATCAGAGGTACGGTTAACAACATCTATTGATTATATACGCAGCTTATTATTTACAAAGGACCATTTATTGAAGTAATTGTTCGTACATTGAGTCACCGTATACTCTAAGTCATTTAGATTTCTTAACCTACCTAGCACTATTATGTAAATTAAACAACATCAAAACCGTGGCTTTTACAAATTCATATCTTCCATATTCGTAGAATCAAATTGGAAACCTCCAGCAGGCATTTGTGTCGAAGTACTTCCAAAGGTGAACCCTTGGGCAGTTGCATCAGGTGCGAGCTCCTCCTCAACGGCTTCCTCTTCACCAAAGTATCTCTCGATGATGTTGTAGGACTTTTGGTAGATATCATTGTTGGCAGAATTTTGAAGATCATGGATTGTATCCATGCCGCCAGCGTCCTCAACAAGCACAGCGTACATATTGATATTATCTGGGTTGGATGCGCGCTCAGCTTCACCCACCCGCAGAATGTTTTCCAAACCATCCAGCGCAACCTGAATAATCTTATTGTCTTGGCAAGCCAGCATGTTGCACAGAGGCTTGATAACGCCTTGGTTGACGAGGTAACGGATTTGATCAGGACGGTGAGCACCAGCAGACGTAGCGTTGGAAATCGCCCAGCAAGCCTCTTTTTGAATTTTAAAGTCTGCATTAGCAAGTAAATTAACAAGGGAAGGAATAATGTTTGCATCAATAACATATTGGATTTGTTGAGGGTTGCCGGCAGTGATGTTGCTGATGGTCCAGCAAGCCTCTTTGCGAATACCATCACGGGGGCTGCTAAGCAAGGAGAGCAGAGCACGTAAAGCACCATTGTTAATGATGACCTGAGTCTGGACATCATCACCAGTGACAATGTTGCCCACAGAACGCAAGGCAGGTGTTTGCACTTGGGTGTTTGGATGCATTAGAAGTTCTACCAGTCGGCGAGGAATACCGGCGTCGATAATAGCCTGAATTTTTTCATTCGTACCATCCGTCAAGTAGGAAATGGCCCACAAAGCATTTACCAAGACATCATCATCAAGAGAATAAATAAGTTTTGAAAGCACTGGAATTGCAGTAGAGATTACACTCCAATCAGGTTGGGGGTTTTTTCCACGACACAGGTTCGAGAGAGTCCAAGTGGCATTACGGAGCATGCTAAGGCGCTTACTTGAACCGATAATGGCGAGCAAAGGCTCAAGTACACCGCACTGAAGCACATGGTCACGACACATCGGCGAATCACCAGCGATGTTGCCCAAAGCCCAAACGGCTTGTTCGCGAACATCTTTTTCTTCAGAGGATAAAAGAGAAACGAAAATAGGAACAGCATTAGCTCTCACAACAACCTGTGTTTGATCAGAGTTGCCACTAGCAATATTTGTTAATGCCCAAGCAGCTTCGAACTTCAGTAACGGATTTTCATGGGAAAGAAACTCGACGAATCGAGGAACGACACCGGCATCGATAACCTTTTGAATAGGGGGATTGTTTTCCTTGCTCAAAAACTTTCTGAACTTCGAGACTGATCCAATTTGAGCATCAATGTTGTCAGAATACAACGCTTCAAGCATTTCAGGCAATTGGGTTCGCAAACCTGCATCAATGGCAGCAGCGGCTTCCTGTAGACTACTGGAGCTTTCATCGTTTGCGGTATCTAATGTTTCCACTAAATTGCGTCTTTTGTTCAGGTTTTCCTCTCTTTTTTGCTTACGAATCTCAACTTGCTGGTTTTCGCGACGGCGACGCAGCTCGTCCGCCTGAAAGGTTCCTTTGCCTTTAAATGCTAACCGTCTATGCTCTGGTACGAAACGAGATGATGCTTCCATCCTCAATTACACCCTAATTCCTGCGGTAAGTGGGTCGTGTAGTTGGTTGAAGATCGAACGCTTCAATCCCTCTAGTTGAATAGTAGCTTACACAAAAACAGATGAAATATACACTGTTTACTAATACAATATATTAACACTATTTAAAAAATAGTAGCGGCAGTATTATTTATGTATTTTATGTATTTCGTATTCAAATTAAACTAAATGACCCAAATGCAGTTCAACGTATATAAAAAACAAGGAAAACCCTGTTGTTGTCCTTACTGTCACTGCCAGAAGATACTACTTAAATAAGACTTTCATAACTAGTGCAAATTTTTAAATTGCTTCATTTTGTTCATGTACATAATGCCCAAGGAAAAAAATGCGTGTAAGCTAGTATATATTAGATACCATGTTACTAAAGCATGTAGTCAAGGAGTTAATGTCTCGTAAATTATCAGTACCTGATTACCAGAATCCTAGTAGCAACGATAGATTGAAGAAAAGGAATTATTTTGATAAAAGTACCAGGTCGTATTGGGGCACGCATCTGAGAAAGTATCTTTTGAAACCAGAGGCGGAATCAAACGTTCTGTACTTTGATGATAGTTATGTTCTCATTCGTGATGCATATCCAAAAGCACAAGTGCATTTATTGTTGATTCCTCGAGATCAAGATGTTTCGAAACTACATCCATACGAGATAATACGCACGCGCCCAGACATTATAAAGAAGCTTCTTCAGTTGATTAATGGTGATCTGAAAAGCATCATTCTAAAGGAGGCGCGCTCAACTGTATATCAGGATATCGAAACAGTGGATGAAGAAGAAATATGGAATTTTTTAAATATTGGGTTTCATTCCAAACCATCTGAGATGAACTTGCATGTACACATTATCTCAAAGGATAGTGTTTCCTCAAGTATGAAGAAACCTCTTCATTACATTCTGTTTCACACCGAGTATTTTATCCCATTGACAACAGAAGCACAAAACCTTCCCGATATAACACAGTTTGGTGACCAGTTTATGAAACAGGACTTGGTTTGTTGGCGGTGTAAATGCTCTTTTCAAAGAAAGTTTTCATCATTTAAGGAACACCTCAATGTGGAATTGGCAACCTACAAGGAGCTAACACTTCAGAGATTGGCGAAAGAATCAACGGAGAAAGATGTTTAATGAGAATTAGAAAGTGTGTGATTTTTGACATTTTAAACATATCTTAAGTCACCAAAAGGCAATATTTGGTTAATTCGTGTAGCGCCAGCGACAAGCATGCACAGACGGTCCACACCGATTCCCCAACCGGCTGTCGGCGGAAGACCATACTGCATAGCATTAACATAATCTTCATCTGGTAGCACAATGTCTTCATTTGGGAATGCATCTTTTTTCTCTACTTGCTGAAGAAACTTTCTCCGTTGTTCATCTGGGTCATTTTCTTCTTCGTAAGCGTTGCAAAGTTCGATTCCGTTAATGTATAATTCGAAGCGTAGTGATACGCGTTGTTGCCTTGAGCTTAAAATGAAAGACTGTGATTTTGCCAAAGGTGCCAAGACCTCCGGATGATACATTAGAAACGTGGGTTTACCTTGGAAAGACGGAATTAAAAACTGATCGGCAAGCTCATCAAGCATTTTTGATGTTGTTTGTATTTGAGGTAATGCCTGTTGCAGTTTATTAAAAATATGTCTTAAAGCTTCCCGACAATGATCTGATTCATCAATGACAGGAAGCTCTTCACCAAGTGCCTTTTCTAAAGCAGGAAGGAAAGACACACTCTGGAAACTCTCTAAAGTGAGCTTGGAGTTCGGAACCTGTAAACTACCATTAACCTGGTGAAAGATAACTGCTAATGTTAGAATAAAAAGAAAACACATTGAAATTAACTCACAGCGTAAAACATCCACTGTCATTTCTTGAAGTTCTTCCAAGTTACTGTACGCTGTGTATATTTCACAGGATGTAAATTCTGGATTATGCGTTGCGTCTATTCCTTCATTTCTAAAACATTTTCCGACTTCAAAAATGCGATCAAATCCAGAGATTACGAGTTGCTTGAGCCAGATTTCTGGCGCACATCTCATTGATAATGGTGAACCGTGAATGTCTGTACTCTTGAAAGGTCTAGCAGCAGCTCCCCCAAAGTGCCTTGACAAGACAGGTGTCTCAACTTCAAGGTAATCATGTTCTGTAAAGTATTTTCGCAAAGAGCTTATTGTTTGAAAACGTTTGCGAATATGATCCGCCGTGTCTGTGTTCACAAGGTAACTTAGACACTGTTTTTTTGAGTATTCTTTTGTAATGTTTAGTTTTTCTGGAATGTCTTGTAAGCAGGGAGCCAGTAAAGTTGGTTTTTTGTCGACGAAAACAGTGAGCTCACCGGACTTTGTTGTCCCAACAAAACCGGATACAGCTACGATATCGCCTCTCCGAAGGCAATGAACTGCTTTCATGCAATCTGATTGTTCGACATCGGGAAAACGCAATTTAGAAAAAGCCAATTGAATAGAATCGCCGTTTTGAACAATATCCGCAAACACAAGACCTGATCCAAATACGCGTAGCCTGGACAGCCTCCCACATATAGATACTTTGTGCTGAGAATGCTCCCCTTTTTCGAATTTGGAACCGTAGCTCTTCCGAATATCCTTTATACTAAAACTTGGTTTCAATGAAGGATTGAATCTTGGGTAAAGCTGCAATTTAGCATCCCTGAAAGTTTGAAAGCGTGTTTCTTTACTCGGCCATGCTCCTTGAAGACTCTTGGAGTGCTTATAACGCGTAAAACGAGAAAACGGATTCAATAAGAAAGCTGAAGCTCCACGCCATAAACCATCTCTTTGCTTCAAAGGTTTGATGTAATTGAATAAGAAAAACATAATACTGAAACCATTTGATACTTCATTAATCCAAAGCTTTAAGCTCGAGGACACGAGTTTAGCGTAGGGGTAGGTTCAAAACCAAAAAGCTACAAAATAGAACTAGTTGTAGTTTTTTGAGCTTTCAATAACGGATTATATTGTCATTTACGTATCGTTTTCTGCATATTCTACTCGAAACCTCCTTGCTATGAAGGGCTTAATAATGAACGGAAATGATCAATAGATCTAGGAAGTAACGGACGGAACAAGAGAATAGTAGTAATAATGGTACTTACTAACGCTAATAATTTTTTTTGAAGATAGTTTTATTCGCTATTCCGCCCATAGATTATGTGAACAAGCTGCCTAAAAATCCGGACTCACTAAAAGTCGTTTACGAATAGTGCCCAAGTTCCAGACACGCTTTGATTCTGGATTAATGGCCATGAGCTCTTGGAGAAAAGCACACTCAGAACCAGGTTGAACCAACAAGCGTGTGCCTGCAATCTCCAGTACTGTTTTTCCTGACTCGTGGACATACATGGTGCCCACCTGACCAGCAGGGGGACAAGAAGGTATGTCAGGCAGGGCATCTAAACCGTCTGAGGTTTTGTTCTTTGACTGTTTCGACAAAGGAATATCAGACTCCATGTCATCGCTGAGTTGCTCACCAGGCCAAGCAGGATTAAGATCAGCCCCCCCTTCAAATTCAGGCAAGATGTCGGGAAACTGTAACAGCAAAGCGTGTCCCTAGAGTTTGTTAGCCGTCAATGAACAAAAATATAAAAGTGCTGATGCAAACACACACCTCTTCTGTTTCACCGGTCTCTTGACCGTCTATTTTAAAATCCTGCGCCAATGTTTGGAGATCGAGGAATATCCGTTCTTCCTCAACCTTTTCCAAACTTTTCATCTGTGCCTCCTCCGAAACTTCCTCGGTCTTGTTCTTTTCTGTATCGTCGACTTCGATAACGACACGATCAGAAACAACCGGAACCATAAAGTTTGCTGATGTTGTAGCACCTAAGAGCTCGGCGTCATCCGTCAACTCCTTCAGTTTCTCAAGATTGACACAGTTCTCCTCATCCTTATCCTCTGAGGAGCCTTTTTTACTTGAAATGAGTTTTGCCAAAGCATCGTCCTCAGCAGAAGCCTGCCATCCAGACTGAGCAATTCCACCAACAGCAGGTCCTCGGGCAGCTGGTGCTGCTGCTGGTCCCATAGCGAAAGGACCAGAAGCCGTCAAAGGCAATTCGTGTTTTGGGCGTCTTTGACGCCAAGTGGGCTTCACATCCTCCAAAAATTCATTTTTAATTTTCTGTTCCTCTTGAAGTCTCTCAGTGTCTCCTCCGCGCCTTCTGGGAACAAGTTTGGGCGTAAATTTGCGCATATTGGTACGTGCTAGGCAGAATGAACTGGCTTGCAGAAGGCTACCGTATTAACGAAATGTAGTGATGTGTAGTGAGGCAAAGTCTGGGGTGTCTCGGGGGGTTCTTTGGTGTAGTGGTACTAGTGCGAAAGCGAAAGCGAGGACGAGGACGAAAATGAGCAACAAGGTGAAATGTTATAGATGCAACGGAAGAAGAAGCATATCTTGACGACGTCTACAATTGTGCCCGCAACAAATTGAGCTGTGTTTTCTGTGCCAGAAATTTAGAGTTGTCGGTCGCAAAATTAAAGTTTACGGGGTATATGTCTCGGTGATTATTCGTTCGCTAAAGAAAAACCTTAATCGTGTGCGACATGCTTCATTCCTTAGCGGCTAGAGAAGCAAAAGAGAATGGTGCTTACAGAACAGTAGGCTAGATTGTATGAGGCGGTATGAGGCGGTAGTGTAATTGGTGTCATATTTTTATTCGCAGGTACAGTGATTCAAGAAAGAAGTCGAGGTGAGGAAGCGAACTTGAAAGTTTACAAAAGTAAAATCAAAAAAAAAAAAAAAAAAAAAAAAAAGGAAAAGCAGAAGAACAAGATGATGAAAAAAGGGAACAACAAAGAAAACTCTACCATCGCCTCGATGAACACTTTCCGTCCTCTGCTAACACACAATCGCATACTATCTGACTGCCCCCACTCATGGACCCTGGAATCCCACACCCCACATCAGTACCACTCGCTGCACCTCGTAACAGGTCTTGATCCGAGAACTGCAGTGTGCCCTTTACCAACCCTCTGCAGAAAAAGTGCCATAACAATGGCTAATCCGCAATCAACATACCCGCCATTGGGTATTCCAATACCGAACGCTCAAATAACTCCCATACGAGACGTCTGGGCGCAAAATCTGGAACAGGAGTTTCTGCTCATTATGGACTTGATCGACCGGTACCCGATCGTGTCTATGGACACAGAATTTCCAGGAGTCGTAGCCCGTCCGATGGGTGTTTTTAAAAGCAGTGCAGACTACCACTACCAGACGCTACGTACGAACGTGGACTCGCTGAAAATCATCCAAATTGGAATCTCACTTTGTGATTGGGAGGGGAATTTCCCTTCAGAGGCTTTAGCATGGCAGTTTAACTTCCAGTTCAGTCTTCAGGACGACATGTATGCTCCAGAGAGCATCGAACTGCTAACAAAAAGTGGCATCGACTTTAAGAAGCACCAAGAATTCGGTATCCGTCCGGTGGATTTTGGCGAACTGCTCATTGCAAGCGGTTTGGTGCTTTTGGAGGAGGTCACCTGGATCACGTTCCATAGTGGATACGACTTTGGGTATCTTCTGAAAGTAATGACCCAGTGTCCCCTACCGTCCGAGTATGAGGATTTCTACAAGCTGCTTTGCATCTACTTTCCCAACACTTACGACATCAAATACATTATGAAAGCCATCACAAACACCCAGAAAGGTCTACAGGACATCGCAGACGATTTCCAGATTACCCGTATCGGCCCGCAGCACCAGGCCGGCAGCGACTCGCTGCTAACTGCCCAGACATTTTTTGAGATGTGTGCTCGCTACTACGACGGTAAGATCGATCCTAATATGCTGGGTCAGCTCTATGGTTTGGGTACTGCAAACTCTTCGTTGCTGATGAACACGCCTTCCACTCCTAAAACGCAATTCCGCGACCTTCCCGGCATTCATCCCAGTCCTACCATGGCCAACACTGCCATTTCTGGCAGCCAAATGCCGTCTTCCCACAATCCTAATCTCCCTCCCTCCTCCGCTACTCCCATGTCTGCATTCACAAACCCTCTGCTACGCTACACACATCGCGTCTCCGACACTCGGATTTCGTAATCTGCCCCACGATGTCTTTTTGTGACCCAATGTTCAAAACACGCATGCTTCACGCATATGCATGCATCCACACACGCACACATGACCAACTCACGTACAAGAGCTCACACACGGCTGGTCCTGCCCCTGTATCATAATGCTTTTCGGCAGACAGTGAGTCCTCGAGGCGTGAGCAAATCCTCTTTCGGTCACACCGGATGTTTTTCTAGTCAGTGGGTTCGTGAATATTCACCCATGATGGTTTAATAAAACGAAGAATTGGTTAAAATGGGAATATCTGGGATTAGGGATGACGGTTTTTCGGCAAGGCTTCTCTCGTTTACCGCGTGTTTCATTCGTCCATTCGTCCATAATAGCGCTGCAGCCTGTTTTTATGGCGACCAAAAGTGATCTACAGATCGTCAGTATCACAAACCTTAAAAAGATCTGCAATAATATCCTATTACCTATGACGTCACTCCTCGATTAAGCTACAGATTGTGCCCCGCTGGGGGCGACCAACATAAGGCCGACCGTGCAGGACAGGCTATTCAGCCCTCCGCCATTACCCTCCTCTCCATGCAGAATTCTGCCGTTGAAGACCATACAGAAAAGGTCGATGACTACGAGTTAACGGATGTGCAGGATGAGGCAGGAAATTTGCTCCCAATGGTTGAGCAAAAGGCACCTCTTCTTGCAGCATCTCCCGCGGTACTCGAACAGCAGATGGCACTTTCTTCCGGAAAACGGAGGCGACGTCGTCTGAAAAAGGCAGCTTTTGTGTGTCTATTCATAGTCCTGTGGTTCTCTTTTTCATTGGCTCTTTCAGTGGTTAATAAATGGATGTTTTCTGAAGACCAACTCAATTTCCGGTTTCCATTGTTCATGAGTAGTTCCCAGATGGTTATAGAGTTTATATTGTCTCAGTGCATGTTGATATTGTTTCCGCGATTCCGAAGTTCAGCGTCGTCATCTGCTGCACGGAAAGACACTTGGAAAAGCTACATTCTGCGTGTAGGAGCATGTGCCCTAGTAACCGGAATCGACATTGGCCTGAGTAATGCTTCATTAGAAACGATTACACTGTCATTTTACACGATGGTACGGTCATCAGTTTTGGTATTTGTGTTATTATTCTCGTTTGCCTTCGGGATTGAAACTTTCAGTTGGCCTCTGGTGGGCTGCATTTCTGTTATAACAGTCGGTGTGGCTTTAATGGTAGCCACGGAAGCCCAGTTTGCATTGTCTGGCTTCCTACTCGTCTTGGCTTCCTCTGTCATGTCTGGATTGCGTTGGTCAATTACACAACTGTACCTGCTTGATCATCCAGCGACCTCCAATTCTTTCACCTCGCTTGCAGCTCTCACTCCGTTCATGTTTCTGTTCTTAGTATGCAGCGGACTTGTTCTCGAAGGGCCCAACGAGTTTATTCATTCCCCGCTGTGGGCTACACTTGGTTGGCGTATGAGCATGTTATTTGTGTTTCCGGGTGTTCTCGCGTTTGTTATGATTTCGGCCGAATTTGGTCTAATCAAGAAAACCGGTATCGTCACACTGAGTGTGTGCGGCATCATAAAGGAGATCATCACTATTTTATTCTCATCCTTTTACTTTCATGACAAGTTACTACCTATTAATTTCGTTGGCCTGGTAATTGCGATATTTGGGATTGCCATTTACAACATGTACCGTTACTTCCAGTCCTTATCTGGAGATGATTCTGATGATTCTGATGACGAACCCGAAGAAGAGAATGAGCTACAAGAGGAGAGTGAGGAAGAGCCGTTACACTCTTCCATGTCCGCAGGACAGAGTCATTCCCGAAGCAGTTATATTCCACTTCGTGAAATCACGCACAAAACCTCGCCCCCCGAAGAAGATTGAGCGCAATTGGGCTTGCGGTTAGATCTACGTCTCATCTTGTCGAATATTTTCATCTTTTATAATGTACTTAGTAAACTGATATAATGTATTTTAATCTGTGATTACCAAGTTGAATGAAACCTGGAAACGGAATTTGAGAGAAGGATCATATAGATGCAAGTTTCACTGAATGAAATATCCATTTTCAGTGCCATCTAACTGTTCCTACGCTGTAATGTCTGACCCGTACCCGTGCCAATCAAAGATATTTGGACATTTACACACGCTAGACTTCACTATTCTTCCTTATTCGTACTGAACGAGTAACATCGGTTTCTAAAGAACCGCTTAAACATGCACTAAATGGGTTTACAATATTTGTGTTACAAGACGCTATTATGTTTTTACGACGTCTTACAGTTCACTAAATTTGACATCTTTCCTCGAGCTTCGCCAGAGGTGGCTGCCGCAGAGGATCAACATAAAAAAGCAGAGCCTGTGTCAGCATCGCACCCCGCGTTGCCTACGAATCCACTACATTCCCTGCTTACTTGTACATAACCTGCACACTTAAGTCGTCTCTCTTCACCAATGTCGTCATCGTCGTCGTCGAAAGCCGTTAAAACCACCGTCGTCCGTAAAGCTGGAGGGCAGGTCTGGGAAGACCCAACACTCCTTGAATGGGACCCAAACCATTTTCGCTTGTTCTGCGGCGATCTGGGCAACGACGTCACTGATGAAACACTCTACCGCGCGTTCACGCCGTACCCTACACTCGTTAAGGCAAAAGTTGTTCGTGATCACACCGGCAAGTCCAAAGGCTATGGCTTTGTTTCATTCCGAGATCCAGAACAGTTTCTGCGTGCATGGAGAGAGATGAATGGCAAATATATTGGCAATCGTATCTGCAAACTGAGTCGGGCAAAAACAGAAGTCGGTCCGAGTCAGGTCACAGAGAAGTCATTAACGTCGAAAATCAGAAACTCAAAATACTCAAGAATCCGTAATCACGGGAATCGTGTTCAGAAAAAAAATCATCAAAAGCAATCGGCTTCTTCCTTGGCATCATCGACTGCACGTGTTTTAGGAGACAATAAACGCTCATCAACAGACAGCTCCGCCTCCTGGCAGCCGAGAAACACCCAGACACAAAGAGGACGACGCTAGATGGATCTAAGAGCGACATGCTTAAGGCATCTCCAAAGAATCATAAACCTTTTGGTAAGTGTCCTTGTCCAACACTTGCTCGGCAATCTTCAAAGCGAAGAGCATAGCAGTACCAGGTCTAGAAACAAAATGTCAGCAGCTATAAACGAGTAACACAACAAGCCGAACGGGGTCCGGTCCAACACGGCCCCGTTCGCTGAGTGAACGCATGAAACATACCCTTGAGAAGTAATAAGGTTGTCCGTCACGACGACAGACTCGTTCTTCCACTCATAACCAGCTTCTTGAAGATCCTTGGTAATGCAAGGATGGCTTGTCAAGGTCTTCACGCCCAAACCACTCGTCTTGGCGGTCAAGGAGCCAGCACAAATCATGGCAACCCACTTGCCGGGTTTGTTGTACATCTCCTTGACAATCTCCTGCACCTTCTTGTTTCCGGAAAGGGTCAAAGAGCCCTGCCATCCACCGGGAATGATGGCAACATCGTACTCCTTCACAAACTCCTCCGTAGATTGAAACTCGGACAAACTGCGTTTGGCGTACAGTTGAATGCCACGAGACATGTTCACAAGGCGATCCTTGTTATCACCAACATACACGGTGTCGATGGGCGTGTTTGCACGCGTAAAAATGCCGTAGGGAGCAGAGAATTCAATCTCGTCAGAACCGTCAGCGACAAAAAGACAAACTTTAACCATTTTTTAAAGCTACAGCGCGATGGTTAGCCACTAAAGTATACACATAATGAGCAGTCAATTCCTAACGTACTGTTTTACTTCTTCAATTGCAAATCTTTCCAGCTGTTTGTGGGAAATGTGGTTTGCTCTGGGCAAGTGAATGTGCATGACATGGGGTGGATAACTACATCGATGATCGACACCTCATACGTCAGGAGAGATCAACGTGTTGATCGACAATCGATACAACTTTATTTTGATCTGCAGTAGATCGTGCACGACTAATGACCCCTTTTTGAGTTTTAAACCCTGGAGTTTCTCCACGAAGAAACTAGTAGTGAGCAAAATACGCTGTGCCAGTCAAAACTAGCAAACCTTAAAACGAGAAAATGAGTGATATTGGCTGCACATACACGGTATGATTGATACGAAATGAAGAGGAAGAGGGCTTGTTCTGATCGCACGCTAATACAAACAGGTAGAGTGTTGGCTCCGCGATAGTAAGGATATCACTGAGCCCCAAGTAACAGCTGCTTGTGCAACCTTGAATGCAGCGAACATTGTGTGGAACGCGGATAAAGGCTCGGTGCTTATGGATGTGGCAGGTAAGTGTAACCATGCAGGTGAGAGGAAGGGAACCGACAATCAAGCAAACTTTGATCACAAAAACATAGCTTCCAATCCACCGATTCCCTCGCAATTCACTTAGACTGACATTTTTTGAAAGTTTCTCCATCCAAAGTTTTGACGAAACTGGAAAATACTCTTCGGCAACCAGTGCTTATTCGAGGAATTAGCAACCAAGAGTCTGCGGTCGCCATATTATATGATGACATTTCCACCATGGAATCGCCAACTATCTCTACAGTCCACGGTTTGTGTAGACTATTCACACTTGCCGAAAGTAAAGAAGTTGTCGTCGACGTGAATGTGAACGGCGTTGCACCCAATGTTCCATTCGACCTGTCCATTATGCATACGGGTGACATTTCACGGGGTACATGCTCCACCGGTTCTCCATGGATACGTCTGGCTGAGTTGACATCCTCTTGCCACGGTACCATTCAAACAATTTTTTCTATGAACGGTCGTCTGGACGAGTGGATTGGTCGTGCACTTACACTCATTCCAAAGGACACAAAACCGTCAACATCCATTAGTCTTCTCGGCATTATTGCACGTAGTGCCGGTGTGGGACAAGGAAACAAAACTGTATGCAGTTGCAGTGGCAAAACTTTGTGGGAAGAGCAGCAGGAGAACGCATACAGCTTTGAGGCGCGCACACCCGTCACGAAACCCAGCAACAATTGTCGGAGACACTGCTGTGGGAAATGTTAAGACAAGATGATGCGCGAGAGGGGGCAGCTCTATGGCCACCTGTCTGTTGGGAAAGCCATATCCTGCTGACCTTCCATGCTCAGTTTGGTGCACATCAATAGTTCTTCGCTTTTTGGATGCAGAGAACTTTTATACATGACCAAATAATTTTTGAACGTTTTATACCCTTATATAACAAACCTGACAATGTAACCATCTAAAAAAAGGAAAGAAAATACAGAAAAAAAACAGAGGTTCGGGAAGAGTGCATGCTCCGTGTACCGGGTCCACAAACAACGGACTTGCACATGTGCGAACATCAAGCTGCACAACACTGACTCTTACGAGGAGTCTTATTTCGATCCAAATCTCTTCTTACCAAAGTCAAAGGGAACGTAGCGGTATTTGATCATATGCTGGATCTGGCGACGGAAGCAAAAGAATGACAAGACAATGTAGTACATTACAAGAATAGGCCAGAAGACCGGGACGTCGAAGATGCGGAAGAATGTAGTAATCATGGCAATCGAGGTGGCCTTGATGGATGCATACCAGAACTTAAACTCAGGTAATCTGCGGATAAACGGACGAAACTCATCATCCTTTGATGTGGGAAGCAAGCCTTCCTCCGTCTCCTCTTCAAGCATGGCCTGCTCCAAGCTGGGATCAAACTTGGGCGTCAAGAATGCAAGAAACAGGTTCAACAAATAAATACCCAAAGTATAGCAGACAATGTACCAGCCCTTCACATAGAAAATACGGAAAAAGAACAAGCAAAGAAGAGCCGTCTGAGCGGCCCAACGACGCTTTCTATAAGGAATGGTCATGTCCACCCAATGTCTGTAAGTCTACGACGAAATGTTAGAATTCCACGGGAAAAAAGAGTTCACAAGGCTACCTACCCTTACGACTAACGATGCATGTTCCCGAACTGTCAAAATTTTCTGCTTTATGGCCTCCATCGCGATCAAATGCTTTTAGAACGTTGTTGGTGGAAGATGCGTAGGCATGTAAACATGAGTTGGGCTTTTGTGGGGGGAAGTGGGATGGAGTTCCTCAGGAGGAAGGCAAAGTAAATAGACAGAAGAACCGTGGGTGATGAAAGGGACCGAGGGAGAATACAGAGGCGAAGACAATTATTGTATGATTTACTGTAAGACGACGAACTGTATGCGCATCTACATGGCGCCGCCAAAAACCTTGCTTCGTTTGGGCTCCAGTGCCAGCAGCAGCGGCCGAAAATGAATCTAGTTGTCACACACACTCTTCATACCATCAATACAGACGTTTATTAATAGTAAAATGAAGGTAAAAAAAAATACTCTTTCAATTTACGCAGCACCACCTCGTAGGTTTCACATTTGTAATTTATCAGTGGCTTCAAGTGTTTGACTGCATATTATCGATTACGAAAACACAGGTGTAGAACGAGCGCGCGAAAAATTGAGAAACTGTGATAAAGAGGTCGTAAACAAACAAAAGCACAAAACCAATCAAGCAGACAACAGGGACTAGAGGGGAGGCGAGCTTCGAAAATAATAAATTGAAGGGGGAAAGATGTATATGCACCCAGTAAAAGCCAGTTAGTTAGGTCTGCTCCGTGAAAAATAATAGATACAAAGGGACGTGAACGCAGACAGAAAGATTTAAGGCGAAACAGAAGACGTCGCACTCCAAAAAGACTAAGGTTTTATGATTATTTTTCTGGTTTTTTACATTTCCTTCGCAACAATTGCGTGAAACTTGTTCCACCACTCTTCACAATGGTTTTCGACCCAGCAGCCAGCCAAGTGGACAACCAGATCTCCAGGACGCCAGTCCATGTTGTAACCTTGGGGGTAGGCATTGATAAGTCGCTGCTCAACAAGTCCAACGTGGCTTGCAATCTCGGGATGGTGACGAACGAAGTAACAGAGAAGTGCTTGTTCGTTAGGAGCGACTTTGTTCTCGCGGAAGCTAGCTTCTTCCCAGAAGTCCAAGAGCATACGCATCAGAGGGGTGTTACGGATGAAGAAACTTCCAGCGTTCAGACCGTTATGATCTTGAGCAATAATAAGCTGAACATCTTCGATGTCACTCATGGAATAAGAAGCGGGTGAATTGTGGTTTAAGAGCTCACCGCCACTCGTCTTGAACGGATGGTTTGTGAGCAGTTGCTTTTGGAGGGAGGCGGGAGAAAGAAGAACATCTTGTAAGGAGGCATTCATGTTCATGATTAACGCGTCCTGGTCAAGCCACCAAACCCACTTGGAGTCAGGATACGTCTTCATGGCGTGTCTAATGGCAGGCATTTTCGCCCATACGGGAAGCACATCGAGGTTGGACACGTTCACAAACTCAAATGCGTAATTGTGGCGCTTGGCATAGGCGATACGGTTGTCGATACACTGATCAAAAGTGCTATGACCGTTCTTGCCTGTAGTGTAGCCATCACTAGCCAAGAGAATGACGATTTCATGAGATTTGGGGACTTGAGGATCAGAGTTGTTAACGACGGGAACAAAGTAAGATGTGCTTTCTCCTGCAAATACTGGCTCGCTAGGAGCGTATCCAACAACATCATCAGTGCTGCTTTGCAAAGGATTCAACCGTCCAAGGGTCTCTGTGACGTCGGCTTTTGATGGCAAATACTCTGAAATCTGAGTTCCGAACACGAGCAAGCCGACGAGAAAACTCACGGATGCAAGAAAAATTAGACGAATATAGTTCATATTATCGAAGAAGAAAAGGAAAATGAAATCCAGTAATTATCAACCAAAAAGAAAGAAAAAGAGAGAAATAGTAAATGGAATAACCAATCGACAAGCGAAAACCGACTGATATATAAGCACCAAATTACAGTTTTTGTAGGAAGAGGCTGTGTGCTCAAAAATCAACCCGAATACTTAAATCCGACAGATAAATAGCAAATAAATGGCTGGGAGTTAATGAAGGAACTTATTAAATGAAATCGGTTTTGTGAGAAGTTCCAGCTGCAAAACGATCCACGGTAAAGGCGGAGCCGGTGTCTAAATGGCTTTTAGTTCATAAAACTGTGAAGTGAAGCTCCGCAGTACGAGAAAGCTGCTGGTGTCAGAAGCTCCGTACAGTACTTGAGGAAGTAGTTGGCGGAGGACAAGTAAGCCCTGGTATGAGATTTTGCCTAAAGACTGCGGATTGTGGAAGTGGTGTCAGTTTCCCTTAAGCATTACCGCATAGCCGTTTTAAGGTTTTTTATCTGCTTAACCTTATTTTTAAGCGAAGCCAAGAGCCAATGGAAAACCGAAGCGATAAAGTTACGCTTGGTGGTGAGGTTTGGAGGGGGTCACAATCCAGGTAACACAAGAAAGGCAGCGCAATTTTTTGTAGCTAGAGTTCCTTAACGACAAAATACTTTGGATCCGCTTGAACAAGACTGAGCGAGCAATTACAGTTTTCCTTTTTCATTAATAATACTCAATTTCGTAAATATAACATTTGATATTGTGGTTGAATAATTTTTTTGTATTTTTTATTTAATATACCTTACCGGTGCAAGGTTGCCCATTCAGGCGGTAGTGCTTCTCCACCATAAACAAAATCTCACCAAAAACACATCGTTATATTTGCCATGGTGCTTTTCTCTATTCAAGGAAAAACTCTTAAGTTCGACGATATCACTCCCGAGCAACAGAAGGAGATTTTCGGAGACTTGAAGGACAATGATGCAGTGACGGAAGTTGCCTTTTCTGGAAACACGATTGGTCCTGAGGCTGCCAAATGGTTGGGAGGTGTCTTGGCTGAAAAAAAGAACCTGGAAGTCGCAGAGCTGAGTGATATTTTTGTGGGTCGCATGAAGGATGAGATCCCAATTGCTCTGAAGTACCTGCTGGATGGTCTTTTGCAATGCCCGAACTTGCACACGGTAAAGTTGAGTGACAATGCTTTTGGTCCCACTGCTCAGGAACCGCTTATCGACTTTTTGTCTCGTCACACTCCTTTGCAACATTTGTACTTGCACAACAACGGTTTGGGACCACAAACCGGTGCAAAGATCGCTGGTGCTCTGAAGAATCTTGCTGCCAACAAGAAGAAAGCCAACGCTAAACCTCTTCGCACGATTATTTGCGGTCGAAACCGTTTGGAGAACGGTAGTATGGAAGCTTGGGCTGAAGCCTTCCAAAGCAATCCCCATCTTGAGGTCGTCCGCATGGTGCAAAACGGTATCCGTCCCGAAGGTATTGAGCACTTGTTGATCCATGGACTTTCTCACTGCACCAAACTTCGCATTCTTGACTTACAAGACAACACATTTACGCATCGTGGTACAAGCGCCCTTGCTGTCGCCCTTGCAAAGTGGCCCGGCTTGCAAGAACTTGGAATGAACGATTGCTTGTTGTCTGCCCCCGGAGGTATTGCTTTGATGGAGTCTTTTGCTAAGAACTCCCATAAGGAGCTCGAGATTTTGCGTCTGCAATACAACGAAATCGAGCTTCCTGCCGTTCAACAGTTGTCCGAACTTATTGAGGAACGTTTCCCTAAGCTTAAGCTTCTTGAATTGAACGGTAACCGTTTTTCCGAGGACGACGATGTTGTCGACGAAATCCGCGCCTTGTTCAGTAACCGTGGATTTGGTGAATTGGACGAACTCGACGACATGGAAGAACTTACCGATGAAGAGGAAGAGGGTGAGAGTGAGGAGGAGAGTGAGAAAGAGGAAGACGAGGATGATGAACTCGCTAAAGCTATGGCTAAGGCATCTATTTGAAGTAGCTTTTGCTGTCAGCAAAACTATATCATTGTTTGTAGGTTTTGTCAAGCAATCGGTGGGTTCGTATTGCATACCAAACCAGTCTGGAAAGACTGTATTCACCATACACTACTAGCATTCTTGTTTGCGCTCTTCATCGTTTGCACATAGAACAAAAAATAACCGTAGACTAAAAAAAGTTATATCAACAATTCAGCGACATTGGGATTCTTTATTTACAGTTTTCAAGTAATCGTAAACTTTCGCTTTTTTTTCTATTTTATCTACTACGCAATTCATTCATTCTCTAAGAGCCCGTTACCACTTCCATGAAAAAAGAGAATTCTATTTACCATGTTTTAAACGCTCCAACGAGTAAAAATGGTGTATTCGCACGCAGGATTGACACCGAAGTGTGTACACTGCCCGATGACATTCTTCCCGATTCCGTATGTGTTAATACAGAAAAATAAAAAATATAAAAAATTTCGTCCACGGAAAAAAAGCTAACAAACACTTTTATATGTAGGATTTAGTTCAGAGTATTCAAGATTTTGCCGCGGAGTATGCAAAAGCCACAGACAAGCCTGAATTGTTTCAAAGCATGGATGAAACCGCTTTACTAGCTCTTGGAATATATTTTACAGAATGGGCCAGAGAATATGTTGGCGACTGCCTAGACATGTTTGAAGAGCCGAAGACGGATGAGGACATGGATTTGGAGGACGAGGGCGAGGAGTAGTCTTGTTCATTCTCAAGTAAAGAGATATCTACTTCGTTCGCAACTGCAAGTTTGACAAATAATCGGTAGCGAGAAGAGCTGCTTGGCAACCACTAGCTGCACTTGTAATGGCTTGTTTAAAGACAGGGTCTTGTACGTCTCCAGCAGCAAAGAATCCAGGAATGTTTGTTTTCGGGGTTCCATTCAATGTTCGAACATAACCGTGTTCGTCCAAATCGACCTGACCACGAACCAAATCAGTTGCTGGGTTGTGACCAATGGCATAGAACAAACCTTTCATATCCCAAACTTGTTCTTCTTGTGTGTCTACACGTTTTGTTACAATGTGTGTAAGGGGACCGGCATGTTTGCCTCGTGCCTCAATAACCTTCATGTTGTAGTGAACTTTTATACGAGGGTTTTGGAGCATTCGTCTTGCCATTACGACTGAAGCAGAAAGTCGATCACGACGAACGAAAACATTCACGGCTGAAGCATGCTGAGCAAGAACTAAGGACTCCTCGACAGCAGAATCGCCGCCCCCGACCACGGCAACGGGTTGATTGCGAAAAATTGGCAGTGCACCGTCACATACAGCGCAGGTCGAGATGCCTTTCTGCCAAAAATCCGATTCGCCCTTTATACCAAGCATTCGAGGACGGGCACCGGTGGCATAAACGATTGAACTGCACGTGCCATACTCAGGTGAGCTTTCTGACCAGTATCGAAAAGGCCGTTTATTTAGGTCTAGCTTGACAATCGTTTCCGTAATAATATTGGTACCCGCATTGATTGCTTGTTGTCGCATTTTTTCCATTAACAAGGGACCCATGATCCCTTTCTCAAATCCAGGATAATTCTCTACCAGGGTAGTCGTCGTAAGCTGACCACCAGGCGCATAGCCATTTGCCATAAAACCTTCAAATAATACGGGCTTTAAAGCAGCTCGAGCCAAGTAGATTCCAGCAGTGTAGGCAGCCGGACCACCTCCTATAATCAACATTGCAAAGTGTAAAACTCTTCGTCTCAAACGATGTTGACTTGGTGTATTGAAGTTGCGGTATCAATATGTAAGCATTAAAAAAAAAATCAAAACAAAATAGCGTTAAGTCCAAAGCAATACAAGTTCGGCAATATGGAAAAAGGCAAAACAAAAGGCATCAACTCTTTTATTTTGCCAAAAACAGAAAAATGCAAAAATAATTGGATCAAATAACGAGAACGTGCCTCTCAACAAAAAGAACGAACGTTGAGGCTAACCATAGCTCTATAAACGAATGTAAGCCACCAGCAAATGGGATACGCGAAAACGCATGATCTTCAGTAAACAACGACATCAACTAGTGAATGAAGAGCAGCTTCAAGCTCTCAAAAGGCAGATATTAATTCTCATCAAAAATAAAATGTCAAATTTACACCTCCGATTCTCGTAACAAGTTCGTAGACTCTTCGGTAACGGGGGGAGGTGATTTACGTTTGCGGAAGAGTACATATAGAATAACGGACAGACCAAGGCAAAGGAAAACAGATGCAAGGACAATGAGTACCACGGGTCGGTGAAGAGAAGACGCCAGCGCCCCCAAGAATGATGCAAAAGCAGTTGTGTTATCTTTGCCGGATTCTTCTGATGGAATGGTAGAGGTCGTGTTTGTGCCATTAGTGGTCGCATTCGGTAGGGTCGTGGAGGATGCGGTTGGGCTAGAGGAGATACTGCTTGTTGTAGAATTGGCAGAAACTGCTCCTGCGTCGTAAGTGTATGAAGAAACGATAGAGCCCAAAGAGCCGTTCTGAGGAGGGGATATGGGATCAAAATTTAGCGTTCTGGTTTGGGAAGCATTAGACGCTTGTCCCCACAAGCCAAGTTGCCAATTGTTTACTTGGCCGTGATGCTCGCCAAAACTCAAATCACGGACAATAAGGGTCCAAACACCTTCTGGTTTTTCACCCCAGTGTTGAACAGTCATGAAGGTCCAGTCTTGAATTCCTTGAGCGTTTTCATCAAACGGTCTTTCCGTAGCCAGAACTGATTCCACATCAGAAGGGCTGCGCAGAACGACTTGTAACTTTCCGCGGCGGCTAAAAGGAATAGTCGTCCGAACGGTAACGTGTTCTAAATCCTGAATGTTGCTCTGATGAACCATTGCCCTGGTCATGTTGAACTTCAAATGAACCTCATGGGGAGTGTCGGTTTCATTGGCAGACAAAGAAGCATTGACATTCATAAGAGGAGTAATGTACCAAGTCTGTGGCTTTACCAGCTCCCAGTGTTTGGCCGTTTCTATAAAGCGACCGGCGTCAAGTTTACCAAATCCAAATTTATGACTAAATAAAAGATTAGCCGAAGTTTTCGTCCATCCATACGATTCGTCGTCGGTGTGGAAGGGAAGAGCCGAGTATACTGTGATGTGCTGTATATCGCGCCAAGTAAGTTCAGGCCGAGCGGACAATGCCAATGCGTAAACGGCGGAGCCCAAAGGTGCAGCTGCAGAAGTACCTCCATGTCGATGTGTACACGTTTCATCGACATTTGTCGTCACAATGTGTCTATTGTGTCCGCTACTGTAAGCTGACACGAGTTGGGCAGCGCAGTACTCGCCATAAGCCGGCCAACTATCCTCAGTATCAACAGCACCAACAGTAACACTAAAAATACTGTTGGTATATCCATCGAAATTACAATTATCGTCGTAATAGCCTCCATTGCCCGATGCAAACACGAAAACCGAGCCCAATCCGTTACGGCCATTAACGACGCCATTAAGCAGGGCTTTCCGTGTAGCAGGTTCGGGGGCTTCCATGGCACGTCCATCATCGGCTGGACCCCAGGAACAGGAATAAATGTCGTTCGTGTCAAAGCCATAGTTTAGTGCTTCAGACTCCATCAAGTCCGTTACGGGACCGGAAAGCATACGTAGTCCAGCAACCTTTGCTTTCGGAGCAATGCCAACACCGCAAACATCATTCCAAGCAGCAGCTACTTCACCAGCACAACGAGTACCATGAGTATCGTCTGCCAGCTTAGGCAGAGGCTCTGGAACGTCATCGTTAAAATCCCAAGAACCAACAGCTGAGAACGCATCCTGGAGATCTGCATGTCTAAAGTCAAGACCATCATCAACGAAAGCAACGGTGACATTTTCGCCAAGATAACCTTCTTCCCAAACGCCAGTTACATTTAAATCATGACCAATGGCATTGGTGTTTATGATGTGCCATTGTTGGCTCAACAGCGGATCATTTATATCGAATTTTTCTCTAACCTCAAGAACCAATGGATCTTCCAGCGCGAATGAATCGCGTTTATAGCGTCGTTTCCAATGTTGCTTTTGCACGTCAATAACTCCCGAAGGTAAATCGCGACGTTGGAGAGTTCTCTTTTTCAATTGAGTACGAGGTACCGAGTACACAAAATAATTAGGAAGATTCCGCATCCTACGAACAAACTTTCCGCCTAAAAATTCAGCCAAAGCCTCCGGAGACGTCCCCTCGGTTACGGACGCCACAAATAAATCTTCAGGAACATTATCCAAGGGTTGTGCCGAACCAATGCCAGCCAAGAGTAGCAGCACGGCCGCTAAACTCTGTAGTAAGCGCATGGTTAAGGTTAAGTAATCCTGTTCAAACACGTCAGCCTTTGTTGAGCCTTGTTCCCATATTTGGTGGTGAAGAAGATGGACAAGATCACGTGAACCTTAAATAAACCTAAAAATGCTTATAAACTCTATTTACAAACGAAAGGAAACGAGTCAAATAGCAATGAATGAACAGGAAAGAAAAACGATATCATATTCTTTTTCATCTACATGACTCTCACACACATCAAGAAAGAAATTAGTACATAAGTGCTGCAACAGAAACAGCTTTCAAAAGCAGAGAGACTCAAATGTCGTGCCAGAACACAGGGTGCGAACACAAAGACACAGATAGTATCTTAAGGAAGAATTGGCAGCAGACATGACATAAACATAACTGGGTTTATAGAATGCAAGAATACAATTATGTCGAGAATAACTGTCAACCCCATCACGCACACATTGGGCTTTTAGTCAAGACCTTTCTTTTTAGTACACAGGAGGAACTTAGAATAAATCGCCTTATGCATTGTATAGAGAGAATCATTAACGACCCAAACGAATGTTACGTGTTTGTGCTGGAAGTCGAACACGTATACCATCGAGATCCTTGTTTAGGATCACTTGGCATCCCAAACGAGAAGTTTCTTCCAAACCAAAAGCAAGGTCAAGCATATCCTCTTCATCCTCCTCTGGTGGCTCAAGTTTATCATAAAATTCAGGATCAACAATAACATGACATGTGGAACAAGCCACAGAACCCTCACAAGCACCTTCCAAATCGATATCGTTAGAATGGGCGACTTCTAAAATACTTTGACCTTCGTGAGCTGCCACCGTGATTTCTTTATTTTCCGGGGTAACAAAAGTAATGTGAACAACGTCACCCTTGGCAGACGAACCGTGGTGAGAATAACGCGGAGCCAGTGTGAAGAAGCTGCGACGCCCTTGAGTCTGGAAAGCATTCACGCGGATAGGTCCGCTGCTCGCTGCGTCACCGGAAGGACTATTTACTGGAGCTTGCTGCGGCAATAAACGACGAACATCAGTCCACGCGAATCGAGGCAAGAGTTTTTGAAGCAGAGCGAGTGAGGCAGTGAGGACTACCAAACTTCCGCCCTGGTGCGTAGCACCCAACCAAACGGGTACTACGTACCACAGAGTACCGATTCCCAAACACGCTTGCGCGGTAACTGCGCCAGCTACGTATTTCGTTGAACGGAAGATGTCAGCGGGTACACGAGCAAGACGTTTGCGAGTGAAGAAGTACACGTAACATCCGAGAGCCAACGTTGTGAGGCCGAGGATTCGATGCTCTAGTTGAACCAAGACGGGGTTATCGAGCATATTACGCCATACTAAATCACTCTTATCCTCTCGACGAGAAAATTCTGACTGGAAAAGTTCACTCTTTGGCGGAATCCAGCGCTCACCCATCTTAGGGAAATTGCAGTAGAGCATTCCGGCATCCAAACCGGCGACGAATGCACCAGAAATGAGTGTACCCAATACGCAACCAGTAAGTCCAGTGGTCAGATAACGCAGGCCACGCAATTTGTTTATAGAAGCAACGGTGTTTTCCATGTTGTGAACGCCAATTGCTTTAGCCGTCTGAAGCATCTTGTGACGCAGGAGGATGCCAGTACCTGACCAGATCAAACCAATGTATAAAGCGACAGCAGCAGAGAGATGTATGGCTAAACGATAATGGCTAACGCGGGGATGAGCTCCTTCTTCAAAAAGCCTCTTGCTCAGACCGCTTTTCACCATCCACCATCCAATAACACCCTGTAAGGCAACGAGACCAGACATGGACACCAAACGCCATCGAAGCCAACGGCTCGTATTTCTCTTCGTAAGCATGTAAGCAGAGGGTACGACAATTAACAAACCGATTGCACGCCCCAGAAAACGATGCAACCATTCCCAGAAGAAAATATGCTTGAACTCATCTAAAGAAATGTTGGCTTTCAGCTGTACGTACTCGGGCGTTTTTTTGTAGGCTTCAAATTCTTCCATCCATTGTTCATGATTTAATGGAGGAATGGCACCTGTAACTGGTTTCCATTCAGTAATACTAAGACCAGATTCAGTTAAGCGAGTGATACCGCCGACAACAACGATACCAAAAACTAAAACCGAAGAGCCAAGGAGCCAGTATGCTATTCTTTTGCTAGCAAGTTGTTCAGACGCCTCACTAGTAGAGTTGTTACTGTTAGTTTGTTGTTGAGAGGACTTCTGTTGGCTGTAAGACCGTTTGTACGATTGAGGAAAAAGCGTATTCTTCAGAATTCTAGGAGAAAAGGAAAGAAGGGACTGTTTTGTTGTTGTCTGCGACAAAGGAGAAAGATGGGTAAAAGTGCAACGCCGAGAGAATGCAGATACATTCGTAATAGAAGAAGATCGTAAACTTCCGAAAATACTCTTATGTGCCGAAGAAATGCACAATTTACCAATTGCTGCTGAACGCAGCCGCAGGTGCGGAAGAGCAACTCCAAACATAGCTACGAGCAAATACGCGCTGAAAAAAGATCGTTCCGACGTTAGCCAGCTCGTTTAGGAGGACGGTGTTGATTCCTTGGTGATGGATAGTTACTTCAACACTTGAAGCACTCCACACATTCTCGGCTTCGTATACCACCACCGTAATGCAGAGCAACGTCGTAGCGTCCCTAATAAGAAAAAAAAAACACGTTAAAGATAGCAGACGGAAAACGGAGTAAAAAAAGCTGCTACGCTGGATACGCAAACGTGAACAACGTAGACATAAATCCCATAGATAGCCCAACAATATAAGAAAACGATCTTTCACTAACACTCCGAGATAAGCGATTGAGCTAGTCCAAAAGCAATAAACAAACACAACGAACAGACATGGTGAAAAATCGGCCATAAAGGAATTGAGAGACAAATCCGAAAGATTTAAAGACTCAGTCACGGGCTTTAGACGAAGGATAACACTATTTCAAGACTAAGAAAATCTTATCCAGATTCGTCCTCCGTTTCATAAAACGTAAAGTCATAGAGCAAAAGTAAAAATAGCGTAATATGTAAAAAATGTATAAGAATAAAAGACAAATGAAAGAACCCGGAGAACACGGAACACCATAGACCCATAAGTGAATAACATAACGAATGACAAGACATGACATGACCATGTAATGGCACGCAACGAAGAAAAAAGAAGACTAGAACAACATCAGAAGCGGACTTACAAAGGATACAGCAACCGAATAAATCCCAAAATAAACAGGCACCAGATGTCCGCTTACCCTTAGTTCATCTCACACTTTAGAAGTAGCACAAACATTCGAAGAATTGGAGGACCAGTGACTGTCCGAGACTTCCTCTGTATCACTCATTCTCGGAGGGGCATTAGATTGTGTGGATGGGGGCAAGGGTGCATTGACCTTGCATGCAGTAGCTGTTTCAGCAGGAAAAGGATCGGTCATATTAGCGATTGGAGAAAAGGACACGGGAGGGACTGTAGCGGTAGGGACAGAGATGGAGGAGGTAGGCGAAAGGGTTGGCAAGCCACTGGGTGGAGCTTCAATAGGCGAAACGTTCTTAGGTGTTACCGCTGTTTTAGCCAAGGACTGCCGCCGCCTCCGATATTCGGATAAGGTAAGCTTCTTAGGATTAGAGGATGCAGGAGTAGCAGCAGTTGCGGGAACAACATCACTGCTTGGATGAACGGGCAATTGAGGAGACAACGAGGGCTCGGCTTTAGTAGTGTCCGGAGAGAGAGCAGAAGGCAGGGTAGGCAATGGATCGACACTCAACAAGGGTGACAAAACATGGGCAGATGTAGGCGTTGAGGCAATGCTTTTTGAAGAACTTGCGTGTACAGCATGGAAATGGTGATTCATGGAAGGCGATGTAACCGTAGGATCAATTGGCTTTGGAACAGCTGAGATAGGAGAGTCCGTTATTGTAATTCGTAAGGAAGGTGTAGAGCGTGGGATGGAAGTTGTTGACGCGAGATTCGCAGATGCTGCAGGAGGAGTAGGCGGGGCATGATTGACAGGTGGTTTCATTGAATGTGTAGAAGTTGTCCGCTGGGCAATCGATGGAACACTGTTCTTATTCTTCTCCGTTCGGGAGAGCCGTTTCTTTTTGGGTGAGACACAAGCATCACCATCCCGCTCAGTGGCGAGCAAAGGCAATGGTGACAATGGGTTTGGAGACTCGGCGTCAAGAGCCTTGGGAGAAGGCTTTTTCTCGTCCAATGCATCCTCTAACGTGGGGATGCTCGTCATAGAGTGCATTGCCAAGGGAGACGACACCATACCCTCTAACTTTGTGGGTCCTTCTATTTTCAGAGGCTCCCTTGCAATATGCTCAGTATTGCCCACCAAATGCTCAGTGGGTAACAGCGTGGGTGAATTCGCCTTCATTTTCTTCACGTTGGCTGCAGGCAGAATTTCGGTAGATTCAGACGAGTCATGCGACCCGTCCGTAGCATTTTCGGCCAAAGAAGAGCTTGTAGGCAGCCGCTTACGCTCTTTAGGAGAATCAGCGCTAATGGAAACAACAAGTTTATCAACGGACTGCTCGACCGCCAATTTGTTGTTTGAGTCCATTGACATTGGTTCAACAGCAGCGGCTAACTGAGCCTCTCGTTTATTAACATATCGTTCAATCCACTTCTGTTTAAGAGACATGGTGGGTGGCAATTGTGTGAAAAATGGGAGTGTTGGCTTGAAACTTGTTGGTTTGTTACTCGAGTCTCGATACAAATATTCGGCTCGAGTAGCATTATAGGTTGAAAGACTGCCCATGGGCAACGAAAGTGTAAAAGGAACGAGAGCGGCACAATCTTGAAACAGGCTTAAGATTTTTACGAATACACAATCTCTATAATCAGTCATTGCACAATCCGACATAGTCAAAATAGTTGACGTGAGATTTTCTAGGGCTTTCCAATGATCATAACGCAAAAGAGTGTGCTCGTTGGGAGTTTCATTTAACAACTCGTGGTATGGATGATGCTCATCGAAGTTCCAGTCAACTGTCAACTCTGTTCCTGCCTTGATGTGTGATAAAGCAACGAGAAAAAAATGAACCTCGTCGTGCAAATTGTTGACACGGACAGCAGTCAAACCGACGGTAGGCTGACAACTGTTCCGAGCAAAACGAGCGTCTGAACCCCGAACCCTCGCGTCAACCACAAGACCCGTTTCAGCGTTATAGAAGACACAGCGTTTCGTGACACCAATACATTGATACTGATTTCTGGGTTCATGCTTGTATTCATCGAACGTATACACATCTCCCATGACCTCGGTAATCAAGGATTTCGGTTTTATGTCCCGTGTTGCGAACAATCCAAACTTGCTGGCGCAGAAATTTTGTGTTTCAACGGGAACGACGCTGCAGCAGTCGGAAACGCTGTTGGATGAAACTGTTTTTAGTCGACAAGTAGATAATACTTGTTTCGCCTTAGCCGACATTATGTTCCGGGCAATTGGAACATACTCCAAACGATACGGGGTAGACTCTTTGCCGGCATTTGACTCCAACAAACGTTCTGCCGAATGTGAATGGGCATGGGAGCGACGTCGGCGATTGCCAGTTAGCGTAGATGTGCGAGTGGATGTTGTGGACGTGCTTGAACTGCGAGCTGGTGATTGATGCACGAAGACAGAGTCATTGTTCGTCGCTGTTTTCGAAATGTGAGAATGCGAAAGACGAGTCGAACCATGGGCGACTCCCCGTCCCCTAGTACTGCCTGAACGTCTCCGCTGTGGCGTACTTTTCTTTTCCTCGAGCAACTTGCGAGCATGTTGGATTTCATAGGCTCGTTTTCGGTCCACAGGCCGTGGTTGGCACTCTTCACAGATGTATTCGTCAGGAATGTGATTCGGATCAATATTCATACAGACTGCATGCTGCCAAACATCACAGCGTTCGCATTGTATGGTGAATCCGTCATCGTCTTCGAATGAGCAAATGCAGCGTATTCTCCACGGATTCTCCATGAATAAGAAGGCTCATAAACGCGTTATATCCAACCAACTTGAAAACAAACGTACAAATCCAGCGAGAGATGACTTGTCTTTGATTACCGAGCAGCGTTTCGTTGGTGTTCGTGAAAACCAACGACCAAACGCCTTTACACGTAACGGAATAGTGTATATAATTTTGTGTACGCGTAAAGTATCAAGATTACCAGCTACTACGCTCTAAATTGAGTCAATTTGAGAGATCCAAGTTTTATGTGGTTGAGGACGGATACGTCTAAGGGCACCTAGGAACCCAATCCTATCTCCCCCCTACGCAAGCAAACGCGGCCACCACAGATCGACAGTGGGAGGATTTGCGGCGAAACTGATCTGCACACATGATCTACAGGGTCCATACGAAGATCACAAAACAAAGAATCAAAACAACGAAGCGAGAAACAGGAAACAAGAAACGCTTTTTGTAGCGATTTTTCTAATCCTTAGAAGGTTACTTGGCATCACTGCAACATTACAATCCATTCACATCATCACCGTCTTAGCAATTCAACTTACAGCTACCGCCACATTTGATTATACCCTACCGGAAGACAATTGCATTACTGAATGTACCAAAAATTCCCAATAAACAGCCAAGTGAGATTCGAGACACAACTAATCCAGGTCCATAGCGGAGGAACCTGAAGCAGCGTTCTTGTTTTTGCGTTTTTTCGTCGAAACCAAAACCGGTACCTTGCCGGGAGCAGCAGTAGTGGTTTGTTCCATCTCTTCGGGTTCGGCGAGAATTTGAGGAACTTCGTCCATCTTTTCTTCTTCCTCGACGGCCTCGGCGAACTGAGGAACATTTTGTTGCACGAGACGTTGAGCTTCGCGAACTTCTTGGTCGCGTTTTCCGGCCATTCTCTTTTTGAAGAAGAGACGTTCTCTCTTGGAATGCACCTCGGTTACGCGTTTCATAGCCTTCAGAGTAGTAGCAACGAGGTTTCTGTCGTAGCGAACAGGGACATTACGACGAGCAGCAGTGATGGCCAGAGATTGATCATACACCATTTCCTTGCCGTGAGCCTTACGGTAGGCCTTTGTCCAAGCGACCTTAACGAAGCAAGTTAGCAATGGAGTGTCTTTTTGACGCGAAAAAAGGGTGTGCTGATCGCAAAAGTAGCACAAAGCCTTCCCTCAGACATACCTTTCTGGGATTACGCTTCATCTTAAAGTTTTTGTGGCATTTACTGCGGCAAAACCGAAACTCTTTCGCGTCGTTTCGGACGAACATAATACCATGACCAGGGTAAACTGGCCCGGAGCAGAAATAACACGTGTGAATCCTAGAACAGAGTATTAGTACGGTGTACGAAAAATAGTATCTAATGTCTCTACGTACCGCATCCTCCCAGCAGCGTTCTACGACAGTTTTTTTGTCTTAAAGGTGTTGGCAGTTGCAGAGGTCGTCTGGCGGCCTACTCGAAGGAAGCCTTCCTTGGTGGTAAAACTCACCACCAAAAAAAACTGTGTGTTGATGTGCAGTACGGTAAATCATATACTGGGGAATACCATATTGTAGCGAGGAATAGCTGGCGAAGGATCATTGGAAACAACGTATTCAATAATTCAAGAAGAGTTAGTGTCCCGAAAGCTGTGTAGCACATACTATTTGTAGAAGAGTGTATATGATTATTATTATTCTTCAAATCCGTGATACCCGTATTTACTAGAATACAGAGCGAGACGAAAAAAACTGCATCGTCCTTCAAACGGCAAATAATTGCACTACGACGTCTCATCTGGTACACACAAAACAGAAACTAATGACAGCGCATTTCTCAATATAAACATTTTCTTACGCCTTTCTTTGTAACTTGAACATTAAAACTGCAACCGGTGCTGGAGTCCAAAGCAGCCATCCATGAAAACAGCGAGCATTAAAATGGCTGCACGGACAAAGCAAGCTAAAATATAATGCTGAAAACAATTCGGAGAGACCACTATTAAACCTGCGTTGAAGAAAACAGGATATTACGAAGAATAAATAGTTTGTTCGGAAAAGGGATAGACAAACCGTAGCTGGAGGAAAGATAAAATAACACACATGGTTCCGAACTGCAGTACAGCAGTCTAGGAAAAAAGAACATTTAACCCAACACAAATGTGCAAAAAGGAAAAGTAGAAAAAAAAACAGATGTAACAACCCCAAAATGGAAATCCAAAATAACGAAAAAGAAACATAGCAATGCAACCAGCGCTTTAGTCCGAGTGGGTATAAAGGAACAGATACTTAAAAGGTGAAGCGTAAGAAAATGTGTGCCCTGATTTTAGAGAGCGTTTGAGATGAGAAGCGCGTGCAAGCGTTTGCATTATGTGCACCAGATTATTTTGCATGCATACTGACTATGCACTGGTAGCACTTGGAGTAAGTTCTCGTATCAAATTGTGACACGTAATTAAGTATACCCTGCACCGCACTAAGGCTCATACTGGCCAAGAAACATTTCCTCGTCATCAGGCTCTTGTGCTACTTCCTCCATTGAAACGTCACCGTCAGCATGGTTAGAATGCGAAGGCGGCACGGGAGAAGCAGAATGGAGTTGTTGCATTCTCTCATCCAGAGAGCTATCGTTTACATACGTGAATCCCTTAAACCCATTTTGAATCGTAGAAGAAAGCGGTACAGAATTTGACATGTCATCTTCCGTAATTAGATTGCGACTTGTCACATTTGTGCTCGTGAACTCTGTGTCGAAGTTCGAGACATCGCTTTCATTAGAGACCTCAGGTCTGAACGGTGGCTGAACACGTTTCTGCGCAAGTGCATCCCAATCAATACCTCTAAAGAACGGATGTTGTTTTACCTCGGCAGCATCTCCCTTAGCTCCAAGTCTGAGCTCCGGATTTCGGTTCAGTAACTGCTTAATAAAGTCCCGTGCCTCTGGTGAAAGTACGCCTCGAGGAAAACGGACTTTTCCAAACACAATGTTGCGATAAAGCTGTTGTGTGTCATCCGCATAAAATGGACTCCATCCGCAAGTCATCTCGTACAGCAGGACGCCCAGAGACCAGAAATCGACCATCATCGTGTATCCCTTCTCATCAAGAATGACCTCAGGAGCAAGGTAATCAGTCGTGCCGCAGAAAGTGCGGGTAGTAGTACCGACAGAGAGATTAGCTTTTGAGAGTCCAAAGTCACACAAAGCAATGTGACCCTTAACATCCAGGAGAATGTTCTCCGGCTTTAAGTCACGGTAAACAATTCCATGCGAATGCAATTCCTGTAAAGCCAGCAGCAACTCGGCAGTATAAAATTTGGCTCTGTCTTCGGGAAAACGCACGGCCTTTTGAAGATGCCAAAACAGTTCACCACCAGCCATATAATCAGTTACAAGGTAAAGATCAGAAGGCGTCTGAAAAGAGAATTTAAGCCCGACAATGAAAGGAGAATAGCTCAACGAGGTACGGACAAGAATGTTACGCTCACCGACAGTGTGTGCAACCTCCTTTCGACGAACGATGAGCTTCTTCGACAAAACCTTCATGGCGTAAATGCGTTTCGTGTCCTTCTTACAAACAAGATAGACTTGACCAAACGTGCCTTTTCCCAGCAGTTTGAGCACTTGGAAATCATCAGGACTGTACGAGTGCTTCAAGTTTTGTTGACAATAGAAGTACACTTTGGCAGTGAGTCCGTGAAGCCGCTTGTACGGTTCTGTCATCTGTAATTCGAGAACGCGTGTAGCAGCACTCCCAGCTGCAAATGGAGGAATAAACTGGCATTGAGCGACACGACAATTGTTGTTTGCTTTATCATAAATAATTAGCTTCATCTCCTTGTCGGCAGCGACGTCAAAGACTGCATGAAAATCCATCGGAGACGCAGGTGATCCAGCACCAGATTTTGAGGCAACAGTTCGAACACCCAACGCTGAAGATGAACGACTGTTTGAACGAGATTCACGGGTGGGAATGCTGATGGCCGCATTCGTCCGAATGTGACTAACACACATACTAGGAGTTGGAAACGAAGCAGAGTCATAATCAAACACCCCATAAAAGTCTGAATTTTGGTTGAGAAGTTCAACCTCCAAAGAAGGTGTATCTTTACCAGCTTGAAGCGATTCCAAACGAACCTTCAACGTCCCAATTACTTTTTGTTCCGCCTTCGGATAGTACTCAGAGTTCGTACGTTGTGGTTGCAAACCTCCGATCCCGCGCTGAAGCTGACTCTCTTGTTGAGAAGCTTGTGCTGTAGAATCGTCGGGCTGATCTGTGTCTGCCGAATCTTCCTGGTTTCTTGGGCAAGAAGTATTTGAACTTTCACTAACAGCTCCAGAACCGGCTGTAGAGCTTTTCTTTGAGCTCTTGTCGTTCTTCTCATCTCCAGAAACTGACAGTTTCTTGTTCGAGCTCCGGCCTCTTGAAAACCCAAACAAGTTTTTCGCAAATTCAACCATCTTCTTGCATAGACACACAACTACAGCAGGTGGACTAATGAGACGTCTCAACCTTCGAAGAAGGGCAGCAATAGTCGCTCGATAATACGAACTAGCAGCAGCTTGGTAGGTAATAGTTTCTTAAAGCCCAGAAATGGGGTTTTGTTGTATTAATTAAGTTAAAACCAATTCTTACAACCTTTTGAGTTGTATCAAAGTTGAAATTGAGAATACAGAGGCAGTAAAGAAAACGACTGTAAGGTTAGCTGCACTGCTGAGGACAAATGTAGTCGTGGTTCTCAGCTTTAGAATCCACCATGTGGTCAAATTTGCTTGACAAATCATAATAGCTAAGATAAACTTTGAGTTTTAGACGAGATAAATTTTAGTGCGTTGATTCGCCAAAAGTAAATTTGAGAGGCGATAAAGCTACGGCCGACAAACCTTAAATACTATTATCTTAGCGAAGCCATTAAACGGACCCGTATTCGTACAGTAATACAAAAGATATAATATATACAATTGACTTAATAAATAGTAATGGAAATTCATTTCTATTTCAGTAGAAGTTGTCAACGGATGTTTAGAAGGCTATAGAGACATGAATGAGGAGGGCAACGAACGAACACACTATCATAAGAAGGGACGTGAAGAAAAAACAGTCGAGAAAGAGACATAAAAACGAGTACAGAGAAAACAGTAGCTTTTGTCGTCTAACGTACGAGATTGCAATGCATCATTAAGGAAAAGAAGACAAAATGGATAGCTTGATGCCACAAGTCCTTCTCTTAGTGTGTATGTCTGAATAAGTGTTCATGAATGATCTCATGCAATCATGGATGCGAATGTATATGGGGCGAACGTTTGCGAACATGTGGATGAGGGAAGCAAAAAACGGTTTCACGCTCAGGAAAACAAAAAGGGGAAAATCCGTTAACAGCTTCCATGGCTTTTGATAGGTGTCTGAAGCTTGAGGAGCGTTGTTTCTAGTAGATACCGTTGGTCAAATTTTGAAAGAGGTCGTAAAGACGAGTCCAAACACTATTGTTTGATTTTTGGATAAGTTGATCCACAAACACATCAATTTCCGCATCGCTCATTTGGGGTTGAAAGCGATTCATCATTAGAGTGCTAGCACTTTCACGACCACTGAAACAGGGCATGCTGGAGTGCTTTTGCATAACCTCAACGAGCAAAGACAGTTGGTTCGCTTCTTTGCGCATTGACTTGAAGGCACTCTTCATAAGGTCACCGAATTCGTCGAAACGGTCACCAATAATCTCTACATAATCCAGTGTCAGTTAAAGGGGCACTTTCAAAACCAACATTTTTCCCGGTGTATTTGTGAGTAGAAAACCCCAAAATCAATATGCACAACGTGACCCCGTCAGTGTCAATCAGAATATTTCCGTTGTGACGATCCTTCAATTGCAACACATACGAGACCACGCTGTATGCAACCAAAGATTGAATGAAGTTTGTTTGGGCCTTTCTATAGGATTCTGTGTCCTCCGGACCAAACTGTCGAATAAAGTACTCCTTAAGAGAAGCAACCTCACGAGGTGGTTCATGACCCCTCATGATAGCCTCGTTAGCTTTCTGGCGAGTAAGGTTCTTTTTAATTGAGTGAATACTGATTGCGTTCGTAATCGTTTCAACAAGGCCGCTGTTGTCACCAGTCACCAAAATCTTTATGGAGCGAACCCAAACCTTCTCATTGCATGCAGCCCATACGTTCTGGAAAACAGAAATGAGTTGACATGCAAATGTCTCCTGGCGTAAGTCTGCTCCCGTTTTGACAATAACACTGATTAGATCCCAGTTGGGCAAGTGACCATAGGGGGATGAGCGGCGGATACGTTCCTTTTTTACAGACCAGTCTTCGGCGAACATCGCTGCACTCGGATCTTCACGGTCACCTTTGCGTTCTGTCTTGGAGGAAAGCTGCGGATGTGCGTTGTCAATAAGACTCAGGTCAATGTTATTAGGATAAGCCACAGAAGACTCATTTAGACGTTCTTCTTCCAATTTTCTCATTTCCTCAATAATTCCATGACGAATTGCATCCGTTTCGCTCTTGGGACGTTTGGCACCTGTTGAGTCTAACTGGGCAAGCATGACAGCCGCAGCACGCATTCGAGCCGTCACATTAGAGATTTTCTCATTGGCAAGGTGAATGTCCGCTTGCTGCCGTCCTCCTCCTCAACTCTGGTAGGGGTCAAGTTGTTCTTCTGGAAAGTAGAATCGTGCAACCACAATTCTTTGCCGATGCAATTTAGCGGAAAGGTAGATGCCTGAGGTAGGACATTAAACATAGGAGACATACCCAAATCACCGTATTCGTCGTCTGATTCAGAGGAATCACCACCTCCAACATCAATTTCCGGAGAAGATGAACCCTCATTGTCAAAAAGGTCAAAATAGCGTTTCACCTGTCGTTTTTGTGAAAGTAACTTTTGCACCTTAGCTTTGTTCTTCCGAGTGTTCGGTTGCAGAGACAAGTCGGCATTAAGGACTTCAATTGTAACCAGGAATGGTACCCGTTCCGCTGAATTCAGGACGGTTGCTTCTTTAGCATCAATTCTTACAACGCGATGACTCACCTCATTGGAGTAAGTTCGCATTATGGGAATATTAACATCAGCAGGAAGTTTGTTATTCAACAACGCAAGTTCTGCGCGAAGAGCTGAGAGTCGAGCTTCACGAGGAACGATAATTAAACGAATGGAGATGTCTTGTAATGCATATAGAAACTGTGTCTCCTGTTGAAAATAATTGGCACGTAAGATACGGTGCTGCTCTTCTAACGACAGGAAATTGATAGATTGGTGCGACTGGGTGCGGACCAAACTTTGGACGCGAGGATGTAATGCCACATTAGAGGATGAGCTGGAAAACTTTGGTAAGGAGGGACGCGAAATGTCGAAGGGAATAACGTGTAACGGATGAAGATTCTTTTGAGTGGAGATGGAGCTTGTGTCATCGTCATCATAGTGCCTTGGCCTTACGGCCCTTGTGCAATTGCTACTGGGGGGCCATTTTTTTAGTGAGCTCCGGCATAACAATCCCGCCCATTAGCCACACCAGCAAAGATGGAAGCCGGGTACACATTTTCAAGCATTTTCTGTTGATCCTGAAGGACGGACGAGGACATGAAGACCAAAATTTGAAGCTGATTAAACATACGCTTGCATACACGGAAGGCGCGAGTGTGAGGATGAAGACTCAAATCCGACATGTATGCTTGCAAGTACCAAAAGGTTATAAGCGAACATTGTGTGTTAAGTTCACATTGTCGAATAATAAATTCTTCCAAAGCGACACTTTCGGACGTAATGTTGAGAACGAGATGACTGAGAGCAAAGCGTGTTAGCGAATTTACTTATTTGCATAAAGTGACAATAGGGCTCTAGATTAAGCCCATGAATGTCAGAGCGGAGCGAAGGTCTTACATCAATTGCGGAAGGTAAAATTCTATTTCATAATAAGGGAATCTGTAGACGTTAGCTGGTAACTCAAAACAAAAAGAATCAAGGCAATAAAGAGGAGTAAACCTCGCTGAAGAACATCACACACTTACGTTCCGAGTTTCTCACAAAGAAAGTGATGTATCCCAATATGATTAGGGTACAAAGATAAATAGGCAACACACAGTCGGGCTGTAAATTCAGCGGACTGGACAAACTTTAAAAGCATGTCCTACACGTATTAGAAACCTTATATTACACGCGAAACGCACATTTCTAGAGCTTGAAGAAGGCATTGTGAACTGAGCTCACTGTCTAGTACAAAAACATCATCCAAAATCAATCGTCGACCAAAACAGGCAGGTATTAGATTCCTCTAAGCACTAAATCACACAATGTATCCAACAAAATACAACGGTTTTAGTGATGAATTGATGGATTTTGCTCCTGCAACGTCTAGGTGGGATTGTTGTTCTGGGGAGGTGCGATTTCACGAGTTGTCTAAGGGAAGGGTGGGACACTTGAAATAAGCTGAGAATGGTAGTAGTATTGACTAGTGTAAACAAACAAGGTCAGCGAACCAAAAACAGGTGAGAACTAAGTCTCGTCATTCAACGAAGAACTATGCTAAGAAGGAGTGTTATAAATGAAATAAGAAGACTAAGTTACCAGTAGTAAACAACTTGTTCAATACACCTAAACGATAGTAGAGTAACTTTGTGCGTGTATGTTATTAAAAAGTTACGATACCGTAGCTCGTAATGACGAGCCTTGATATTCCGGAAGTTTGAGGCGAACGCTTTAATCCGCGGCACCATGTTAGACTGGGAGGGGTCGATTTTTGAGGTACATCGATAGCATCACATGAATTAAACCTTACTGTATTTCGAATCACTCGCTGGTCTACGCAGTCAAGTAGGAATTTATGAATGTGGTTGAATACAAGACGCCAGCAATGGGAAACGAAACAATTCAACAGTTCAACGGAGATCGGGAAGGCAAACACGTTGGTAGGATCAATAGCGAGTACAAAGGAATGCTGTAACTGTTCAAGGGGTTGCCTCCCAGTTCCTTCAACTAAATAGAGAAATAGTACAAGTGCTTAAACCGTTGCAAAAGTAAAGGAACTGGATGTGTGAAGATGTGAGAGTGTGTGAGTATGTGTGACGGAATTCTAAAGACATGATTATGCATTTCAAAAGTCGTACCGAGAACTAAGATTTTGAAGAAAGCCTTGGAATTTTTCAGCGCCATGTTGTAGGCTGTCTTTCAGGTTTTCTAAATCTTTTACAGTAGTCTCGGCAACTTGGCGGAAAAATTCACTGTTCACGAACTCTTGTTCATTGTTGCCGCCAAGCTCCTCGTCACTCTCATTTTCCGGCTCGCCAAAGTACTGCTTGGAAGAAATAGCATTGGCGTTGGAAAACGAAGCCAAACGCTCTTGGGCCTCTTTTTCTGCTTCAGGGTCGTAAGAGCCACGACCAAAGTATTGGTCGGAAGAAATAGCCTTTTGGGAAGCAAACCGCTCACGGGCAAACGTGGTAACCTCTGCTTCCTTTTTCTTCAGCTCACGAGCCTTGGCCTGAGCCTGTGCACGAGCCTTTGCGGCAGCAGCAAATTGACCGAAACCTAAGCGAGAAAAGCTGGCATCGAGTTGGGCAACGGAACCAGACTTGGAAGAGTCTGTGCTGGAAGCACGAGAAAAGCCGGGGGCAGTAGAATGCTTTTCTTGTTTCGTGGTCGTCTTCTTGGACGCGGTCGAAGCAGTTGCCATCTTCGATTTGAGAGAGTCGGCAACCACTGAAGGCTTTGCAACTGAACCCTTTGCTTTTTCTTGGGGAGCAGAAGCTTTTTCGGCAGGTGAGGAGGAGAACGCCTTCTCAAACTCGTCAAAGTCGGCATCAACATCTAAACGCTTCACTCCCAGCTTTCTGTTTTTGGTTCTTGAGCTAGAGGCGTTGGAGCGAAGCTTGGAAGACCGCGAGGATTGCACAGAACGAGCGGGGATTGCCGAAGGTGTAGTCTTTACTCCGGTGGAAGGGGCAGTAGAAGACAAGGCAACACTGTCTTCACTCGGTGCAGCCGGAATATCGTCTAACAAGTTCACAGGAGCCGCACTAGCAGTTGAGGAAGGTTCTGGATCATTGCTTGTGCGTGCTGCAGATGAAGAACTGCTAGGCTTAGCAATAGCGGGTTTGTCCCAAGCAGCAAAAAAATCGTCGTCATCATCAGCAGGAGTAGAAGACGCCGCGGCTCCAGCGGCCGAAGCGACAGCAAAGTCAAGAATATCTGGGTGTTGAATTTCGTCTTCCTTTGCCAAACGTTTCAGCTCTTCCTTGTAAGACTTGGCTGCCCGAGATGTGTACTTCACAGTAGGATCCTTGGAATTCAGAGAAGCAAGTCCGCCGTGTTCCTTGAAATACCGTTTGGCGTTGCCATTGCCACCGACTCTCATAATTCGCAGTTGGCTATACGACCAACTATCCAAAACTGTCGAACTAAAAACTAAGTCAGCAACAAATTCCACAAAAAAGCGGTAAGAAACATAAGATATGAATCTCCTAATATAACATACCGGACAAAAGATATGTGGACACCCATGTTACGATGAACAGCACTGCAATCTAGGCAAATAAATAGTCCAAAAGTAGCTGAACTCCATGTTGGGTTCTTTGAGCCGCAATCAAAGCAGATCTACATCAATTTGTCAGGTACTAGTCGTTTCTCTTCTCAAACCTTATTGTCCTTCTGGGAACGAAGCCATTCCAGCACTTTTTTGGATTCCTCCTTTGTAGCAGTCATTGGGGTTAGGAGAGGAGCGAGTGCGGTGAATTACGATGTATATTTGGAATTTACTGCGTGGATGGTGGGGGGATAACACTACACCAAAGACGTGTCAGTGGGGGTTTGTTGCCTCCCCAAGCATACAGCTTTGAGCAAAGAAGCAGTAGGGGGACGAACTAGGTAGGCGTTATGGATAGCAGGTGGTGGGATGTTCTGTTAAAAATAGATTCTCGTGGTAATTCTCAACAAATTTTTGGGCTATGTGGTTGAACAATTCTCAAACAGTCAAAGGAACTTTGAGCTTTCCGACCAGTAATTCCATACATTTGTAAAAGGAAATGTATGTTCTCTAAGTTAGTTACTTAACGCAAAGAAGATCTACAACACTTTGGGCTTCAGCTGTTAATGCTTGTTTGTTTCGGTATATACTTAGCTGTAAATAGTGTCGTACGAAAGGTAACGCATAGATGTGTAGATTGTTGTATAATGGAGTGTAATGAGGCAAATAAGGCCTTGTTAGACCTAGTTTGTTACTTTTGCTATTCTATTTTATTACTAATATTCAAGTAATCTGAATTTCTCTTAACCTGAAAGAAATTAAATCACATCCTTATCAAAGAACGAAGCAACTAAAGTTCTACGAGTATTAATCTATTCATTCTATTCATTCTTGTGTCGATTTGGCTCTATTTTTTTGTAAACTGCTCTGTTATCCACCAGGTCATTCCTGGCCAAGAAACCTCCAAACATCCACACTCTGTGGACGAATTTATATATTTTTGTCAATTTTGACCATGACAGTCTCTGAGGATAAAGGTTTGCTGTTCAACACCCATTTAAGTATTAACTAACGGTTTTTTTAGAATCAAATAACGTTGTTGATAAGTTGAACGATGTCGTTCACAGCATCGTTCAAGCGCGGGAGAAATTGCGCTCCGTAAGATCTTTGGACCTCAATGAAGCCATGAGAGCAGAGGATCCTTTAAAGTTTGCTTCAGAAGTCGCCCAGATGATACATTCTTATACCACACGCCTTGCTGTCGCTGCTCGTCCGCCGATTACGGAAGACGCCTTGTATAAATACACTGAAGACATGGCGAACATCGTCGCTCCTCTTGTTGTGTGCGTTGAAGCTGTATCCGAATCTGTCTATGGACACTATATGCACAACAAAGTTGCTCAATATGCCGAACGCATTCTACTCGGTATGGAAGCCTTCCTTCGTAGCGTCTCTCCTTGCGAGCTTGGTCATATAACGGAGGAATGGAAAGTTCGTGGGCGACTTGTTTCAACCGGTATGTTGTGGGAATCATGCGAACGAATGACGGCCTTGGGACAGGGTTTGGTCACCGCTCTTCAAAGTGAGTGGAAAGAGATGGAGAGTCTGTTAGAAGATGCGTCTAGCGACTTACAAGACTGGATTGATGGTGAGGATGAAGATGACTGGGATCTTTTGGATAGTGATAGCGAAAGTGAGAATGAACAGGACAAGAAGGATACTTCAGCTCCTGAAGAATCCCCTCGCACAACGAAACAGCTCGAGCTTGGAAAACTCGTGCAGAACGCCATTTCGTCTTGCAGAATTTTGTTCAAGGCTACTGGAAAGCGGCGACTCGTTGAGTCATCTGAACCAAAATACCTGGATTCACTGTATGAGGCTGCTCAAGGCGTTTCGTCCACAGCCGATTATCTTGTCGCTCAAATTCAAATGGACAGTGATGATACTGACACCCAAATGATTGATTTCGACAAGTCTGCTCGGAAGCTGGCACAAGTTGCTGCTGAAAAGGAAGATACCTTCCAGAAATGGTTTCTGGATTGGATCAAAAATTGGGAAACAAAGGTTACTGAAAAGGTCAGTAAATAATGTATTAAATAGCAAACCAAACTGTGCAACAAACTCGGTTTCGTAGACGCATGTGGGCACTGTGTTGTTTGTTATGAACTTTGAGTATTGTAGTCACACGCACAATTTCCGTAGAGCAACGATTTTTGATTGTGCGTGAGCATGCCTTTCTTAATACCTAAGAGTCGCATAATATCTACAAAGGAGTCGTTTACACACTCAACATGCCCATAAAAACGCACTTTTCTTCATCGCTTAGTTCCAACACGGCTGCAAACACCTGCCAACCACCACTTCTAAAATTCGATTTTCTGAAAGGGAATTGTTGGATTTTCTGTTGGTTAAAGTTCAATACCGCTCTCTTATTAACGTTTATGTAAACGTCCGGTCTATGTCTGGTGAAAACGAGAGGATACGCGAGCTGCCAACTCTCCCGTTGGAGGACCCTGCGATCGTCAAGTTGGAACAACTTCCCGATGCCAAAGACAATCCCAAATCCGTCATTTCTGAAGATGAAACAGATATAGAAGTGTCACGGTCGCCGTCTCCAGCAGATTCTGACCGAATGACCGTTGAAATGGACGAGGACGTTAAAGAGTTGCAACCAACATTGTCAGATACGGTTTCTCGGGGGCTTTCTGCAAGAGCTACATCTGTTCCGACGACGTTTGACCATTTAGACTTTTACTCTGCGAACCAATTGTCCTTTGCAAAGAATGCCAAACGATTTGGTGCCGTTCTACGACGTCGTCAGCAACAATTAATGGATAAAACACGACAGCTGAGTTATGTACAAAATGGGCTTAGACACACATGGGATTCCAACAACGAGCTTCTGGAAAAGTTAGCTGAAAGCGAACATGCTAAGGAACACAAGAAATCGGATGACCCGTTGGCAAATAGAAGCACACGGAAAGTATTCAACAACTTTTCGGCTGGTGACATTGTTCGTTCTGAAGCCGAGTTTATGGAAATCTTAGCGAGTTTGGAGCAAAAGGAACGACAACTTTCATCTGCCAAAGAACATCCTGGAACTGCGCAGATTCCAGACATGGACCTCGATTGGTCTAATCGGCCGTTCCAAGCGTTTCTTGATGAAAATAGGCGACTTCGTACGTGGTTTGCATACCAACAGCTATCTAATCCTGAAAGTATTTGGACACCGGAACAGCATGAATTGTATTGCCAATCTTTTGCCAAGCACGGCAAAAGTTTTGGCGACATTGCGAATGACGTGCCGGGGAAGACCTTTCAAGAATGTGTGCTGCATTATTATCGAACAAAACGGCAGATAAATTACCGGGAAATCAATCCAAACTCGCGTACAAGCGGGCGCCGTAGGAAGAAGTCCGCATTAAGTTCTCGTAAAGGAAAGCAAAAAACGAAAGGCTCGTCTCTCATGGTTGATATCGAGGAAGCAGAACATGCAACTGCCGAAACTAGAAGACTGCATACAAAAAAGAAACGTGCGAATGCATCACCTTCTTTATCACGGGCGGAGCATATTTCAGAACCTGATATTACAAGCAGTACACCAGAACCTTATTCCGAACCCACCCAACCATATACACCTTTGAAGCGCACCTCAGTAGCTTCTTCTCCTAGAACGCGTTCCAGACGAAAGGGATCGCAGGTTGCCGTAAAAACAGCTGGACTCTCACCTGCTGCCGTGCCATCAGGCATCCATGAGAACGAATCTCCTATACTACCGCAGCAGTCTACACCAACAAGCGCGCTTCCTCCGACGCCTTCTCGAAGTGCAATGGAAAGTTCTTCACTATTCCCCAATCGTCTACAAGAGGAAGATGCCGCCCAGGCTTTAGCAGACCTATCCTCGTATAACGTAAATAACGCGTCCGTTCTGAATGAGACTGAAACGACTCTTGCTCATTCGTTAGCGCACAGGGCGTCAGTTCCACTAATTGACAGCACAATTCACGAGGGAGCTACTGAATTGCACCTCCTTTCGAGAGGCCGTGTTTCTGTGGCTACGACAATGCCAAGCCGTGAAATGCATGGTCACATGTTACCTCCTTATCCGTTTCCCCCTTCTACGATGTATTCAACATGCGCGTCTCTTCAAACACTGGCCAACGTTGTCACGGGTCACGATGGGGAGCTTGAAGACCGGCTAGAGGGTGACAATCATCGTTCATAATGGTTGCCCATGAACTTTTTACGACGACAAGTAGAGACTTAGCCGATGGACCCAATTTGTCGATTATTCCTTCAGCCCCAACCCCATTTACATCCATCTGTCTCCGGGAGATTGACCTGTTCCCCAGTGTGTTATTAATATGGTTCAGCATCCTAGCTGTTATAATGGATTCCCATCTCTCTATTCAAATCCGCTCATGCTATCAAAACGTTGTTCGTGTTTTTTGTTACGATTTCTCTTTCTTCTCGTCATACTCATATTCTGTATTTTTAAACTGTATCTCTGATGATGACCCGTGCTTTTTATATCGAGTTCTTTCTCCAGTGAAGCGTGAAATGAAGCTATGTTGAAAGTTATTCATTCCAACTTCCTCGCTACTACATCCATCCGTATAGAGTGATCGGATTCTTCAATGTTGATGCTTTCAAGAGCGTCTAATCAGTATTTCTAACCCGACATCTACTCGAAATTTTTGACATTTTTCAGAAGCCTTTTAGAGGCCCTTTATTTACCAACTTTGTAGAGTTTCGAGTTAGTACAATCACTTCAGCTAATAAGGACTACGTCCTGCTTTTTCTATAGTCATATTTGGCTATGAATCTTTTTTCGTGTAATGATCTCCGCGACCTTCGATTCTCATTGACACCTCACCCACTCCTCAACGGAAAAAATTAGGAAACTACATTTGCAACCAAAACAACTCAAATACACCGGACGTGTTAAATAGAGTGTTGTTTATAAGCGTAGACCGACGTACGCTGGATATTTGGGCGATACTGAACGTTTACAAGGAATTGTCAAAGTTACAACCCTATGGTGAACCAAGGAACTGATAACCTGCTAATGCAGGAAAGAGCTGTTTTGCGCAATACAGACGTTTCTGGAGGACCCATATTAAGCGGAATAAACACGTTGAATGGGAAACAGTCGACAATTGTTCAAGGCCAGCAGTCGCATCTTCCGCAATTGCAACAGCCACAAGATTCCGACCGTGAACGAAGCGTTCCTCGTTCCTACTCGCAATCGTCTAGCGTTTTGACGCCGAATAACGCATCTGCTCTTATTACGAGTTCGTCTACTTTGCCGCAAACAAGAAGGGTGAACCAGTTCAGTAACAAGTTGTACAACATGGTGAATGAGCCATCTACGAACAATCTAATCTGTTGGAGCGAACGTGGGGATTCTTTTCTCGTTTTGGGACATGAAGATTTTGCCAAGACAGTTTTACCTCGATATTTCAAGCATAAAAATTTCTCTAGTTTTGTGCGTCAGCTCAACATGTATGGATTCCACAAGGTGCCGCATATTCAGCAAGGAGTATTGCAGTCAGACAGTCCGAACGAGTTGTTGGAGTTTTCTAATCCCAACTTTCTTCGTGACCAGCCTGAGCTTCTTTGCCTGGTAACGCGTAAGAAAGGAGGTGCTCAACCTTCGGAAGAAACTACGTCTTCTTCTCTTGACCTGTCGAATATCATGGCGGAGCTGCAAAACATTAAAGAAAGTCAGGCGGTCTTGTCAAATGAACTACATCGAATTCGCCTTGACAACACAATTTTATGGCAGGAAAACTTGGAGAACAAGGAGCGTCAACGTAGGCATCAGGAAACGATAGACAAGATACTGCGGTTTCTTGCAAGTGTATACTTAGAAGGAAAACCAAAACCAACTACCCAAGTCTTACCTAAGAACCGTCGGCTTCTCTTAGAGGCTAAAGTCCCGTCTTCTATGTCCAAACACTCTCCCAGTAATTTATCCACTGCTTCGAAGCACACCGCATCGCCTCAAGTTGAAAGAGATACGCCACAGCGCCGTAGCGTATCTAACTCGAATGTTTCGCTCTCCACAATCGCCTCTAGCGCTAGCTCATCCGACTTGTTGAATGTTAATAAAAAAGAAGTTGGTGCTGATGTTTCGAACATTGCTAATTCTGGAAGCTTAATATCGTCAAAGCTTCGATCTGCTCACGTCTCGCCGCTTTTGTCAAACTCAGAGGAAGGCATGGCTTCGTATCGTCCTCCTGGAAATCCATCAAACCTTGCGAATGGTTCTGCCGTTTTTGACTCGCTCTCCATGCCCACCGATCCGCCAGCAACAGAAGAGACTCCAAACGAGGTGTATCTCCAGGATTCGTCAATAAAGCCTGTGGATCCTGGTATTGTTTCTGTACCGAACAACCTCAGATCTTTGTTCCCTTACGGAACGCGGGACTCTGACTTGCAGAACAACGTACCTTCATCATCAAACCCCGTGACGCCCGAGTTTTGTAACGATGAAGATTTACCTAAATCAGCAACTGCACGGAATGGCGACACGTCTCTCGCCTTTCCCTCTGCACTTGACTTTGGTAATTACAATCCTAATAATTTCCGTGCCAGCGATGCTCGAAGCATCGCTATGAGTCATCCAGACTACGCTGCTGACCAAGAGCGGTTCCGCAGTTTATCGGACGGGATTGCTAAACAAGACCAGAATATTCAAGCCTTGGCTGATATGCTAGGTATTCCCCTCGATGAGACAGCTCCTGATCCCGATGTCATATTTTCTACTTCACCTTCGACAACAAACTTCCCATCGCAATCACCTGCCGCTATCGAGTCGCTCTTGGGTGCGAATGATGATGTATTCCGTGACAACAATCCCGTTTTCGACGAATTCACTACCATTTCGAACATGGATCATTCCGAACATGATTCATCTACCCAGATGTACGGTAGCAGCCAGCCTACTACCTTTCCGCCGCTTAAAGTATCATCGTCTATGCAGCCACAGCTTAGTAATGGCGCTGTTCATCCTCAACAACAGAATGACATTGATACGGACACTCTAGAAACCTTAATTCCGAATCCGATCCGAAAGAAACGGAAGTCAAGCGTGAGTGCTTGATGTGTAATCTTTCCTGGTTTCAATACCAAAGGTTGTATGAGTGTGTTTCAGGCGTCTAATTTGTTTTGTCGATGTTCAGTCATCTTTGGGCTGTGACGGTTTCATTGAGCAAACCAATTTTTGTTCGTTGACGATAGAACTTGTTGTTTCATGATTTAAATCTTTATGGTTAAATTGTCATCTGGCAATTTACGTTTGATGAGCATTGTTTTAGGAAAATTTAAAAAGGGGAAAAGGGAAACTACTAATATTATCTTCATTTATGTTTGCTTACGAATTAGTACTGTAAAAGGATGCAATGTACCTGCATATGAACGCGTAATTGTTGCTTACATTGTTAGCAACAAAAAGCAGGACAATCATCGCATACGACAAAAAGGACAGTGACAGAGGAAATGTATAATGAAAAAGCCAATGGTATATAGAATTGCAAAGATTGTAATAAGTCATTATGAAAAATATATCTATATAAATACCATAAGCATGCCAAGAGCAGCCTTGCACATAAAGTGAATGCTGTCGCGTGTTTAAAAGATGATTACAAATGAAGGTGTTTCTTTCTTTCTTTCAACGCCCCATCAATGTCTCAGCTTAATAATGGCAGCGGTATGGAAACCAGCAGGGGGCAGTAGTTTGGGTATCGGCCCACCAGAAGGATGAGGGTATAGTAGGAAGCTAAGCACCCCTAGACAAGTTCCGTCAAAATAAACGTCGTGCACTCGTAAACGTGTGCACAGATGTATACCAACGAGAAAGTTTGTAAAGCAGCATCAGCAACGATGGAGTGCAAGCACCTTCAATGTGCCGGCACTTAATACTCAACAGCATCGGCATCGTACATCTCATTGTCCATGGAGTCTTGACCAACTTCCTCATAATCCTTCTCCAAGGCAGCCAAGTCTTCACGGGCCTCGGAAAACTCACCTTCTTCCATACCCTCACCAACGTACCAGTGAACGAAGGCACGCTTGCTGTACATGAGGTCAAACTTGTGATCCAATCTGGACCAAGCCTCAGCAATAGAAGTGGTATTAGACAACATGCAAACGGCACGGTTAACCTTGGCCATGTCCCCATTGGGAACATGTTGAGGAGGTTGGTAGCAGATACCAATCTTGAAACCAGTGGGACACCAGTCCACGAACTGAATGGTACGCTTGGCCTTAATGTTGGAAACAGCGGCTTGCACGTCGCGGGAAATCACGTCACCACGATACAACAGACAGGTAGCCATGTAGCGGCCAGTGCGAGGATCACACTTGACCATCTGGTTGTAGGGCTCAAAGCATTGATTGGTGATTTCCTGGACACTGTTGGCCTCGTGGAAAGCCTTGGCGGCGCTGACAATTGGAGCATACGTGACGAGGGGGAAGTGAATGCGAGGGTAGGGAACCAAGTTCGTTTGGAACTCATTAAGATCAACGTTCAAGCTGCCAGCGAAGCGCAGTGAAGCAGTAATGGAAGAAACCACCTGAGCAACCAGACGGTTCAAATTTTCGTAAGAAGGACGCTCAATGTCCAAGTTGCGACGGCAAATGTCGTAACAAGCCTCGTTGTCCACCATAAAGGTACAATCAGAGTGGTCCAAGGTAGCATGGGTCGTGAGCACAGAGTTGTAGGGCTCTACCACGGAGGTACTGATTTGAGGAGCCGGGTAGACGGAGAATTGCAACTTCGACTTCTTACCGTACTCGGTAGACAGACGTTCAAGCAAAAGAGCACCCAAACCAGCACCAGTACCACCGCCGAACGAGTGGAACATGAGGAATCCCTGCAGACCAGCACAGCTGTCAGCCATGCGGCGGATGCGGTCCATTACACCATCAATCATCTCCTTGCCCACGGTGTAGTGACCACGGGCATAGTTGTTCGAGGCGTCTTCCTTGCCCGACATGAGCTGTTCAGGATGGAACAGATCACGGTAAGTACCCGTACGAACTTGATCGATCACATTCGGCTCGAGATCCACATAAATACTCCGGGGCACGAACTTGCCCTGTCCGGTCTCTGAAAAGAACGTAGAGAAACCATCGTCGCGAGGTCCACCGGCGGATTGTGCAATAGCTTTTTCTTGAAGATAACCATCGGGTCCGATACCGTGTTCGAGACAATACAGCTCCCAGCAAGCTAGAGGTCGAGTTAGAGCACCGTTTCAGCGTAAAAGAGCATGGAGTGAGCCCTTGGAACAGCTCTCATCCGAATTGTTACATACCGTTACCAATTTGAACACCTGCCTGGCCAACGTGAACGGAAATAACTTCTCTCATGCTAACAACGGTAAATCAAACGAAAGGAACAACTAGATACACTCAACAACCGACTATTGAACGGAAATTGAGAAAAATGAGAGCGTTTCCCACTGCCGTAATGAGACGTGAGTGGTTTGCAGAGGAGAGGTTTGGGAGACCAGTGTCCGTGGTGTTGTCCTAAGGGAAGGGTGGGGCCGGTCACCCAAATAAGCTTTTAAGTGATGTCATCAAAATGATACGAACAAAGAAGTCCCGACTAGTAGGCAGAAAGGGGGAAGAAAATGCAAGTTCTTTGTGTGTTCGTCTTTCAGCCTACTCGAGCTGTGATTGGGACGAATCCAGAAGGCGTCGCTTCAGGACTCCACCGCAAGATGGCAGCGTACGATTCGCTTAGGACGGTTTCGGTACAGCGACGGAGTTGCGGAGGTGCTCGGTGATTATCCTCGGACACACTAGTACTCACTGCATTCCGTTACAATGTGCACCATCTCGGTAAAGTTTGTTATTCCGTTTACCGTATCGCGTTATACTTTCTAGATTGGTAATAGCGCTGCATGCGGTACAACATTAAAGTATATAACGAATGTTATCGAACGCTACCGCACTCCTCAACAATACACTGCCCTTCGTATCGCCGCCACTTCTTCTATGAGAAATATCCACCACCAAGCTCTGCGAATTCAGCGCTTTCCCATTACTATTAAAAGCTGTGACGGTACTCTGAGTAGGGGTAAATGGGCCTTGGTGTTTGATTGATTGAATATTCGCTGTAAACAGCATCTTTGGAACATACTGAGGTGGATTTTGGCCTAGTCGCAGAAATTTAATTTTTTGATACGCCAACATGGATTTGAATGATGACCTTTTAAGCTGGAAGTTGCATGGAGACAATGGTCGCTTTGCTGGGAACGGATCTTCTGCACCGAAAAAAGCCAATAACTTGGCTTCTCTTTCTCGAATGCAATCTCCTATGCAGTCACCGAAACTTCAGGCAATTGGTTCTCCAAGAGTTGGAGGGAAAAAGTTCAACTTGCTGCACTCCAAATGGTCTGGTGGGTTAGGTGGATTTGGAGGTGATGCTCCCAGTGGTCTGGGAAATAGTACACCAGTGACACCATTAAGTGAGAATCCGCCTTCTTTGGGCGACATGGGAGGTTCAAATGTGATGAGCGGAGGCCTGACTGCTTCTGAGAATCTGGCATCGCTGTTGAACAGCAGCGATTCCAATACTTCCTCCTTGCAAAATAAGCTGTCAGGCAACGAAGCTAACAACGAGGGAGTTGGAGCTAATCCATCTTCCAACACGAGTGTGGCATCAACTACTCCCGTGCCTCAGCCTACCGAAGACACGATTCCTACTGCCATTGTCATCAAGAATATTCCCTTCTCGTTGGAGAAAGATTCGTTGATCGAGTGTTTTAAGAAGCTTGGTATTCCCAAGCCTTATGCATTCAATTACCATTACGACAACGGTGTGTTCCGTGGTCTGGCTTTTGCGAACTTTTACATGCCTGAGGAGGCTCGGGCCGTTGTTCAAGCTTTGAATGGCTACGAAATAAACGGACGTCGTCTTCGTGTGGAATGGAAGCGACAATTGCCCGCTGCAGAGCGTGAAAAATTGGAGCGCGGAAAAAAACGGGTTGCCGAAGAGCGCAGAAAGCAACAGCAAACGAAACAGTACTGCTACAATTTTTCTGCTTACGGTTTGGATATGAACGATCCCGCGACACTCGAGGTCTATACACGTATTCTCCTTTTCATGAATCAGCGCCCCCCTGCGCGCGAGCTTGTGTTGGAAGCTGGTTCTGAAGATACACGTATGCTGAACATCATTCGCGTGTTCTGTCTGCATCTCGACCTTGAGTACTATGCCGTTCCTAATGGCGAAACATGCAAGCTCGTTGTGTCCTCTCCTGCGAAGCATTCCACGACTACTACGACTACTTCTCAGTCACAGCCGCCTTCCCCTCGTATGCGCTCCATCTCTGCCCACAACCCCATTGCGTCTCGTTTTATGCAGGAACATGTGGTTCAGGGCATTCAAAGTGCGCCTGCGACTCCTCCTCCTTCGTTGGAACTTTCGCTTGCCCAGCTGGGATTGGACAACGATCTTGCTGGCGCCGAAGACTTTGGCTTGTTCAAAGCTCGCACTAAGTCTGCGCTTTCCGAGATGAATGGCAATCCCCTGGCCAACGTGAGTTCCATCTGGCGTTAGAAAATCCGTGCAGGTGTGAGACGAAGTTGCACGTGCCCTTTTCTGCATGTTCTTGGATCTTTGAATGTTTGTTTATTTTCCCTGATGTCATTTCTTGCGAGCAAAATGTCTTGTTGATCCAAAATCGTTTTCGATGAATTGTCTGTAATGGCCGCTTTTTTGGTATCGATTTTTTTCTTTATTCCTTTCGTTCACTGAAGCTGATGTGTATGATGATGATGAACTGCTGAAACACCTCTTTTTCCTCTCTCGAACCGGGAGTCCTGTCGCTGTTCCGTATTTTCCTATTCCTATGAGTGTTTGTGTACGCATTTGTTCAATATGGCCTCCCTCTGTGCAGTGTTACTTCACGGCCCGGTGGTTGTCACTATTGCAATGCGTGTCTCCCTTTCTTGATATACTCTAATTTTCTGTTTTTGTTGTTCACACTCTTTTTGATATCTCTGCTGCTTCCGATAATGTACCTTTCTTGCAGCGAGCAGATTCTTCTGCACATTCCACATGTTGTTGTGACACTTACACTCGTATCTATTTTGTTGCTACCATGCTATGTTCATGCTTTTTTGTTCTCCATACAGCCAATGTGCTGTTTCTATGAAAACCAGTATAAGAAAAAGGCAGTTTCCGAATGGACAATGACAAGGGCAGCTATGAGTTCAAGATTAGCTGCCTCTTTTAAAAAATGCGTGAAGACTGACTGGTTCATCGCTTGAAGTTATGAAAAGCCGTATAGTCTTCCTGCTTGTCATGCACTGCGTGTCGGTGTTCTGTATTGCTGCCTTGGTTGTCGTTGGGCTCCTGTTTCTTTACTGTTTTCCCAATATATAGACAACTACAATAATTCGTTTCCTCGCTACTTTTATCTTATTAATCCTATTTACTACAGGCGCTATACTACTGCTTTTGACTTGGGATTTGTCTATTACTATAACAGTACGTAAATTCTGTTTTACTTGTGAATAGAATTGCGTTCCATCTATAGAGTTCGTTATTTGGGTTTGCGAGCGTGGCATACCGTGAGTTTGAGTCTAAGGGCTGTTGTAGCTCAATAAGCTTTGCCAAGTGCAAACCACAACATTACAATTGAGCGGTCTGTATTGAAGTTTCCTACTTAAAAACGAAAAATAGTTGTTGATTTTTGCAGCATATACGACCAGAAACTTTTTTATAGAAGATAATCTAGTAGGCCGTCGTTATGGTACGTGTTCGGCTGACATTGACGATAATGTAAATTCATGGATCAATTGCTCATATATGTCTCTGAATTAGTTTGGACGAGGATTTTTCACGGACAGTAATGCGGATTTTCCCATGTTCCCGCAATTTCAGAATGCATTTGCTTCAAACGCGAATCTCACTTTCGATACATATTACCGATGCTATCCTACAGCAATGCTTCCTGGTGAAGAGCGGCCAAACTTGAATTACGGAGGCAAAGGTGTGTCTCCCCTTCATAGACGAGTGATTGATGTTAACCTGCCGTCCGTTTAGTCATTCTTCCACCTTCTGCTTTAGAAAAACTGTGTACGATCAATATTCTTGATATGTGTCAACAGCAGCTAACTCTGACTATGAATAGCTCGTTTGAATATCAGTTATCCCATGCTGTTCGAATTTCAAAACAAACAAACGGGTCAACGAACCCATGGAGGTGTCCTCGAGTTTATTGCTGATGAAGGTCGCGTCTATTTACCGCATTGGGTATGTTTTCCATTAACGGCCGTATACTGGTCCATGGTTGTCCACATCGCTAACATGCATTGCAGATGATGAGTACTTTGGGTGTTCAACCCGGCGATCTTATTCGTGTCATCAATACCGACATTCAACAGGGAAGCTTTGTTAAGTTGCAACCGCAATCGTCAAACTTCCTCGATATAACAAACCATCGGGCAGTATTGGAAAGTGCGCTCCGAGACTTTAGTACCCTGACGCAAGGGGACGTAATTGAAATTTTGTATAATGACCAGGTCTATAAATTGGCCGTTCTCGAAGTGAAACCCGAGGATGGTCGAGGAGTAATTTCTGTCGTCGAGACTGATCTTGTCGTCGACTTTGCTCCGCCAGTCGGATATGAGCAAGAAATGCAGCGGAAGCAGCAAGAAATGGCTAAATCAAAGGTTCCTCCAAGTGTCGAAGGAACGATGGCAAAAAGAATTCATTACGACGAGCTCGTTGCCAAAGGCTCTTCGCTTTCTGCCCACGGATCCGGCTCAAAATTGAATGGCAAGGGGACCAAGTCGAAAAGTCCTGTTGCCAAAATTGATGTTACGAAACAGCGTGCGCCTGCTGCGCTTGATCTCCCGTTGGGAGTGTACTTCTTCGGTTATCCCTACGTACCGCCTAAAAATCAAGCTGATGAAGCGGATGAAGATTCTAATCGCTTTTCCGGTGCTGGATCATCTTTGCGAACTGCACGCAAACACAAAAAGAATTCAAAACGTTCGTCTGGCGCCGGATCCTCTGTGAACCCCATTTCTGTTTCCGACTAGACGCACACTTCATGAACTCCCCCCTTCTCAATCGACCGGTCTACACATGATATGAACACGGCCCTACGAATCGAAGTCTTTTATACTGCAAATGACTTGATTCTTCTCTCGCACTGCTAATATCGCTAAGTCTTCTTATGGCTCGCTAAAGCTCGCTCTTTCGCGTAGCAATACGTTGGTGCGGGGAAACCTACCCTAAGCGGATCGTGACTGCTAATGTTAGTGTGCATTGACCCCCTCTGTACTGCATACTCTCAAGTTCCCCAGCTCCAACATGTCCGTTGCATCCAAGGTAAGAGAGACTATTTGAGCGCGCGCAGCTCAGCAGAGATGGTTTATTACAACCGAAATGTACCATTTTACGTCAGCGACCAGGATTGTCTTTTAACGCGCACTGAGAAGCTCAATTTGCTGAAATGAATGAATTGAGGTTCCAGGTGAATTTGAGCCGTTTTTTGGCATCCTCTTGCCATCGGAACCTTATCTACTGTGTCTGCTCCGTTCATTGTGCTCATGTTGTGATGATTGAGCCGGAAAACTGACTTTTTCTTAGAACCTTTTTGCTCTCCTCGGAGAGGACACTCCCTCGGAGGCCCCGGCTGCTGAGACCAAGCCTACTCCTGCTCCTCGTCAGTTGACCGCCAAGTCCACCGTTTCCAAGAAGCGTGATCCCTCCAAGCCTACTCCTCGTGAGCGTACTGTCGCTAAGAAGGCCGAGCAACCCCGCAAGTCTTCTCGCCGTCAACAACCCCAAGGCAACGCTGCTGCTTTCCGTGAGGGTCGCGAGGCTGTCGAGAGCAACTTGAGCCACCCCACTGAGGGCGCTCCTCAAGGTCGTCCTCGTCGTGGTCGTCAATTCGATCGCCGCAGCGCTACTGGCAGAGTTGACACCAAGAAGGCCACTGAGAGAGGTTGGGGCAACCCCGTCTCCTCTGAGGTCAACGCTGACTCCGCTGAGCCTGAGGAGGGTGAGGGTTCTGCCCCCGCTACTCCCAAGGAGGAGGACAACGTCAAGACTCTTGATGAGTACCTTGCCGAGAAGAAGTCCACTGCCAAGCCTGTTGGCCGTACCGTCACTGACGCTGATGTCGATGCTAAGTGGGCTAAGGTTACCAAGCTTGAGCGTACTGAGCCCGAGGACCTTTTCAGCTCCGTCAAGAAGACCGCCTCTGGTTCCAAGAAGTCTAAGGACTCCAAGCCCAAGAAGGTTGTTCTTGAGATTGAGCAAACCTTCGGTCCCCGCAACACCAACACCCGTGGTGCTCGTGCTCCTCGTGGTCGCGCTCCTCGCAAGGCTGAGGCTCCCAAGGCTGCCACTCCCGCCGCTCCTACTTTGACCGAGGAGGAGTTCCCTTCTTTGGGCGCATAGGCTGGTGCTCCAAGAATGGGTTCGAGTGAATGCTTGCCGACGTTTTGTCGACGGACAAGGGTGTAAAAAAATGTTGGGCGATAGAGGTTTCATGTAGTCTCGCAACGTATCACACATCACCGAACCGTTACGCCACCTCTCCGAGCTTAGAGTTGTTAAACATCGATTCTCTGCTTTCGAACTAAAATAATTTGCAGTGAAATTTGTCCTGCTATGGGGGTTTTTAAGTGTTAAGGTGTTTGTACCGAGGGAGAGAGAGAACCGGTTTGTGTTTGAGTCAGAGGTGTCGTCCGTCTGTTAGTCTTGGGCTGACATACCGACGGAGTCGCTGTGTGGGAGACAGTGTCTCCTCCGGTCTATTCACTTGGTTTAAAAGTGCTGGTTTAACTGGGGTATTATAGATGGAAAGAGGCTTTTGTGTCCGCTGATGTCTGTTGGGTACTGACTGTCTAAATGGGAAGAAGGGGTTTCGTATTACTCGGTCGATTGTTAGGTTTAAGAAGTAAGATGCCGTCGTGTAGGGAGCTAACCAGTTGCCATTTTAGTGCCGCTAGATGGTTTACAAGCTTGCAGCTATTTCGAAATAAGCGCATCATTCGTGTCAGTCGGTAACTAAAAGTGTTTATTTTATGGAATAAAGCGTGTTAAGGGTGTAACTATTCATTTGCGTATTTTTAGATGGTTAAAGGGGTGGTTTATTGAGTTATTCTCGTCGTAAAGATGGTCTTACTGCACAATTGCGCGTATTGAGTGTCGACTTGTGTTCCGATATAATTTCCATGACACAGTAGACTTAGTCCTAGGGTTTAGAACTAGTCTTCTGATGTGCGGAAATGCAATATTACATCGAGACGCTTGTGTGCGCAAGCATTCTTACTTTGTATTAATATATCTAAGCACGGTTTCATGTGTCTTTAATAGATGTTTGAATAAACGGGTCTATAGTACGGGGTTTATGACATTTGTACATCTAATGTTTAGAATGAGATTCGGTATGCTAACTTGGGTTAGAACATTATTACATAATTTTAATAATAGATTTATGGAATGTAAGTGCTATCAAATTTCTGCTTTAATCCGTATTTCTTGGAGATGAATTAGTACGTTATCCCTACCCCGTAAAGTTCTTTGAATAATGTAATTGTATCAATTACCTGTTTATTGGTGAACTTTGGTATATGAAAGAAATATGAATTACTGAAACACATACATCAGAGATTATGCTGAACTGCTAAAACAGACGTATTGTTATATTCAAGCATTTCCATCATCTTAACTTAAACAATACGATTTATTAAGTATGAAGTAGAGAGTAAAAACGAAACACCGCATATCAATATTGAGATGTTAGGATAGCAAGAGTTGGTTTAATGAAATTTGAAACTTCAATGAATTTTCAGCAGAACATTTTGTTTTAAAATCGAATATTCAACGAAAGCTAAGAAACGTATAGAAATATTAATGGAATTTATAATACCCTTTCAATGCTGATACTTCTATAAAATGATGAGATATGAAAAGCAATTTGTGAACAAAAATGTCAAGAGAACAGATGAGAGGACGGGCAACAGAAGAGGTGTAATACGAAAAGCAGCAGAAAACTTCATTGGGAGACCAGAATACACCCCATACATTAGAATTTTTACTTTATAGTCTTTGCGCTTGTGTGTAGTATTCTTGAGAGATTGAATCCACAAACAGTAGTTTCCGGCTTTGGGTAAATCAATCGTAATCTCTTTGACCGACGACTCGTTAAACGAAGGACTAAAAACTCCCTTCGAATATACGTATTCAGAACCGTTTAGAACGACAATGTCACCGAAAGCCGCCGGGTGTCCAAATTCGTTTGTCACATTACTCGTAATGTCAACAGTCTTGTTTGCATCATATACAATATACCCAAAAGCAGCATCTTTGTGACATTTCGGACTCAGTTTTATGAACGGCTGGTAGTATCCATAGTCTTCGAATTGGTAACAATTTCCACTTACAGGCCAAGTAGCCACTTCTGAGTACACAGTGATAATGTTAGGCTGCCCATCGCGTTCAATAGGTAAAGTTAACATTGTGACGCCCAAACCTCAAGCAGAGGGGCACTCTCTCATTTTAACATGACTCCTTTAAACAAAGTCTGTGTTAAGTTGTAAAATCATTACTATTTTCTGTCCATACTTTTGACCCACGGGTTAACAGTACGCAAAAACGGCTCTTAACATGATGAATAGTATATTGGAATAGGAAAAAATTCGGACGAACTTATTACAGCGCGACAAAGCGGAATAATGTTCTCTCGTGTTAAATGAAGCTAAACGAATTTACCCAATAATAATTGTCTTACTTACTACGCTGGAAACACTGCAAACCTTGTGTATCAAAGTCTAAGACAATGACGAATTTAAGCTTTCAACCGCGTGTGTCGCTTAGTCGCAGATGCGACAAATAATTGCGACATTTTTCTCATTAACATGAACAAGCTAATACCAACGTCCTATCATATTCCAGAGACAACTGCAAATTCCCTGTGATGATATGAGCGTGTTGATGTTGTTCATAACCTTCCAACCCAAGCGATATATGCTTAGCCTTCACCCTGAGTATGGAACTTGGTTGCTCAAATAGTGAATATAAATAACTCCTTTCATGGAGCGTCACAATGATTAATGCCGTTGGCGATACGAGGGAAATTTTGTGAACTTGCAGCTGTTGACGGTTCATCTAGTCCTTTGTTTATGGAAGACGCTTCTGTAATTGGCAGATAATGGGCTTGGTATATACAATTAACTCGGATGAATAGTGTATCTTGTATCCGTTTTATGAACCGTTCCTAAATTCGATTGCCCGTTAACAATACTTTCTATCTCATCTTAGACAGAGTGATATAATGAATTTCTGTCATTTCAGGCGTGTCACTGCATCAGCTACTATTCAATCTAATTTCATAAGTTGTTTTACCTCTAAAGTTTATGATTGAAACTCAAAACATTTGAATTTACGGTTTGCAATTATATTAACTGAACGGCATCTTAGCGAATTAAATAATTTACATATTTATCATTTCTGTGTGTATAGAGAGAATTACAGGTGGGTGTTAATTGTTTCAAATTTACTTCCCCTGCTAGTTTTAAGTGAGCGAATTAATATATATATATATATATATGATTAATGGATGAGCTACACGTTCAACGTTCCAAATCTAACATAACTGAGATCCGATCAAATCTAAGAATCCAGTTGTTTGCAACACGAAATCATGTTCTCTAACGAAGGTACTTTAAATTATAAATTATAAATTATCAACAGCTTCTTTTAGATACCCAAGACAAAGTCGAAGGGTTCTGTCTCTTTAGAGTTTTTTTTGACGTAACTTTTAACATGGAGGTTATTTGAAACCATCTTAAATTCCCAGAACTAATTTTGGTTTTATGATTGCCCACCCATGTCAATAAAATGGCGATACGTTGAGCATAGAGAGATATACAGGTGCGCTTGCGCTCGTTCTGTTCATCATATTTGCTATCCCTTTTGCATTCGCTATATTTTAGTGCACTGTTCTACTGGCGTCTACGAAATTAGCATAATGGCTTGATGATCATGTTACATAATATTAAGCATTCTTTTAATGTGTCGGCTGAAACGTATTTTTTTCTCTTTCAGCGATAACATACACACGCTTATACAAATATTGTAAACTGTGCTTATGAATTCTAATGTACGCTTGCAAATAAAAATTACGGAAATCAATTGAGATCCAAATACAGAATTTAGCATTCCGTTACATTTACCAGCTTCTAATCTTTTCCTGTAAGTCGTTAACAACGAAACCCAGTACACTACCAAGTTTGATTGATTGCAGTCTTCAATATCTACAAGTTCGTAACATCGGTATATTATATCTCGTGACGAACATTACGGAAAGAATGAATTAGTTTCCCAGAATGAACTGAACACTCGGGAATTGCTATCGAGTCGAAATCCCTTAATTTTAATTCGTTATGCGAAAAATCATAAACAGTTTAATTAATTAATTAATTAATAAGAAGGTTGGTATTTGGACAAGGTCACTTATAATCGCGCTCGATAGTATCAAGATTGCGCCAAGTTGAAAGAGTGGAGTGGGCTGCTTCAATAATTAGACAGAGGATTTTTATAAACTTTACATTAGGGTGACACTTAGAGAATAAAAATACTATTAACAACATTTATTGAACATTAAGTATACAACTGTTTTCGTGGAAATCCCCAATAGTCGTTTATGACGCTAGTCAACTTTGTTGTGGAATAAACAACGAAGTAAAAAAACGACCCGACACAATTGAATATTACACTTATTTTAGTCTACGATAATAAGGTACTGCAAATCGAACTTATCTGAAGCGCCTTTGTATACTGTTAAATTATTTTGAATGTGTTCTGTCATAACTACCTTGTCCAAGACAGTCAATCATAATAATTTTTTTTATTGTGACCTTCTCATATTAACTCTCGTAAACTAGACACATCTTTTTTTGAATTTTTCATAGTACATTGCTTATGTTCGCAGCTGATATCTCCTAGCTATGCCTCTTTAACTGCAGACAATCTCTCATACCTCTTGCGCTCGGTTAAAACCTTATTCCATTTAAACTCGTTGTCTTACGCGTTGCCAATTACATCATGGAAGTTTGTTGTGTAGTGAGTCGCGTCAACCCCAACGTGTTTTGCGACGCGTTACGTGACGCGACGCGTCGCGTCGCGGGGTATAACTACGGGCATGCTGCTCGTCATTTACTCACAGCTAAGCTGGCAACGTTCACCCTGTACCGTTCTATGGATACCCTGTTCTAATCATTAAACCTCATTTCTCGACATAATATTTCGTCTTTCTTTCCTTTTGTTAACAATTTGAACCCAGGGTGTTCGTTTTTTTTCCTAAGCACTATTAAATATGGTTGAACCGGTTGAACGCGTTTTAGGACCATTGACTCCTTCGAAATCTAATGTTCAGGTCCTCCGCTCTACTGATAACCATTCTAAACTAAATTTTGACGCGCTGGAAACGGAAAACTTGGCGCCAGAGACGCCTTCGTTACACAGGACAAGCAATACTTCAGATCAGAACGAAATGAGTACATTTAATGCCTCCAAAACATGTCCTCCGAAGCAGAAACGTGCTATTTCGGACACTTTCAGTTACAAGGTTTCAAGCTGTGAAAGAAAATCCATTGGAAATGGGATCAGAACGACCGATCCAATGTATATGAAGTCTTTCACCATTAATCCTGTCAGAACCAAACATATCCGACCTGATGTTCCCGAAGATATTCGAGAATGTGCTCAGAATCTCCGTCTAAGACTTCAATTGGCCATGTACAAGGTCCAGGTGAATCAACCGTACTCACCGCTTCGGGAATTGCCAATCGTTTCACGTATGAAACTTCCTACCGTTTCTAAAACAGAATCCGTAACTACTTTTTGGGAACAAAAGACGCCCGTATCCACTACAAAACGACCCCTGCATATGTCGACACCCACTGTCAGTCGAATATTGCAGGAATCCCCATCTAAACCACCTCAGCGTGTTGGTGAACAACTCTTAACGCCAAAGGGATCAGATACCACATGCTCCAAACCAACATTGTCAAGCCTACAAAACCGAATGCTCCCTACCGACAGTTCTCCCGCATCTGCTTACCGGTCTCAATCGAGACGATATGGTATTCGTTCTTCGGCCGCGTTAATGCAATCCGCTTCACCGTCTACTCGAAGACTACGAAAGTCAATGTCTTTGTCGATGGTTGGACAAAAACGAACAAGTTCAAAGGCTGATTGTTGTTCTACACAAGGAACACCCACGAAGTGCTATAGTTTCTCCACACCGTTGAAGAAATCCAAGAGTGTGATCGAGGAACGAGCGCCAAATTCGGCCAACAGTCGCGAAACCAGAAACGCTGACAAGGAAAAACCCTCTAGCTCACTTAGTGCCGCTGCACATTGCTTGACACAGTTAGGTATGATGCGGTGATCATTTACCATCTTCGCGAATAAACCTCCCATATTCCTTGCTGCTGCGCATTATACCCTTTGTGGACTACGACGAACAAGTGGCGTTGTTCAGACTTGGTGCAATCCTGAGGAACACGCATGCTCTAAAAGTCAGTCCCATACAAAATCAGATCCCTCGTTAGGCATCCATCCTTTCATAACGGACATAAGCAAACGCTTTGCCTCCCTTCTTTCTTTGTTTTCCTCTTTCCAATTCGCATAGTTTGCGTCGTTCGTTAATGCTGGTTGAATTGCTTTTAACAAATGCATGAGTTGTCGTCGACAGACTAATGACATAGCCTTCTCAAAGTTTGTTGCTTTCACGCCAGAGCGTATACCGTTGTGAATAACTTCACGTTGCTGGACAACGTTGCCCATCCACAGTTGAACGTTTGTGCTGGTCACTTTCTTCTCACTACTGTTGCTTGTGTTTGCATATTCAAAAGGCACATCACACTGCAGAACTTGAAACGGTGTAAATTTGTAAGGAGGAATGCATACCTCCGCAAGCGGTGCCAAACGCCCTGTTGCACCGAAAGCTCTTTTTATGGCAGACTCTTCAACCACTTCTGTTGGTAGTACCAAGGTGCTCAAGTATATAGGTTGGACTAATAAACTGGTCTGTGCATTACAAAGCGATAAGTATTCTCGAGCACTTAGTTTATCGGAACAACTTTTACTCCAACTGCACGGCGAATCCGCGCGACCGGGTTTTGTTCTTACAATGCCCAACTGGGAGAAATCCGCGCGACCTCTTAATGGTTGGTTGGGTGTTTCGTTCCTTAACCGCCATGGTTCTTTATCTTTACTTTTTTTAATAAGCAATTCCATGCTTGCATCTCCACATGGACACTCAGAAACATAGAGGTGAAACGTCATCTTTTTTGGGCACTTAAACTTGTCTTCTTTTTCCTTTTTAATGAGGATGTTTGAAGGTTTTCCTTCCTTAATGTTTTTTATGTTTTCGAGTAATACACTTGTTAAACATTCGTTAGTTGATGAATGCGCTGCTGAATCCCTTACCGATTGAATCCTCGTAGAGCTAGGATTTCTGCATGGCAATCGTGAAGAACGCAACCTAATTTTGCCTGATCGATTTTGCTTACAGCATTGCTGTCAATGTCAGCAAAAGATCAACTGTCATAGTTCATTCCTGGGTAACAGGAAGGAGAAGGGAGAAGGGAGAAGGTTGGAAGGTCACCTTCAGAAATACTGTTGAAGTATGAACGCATTCAATAGTACATCTTTTTGGTCCATATAATACACTTACCATTTTACACCAGTGCTAGCAATCCGTTAGTAACAAAATCCTCTTTTCAAGGCAACATACGCGAGACTGATGCACTCAAACGTGTTTTCTTCAACATTGTGAGCAACAATTCCAGCCAAAGTGGTCCATTCCTTTAGCCCGTTTGCTCGAACAATTGGTTTTCCGTGTGATGGCAGGCGACGAAACGCGTCTAAGACGGATTGTGCTACTGAATTGCCAAATTGGTTTTCGTCAGTAAAAGGAGAGACCATTTTCATTACAACTAGACGCGTTTTCTAAACGAAAATGTCTAGTGATAAATAGGAGGAGACTGCTACAACAGCAGGCTGCGCTTTTTGTTAAGATGAGTCAGTTTCAGTACTGACTCTCTAACCGAGATATTTCGGTTATACATTCGCTTAATCCGCTTAAGCTTCCTAGGCACACAAATTCGCTCTTACCGTTCACCCATCACACTTGACGACTTGAATTATGTCAACGGTCTTTGGCCATACTACGTCCTCCGGTGGTTCCAGCACCACCGGCGATTTGCAACAAGATATAATGGTATGTGTTCTTTTTGGATAATGGCATACTTACGTATCATTAGGTGCAACAGCCTCCTGACGACACCGTCTCGGACTTGGCCTTCTCCCCTCAAGCAGAGTTTTTGGCTGCTGCTTCTTGGTATGTACACGCTAAAATGCTTTCGTTAGACGATTGATTCGTGTTTTTCTTCAAGAATCGCATCGTAAAGCTTAATTTTCGCGATTCCTTTCGTTTGCTTAGCGAGAAGCATGAATACCAAGAAAAAAAAAACGAATTAATGAGGTCTAACCTTACGCAGGGATAGCAAAGTCCGTATTTATGAGGTTCAACCTACTGGCCAAACTATTGGAAAGGCCATGTTTGACCATCAAGGTCCCGTTCTCAGCGTTCACTGGTCGAGGGACGGTACAAAAGTTGCATCCGGTAGTGTCGACAAGTCTGCTAAGGTCTTTGACATTCAAACCGGACAAAACCAACAAGTAGCTGCTCATGACGATGCCATTCGTTGTGTTCGCTTTGTTGAGTCTATGGGCAGTGCACCCATTTTAGCGACGGGTTCATGGGATAAAACATTGAGATACTGGGATTTACGTCAATCTACTCCTATTGCTACCGTTAGTCTCCCGGAGCGTGTATACGCTATGGATTCCGTACACCCTCTTCTCGTTGTTGGCTGTGCTGAGCGCAATGTTGCCATCATTAATCTTTCCGAGCCTACTAAAATTTTCAAGGTTACTATGAGCCCACTTAAGTTCCAAACGCGATCAATCGCTTGTTTCCCCAACTCTGAGGGTTATGCTCTCGTGAGCGTGGAGGGTCGTTGTGCTATTCAATATGTCGACGACAAAAATTCTAGTCAAAATTTCAGTTTCCGTTGCCATCGTAATATCGTTGGTTCGAACGCAGATGTCTACAGCGTAAACTCTATAGCATTCCATCCACAGTACGGCACGTTCGCTACCGCTGGTTCCGACGGTACATTCAACTATTGGGATAAAGACAGTCGTCAGCGTCTCAAAGGATACCCAAACGTCGGTGGTCCCATCACAGCTGCCGCATTCAACCGTAACGGCAACATTTATGCATACGCTACAGGTAACGACTGGAGCAAGGGTTACGTCCCCAACAACCAGCAGCCTACAAAGATCATGCTGCATCCTGTACCTCCAGAAGAAATGAAGCCCAAGCCCAAGAAGACGAGGTAAAAATTGTTATGACATTTATTCCCGGCAATCATCACGACTAAAAGGGCGGTCTTTGTTTGTCTAAAAAAGTTACTTGTGTTTTGATCCTTCTCTTTAACGTTCCAGCAAGTTTTTGTTCGTAATGTGTACACCAATATGGCTACGGCGTCAACAATGATAATGTGTACTTTTCCCTTGTTCGTGGTTACGTTGGGGGTAGTTCATGCTTTATGGGGTATTTAGTTGTATCATTGTCGACGTTTAATTTCCATTTGTGGACAACGGTGTCTGGAAACAGTACTGGAGGCTCATAAGTATTTTCATGCTATCTGCAACATCCGTTTTCATTACGGAGACATCAGTATTTTTTGATGAAGTCTGCTGCTGCGTTTAAGTGTGTGTGGGATCAACAAATTTGTCGTGCAACAAGCGCGTACGTTCTGTGGCTTTTTGCTTCCAGTCATTCGCTGCAGCTTGATCCAACTCGAAACCGAGCTCCAAGTCGTCCTTAGTGAGTAACGCACCCAATGCTTGTGCTTGATCCAGGGCGACTCGTTGCTCAATTTCCTCATTCGCCCGAAGATTATAAAATTCTTGAAGCGCCTTGTTATAAGCATCTTCTTGTGTCATAGTTTTATGCTCCATGAGCCACAAGGTCCGTTGCACGACACTTTCACCGTCAAGACCTTTCCTCGGCTGGTCCATACGACTCCAGTCACAGTAGACGAAGTCTTGACCATCGTTCTCGGACAGTATACGAGGACGAGCAAGCTCCCATGGATGCTCTTGGTAAAAGCGTTTCCGCAAGGCGTCCTCCGGCCACCTAAGTTTGCGTAACTTAAACATATTGGCACGGACCTTACCGTTAGAGCCGCACTGGCTTTTATGGCCGGTGGCTTGCCATTTTGCAACTGCCTTTTCGTATCCTGGCACAATCCTCTTTTGAAACTGAAAAGTTGGTGGTGTTTGTACGACTGCTTGATACCATACAGGCTCTTTTACCCAATGCTTTCGCATTTCAGATCCAAACTTTTTTAGGATTGCATTTGCCTGGATGTTTGGAACCTTCATTGTCGTAGATCGCAAAAAAGCAAGCAATTGGTGTCTACAAAAAAAAGGTCGATTTCGTGAAGCGGTATCTACGAACTTTCAACTCGAGCCAGGTGCGTTTTTTTTTTTTGAAACAAACGTTGGTTAAAACCAACTTGAAATGATCCTGGAACCTTCGTCTTTTGAAGCCAACTTCAGCAGTGTGTTATGTAACTCTCTTTACTCAGCAGCTCATCGTTTCGTGGGTCTTGTTTTTGGTGGTGAGTTTAAGCAGCGCGTTACTAAAAGGTGCATTGGAATGCGTTGCTTATCACAAATTTTCGCTGAATTGCACTAAATACGTTAACTGGGTCCAACGTGTTGCACAGTAACGCCTTAGACTTCGCTAAACTCGTCTTTCTTGCAGTAACTTGGAGCTCTCCTACTGAACATTTGCAGCATCAACCGTCGGAATGCTGCAGGGCTGGAAAGTGGTGTATGGTTTGTTGCATGAGAGAGAAAAAGATAAACTCAGTCTTTAAGGTTCCTGTTGGTTTTTTGTTTTTGTTTTCGCGTCCGAGATCCTTTTCCAGGTTTCGCGAGTTTCGTTACTAAGTCATGAATTTGCTGCTTCGGCGGCTACTATGCGATATTTTTGTTTGTCTGGACCAGGAATTGTTTGGAATGCTGTAACCCTGCGACTCTGTGGCCGACTTCGGATTCTATCGACAAAATGCAATTTTAGAATCTTTTACTCGACTACACGTGTACGGATCCATTCGACGTTATTGTCTGAGTTGAGACGACCTATAAAACATTCGGTGGTTTGTGACACCAGTTGGAAAGGTGGACTGTCACAAAAAGGGAACTCCATCGAGGATGTGAAGGATGACGTACAGAAGGATGGATCGGGTTCTTCCTTTCAAGAGTGGTTACAACAAGTCCAACGACTGCATTTGACATTGCCGGCTGCGTGTGTGGATGTGTCGAATAATTACTCGGCTACTCCTTGTTCGGCTATTGGAACAAATAAACTGGGTTCAGCAACTAGGGTTTGTCCTTCTCCATTTGATGGGACACGCATGAAACAATGCCAGGACGAATGGCTCAATGTTCTGCAAAATCAACTCCCTGACCTTGTTCAAGAACTGTACCGAATGCAACCATGGTTGGCTGTGTTTACTGTTCGATGGAGTCTACAAACGTGTGTAGCAACACACGCTGAATTCAGTGTCGTAAATGCCTGTGTGCACCACTTCTTGCTCTTTTTTATGCGAGCCCCATTGCCTTTGCAGCTTGGCTTGTACTCGACGTTTCTCGACGTGCTTCCTCCGTTGACTATTGCATTGACCGATTGTACTCGGTACTTGTGTTATCGTACATTGCTTGCATTTGTTTTCGCTCACGATGTGAATTACATATCGGCATCCTTTCTTGTTCATATGGCACGGTTGATTTTTGGCGACAAATTCCAGCCTCATGAACGAACGAAACTAGAAGCGTTTCGTTCCACTCGTTTGAAAATTGGAATTTCCTCTCTGCTGCAAATTGCCCGACGTTCGGAAGACGTCCGGTTTGCGTTGTTCCTCCAGCGGGTGTGGAAACAATTTCGGGGCTCAACTGATCTTCCCAAACGATGGTGTGCATTGTTGCTGCAAACGTTCTCTAAGCATTCTTGTTTTAAGTTCGTACGGGAAATAATCACAGCAACAGCCCATGTCGGCCTGCTTCCGTACAAACCGCCTGTTATCGCTTCCCGGTTGATGCCATTCCTGCAAAAAGGAGATGTTACTCGTATCCATCACGAATTACGTCGTCTTCGTTTATGCCCTGAATTCCGTGGTGGAAACGAACTGAATGCATACGTTCTTCGTCAACTTGTACGCTATAACCGGCTCGCACAAGCCGAACTCTTTCTCCAGCATATTTCCCCCAATAGTGCACGAACCGAGGTAGTAATAGCCGCCGTGTTGTTACTGTACAACAAGCAGCGCCGTTATGAAGAAACAATACAATTGTACTCGCAATATTTCGGACGAAGTATATTGCAAGTAATCGTTGGTCTCTTCAAAAAGTCTGCTTGGTCCCCCTCTCGAGCTCGGTCCATCGTTCATCGACAGAATGCCGTTCAAAAAATTGCAACCCAACATTTAGTCTATGCTCTTCTGCGACTGAACCCGCAAGCTTCTTTTGCGCTTGTCGGGCTTGGACATTATTTGTCTCTGTTCTCTCAAGTGACCTTTAACTCGTGCGACCGTCGAATCATCTGGCTTCTCGTTCGATGTATACTAGATGACCAGTCATGTACTATAGCAGATGCCATGGATATGCTTCAAGCTTTGCGGGCTGCCTCGTACATTCCTGACGCAACAATCGCACTTAGCAAATCCCTTCCACTTTTAAATGCGAGATTTCATAACATGGATGAACTTCGCCACGCCCTCTTGCAGGAGTAAGTAACTTTGGTGCAGTTTATGAAGCTACCCTCGCTTGACTTGATTTCAACTAGTTCACATCCTCGACCAGCGAGCATGAATTCCTTGCTACAATATTCCCCCCATCACATGCTTCATGTAACTTTACATCCACCGTTCTTTTGTAATACCGCCCTTCTTCCGTTTCCTTTCTTTCGGCCGATTATATGTGATTTAGAGACATTTTTATTACTGTGGTTCAAAAATAAAATAGAATTAAAGTGACCAATTGGTTAATAGTTACATATCGTAGTGCAGTTGTTTTAACATGACTTGAGTGGTCGTAAAATAATATATTAGCAATATGTATATTGTCTTCCTACTGCATATGAGGCAATTGGGTATTAAAGTAATCAGATGCTAGTCAGTCAATGAAATTCAGTTATCTCTATAAATTATTTTGCATTTGTCTGTAATCTAGGTGCGCAGCTTAGGAAATTTGTTTAATTGTAAGCGCTCTAATTAAAGTCTGCAATAATTGGATAAGTGGTAATGACTTCGTAAACTAAAATACTATAATTAAATCATCATCATACTATTGCTTAACCTTTCTGAAATGAATGCAAGGAGAACACCGCTAGAATTCCGCTGGATCAATCAAGCTCGTGAAGTCACTTTCTAGACGTTATGTTTTATTCTATTGAAGAGGAAAAATCAAATGTTAAAAGCTGTAAGACGATACACCGATTGACAGCAGAACTCGAATTTTAACATAGCATTTTCGGCATGTAGTCAAGTAGCCAAAGAACATTTAGAATTTGAGTTGGATTTGTATGGTTAAAAGAAGTGCCAGCAATACCTTGCTCAATGTTACAGGTTTATACTTTAAATTATTAGTACTATAAACCTTCTCAAAAATATACATAAGTATTCCTTGCACGATCATTTTTGACTATTAATACGACAGAAAACATACTACATGATTTCTACTATTCATAATCACTATCTTACATGGTTACCCATTTATCACGATTCACGCTTTTAGCATTGGCTATCTTCTTAACTGTTATATTGTGTCATTCACTAATTGACTATAGATAATTCTCATTGTTTTATACGCTTTTATATTTTTTGAAATTTTTTTTTATTTTTTATTTATTTATTTATTATTATTATTTTTTTTTTTTGTTATTAATTATTTTTTTTTTTGTTATTAATTATTTTTTATTTATTGTTTATTAATTTTGTTCTGATTTTCCTAATTTATTCATCTTCTTTATTACCTCATTATTACATAGATTCCTTTGTTACTTCTCTACTCCCCGCCTTATTCATTCCCCCCTTTAACCCCGCAATTTGCACATGTCTCCGTCATCTTCCCCGCCGCCTTACATCCCTGCTTCCTCTATCTTAAGTCTTTGAATGGTACAGCAGCTTTGTCTATGTAAAATGGCTTTTGATGCGCCAGCTATGATGCATTAGTTTGTCACTAGTAATCAAAGACAATGACGCATCCGTTACCCCTGACCCGCAAAATCCGTGCGGCGCACGTGTGACGGGCAGCTACTTATTCCTAGCAAAACCCAAGTTACGCAGCTCAAACGCAACCCGGTTAGAACCAACTACATTCCAAACAATCTCGTCCTTCGTGGCAGTAACGTAACTGCAAATCGGTTCTCTTCTTTAATTGTAACAATCTCTCTTAGCTTCATGGCGCAAGAAACTCAAGCGACTGAATCTCCCGCTCCCGCTCCTACCGAGGTTCGCAAGTTCTGGAAGTACGAGCGTACTGGATCTCCAGAGGCCGTCCTGGAAAAGGGTGAAGGACCTGTGCAAGATGCAGACTCGCTGTCCCCTACTCAAGTTCTTGTGAAGGTCGCGTACACAAGCCTCAACCCTTTGGATTACAAGGTGATGAGAATCCATCGCATCTTCGGTAAGGTCGCTATGTCCTTCCCCGTCATTCCGTGTGAAGATTTCTCCGGAACGGTGCTTGCCGTTGGTAAGGATGTGAAAGACCTTACTGTTGGCCAAAGAGTTTGGGGCGTCAAGGATGTTCGTCAATTGCTTTCTACACACGAAGGTGCACTCAGTACCCACCTCGTGTGCGACAGCAGCTTGACAATTGGTCTTCCTGACACTGTATCATTGAAGGAGGCCGCTGGACTCGGTATCGCCGGTATGACTGCCTTCCAGGCTTTAACAGAGCAAATGCACATGAGACGCAACCAACGTCTTGTCGTTATCGGCGGCTCTGGCGGTGTAGGAACATTTGCCATCCAAATTGCCAGAGCCCTAGGCTGTGAAGTGACAACGGTATCATCCACGAGAAACTTGACCCTGTGTCACGAGTTGGGCGCCACATACACAATTGACTACACAACCGAAGATGTTTTGGACAGACTCAACGACCTCGCTCCTTACGATGCCGTCTTTGATGCTGTTGGCGAAAATTATGAGTTGTATAAGAACTCCTACAAGTTCCTCAAGTCTGATGGTAGCTATGTGGGTATCGCCGCTGATTTCAAGCTCTCCTACCTTTCGCTGAAGCTTTTGCGAGATTTTCGTCCTAGATTCTTAGGCGGTTCAGTGCACAAGTACACAGATTTCACGTTGAATGTCCAGCCTAAGCTGTTGAAGGAGTTCACCGACTTCTTTACAGAACACCACATGAAGACGGTGGTGGACAGTGTACATACGTTTGATGATGCCCTGGGCGCCTTTCAACAATCCATGTCTTCAAGAAGTCGTGGCAAGGTCATCATTAAGATCAGTGACGATGCCTAAAAAACATCGTTTGAGGGGCCAGCCCTCGACGGCTCCCACATCGCTTCTTGAAATTTTTAATGTTCATATGCTTCATTCTTTCAGGCCTGTTTAATTAACTGTTTATCCTTTGCAGTAATAGTTGATGGTTTCATGAATAGTCGGTTGGTTGGACAAACTGGAGAGGGCTTTGTCATCAACATCGTCAATAATAGCTTTCACCTAAATACAAACACTTGTCCTGTCACGTCCCTCATGCTCCTTGAGGGATGTTACTGGCAGCTATGGGGGCAGATACGTCCTTCATAACAATCGTGGGTGTCATCAGCGTCGGTGTTGGTATAGATGTAGTAATAGTGTTAGGTTGAGAGTCGTTCACACCCGCATTCAAGTTTGCAGCAGCAAGTTTTTGTTCGAGGGCATGTAATGCTTCCTCACGGGCTAGCAACTGGCGACGCTTTTCCTCAATCTCCTTCTGAACGGACATCTCGATAGCTCGCAGACGTTCCTCCTCCCTGAGAATATCAGTCTGGACATTAGGAACGATGGGGCTGCTCGCGTTGAGAACAAGTTGCGATTGTGAAAGCTTCTTCGTACGGTAGTTTTCATAAAGTACATCGGTCGTCATTTCACGCAATTCATCCAGATGGGATTGGAAGAGTGCCGAACGTAAGGCTTGGAAGTCTGAGTGCTCGGGGTTGTCAACTTCAGCAATTCCCCACGGATAAACACGAGCCCGACGAACCTGGCCGTTTATTTCAGCAAGCTGATCAGAACTGACAACAGCAAATGGCATCAACGAGCGAAGGTAATCACTGGCTTGGATGAGATTATCATCGTGCTCTTCCGCGTTGACAGGAAACTGATACACAGGGATTTGATAGCGCTCTATGTCCTCGTTTATAAGCTTTTTATTCAGTTCAAGTTCGTCTGGAGTTAGGGAATCGGCCAAAGCGATGACGGGGAGAATATTAACACACGGTCCCAGACGCCGCATCAGCTCAATGTCTAATTCGCGTAAACCATGGCCTGTAGGTGCGATGAAATAAATCAACGCGTGTACGCGCTAAATAAAGTTAGCACGCATAAACGTGAGTGATCGGAACAAAAGCTCCATTTCTCCACATACATTATCCTGAAATCTGGCGTTTCTCTTGATTCGTGATTCCTCTTCGAGAACATTGTCAAATTGTGTCTCGATGTAGTTCTGAATAATTTCAAAGTTATTTTCATTGTTAATTGCCTCTCCAAAATTAAGTGCATCCAAAACAGTGAGAGAAATCTTTGTTTTATCTTCCATTTCCAAATCTACCGTTCTAGGTGAGTCAAAAGCCACAATCATACGCGTTTCTTCACGCGTTTTCACCACTCCGTAGAATGAATTCTAACATACCCGCATGGTAAGGAACAATTTCGACATTTGGAGTAGCCGCAGTATCAGCAGGATCGAAATTATCACGTCGTTGAATAAGCGGCCGCTCGCACAATGTGTTCACAAACGCTGTCCGACCAAGACCACTTGTTCCTACCACCATAAGAATGAAAGGAATACCCTTTTTCGTGGCCTTCCGGATAGTTCTTGAACGTGTCGCCGTATGCATGACCGTACCGATATCTCAATGTGCGTAGTATGTGTGTTATTAGTGTAGAAGGGACGGGAAACGGGGGAACGATGTGCACTGGTGTGTCTGGGAATTGGCAGGTTATTCAGCTGGTACGCGACGACAAAGGACTCTGGATGATGTCATGCGACCAGCATTAAGGTTTCAATAAAGCTTCCATCCCCGCAACCACGTGGGTCCCTTGGAACTCGAACAATAAATGAAAGCCGACAAAGGCGACACATCCGTCACCTTGCTGTGACCTCGGTCTTAACAGCGTTAGAGTTCGTCAACATGTGACTTTAGCACGTTTGCTTAAGCCGTGGACGAGCGGCTACCCGCTGAGAAATGGTCTCCACTCGTGGGAAGTGGAGAACGGTAATGCGGGGGACACAATCATAGTACTAACGAAAGCGAAAACGCCGTTCCCGATCTTCAAAATAGCGAGCCCTTTAGATCTCATTTTTGTGTCTACATCACCTCATCACCCACAACCCCAGTCGCTTCCTATCGCTCTTCGTCGAAGAAATGACATGCGAGGGACTCCTGTCCTCTCCACTCCACATATTTCACGTGCGAAAGAATGACGTAGCTATCTTCTCCCCACGTCCCTTTCGCTTCGATAAGCGGGCGACTTCTGGAAAAGAAGCCAACGACAAACAGGAGAGCAACGCTAGATACTCTTTAGTAAACTCTACCAGCACTACAAGCTGCTGCGTCGTTAGAGTAGCCTCCGTCCCCTGGCTCCGTGCATATCATCCGCTGCTATTTTGATGTCTGTCGAGTGGGAAGGGCCTTATTCACGGAGCAACTCTCGATACGCCTTCAGCGAATAGGGGGTTTTCGCGGGAAAGAATGAACTAACTCAGCGGTTCGTGATTTGATTGGCTATTATTAGCGCCAAATAAGCGACACTCGTTGTCACGCTCGCCTGTCTGTAAAAACTGAGAGATTCGAAAAAAGCAGCAGGTTTTCTGTGTGAGCAAAAACCAGAACTGGGTTGCTCTTCGTACAAAAATGGGAGCCTGAGAAAGTTTTTTGGAACGATTTAATGACCCCATAGAGGGCCGACCGCAGGCTGCGCCCAGCCGAATAAAGTTTGTCCGCACCTGACAAGCAGCCCTAGAGCAGCCGAAAGCCTCGTTCTTTTCATTCGTCAAAATTCGCTCCCCTACGGGGTTCATTTTCGCTTCTCATTCGTCAGGGCCACTTTTTAGGCTGGACCCTGCCACGTCTTTTCGGCTATGCAAGTCACGAGACATGCATTTTATTCCGAAACTCCACCCTCCCATCTCGCTCGTCATCAAATCTATGTCTGCTATTCTCCAACTTACGTCACTCCACTAACTGGAGAGCCATCTTCGCTCGTCGCATCCAGGCTCCCTGGTTCGCTCGTAACCCTGAATCGTCGCACGTCATACAACTCGAGCCGCTGTAAGCCAAGTGCCATATGCACCATTCGTCCAAATAAGTGCCCTAGGCTGTCTAATGAAATCGCTCCCCAAGGTGCAATTCCCTAGAAGTGGATGCAGTTAAGCATTAACGATTCGTTCCGTCCTCGCGGTCAGCAATCTCACGTAAAGAGCCGTTCGTAACGTCTCATCATTGTTTGCATGCTTTGAAAAGGTCACGAACCGTTTCGAAAAATTAGCTTTCCAGAATAACGTCATAGCAAAAAGCAATTATATACAGGAGGAATGAAGGAACAGATGTGTTTCATACAGACAAGCACTTCTGTTGTTCATTTGTTGTATGCTTTTGGAGATTCGGTGAGTCGCGCCGTTTCGACAACCTTAAATGCGTTCGTAGTCTCACACTTCCCGGCTTCATTATACAAAACACGGACGAAGATTCACCACCGTGGTCGGTGGTGCTTCCCTTCTTTCGCGTACATTTTCTTCCTGTTCACGATTTCACGAACGTTCGCTTTTTCTTCGTATCTTTGGTGAACGAATTTTAAGAATTGAGTACTCGTTCTTACAGCAAAAGTCGTTTCTTTTACACGCGTTTACAACCCAGAAAAAAACACATTTTCGGCTGTCAAAGCGCTATTTTTTCTGAGATATATTTGTTTCTTGGTGGAGGTTGTTTCATTTGACACGTCTTTTCCTACATTTTAGTGCGAAATCTTGTTGCTAAGGCTTTTGGCTCGGTGCTGTCTCATCTCTCTCTTGCACTGCGTGCCTGCATGAGACTACAATTCAGGATCTGTCTTTCGTTCGAATATTCAGCAATTGATAGGAATTCCTAGCTGCCAGAAGTGTACTGCGTCATTTCTTACGTGTTTGTCTCAGCGGCGAACATTTTCGACCTTGCCAGCATCTCATTGTGTGCTCTTTCGAGCTTTCTGGCCTCATTACCCCAACTCGTTTGACTTCAATTCTTCTTTCCCTTGTTTTTCCCCAGTATCCATTTGCCTAATTTGCTTTGAGACTCACTCACCGTCTTCTCACCCGTTATCTTTTTGCATTTCTAATTCCTTCTATACTCCTTGACTGGTGCGTGTGTTTTCTATTATATATTTCTCTATTTTGGTCGTTGCTATTCGTTTCGTTTGGTTCATTTCCTATTAACAGACCTGTACGTCCTCGTTCCCCATATACTCTCTTCTCTTTCACCCTCTCTTTCTCTTGCTTTAAAGCTCACACTTGGTTTTCTCTCGTTGTCGCATATAATTGTGGAATAGCTCGGCTGGTTTAATCTCGTTCTGTCTATTTATAATTTTCTCTCCTTTTTCGCTCCCTTACACGCATTGAACTGTTTTATGTCATCGCCTCTTTCAATTGATTAAAATGAGCATGTCTAACGAAGATGGCATTTCTGTTTCCCCTGATCCCAGGACGGACAGCAGGGCTTATCCCTCAACTGGCTTATACTTTCCACAAGGATATCCCTCCCCACACGAGTCGCAGGTCTCGCTACCGGTCTCCGACGCCACGAATTCTTCTAATAAGTACCGTAAAGCATGCGATGCTTGTCGATTGAAAAAAATTCGCTGTTTGGGAGAAAGACCGGTTTGTTCAAACTGTCAGAGTCTGAATATTGCTTGTGTTTACGGAGTTCGCAAAAAAAAACGTGTGGTTGCTACAGAAAACTCGGCCACTGGCTCTAACGTAAACATTGAGAAACGACTTATTCGTATTGAAAGTATGCTCCGTTCCGTCGTGAACTCGACTCAGCATCTCAATGCGGATGCAGCAACCAAATCGTTAGAGGATAATTTGGGTGATGCCGAGTACGGACTTAACGAACCCTCGACAATCGCAGAAATTGACGATGCCGCATACACTGGCAACCACAAGCCCGGTGGATTGTTTGACGGATTTTATATGAAAGACTCTTTGGGCCGGGTTTACACATTTTTGGCCCGTCCTCATTTCTTTTGTTTTTAAAGCATTTTCTTCAGAAGTCGCGACTGCTATGAATCGAAAATTGGAGTTTCCCAATCTTAATGATGTATTTACTGTTACGTGGAGTCGCCTTTTTGAAAACTCAATTCCGGACATTAATGTTCCCTTTTCAAAAGATTGGGCTACTGAGAATGTCAATTTTTACTGTGATACTGTGTATCCATTCTTGCCGATCTTTTGCAAGGACCGGATATTACAGCGCTTTTGCCATGGAGCAGGTTTTGTTGCGATAGATTCGTCTACAGAGCTTATAGACTACGCGATCTTCAACCTCCTCCTTAGTATGGGCACATTTCAACGTCAGAGTCGACTGGTCACAATGGTTGAGGAGATCCCCATTCTTGACTTTCTTTATTTCTTCAATCGTTTCTTGCGCGCATACAAAGTGCTTACGCTAACCCCTTCGACACTCTCCTTGCAACTACTCATTTTGGCAACAGTCGCTTTCCGCACATTACGGATGATGGAATATTCATGGGAGGCTTTTGGAAAACTTGTTGTGATGGTGAAGGCTATGGGTTTAAGCACAAGCTACAAATCAGTGAACCTTTCTGACAATGAAAAATATGAACACGCATGCCTAATGACGTGTGTGTTTATGCTAGATCGTTCACTTGCCGTTTCATTTGGACGGCCTCCCCTTATTAAGGAGGAAGAATTTGATCTAAATCTCTTTCACAGCTATTCTTCTTCGCATATATATGGCGAATATTCTGAGGTATTTGAGAGCTTTGTTCGTTGCTACATTAGCTTGACATGCATCCAATCTCGGATAATAACGTTTTTTGATTCGTTGTCGCTCAATCCACCGCTGGAACAGGTTATTCAAAACTTGTACACCATCGATTTCTCGTTGGAGTCCTGGTATAATTCCCTAACCTATCCTTTACAACACACAGAAAATGATCCCAAGTTACATGCTCACACCGTTAAGGTTAAATATCTTCAGCTTTTGTACATAAGTGAGCGATTGCTGCTTCATCGGGTTCCTTTTATTCACAAAGTTACACCGCCTTCTACAATTAATGGCCGACAAGTGGAGTCTAGTTACGATATATGCATGCAAAGTGCTCGTCAAGCTATCATGCAGCTTCGGAACATATGCCTTGAGACGATACTGACCGTTCCACTGTTTCGAGAAACAGCGTTTATTTGTTGCGTGGTCTTGTTTCTTGGACATGCTTTGTATCCAGACAGGGAACCTACGGAGCCCGATATTAAGCTTGTCAAGCTGATGCATGTAATATTCACCATTCTTGGTCGGAGCTCTACAAGCCTGCGTGTTTCTTTTCTTGCAACCTATTTGAAAAGGCTCATTCGTTTAATGGAAGAGCTGCCCGTTTCCTCGTCCTCAAAAGTGCCTATAGAAAACACATTGTCCATGCTACAGGATGGCGGCTCCCTTGACTTGAAAAGCATTACAATGCTAAATACAGACTTTTCTGACTTCTCGAGTGCATACTCTTTGGATCAAACGCCTGTTGATACGTATCCCAAAGATATGCCAACCACACTTAACGAATTTCCTGCCAACGTTATGCTGCCTAATGGTGGTATATGGTCCTCCTTTAATTACTCAAGAGAGTAAGTACGCTCAGTTCCCCCAGATTATGTTTTGTGTAATAACTCCTCGCATCTAATGTTCTCTCTCATTTTTGGTTCCCGGGTGTTTTAATTCCAAACCGCTTACTATTCGCCTTTGTTTTTGCTGACGTACCCAAAAATTTTTTCCACACTCACGGCAACCTTGTTGAAATGGTCGTCCAGTCCTTTCTGCTTTCACGAGTTTAGTCCTTTTGGCAGCTTTTATATGTGCTACCTATTTTAGCTAAACCATGCGCCCTTATTGATCTTTTGCTTTTAGATTTAATTAATAACTAGACTCCTCGTACGAATTTACAATTGGTGAGTTTTAGTTTGTATTCTTCAAATCTTAAACGTAAAAAAAGGTCTGTATGTCAATAGATAGTTTGTTTCCTATTTCTTTTTACCATATTTGTTCCAGACTTCATTCATTCCTGTTGACAGGTGTGTAAACATATATTCATCTATTACGCTTCCAAAAGCGTAATATACCGGTCCGTAACGTCAATGGCCGACAAAAAATGCACAGTATATTTACTTGACTTAGGAAATGATATGGGAAAACGTTATTATGGACGAAATGAAACCGATTTAGAGTATCAAATGACTTTTGTTTGGAACAGTTTGTCCCAACGGGTACAATTTTGATGAAAATCCTAATCCAACCACTCGACTAATTGTTTTTAGCTTCTGGAAAACAAAAAAACGGATGTTATTGGAATTGTTGGTTTTAAAACAGATGGTAAGTAAGATATTCTTTTCAACCGATCCTTGAAGCTAACTCGGTTTCTTGACTTTAAGAATCGCGAAACGATCTGGTAGAGCAGGAGGCTTACTGGAACATTGCGGTTTTTTATCCCATACAAACGTATGCCATACACTGAAACATTTCAATTCTAACGTGTTTCCAGCGCAAAGTTTGCTCAGCTGCAAGACTTACGGCCGCGTCTTTCAGCCAGTAAGACTATGCAGGGTGACCTTCTCTCAGCAATTGTCGTTTCTTTTGACTTAATTGGACGTTACTGCAAAGCAAATAAATGGACAAAAGAGCTATTCATAGGAACTGGTGCTCGAGGCACCATTGACTTTGAGGATTCAGATGGAATCGCCGAACAAATTGCTCAACACGATGTTCATATCACGCTTGGATTAACCAGGGATCTAAAACTTGAACGGCATACTTATGATAATCAATTACTACAGTTTCTTGAAAAATGCAATGGAAAACTACTGACTGCCCAAAATCTTATGGAAGAAGCCCAAAGGCCACCAATTCGGAAAGTGAAACCGGTCCCAATATTTCGTGGTATATTAAGTTTGGGTAATCCGCAAGATCCAGATGCCTCTTTAGCCTTTCCTATTGAACGGTATCCCTACACGCGAATTGCCAAACCACCGGTTTCTACTGCGTTTGATGCTTCTGCCAAGCCTAGCGCTGATCCTTCGGGAGCAGATAACGACGAGGTAATGTCGCAACCTAACCTGGGAATGCATTCCGACGTAGTCTCAACTATCCGGACATATGTAGTACATGATCCAGTCAAAGATGAGACATTCGAGGTAGACAGAAAGGACTTGGAAAGTGGCTACAGTTATGGTAGAACGATCATTCCTATAAGTTCAACTGATGAGGATATCATGTCATTAGACACTCAAGCGGGACTGGAGGTTTTAGGATTTGCTCCCAAGTCGTGTTTCCCGCCGTTTTACTTTATGAGCGAAACCAATTTAATTGTGAACAAAAAAGATGACGAACAGACGGCAACACAGCTAACAAGCTTTGTAGAGGCCATGATCCAGGAAGACCGTTACGCCCTTGCGCGTTTTGTCAACAAAAACCATAATGGTCCGATACTGCTAGTACTCATTCCTCACATTGAAAACGGCACACACTGTCTTATTGATGTACAATTACCCTATGCAGAGGATGTCCGCGCATTCTCTTTTCCCTCCTTGGAACATGTCACCACAGGTGAGGAGAAAATGCGTGTCCAAAACGCCGTAGATGCTTACGTATCCAGCATGCTACTGGACAATCCTGCTATTCAACAGTCTTCTAAAGCACCTGTCTTTGAACCACAGTTTTCATACTCTGTTATGCGGCATCGAATCCAACAAGCAATTCAGCATTACGCTTTCCACCCAAATGCACCGTTACCAGAACCTTCTCCCTATTTAGTTCATTACACACATGCACCAGAAGCCGCATTGCGAAATGCGCAGGACGCTCTGAACACGCTGCAAGGAGTGCTTGAGCCCATTGTGCATGAAGCACCAAAGGTAGAACCGGCGGAGAAGGAATCACAAGTGAGTGTACTATCGATTTCAGATGCAGAGATAGAAGCTATGCTGAATTCTACCGCGGAAGAGCAACTGGAAACGGAGAAAGAACCTGTGCTCCATGTCAGCGCATCAGATCCCGTTTACACTTTTTATGAGCTTATAAAAAATCCCTTTGGCTTGGACGACGCTATTACCGAAATGGAAAGTGCTATCCGTCTACTATTAACTGAAGGAAAATTGGATTCAGCGAAAGAGTCTCTCATCGCTCTCCGAGAAACATGCATTCGTGAAGATGAATCCGAACAGTATAACGGCTTCATAGTCGAGCTACAAAACGAACTTATATCAGGAAAATACCAAAATGCTATGAACTTTGAACAGTTGATCCTTCAACAGCATCTTGGGAGCATTTCGTTTGATGAACTACCTATGTCATAGCAGAGAAATCTATCGTTTTGCTAAGAACCCAGTACTACCAAGCAATTTTTCTGTATGTATGTATTAATTATCCTAATATACAGTCTACAGCCCGTTATGTTTTACGTTCAATGACCATCTATGCATTTTTACTGCAGGGACCAATTCATCAAATTTTAACAAATACAGAAAAACAATTTGAAAAAGAAAACGAGTTTTTAACAAACAATCATTACATGAAAAATCCATGTACCGTTTTTCCTTCCCCATTGGCTCAGTATCTCTCTGCGTCTTCTTCGTGGCAGTCTGTCACCGGAAATTTTATCCTCTTCATCTACCACCAAAAACGAGACATTCCTTGCTCGTAGTGTCCTTTGGGCCTGTGGAATTCGTTGCTCTTAAAAGGCTTTTAGCTGTTGTCTTTGAGTTTTTCTCGTTCATCTTAAAGCTTTCTTTTAGCTAAAACACAATGACTGTCGCTGATATGTCAAACGGTGAAACTACCACGAGCACTGAAACTGTAAACCCTTTGCAGGCTGCAGAGGAGTTCAAAGCTCGTGGAAACGAGTTTTACAAATTGGGTAGTTTCCAGGAAGCAGTTGAGTTTTATACGAAGGCAATTGAACAAGGTCCTACTGCAAACCAGGCTATTTACTATTCCAACCGTGCGGCAGCTTATAGCCAAATGGGTGAATACGAATTGGCCCTACAGGACGCTCGTCGATCGGATAGACTTGCTCCAGGTGTTCCTAAAACAGCACATAGAATTGCTCAGGCGCAAGAGAGTATCTCAATTTACAATGAAGCGCTCGTGTACCTGGAGCACAATCAGCCTGGACTTTCCTTAAATGCTTTGGATCGTCTTGAGCGTAGATTGCATCCTAAGGCTCGCCGACCTGTTTCTTGGGAGCTGCTGAAGGCTCGTATTTGTCTGGCTCAGAAGGATTACGGCCAAGCACAAAAAGTTGTCCTCAGTTTGCTGCGTGAAAATTCTAGGAACGTTGAAGCCTTGGTCATCCGTGGCCTTGTATTCTATTATACCGGTGAAAGCCAGAAGGCACTTACTCATTTTCAGGAGGCCCTCAAGCTTGATCCCGACAGCAGTACAGCTAGAAAGTTCTTCAAGCTGATTCGGTCGCTTGAGTCGACAAAATCTCAAGGCAATGCTTCGTTCAAAGCTGGTGATTATGAAAAGGCATACCAGCTGTACACAAATGCTCTTGAAATTGATCCTGAAAATAAGGATACGAATGCTAAACTCTACATGAACCGAGCCACTGTTCTGCTTAAATTGAAGCGCCCTGAAGAGGCTATTGTTGACAGTGATGCCGCTATTCGTTTGGATAGTACTTATTTGAAGGGCTATAAGGTCAGAGCCAAGGCTCATGAAATGCTCGAGGACTGGGAGGCAGCTATCAACGATATCAAATCCGCTGTCGAAATCGATGGTACGGACGCCAGTTTACGCAATGAGCTTCGTCGTCTTGATTTGGAGTTAAAGAAGTCGAAGCGTAAGGATCATTACAAGGTATTGGGCGTTTCGAAATCGGCTTCCGACTCGGAAATCAAAAAAGCATTCCGTAAGAAGGCACTTCAATTTCATCCAGATAAAAACCCCGACAATAAAGAAGCTGAAGCTCGCTTTAAAGAGGTTAATGAAGCTTACTCTATTCTGTCAGACCCTCAGAAGAAGTATCGTTATGACAGCGGTGCGGATTTAGAAGGCATGGAGGGCGGTTCTGGAATGGGCGGCGGAATGGATCCGTTCGACATACTTCGCGCCTACCAAAGTGCTGGCTCGGGCTTTGGAGGTAGTCCGTTTTCTGGTTTCTCTGGTGGTTTCCCCGGTGGTGGATTCTCTAATGCTAACTTTTCCTTTTAAGAAATCAATTAAAAAAGCCTCGGCTCTATCACTGTTGTAAACATAGTGACACACGTCTTTAAGCTTGTTGACTATCTTCATTAATTTGTTTTCTTTACTACCGTTGCCTGACCTTCGTTATACATAGACAATGAATTCCGTATCGTTTATTTGTGTGTATTCTGAACTAGCGTATAGTTTAGTGAAAGCATCAGCATGTACCGTTCTGTTGGACGTTTCTTCTCTTTGCTCTCCTAGAGCCTGTAATAATTCGGTTTGCCTTCCTAACTTCACCGCTTATCTAAAATGGTACAGTTGTTCCATTTAACATTTACACAAGGTTTTTTCATCGGACAGTTGTCTGTAATTGTAATAGTATACATCTTTCTGCGATTTTTCTTATTTTGCACAAAGGAAGAGCTGAAAAATGTTCAAGAAGAATCATATCCACTGAGTCCGTCTAATGAAAAAAGTACTACGGAATTTAACGATGCAACTCATAAAGTTACGCCATCTTTGAGCGAAATATACGATGTGAAAACTCACGAAGAGGAGAGCTTGGACTGGTTTAATGTTTTGGTTGCTCAAGCACTTTCACAAATTCGTCAAGATGCGGTGTCCGACGATGCTGCATTAAAGAAGCTTCAGACTTTATTCAATGGTAAAAGGAAACCTTCATTTTTGGGACCCATACACATTAAAAGTATCTCTCTTGGACAACGGTATCCTGTCTTCAGTAATTGTCGTATCCAGGCTCAACCAGATGACACAAATGGATTACGGGCAACGATGGACCTGTCCTTAGAGGATGATATTCATTTTGTAGTAAACACATCTGCCGTTCTGAATGTTCCTCGGCCAGCATTCGCTATGCTTCCTGTTTCTCTTAGTGTCAGAATAGTACACATTCGTGGAAAGGTAAGCTATATGAGTCTTTTAAATTTTAGAGCAATGTCTCCTAACATGCACAATAGCTCTCTATTTACTTTTCACAGTCCTCCAAAAGCGCAAAACGTGCATATCTGAACTTTACTTTTGACCCGGATTTTGATATGGGTATCGAAATCCAGTCCCTGGTTGGCAGTCGTTCTAAACTTCAAGACATTCCAAAAATTGCACACATTATAGAGACACGTATTCGAAAATGGTTTATTACCCGATGTGTGTCACCACAATTTCAACAGTATGAATTATCTTATTCGAATGAATCTCTAACTACTTTAGAATTTCAATACCTAACATTTGGCCTTCATCAGCAAGAGAAGGACATCGTCAAAAGAGTACTGAGTAATCGGTAATTAGTCATGGGGTATCGTTTTACCTTTAGGCCGGTAGGGAATAAAGGGTGCATATTTTCGAGGAAAGCACCAACCGACGTTTTGGTATTGGAGCCACCATCGATTGTGCTCAAATTCGATGTCCTCTTGCTGCATATGCTGAATGACACGAACGAGATTGCGCGCGTCATCGAGTCCGTTATGTTCTTGGCCTTCAAATGTCAAGTTCCAACGTGATAGCATTGCATTTATATTGGACTTTGAAACTCGAAAGGCATCAGAGAAAAGCGAACGGACGTCTACAAAAGGTCCATTAATCCAAGACGGGGGATTGTTTTCCTCTGTTGTCGCGAACTAGGTTTGGTTAGCATACGATCGGAAAGAAAAGGGTGCGCTGAAGCATTGATGAATTACCTCTTTGGCAACAAAAGATGCCATATCCCAAGGACCATCACAAGCCCAAGCCCAGTTTTTCTGCGACCGAAAATGATAAGCCGTTTTTGGAAGACGGCTCCACTCAAAGGTATTCGGACCATTAACCGGGGGAATTAATTTGTCATCATGTTTAGAAAGAAATTCATGCAGCAGATCGAGCACTGTTTTGAACGGTGGAGCATTGTCAATGAGTTTTTGTGGGATCTTTGTCAACTCTTTGCAATAGTTTGAAAGCGTAGGAATTCGCCTCGGTTTGACATATGTATGGAATTCGTCAATAATGCGTTTCTGTTCCAAATCGTAAAGTAAGCAGGGAAATTCAATAATCTCGTTCATATATGAAAAACCACATCCCTCTTCACATGTTGCTTCAACGTCAACCACTAGCAAGTAGCGTCTGTTTCGTTAGCTTAAAACTTCTAACGTTCGCAAGGAGAAAGAGGAATTGTCCATATAAGTTTGCATTTTTTCATGCAATCTTCTTAATATACGCATCCCATCCTCGTTGAGTGATAGTAGTAAACATACAGTTTCATTCCTTTATCTGCTGACGTTTTTGTTTGTAAAGCTTGTTGTCTTCGAACCTGTTCAAGTCGAGCATTCCGTTCTTTCCATCGTTTTCTTAATGTATCTCTAAGGCGCGTTAGGCGTAAATATTCAGTTTTGTTTTACTATCCTGATTGTTCTTACTTGTTTCCATATGTACTAAGACCGATTTCCTTCAAAGCCAGTCGAAGTTCTTCAACAGTCGAAGGCGACTTCTTAGCCATTGTGAAAAACCCACTTTTAGTGAATATTCCTTTTAATTTTAGCGCCAAAACAGTGTTGTACAAAATGAAATAATTTTTGATCTGATTTTTTGTTTCTCAAATAGTATTTCTTTAAAACGCATTCATTAAGGGGAAAAACACGCTCAAAGAAAAAGGAGAATAAGCCAATAGTGTTTATAGAAAGAAACTACAGTGTTTCCGATTTAAAGTTCAGAAGCTGAGACTTTTTATTGCGTTTGGTAGAACGCTTGATATGGTGGATCACCTTGAATTACAGAACTTGCTTGGAACTACTGTCAAGAAACGGTATGGATGCATTCAAAACTTTGAAAGATGGTGCTTTAGCTGATGGTGCTGACGAAACCGATGACACGCCCAGTCTTCTCGTCGTCATTTTGGATGCAAATCCCGTTTCTTGGTATTCTCTTGCTCAAAAGGCACCTATATCAGAAATACTTGCGGACATTATTGTTTTTATAAATGCTCACTTGGCATTTCATCATGAGAACCGTGTCGCAGTAATTGCATCTCATACTGATTCAGTTGAGTTTCTGTATCCAACAACAAAAGATAATCGAAAAACCAAACAAGTGGATCCGGAAAAAGATGCAAACACATACAGAAAGTTTAGGGAAGTCGATGACATGGTCTTAGAAGGAATGGCACGTCTCGTTGAGTCAACGAATTCAATTTCAACAAAAACAATGATGTCTGGTGCACTTTCTCGGGCATTGGCTTACATCAATCGCATACAGACAGAGTCACCTTTACGTTCGCGGATTTTGATTTTCTCTTTGTCTGGAGATGTAGCTTTGCAGTATATCTCTACAATGAATTGCATCTTTTGTGCGCAAAAAAAGGTAAGTAACTGTTGGGCAACAAGTATGTAACTTCTATGCTTCTAAAAATGTTCCTTTCCACTGATGGGTTCTTCACTTCTTGTTCTGTTGATGTCTAACAATCGCTGCAAATATTTTAAGCTTCTACTAACTAACTGTTTAGAACATCCCTATCAATGTCTGTAGTTTGTCCAAAGAGACGCTCTTTTTGGAACAAGCAGTCGACGCTACTGGAGGTATCTACATCAAAGTTGAAGAACCGAAAGGGCTTTTACAACATTTAATGGTAAGACGAATAGGACGATAAGAATACCATATGGATATAGCCCTCTAACCCGATTACAGATGTCACTTTTCCCCGATCAAAATCTTAGAAAACACATCAATATTCCGAATCAAGCAAATGTTGACTTTCGCGCTACGTGCTTCTGTCACAAAAAGATTTTAGATATTGGTTACGTCTGTTCCGTTTGTCTATCGAGTAAGTCAAAAATGGTTGAACTTAAGCTATTCTACAAATGTTTTCGTTTTATTTCGAGCATGTATCTAACACTATACCATGTAGTATTTTGTTCTCCTAGGGATCAATGTACCACCTGTCATTCCACTTTTAAAGTGAACAAAATGAGACGTCTCAATTAGGCAAACCCTAATTTGCTAACTGTGTTGTTTTTACTTTCATGGAATTCAAATCTGTACTCCCGACAATGAACTTATGACAATAACAGCAGTTTTTTTGAAAATGAATTTGGGATTCATGATTCTTTCATCCTACTTGTCTTGTCACTCCCACCTACCGACTTATTCATGTAACTAAAGCGTTACTTAAACAACTATTGCTCTTCTTCAGAAGGTAACGAGTACCTTTTAAAACGTCTAAGAAGTATCTAGGACTTGTTCTTTGTAGCAGCCTCAATCAGGTTTCGTTTTTTTAATTTCTTACAAGACTCAATTTGCCAAAAGACTTTAAGTGAATTTTGATGTTTCTATTGGAAGGAACACAGTAATTAAGGGAACTGAAGAAAATCTGTTCTCCCTTCGACTTCTTAAAATCTTAAAGAAAAAAAATAGAAAAAAGCAACATTTATCAAAGTCGACAAAGAATTATCACATTCTCTCTTTTTGTGGATATTAGTGCACCACTCAATGCTCATGCGTAAATCCTACTCAAGATTTGGTGCTACTCTGGCGAAAAGGCACTTTCAAACATCATCACTGATTTGTAACAAGAAGGTCATTGTCATAGGAGGTGGACATGCCGGTGTTGAAGCTGCAGCTGCATCTGCTCGTTCTGGCGTAAAAACATGGCTTATTACAAAGTCGAAGAGGGATATTGGTAAAATGAGCTGCAATCCAGCATTTGGTGGGATTGGTAAAGGAACACTTTTGCGTGAAATAGACGCCTTAGATGGTGTTGTCGGAAGAGTCTGTGATGAGTCTGCAATTCAGTTTCGTCTCCTTAATCGCTCGAAAGGTCCTGCTGTTTGGAGTCCTCGAGCTCAAATGGATCGGAAAGCCTTCCAACGGAATATGCAGAGTACGCTTGCCAGTTATGACTTGAAATTGCTTCAAATCATAGAAGGTGATGTTGTAGACATCAACGTAAATACAACCGGCGCAGATAAGCCTTTCATATCAAATGTCCTTCTTGCCGATGGAACCAAATTTGACGCTACCAGTGTCGTTATTGCCACGGGAACGTTTTTATCTGCTGAACTCCATATTGGGCACAAATCAATTCCAGGCGGAAGAATTGGAGAGAACCCATCATGTGCTCTTTCCGATACACTTCGTAAGCTAGGCTTTCGCATCAAGCGTTTGAAAACGGGGACGCCGCCACGTTTAGCTTCACATTCCATTGATATCACGAAAATGATTCCTGAATATGGTGATGATCAACCCGCACCTTTTAGTTATTTGAATTCCAGAGATAATTTTCAACCATCTCTTCCCCAGAGGCCTTGTTATGTGACTTACACTAATGCAACTACGCACGAAATTGTTCGAAAAAACATGCACTTAGCCCCTCATATGGCGGCCGTTCACATTAATTCACCACGGTATTGTCCTTCAATTGAGACGAAGATTGTACGTTTTCCATTAAGAGAACGCCATATTGTTTGGCTTGAGCCAGAAGGATTTGATGAAGATGCGTTATGGTATCCAAATGGCTTGAGCAATTCCTTACCCGAAGATGTTCAGTTACAGCTTATTCGCAGTATATCTGGATTGAAAGATGCTGTGATTGTTCAACCCGCTTATGGAGTTATGTATGACTATTTAGATCCCCTGCAACTGAATGCATCCTTGGAGACCCAGTTAGTATCTGGTCTCTTCCTTGCTGGACAAATTAACGGAACAACAGGCTACGAAGAAGCTGCTGCTCAAGGTGTATTGGCGGGAATAAATGCTGCTAAATACACAAAGAACGAAGAGCTTGTAGTGATCCCGAGAAAAGTTGCTATGCTTGGCGTTCTTGTTGATGATCTTGTAACGAAAGGCGTGACTGAACCCTACAGGATGTTTACTTCAAGGAGTGAATATCGCTTAACAACTCGCGCTGATAATGCTGATGAGCGTCTTACTCCTTTAGCAAAAAATATTGGTCTTTTGGACAACAATCCAAATCGATATACACTATTTCAATCAATGTTAAAGCAGAGACAAAAAGTTATAGAGGCCGCAAAAGAGTTTTCACTGACAGCTCATGAATGGAAGCAGTTGGGCTACACTGTTAATCAGGATGGAAAACATCGTACCCTATGGGAATTATTGCGAAATCCAACTTTTGATCGTATGCGTCTTTTAAAGCTAATTCCTTCCACGAAGGAGCTTTCTCAGACACAACTCAATCGAATACTTGTGGAGGCACTCTATACTACTTATATTGAGCAACAAGAGTCAGAGAATCGTTTCCTAAACTTTCGAGAAGAGGCAACCATCATCCCTAATGATGTTGACTACACTGCGTATGTTACTTTTACCCATTTAATCTACTAACACGGTTTAGCATCGGCGGCATTTCGACAGAAGAAATAAACCTCTTACAATGTATAAAACCATCATCATTAGCTCAGTTGAAACAAATTTCTGGAATTAAACCAGGAACAATAATTCGCCTCTTGCGCCATGTACGACGTAATGCGTCTAAAGAACAATGGTTCCAAACCGTTTTTGGTAATCCTAGGAAAATGTTTTTACAATCAAAATAATAATGATGCTCATTTCCGACACATTCAAAATTTGCATTCATCTTGTTTCTGATCCCGTATATTCTTTTTGACCTATACAAATGCGTACTTTGTATTAAGTGTTCGTAGTCGTTGCCGTCACTTTGCAATATATTCAAACTTAAGCAAAATATAGAACGACAAGTCTTTTCCTTCGTTGAACATTTATTGGACATTTTTTTTATAATTTACCAACCGTTACTTTTAAAGTACAAAACCATAAGATTGAAGCACACTTTGACCATCGCCTGGTAATTGAGTGGAAACGATCTGAGACAATCTGTTTCCAGTATGCTTGTTAATTGTGTTCATCTCAAGGGCAAGGTGTTGCTTGGGATCAGTGACTTGAGGGAATGGATCAATTCTTTTTCCTCCAGTAGTAACTAGACGAGAGAATGAAGCTTGGAACGATAAATCATCAGCATCAATAGCATCAGTTAAGTCCTCATCACCCTTTGCTTGCTCAACAGGAAGCTCAAACAGCTTCAAGATAGCACCAAGCAGAGGAATAATAAGACGTTCGTAAGGTGCCCCTGGGGCAATAAATGCTTCACACTTCAGGAAATGTGTAGCACCAACAGCAACGATTTTTCGATCCAAGGCTACGGCAATCTTTTGGGTTTCGGGAAGGATAAAAGCTGTCATAATTTGTCCAAAAACACCAGCTTGGACGCCATCGATACCCTTAATAATATTTTCGGGACCCGCATAACCCGTGCTCATCGACGCCAGATAGAAAATAAAGACAGTCAACCGAAGAACAAAGCGCTCTGTTTTGGAGTTGCGAAGACGTGCCAATATAAGGAAGAAAATGTGATTGATGTAAGGAGAGAGGGTATTCGCATCGAAAACGGTGAGGACCTTTTCCAATAAGTTGAAACCGTGAACATCGTTAACCCGAGATGAAATAAGACGCTGGTAAATGCCGAGAACAGGTTCAACATAATTGTTTGTGACGAAAAGTTGAGGACCCCTGCTTATAGTGGCCTGCAAGAGACGAACCAAAGCAGGAATATTACCCTTTGAATCCCACAAGGCAGGAGCAAGGCAGGGTTGGATGAGACTAACAACGAAGTCGGGAAGAGGTGCATTGGCGTTTGCCTCAATAAGTTGTGAGAGCAATTGAAGAACATATGGAATGAATTCAACAACATCCTCCGCAAGAATGAATTGGAAAACAGGGAACAAAGCTGTTTCCAATTGGTTTAAAGTAGAAGGACCTGTAGCGGAAAGGTTACGAATTAAAGCACCAATTGTCTCAAAAAGATAGTGATTGAATTTAGGATTGGAAGGGTTCTTGCTCACCTCAGTTGTAACTTTGCAGATGTGCTCAAGCAAAAAGGAAGCGGTAGGAAGGACAGCCTCGCTGGCAATAATGGTCAAACGCATGATGGCCTTCATTAAATGATCATTTTCAGCGAGCTTTTGTGGGGTATCGGCTGATTCAATGAGCATGAACAATTGATTGTAAGCACCTTGCAAATGAGGAGCAATATGGAGGTGTGTGAAAATGTGCACATGTTTATGCTTCACGGTCAAGAGTTGGTCGATAGCGATAGCAGAGTAAGTATGAACCACAAAGCTAGGCGATTGTAAGTATCCCATAATTACGGGCAAAATTTGGAGAAGTTGTTCAGAAGATAACTGGTTTCTAAAGGTGAAGACAAATTTAATTTCTTCCGTAACAACCATAGGATGAACGTTGCCCAATGGCTGAGCCAAATCAGGCTTAATAAAGTTTTCAAAGAAGCTGACGACATCAACCATAAGGTTGACGGATGTGACACCCAACTTTGCAGACTGACCCTTAATAGCGATGGCTGAAAAAAGTTGTAAGGCAGCATATTTTTTACCCCAATTGAGAGCTGGATTAGTGCCAGCTTCTTGAAGGTTTTGTGTAATGTGATTAGAGATGACAGCAGTGATTTGTTGGTCAAAGTGATCCAACAGTCCACGAACAAGATCAACAGCAGAACGGGAGCGAGAATCGCTGCTGGATCCCTCAAGGTCACGGCGAACATACTCTAATGGATCGTCCTCAAACATCTCCTCATCTGATTCGCGAAGACAAATGTTAGGAAGGACAACAAGCTCGACAAATTGCTGTAACACTCCATCCTGCAAGAAGAATTCTGCATGTCGGCGGACACGAATGACCGAAGTCAAGAAAGCCATTGCTTTTCCCACGAGGAGATCGAATTTCTCGTCCTGACTCATTGAAGTCAGCATAGTCCATGTAACGTTGACAAAGTCTGTGAGCTTAGTAAAGACTTCTTCATAACGAAGGGTATAGAGCTCGACAATTTCACAGATGCTGGCCTTGACTTTGATGACCGTCTCAATAGCATCATCGTTTGTTTCGAGCAGAGGATTGGTATAAGTGAAGTAATAAAGAAATGCATTCATAAAGTCGTCCATGTGATCTTCAAAGAACTCGGGGATATCCTGACAGTTTAGGTCATAAAAAATTTTACACTCGAGCAAGACAACGCGGAGAACAAGCTCGAGGGCAGTGGGATCCTGTTGTACTGGTGCACTTTGCAGCAATGCGGTTGTTTGTGTGAACAAAGCCAGAAAGGGTTCACAGAAACGATCGAGCACATACTTAATTTCAAGGAAAAGCTCGTCCGAGCGGAATTGTGGGCGCCAACGCTTAAAAATGGCATGTGCCGTGGACAGAACAGGAATGTTGACGGTCATGTCCGTAGGAGAAAGTCGGGAAATCAAGTCTGGCAAAAGAGAGTCCCATTTTTCGTAAAAGTCATAATTCGCGATGTAACTGATGACCTCACCAAGTTGGACTTGGATTAGTGTTGGGCTCTTCATCATAAGATTAACAAGCTCGCTCTTGATGAGCTCTTTATCATTGTCACTAATTCTGATAGAAGCATCATCCTCTGCGTCCCAATGACGACGAACGTAATTTTTAAAGTAGAGAGAGGCTGCGAGCTTAATACTCACTTCACAAGAGTCATTGTTCACCAGTTCCAGCAATTGAATGGGGAAGGTGCGGTCCTGATACTCACAAGACTTTAAAGCTTCCTCAGCTGCGAAACGCGTTAGTATTCGTACTACGGTAACCCAGAGACAGTCTTCTACATACCAGACTTGGCCGTAGCTGTGTTCAAGGTACCAGCAAGGAGCGCAGGAATCCCATCCATGTTTGTTTACGTTCGGTATGTGCACTTGGTCAAGGTGGAAGTGTGCAGGTGTTGGTGTTGTGGTAGGCTATGGCTGGGCGACGGGGCGGTCCCACCCTAACTACATAAAATGGAAAAGCATCGAAAAACGTCTGAAACGCCAAAGTTTTGTGTTCAATTTTTGTGTAGCATGTTCCCATACGATTATATTGCATATTATTGATTTTTGGTCTATTTAAGTATGAGGGAAAAAGTTATATGACGAACCCTTTACTCGGAAAGTTACATACACGAGTAGTCTTACAGCATGCAGTGTACGAAAGACAGCAAATAGTAGTTATTCTCACAGACCACTTCCCTCTGCCCGCTACGCTTTACTCCGCAAGTTTACAAGAAACGGTGGTGCATTATTGAATATGTAGATTGTGCCCATGTGTACATTCTCATGTACTCATTCATAGTCCTAAACTTAATCGGTCCAGCCGGGGAAACAATCCTCGACGGTCTTATCATGCTTGTTCTCAGCATGACCCTGCAAGGCAACGCGACGAATTGTTCTCATGAAAGGTGTACGGCAAATCGAGCAGATGACTGTCTTGGCTGCCTCGTTAGCCTTCAATTGGGACTTCTTGACAGGCTTCTTGTCCTTGGCGAGTTTCTCGCGACGACGAGCAGCTTTAGCACCGTTTCCCATTTTCTAATTATTTTTTATTTTTTATGGATTTTTCTTCCCTTGAAAATTCAAAAATTAGTAGCGTCCGTACAAGAGCACTTGGTGAAACGATGATCCCGTGACGAGGTCAATGAGGAGACAATTGATGCTATACAGCTGCTGCTTTGCTTGACAATTTTGCTTGTCAGAATTGAGTCTATGGATCTACAAGAGGCAAGCCATTGGCCGAATTATATTCTGATCTTTTCGCAAAAATGGGCAGACAGCTTCGGCAATTTGATGGAAGAAAAAAAATCACCAATAGAAAAATCGGACGAATCTCTCCGCCTCCGGCGTGATTATCTTCTTTGCAGGTGACCACTAACAAAAGAACGTGATACAACCGAACCTTTGAGTTTAACTGATCTATCGAATCAATTCCAACAAAGCAAACAGCCGAGTTAGTTTAATTGTTTCTTTCTGATTTATAGTAGAATGCAGGGTTCAGCGGGGATTGTTACAGGAGTGAGGAACAGAGGGAAAAGACGGGCGTTTTTGCGATTTTTTGCGATTTTCTTTCATTTTTTTTTTCGCTCTTTTAGACGAATTGTTGATGCTATATGATACTACTTTAGTTCTTCTTGTTATTTTTCTAAAATTCGTGCTCCAGCGCATAAATTGTTTTATTTATTTATTTATTAAATTAATTATTGTTTTTTTGTTTATTATTATCTTTTTTTTTTCTTGGTTTTTTTTTTATTTTTATTTAATTTTTATTTAATTCTATTTTTTTTTTGTTCAATTTCTTCCCTGCTGTTCCATCTCATCTTCCCAGACCTCTCCCCCGAATTCCCCTGCGATCCCCCCGGAGAATGTTCGAGAGCCGATCCCTAGTTTTCTTCCCCACATCATCCCACTTTCCCGTAAACTCCGATAGTATCCCGACAACGCTTCGGGGTTCCATGGAATTCACCGAAAAATTATCACACAGTTCCCGAAATTTACCGACCGAGGCCCACCGATTCTTCCTTCACCAACAACAACAACGCCATGGGCCGTAGTCACAGTTCCCGAGGCGGTACACGTGGTGGTCAAGGCTTGTTTGACTGGGAAAACGTGAAGAAGGACCACCAGCGTGAAAACTATCTAGGACAATCGCTGTACGCTCAGACTGGCCGCTGGGCAAAAGGAAAAGACTTAGAATGGTGGTCGAAAGGTAAGACAACAATTGCTGAATCCTCTGCCCGACCATCGGAAAGAGATGAAGCCAAACGAGAGATTGAAGAAATTAAGCGCAGGGAACAGGAATTGCTTTCACAGATGATCGGTGGACCCGGCGTGCCATTGAAACATCAAACACAAAAAGATTCAACAAGAACACAGTCTGAAGCTGTTGTCGACGAACGCGAACGCAGAATTCGTAAGCACAGACATCACAGCGAACACGAACACAGGCGAAGACATCGCCAACATCGACGTCATGACGACAAACATGAATCGCGCGAACGCCGTTGATTGGCGCGCAACCAGTTTTGTGCGATCCAATTAAAAAAACTAGCGAAAAGTTTAAGTTCCTTTCCGCGACAGGAACGGTTTTGCATGAAAAGCAAGGAAATGCTAAGTTTTCATACAGCTAAAGCATTACACTAAGTAGATACAACCTCGTTCCTGTCCAGGCGCAACTGATTTCACCCAGTTGGTCCCGCCTGCTTGTTCTCATTCCAGCATTATAAAAAGAACGTATTTCATGATATAATTATCTTTTTATGCGCGTGCATTATCTTCGTAAGATTGTTTAGACTTGGTTAGTACTGTTCAGAAAGAATGTTCACAACCAAACTCGTCCAGCCGGTGAAGCCCTTGGTGCGTTGGCCGACACCAGTCTCTGAGTTGTACTGTTCGTAGAAAATGCCAGAACGAGCCCATTCCCTGTACACTGTGTTTACAACGTTCACGCGAAGCTCGTTGTAAATGGCAGTAGCCAGCTCTTGATATGGTCCGGACACTTGCATATAATTTTTGTAGAGACTGGAAAGCACCATGTAGTTCATGTTTATCCAGATGGGACCACGCCAGTAGTTCTCGCCTTGTCCATAGAAGCGGTCAGAGCGACTCAAACTACGGATACCGTAGGGAGACCACAGCTCATCTTCATCACGGAGCACCTCCAACAGGCGACCCAACTTGGGCGAGTCAGACGGCAAGAGACCAAGCATCAATGGCATTAAGGAAACATAGCCAGTATGGCAAACGAAGAGCGGATCATCGTACTCATCCACCGAGGCATCACAGTACATGCCTGTGTCCTCATCCCAGTGCAAATCGTCCAAGTTATGCATCATATTGTTTTCATATTCAGCAAATGTTGCCGCATCCTCTTCCTCTCCCAAAAACTCGGCAACAAAACGCAAATTCTTCGTGAAAGATATCATCCAACTCATAAGATCCACATGAAGCTCAGCAAACGAAGGAGGTTGTGCACGAGGATAATCATCCAAACCACTAGCGAGACAGTGCTCATAGGTACGACCTCTCCAACGGTAGCCCTCAACGTCAGAAAACGCATCGCGCTCCCAGCTTTCCAAGTCGCCAGCTTGTGTGTCACGGAACCAGTAGTAATGCTTACGAAGCTTGGGGTACAAAGAACGCAAAAACTTGGTAGTCAGTTCAGGAAACTCAAGGTGAGACACGCGAAGCAAGTCGGCTTCACTAGTTACGCCTGAAACACCGTCACCCTCTTGATTCAAGGCACGTTCAGCAAAATCACCGGCACCGCTGTACGATTTCATTTGTTCAATGAACGCCTTTAAGGCCAAGATGAGAGTAGGAGGGTTCGCAATGTCAGGGTATTGTGTCTGAAACTCTGCAGGGACTTGGCTTCTAGCCTCAGGACCCAAAATTTGTTCTCTTCCGAGCCATCCCTTCTCATCAATCAAAGAGAACCAGCTCTGCAAAATTTCAAGACTAAAAGAATGGTTAGCTTCGCTTACATACAAAAATGCACACAGTCTGCATATCCATACCTCAAATCAGTATCCCAAAGACCAAGGGGAATCAAGTGGAAACCTTCGTCCCAATAAAATCCACGCGCAAAATGAGGGCGACTTGGCGTAGCCGTAAACAACGTACGCTCCACATCAAGCTTTGCCGTTCCCTCCTGCAACTTCATATCTGCATTTTCGAATCCATGGGCAAACTCATAATCGCCATCTTCGGCATCCTCAACGCCATGCGTACTGACAATGGAATTGCCGTAGAAATAACCAATTCCACCATATAAGTTAGCAAATGCACGTTGGGAAAATAATTGCAGACTAGACTCGTTTTTGAAGGGAGCTGCAATGGGAAAAGTTTGTTCAAAACGCTCCTTAAAGGCAGCTTTGTTGCTCTCAATTTGAGCCGTGATGACATCTTCGGTAACTACATTGAGGAAAGGAACAGAGTTGTAAATGATGTCAAATTCAAAAGCACCTTCAAACACCTTCTCAACGATCTGAACGTTTGTGTTACCTGCGACGTTAGGAAGTACCAACTCCTCGAAAGCAGGTGGAAGGTCCTCGAGACTCGTAATTCCCTTGGCTTGCAAATCAATACGAATTTTTTGATCAAGAAGCTGCAAAAGAACATCCTTCATCTTCCAAATGTCGTCTTCCTCAACATTCAGACTGATGTAATAGTCAGAATCCATAACAGTTTCCTCAGCATCCTCGAAATTATTGGGAGCAGTCAAAAACGTAGGATGCTCACCAAAACGATTCTTCGTTGCAATCAAAAAGGTGCCGAGATCGGGTGTTTCACCAACGATGTAAGGGCGAGATCCCTCGTTTTCTTCATTCTTCTGAATCTCAAGAATTCCTTCACCCTCCAAATACGTATAGAAGAACATAGCTGTCTTGATGTCCTCAGGCGCACCCTTTTTTGGCGTTCCACGAACACGGAGAGCCCAGTTTTGGCCGTTCTCAGCTTCAGGAAGTTTCACAAAGTCAACGTCCAATTTTATACCCATACCGTAATCGTCGATGACCTGGTGTCCACCAAGACGAGCATCATAAGAGTCCCATCCGTAATAGCCCATGTCCTCTGATTGCTCACAGGCATGGCGTATACCTAACGAGGTTTCTGTTAGTAATCATTTATCACACATTCAACTTGTAAAACTCCATACGAGAAATTGATCCGTAGGTATCAACATTAGTCCACATCAATCCGGCCATAAGACTCTTGGGAATTCTGGGACGAACGCCAACATAAAGGTTAGGGCGATATGCTCCCCATAAAAGAGAATCATTAGAACGTTTTACAACATCATCAAGAAGCGATTCACATCTAGCAATTGATAAAAGACATAATGAGATACATGTGAGAAGGAGTGACCGACTCCAACTCCGTGAAGAACTCATTGTTGGAGATGTTGGTTGAGGTCAAGTGTATTCGTCGTCCGTCGGTGTGAAAGCGTGCCGTACCAGTCAAAACAACAGCTGCTGCAGTGGGGAGCAGAAGGACGGGTGGATAGTGAAGAAAACAATGTAATAGAGGGAGCGTAAGAGTAAGTGAAATACCGTTTAATGCTACTTAACAATAGTTTTTTGAATAGACAACTGTTTAATACGTAAATCGCCCCTTCACTACAAAGTCCAATATGTTACTTGCAGAGCAAATGATTATAATTATATAATCCTAAACAAAAGCAAATGTCATTGCTAAAAAGAAAGTACTCATTGGCACAGCCAAATACCCCCTAGTCACAGTGTGCAAAAAAAAAAATTACTTGCTTAAGCAGACTTGTGCAACTCAGCATTCAAGTTGTCACGAACGGCATCCAAGAACTCAAAAGTGTCAACCCAACCGTCCTTGGCACCGCTAATGAGCTTCAAGTCCTTGGTCATAATGCCTTGTTCAACGGTAGAGACACAAGCACGCTCCAGGGCTTCGGCAAAGGAGAGCAAACGGTCATTACCATCCAAACGAGCACGTTGTGCAAGACCACGAGTCCATGCGAAGATGGAGGCAATACTGTTTGTGGAAGTCTTTTTACCCTTCAGGTGTTGCATGTAATGACGTTGGACAGTGCCGTGAGCAGCTTCACTCTCAAAGGTACGACCGTTGGGGTTAATAAGGACAGAAGTCATCAAACCCAAAGAACCATAAGCTTGAGCAACGATGTCAGAAAGCACATCACCGTCATAGTTCTTGCAAGCCCAAACGAAGCCTCCGTGACCCTTGACGGCCTGGGCAACCATGTCGTCGATCAGACGGTGTTGGTAGGAAAGACCCTTCTTCTCAAAGTCCTTCTTGTACGTCGACTCATAGATCTCTTGGAAGAAGTCCTTGAAACGGCCATCATACTTCTTCAAGATTGTGTTTTTCGTGCACAAGAACAAGGGCATGTTCTTTTGCAAGGCCATTTGGAAGGAGCTGTGAGCAAATCCCTTGATAGACTCGTCAGTGTTGTACATAGCCATACCGACACCGGCACCCTTGTAGTCGTAGACATTGAACGTCTGCTTCTCGGAACCATCAGCAGGAGTGAAAGACAGCTCGAGCTTACCGGGGCGGTCGACACGGAGATCAGTGCTCTTGTACTGGTCACCAAAGGCATGGCGACCAATGCAAATGGGCTTCGTCCAACCGGGGATGTAACGAGGAATGTTCTTAATGATAATAGGCTCACGGAAAACGGTACCGTTCAAGATGTTACGAATCGTTCCGTTAGGAGACTTCCACATTTTCTTCAAATGGTACTCAGCGACACGAGCCTCGTCGGGAGTAATGGTAGCACATTTAATACCAACGTCGTTCTCAAGAATAGCGTTTGCAGCATCAATCGTAATTTGGTCGTTAGTTTTGTCTCTAGCCTCAATACCCAAATCGTAGTACTTTAAGTTAACGTTCACGTAAGGCAAGACCAAGTTTTCACGGATCAATTTCCAAATAATACGGGTCATTTCATCACCATCCATTTCCACAATGGGGTTTTTGACATCAATTTTCTTGAAAGAGCTCGTGGACGCGTAACGAACACGGTTCAGAGAGTTCATAGAAGCACGAGCATTGTTTCTCAGAGAGAGCTGAGCAGCGCGTTGAAACTGTAATTTCATCATTTTGCTTATAACACGCTTTACCTTGTGACACGAAGATCAAATGAACTACAGAACCAGGACAAAAAATAACTAAACAGTGTACCACCAAAAAAGCTAGCAAGGAGATTTATATGTCAGTGTCGTGCGAACTGATATATGCGTAGGGGAGAAAGCGAACAGTGCTGTCAAACAGTAACGGGCAGGAGAATGCCTGTCGGCATTTTTGATAAGATAAGCGTAGATGATGTCACGAAAAACGCAAACGAGGGAGTGACCCCTGATTGGTCAGATCAGTCGCATTTCATGTTTAAGCTCCGAGGTAACACGGAGGTAACGGAGACGATGGAGGTAACAGAGGGGTAACATACGAGTTCCTATCTAGGAGGGGGATTTAACGCGAGCGAAGTGAGCGAGACACGATGCGAGGAGGGAGGGAAAGGAAGCACTGAGGAGCCCGTCTCGAGGGAAGAAGCCCAGAGGGCTGAGAAAACTACTAACGAAAGGCACAACCACCATAATCGTCGCGAACTGCACCCGGTTACACGCCACACGACAGAACAACACTACAGAATGAACAACCACACTAGTCATCCCCATCACATCGCCTGGAGCAGCAGGACCACTACAGTCGATGAAAAGAGGAATTTTACACGTCAGAATACACCAGCTGCCCTACACGACGGGACCGTCCAGAGGACGAGAAACCCGAAGCGTAAGAGATCATCGCTGAAGGGGGAGAACAGAACCCCAAAAGAGTACATTCTCTCCCTCCCGAAGAAAGAATTGTCTCACTCTTCGGGCAACGGTGCTTCCAATCATCATCCGTGTTGAGTTCTGTGGCTAGGTTAGGAAACCCAAGCCGGACGTATACTATAGAAATGATCCTATGGAGTATCGTCGATGGTTTTTCGTGGAGCGAGCCGTGCCCTTTTATAGCAATTGCGTGTGGGGAAAGCAGTCACAGTGTGGGGGTAGTGAAGGAGAAAGGACGCTAAACTGTGTTGTTCGTCGCTAAACAGATTACCGTGTCTCACTACCTCACACAATGTCTCTATAACGCTCTTCGACTAACCCCTCTATCCCAATTTATCGCACTTCACAAATCCTCTCTATTTGTCTGCTCTCGGGTTTTGATTCATTGTACCGGTTGGTGCCTAATACAACGCAAGCTGTAGATTATACACATAGTTTACGAGTGACGAGTGATTGGTCACAGCTGTAGTTTTGAATTGCATGAAACTCTTCATTTAGTCATCATCCATTTGCACCATGAGAGGATAATGCCGTTCAAGGTAAGCCTGAACGAGCTGTACATAATGCGCCGACCAGGGCAGAGAAGCTGATTGAGCAAGTTCCGGAAGTCGTGTCCGAAGAAGCTCGTACACAGCACGTCTTTCTGTAGTAGATTCTTCCTTAAGAACATTCTCTTCCGTACCTTCTGTAGCTTCAGAGTTGTCAAACTGTTTGACACGAGCATCCAATTTATTCAACGTCGTTGTTAATAGATCCCATACGTAAATACGGGACCAAAGTCGGATATCATCTTGCTTGGTGAGCCATTGAATGATGGCAGTAGCGCCAACAATGGAGTAGTTGAGAAGTTTGTCGGCCCAAGTCACTGCAATCGTCGGCTGAAACTTCCAGTACTCGAATAATGAGGACACAACAATATACTCAGAATCGGAGGAAGCACGGGAAAAGTGTTTAATAACGTCAATGTGTTTCTCAAAAACGTTCAGCATGTGAGAGAAAGACTTGGAGCCCATGTGAAATACGCAGCTGAAAAACAGTCGAAGAGCTTCTTCTTGACTAAAGGATGACAGCTCGGCTTCTATGGAAGCAATAGGCTCACGCATCGTCAATTGATTGGTTATTTTGTGCGACGTAACGTTCATAGGATGGTCTTCAGCGCCGTATGGGAAATAGGGTTCAGGTGCTTTTTCTGTCAGAAAACCATACATAGGCTCAGCAACAGAGTCACGAATGCGACCCCAATAACTGAGATCCACCTCGCGGCGAATCATTTCACGCATGACAACCTTTTTTGGGTGAAGTTCCTCCAAATCAACGTCTTCCACCCACTCTTGCCATTTCCATTGGAAACCAAAATTGCTTAGATGGTGAGAAACCCAATCAATAAAACGATATTGGGGTTCCAAAGCGAGGTTCTCGCTCATAGAATACATGAACCGGATGATCCGGCCAAAAGTAGGAGCCATGATGCGCGGGGCAGTTCGGCAGCATTCCGTCAAAACAGAGTGATAGTAAACAGGTTTATAACGAGGGGATGCCAGAGAGAAGAGTTCCGCAAAAACACTCTCGGCAATAACGTCCTCGGCTTTCCAAGTAGGTTCTGAGGGTGAAGCCTTCTCTAATTCAGCTATCGGTGTTCCGCGCAGAGCGAACGACTTGTACGCAAAGTAAACATCAAAGTCAGTGAGTACCCGGGCAGCTTCAGTGCGATTGAATTCAAGCTGATTTAATACATCAGAGGCATTGTCGCGCAAAATGGTTGAAGCAATGTTCGAAAGTTCGGGAGTGGTACGGACAGGCTGAGAAAAGAGAAGTTCAATGAAAGGCTTGCCTTTTGGTGCAGCTTTTTTGTCATCAGGAATTTCCTCTGGAAGGGTGGGAAGCTCAAACGAGACTGACTCAATGCTAGATAATTCGGACTCAAACGAATCCCATGGAGTAGGTAAAATCGAGACAGTGAAATCATTTTCCTTTAATTTAGTGATTTGCGAGTAGAGCAAAGAGAGTTTGTCTTGGATATTGTAAGTGGAATTCAAAAATGGATTCATGTCATTCACATCCACTGATCGTGAATTCAAATAAGTGGAACAACGATCAATGATCGACGAACAGGTTTCTTTCACTTTTGGGCTAAAACTGGCTACAATAAAGTAGGGTAAAGTTAAAAGCACCAGATAGGCAAGTTCATCAGCATATACGGAGCATGATTGAGTTTCAAATGCTTCGACAATTTTGCCAAGTAACTCGCCAATTTTTTCTTCAGTAAGTACCCGAGTAAGACACGTTAACAAACGAAGGTATATTTTTGCTTCGTAAAATTTAAAAGCAAGAAGACTTTCTTGAAGACGAGTGCTGCATGTTTCAACGGCAACCTTAAGAAGGTTATGGTTTTTCGTACTCGCCAGCATAAGCATGGTAGCTAAAAAGGGTATTTTAACAGGGAGTTGAAGCGCACTATACTCACAATTTATGTTAATACTGTGAAACAAGCCGTTTACACATGTTACTTACCAAGCAAACAAGCTGTCAATCACCTGGGGAAGATGAATTTCATCCTGAGATTCGCGTGCAACTTCCGTTGCGACATAATTCATGTCCTCTGAAGGAGAAGAACTGCTTCGAGGATCAACCAAGTATGTTATGTCTTTTTTTATACGGGCGATCATGCCCTGGCCGGGACCATTGCGAGATGGACGATAACTGTGTTCGTCATCATCTCTATAACGTTTTCTAGACCTGTAGTTTCCTCGGTAATTGGACATTTATGTGTAGAAACCCGTAATTTCTTTCTTTTGCAAAGGGCAAGGTGTCTGCTGGACCAATATCGGTAGGTACACGAACACTGAAGAAAAAAGTATTAGAAGAATTTATTACCGCTAAAACAGACGTCGAATTGCAAAAGAATCGAGTGTTGGATTATGTAATAAAATGAATTATGTTAAATTTTAATATGTTGTTTAATAACATTTATATTATAGATACGAAAACAAGGGAACGTGCTCTACAAGCCTATATTGAACATAAAGAATGCAAATCATTAGCGAAAGGACCGGTTGATTCTTATTTCTTGGCGTTAGGATTATGTTGATCCAAATGTTTGGGATTTTTTGGAAGTACTAGCATTCCCAAGCATTATTGTTAAGACATTCAAAAAAAGGTAGCATATCTGTTTTCATACTTGAACAGTTACACCGATACAACCTGCTTCACAGGCACCGTTTCAGCACTAGTATGCGAGATAGGAGCAATCTGCACTCTTGATTTTTCCATCGAAGAGAAGTTCACTCATCACATAACCTGTGCCTGGTCCTTGCGTGATACCCCAGCAACTGTGACCTGATGCAATATACACGCCGTCTTTTCTGCACCCGATAATCGGCAAGCCCGTTCGACTAGAAGTCGGTAAATAGCAGGCTTGTTCCACAGTGATTGTCGAATCACGGAACATAGAACTTACTGAGTCTAGCTGGTGTTTTATATCCTCGCATCGACTCTTCTTCACTGTCACTGTTTTAGACGAATTTGGTAATGGATGCATATCAGGAGCCCCGCTCACATACCAATGATCACTCCGAGAGAAGATTTCTGGATGTGAATTCTCACCGTCGGGTAATACAATGTCAGTGAATATGGCATATGGTGTATTCGGAACATGTTCGTTTCTAAGGCAAATACTGTGTACACGGGTACCATCAATGAACGTCTCAGGCATTAGGTTCCCAGTCCACGGACCAGCACAGACAACAACTTTCCGTGCATCAAAACGTCTTATATCATCTTCATTAGCGCCTTCGGGAACATAAGTTACATATGTTGCATGAACATCAACTGCTTTTCCCTTCACTAGTCGCACTCCGGCTTCGTGAGCCAACCTAAATATCTCTTGACAAAACTTGTACGGCTGAATTTGAGATGTAGTCGAAGGCGTTCCGAGTGTGCTGTCTGCTCGAATTTCGCGTCAGCAAATCTATAGGCGCATTCTGTCTAACATACACTTTTCCACACACTGCGTATCAAACCAAGGCATGTCTTCAGGAAGCTTTTGCGAGTTACCCGCTGGCATGAGGGACATCGACAGTGTTTTCACCTTTCGATAATCCCACTTTTTGGCTCCGTTATACTCTTCCGCAAGCTTTTCGTGTAGTCGATAGGAAAGAGTACTCAGCGATTCAGTTGGTTTTCCATGCCAATCCAAAGCCAAAAATCCTCCGGCCTTTCCTGAAGCAGCACATGCGATGTCGTTCTCTTCTAATAGCACAACACGAAGTTTACCTTGTGCGAACTCTGGTCGTTTGGTAATGAAGAATGCAGTGCAAACTCCTACAATTCCACCTACGAGGTTAGCTAACTGTATTTCGCGTGTACGTCGTCTGAGTAAAGATGACTTTAAATTATAACTATCAATCGCTCGAAGCACAAGTTCGTACCTCCGATAATAAGAACATCGGCTACTTCTTGATTATCTGAATGAACACTCGACATAGTGGGCAAATGTTGTTGTATGATAGAAGAAAAGACGGAAAAAACAGTTTGTATCGGTGACGATAATGTGACGCAGGACTATGGATTAATGGCTCTAGTTATACAATTGGAAGAGTTTCCTCCTTCATTTTATTCAAACTTGTATTTGATAGTAGTGGAAACGGAGAACGTCGCATACGCTGTAATTATGAGCCAGTCGTGTTGGGAATAACGGCGCGTCACTGAGCACTGTAATACACTGGAAAAACAGGTCGTTCAATTGATCTTCACGCTTCATGTTATGGACGAGTCATGTTGTTTATAGCAAAATCTTAAGAGTTTTGATTTTTATAGAGGGACAAAAGTACAAGTTATTCAATCTTCAGTAAATCAACCAACTTTGTCAATGGTATCAGCAATTAATTTTCTGTTAGAACAACAATAATGCAAAGGAAAGAAAATACTCTATGCCAAACGCGATTGCTTCTCATTCCTTTTTGTTTACGTGTACGTATTCACTCCATAACTTTAATTAATGAAAACGCGTAACACGCTAAATGCAGGGCGCGTCGCGTTCATTAACACTCGTTTATCCATTCTTCTCTCGGTTTCCTATAAACCATCATAGCCTCTTCCATACTGTATAATCTATAACGTATGCGCTGTTTCTGTTTTATTCTATGTTCAATTGTCATAGTCTTAGAATGATCAACGAAAATTCCGCAAATTAATTCACTATTAAATGGAGTTGGAAACGAACTAAATAATTCCTTATAGTTCACAGCACCGTTTCTCCGTTCACTCCGCCCCTGAGTTTCGTCTACATCTTTTAGTCTCATTGAGTGTTCAACTCGCTATAACCGTTGTTTCATTCCTACAAATTGCTAACCTCGTCCTCCTTCCCTTAGCACAATACGTACTAAATTCTAACAAAAGCGTCTGTAACGAAAATACCTTGGTTTGCTGTGTCGAACAACAGACAGCCAGCCCCACCACCACCTAAAGGTTGTTGGTGCTTGAACATTTCCCGCTCGCAAGAGCTTGATGGTCGATGGAACTCGATTTCTTTTCCTATGCTGCACCTTCTCGAGTGCAAGCGCTCGTCTTGCCGTTTGGAAAAATTCGAAAGAATCGGTTTCGGCATTTCTACGAGCTCCTGTTTCGCGTGCGAAATATTCGATTGAATGATGTGCCGCAAGGAGCAAAGAGTCAACGTAAGTAATTCATGAAGCACAGGAGAAATGGTTCTGATACTCGGAAAATTGGGTACAGAAAGAGATGAATGGTTGTATCTCCGAAATGCCAACCATAAGCCTATTTTTGGCCAGAGGCTCTTAGCTTGGTCAGTTAATAAATTCTGAGCAATGCTCCAAGACATTCAATTTCGTTCCCGATAATTATCTCCTTAATTAACTGCTTCTTACTTAAACAACAACCGCAATTGTTTCTAACTTTACTTTATCAGATTTCAATCCTCTAAATTTTCCGCTTGGACAAGTCGTTTATAATTTTATCGTAAATTTAGATGACCAGCAATCGCTCCTTGAAGAGTTTGAGTTTTTTCGCCGGGTTTTTGTGCTAGTTGCTTTCGTCGATGGTCGTGAAGATGTTTCTGCTGAATTTATCAGTAGTAAACTAGAAGAATGGCAACGCCGTGTGCCTCATGCACTTGTTGTCCGTTGTATCGTATTCGATTGTGAAGACAAAGAACGCCGTGCTGCACTTGCAACTGTTCCTGAAGTAGTTTTTGGACCAGTGGGGTCTTTCTCTCCGGCTACTGCTGTACGTTCTCTTCTGTGCGATATTACCGCTGAAATGCTTGACACGTTTAATGATTTGGAATATGCCATCACTGCTCGTTCGGTGATTCTTTCCCCCATCACGGAAGTTCCGCATCTTAAGCCTCTTGAACGGCACGGCTCAGGATCTTCTACACGTAGTTTTTCCCGCAGAACATCGTCTACGTTTACTATACAAAGTTCAGGGGATAATAGCACACGGACAAACCCGACTGGTTCAGAGCATTCAAAAGTCCGGTTCAAGGGCCGTGCAGAAAATCAGCTAGGCCAACTGTACCTCCTTGCTGGTCTACTCCCTGCTGCGATGCGGCATTTTACTACCGCTATTGACTGTGCCAAACTCACACGCGATTATTTGTGGCATGGTCTTTCTTTGGAAATGTTCTCAGTTTGCTTATTGCTTCTTGCATACTTGCAAGCTGACGTGAGTATACCTGAGGGAATGCAGAATCTGTTTTCCTCAACACTTACAAGTCGAAACAGTGTCAAAGAGATGGTACATGTGGACAACTTATTGGGTTTACTTACAGAAATCCGTAACATGGTAAATTCTCTATATATTAAATCAACGAAGCAGCCTCACGATTCTATTCCTGGACTGTGTTTTGCAGAAAGTGTGCTTCGATATGCACATCTTCTTGCCATGGTTCGTATCGCAAACGGTATTAATACTGCGTCGTTGGATCACATCGTTATGCAAGTACCACTGGAAAAACAACGTCCCATTACTGCTTACGTTCCCAGCAAGGCTGTAATTTACCAATGGATATTGAAGGTCGATGAATCTCAACCTGAACAACTTTCAGTTCGTGAGTTATGTCGTATATATGGAGCAATGGCCAATTTGCTAGGGTCCATAGGTTTCTTCCGGCAACGTGCTCTCTTATTACGACGTCTGCTTGTGCAATTGACCCCGTCACTACTCTCAACCCGATATTTGAATGCTTCCAGACGCGGTGTCCATCCGGATATTGAGGCACTCAATAGTGCATTACGTTTATACTCTTCTCAAAGCACTCATACTGAACCTATTTTACTCGAGGTTTGCCGAGTTTACGGTTTCTTTGACGAAGACGGTTCCATTCTCCAACCTAACAAAATCGGGTGGAATTGGTCTTCTTTACAATACGCGGTTGTTCGAAACCTCGTAGAGTTTTGTTCGGCACTCGGAGACTGCTCAGGCTTAATGATTTTGATTTCACTATATTTTTTTGCAACTTTAAATAGGTCTCAATCAGAGGAACAACGAACACTCTTTACTGCTTTTCAAAATGCATATAAGCTTTTACAAAATGCCAATATAGCTTGCTCCGTTCCATACTGGGACCCATTTCTTGTATTAGACATTTGCTATACTAGCAGTGATGAGGACGAGCAACTAGTCTATCAATCCTTAGTGGAATCGACTACTCCCACTCGACCAAAGGGCCCTTTTCTTTACAACCCGTTTGAGCGGCCATTAAGCAAAAAGATAGAGCCAGATAATCATATTGTTATCGTTGATGAACGTGTCTCATTACGTGTCCGACTTCGCAATCGTCTCAGTGTTGACATTGAGCTGCAAAGTATATCTTTGTCCGTTGATGGTGCGCATGCAGAATGTCCAGACGTATTCACAACACTTCCCGCGAAATCTGAAACCTTAGTGACACTATCATTACTTCCTAAAGAAGTGGGTAATCTTCAGATAACTGGATGTAGGGCTACTGTGTTAGGCTGTCGAGAGCAACTGTTTCATTTTTACGATTTAGATTACATTCGTGAAGAACAAATTGTTCGTTTGGAAAAAATGAGTCCTGATAAGGAACTCTCCGCCAGAAATGAACAAACTTGGTGGGATGTGCAAGACAAAGAGTGGCCGAAGAATACAATACAATTACAAGTCGTCGATAAGCAGCCTCAACTGCTGCTGCGTGCTTGTCCTGCAGCTTCTCGGCCTCTTTCGATGGCGGAATACGAAACAAAAACGATTCCCATAACTCTTGAAAACGTGTCTTCCGTTCCCGCAAATTTAGTCCATGTCCAATTTTTTGATTCCTCAGCTCAATACTACACGAATGCACTTGCTAGCAAAACCATTACAGCAGATCAATTTTACGAGTTGGAGCAAGAGGAAACGGAGATGCCCTCTTTTAAATTACTTTACGTTGAAGAACCACTACATGTAGACCCACATGAGAGTCGCACATTCCACATTCAGCTTCGAGCTAAACCAAGCATGGAGAAAGCCCGTATCGTTTTCACTTATGGTCACCGAAGCTCATCTGATGCCGAATACTACTACAAGAGACAAGTCACCGTGACACTTGACATCAAGGTATGCTCCCGCATTGTGTTACAGGGCATCGAAGTTTTACCGCAGTCTATGTTGGACTATTCGTCATGTTTACTGGTAATGTACTTTTTCAATCATTACTTTGAACAACAACATATTACGGTTTTTGACAATGCAACTGATACAGAACACTCTATTGATGTTTACGCAAACAGCAATGCCGTGCTGTGTGTCTCGACCCCGCGTATATCATTGACACAGGAGGAATTGACCAAAGATATCCCTCGTCTATCGAACCGTCAATTTGTATTGTCCAAAGGCATGAAAGACAGTTTGGACGAAACAATTTATGTGAAACAACGCTTCTGGTTGAAGCAAGTCTTATTACGCCGTCTTAAGGTGCAATGGGAATCTATTGTTGACGGTTCACGTAAGGGTATAGTTCACATGCGACCCCTAATCTTATCCCGCAATTCAATTCCAAATCTACTATCACCTCCTCTGGCGGTATATTTTGAAGCTGAAGATCCACTTGTATTTGATCCTCACATGTATGTGTGGAAGGTACCATTTCGTACTTTCTTTACGATTCGTGTACGTTTTGTGAATCATACCGAGAAGCCTTTACGCGCTTCATACGCACTTAAACTGTGTAGCGTCAGCTTACAAGACATGGAGAGTCCAACGCTGGTCCTAAATGGTCCGGCCCAACGAACGATGCCGGTTTTGGGGCCTGGTAAAGAAGTCTCATTTTCGCATTCACTGTTTGCGACTACGTCCGGATTGTTTCGCATACAAGTCTACGCGGAAGAGACACCTTCTTCGTCGTCCGCTTTTTGTCACTCTGCGTACCTTCCAGAACCTGTCATTCTTTCTGTTGAGTGCCCTACTGTATCTGATGATAATACTAAATTGTCCTCGGATTAGATCCAACAGAACTTCTCTCCCTCTCCTTCATTTCCGCTTCCAAAATTTACCGTCGTACATAGAATCCCTCTTCCCATGACATGATTAGCTACGAATGAAATGTTTCCGACGCAGCTCTTGCTAAATATCCGACCAAGCCAATATACTCTTCTTTACTTATATTGCAATCTATGCTGTCTAGCGAAACTGTCCCATAGAACTTATACGAATCCATAATTTTGTTTTAATTGCAGCTTCTATCGTCTAACATACACTAGGAGGCTTATAAAGAGGATAAATGCACTGCTACAGCTTTCTTTGAGCGTTATTTGATACCATTGTTCTATTTGACAGGTGGAATAACTTCGCGTTCAGGTCTTTCCTCTTCCAACCACTCGAAACGAGAATACTCCCAAAATGTTTAGAAATCAGTATGGTATGCTATAAAAACGCGTTTATTGAAGTAAAAACTTGTAATTAACTTGTTAAAGACGGTGACGCTACGACTTGGAGTCCTCAGGGACGTCTCCATCAAGTTGAATACGCCCTTGAAGCCATTAAGCAGGGTTCCGCTGCTGTCGGCGTTGTTTCCAACACACATACCGTGCTTGTTGCGTTAAAGGTATGTTTTGTCGTCCTCAGCTGCTGAAAAAAGTGGTTTATGATTTTGTATGAATTTTTTGGTATGCTAACTGATCCCTTCTCACAGAGAAATGCTGAAGAACTCAGCAGCTACCAAAAGAAGATTGTACGCATTGATGATCATGTTGGAGTTGCCATTGCTGGTCTGGCCCCCGATGCCCGTGTTTTAAGGTATGAAGCTTTGGAAATGAAGAAAACACTGTCAGCTTTTCGTATTATGGAATATGAGTGCGATATGAACGCTTCTGGATTTATTAACATCTTTGTTATTGTGTAAATGACTATTTGATCTCTAACAATGCTTTTAGTAACTTCATGAGACAACAAGCACTCGCCTCAAAAATGACTTTCAACCGTCCTATTCCCATTAAGAGACTTGTCAACATGATTGCTGAAAGAGCTCAATTAAATACGCAAGAATACGGAAAGCGGCCTTACGGTGTTGGCATGCTTGTTGGCGGCTGTGATGAAACAGGTCCTCATTTGTACGAATTCCTGCCTTCAGGAATGGTGCTCGAGTATTTGGGAACAAGTATGGGTGCTCGTTCCCAGTCGGCTCGTACCTATTTGGAACGCAATCTTCAATCCTTCCCTGCGGCCACCCGTGAAGAACTGGTACTCTATGCCCTTCGTGCGTTGCGCGATACTCTTCCCCAAGACCACGAATTAACTCGGCAAAATGTATCAATCTGTGTGGTTGGCAAGGACGAAAAATTTGTGCTTTATGATGACGATGAAGAAACTGTCCAATGGCTTGAGAAGCTTGGCGACACAAGTCCTGCGGCTGCCCGTTCTACGGCGGCAGCAGCAGCAGCAGCAGCTACGGCCACTGCTGCTGCTACTTCTCAGGAACAACAACCTGAACAAGCTACTGAAGAGAGCAATCCTGATGCCATGGATACGAACTAGAAATGTGTGATGATTGTGTAGAGTTTCACGACAAGCTGCATTTTGAGCGAAGGGAATTTGATGCGTACTTTGCTTAAATATCCGTCGGTCTGTTTACAAAAAAGTGCACGAATTACTGCACAAAGATTTAATTGAAAACTACTTCATGATATCCCAGTTTCTTTGCTACTAAGTTTACTTAAGAACTTTTCAAGACTTGGCATTTTTCTCTTTGGGGGGGGGACTGCAACAAGCGTCGCATTCTCTGAAGAATGAATCGCTCGAAGCATGCGTACTGACTTGTTGACATTCTTTGCTAGCAGTGATATCAACAATACTATGCCCTTTGGTCAAAACGTGCTTGTTTTGTTTACTCTTCTCACCCTCATTTTACCAGCCCACCCATCCCCTTTGTCGTCGGGTTCGGTCCGTTTGCTGATAGGAGAGTCGAATAGCATTCCTCTCTCCACTGCTTCTCGTCTACCTTTTAGGTTAAAGCAGAGCATGGCCAATGTGGTACGGGCCCTTTTAGAAGGTTTTTATGGTATGTGTTGACATCATTCAATGTTAGAGAATATCGTTTTGCCTAACCTGCTCTGACAAGTTGTGCTGGATCTTCCTGCTTTCATAGTACTTGTCGTCTCTGGTATCTACACGCTGCTAGCACTGTTCATATCCGTCTTCGTGGAATTTGTTGCTACCTTCTTCTCTTCCGGCATTGACAACCGCTAACTTAGCGCACGATTTTCGCTGTTATCTTATTCAGGGAACCAAATGTCAGACATGAGGTGCCAACAACGGCTAGTGGAAACATGTATTTAAGTTGTATACGTATTTTACCACTTTGACGAGGGATCTGTTCTACGTTTATGAACTTTTTTAGAAAGAAAATTTGGCAGATTATGAAGCTGATTGAGAGTATTGTGCGAAAAAATGTTAACTGTAAGCGACCTTCATTATTGTAAAACGTGCGGAAGTGGAATCGGATCCGTCTTTAAAGTTATCTTAGGTTTGGTAAAGTATCTAAGCGAATTTCGCAGATCATCCATTCACAAACTCGCTTAAATCGTTTATTAGCTCGCTTCTATCGCCCACGTAATAGCTCGTTGCGAAGCGAGGATTCGAGGTCGTGAGCGAAGCATGCCGCGTGCACTTCTCCTTAACCAACAACATGGTCCAAATCAGTGAGGTTACAGGCAATGGCCGTGAAAACAGAATTGCTGCTCATTCTCACATCAAAGGGCTTGGCTTAAAGGAGGATGGAACTTCAGAAAATGCTGCTGGCGGCTTTATCGGTCAAAACACCGCGCGTGAGGTATGTGACGCGTCTATTTCTTATTTTGGTCCGTGTTTGATGGCTCTCTAACAGTATTTACAGGCTTCTGGTGTAATTGTCGATTTAATTAAGTCTAAGAAACTCGGTGGTCGGGGTATCTTGTTTGCTGGTGCCTCAGGAACTGGCAAAACTGCACTGGCACTTGCCATTGCTCAAGAATTGGGACCGAAAGTACCATTCTGTCCCATGGTTGGAAGTGAAGTGTTCTCCAGTGAAGTGAAAAAAACAGAAGTTTTGATGGAAAACTTTCGACGCGCTATTGGCTTACGTGTAAAAGAGACCAAGGAGGTTTATGAAGGCGAAGTTACAGAATTGACGCCAGAAGAAGCAGAAAATCCTCTGGGCGGTTATGGAAAAACTATTTCACACGTTCTTTTGGGACTGAAAACATTTAAGGGTACCAAACAACTTAAACTCGACCCGAGTATTTACGAGTCGCTTCAAAAAGAAATGGTTACTGTGGGTGATGTGATCTATATCGAAGCCAATACGGGAGCAGTAAAACGTGTTGGTCGTAGTGACGCTTATGCAACAGAATTCGATTTGGAAGCCGAAGAATATGTACCTCTGCCGAAGGGTGAAGTTCACAAAAGAAAAGAAATTATTCAAGATGTTACCTTACATGACCTCGACATTGCCAATGCTCATCCTCAAGGCGGTCAGGATATCATGTCTATGATGGGCCAGCTCATGAAGTCTCGTAAAACAGAAATCACTGACAAACTGCGTCAAGAGATTAACAAAGTCGTCAACAAATTCATCGATCAAGGAATTGCTGAGCTTATTCCTGGTGTTCTCTTTATTGACGAAGTTCACATGCTTGATATTGAGTGTTTCACGTATTTGAACCAGGCGCTTGAGAGTCCAATATCTCCTATTGTCATTTTTGCTTCTAACCGGGGCATGTGCACCATTCGTGGAACGGAGGACATTACTGCTCCTCATGGTATTCCCACCGACCTTTTGGATCGTTTAATGATTGTTCGCACATTACCTTACTCAGCTGCTGAGATCAAGGCTATCGTTCAAACTCGCGCCAAGGTTGAGTCCCTAAATCTTACGGAAGCAGCCCTCGACCGGCTGTCTGAGATGGGTCACAAAACAAGTCTTCGTTATGCTGTTCAGCTTCTCACTCCCGCCAGTATCGTGGCTAAGTTGGGCGCGAGTGAAGCTGTTGATGTCCAACACGTCGAAGAGTGTGCTGATCTGTTCCTGGACACAAAGCGGTCAGCTCGTGTTGCCCAGTCTTCAGGCGGCTTTTTGCATTAAACGAATCATGATTGGGGCTTAAAAAAATAAATGAATTTCATTCAGTACGGTTTTGTAAGAAATGATCGATGAATAAGGTTGTATACAGGGTACAGCTAAATTTCGCAAAGTTGGAATAAAGTTCTGAAAAGTGGCAGATACTACATGTGTATTCTGATGATACCATTGCAACATAAAAGAATAGTCATGAGAACTGTTCACTGGTTAGCAACATATGCTGCTCACGTATGTCTCTCTCTCTCTCTCTCTTGCCACGGTTTTTATGATGCAACATTGACTCATGTCGCTACTAAATAGCATTTTGAGAAAGGGCGAGTACGTGGAAAAGGCATAAGGATAACAGAATACTGATCCTCTATACTACGACCATTCGACTATCTGAATGTCCTGCTTTACAACTGTCTTCATCAAAAACCAAGCTACAACATGAGTCCATCCGATCGAACATCTCCGTCGCGAAAGCTTTTAGCAATGATGCGAAATGTGCCGCCGGATTTAAAAGCACTTCGTAAGTTCAGCTTAGCATGCTGCCATTTACTAACAATCGCCCCCAACCCAGTCGCTTTAGTTGGCATCGGTGGCATTACCGCTATGGCTACCATAGGATACAAACTTAACAGTGACCCAGAAGTAAGCAAGAAGCATGAAGGCATATGCTGCTACTTCAGCAATGCTAATTCGAACCGTTACATTAACAAGAACGCTAGGTTCGTCGAAAACTACAGCGAATGTCAGATAGTGAGCACAGACGGCAACCAAAAAAACCTTAACTGTTTTGTTTTAATAAATCCACTGTATTCACAAATCTAAAGAAACTCGAAAGGCTCATGAATCAGCAACGAACACCGGCTGGGTAAATTTTCATGAGTACAATTAAAATAACCATTTTTTTATTTTTCTTTTCTTCCATCAATTGAGTTAATTGTAGTAATATTCGCCGACTTTTTTTTTTTTCTGTTTTTTACTTTTCCTCCGTACCAAAGTAAATGTCACCAAAGTCACCCAAACCGGGAATAATGTAACTAAATGAGTTAGTAAATGAGTAGGAAGGGCAGGAAAAGAAAAGTAGAAAGAATGACAATTCACGTTAGAACTGTTGTTCCCACCGATTCTTCTTCCTCTCAACTTACCCTCTTTCATCGAGAGAATCATCAATGGCAGCAGTGACGATGCGAAGCTTGGGGAATTTTGCGGTGATGTTCTTGATACCTGCAGGAGAAGCAATCACGTTCAAGAAAATAATTTGCTCCTGCTTGCAACCATTGTCGAGCAAGACCTCAATGGCCTTGATGGCCGAACCACCAGTAGCCAGCATGGGATCCAGCAACAGTACGTAACGAGTAGCGACATCTTTGGGCAACTTCTTGTAGAAAAGAACGGGTTGTTGAGTCTCTTCGTTACGTTGGATCAAGATCTTGCCAATGCGAACTGAACGGCAGCATTCACGAAGACCTTGTTCCATACTTTCACCAGCACGCATGATACTGACACCGCAAATACGGCCATCGAATTCGACACCGTCAAAGCTGGCATTCTGAGCCGTAGTGACGGTCTTGGGAGAGACGGGAAGGTAGTTCAAACCCTCTTCGACAATCAGACGAATGATTCGGTTGGCATAGAAAATGAATTCCGACTGTATGTTAGAGAGAGGGAGGGGGGAGAGACCAAGAGAGACGAAAAAAGAAAGAAGAAAGAAGACGTGGAGAGGAACAAAAGCGAAATGCTCCGTTTGAAAAGAAGAAAAAAAAAAATTGCAAAAAATACTTCACCCCAGATTTCCACAACCGAACTTATCCCCGTCTTCTTCGTCCTCACTTTCGTCGTCTTCTTCACTTCACTTACGCGAGGTTTCGTGCAGTCACGAATGATTGTAAACAAGCCCTTCAACTGGTTCGTTTGTGGGAGTACAATCACGTTCTCACTCAAGGCAGAAGGAAATCCAAGACCAGACATTTTGCTTTTTGCAGGTTGCTCTTGTTCCATTCACAAACAACACTGGTTCTTTTCTTCACTATCTCACCTTGCGCTTCCTTAAACGAGAATACGATGAGATAGGCACAGAGTAACGAGACGCGGTATCAGAGAACAGCAGCAGACTCTACTTGATCAAGATCATCAAGCGGATTGCAACGCAGACTCGGATGCCCGGAAGGTGGCCGGTGTATGCCCGGTGGAGGGAAATTGAAAGGGACCAAAAAGAGAGACAGAAGAGAAATAGAGCAGATCATAATTTTGTAGAAAACGCTAGTGAGACGAACTCGTTTTCCGAGAATTTAATCGGCATAGCGTCTAGACGGTTTTTCGTCGTCGTACGCGCTTTCTTGTTTGGCAATTGCATCACATGCATCAATCCAGTCACTGTAGATGTCAATTGGAGCAGAGAGAGCTAAGCTGTCAGCAAAACGAAACATGTTGGCGGTTAATTATCGCGATTAACGCGTGAAAAATGCGTATTTGTGGTGAATACACGGGTTAATGGCGATTTCGTAACATACCGTTAATAATGCATTGGTGACTTTGTCCGCAAATCTTGCAATGCAAATTGCCGACTCCGGCCTGTTTGTCTCTGTAAACGCGTGTTAAACGACTTTCGATTGCGAATAAGGGTCAGAGAGAGCACTTACAAGGAACAACTGACACTTTTCTCATGGTTGCAAAACAAGCATGTAAACTATATCCTGTTAGAAGAGGATTGACGCGTCAACACACACAAACCGTGTTCAGTTTCACTTACAGTAGTGTCCAGAGGGGGAGTTTTACGCTTAGGAGGCGCTTTTGCTTTTGCCTTTCTTTTGCCCATGTGTTTGGCTCTGGGCAAGATTCATTTGGGCGAATTGACTCGACATAACCGAACATGACGTAGCGCCATTTGGACCGGAGTTGAAGGGATGAAACGCTCGCAGTGGGTGAAGATACGAGATAAACCAACCTTATTTTAAATTTCTAAAACACAAAACGAAAAGCAGAAATGCGATTCTGCAAGACACCGTTCAGCTCTTCCTCTCTTCTCTTCTCTTCTCTTCTCTTCTCATCACATTACTATTCTCCTTACAATCCTAAAGTTCATTATTAGAGTAAAACATTAAAGCGGCCCGGGTGAGTCCAGCTGCACACAAGCATCCTAAGCAAACATTTTTGAGAAGGCCTTGCGTTGACGAGCAATGTACTCCTTCTTCTTTTGACGAACGGCCGCAAGCTCCTTTTTGACAGCAGGATCGGAACCAGCCTGAGCAAGAGTAGCTTCAGCTTCCTCGAAATTCTTCAGAGCAGCAAGGGCAACACCGCGACGATAGTTCGCCTTCTCCTTCTCGGCTTGCGTAAGAGACTCCTTGTTATCAAGGACAACCGAAGTCTCTTTAAGCACCTCTTGGTAACGCTTCTCACGAAGGGCGACAAGAGCGATGTTAAGGTGCACACTGTTACGGAGAACATCGTACTGTTTCCAAAACTCGAGATCCTTCTCCGCATCCTCATCATGGAAAGGATGGACACCAAGGTAGCGCAGGGCCTTACGCCATTTGGTGACGGCAACCTCGTTGTTCTTGGCAGCGAATTGCTTGTTGCCAATAGCCTTCAACTCGGAACCAATTTCGTAGGCTTTTCTAGGGACAAGCTCACCCTCAAAGTCGTCGGGGAAGTCCTCAAACTTGTCACCAGTAGCGTCAGGTTGAGGAGGAGGAATGTCAGCAGCAGTGCAGACACCACAGTCTTCAATAACAACAGGCACCTCAGGGTCGTCGTTGGACTGTGTCTTCAGGTTTTCAATAGCACGGACGGTCGACTTGCCGGACACAACCTTACCAAAGACGACATGCTTGTCGTTCAAGTGGGGAGTTGGCACCGTAGTAATGAAGAATTGCGAGCCGTTCGTGTTGGGTCCAGCATTGGCCATCGAAAGCAAGAAAGGTGCATCGTGCTTATGCTCAAAATTTTCATCCTCAAACTTCTCACCGTAGATACTTTCACCTCCAGTTCCGTTACCCTTGGTGAAGTCACCGCCTTGAATCATGAAACCCTTGATGACACGGTGGAAGCGGGAGCCTTTGTAGGTCAACAAACGGCCATCCTTTTCGAATCCTTGACACAGAGAAGCAAAGTTCTTTGTGGTCTTTGGAACGGATTTGTCAAACAATTCAAAGTAAACGGGAGCTTGAGCCTTTCCGTCAATGCTGATCTTGAAGAAAGCGTGTGTAGCCATTTGTCAATGCAATTTGCTTATTTTTATGTCAGTGGTAAATTTCGTGAAAAAGTCGTAACCGAGCAAACTGTGTATCAAAGAAAATGTGTTCAGACACGCTCGAAAATTCTTAAAATGAATGCAGTCAGTGAACAAACAGAAACTCTATGCAAGTTTAGACGCTGCTGAAGGCTTCTCTCGGAGGTGCTTTATACAGCCGGTATGGGTTTAACCCCGAAGCTTCTAGAAAATTAGGAAAAAGCAAAAGAACAAAGTCTCGACGACGTTTGAGAGACAATAATAAGATTCTTCTGTTCATCTGAAAGATCGTCATTTGATAGAACGCTGTGCTGATTTTCGAGTAAATCGCGTTCAATTCAACTTTTCATAAGAAAGTCATAGAAAACCTAGAAATGACATTAGTTAACTGTAAACACGATGAATGGAGAGCAATGAGGGACATTAATTCATGAGAACTTAATGTTGAAATCTATATTTCATGCATAAAGCGCTCAACGTAAAATGAGACCATGATGAATTGATAGACATCTGTTTTCCTTATTACTCGTGTAGCTTACCCCTTGATCAATAGAAACATTTCCAAACTGTTTCATTCGCTTTTTTCCTTCACGTTGATTTTTCAATAACTTCATTTTGCGAGTAACATCTCCGCCATAACACTTGGCTGTTACGTTTTTCCTTGCGGCAGAGATCGTCTCGCGAGCGATGATGTGTTTTTCGCACATGGCTTGCAGCGCTACCTCATACAACTGTCGTGGAATAAGCGACTTTAGCCGTTGTAGAGATGCACGAGCAGTTCGTAGTACACTTGAGCGATGTAATATCGTGCATAGGGCATCAATAGGCATACCGTTCACGAGATAGCTTAGCTTCACAATGTCTGAAGGTGCGAAACCCGCATCTTCATATTCCAAACTGCCATATCCATGAGTACAGCTTTTCAGTTGATCAAAAAAACCATCCATTAAACGCGACATCGGCAATAAGTACTCAAGCACACAGCGCGCAGTCGATAAAAACGAACACTTCTGTTGTGTTCCCCGACAACTTTCACACAAATTCATGACTGGGCCCACATACTCGCGAGGAAAAACGAGCGTCACAAGGGCCATTGGTTCTTCGACCTGAGCATATGCGGTACGGGCGTCGGGAAAATTGCTCGGATTCGAAACCATACTTGTCATTCCATCTTTCCATGTAATCCTGTAAGGGACAGTAGGCGCCGTTACTAATACTTCATGCTTGTATTCATCTTTCAACCGATCCAGGAAAACCGAGAGATGCAGGCTGCCAAGGAAGCCTAAACGCCAGCCTATCCCCAGTGTGTCTGATGTGTCTTTTTCAACAAAAATACTGCGGTCATTGAGTGCAAGCCTGTCGATGCTATCACTCAAACTGTCGTAATCGGATCTGACCAGTGGAAAAGCGTTCACATATACCTTTGGTTGCTGCTTCTCAAAACCAGGCATTGCCTTAACAACGTGGCCAACCTGGGTAAATGTGTCTCCGAGAATTGCTTCGGCACTATTTTTCATGTTCCAATTAACGTAACCAACTTGGCCAGCTAGAAGAACTTGAGCTTCAACAGGATTTGGATGCATGAATCCCACTTCGTTCACAACGTATTTCCGATGCGTATTCACACTATAGATAGCAGCACCGGCAACCAGTTTGCCATCTAGTATCCGTACCAGACCAATGACTCCCCGATGTGTATTGAACCAACTGTCAATAAGCACACATTTTAGTGACGCGTTTTCATCACATATGGGATGTGGAACGCGTTGTATGATTGCATCAATAAGCTCAGGAACGTTCTTCCCCGTTTTTGACGACACGAGCAAAGCTTCCTTTCTGTCCAGTTCAAACACTTCTTCCAGCTGCGCGAGAACTTTTTCTGGTTCAGCGGTAGGCAAATCAATTTTTGTTTAGCACAGGGATAATAACCAAGTTTCGGGCAAAGGCTAAGTAGAAATTTGAGACCTGTTCGGTTAGCAGATGTCTTCAACCAAGTCGGTGTTGTTCGAGTGTGACCCGTGTTAATCACGTAAAAATATTATACTGCACGGTGCAGACTTACTGTTTGAGCCTGAATTCCTCGTGTTGCGTCGACCAGAAGGATACAGCCCTCACAAGCCGCCAAGCTATGTGTTACTTCCGAAGAGAAGTCGACATGTCCGGGTGTGTCAATGAGATTCAAAAGATATTGCTCATCGTTGTACTCGTATATCATGCTGCAGGTTTGTGCCTTTACAGTAATTCCTCTTCGCTGCTCGACACTCAGCTTATCGAGGACTCTTTGTTTCCCGGACGACTTTTCGATGACACCTGTGAGTTCAAGAATACGATCGCTTAGCGTTGACTTTCCATGATCAATATGCGAAATGATAGCCCAATTGCGTATATTAACTGTTGGAATGTGTTCTGCAGCATCGGCTATGTCGACGACCGGACGAGCTTTAGTCGAATGGGAACGAGATGGTAATACAAACACTGGTCTTGCTTGAAGGCCACGAAGAATGCGTGCTTGAAATGTATAGGAAAACCGTCGTAAGGTCATACAAGTAAGGCCTTCCCTAGAGGAGACACGAACCTTCTAATCGGTCTTCTAGACTGTTTGTGACATGAAACAACTCTTACGAGAGAACTACTAGTCAATTGTGCACTATAATCTTTCGCGTCGCGTCAGTATATTCGTTTTCCGGGCATCCATCCGCTCATTAAAACCCGTGAACAACGGCATAAGCGTCGTCACGGTACATCATTCAAGCTAGTGACTACGTACATTGTTTATGCTTTACAGATTGTTTATATTTAAAGCCTTTTTAGTCACTTTCAACGAATCTTCTGGCTTGTTACAGCAGTAAGAAGTCTGCCTATACTTTCAACCGTTCACCACCATCAAACATACTTTCCAAGAACCACTACATACTACGATATAGACAAAATTTTCTATACGAAACTGCAGTGTTTTGTTCTCCTAATAGAGTAAGATGACTGCACGAAAGTTACAAGGTGAATTGGTTTTCCCGATCCGGTTATGAAGCGGCATTGCTAACGCAACACAGTCGAGATTGAAAAAACATTCAAAAAAGTTACCGACGGAGTATGCTGCTTGTCACTGGACTACAGTGTTTGAATCGTACTAACATTTTGCGCGTGACGCGCGATAAGATTGCAATCTTCGATGAAGTTTATGAAAAACTAAACGCTAGTACAAGTCCATCACAGAAAGAAAAACTTGAAGGTGACCTGAAGACACAAATCAAGAAACTGCAACGTCTGCGAGACCAAATCAAGGCGTGGGCCAGCAGCAATGATATTAAAGACAAAAAGGCATTGATGGAAAATCGACGATTAATTGAAGCGGTACGTTCCGTCTAGCGAGACAGCACATGTTTTGATTCTTCACTTACGACTGTAAGCCATGAGCATGCTGCTAACAAAGGTGTTTAGAAAATGGAAGAGTTTAAGGCTGTCGAAAGAGAAATGAAGATTAAAGCCTTCAGTAAAGAAGGACTGAGCGCGGCGACTAAGATGGATCCTAAAGAAAAAGAAAAAAATGATACAGTACAATGGATTGCTAATGGCGTCGAAGAACTGGAGCGCCAAATTGAACAAATGGAGGCGGAGACTGAGATTATTCGAGTCAGTATGAAGAAGGGAAAGAAGGATATGTCCAAAATTTCGCAATTAAACGCACTGGAAGATCGGATTGAACGGCACAAGTGGCACCAAGAGAAACTGGAACTGCTGATGCGCCGGTTGGAAAACAACCAACTTACGGCAGAAGCCATCAATAACATCCAGGATGATATTCTTTACTACATTGAGTCTAATCAGGATGTTGATTTTGCAGAAGACTTCAACATTTACGATGAACTTGGACTTGATGATGCACCAATTTCCAATTCAGCCGAACTGAAGAAGTCCTCTGAGAGCTCGTCACCACTGAACCAATCTTCCTCAACTGACGGTAGCGACGAGACACAATTTGTTTCTGTGAACACCCCTCCGTCGCAATCGCCCGGTGCGCAAACTCCTGAGCCGTCCAGCTCAGTTCAAAAGAGCAAAGAAGAGACGCGACCGAAAGAACCCGTCCAGGTGCTTCGTTTGAGTCACAGCTCCAAAACCCCCTCCTCATCACCGAAACCCAACGCAATTGCATCACCGCACGTGAATGCTAGTCCGTCAACTCCTACACATACACCTTCTGTTGCACTCCACATGCCTAAACCGGAACTTCGTTACGCCTCGGCAGCAGCAGCAGCTGCTGCCGCTCTGCGTGACGCAGCAAATCACAGCACTGCCCGTTCTAATTCTCCGTCTTCTCCATATACTGCCACTGTAATTACGAGCCGGCATGCTTCGACGGCTCTTCAACACAACTCGGCTACAACTGCTGCTAAAGCAGAACCAAGCGCTGTAGCGAAGGTTAGCAAGCCTGCTGAAGATGTGCCCGTATCCGCTACCGGCACCTCCACAGCTGCTGCTGCATCCAATGGTGCATCAACAGCAGCCAAGAACGCACCTCCTGTACAGGTAGAGCAGCTTCCTACAATTGTTCAAGACCTGTACAAAACGCTTTCGGGTGTTCGTAAGCAGGTGCAAAGTAGCAATAAGGCCGAAGAGAATGGAGAAACAAGTCGTGAAGACAAGAGCAAGCTGTACGAGCTGTTGGATACCAGCTGTCTCTACGTTCCAGATTCTGTGGATGCTTCGAAACCGCGATACTATATTCCCAAAGACCCTTATCCCGTACCCCATTACTATCCACAACAACCACTGCCGCTTTTTGACTCGCCTGAAATTGTTGAACGGGCTGACCCTGACACTCTTTTCTTTATGTTTTACTATCTGCCTGGGACTTATCAACAATACCTTGCTGGAAAGGAGCTCAAACGCCAAAGTTGGCGGTTTCACAAAAAATACATGACTTGGTTTCAGCGTCATGATGAACCCAAAGTTATAACTGATGAGTACGAAAGCGGTACATACCGTTATTTCGACTTTGAAGGCAACTGGGTTCAGCGTAAAAAGTCTGACTTCCGCTTTCAGTATCAGTATCTTGAGGACGAAGACGACTGGAGTCGCTGAACTCGTATTAACGAATGCTGCATATAACGTTTGTCTCTTTTGTAAAAATTATATCTGTTCTGTTCACCGATATTTTAAACAGCATTCAAGGGTGCTAGACGCCTTAACGATAAGGAAAGAGGAAAGACAAACAAGAACAGGGTCCGTCCAAATAGACATAGAACAAGGACGAACAGTATACAAAACAGGACTCTGATCAACACCCAAAAAACAAACAAAAAATATAGAAAAAAGACATTTATTATGCTATTTGTATTTTACGATTCTGGAAATCCTGTTGATGTTAGTAGTTGACAAATGAAATGAATAGGCTGAACCAAAATTCAATCTTTTGGAGGATCCGGAGCACCTGCGTATTAGATGCCCGGCAAAACTAATCATCATTTAGCGATTTGCGGTCGCAATGAGACGGGTGCCAGCATATTTATCGTCATATCCACCCAGAGGACGAACGGTTCAGCTCTTAAGTTACACATACCTTCTTTACAAAGACCAGAAAAAATGAAAGAAATGTATCAGACATGTATGACTCGAACGAAACAACGACGAAGAAATCGCCAACTCGAACGGGTAAAGTGTGAATGACAAGTAATCTCTGCACTTCATGAAGGAAGCAAGCCCATAAACAAGTGGACTGCTTCTGATTACAGTGCATAAAAAGCCCACAAAGCCTTGTCGAACGACAGAGCGCAACAAGTGAAAGAACCACAAGATTCCGATCGTACAGCTCCGTCACGAGCCACACTGAGTCGTTGACTTCAAATGATGTTCAGACGACTCCACAATGGGAGGCCGATGCTGTTGTTGACGGTGACACCGATGCTTATATACTGTTAGAAAATCGAAAAAGCAGTCACGGTTTACCCTAAATGTTGTGACTAGTATTTGATGTCATACATTTGGAAGTTAAATGCAAAAGGCGACGCGAGGTAAACACTGTCGCAAGCCCAATTGGAATAGAACGCGTGTACGTAAATTCATTCATTCATTCATTTAAACATAACGCAATTGGAAATATATATCTGCTCTTTATCAATCTAAAACTTGTTGTACGTTTCTGTATACATAGCTTCTAAATCTCGAAGAAATAACTGCCGGTCGTCTGCATCCAATTGCGCGTCGTCTTCTAGCTTATTTAATTTTATGAGCCATTGAACGAGAGCAGCTCTTCCTTTTAACGTTTCGTTTGTATCTTCAAACAGGTCGTCTAAACTGCACATTAATTCGGCTAGTAAAGGATGCATTTGTTTTTTTGCGACCAAATTTAGCCGGATGGCGTCCATGATTGTGATAAAGTTTTGAACAACTTGTGCAACAGCTTTAGCTGTAGAGTTTGTCTGAGGTGATTGAGATGCATTTCTTCTTTCGTCTTCTACAGACGTTTCAACGGTAAGTCTGCTGGTGGTGTTTGTCAGTTCTTCAAGTTTTGTTTTCGCACGAGGACAATGCAGCTTGTAACGAGAGCAAAAAGAATCAAAAGATTCATAGACGGAAGCGACATGTTCATCACGCAAGCAAGAACGCCATTGCTGAAGCAGAAGACGACAAGCTTCTTCGTAGTCCACGTACGACACGCCGTCTTTGGCGAACACCTTCTCCAGATGCTCTAAGGCAACAATGATGCCGTAGACGACACTCAAATCCTCGTTTACTGAAGTGTCTTCGTCATTTTTATCCACATGCACCTGGGACACTTTCTCCGTGAGCAAACTAAGGTCGTAATAGTCGTTCATCCTAGATGTTGCTTACTTGAGAAGGCTCGTTAGCCTGATCCATTGAATAACGATCGATTTAACATTCGTTAAATGTATATAACGCGCTGTAACGCGACGTACCGGATTGCGAGTGAAAGAGCACTGCCCCACTTTTCCCCACTTCCCCACGTGTATCCCACATATTCTACGTCATCGGCTCGGTACGTCAAAGCAATTGACAATACTCTCCTGACAAGAACCAACACCCATTGAAGACTGGCTGCTGAATTCTGATGGAAAACTTTACTCAAAACAACGCCAGGAAGCCTTTCCGTGCGCGCAATGCAATGCTTGCTGGTGTGTTGGCTACATTGGCCATTGGTACCTTTGTGTACACCGTTGCACGCGTGAAACAGGACCCGTTTACAGACGTGAAGATGACTCCGGAGCTTCGTAAGAAGCTACTTAAGGAAAGAGAACAGAATCAAGCAAAAACCGGACAGTCTTAAACGAAACAGCTTTTTTGAACGCGTTTTTGGGCGATTTTCGTCATAAACGCGTCTATTTTCCCCAATGCATCTCCTGTATTTTTGTTACCGATTTAAGTTGCACAATTTATATGGTTCACTTGGTCTTGATGCGACGCGTCACTGTTCATTTCACTACTCTAATTTACACGAACCCCATTTTGAACCAACTACAAAGTTTTGCCTGCCGTTGTTCCAATTATCTACGATTCACCAAGTAGGACGGCTCGTTTCGTATTGGGAAAAAACGCGTCTTCTGCCAAGACTTTCGCTGCTTGTTGTTGTCAGCGTTCATGAACGGTGACTACATTTTTTAGACAGTTCACCCAATATCGTTTCTAACGGCAAAATGGGCTCGTCTGCAGTGACATTGAGTGTTTTTTTTCAACAGCTCAATGTTTCTATAAAGAAAACGAAAGGTGTAACGCTTTCTTCGCTACTGTCCGTTCCATGGGGACAACAACTCTCCGGCCATATTGACTTCAACATTCCGGGAGTGTATCATTCGCCAGATGTTCTTCAGAGCACAGTGTCGTACATGATTACTTCAGAACAGTGGAAAGACGCTGTCTTTCGGTTTCTCATGGCCTTACTCGCTTTGGATCGTGACCACGATGCCAAATTGGCTTTCGAACACCATCTGGCTTTTACCCAACACATCATCAGATTGTTCTCATCTGGTGTTTGCACCGGAGTGCATTTGCCCGTGCTGTTTACAGCATGTAAGGACTTACGTTTCATGGGTATCTTGTTGGAGAAGGAGAATACTCTTAAGAAGCAGTCGTTCAACTATTATTCGGAAGACGAGTCCATGGAACAGGAGAATAGTTTACACGTTGTTGCTCGTGTAGTGAACCGTGCTTTCACTGTGTGCATCAATGATCGAGCACCTTTAGCAACGTCTCGTAAATGGGGTGCATTTTACATTATGGGCTTGCTTTTTAAAATGTACTTACGACTCAACTGTATTCACTTGACAAAAAATGTTCTCCGAGCTATGAAGGTGGTGGATTTGCCCGACATCACACATTTTCCAAAATCTCATATCGTCATGTTTCGTTATTACATGGGTATTGTGAACTTTCTAAACCAGGACTACTCTACAGCAGACCAAGAGTTAGACACTGCGTTTCATTTGTGCCACAAGACATATACTCGTAATCTGGAGCTGATACTTGCTTTTTGGATCCCATCAAGAATACTTTCTCGGCACATGTTCCCCACCCAAAAACTTCTCTCCCGGTTTCCATCCATGGCAGCCGTTTATGTGCCTCTGTGCCAACACATTCGGTCAGGAAACCTTCGGGCCTTTGACGATTGTTTAAAAAAAAATGAAGCGCTTTTAGCTAAGACGCGCACGTTTATTGCTCTTGAAAAAATTCGTGAACTTTGCTTGCGCAATCTGTTCCGAAAGGTATGGCTCATGTGTGGAAAGAGCACTCGTATTCCCATCGAGTGTTATCAAATGGCCATTTGCCATGCTAAGCAACAGGAAGTTCCCTTGTTGCGCGTGGAGACATTGATTGCAAACCTTATTTATAGAGGTTATATAAAGGGTTACCTGTCCCATGATAGATCAATGTCAGTCCTGTCTGCCAAAGACCCATTCCCCATTACTGTGCCGGTCCGAATGTAATCCTTCAAAAGACAGGCAACATGAAATGTATGATAGTTATGATATACACTTTTTCAATGAGTTTTTTTGCATAAGTTCAGCTATAATTGTAATCGTAATGGCACGCAAGAGACCTCGGTTCATTTAATAAGTACTGAACGGTCAAAAAACACTTTTAAATTAATTCTATGAACGTAAAAAGACACCCAAAGGAGTGGATTGTGGATCCAATGAAGATTCAAATTTGTCGATGGCTGTCAGGTTCCGAGGATTAAACTCAATGTCAGCTCTTTTCATCTCAATATAGCTGAAATGCTCTTCTAGCTTGCTCAATATTTGTGCCGTTTTCTTTTCATGACGAATTTGTGTCAAGAGCTTGCGCAACTGAATAATGACTGGAGTTGCCAATTCGGGGAAAGCAATTGACGTGGAGTAGATGGCAAAGTACTTGGCCAAAAGATACAGGGCTTGCGTCCGCAGTGCAGTCCGATAGTTCGATTTGTTTAATTCGTCCTTTGTGAGGTGAAGTACAGTTGATAAGTCGACGGGTTCGTTTTCCATCACGGAATGTGGTTGCAGTAGGCTAGGGATCATCTGCAAAATAACTGAACTTAACGGTACAAATACTCCTGTTGTCTGGCACAATTGAATGAGGGAGGCGAGAAGTTTTAAACGCAAAGGGTAGTAGTTTTCGGAAGGGAGGAGGGAAATGGTTGTGAGTACAGTATCGATAAGGGATGGCATCACCTTGTTCGCAACAGGCTTCCCTAATTTCGTCCATGCATGGCCCACAAACTCAACCCAAAGATCTAAAGTCATTACGAATTGCCAATTGTAAAGCAGCTTCAATGAGGTTATATCCGAAGGTTTCTTCATACAGCGTTGTAGGTGTGCCGTGATTTGACCAATGTAAGCAGAACTCACTTTTTGAAATGTAGCAGGGTTGAGACAAACAATTTCCTTAAGAACGTTGGTGACACGAACAGTAGCCTCAGTTAAAGAATGGGAATCTTTGTATTGAGAGATCAATTTTGCGTATAAGGGTTGAATGAAACGGACTGCAAGTGAGGCATCAATCTTCAAACATTTATGCAGAAATTGCGAAGCTGATTCAAAAAGCGAGGAAGACCACAAATGATGGGTAAAAACACAATCAAAATTAATTGAGGAGTCACTAGGAAAGCTTTTCACTTTCTTCAAGTTTTCTGAAATGGATTGATACAGTTCTTGGCCGTTGTCTTCCGTGACATTTTTCAGTTGATGCGCAATTAAGTGCAGACGGGCAGACAAAACTACAGCACCACGTTCCGTGTAAGTCTGTTCATCCAAAGATTGTTTCACATCACGAGGAAGTGCCTTCAAGGCGGATTTTTCCTGCTTGGTGCCAGACAATTCTTGACAATAAGCGATTATTGAACCCAATTCTTTCTCACTGCAAGACTTGATACGATGACCCAAAGACTTTGATTCTTGTTCAGTTTGCGCATCGTCAGACGAATTAAGGTCTGCCTCTGAATCGATTTCACTGCTTTCGTCGACTAGCTGATCGTCAACGCTTGCCTTTTTGGAATCCAGACTACGATACAGTTGAGTTACATCTTCTTTGGAAAAGTCTTTGACCTTTGTGTTGTGTTCAACTTCATTTTCTCCGTTTTTAGTAATTGCGAGAGCTTTTGCCTTTTGCTTCTTTTGAATTTTTTTTTTATCGAGCTCTGCTTACGTCTGCGCTCAAGCGTAGATCTTAGATAGTTTTTATTAAACTTCTTGGTTGATTTTAATGCCTTTCCCATTTTGTGCGCTGTATTTCAAGCAATTGAAATTCCAGGTATGGTTTTGAGCAAGCCAAAATGAATGGTAGGAAAAATTTGAGGCAAGATATTATACACAAAAAAAGATGCATAGTCCTTTACTTACATGTGTGTAGAACGACTATTCAGTGTAATATTAGTTTTTATTGGCTTAATTGTTGCACTAAGATTTATGCTCTATGAAATTGAAAACGCAGTACAGTAAAATGGGGTAAGGATCATAGACCGTAAAGGTTCACGTTGATTATTGCTTTTCTTCATAACTCGTTAACAGCGTAAAGTGTAAATTAGATGTCTCTTCTATAAATAACGACCTTCAAACGCAGGAACTGTAGAGACAGGAAAGAATCAGATTGAAAAGAACGGGGACGGAAGAGATGGAAAAAGGAAGGTAGAACTCAAACATGATGTAACACCAGCGAATTGCTGATGATAGAGAGAATATTTAAAAGGGCAGTGCTTGCTTCACTTGACGAAACCAAGCCAAGAGACGATTGTAGCCCCAGTGAACTTTGAGCCAAAATCTTGCGAGGAGCAGAGGAAGTCTAGACAATGGGTCCCTTGAGAGCTGATCGTAAAGTCGTTTCGCCAGGTGAATATCCTGAGGTCGACCAATTCCGTATTGGTGCATACCGGCCAAATTCCATACGGCTAGACTGGACATTCCCGTACGTGCGGCTCTTTGGTAAAACTCGTAGGCTTTACCTAGGTCTTTTTCAACACCAATACCATAGTAGTAATAGTCGCCAACCTTGACAAGTGCATCAACGTCGCCCTGGTTGGCAGCGCGAAAATAAAACTCAAGCGCCAACTTGTCTGTCTCGATTTCTCGAGTGCTTGTTGGCGGGAAACTGGATCGCATGAACGTATTTATGAGATACTTGTTATCATCGAGCAGATATCCAACATTTGTTTCACCCAAAGAATAACCGAGCTGGGCAGCATAGATGTAGTGCATAAAAGAGCTTTCCCAATCGTACTCTTCTGCATCTTCTAATGCAAGCGCAAGGGTAGAGGTGGAAATACGCATACCTTCAACAAAGCGCTTATACGATCTTGCAGCCAATTCATGGGACACGGGTGTGCCAAAACCAGAATAATAGTAGTCTCCCAAGTACTTGTACGCAAGTGCGTCACGATTCTGCGCAGCGCGGAAAACGCAGCGAAAAGCTTCTTCGGCTTTTCCCTCGTTTTGATTCAACATACCAAGAAGGAGTAAAGACTGAGTATGATTTTGCGAAGCGGTTTGATGCAAAAGGGTCTTGGCAAACGTTTCATTACGCTTTAATCCATAAAGACCGTGTAAATACATGTAAGCCAAACCGTACTGAGATGTCAGATCGTTGAATGCAGCACCGCGCTGAAGCCAGGTCAAAGGAGTTTTTTGCTTTACATAAGTAGATGTATTCCGTAGTTGCAAAATACCAATGAACCCAGCAGCATGGGATGCTAAAAGTCTTAGAGACTGACTAAGTCCAAACGTAATTGAGTTCAATTCATCAGACGGCCACAACTTCTCTGCAACACGATGAAACATTTGTTCAGCCTGGGTATGATTGCGCCGCATGTGCGCAGAGCCGTGCATCCGCAAAATAGCGACCTGAAAAATGAATTCCGAGTCCCATTCATGATCTGGCTCGGCTGCTTTGTTGTAATATTGTGTAACTAAACGAAGTGCCTTGGAAGGAAGAGTGTGTTGATAAGCTGAGGCATATCCATAAATGCCATAATGCTCAGCGCCAGCACTGTTAAAGTCTGGCATTGGAAGCATTAAGCCTCCGGGGACATGCATTGGCGACATTGTTTTTTCATTAAACAAAGAGTCTGTAATGTTCTTGTACAGGGAGGCTGCACGCTCGTAATTCTTAGACGTGTGTATTCCCTCTAAAGAATGGTACGCCAGTAGTTGCTTTGCATCAAGCGAGCCCTGTCGAGCAGCAGCTTCCGCGTGAAGAAATACTAAAGACGGGTCACGAGAAGTAAGATCTGTGTAGCCGGCAGCATAGTAGGAACTGAGTACTACGTGAGCAATAGCACTGCCGTTTAACTGTGCAAGTTGTGAGTAAAACTCAAATGCTTCTTCGAATTGGGCCACTAGGTTAAATAAACCAAAAAAGAAAATGTTACCGAGCCAAAGCACAGCATCCGTGTTGTTTTTCTGGGCCTCAACTTTCAGAATATTAATGGCACGTTCTGCAAGAATCGATCCAAGATTCATTTCGTCCATAGTGTAGAAGTCCAAGTAATCGATGGTTTGTTGCATCTGGTTTTCAGACACAAGTTCCGGCACCTTTCGAAGCATCCCTAATGCTTTTTCCACCGGATCCTCATACTCCAAGTCGAATTGGGAAAACCGGCCGTCAGTTAGCGTATCGTGTTCACCTGCATCGGGAATTGAGACAGCTGCGGAAATGGAAATGCACAAGAAAAATGTAATAAGAACAGTTCTCAAAGAATGAAGCGTATGAAACATGATAACACGCTCATACACGAACTTTCACGTCGGTCAGATAGCAGCAACGCGATGTAAATAAAACAAACGAAATCAGGAATAATAATAGCTCGTCAAGGACGACTGAGCTTGAGAACGAACGAAACACTTGCTTCCGACAACAACAAGTGGTAAAAATGAATACAATTGTATAAAGAATACACTCCCGAGAGAGGAATGGCGTCTGCCTACTGCCGATTAAAGTACTATTGATCCCGTGTACGGTTTCCGATGGTACCCGACGATATTCGTCCCTGCGTTACGGTGAACGAAAAACAGTCGAAAACACAAGTAGTACGTAACAAATACCGCACTATTCTGTCAATATAGCCAACTTACAAACAGGAACTTGTCCAAAGTGTAGGAGAGCCGTAATCCAAGCGTGAGATCATGTTGAAGTAAATGCAGCCACCACCATTAAAATATTATAGACGGGGAGGAGTATACTTTTAGAATTAGCCGTAGCTGTTCATCGAAACATAATAAACTTAATGCCCAACGATATGTCTGAATCCAACAACAAAAAAGCTTCGAAAGAAGCGGGAAACAAGGCCCAGGAAGAAGGCAAACTGACGCCGGAACAGTGGGCCAATTTCAACAGACAATTTGGAAAGTCTAGTCCTCTTCAGCATATTACGCCTCCGTCAATGCCTTAGTAAGTGTATTCAAAGCATGAGACTTGCACCAGTTGCTTGAAGCGTGAACACGACTCTTGCTGACATGTTTAGTACAAGACCTTTCTCTCAAGGCGGTCGGGCTAATCGTGATAAAATTGATCCCAAGGCAAAGCTTGATATCACGGCGAGCCATGCTGATGACGATGACTAAACTCAAAGTGGAAAGAGCATCTCGCAACTTGTTTTTTCGTAGCGTATTCTATTGAGTAAACCAAATCCATTTCTTCCGTAATGAATTCATGTTCTCTGAAGTTTTCCATATGTAAATCCATGCAGTACGCGGGTATCTGCAAAAACAGCTTTGGACCATAGGTATTTGAAGGTTAGTAGAATGCGCTGGAAAGTTATAGGTATGTATCGTTATATAGACTAAAATGCAGTCAATGAGTCTCTCGTAGATCAGCAGCATTTGCTGCGTGTCTGTCGTTCAAGGTGGACAAGGTCGTCCCAATTCGAAATAGTATTCCACCAGTTTGAGCGTGTGCTCAATGCTTGCTGGTTAAGGACGCTTAGATTACCGTATTGAATTCCAAGAGATTGATCCTGTGGGTCGATTTCTCCCAGCTCGATCCGTGTGAGAATGGTAGACACGAGCGAAAGAAAGCATTCTTCCACGTTGTCGCCCTTGAAAGCACTTGTTTCGTGAGCACTGGAAATCTGTTTTGCCGCACAAAACTCTGCCGCTTCTTCTGTACTGACGACTCGCATGTCTTGTAGGTCAGACTTGGTTCCGGCTAGCACAACGCACAGTGTTAATGGAGCCATTGCACGAATGTCGGAAAGCCACGAGGAAAGTTCTTCGAATGACTGCTTGCTTGTAGTATCATAAACAAGAATGGCACCGGCAGCACCTTTGTAGTAGCTTCGGGCGACACTTCTGAACTTTTCTTGACCGGCCGTATCCCAAAGTTGCAATTTAATACGCTTGCACTGAGATTCCGAGCCGATCTTCAAGACCTTGCTAGCAAAATCAATGCCTACAGTGTGTCGAATATTGTCGCACCATTCGTTGTCCACAAATCTTTTTAAGAGACAGGATTTACCCGTTCCTGAGGGACCAACAAGAACAATTTTTATCAGATAGTCATATGAATCACTCTCCATCGTGAACAAAAAGCCGTGATTAAGTAGGATAGGTGCGAAATATAGCAAGACAAGAGCAATTGCCTTCTTACTGCCTATTGTTGACGTTACGCTGATTATTCAACCGGCGAATGTCTCCGATAGTTTACAAGTGGTTGAGAGTAAATGTCAATCTCTAATTCATATAGAACAGTGATAAAACTTAGTTAATATCAAGAGAATGCTTTGGGAGGAATGAGTTGGAAGGGTGCGTGTTCATTTAAGAGACGCGTCCAGGATAGCCTCGGTACCGACACGAGAACCCGGCTCGCCAAACCTTAACCGGCTTAAAGTTTACAGAGCCTACAAGCATGACATAGTAGCCGACAAAAACATTGACGAACGCCGAACAATCGACTGTCCCTGGGCACTTAAAACGTATACACAGTACGTTACCGTTATAACTTACAAATAGAAGACTCTCTCCGGAACACACACCGCATCACTTCCTTCGACCACTCACCACTACTCCATCCAAGGTTTACACACATAACATACACTCTTAGTAGGCATACCTCGAAGGATCCAGACTTGTTCAGTGCAAGAGTAACAAAAAGGGGGATTATATACTTACTCCTCCTCTTCACCAGCCTCAGCACCCTCCTGGGCACGGAGCTTTCTTCTTCTCACACGGCCAGGGCGACCACCACCATAGGGAGAAGTAAGGGCGAAGTCAATGTGCTTTTGAGAGTCCAAACGGACAACGAAGGAGGGAACATTGACGATTTGCTTTCCAACACGGATGTGACGTTGACGGATCAAGACACGAGCGTGGTGAATAGACTTGGCCAAACCAAGCTTGAAAACTTGGGTTTGCAAGCGACGCTCCAAAAAGTCCTCAATACGAAGGGCAAGAACGTAATCCAACTTCATACGAGTCTCGTCCAAGATACCCAAACGGACAAGACGACGGATGATAGCGTTACCCTCAAAGAGACGCTTGGGATCCTTCTCATCCAAGGTCAAGAGCTCACGGGCAGCACGACGAATCTTGGAAAGAGTAAGGGCGACACGCCAGATCTCGCGCTTGTTTCTCAAACCGTACTCACCGGCGAGCTTGAGCTCGGCATCAAGACGAGCAGACTCGTAGGGACGACGAGGGACCTTGTAAGTCTTCGATTGCTTGCGCTAAACGCTCTGTTAGTACAGGTATCCGGTAATCATTTCCAGAAAAAACATACGGGTGCAGAAGGCATTTTGGTGGTGAGGAAACTCTACATTGTTGTTGCTATCAAGGTGTTTGGACGTGACTGTTGTTTGGCTGTATAGGGTAGGGTTCATCTTTGTGCAGCACGACGATTCTGATTGGTTCTGACTTGTGTGGGGAATTCGTTAATTCAAAGTTAAAAAAGTTAATTCGGAAAAGGAGCCGCCCGATATTAGTGAAATGGCAATAATTAATGAAGGGATCATCAAGTCTTTTGAAACGTTCTCCAAGTTAACTGCTAGAGAATCCAAACGCTTGGAGAAATTCCAATCACAATTCTCTGTGAAGCATCGCATAATTAAACAAAATATCATTAAGGCGCAGGCTTTTGAGGAGTAGAGGGAACAGTTTGTTTAACGGGGGTACCAGGAACGGCAAAGGAAGGAGGAGGGATACGTTTGGACGGGCTTTCGAAGATTGAAGAAACTGGATAGGTGGATTGAGTACGGTGTAAAGAGTGTTGTTTTGGTTTAGGAGGCGTCATACCCAGGTTAAGGTTCGGAGGCGGTATGGGCTTGTTAGCATTGAATTCCACAGTAGATCGTGCAGGTTTCTGAGGAGTACACTGAACCTGAACTTGAACGGTTGATGGAGGGTCGTCCAAGTCCGACAGTGTCTTCGATCGGACAAGCGTTCCAATGCTATTTCGGCTAGTTGACTTGGTTCGCGAGAGCTGAAGCTGTGGGCTGGCCAAGCGAAACGCTTCTGTTAAGGAACGGTTTGGACGAGATGTACTAAGATTGGAAACCTTAACGGACATGTGTTCGCTGGATGACATTTTTCTTGAGGGCATCTCAACTTCCCGACTTCGGAATTGTGAGACACCCGAGGTTGAAAGTCGTTTCTTACTGCGTTCAGTTAGGAAACGAGGAAGAGACAGACTGCGATTGAGTTCTTGCAATCGTTTTTCGCGTATCGCTTCAGGTGACGGAGACACGGTTTTGCGTTGAAGCTGTTTTATTTGATCTGGGTCGAGCGTGTATCGTCTTGACTTTAACCGTTGCTGACGGTTAGCAGCGGAATGTTGTATTGAGGGTACTTTGCTTGAGAGACCATGGATATCGGAAACGCGGCGCTTCCTCGATTTTGAAGAGGATGAATTTGTAGACGAATGCGAAGAACGAGAGGTATTGAAACCAGGACCCGAACATTTTTGTAAGAGCTTAACAGAGATATGCGGGAATTTTGAACCGTAAAATGGATGGATCACCTCCTGGCAAAACTTTATCAGAAAGTCTTCTTCAATGGCGCCCGGGGGTTTTTCTTCCAAAGATCGCCAAATGCATAACCGGTCGAATGCAGACTCCAAACATACTTTCAGTTTATAAAAAAGTTGATAAATTAAGGAGGTTTTATCCGTAATTGATGGAAGCTCGGGGAAAAATGAAGTAGCCAAGTGTAAAAGCTCAAAGCACAGTAAGACAAGCAACTCACAATAACGAATCTTTAAAGAGGAAACTACGCGATGGAAAGAATCATCATTAATTTGTTCGCGAGGTTGTTCAAGATATGACGACACCCATTCGCGCACGCATTTAGTAGTACAGGGAGACCAGTGCGTAGGTGGCTCCAGATTGAAAGGCTCGCCATTTTGGAGGGCTTCATAGCATTTTTGGGCATGAATGTTGACTTCACTCAGATCGGGGAGCGTTTCGACGAGTTTAAGCGTGTCTTGTAAGAAAACATCTGCAGCCGTAGCAGTGCTCTTCAAAGAGTGAAGACACGAACGGAAACGTCCAACTAGAGACTTTGCAAAGAAGGCAACAGGGGCGGTACTGAGAAAGAGCTGCTCACAAAACTTCGTAACGAGGATAGCAAAACCGTGTTCGATGCTACCGACCGTTGTCGTAGGAGAAGGCGGAGAACGAGGTTCAGCTTGGGATTCGGTTGTGTTTGGTTTGTTGTCAGTTGATGCAGGCTTCGGGGTTAGCTCCACCTTTTCGATTAGTGCCTGTTTTGTTTGTAATGATTTTGTACTGCTTATTTCAATGGCAGCAGCAGAATCACTACGGATACGATGTAGCTCTCGTTCCACAAAGGGAGAGCTGTGACGCCAGTGAGAGGAGGATGAGCTTTTCCGTGACGCTTGTTGGTGATTGGGAAATGAGTTTCAGCTGCTTCCAAGGAACACTGTTTGACAAGAATACAAGTGCATATTCTCCCTTCGCGAACATGTTCGATGGCGACCAACGAAGTCCGTTCGTCGTTTTGAATTTCTCCTAACAGGATATTGGATCCTGCTGGTCTAAGCACTATGAACTGTAGCGAGGTGCAAGTAAACGTGTGATACGGTTTAGGGAGACACCAATGCAGGCATATGTTTTGTCTTGATGTTGTAGCTAATGGTGTAACTTTAATGACGGATTGTTTCCAGCCAGCGGGAGCCTTTATACAAAACGTGCCCGACGAGCCTGAATAGTCCTCCATGGGCAATAGGAAAGAATTGAAACCACGTCTATCCGAACAAATACAAGCACAATGGAGCACAATGGAGCAGAGAACAACTTTCGACCAGAAATACTAAAAAACAGCCAAAGCAAAAAAAATACAAGGAGACCGTATTAAGGAAATAGAGAGAATCTTGAGAGCCGTTGTAAGAGAATACGTACGAAACCCGAGACAGAGACGGTGAAAGACAATGACCAGAGCAGAAGCATGCATACGATTTAGTAGACCAGATTTCCAAAAGACATCAGTCTGTTGGGAACGCAGCACAGAAACGAACCAATCCGTCTGGTTTGTTTACGCGTTATGTTAAGAAATAGATTACAGCGCGTCCGAGGTGAGCAGTACTACCGTGCTCTTTCGCACCGCAGTATTTCATATACCGTTGTGAACGGTGTTCTGCTAAGTAAGATTAGTGACACTTTACACTGTGCTGTATTTTGCTTACTGTATTCGAAGGATGCAGAAGCCGCGTGCCCCCACTACATCCCACTCATTTAACGGGGCAGAACACAGCACACAATACGCCGAACGGGCTGTAAGTGTAACGTCAAGACGCCCGCAGTGGTTTCGCCGCTGCTGCTTGTTTACCAGCACCAAATTCTGTCGGACAGACGGACTGGGTCTTTTTACTTATCTACACGTAGTTCACTCGATTTGTAGTTTTGAGACACGAATCCCTTTTTTTCGCTGCTCAAACGGGACAATTGTCGAGTGAAAGCTTTTCGTTTATGTCGAAAACTGGAAGATTATTGGATCTCTAGGTGAATTTGCTGTCCCGTTCAGTAACAAAACCAACACTAAAAGTATTTATTATCTTGATATTTTTGTCTCCTCTTGTTTTATTTGTAAATACGGAATTGTGTTTACGGTCTTTCGTTTTTATTTATTTCGGAAACGTCTAATAGCCTGCGTTGGATACTTCCGATCCACAGCTTGGATACGATGGATGACTTGAAACACGTCCAGTCGGCTATCGAGTCCGTCCCTCTGCTTTTGAGAGTTGCTGTTCTGGTTGTTGCTGGTTTGTATGCATATGCGTTCATCTTACACACTCTTTCTCGATACCATGTGGATGCTTACATGGTTCTACGGAACCAGATAGGCTCTGTGAAAAGTAGCGTCGAAGGTGCACCGTTAATGGAACTCACTCTGTTTTCGGCTGTGCTTGGCACGTTAGCTGTCATGAGTTCGTTTATGCTGGACCAAGCATTCAAACTAGACCACATTACGTATATTCCTCTATTTATGTATGGTTTCCTCATGTTTGCTCCTGCCCATCGATTTTTTTACAAGCAACGGAGAAACTTTGTCACACAGTGTCTTCGAATCAGCACTGGCAACTTGTCTTTTGAAACACGTTTCGCGGACGTTATGTTCTCAGATCTGTTGACCTCGTACTCGCGAGTGATTGCTGATATTTGGTTGGCTGGTGCTATACTGATTTACGAGGAACCGAAGCATCCAAGACACGATTTACGGAACAAGGTTATGATGGCACTTATAGCAGCATACCCTTATGCAATTCGATTTCGGCAATGCTTGTTGGAAGTGAAAACTTGGAATCTGGAGAGCGATAAATTTTGGTCAGCATGTAATGCTGTGAAGTATCTTACGGCGTTTCCCTCCATTTTTCTCGGTGTACCTAAATCGAAACGGAAGAGTTCGTTATGGTTCTGGTGGAACACTGCCAGCGCCGTAAATGCGCTGTACTCATTCTGGTGGGATGTTGAGAAGGATTGGTCGCTTAACTTGTTGACAGTTCCACGGTCTACTTCACGGCCATTTGGTTTGTCGCGTCGGGTGTTTACCAGAAACACGTTTCTGTTTGCAGTAGTTAGCGACTTTGTATTGCGAATGGCTTGGGTCACTCGAGTATTGCCTCCGAAGTATGCTGCTATTTTTGCTACAGATGCAGGAATTTTTTTCATGCAATGTTTGGAAGTTTTCCGCCGCTGGCAGTGGGTCTTATTCCGGATTGAATCGGAAGCAGCTAAAACAATGTCTTACACCTCGCTTTACGACACAGATATGGAAAATGTCTAAGCTCCAGGAACAATGGCTTTTCCAGAGCAAGGTCTGCGTGTGCTTTCAGTTGCTGCTACCAAATCTCATTCTTGTCTACACCTGTTGTGATATTCTTTCTTTCCTTTACGTACTCAACCTTTCCGTGTAATCAGTTTTACGTTTCATTCCTTCAATGTTTCTACCTCGACAAATATACTTCCTCATTTCATTTTTCTTTTTTTCATTCCAAGGGCTATTTGACTTTATCACTCTATTACTTTTAAGATTCTTTTGCTAATTTAAAAGTCGTGTCTGAGGAATGTAGTTAAATGAATATGATATACTCCTTTTATTCACTTCTATTACTTTAGCATTGTTAGTATCATTGCCTTCAATTACGGTTGTTAAAAGAATTCATAGACTAACGTTTGACTCAAAAATACTCAACAATGAAGCATGTACAGGAAATAGATCTGTCCAAAAAATAATTTATCAGTTATTAAATTGTAGCCGAATCACTGGGAATAGGGAGCCCGAAGAACCCTTTTTATCGTCCGCCTGAATTGTATTTTTTAAATGCTGTTGAATGGTTTTTAAGGGATCAGATTGGAATGCAGGGTGAGTAAGAACATTTTGAAAACGCTCAATCTCGGATTTGTTATTCTTCGCGAGAGTGTTTTTCGACTTTTTTATTTGCGGAATATCAACCTTGGAAGTCAATGCATCATTGGACTTTTGCTGATTCTCAAATTCAGAAATCTGTTCAGCAAGCGGTGCAAGATCAGCCTTCAAAGCTTCTTTCTGCTTTTTGTTTCGTCTTTTACGAGCATTTGCAGATAGTTTTGGAGTTTCAAATTCTGACAGTGTTAATACGCAAACGAATTGCAAGTTTACAAGTACTTACTCTTTAACCACTGATCGTGACGTTCTTTTTGCTTTGCCTTCTTTGTAGTATCTGTCAATTGGGTTGGATTGAAGACATTAAATCCAGCGTTTCTTGCCACGTCTTCCAAACTGGCCCCGGCAGGAACTTTTTGCTCATCATCTTTTTGTGAAGCAGCACGAAGACGAGATGCTGCTTTTGTAGCCAAGTTTGTCCTTTTTCTGGCTTTTGGCTAGTCTTGTTAGAATATAACTAGTAACTTTTTTTTTCGTCTATCTTACCATGGTGTATGGGCCTTGATGAAAAGTTGCAGGTTTTCGGGAATGCCAATAATTAATAGTGACACTTTTTCGACTTTACAGGGAGGTGAAAAGTAGTTGCGACATATACTATATCTAGTGATTCTTTTTGGCGCTGTTCTGTGAATGAAAAGAGTGTAAATTCATTATTGATGTAGATTACAACTATGGTGAAAAACGGGCTAGAATGGCTGAATAGATAGAGTGTTCAAGAAGATTTAAGTCAGGTTGTGTTAACGAATAGCCTTGTTCGTAAACATCAATAGGTAATTTTGTAAGGAAATGTTGGACTTGATCAACATCGAATGAGGGAATGTCAAGAGAAAGATGGCGTTTTGAAAATAAAGTATAAGAAAGTGTCTTCACCGAAGAAAGGTCATTGGGTTTCTCTGAAAGCTTAAGTTTTTCGGCCACTTGTTGCAGTAACGATTTCGCAGACGCCTTCCTATTCCAATAGACAGCATCCAATGGATTTCCCATATAAACCCATTCGTGGAGTGCGAATTCTTCAGGACTTAACACCGTCAAGAAGTCCAAGAGCTTGCAAGTATCTAATAAAGTGTTCTCAAAAGCCCGGTTGTCAGTTGATAAGTATAATTGAAAAACGATATATATCTCGCTGACAATAATGGACCACAAAGGCAGTAATTGTTGAGACGAAATCTTTAAAGCAAGTGCATGGATAAACAGGAAAACATCTTTCCGTAAAACACCTTCCGGATCCGATTGAAGCAATCTCTTTACCAAGTCGATGACTGGCGATAAGTTAGGCAAGAAGAAATCTTTAGGACAAGCCAGTACTAATAAACTCATTCGACAAATGTTACTTTGACGAGCACCCAGTTGTGAATCCTTTGAAGTAAAAATCGTAACAGTACCTAAATCAGATTTCAAAATTAAATCAGACAAGCGATTGATTTCTTGAGAGAAAGCTAAGTGAATGGTTGGCGCCAATCCTTCCAACTGAGCAATGGGAAGTTGGAAGATTGCATTATCATAGAATATATCCCAGAATTCTTTCTTCCAAGATTTCGATAGTCCAGGGTAAGCTGTTAATTTGTTGAGGAATTCTAAATGCATGTCGGTAAAATTAGCGGGGAAAGATCTTGTTTTCAACACAGGTGTAAGATAGGCATTTATGATGGATGTAATCCAAACAACCAAACGATCTTCATTACTGGAAAGCACGGTCAATTGTGGGAGAATGTTGTTTGTTAAGAAATCAAGAAGCGAGGCGTCAAAGAAAGTTGAAGAAAGAAAAACAGCATCCCTCACAAATGGTGACTCGTTGTCACTAAGAGGCCGAGTCTTTGCACGCTTATACTCCTCTGCATTTAGTCTCACGTCTCCTTGCTTGTTCACTTGAAGTAGGCAAACGTTCAACGTCCGTCCCCAAAGATCAGTGAACTCTTTCTGTTGACGCGAATCACCATGAACTGAAAGATGTTGGCTCATGTGAAATAAGATCTCTAATGAAACCAGCAAATAGTTTCTATAAGCTGCTGGGTTGTTGCTTATTTCACGAACGAGACGAGTTATATCAAAAAGGACTTGTGTTGCGATTTCGGGTTGCATATTCGAAATGAAAGTTGAGAGACAGTGTAAGATTTCAAGTGGGGATATGTTTAAGGTTAGACTTGCGGGACCCGAGTAAGTAGAAGGAGAATCGTGCGCAGTAAAAGATGCAGAGAACAGCTTGAACAGATCGCTGTATTTTGGCTCTCCAAAAATGGAAAGAATTCGCCAATAAACCGAGTCCTTTCCCTTGTTGTCTTGAATATATAGCTCAATTATTGTCTCTAAACACTCAGACGGTTCGCAATGATACAGCTTCTTAAAAGTATGCGACAAATTCCTTTTCAATTCTTCGTTGAAAGCTGACGAAAAGTGAAATGATCGACGAAATGCCTCACTTGGTTCATACGCACAGAGGAACAAGTTAAACACTGCTTTGATTACAGCCTGAAAACAAACGAGCATTGACATTCTGCGATCTATGTTTGAGCCATCGGTAACGTCAGATGAAAAGACACCCGAAATAACATTTCCTAGGATACCAACATTATCGTGAAGAAACTTCTTGGTATACGACGAAGGGCGAAGCTGCACCAAAGCTCGAGAAATCATTTCATAGAGAAGATCCAACTTCTTGTAAAGCAAATCCTTCGAACATAATTCAATATGAGATGCCATTTCCTTACGATCAAAAGATTTTAATGATCGAGAAAGTAAATGTAGCTGAGAACATAATGAATTGATAGGAGAAAGAACAAGCATTGGACTGTTTCTTATAATGATATCGAGAAAGCCGTGGACAATCTCTATCCATTTTGAGCAGATGTGGATATCCTGATAATTGAGACCATAATTTATAGAAGCTATTAATGTATTCATGTGTTGCTCCTTTAAGAAAGTCTTCGGTGAAACTCTTTCCTGTAATAATTCAATTACCGTAAGGTACTTAAAGACTAACATTTTATCGAAATTCTCGTCAATAGTTGGAGTATCCTGAATGCTGTCTAACAGTAAAAGCAGAAGTTCCTCCTCAATAAAGGTTGGCAGCGTAATAAGATTTAACAAAGTTCTTAAAAAGTCGAGAATTGTCTTACATAAATTAATGCGGTTCTTTTCGTTTAAGAATTGCTGATGTTGTCGCAATATGTCAATGCAGACTCTAGTAAGGAAGGAAACAAGTTTGGGACAATTTACGCTTTCAGCCAAGGAAGATAAAAGATCGGACCAAGAAAGAGCCAGAAAGTTGTGTATATTGTTGGCTTCAATTTGTTTGAATTCCTTCGCAAACCGATTTTGTAAGGATAAAAACTTCTCGGAAAGCTTGAAATAATAAACGCAAAGAGAAGACTCAGAGTCACGCTTAAACTCGTTGATTTCAAAGGATGGTACATTACCGCCTCCGTCTGACTTTCTACTGAAAGACACTGAAAGGCTGGAGACATTATAAAATATTATTTCCATAAACCTTGTTTGAAGAGAATTAGATGTCTCAAAAAGACCCATGAGTAGACTCGCTTGCTCGTATGCACTGTTTTCGAGTATATCAATTAACAAAAGAAGAGGTCTGTCAAAGACAGCGTGAAAATGCTTATCATCAGCACATATTTTTAAAATTTTTGTAAAAGGATGAAGAAGTACAACGGAATCGTATTGGTCAAGTTGAATATCTCGTGCAAGCTTTAACGAGAAAAATGATTCCAATTGCGAATCCTTCAATTTATCCTGCAAACACCAGATAAGAGATACGAAGTTTTCTTCTTCATATGTAGTAATCTTAGCAGATGTTTTCCATAATTTTTCCATTATACTTGAAAGAAGCTTTTTGGACATCTGCAAAAACGCAGGTTGAGCTTGGCGAATAAGGACATTGTATGCAGCGTAATTAAGAAGATTATTTTTCAGCATTGTTTCCATGAATCTCGAGAGCTTCTCATTGTAAGTATCGAGATTTAAGGTGTTAAATATAAGAAATAAAACTTCCAACATGATAGCTTGCATATTATCCTTTAACGCCGAATCCTGGATAACTCGAAAAATGATATCTATGCAAGGATTGACCAGAACACTGCACTCCTCAGAAACTCGCTGGATGCTAGCAGTCTTTTTTGGCGTGAAACAATTAGCAAAAATAGCGTCCGGGTCATAAAAGCTTTCTTTGACGGCAGAAAAATTGGCATGATCATTAAAGCTCTTCCAATCAATATTTTCAACAGCAGTTTTCAGTAATTGACAACAACGCAATAATGACTCTAAATCTTCTGAAGATGACAGTTCAGTCGAAATGTGGTCTAAAAGAGAGTAGGTCAACAAGAAATCAAGTTGCAGATAGTTAGCACGAAAGAAAGACTTTCTGTGTTTAACAATAAAAACCAGCGTCATGAATGTTTCCGTGCTAAATTTTCCATAAGAAAGAAGAAGTGAACGCGTGAAGTTAAGCAGACAGGCATCACTTATTCTTGAAATAACACGAAAGCCGTATTCAAAAGCCGCGTCGTGAACAACTTTAGATTCAACCGGCTTCTTGCTGTAAGCTAATCTAGTTAAACAAGAAAAAGTCTCGGAAACCAATTGTTCCTCAACATATCGAAATAAATCCTCCCTTTCAGAAAGTGCCAATAGAAGAGAGAGTGCTTTGTATTGAGATGCAATAGAGGAATGGTTTTGAAAAAGGTCAATAAGACCTTTAATTTGGCATTTCATGCTCTTTTCCAAACATTCCCTTAGCTTATTTTCATCGCGCACATACTCTGATTTTTGAGTTGCGCCGGTTAACCAGCTATAATAACGGCGAGTAAGAGACAAATCGTTCCTCAGAACCACAGAAGCAACTGAAGTATGAAGTAACAGAAGATCAGTTTGTGTAACCTCATTAAAGATTTCACTGTACACTGGTAAATGATTCAGTAGCGTGTCCAAGTAGCCGCGTTGAACGAGACTCACACTATCGCCAACAGCTGCCGCAATAGCTCGTACCATAAGCCCTGGGTCTGGTTTTGAAATTGTGTCCCTCCAGTCATTTGGCTGTGCTCCAGACAGAGCAGCTTCAATATAAATATGAGCACCTAATCTCTGTTCCGGGTAATTTAAGACAGTATTCCATGTACAGCTCCAAACGAAACAGTCGTCCTCAAAAGAATTGCATAAACTTCTTAATATCGTAAGGATTTCTTGCAGAGACTCCGCGCCTTCTTCCTCTAAACCCGGAAGTAAGGAAATGAATACAGCTTGGAAGCAATTTCGCAAACGTGGTCCCAAAGGAAGCAAATGCTTACAAACAATGTTCAGGTAATCCGGCTTTGTCTTTATGGAGGAGATTGCAAAGAACGGAGTGAGGCCGTAGATCCAAACGTCAAGTTCATCCGCAAGTCGGTCTGATGACAATGAACTAAATATAAAATCATAAACTTCTAAAGACTTTTTATGGACACCAGAGGGTAAACCCGGAGAAAGACACTCCGCTAACGCTCTAGAAACTAGTGTGTTACAGGGAACAGTATGAAATTCAGTGTTTCCTTGTAATACCTAGGTAACAGTAATGTTAACACATGAAAAACAGGCGAATACGAACTTTGTGTAATTTTGTAAGAAAGGATATGTAATCGGGCCACTGTTCGACAGTTCGGAAAAGAGCTAATGACTTCTTAATTGCATCTTGATACTTTTTAAATTTTGAATCACTAGAATTATCTTCAGCCGTTAGCGAGGAATTGGTTCGTTCTTCGTACCAAAAACAGGAAACATTGTTTATAAACTGGTCACAGTGATCATCTCTTTAAGTTACAAAAGAAAATGGCACTGGAGCGTTGTTGGTTAAGTCTATTGAGTTCACTACACGCCCCATTCGCCCGCTATCGAAATTCAGCAGCATCGTCACCCTTAACCAAATGTAACTCAGAAATCGTTACTTTTTCATTTATGTAAAAGCAATATATTGTATTTTGGCGTGTTGCGTATTTCGTATATCTTTAATAACTTGGACTCTAACAAACTGTACATTCAACATTTATTTTAGTCCCGTTCAAAGAATAGCTTAAACAGAGAGTACTTAGTTGTATCATATATACTGTTATTTTTTTGGTAAATTTGAACTAATTTTTTAAAATACCTGTGACGGAAAGCTGATATTAAATCACATAACTTTGTGAATAAAATGCATATTAATATAACTCATTTCTAAGACGACATGGAAAAAAAAAAAGGAAAACTCAACGCTAGAGCTATGAGTGAAACTTCGGGAAACATTTTTTTTGCTGAATATACACAATCCTAACCTTAACAAATAGTCCGAGGATTTTACATCAAGCAATCCTCTAAACTACTCATGTAACAACGCCGGGTGTCTCGGTGTGCTAGAAGGTTTAACAACGTAAAAATAAACCTTGATGTTCTTCTCCCCGACGAACTTCAAACATAAACTGGACACCGGTGTACATGAGTAGCCAACCTATAGTAAGGGACTTAATGCCTAAATTTGTTAGTAAAGCAGCAGTGTAGAAAATCCATACCTTCTTGTGTTAGGAAAAGTTCCCTGAGTACTTGAGACGAGCCATCGATGCCAAGTGCAAAACCAACAAGATTACATATGATCATAAAAAGGATGTTGAGACCATAACCGATGCCGGATATTATGCGAAAGTAGGGCTTCTTGTGAAGACCAATTTTGTATGAGACATAGACCGTAAGCCGTTCGGGGAGAATAAACAAGACAATGAGCCACCCCCAACACAGCAAAGTTAACGTAAGATCATGCCAAAATGCAACAAAGGTGAAAACAACAAACGTATTACGGAGAGAATGAGCTTTTCCACCCAATGGAACGTATATATAGCGTACAAGCCAGCGATTGTAGCTTCGATGCCATGCCCTCCAGAAACCGAGTGCGGAATAGTTATTGCACATACAGCGAATAATGTTTTCGGGAGGATCAATGCCATCTAATAGGGACCAAAACCGAAAGACGCGCCAGGGAATTAATAGTTTCAACCAGGTCATGAAAAGTAACACAAAACTGATCATGCAAAGCTCGACTTGATTATAATAACCCCAATCTCCGTAGTTTTTGATGGCATTGACGTAGGCAAAATGCAAAAGGAGTTCCATAAGAACCATACACAGGACCATACGAATTCCGTAGTATAAGTTTCTGTGGGGTACATTACTTTTAAAAGGATGTTCCAACTTTGAGAGTTAGTATCGTGAAATCTTGTTTATCTTTGTATTCATACCTGAGACATAAAGTTGTTGAACGTGATTATTGGGCCTGCGAGATATAAAGGGGCGTAAAATAGATAAAGAATGTAATTAAAGAAGTTGTATTCGTGTTGCTCTCTGGACAACTCCATACGTTCTCGAAGCGTTAATGATTCAACAGAACGTTCCTTGGATGCCATGAACGTCTGTTAAAGTTAGTATTCAGAAAATTTGTATACAAACAAACCTTCAATGTTTCTTTGGACTTCAAAGACCAATAATAATCCAAATTGAATGATATTAAACGGAGCGTGGTGAGGTTAAATAAAACATGCCAACGCTGCAGAATGCCCTTCATGTGGTCCTGTTTTGCGAATTAGCGATCTTCAAAGCATACTTCGTACATACCAGTTTAGCCAGTGACGGATGGATAGCAGCAAAACTGTATCCGGTATACAGTTCGTTACAGACAAGCACGATGATATTAAAAGTCCAGGTGATAATTGGGTTAAGCACACTGTCTTTAGCTATCATAGCAATTGAGAAGTTGACAAGTAGAATAGCAAAAACGAATAGCATTCCGGAGCCAAAGGCCGAAAACGCGAAGATGAGAGAAAAAACAAAGCGATAGCACGATTGCACATTTTTATGGCCGAATGACTTTGAGAAGCATCTTAAAACTATTTTTTTGACAAGAAAATAAAAGCCCATAAGCACAAAGAGCAAAATAACAGCTTCTCGGAAGGAAGAATACTGGTAGTCTGTTACGTCTGCTTTTCGTCCAAACATCCATCCTTTTGACAATTCTTTTGAAAACTTGTAATAGCCTGGATGACTTGCTAAACAGTTGTTAGAAGGTGAAACATAATTGATTTGCAATTGAATGTATTTTGGGTAGTCTTGTACATACGAGAACTGACACTGAACATAACAAGACCACATGCAGTGAGTGCAACCGCAATGATTATATAGTAACAGTAAAACTCAATTGAGTTCCATCTTGACTTGTAGAGTATGTTTTTTGTAGAGGAATTTGAGCTTGTTGAAAAGCGAGAGCTGGGAGTTCGCGAACTCGACGAATTGCCTTTTACTGGAGACTTCTCCAGCCCTCGAAAGTGTCGGTTGACGCCGTCCAACACCTCATAACTGAAGATGCATCGCATGGTAGGTGAATCTCAGAGGCGTTGTGGTCGATTTGGTGCTGTCAACACTTGTTCGCAATTATTGGCCTGGTGGACAGGAGCACCCAGAGTGAATGGCAAGTTTTATGGAGTACCGTGAGAGTATGTCAACAAAACAGCTGTTCGTTGTGTGGGCGACAGGTTTCAATTAATGGACTTCTTATTGGTATTAACGTTGGAAATATTTGAGCGTATAATTATGTTGTATATCATTGGGTCGTCAAAAATCGATAGGAAGAGAAAGAAAAAAAAAATAGTTTATAAACGAGTAACCGCTAATTATAACAAAATGATGCGAGGTATATTGTTTATTATGGTGCGAGAGTGAAATTTGGATCTGTTGGTTGTGAAGAACCATATGGTTTTTAATTAATGGGTACTTATAAAGAGAAGCAATTTAGATACATTTACAACATTGTATATAATAACGACTTTGAATTTGGTTAGTAGTAAAAAAGAATGAGTAGAAATGCAAGTCGTATAAAATATTTTGTGCTACAAGCTATATGCTAATAATTAAAATTGAAAATAAATCAGCAAAAGAAATAAAATAAAATAAAATAAAACTACTAAATATGCACCAGCTCAAAAACATCTCCGTTCAATTGTATTCAACATCACAAAAATAGTGAATTAAATCCGTGAAATGTACTGTTTGGGACGCATTGTAAGACTCAATTTTTAATTTATTCATTCCTAACAAATACCCAAAAGAACGAAAAAAGTGTCTCTTAACCTTTAAATTAATAGCAACGTCGCTTAGACGTCAATGCTAGTTTTTCTTTGACGAAGAACCGGGCTCGGTTGAGTCCGATGCCTCCCCCGGTTCTTCTTCTGACGCATCAAGCTCCAGATTTGTCGTAGTTCCATTGTCTTCTACGAATTTTGCAATTCCCTTGGTGAATATTTCGCCCTTCCCGGATAAAATGTCTTCAATTGTTATTTTAGAGTCTGAAAAGATTTTAAGATGATCAGCAATTAAATGTCGGTTTTTGCAACCAGGGCATTGGATTAGAACTGTTCCGTTGTGGTATGCCTGTTTGGACATATGATGAGTCGACCGATTCGAGCAACTATAGTAGAGTTAGCCAGATATAATAGACACTAAACGAGGAACATACACAGTACATGTGAAGGTTATTTGATACGCCGGCTTAATTTTTGCTTTTTCATCTTGTTCCTTTCGAGAAGAACTTGGTTTCACCGAGTATTTTCGACTGTGTCCTATAGGCGGCAGCTGTGGTCTCGCCGTGTAACTAGTAACAAAAGCTCTCTGAAAATAAAACGTTTGTATATTCCGTGCCGAGAAGGGCCGAGCTTGACGCAGCACGTTTGATATACGACTGAACATTTTTCCTGTGTCCACGTATTGGAACTCCCTCACTCCGTAGTGGTTTCTTCTAAGAATTGCGAACTCTTTACAGCAGCCACCAAACTGATCTGCGATCAGTTAACCGTTCTATATACAAACACGGAAACACTATATATGCACATACTGTTTATATCTAATACTATTTTTCTGATTACTTGTTGATTTTGGATGAATATGCAACGGCCTGGCAAACCCAAAATTCGGGCTCCTCGAAAAGTACGTCGTGGTGCTTCCCACACGAAACTGATTCTCTCTAACATTTCCATCTTTTAGTTCTATCCGAAAGCAAGAGACTGGAAGGAATCATGGTCCGTTTTGTCTAGTGCCATTCAGGAAATCTTTCAGAAAAATACGTCAAAACTTTCCTTCGAGGAATTGTACAGAAACGCATATACACTAGTGCTGTATAAAAATGGAGACAAACTCTACAATGGTGTTAGTGAATTAATTGCTTCGAGACTTTCTACAACTATAAAAGAAACACTCAATAATGACTGTGATGCTAAAACAATTGAGCAGAAAAACACTGCAACTAACTCTAAACAACAACTTGCATCCTGCGAGCGTTATCTTTCTGCTGTCGAAAAATGCTGGTCCGAACACACAGTAGCCATGTATATGATTGCGAGTGTTCTCAAGTACATGGACAAAACTTACTCAAAGGAAGCTGGCGAATTGCCGATCTATGATATGGGGTTGCTGCTCTTTCGTGATAATGTACTATTTAAAGAAGATAACTTGGGGCAACTGGTGATTGAAGCAGTTTTGAAGCTTGTGGAAATGGACCGCAATGACATGAGCATTAATCGACCAGTTGTTAAATCTTGTTTAGAGATGCTTATTCTCCTTCCTTCAAAGACAAAAAATCTTACCCTCTATGACTCATTCTTCACACCTTTACTCCTTGAGACGAGTCGCACATTTTACGCGGAAGAAGCGACAGAGTTTTTGGAATGTTATACTGTTCCAGAGTATTTGAAATGGCTGAATGAAAGAATTGAGCAAGAGAACAACCGGATGCGGCACTACTTGTCTACTCGCGTTGAGACACAAGTAATAGGCGTTCTTCGAGATGAGTTTTTGAGTAAACGGCTAACGGCTATTCTCGAAATGCCTTCATCCGGTCTCTGGTTTATGATTGAAAATTCACAAATTGCAGAACTAACCCAGCTATACAACAGCTTCTTAACCATCACCGAGGGTATCCCTCAACTGCGTCAATTTCTCTACAACCGTGTCATCGAAAAAGGTCGCGAGATTAATGCGAACACTGAAAGAAAATCCTCTAGTGAAACAGGCAAACCACTATCTACGACGTCCATCGCAACACAATGGGTCTCTTCTGTACTCGCATTGTGGACTAAACTTACGTCTATCCTCACCGAGTCCATGAATAATGACCGGCTCATTCACAACACCATTTCTGATGCATTTACCAGTTTCATTAATGACTGCCCCCGTTCACCAGAGTACATTTCTCTCTTCATTGACGACTATCTAAAGAAGGGTCTTCGGGGCCAATCCGAGGCAGAAGTGGAGCAGATGTTACAGAAATCTGTCACCCTTTTCCGGTTTGTTTCTGAAAAAGACGTTTTCGAGAAATACTACAAAATACACTTGGCAAAACGGTACGTTGACCATATGTTAATTGCAATGTTGGTTGTGCTAATGTTATCGCAATAGTCTACTGAACAACCGACTGAGCTCGGAAGATGTTGAGCTGGAATTGATAAGTCGACTCAAGTTAGAGGCAGGAAATGTCTTCACCTCAAAAATGGAGGGAATGCTTACCGGTATGTTGTTTGGATTTGACCATTTAACGAAAGCTCACACACATAGACATGCGGCTATCTCAAGATGCGAACAAAGAGTACAAGGACTATCTCACAGAAAACAACATTTCGGTACGCGCACAAATGCCTGCCAGTGTCTTTACATACTAATCTTACCATTTAGTCGGCCTTTGACCTCAATGTTTCTGTCCTTGCTTCCTCCTTCTGGCCTGTGGAGATGCAGCCGGAGAAGCTGAAATGTAACTTCCCTCAAGAATTAGAAGAAGCAAAGGACGTATTTACTTCGTTTTATCTTTCAAAACACAGCGGCCGACAGCTTGCATGGTACCCAACAATGGGCACTGCAGATGTCCGTGTCGCGTTCAAAAACAGAAAGCACGATTTGAATGTGTCTACCGTGGCACTTATGATTCTGCTGCATTTTGAGGATGTTGAGGCAACCGAACCCATACTCTACGAGACGCTTCGTGACCGAATCCAGATCGAAGAATCGGATTTAAAACGCAACCTGCAGTCTCTCGCATGTGCGAAATACAAGATTCTACTCAAAGAGCCCAAAGGCCGCAACATAAATCCGGGTGACAAGTTCTACTTCAACGACGCGTTCACATCCAATCTCGCACGCATTAAAATTGCTACAGTTGCTAGTGCTCGTGTGGAGAATGACCATGAACGCAAGGAAACACTGGAGAAAATTGACGAATCGCGCAAACACCAAGTGGAGGCTTGCATTGTTCGTGTCATGAAGGACAGAAAAACGTTGGACCATAACCAACTAATCGCGGAAGTGTCTCGACAACTTAGCACACGGTTTATGCCCAATCCAATGATGATAAAACGAAGAATTGAGGCATTGATTGAGCGCGAATACCTCCAACGCAATGCCGACAATTCCCGAGTCTACGAGTATCTCGCCTAGGCTTCACTTCACACACACTCCAAAACGCTGTCTCCACCATTCTCCATGCTTCACACGGCATGTTTGCATTGTAACCAGCTTTCCCATTTTCCAATCTAGCAACTCTCTCACTCCTGACCTCATGCGAACACTTTCCTCTCCTCCTACCGACCAAAGTCATATTCCGCCTATGGCTTCCTTCCCTTATGCATTCATTCCGTATGCCGTCCACTATCGCGAAGCTCTGCGGTCTGTCTCTCGCATCCTTCGGCAAATGCAACTCGACGACATCCCCTGCTCCAAGCCAATCAAATTATTAGCCGAAACGCATTCCGCACTCTAGACGAATGGGCGGACGCGTAAAAATTACCGAGCCGATTAAGCTTATGCTAGAGACATGGCTGCTGCAAGAATGGTCAGCGCGATAATTGTCTGTGTTTCGACTGTCCAGACGGAACTGGACCTGTCCCCCTAACCAAAAACAGGAAAACATTTGTAACGTTTGGACACGGAAAGCGCGTAAAAATTACATCTTTTTAGCGTTCCTAGCCTTCAATCGGTCAAGAGTTCTGCCTTTGCCGTTTCATGAGACGCGAAATAAGGTTCAGCATTCGTCATCACACGATCCGAAACGCGACACAGGCGCTTCCAGACGACCTTTCATCGGAAAGAAGCTCATCGAATTACGCAAAGAACAATGGTGAATGAAGTCATTGCTTGCCATTGTTAACCTGAAACGGTTGTCTATGGAGGGTATAAGTATGGCCGCTCCGTCCCCCGTTCACGACTTGCATTTCCCACTAGCTGAGACAACATCCACTTCAGGAAGTTACTGTCAGCACCACACAAGTCATTCGACGCTCGGAACGTCTTCATCGCTGAGTTTCATACGTCACTGGGACCCGTCCTTCACGCGATTCTCGCTAAGCCAAAGGTAGCTGAGGTTGTGTACTGCTACAATCCGATCGTATCACTAGCGCCTGGAAGGACACCGTTTTTGAAGCAATTCTTGCTTCTTCTTGCAGTAGCATCGACTGACCTTTGCAAACGTTTTTGACGTCAACCGCGACACGCCCTAGCCTCGCTCGCCAGCGCGTCTCTTCACAACAGATACGATTTCCCATCGAACGCCAGTTGAGTTTCTGCGGGGCGTTCCACGTGCATTTCGGCCCGCGTAATTCTCGCTTACACACCACCGGGGTAGAAGTTTCGGACAGATAAGCTCAGCCAGCCAGACGCAGCCTCGGAGAAATCCCTCAGTGCCGAAAAAGTTTAGAAGCGCCGATTGATCTCCGATTGTACGAGTCTCGCCGCGTCGTTTTTTTGAGCCCTGTGTACCAGCGGTGTGGACCTTTTTTTTTAACTCTGTTTCCCACCTTCCAACAACCAACACGTCTACGAGACATACTTGGTCCGTTCTGAAAAACGTTCACATAACCTGTGCCCCAAAATAAACCACTAAAGTCTTGGTACTTGTCGTCGGTGTGACCAACTTTATCTAGTTTTTGTCCCCGGAATTATTGTCTGTTGTCGTCATGTCTTTACACGCATCCTACGTCTTGCCCGCCCGGGCACCCTCTCGTAAGGGCTCTATGATCCATATGAGCAAGGATTTGCAAGAGCAAGTGACTCTGCTCGAGCAGCAGTTCTCCGTCAGCACTGAAAAGCTCAAGGAGGTGACGGACCACTTTGTGAAGGAACTCGCCAAGGGTCTGTCGAAGGAGGGGGGTTCTATCCCTATGATTCCCACCTGGGTCATCGGCTGGCCCAACGGAACCGAAAAGGGCTCGTTCTTGGCCTTGGACATGGGCGGTACCAACTTGCGTGTTTGTGAAGTCATCGTCCAAGGCGAGGGCAAGTTCGATATCATGCAAAGCAAGTACCGCATGCCCCAGGCCTTGAAGACCGGCACCAAGGAGCAACTGTTCGACTTCATTGCCGAGAGCATCAAGACGTTTGTGGACGAGAACCATCCCGACAGCAAGGAGATGCTTGACCTTGGTTTCACCTTCTCCTACCCCACCGAGCAACACGCTATCGACCACGGCAAGCTGCTCGCCTGGACCAAGGGTTTCGACATTCCCGGTGTCGAGGGCGAGAACATTGTGCCCTTTTTCAACGAAGCTCTTGCCCGCAAGGGTTGCAACAACGTCCGTCTCACCACCATCATCAATGATACCACCGGTACCTTGATCGCTTCTCGTTACGCCCACCCCACCTCTCAAATCGGTGTTATTTTCGGCACCGGCTGCAATGCCGCCTACATGGAGAAATTTGGCAACATTCCTAAGCTCGACCACCTCGACTTCGACGCCGAGATGCCCATGGCTATCAACTGCGAGTGGGGTGCCTTTGATAACGAGCACCTTGTGCTTCCTCGCACCAAGTACGACGTCGAGGTCGACGAGGAGTCTCCCCGTCCCGGCCAGCAAACATTTGAGAAGATGGTTGCCGGCTGCTACCTGGGCGACATCTTCCGTCGCGTGCTCGTCGACCTGCACAAGCAGGGCCTTATCTTCGTTGACCAAGACATTACGAAGATCGAGGATCCTCTGGCCATGGATGCCTCGGTGCTTTCTGCCATCGAGATCGATCCTTACGAGAACTTGAGCGATGTCCAGGCTCTGTTCGAGAACAACTTCAACATCTTGACCACCGAGCAGGAGCGCCAGCTCATCCGCCGCGCCGCCGAGCTCATTGGCACCCGTGCCGCCCGCCTGTCTGCCTGCGGTGTGAGTGCCCTTGTGCGCAAGGCTGAGATTGCCTCGTGCACTGTTGGTGCCGACGGCAGTGTGTTCAACCTCTATCCCCACTTCCAAGAGCGTCTTGCCGGCGCCATCGGCGAGATCCTTGGCAGCGAGCATGGCGAGAAGATCAAGGCCATTCCTGCCGAGGATGGCAGTGGTGTTGGTGCTGCTTTGATTGCCGCTCTCCAAGCCAAGGGACTCGGTCTCACCATGGCCACCCTCGAGGCTCGCACGAAGAAGTAAGGAGACAGAAGGACAGGGGGGATCGTGCAAAACTGCTGCGACCGGCCGCTGCTGCATGCAGCAGCACACACGGCCGAGTCGGTGCAGACCTAACTGCGTGCTGCCGTCGCGCGTACGGCCTCTGCAAGCCTGTGCCCGTGTCATAGAGCACTCTTTCTTTTACCACTCGTCCTCCCTCAACCATGCCGCTTTTCCAATAGACTTGTGTTTTTTTCTTTACGTTTCGTCTGTTCAGCAGTGCGACCGGGACGGGCAGAGCTGGGGCATGTGTCTCCGGCGACACAACCGCGCTTGTCGTTGTTGTCGCCGCTGCTGCTACTGCTGTCACTGTCACTGGCATTGTCATTGTCAATGGCACTGTCATTGTTACACGCACACACACACACCACCTTTTCCCGTTCCGCTCCACTTGCTCGGCTCGTCGCCTGCTCATCTTATCTACTAACGTTGCCATATTTCCTTCAGTCAGAGTGTGTTTTGCATTTGTAACCGGCTTTTGTTTTGCTGCGTGTCTTAAACAGAGTTGTTGTCTTGCTGGCCTGGTCCCCCCTCGCCGCCGACCGCTGCCCATACCCTTTTCGTCCTGTTGACCGACCCTTCGCTCCCTGCCCCCGCCGCCCTCCGTGTCTTGTCCTCGTCATGTAGCTCGAAACGACAGTGGTGCTCCGCGCACTCGCCGGTTCCCTCCTGCAGCACGAGGCTTTAACCAGGGCTACAAGCACAAACGATTGGTGGGGCAGGTGTGACGAGTGCGTGTGCAACGCTGCAGCTGTTCGTATCGCTACTCTCAGGGCCTTCGCGTCTCGAGACACGCCTTTGTCCTTGTCTTTAGACGCCCCCCCTGTGGGTGCTCCACTGCTTTAGAGAGGGGCAGCTGGCGGTAGCAGGGCCGGTCGTCTGGGATTCGTGGCCAGTGTCGCCTGTAGTGTCGCCAGTGTCGGCGTAGAGGTGGTTAGTGTGTGTGGACGCGAGCAAGTAGCAAGCAGTAGCCAGGGAGGCGGGCCCGACCGAGAGCGAAAGCGTGGAAATGGAAGCATGCAGATGCCGGTCTGCGCTGACGGGACGATGCGGCCGTCTGCAGCAATTGGGGGAGCTGTTCCTGCGACTGTTTCTGCTGCAAAGCTCTTCCCGCTATCGCCGGCCACTGACGCTGCCCAGTGACGTCTGTGTGAAGCAGCTTGAGAAAAACTGCTCCTGGAATCGGCCTGCGCTTGCGCAATCGACGATCTCCCATGCCGTAGCCGGGTCTCCGGTGCGTCACCGACTGGTGCGCGACTGTCTTTTCGTCCACACTCTCTCTGCTCACTCTGCTGCTGCTGCCGTTCACCGTCGATCACGGCCATACCGCTGCATGACGTAGTTTGTTGTCCCTCGCCGTTGCCATGGCGACTGTATTTACGTATTTGGATATAACAGCAAATAACAAAGAACAAAGTGAAAACGACAAAAAGACGACGAACATTACTCGAAACGAGGAGCATTGCTTGCGTAGTTGTGCCTGTTTTTTTTCATTGTTTTGTTCCGGGAGTTTTTTTTTTCGCTTATAAGGCCCAAGAGTTTCGAACGCAGTTGCCCTTCTAACCAGAACCAAACACCCACCAACGGACGAACTCGAGTCGAAGCTGCGTTTCCAGCCTTTGTTCGTCTTTGTGTTTCCCTGTGCCACGTCTGCTGCCTGTGCTGTTGCTGCTGCTGCTGCTTCGTTTGTTTGTTTGGTCGCCGTGCTGTTTGTTTTTGTGCCTGGATTAAGGTTACCGGTGCAAAGACTGTGAGAATCTGTCGAGTGAGTGAAGCCTGCCGGTCCGTTCGTGCATTCGTCCACCGGAGTCGTCGATTAGAGTCGACCGAGCTTGATTTGGCCCTGCTGCCGCTGCTTTCTGAGAGTTTTCGTTGCGTGTTCGACGGGCTCGGTGCTGCTGGTGCTCTACCTGCTGTGCCTGTTGTGTCGTGCTGTCTGTCCCGTGCTTTTGTTGGGCTGTGTCTGTGCTGTCCCTGCACACATACTCGTTGGCGAGTGAGTGAACTCGAGCGTCGTTGCGTGCGTGTGTGTGTCTGTTTGCGAGCGGAAACGTCTGCAAGTGCGTAGATTGCGAGTATCCAAGTGAAGTGTCTCGGGATATCGTGTGCGTGTGTGCGCCTCGTCTTCCATCTGCTGCTTTTGTTTACAAGTCCCGGTCCTGAGTGTGCATTGTTTACCGACGGCAAGGACCTACTCTGCGACCGCTAGCTGCCTGTGCTCCTACTCTCCCAAACACACTGCCTGTTCCCCTCGTGCTCCTTCTGCGGACCACTACTAGCTTTGTTGCAGACCGAACAACCCTCCTGTGATCTGGTCCTGCTTGCTACTGCTGCCCTCTGTGCCCGATCCTGCCGCACAGTGTCGTTGTGTCTATGGATTCTCCTCTGTCTTCTGTTCGTGTCCAACCTGCGCTGCAATCGCCTTCGCGCCCGCACACGGTGAAAGAAGTGCCTCCGAGCATCGCAAAAACCACCGACCTCAACCTGTTTTTTCCCAAAACGAAGAAGAACAAGAAGTCGCTTCTCATTGATCCTTTTCGCAAACCCGCCTGTCTTCCCTCTCCAGCATCCTCCCTGGCCGCTGATCTTTCAATGAACATGTGCATTGACAAGAGGTAAGCACGTCGCCTGTTGCCGCCCGCAGCAGCAGCCGCTGGCTGCTGCTGCGCGCCGCAGGACCCTGTGTGTTGCCCCGCCTACTAACCCGTTCCCCTGTTCTAGCCCCTCTTTACCCACTCCCCGACGCTCCCTGTTCCGCTCGCTCTCGTGCAGCAACGACACGCCTGTCCCTGTGGAAAAGCATTCCATTGTCGACGAGTCGCCGTCCGACGAGGCCATTGTATCTACCTTTCTGCGTCGCTCGCGGAGCAACAACTTCCCCGACGTCGAGGAGTACGCGGAGATGCTGTCTCCCACACAGCCCATGTCTCGTGCAGCCTCTCTCTTCGTCCCGAAGGGTCCAAAGGTATACTCCAAGCTGCCCCCTACCTCCTCTGCCCGCACATGCACTGTTGAACAGCTTCCCTACCGCCGTCCCATCATCTCTCGGCTGCCGACCGGCCTCTCCAAGGCAACCCGGCCGCTCTTGCGTTCGCGCTCCACATCCTCCAGTTCCATCCAAAAACGAAGAGCCCTTTCTTCCCACAATCCTCGTCAGGTCGCACTCGCCATCCAGCGCACATGCAGTGAGAGTAGCACCACCACAGTCGAGTCCCTCATCACCGATGACGGCACCATAACACCCTCTGTGGAGGCGGATGATCCGTTGGACATGGACTCGGACTTGTCGCCCTGTCTCATCGAGCTTCCGGGCAAGCGCGGCGGCATGGATTCCGCCTGGATGGATGCTCAGCCAGAGGACAGCGATATGTTGGAGGACCTGTTCCAGGCATCCCCTGTTCGCCCGCACCGTTTGGCCCATTCCACGTCCCTGCACGACGATTGCGTCCCGGACTCGCCCCTGGCCCCTGGTGCATTGCCGTATGCTCGCGAGGATGCCAACGACTACGACGATCAGGGAACTCCTCTCATGCAACGCACCCGCAGCATGTTCAACAAAAGCCCCTCGCGGCTTGGTGTTTGGAACCAGCAGCCGTTGCTGCAAATGACTCCCAAGCCGTACTCTGACACACCGCTGGGTGTTTCGACGCGGGTGGAGGATTACAAGCTGCCTTGCTTTTCGGTCAAAGAAGACTCGCTGAAGCGTATTAATCAGGAGACGCTTTTGAGCCTGCTGGACGGGCAATACAAAGACGTGTTTGATCAGTTTGTGATTATAGACTGCCGTTTTGAGTACGAGTACTCTGGTGGTCACATTGGAAGTGCCATCAACCTGAACACAAAGCAGGCAATCTACGACCACTTCTTCACAAATCCTCGCAAGAGTCGCGTTGTGCTTATTTTCCATTGCGAGCACAGTGCACACCGTGCACCTCGTTTAGCCCTGCACCTGCGCAACACCGACCGTCAGCAGAATTGCCATCGTTATCCATACCTATATTATCCTGATGTGTACATTCTGCACGGCGGCTACAAATCCTTCTTCGAAAAAAATAAAGATCGCTGTCAACCGGCTAATTATGTTTCTATGAATGACGCCTCGCACGTTATGACCTGTACGAAGGCTATGAATAATTTTAAACGGAACTCTACTTTTTTAAGGACAAAAAGCTATACCTTTGGACAACATCACACCTTCTCAAGCGTCGAGGACTCTCCGACTGCTTCCCATTCCCTTTCACGCCGTCGCCGCTATTAAACATTTTCTCTTTTTCTTTTCTTTTTCTTATTTCCTTTCTTTCGTGCTAGTGGGGACTGACGTTACTGTTCATAGACATTGTCGAATTGTTCACGCCCAGAACACACGCGTGTCCGCCCGTTTCTTCACGTCTTTTTTCTTGAATTTGAAACCTCTTTTAGTGGCTGCTGCACCGGGAGCCTAATGCGAGTTTGTATACCCGCTCATCTGCATGTACATACACATTCGTTTTGATACATGTTGTGCTCTTTATTGTCGCTGCATACAGTAATCCCCTTTTGCAAGCATTAGGTATCTTTTGGCAGCAGCAACTTGCGTTATGCCTCATTGATAATGAAACATTTTGTGCTTTTTAACAAGCTATCATGTTTTCTAGCCTTAAACATTTCCCATCAACTTTTCTTTTACACTTTCCTTTCATCAGTTTTCCCCATTTTTCTTTCTATTTCACTGAGCTGTGTTCACACCGTTTGGCTTCCACTTGTTCTGCTGAGTTGAGCCTTAAGCTCCGAGGAAAGCTTTTGTCTGATTTACGCTGACGAGCTTGCTTATTGTTTGAGCATTTCCGAATGCCAAAGGGCCATAGCATTTCCCCCAAACAAAAGAAACGGTCTTTGGAAACAACGAGCAAGGGAGGGAAGGAGTGAGCGAGGAAGGCAGGAGCAAAAAAAAAGGAAAGCAATACGAACGAGAGGATATTGGAGACAAACAGGGATTACTGCGTGCATGTGTTGGAGGAAAATAGGTATGGTTGGGTTTACGGTTTGATGATGTTATGACGCACGTCCTGTCTTCTCCTCTCCTCTCGCTCTCCCTCTTGCTCTTTCTTCTTCATATAAACGGTTTCTTGCTTTTCGTTTAACTTCACCTAGGAGTGTTTTACTCACTGTTCTCTTATTTTCTTGCTCGAGCGCGGAATATACATCCGTTTGTTTGAGCGGTGAAGAAATACTGTCTTACTGGCGCACGATTCCTTCCCCCATTGTTTACTGTTTCGCGTCTGTGAATTGTTGCTGATCCAGCTATTCTTCACTGAGTGCCTTTTCGTGTATCTCATTTTCTTTGCTCCTGAGTGAAAAATAAAAAATTATCAAAGTACGAATTTCTACAAGTACGGGGCGATTAAAGCACAAACATTACACTTCACTCTCACATATACACAAATAAACAAAACCAAAAGCAAAAATCATACACGTTAACACACAAGCATTGTCGTTCCTTCAACCGAATCGAGAATTATTATTTTTTTTAACAAGCAGTGAGCCCATGTTGGATGCGAGATACGGATGACAAGCAGGCTGGGAGGGTAGGATGCTGGATGCGATTGTGGGAATATGGATGATTCAAGAGCGTTTGACGGCACTCGGTGAGTGTCGAAAGTACTTGAGGCCGAGCCAATTGAAACTGACCCAAACTAAGGCGACTACAGTGAACATGAGCACTAGCAAGCAGGGATAATAACTCTGGATGGGGGAGCTCTTGATTTTTATTTTCGTTAGCGGTGACGTTTGTATAGTGCAGAGATATGTGTGTCTTCGCACCACATCTCAAATTGCATGATTGCATACCTTGCCATCAATGTAAATGGGTACTCGAATAAGTCCCAGTACGAAGATCATACCGAATACAAATATAGACCATGTGATTGCCAGAATGGCGTATCCCCACAACGCAGTCTTGCTCTGCGGTAAGAAGCCCATTATGGCGTAAAAAATGACAACTGCAATTCTAGAACACACCCAAGAGATTTCTGAGGCCGAGTGATTTGTTAAGGTTTTGTTTACTTGCAGCAGCTTTTCCAGGGCAGGCCGAGCTCAGCCGACAATGAACGCACAAACTTATCTAAACGAATTCGGTAAGATAACTCAAAAAACAGACATACAGGAAACGAGCAAAATGCTCACAAGTACAGCATTCTAAAACAAAGTGTGACTAATGCTTTTTCCTAACTAATAATACACTTTCGTTTTCACCCTCCCTCATATTGAAACCATTTTCGATTACCCGTATGCAACCCCGTGGAAAAGAAAAAATCTATAACAGAATCCGTTGAGAACAAGTCAAGATATACGACTTGTAGTTTTTTTTTTGCACTGTCAGCCTCAGCTGCTGCTGCCTTATCTTCGTAACAAGAGTTCCTGCACCGCTTACGACTTGATGAGGTCGAGGAAGCTGGTCTTGGAAAGCTCATTCACCTTTTGTTCACGGGCCGTACGACCTCCAGAAACGGTCTGCGCGGTCTGTTTCGCCTTGACTTGGGTGCTGCGGACAGCATTGAACAATTGCACAACACCTCGTTGTGCAATTCGACGAAGATTGCGTTCACGTTGAAGAACCTCAGGAATTTTGTCCTCGCCGTACTCAGACATCCGAGCAATCCGGCCGACATTCTCTTCACGAAGTCGTTCCCGACGTCTGAGTCGCCGAAGCTTGTTGGCCTTCCGAGCTTCTCGGTCTTGATGTAAAACTTTCCGTGACTTTTTTGACAAACTCAAAATAGGAGTTTCCTCTTCGTTTTCGGCACCAGCCGGCGCGTTCAAAATCTCTGCAATTCCGTCTGCAAACGTCGATGTTTGTTTTTCTTCCCCGTCATCAGAACTCATCTCTTCGTCGAAACTGTCGTTGCTGTCCAAATCCTCCAATTCGGAGCCTGAAGAAGACGCCACGTCTTCAGTTTCTGCCGTTTCCTGCACATAGGGCTTGCTCTCCACATCCTCCGTCGCGACAATCTCAATGTCCTGCGGCTGGCCTTTTCTCTTTGCAGTCTTTGGTGCCATGGCTGTAGAGAGGAGTCAGCGTAGCAAGCCCGTAAGGTCGTGAGCGCGGCGGAGCTCGTTGGAGAGCGGTATCGTGTATAAGGATGAACTGTAGTGTAACTCTCCGTAGTGCACGAAAGGGCACGGTAATCCAAGGTGTCGTTATTCAGTATAACGCTTTGCAATGAAGTGCACTGTTACGCTGTGCTGTGCAGTGTGGTGCAGTGAAGTTTTACGTATCGCTAAGTAGAATAGCGCACGTCGTTGCTCCCCGTTACGGTTCGTTCCTCCTCTCTGTCTCTCGTTATCCGTTTAGCGAGATCTATCACCCCCTCGCTCCCTCCCCCATGCGCTCCCCCCCCTCGTTCTCGCTCGCTTTCCTAGGGAGATTCGTCTGTCCTTCCGAGTCTTAATGAGGCTCTGCCTCGTACTAACGAAAATTGACAGTAAACTTGTTCTGTAGAAGTAGCTAAATCTTGCAAATGGCAGATTTTGCCTTTGTAGCAGGTCTTTCGGATGATTGGCTAGTAGAATCTGCAAATCCGCAAAAAGAGGAATTTGTTGACGCACCTCATTTCGAAGATACTGTTATGTCTATGGGAAACATTGTAGACGAATTTTCTCGGAAAAGAGATTTTTTCGTAGACTCATTAAACAATGAATTGACGCATTCGAGGTCTCCCAGCTCGCCAGTGTCTCCTACGTCGGGATTCTCGTTGTCGTTAAAACGAAAGTTTGAGCCTCCAGCAAATGCTGGGCCTCCCAGCAGTGAGCTACGACCAGACGCACTTGTACAACAAGACGGTGTCTTGGAACCTTTTAAGTACATACCCCACATCCACCCTCTTCGCGCTAAATATGCTCCTGTCATCCGGTCTATTTATCCCAATTTACGTCTTGATGGCCGGGAATTGCTCCCCATGTGTGTGTTCCCAAACGATATCTCACTGGCTGTCCGGGAAGAACAGCCGCAACCAGCCTGGCACTCCTTCCTGCTTCCTCAGGGCGATGGGAAACCGGACCTGTTTGCTACTTGCATTGTCTTTTGGATTCCGCTGTCCGCCGCAGAGACGCAGATATTCGACAGACGGTTTCGTGAATGGTACTCGCTGTACCTTTCCTCGGAACAAAAAGAAATGTCGATTTCCCTGCGTGACAAAATTGTTGCTGAAAAAATAACGCTATCGTCTCTGCTTTCAGATCTCCCGTTTGCAGAGTCGCCAAACAACCGCCAAGACTTGAACCGTGCGATTGCCAGTTGCGAGGAACGCATCCAAGCGTTTACGAGTATGATGTGTGATCTTTACCAAGGCGCTATGCCAAGTCTCGAAGAGCTTACATCTATGGGAGTTTCGTGTTGGAAACCGCATGCCGTCGGCATCGTCGGTCGGCATCCAAACATGCAAACGTTCTACCGTGATTGGTTGCGTTTAGTAATTGCACCTATGCTACAGCTAGAACATGCTCCGCCGTTTGACGACTGGCTGCCACTGGAACGATTTGTGCACAATTTGTGTGTGGACATTCCTCAGCAGCTTGATCGTGACTCGTTAAAACTCGAAGTCGAGGTTGGAAATGCACATCTTTTTACTCGCATTTCGACGTCCTTTGATGTGCATGACTTTGGCGACGTGGACCTTTATCCACTTGTGCATGCACTCAGCGTGGAAAAAATAGTTGTCTTGTTTGAGGCAGCTACACAGGAAAAGAACATAGTGTTTCTTTCCCAGTGTCCCTCTATCCTTTACAGCGCCTCGCGTGCTCTATTAAGTCTTTTGTTCCCTCTCCACTGGCAGGGATTGTATCTTCCTGTGCTTCCTAAGCGTCTGTTTTCAGTTATGGATAACTCACGACCATTCATTGTGGGCATTCAGCCTGATGGTACCTCAACCTCGATATCGTTTCCCTTTCTTACTTGTAATCTTGATGAGGATCACATCACTGTTCCGCCCTCATTGCACTTGCAAAGCATTCCATACAGATATAAAAAAAAGCTACTGTATCTCCTCTCTATGTCAGCACCCATGAAGGGTGTAAAGCGTGGCATTCCCCGATCAAGTTTGGAAGCGTACCCCTATGGAACGATGCCAATTTCAAATCATTTACTAAGCAATGTCCAAAAATCAAGCAAAATATCCATTCTCGTTGGGGAACATTCCAGCGTGTTTCGCAAAAACGACCCCAGTCCGCAGGCGCCTGTTTTCCACGCCTTTGGTACGGAGCAACTGAGGAATCTTCCGCAGCGTCAAATGTTTACTCATCTATCTACCACTCATATGCGGAAGTCGTCTCTATTAGACCGCGCTTCCATCGTCTCCCACAAAAGATTTCGCCTTTCTGCTCACAAAAGTTTTGACCGGTTCATGAACAAGTCTGACAGCCTGACGCTTGTTCCTCGTCAACCCACTCCCTTGCCTGACAATGCCTACTTTAACGAGTACTATGTGCCAGGGAGAGCAACGCCGTCTATAACGGGTTTTACCTCCCTGGCCCCGTCTACGATTTACGATGCAAATAGAGGTTTAGGAAACATTGGAGATACCCAGCAGTTCACGGATGAGCAAGGAAACACGTGGATAGAAGGTCACTGTTTTAACCTCCAACGGTTTAATGGCGAAGCAAAAATTTGTGCTATTTCTAAAGAGCCCTTAGATGTGGCTTACTATCAATGCATGGCTTGTGGTTTAACCGTGTCGCAGCAATCACTTTCAGAAGTTTACCTTCCTTGCGAGTCTTCGTCTTTTGATTCTGACAAGATTCGAGCCTCCTTTCTTCGTTTTTTTACAAATGTTTTTCTAAACTTCAGACGCTACATCATGCCAGATAAAGCATCTGGAAAGCCAAAATTTTTAATAGATGAGTTCTGTCGTCACGTACCGCATGATCTCACAGAGTACATTCGAACGTTGTCTCAAACAGCCGCCTTTGACGCGCTCGTCCAGTATCGACTTACGCATAGTATTACAGATCCAGAAATTGCTTTTTTTGATCGGCTACTCGATGCAAAGCGGAATAAGAACAAATTCCGTTTATTTAGACGAAAAACACCCAATTACTTACATGCAACGTGGGCTGTATCAGCTTCGCAACACATTGTTCGTGTCCCTGTAAATAAGGACATGAATGATGATGCAAAACAGCTACATATAACCAGAGGCATCCCATTCATTTTTGACGAAAACCTTGCACCCAACTCATGAAACCGCTCCTAGAGTTTGATGAAAAATTACAATTTTATTCTTTTTTTTCAAATGAATATGTTGTCGTTTGTTTCCTTAAACGAAAAGAAACAAAGTCCATAAGGCTGTGGTTCGTACGCAATTCTAAGTACGTTGAAGCTGCCCGAATTGCTGGTAGAACGTAAAGAGAGTTGGGGGGATTATTTGTGTTGGAAGCAGTCTGTAGAAGACTACTGGTACATGCTAGTGGAACGAGAGAAGCATGGCACAGTACCAGTGCGTTGGTAAGACATGTTTGTAATAGCAACTACTAGCTTGATATGCGGTAGGCCAGCTTCCGGACAACTTCAAATGTGAGAAGCGTCACCGAACTAGCAGGAATTGTGCGAATAAAGTTTGTACCCATTCCCGCATAGTACTTTTTCCAGCCCTCTGATCGCCAGATATCGCGAATTAGTAAGGCCATTGAATTATGTGTCGGAGCATCTAGGCTTTGTAGTCGTGTCCGGAGTACTTCGTGAGGATAAGTGACCGCAGATGCGGCAATTTTGGATAGGGAAGCGGCTGAAATAATTCCAAGATACTGATGGTCTTCACCAGCGAGGACTAGAAACTTATCCTTGAAGTATTCGTACAACGGAAACTGGAGGCCGACATGCAGTGTTCCAAATAAAGAGGGCATCAGCCCACGGTAAAAAGCAGCCATACCTTCATATTTATAGATTTTGTAAAATGCATCAAAGGTGCTGTTGTAACGTGGCGCACATGCGGGACCAGTTGGAGCGAGAAGAGGCTTTTTGAATTCTGTAAGGTTTTGACGCCTCCATGCCCAAAACCTTGGCATTCTCCATTTTGCTGACGGCGTATCCATTTGCAAATTTCGAAATTGAATTTTTGTCGCGGCTTCGGCAGCAACGCGTCTTAACGTCTGTAAATCCGGATGTTCCTGGGTGATGAGTCGCGTCTTTACAACCCATATAGGATTGGTGAGGCTGACACTGGCTGCACCGGCAACCATTGCACATGCGATTTGGTACGGTTGAAAAGGTGAACCCTTTTGCGTGTCTTCTTGGGCGGCATCCTTACCAACGGACGAGGTACAGGCTTTCGATCGATGTTCGGAAAAAAAAACCCGTTTACATTTTTCATACACACTGAAGTAAATTGCCCAGCTAGGGAAATAACCCAGCATTAACGGTCCTACACCTCTGTAAAGGCCACGAATGCCTTCCCGTTGCCATATTTTAAACATAAGCACTGAAGGTTAGTTAGAGTTTGAGCAACAAAGGTCATAAAAGGAGCGAAAGCAAAAGCAGAAAACTCATTGTAAACTCATAGTCATACGAAATAACTAAGAGACAGATTGCTCTGGTCCAATATCCTCAATCGATAACACATACCAAAAGTGTTACGTATAGCATGTCCTCTTTTTTTGGAGACAGGAGAAATGTTGCCCTTTTGAGCTTGTTGACGAGTTTTCACAACATCCAGAGGAGCAACAAACAGTGACGAAGCAATCCCAGCGACTCCTCCTGCTACTGCATTTATCGTGGTATCTAGCATTAAGGCAACTCAATTGCCCTTCTAACAAATCAAAGTTGTCCCCAACTACAAGAATTTGTCAATCCTAACCGAACCGACGGAGTTCAGCGGAAAACAAGAAGAAGAACACGAAGTTGTGTGTGACGGTGAGTGATAGACCTGGAATGGCCGTTATTGCTGCCTGAATAGAGCAGCCAGTGCCCTTTTGAATTCTCAACAATTGGAGATAGCCAAACTATCAGTAAAGATTATGGTGGGAGTATGCCCTACGCGCAGCGTGCAACACCAAGGTTTAGCGGGGTCCGGGCCAAAAATTGTGGAGCAGGCGCGATTTGAACTCGGGTAGTCGGTGTTGCTGCGCGGGGAAGTGTTTTTTATCCTGTTTAGAGTTGAGTAAGGTTTATGCAGGCGAGGTTATTTAAAAAAGTGAACAAAACTAGGATTGAAGCAGAGCACAATTCCTGACTAATGAAATGGATTCTGTAGAGTAGCTAGCGGGTTGGAGACGATACAAACTTGACAGGGATTTGAGTCCTTGTACTTAAATTCTTCGATTAGCTGATGTCTAAATAACCCATCTCATACTCAAAACAAAAAGAGCTATTTATGGTCACAATTCGCAGAGGTAGATTGGATAGGACAATATTTTCTAAGTGCTTTAATTGAGAAGAACTTCGTAAGAAACGCTTTTTTTTTTAGTACTAAACGAAGTGAACACAGTGTTGCATCGAGATATATAGCAAAGACCATTCAGTTGACTTAAGCGAGACACTTGAGTCTACGACTTTTGCAGGACTTCGGTTAGATAATAGCAAAGGTTCGCGCGTCATAAACCCGCCAATCGAGCCCCATTTTAACAAATATTCGTGAATGAATTGCCTGCTCATAGTATGTTATTGACTGCGACGAAACTTTGTCACTTACCTGAAAGTCGCGACTTTTGATAAACGCACAATCGACTCGATAAAGTCCTATCTGTAAGAAGGCGCATCTTTCTCTTTTTCTTATGTTCTAGACCAAATAAGCTTTATTTTTTTTTACGAATTCTGCAGCACCTAGATTCATGTTAAAAGCAATCACTATTTTTAGTACAGCATTATCTTGCATAGAAAACAGTTCAAACACCCGACAAGTAAGAGTACACAAAGGAACACGCTGCACACACCAATTGCTGAGTGTAAAAGGAGTGATAAATACCAGGACGTAAAAATAAACTGTTACTGTGTTTCCACAAGCATGACTATGAATACTACTACTCTCATATACACTCTTTTATTAGTAAAAATAAGAACAAATAAAAATCGTTTTCCTTGGTTGTTCTGAAACTGTTTAGAGCCATATTCTACAAGTACCTTACAAAGAGTTGCCCGAATTACGATTCTTGCAAAAAACGATATCAAGTCTTGTTAGAGACAGTATATTTTGTCTAAGACTTCAACACGTCAAGGTTGAACAATCACAAGTACGAAATTTGATTTCTCTTGTTCTTCTTTAAGAAACTGTAGTATTATGTCTAGAAAGTGGGTATTAATTCAAGTAAATACAACTCTTAATAAGACTCGGTGAATATAATCTATTAAAAACTAGAACAAAACGTGAGCACTTGTAGTCTAGTGGTTATGATTTCTGCTTTACAACATAGATTGAAAACGCAGACGGTCCCAGGTTCGATCCCTGGTAAGTGCATCGTTTTTGCCTTTGCTAGCAAACGCCGCAACAATTAGCAGGAGTACCCGTGAACAAAAACCATTCATGAAAATATTGATTAGCCGTATCTGTAAATAAAGTAAGGTAGAGGAGGGAGTTCGATATGTCAGATTGTTATTTTCCCTTAAACACTTGGAGGCTTCTAATGTTCCAGTAAGCCTCGGTAAAGTTCTTTGGTGAATTAGCGACGAAAGAGGTGCAGGTGGAGGGGCAGCCGAAAAGGTCATACACGCTATCGGCACCAGCCCAATCACCACAAAATGTAAGATCAAAAACGATACGTTGGGACTGGAAATTTGTGTCAATATCGCAATACGTGTTGGGGAAATCAGCGTCTGGATAACCCCAGTCATGAGGCTGGGGATTGGCTGTGTATATGTCAGGAGGGGTACTGTTACGGGGGAAAAACCATGCACGAATTCCCTCAGAACGCCAGTCCAACGCGAAAATACCGCCCCCATTTTGATTAAAACCACTGCCATAGGAAAGCGACGACAGGGACGACACGCCGCAACCAGCGTTCGAGCCTTGGTCAGGTGCATATACATAACAATCCAATGCTTGATTAGTTCCGGTTTGGAAGCGCTTGGCATCCTTCATGGTGCATCCGTCCTTGGTATGCAGGGTGAATTGATTCGCAGCCTGACGATTCACACCCTCCAAAATATCAATTTCACCACCGTTTGGCCAGTCATCACCAAGCATCCAGAATGCAGGCCATGTTCCACAGCCAAACGGCATATGGACAAGATCAAGAATAACAAGCACCTGGTTGTAGTAGTCGTTAGACTGAATACGAACGGACGGCCGTCCAGCCGTGACGTTGTGTGTGCTGTCGGAACGAATGATGACATTCGTGCTGTTCGCAGAAAGCAAACCTAAGGATTGACTAACGTTGCGAGGAAGATAATCCACGAAACCATGTGTAGGATCAGTGATGTTTTGAAACTCAAAGCCATCGAAAAAGTTGGTGCCCGAGTAGTTTCGAACAAGAGTGTACTGGCGCTTCTTGTACGAGGGATGCTTGTTCCGTTCGCGAGCCTGATGGCCAAACACACCGCCCAAAACACCTCCCACGATGCAACATATGGCAACGATGATACCAGCAAGAATGCACTTTTTTTTCTTAGTGAACCACTTCTTCGGTGGTTCATCGGCTTCGACAGGCAACGCTTCGTCAGCCAAATCTTTGACTGCTGGTGGAGTAGGTGTGTTGAGTGTTTCAGACGAAGGGTACACGGGGACGTTGTCAACAAACACAGCGGCCTCCTCCTTCGTCGGTGTAGGAGAAGTAACTTCCTTCATGATGGAGTCCTAGAGATACCAGTATATGCAAAGATAAAAAAAAAGAAAAAAGAGATACAGAAAGAAGAGTGAGAAAAGCTAAAATGAATGCTCAGCAAGAGATGTGTTTTGAAGATAGACAGATCAACACAGATTCAGTAGAGCGATGGAGCAAATGATGAGTGAGCAAAATATGTAAGAGAGCGAATAAATGTAGGAAAAAAGATAGGAAGAAAGTGTGAGAGAGAGTGAGAGAGAGAGAAAAGCAAATGATTAGAGCCAACAAGTGTCAACGTATGAAAACAAAAGCAAATGAAAAAGTGTTGTAATGACGCCTTGAGGAGGAGATAGGGAACAAAGTCGAAAAAGAAAGCGTTCAGTGTTCGTAAAGGACGGACAAAAATGGGTTGCTACAGTAAATGAAGAGGTCGTGAATGTGTTCACGATGTAAACGTACAGAAAAACTCAGTCAGCACTGAATAGACGAGTATGCCATAAAGGAAATGGACATGACACGGTTGGGGTGTGTTGTGCGTCTATGCTGGTAGAGGACAGGTTTTGTGCAGGTCAGTAGAGGCCGTCTAGTCGCTTCGAAATTCGACGCATTTAAGGTTTTACACGCTGCGCCGCAAACGTACATATGAGGTAATTAGCAACGCAATTGTCCAATAATTCCATAGAGAATGGTTCGTGTGCGCAAATGCGGGGCTGCTCTCAGCCAATCAACGCTACAAGAAACGCACAAAGCGACAAATGTATGACGTACTCAGCCGCTCGGACAAACAGCTCACCACGCCAGTCACCAATTGTCACACTAGCCGACACTAACGAAATTAAGCTTTAAGCTTTCTACGCGTCGCGTCCCGCCGACGTACTGCAACCGCTCGGTGTTGATTTTCAAAACTCAAACTCATTATTCGTATGGTGCTGTAATACTTGGAATTGTGCATATGCACCACGTACACACAAGACGTACCGTAAATGTATATAAGAGAACGTTAGTGCCGGCCAGTCAGCGGCCGAAACAAGCCAGCCGACCGGCAACTGAAGGAACGATCGAGATCAAAATGCTTAAGGATGAGTCAAGTAGCCGACACCAGAGTAGCTGATGCGTTGGACCTTGACGTCAGCGTCAGTGACGGCTTGGGGTTGGGGAACGACACCGGAAGCCTTGGAGTAGCGAGTGATGGTGCCAAAGAGGTTAGGGTTGTCGAGGGAGTGGATGATGAAGCTGGTCTCGGCGTTGTCGTCCACCTTAAGTTGGGCCTTCAGAGCCTCAGGGTTGGACTTGGCGGTGTATTCGACATAGAGGACCTGGTCGTCAGTCTTGGGGTTGGCACCGTCACCAGACTTGTCGATGAAACCACCGACAACCTCGTAGTTCATGAGTTGAAGAGGCTCGGCCAAGGGCTCAGTGGCACCAGAGAGGTAACCAGCGAAGTCCAGGAAGCGGTCAGACTTCTTGTGCTTGTTCTCGAGGATGTCCTTGCTGCCGTAGAGCTCCAAACCCCAGACGAACTCAGGGTTCTCGTTGTCGGTGGCAAAGTAGTAGCATTGAGTAAAGGGCTCGTTCTTGACGGCGTGCTCGTTAACAGCGCTCAAGTACTTGAGGATGTTCTTGCCCTCGCCGGCCTTGCCGACAATTTTAGCAATGTAAACGTGAGTCTTAGGGTCGTAAGTGGGATAAGCCATGTTGATTCGTTGAGTACCGCTTCTGTGTCGAGTGTGGTTGGCGAAAATGACGACCCACCGAGACTTTATATGACTGCCTAAAGTCACGTGATCTTACGAGTACGGATCACGATGGAACATTCTATGGAAGGCTAATCGCAGATAGCCGATGCAGCAGCCAACCGCGGTTGTCGCTGCTGCTATCCAGGAATCGGCGACAAACCTTATGACGTCGCTTCAGGGATGTCCGACAAGGGGAGAGGGAGTTTCACCGAGACGTTACAAACTGCAGCGAGCTAAACGCACTAGCTCTTTAAAAACTCGTTAAAAAGTTTACGGATGATCTACTGTTGCTCTATAATACACTATTCCGGTTAGCGCATTGGACGGCAGACACGCCAAAAGACGGGGGATCCCGTCCCCTACGTCACGAAACGCGAAACCTGGGGGCCACACGCGCTCGTTATTGCCAGAGCTTAATTCAATGCGCGCTGGTTCAGAGGTGCCAAACACATGTTATCGTCTACGACACGCTAGGCCGCCCGTACTCAGCACCACATGTCTCGGTCTCCTTCAGCGGTTTCACGCAGACACGGAATGGTCCGCGATGATTATGAGCTGCAATCGTTGGACGAACACGCTACGGACACAATGGTGCCGGTGGAGGCGCCGTCGTTGCCGCCTAAAGACGAATTCCTGCGTTCGCCTATTTCCCAGCCATTGGCACCGGCTCCTCCGTTAACAAGAAGACAGAAGCGCAACGTTGCACTTTTACTACTGCTGTGTAAGTTTTCACGCGCTCTAAACTCACCGGTCGACTGTTTTTTTCCCGAACTCTCCTAACAAACATGGAAACTAGACCTGTTGCAGGGCGTGCCGATGGGCCTTGTACAAGGCAGCATACCGTATCTGCTGCGTCCACATTCGACATACGCCGAGCTAGCCGTATTTTCGCTGGCTTCATACCCATACAGCCTTAAAGTGCTGTGGAGTCCCATCGTCGACACCTTTTATTTTCGCAAGTTTGGACGGAGAAAAACATGGATTGTGCCGTGTATACTACTAATTTCTCTCGCAATGTTTCTCCTTTCTTTCTGCGTGGAGGACTGGATCGAACACAGCTCGGAACACATTCACGCGTTCACATTCTGGAGCTTCATGCTCGTTTTCCTGTGTGCGACACAGGACATTGCAGTGGACGGCTGGTCCTTGAATATGCTGGAGCCCGAACAAATTAATTATGCCTCTACGGCGCAATCTGTCGGCCTTAATACAGGCTTTTTCCTCTCATTCACCGTTCTGCTCGTTCTCATGTCCCCCGTCTCTTCCAAGCTTCTCCCCACCATTGCAAAACCCAATGTCGGACTCGTGACACTGTCTGGCTATTTGCGCTTCTGGTCCGTTGTTGCCTTCGTCGCATCTATTCTCGTTTGTGTCGTGGACGAACAGGCTTCTGTGACCATTGAAGACGTTAGGAGCATCTGGGCCTCTATTTTCCGGGTCTTTTCCATTAAAAGTATGTACTCAAACGTGCCAGCTGTGTCCATACACATGATGCTTTTCTGTCTCGTTCCATTGTTAACTCAAATCCAGACATGCGCCACTACTCTGTATTCCTATTACTGTGCAAGCTTGGCTTCGTCGCCAACGAAACGCTCACGTTTCTCAAGCTCTCTGAAAAGGGACTGAGCAATGCACTGCTCTCCATCATTATTCTTATCGATTTCCCCATAAGTTTAGCGCTTGGAGTATATATCGGTCGAGCAAGCCAACACAGGCCCTTGTCGAAATGGCTTCTGGGCTACCGCTTGCGCATCTTCGCCAACGCTTTTAACGTCCTGCTAATGTTTCTCCTAACCCATACCACTATTAACGTTTATTCCTTCTTCGTCATTCTGTTCTGCTACTTGTTCAGCTCCTCTGTCGGCACCATCCAGTTCGTCGCGATTGGTGTCTTTCACAGCCAAATCTCAGACCCTTTTATTGGGGGCACGTATATGACCATTCTCAATACATTGAGCAACCTGGGTGGCACCTGGCCCAAATACATGCTGCTCAAGGCAGCCAATGCAATGACCGTTTCCTTCTGTTCCGTATCTAGTGAGCTTTCGTGTGCGACAGACGACTCGAAAGCTCAGTGTGTTGCACAGGGTGGCACCTGCATTATGAGGAGTGACGGTTACTATTCCATTTCCGTCGTAGGTATTTTGACAGCAACCATCCTCCTCTACACCGTTATTCTCCCCATCTTGCGCAAGCTGGAGAAGGCGCCACGTTCCTCTTGGGCTGTTGCGCCCACGTCGGCTAACGTGTAGGCGCGGCACTGTATGCTTCTTTGGAGGGTGTTTCCGTAACAGCACTCCTGACTAATTCACCAATCCTCGTATTCGCTAAGACTTACTTACACACTCTAGCACTCGCCAAGCCTTTATTATACTCCAAAATGCGGCTTACGTCTTCTGTTCTTTCGTTGTTCAGAACGAGTTACGATTAATGATAAAAATTATCTCTGCTAGTTTCCTCAGTGATCGAGTGTCGAAGCACCCGCCGAATCAATGGCGTCCATCTCGCTCACGCTGAGCATACGGTAGCGAAATCGCATCGGCAGTTCTTCGCGACTAAAAAAGAAATCGCGTGTGACGGATGCAGGCTTCGAAGCCTGAGATCTAGCACTGGCAGAAAAGCTGGGAGGCAAAGGGACCTTGGAGGCCGGGTGAACAAATCGCTCTGGAGAGCTTCCTGCGGGAAAAATTGTTAACATTATATTTTTCCGGTTCTGATCGGTTCTTACGAATAAAATGACGACAAAAACGAATTAGTGGGGTTCTTCCCATACTGTTCGGTCAAAAAGATACAGCTGGTACCAACAAGCAGCATCCCTCTTTTACCCAAGTTCGAGCCCACTGCCCCCACACATGAGTCATTTTTGGTGGAGCGGGGGTGCAGGGGCTCGTTGGAGTTCGATACATCTCGTTAAACGATACTGACGTATGTCATCCACATGACACAACCCTGAAGCGTCGTCCCAAGTAGGGTAGGGTTGTCACCAACAACAGTCACGTCCAGCGGAAAAAATAACAACCATGTTAATGCCACTTACCTTGAACCTAACACCTTTGGAAAATGGTTAGAGGACCCAAAAAGCATCTTAAGCGTGTTGCCGCTCCCAGCCACTGGCTTTTGGACAAGCTTTCGGGCACTTACGCCCCCAAGCCTTCTCCTGGTCCCCACAAGGCTCGCGACTGTCTTCCTTTGATTGTTTTTCTCCGTAACCGTCTCAAGTATGCCTTGAACGGTCGCGAGGTGAAGGCCATCTTGATGCAACGTTTGGTCAAGGTCGACGGTAAGGTCCGCACCGACGCTACCTTCCCTGCTGGTTTCATGGACGTCATCAGCATCGAGAAGACTGGCGAGCACTTCCGTCTCGTCTACGACATCAAGGGTCGCTTCACCGTCCACCGCATCACTGCCGAGGAGGCCAAGTACAAGTTGTGCAAGGTCAAGCGCGTCCAACTCGGTGCCAAGGGTGTTCCCTTTGTCGTTACCCACGATGGCCGTACCATCCGTTACCCCGACCCTCTTATCAAGGTCAACGACACCGTCAAGTTGAACTTGGAGAACAACAAGATTGAGTCTTTCGTCAAGTTCGACACCTCCTCCATGGTTATGGTCACTGGTGGTCGTAACATGGGTCGTGTTGGTGTTGTTACTCACCGTGAGCGTCATGAGGGTTCCTTCGAGATTGTTCACATCAAGGACGCTTTGGACCGTGAGTTTGCTACTCGTTTGTCCAACGTTTTCGTTATTGGCGAGGCCGGTAAGGCCTGGATTTCTCTTCCCAAGGGCAAGGGTGTCAAGCTTAGCATTGCTGAGGAGCGTGACCGCAGACGCGCTCTTAAGGGACTTGCTTAAAAACATCAATGTATCTTCATTTTCGTGGGCATTTTGTGAAGTGGAATGAAAGTCATGTGGAATGTTGAACGTGTTGAGGAAGGGGTTGTTCAGTAGTTGTTTGACTGGTCGGTATAGGACGGTTTGTGTTTTCGCGTGGCATGTATCGTGCGTGTTCTGTAAGGTTTAGGCGGACCATTAGAGTTACGAGTGGGTGCATGGTAGGGCTCCTGTGAGGCCGTTTTGTACTCGTGTTAGCTTGCATGAAACGCCTGTTCGTCACCACGGCTACACGTTTTCTGGATTCCGTGTATGACAGTGCGAATTGGCGCCGTAACGTAGGGAAAAGCGTATATATGCCCTTCTCTCTCACTTTTACTTACTACTTCCCATTATCCTTCAAACCGCATATAAGCTTGTGCGGGGTTCTCGCTTAACGTCTTTCCTGTCGCGTTTATGGACCCTTTTTCGCACCCTTCCTCCTCCCCGCTTTTCTTCCGCGCCCCCGCTCTCGCTTATGTAATTTGCCCCGGAACCTTATCTCAATCGTCTGCTTACGTCAGGGTCGGCAGCCATAAAGCGAAGCTCCGAAGGACAGCTGGTAACAGATTACTTATAAGAGGAGCTAGTCGCTGTGCTCGTGGAGCCCAATTTTCTCGGACTATCTGCACTCTGTTTTGCATAGTTAACGAGCTCAATCATTGCATATGATGCGTATAAACAAAGCTCTTCGGAAGGATCCGAAGAATCCAACGTTTCCAGTCTCCTTTCGGCAGTCATTCAGTCAGTGGTGGCGAGGAGCCTCAGCACAAAATGCAAAACTTACTGAATTAGAAGTTTTAAAGCAAGTAGACTTTCTTCGTGACAATGACAAGGATCAGGAACGTCTAGCTGAGGTAATTGAAACGCCGATTGGTCCTAAGAAAGACACGATTCACGAAGTTAGCATTACCAGCAAGACAATCAACGACACCAAAAAGAAGGAGATCGTTTTTTTGCATGGTTATGGTGCTGGATTGGCTTTGTTTTTTCGGAACATGGATGGTTTGACGAAAAACAACACTCAAAACTGGAACTTTCATTTCGTAGATTGGCTCGGTATGGGCTGTTCAGCTCGTCCGCCTTTCCGTGTTAAGGGAAAGAATGCAGCTGAACGTTTGGAGCAGACTGAGGGCTTCTTCGTTGACTCACTCGAGGAATGGAGAAAGGCCAAGTCTATAGAGTCCATGGTTCTCGTCGGACACAGTATGGGCGGTTACTTGAGTGCCGTATATGCAATGCGGTATCCCTCGCGTGTGGAGAAGCTTTTACTCGTGAGTCCTGTGGCCGTTCCCGAAAATCCTTATGCTTGCGATGATGATGCTGAAATTCGTACTGAGCAGTCGAAAGCTGTGGAAACACTGAATGTGCTCACGTCGGAAACCCAGACATCGAATGTTATGGCCGAGTTCACGCAATCGCAAGATCAGGCGACGACCCAAGAAGGAACAAGCACTAGCGCTCCAGCCAAGCCAAACAACCCTGTTCCGAAGGCTATTGCCCTCTTGTGGAATTGGAACATTACTCCGTTTGCAATTCTGCGTTCCATTGGCCCTATTGGTCCTAAACTTGTCAGTACGTGGACCAACATTCGTTTTTCTACACTGCCAAAGGACACGTTCATGGCTCTTCACAACTATTGCTATGCAATTTTTTCACTTAAGGGTTCGAGCGAGTACGCGCTTTCACATTTACTTGCTCCCGGTGCATTTGCTCGGCGGTCGCTCATCAATCGCATCGGCCATGTCCAGTGCAAGACCGTGTTTATGTACGGCGACCGCGATTGGATGGATGAAAGCGCCGGTTACGCTGCGGCCAAACGTCTCATGGAGCATGGAGTGCTCGCTGAGCATCATATCATCAAAAACGCAGGACATCATTGCTACTTGGACAACCCCGAGGCTTTCAATGAGCTTGTGCTCCGTGAAATGAATTTTGAGTGAGCTCGTTCGGGTATGCCGAAGAGCGTTTGTTGCCGCCCATGAATCTGATCTACTCTTCTCTGTTCCTGGCTATCGATTTGGGGTCTTCCTCTCTCACTTGCCCCTCCATTCCATTCTCAATCCATCTCTGTATACCACATTCACCGTCCTCTCTCCTCCAACGACCGCACCTTTCGATACTCTGACTAACGAATGCTGTTTTTATGAATTGACATATGATTTTCTTTCATGTCAGTAACAAATACAAATATATACAATAGTATATTTCGTCTTTCTGCACACAAATAGTGAGTTTGTTGCGCTTCGCTATACTGAATACAGACGTCTACTGCAATTTTGTGCATTGCGTAATGTAAGTTAACGCAATCCGTTTATCCACGTTGAATTACCCTTTTTGGTATAACGTGTCCTAGCACATTCGAGCGCGCTAAGTCGGCATGGCATGCCGGCAGAGGGCGAACGCGCCTTGTGCTTTTCTGAATTTACCGCCTGCCAAGCTCAGAACGCGTGCAGTTTCTCTCACAAGAGCTGTGTGCCTGCATAAGCAGAGCTTTGAAACTGAAATGAGTGTAGAAGACGCTGATGAGGCCGAGGAACTGCTGAAAAAAGCGACTCTGTGGGACGCGCGTGAACTTCAGGATTTGTCGTCTTCCGGATTTCAAACGAAAGACTTTGAACTCTGTTTTTCCAAAAACAATTCCCGTGATGTCTTCCTCTTTGGTGGTATTCAAGCGAATAAATGCACAAATTCACTATGGCAAATAGATCTGCAATCGATGACTATACGGCCGGTACCTTTAATGGGAAGCTATCCAGCTCCATGTGTCTTCCATGCGATGACATCGTTTCACGATAAATTATACGTGTTTGGAGGAGATCAAGGAGCGCGAGCTACGCAATCGGATAACACGCTGTTTGCATTCGACGTCAATTCCGGTATCTGGGATCATGTAGAAATGCCAGAACCCCGTCCCGCTAGTAGAAGCATGCTTACTATGAACGTTGTTCAATCTTCCATATGTATTTTTGGAGGACAGACTACGGGAAACAAGTTCTTTAGTGATCTGGTTTGGTATGATACTTCGTTAAGTGTGAACTTGAAGGGTCGTTGGGAGCTCTCTGTGTCCATCAACACACCTCCTCCGTCCCGAGCTGCTCATGCCTCTGTTGTGATTAACGGAAGGCTTATTATTTTTGGTGGCCAAGGTGAACATGGCCTGTTGAACGATATTTGGTTTTTTGATTTCCATACGCTTTCCTGGACTGAAGTTCGACCGGCTGGTGTTATTCCGTGTCCTCGAAAGCGACACAAAGCCATCTCTATCGGCGAGATCGCGTACTTCTTGGGTGGATTTGATGCCGATGGGCGTGCTTTAAATGAGCTATGGGCTTTCAACGCCTCCTCAAACAATTGGATGCAGCTTCCCACACCGTTTGATGAGTCAGCGTTTGACGCCGATGCCACATACGGGCTGTTTAGTCGTGACAAGATATTGTGCTTACTCGAGTCTTCGTACTCCACTTCCCGATCAACGCTGACAGTGTATTCTGTTGACACAGACTCATTACTTTCTGAGCTAGTAAATGCCTCTCGCTGGCCTATTTTCAAGCATCTTTCGTTAAGGTATGGAACGGCTCCCAATAGACATTCGCCCAACAGTACCGAAAGCCCGCCGAATTATACCCTAAAACATGTGCCGAGCAATTCCTTTTCCTCATCATCCATACACAGCTCTGGTCAGCCGTCGTATCCAACTACTTCCTTACCTTCACATCTTGTTACGCCCCTCCATTCCCGGCATCAGTCCCTGGAAAGTCACCTTGCTCAGGCTCACACCGCCATTCCTGTTGTTGCGAAAACATGGAGTCATCGACAGAATCTTTCTGAATTTTCAGAGCCTCTCAAGTCGAGTCCAAGTATACGTGTAAGTCCTCGTCGACTTGACAGTCCCTCAAGGGATGACAAGTCATCTCTCTCTACTCCCACGCATAGTAAATCTAAAAGCAGTGGCACGTCTCCATTACCGCCTTGCAGGTCGGATTCATTATTGGAATCATTTTGGAATAGGTATCGTTTTGAAAGCAAAGGCGATCGCACGGCTTGGCTTGAAGAACAACTAGCCAACTGCATGCGACAAGGATATAAACCCCATTTGCCTAGTATTTTATCTCCTGAGATGGGTATTCCTGCTGATGAAACCAGACAACTTCGGGTGCTGGAGATTCTGCAAGGATTTGAAGCCTCAATTAAAGCAAGCAAGGAGTATTTTGAACAACGGCTCAATGATTTGTCTGCGGAAAATGAGCGTCTGACTGTTGAACGTGACGCTGCCCTTAGTGAGGCCGTATGTGCAAAGTCGATGCTTGCGTCGAAAAGCTCTAGTGATGCATTTGATTTAGCGAGTGAACGTGTTCGTGTCTTGGAAACAGAAGTTCGAAGGAACTTGGAGGAAAGCAGTCGTTACCACTTGAATTTAAGTGCTCTTCGACAACAATTGGATGCTGAAAAGAAACATAATGACCTTTTGAGCTCAGAATATCAACAGCTGGCTAAGGATTTTGATGCTATGAAAGAAAAGTTAAGCGCAAGCGAAGCACGGGTTGCTAAAGCAGCGGACGACAAAGAAAAAATGATTCGGGAAAACGATGGCGTTCATGATGAGTACACTTCGTTAAGCAATGCTTTTGAATGTATGCGAGCTGAAAATGAGCAGCTGAAAGAAAGTTTACTGGAAATGAGAGATCGAGTGGAACGACAGACAAATGTTATTGAAGCATCTGCGTCTGCACTTGACGTATCCAATGAAGCCATTCTTTCTCTAGAACACAAGCTCCAAAACGAGCGCTCTGAGCGACAAAAAGATAGACATGTTGTTTTGGATCTTCAGAAAACTATGCTTGAATTGGAAGATAATTGTTCTGGCCATAGACAACAGATAACTGAACTCGAGGAATTATGTGAGCAACTGAAACAGCAATCTGCTAAGGTCCGAGGTAATACCCAGGCAGAGCTGAAGGAGCTCATCAAAGCCAGTCGTGAATATGATTCCTTGTGGGAGGAAAATAAGCAGCTCTCGCAACAAATCAACGCTCTTCAGTCAAGTTTGAAAACGGCAAGACAAAAGTCGGAAAAATACAAAGTATTAAGTGAGCAGCTTTCGGATGAAAAGGTTAAATTACAAAAGGAAAAAATCATGTCTCCTACATCTTCTTCACCGACAGCAGCAGCTAAAAATGCTGGTGAGTTGCTCCGTCTTTCAGAACTGACCAAATCTTTGCAGCGAAAGCTTTCTGAGGTTCAAATAGAGCTGGCCGACTCGAAGATGAATTATCAATTCGTTCGTGCTAAGCTTCAAGCTATACAAACGATGGGTAAATTTGGAGGCGCTGATAATCCTACTGATTCTGAGGCGTCTGTTGCCAATGATGGTGAACAGGGCGAACAAGCTGAGATAAGTTCAATCGAGAACACGGATTCCGATACACGACCTGGAGATCAGGATCTTATGCATGAACTTAAGGAGAAGTACCGGCAAAGTGCAGCTCTCCTATTCGATTCCCATCGTCAGTACAAAGAAGTTATGCTTCAGCAAAAGAGAAACGAGTCTGATATAAATGCTCTGAAACGATCATTCAAACAATCACTTTTGCTCCACAGTAACGCTTCTACGCATTCATTATCTCCCTCTGTTACTATGGACTTCGAACGTCAGTTGAATGAGACACAGAAGCGCCTTTCCACGACGGAGGAACTAATTAACAAGGCGACTCGAGATTATACCGAACGGATAAAGCAATTGGAAGACGACTACCGAACTGTTCTTTCTTCGGGTGCAGATATTGACAATTAATGGTCTAAATCAAATATCGCTGGATCGCCGATATGAGCCTCTCTGTTCGTCTGGACTTAAAAGTGCTATAGCTCGTCTATTCCCTTTTTTTCGTTTTACTGTGTAATAATTCCCTCTTTTTCACTCTTTTAAAACATTAGAACAAAAATACCTAACCATATCATTTGACTTTTTGGTTCATTTTCAATCTTTAACATAAAAAATATGCGCATTTTTTCCTAAACAAAAAACATATTATCTATCATTTACAATTGCTACAGAATAAATTATACGATTATTCATATTCTACGACAACTCGCGATTGTTTTCTTCTTCCTTTTTATTTGTGAACAGGCTGCCTCAACATTCGAGAATCTAAGCATACTGGGAAATCTTTGAAGTTTTCGGTTAGATAACTTTATCTTTTACTACCACCAAGAATTCTTGGCAAACTGTAGCAAAAAACGAGACGACTCGGCATAAAGACGTTTCACCCTAAAACATAAGTCGAGCGCAGGTTCGCCCGAGACTGTAAAAATGGCACAAGTAAAGGAGGGGAATTTTGTTTTCCCAGGAGACGTAGTTGAGGGTGCGGACACGCTGAATTCTCTCCGTCTGGGACCCGGTTTAGTATATCGTAACAACGGCACTGAAGAAAGAATTTGTGCAACGAGAGCCGGTGTTTTATGTACCGCTCCAAAACATACATTTTATCAGGACTTTCGTCAGAAACGGGTTCGTTCGCTGATTTCAATGTTGTTGACGCTTTTTCTAACATATATTAGTACATTCCATCGTTGAACGATCATGTCGTTGGTCAAATTGTTTCCCGTAATGCGGATGGATATCGAGTAGATATTGGTTCCGCTCATTCTGCTCAATTAAACGGACTTGCATTTGAAAACGTGACTCGCAAAAGCAAACCAAATCTGGCTGTGGGTTCACTTGTGTATGCTCGTGTCTCGCTTGCCGATAAGGATATGGAACCAGAGTTGGAATGTGTTGATGCTACTTCCGGCAAGGCTGCTGGTTTTGGCGAGTTGAAAGGAGGTTACTTGATTCAAAATATTTCACTGTCCCATGTGCGAAGTCTATTGCAATCTTCTAATGTCCTTCTCTCGTCTATTGGCACACATATCCCGTTCGAAATTGCCTTGGGCTTGAATGGTCGGATCTGGGTTAACTCTGGCAGCATTCAAACGACTGTTGCTATTGCAAATGCCATCAAACAGTCCGAGTACAAGTCTCCCGAAGAATGTACAGAGCTTATTCACGCAATATTGAAAACGCTCTAGAGTTAGTGTATGAGTCCTTGTCTTGTCATATCAGCCAGCGCAATTACAAGCTCATTTTACCTTGTCTTCAAAATACATAAGCAACGACTGGAAAAATTTGAGTACAATAATTTTTTCATTAAGTAGTTACGTTAATACCATCAAAAAATTGGCGATCCATAATCATAATCTATTTTGCGAAACCCTTGATAATAGAAGCGACGCCAACAGCACCGGGATCGGGAACGGTGAGCTCATCACCAACATAAACGGCACGACCGAGTTTAGCCTTCATCGTCTTCGTCTTTTCCGTACCCTCCTCAGCAGCCTTGGCAGCCTTGTGGACGTCATGCGACTTTGCGTACTCATCAACGAAGGGAATAAGGGCGTCACACATGGTGCGGTCTCCAACACGAGCAGGCGTGTATCTATACAACGTGTCAAGAGCAATACGGCAAGCAGCCGCCCACACCTCTGTATCAACCTTCTTCAGCTCTTGAACCTTCTCACTCACGCCCTTGGCGAAAGAGTGGAAGAAGATTGCGTAAAGCGCACCAGATGTACCGTCCATGTTGTTCTCAACGACATCAGCGATTTGGCGCGCCATAAGGATGGGATCATCAGTGAATTTGTCAGACTTGACGTACTCCAGCACAGCTTCAGCTCCACGCTTAAGAGTGGTGCCGCAGTCACCATCACCGGCAATAGTGTCGTACTTTGTGATAATGGGCTCCTGCTCAATTAAGGTATTCATGGAGTTAATGATAGCATTGCGAACAGCTTCCTTATTCATGGCCACAGGCGATTTAATAACATCGGTGTTATCCTTGATCTCAACGTCAGAGAGTTTGTTGACCGAGTTTAATGGAGCTGGCTCGGTGTAAGGCCAACCAGTAGCTTGTGTGGGAGCATCCAGCAAATCAACAAGAGACCATTCCTTGCCTTCTAAGTTAAGGCGATCAGTTGCACGCAACAAGGTGATGCTGAAGCCAAGACCGTTCAAGCTTGTAATAAGAGTGCCAGCAAGAATACGGACGGGCTTAATACCGTAGTTGGCTTCCAAAAGCTCCTTGACCTTAGAGGCGATGGCACCAAACTCAAGGACAGAAAGACCGCCCAAGTTGTTCACGAGCAGCACAACCTCGTCCGATTTTTGAATGTTCACATAAGCACGATCCTTGTCATTTTGATCGAGCAACTGTTTCAACATGTCACAAATCAAGTCATCAATTTTGGGAATGGGAGAAATGCGACGGCATCCAGGTTCATTATGGATGCCCATACCAAGCTCCAATTCATTATGTTTGACGCTGTCCTCGTTGTCAGTGTCTTCACGGCCAGGGACATGAACATGAGCAAGAGAAGCGCCAATACTGACCAAGTTGGCGATAGCATGACGAGCAATAGCAGCGACAGTCTGCAAGCCAGCACCGGCCTCAGCAGCAGCACCAGAAACCTTGTGCACAATGACTGTTCCAGCAAGACCGCGACGGCCGACCTTGCCGCCCTTTTCGCGGCCGACAGCGACATCGTCAGCTACAGCAACCATTTCAATATTCTTGCCCGTAGTTTTTTGACGTTCAAGAGCCATACCGAAGTGGAGAATATCGCCCGTGTAATTCTTGCAAATAACGAGCGTACCGGCGTCAGACTTGACTTGTTCTATACCAGTGTAGACTTGCTTTGAGGATGGAGAGGCGAAAATAGATCCAGAAACGGCAGCTGTCAGCATACCTTTACCGACAAAAGCTGCATGTGTAGGCTCGTGTCCTGCACCTCCGCCGGAAATAATGGTTACCTTCTTCTTGTCGTAGTCATGGTAGTAGACAATTTTCTCGTGTTCATTTACGGAAAGCGTGTGGTTAACGGCAGTCAATGACTTAAGAGACTCGACGACAAGTTCCTCCGGGTTGTTAATAAAATGTTTGTCCATTATTGATTGTGATTCCAATAAAACTCTTCTTCACAATGACAGAAACAAAAAACAAATAAAAGAACGACTGTGTTGAAAAAGCTGTTACTGTAAACGTTAGTATATGACGGTACTTCGCTACGTACAAACTTTGTTGAGGTGTATGGTAGTTGGTAAGTTCAATGTATGAACACTCCTGGATATTAAACACGAGTTATATGTCAAATCAACCGCGGCGTCACGTTTACATCACATGAAACGTGCAAACGGAGTTAGTAATGGGTGAACCGATCCCTGTTTGAGGCTATTAGCGACGACTTATTTGGGATGGGGTAAAAGGTGCTACTGTCTCACAAGAAGAGGGGAATTCAACAACAAAGATCGAGCCTCAGTGTTGGGGCAGTGAATAGATGAGTATGGATATTTTAGCATTATTAAGATATGAATTTAGTTTAGTATCAATATGGGAGATATTTTGTATACGAAAAAAAGGGAAAACAGAAAGGACACTCGCTCCTTAAACTCTCGGGATAGCAGCGATGGTATGAGTACAATCAAAACGGTGCCAAAACGCTAAAGTTGCAGTAAGAGATACTGCACGAAGCGGGATAGTGGCTTGGAAACGAAGGTGAATAGTGAACGGACAGGTGCATGAGAAGAAACTCATAAGACAACTTGAAGGCTGTCGGCTCCTGAGAGAGATATAAAGGTCCCCGTCAAAACATACACACCCACTTCACTGACGTTACTGTCGGGTCATTTTCCCTTGGTTATTTTTTGTGAAAAGTGGGACATACAAGTTCGGCTCTAACCCTTTTTATTCATCCTTCTTCACCTCTGGGTATTTGGGACCCATAGTAAGGCAGCGAATGTTGAACTCTTCGGTAATCATAGCAATAACATGTGCGACGAAGTTTCCATATACACCGATGCTAAATCCCAAGTAGGCGAAAAGGTACTCGGTCATGTAAGGAGTGAAAATATTGAACGTGAGAGAATCAGCAGCCAACACAACAAAAGGGAGCATCAAAACGTTCCAATAAGGGAAGCGAGCTTCGGTGACATGAGCCAAAATAACCAGGCCCACGGTGTAGGCAAAAATGAAGGCGTTCAAAATGTAGATAATGAGGAAATGTTGATCAAAAAAGCTGCGGTACTTGATAAAAAGGAGTCCGACTGCCATCCATTGAACCAAATAGGGCAAAAGGCCAAGAAGAATCTTGAATGCACGGCAACAGCAACCCTTCACTGTAGCCAAAGCGTTCGCAATACTAGCAACAACGTTCAACACGAGACCAGTACCCAAGAAAGCAACAAGACAATCGCCATAGGAGAATGTAGGCTTGTAGATCAAAACCAAGTTGCCAAAAAAGTCGGGCATCGCGTGCTGACGGGTCCAGAATTCAACACCCTTGGCGCCGGTAACGGTAAAAATAGCGACAACAATAAGAATTCCTTCGACAGGGCCAGAAACGTAAGAGAGATATAACGTTCCCGTATGGAACTCTTCCCAGGTTGAAGCATAGAAATAAAACAGGCAACCAAATTGGGCAACAACACACAAGTTCAGGCTAGATTTCATGCAGTGGAGAAAAAGCAAAGCTTCCAGACTAGTGTTGATGGCGTCAACACCGTGGTCGAACAATTGTCCCAAGGGAGAAGAAGTTCCTGTGCGACGAGCTTGAGAACCATCAATTGCATCAAAACTTTGGTATAAAAACAAACCAACAGCCCACGTATAGTATACCCAGCGTGGAATTTCGACACCCCAAACGTATTTGTACAACACAAGAGTTGCGACATTGATGAGTACGAAACCGAGACCAGTCAAAGTAATCAAGTTTGGACTAAAAACCGTAGGTATTTGTTAGTAAGGTGTGATAAATTGAGGGACTCGAGAAGGCCCATTTAAGCAAGGATTCTGTATTCTAACTTATATTTACGTACGCCATGTTTAGCGGAATGACTTTAAGCAATTGATTCCACCAATATGGCTTCAGCACATATCTGGACATGAGCGACTGGTCAATGCCGCTGTATCTATAATTCCTCAAGTTTTTAAGCTGAGTTCTCGTGAGCTGCATGGTCGTGGTGATGTGTGGAGGACAGAGAGTTCCACGGTTGCGCGGCCTATTAAGAAGCGTAGAGAAATTGGTGCCAACAATTGATATGGGTAAGAGACGAAACAGTAGGTGTGGACGTTACAGAGTAAATTTAATCGCTTATGGTAAAACAGTTAGTTAATGCTCCTTTCCTTTTTTCTTGATTTTTTTTTATTTTTTTTTATTTTTAATTTATTACTACGAGAGTGTTGAAATAAGGCTGGATATGAAATACCGAGTTTAGTTTTTTAATTATATACTATAGCTTAATCTCTAATTTCTAATCTCTAATTTCTAGTCGTATGAACTTTTATATTTTATGTTCTTCTTTCAATGTGTATTTATACGAACGAGAACCATGCAAAACAAACAATCAAGTACTTGAAGTTTGGTGACACTAACGATTGATACTACAGAGCCTATAGTAATAACAATGATAATCTCAAATCTTGTCTAAAACTGAGACCAAACTTCAGAGTCTGCACATGGTAAAACATGGTATTCTAAAAAAATAAACAAGAAAAAAAAATTTGCATATCTCTATATATAATAGCCTTAGCTCAACTCGTAGCTCCAAACCTGCTACCCATATCATTTTTTCTTCTTCTCTTCTCCTTTTCACATGTGGCTGCCTTTTACCACTTCACACCTACCTCGAGGATTACTTCTGCTTTAAGCAGAATATAATTTGTCATTTATCTGTAAACCAACTACGTTTCAAAGAATAGTATTACGTGCTGAATGAACTCTGCTGCAAATTCGGGAACGGAAACTCCACTTTCATCAGCCAATGGCTCTGAAACGGGGAGTGGAATTCTTGGAGTTCCTGTAGGAATTATTCTTCCTCCTCCTGAAATACGAGGTATGTTTACGTGTTTATGTACTCCTGAGACAATCTGCTGACCAAACATAGACATTATTGAAAAATCAGCTGCGTATGTCGCGAGAAATGGCAGCGCGTTCGAAGAAAAAATTCGTCAGAACGAACGATCCAACCCAAAATTTGCTTTCCTCGATCATCAGGATCCTTACTTTCGATACTACCAGCACCGGCTTGACGAAGTAAGAAAGGGAAACGTCCAAAAGTCTATCAAGACTGCTTCAACTACTGGAACAAACCTTGCGCGACCCATTGTAAAACCCGTTTCAGCAGCACCACCCGCTCCAGCACCATATCTGTTTTCTGACCCTCTTCCATCCATCTCTGCTCAAGATCTGTAAGTATTGGATGTTTCACCAAACACTCATTTTCTAACCGACAACAGGGACGTTCTAAAACTAACCGCACGGTATGCTGCCGTCCGCGGAACTTCATTTTTGTCTACCATTTCACAGCGTGAGTGGAGAAATAATCAATTCGATTTCCTGCGGCCGAACCATGCATTATACGGTTATTTCACTCGGCTTGTACAACAATATACAAATCTGATTACCAGGAATGTTCCCTCGGAAAAAATTCTCCAGCGCAATGTTGAAGACCGCTGGAGCTTATTGACACGGTTACAACCTCGAATTCGCTGGCAGGAATACCAGGAAACTGAGAAACGCAAAAAGAAGGAAAAAGAAGAGAGGGAAAAGAGTATGTGCAAAATTACCCGTTACCTATTAGTTTCTGATGTAACTAACATTGTCAGTTGAATATGCCCAGATTGACTGGAACGATTTCGTTGTGGTTGAGGTAATTGAATTTAGTCAAGCCGATCAAACAGCTCCCCTCGCTCTTCCGACGAACTTGTCTGATCTTCAGACAGCAACTCTCGAACAGAAATCTGCAATGTTTACTATGCCTGATCAAAACTATACAATTGAAGAAGCACCACCCACTGCAGCTCCTTGGGAACCCGTTTCTGCACCTAAAAAAGCACAGGTCGGTGTTCAATTACCGGCAGAGTACATGAAATCGACTACTCCTTCTCAAACAGAGCAGCGATCTGTTCCCCAACAACACATTCCTTCTGTGACAGTGGCTCCTACTTCAGCGCCGCAAGCACCACGACATTTACCGAGAGGTACGGCTTTTGTATTTTCACTCTCGTTTTTTTTTTTACTAACATCGCTAGCTTTCCAACGTGCTGTTCCTATGGAGAAATGTCCTATATGTGGAGACATGGTTCCCGCTACGGAATTACAAGAGCACATCCGTATCCAATTACTTGATCCCCATTGGCGTGAGCAGCGGAAGGTTGCAGAGTCACGTAAATCAACTCTGGACTTAAGCAAGGTAGATGTTGCAGCCAACATGAAACGTCTTGTGAGTCAACGTACTGACATATTTGATGTACATAATGGTGTTCAAGTGTCGGAAGAGGAACGTGAACGGAGGAAACGTGCCGCTACCCAAAGCTCCTGGGGTGCTCCATCCGATAAAAGGCGTTGACTCGTTTTACCCAAAAGCGGCTTACTCTTAGACTAAAAAAGGAATTCACATATAGAGCAATTCGTTTGCTTGAGTAAATTAATGAGCTTAGTATGTGATATCCACCTCCCTTTGATGACATACATTTAGTTATTACTCGGTTTTGACATGGCCGAGCGCATTTCTCTCATTTTAATTTTTCCAATAAACTGTCTTAGAATTTTCTTGATTATATTCTGTGATGAAACAATTAGTTTTACTACTTCATGTGTCAATCAATCACTTTTGTTTTCCTCGTGCTTGTGTTTTCGCGTATCAATAACTTTTTGCTCATTTCTCTCCTATTCGTAATCTTAGCGTATCAATCTCTTTTTGATTTCACTTATCTCATAATTTGATTTGCATTCTCCTTCCACTCTTTTGAGAATATTATCTACCAATTTATCGCTTCCGTTTCATCCAACAACCACGACTTGACGAAAACAGTAATCATGAACGTTCTTAGGACAAGTCGTTCCCTATTTCTAAGATCTTTCCGGCCTTCAATTTTCTCTATACGGAACTTTTCAAAGGCTGCTTTGCCTAACGATGTTGCTTTTGCATTTGAGTATGTAGTTAAGGAAATCAATGCTTTCCCTTTCTCGATAACTTCTAACTTAGTTTAGTATTGATGGCGTCCTAATTCGTGGAGGACGTGCTATTAAGGAAGGAACGAGGGCGTATGTTTAAGCGAATTCTCATTCTACCGAAATGTTAACGCTTCATATAACTTAGTCTTCAATTCCTTAAAGACAACAAGATTCCTTTCATTCTTTTGACAAATGGCGGAGGTGTCCACGAATCTGTTAGAGCTAAACTGTTATCCACGACAATGCAAGTTGATTTGAAAGAGAAGCAATTCTGTCAATCTCACACACCTTTCCGAACATTGACGAACAAATATAAGAATGTTCTTGTCATGGGCGGATTTGGAAACAAAGTCCGTGAAACTGCAGAAGCTTATGGTTTTGAAAAAGTTATCACGGATGTTGATGTTTTGGCAAAGCGTGGAATTCCGTTTTGGCCCTTTACTTATTTGACTGAAAAGGATCTTGTTAGTGCACAAGACTTCGATGACACTCGTCCTATTGATGCTGTTTTCACTTATGTTGACCCTGTTAATTTCGGCTTGGACTTACAGCTATTGATGGAATTAGCATGTTCTAAGAATGGAGTTCTTGGAACTCAATCGCCCACAATGACTGAAGGTCCAGACATTTATTTCTCAAAGTATGTTGCTAAAGATAATGGTGCTTGCAGTACACTTCATGTGTATCGATTACTTATACCCGTGTATATACTAACCTTACAGTGCTGATTTGATCTGGCCCAATGAATATAACGTGCCACGCCTTGGTCAAGGCGCATTTGGTATTTGCTGTGAAAATGTTTACCGTGCGTTATCCGGTAAAGCTCTGAAATGCACCTACTATGGCAAGCCTCACAGTGTTACCTACAAATATGCTACTAATGTGCTTAATGATTTCCGTCGCGAGATGAACGCTACCACCCCATTGCGGGAAATATTTATGGTAGGCGACAACCCTGCCAGTGACATCCGGGGAGCAAACAGCTTTGGATGGACCAGCATTCTTGTCCGCACTGGCGTGTTTCAAGGAAAGGAGAACAGTGAACAGTATCCCGCTAAACATGTGTCTGCGAACGTTTGGGAGGCTGTTCAGTGGGCGCTGACCCATACCCATAAAGGAACTGTCAATGACTCGTCCGCAAATGGTAGGATTAGTGGCCGACGTGCTTTTCACTCCTCGTCGATTTCACGGCTACAGGACGAGCGCGTTGAAAATGGCGTTGTGCTACGTGAGAGTCTTCTAACAATTCCAAATATGCTGACCGTATCAAGAATAATTGCTGCACCGGCAATCGCCTACTTGTGCTTTAAAGATCTCTACCTCCCTGCTTCCGTTCTGTTCGCTTACGCTGGTTTGACAGATCTTGCAGATGGATATATTGCTCGTCGGTTTAACCAGAAAAGCGTAGCCGGGACAATTTTGGATCCTTTGGCAGATAAGACCCTAATGACATGCATGGTTGTCTGTTTAGCTGCAAAGCAGGCATTGCCAAGTACGAAAAATCAAACACACATGACTCTTTGCTGACAAATCATAGTGCCACTAGCCATTCTGTTTATTGGAAGAGACCTCGCTCTCATTTCTGCGGCTTTTGTTTTACGCCTTGCGTACTTTCCCAAACCACTGACTATGAGACGCTTTTTTGATATGGGTATTCCCGTTACTGAAATGCATCCTACCCGTTTAAGCAAGGTATGACAGTTGAGACATCCATTTTATGTTCAGCTATTGGTACCAAGTGTACACAATGCCTATAATTTTTCCTATATGCTTCTAACCTCTTAGTGGAATACGGCACTTCAGCTTTTGTTGCTCGGACTGTTGACAGTAGAGCCTCTCATCGACCTTGACATTGACGGCTTGAAGGTTGCCCTTATGTATGCACAATTTTTACTTCTTATTATTTTATCTAACAAACATGGAACTAGGTATATCACTGCAATTACCACAGCCTCTAGTGGCTTGTCGTATGTATTCTCGAAAAAAGCGGTTAAAATCCTTACCAAAAAAGGAAGTAAAGCATTGTAGATGATCTTTTTGTTGTAATGAATGAATACCCGGTTATTATATTTTCAGAGAGAGTTATGTTTTCGCAACTTGAGCGTAATTAACTTCATAATCCAAAAGGCACAAAAATTTAGAATACATATGCGGAACTGTAGTTGCTAGATACCAGGCAGAACGCTATCCTTAACGTTCTTGTCATCACTTCTGTTATATGTCTTTCTACTTCTACAGCTGCCTAGCTCAGTGCCCCACTTATCCCACTTTGCTTTGGGGATGACAACACCAAAGCCCTATGGAATACTTCGCTGTAACCCATACCAACTGGTTTGCTGTGTACGTTTTCAATGTGTGTTTTGGTTGATATTTGAGTATAACTAACTAGGTATTGTTTGTAGAACGTGGAAGTATGGCACCAAAAAACAAAAGGGGTGCGTCCTCGAAGAAGAACAAAAATGAGCCTCTGTACACTCCCAAAGTTGTTAAGAATGAAGGGAAGAAGGATGTTTCAGACATTGTTCTTGTTCTCGGACTTACAGTGATCTCTTTTTTCATTCGTTTCTATCGATTTTTGAATCCTACCAAGGTTGTTTTCGAGGAATTAAACTTTGTTCGACTTGCTCTTGGCTATGCCAAGAAGTCTTTTGTTATGGATGTGTATCCTCCACTTGCTAAGATTATTTTTGGTCTGGTTGCTGCGTTTACCGGATTTAATGGCAGCTTAGAATCATTGGAGGCTACTGGTGCTGAGTACGGCGACAACATTCCTATTGGTTCCATGCGCTTGTGCTCTGTTGTGTTTGGATCTTTGCTCGTTCCCCTTGCTTACTTTACTGTTCGAAACACAACGAAATCGAAGGCCGCTTCCCTTCTTGCTGCCTCGTTTGTTGCCTATGACAATGGTCTCATTAGCATGAGTCGTTATGTTATGATTGAAATGCCCGCCCTGTTTTTCATTGCAGCTACTACTTTCGCTTGGACTGCATTTGAGCACTGCAAGTCTCGCCCATTGGGCCTTCAATGGAATATCCGCTTGCTTTCTGTCGGTGTTTTGCTTGGTCTCGCTGTCAGTACCAAGCTGTCCGGCGTGTTCACAATGGTCTGGCTGTTGTGCCTTGCCCTTTTCCATCTGTGGGGTCTGCTCGGTGACATCAATACCACCACCTGTCAAATTATTCGTTACGCTGTACATTATGCTTTCGGTTTAATTGTTACTCCCCTGCTCATTTACCTTGCTGTTTTCGCGGTTCACTTTAAGATTTTGACTCGTAGTGGTCCCGGTCAACAGGTCGTGAGCCAAGAGCTCAAGTACTCTTTGGACGGTAATGACTTTGAAGAGCAAATCGCCGAGGTTGCCTACGGCAGCATTGTTTCCATTCGCAATCTCAACCATGAGCGTGGATATCTCCATTCTCACCGTCTCGACTACCCTGCTGGAAGCAAGCAACAACAAATTACCCTTGTACCCGAACAAGACTACAACACTCTTTGGGTTATCGAGCGAGAGACGCCCCTCGAAAACGATACCGGTGTTCCTGAGCTGCTTAAGGATCGTAGCGTCGTTCGTCTTCGTCACCTTGCTACCGGCAGATGCTTGCATTCTCACGAACACAAGCCCTCCGTTAGCGATGTGGACTGGCAAAAGGAAGCCAGTGCCTATGGATTCCCCGGTTTCGCTGGTGACAACAATGATCTTTTCCGCATTGAGATCATTCCCGAGAAGTCCAACAACAAATCTACCGATGTCGTTGAGGCATTGAACACTCGTTTCCAACTCGTACACGTCTGGAGTGGCTGCCAATTGTTCTCTACCCGTTATCACTTGCCCAAGTGGGGTGAAAACCAACGCGAGGTTACTTGTTGTACTTACTGCAACAAACGTAATACGGTTTGGTACGTTGAGAAAAATATTGATGATAAGCGTGCGCCTACTGCGCGCAAGATTGGTTTCAACAAGCCTAATTTCTGGCAAAAGTTTGTCGAAGTGAACAAGCTTATGTGGGGCAAGGATCGCGAATTGGGTGATGGTCATCCTTTCGAGAGCCATGCCTTGAGTTGGCCCTTTTTGATGCGACCCCTTCGCTTTTTGGTTGACGAGCATACCCAAGTTTACTTCATGGGTAACCCTGTTGTTTGGTATGCCGTCATCACTTTTGTGCTTTTCTTTGCTGTCGTCCAAGTTTTGCTTTTGCTCAACTACCAGCTCGGTTATCAAGAATTGCCACGCATCGCTTTCTTCTACGAGTGGAACATGGGTAAGTTTGTTCTGGGTTGGTTGATTCATCTTTTCCCTTACATTCTCGAAAACGACCGCGTTTTCATCTATCATTACTTGCCATCCCTCTACTTTGGTATCATTGCCTTGGCAAACGGCTGGTCGTTTGTCGAAACTGAAGTTGTTAAGAGACGTTCTCTTATGTACGCACTTACCATTGGATTGATCTTGAGCGCAATTACTGTCTATCGTTTGTATGCCCCCTTTACCTACATGCAACCCATAAACAAGCAGACTTGTGGTAAGCTTGAACTTGCTGGTACATGGGACTTCAACTGCAACACATACCTGGATGAGCCCGGTATGTACCAATCCGATGCCATTCATGACACGCCCGCCAACTATGCCAAGGCCGCTCCTATGGCCTTCCACTTTGACACTCTTAAAAACGCGAACCTTGATGACCCTGCTCGCTATAACTTCAAATTCGATATCTTTTTCGAAAATGAGGAAGATCCAGTCGCCAAGGCTCAACAACAGCAGGAGGAGCTTCTGAAGGCTCTGTAAACAATGCGTAACAGGAACTAGCATGAAACTACTAGAACGACAATCATCCTGCTTTCATTCTTTTTGGCACGAATTTCGCACCTTTTGAACTCTCGTCCATTTTCTTCCCAGCAAAATCTAATACACGCTGCCTACATCAATTCATGAAGCTAGCGATTGAATACTAGCTGATTTCTTATGCGACGTGATTTGATTGGATTCACACGTGTCTAATTTATTACGCTCTCAGTCCCTTTCGCGCAGGGTTGGCTAGCATTACAACGATGGCTTTTCCAGCCCTGAAAAGTGCTGAGATAGAGAGTGTGTGTATGCGTGTGTAGTATAACGACTTACATACAACTCTGTAACTAGTTCACTGTGTCCTAATCATTTGTAACAGACGTTAATATTATGATATATGCCTCCAGTGTGAACTGCTTAAATAGCGTGAGACACTAAAAGCTGCCAATGGCCGTATTTTGTCTAGAGTAACAAGACTAGCGCTACTGGTCCCGTACAAGATAAAATGTACTGGTCCGCAAATTCCGAAGTTGACTTGTTTGTGTTTGTTTACACGCGAATAAGGCTCAGGGTCCACTTTTTCCTATCTAAAGCACGATTAGATTTGTTAGTTTACTGGAGAGAACCTTAAACTTCGCATCCACCACGTTTACCTTCTGCACCTACCGTCAACGAGTTGACAGTTTCGGTGATACCAAAACGGCGTCATACGTATCGACAGTTGTCCCATTCTACCGATAATTTACAGCGTTATTCTTTACGTTCTGTGTAGAATTGATGTCATTTGGAGAGAGTCCCAAATGATTGCAGTATATGGCCGGACAATTAAATTTTGATAAAACACCCTCGCAGGAACATGACGAAGGTACGATCCCATCAATAACACTTTTCGTTGTATTGAACGCCCTTCTAATAGCCAGAACTGAATTCGACTCATCAATCCTGCTGGTCTGCATCAAATGATACCCCGATTTCTGCTGGATGGGTGACAACTCTTCTAAAACAGTGTGAACACTGGTGGACAGCCTTGCATGAGTTTTGGAAAAACTGTCTTGTCCATAACCTGCGTGTATGTTGTTGCTCAAGCATTTTTAATTAACTTTTGAGGTTTTTTATACTGTTTGTTGAGAATGGATAACGAACCTACCCTTGTCTTCTCAGTGCCTTACTAACTCGAACAGTCATTTTTCCACCCGGCAATTCCTCCATCAGAAACTGTCCAGTTTCTTGATAATTTTGAGTACATTGTCCACACGTCCCAGTTGCTTGTCGGAGAGCATGGTTTGAAAACAAGATTCATTAATAAAGGACGCCCCTCAGGCGATAATGTTCCTCCTAATGTAAAAAGTTTTGGCCAAAGAGCTTTTTCGCAGACAAGGAAAGAAATAATTACATACGGAGTTATCTGTCTGCTTGTTTTCTACTGTTTACACTTTCATCCAACCTTTCTTACTCGTTTTCTCCCTTCATTCGCCCGGAAACTCATTATCCTTTGCACCCTCGGAAATAGCGTACTTGTTTCTGGAAGTCGCTGGTGTGTCAGACGTTCGCGTGGTCAAGCTTTGCTGAATTTGCATCGACTGGTTGATTCTATTCAAGATTTGGAGTATGTGGTGAATAAAGCTTATTCATCTATCTATACAAAAGAATTACACATATACTTCAAGTCGCCGCGTTCTGAAGTCCCATCCCCGGCGTATGAGAAACGCCATCACACTTCTTATGTCGCATTTTCAGATGTCACGCTACATCAGCTGTCCTGTTTAAAGCAAGCTTATCATTCAGCACTGAAAAAACTACATCCTCTTACTTCACCAGCATTGGAGCAATTGCTTTCCCTGTATCGTCTGCCTTCAAGTGAGCCTGATGCCGAAGAATCTAACTCCTCCTTTAGCTCACCAGTGACGCAGACTCGAGTTCGCCATGTTGCATCATTAAGCAGCGCTTTTGACGGAAGTTCGAGTGAGGAGGAAGCTGCTACTGAAGTACTACTCCGACTTCGGGCTCAGTTTCGTGATTTGGTCGTACTGTGCAAGCAGTTACTTTGCAACATGCTCTCAATTCAATTGAATGGATCGCTACAAGAGGTGCTTGTCTGGGAGAGTGTTTTTCAAGCACTTGCCCGGCTTTCAAGATCTCTTCGTACAACGGTGGGAACGATTCAACATTCAGCGTACGTTAGTGATTATGTTGCTCCGCAAATGGAAGTTACTGAGTCAGACTCAACCACTGCGCGTCGTCGGAGTCTTTGTTTTCAACAAAATCGAGATTTATACTCGTTCACAAATTCTGTTCAACGTGTAGAATTAATTATGTCTTTTATTCTCGAGGGATTCTCACATTTGTTGGAAGAAAAGACAGATTTCCGAACACAAACTCATGCTATTGCTACCTTTGAGGAAATGGGTGAGAAATTGAAGAAACTACAAACTCAATGGGAGTCTTATCGTTCCGTGATGAATTCACTCCAAGCAACGCAAAATCAACTTCGAGTAAAACGTTATTCCCGTATGACCGACGATTCTTATATTGCTTCAGAAGATGAAGGTCTTGCGGAGGATGCTTTTATCTTTGACTCCAAGCGTTTTGGCTCTTTGCCTTCCTCGTGTTCAAAAGATGGAGTGGATGACAGCTCAGCAAGTGAAGACATGTTTATCGCAGCTGAATCGAAACCATTTGTCGGGCATATTGAAACGGTGACCAAGGCGGCGGTTGATGTTGTTCAAGACGATTTAAGTCCGTGTGTCGGGGATCGAAAGAGTACTGCTCTTGATGTTGATAGTTCTCCGGCGCATCAACGTCGGAAATCTCAGTCGTTTGCGATGAATACTTTTACAGTAGTGGATGAATTAAAAAGTGTCTTACCGCAGCGCAAACAGGCGGATAAGACTCATCTCCTTTGTTAATGGCCCTTTTTTCTTTTCTAATATGTATAACTATTAAACTAGACTGAAAAAATATGAAAACTTAATGAAGTTTAGATTGAATGTAAAACATCAAAAAACGCAATGCTCAGCTTGTTTTATATATTAGTCTATTTTACTACAATTATGGTAATGTTTATGTCTCCGAAATAAGATTGGTACCTCTATCTTTCTTAGCATTTCATGTAAACAGACCGTACACCGGCACCTTTGTCCAGAGCAAAAAGCCATTACGTCTGTGAGTTGCACGAGAACTCATTATTTTAGATCATAAAGTCATGTTAGAGCTTCATGCAACCAAAATAGATGACAAGTTTTATGAACAGCAAGCTGATTTTGACGAAACGGATCGACTTGAAGTTGAAGGTACCAAAGTTTCATATTTAAAAAAAGGCCGGGAGTATTGGAATTTCGACTTTTCAGTTGAGCACCAAGCTATTCATGCTACTATTCTTTGCGAGTTTGAACCTGGTACAAAGTCAATTGTCGTTTTACTCGAGGACATTGGTTATGTTTTTAATTTAACCGAAAATTCTAGCGACTATTTCATTGTAAATGTACCTTTCACGGTGAAAAGTGTTTGGAATTCTCCATATGGCGTTCTTTTAGAGCGATGTCTGGCAAAAAGTGAAGATACAGAAAATCCAATGCCTCACATTTTCTGTCTTACAGGCCCGTTGGAAGAACTTAGTTTGGTCGCAACAGAAGGAAAACATAAATTAAAACTTTGTGACAGCATTGTGTACAACACCGAGAACATTGTTGTCACATATAGCGAACGGGATAAACGACTTTCATTCTGGGGATGTTCAGCTGCTGAACAAAATGACCATCAGCTGTCTTCCAAACTAGATAAAAAAAAGCAAGCTGCTAGCGGATTGCTCACGGGAAATGACCGGTGTGATTCATGCTTTTACGGAGTTAATGGCAATAGCAACTTTCTGAACAAACTGGATGACCAAAGCCTGCGGACATCGGTGCTCTTTACTCATCTTGAATCCTTTCCTTTGGCGGGAGCCAAGCATTTTAACTCAATAACAGTAAATGGCGTCCTCGTCGTAACAGTTATGACTCCCTCAACTAAAAAGGGGATATATGATTTTATTTCGTCTGCAGAAGGGCAAGTTGCCCCATTTTTCTTGGATATTGTTCAAATGAACGCGATTAAAATCACTGTCGTTGAGACAAAGCATCTTCGAAAGGGTTGCTGTGCTGTCTGCTAATGGAAAAGTAAGCCTAGAATCTCCCATGTCACCGTCATTGACCATTGCCGGTACATATGTCGCTATGCGTGTTGCAGGTCGTAGTCTGTTACTTACGACTGAGAAAAATGAAGAACGGTACTTGAGTATTGATATTGTATCGTCAAGCACATTGGTCCAGTGGTGTCTAGCTACTATGAGAAGAATTCTTCCTGTCAAGGCTTACGAAATTATTTATACGGGTTTTGTTTATTTGCTACTGAAGCATGAAATGAATGAATCTGAAGCGTTAGACTGTTCATTTCTTTCGTGTTTTTTAACTTTTGCCAGCGTTACCAAGACTGACAGTGAGTCTTTGGAAGATTGCCTCTTTGGTCATATTAGTTTTAGCAAGCTAATCTCACTTTCGTTACAGCTGAAAAACCTACAAGACTATACCCCTTTAAATAATTACCTGGGCCACATTCTTATATGCTTACACTTTGTTTGCGAAGAGATGCGACTTAATTCTACTCTCAGATTGCAAAAGGAACATCTAGCCGAACTGCTTTATCAGTTAGCAAAATGGGTAAAATGGCAATCTTATGTACAATATTATTCAGCCGACGTTACTCAACCGAACCCCGGCTACAACGTAAGCATGAACATTTCAATTGATGAACCTCCTGTAATTCCTTCTATTATGCAATGGCTTTTAACGACTCTACTATCCCAAAAAATCCAACCCTTTCATGGCCCTCAGTACTTTGAACTCTCGCCTAAAACGATGAACTTATTTCCATTGATGCGTTCTGTACTAAGCTTCTGGGACTCCCTTTTGAACCCTGATATTTCGATAACACTTTTGGTCGAAGAAATGGTGCAACTTGGTTTGCAACGGAAGATCATAAATCGTTTCCCGGAAGGTTTGTCTGCCATATTTCAAACAATCCTTTCCATTGCAGCCGAAAATTGTCCTTCTTCTTGGGAGTCTGAAGAGCTTAAGCTTGTTAATCGGCTGGATATCGATAGTTTTCTAAATGGAGAACCTACGCCAATAAACTCTCAAAATGCTGAGCAAGAAACCAAAGAAGAGATTAGAAACATCACAACAAATGTTATTGATCCAAGTTTAGTTGACTCTGATGTCAGAAGTGCAGAGTCCGATTTTTCAGCATTGCTGTTTAGAAACGATAAGCGTATGCAGGAAGTGGAAAAGCTACTATCTTTTACTCGGCAAGTTACAGTTTCTCTTGAATCGTTCAATGTTGGCGGAAGAGATGTTGTTACACGTCAGCAAAATGTCGTTCAAAGCATTGTTATTCGTACTATTTCTATTCCAATTGGAGCTGGAATGATGCGTTTTGGCTCAAGAGACCCTCTCCCTACTGAAGTAATGGTTCCTCAACCGTTCGAATACTCTGTCCGGTTTACACCTTCAAAGACAATAATTCAGCCTGAGAAGGAGTTTTTCAGTAAGAATATTACAGAATGGGCTGAATTTCATGCGGGTGTGGCACTTGGGCTTTCTGTTTGTAAAGATTCTCAGGAAGTGAATACAAGCTGGATCATGTTCAATAGACCAGACACATTAACAACATACCATGCTGGTTTCTTACTTGGACTTGGACTGAATGGCCATCTTAAGTCGCTGGCGACATGGCATTCGTTCGTATATCTAACGAGTAAGCACACGCTGACCAGTATTGGTCTATTACTTGGACTTTCCGCATCGTACATGGGAACGATGGATGCTAAAATTACAAAACTGCTCAGTGTGCATATACTGGCTTTGTTGCCTGTGGACGCCAACGAGCTAAATCTGTCGCCATTGACGCAAACTGCTGGGTTGCTTGGCATCGGTTTGCTGTATTACGGTACTTGTCACCGACGCATGTCGGAAGTCACGCTTAATGAAGTTTTATGTTCTACGAAAAACAATGATTACCATAACGAAGGTTACAAACTTGCTGCTGGATTTGCTCTTGGCCTAATCAACCTGGGAAAAGGTGCTAACCTTCCTGGAATGGCTGATTTGCAGTTAGCTGAAAAGCTGCATCACCGGTTAACGAGGGAATATCCGAATGAAAATCTCGAGACAAGTTCTCCAGGCGCAATTATGGCACTCACATTATTATACCTTAAAACGAATGATCGAGTGATTGCGAAGAAAATTGATATTCCAAAATCAAAATATCTGTTAGGATTCTACCGTCCTGACCTTTTGATGCTTAGAATTACGGGAAAAAACCTAATTCTATGGGATGAGGTTCGAGCTGACTATGAATGGGTGAAGAGCCAAATTCCTGATATCATGCTTCCCCAATTTGACCTTAAAGAAAAAACCATTCTTTCATCGGAGGACTTAATGCTGTATAATGTTATTGCTGGAATATGCTTCTCGCTCGGTATTCGGTTTGCCGGTACTGGAAATACAATGGCACGGGATATCTTGCTCAATTTCTTCGACAGCTTTTTACGTTTATGTGGCATACCAGCGAAGACACACGACGAGAGAGTCACTTATGTGACTATGATTCGTTGTACGGCTGTTGCTGCAATTTCATGTGCATGTGTCATGGCGGGTTTTGGTGATTTAGCTCTTCTTCAACGATGCGATACATGCACGGGAGAATTGAAGTGAGAAACTATGGTTTCCAGATGGCAGTACACATGGCCATCGGACTTTTATCTCTTGGTAAAGGAACATGCTCCCTTTCCGAGACAACCTGTCTATTGCCGCGTTACTCATATCTCTGTATCCTCATTTCCCAACACATCCTCTTGAAAACCATATGCATTTACAAGCATTTCGAAATCTTTGGGTCCTTGCTGTGGAACGTCGTTGCCTAATTCCCGTCAATCGTGAAAACGGTTCTCCCTGTGTCGTTCCATTTAAGCTAGTTACCGTTCATCAACAAGTACAAAAGGTGGAAGCTCCTGTTCTGCTACCTCCATTCGAGGAGTTGCACAGCCTGGAAAGTTTAAGTGACAAGTACTGGAAGTTTAAAGTCGATTTTTCAAAAAAGCGAAATGTTGAGCAAATGAAGCGTTCACAAGTAATTGCGCTCGTTCCATTTACACAGTCCATTACAGAGCAAGGAACACTTGTTTTGGAAACCAAACAAGACGAGGCAAACGAGTATCTTCAAGAACTTCTTATTGATAGTCTCGCCTTCAAGGAAAACAAATCCATCCTCAGTGACGTTGTTAACGCCTCTACGGGAATGAGCCAGCGACACGCATTACAACTTTCATTGCAACCTTCCTACGACGAAGATGATCGCGATCAACTTGTCAGCATCAGAATCCTTATCCAATTCTTTGAGGCATGCTGGACCGGAGTTTTGGCAAACAAAATGAATGGTCGGCAGTTCTCTTTCCTGTCTCAAGAATTTGCCGAACAGCTCAATATCCAGCTGTGGCAACCCTTCCTAAACGACGATGAAAGCTCGATTGTATCTCATTAACTTACTCCGCACAACTCACCAATTTCCCCTCCTCCATCCGGAACGCGACCCACTTGCTCATCAACATTCTTATTCGTACTTGCATTTATGTTGTCAGTGACATCACGAAAATAAAGTTTCTCGGTAGATTTAAGGTGACTGCTATAAGCCAATTGACTTTGTCTGGTGTACTTGCCGACCCCTCTGCGAATATGACGACATGTGATTGCCGAAATTTTCTGAATTCCATTGTTTCAGGTCGCTAAATTCGTTAAAAAATCAGAGAGATAGTCAGAACAGTTTTAATACACATATTATTTATTTTTTTTAGTTTTTATTAATTACTGTTTTCTGTCTTACTTTCTTGAAGTTTTCTCTTGGAGACGAAAATCCTGCTGCATGTATGACGTTTGAGAACCGGAGAGCGGGGTTCCTAGAGACGTGATTGACTGGGGCCGCAAACGTGACGTCAAAACTACGCATTGGCTTATCTCATCGCAGTTGATACGAATGATAAGCAAAAAGGGCTTTAAGCAGTATGACGGAGGTCGACGCAGCTATGACAACATGCTATAGCAGATTCACCCTCCCATTTCCACGGTTTACATAGACCTTAGCTTTAGCCAGCGTGCACCAGCTCAAGCAATTCAACTGGATAAAAGAAATTGTTTAGTGCGTAGAGGAACTCAGAGAAGCGTGTACACGAACTGTGAAAAAAAACGGCGTGAATTGGACAACATACAAAGGAGTTACGAACATAAACAGCAGGTCTTAAGAAACCAATGTAAAAAAGCCTTTGTGGATAATACAGAAGCCATGGAGGTCAAGTACATGTCAGCTAATAGCGGAATACGTGAGCAACAGCCCTTTGAAGAGGGACGGACTCAAAAAAAATACGAGATGGCTCCTCATGCATGGAATGAGGATACTGTTCCAAATCGAACCGATACGGAGGAGGGGAGGTTTAATGAAAAGAATGATGAACTGGTGATCACACCAGAGGAGCTTGAGAAGCAACGGCAACGAGAAATACGCGGTGCTCGTATTATGCCTTTACTCGATCTCCAACGAAAAAGAATTCGGCCTCAAACACATCAAACGAAGGGACGTTATAACATGGAGGATTTTTCGTTTTCTCGGACTCTCGGTACGGGTTCGTTTGGCCGAGTTCATTTGGTGCAGTCAAAACATAACCATCTCTTTTACGCCATTAAAGTGCTCGAAAAGCGAAAGGTTGTTGAAATGAAGCAGGTGGAGCATTCGTGTGATGAACGACAAATCCTTTCGCGTGTACAACACCCGTTCATCACTATTCTTTGGGGCACATTTCAGGATGCACGGAATCTATTTATGGTAATGGATTTCGTGGAGGGCGGCGAGTTATTTTCTCTATTGCGGAAATGTCATCGGTTTCCCGAGCGAGTTGCTCGATTTTACGCTGCAGAAGTTATTTTGGCACTCGATTATCTGCACCACAACCAGATCGTGTACCGTGACTTAAAGCCGGAAAACCTTTTGCTTGACCGTGGTGGACATGTCAAGATTGTCGATTTTGGCTTTGCAAAAAATGTTTCTCAAGGAAACTGCTTCACACTCTGCGGAACACCGGACTATCTTGCTCCCGAAATCATTTCCTTGAAGCCCTATAATAAGGCCGTGGATTGGTGGTCTCTGGGCATCCTATTGTTTGAGATGTTGGCTGGATATCCTCCGTTTTACTCAAACAATCCTATGAAATTATACGAAAACATCCTCGAATCTACAGTGAAGTACCCTTCACACTTTTCTCCCTTGGCAACAGACCTTATTTCTCGGTTACTGCAGCGTGATCTATCTAAGCGGTATGGTAACCTAAAGAACGGCAGCTTAGATATTATTCTTCACCCATGGTTTGAGGATATCAACTGGGAATCTATCCTTACTCGTAAAGTTGAGGTACCTTATGTACCGCCCATCCGTGCTGGCACTGGCGACTCGAGCCAATTTGAAGTTTATGCTGACGCCCCTCTTGATTATGGAGACAACACGTCGCCCCAGTTCACTGAGTTGTTCCAAGACTTTTGATTGTTCAAAAAGTTACACTACTTTCGCACTCTTATCTTTTTTTGTAACGCTTCATGACTACGCATTGCATTTTATTTCTCTCTCGGCAGCTCCTATGTGTGTGAGCTTGTATCTCGTCAACATAGAATGTTTTCTTTTAATGGTTTACTTGCAGCGTTTGAGATAGCGGGTACATTTTCTTTTCCTTTTTTGTTTCCACTCAGAAGAACATTTATACTTGACAGTTATTTGGTAAACTTCCTTTTCTCTTCTTTTAAAAGTCAGAACATTAAGTGTCTGTTTTTCGTTTATTCCTGTTTCACGCTTTGCTGTACTCATTAATTTGGAAGAATAAGCAGAGCAATTGACTGTGACAAAAAATAGCGGCATTTTTCTTGCTTATTTTTTACACGTCGTTCTGCCTTAAGGAGGGGCTGCTATGAGTGGGGCAGGAAATTGTCCATTTCCTGCTAGTCCAATTGGCTGGTAGAGTTACAAATCAACATATTCAACTTCTCGTTGCGGAGAACGGGAATTTGACTTCACGCTGTACAAACCAAGTCTTATTGTGGGGTCTATCTCCCCTATATTTTTCGAAAATTACTGCCGTGCCGGAGGAGCAATAAAATCAAAAACTCAACCATAGCGGTTGAAATTGGAGGAGGATCTTATATACTTACCATTTAATGAAAGCTGCGATATGAATTCTCGATAAAACTCGAGTCAACTCTATGTTTAATGAAGTGATGACCACTGAGGTCAACAAGTGGTTGCTTATTTACGTGGCATCCCTTCTATCGAGTGACATCCTTGTCCTTCTTCTTTAAGAGCTAATTTATTTCTCGTCTAACACGCCCCGCCCCCCTTTGCTCCATTTAAAAATGTATTTCTCAATTGCCGAAGAAATGTCATAGGAAATTTACTCAACCTTCGTCATTGCCTTTCTACTTAATGGACATGTTTTGTAGTAGTGAGACAGCCCCGTTACACCTTAATAATCTCCAACCCGTACAAATTAGGAAAGGACTATGTTGTGACAAACCCACACACAGCTTTATCATCACTATTCATGTTATTTATACATCTCTCGTCGAGTAAGAAAGAGAAAAAGAAAGAGAAAAAAATAGACAGAAAATGGAAAACAGCAATCAACCAAAAATCACACACCAGTGGTAAAACCAACAAACGTCTAAAGTAATAGTATGTCTCTGGGTGTTTGGAACGGAAATAAGAACTCTACAGGAAATCCATCATCATTACAGATACGCAAAGCTGGGGGAGGGTAGTAAGCTGAAGTAGATGGATAATTTTTGACCATTGAGCACGGGGTACATACACAATTTGGTAGGAGTGAATGAAGAACATAGACAGTATTAGCGGTATAATGAACGCATACTTTTAAGGAAAATGAAGTAGCGTTGCGAAATAATAGATGCACTGAACACGTCATTATGGCTTGGTTCATACAATTTCCTCCCATCCTGCGACAGCTCCGCTCACTAAAGCTTTAGGTTCTTCCTTTCCATGAAGGTTTTGAACGCCATTTTCGCGAAGGAACTGAACAGAAGCACGGACATTGATGTCCATAGCAGTATTAGGATCTGCCTCCACATTCACACGAAATATGCGCTTCAACAGTGTCGGCGAGACAAGATGCACATCGCTTTGGGAGCTGTGGGCGGTGCCGTGGAAGATGAATAGACGAGAAAGATGAGGAACCTTTATCGTGGCAAGGCGTTCCTGTTTCATAGCTCCACTCTCTTCATTTTGTTGTGTATCAATGCGTGTCCAATCACGCAAAGCGGAGAAATTTTCAGTCCAGTTTCGGAACTCATGTGAAATGATAATAATGGTTTTGTGTTCCAGTGCGGAGACGTTTAATTGCACAACGGGAAGCATCCATATGTCATAAAGCATGAGACATTTAACATCTTCTTTTGTGGGGTAACCTTCAATGGGAGAAGGTTCGGCGTATCTGGATATGAAAACAGAGGTTGCTGCTCCGAAGGAATGCCCAGCAAGCATTATTTCACCTTTTCCCACTTGCAAACGGTTGCGAAGTGCAAGGAGAACCGGTTCATAGTGTGTTGCACTTGTAGAAAATTCGACTGGCGAGCCGGGCCAGATAGCACCTTTCTCATTTATGTTACGTAACGCCCGGATGGCAAGCTGAATTTCGCGCAAACGAAACAGGAGACGATGTTGTTGCTTGACTTCAGTCTTCTTAGAGTACAGGTCACCAAGGTCATGATAGTTAATGACGTGTGGTTTCTCATCTGCGACGGCAGGGTCACGAACTGTTGTTATGATTGCAGAGTGGTCACGATGTTCCATTGCGACCACGACAATACCATAAGCAGCAAGACTTCCACAAAGCGTAGAGTATATGTTGCGGTTGCCCATCAAACCATGGGAGAATATAACAACGGGCAGTTTCCCGTTATCCGCCGGCAAGCATAATTGACCATCGTAAATAGGGAGAGTCGTATTGGCAAAATACAAGGAACATAAATGAAAAGCCATGCGACGAATGCCCTTTGATTCTGCAGGCATTCCCTCGCGGAAGCACGACCAGTACTCATCGTCACGCGTAGAATGTGGTTGGTTGGGATCGATGGGATAAAAAATGCGAGCTTTTAACGTCTCCATGGGTTCAATTGTGTCAAATTTTAAACGGAGTTCCGATGGCACACTCAGCTCGAACACAAACGAACCGACAGGCAACGGTCCAAAGTAGGAGGGCAATGTAGTCTTCATGATTTATCTGTATAACCAAAACAGCAGAATTTCAAGAATGCCTGGTTTCAAAATGTGCGTCTCGCTTGCAGCTGAAGATATGAACAGCAGATTAGGATTAATCGAGAAAAATAGTAATAAGAACAGGACAATTAACAAAAGCACTGTATGCACTGTTTTAAACCAATTCTAATGGGCAATTTCAGTAAATGGATGTCCAAGAAGCCACACAGAAGTTGAAGAAAAAATATAAACAAACCAACAGAGATCGAGGGGATGAAGTAACAAGGCGGAACGTACAGAGAAAGAAAAGGATGAACGAAGTGAAATTAAAATGCTATTCCAGAGAAGATAGAAAAAAGAAATCGTGTGCACCAACCAAAATTTCCGACTTCTCAAGCAAAACGATTCTGAAAATTTTAGAACAGGAATCAGCTGTTTCAATGAGCCAAGTCAAAAGCACTTTGTTGAAACAGCACCCTCGAGCTGTCAATTAGTAAACGAACGATCAATTGCCAAGCAGAAACGACCAAATGTCGGAAAATATGACGCCGTTAAGGTGGGAGACGCTGCTTGTGTTACAGTTACGTAGTGAGACCCTCCGAGTTTAGTGGTGAAGTTTGTCGTATGAATGAGAGCACAAACAGAAAGTAGGTACACGCTGCTGTTGCTCGTTTAGTTAACGAATGAGAACGCAGTTTGAGACGGGGGCCAAAGGGGCAAGAACAAATCGAAAAAGGAAACCTAGTCGCGAGGGAGTTTCGACGTTATGTGATGCAACGCAGAGGCAGTTAGCAATTTGTCGAGTGTGAAGGTCTGCGTTAAGTGTCATCTGAAGGAGGCAGACATCATTGTTTGTCACACCAACTTGATACCGATGGTCGCCGCCATCTTGTCTAGAAAACTCCTGAATTAGCAGCCTCGGCATCGCGTGTGCCGAGTTTGGAGAGACTCACTACGCTAACTTGTCGCTGAGGCGAAAAGTAGGCCGACACATGCGACGAAATTCGTCGTCGTTTGTTGCTTTAAAATTTTAGAGCCATCATTTAGCGAGCACGACTGACCTCTCTTGAAGCGGCATGATATCATAAGAAGGTTGACTGATGGGGAAACGTTAAAGTGAATAAGAGATGTAGATATCGAAGCCCGAGGAGCAAAGGCGAGCGTTTTTAATCGGAGTTGGCGATGAAACGATGTGTGTCGTAGCAATGTCAGCGACAGTATAAGTTTGAAAGGCGAATGAGTGAGGTGTGTTAAGTCATTCAAATGTTTCATGAACTAGTCATTTTCAACTTCCATAGCTGAGCCTTCTTGATCTGTAATCGGGGTCGGCTGCTGACCATTCCGAAGGTACTCATCCAATTCTCGATCTAACTCTTCAGTTGTTTTGGGAGGCCGAGCACTATGGACGCGTGTACGGCGCCGAGAACGTTTTGTTGAGATTGGCAAAGGAATACGATCTCCCTCAATACGATCCAAAAGTGTGGGTCGTCGAGATGCGAGTAACTCGACATGCAAACCTCGATCTCGCAACATAAAACCGTTCAGTTCTGCCACAGCCAGCTTCGCATCTTCCTCTTTTTCAAAAGCGATGGTGCATCGGCCCTCGGAACGACCAGCACGATCGAATTTCATCGACACATTTTTTACGGGAGCAACTCTGTCGAATACCGTCTTTAACGTATCAGCTTATGGAACAGAAAAAAAAGGATTGCATAAAGTATTCCTTCAATAAACTGGCAAATTAGTCGCCGTTTACTTGAAACTTACCTTGAGTTCTTCTTCAGATACTTCGTAGTGAATATTGTCCACTGATACAAGACTAGTAGCGTCTCTGCGAAACATTGTTAGCAATAACAGCTCTAATAAGCAACTTTTGGACAAAGCAAAACTGGTTTTCGTCCAATTGGTCCTGTTTATTATAGTATGCGTACCTTTTGACGCGTTCAATCCTTCTAGGACGCGATTCGATCCGATCCTGACTTAAATCATGCTCCCAGCGCTGCGTATCATCCTCATAATAATCACGTCTTCTTCCAGCACCGCGTCTTCTTGGCTATAAATGAGTTTAGTAATTTTGTTGCCGAAGACGCGTCAAATGTCCACAACTTTTTTTTCACAATTGTGCATTTCCTTACGCGTTTAAACGTGTAACTAGAAATGGATCACATACTTTCGGTCGAGAGTCTTTCTTTTCAATCCTGTTTGAGCGACCTAGACGCTTTTCCGGCTTCACGTGAATTTCGTTAAATTACATTTCCAAAGATTACCTAGGACAAAGCTCCAATGGCAGTAAAAGAGTATGAAAACTTACACGTTCTTGTCGTATAATCTCATCTAGGGACAATTCTAGCGACATTTCAACTTGCACTGAAGACAATCGTTTTGGTAAAGGGGAGGAGTCGTTATCCTCGTTCCTGCCCCTTTCGTATCCAGTCATGCTGCATGTGGGAATGTGGGGGTAAATTGGTTTGTATGGGGGTATATGCACCCCCACGTTTCTCCGCTTCCTACTTACTAGCCCTTCTCGCGCATTTGTCCCTACGATATACGTAAACTGTTGCCATTAACTAAAACACTAAATTCGGTGTTGAAATTAGTATACCTGTATCCAGAGGCTAATTTGCTACTCGTTAATATAGCATTTGTCAGCCTTTCTCCTATTTGAGGAGCGTAATTCCTGCGAACTAGAATTAATTGGATTCGCAAAGTCCGGTGCGCTTTTATTAAATCCGCTTGAAGAGTGCTGTGCTGGTATACCATACAAAATGGATATTCAGAAACAAGGAACGGCTCTTATGGAGCGCGTTTTTATGGGGCCCTTAATCGTCGAATTGCGAATGGTCTTTAAACAGATTCGTCGAGCCATTGAGCACGAATTTCAGTACTTATTAAGCTCGTCAAAAAAGCTTATGGAGAATATGAGTTCTGCGGAACAAATTGATCGTGAATTGAACACTGCATTACAAGGTATACAGAAAACTAGGTCAAAGGTACGTGGCTTTTCACTCGGTTAAGAAATTGCAGGAATTTTGATGGAACGCTCATTTTTGTGCATTCCTTATTCTTTATCTTTCATCTCTTCATGTATTAACGAAGAAATAGCTTAAGCGTCTAGATGAAACTGAGAAAAAATTATTCCGCAGTATCCGAGAAGAAGCTGAATATTACGGTCGCTTAGACTCCATTACATCCATTGATTCGCCCCAATTTCGTGAATGGTCTTTACAGCGTACAGAAAGACACATCCTTCAGTACATGCTCATGCAGGATATGTATCCCTCTGCGGCCATACTGGCAAAACGTTTGGGAATGCAAGACAATTTTATTCTCGACATCTATAGTCGCAATTGCCGCATCGTGAAATCGTTAGAGGATTGCGATCCAACAGAAGCCCTTGCTTGGTGTGTAGAAAACCGGTCTGAACTCCGGAAACGGAAGGTGCATCTTGAGCAACAGATTCGGATTCAGCAATACGGGAGTCTTGTACGAGAAAACAAAAGGCTTGAAGCAATCCGTTTCGCACGGAAGTATTTCCCCCAATGCTACACAGACGTACCTAATGATATGTACGGCATGTTCGGTCTCCTTGTCATGTCGCCCGCTACAAAACAGAAGCCATATCGAGTACGCAATAATTGGCACATTCGTTTGATTTTTACTAATTTTTGTTTAGAGTATATTCAAAGGGCATACATGGTCTCATCTTGCTTGCGAGTTTCACGACACATACTATTCCATGTACGGAATACCGTTTTACTCATCATTGGAGCATTTTGCTATGGCAGGGCTAGGTGCTCTAAAAACAGAGTGTTGTGAGAGTGATGTTTATGCACCCCGTTCATACTCCGAAACTCAATGTCCTATATGTTGTCCCTGGTTTCACCAGATGCATCCATTTATCGCAAATGCTCACATATCAAGGACAATGTTGATTGATAGCTTAACGGGAAAGCTCCTAGATGTGAATCAAGATTTAGTGGCTTTTTCCAATGGTCAAACATACAGTCTACGGAGCCTCTTAAATTGGAACGAGAAGCTAAAAAAGACGAAAGGTTTCGTTCAAGACCCAAAATCATGCCAAATTGTCAGTGTTAACTCTTTACGGAAGGTGTACATTTTGTAAAACAACGAATTGAAGCTACGTACTCTTTTTAGAATGCCCTTAATGACTAATATAATTATGAAACGAATCGCCAGGTGCGTATTGACGCGTCCTACTCTTGAAATTACGAAGTTTACCCTTTACAAATACAATAGCTATTATAATGAGTGAATGAATGTACAGAGAAAGTAAACCTAGATTTGCTTGCGTTCACGTTCAACGTGAGCGCGGAGAATCCTCTGCTTCTCGTGTAAACTCCGAGACTTCTTGTTCTTGGCCTTATGCTTCATCATCATGAAGTTCTTATTACGTTGCTTGCGTTTGTTTGATAAACTGGTGGGCATGAAGCCAGAGCGTTTGGAAGCGTACTTCTCGCGACCTTCACGACCCTCCATGACACTTGCCAGACGTGCTTCACGATCAGCCTTTTGCTTTTTGCGAGGACCCTCAATATCAATGGCGTCAATAACATCATTTGTTTTGGGCAAACGTTTGGGACCATTAACCAGACGCTCGACGCCTTCTTTTTCGCGAAGTTCTTCTAACTTCTTTAAGTCAGCGGGTGTAAGGATAGTTCTGACAGCGATAGAATTGGCCAAGTCAACGGGTTCCTGTGAACCAACTTCAGGCTTCTCTGTTTGGAGTTTTTTAGAATTTCCTTCTTCACCATCATCATCACCACTGTCGGATATACTAATCTCGTCGTCGCTGTTAATATTAATCCAACCCTCGCTATCTGAGTCTGAAGATGAATCGTCGATAGCTTCCCATGCCTTCCAGTCATCTTCGTTCTCCTCTTCACCGTTTTCGGCTTTATATTTCTCAAGAAGATCAAGGCCTTGGATGCCCTCGACAGTATGAAGATCTTCACCATAGCGCAAAGGCTTTCTCTCCTTAAATTCCATAGAAGCCAGCTTGCCGCGATCTTTCCGCTTCAACATTTCAGGAGCAATATCACGATACAGAGAAAGGAGACCACGACTAGCCATCATGACACCTTTATCTTTGCTTGACTTATACTCGGTCAAGTCTTGCAACAACTCGGGAGTCATGGCAAAAGGCGCACGGGCACAGATTTCGCGAATACCGTTAATACCGGCGCAAACAACTTCGCTAGCAACACCGCTAGTGACAAATTCATCTGCAATCTTACGAATCAAGGGTTCCAGTGTGTCTGGGGGAACAAACTCATGAGAAGCTTGAGCAGCACAGGCGAGTATTTGAGTAACATCCCTTTGATGAGGAGTCATGTACTTCATCATATAAGAGTACAGACCCAGAACAATAAGTCTGTGTGATCCGACAAGACGCGAAAGCAGTTGTAGGACAACCAATTTATGCTCCAATGGAAGTTTGCGTTTATTTCCGCTCAGTTGTCTCTCATACAAATCATCAGCAAAACCTTGAGGATCATGCAAAAGCTGAAGAGCAGGGAAGTTAACGTTAATAGGAGGTGCATTTTTAAGACGTTCCTTTCGCTTTAACGAGGCACGTGCTTTTTGCATTTGAGCTTCACGAGACTTGCTTTTCTTGTTAATATTGGATTGATGAAGAAGCTTCTTCAAGTCGGGACCTTCGTCCTCATCACTATCATCTTCAGCATCCAAAGAGTCAACACCCAAAAAGAAATGAATACCAGCAAGCATAACCTTTGTGTTCGGTGAGAGCGCAGCCGTCTTCATGATTTCGACAGCTCTGGCGTCACCGGACCAAATCTTTCTTCGCCAGAGATCCTGGACCAAACGGACGGCCCAGACACCCATCATCTCGCCAACAGTGTACTCCTTCTTCTTGTTTGTGTAATCGGCAACCTTTGATGTCACAGTTCCCGCATTTTCAACCATCGTAAAGAGAGCTGTTTGCACAACCTTGTTAAGCTTCTCATTGCGGGACTTTTTGTTTTCGTTACGAATAGTCGTCGAGATTTGCTCGTAAAGGTTCTTGCGAAGGGCCTTAGACGTGTTAACATTGCTGTTCAACAATGAAAAAAACCATTTCAGCAGTGTAAACGATGAAATCACTGTTTTGTTTTTCAGCAACACAAGCGACTGAACAATCTTCTCGGCAACATCAGGATGAAGTTGCTCATGGTTTTCTTGCAAGAGTTGTGCAAGCTCGGCAGGAAAGTTTTTAGTAACATCGTGATAGTGATTGCACGTTTGAGCCAAAAAACCAATCAAATTGGCAAACTCATCATCATCTTCACCAGGATTCACGAGGAAGACCTCCCGAGCTGTCTGATAATGATTCCATTGCTGCAAAAACTCCTCCCGGTAAAGTTTCGGGTCTCTTTTAACTAAGTTTTGCAAGTGAGGCAAATTGTTTGGCAACACTGCCGCTGTTCTTCTTCGTACCATTTTTAACGCAAAAAAGAAACTGTTTTATGTGTGCGACCTGTAAAGAAAAAAAGAAATAAAAATGACCTTAAAAATTCAAAGCTCACAGGTAAATAATGAAATTTAATGTGACAAACAAAAGAGTATCAATGAACCCAATTCCTAAAGTGAATAACCCAACCGAATGAACCAAATACAATAAAAGAAAAAAAAAAGATTAAAACCAGCGACGACTCGTGGGAGACGAAAGCTTCTTAACCGAGGCCTCGATATGATACGAGTAACAAGGTCTTTGTTAACCTTGGCGAAGAGACGCTTTTATATGTCTTTAAGGAGAAAAAATGACTTCCCCAGTAGCGTTGGTGGCGGCTTGGGCAAGAAGGTTAGTCCGACCTGGTAGACGGCAGCCGATTGTTGTTGAAACAGCACACCAGCCAGTCAATGGGCGTGGTGGTTGTTAGCACAGAGCAGGTCAGCAGCTACACTCGTTAGAATAGACAAACTCGTCCCTATAACAGAAGACGAATTCGTGTAAAAATGTCAAACGAAACGCAACAAGATGATTACGATGCAGAGCAGTTGAGACTTATGGAGGAAGTCTGTATCGTTACTGACGAGAACGACAACCAAATTGGTACAGGCTCTAAGAAAGAATGTAGGAATTGACGTTACACAGACTCAAGAGCTTGAAGCTGACGAAGTCATTTAGGTCATTTGATGGAGAACATTAACAAGGGTCTTTTGCACCGTGCTTTTTCCGTTTTCTTGTTCGACGAGTCCCATCGTTTGCTTTTGCAACAACGTGCTGCAGAAAAGATCACTTTCCCCTTGCTCTGGACGAATACATGCTGCTCTCATCCCTTAGACATTCCTTCAGAACGTGGTACCAACTTCCAAGAGAACATTCACGGCGTGAAGTGTGCTGCAATCCGTAAACTCGATCATGAATTGGGTATCAAGGCAAACCAATTGCCCATAGAAAAGTTTCAATACTTGACTCGTATTCATTATCTCGCTCCCAGCAAAGGTAAATGGGGCGAACACGAAAGTAAGTTCTAGACAATTCTCTACTGTTTGTGAATTGTAGTTAACCGTTACAGTCGATTATATCCTCTTCTTCATCGGCAAGGTGGACCTGGACATTAACAAGAACGAGATTGAGACTTATAAATACGTGACCGCTGATGAATTGAAAGCCATGTTTGCTGATCCTAAATGTTCCTTCACCCCTTGGTTCCGTCTTATTTGTGAGAACTTTTTGTTTAAATGGTGGCAGAGTATGGACGATTTGAAGACATTTGAAGATGATAAGATTCATAGAATGAATTAATTGAAGACGTGCTCACGTCCTGATGGAGTGGTTCCGTTCGATTTTGATATTGATATACGACCAAGGTCACTCTCAAAGTATATTCAAAAACATAGTAAAGCCATTAACGAAAAAGCTTATCCAGGACCGGGTTGAGTAACTTGAAGTGCGGATACATTGTTTTATAAGTTCATTCTTGTTATTTTCCGGATATGAGACATTTGGAAAAGGTTAGTGAACCATATTAGGAGTCGTCAACAAGGTCTACTCATTTCCAATTGTACTGCTAATTAATCTTAAACGAGCTATAGTTACCCGTACGCTTGAACACTTTCTACAATAATCGTAGCGTTGTGAGTAGGAAAGGAGTAATGCCTATTTCTCATCGTTTTATAGACAAAGTATTAAGCTTTTTCTCGCGTAGCGCGTTTTAATTAAGCTGACGCGACCAAACCATGAAGGAGGGTCACACCGCTTCGAAAGCCCTCTCCCTTTACCACACAGAAAACACCAGGAAAATATGTCTGGATACGACCGTGCATTGTCGGTTTTTTCGCCTGATGGCCGTCTTTTACAAGTAGAATACGGACAAGAAGCTGTTCGTCGCGGTACCACTGCTGTACGTGCTCCAAATTTGCAGTGTTTTTCTTACGTGCATGTTGACTAATTCATCTTTGGGTTATAGGTCGGTGTTCGTGGTGAACGAGTTGCAGTAATCGGTGTAGAAAAAAAGACAGCCGCTAAGCTTCAAAACAGTAGAAGTTCACAAAAAATTGGCCTTGTTGATGATCACGTTTGTTTGGCTTTTGCCGGGTTGAACGCTGATGCTCGTGTTTTAATTGATAAAGCTCGTGTTGAGGCCCAATCTTACCGTCTTAATCTCGCAGACCCAGTTACGGTTGAGTATATTACGCGTTATGTTGCCGGTGTTCAACAAAAATATACACAAGCTGGAGGTGTCCGCCCTTTCGGCGTGTCCACTTTAATTATGGGTTTTGACGTTAATGACACAACACCTCGCTTGTTCCAAACGGAACCAGCAGGTATCTACAACGCTTGGTATGTTTATTTGTTACGAAACCACCAAGACGGTGAAGACTGCTGCAGAATCGTTTTAGGCAGACCTGCTTCTTATTCTCAATTACTAACACCATGAAGGAAAGCTACAGCCATCGGACGTTCTGGTAAGACGGTTCGTGAGTTTTTGGAGCGTAACTGGAAGCCCGACATGAGTCGTGACGAAGCCATTCACTTGACCGTCAAAAGTTTGCTTGAGGTTGTACAAACCGGAGCAAAGAACATCGAAGTAGCTGTAATGGAACCAGGAAGCGCTGTTCAGTTCTTGCCTTTGGACACAATTGAAGCAATTGTTAAGGATATCCAGGAAGAAAAGGAAGCGGAGGCAACTCGCAAGAAGAATGGCGGTCGTGTCGGTACATCCGGTGCTGCTACGACTCAGTAAACTGTGCTTTTATTACATGTTTTCTTCCTCATGACTCGCTCCAATCGAATTGCTTTGGTATGCCAAGCTTGCTCATGTCAAAGTGACAATGGTGCAGCCCAAAAATATAACGGTTGTATCTTTACGACGGAAAACGTTTCCCATATCATTTCAATAACAGAAATACAGACTACGAATTTATGTCTTATTTACGTAAACCAAAAACGAGAGCTCCACTGTTTGTAGAGGGCTTTGCTACTGTGATGGAAAGAGCGACGTAGAAAGTTATGGGGAACATAATTCAAAGTTTTTATTATGAGAACATTGATAACGGGGGGTTGTGTTTAAAATTAAATAGGAAGGATAAAACAGTTACACAGTCGAGGGAAGAAAGGGCGTTGTTCATGGAAGCAGTGTTTTCGACTTTCCAACCACAGGTGCAAAACAAATGATGGAATGCGGTTTCACACGTGTGGGTATAGAGAAGCGAACATTTTTTTGCTCGTTGGTTGGCTGATGCATTGGGAAGGCGGAGAGATGATGAAAGACAAGTTCTATGCTTTTTGATGAAGAGCTTAAAAACGCTCCTCCAAGAAGGATTTGAGTTTGTCTCCAACCAGATTGCAGCCATTCCGGTAGATTAAGAAAGTGTCATGTCCAAAGAGACTTTTTTGTTCGTCTAACTCGTGATAATGAACATGCTTGTTGCCTGCCTTTCTCAAGCAGCGAGCGGCTTCACGCTGGCAGTTGACGGGCATCAGGTTATCCGTACGGACACCCATAACAAGTGTGGGAATGTCACGCAGGGGTCTCATGCCCTCAACAAGATCATCCTCTTCAATGGCACCCGAAGACCGCTCGACACCGGCATCATTCTTAGACTTAGCTTTTGATGCAGCGGCGGATGATTCCAATCGGAAGTTTTGTGCATCGACCTTGTACATGTTTTGAGAGCGCTTGTAGGCCAAAGTTGCTTGCTGCGAAGCTGACATGTCAAACATATCCATGGCCTTCGAGATGTAGAGCAGAGAATTGGGATCGTACTGTGTGCAGAACTTCTCGCCAGCATGGTCCAGATAGGTTTCAATGAGGAAATCTGGGCACAAAGCAGGATCCGCTGATGGATCAGCGCGACGCATTCCAAATCGTTGCTCCCATTCAGGACCGGACCGGTATGAAATGGTGGCTACTTCACGGGCCAGCTTCATACCAACGTGGGGAGGAACACCGTTGTAGTAGAAACCGTGGTTCCAGTGAGGGTCGTTCATGAGGATTTGACGCTGGGTGAAACGCAAGGCAATGGAGTACGGGTGAGAACGAGCCGCGCCAGAAATGCTAGCAATGCGACCCACACGATGGGGGGCAATGGCGCCCAGAGCCAGCGACTGCATTCCGCCGAGTGAGCTACCAACACTGGCGTACAGCTTGTCGATTCCAAGTTTATCCAAAAGATGCGTTTGAGCCCGGACCATGTCGAACACCGTTATCGTCGGGAAGCGAGTGGCATAATGACGGTTGTCGCTCGGGTCAATGGAAGCAGGGCCGGTACTACCGTAACAGCTACCAATAACGTTCGTGCAAATAATAAAGAACTTGTTTGTGTCGAGATCCTTTCCTGGACCGATGAACTTCTCCCACCAGCCGGGCTGTGTGTTCGCTTCGTGTGAATGTGCATGGGAAGAGGCGGATAATCCTGTGTGCAAAAGAATAGCGTTTGATTTGTCTGCATTCAGACGGCCCCAGGACTCGTAAGCTATGTCGAAACGGGGGAGGACACCGCCGTGGTCGCACAAGAAAGGCTTGTTGTACTGGAAAACCTTGTAACCAGAAACGATTTTGCCATAAATGGGTTCTGGGCCCGATTCCACTGGAGTGGCAGGCTCTTTGATGGCTGTTGCAGGCTCCTCATTACGGAGAGCAGAAGGTGTGGTTTTTGCAGTAGAACGGGTTTTTGTCATTCCTGGTTTGCGAGAAATAAAACCTGCTTCCTGAAATAGTTGACTGCGCTCCTGGGCCCTGTCGACACAAGGGAACGCCATCTGAGGGTTGGTGCTGTTCCAGCGACGCCACGCCTTCACCTGGAAAATTGCTCTTTTTGCAGTGCAAGTCCTCAGCATATCAATGAATGTATTAGTCTGTGTTCCTGTGGTTCAGGAGAGGAGTTTGTATGTTTTCTGGGGGTTCTGGCTACATCTTTGCCTTTATAAACCGATTGCGTAAATGAGTTGCGAATGTCGTTATGTTGATGGCGACATCGTGCTGACAAAATCCTAACCAACTTCCTGAGCACGAATTTCGGTAAATCTGATAAGGTCAGCACATTTAGGGTTTGTGGAGGTACTTTTGAATGTTGTTTACTGTGCAATGTTACAAATCCGGCTGTTATTCATCCGGCTTAGCTTAAACGGAATATAAACACGCTCCAGACGGTTAAAGTTTTTAGATTCCGTTTTATTCGCAGAATCGGACCGTTTAGCATCAGCAATTCTGCGGTTAACGCGTTTTCTGACGCGTTTACGGACAAATGTTTCTACATGGAATGGAAACTTCCCCTCCCATTGCCTGCCGCAGATTGTCAATGATTAAGACACTCTGCGGTCGAAATCGTCGTTTCTAACTCGAAAATAAGGGCGAATGAACTGCTAAATCATGCTTCTGCTCCTGTTAATGTCGCTGGTTAAGGCAGAGTTATTACTTCCCAAGGGGGAAACTTTATTTTTTCGCGTTGCAGGCCCCACGCGTAAAGGAATATAGGACTTGCCAATTACGTGATGGCCAAATGCCGAATTCAAGGGTGACGTAGTCTGAGAAGCTAGACTGCGCAGTAGCGCGCAGCATCACGCATTAGCACACTAATTTCTAATACCACATTACACTATGCTACCGTAACTCCGGGGAGAATACAGGGGTTCGTTGTGTTTTGTTAAATGCGGTTTACGCGAAGCGGTGGTTCTCGCTAAGCATCCTTATCCACGGCTCCGCGGTTACTTGCCCAATCTAAAAATCGGCGCTCTGTGTAGGGTAGGGTTGTGTGTGACTGCTGGCTTTGAACGCTACGGGTTAGGAAGAAGTAGTTGGGGCCCAGGTGCCTTTCACCAGCAACAACCAACTTATAGCCGGACACGATGAGCGTTGCCAAAGCCACTGGAGCCAAGAAGACTGTTGAGAAGGGTGTTCACAACAAGTTGGTGCGCAAGGTCCGTACCTCTGCCACCTTCCACCGGTAAGTACATAAGTGCACGAAATAGGGTGAGAGCGTTTAGGTGCTCCCGACCGCGTTGTTTGTGTCGGGCGGAATGAACAAGTAGTTACTAACAGCATCGTGACAGTCCCAACACCCTTCGTCTTGCTCGCAAGCCCAAGTACGCCCGCAAGAGTGTGAACCATGCCACCCGTTTGGATGAGTTCAAGATCATTGTCAGTCCCGTCAACACCGAGTCTGCTATGAAGAAGATCGAGGACGACAACACTCTTGTCTTCACTTGCCACCTCAAGGCCAACAAGCACACCATCAAGGCTGCTGTTAAGAAGTTGTACGACGTTGAGGCTGTTAAGGTCAACACCCTCATCCGTCCCAACGGTACCAAGAAGGCTTACGTCAAGCTCTCTGCTGACGCTGATGCCCTTGACGTTGCCAACAGAATTGGTTTCCTTTAAATAATAAGAAATATTATTTACTGGTGAAGAGTGTAACAGCGTGCTGGATGTTTTGGTAGTGTGGGTTTAAGGTTTCCTGGGTGTTTCGCGTTCTGGTCGCTTATGACGTCTTCATTGAGCTTGAGCGGCGCGCGTGTGCTTTGTTAAATGAAATTTAGTACGCGTCGACGCGTGTGGGAACGCGTAAATGGGTCTTCCTTGTCTTACGTGCCTTCCACTCTCAAATCCTCTCTCTTCGTAGTAAAAATGGCACGTAAATCAGTTAGTTCAAGCTCTTCTGCTTCTGCTTCAGGCATTCGTAAGCAGTTTGCCAAGTTTGTGCAAAAACGTGAAGAAGCAGCCTTCGAACAGTCAAAAGAATGGGCTAAACGACTCTCCGATTCCTCCAATGCAGTTCAACAACTTCAGAAAAATATACAAGCTGTTATGAACGCGCCTAAGAATGGGTTTGAAGAGTCTGATACGGAAGAATCATGTGCTGAGTTTCTTCATTCGGTAAAAGACACCATCAACACATGCTCGATTGCACTTCAACGCGTGACTCAGGCCCTACAGTTAATTGAGAAGGAGAACGGATCTGATTTGATGAACACCCTGTCAGATTTGTCAACACAGACGCAAAAAGCGCAATTGTATCTGGAATATACTATTCCACTCGCGCATCGCCAACTCATCCAGGGACTCTCTCTCTCGCTTCAGTCGGAAGATAAACATGAGACGTATTAAACGAGTGCATCACTGATCGCGAAATTCCTCATGTTTATGCTTCCATTAAATAAGTTAATATGTTTGCTAAAGAGTAATTCAGTTATGGCTTTTCCTGCGGCCATGACCTGGGCACCCTAAATTGTAATGTAATTATCAATGACAATTTATAAACCTGGTTTTAAATTTAACAGCCGTTTAAGGACTGTGAGAGAACTTGACAAGGCGGATATTTCTGGGGAAAGTAACGTTAGTAATGTTTGTTACATTTCATTTGTCCAAAGGTTCATCTTGTAACAGCTTGGTTTAAGGGGGATACTAGCAATAGTTGACATGCTGTGTGTTTAACTCATTTGAGAAGATACTGCTTTTTAAACACCGGGCAAATCGCTTATTTCGGTTTATTTTAGTGAAACCTTATTTTACAAGAGCTGCTTGCTCGTTTAGGACGTTGAAGTCCGGAAAGAATTAATCTTTGTACGGAGAAGCTTAGGAAAAATTTATACTAAATCTCGCTGTTTTAGTAATGTAATTAAATTACAATGAGCTTTGAATCAGAAACCGATGATGTTAGTAAGTAGATAATATTAACTTACTGTTGGTTCAAATTATTTATTCATACTCGACGGACGTTATAGTGGAAGACAATTGGATTTTTCAAGTTGATTTCATTGTTTAAGAGAGGTGTAAAGGACAAAAAGAAGTTAATGAGGGTTTATTTTTTTCTGATCAATATAAAACTAATTAAATAATTTATTCAATACCAACCTGTATGATAATTGGTTATCGAAAGTCATGGGCTCCGTGAGCTCTTATGACAACGAAACAAATACGAATGTGTCTTCGTCTGAAATTTTATCGGTTCGTAATGGTAAAAAGGTCTTGCTCAATTCCTGCAAGACTGAAAGCTGTTGAAACTGCGTACATTTCTAATCAATGAACTGGAATAAAAGATTTTGTGTTTTAAGAGTTCTATTTTTACTCAAAAAAATGTCAATTACGCACTTGTACATTGATATTCATAACAGGAAAACCGAGTATGATAAGAATGACGGCTGTCACCAACAAAGCGTCCGAAGCAGCGATGCCCGAGTGGTCTAAGGGGGCAGATTTAAGTCGACCGCAAGGTGGATGGAAACTCTGCTGTTGATAAACGCGCGAGTTCGAACCTCGCTCGCTGCATTATTGTTTTTAATATTTTTAATATTTTGTTTTTTTTGTTGTATTCTAGTTATCGCTTTTGGTAGGAAAAAAGGCACGCGTTTGGGTGGAGGTTTGCGCTTCTTTTTATCTTCGTCAATTAGCCTTGCTAAGTATCAGCTTTTTAAATATACTATAATTTAAATTTACATATCTTATTAAGCATCATGATCACCGATTTTCAATTAGTTAAATTGAAACGAAATAGATAATCGGTTGCCTTTTGTCATTCATTTTAGGCAAATACATTCATATATAACTTCAGCTCAACCAAATAAATTAATTTATAAGAAGTATTGTGATCGGTATCTATGTTGCAGAAGTCTTGTGTAACTATATGTGTTCGACTTCGTAATTTAGTTGTCGAAAATAATTGTTAGTTTCTACAAAAATTAAGAAAGCTTAGCGAATTATCAGCACAATATTACGATTGAGTAAATTTCTGAGTTTGTAATTGATTGTCTCGTTTGCTGTAAAGACAAAAGTTATATGAAGGAAAGACTTTGGTGTATAGTACGTAAACAATATATGACATGTAATTTTGCTTAGTGTAGTACGAACTAATAATTGCGCAGTTCAACAAAAATGTTTAGGGTCTTATTAAGCAATGCCAATAATGTTATTGACGCGATATTTTTTAAATAGAATAAGCGACTACACGATTCAATTAGAATCAAGCTAAATTGTATTGCAGCTCTACAATAAGAGCCGTTCAAGCAAGCATGATATTAATAATATGTCGGATAGCCGTAACAGAAAAACCATTTACGGGTTAAAATTTAAACTACAATAAAGTTTACTAAGTCGGGTTCAAAAGTCATAAAACGACTACTGGCAACTTTTGTCAGTATTGCTTTACCTGATTATTTTTTATATCACACGTTCAAACTTTTGGAGTTTCACTCTGAGTTTTCCTTTTTTTTTATGTCTTCAATAAAACATCTAGCACGTTGAGTGCTCACTATGCTTAGCCGGTGTGTTAAATTAATGTTTATATGAGTACTGTTTATTGAATGTAATAGACAATAATGAAATAGAATATATTAAAGTAGTAATAGCTGCTAAAAGACAACAAAACTTATACGTCCTGTCTCCTTCACACAAGTTAGCTGCAAAGATTTTGCTTAAAAAGCCCTCCAATGAAGAAACAATTTGATTAAGCACAAAAGATGTATCGAAACATAAACCTATACCGTATTTAAGATACATTTTCAGTTTGTAAATGGATTTTTAACTGTTGCGTGCTTGTTCTTGACAGAATATACGGTAATATCATTATATGCTTGTTATATTATAGAAAAGGCATCTCCTGTGGATACGATTTTGCAGAAAAGCACAAACCTCCACCCAAACGCGTGCCCTTTTCCTACCGAAACCGATGACTACACCTGAGATTTAAAACTAGAATACAACAAAAAAAATATTAAAAAATATTAAAAACAATAATGCAGCGAGCGAGGTTCGAACTCGCGCGTTTATCAACAGCAGAGTTTCCATCCACCTTGCGGTCGACTTAAATCTGCCCCCTTAGACCACTCGGGCATCGCTGCTTCGGACGCTTTGTTGGTGACAGCCGTCATTCTTATCATACTCGGTTTTCCCGTTTGTAATTTTCTGTACTATTTTGTTGCTAATAAATAATAAAATAGTGTGAATAAATATGTAGTTACTATATTTCAGTAGATTTTTTTATTCGAATCCGTACTTTAAAAACGCAGAAAGAGAGAACTTAATTAGATTAAATGGACATTTACTGCTCAACAATATTAAAACCTAAAGCACGAATAGGTGCGGTTAACTTAGTCTTTTCTCGTTTCTGCATATGTTCTGCACCAACATGATAAGAGCTATTAAACAGAAAATAATTTATTGAAAATATTAAATGTAAACTACTCCTTAAATTTACTTGACAGACATTGCTATTATTGTTTTCACTCTCAATGTATCCTTAGTAAAACACCAAATGCGAACATATCGCAGTGTAGGTCAATTTCAAAAGTACTTTGATGACGAATTGTCGTTTCATTTTGAGCTTACTCGTGATGTTGACACGTATTTCTCAAGCATCAATTTTAAGGATGCCGAATGCTCAGCACGGTGGTTTCCAATTCATTATTTGAATTTTGTGAAAGAAAGAAATTTAGATTCCGGCACTCATTTTAAAGTACTCAATGTATATTTCTTAACACATTTTCTTCAGTTGCTTACTCGGAATAGTGTTTTTTCGTCTAAAACACATTATGCTAAAATTCATTCATAATGGCTTCAATCTAAATTATTCACTAAAGAACTTCAATTAGTCATGATTTTGTTCATCTCGTCAATTTAATTTAGCTCGAGTCTTATCCGAGAGATAGCGTTTCGGGAAACTTCCAAATACATTAAAAGTAGCTAAACACTGGAAATGCACAATCTAAAGTACACGGCAGTTAAACACGACACAGTCACCTCATAATCAGATTCTGAAAGGTGTTACAATCCCTAGCACTCATGCTGGTGGCTTAGTACGTTAGTAAAGCTCGAGTTTTACTTCACAAACTATCGCAGTGGATTTTTCTACGATAAGCTATGTGTCCCACACCAGCTGAGCTCTTTTTATTTAATAAAAATCTTCAAATAAGAGAATCATAATATTATTGATAGCACCATATATCACAAGGCTTGTTTGTTAGTAGAGGTTATGATGCGTCATTGATTCTTATTATCCTGATAATTAATATATTACAAGAACATTTACATTTATTTTTAGTTGCACGGTTTGAAAAGTATTTGTGAACCCTTAATTTCATTGTTTGACTACCCTTAAGTGGTTGTTTTTTCAATTGGTTTTAATAACAGAGGATAGCAAAGAAAAGAAATAAAAAGATCAAATGTGCGAAACATTTATATTTTTTTAGGAAATGTATGAAAATAGTTCCAACAACTATCAAACAAAGGTCATACATTATAATATCAATTACTTCTGTAGTTTAATTTTTTAAAGAAAGGAATTATTTAGCATGAAATTATTGTAAAATGATAGTGTCGATATAGTTTATGGAGAATAAGTAACTACATTATTATTAAGTTGATCTTTTGCATACTATAGCTGACTAATGCCACACATTTTTTACTTGTATGACAGAGATACCAATATAAATTGGAGCCCATAACCCAAGGAAAACTGTGCTAAATGCTCTATATTATGTTCCCAAGACAACAAAAATAATCAATTTACTTTTCTAAGGTCATTTTCGTCACTCCATAGACCGTGCCTATATATTGTTTTAATTTTTAATTGATTTATTTAAGCATTACGGATATAATACAACGACTGGTTGATATAGACACAATTATGGTGAGTAGTTGGTGAATTATGCCCATTCATTCGCCTGATGCTCAGTAATTGATGTCATGCAAGCTAAAGAAAGCGGGTTCGGGATATTCGCAAGTGCAATGACTTGCAAAAACTCGGTCAGCTCATCAATTGAACGTAAAAACTCCCGTTCTTACGTTCGTCCCATTCTTCCTCGTAAAATACCTCAGTTTTGTTTTCGACAACGGAAGCATCCTTAAAGAACAGGAAATATCAGAAATGTAATGCGCTCATCAATAATATCGAGCCAATCCTGAAATGCATATCCATGCAAGAAACTTCGAGTGTCTCGAATTGAACGTATCACAGATATTAGAGAACAAACATAAAAACCTCATGGCAAAGTGCCTCAATTACCTTCACAGGAAAAAAACCGCAGACGTAATTGCCGAAATTTTAAAATTACAGTCTTCCGAAAATTAGTGTGAAACTAATTTTGAAACCAAGATAATAAATTCTGGGGTAAAAACCAAAATAAATAGCTCTACATTAAATGGACAAAATTGAAAGTTCAATTGAGTGACAAATGCTTTTGCGGCTCCACGGAGACAATTTACTCGCTTTTTTCCATTCATTGAACCCTAGTAATTACAGGATCCATTTCTGACCCTTTCAACGTAGCGAAACTCACTAGGGTCCAACCCAAGGAAGAAGCAATGGAGGCGAAACCCTATTTTTCCCTTAATCGAAAAAGACAAGCATAGACTTTGGGATTCTCCAATTCAACTCATTCAGCTCATAGGCAGCAACAGGTGACCACAAAACCTATAGTTATGTTTTCATAAGGCCTCATAACTGTAAACCGCTCTTGAAAGAGTTGCAAATGAGTCTCTTACCGAAGAAAACAACGAGAATAGGACAATTGAAATTCATTTAACATCATTTTGTTTTAGAAGAAGGTTGGAAAAAGACGGATTGCGATGAACACGAAAAGAAGACGAAAAAAGGGGTAAGAAGAGACAAGAGACAGTCAAGCACGGGTATCCAAGGATTGATTCTCAAACATTCAATCGCCGAAACCGTGGCGTCAAATGATTGTACATTGCATAGCTATCCGACGTCAGGACTACGCGCACAATAGCTTAATTTTTCCAGCAATAGGATCTAAATTTTGTCGCTGCCGATACATCAGGCACAGCCCAGAACGTCGGCTATGATGCGTGTCTGGTGAAATCAGGGTCATTCAAACATTGTTTTGGCACGCAAGGAAAAACAATAATTGCCGCGTGCCTGTTCCGACAGGTTCGTGCATATCCGACCCCACGGCGTATAACCTAAGGTTATTCATGGATTCTTTAGGGGTGATTTTATGCGAATTAATTGCGTTCGCCGAGGCAAATAGATGCGAGGACATGCACAAGGGGGAGACGACGGAGATTCGGCAACTCGGGTTAGGAAGAAAATGTTCCGCATACGATGTGTAATTGAAAAAAAGAACATGTATTACGTTGTCCTTGTCAACCGCTTAACGATGTCTATTTGTTAAAGGAAACGAACTGACGAGCGGGGAATCACCAATAACCATCATCTAAGTCATTCTGAAGCAATACGAAATATAAGCGATGATCACAGCAAATCATAGCTCAAGAAGACTGTGGGGCTGACCATCATCCCCTCATTCTATGCACTTCTCGCTTACTCCATCCCTGATATTGACGTAGTTTCCCCGATTGTTAACCCCCTTTTACGGATTATAGGAGGAGCTATGAATGTAAGAACAGTTTTGAATACACGGAAGTGTATTGATATGAATTAGTGCAACAAAATACAATTTTTACATACAAATTTACCATCACGTGCTCTTACTAGGCCGTTTGTTGTATAATGTTCATTAGCATTTTATTAATTCTCCGTTAGTTTTCGTACGAGTCTAACAGTCGACCGGACCGCGGGCCGCCGCTAGCAGCCTCAAGTAAACCCGTGACGTCAATACTTTCAGCCATCATTCGTTTAAACAATCCCCGCAATTTCTTTAGTTGGAAATTTTTCTCGGCAGCCGAGTGGTCCGCCACTGTGATTTGTCGACGAGTAAAACGGCCCCACAAGTTTGATTCCTTACCGATCGGGGATGATTTGATTGACGTGCCATGACGTCCAATAAGCGCCCGTATAGCCGAGCTTGATGAGCTTTGAGCTGCTCGTCTAAAATCAGGTCAGGGGTGACGATATCACCGAAATGAAAATCGCTCGTTGGAACACGCCAAAATGTCTAGTAACTATCGCAGCTTGCCGAAAAGACGAAAAACATCCCCAAGTCGTTTATTTTTTTTGAGTGAATAATCAACAATCACACTATGCGACATTTTTGTTTGTAGAAAGTTTCTCCGTTGGCGTCTTCAGAGCTCAGAAAGACAGGAAAAGAAGCGGTTTTTTTCCCAGTAACACGGTCCGTTCCTCTTACTCCGCGATCCATGATGCAGAACTTGACATCTCCACAACGCTCCACAAATCTCCACAATTTTATCCAATCATAATTGAATTTCCCCGGCTTCCATTCCGAACAGTGCTAATAGTGACATCATGTTACTAAAAATAGAAACAAATACTTTTGCACCGAACCCTTCTTTCGCCAACGAGAAGTGACGTCGTTTCCGCCGTAGCCTTCAGCCAACAAACATAAAAGGCGCCAACATCCCCAGGACAAAACATCATCGGCGACGATAACCTCTCACTTCTGCCTCTTCCTTCTTCATTCTTTTACTTTATAAACGAAGGCTTTCGCTGAAAACAGTTAGTTTACATTCGCAAAACCTTACTTTACTTCTTACTTTTTTTTGAGACTTCCCACCTTGCTCCTAGCTTTCTAGTGTTCGGCAGTTTCTCCACATTTTTTTGCACGTGACTTTATACTTTCGCTTTTAAACTTTATTTTCACTACTTTTACACAATGCTTGCCAAGACTTTCTTCGGTTCTGTTGTTTCTGCTATTGCCAGCGGCCTCTACTTGATGGGTAGCACTGCTTCTGCTGCTCCCTTGAGCAAGCCCACTGTGGCTCGCCGTGACGTTAACGCTACCAACTTCCCCAACATCAGCACTGGCTCTGTTGTTCTCGGTAGCGACAACACCTATGTCAACAGCTCGATCTACGACTCGTCTCTTCGTCCTCAATTGCACTTCTCCCCCGCTACCGGTTTCATGAACGACCCCAACGGTCTTGTTTATGCTAACGGCAAGTGGCACTTGTTCTACCAATACAACCCTGCTGAGCTTGCTGCTGGTAACCAACACTGGGGTCACGCCGTCTCTGAGGACTTGATGCACTGGGAGAACTACCCCGTTGCTCTTGCACCCGAGACCTTGTCTAACGGTACCACTATTCTCATGTTCAGTGGTAGCGCTGTCGTTGACAGAAACAACACTTCTGGTTTCTTCAACAACACCTCCAACGCTGAGGAGAACATTGTTCTCATGTTCACTGAGCACACTGACTACGTTGAGCAACAATCTCTTGCTTACACCACTGATGGTGGCAAGACCTTCACCAAGTACTCTGGTAACCCCGTCATTGACATTGGTTCCACCCAATTCCGTGACCCCAAGGTCTTCTGGCACCCTGAGACCGAGAAGTGGATCATGGTCGCTGCCCACTCTCAAGACTACCAAATCGGTATCTTTGGTTCCAAGGATCTCAAGTCTTGGGATGAGCTCTCCCGTGTCACCCGTGTTGGCTACCTTGGTTACCAATACGAGTGCCCTGGTCTTGCTCAAGTCCCCGTTGAGGGATCTGATGAGAAGCGCTGGGTTCTCACCTACTCCATCAACCCCGGTTCTCCCCTTGGTGGTTCCATCATGGAGTACTTCGTTGGTGACTTCAACGGTACTCACTTCGTTGCTGATGACGCTGCTACTCGCTTCGTCGACACTGGTAAGGACTTCTACGCCGGTCAAATGTTTGACAACACTGGTGATGAGGTTATTGGTATCACCTGGGCTTCCAACTGGGAGTACACCAACGATGTTCCCGCTGATCACTTCCGCAGTGCTATGACTGTTCCTCGTCGCTACAAGCTTCGCAGCGTCCCCGTGAACCCCATGTTCAACGACACTCTTCTTGTTCAAGAGTTCGTCAACACCTCCGCTGTCCATGACAAGGAGCTCTTCAACTCTCCTATCAACTACAGCAGCTCCATGAACGGTGCCCCCATCGCCGTCCCCACTGCTGGTGCCTTCGAGTTCACCGCCGAGGTCTTTGTTAACACCACTACTGGCTTGAAGAGCAACGACTGGGCTGTCATTGATTTCTACTCCAACGACACCTTCAAGTCTGAGAAGCTTTCTCTTGGTTTCCGCCCCAACGACGGTATGCTCTACGTTCGTCGTGCTGACGCTCAAAAGAGCTGGTACAACCCCCTCTTCACTGGTTCTTCCAACTCTTTCATCAGCATCCCCTCTGCCAACTCTACCACCAAGTTCCACGGTATTGTTGACCGCGGTGTCTTTGAGCTCCTCATCAACGATGGTCAACAATCCATCACCAACACCTACTTCCTTGAGAAGGGTAATGTTATTGGTTCCGTTGTTTTCTCTACTGCTCACGAGAACATTACCTTCACTAGTGCCAGCGTTGACTCCTTCAAGTCTATCTGGTAAATTTCATAACTGCTTCAAGCGTTATTTTTTGGCCTACTGGTAATTTCCCACTTGCTATATGATGTTATATCTTGGAAATTACATTAGTTTTTTGGAATGTTTAGTAATTAATACATTGATTAGACGATATCTTTAAGCGATGGCGGTGATTTGAGTAGCATTTGCGAGCTCTAAAAGTTTGCGACATTGGTTTCGCAAACTTTAAACATAGTCAGGGGAATGTCGGCGCAGCCGAAGTTGTTCGCTACCTTCTTTCGCATGTGCTCATCACGAGCCGCGATATGTTGTGAATCCAAAAGGGGATAGAAGTAGTGGAATATGGTAGTGCTGACCGGCACGGATGTTTACAGCAATATCGACATAGGGATAGAGCGTATCAATACCACGTCGTGCGAAGTAAACTCCTGTATCAAATTTTATAATGTAAGTACCTGTTTCTACGGCGTTAAGAGCGGCACTCCATTGAGAGACACGTCCATTAATGTTTGTGTTTGCATAGGCAATTGCATTATTGACATTATCTGCTCGAAATACCTGAACACGAAGATCTTGTGCCGGTCTTCCGCTCATCGTGTCAAGGACGTGTGCAGTAATTGCTGACATTTTTCTGTATCTCGACAAAGTGTGATACTGCTTTATGCCCTTTTATTTCGCGCTTTATTGTTTATCAACTATGGTTCTGTTCCCTTACTAGTTTATAACAATTTATCCCTGTGTAGGTGTCCTCCATGTATTGGTGCTGTATGCAGCTAAGTGCTTGAAACCAATAGTTGTGACGTATTATAAGAGATACGTGAGGACGTTCGATAAGCAATGTGCTGGCTTGTTTAGAAGTCTATCTATTCGAAATATAGAGATGATATTGAAATGCTTTCTCTGTAGTGACCAATGCATTGGCTAGAATTTGGTTTATAATCTTCTAAGACAGAAGCGATGAACAACAACAGATTTATCGGTTAAGTGCTTGTCAATCGTACAGAGTGAGGAGAATTTACGTCGGAACAAACGACGGGGCTGATGTACATTGGATGGTTTGGCAATTGGTATAAATATGAAGCTTCACTGGTTTTCAGCTTCCCAACTTACTTGTTGAATATTTAATTAGTCAATTCGCTCTCTCAAGTCCCCGTTACGATTTACTCTCAAAATGCCCTTTGTTAAAGACTGTGCTTATGGAAAAACCAAGGTCAAGTTTTTGAAAAAGGTCATTGATCCAAAAACAAAAGTGCATACTGTGTACGAAATGGATGTGCAAACATTACTTAAAGGTGAACTCGAAGAGTCGTACACCAAGGCAGATAACCGCTGCGTTGTACCAACGGATACGCAGAAGAACACAGTTCATGTGTTTGCGAAGAAATTTGATGTATCGGTTCCCGAGGTGTTTGCTGCGCATCTAGCCAAACATTTTGTTGACCGCTATAGTCACATTCATGGCGCTGTAATTGATGTGTCACTTACTCCCTGGGTTCGCCTGCAAGTGAATGGCACTGACCATCCGCACTCTTTTATTCGCAACCCTGGTGAGTGTCGTAAAACGCACGTTGAGTTTTCCGAAGGAAGTGGATTTGATATTTGCTCTTCGGTTAAGGATATACTTGTTCTTAAGAGCACAGGAAGCGGGTTTGTTGACTTCCATAAGTGCGAATACACAACACTGCCTGAGGTAACGGATCGTATCTTTTCGACAAGTATTGATTGCACTTATACTTTTGCGCACCAAGATACGTATGCAGCCGTAAGAACCTTTGACTATAACAGTACTTACGAAATCGTGAAGGAGATCACTCTTCGCATATTTGCTCTGGACAATAGTGATAGTGTGCAAGCTACCATGTACAAGATGGCAGTCGATGTGATTGCGGCGGTTCCCGAAATTACGGAAGTCTACTACGCTTTGCCTAACAAGCATTACTTTGAAATTGATTTGGATCCTTTCGAAGTTGCAAATCACGGTACCGACTGTACTCTTTACCAACCGCAAGCATATCCTTCTGGTTACATCACTTGCACTATCGCTCGTGACTAAAGTTTGAGAAACAAACTCAGAGAGTGAGCACTAATGTGCGGTTTCATGTATGACTTTATATTTTTCTGTAACACTAAGACTGTTGCTGCTATTGCACCGAATTTTGCTCAATATCACATATTTTATCTTTGTACAACTTAACTATAAAACTTAATATGTCAGTAATTGAATCTTGTATCATTAACATTATCATTGTTTATTGAAGGAGTCAAAAGTATAAACAATTCCAGTAAATACTGTGTAAAAACTTGCAATTACCTATTCCAGTAACTGAAAAGGCTTAACAAAGACACATACTAAAAGATTTTCGAAGTAGAATCAAGCCCGCGAATTAACGAAAAACAGTTTACATTTAATTAAATCTTTGTGTAGATGCCTCCTTTACTTGTACGGATGCCTTGACGGACAAGTGTTGCCAACTGCTCCACCGCTGAACGTACACCATCAACAATGACAATATTCGGGCCTATAGCTTCTTGAATGAGGTCGCGTAAGGAAGCAAGTACAGCTCCACCCAAGCAAACGACGTCGGCATTTAAATCGAGTACAAGTTTTCTTGCTTTGCTCACTAGTAACGAGATTCGTTCTTCCTCGGGAAGAGTGGCCAACTGTTCAACAGTAAGGCCGCTGGATTGAATACCCGCAATAATTGTTCGCGAAATCCCTAAATGCTTTAGTAACTCATATAGCATCAACTCACTGCGCTTCGTGGTTGTCAAAATACCGATACGCCTACCCACAGACATTGCTGATTGAATGGAGGCTTGAACAATACCGAGACAGGGAACGTCAAAAGACTCGCGTATCATCTCAACTAACGGTGTAGGTGAGTAGCAAGCGACTACAATTGCATCGTATGAGCCACTGAGTTTTGGGGTAAGAATATTTTGGTAAATGAGAGCTGCTGTCAAAGTTGCTTCTGTGATGGAATCAATCACGGCTGCTCCTGGCTTTGGACAAGTACAAAATTCGAGAGAAACATCGGGAGGACAACATTTAGTTAATGTTTTCTCCAGTAGCGTTGTGATATTCTCTGATGAATTAGGATTAATCACAAGGATCTGCATAGTTTTATGAGCAAAGTGGAATCAAAAGAAATGTAGTTAGGTGTCACTAACAGAGAAGTAACGGTTAATTCCTGTATTCAACGCCTCTTTAAAAAGCGATTGTGACGATTGAAACAGGTTACTCAGCTAGCTAATAAAAATGACAGCCACTTATTTCTTTCAGTACTTAATGAAAGTCTGTGCTGACGCACTTATCTTTCTCTAGTATCTAGCTGACTATTTGATATTATTCCATGAAACCCCACTCTCATTGGTACAAATTGCGGCTGAATGTGTGCTCTCTATCAATTCCGCAGTTTACGAAGCGGATGTAAGCAATATTATAGCAAAATAAAGATGAAATGTCGGTGCAAAAGTATCATTTTTAATACCGTACTAACAGCATTCGATTTAAAAATGTGTTCCCGTAAAAACTACGACTAGTCTTTTAGTTGTCGCTAAAGAGAAACCTTAATCGCCAGCTAACCTTTTTGCGACAAATCGGCCGACAGACTTGTCGCGAGCCGGTTATTAAGCACTTGATTTGACATAAGCAACCCTATACACTATGAGGTGTCAAGAGATGACCAATAACGGTAACATGCTTCAATGAACGAAACCGTTATCTTTTTCGACAACTGTAACTTCCTATTTGTTAAAAGCATTCATATTGCTTAGCGTTTTCAGCAACTATCGCTGGCATAAGTGCAGAAATCATCATGACATATACAATGCTTGTAAATTCTCTTTTATCTACTTGAGAAAAGCAAATTGCAGTGTTTGTCATCTATCAAACGGCACTAAATCTGTGCGCTTGGACCTATTGTAGCGTTAAAAAATCACGATAACTGCTGCGTTAACAAAACATCGTTTTTTCGGCTTTTTGAAGTTTATAAAATAGTGCATATTGTGTATGGCCCAACAATTATATATTCGATCGTATATTTCGAGGAATTCATAAACCCAACGCATTATAATTACCACTTATCAACTTTAAATGTCAGTCTCATCAACCACTACATTGCAATCAGCCGAAAAGAAGGTTCGTCTTAACGATTCGCTTACGAATCAGCAAGAGAAACTTGACATTGAACCCCTTGAAGGATACGACTTTGGCGCCGTTGTTAAGAACATTGATCTCACAAAGTTGACGAAAGGACAATTCCAGCAAATTGAGAAAGCTCTATTTACATTCCAAGTACTGTGTTTTCGCAACCAACATAATCTGACTCCCGAAGTGCAATTTGAAATAACACATCAATTTGACCCTGCAACTAGTACTTATGGGCACGGCGATGAAGCTCAAAAACAAGAAAATAGCATTCTACATCCTGATTTGCATACACTAAAGACCGTTCCTCAGGTCCAACTTATTGGTCATGGTCTTGTGAAAAATCATTATGGGATAAAAGAAGCACACCTTCGTCATCCTCATCACCGTACTTTTCATCGTGACCCTATAAGCCTTAAGGATGAGGCAAACGGTGTAACACGTTTCTATCGTTGGCACATAGATGCTGCGCTTTATCACTATAACCCACCGGTTGTTACCACTCTTCATGCAATTCAGGTTCCTCAAGGACCAAAACAATTGCTTCGCTACGATGATGGTACAGGAGATGAATTGCATGTGCCACTGGGTACAACCGCCTTTGCGTCAGGTTACAAAATGTTTCAACTATTAAGCGAGAAAGACAAGAAAGTTGCTGCACGCACCCGTGTTCAATACTTTCCCCACCCTTACATTACAATTTCAAATGCGAAGGCTCTTCCAAATGGTCTGGGCATGTATACAGATGGTCTTGAATTACCCAAGGCAAAACTTCCTGAATGGAGTGAAGACAAAGTGAAAACTCTTCCTCTACTATGGAAAAATCCAGTGACTGGAATGCTCGCACTCCAAGTACATGCATGCTGTGCGGAAAAATTGCTTATTGACAATGATGATGGCACAACGACCATTATTGACGATTTGTCTAAAGTGCGCGAAATTCTGTATAATTACCAAAGACCAGGAATTGCTCCGAAACTTGTATACTGTCATGACTGGAAAGCTGATGACTTTGTTATATTTCACAATAGGGGCCTAATTCATTCCGTTGTTGGAGTCTTCAAGGATGACCAAACTCGTGTATTTCATCAATGTAACCTTGCTGCTTCTCATACTCCAGAGGGTCCTTCTGATTAACTGGAAGTAATTTGACATGTGTTTCAATATTTTTTTGCAACGATTTCTTATGTTTAATTATTAATAATTTATTTATAATTTGCTTTCGAATTTAGTTGGGGGATTATCGAATCCTTTAACATTTGTTAAAGGTATAAGCTAGACATTAATTGATGACATAGATATTATATCACACAAAACCGTAGGTATATTCCAGTAACTTTTTTTTTTACAAACCAAAAATACATAAGCAAAGTATAACTACTGAATTTATTAGCCAATTTCAGTTTGGACTAGGACAAAAAATCCAGAAAAACATATTGAAAAGGGCGGGACTCGAACCCGCGAGCTTTCGCACTAGGGATCCTCTTGTGAGAACCTAAACCTAGCTCCATAACCACTCGGACACCTTTCCTTGCTGTTGTTTTGTTGGTATTACAATATCTACTTATATTAATTGATTTAGTATTTGAAATATCAATTTCGTTATCAGCTTCGTACTATGAACGAACAAACGAGCTTATTAGAAAATTCGGAAAACGATAATGATTCTTCAAGGAAGTTGCTTCGTTCTTTAACGCAACGTCAGATATTTATGCTGACTCTGGGTGGTACCTTAGGGACAGGCCTGTTTTTGGGAACAGGCAGTGCTTTGGCAAATGCTGGTCCTGCATCTATGGTTCTGTCTTATTGCAGTTCTGGACTTATTGTATATTTAACAATTCTCGCCCTTGGCGAAATGACCGTCTATTTACCCGTCGCTGGTTCATTTTGTACATTTGCTTCCCGTTTTGTAGATGATGCTTTTGGATTTGCACTAACATGGAACTATTGGCTAAACGATGCTGTTTCTGTGGCAAACAACGTACTTGCTGTGAAGCTGTTAGTTTGGTACTGGATTGAGAAGCCAAAATCAATGTCCGAATCCATATTCGGAAATGGGTCTTCAGCATTAGCCTTTCTCTCCATGATATGTCTCAACTTATTGCCCGTGCATCATTTTGCAGAGTTTGAATACTGGCTTTCTCTTATAAAATTACTAACTGTTGGACTTTTTAACATTGTTGGAATATTGGTAAACCTCGGACTAAACTATAAACGTAACCGTATAGCTTTCCGCTACTGGAAAGATCCAGGTGCGTTTAATAACGGAATGCTTGGGTTTGCATCTAGTTTTGTATCTGCAGCATTCACTTATGGAGGCATAGAATCCATTGCATTGACGAGTGGAGAAGCAGCAAATCCACGCCGCTCGATAACAAGAACACTTCGCTACACAGGACAGCGACTACTTGGACTTTATGTCCTTACAAGTCTTGTACTAAGTTTGGACATCCCTTACGACACTCCTGGCTTGAACGAGCGAACAGTGCACCACTCACCGTTTACATTGGTCTTTCAATTGGCTGGTTTCAATAAGGCGGCGTCATGTCTTAATTTTGTAATATTAAGCTCCGCTCTTTCCGCCGGAAACCATGCTCTATATGCGGGAACGCGACTGCTTTACACACTAGCAGAAGCTAATCATGGACCACGCTTTTTATCATTATGTAATTCTCGGGGAACCCCTTGGGTTTCAGTGATACTGACTAGCTGTTTCTCCCTTGTTTGTCTGTTTTCAGATAAAATTGGTGCTGGTATTATCTGGTCTTGGCTATTAAGACTCGTGGGAGTAAGCAATCAGATAGCATGGATATCTATTGCCATTTCTAGTTTGCGTTTTCGAAGGGCTTTAAAAGTGCAAAACAAGGAAAACAGATTGAATTTCAAGAACTGGACGTATCCATGGGGTCCAATACTCGTTATTGTTTTTAATATTGTTGTTCTTTTTCTTCAGGGTCTTGAATCTCTCCAGCCGTTTCAATTCATTGCGTTCTTGTCTTACTACATTGAGGCATTTCTGTTTATTCTCACTTTTTTCTACTGGAAATTCAGGACGTGTACCAGTATTATTCCGCTGAAAGAAATGGACTTGGAAAAGGACTGTGTTTATTAAACTTGTATTATTATGTAGATATCTGTATAAATAAGGCTTTTAATTAATGTTCAGTTATTATGACGGACACGTGCTGAAAAACGTGCAAGAACATTTATATAAAAATACATCGGAATAAACCCGTACCACAACAAACACAGCTGAAAAGTGAGCCTTTTCCTTGTTATGTGCTCTGCAAATGCAGATAACCCATTTCTTGGTCATACGATCATAAAGGTTTCCCCATAATGATCTGGATTCTATCTTTGCGTTTGTATCCCTCTTTGATATGAAAACGACTTTGTTTCATTGTTATAACAAACGTCTTCGAAAGCCTCAGTAAAGACGTCAAAGTGAGCCTGGCACGCGCAAAACTCGTGCGCCCCGATTCGACTCGTGTGCTCTCCACCTAAAAAGCCATCTTAAAGATGCCTCGGGTAATTTTACGAATCGTAATTTAATCAGAAAATGCCGCAAAAAGGAACTTGCCCGGACAAATCAGAGGAGCGAAAAGGTCTCGTTATGACCTAACTCTAACATTGCCGACAACATGTGCTAGATTACCTGATGATATGCTCGATTCGATGTCTCTTCACCCACGATCATTGAATTTAGTAAGTTCGACGCGAAGCTATCACAACATTAGCGCCTTTAATGTCGACAAAGCATGGGAAGAAACTTGCTGTCAGAGATTATGTGCTGGTGAAAAAAAACTTTATTCTGATATAGACAAATGATACAGTATAAAGTTGGGGGTCTTTTATTGTCTGGACATTAGTTCCCTGATACTGCGTCACAAAAATTTGCAATCACTGTTGGCTGACGGAAATTGCCATTTGATATAGACATTTGTTGCAATTTTTAGGCATCTCCTACAGAGTTTTCTGGCTATATAATTACGAAAGTGTTCCGTCCTTAGGCCATCTTCAATTAAGTTTGCTTGTTTCGGTCTCGGAAGCATTCTGTCATACATTCACAAGTAATTAAGGGATTGACAAATACACTAGCACTCGAACGGGGTTTCGGCCAATTTAGTTGCTTCAAGCGTAAAATATGTCCAGTGCTTTTATTGTTGGCGATTCGGCGCCTGAATATTCGGAAGCAAAGAGTTCTACTGAATCAAAGCTGAAATCCGGAGTTGAAGTCCACTCTGAAGTAGGTAGCGATGAGGGCGAATTTGTTGACTTGAGTAAGGTCGATGCAGCTTACGAGTTGCTGCGAGAGGCCGAGAGTCTTGATCCCATAACTCCTAAGGAAGAAAAACGCCTGAAGTTCAAACTTTACACCTTTGTCTTTGGTCTTGTCTTCATCATTGATTTAATGCTCTTTATTGATAAGGCTACTCTAAGTTATGCAAGTATTTTGGGATTGTTTGAGGATGCACACATCAATTCGGACCAGTACAACAACATGAACACTATCTTTTACGTTGGTTACATTATTGCCCAATGGCCTGGCCATGTATTGATGCAGAAATGTTCTATGAGAAAGTATGTCAGTTTCACTATTTTCACATGGGCAGTCATTATCTTGGTCCATTGCGCAGCGCGGAATTATGGCGGCCTCATGGCTCTTCGTTTCTTCCTTGGTGTCGTTGAGTCTTGCTTAGTGCCTGCTATGGGAAGCTACAATGTCTATGTTTTTCACCCTTGAGGAGCAGGCCCTGGTGCAACCCATTTTCTGGGTCTCCTGTTTGGGAAGCAACATTCCTGCTGGTTTTATTGCCTACGGTGTGCAATACATTAATTCAAGTCTTCATCCTTGGAGAATCTTTATGTTCATCACCGGTGGTTTCACATTCTTCCTCAGTATCTGGGCCGTTTTCTACTATCCCGACAACCCTATGACAGCCCATTTCCTTACACGCACAGAACGCATTCGCATCATTGTTCGTGTTAAGGAGTCAACCAAGAGCAGTATTGAGCAAAAAGTCTTCAAGAAGGAGCAATTTTATGAAGCTTTAAGAGATCCAATTTCCTGGCTGTTTGCCGTGCAATCTTTTACGCTGATGCTTTCCAACAATCTTGCCTATCAACAGAATTTGCTTTTCACAAGTCTCAATATCTCGAACCTTAACTCAACTCTGGTTGGTGTCGCCAGTGCTGGTTTTGATATTGTCTGCTGTATCATATCGACTTTCCTTATGAGCATTTTCCGCAGTCAAAGTGCCATCTTTGCTTCGTTTTGGTGCTTGCCTGCTATTGCAGGTGGTATTGTAGCTGTCGCTTTGCCCTGGTCAAATAAGTTGGGCATTTTGCTGGGTATCATTTTGGCTTCTCCATTTGGCATTACCTATATCATTGCACTTGGTTGGTCTATGTCTTCGACGGCTGGATACACAAAGAAGCTTACCCGAAGTGCAATGTATATGATCGCTTATGCTGTTGCCAATATTATCGGTCCTCAATTATGGCAAAGCCGCGACTCCCCACGTTATTATCCTGCTTGGATCGTTCAAATTGTTGTCGCTTGGACAATTACACCGATTATTTTGTTTGTCATTCGTTTTATTCTTGCTCGTCGTAACAACGAACGTCGCGCACTGCAAGCCGAAAAAGCAGAGGCAGACAACAAGATGTTTGTCGACGCTGTGGACAAGAATGGCAATCCTATTCGGACCGAAATCGATGTCACAATGTTGGATTTGACGGATTTAGAAAACAAGAAGTTCATCTATCCACTTTGAAAAAACAGGCTTCTCTATTTATGCTGTATTGAACATTTATATGAGTTTCTCGTCACTTGCCATTTCCGCATTTATTTAATACGTCCAGGCTGTACAGATTTTTTTAAGAGCTGGTTCTTAAATTCTGGACGAAGTTTGTGTCGCCATTGTTAATATCCGTGTATATTTTTTATGACACAGGCGAGCCCGTTATTCTTATGCTCCTTCATTGCATTGGCGCTCCTTGTACCTTTTAGAGAAAGATGGTATACTAGTTATTGCCAACCCAATAATAGCACATTCATTTAGTTTCTTATTCATCTTTTTAGACGTGCAAAGTGCAAAGGTGTGCAGTTCTGCGGTTTGTTTTGCCAAGGGTTCAGTTCATACATTATCCGTTTTATTCGTACACTATTAAGTGATTTAGTGGTTAGCAAAAAAGGCATAAACAATTCCAAACGCTTGAGATTTGATGCGTTTGTGATAATTCTGCTTTTGTACGTACCATAGATCAAACTGTAAAACAGCGTCCATGTAAGAATGTAAGACGATAGACCTCCCAATAAATCTGAGAACCAAAAATTTAAGCCTGAGTGATGATACTCGGACAACTGACACTTCATTTTGTAGACAAATAAAAGTGTAGAAACAAGCAGAGAAGACAAAAAATAGAAAATAAAACCCTGGTACGAAGTTAAACCCAAGATACCAGCCGTACAGCCAAATATGGTGCAGGAGACATTTCTGACAAATGTAATAGACTAATTGGGTTAGAGCTTGTTGAGGTAGAAATTAAATACCTTTGAATTATGTTGCTGACTTGCTGGAGAAAGAGGGTGTATAACTTGTTCCATTGTAGTATTAATCGTCTTACGCCTTTAGATTATGTGTTTCGTCTCTGTTCTACTACTTTCAGGGCGTTTTTACTTTGGCACTTTTAGTGGAGTAAAACAAGCACTCGCTAAGGCTTATGAGAGTAAACCCAATGAAGACCTGAGGCCTAAATTCTGTAATAAAAAGATAACGAATCGTAGATTGGAGTACCAAGTGAAGTAGAGAAAAAATAATTTCTTATTTTAAAGTTTACCGTCAAGACATATATTTATATAGATATACTATTTTTTTTTAGATATGAAGGGTACCACACATTAGAAGCATGCCGTTCATGAATTAGATGTGCTCAGAAGCTCAGAAGCATTTTGATTAAAACGTCAAACACGATCTCAATCTCGATAAAAGAGCGCAGTGTTTGGATTGACTTGTTGTAAGCTTGAATACTAGTCCCAATTGTTAGAAGGTGAAAACAAGAAGACTTGATGATATAAATAGGAAATCACTTACATCCTTTTTAGAATCGTAATTTAACCATCGATTGTAAGGAAATATGTGCCGGTTTTGCAAGTAATGCGTTTTTTCAACAAGACGAGGGATATATTGCTGTGCTGGTTAGACATCTATAAGAACATAGTGCAACAGATAAAAACCAGCTTATAAGAGCAGAACTTACATTTGGAAGATGCTGCGTAATAGTTTCTTCCGCACTCTTAGCCGTATACAAAGAGAAATCGAATATAAGTCCATTTGGCCCTTCGGACTTATTAATATAAAAGCTGTACAATTCATGATGCTAGATGGAAATGTTAGTATATACTGAAAAGAGCTTAACCTTAAGGCACTTACATGAGAAATTATTAAGTCGCCCATAACAAATAAAAACTTGTCAACGTTTAAAACTCGCCGCAATTCAGGTATCTGATCTTTCATGGACACAATAATTCGACCAATTGAGTCTTTCATTTTAACTTTGACATACGACCGTCTGTTGGTTCCATTGAAGAAAGCAAAAGGCAAAAAAATAATTTTCTCTTTTAACTCTTCTTGTTCCTTAATCCATTTTTTCCGCAACTCCTCCCGTTTTTTTAATTCTTCAATTTCACGTTCTTGATCTGGCAGGAAAGATGTTTCCACAGTAGGGTCTCGTCTTATAGATCGTTTTTTTGGTACGACTACAGTCTGATCTTCCTCATCTTGAAAAGTAAAAGATAATCCAGGTTTAACAGAGCCTTTTTTCCTTTTAACCGATCGGTCCTCTATACCTTTTTTACTTTACGAGGTTAGTATTATTTGTATGAACAATTTTTGCTTACGAAAAAAAATGTCCGTCTAAGGCTTTTTTGTCCCTCTTCTCTACGATTGTCTGTTTCAGCTTTTTGTACTCATACAGACTAACTAGTCCAGTGGTTTTTTCTTGTAATATCTGATGAAAATCTTCAGATACACTGTTCTCTTCTGTCATGGTAGTTTGCAAATAAATTGCTGCTGACGGCAATATTTCACATTAACTTTACAGAAATCAAATCAAACGTAGGTAATTACATATGAAATTTAGGGGTTCTTGTGTGAGAAGATGCATCAATGGATTAGTATTCATTATTTTTCGTTAGTAAAACTGTACAGTGTAGTAGTCAGTATGATCGACAAAACAGTATCAAATAAAAAGCAATGTTTGAACCCAGACACTGTAATATTTAAATCTAAAGGTCCCTTGAGTTATGTTTGCCTCTGAATGTCTGAACAGTATTCGCAATGCCAAACTTTCGCCCCGTTTCGATGACCAGGAAACGTGTTAATGGTTCGCTTCTCCAGTAACTACTGTGCGCTGAAAGCATAGAAAGGTATTTACTTTTGATAAGCCCTGTGTTCTCAACAAACACATAGTCAAGTTGAGCGTTCTCATTCAGTTCTTGAAGCTGCCAGAGTGCCCGTCTTTCCCTACGAAAGTCACGAGTTTCAAGTTCAAAAAAGGAGTCATCATCCGTGCTTTCAGCTTGAAAAGAACGAACGTCTGGAGTTTCTACTGCCTTTGCTGCAGCATGAGTGACCAAATCAGAATCTGTATTAGATCTCGACTTCCGGATCAGTTGAAGTAAGCCCGTGTTTGTTTGTGGATTAATATCCGTAGGCAGTATACCTTTGGAGTAAGACGCATCCACTGTCGGATTCATCCGCAAAGCAACGGCTAAATATGGTTAGCTATCGAAGATGAAGATTTCTGTAAACTTACGATCATAAAAGTTGTATATGTTGTAAAAACAGTCAACAGCAAGGCAACCATACAAGTCATTTCCTTCATGAACATAATACCCAGGAACATTTTTTCGAGTATATTTAGAGTTGTTTGAAAAACGGCTTGTTCCTCGTCCCTTACGAGGAATGAGTGATGCCTGATTTAATAAAAGGAAGAAACCAACAGGTGCACCTAAACAAAAAAACCCAGTGGTATCAAATTTAAAAGAAATCTCAGGAAGCGTTTCGACTTCTTTGACAAAAGTTGGTTGCCTAGAAAGGATGTCAAAAACGATTGCAGAACCAAGAGAATGGCCGATGATGTAGCAACGACCTTTTCTTTCGACAAAATCGGGATTGCATTCACACCAACGATCATAGATACTGTTAATCTCTTGCACTACAGACTTAGTAATGGCGCCCTTATAGTGAGACATGTAATAAGGAATGTCGCTCATCACGTCTCCAATGATTCGGCGAACCGATGGAATGCTTTCAATTTCAATATCCTTTAAATTGAAGAGGTTGAGGTCAGGATCTACCTCTTCACTTATATAATTGTGATAAAAATCGAAATGAATTTTCGAACGCCAATTGACCGGAAGAACCTGTGGCTCAAAGTCTTCACGCATGAGCGGGTCATGTCGCAGATTAACCTTTTGACGCTGTATTAATGAGCGAAACACAGAGCACGTTTTGGTAAAAAGGTAACGCTCCTCTGTTCCGTGTTAGATCAAATGTCTTCTCCATGAAAATACAATCATCAACATACCGCTTTCAGATCTTTTTTGTCCAATTCCATGAACGACAAAGAACAAGTCCGATACAACCAAGGGTCGCTTTCGGTCTTCTGTCCCGTTTTCCTTACAATGCCGCATAATGGGTATGCCTGAAACATTGGATTTCTTCGATGGCGTTCCTTTTGTAAATATTGACGAAATACCCCCCTTACATAGCAATGCTATATAACCATCTTCGTAATGAATGAACTGATTTGCACTCTTTGGTTCCAGGTACCAACGCGGTTTCACATGAACTTCACGACCTCCAACTGTTTTCGTCGCAGACAGCCTACGATTGACCTTTTGTTGCCAATTAGTCCTCCAAGGGAGAAAATATTGATAACCGGTTTCGACTTGCTCAGCCAATTCAGCAGCTAATGGCAATTGTGATTCAGCATAAACCCAAAGCCCGCGTGAGACGGCAAGAGTATCAGTACTACTTGTGCTTGCCCAGTACAACGGCTTCAATGTTAATGTCGGAATATTTACAACATGAAGGCGAGAGACACCAACAATGACCTAATTGACTTTGTTAGTACTAAAAAGAGATAGTAATTGACACCCAAGACATACATTTTTGGCATTAACATCTGTTATAAGCTTCCTGTTCACTTCATCAAATTTGATTTCTAAAGCCTCATTATCATAATTAGAAAATCTTCTCCAATGCGACCTTCCTTTTGATTCCCCAATAACCGTCTCGTCGTATAGATCAAATTTGCTCAAATAAAACCACTGGACTCTATGCTCTGGCTCTAATTCGTTCTCAAAACCATTTTCTTGGTCCATATACGTCCGTGTTTAGTTTAACTAGAAGAACAAAATAAACGAGATAGGTGATACTACCGAAAAAAGTTATACTAGCGTCTGCAAAAGTGAAAAGCAAACGATTTGCGTTACTCAAGCAACAAAATTACAATGAAAACACGATCACACACCGAGAAGAATACTCATATTTTAAGTACCGTAAGGCTCCATTCGCAAAACAACGATAAAAATAAATTACTTTGGATGATATACTACCTAATTTATATATGATAATAATAATAATCAGGTTTGTTTATGACCAGACGCCAGTATAACGCATTTCATCTCATTAAACTCTCGGTTCATAGATCCAAATATAGTAAAGACGGGACACATTAGTTAAGGGACTGCCGGAACACGAGTTGGGTGTTCCTGGAAAAACTGGCTTGCAATATATCAACTGTTTAAAAGCTCCCAATCTTTTTTGTGCCCACAAAGTTCTGAAATACGGAACAACTGTGAGCTTGGGAATGAAAACATTGTAGCGTGATACAAAGTAATAGACACGCGCGACGACAATGCAAATGTTTTTATCGACAGCAAAAACACAACCAATCCCTCCAATTTCGTAAGACCCACTTTTTAGAGATGCTTAAATAGAATCCCAAATGAGAAGCCTCAGAGAAAACAATTAACATAAGTGTTGAGAAAACTAATCCTCGCAGCTTCGCAAATCTAACCTTCCCACGAAGGATTCAGCGATTCAGGAAATCCATAACCATACTGGCGTTGCGCATAGCCTGGTGGTGAAAAGGGAGTAGAAGTGTTAGATTGGGTAGCATTAGAAAAACCAGGAGGTGCATATACCATTCCCGAATCTGGCATATTACGACCATAAACACCTGGCGACTGGATGGGTGCAGCTTTCCCGTAAGGAGAGTAAACGGGCGCATTGTTGGCGAAACCAGGAGGTGGTGGAGGCACCTTGGATTCCGCAGTCATAAGCGAACGGAAGAACATAACATCTTCTGAACTCAAAGTATGACCTCCAAGTCCGGGAGGTGGGGCAATGTTAGCTGGTGCGGCAGGGGCCAATTGAGCGTTATTCACAAGAGGCGAATTTGATACGCTATTTGATTGACGACCCAACATTGCGAGAATGCGTTGGAAACCCTCCGCGTCCTTTTCCGTCTGTTCGTTTCCCTGTTCCCGGGGACCCTTCGAAGGAGGAGCGGCTGCCTTGGGTGCGACACGAGGTGATGCAGGTTGAGAGACCACCGGAGTTCCAGGTTTGGAATTAGTAGCACTACCAGGCACGTTGAGCCCGTTGAAAAACTTACTGAAACGGGAAGCAGGCATGGCACTTGGGCCGGGAACGGCCGTTGAATCAACGCTCAAAGCGGGTGAACCGTAACGCGGTGGAGAATTCAAAGGAGTGGCATTGGTACTTGCATTCTGTCCATTCAACCACTTGCCAAACATAGAATCCACACTCACCAGCCCAGGCCGTGCAGCGGAAGGAACAGGTGTGGAAACACCTGAATTGGGTGCGGTAGAAGCCACTGAAACTGCTCCCGAACCCATTTTAGACAAAGGTGCCTTTTTTCCAGGACCGGTGCCACCTGCCACGTTTTGTCCTTTCATCATTTTTTTCCAAGCCTCGAACTCCTCCAGTGAATGTGCTGAAGGAGCCGCACCAGAACCAGAAGTTCTACTTTTATGTGTTTTCTCCAAAGTTTCTCGTTTTTCGTGATCGTTGGCACGGCGTCGACTAGTGTGTTTATTCACATTCATCCATGCTCCGACGCCATTGCCGTTGTTCGTGCCCAATCGTGAGCCCGTGGTAGCACCACGGAATCGTGAGCCTGGTGGTGTGTATGTGCCTCCTCCCGCAGAAAGAGCATCATCACTCTTATTCACGGTACGACCGTTCTCACTGCTACTAGCAAAGCTTAGTTTTGGCGGGCCAAGAACAATATCATCATGCCCTTTTGCAATGGTTAGTTACAGTACTTTTTTTTATCAACCCGAAGACTAGGACACATACTCGATTTGGCGTATTTTCGTTCGAATTGTTTCGAATCATCATCATTTCTGGAGCAAAGCAATCGTCAGCATCTTCTTCATCAACCCCCAATTTAACACATTTTCATACTTCTTATACTCTTTTTCCTGACGAAAATGCCGTTCTCTGTCAGCCTTTATGACCTCAGGCCTGGATTAAATTGTTAGCAGAGTCTTCTGATAATAAAGCGCGATGAAGCGTTCATTGCGCGTATGCTTACAGAATCCATTCGGGTATGTCATTAGGTTTTTTCACAAGTGAGGATTTTGATAAATAAACTAGATCTTCCACAGTATATTGGAGTACCTCAGCCATTTGTTTTTGTTGGAAGTGCACGTTGTGGCAATGGGTAACGGCAAATGAGCCTGTAGGCAGGAGAGAATGCAAGATTGGTGTAGAGTTTCAGGATTGCGAGAGTTGTTAATTCTCGTTAAATAGAATACAGAGAATTATCGTGCTCAATTCAAACTTAGGATTTTGCGTTATTGTTTTTAACGCGCTTTAACGAAACGTACCGACCTAACAATCCTATTATTTACTCTACTCCTGGTAGACGACACGAACTCTCTGCAAATATAATGGAATCCAACGCGTCAACAATTTCGGGAAACTACAAAGCCTCTGTATTTGAACCCATAACACCTGTTGTAAACAGTGTAGAAGGCAAACATCCTTTGGAACAGCGACTTGCTGGTTGGGAACAAAAAGAAACACAAAAGCGACTCGGTATGATGCGCCGTATTTACGGTATTCACGAACCCGTAAGACGTGAAATTGAAAACAAATTTGCTTCTCAGGTACGTTGTTATCGTCTTAGGTTGCTTGTTTTCGCTGCTTTTTGTGAAGAAATCTATACTTAACAAAACAAAGAAACATTTCTGTCCAGAGACATGTGTTAAGGTATTTTGTTATCAACTAACACGAGTAGGACTTTAGACCTTTGGCTTTAGGAGGTCCCACATTACTGCATCAAGAGATTCTTGCAGGAAAAGAGGCGTCTGTCGATGAGACCGACATCTTCGTCACTCCTGCCCCTATGGAAATGACTTTGCAAAACGAAATGTCATTGCGTTACGGATTTTAATGAAACGGACTCCTGTATTTTAGACAGTTCATCCAAATAGTTTTTAACCAAAAAGTTTCTAGAAAAATTGAAGAGAGAGTAACCAAACCAGAGATGTTTTTTTAAAGCGTACATGCATGGGTAATTTTGATGCTTAGAGCTGCATTTTCAAATTAAACAGCAATAAACCTTTAAGCAACGCCTGTGAAATTACCGGGTTACTTTCCCTGAAGGCATGAATTCACAGAGAGCGAGAAGGGCATTGTGTTCGAGCATAAGAGAACCTCCTCCGAGCGCTTCGACTTGGAGCAGTAATTTTTCTACACATCCAGATATCTCATTGTTAGCAACCGAAGTTTGCATCAATGTCATAAGTGTCTCGAAGACGTGTCTCCGAACATAAGCACGCAAATCGTCAGCAGTACGTAAACCTCTTAACAGCAAGCGAAGCAACCATGTAAGACGTTTCGTATAATCAGAAGCAGAGTAAAATAGTTCGTAGTACATGGGAATATCCGACAAGTCAATTTGCTGGCGCTGTAAATAGAATTTGTTCACACCCTCGTACAGCAAATGCGAAGGTCGCATCATAATGGCCCAAACTGTTGGCGTAAAAAGCTGACATTAGCGTTGTCATACGCTCGCCCGATTCTTGATAGTTAAAAAGAAGACTCGACAGCACAAGTTTTAGTTGAGGCTTCTCATACATTTTCATGTCCTCCAACGTTATATACACATGACGGAGAAGGTTCAAAGAGAGATCCCTATATTGTATATCATAAACCGCGAGAAGCATAATTGCAATACCGAGAATATTGTTTGAGACAAGGGTCTGGATAGTTGATGCTTGATTGCTGTTTTGAAGGATATAGGCGAGCAAACTTAATGCATAAACGGGATGATAAACACGTTCATTCCAAAGATAATCCTCAGAAAGCAAAAGCGCGTCAACTGTTTTTTCGCCTTGCAAGTCATCGATATGTAAAACAGAGAATCCTGAAGGAAACTCATCCAGAGTTTGTTTAGCTACCATGGGCTCAAAAATAGCTTGCTTGTCTTTCCTGCAGATTTTGATAATTTCGACCTCATCTGTAGCAGTCCATCCATTGAAACAGGAAGCAACGCTTATCCGAGACTGTTCTTCCATCCAACGAAGGGTGGAAAGCAACATTGAATCATGCAAGGTGTAACGACCCTGACACAAGAGCATAATTTGGTTCATCATCGAAAAAGATGAGGCATGCGAAGTCAAAACAAGTTTACTGATAATGGCAGCAACCAAGGCCTTGTGTTTCTTAGTTGAAGTATCAAAAAGCAACGGGTTTTCTTCTGAGGCTAGTATTATAGCTAAAAACTTCGAAGCCTCAAAAGGTACACCCTCATTCATATACACAACAGTGAGGAAAACATTCGCTACCTCTTCGCGTGCAAGGTGCTTAAGTGAGGCTTCCAAGAAAGAATTTAGAGTACTCACCAAAGTTTTATTTATTAAAGCTGCTTGATTGAGGTTTAAGTACTCCAAGAAACCACGAACAGTTTCAATATCAGTATCCGAGAGGTAACCGTTTTCTGAAAAGAAACGTGTAAACAATTGTAACAGTTCATTATAAGTAGACTTTAGAAGCTCAGCATCTAGATCAGGCTCTTTTCTCTGCAAAAGTATTAATACTTTGAGAGTACTTTGAGTCAACGTTTCCGAGCACAGGCAATCACGAACTATTTTGTAGAATTCCGTTCCATTAAAATTCGAGTTTTTGGCGTTTGAAAGAAAAGAGGGAAGAACTGACATAATACGTTTATCAGTAGGTAATTGCTCGAATAGTGTTCGGACAACTTCTAAGGACCAGGTATTTATGCCTTCCACAATCGTTTGATCACGTACCGGTTGTTCCAATAACCCAGAATAAAGCAAGTGATGTTTCAAGAGGTTTGTTTTTCGGAAATCATCTGGAAGCTGTATTATCCCATTCCATAATGCCATACGGAATTGCTCAGAAAGACCGCTTAGCTTTATGAGAATACCGATTTGTTTGTCGGTCATATCTTCTCGAATGAACTCTGCAGCAAGGGGCACTAGCATGCTTGCAACTTCATCCACTTCTGAGAAATGGGGGAAAAGTGCAGTAACAGCATCAATTAGCACCGTATTTAATAATAGAGATGCTTTAATAAGTGTCGCGATTACAGAAGCACCATAAGTGACATTCTGTACAGATACAAGTCTGAGGAAGTATTGACTTAATATACCCGCCGTGATAGGGCAATCTTCAAGAAAGTGCTCTGAAAGAACATGCTTCTCAACAGTATCATGCAGCTCAATAATCACATCTTCGCTACAGACATTCATCATAGTACACAATAAAGAAAGAGTACTAGAAGAAACATCGTTAAATGGGCATGATAAAAACGTGTAAACTTGCTTTATGGCAAGGTCAGTGACATAATATGTTTCTGGAACCAAAACAAGCTCCTTGAGTATTTTTGAATAGTAGAACGACACTTCATCAGAAACGAGAACATAATCGCTCAGGTAAACAGAAGTCAAGCCAAGACTTTTAATAGCGTTTTGTGACTTAGTGGAAGGACGTTTTAGCAAAACTCTAAAAACACGTAGCAGGAGTTCGATAAGCACAGAGGAAACAGGTGATTTTTGCTTAATAGAGACAGATACTCGCATTTCCAAAATCAAGTAGTGAAGCTCATTTAAGTAAGCCTCGTCAACAGCATTTGATGACAAAAAGCTACAGAGTTCGTTTTCGTCAAGTTGAAGAAGCTGACCAGAAAGGGAATTTGATTCGGGCATCTGAGTATCAAATAGCCGCTTTTCGCTCAAAGCAGTTAATTGTCTACCAAGAGACTGAAGCCTGTTAAGAAATTTGTTCTCACCCTGCGCAAGATTTGTTTCCAATGAAGATAGTAAGTGAAGTATGCACTCGCATGATTCACCAACAATCACAACGTCCTGCAAGAAATTAAACGTCCAATTCAGAACATATTCCTTGGCTTCTTTCGTCCAATTTTGGTTGGCTAACTTGTAACCAAGTTGCTCAATTATAACACAAGTAAGAGGAGAGAGTTTAGGAATACTAGTTGGATCACTAGTTTTTCTTACTGTGTTGAAAACGGCAACGCAGGTATCTAGTTGTCTATATATTTTTGAGGTACAGCGCTGAATGCAATCATTTAAGAAAGAAATGGAATCGCTGCGAGCATCTATGGGCAACCTTTCTAAGGAGTCGAGAATAAGTAACGTATTGTCCACATAAAGCGCTTCAGAAAACAATGGATAATCTGAAAAAATAACGGAAATAGTAGCGCTAATTGTTTGTCGCATTTGCAATGAATCCGTTCCAAGGTAAAGCGAGCATAGGTATGAGAATATTGAATCATTAGCTTCCCACCATCGAACTTGAGGGAGCTTACTGAGAAGTTTTATGCCGTTTTGTGTATTATTGTAAACAAACTTATTTGTCAACATGTCTCCGGAAACACTAGTATCTAAAACCATTGTACCATCGACCTTTAGTTTCATGATACCTTCAGGCAGTAAGTCGAAATACATGCAAAGAAGTTCCGAAAGAGCTTCCTTAAGAAGGAGTGTCTTTGCTGAAAAGAACGTCTGAAAGAGGGATTGTGCATCAGGGAGACGACGGAGAACTGCGTCGGAGAGTGTAGATTTTAGTTTCAAAAGCTCTGTATGACTTTCAATCTCTTTTTTGGCTATAAACAGAACATTTTTAAAACGCTTCAAAATAGCAATCAAGATATTGCACGTGAGAAAAGACGAAAGCTCATTTCCGCCATTCAAACACCGCAAAACAGAAGGTTTAGGAAAACCATTTGGAGCGATGTTCTCAACTATTACATTCATGTTCGCAGGCTTTCTAGAGGAAGGAGACAAGAAAGGTGAAGGAATAGGAAGTGCAAGAATCGATTGCAAAAAGCCCATGTATGATATGAATTGAAAGGTTAAGACGGAATCACCTGGAAAGTTCATGCGTTGAAGATAAGCATATGTAATATCCGGACAGACACTGAGGACCTTTAGGCACAAATCCTGTTGTAGTGGATCAGTAAGAACATGCAACTGAGGCAGAAAAGCCAACAAAACCCGGTTGTACACCGAGCTGTTAGATGTTTCCGTTTTTGCGGGACTGTGCCAGCCAACAGATTCGAAGCAAATGCCTTGGTTCGGAATTGTACACAGACGTTCATAAAATTCGTGCACATATTCACGCAAAGTTTTCTCGCCTAAAGTTTCCATTCTAGAGTATAGAGGAAGCATTGTTCCAAGAACCCACTCATTGAAAAAGGAGACCTTTGCGCTACGAGATACGGAAGAGTCATCAACAATATGTGTGAGGAAACATTGTAGCAACTGTTTAACTATAACAGCTTCATCATTAGTAACACCCTTTAAAAGAGGTGTGACTAAAGAATGGGTTTTCATCAGCTCCATCTTTGCTTCAGCAGTCAAGTATCGAAGCAAGGAAATGAGAACCTGTATAAATGCAGATCGCTTTTTGGACACAGCAATTCTAGATTTTTTTTGACGTATGTTCCCTTGTTGAGTTGCAGCTTGAAGCATCTTAGTAAAAACTTTATTATGCCATTCGAAAGCCTGATAGACACGAGCACAGGCGAAACCATTATTCCATTCTATCATAGACTTTAACAACGCAAGCGTATGCAACGGCGAATGTGATACTAGGTTGCGATACACCAACTTGCTGTGTTCATTTAGTATTCCGTCAATAAGACTCAAGGCATTTTGGTCAAAAGCAAGTTTGTCAAAAATGATTGACAAATGAGCAGGATTCTCCGCCAAGGTTGAGCTTAAGTTGAGCAATTCTATATTTTGTTAGTTAAAAGTTAAATAGCACCATCCTTACCTTCATTAATGTCAATTGCAACATCCTCTGACATTTTTAAACGGCGTTGGTAGGAACTGGGGAGTGAAAATCCACTACAGCAAAAATAGTCCACACATTGAAGTCTGATCCCAAGTGACTTAAGATGCTCGAGAGTTAGCCATATTTTTGTCTCTGTCTACTGCATAGAGGATGTAGAAAGCAGTTCTGCTATAAAGTGGAAAGAAGATATTTGGTTTTGTCAAAAGTCATTACTTTAAATACAGACTGGTAAATTCCGTGTAATTATTGCTTAAAGACATTGAATGGAATGTTATATATATTACAAATTTGCTTGTTCGTTTATTTTAGTCTGTATACGATAACAGTCTGTTAAACCGAATTTGAAGAACGGATGAACATGAACAGGTTAATCTATGATGAGAAATGTATAACGGGCAAGTATTGTTTATAAATATGAGAAGAGTTCACAGATATTTATATATATATATATATATTTCTTTTTTACAAGATGCCATTGAATTCTAATGCGAGATGGATATATTGACTAAACTAAGCTCAAAACGGAAGCAGATAGAAGCAAGTGAAAAAAAGGCTTAATAGATTCTCTCTTTCTTGCAGTATTGTCTTACAAAAGAATAAACAACCAAAAACAATTGGACAAAAGGACATAACAGAGCCAAAAAAGTTCCAAAAGTGGATGGATGTAGGCGAAACAGTAGACGGTCTACACGAGCATACAGTGAGAGTACGTCACTCTCATTCTCCAAGACGAAGTCAGTCAATTGCGTTTTCTCCTGTGAAGACATTTGAGAATGGATGCGTTGCTCGACTTCTTTTTCCGACAGCTCGGGGTTACGAGCCATCAAACGACGTTTGACATTCATAGGAGAACAAACGATGGTTACTGTGGTGGTACAAAGAAGATGCATTCTAGCTTCAAAAAGCAATGGGACGTCGAGAAAGACAATTCCTGTGCCGCGAATGTAGTATCTCCAGAGTTCTTTTAACATTTCCTTCCGCACAGCAGGATGCACTATGCTATTTAAGCGAAGTCGCTTTTGCTCGTCCCCGAAAATAATTCTGCCTAGGGCAGGGCGGTTAAGTGAGCCATCATTTTTGAGTACTTCTGTTCCAAATTCACGAACAATTTTTTTTAAGCATGGTGTACCAGGTTCAACAACTCTATGGGCCACGACGTCTGCATCAATGACGGGAAGATTGTGCTGTTTCTTAATATAGTTAGACACAGTAGATTTTCCTAAATCGCGTAGTTAGTAAAATCAGCTATAAAAAGAAGATAAATCGATAATCCTAGTTGGTTATGCTTGCAAGATCAGACCAAAAAAACACATCTCTTCGTCTTGAGGTTTACTGGCCGAAAAGAATCTTACCTGAGGCAATTGTCCCAGTTAATCCAATAATTAGCATGTTTCTAGGAATTTACAAAGGAGAGTGACTTTTCGTTAATTGGTATAAATTCTACAGTTAATACAGCACAATTGGTCCCTTGGTCGTAATTAGTGCTGCCCAATTCCGGCTTTCGCGTGGTGGTGAGGTTTAGGGAAGCGTGCCCTCCAATGTCTTATTTACTGAGTTTAGATTGTCAACATTCATCCTTGACGCGTCGTACCCTAAACCATACTGCATATTTGAGTCTTCAATTCAGTGAAATATCAAATAATGGATGATTTCGAGCCAACTCAGCTAACGCAGCCTACACAACCGGCGACTGAACGTGCTCAGGAAAGTGCTAGCCAGTCAGGGAATGTTTTTCTACGGCTTATAATGACGAAAATGGCAGATGGTGTTCCAGAAGTAATCAATCTCACAAAAGACATTCACAACGGCGTATGGAGATTTGGACGGCATCGATCTTGCGAGGTGGTTCTGAAAGGGCCACGAATTAGTAACTTTCACTTTGAAATCTATCAGGTATGCAAAATAAAAGACGCGATATCGCAAACTCCTGAAGGCTTTAATTACGTTTAGTTTTACCCGCGACAGAAACTTTTTCTAACCAGCTTAGTCACATTCTAGCAGCGATAAAGATGCTGAACAGACTGTGTTTTTACATGGTATGTACTTCTCTTCCTGACGCGTCAAGTCGCGACGCGTCGCGTTTTAAGACTTCCCCCCTTGCTGACATATACCCCTCCAGATCACAGTTCTAACGGAACATTTATTAACCTCGTACGTTAGCGAAACTTTAAATGGAATAGGCGACTAATGATATCATAGGAGCGACTTCCCAGAAATGGCAGAAGTATATTGTTTTCAGGTGATGAAATTCGTGTTGGATTAGGCATTCCGCGAGATGAAATTCGTATGCATCTTGCCACAGTTCGCATTTAGAGCTCAATTTAGCTAATACACCATACAGGATTCCTTGTGCAATTCCCAGTCAATAGACGTTTTCCGCACAAGCAGCAGCAAATTTTACGTTCCAAAAAGCATCGCTACGAAGTTATTAAAACTTTGGGAACGGGATCCTTTGCGGTCGTGAAACTTGCTGTGGAAATGTCGTCGGGGAATTATGTTGCTATCAAAATTTTAAATAAACGAAAGCTTATGGCTGCAGGAAGCCATAAAAAAGTGACCGAAATGTTTAAAAGGGAAATTGAGATTCTGATGTCGATTAAGCATGTATGTAATACCGTTTTTGCTCATATCTATGCGTTTTCAAATGACTAACTTGAAACACCAGCCCGGTGTTGTTCGCTGTTTAGAAGTATTTGAGAATAACGAGGAGCTCAACATCGTGATGGAGTATGTTGAAGGTGGAGACTTGATGGACTTTTTAATGGCAAATGGATCTATTGATGAAGAAGCAAGTAAACCGCTAGTAAAGCAGCTGTTGTCAACCTTGATATATCTGCATGAGCACGGAATCACACACCGTGACATTAAACCCGAGGTATGCGCGTTGCTTTGTTGCTTAAGTACTTACCAACTTTAGAATGTTTTAATCACTAAAGATTTTGACCTTAAAATATCCGATTTCGGTTTGGCCAAAGCTGTCCAAAATCATGATACCTTCTTAAAGACATTCTGTGGAACCATGGGCTATTTGGCACCAGAGGTCCTCCGCGCCAAACATCATGAAAGCAATGAAAATGCATACGATGAGAAAGTCGATGTCTGGAGTCTTGGATGTTTAATATATGTTATGTATGTAACTTTTAGTTGGTGTCTTTGGCTAATTTTGCCCTTTCATTTAGGTTGTCTGCATCAATACCTTTTACTGCCGATACCCAAGAGGAAGCAGTGAACTTAATCTTAACCGGTCAGTTTCCCATGGAGCCTTTACGTGAAATGGAGATTTCTGATGAGGCTATAGATTTAATTTCAAAAATGTTGAGAGTGGACCCGAAGGAGCGGATCAGTGAAAAAGAAGCACTTTTACACCCGTGGTTAGTGCTCGACGATTACGAGCGTCCTTCTAGTCCTGAATTGGATTCACAAACGGAGGCTGCATTCACGTCAGAGCCTATTGAGCAAAAATAGGTTTACCGTTAACAGTGTACTATTTTTGATGCATTTGTTTTATCTATCATTTAGACACGCCCATCTCTAAAATGTAGATCATGGTTATAATATTAATATTTATTCATTTTTCTGCTGCTTTTAGTGATACCCGGGGTCTAAACCATGTAACCTCAAAGCAAGTAAACGTAAATAATATTTTCGTTTATAGCCTAATGATGGCCAGAAACACATCATTAGCAAATGTAGTTTTAGAAAATTGTTGCAAAATCAGAAGCTAACGATTTGTTAGATTGATTTTTCAAGTTACCGGTCCCATGATGTTGGTTACAACAAAACTTCAGTAAGATCGATTGGATGGAATGCGACTGGTTCTCGTTTGGCCTCCTCCTATTCTGATAAATCTGTTCGTATTTGGAACTCGGAACGGTTAGAATACAAGTATTCCACTGAACTTGGTGGACATGGATATGGAACTGTTGATCAACTCGTTTGGGATCCGACTCAGACGGACAGGCTGTTGACCGTTTACTCTGATCGTTTTATACGTTTTTGGGACTATAGAAGTATAGAAAAGTGCTTCTATGTAGCTGAAACTAACTGCATTAATTAGGTCCTCGGCCCATTGCCGAGCTCCCCAGTAAATACGACAATATTTACGCTACATGGAGTCCTTCTGGCAAATATTGTGCCGTTGGAAGCAAAGTACGTCTACTAGCCAAAACAATTGAACAACCATGACTGACTAAATTAGGATGACATGATCACTTTTATCGACACTCGCGAGTTTCAAGTGATGGAAACAATTCAACAACCTTGTGAAGTACGTTCTCATTCCATGATTATAGTCAAAATCTTTATTTTTGTGTTGTGTTGTATCCTAATGTATTAATCTGTTAGACGAATGAGTGCTGTTGGTCATTCAGTGAGGATCTATTCTATATGACGACTGGCCTTGGAACTGTGCAAATTATGGAATGGCCGTCCTTTAAAAAAATTCACGAATTAAAAGGACACACAGCAAATTGTTTTGCCATCGGGTTGAGTCCGAATGGGCACAACTTAGCTGTGGGAGGTGCGGATGCTATAACGTCTATTTGGGATACAAAAGAGTGGTGCTGCGTACGCAACATAACTGATTACTCGTACGTATATATCAGTTTAAGAAGAAATTGCTAACTGTTTTTTTTAGAACCGCTGTTCGTACTCTTGACTTCAGTTTCGATAGTGAATACATTGCAACTGGATCTGAGGACGGGAGCATTCTTATCGTAAGTGTTGAATGTAATTTCCGTCACTTTAAGTTAACATTCTCAGAACGAAGTCAATTCGGCAAAACAACTTCGAAAGTTATCCACTGCTGGGCCTATTACGAAGGTCAGTTGGCACCCAAGTAAGCAGATCCTTGCTTATACAAAAATGCAAATGGGCAATTCTGGGCTTTGCCTCTTGTCTCCTTAGAGGGACTAACCCAGCACGACAACCATCCTTAAAGCCTGATATTTTGAATTTAAAGAGATTTGGAAAAGGGCTTCAATACTCTCTAAACACACGTTTAGGCAAAAGATACACTTTCTCATTTTACATTACAATTTACGATGATGGAAACGAAAAACTCTGTTTTGTCTAATGAGCTCAAGTGTTTATACATTAGAGGGCTGTATCTAACCGAAAAAATTATTCGCAAATATTTTTCAGTTACAGATTTTCAGATTCAGTGGATCGATGATTTAAGCGCTCTTCTAAAATTTAAAAATTCTAACGATGTTGAAGAAGCTTACTACCATTATCTAAGTCTTGGTAGTGTTCTGAATGCACTTGTGAAACCGATTTATGGAACACAAGAAGAAATTACGAATATTTACCTTTCACCTGGTAAATCACCGTTATAGCTTTCTAACGCTTGAAAAAAATGAAATTAGATGTAAATCATCTATTGATCCATATACTCAAATTGAATGCAAGTACTGGTTTCGTCAAAAATTTTAATCTATCGTAATTTATAGGTGTGTGCTTAAATCCGTCGGTACCCTGCGTTTCAGTTAATTCCTTGAATTACTCATATCCATCAACTATTATAAATCGAGTTTAAACCACAGCAAGTGGAATGAGTGGTTCAAAAGATTCACGCTTGCGAACAATCTGTCTTGCCATTCATTGCGCAAATCTTTAGTTATTTCCCCTTCTTATTTCTTTTATGCATTATCGGTCATAAGGACCCTAGACAACATTTTTTATGAATAATTACGTGCTTAAAGAAGCAAAACAATGAAGATAAGAAGCTTTTGTGACGTGAGTACAGCAATTCTTAGGACAACACCTTCAATCAATTCCCTGAAACCTGCTAGTTTTTACAGAAACGCGACTACGTCTGCTACGAAGGACTTTTCGAAAACCCTGCAGCTTCCTTATACCTCGTTTCCAATTCGTCCCAATGTTACCGAAAATGAGCTTCGTTACGAAAAAATGCTTAATGAAGAACTTTACCATTGGCAACAAGAGAACCTGAAAGAGTTTCCGCCGTTTGTCTTGCATGACGGACCACCTTTTGCCAATGGATCTATTCACATTGGACACGCCTTAAATAAAATCAGTAAGGATATAATAAACCGCACTCGACTTATTCTTGGTCAACGCGTATCTTTCGTTCCTGGTTGGGATTGTCATGGCTTGCCTATTGAGATGAAAGCTCTTGAAGCTGGTGATGACTCTCACAAAACCCCCCTCGATGTTCGGAGAATTGCGAATTCATTTGCAGAAAAAACGATTGAAGAGCAAAAAGCGGCCTTCAAGCGTTTCTCCATTATGACGGATTGGGACGCGGCTTACAAAACAACGGATTTAGATTATCAGCTAGCTCAGCTGAATGTTTTTAAAGAGCTTGTCTCTCTAAATCTAGTTAAGCGTCAGTTTAAACCAGTACATTGGAGCCCGGCTACACATTCGGTTTTGGCTGAGGCAGAACTGGAATATCAAGATAATCACAAAAGTCAGGCAGCATATATTTGCTTTCCTTTACAGGATTTCTTCCTCAATAAGGTTCGTATTTCGAATGCTTTTGCCGTAATTTGGACAACGGCGCCCTGGACACTTTTTTCAAACAAAGCAATTGCCTACAATTCCAACATACAGTATGTTCTTTATAATCTAGATGCCCGTGTTCTTCTGTTAGCAAAAGATCGAATATCCGTCATCGATCCTCTTCAAAAGGGTACAGTCGTGGCATTTGTGAGTAATGATTTGTTGCAAACTTTAACCTATACACAACCTTTAAGTTCTGATAAAGTTGGACATTTGTATGCAGCGGATTTCGTCGACGCTAAATCTGGAAGTGGATTGGTGCATATAGCACCTGGCCATGGATTTGAAGACTACTCTCTCGCTACAGATTTAAAACTTGGGGTATTTTCACCTGTGGACGATAAAGGGTGCTTTACGGAGGAAGTCGCAGGTGGATTTTTAAAAGGTTATAATGTTCTAGGTCGCGGAAGTAAAATAGTCCTTAAGATGTTAGAAGATGCTGGCTTAATGCTGTACTCTCATGTTTATACACACCGATTTCCTTATGACTGGCGGTCACATACTCCCGTAATTATGAGGTCTATGGCACAGTGGTTTATTGAATTAACAAACGTGAAAGACAAAGCACTAAAGGCACTAGAATATGTAAGCTTCTTTCCTGAACGTTCCCGCGAAAGGCTTACCAGTTTTGTTCAAACTCGACCAGAATGGTGCATATCTCGACAACGTTATTGGGGCGTACCGATACCTGTACTTTATAACATTGAAACTGGTGAGCCTCTTTTAACCTCACTGAGTGTTGATTGGATAATCAAGAGATTTTCTGGCTTAGGAATTGAAGCTTGGTTCGCACCCGCAAAATCAATTCAAGAGGAACAAGAATGGGTGGCCCCAGAGTACCGGGGTGAGTTATATCAACGCGGGCAAGAGACATTTGATGTGTGGTTTGATTCAGGAACAAGCTGGACACTATTAAACAAACAAGGTGCTTTCAGTAATAGTCCATTGGCTGATGTTTGCTTTGAAGGAAGTGATCAACACCGTGGTTGGTTTCAGTCTTCCTTGCTTACTTATGTTGCGTATACGGGAAACCCAGTGGCACCGTATAAAAGCGTATGTACTCACGGTTTTGTATGTGATGAAAAAGGTCGAAAACAATCGAAGTCAGTTGGAAATGTAACCGACCCTCTTGCTGTATTGGATGGTTGCACTAAGAAGAAACAACCTGCTTTTGGAACGGACGTTCTTCGTTTATGGGCAGCGACGTGTGATGTCACAAAAGATGTTGTCTTAAGTTCTCTTATTTTAAAAAATATATCGGACACACTGAAAAAGTGGAGATTAACTGCACGGTTCTGCCTGGGCAACTTATATGATTGGAAACACGAAAATATAATAAGCTTTGAAAAGCTTCCACCCATTGATCAAACATTTCTTTCACATTTATCCGTTTTTCAGCGTGATTTGTTGAGGCTAATGAAAGTCCCATGTTCAACTGCTCAGCAAGTTCAGCTAATATCCCGTTTTATGAATACTGCACTCTCAGCACAGTATTTCGAAGCTGTTAAGGACGCATTGTATGCAAGCGCTGCTGATAGTAACGTTCGGAGGAGTGCTCAAACCTGTTTGGTCTATGTGTTGCGCACGTTAGCATGGGCAATTGCCCCTATTGTTCCTTATACGGCACAAGAAATTTGGGAGCATTGTCCGTCTGACGTCCGATTAGGTTTTGCGACTCCATTTCATGGCAACAAATCTCTCGTTGCTAAAAGTGCCCCAGCCCTACCATCTCATCTTAGGAACTCATTAAATATGGAATGGGTACAGTTACAACATATTCGTGATTACGTGAATATTTTGGCTCAAAAAGCTCGTGAAGCGAAGGTTTTAGGCAGCTCTCTCGAAGCAGATGTATGGTTGCAAACCAATTCCAAAAAGTTGCAACAGCTGCTCGACAAGTATGGTTCAGACATCCATCGTCTCGTGAACGTGTCGAATGTATTTATCAATAAAGAAAATCAGGGAATACAACAGAAATGGGTATTTGAAGAAGAGTTCACTCCCGAAGAAGGAAATATTGTTGTCACATTAGCGCCAGCTATTTCTCACAAATGTCCTCGTTGTTGGTTATATCGATCGGAAAATGAGGGTGATTTGTGCAATCGTTGTACAGAACTCATATTTCATCAATGAACCCGTAGGAGTGCTGGAAATCTATTATGAAATTAAAGAAATATTACTTTTTCTTCCTTCTTTCTTGAACCTAAATTGTTAGACAACTTCGTCACGTTAACGAATGATAAAATGAGATTGTAAATTTGTACATTTATGTTCATAGTTGTTAAGAAAAAGGAGAAGTTACTTCAAGCGACTATAAAACAAAGCAATTATATTATTATTATAGTTAATTGCTTACAATCACTACGAATTGACCATTTTCGTTTCGTGTTCTTCGACAGTTTTGTTGTATTGTGTAATTTGTCCAACCCTAACGGAGATTCTCCACAGACACATTCAACACCAGCACAAAACAAAATTTAGTCCTAAGGAACAAAATGGCTAAAAGAGGTGCGGAGCATCAAATCACAAAAGACAGTGAAGAGTCTGATGATGACCGCCATGGTCCTGCTGAAATTCCAACTGAAGCATCTGCTGAAGTCCTCGCATCCAGAAAGTATGTTACTAAAACTACTCCTGTAATTTGCCTAGTAATTATTGTGACTAACTGAATACATTCAAGGATTGCAAGACCTAAATCAAGAAAAAAAACAGGCGCGACACCTACGACTGCTGGAGGTTTGTTTTCAAACTTTTTGAAAAATCAATCTGCTCCGAGTACGGCCTCGTCTACGAAGGTTGAAGCAAAGCCCACGACTGTTTCAAACGCAGATTACGATGTTTATTTGAAGAAGAGAGGCTTAAATAAATGCTTTGTTGACGCGGTGACTAAGAGTGTGGAAAATGATGCCTTCGCTGACTTAGCTCCCTTGTTTTCGGAATACAAGAAGCACTGGTCAAGCATTAGTTCCGCATCAATTACATCTAAAAGAAATGAGATTTCGACTAGCGTTCCCGCACCTATTGCTACTCCTAAGTTCGCTTTCTCTACTCCCGTTGCACCTGCTACAACCAATACATTTTCCTTCGGTTTAAATGGAGCTAGCAACAGAAAAACTACCGAGGAAGCTGCTAAGGCTAAGCTCCCCTCCGTGAGTTCTGCTTCGTCAACTTCGACAGCTGCCGCTCCATCATTCTCTTTTGGTGCCACCACTAAGCCGTCTTTTTCCTTCTCTGCTACTTCGTCTGAGAAGCCCAAAGAACAAACAATTACTAAGCATGAAGGAAAAGAGGTTGAGCCTGCTGCCGTCTCCAATTCCGAAAATACCCCTTCTAAAACAGAGCAGGCAGATTCTGCAAACTTCTCTTGGTCAGCAGACAAGCCCATAAAGTTCAACACTCCAGACAAACCGTTTACTTTTACAAATCCCCTTTCCGCTAAGAAGTCACCACTTGCTGACACTAAGCCTATGGCTTTCCAGTCTTTGGGTTTCAGCTTTGGCACGAACGTCAAGCCTGCATTTTCCTTCAACAAGACTGCTGAAAAATCGGAGGAAAAGCCTGCTGCTGAGAAACAATCCACCGAGGCCAAGGAAGAGCCCAAACAAGAAGCCGAGGAAAAGCAAGACAATGAGTCTGAGTCTTCTTCTGCTGCAAGAACAAATGATGATCTTGTTGCAGGAAAGGGCGAAGGTGAAGAAAATGAGGATAGTGTTATTAACACTCGTGCTAAAATCTATCGCTTTGACAAGGAATCTAAAGCATACAAGGATGTTGGTCTCGGACCTTTGAAGATCAATGTGGACAAAGACACCGGTGCCGCTCGCGTTATCGTTCGTGTAGATGGTAGTGGAAAAGTCTTGCTGAACGTCCGTCTTTGCAAAGACTTTAAGTATGAGATGGCCGGCAAAAAAGAAGTGAAGCTTCCCGCAGCTTCTGCTGACGGAAAGTCGCTTGATACGTACCTGATCCGCGTGAAGGAGCCTTCTGTAGCTGAAGAGCTCCTTAACAAGTTGAACAAGCATAAGGAGTAGGATTTACATCTAACACACATACAATGAACGAAGTTTTGTAATTTTTTTCTGCAATTGGTATTCTTATTGTTTTATTGTAACGCTCTATATCAGACATTGCTGTGATAAGCTGGTGATGCAAGAAAGTACAATGTTTAAGGGCATAGATTGTCTTCCTTAAAGAGAATCTGAATCAAATGGATCAGAGTCTTCGTCGACCTCGATTTCGACGGGATAGCTGAGAATGGCCGCGATGCCAGACAGTTGATCCAATTGTTTTCCAGATTCATGAAGACTGCTAAATTTGTAGACAGTTCCTCCGGCTTGTTTAACGTTTTCTACCATCTTCACCCAGTGTTTCCTGGTTGCAATGTCTAGACTTCTAAAAAGTGTGTCACTGATGAGGAGCTGTGAAATTGCACTGAGCTCGAAGGCGCGCTCAACCTGTTTTGGGCCGTAAACTGTCCGGAGTTCATCATCATCCATGGTTTTGTAAAACTTTTCCAGCACTCTTGACTCTTCAACGAATTTCGTGTCTGAAAGCTGGGATTGGACCGAGGGATCTTTTAAGACTTCATTCAATGTATGAATGTGTCCTGTACTAGTATGAACGATAAGAAACTTGCCCTTTGATTTTACAAGCTTTTTGTTCTCAAGTTTCACAGCCATTGAGAATATGTAGTCGTACAGTCCCTTGGCCACAAAACCCGGAGAGGCAAGGACGATGACTTTGAGAGCATCAAAGTCGAAATCCTGCACCATAGCTTGGTACACAAGACCATAAAACTTATCAATGCCCTAAACATAGTTAGCTTCAAAGTAGCTTATAAAAAAAAGTGCCAACCTTTTGATAAGCCGAGCTGTCATTACGACGCTTTCTTGGAATGTTGTGTTCCACTCTTTGACGGAGGATCGTCATACTCTCGGTAATAAGGCAAATATTGGCCAAGCCTGATTGTGAGTAATGTGAATTTCAGTGCGCGAGTAACATAACAAACCTTCTTCCAAAACAATGGCGCCAATTTGGGCCTTTGCAGCTGGATCGCAAGCTTCTTCTACGCGTTCCAAAGCAAAGCTATCCCATTCCTTTTTAAACACAGTGACTTTTCGATGCAGTTCCAAATCTAAAGTATGATACGAACCAGCTTTTACATCTGGATGTTGTTCAGTAGTTTTTCCCTTAACATGTAGTTCGCTAGCATGTGTGTCAAAATCCATAGACTCAATAGCAATACGTAATGACATTTGCACCCTAGAATCTGTGCGGCTTCCAGTGGCCCCAATTCGAATAACACGTCTAATATAAGCACGAATTAGTACTCATACTGCTGCATGAAATATTCATTATGCTTACCGAACGGTGGAAGCTTTCAATTCATCTCCGACTTGAAAAATATTGTAAAGGTGCCTATGATGTTACCAATGATGACCAACCCTAAAACTATCGAACTGTGCACAACTCATACCACATGTCCTCCGGTTCTTCTGGAAGCAAAACAACGCTTCCAGAACCATCTCTTTCCAGAGATTTGTTAATTAGTTTCATTGCTGTTGAAAACTCATTGCCCAAACGCAGGTGAATAACAAAAGTGTAGCAAAACGTGTCGCTAAACTTTAAATGATTTAGAGTTTTCGCATTATTGCACGTGTGAAGTCAATTTTTGCCATCGTTTATTTTTATTTATTTATTTTTCAATGAAACAAAAAAAGACGCGGAAAATGTCTAATTACAAGTTATTAGATCAATTAGTTACTCTTTATAACATTAGGCATTTTTTTCTATTTTTTTTCTATTTTTTGAGCGTGGTTTTTCTTCCTTTTATACAAAGCCGTTCGCATACTTGCATCCTATGTCTTCGGTAACCGGTAACCTTTTGGCAAAATCCAATTTGCCGTCAGAACGACAAGACAATGGATTAATAAGCACTTGCCATTAGGTGAATGAAGTATACTTGTCCTTAACACACCCTATATATCAGAAGAAGGTCAGACGAGCCCATCAAAACACTGTAATTAGAAGACGTTATTTTGACTCAGTAGTAAACGTTCGATATTGCTGTATCGGTATACGCGACGTCTTTAGGCATTAGACGAAGAATTTGGATAAAATAATCAGGGAGATCGTTTTTTGAGCGAGTTTTCCATTTTTAAATTATCCTACATACTTGGCTGCAATTGGAAGATTTTTCGCAGGAAAAGACCAAGAAATAGCTTTTAGAGAACGGTACCACGGGACCCGTTTATTGTTCCAATCCAAAAAAGGTCTATTAAACTGAACAGGTTAATTTCACTTATTCCTTATTTGTTTACGCTGCTTACCATCAAATTTAATTAAGAATCAGGTTCCTCGTAAATATGCTGAACCTTCAAAATCGAGATGTTCTCCAAAGGAGTACGCCGATGTACGACATTGATGGCACGGAAAAATTCGATTCGGACTCGTTAAGGATGGATTCTAGTTGTCCTTCATCACCGTCTCTTAGTCCGTTGAGTGAAGATGAAGTATTGACTACGCCAATCTCGAGCTTTTCTCAAAGGCCTTTACGGCCGGTATGTTTGACGGTGGCCGGTTCAGACAGCAGTGGAGGTGCTGGTTTGCAAGCTGACTTAAAAGCAATCTTAGCTCATAAAGTGTACGGTATGAGCGTAGTAACTTGTATCACCTCTCAGAACTCTACAGGGCTTCACGACGTGTTCCCAATTCCTGCCCCTCTGATAGAACAGCAATTCAATGCCTGTTTGGCAGATGTCGAATGTCATGCAGTCAAGATTGGTATGCTTTCCGATGTGGACAGCATCCAAGCAGTCGTTCGTGCGCTTGATCGTTACAAAGTAAAGAACGTTGTCATGGACTCGGTCATTGTTACAAATAGAGGCAATGTGATGTGCCAGAAACGTGCCCTGCGTTCACTTATACGCGATCTTATTCCCCGAGTACTTGTTTTTGGTTCAAATATAATGGAGGCGTGTCTGCTAGTGAAGGGAGCAACAGGTCGTTCGTTCACGAGTATGCGGTCGTTTGGAGATATTTGCAAACTGCTTGAAGAACTGTGGAAGCTTGGACCGAAATATGTTATTCTCAAAGGCCATCATGTTGCATTCGATAACCGTCTTCGAATCGTTGAAAATGCTTCTCAACGTCAACCTCTTTGGACCATTGACACTGTCTACGACGGATCACAGATTTACATAGTCCACAAGCCCTATGTGTCAAATTACAACGTTCGTGGCACTAGTTGTTCACTTACAGCTTCCGTTGCTTCTAACCTTGCCCTGGGAAAACCACCACTTATTGCCATAAGGGATGCTATTAGCATGGTTGAAATCGCATTAGAACACATTGACACTACTGCTTCTGCTTCAAACAAGACAGCTCAATTCTTTTTCAGTTTGTCACAGCATGAATTTAAATCGAAGCCTCCCATGCATCTGTACACGATGTCCAAATGTGACCCTGACATACTTTTGCGACCTGCGCTACGATGACGGTATCACCTGTGTTCGACTGTTAACAGTCCTCACTTCAGTAAACGTGCTCTGAGGAGCACTCGACTTCCCTCCTCTGTTTTATCTTTTATCTTTACACATTCCGTTATTTTCATCGTTTTCCGTTATGTTACCGTAATGTCCTGCCTAGTGTCAGGTTTCTTTTCATTCATTTAATCAATTACTGTTAATTATAAACCTATAAATGTAGTAGTAGTAGTAGTAGTAGTAGACTCGAGAGACACAGCGAGCCTAAAAGTATATAGTACAATGATCACGCTCAAAACTTTGTCTGTAAGGCCCAATGTACCGAGCGACATTTACTTGGAAGCACACCAGTAGCACGAGCTCGTTTGATGGCTCTTGTAAGCTGACGTTGGTGCTTGGCTGACAATCCCGTTACTGCTCGATGTTTTATGCGACCTAGTTCGGTCAAATACTCTGAAAGAACCACCGGATTTTTCCAATAGTCTAGAGGCGATTTACCAAGAGCAGTAAACGGATCCGCAGGACGACGCTGCCGAAACTCGTTTCTTTGCGCATCAACAGCCTCCAGTGTGAGGTCCGAAGGGGTATACACATCACCAGGACCAAGGTTTGGCATCAATGATCGAGGGATAGTAACTGAACTGCTGTTCTTTCCTTGCCGTTGCTGAGAGGTATTGTATTTCGTAGTAATAAACCGTAAAGAGCGAAGGTTATTAGACTTTCTCAACACATTCGTTCGTACAATGGATCCAGTACTTGTAAAAGTCCCATGTTGAAAAGTTGTAATTAATGAATCCAAAAGCTTCATCGGTCTTTTCTTCCAATTAACCCAGGAATCGTTTCTCGTAACAGCTATCTCCTATATCGATGCAACAGACTTGCTGCTTTTTTGGTGGTGAGTTTCGCCAAAAGTCGCTTTTCACTAAACTTAGCTATGTTATAGAGGAGATAAAGAAAAAGTGAAAAGAGAAATGAAAACCGGGTCAGTCAATTAATAATAATAAAAAAGCTAACTAACCACAAAAATAATAAGAAAACCGGACCACGTATAATTAGAAAGTGGTTTCAATTGCAAGTGCATCCGTCCTACTTAAGAACAGAAAGGTATCGCAATGGTCCGAAAGAAATTCCCAAAAAAAAAAAATAAAAAAAAACGTACAGAAAAATAAAAACGAATATTTAAAATAAATTGGAATAACACGAGAACAGAAGGAGTGCTTCAAGCGTTACTTTTGTGAAGATGCGTGAACTGTGTAGATGCGGGAAGCAGTACATCAGAAGTAGGAAGCCAGTAGATAAATACAGGCGACATTAGACATATCAAGGAAGGCATCGTAAAGAGGAGACAGATCGCATCCGGAGTAATAGGATAAAGATGGATCTTACCATCATATAAAAAACACGAGCTAACTCAACAGTATAGCATACATGCGTGCAAACATAGCACAAGCGTGAACGACCGGAATGGGAAAGGTATAGGACAAAAAAAATATGCGGAGAGAGGATTCAGAAGCAAGGAAGTGAAAGGGTATCTAAAAAGAGATGGAAAGGGGGCAAAAAAAAGTTTGAAATAGATAAACAGCGAGGGAATTGATGCATAGATACAAGTTGTCGGGAAATTAAAACTTATACGGCGACATGCCAGTCCTCCATCATTTGGTCAGAGTGCGACGAATTCGAAGAACCATAAATTCCTTCGTAAATTGTTGCACCGGCCTTGCGTCGCGATTCAATCCAGGCCACTTCATCCGTCGTCAACACTTGGTCGACAGTGGGACGGTCAAGAGGGTTTGGTGAAAGCATCCACTGGACAATTCGATCCAAGCCTCCTTGTCCAATGATGTTATTTGCTGGTATTTCTCCTGTGTCGAGCGAACTGGATGAACGAAATTCGCTAGACGATAAACGAGGAGCGTCTGACAGATCGCCCGAGCGAAGCTTGCGCCATGACAAGCCATTGTCAGGCAAGACAATGTTAGCCGCAGCCTCAAACACCGTTATGCCAAGGCTGAAGACATCGGCGGGCTTATCGTATTGATGGTGTGTCAACACTTCTGGAGCGATGTACTCGCAATCGCCCTCGCGCTCTGTTCCATTGGTGACGGGCCATGTGCTGGCCATACCAAAATCTCCAATTTTTAAGGTGCCCTCAAACGTAATCATAATGTTTGCGGGCTTCAAATCGAGATGAACGAAGTTTTGATGGTGGATGTACTGTAGACCAAGACTCAGCTCGATCAGGATCTTCCAAACACGGAACTCGTCGAGCCGTGAGTAATGTCCTTGTTCCTCCAAGAACTTGTCTAAGCTTCCATTTTCGCAAAGCTCTGTTTGCATGTACAAGTAGCCATCCCATTCCCAAGAATCAATCAGTTCCACAATGTGATCATGACCGCGTAAAGCGTGCTGAATGCCAACCTCTTGCAAAAGACGTTGACGTTCCTTCGGGCCACTGTACTTCACTTTTAGTTTTTTCACGGCATACTTCACCGTGCGTTCCAACGGATGTTCCACTTGAAACACCTCGCTGAATTCACCTTGCCCCAGTAAAGTTACATTACGGAAACGTGTGCGAAGATGTTCCGTTGGCGAAGATGGACACTCAGTAAGGGCAGAGGGAAATGAAAGAGTAAACTCAGTAGACGGCGACTGTACACAGTCGTCCTTATTACTCAACAACGAATTGGACCGCGACCGCGACATGGGCAATGTCGTAGTTGCCAGTGGATGCAAAGTTCTTGTAGGAGTGCACGGGCTAAAAGCCTCATTGTTGCGATTCGTGATGGGCGTTGAGGTCTTGACGGCGCTGCCCAAAAACGACCGCGAAGAGCGACGGCTATTTGAATGGGGGAGCCGAAAACGAAGGAAACTATTCGAACCCTTTTCCAACCGACTTAGCAATGAAACATCATCGCCGTGTGTGGGCAACTCGAGCGGACCATGGTTGCGAGGTGTAGACGGAGATAAGGGCGAGAGTTGACTGAGAGAGACAGACTGAAAAAAGCTGTTCCGTTTAGAAGGAGTGCTGGGAGGATTGTTAGAGTTACGGTTATGGTTCCGTGTGCGATTGGCCTTGGAAAGCAGACCGGTGCTCATGAACGCTTTAGAGAAAGGTTTTACCGTTCGGAAAGGGGTATTAAGGGAATCAGAAGCATGCTGAACGGGGTTAGGCAGCGAAAGGTTAGGGAAAAAGTTTGCCTCCGTTGGGGAATTCGCGAGTGAAGGAGGCGACAGCTCGCCCAAAGGCGTGCGTGTGCGTGTACGACGGACAGAGGCATGAATGGGAGTTGAAGTTGCGAAAAGGGCAGGCGAGTTTTCACGGAGCGAAGAAGCATGGCCGGAGGGCGTCGACTGTTGCCGCACGGTGGCCGGCGTAAAACCAGTGGGCTGCCGAGCACTAGCCAAGAAGGACGAGCTGAAGGTTGTGTCGGTGGGGGTAAAGGCACCTGTGACACCCTGGTTGGAGGAACCAAAGCGAGAAGTGACGAATAAGTCCTGGAAGGCATTGCTTTTACGAATTTTTGGTGCCGGCGTAAGGGGAATGAAGGAGGGAGCATGAGTGCCATTCGCAGCGTGTGAGGGGTGGAAAGCATCGTCGGGCGACAGCAAGCCTTCCGGCTGCTGCATAGTTGAGAAATAGGGCCGTTTGGCTTGGTTTGCTGAAGCACCGTTGAGAGAGGCAACGGGCGCATAAGACGGCGTGGAGGGTCGGGAGTGTTTACAAATAGAAAGGGACGGTGAGGGGGTCGTGTGGCCGCGAGGATTCAAAGGACCATTGCACGAGAGGGCAGGGGAAGGGGAAGCCCGAGCGGAGCCGGGTCGAGTCAGAATGGGCCCGTCGACGGGCGAAGTGGCCGTATGCAGCAAGCTTGGCCGTCCACGTCCGCTGTTCGAAAGACGGACTGACGACGACGGGGTCGTCGTGATCGTTATACTGGGCGAGTGTGCACCGTGCGTGCGACTGGTGGTAGAATGAGAAGAGCCAAGAGGCAGGGAGGCCTGGTTCAGGTCCATGAGACGTTGCGATCGACGCAACGGGTACTGCCGCCGTTTCGTGTGTGAGGAAGAGCACATATTGGTTGTTTTGTGGGGAGAAGAGCAAGTAGACACAAAGGGAAATGCTACAAGCGGAGGGGCAGGGCAGAGCTTACTGGACGCTGCAACAGAAAAGGAGTAAACGAGAGCTGGAACTCGGCGAATGCAACGAAAGCTGTGAGGAGTCGACAGGGACGCTGTGCAGCCACTTGTCACCGCGAGAGGATAGGTCTTGGGGTCTGTGTTCGGCCGCTCGAGTATTTGTTGAGGACGCAAAAAATTGAGGTCCTTAAGTAAAAAAAAAGAAATTGAGCAAATATTTTTTTACAAACGGCCTTAGTGAGTCAAATTCGTTATAGCGGGCGCGACGCACACGAAAACGGAAATAAGCCGAACGACAAAGTGTCGAAAAAAAGCGCACGAGGAAAACACAGCCAATGACTGGGTAGGAGATCCGCGAAAAGCTGAAGATGTTGTCTGCACACGAAGGGAAACGGATGTGCCAGGGAAATAGGCAAAACGTGAATAAAGAGAAAATAGAAGGAAAAATAAAAAATCGGACGAAAAAATAAAAAAAAGGAAAAAAAAAGAACAAAACTTCCAAGAGCAAGAAAGGAACGAGAAATCAAAGGGAAACACGAGACGAATGCCCAGAGAACGACAAAACACACAGAAACCCGGGAAAGCTTCACAGTCTCTTTTTTTCGAGGAAATACACAAAACAGACCACAGGCAGGCTCCTGGACGTTGTTTTGTTTCGTTTTGTTTCGTCCAGACAGCGGTGAGTGGATCTACGTAGGTGAATGGTATACGTAATGTGTGTATGCACGCGAAGTATTGTCGTTGGGAGTTATGTACGTGCGTACGGCCGTCCGTTCGTTGGTAGCTGCTAGCTTGTCCAGGAACGAGAGAGAGAGACAAAACAAGGCTGCCGGCTGTTGTGAAATGGGAAACACACGGGAAACAAGGGGCGACTTCGTCCAAGACGACAGAAACCAAGCAAAACTATTAACTACGACGTACAGAGAGCAATGAGAACCGTTCTAAACGTAGCAAAAGGCGCTTTTTTTACAAGCTGAACCGCCGGAACGGTGTGAAATTGAGCAGCAGGTTCGCAGGATGCTGTTGGCAGAGGGCTCAACTCATAAGCGCGTTTGGTGGCCATGAACACGAACCCCTTACGTACGTGTCTAAACGTGCTCTGAAGACGCGTATGAGAGCATTGTGCCGACAACTACTTCACTAAGCGCACTACAATGACTCGCTAGCGTCTCCACAGCACGCGATGCGAGACGAAAAGTGACGTCAAGAGCGTAATCGCTAAGCCACTAGCCGATGAAGGTTGCCGAAGAAGCGGGGAATCGGGAAAGCGCTACCGAGAGACGCGTCGCGGTTTGCAGCAGACGCGACGCGAAAACGAATTTGCAACGCGTCGACGCGTCGGCCCTAACCCTGCTGCTGGCCAATTCGGATATAACGGGGCCGTTCCGCAGGACGAATGGCGGCAAAAACTGGGCCTGACGGGGGCCATGTGGGATTCGGCGCAACAGGGTCTGCGTGCAGCAGGGGATGTGTGGGATGCGTGTGGGGTAAGCCATCGGCCATGGGCCAGAGCGACGTCGCAGTCGGTGTGGAACCGCCCAGCATCTGTCCGGTATGTGCTGTGCAAGTGTTGTCACCACACATCTGTAAAGTGTCTTGTTTAGAGCTGTTAACCGTGTCGGACTACGGTCCGTGCCTGGTCGCGTGTCTGGCTACTAAAGAGGCGTCTTTGGTGCTTGTGGCCGCTGCTGCAGCCGACAGCGTGCATATCAGTGCCACTGCGACAGTGTCGACATTGTCGTTTATCATGCCACGTGCGAGCTGCACGTGGCAGTGGCTTGTCCCCGCCCCTGCTGTCTCGACCGCCTCGCCCCAGCGCGCTGTGCTGCCCAGCGTCTCGCTATTGTGCCTACCGCGGCTCCCTCCACCTCACTATCCGGCGTCTTCGGCACAAGCAAGCTTAAGCTCTGAGAAATTTGAGTGATTACATAAGCGCGCACTCCTGGCGCTGATTGGGCGCTGTAGCGCTGTCTACGAAAGAGGATTGGACAGACACCCATGGTGACGATTCTGTGACGTATATACTTTCTCTGCGGGATTACTCAGCCAATCCACACTGCCCGAGGTGAATAATCAATTTATGGTTCTTCTCCGAGGACAGCATAGTTGAGTCAGCTGGGTGTGGGGCGACCACTTTATTTGCTTCGGTTCGGGCAAAAATAGTTCCGAGCCACATTGTACAAAAATGCGACCGGAGCCCAGACAGCCCACCAGTGCATCTTCGAATTGCAAACACAGTGCTTGTCTCGTTAACGCTTTCCCTCCCGAATTGCAAGGTTAGGCGATTTCCAGAATCGCTCAAAGCCGCCCAGTACACTCAACAAATAGTGCGTTGAGTGACACTCGCAGTTTTCGCGCCTTTGCCGTCCATCTCTGCTGCGCTTTTTCTTCGCCCCGTCTGTCTGCTGCTGCTTATCGGAATCACCCATCGCCTCCTCAGCTGCGGCACTCATCCCCTCCCATAAGTACGTGTCCGGTATTTCCCCTGTCCCGTTTCGCTTGTGCCTCAGGTTTGCAGCCGAAGCGGTCTTTTTGATCGACACTCACAACTGATCGACAAACTTTGCCCGAGGACCCTTTCTCCCACCAATCGGGTCATCCCGTGATATTACGCAAACACCCCTTTCTTGCGATTAAGCTTACAGTAAGCGAGCCACACACACCTTACTCCTGTTCTCCAGCAGCGGGTACTGCATTCTTTCTCTTCTTTCTCTTTCCTGTCTCAATCCGGAGCAATTCCCTTAAGCTCTTCCACACGCTCTTTTCTCAGTCTTTTTTCCTTGTTTATCATACCATCTTAGCGTCATGTCCAGCAACGTTGCCGATACCGTTCCCCCCACTAGCGCCTCTTCGTCGCGCTCACCGTCGCCAAACAGTGACGTAAACTGCTTCGTCGACACGAACAGCGAAGGTGAACGTGACGAAGCGTTCGAGAATGACAGCAACACTATCGTGAATCAAACTGCATCCAACGCTCTCGCTGGCAAATCCGTCCACACCGACAGCGAAATGAACAACGAAGCTGTGGATGCTTCTAACGACGCAGTGAACTCGGATCCGTTTGCGCTCGACGAAACGTTCGACCTCCAGCGCTGGCTGCAGGCGTACGCAGAGGTCGAGAAGGCTCATGGAATCCTGCCTCGTCGTTCAGGTGTCCGTATCCGTGACCTGAACGTGTTCGGTGCAGGTTCTGGTTTCGAGTTCAACAACTCGTTTCTCGACATGTTAATGCTTCCTATCATCAAATTCCGTGAGCGCCAGGTTCACCAGAAAAACATTCTTTCAAACATCAATTGCATGGCCAACGCTGGCGAGGTCGTCCTTATTCTCGGCCGGCCTGGTGCCGGCTGTTCTACGTTTCTGCGTAGTGTTAAGGGCGACATGATCCATTACAAGGACTATTCCTACGACATCTCGTTCGACGGGCTGGACCAGGATACTATGAAGAAGTATTTTGCTTCAGACGTCGTGTACAGCGGTGAAAACGATGTGCACTTCCCAACACTCACAACGAAACAGACCTTCGACTTTTCGGGTCTCATGCGTACACCTCGCAACCGTCCGTGCAATCTGACACGCGACCAGTATGCTGCCAAGCTGCGCGACCTGCTCGCGCGCACCCTGGGTTTGTCGCACACCTACAAGACCAAGGTCGGAAATGACTTTATTCGCGGTGTTTCGGGCGGTGAGCGCAAACGTGTGTCCATTGGCGAAAGCTTGAGCTCCCGCGCTTCTGTGGTTTGCTGGGATAACAGTACTCGTGGTTTGGATGCCAGTACGGCTCTTGAGTTTGTTGAGGCTCTGCGCGCCTTGAGTGCAGTGCTTAAGGTTACCTCGTTCGTCACTGTGTACCAAGCCAGTGAGAACATGTACCGGCTCTTCGATCGTGTTGGTGTGCTTTACAATGGCCGCATGATCTACTATGGTCCTCGCTCTGAGGCTCGTCAGTACTTCATTGACATGGGTTTCGAATGTCATGAGCGTGAGACAACTCCCGATTTCTTGACTGCTGTCACTGATCCCAATGCCCGCAAACCCCGCAAGGGTTTCGAGGACCGTGTTCCCCGTAATGCAGAGGAGTTTGAGCAGGCGTGGGTCAACAGCCCGCTTTATCAGAGCCTGCTGAGCGAGATGGCCGAGTACGACCAACGCTGGGACGAGTCTACGCCCTCCACAGCCGTCGCCTCGTCCTCTGACACCGACTCTCTCACGAATGTTTCTGCGAAGGAAAAGCATGAGCTGTACCGGGAGAGCTTTATCGCTGAGAAGATGAAGCGCGAGAAGAAGGACTCTCCGTACTTAATTACGTTCCCCATGCAACTGCGCTACTGTTTCCGTCGTTCGTGGCAACGTACAATTAATGATCCTGCCTTCATTGGTAGTATGGCTTTTGCTTACCTCTTCCAAGGTCTTATTATCGGTTCCGTCTTCTGGCAAATCCCCGAAAACACAACCGGTCTTTTCTCTCGTGGCAGTATTCTTTTCTTTGCTGTCCTGTTCAGTGCTCTTCAAACCATGTCTGAGATTGCAAATTTCTTTGCTCAAAGACCTATCCTTTCAAAACATAAAACTTCCGCCCTTTATCATCCCGCCGCTGATGTTCTCAGTTCGTTGATCGTCGACATTCCATTCCGCCTGATCAACATTACCATTCTTTGTATTCTTCTTTATTTTATGGGTCATTTGAAAATGAATGCTGGTGCGTTCTTTATCTTCTATCTCTTCATCTTTATGGCATCTTTGTGTATGGCAGCTTTCTTCCGTGCACTTGCCAGTGTCAGTCCAAATGTTGAATTTGCTTCCGCCGTCGGTGGTATGGGTGTTTTGGTGATCAGTATTTACACTGGTTTCACCATTCCCTCTATTTATGTTGGTTGGTGGTTCCGCTGGCTCTCTTACTTGAATCCCGCCCAATTCGCTTTCGAGTCTGTGCTTTCGAACGAACTCCGTCATCGCAATGTGCCCTGCGCACAAATGATTCCTTATGGAGGCCAGTACGATTCGCTTCCCGACACATACAAGGTTTGTCCTGTCACCACCGGTCTCCCGGGCACTAATGTGATCAATGGTGAGGAGTTTCTTACGGCAAGTTACAACTACACTCCTAATCATATCTGGAGAAATTTTGGTATTATTATTGGTTTTTGGTTCTTCTTCCTTTTCATTAACTTGGTGGCTACTGAGTATCTTAATTACAGTAACGAAAGAGGCGAGTTCCTCGTATTCCGTCGTGGACATGCTCCAAAGGCTGTTACGGACGCCGTTAAAGGTTCCGAGAAGCCTTTGGATCTTGAAACCGGTCTCCCTCCTGACCAAGCTGATGTCGTCAAGGCTGAGAGACAGACGGATACGAATGATGAGAAGTATAACTCTATCGCCAAAAGTGAAGACATCTTCTGCTGGCGCCACTTGAACTACGATATTACGATCAAGGGCGAGAAGAGACGTCTCCTTAATGATGTTCAAGGTTTTGTTGTCCCCGGTAAGCTGACTGCTCTTATGGGTGAGTCTGGTGCCGGTAAGACAACACTTCTTAATGTTCTTGCCCAACGTGTTGATATCGGTGTGGTAACGGGAGACCAAAAGGTGAATGGATATCCTTTGCCCGCTACATTCCAGCGTTCAACCGGTTATGTTCAGCAGCAGGATGTTCATATTGCAGAGTGCACTGTCCGCGAGGCATTGCGTTTCAGTGCTGCTCTTCGTCAACCAAAGTCTGTGCCTATGAAGGAGAAGTACGAGTATGTCGAGTCCGTGATTGAGATGCTTGAAATGCAAGATTATGCTGATGCCATTATTGGTCTGCCTGGATCTGGTCTCAACGTCGAACAGCGTAAGCGTGCCACTATTGGTGTAGAACTCGCTGCCAAACCTGTCTTGTTGCTTTTCTTGGATGAACCAACCTCTGGTCTCGACAGTCAATCTGCTTGGTCTATCGTTTGTTTCCTCCGTAAACTTGCTGATGCCGGACAAGCCATTTTGTGTACTATTCATCAACCCAGCTCCATGCTCTTCTCCCAATTTGAGCGTTTGCTTCTTTTGCAACGAGGCGGTAAGACAGTTTACTTCGGTGACATTGGCGAGAACTCTGAGACCCTCATCAACTATTTCCAGTCCCATGGCGGTCGAAAGTGTGATCCCACGGAGAATCCGGCAGAGTATATTCTTGAAGTTATTGGAGCTGGTGCTACAGCAAAGGTTGACCGTGATTGGAGTGAGGTATGGAACAATTCTGACGAGGTGCAGAAAGTCTCCGAGGAGGTGAATCACTACCTTGAGCCGATCCCCGGAAGAGACCCTGGCAATGTTTCCAAGGAGGAGAGAAGTAAGTTTGCCATGCCTCTTTGGACCCAATTGCGGTTTGTTTTGATTAGAACTTTCCAAAGTTACTGGCGTGCCCCATCTCTTCTTCTTTCTAAACTTGTCTTGAACGTTTTCGCCGGTCTTTTCCAAGGTTTCACGTTCTACAAGCAAGGATTGGGTGTTCAAAATGTCCAAAACAAGCTTTTCGCAGTGTTTATGGCTACAGTTATTGCTACAGCTTTCATTAATGGTTTGCAACCTAAATTCATGGCCTTGCGTGACGTTTTTGAAGTCCGTGAAAAGCCGTCTAATATTTACAGCTGGATAGCTTTTGTCATTGCTGCTATTATCGTTGAGATTCCGTTCAACCTTGTTTTTGGTTCCATTTTCTTCCTTTGTTGGTTCTACACTGTCGGTTTCGAAAGACACCTTCCTCACTCAAGCGACCGTACCGGCTATGCTTGGCTTATGTATATGCTTTTCCAGTTGTATTTCTCTACATTTGGTCAGGCAATCGCTAGTGCTTGTCCCAACCCACAGACTGCTTCCGTCATCAACGGTATGCTTTTCTCTTTCGTTATCACATTCAACGGTGTTCTGCAGCCACCTGCTCAATTGGTGAAATTCTGGCATTGGATGCATCGTTTAACTCCTTTCACTTACATTATCGAGGGTATTCTCGGTGATCTTATTCACGATGTTCCTGTTGTGTGTTCGGAAAAGGAAATCAATCTTATTAATCCTCCACAAGGACAAACTTGTCAAGAATATCTGGGCCCTTTCTTGCAAAGTGCGTACGGCTATATCACAAACCCTAATGCCACGAGTAGCTGTGAATATTGTCGTTACAGTTATGCCGACCAAATGATCGCCGGTTTCGATATGAAGTTCGCCCATCGCTGGCGTAACTTTGGCATTACCTTTGGCTACGTCGCTTTCAACGCTTTGGCTATGATCTTACTTTTCTACTTGTTCCGTGTACTTAAGTTCAAAAGCACCTGGCTCGGTAAGAAGCTTAAAGGTGTAGCTTAAAATCGTCGGTGATATTTTTTTTTTTTTGTTGTTTCGTTCTGTTATGTACGTATGTCTATTTACTTAAATCAAATATAATTTTTTCTACACATATGAGCAAGTGTTGGTCTCCCTCGGTTAAGTGTTTGCAAATAGGTCTATTGTGAGGTATTTTATTCATGTCTTGAGAATTTTTATTATAATTGTAAAGCATAAAACCATAAACTTCGTTCATGCTCCTCCATAAGAACGAACAAAATGACAATGGTGGGGGACTGTCATGGTGTTGTTGAATTAATGTAACAAACAACTCGACCGGCGATTCATTAGTTACTTCTCCTGTAATTCTATCGTTACAGACCTCGCTTACCGTTCTGTAATTAATATTATAGCTGTACTTCGAAGTTAGTTTCTCTCTTTCAAGCGGGGAACGGAAATTTACGTCACAAGATGAAGAGATTTGTGCCGGAATAGGAACGGCGAGACATTTCCTTACAATTCATCTTTACCCCTTTCTCTTAACCATTTCGACAAACTTTTGTTATAACGTTTTTTCTTTTTATGGTTTTGTGATTTCATAATGTTTTTGGGATTCGATTTATCTACTCAACAGTTAAAAGGCGTTGTTATTGACGAGAAATTAAATGTTCTACATGAATCTTCAGTGGAATTCGATAAGGACTTGCCTTCATACGGTACGACTAAGGGCGTTTACGTTGATGGGCCCGAAGTTCATTCTCCCGTCGCTATGTGGTTTGAAGCTTTAGATTTGGTACTGAAACGACTTCATGAACACATCGACTTAAATCGGATTAAGGTTATTTCTGGAGCGGGTCAGCAGCATGGATGCGTGTACTGGCTGAACGGAGCATCAAAATCATTAGCCAACTTAAACTCCCATGATTCCCTTAAACAACAGCTTTCTGATAACGTTTTCCCGTTATCTCCTAATTGGCAAGACTCGAGTACAGCTACCCAGTGTCGAGAAATGGAGGAACTTGTTGGAGGTCCGACAAACATGGCGAAAATTACCGGATCCAAGGCCCATTGGCGATTCTCTGGACCCCAGATACTCAAGTTTCGTAAACAACATCCGGAGGCTTACGCTCAAATTGAAAGGATATCTCTTGTCTCAAGCTGTTTAGCATCTTTATTGTTGGGCAAGTTTGCACCATTGGATCAAAGTGATGCTTGTGGTATGAACTTGTGGGACATCCGTGGAAATGAGTACTGCACTGAATTAATGCAGCTTGTGGGCGGGGATAATCATTGTGGAATCGAACTTAAGAACAAGCTTGGTCCGGTGGAGACGAATAGCATAGCAGAACTCGGGAAAATCCATCCTTATTATGTTGAAAAGTATGGCTTTAATGAGAATTGCACCATCATTCCGTTTACCGGTGACAATCCTGCTACGATACTTTCTTTACCTCTTGTTCCTGGACAAGACGTACTTCTTTCGTTAGGTACAAGTACCACTGTCTTGATGGCAACCAATCATTACGAATACTCGCCGGAATTCCATATTTTTAATCATCCTGTCTCCATGAAGTCTTATATGGTGATGATTTGTTACAAGAATGGAAGTCTTGCACGAGAGGAAGTCCGGAATGAGCTTAATAAAGCATATGGCTTTGCCGATATGGCGAGCTGGAATGCGTTTGACGAAGTCACTGCAAGACGCTTAGAAACACTCAGAACGCTCAACAGCACAAAACATGTTGAAGGAGCTAAAATCGGTTTGTACTATCCGCAACGAGAAATTATCCCTCCCCTGGGACCGGGAGTTTGGCGATTTATAATAAATGCCGACCAGGAACTTGAAGAGGCAACGGAAAGTAACTGGAAATCACCGGAAGATGATGTAGTTGCAATTGTGGAGAGCCAGTTTTTGGACATCAAAAATCGAATTGTTCCGTTGCTTGAAGGTGTTACGAAACCACGTCGAGTTTATGTTGTAGGAGGTGCTAGTCGCAATGATACCTTGGTAAAAGCCATCGGTAATATTCTGGGATGTGACATTTATCGACTTAAAACAGGAACAAGCAACGCTTGCGCAGTAGGAGTATGTGATTCGTGTTGTTGTCAAAACATGACGCTAACATTATTTAGGCTGCTATGAAGGCTGCATTTTCTCTTTTGAACGCTCGAAATGAATATGATCGTTTTGTCGCTGACAAGTGGGAGGGAACGAAAAGGCTTCAGCAAACGGAAGTGAAGCCTACTGATGCTTTACACGAGTACTATGAAAAGCTTGCACCTTTTGTTTCAAAGGCCCAAGAACTGTTGTTGGGACGGTTGGACCCTGTTCAATAAGACCCAAGAATCTAGTAAAGTGTAGTATGTTTCACTTTATATCCACGCAAGCATATTCTATAGTCAATCACTCTTTTTTATGTATCATCAATCATTATTAACTGTATAAGCGATTAAACTTGTTGTTGCTGCTGCTGAAGGAAAGTTTCCCACCGATCGATGATTTCTTTTTGGGATTCAATGATAGACTCGAGCCATGTTTCAACACTAGCTTTGAATTCTTCTACGCGTTCTTCCTCAATCTTTCCCAATTCAGACTTCAATACTTTAGTCGCGTTTGCGTAATCTGCTTCCAGTAATGATGCCACACGCTGATGCTCATTAACTTCATTTGTGTAGTTTGTAATTTTTTCCTGCTGAGTCTTTCCGTGTTTCATGTACTTGTCCAATGTAGCCTTAGAACGATTTGCTTCCGCGATAGCAGATTGCCAAGATTGCCAAACCTTTTGGCGGGAGGCATATGCATTCTGAACACTCTCAGCCGTGCGAATGTATTCGTTGAGAGTAACACTTAAGGTTAAGTTATCGTGAACGACACGACGCTCATGTACTTGATGAAGGTTCATCTGTAATTGTGCTAATGCATCCAACTTGGAACACAAACCTGCATCTAACTCAACGAGGGAGAGATTTGCTAACGACTCACCAAATTCCGAGACAACCGTTCCAACCTCGTCTCGCTGTTCCATAACTAGAGAAAGTGTCTGATACAGAGAACGTAATTGTGCGTCCATAACTTCCCAGTACAACTTCTTCTCCTCCAAGAATTCATCCGTTTCTGCATACTTCGCCGTACTACCGGAGAACACAGAAGAAATTGAACCGAGAATACCACTGCCAGAACTGGACAAGGCTCTTGACTCCGCTGTTCCATGTCGGCGGCTTAACCGTAAATCGAATACTGATGCTGAAAGAAAATAACGGAATGCATCGTCTTGACATAAACGGGGATGTTGCGCAATTTTGCGAATCATCTTCTCCAGACTAGCACGTCTCAACTCAACAAATTCATCGTCAAATCGACCAACGACCTGCTTTTCAGGAGCAGGAGGAATAATGGTTCCAGGGTGTGTAGCACCAAGTAATTGATATAGTAACAAAAAGTCGCGGTAACGACGCTCAACTTGTAGTTCTTCTTTTGATTCAGTAGGAGACTGAGCATTTGGATAAGTAACGGTTGATGTAACACAATAAACGGTGTGAGCAGATGTCAATTCACCTACTTTATGGGGATCGTGAATAGTAATCTCATAATGAGGAAGAGGTGCCTCGGGAGCTTTGTTTTGGTTATTGGATTTGGAATTAAGTGAGGACTCTTCAACATCATGCAGTTTTTGTTCAGTTTCCTTGATTGATTGAGGCTTGGAATGATCAGGAGTTTCATGAGATGTTATTATGCTTGATTCATGTTTCGTTTCGCCAATAATAGGGTCAGTAGAGGAAATGTCAGGTTGTAAAGGACCAAGAGGTGATGACTCTAACGTCAAGTTCTCCAGGTGGACGGGATTTAAATTCTGTTTTCTGCTTAATACACGATGCGCACGAGGCGAGGCTTCGGGAATCGTCGTAAGCTGCCGATCAGATTCTTCATGCGTACTGCTTGTGTTCGATTCAGGCTCCTTAGGATTTGCTAGAGGGGACACGACATCGGCAAAAGGGTTAAAGTCTTCCTGATCGTCATAAATAGAATCGCCAAGCATTTTTGGCAGTACTCGGTAGACGGGATATGTGTTGTCCTTGCACGGTGTAGCACCTCGAGGCAGAACAACACAACTTCGGTAAAAAACTGATAATGGGCCGCCTCAATGAAACGCGAGCGCTAAGACGTAAAGTCGGAAAACTTAGAATTGAGGATTATTAATTAGAGCTTGCTTTGGAAGGATAGATAGAGTTCCTTGTGGGTGTCTTATAACGACACATTCTAATAGGCGGCGATAAATTTTCCACGCAAAAATTTTTTACTTTCTACCGTTGTAATACTTGCAGTTTTTTAGATCTTTTGGTGCTACTTTTTCATAACTTTAACACTCTTGATTTTGTACAATTTTGTTGTTCATGCTGAACAACGTTTTACCAAACCCCACCATTCTCAGTCTCATTCAACATTGTTGAAAATATGTCTTTAACAATATGGAATACAGATTCCATTAAAGACCTTGCAGAAATGCTTGGGATTGGAAACTTGGGTGACGATGTAGCAAAAGCAATTGCTATGGATTTAGAGTACAGAATTCATCAAATTATACAGGTACGTGTTACAAACAAAAGTCCAGACGAAGGATTTAGGAATAGTGTAGGCTGCTCTATTTCATCATGTTTACCGTTTGCTTTCTCAGTATTGTCGATTTTATTAGTCTGTTACCAGATTGAATTAGGTTCCGTCATTAACTGGTTTAGGAAGCAATCAAGTTTATGCGGCATTCAAAACGTCGTGTGCTAACGAACTCGGACATATCTGCTGCTTTGCGTACTTTAAATGTGGAACCATTGTATGGATTCAATTCAAATGAGCCAGTGGTATTTAATGAGGCACCTCTTGGACCTGGTCAAAGTTCATTGTACTATTTGGACGATGAGGAAATTGATTTTGAGAAAGTAATCAACGCGCCTTTACCAAAAATCCCGAGAGATATTACGTACACAGCTCACTGGTTGGCAATCGAGGGCGTTCAGCCTACCATTCCTCAAAATCCAACAACTGCAGATCATTCCGGAGCCGGTGGAGACTGGTCAGCGAAAGCTGGTGCTGCTGGTGTAAAGTCGGCAGGTGGAAAGAGCACAAGCGATGTTTTTCCTTCAGCTGATAATGTTGAAGTGAAGCCTCTTGTTCGACACGTTCTTTCAAAAGAACTCCAATTGTACTTTGAACGCATCGCAAACGCTTTACTTTCAGACTCAAACGCAGAACTCAGGAATGCTGCATTGTCGAGTTTACGTACTGACCCGGGTCTTCATCAATTGCTGCCGTATTTTATCATTTTCCTGTCCGACTCCGTCACACAGAACCTAAGCAATCACAACGTTCTGAAAACCCTTATGCAAATGGCTTGGTCTTTGCTGGATAACCCTAATCTTTTCGTTGAACCTTATATTCACCAACTAATTCCTCCCATTCTGACATGTATGGTTGCCAAGTACTTGGGCCCAGGAGGTTTGGACACTGAGCATTATGAACTGCGAGATTTTGCCGCATACCTCCTGGGTATTATTTGTGATCGATTTGGTGATGTTTATTACACATTGAAGCCTCGTGTTACAAGAACGTTGTTGAAGGCTTTTCTTGATAACACAAAGCCTTTCACTACTCACTATGGCGCCATTATCGGTCTTAAAACAATGGGAAAGGAAGCAATTCGTGTTCTTATTGTGCCCAATATCAAGGTTTACGAGTTGCTGGTAATTAAGGCATTGGAAAAGGGCACTCCACAAGAAAAACAGGAGGCAAACAGATGCATCAATGCTCTAAATGATGCACTTCACATGTTAAAGGATGATCATCCTGTTGGAAATGCAGAAAGCGAACAACTCCCCCCGAACACTCGAGGTCTTTTGGAAAAAACGTATGGAATCTTGTTAACGGAAAAGTTGATGGAGGAAAACGACGCATTGCTCATAAAAACACTTTTAGATGAAGTTCATTAAAAAGGGAGGCAGACACTTACAATGAAATAATGCAAGTTAATTTGTTCGCTGTTGTTTTAGTCACTATCCAGTTCATCTTCTTCTGTAGCATTTGTGACAACGAAACGTTTGGCACCTTCGGCTGGTTCTTCCCAGTCTGATGAACTGAAACTATCGGAGCGATGAGTGACGAGATACGATTGTAACTCATGTGTGGGAGAGCCACTTCCGGAGGCACTTTCCTCTGAATGCGGCGAGTTTGTACCAGTTGCCGACTGCATAGACATTCCCATAAGTGAAGGAGTGTCCGTACTGTGCATAGAACTAGCACGCGAAGAGCCTGCAAAAGGAGTAAATGTAAAAGACTGGCTTGCAGACGCAATTTTAAAGTCCTCCTCATCATCATCTCTGCCTTCTGTTGCAGAAAGTCTAGGAGTTAAGAGTGTGTGCTGAGGAGCAGTGGCCTTGCTATGTAACGATGCAGGCCGAGTATGGTGAACGTTATGATGCTGACTTGAGAACACTCTGGAACGCATGCTACCCAGACTTTTGCTGAAGCCTTTTTTGCTATGTTGAGACATCTTGCGTGAGTTGAGTGAATTCACAGGAGCGAGTCGGCCCTGATCGGTCCAAACAGTTGCTTTGGCTCTACGAAGGTTCTGGACGTAGGATCCTCTTTCTTCTCTCTCTACAGGAGCCGGTATGCGGCCTGGCGCTGCATTTGGATTTATAGTAGACGAAGCTGCTGCCTGTGCTACTGGAGCATCATTCGGGTTGCTTTCGGAACCATCCTTGCTCAACCACGGTAATCCAGCACGTGGATCTGTCATATTTATTTAGACGTTGCTCTCACAGAAAAGGGACGAAAGTATTTTTTCGTCGATTCCTGGATATCAGAATCCTTTCTCTAAGCCGATAAATGCAGTTAATAATAAATAAGTAGGTATTCCTTAATTAATAGTACTCCGGGAGTAGGGAATGAATTAATTTTGAGCTTCTTTTTTCGATTAACTTAATGTATACACAGTTCAGGTGAACTGGTGAAGGGAGATGACGAAAAAATGCAATTCCTTTTTCAATCTGCTCTAAGATTGTTCGCTAAGAGATTGGGGGATAATGTGACTAAATAGTCTTTTTAATGATTCCTTTAGATGTTGAATTTGTGTGTCCCTCCTTGTTACTTTTCAAGGTTTCCTCCACAAAATCTGGCACTTATTAGACACTACAAAAAGCAACAACATGGATGTAGATGTAGGAGATGAAGAACGGATAATTAGCTCGGGAGAAACCACTAAGGAAGCGAATAACGAATTGGAATCCAACGGAACGTTACTAAAAGTGAAGGGTTTCAATTCCATCGAGGTGGGATACGAAAATACAGTTGGAACTAATGGTAAAACACCAGTAATTGTGACTCATGAACCTGTAAATGAGAGAAGGAATTTTGATGTTCAAGTTCTGATTCCTGGAAAAAGGAAACGGAAGTTGGAAGCAACAAAAATGACGCCTTCTGAAGTAAAACGTTTACAGAAAGTTCAACAACAAGAAGAAAAGCAACGAAAACGTGAGCAAGAACGACTTCTTCGAGAGAAAAAGCGTCAACAAAAAGAAGAGGAGAAGCAAGCGTTAAAAAGGAAGCGTGAGCAAGAACGGCAGGAACGTGAACAGGCTCGGCAACGAGAATTAGAACGAAAGCGTTTGGAGCGTGAAAATCGGCAGCATGAAAAAGAACTTCAGAAGAAGGCATTGGAAGATCAGGCTTTAGCGAAAGAACGTCAGCAGCTGAAGCTTAATGCTTTCTTTAAGGCAGGAACGACCACCAAAAAGGCAGTTAATGAAAAGATAAGAACGACAGACGAAAAAGTATCCGACTTCCGGCAGGACTTCAAACCATTCTTCGTCCGTGATAACGTTTATATGATCAAACCTCAAGCGACACTGACTACAGCTAGTCTTGACGGGCTTCTCTTTGGCAAACATGATGAGCAAAATGGCACAGACGTAAACATTCAGAAAATATTTCCGCCTAAACCTAAAACAAAATCTGCAACTGCGGGCTCTAATGAATTGGATAACTCGACGGTTCGTAGTTTAGTCCAGGAACTACAAAACCCAAGCTCGAAATTTGCACCGGAAGTTGTACTTGAGACTTTACGGAGAATACCCATTAAACTTATCATGTTTGCTGAGGACGTCCGGCCACCGTATTTGGGAACATTTACAAGGCAGCCAACACAGCCCAATTTTGCTCGTTACCCTTGGTGGGAGGACGATTCTATGAATTATGATTATGATTCTGAAGCGGAATGGATAGCAGATGACGAAGAAGAAGATGCAGAGGATCTATTATCCGATGAAGACGAGGACGATGCTTCGGATGATATTGGCGATGAGTCGGATACTGCCTTTGTTGACGACGAGGATGCTTTACAGGCATCCGTTTCTGTAAAAGCAACGACTACATCTCGTCCGTTGGAAGTATTTATTCAAAAACCCACCTGGGATTCCTCGCGGTTTCCGCAATATACTACTCATATTTTGGTGGAAAAAGATGGAGCCTTGGCTACAACTCTTAATCCTACGTATGATTACTGGTCTACTAAGCCAAAAGAAAGTGTCCTTACTCAATCGTCTCTCAACACTCAGACATTGCAGTTAAGTCGCCAAAAGCCAAAATCAAAGTTTCCTGAAAAGGACCTACCGCGTTTCTGTACAGTTGTAGCTGGTCTTCAGGGAAACAAAGTACTAGTTGTTGAGCAGCTTCGTCAATTATTCCCCCATGTAACCAAGCAAGTCATCAGTGAAACATTAAATTTGGTAGCGGTCCGTTCTGGAAAATCGCTGTCGGATGGTTGGATCATTAAGCCGGATTTTGCGTCTTATGTCCAGGCTTAGAATGCATTTCCTTCACTCATTTATCCGTTTTTACCCTCTTCCCTGGCCCCTTTCATGCTGAAATCTTGTTTCTAATTTATCTCTTTCTTTGCCATAAAAAAGCTGTTCCATGCATATCACCCGTGTTTAGAATAAACAATATAATTATATTAGTGGACTCACAAAGTGGTAATAGATCTCGGATAGGTAGTGTTGATGAAGATTCCATTGTAAAGATTAGATGCATAGTAGAAAGCATAGTTTAATAAGAGAAGTGATTAGCTGTGCGGCGCATCGATGTGATCAGTTTACTTTGTTAAGTTCCTGTTTCTTCTTGTTCTGTGATTTGTTGCGTTGGAAGGGCTGAGACTTCTTGCGAGTGTTTGACTTCGTAGGGTTTGTGGTTTCATTTGTTTCTTGCTTTTCACGACTGTTTTCTGTTTGATTCTTCGATGGGTTTGACCATCTATAATTTTCAGTTGGCACATTAATCACCGGAGGCTCCACGTAGTAAACACCCATGTTTGGAAGCATTCCTTTGGGGCCCGAAAATCCGTCATAACCTGGCATCATAGGCGGTTCCTTGTTCACCATATTTTTGGTCAGTACGTTATACTCACGAGCTCTCCACATTCTCCGTTTTTGGGTACGACCTTTGAAACTCTTTTGCTCGGGAGAATCTGCAAACCGAATTAGAAGTTGGGGAAGTTCTTGAGAAATGATGTGGCCATTAAATTCTTCAATTGTTTTTTCGGCCGTGTCGCGATCTTGCATTCGAGCGAAACCAACTCCTCTTGAGCGATTGTTGTTATCCCGTAATACTCGAACGGAAACAACTTTCTCGCTGTTGAGAAGTTTAAGAATGTCATCTTCCGTCCAATCTGGAGGTAAGTTCGAGATATAAAGATTAGTGCTATCCCGATCCTGGAGACTCTTGAGACGAGAACTAAAGCTTTCTTTGGCAAATGAGCATTGATAGCCACAGAGAGACATGCAAGCAATGCAAAGATACGCGTCTTCCTGTTTTTGAAAGCAGGCGAAACCATAGCCTTTGCAAGTGTTGTTGTTTATGTCAATAATGGCTTTGCTGCTTTCAATTAATCCAAATCGTTGAACGTACATCAACAAAAGTTCATCGGATGTGTTTGGGGGAAGACCGCGAATATATACATTTCTGTCATTCGCATCTACAGTTGTTGCTTTCTTGCTTTCATTCGCACTGCCAGCGGGAAACATACTCGGAATTGCAGGAGGAATAGCAGGCTGAACCAACGCTAGAGCGAGCAATTGATTTTGATCATAACCTGTGATTTCTTTAGGAAGAGATTCATTATTTTGAGAGGCTGGATCTTTTAGCACGGGAAAGGGAATAACGTAGTTCTGTAAACCATTGCCTGGAATAGGAGGAATAAAAGGAGCTGCTGTCGCAATACTTGGAGGACCATAAGGAGCTGAAAGTAGGCCAGGATTCATCATTGGGGGATAAGGCGTCTGATTGGCTTGAGGCATTTCGGCAAACATTGGCGGCATTGTAGGGTTGGTCAACTGTGTGACGCATTGAGGAGGTAAAGAGTTTTCCATATAAGGTTGTTTCATAGTTTGAGGGTTAAGAGGATTAAATGGTTGGTTCATAGGTTTTTGGGCCCAATTGTTATAAAATTGAGGTGTTTGTGGGTATACGTTTGATGCTTTTAAAACGGAAGTTTGAGGATCAGCATAATTCATGTAGGGTGCAGGAAGGTAACCAGTTTGAACGTAAGCGGTGGGAATGTTCATTGGAGCCATGGGGTAAACAGCTGGTGCAAGGAACGGAGGAGGCATAAGGTAGGTTTGATTTTCAGAATTGTCATAGAGTGTATTTGAATCGACGATCGAAGAAACGTTTGGGTTTGAGGATTCATTTTCCTTGGGAAAGTGACAAGGTTTTGGGGGGAGCTGGGTTTCCGGTGAGAAAGGAAGTCGATGTGTTTCACCATCGGGACTTGATTGCGGTGTTAAGAGAATAACCGTTGAGTTCTCAGTTTTGTTGTCATGGATGACGTCCTCATCGGCAATTGAGGTTTCGGTGGACAGAACAACTCCCTCTGTTGTCGAGAAAGGGTCCTGAGCGGGTGACAATTGGGTTGCGTGAAGATCCTTTGATTGAACTTCCACACCTGTCATTTTGACCGCGAGTTTAATAAAGTAAATAGTAAGTATGTAAGGGATATAAGAATGTGAATGGTTGAAGTTAAGTTATGTTTAGCAATTGATTGCCTTAATATACCCTTAACCAAATTTTTGTTATGCGCATATAGTCCATGAGTAAACAAGTCGCTATAGCTCGATCATTTTATAACAATCAACAGTTGTAAACTTCAACTCGTTAACTATAATTTTATGTATTTTTTTCACTATTGTATTTCGCACATGGCTAAGTTTACCTTTTAATAAGCTAAAATAAATATGCGCCTAATGACATCATTCTGGTTCGAAACAAGAATGAAAAAAAGACTGATATTGTTTAAAACTGGATTCGATAACTGAGGTTGGATTTTGTTCTTTACGCGGTACCAACTGTGATTAGTTTCATCCAACAAGCTTTTTTTTTAATTTTTTTTTTCAATAAAATGCTCTTATTTCATTTGTGTCTATTTGAATCCAAAAAAAATAAAAATAAAAATCCAGATTAATAATTAAAGCAATTTAGGTTTCACTAGGAAACTACACACAAATTGGAGACTTTGTAACAAAAACCAGATAAATTCTTAATAAATATCTTCAAACAAAGATTTATACTAGTCATATATCCACTCAGCTAATGAACGAAAGTAATATTCGAACGCTACAAGAAAATAAAAATAAAAATAAGAAAAAAGTAATATTATAATTAACAGCGTAAGTTGGTACAACTATCAACAGAACTGTTTCTCATTATCCCAAGACTTTGGAATGGTACATTGATTAACGTTGAAGCAGTATCTATATAATTACAAGACGTTATGACTAACACAACACGGTAAGATGAGAGAAGAATACAAGGTGTAATTTTGTATAACAAAACATCACAGGGCAGGTCACGGGTCCATGGAGAAATTTTAGAAGAAGCCTGACAATCATGCCAATAGCTAGAACCGGCCTTCTGGTTTTCTTTAACACTTGAAAATGCAACAGCGCATAAAACATAAAACACTTAGTATATAGTACATCGAGCTCGTGAACATGCTCATATGTTAGTGTTTAAATCAGAATAAAAACACACAGCTTTTGATATAAGCGATTACAACACAACCGTACGGAGGCAAGGTAACATGAATTACCAGGTATCCTCCAGGAAACGATTGTTGTCACGAAGTTCCTTGACGCGCTTAGCGCCGTCAACCTTGGGAGTAGTGAGAATTTCAGCCAAAGCATTCGTGACATCCTTGGCCATGCGTTCAGCATCACCACAAATGTAGAAAACACCGCCATTGTCAATAACATCACTAATCAAATCGGCATGCTCCAACATTTTATGTTGCACGTACACCTTATGGTCCTGTTCACGGGAAAAGGCACAGAACATTTCAAAGGCATCACCCATCTGCTCCTTGTACTGTTTCCACTCGTCTGCATACAAGAAATCCTCATTGGAGCGCTGACAACCATAAAACAGAACTGTTTTAGCAACCTTGACACCATCCGAAGCCAATTTGGCACGCTCCATGACAAACGCGCGGAAAGGTGCAACACCGGTACCGGGACCAACCATAATGATTGGAACGTTGGGAGGTGCCAAATGGAAATTTGATTTCTTAATAAAGACAGGGACACCTCCAGCCCACTTAGCACGAGGTCCGTCAATTTGATATTCCAATCCGTTAGGATGATGCTTCTTTTGATGTCCGTTGTGGAGACAATGCGCAAGAAGATAGTTCGTAGCCACACCGTAGAACACATGTTCCTGTTCATTCCACTCTTTGCGTGAGACAACAGCGGTGATATGAACCGTGTCAGGGTGTACCAAGCTACTGGAAGAGATGGAATAGTAGCGTGGCTTCATGTGAGTCATGTCTTCCAAAAGCAAAGAGAAGGGAATGTTCGTAAAGGGACGGTTAGGCGAAACAAGCCGCAACACCTGGGCAAGGTTTAAGTGATAATCCAAAACAGTCTTACGGAAGCGATCTTTATCGGATCCAAGCTTCTCCAACTTGGCCTTAGTCTCAGCAGTAGGAGCATACACGGCAATAGCGGACAAGAATTGGCGAGAAACGACACCGCAAATGTCATAGTAATAGCGGAACACGGTGTCATAAGTAGTGGGACTTAATACGGGAGCCTTGTCCATCGTATTGAATGGCTGAACAACAATCACCGTATTGCGCTTAGCAGTCAGTCCCAAAACATCCAGTAGATCGTCAACGGCCTGAGAAGGATTCATTGGCCAAACGGAAACGTAGTCACCAGTCTTGTAGCTTAACCCAGAGTCTTTAATGTCGAACTCAATATGCAAGCAATTACGATTGTCAGACTTAAATAACTCCTTCGTCTTCTTGTAGCAAGAAATAAGAGGATTCACGCTTGAGACAGGAGCAGATATAGGAATGTTTTGAAGTTGTTGACGATTAAGTTCGCCGAGAAAGACGCTTGGACTATCGGATTTTACCTCGGGTTTTTCGATAATACGGTACATAGGCTTATACTCTTCCTTCTTTTCGGAAAGTTCAAATTCCCCAGCAAAATCGGCAAGGAAGTCTTCTTTCCATTCTAAATAGTCTTCCTCAAGCATTCCTTCGGCATCATCGCCCAAACCCAGTAGTCCAACACGAGTAGCTCCCAACGTAGACATGCACGCGTCGACCTTTTTGCCCATGGCGTTGTAGTATTGGTACGTGTGATTACCCAAACCGAATACAGCGTAGCGAATGCCCTCAAGAGGCTGTTCATCTGCGCCCTTTCCGTTGGAAAATTCCGTTCTGTCACTTCCAATGAAGTCCATGAAGTCAGTAGCATTGTCAGTAGGATCACCTTCACCGTAAGTAGCGACTACGAAAACGACTAAACGGTCTTCACCAAGCTGATCCAAATCGTCGAAACGATAATCCATCAAATCGAGAGCAACGGCATTGACACCGAAACTGGCCGTAATGTCTTTAGCCAGACGGTGAGCATAATCCTCAGCGGTACCGGTTTGAGAACCAAAAAAGACGCCAACCTTCACGTCATTCTCATTAGCAAATTCAACAAAGCTCTCACCGGCACCTTGAAAAGCAGCAGCTTGAGCCTTAGGCTTGTCCCAAAGCTTGCCATGGGTAAAGTAAACCGCAGTACCGGCCAGCACAGCCATTAAAATGAGGATATCCAGGATACTCATGAGTCCTTTTTATAACGCAAAGAGGCGTTGACAGCGACTTGAAGTTTAGATAATATCGATATTGCTTATACCGTGAAATCAAGAACAACAGTAGAAATACTACGAAACGACCCCCAAAAAAACAGAACAAACTCCCGAGCTCCTGCTATAAGCAATTGCTGTTTCTACGAAGAAATGAAAAAAAAAGCGCCGTCAAAAAATCAAGACGGGCGAGTTGTTTCGTCCTGTGTGCGTGTCTTGACTAACAAGTAAGTACGCGTTCGTCTAGTTTACGGGGAAAAGAATGCCTCGAATGTGATGTTACAGATCGTTCGTTACTCGCATCCGAGTATATCGAGAGGTTAGAGCTACACGACTCGCATGATAAATAGCGACTTTGTGTCTCATTATGGTGTGGTTCACATCGGAAAGAGTGGGAAATTGCCTGATTATTCAAAACATACAGAAAAAAGGTAAATACACAGCCAGATAATTCTAATTAACAGTTTGCAATAAACAGTTTTTGTATTTCAGTTACTTGGGTTGCAGTTTGTTTTCAGGCGTTTTTTCACTGCTTCACTCTTAGACTCCGCATTAAGCGAACAAAGACACCGTTCATTGGATATCAGTTTTTTCCCGTCCAGGGGCTGATGGCGACCAACGCGGTCCATCCCAAACCCCGCACCCGAGACCCCGTTCCCACCGGAGGTTTATGTGGGAAAGCACACGTGCCAGAGGATGATGCCGGATCTAAGCTTTCTTTAAGCATCTGATAAGATAAGATAAGAAACACTACACCAAAAAGCGAGGTGTTGATGGCCGTTATACAAGGAAGCTGGCGTTATTGGTACTGAATTTGCCTTTAGGGGTTTACTCGCTCCTTCGGTAACATATTTCTAAATTAACATCAACAGTATCTTTTATTTCGTATAACAAGGTGGAACACAAACGGACGATAGGGTGGGTCAAAGTCGGAGGTGGGGGAAACTGTAGTATAAGTGATGGTGAAACAGAAGGGGGCAAGAGCGGACGAGAGTGGACAGGAGGCAGTCGGCTTCATCTTCATAAATATAGGAAAAATGTCGTTGCAGTACACCGTGGTTGGACATGCACCAAACTTGTGAACAGATGGAATGCGCAACAAGTACGCCCACTGCAAATTGTGCAAGACATGTTCTGACAGTTATCGAGCCGGCTGCGAACAAGCGCAGTAAAAACGATATAAAAAAGGGGATAGCAGAGGTTATGAGAAGACGGGTGGGGAAGAGGAAGCATTATTTGAATGAGCATATACGCTCATTTACTTTGGAGGCTTGTGAATGGTATTGAGGATGGAATCCGGTTCCACTAGCGTATGCTTATGGTTCGGGGGGTGCAACACCTTGTGGTTTTCCATATGGCACCATTGAATTTGGCTGATGAAGGGATCCGCCAAGGTCTGATGAATACCATAACGTGACTTGGGATTCAGATCCAACATGTGTGAGACAACAGGCCGCGACTCACGAGGCAACAGGCGTAGCAGGCGCCAAGGTCCAAATACTTCTTTCTTCGCATGATGTTCGGTGCTGTTTGCAGAAACATGTGGAGTGGAAGGGGAGTTCTGAGGATGCTGTTGTGCTCGCACAGGCGAGCTACTTGAAGTAGAAGGAATGGCGGATCCATGTTCGATGACATGTTGCGTCTTACTCTCCTGAGCCAAGTCTTCTAAATAATGAGCATCAGCGGGTGACTTCGCACAGAAGAGGCGGAACGATGGATCTGTCATTTTGGGAATCTTCCACGGGAAACGACGAAGAGCAAAGCAACAAAAGATGATTGCACAAGACCAAATGTCAACTGCGCGGGGATCGTATGTCTTACGCACAAGCGTCTCTGGAGCGAGGTACGGATCAGAACCCACAACGCCTGAAGCTTCAACAATATCGGCCTCAAAAGGATATTTAAAGACCGCAGCGCTGCCAAAGTCAATAATTTTCACGAACCAGTGATCATCCATAACAAGATTGTCTAGCTTGAGATCACGATGAGCAAGACCCATAGAGTGCAGATATGCAACGCCCGCTAAGAGCTGTCGGAAGCAGCAGTAAACTTCCATTGAACTCATCTTTCCGCTCATAACGATAGAGAACATATCGTATGGAGCATATTCCATGACTTCGTAAAATTTTTTGCCCTCTTCAATTATGTCGAGGGTTTCAATGATGTTCGTGTGGTGAAGAGCACTACCGATACAGAACTCGGCGGTAACCTTTCTGGCATACTCACGCTCACTTTCCGATGGACGACGTGCACGGAATTCCTTGACGGCAAAAACTTTGCCATCGGCCGAACGCTTCATGATGCGTACGGAACCGCCTGCACCTGTGCCCAAAATTTTGCCAAACTTGCCATATTTACGCTGCAGCGTGTTGTGTTGGTCTTCACGCAGATTGGCATACGACTTGGACTTCGACAAATCCTTCTTCTCACTCTTCTGGTGAGACTTGAAGAAACGTTTCAGGTCGAGAGAGCTGCCGTGATGATCGTGCTTCTCATGCTTCTCATGCTTGTCGTGCTTGTCGTGTTTATCGTGTTTGTTGTGCTCCTTGGGCAACAATGACCGAAGGGAAGTGAAAGAACCATGTTTACCTTTATGGGCATGGTTTGTTTTTTTGAAAATAAACTGAGCTGGGATGTCTGACAGGCTCTGTGCTTGTGGTGTACGGCGCGTACGGCTGTAGGGATTGGCTGGATCACCGTTCAGTGACTCGGAGGAAAGATAACCAGAAGTACTGCGGGAATATGTTGGACGCCGAGTATGCTCATGGGCACCTTCCCCATCAATGCTGCTCGCAGGAGAAGACGAGGCGACGGACGACTGACTGAGGTTGCTCAGGTGGTGCGGCGGTTGAATATGAAAAGAAGCAGAAGCACGAGGAGTTTTGGGTGAACCAGTTGTCTTGTGAGGAGTAAACACGTCTTCGATATGATGCAGCTCGTCGTCGTCGTGAGAGGGAATTCGCGACGGCGGCAAGGAAATCATCTCGAAGTTCTTCGCACCAGAAGCACGGACGCGGTGTTCAATAAGCGAAGGATCGATGTGATTGTCCTCGCGAATCGGCGACTGTACCCGAGGATAAGGACCAGTGGGCTGTTCTTCATCCTCGGCGCCTGACGAACCATGCGGCGAAGTTGGTGTGCTTGCGCCCGATGTCAGACTGCCATGGGACATGTGCATTTTCTCGAACGTCTGGTTAAGAGAAGGCACGGGAGAATCTGTAGAAACATTAGTTAGTAAGACCGAACGAGCAAACAAGAACGACAAGAACAATTGAAAGTAGTTGCTCATTATGTCCAACCCCATAAGAAGACTTACTTCGGTCACTGTCGTCGTCATCGACGGTAAGTGAAAACTGTGGTTTTTTAACACTCATCATTTGTGCGGTATTTTGATCCAAGAGTACTGAAAGCAGAGAAATAGCTTGTAGAAAAGGTGACGGAACACAATGATGGCTGAGATCGATCGCGCATAGACAGGCGGACACACCAACTAAGATGCTATGTCTATAGTATTCCAGGCCTTCTATAATTAGGGAGGCAAAAACACAGCGAGTAAAATCGACTGTAGCTTTTATCCAGCAAAAAGGGTGCCAGAGAAACAATAAGAAGCGAATTAAAAAGTCGCAAGCTTCAAAACTTGGATTTAAGGGGACGAAAGAGCGAGAGAGAGAGAGAGAGAGAGAGAAAAGAAACGAGAAAATGTTACCGGAGGCAACAAGAAACAAATAACAGAAACACGACCAATTATCTAATTCTTTTTTAAACGAGAAACACGAGAAACACAGAAAGTAAACAGAGTACCTTGTCGAATAAAATTACACGAGTCGAGCTCTGCTTTTTAGCGACCCAATTTTTTTAAAACGTGGGATTAAAGTTAGACGACGGCCTAAACGAGATTTTATAGCTAAACGCTGTTAAAGATACAAAACACACAGGAATTGAGTGTTTAGTTCTTGGCAAGTGACCTGTCGCTAGTTCAGCGAGGAGAGGTTTCGTCAAGTAGATTCGTCCCTTAAGAGGGGAGTTGTGGATACAACGCTTTGTCGGGAATTGGCGTAAGCTGGAGAAAGGTGTAAGCTGACGGCGGGAGTAGCAGAAGATATATGCAAATCGAAAAGCGGCAATGGGGGGAGATGGGAACGAGAACTGCCTAGAGCTGCGCAAATAGCAGCGTGGTTTGCATCGGGGAGAACTCGCCAGGTCGAAAGTAATGATGACATCCGCTCGGAGACCGACGAATAGTCTGCTGCAAAGCGCCCACGCGAGGTCTAGGTTGGAGAAATGCCGAAACTTTAAGTGCCGAGACCGCCAAAAGTGCCGAAAACAGAGACTTCTGACGCCACTAAGTGACGTGAGCATTACGTGGAGAGGGAAGCAATGAGTCGGGCGAGGAGGTTGCATACGGCAGACGAGATAGTAAAACAAGGGAAACACCAGAAACCCAGCTTTTGTGCAGTCATTTTTTATTAGGAATCCATTTATTGGCGAAATGAAACCGGGAAATCTTTTTTTGGCGCATGGATTCTCCGTTTTCGCCAATTAAGCGCGGCTTCCCCGCTCGTCGTTCGCCGGCTCCCCTCTTCTCGGCAGCACAGTTTTTCCTTTCCTTGAGAATTAACTGCCGGAGACCCTAATGGCGTAAAAAGCTTATTTCACAAAGACCCAATGAAAATATACCGGCAATAAACGAGCGCTAACGGCAATTACTTTATCAAAACTACCGGATCTTAACCGAGGCGCTAGATATGCCGATGATCGGTAAACAAATGCGGGCCCGACAAACCCCGCTTTCAGCTTGTCTTTGTATTTCGGCAATTTACACAAGCAACAATAATGAAGTGTAACAATGCATGTGGTAAACCATAAAACATAATTCGCCGAGTTGAGATGAGGCTCTAAAGCCGAAGACAATCGACATCCCACACGGCCGCTGCGGAGATAGGTGCCGCGGCTTTGGCAATATAGGCTTCTGAGAGAGGGCCCAGTGGGGAATCACTTGAGGGTTGCAGCAAGGCCGCGGCGGCTGCCGCTCTGTCTCCGTATGTACTGGCTAGCACAGTAGGTTTATTGGCGTCTGATGGCCTCTGGTGAACGCAATTCACCGCAATACCAGTTCCCGCGGAACCATCCCAACTCTTGATGAGCTCTTCACCCCTCCATAGCCGAATTGTGCCATCAGTAGCACCAGACACAAGCATGCCGTTGTCAAGAACGTCAAACACAAGTCGTTGGTTGGTGCGACCGGGCCTTTGGATGGTGTACAAGCTTCGACATGCTCGCACATCCCAACACTCAATCACATCGCTTTGACGTGACGCTGCGAACAGCTGCAAGCCGTCTGGTGACCAACGCAAACATGAAACCCCAGTCCCATGTTCAAGAGAGATCTTCAACTGACAAGGCCGAGAAGTGTAATGATCGTAAATGCCCAAACTGTTATCAAAAGACCCAATGGCAATTACTCCCGTAGCACCACCACTCGTCATAGACATAGGCTGAAGCTGGGCACACGAAAGAATGCCTTTCATTTGAGGTTCCCAAAGTGGTATGTCACGACCACATGTAGCCAGCACTTCAATAGGTGTCCGAATTCCACCCTGTTCGAGGGAAAACGTCACAACTTGATGCTTAGTGGCTGCAACTAGATGCCTTCCATCAATTGTAATCTGGATGGAATGCGGTGCTATAAACTGCTCGTTATGGTCCTGCAAATAGAAACTCGCTGTACGAGTGCCGGACCCAGTGTCCATTAACGCTATCGGCTCGTCTCGCGCTGCGAGTGCGAGCAGGCTTAACCTCGTAGGGTGCCACTCGTATGAACGTATAGATGTCGGCAATTGCAAAGAGCCTCCATCAGCAAAAACACCGTTTTCGCGCCGTGCGGGTATACTGTTCTCAGTCCATGGTAACAATTTAATCCGACGATCTGCTTCATGGATGGCAAGCAACGTCCCATCGCCATTCCACGCCAGCGACTGAAATAGCTCTGTGCTGTCGGTGGGAATACTGCAAATGGGCTTCAACACTGAAAATCCATCCTCAACAAAACCCTCTGTGTCTGACCGCAGTGTTGCAACCGCATTCATGGTACACTTCGTTCGAGCTCCCCAAAAAAACGACAGATGAGGCGAGGTTCGTAGTAGCTCCAAAAAAAAAATGAAAGACGAAAAAAACAGGTTTTTCGTAATTGACAGTGCACCGCGCACAATTCACTTATTTTCCAGTAACATCCAAAAAAAGATGTTTTTTTTTTTAAATGCAATCTGCAGGTGAATTGGCTGTTTAATTCATCCAAAAAAGAAACACATAGACCTTTTATATCCAACATTGGAAATGTATTTTTTCTCAATCCGCAACTTATGCAGTGATACCCTTGGCAGAACTGTTTGCGTTCTTTTTTCCCTTCCTGTAAAAACGCTCATCGTCAGGATTAAAACCGCCATTACCAAATATAGCAAAATCCGGAGTCGGTGCCGCGTAGTCCATCGGCCCAAACTCCTTCTTTTCGCGAACAAGTCGGAAAAACTTGTCATAGTTGATGTGTGTATGCCAGACACCGTTAATCTTGAACTTGGTTTGAGCTAAAAGAATACTGCAACTATGAGCGTGCTCTGCAGCGATTTCATAGGTGACACCAGTCTCCGCACTCAAAACGCGAAGCTCTTCACACAGACTCTTGACAAAGGCAACCACTTCCTCGTAAAAGGGAACATTTTTCATCGTCAATGGTGATTGATCAGAATTACCACAATACGTAACACCCTTAATTTCAACAAAACATGGAAGACCGAGTCGCACAAGATTCACGTACTCTTTCACGTGCTCCATATTGAAGCCCTTGACGAGTGTCATGCGGTATACAGTACGCTGGTGTTTCTCGCGTAAAATCTCCAAGCACGTCAAGAAACGTTCCCAAAAGTCTTTAAACAATGGACGATCAACAGCTTTCAAAGTGTCCTTAGTGCTCGCATCAATTGACACATATAACTGCGTAACCTGTCCCATGCGTCGCAGAGCTTCAGGATGTTGGGCATTCGTTACAAGGAAGGAAGAAATTTCTCGTTCATGAAGCATGGAGACAAACTCGTTGATGTAAGGATAGAAGATTGGTTCTCCCACCAACGAAAGAGCACAGTGTCGAACACGAGAAGCCTCAGCCAAACGCTCGGGACGTGTGCCAGGGACACCACGCATGAGTTTCAACTTGTCGTAATGACTTTGAAGAATACCGTTGATAATCATTTCCGGAGGATCGACTTTCCAACGCCATTCAGTACCCACAGGATTTGTGCCGTGACGCCAGCAAAATGTACACTTGTTAGCACATGCCAGACTCGGTGTTGCTTCCATGCAAAGATGACTTTTAATTCCGTAGAAACTGAACTTGTAACAGGATCCACGTCCACGCAGGGCGGACTTTGTCCAGCGACAGATTTTCACACCGCTGTGTGAGCCGACAACACTATATCCCTGTTTTGTCAATGACCGATAAGTAGGCGACTGTTCTGAAACCATAAGTTTAGTTCCAATGGGCAAAGACAATTCTTGCTTGGCGCGATCTAAAAGGGATCCCATATCTTCAACATCCACAAGCGTTGTTTTACTGGAGAAAGCGTCCGTTGTAGCATTAAAACGAGTAGCAGATGATGGAACTACGGCTTTTTCCTTCGCGTACTGCAAAAACAGATCCGTCCATGCTTCCATAGCTTCATAAACCTGCGCCTTTTCCAACTTCACGTTGACAACTCCCAGTGGAGCAATCCGTTGAGCACCCAGCTTGGCAAGACGCTGGTCTGCTGCAATGGCTTGATAACAGAAGAGGTCTCCAGCATACTGCTCAAAATCACCAAAACCAAGAACCGCAAAACCGCGCAGCTTCTCCAAGGGTCGTGCGACAATGCGGAAGTCATCGATGGTTGTTTGAAGGGCAGACAAGAAGTAGTCAATGCTCGACTCAATAGCATAAGAAGGGAGCAGTACGAGGTAAACGGTGTTAGAATTACCCTTGGAAAAATATTCGTCCAAATCAATATAATCAAGATTCAAAATTTCAACCAATTCGGTTTGCAAAGAGGAACGTATGCGATCAGCAACATGTTCAGCAAACTTCTGCGTAGAGCCGCCAAGAGTAGAGTAGAAAATGTTGATTGAACACGCACTGATATCTGTCAATTTACGAGAACTTTTAGTCGAAGCTTCGCATGCAATTTTACGGTTCGAATGCTTCGTTTTCTCAGTTTTACGAAAAACTTTTGGTGCTTTCGGTGTTGAGCCTTTCAGAGAAGTTGCAGAAGCTATTTTTTCCGGTTTTGCTAATTTTTTTGCCAAAACAAAATGAACAAGAACTGGCGACAGCAACAAGGCATAGATCAGCCAACGGTTCTGCTCAAAAAAGCCCTGAACATCCATTTCGCACTCGTAAACGTATGGAAGCTCGCGACCTTTTGAGCTTGGTCGTGTTGGTAGAGGCAGAGCGGCGAATCATTAACCAAGGTCTAGGATCCAATCAAAAAAGTCCAAGAAACAAAAAACAGGCAGAAACGAGACGAGACCAATGAGCTAGAGGAGTCAATTCAGCCAGAAACGTTTCCTACTTTCCGTTCAAAACCACAAAAGTATCGTACAAAAGTATTGTCGGGTAAAAATGCCTAATGATGTCTGCTTCTGTGTTCTCAAAAACTAGTGATGTCTACCTCAGCAAGAGAATTTAAGGTAATAACATCAGGATGTGATGCAATTTCTTCGGGGACCGAAAAATGAGGAAGAATTAATGGGTCTGGAACCCAGACAACCTTCATGTTGGCAGCCAGAGCAGACTGAACTCCCATTAAAGAATCTTCAAATACGAGACATTCTTCTGGCTTAATTTCAGGTTTTCCCGAAGCCATTTGTTCTTCATTAATCATTTTCAGAGCCTCGAACCAAATATCCGGAGCAGGTTTACCGCGTCCAGGTCCCAAACGAGGATCGTCGCCCCGAATGATTTTACCCTTAAACCAAGTAAACAAATGGGGAAGATGAGCGGTCTTGAGCTGAAAGTTGTGAGTATCACTTGAAGTTGCAACAGCAGCAGGAACGTCCAGTTGTTCCAGTGATTTTAATAACTCTAACGCTCCTGGTAAAGGCTGTACGCGAGACCACATCTCTCGTTGAACAACACGTTGCTCCATCAGATACTCCGTTGGTTCCATAGGAATTCCCGACCAATCCAAAAAGAGACGAGCAGCAGAAGGTCCAGGACGCCCTTAATCGGATTAGCGAATAAGTCCAGAGCCTCACAATTTGTAGGTTTTAAGAAGATATAAAAGAAAAAGACGCCCATTAAATCATATATCGTTCGTTTAATGACATACCCATCATTTGAGCCTTAACTTTCATTGAGAACGGTCCTTTGTTATACCGTTTTAGGATAATATCTTGAAACGAACATCGTTAGGTAAAAGACTGAACAGAGAACGCATGTTTCGTACTTGTGCTTTCCGTATAGACGGCCTCACTATCGATGAGGAGACCCTAACGGGATTAGTATACAATTTCTCATACTGATACGAGTAAAACAGCAAGTCATGAGCAGTCGTTACTTATTTAACTTACGTCCATGTCAAACAAACAAGCTTTCGTCTTCATTGGAGTAATTGGTTTCGGGTACGTAAATTGAGACGCGTCGAGGCGCGAAGGAAAGAATATATACACAAAGTAAACAGCATATAACACCTATTTAAGCATACTCAAATGTAATCTACATGTTCATACATAAAATGTGTTTTGTTTCCCTTTCTACACAAAATGCTAGATGCCTTTTTTAAGTTCACGTGCACACTTTAATTCACTTGATCATTTGAAACAACATCGCCGCAGCTCCTCTACGGCCACCTGTTGGCGATGTGTTGATTTATTGGTCCCCTGGAAGAGATCTACTGCTACATCGCCGTAATCTATACAACTGAATTGTTGCCGCATGGTTGTCGTCATTTTTGAGCATTCTTGTGTATAAGACCTTTTTTTCCATCGCACATGCCAACACTACCCCCACACCCCCACTAACACCATATTTACTTCTGGCGCTGAAAACTTGACCAGAGCCAAACACCTCACCCTAACATACATCGTAGAATTTAAGATCATGTCGAACTCTTTGGAACAACTCAAGGCCTCCGGTACCACTGTCGTTGCTGACACTGGTGACTTCGAGTCTATTGCTCAATTCAAGCCTCAAGATGCTACTACTAACCCTTCTTTGATTTTGGCTGCTGCCAAGAAGCCCCAATACGCCGCTTTGGTTGACGCCGCTGTTGCCTACGCTAAGAAGCTTGGTGGTTCTGTTGAGGACCAAATTGAGAGTGCTTTCAACCGTCTTCTCGTTGAGTTCGGTACCAAAATTTTGAGCGTCGTTCCCGGCCGTGTTTCTACTGAGGTTGACGCTCGTTACTCCTTCGACACTAAGACCACCATCGAGAAGGCCCGCAAGTTGATCAAGTTGTACGAGGAGGAGGGTATCAGCCGTGAGCGTGTCTTGATTAAGGTTGCTGCCACCTATGAGGGTATCAAGGCTGCTGAGGAGCTCGAGAAGGAGGGCATCCACTGCAACTTGACTCTTCTTTTCTCTTTTGTCCAAGCTGTTGCTTGTGCTGAGGCTAAGGTCACTCTTATCTCCCCCTTCGTTGGCCGTATTCTTGACTTCTACAAGGCCAGAAACAACCGTGAGTACGCTGCTCACGAGGACCCTGGTGTTTTGAGTGTCACCCGTATCTTCAACTACTACAAGAAGTACGGTTACAACACCATTGTTATGGGTGCTTCCTTCCGTAGCGTCGAAGAGTTGAAGGAGTTGGCCGGTGTTGACTTCCTCACCATTTCTCCTGCTCTCTTGGAGAAGTTGACCAACAGCACTGAGCCTGTCCCTAAGAAGCTTGATGCTGAAAAGGCCAAGGCCCTCGACATCGAGAAGGTCTCCTACCTTAACGACGAGTCCAAGTTCCGCTTTGACTTCAACAACGACGAGATGGCCGTTGTCAAGTTGGCCACTGGTATTGCCGCTTTTGCTAAGGATGCCGAGACTCTTCGTGGTATCTTGAAGGCTAAGTTGGAGTAAAAAATCTCGCTATGAGTTTCAATGATGTGAACAGCTACGTATGTGATTTTTCTGTTACGGAATGTGATGGTTTGTTTTCTTTCCAGCATCGCGAAGCTTCGAAAGCTGTGAAAACATCTTTACTTTAATGAAAACGTTTTTTTTTGTATGAATTGCTGAGACAAAAGGTTTGCAAGCATTCTGTGAGAGTGTTAACGGGATGTTTGGTTGATGCGTGAGGGAGAGCTAACATAAGATTTCATACATAATAAAGGATAGCTAACGTGAAAATACACAGACGTGTACGAACGCTGGAACGAATTGAAGAATAACAAGAACTTGTGTAGTAGAAGGACAACAATGAATGTGAATAGAAAATTGTAGACACATACAGTCGGAAGAAAAAACATTGTGCGGAAGAAGAGAGCATAGAAGCAAGACGTGTTTAAGGACTTTGGAATTAAACATCCAGGTTGAGTTCCTGTGGATCAATGCTTAGTCGGCGTTCTTCCAAGGGCCATTCAATACGTTTCCAAGTCTGAACGAGACGTTGGGCACCGTTTAAACGCCAGATACGAGCACGTCGAATATAGCCGCCGTGTCCACCATATCCACCAAATCCTGCTCCGCCAGCGAAACAGAAATGGATGTGGTTCGCTTGATTGTATCCACAAAAGTCGTTGACGTGGTCGTGTCCTGCAACTGCCACTTGAATACCGGCCTCTTTCAGTAACTTAGCAGTACCCAAATCGCACTTCGTGGCCGAGCACGCCTCGCGATAACTGCCTTTCATATCAACCACGTCGCAAAACTCGGCCAGGGGAATGTGAAGAAATGCCATTTGGATGGGATTTCCGCCATGGTCAATCGTAGCCTGTTTTAACCAGTCCAGCTGGTCTTGTCTAATCCAGTCGTAGCCGGGACAATGCCTTCCTTGAGGAGACATGCCATGTGTATCAATCATGTACAACGAAAACTTTCCCGGGCTATCGATTACATAATTGCCTACGCCGGAAACATTGCCAAATAACGAGACGCTGCCAGGAACCTGCTGGACGTAACGCATCAGTTCCATGCGTGAAAGGTCACCTTCCTCGTCGTGATTGCCAAAAATGACAGCGAATGGCAATTCACGCTCGACCATCGGTGAGAGTGCTTTCAGCAACGCAGTTTTTGCGTCAGGAGACGTGTCTCCGTTTACGATGTCACCGGTAAGTAAAACAAGGTCAGGGTATTCTGAATCAAGAACATCGTACATAAACTCAAGTGTTGTTGCGTCGGCTTCACATCCTTCTTTACGGTCTGCAGGAAACATATCCCGGCAGACGCCGGGACCCGTAGACATGTGCAAGTCGGAAAACTGTACAATCTTTACATCTTCACGGTCCATGTCAAAACGAATGTAACGGTCTTCACTGGCTTGTAGAACTTTTGGGGCAGGAGTGGCAGGCTCAGAACACGGCCTCACAGTAAGGATGACATCGTAGCCTGTTCCAAGAAAGTCAGCCGGTACTGCTCTCCAACCGTTACGGGGTTCTCTCGCGTCTTTTCCGTGAAGTACTTCAACCTCGCAAATATCCCCCTCTGTACTATATGAAACAGATAAACCGTAGCCTTTGTAATGGTAACCGTCGGAAAGATCGCTCGTTCCGCTTTCCGGATCGACATACATGTCCTCCAGGACGATGCTTTCATCTTCAACATAGTGATCTGGGCGTTTCACAAAAATAAAAGCCTTGCGAAACCAATGTTTTCCTAAGTACAGGTCATTAGTACTTCTGATCCAACGCGTAAATTGAGACATAGGACGACACAATGGATTCCATTTCACACACTGAACAATTCGTATGTCCTCTATGGGGGTATATAGTGAGAATGCTGTTCGAGCGTTCCATCCCTGGGAAACCTGCCGTATTTGATATTTCTCAAAGGCACAGTTGAACAAATAGACCACAAAAAGGGCAATTGGAAGGATTAACAGGCGCGATTTCAGCAACCGAACTACTTTTCGTGGAAACAGCTGCATCGCTTGATTTTTTGAAGGGGAATGGCTTTCGACAAGTTATTGTGGTTTGCCGGAAGCGAAAGCTTTCTACCCCAGTTATAAAGGCCGTTGCGCTTCCCGCGCGGGGGATCTGCGATTTCAAAGTGTTGCGGGGCTTAAAAAATAAAACAGCATGAAATATAGACATGTTACATATTAAAAGGAACGGAAAATTCTAACAAACATAACTGTCGAGCTGTAAGACTCAAAAATCCTCATTTAAGCAAAGAATGTGTTATGTTGCGTTGACCCTGTTTCTATTCGTTTCCAGCTCTCCACCACAACCTCAACACCTTGGAAAGTTCGAAGCTCTTGCACACGCAGAACCAGCACTACACAACGTAAACAAACATGTCGGACTACGAGGAGGATGACGCTTACGGAGCCGAAGGCAACTATATGGAGGAAGAGGTTGAGGACGTAGAGGTGACTGAGACAGCAGCAGCAGGAACCGAGGACGCCGCAAACCGATCGAACGTTGTGGTCAGCGGAGACGTTGCAGCAGCGGCAGCTGCAGCTGCTTCTAGCAGTGGCACCTCCGCAAAAGCTATCACAGGAGCTGATAGACGGACGACTCCTTATATGACAAAATATGAGCGTGCTCGTATTCTTGGTACTCGTGCTCTTCAAATCAGGTAAGTTTATCGGAGGAGAAGGATGAGGAGAAAAAATGAAGAAGAAAAGTGGGTTTGATTCACTGATCTTTGATATTCAGCATTTTCGTCTTCCCTTCGTTTCATCACGCTCACATGTCCTTCAATACCTAACTTGTACTAGTATGAATGCTCCCGTTTTAGTTGATTTGGAAGGCGAAACAGATCCTTTACAAATTGCTATGAAAGAGCTTGCCCAAAAAAAGATTCCTCTGCTTGTTCGTCGCTACTTGCCTGACGGTAGTTATGAGGACTGGAGCGTTTCGGAACTCATTTAAGACAGGGATATTCGCGAGTTTGTACATATAGTTGTTTACGGTCCGCATATGTCGAGCTTTTACTTCCGTTTCCCTGATCGTTCAAAAATTATTAGTTTTGTGTTTCTTGGGAGGGCATGAGGAATGCACGTTGAGAATGTTTTAAGGTAACTGATCAGTGAACGGCCATTGTCAGTTACCGAATGTCGTCCTATCACAGGACGACGAATTTAAGTATCAAAAAACATAATTCACTTCGGTTTGTAGAAAGGCGTAAGTGCTTTGTGTGTAGGTGGTGCAAGTAGTATCGCTGGCGTGTTGCAATTTGTGCTCCCCAGTCATGCTAATGATGATGGCTGTGCTCCTCTTCGGGCGGAAAGACGTCCTTCCAGTGCTCGTATTGCTTGCAGCCCTCAACCAATGGAGTTACTTGACAGGCTACCAGAGTTGGGATAGCAGACAGTATGTTCTGACGAAGTTGGTCTGCCGTCTGACACGCTTCAGTAAAGTCGATGTTTGAGGGCACGTTCACAGACACATGAACGCCGTATGCGTTTCCGGTAACGGCCAAAACTGTGCAAGGAAACTTGTCGTATGCTTGAACGCATGAACGAACTTTACCCTGAACAACCTCTGAAGGAGCACAGTCCAGGAGTCGAGCAGTTGCATTCTTTGTTGACGCAAGACCAGCTTTAAACACGAATAAGCTGACTAGGCATCCAGCTGCCGGATCTAGCCAAGGAGCATGACAAATTTGAGTGCCTACGAGGGTAATTAAAGCCACCACACTAGTCATGGCATCAGCACGATGATGCCAGGCATTCGCCGCAAGCACGTTGGACTCCGTTTTCTTGGCCAATTTAGAAGCTATGATGTGTTAGCATTAGGTGAAGCAGAAACTTGGAAAAGAAAATGAAGAGGGGCGCGTGTGAAAGTAGACAAGCTGATAGCCAGTGCGCAAGGGCTCTTAGCCTTCTCTCCAAATTCTTATGTTACGTACTTTTCTGGAAAAGCCATTCCTTAACAACTACGCTGGCAAAAGCGAGCGATACAGTGAGAACGGGATGTGTCATAACGGACGCAGTGTGAGAATGTGAATGGGCATCTGTCAAAAGATGAAGGTTCTCTGTTACAACAGGATTCGTTGACAGTTGTGCATATAAATTGTTGACGGAAGAAAGTGCAATAATAGAGGCTGTTCCAAGAAGCATTCCGGAAACACCTAAGCTGCCAAGCATTTCAAACTTACCAAAACCGAGAGGAAAACGCTTTGTAGGTTTTTTTCGACAAAATCTGAGACTAAATAAAGTAACTATGTCCGACAAAGTGTCTCCTAATTGATGTGCCGCATCAGCCATCAAAACATTGGAATGGAAAAGAATTCCTCCAAGGCCTTTGCCTATTGCAAGCGCGACATTGCTATAACTGAAGGCGAGTTAGTTAATGAGTTTTCCAATGATGGAAACGAGTGCATGAATAGGTAGAACTATGTATCCTATCGCAATACGTCGTTGAAGCAGTACGCAACTTGGAACAAAGCATCTTGTCCTTTCCGTGTCTTTGTTTTTTATGTTTCACTTACAGGCCTAACCATGTCAAACGGACTTCTTCTGAACGAGGATTTTTCTTAAGCGTTTCGGCGAAAAGAATCGACTCCTCTTCTTCACCATGAGAATGATCATGATGCGCGTGGGACAAGCAATTTCTTGTAGAAAAGTCGCGTAATCCCAGAGCGAAAGGCCTCTGAGGTTTGGCGATCACAAACTCCCTAAACAAATATACCATCAGCAAATACACGAAAAAATAGCTACAGATTCAGCATTCCAGCGTACCTTAACAATAGTCTAACTGACATTAAGGAGAATGGGGAAAGGAAGAATACATTGACTAAAATGTGTCTTTCACTTTCGGGAGATATCTAATCAGATGTGATTCTAATTATCGCCGAAAATAGATAACTCTATCTTTCGCTTAACCTACTATAATTGCAATCCGCGAGTGAAGCTAAATTACTGTTTAACAAAACCAAGAAACACCGTGAATGAGACATTTTGAGTATGTTAAAAGACATGCCTTTTTTTATTAGCACTGTAAAAATAAGTACGCAATTAGTTATTCATAAAATTCATTAGAAAGGCGTGTGCAATATAGAATGCGTCATTTGCATTTCACTTTCACTTCTACGAAAGATAGAGAGAGAGAGAGAGAGAGAGAGAACGTGCTGACAAATTCGTAAGTAAAGCAAGGGAATATTGTGTGTAACCGGTGCCCGAACATAAAGGAAAAACAAAAAAGACTAGAGAACTTGAAACACGGAAAAAGAGGAACGAAGCATTTGCTAGCAATTGCAACGTGGAGGGGATATGCGTGCTTGCTGGTGATGGGTGTGGACATTGCGCATTCGGTCGAGGGAAAAAGAACGAACGGGAAAGAGGGTTATGGATCGGTCCAAAAAGGAGGGATATTGAAGGGAACAGAGATAAAGGATATACACGGACGCACGAAACAAGGTCATGAGAAAGTTTTACGCCTGCTTGTGCAGTTCCCAAATTTTTTGACAGGCGGAGGAGATACGGTAAGGGTTGGAAGGATCTTGCAACTGTTCGTACACTGATTGTGAAATCTGTTCAGTGTCAATAGTCGAACCGTAGCATAGACGAACAGAAGTTTGAGCCTGATTATACAGCAGAGAAAGACTGAAATTATTATCCACCTTAGTTGGAAACAAAAGAGTCAATTCAACCTTTGCAGAGTTTTCTGGCAACAACAGTAAAGGCACAGTAAGTTGTAAAGCCCTGTCCAACATCTGACAATTGATGTTGGGCCATAAAAAAACTAATCTGTGTACATCCAAAATAAATGGCTGTACATTAGTCCAAAACTGCTTGAGAGAACGGAGATGAGTTCGTAGTTTAGCTAACTGCCTAGGCAGCGAACAATTACGGTAGAAAACGAGAAAATAATCGAGAAGGGGTTCAGTAAGCTCACTTTCCAATCGAAGACAAGGTTTGCATTCGAGGCTAATAGAACTTAAACCAAAGCCCACTAGTACGGATAATTGCGAGAAAGGCGAATCAGACAGCAAGCGCAAAGTAAACCCATTGGTAGTTATACCAGTTATATCCCAACCCAAACGCGATTTCCATAATTCCAACTGTCTTTTGTATTCTGAAAGTTCGTCACGACTTAAGGACGAATGCGTTTCACAAAATTTTTCGGTATTGGAAATAGTAACGCGTAATTGAGAAGACTTTTCCGTGATCGCCTCTGCTGCCGCCTTTAGCTTTTTTAGTGATTTCTCTTGCTCCAACAAGGTGGTACGTTTAAGCTCAATTTTTCGTACAAGTTCAGCGAGTTTGTTTTCCGCCGCAACAGCTGCTTCGTTATCATACTGTGACGCGAGTTCTTTTTGACGTTTAAGCTGAGAGACGGAGTTCAGCAATTTGGAATGACGTTCACTCACTTCAAAAACATATGGATGAACAATTGACTTAGCGTGAAGGAGACTTGCTTCGCTTTTCTGTAACAAAGTCATATTGGAACGAAGTTCACGTTCAATTCCTTGTAGTAGACTCATTCTCCATTCATACCATACACTTTTTGCACGCAAACGCGAGTACGACTTTAAAAGACGAAACTGTGACTCCATTGTTTGCTTAACAGATGCATTAGACTGCCGATACTCAAACATGAGTAAGGGGTTTTGTGCATTCGTCTCATTAGAAAGCTTATTGACAACGTTTTGACCTTCAACAATGTAGTTGTTAAGTTCTTGGCATCCAAATTTATAGAGTTCCGAACACGGAAATTGAACAAGAAACTGTTTCAGCCTGTCAGCCAAAGACAACGGCGCAGGTGGTTCTTCTTTCAGAGTGGGTGACGCAGGAGGTTTCAAATGAACAAGGTCATCCAGAAATGAAATCCCCGTCATCTGTAAAAACTCCTCCAAAGAGAGAGGTGCCAGTTCAGGTTTGTCCAGTCCCGATCCTTGTTTTGATGGCTCTGGCGATGATTGTTGATTTTGCCGAAGAACTAATGACTGATTAGTAGAAACAGATTCGTTTTTTTGAGCATTGTTGAAAGAAACTTCAGTCGGAGCACTTTGAAAATCTATAATTGAGTGCTGTATATCATCGCTGTGTGTATCAACGTCATCCAGATGCTCATCATTAAGTTTCAAGGGTTGCTCCTTTGTAGGAGTCTGTATGCCAACCGGTAGAGACGAATTATTTTGCGATGAAGAATCGTTATCCTGTTGCAACAGTGGGGTTAACGCGTTCGCGACTTCCTCCAAGTTCAAAGTCGCAGTCTTGTTCTTTCCAAATGAAGGAGAATCGAGGACCGAAGCGTGAAGTTTTGTTGAGGGATCGGAGTAAGCTACATCTGCATAAACTACAGATGACGAATTCTCTTTAGTACCTTGACTTACAACATGTTCCCCCGGTGACTTCTTCCCTGGAAATAAGGAAACAATGGCAGAATCTTGCAAGGAGGATAATGACTTTCTTGCATTTCGAACATTTGAAAGTCGTTTATTCCTAGAAATGCTAAGTTCATCAAGGCTGAGACTATGTCGTTTATGACGCAGATTAGCGTTACCGTGAGCTTGAGAATCATTGCTTGCACAATGAGCCGAGTGAGAATTAACTCGAGTATCAGACTCTTTATTATCAATGCTTTTAGCAGATTGGCTCTCTTTTTTTGAAAACTGAAAGGGAATTGGAGATAACTGATTGAAGGACTCATTTATAAAAGAAGAATTACTTTCTATCCGTTCATCCAACATCATATGATCATCCAAGGTAGCTTGAGTATCAACTTGTTGAAATGGTTTCGTTATATCCATATCTTTGTCCTCGTGTAAAACATCTACGCTGGCTGGCAAATTACGTTGCTCAGGCGAACTTTCCTGCAATTGCTGTAAAGCGGTCCGTTCCAGTTGAACATCTATCAACGGTGTGTTTTGCAACGTCAATGTATTGCTTGTTAGGTCCATCGTCACTTCATTGGTATCAGAAGGCATTATTACACTACCACTTAAGGCAGAAGAGGCAAAAGTTAAATTGTCAGAAGGAACTGACTCAGAAGCAATATCCTTTTGCAAAGGAGAGCCGCTAAGTGTGGTTATGTTCATTGGCCTAGTAAGATCCATTTCATCGTCAGAGAACATATTTTTTGGGGGGAAAGGTTGTGTAATATCCATAGGTTCCTCGTTTAAAGGAGGGCTTGAGACATTAAACTCCTTGCCTGACTTCCATAAACCTTCATTAACACGAGAATTAGCTGAAATATTGAATGGAGGCGACTTCAATGCAAGTCGTCCAACTTTGGAAGGAGTAGCAGGAAAATTATTGAAAGCAACCGTTGTGTCCATTTCCTCGACTGAATCATCTGAAGGTGTGTCATGATGAATGGAGGAAAATGTAGATGCCGCGTTGAATGCTCTGGTTGTTTGCATATCCTCCTCATCGGAATGGGTATCAATATCACTTTTGGCAAGCTTTTGATTAGAATCAAGATTGTTAAATGGTATAGAGAGGGAATTCGCCGGAAGTGTAAGGTTCATAGCTGATTCTTCTTCGTTGTCTTCTTGACTTGCTGGTGGATTCGAAGCTGCATTCTCCGAAAAATTCAGAGTAAGGTCCATATTTACAATTGATATGTTCTGTTCAGAAGCACTTAAAATTGATTCTGAAAGCGAGTTTTGATTGACAATAGGAATTGGTGATAAAGACCCTTGAGAAATGTCCATGTCAGATTCTCCACTTTCTTCCGCATCCAACGGCTGTTCTAAAGCGGCTGGATTTTTGTTATTTTGACCGGAATTCTGTGTGACACTTTTTGAATTGAAATTGTTAACGCTAGGTACAGCAGAGTCAGGTTCAGACTTGGATTCAGATACATCAGCAGTTATTGCATTCTTATTTAAAGATAATTCGTCCTCTCCGTCATTTGCTTTTTCATAAAGCCGGACTCGCGCATGACTTGCGAAAGACACACGTCGATTTAAACTTTTCCGCGACGACCGACGTTGTTCTTCTTGCGAGGCGGCTAAAACAGAGCTTGGTATACCTATAACTGTGTGATTGTTTGCCGTAGAGAGAATCCCAGCGTCATTTTGCTCCGTGTAGTTGAGTTCCTGAGAGAATGATGTATATGACTTTAAAATTCCTTTTCCCGGGATCGAATTGCGTTTAGAAGAGCGCGGATAACCTTCACCCAATGAATGAGGTCTTTTCCATCGTTTTTTATGCCCAGCAGAATTGAAAGCCGCCAAATCCACTTCTTTTGTCGGCGACCTCGACATGATGGGTCTGGTCATAGACGCACATTAGGGTAAGGGTGAGACCAATATACGAGCTCTTGGTGTTTGTGGTGTTTACGTTCTGCCTGACTAGCGACTGGCAGTAAGTACCACACCAAAGGAAGGAGGAATAAAGATCTCTGTGTAGTCGATAAACAGCAGGTATTAAGAGCACAAGATGTTTAAGAACGGCACGGAATCACGCAGTTCTGTTGCCAAATTTTTATGTTATTTCATATCGAGTAATTGCCGTTGGGTGTCCAAAGGATTTGAGTGGAGCAATAAATCAACACCAAAAATCCGGTTTGTTTGTAAATAGTAGATTTATAAAAACAAGTATGTATGTACCAATAGACCAGTTTTTAAGATTTAAAGCATCCTATTTGTTTGTATAATCATTCATAAAAACCGTAAATTCCTGTTAAGATCCTCATAAACCAAACGTTGAGCTGTATGTAAACATCAGTGGAGAAGCTGTTCGGAATGACTCAACAATTCACCTGTCCCGTACGGTGACGAGAAGTGAATGCGCTTCCAGTAAGAATATATGGCTCTACCTGAGGCGTCGCGACTCGATTGGAAGATGAGCTTTGAGCCATTAATATGATACAAACATTCGACAGTTTCAGTTTGACTATAAAAAGGCACCGTTTCTTCTCTCTTGAGCACTCTTCTAATCCAGAATTCCAACTACGAAGCAGCCCAATAGTGGTAACATGGATGATAGATTTGCTAATGCTCACGAGGCACCGACCTCGGGTGAGAATGCAGAGTCGCATCAAAACAATGATGAACCTCTGCAAGAGTATACGCACAGACGAGAACCTATTCGGCCAGGAGGAGAACAAGTTGCACCAGAACCAGACTCCAATATGACTTCCAACACTGTGATATATGGTTCACCACAATCACCTGGTTTAGGCAATTACGAGCCAACCCCATTGCAGCCAACTCCGGAAGTTGATGAAGAGGCACAAGCCGCTTACCCCAATGCTCCAACTTCAGACAGGGAGTACTATGGCAATGTGAATGCCGGCCCTGATGGTGCTGTTGAAATGCCGTATTCGCCGCATCCGTACGCAGTCAATGCTCAACAAGCCCCAGCTGCTCACGGCACCCCTAGCCCTGGAGTAGCAGGACAGCAGGATAATGAACAAGCAACTCTGACATCTGCTGGATATCATGACGAACATGCCGGCCTCAATGCAGGCCAGATGTCGGAGAAGGCCTCAAATGTTGGCCCTCCGAATGGAGACGATGACGAAAATGAAGATATCGATGCATTAATTGAGGATCTTTATTCTCAAGATCAAGAAGTTGAAGACACTGAAGAAGAAGAGCAGGGGCCCGGCGCGATGAAAGCAGTACCAGAAGAACTGCTACAAACAGACACTAGAACAGGATTGACTGAGGAAGAAGTTGTCTCCCGCAGACGGAAATACGGACTAAACCAAATGAAAGAAGAAAAAACGAACAACTTACTAAAGTTTCTCGGTTTCTTCGTGGGTCCTATCCAATTTGTTATGGAATTGGCAGCAATATTGGCAGCAGGTCTACAAGACTGGGTTGATTTTGGTGTCATCTGTGCACTGCTTCTTTTGAATGCTACAGTTGGTTTCGTTCAGGAATATCAAGCAGGATCAATCGTCGATGAACTGAAGAAATCTATGGCAATGAAAGCAAATGTTCTCAGAAACGGTCATGTTCAAGAGATCGACGCAGCGGAAATTGTTCCAGGCGATATTTTGCATCTTGATGAAGGTACCATTTGTCCCGCTGACGGTACCCTTATTACGAACGATTGCTTTTTGCAAGTTGACCAATCCGCAATTACCGGTGAATCCTTGGCCGTCGATAAACGTTATAAAGATACGATGTATTCATCGTCAACAGTCAAAAGAGGAGAAGCATTCATGGTTGTAACAGCCACCGGTGACTCAACTTTCGTTGGCCGTGCTGCATCTCTAGTTGGAGCTGCTGGTCACACAAGCGGTCACTTTACGGAAGTGCTTAACGGCATTGGAACGGTACTGTTGGTTCTGGTTATCATGACCTTGCTTTGCATCTACACGGCTGCCTTCTACCGTTCAGTTCGGATCTCTAATTTACTAGAGTACACTTTGGCTATTACGATTATCGGAGTGCCAGTTGGTTTGCCTGCAGTTGTGACAACTACCATGGCAGTGGGAGCCGCGTATTTGGCGAAGAAAAAAGCTATCGTACAAAAGCTGTCCGCAATTGAATCGTTAGCTGGTGTCGAAATCCTTTGCTCAGATAAAACTGGTACCCTTACGAAAAACCGTCTATCTCTTGGAGATCCCTATTGCGTTAAAGGAATTTCACCAGATGAACTGATGCTGACCGCCTGTTTGGCCTCTGCCAGAAAGAAGAAGGGTTTGGACGCTATTGACAAGGCTTTTTTGAAGGCTTTAAGATATTACCCTGCTGCGAAGACGCAATTGTCAAAGTATAAGATTTTGGAATTCCACCCTTTTGATCCCGTTTCAAAGAAAATCACCGCCATCGTTGAATCACCCGAAGGACAGCAAATTACGTGTGTGAAAGGCGCACCTCTGTGGGTCTTTAAAACCGTTCAGGATGATCATGACGTACCGGATGAAATTGCAGATGACTACCGAGAACAGGTATCACAAATGGCGAACAGAGGTTTCAGATCCCTTGGTGTGGCCCGCAGAGTTCAGGGACAACAGTGGGAAATTCTTGGCATCATGCCTTGTTCAGACCCTCCTCGCCATGACACTGCTAAAACAATTCGTGAAGCCATTGGCTTGGGTCTTCGCGTCAAAATGCTCACTGGTGACGCTGTTGGCATCGCGAAGGAAACTGCCAGACAATTAGGTATGGGAACAAACGTTTACAATGCGGAAAGACTCGGTCTCGGAGGAGGTGGTGAAATGCCTGGTTCTGAAGTTTATGACTTTGTTGAAGCTGCTGATGGATTTGCAGAAGTTTTCCCTCAACACAAGTATGCTGTTGTCGACATTCTTCAGCAACGTGGTTACTTGGTTGCTATGACTGGTGACGGTGTTAATGATGCTCCTTCCTTGAAGAAGGCCGACACCGGCATTGCTGTCGAAGGCGCTTCTGATGCTGCACGTTCCGCCGCTGATATTGTCTTCCTTGCTCCTGGTCTTTCTGCCATTATTGATGCCTTAAAAACCTCGCGCCAAATTTTCCATCGGATGTATGCTTATGTTGTTTATCGTATCGCCTTATCGTTGCATTTGGAAATATTCCTTGGCTTGTGGCTCATTATCCAAAACATCCTTTTGAATCTTGAACTGATTGTTTTCATCGCTATTTTCGCCGATGTCGCAACTTTGGCCATTGCTTATGATAATGCTCCCTACTCAATGAAGCCCGTAAAGTGGAACCTTCCCCGTCTGTGGGGTCTTTCCACGGTCGTCGGAATCCTTTTGGCTATTGGAACATGGATCACGAACACTACCATGATTGCACAAGGCCAAAATCGTGGTATCGTGCAAAATTTCGGTGTCCAAGACTCAGTTCTGTTCCTTCAAATTTCTCTTACAGAGAATTGGTTGATTTTTATCACTCGTTGCAATGGTCCTTTCTGGTCTTCAATCCCCTCGTGGCAGCTTGCGGGTGCTGTTCTCGTAGTCGACATCCTGGCCACACTCTTCTGTCTTTTCGGTTGGTTTAAGGGTGGTCATCAAACCTCTATTGTTGGTGTTATTCGTGTCTGGATCTACTCTTTTGGTATCTTCTGCTTTATTGCTGGCGTTTATTATTTATTGGCAGAGTCGACATCGTTCGATCGTTTGATGAATGGCAAGAGAAGACTTACCAAGACAGAGCGCAGTGCCGAAGACTTCCAACTCCAACTCCAACGTACTGCTACTCACCATGCAGAAGAAAGCAAGCCCGAATAACCCTGGTGAGTATAGCATTGATGTGGCCGTTAACAAAACGGTCCTCATATTCTCAACGTTCCTTTTCTGTGCAAGTTGATGCTCTCAATCAATAACAAACACATGTATAATAAGTAAGAGCATATTATGAAAATCAATAAATCAGTTAATAACACGGACAATGACGCACTTCCTATCAACGAAGAAAACAGAATAGTCAATAAGATAGTTTCCAGTATGCAATTTGTTCAGAAATAATGTATGGCAATTTTTTGACTCAACAAAAAAAAAAGCAGAGGGTTGCGTTTGTGTCACCTCTACTTTGACATCCCGAGAAAGGGAGTATTAGTTATTTATGTGTTGTATTCGAGAAGACCATATATGATGAAGGTGAAACGAACAAGCACAAACCAAAAAACAAAAGAAAAGATGAGGGTATTAGAAAATAACAAAGAAGAAGGGGATCGTGTTAAGGTGTAATAATAAGGTTTTAAGGATAGAAATTTAAAAAAGCCTAGGACGTAATTTTTTTCCGCTTTTTCTTCATCATTTCTCGGTCTCGCTCAAGACGTGCTTCGCGTTCATCTTCAAGCCGTGCTTGTCGAGCAGCTGCCTGTTCCTCACGCCAAACGTCATGTCCTGAAGCTTCCATAACATCATCATCATCACTGTACATATCGCGTCCAACATAATCAGTCTTCCGTTTGCCAAAGATTTTCCAGATCTCGGAGGATATGTCAGGCTTGATTTCGGAATCGCTGTCTGGCTCAATGAATCCATCAATGTCATCATCTTCGACTCTCGGTTTTCGTCTTGGAAGCGGTTTTCTAGGTACGGTACTGTTACGAGCTGAAGACCCTGATGGTGTGTTACGCATAGCCGATGCTCTTCCAGATGATGAACTCGCTCCAAATTTCTTCCGAGCAATCTCGTCTTGAATTTCGGCGGCAGTGCGTTTATCACGTTTGGGACCCGTTTGTAACCGAACAAGGTCGTTAGGAATTGAAGAGCGAGAACCGGTTCCCGAGATAGCAGTCGTAGTAGTTCGCCTGCTTGTCAAACCGTTCATTTTAGAGCTACTGGAGCGAACAGTGGAAGATCGTCCATTGCTAGCCGGTGCTTCTCGAAGCCACTCCAAGGAATAGTTCTTGGAGTGTGTCTCCCGCGAAGCATTATTGTGTTTAGCCGAGGCTGGTGGATTCTGTTTAACCGGTACGGTTTTTGGAAGCTCCTTTGGTGCTTGACGAATGAGCTCTTGGTAACTCAGTGTTTTCGCACGACGTTTCATTTCAAGACGCTCCTTGTCCTTCTTTTCACGCATTATGCGTGCTTCTTCGGCACTGAGAGGAGGTCGTTCTTTTCTTGTTCGAGACGACTTATTTTTCGCTTCTTCCTTCTTTTGACTTTCCCGTTTACGGGCCTGTTCTATCATTCGACGCCGCTCCTCCTGCTGCAGACGTAGCTGCTCGCGTTCACGCATTAGCTCCTTTGCTTTTTCCTTCACCTGGGCTTTTTTCAACTCGTCAACGCGAGACGTGATTTGAGTGGCATTTGATGCGGCCATAGCCATAAGCTGTTGGAAAGACGGAGAGCCCCCCATTGCAATTAGTAAGTTTTAGCCGAATTGATGCCAGAGTGAACCAACTTTTTGCACAACAAGGCAAGATTCTCGAGCAAGGATAGTGTGTTGGACTTGGCAGCAGTTGTTCAGAGAACTCTGGTCTTCAGCTCGAATTAAGGTTAGCGCAACACGTTGTGATGCCTTAAACGTCGTTTGGCGGTGTTTGGTGTGTGACTGCTTTTTAGGTGTCGATGGCCATTCTACACCAGGAAACACAGAGTTCGCGTCTACCAACCACACCGAGACTTCCACTCAAAATGGCCGAATCCCACGACGAAGCAGTCCGTGCTGCTGAGCTTAAGAAGAAGAGATCCTTCCGTACCTACTCCTACCGTGGTATTGAGCTTGAGAAGCTCTTGGACCTCTCTGCCGAGCAGTTGGTCGACTTGTTCCATGCTCGTGCTCGTCGTCGCATGCTCCGTGGTCTTGGTGCCAGCGCTTCTCGTTTCATCAAGAAGCTCCGTGTCGCCAAGGCTCAAGCTGCTCCCAACGAGAAGCCTGAAGTCGTCAAGACTCACTTGCGTAACATGATCATTCTTCCCGAGATGATCGGCTCTGTTGTTGGTATCTACAACGGTAAGGTCTTCAACCAGGTTGAGATTCGTCCCGAGATGGTCGGCCACTATCTCGGTGAGTTCTCTATCACCTACAAGCCTACCAAGCACGGTCGTCCTGGTATTGGTGCCACTCACAGCTCTCGTTTCATTCCCTTGAAGTAGAGTGCTGGATGCGAGGAACACAATTGCTGCTGTCGCTTTGCAGTATGGTCTATTAATGCAAAGTTTGGCTGCGTGTTAAAGAAACGGTTGAGAGTGTAATGGGAGGGTTGTAGATGGATTGTTGAGCGTAGGGTTTAAAGATTGTAAGGTGCATTCTTGTTGTTGAGCGATGGGAGGGTCTGTTGGTTTTTCTGTTATTTTGGCCTTGTCCGCGTCCGGTACGAGGCTTTGCATTTCGATATGTCTGTTGGTGACGCATTTTGCGGCATCTTTAGGTAGAATAGCGTATTCAGTCATCCAAGTTACTTGGTCCGGATCCTACGTTACGAGATGGATTTACATCGCAGGAAGAAGCAATTTATAGAACGGCAAGTCGAATATCTAAACCATCCGCTGCAGCCTCCAAAGCATTTGCGGCTTCCTGTTAAGCAAGACAATCTAAATCCAGAGCATTTGCAACAAGTGTTCCATCGTATGTATTGCAATCCACGAATAAGTATGCTAACATTCATGGTTGCAGGACTTTCTTTCATTTTACGAAAACACACTCGCCTTAATTTCTCACATCAAGCAATCGAACATGTTGCTTCGCAACTTGTCAAACTTTACGAACAAAAATACCAGTCCATAGACAGCCGATACCTATCCCCAGAGTTTTTCGGACAGCTAGACTGGAGTGATGTTGAGACATTAGAAAATCTACCTGAAGTATGGCCTTTTGAGCTTCCATTAGATCAGACGGTGCAGAGCAATTCGAATGAAGAAGCCGAAAAGTTGGTCAAAGAAACTCAATTAGCGTCTGAAAAGCTTCAAAAGGAATATCAAAATAAACTATTGCGTTTGATTGCCGTGCAGAAGACGATTGCTCAAACAAAGTCACAGCTGCAGGCGATGAACCAGTTGGCTGTGTCGATGGAACAATTGACTGCGAGTTTGCAAAACATACAAAAGACTTCCTCGTTACCAGACGAGCTAGGGGCTGAAGAAATGATGTTACTGTTAAAAAAACTACAGCAAACACAACTATCCCAATTTGAACCGTCAAATTCGCTAGAAACTCAAATCCATGATGCTCTTTCGCCCAAGCAAACAGAGTAAGCTCTCATGTACTTTTATTATTACCGCTTAAATAAATGAACGAGGACTGTTGGTGCCTTCAAGATAGTCTTGCTGGTGAACTACCTATAATTGTATATACTATCGGATGTACCAACTTCACACAGCACATACGGTATAAAACCACAATTTCGACTATTTATGAAACGAGATGTATCAAACTGAATTGGAAAACGTTGCCCTTTCACAATTAAATGCTGAATCTGCTCAAGAATTGCTCAAACAGTCTAATGTTCAGGAACTACCCCAAGAGTTTATGGCTATAGCAAAGGACTTGATATCAGCACGTGAAGATACAGTTGCGAAAATAAAACTAAAACGCTGTGAAGAGAGACTGCTTGTTGAAGAGATTGAATTTTTAAAACAACGCATAAACCGCTACGAAATATCGCCTGAAGTACTTGTTCAAATGCGAAAATGTGAAATCATTTTTTCCGAGTATGAAAGGGTTTATGAAGAGTGGAAACGCACATGCGAAGAGAGAGAACGTGCACGTGAGCAGCGTTTGTGCGCTATGCAGCAGTGTCACTATTTGCAAGTCTATTCAGTGGATCTGCATGATTACTTAAACCAAAATGTTCTTGAAGCGCTTTGTAAACTAGATTCCATTGTCACGATTACTGATGAAACCAAAGCTAGGACCTGTTTTTTGAAGTGTCTAGTTGATCTTTGGCACTTCTGTGTGTCACGATTTCGGAGACAATTTGGAGCACACATGAAAACGGTGCACGCTGATTATACGGACAAAAGAAAGCAGTTAAAAGAACTTCAAACAGAATTAGAAAATGCAGTGCGTCTTTCCAATGTTCTAAAGAAGCATATTCCGACCAGGACCTTTTAGTTTTTTTTTATTGAGCTCCTCATTGCATTTTTACTTCCTCCGTACTGCCAGCGAGGTTGCATGAGGGATGAAAACATCGCATAACGGACATAAGTATAGTATGTTTTTGTGCTATTTCGCGTATAACTAATCTTTATAGCTACATATTTCCTAAAATCTCCGTTTTTGCTTGGGACCGAGGCTACTCAAACTCTCTCAAGGAAGTATCTGTAAGTAACTTGAAACAGGTGAAAATCATTGTTAACACTTTTAGCGCTCTCAATGGCGTTGTTTCTGTGACATTCATTGAAAAAACAAACGTATGTTGTTACTATTTATACTGTGTATTAATTCGCTGTTGCAGACTTTTAAAATTATTGGGAATTTCAGAAGTCAAAGATATGCAATCGAAAGGTATATATTTGTGAATGAATACAGCTATTCGTGTTCTAATATGACTTATATATTAGTTATAAGCTGTTTACAAATTATTTACGTGAGGCTGTTGATTTAGCTGAGCAAGACGAAAACTCAAACACGTCCCCAAGGCCATTATACTTTCAAACCAATTGCTTAAAGCTTAATGCTGGAAACTTTGTTGAACAGTATTTAGCTTATATTGACCGGCTTCAACGAACTAAGAAAAGTCCTCTGCCCGTAGATCCCGGAAAAGTCACAAAACCAGCTTCGTTGCCTCAAAAAACGTTTGTGCAAAAATCATGGTCTCCAAAAATACTAAAGACTACGGTTAAACATGTTTTCATCCGCCCAGATGGAAAGAATGTTTTACAGTTACTCGCTGCGGAGGAAAAGGCGGAATTTAATTTCCCAGCCGAAGCTGATGTGAGCAGTCTTTTTTTCTGTTCTTGGTTGTATGTGCTAACATATCTGTATAGAGAGTGGATTTGAGAACACAAAATGAGGAATCTATGCAAAGACTGTTAGAGAGGATTGACGAATTAGAACAGACTTTAGCGGGTAAAATTGTGTGGCTTTATGAGTATAATCTTTTATATCCCGGTCTTATAAAAAACGCTGAGATTAAGTTTGTTTCCCTAAAAGTTCAGCAACTGTTTTATTCGGTATTTCAAAACGTTTCCCGTCCACTACCTCTTGGATTTGATCTTGGTAAATCTTACACATTAAGACTTGTCAAATTCGACGACAAACTGAAGAAACATCGGCCCTGTAAAATTAAAGTTAGACCTATTACTTCTAGCCCATCAGACGAAAAAGGGTTTCGAATCTTTCAATCGTCACAGCCCAAGCCTGAAGTTCTCGTTCCGGCGAAATCCATTCTCGAGAGCAAAAAACCCGTTTCAACGAATCCTGCACCAACCAAAAAGCAAACTAAGTCGCGGCAACAAAAGCAAACATTCTGTGTTGAAATACCCCTCAAGCCTCGTATCATTAATCGGAAGAGTACAATCTTGGGTGAGAAGAAAGTGGAAAATAGAGCAGTTGGATTGAATTCGCAGAAGGCATCCCTTCAGGCTAAACAACCAAGTTCTGAAAAGCCGCCAAGGAGATCGTTCCTACCACCAAAACCGCCTAAGGTTGCGGAAAGTCCCGAAGTTGAGGATGAAGAATTTGTGCAAAGAAAGGCCACATCATACCTTGCTTATCAAAAAAGTATTGAAAAAGCGGCCGCTTTGTCTCAGCCTTCTGAGAACGCGACACTCTTGACGCCAAAACCCGTTTCTGTAGACGATACAGCTCAGCCAAGAACTGCGCCAGTAGCTCGAGTAGGGACACCTATAAGCTCTCATGCAATACGGGATAGCCCGATAAAGGAAAACTTTGCTATGCTGAAAGAACAGGAAGAAATTGCTTCGGCGACGGACGACTCCATAATCGGCGGTTTGGATGGCATTTCCTTAAAAGATTCGCCCAAAAGGCTGATACAAAAGGCCGTTACTGATCGTTCACTTAAGTTGTCATTTAGAAATTCACCTAACTTCTCCTTGACATTGCATAACGCATGTGACCAACCGAGAGACATGGATAAGTATATTGAAGAAGTGAATGATTGGAATTTAAAAAAAATACATGTTTATCTCGCAAAATGGTATTACCATATTACAAGAAACAAGGACTAACATATTTATTAGTGCTCACCTGCTTCAATTCTTTAAGGGTGATATTGAGTTTGCGGCACAGTAAGTGTTCACGCGTGCGAACAAAAACTAACTGTTAAGTTTTGGAAAAACGATTTACACCGGTTTGGATAGCGCTGTTCATCAAGGTTATTATACCTATAAGAACCTGATTAAGTCTTTAGATTTAAAGCAGGCCGTATTTTTTGACAGGTATGTGACGATTTGTAGCATTATCATCTAACATTTAGCTTGACAAAACGAGTTGATGACATTGACGTTTTTCTGAATAAACAAGTCGATATTAGTGGGCGTAGGGCGCGTGCTCTAATAAAGTCAGACAACCTAATCGCGAACACTAGTATTCGGATAACTGTTCGGATACTCGATGATAACAATTCTAAGCGTTCTTTCACTATTTATGCAAATTCTGAATTGCAAGATGTGCATTACCTGGAGAACGTTCAGATGGTTGGAACCTGTAATTTGAACGTGGCCCTTACGTATGTTATTACCCTGATTTGTTTCTTTAAGTTACAAATACTAATTGGCAAAGCTTTTGGGATGCTCAACTGCGCTTCAACACTTACAGGCAAATAAAATTGCCCGTACTCGACAGCTTGATTGAAAGCTTTCGTCTGAAGTACGTGCTATTATTTAATTCATTCTAACACAGGCGCAGGAAAGGGGACAACGGCAATCGTAAGCTTACATTCTCAATTTCTCCAAATATTGTCGTTGAATCTGTTGAGCGGGTTTGCGAAGTTGCTGTCGCATTCAATGAGGAATTACTTCCTAACAAAACCAACTTTGAACTGAAAGTCAGTATGGTAGAAGCACTCTCACCGGTCGTCTCTTCTGAAGCAAACGAAACTCATGTTTTACTCGATGGAAGTATCAACACCGTCCGTTATAAAATACGCGTTTGCAGCCCTTTTATGCAAGGCGAGTTTCGCAAAAACAAAACTCTAAAACGAAAGCGAGCCGCCGATTGGGAAATTGCTAACGATTCTTTTTTGGGCGCTGGTTCGCATTACGGTACAACAGACTTATACGCGTTAATTCTCATTTTGACAAAGCAACTTGATGGCGTTGGTTGCGCTGAATTATGAATTTCTTGCTTAACTTATATTATATCTTCTTTCACTCGTTTTCTCTAATAATGATTTTATTCCTAACGAAGTACAAAAAATAAACCAAATCCAAGCCAGACTAGACATTAAGTAGCCTCTTCGTCGTCAAATTTATCAATTTTGTTCAAGACGACGCCCCATTTTTTGTCGTAACCAAAATTTAATTTTAACAGTTCTGCATCATGTCGAATTTTCTGAAGAACCTTAGCAAACTTTTTTGTTAATGCCGATTTTTGATGTTCTGACCGTTGATAGAATTGATAAATGAGGGTGAAAATAACAAGAATATTATCACAGGTGATGGATTGCTCTTGTGTGTTGCGGACTTCGGCCACCAACGGACAGTAATCACTCCAAGAGTCACGAATAAATGAAAGAATACCAGGAAGAAAGGGGACAATGCTGTCCCAACGGTATTCAGGACTGTCAACGAGTTCATGTCTAGTTGTTGAGAACAACGACAAGTGGGAAAACGTACAGGGCGTGTACAATTTGTTAAACATGGGATGTACAACTGTCAAGCAATTGAAATACGGAAATGAGAATTTGTAGCACATTGAACCCTCCTCTTTGTGGGAGTCTTTCCGTAAGCCAATTTCAAATAACTTTCGGCAGGTTTTTATGTGACGGACCATTGAATTTGACGAAGATTTTGACAATCTTACGGAACCATGTGTTGAAACAGTATCCTTGTTCCAGCCAAGAAGATTTCCAAAGCAATCGAGAGACTTGTTCCAGTGCAATGAGAGTACTGAATCGTCGAGTTTCGTGGTGCAAACATCCAATAGTAAGTCAAAAAACTTTGTCGAATCAGAACGAATAGGCGGAGAAATGTGAGTCATTGCTGAATGCGTGAACAGGAAGAGATTGTTGATGTTCGGTTGAAGGAGAGTAGGCTCCACAGAAAGAATCTGATTTTTGAAAAAAGTCAGAAGAAGATTACGAACTTGTGGAGACTCATCCAAAATTAAGGGTGCCGTGACACGAACAATCATAGAAATGGAAACTTTGAGCAAATCAGGATTCTCTTCCAAGTTAGCCGCTATCTTTTCGAGGGCATCTATTAAATGTTAGTTAAGTGCACTTTCACAACCAGCAATTCTGTAGGAATAGCATACCCTTTCTCTGATTTGAATTATGATGCTTCAATAATCCTAATGAGTGTGCGAACTGTGCTTTTGTTTTTTCATCAACTGAGAGAGTTTCAGTTGCAAGTGCATTCTGAGTGGGAAGAACCAACGCTAATATTGACTGTTAACTTCAATCCATTTTCAAGCAATTAACTCACCTTTAGTACGGTACGAAGTGTCCGTAAAGTTTGATGGAAGGACTTTCGACTTTCCGACTTTCAATTTTTGTTTCTAACTGTGTTAATAAGATAAGTTTGACAGGCTAAAAATATATTTCGTGAAATTGACAAAACAACATCTATAAGATGTCTTCAACTCATTCTGAATGTATTTACATTGAAATCGGCACGCTTGGCCTTTGACTTTTTTGATTTACCCATGGTGAGTAAAGTGGGTTCCACTAGTGGTGGATAATGGTTACGTTCATAGATCCCTTCACTGGAGAAAACCAGGCGGTGTAAAAAAGAAACACATATGAAGAAATTAGTTTACGGCATTAAAGTAGATGTGTTAATATATCGTCTGTTGTCAAATGGTTTTTGTTTGAAATGCATTTCACAGTACCAAGAATCTAAACTAAGTAGCCTTCTCTTTTGCCTTTCAATTCCAATGAAATATGTTAAAAGCGTTCAATGCGTCCAGAAATTGTTGTCGTTCAAGTTCGATGTTTGAGGGGGTGTAAGTTTCAGGTGAACATGAAGTCAAACAAGTATTCTCGCACTTCGTTTCCTCAGCTCCGTTAAACTGCAAGCGTGTCGGTGACAGGTAAGAATATCGATCATCAATCTCAGTAAACGGGACGACGCTATACTCAAGAGCCCGTAAAGTCTTGTTCAATAAGAGTAATTGCTGTTCACAACTCTCGCAGTGAGTTGAAGGAACTTCTACAACACTAGATCCGGATGAATAAGACGGACGTGATGAATACACTTGCTGAAAAGTTAATGTAACCAGGAAAATATCAAAAAGGGCCACAATATAAAAGATAAGACGTTTCCATGATGATCGCGCCCAACCTTTCATGTCATCTCGTCTCGTGCTATCCCGATTCGGTTTGTGCAAAGGTTTGACAAACTTTGAGTCCTGTGTGTTAATTGGTTCAGTGTGTTCAACGAATAAAGCTTTCGGTATACTCTCAAAATATAGTTGCTTCTGGTATTTGTCACTACCCTTCACCGGTGTGACAATACTATCGTTTTGTTTCACATATCCAGCAAATGCTATCCGTTAATAAGGCTTTAAATTTGGAAAAATGTTTTTGCTTACCTTTCGAATTCGAAAAATCAACAGTTGCTTGTAGCCGAGGTTGATCAACAAAAGTGGGCAATGATAGTGCAGAAAGGTGAGGACTCTCTTCCTTGTTTGATGATTTAAATTTCTTAGCTTTCTTCACCTGCCAACAAATTTCAATAAGCTGTTTAAAATCTGCAGTTTGAATTATAATTAAGGAAGAATCCTTCGTTTGTATAACAGGCACCTCCGGTGTTGGCTGTCGTCCGTTTATTAGACACCATTTCATAATAGACTCATTTGGTGGCTTCAAATAAGCAACCGGAGTTCCTTTCTCAAAAAAGGAAGTTATGTTTGCTCGAAGAAGTAAATCGATTGAAGATGGTTCATGGTCTGTTATTTTAATGTTCACTGGGTCAGTGAAAGTGCACTCGTTTTTTAAACAAGATAAAGATGTGACGAGAGCATTACATTTGTTGAGCACAAATGTAAACGGTTTTAAAATGCAGCCGCTGCTCTTCATATGACAGCGGATTTTATCGTTGGCGCTGTCATATTCAATGATCCATGAACCATTATGATCATTTGATGGTTCTATTTGGTAAGGTGCCCGGGGAACGGTGATTGAAGAACGCGCTGACTCAAGTTGATAGTTGGAAACTTGAGGGATAAACAGACTTGAGCCCAATTTACAAGGTTCTGAACACTCAACATAGATGCTAATCGAAGCTGCGGAGTCATCCAAGTCCGGGATAGATATCTCACACAATTGTGAGTCTGTCACAATACTAGAAGTGTCATCTAAGACAGTCAGTCTTTCATGAATGAATACCGGCTGATTCCCACATACCCTTTATGTACGTCACCTTGGGAGCCATTCCGCCATTGCAATGGCAGGTAACATTGACAACAGTTGCATTTTTTGAAAGAAGCAATATGGCATTCACTTCTCTCCCGAAGTGTGGATTTTGAGCATCTGGAACGAGTTCCAAGTGCAAGACGTGTTTAATGACAAAGATATCGGCGACACAATCGGAAAGGTGAATTGAAGTGTCGCAGTCGTATTTCGCCCGAAAATTCAGTTTTTCGTCTAATTCCATCCGCTCATACAAACGAATGTGCTTCGCAAAATCTGGGAATTCCGGATTTGACTGAAGGTTGGATATAGAGAAATTAACTTTCTGTGTTGAAGTATCCTTGTAGCAGGAAAACTGGTTTAGGAATTCCAATAAGGCGTCTATCTTGGCACGAGAGACACCTTTTCTGAATTCTTCCTCAAGACATGGTTCTATTAAAAATGGGTAATCTTTAGCAAAGGGAAGCTCTAAAGAAAGATCAATTTGAAATAATGGAGGAAGAAATCTCAACGGAATATAGTGTTTCATTGAGGAGAAGTCCCGAAGTATTGGCGAATATCCGGAGAACGAAAGATCCAGTTTAAGCACGGACGAACAATCACATATGCGTAAACGGATTTTGTCATTGCGGATGTAAACTCGTACAAGTTCCGCGTCGCTATCTTCGGGGACCTTTGACGCTGTTTCTTTTTTGATTAAAGGATCACTAGATGAATTGCACTTGAGGGGACATGTTGGTTGATTTGATGAGGCGCCGTACTGGCTAATTTCAGAAACTCCATTATCTTCGAGTAAATTTGCATGAGGATCTGATAGGTTTAAACTGGATGTATTTAGATTAGCTGCCGAGACGCCGTCAATGTGATGCACGCGTATAGAACCATCTGTTACAAATAGCGTGAAAGAGCTTAAATCAAGAAGGTCAATTTCAACATCCGTATCATCATTGCATTTTGTTATAATCTATTTGGTTAGCTTGTAGTTGCAGTTAATGACTTACAGTAAAATAAAGCTGAAATGTGACCCGAGCAGCAGAAGTGCAACTACCTCTAGCGACTAAATACAAGTCTTGAAAGATTTCACCGTCACAAGCTGCATTGAACTGCATTTCAGCAAGTACGCATTTGCTTGGTGTTATTGGGAGAGAGCGAGTTTGGGCCTGCTTTCTGTGGATGGAACATCTTCCTCGAAAACAGCATGAATTATCATTATACAGAAAATGAAACACGCGTGACTTGTATACAATTGTCCCTGTGCAATGATGAGGGATAAATGGGATGTATGCGTTATGTCTTTCTGTTTAATTCCGAAATGATTGACACACACCTGTTTATGTCATGGCTATGAGGGAGGAAGTCGGAGAGGGGAGACACCCAAGGCTTGCGCTAAGGGAGAGTGAACCGATGGGCTTTAATGTTAAGATTCAACGTACGTGTTTAACGTAATGGGTATCTATCATAGCGAATTATCAATTCAGGGACGCGTCTTTCTTCGGTTATGTAGTTTAATTCAGACCGGTTATTAATTAAGCTTTCCGACCACATCTTAGCGGGTACTAATAATAGCGGAGCAACGAAGCCAAGGAGGTAACTTCGGCTCGCTACTGAACCGCAACCCATTATGATGTTTCGGTTAGCACCATAAAAAGAATAATAAGAATAATTTCAATTCATAGTTAGAGAACCTTACCGACTTCAATTGAGTAGAGATGGAAAGGACATGAAAACACAAGCCAGTATATTCTTTCGAATGCATACTAAAGATTTAATTTGTTAATTGACTGTTTGTTTCTTAGATAAACTACTTGCTTCGTTTTAACAATTATTTATTTGGTTGACAGAGTGTAATTGCTATAACTTATTTTCCAATTGCACAAAATAATATTATGTATTTGTATATGAGCATTTTCTATTTTTGCATTTGATTTTTAAACAAATAAACATTACCAATAATAAAAATAAAAAGTAAAAAGGAAAAAAAAATCTAAAAAATCAAAACCCCAAGAATTAACAGAGGCACATGCTTCTCTGTGCAACTACTTTGCCGCATTGCACTCTGGCATGCGTGTCGTGAATTACTTCGGTGCCGAGTTGAACATACGTGGTAGCCGAGAGAAAAATCGCTTTACGAATTCTAACGTTCGAAGACAAACGAGCATGTGTGTATTCTATTTATAAATCAAGGGAGGAGAATTAGCACATGCGTTACTGTCTTCCGTAAAATCTCATTTTTTAATCCTGGACTACTCCTGCAACAAAACCTAGCAACCATGAAGCCCCAATCGCAGCTGCACGACAGGAACTGTCGCTGAGGAAGCCACGTTACTTTTGACTGGATTGGTTCATGAATGTGTGTTACTACAGTACGATACTCGGGGAAAATAGTGCAACTCCAGCAGTTAAAGGATTTCTTGCCGTTCTTCCGTGCACCGTAAATCACGGTATTGCAAAACAACCTCCCTCCAATAAACCAACCGCCCACGACTGAGCGCTTCTAGAAGCGGCCACGTCCGCCGCCATCCTACATTCACCGATTCTTGTGGCCGAGGAGGATTTTCGCGTGCGTGGACCGCCAATCCTATTGCTGCAACCCAGCTGAAACCTCGTGCACGCGTCCAACCCTGCGACGATTTACGCGTGACGTCAGTCCTTTTTTATGACTTCATAACTAACGTCATATTCTGCTTATTAAAGGCGTAGGGGGACCTCGACCATAGATAGGCTCTAATCGACCGCAGCTTATCTAACCTAGTTTCAGAAAACGCCATTCAGCTTGCGGAAAGAAAGTTCCGCATTGAATACGGAATTTCAGTTTGGTTTACAGTAGGTATTTGTTTAGGCGTTAATAATTCATATAGCATTGTGTATGCGATTCTTTCAATAATTCCGAAGGGGCCGTGGTTGGCGTTCGTCCCGGCTGTCCGAGTCGCAGGAGCGCGTATGTTCCCTGTCACGTTTGAGACGAAGAGCCAGTGCGGGGTCGCCATCCCCACCGAGGGTTTCCAGTGATTGGCTAACAATGCCATATGCTACTCACCTAACGCGGCAAATAGGGGATTGCGTCATGACGTCCAGACTGGTCGATGCGCGACCCATCCTGCGCTTGTTTTCCCCGGAGCCAATCACATTTCGGACCGGCTGTGCGTCTTTTGAGCTTGCCCTCTGGCTAAGAGGGGAGTGCAAAATCGGCCACTTTGCCCAATTTCTTAACATCAGCCTATGCTGGGCAATTTTTTTCCCTGCTTATTTAAGCGACACAGCCGCCACCTTGAAGTCTTTCGCATCCTCATCGATCAACTACCAACAGAGAACACAACCTTAAAATTTACTTCAAAGCGCTTTTAGAATCAAGTATTCTTCATAACTTCCTACTTTTATTTGCTATCTTACTGTGACATTTGGATTTCATAATGTCGTGTTAAAGAAAATTATCGTCTCGTGTCAAATGGTGCTTGTGTAAAACAGGTTGTCTATTGATTTAAATCGTTGGAAATATATTACAAACTGGTATTACGTGTACTGTTTGTTGATCGTCTACCCTCTCCCAAAATGCATTGAACTTTTTGCTTACGCATCGAGTCCTTTAAGGAACTGTTGTTTGCTTGTCAACACGTCTCTGGTTCTATTATAACCGCCACAATTTTATTACCCTAACTTTGTCCCCCTAGTTGCCAAGTTGGTCTTACCGCTCGAGCAATCTCTACTGCCTTTTCATCATGCGATGTCAACCATATTCTACATAAAAAACTAACTGTTTCATCGTCGAAGTGGTTCTTAAATTTCCTCTCAATCTTACCTCATTGACTTACTATCAACAATTTACATTTAGTCAAGTTTGTTGGATCCTTGTCCTCTTTTCGTTTTAATCCCGTTCCCGTTTCGTTGACCGTTTACCAATATCGTCTGCGTACATAAACTACATCACACAAAACGACATACAACTGATCAGTCGTCTCTTAATCCCGAATTACGCGTCTCCTGCCTTTCGTTGATTAAACCTTTCCCTCAATATCTTTTTCCTACTATCAGAGAATCCACGTTTCTCCCCACTCATCTTATTTCGTTTCGTGATCTTACCTGGACACCGAATTTAGAAACAGATTTCCCCATGAATTATCCCGCATACGATAATACTCCCGTGTCTTCGGGCGTCGTCATGCCCGCTCAGGGCAGTGAGCGTCCAGCGCTTCAACAGCGTTATACGGAGCCTTCCCAGTACCCACCGTACGCATCAAACCCTCTCGGCAGTTCACCTGCTCAATCCCAATACTCTCACTCTTTTGTTTATCCTCGCTCTGAAGGCTTACACAAGGATCTTTACGCCGAGGGTTCCTGGTCTCTGCCAAACTTTTACACCTCGCCTCGCTCTGCCCCCCTCGCTGGAGACTTTGTTGACCAAAATCTTTCCAAATCTGTGGGTCGGCCGTATCCAGAGCCTCTCAACACAAATTTTGGCAGTGTGCCAATTTCGGAATCCTCCTCCCAAACACCAATCTGGCGGCAAGAGCAATTCTCAGATGTCTATTCGGATGAAGTTAGCTCTATGCTGATGCTGAATGCGCCTGAGAAGACACCACCCTTCACCCATCTCAACACGCCTTCGTCTGCGGCTCTTGATACGCCTCTGCAGTTGCTGTTCAATGGCGACTCTAATTTAGAGAATGCGCAGCTCAGTTTGTTTCCGCAAACTGACCGCGAATGCCAAAATGCCTTGCTCGGCAACATGGCATCTTCGAACGGTAGCGCTTATTCTCCAAACATGGGTGTTGTTCCAACTGCTCCTGTCCCTGCAAACCAAGGGTTCTCGCAAAATACCAACTCTAAGAGTATTGGCGATGTGAATGTTGCTTGTTCACCTTACGGCGAGCAAGCCACCATCGGTTATCCCTTGAACATGCAGGAGAGCATTGCATCTCTTCCTAGCCTTTCCGAGTCCGCTGCTTCGCTGGACTCCGTGTTCGCATTTGAGAATGTGCTTCAAAGCTACGATTCGCCAGAGTTGGTGAACTCCGCACTGTATAATCCTTCTTTGTCGAACGGCTATATGCCTAACACAGGCTCCTCCCTACTTCTCCCTAACGAGAATGTGCAAATGCAGCAGCAACAGCAGCAGCAGCAGCGTCAGATGAACTTTGCACCAATGCGCTCTCCTGCGATTGGTAGCGATCCCAGCCAATTGTCTCCGACATATCCCATTGTGCCGCAACCGAACATGGGAATGAAAAAGGACACCGCTGAAGAGAATGAGGGAGCTCCAAAGTCCGAGGATAACGCAATACAGAATAGCGCTTCAAGCAACCCCTCCCGGCGGCGCAAGACCCGTGATAACATTTGTTTCAATTGTAAAGTTACTCACACACCTTTGTGGCGTCGCACTCCGGACCGCAAGCATTTCTTGTGTAATGCATGTGGTCTGTACGCCAAACAATATGGTATTATGCGTCCTTTGTTGCCTCGCACGAAGCCTGCCCACAACAAGGACAATGCCGGTTTGGTGTGCACCAATTGTCAAACTAAAAAAACATCGTTGTGGAGAAAGAGTCCACAAGGACAAACAGTTTGCAATGCATGTGGCCTGTATGCTCGCTTGCATGGCCAGAACCGTCCCGTCAATCTTCGCAAAGAGAAGATTTCACGCCGGCGGCGATTCCGACAGTCGAAGACGTCGCCGACCGCATCCATGGCATCGTACAGCAGCGAAAGTAACACGCCTTCGATGCCGCCGCAAGATGTGCCAACGATGTCAAGCATGGGTGCAATGGATCCCATGCAAATGATGCCTCCGGCAATGTCGACCGCAGAGTTTCAAAATGGCTTGTTGGCGGCTACGGGAATGAACGCTGGCGTCCCCGTGAGCAATGTGATGTACGGCAACGCACCCTTAAACGGCGGTGCGTCCTACATGCCCAATTAATAGAATATGCGTTCAGCAAGACTGTAACGTGTTAGGAGGTATTCACTTGCCATCCCGGCCTTTATAAAACATGCATTTTTTACAATTTAAAAGAAAAAACTGTTGTCTTTGGATTTTTGGAGTTTTTCATACACAACCATATGCTCACACACGTTCGCGCATGCGTTCGCTCGTGTTTACACAGAGTGCATGGGAGCTGTTGCATACCTATATTTGTTTCTATCTCACCTTTCTTTTATGCTTTGCTAGTGCTTTGTTCCTTTGCTGAAGAGATGTATACTTATCAATTGGCAGAGTTGATCCTCTTGTTTCGCTGTTTAAGCATGTCGAAACTTTACTAATTGTTTGCACTGGTTTTTGTTTTTTTCTAATAAACGTTTCTTTTGAACGATTGAGCTTGGAGTGTACGGGTGAGGTAGAGTTGGCCAACATGTGTTTTTATTAACAAAAAAAAGTAAGGATTGGAGGAGTGAGAGTGATCATCGGCTTGGCGCATTCATTGTTTGCATAAGAATGCGAGAGAGAGAGAACCTCTGGGAAGGTTTCTTCGCAGGCGTCATTCTTTTTAAGCTGCTGCATCAACTTCGTCGGGCTCCTCACCGTCATCGAGTTTGACGAGATTGTTTTCGAATAGCTCGCGACCGGTCATCTTTGTTTCAAGGATGGCTTTGCGAGCCGCGGCGGAAGAGGCGGCAGAGAGGGCATCGCTAAGTTGCTTCTCTTGTTGCAACCGTTCCTGTTCCTTACGCCAAACATCAAACTTCTCCTTCCAAGCCAGGAATGTTTCACGGGTGACGGGAGTGCCTTGGAACTTTTTGTTCTCGGCAGCAAGTTGTCGCTGCTTCTCAGCTTCAATGCGGCGTTCCTCCGCCTGATGCTTTTCTTCCAACATGGCAATCACTTCCTCCTTCAGTATAGAGCATAACGAAAAGAGCATTGCCATGCCAATGTTTTCCTCCGCCTAACGAGAATTGTTAGTATTAAGGCGTGAGGACGGGAGACGGGGAATCCTTGCGTGCTTCATTCTCTGCACTCTTCGTCTCGTCTCGTCTCGTCTCGTTTTCCGACTTACATTTTGTTTAACAAGGGCGACAACTCGGTCTTTGTCGGTGTCTTCTAACACCGAAGACGGCTCGTATTCGATGGTGAACTCGGGGACTACCTCGGGGTATTCATCGCCGCAAGTGGCCGTGAAAATGACCGACACTAAGAAGGGGACTCGTTAGTATGGGGGGGGGGTCAAGAGTCAAGAATCAAGAGCATTTACACGTCAGTAGACGCGTCTGAGGCAGGGGAGACAGTTCAGTAATGACGGAGCCCGTGCTGCTCTCAAGCAAATAGGCGTACCTTCTTCTTCAAGGTGCGATTCCTCGGGCAAAATTGTCTGAGTGATTCGAAAAGTCCGTTCGTTCACGACTGTGCAGTTGAGTAAAGGTCGTTCGGGAGAACCAAAAACGTACGCTGCAGCTCGTCCGGGTAAATGGACTCGAGAATTTCGCGCTCTTCTTCCAGCGCCGTCGACATGGTGCAGTTGTAAGCAGAAACAGGAATGGAGCCGCTGAGGGAGGGCGAGGGAGAAAGAATGACGCTCGCAGTGGTTCGTTAAGCGGCATTAGTGAGGTGCTAAGGAGTGTAGTACGGTGGTGCGAGAGTCGTTAAACAGTAATAGTGATTGACAGTGCGTCTGTAAACGGATTAACGGAGTGTAGTGTGTTTGAACGAGGTTCTGGCAGAGAGTGAGGATGGGGATTTCGTGCATTAGTAGTAAGGATGCTGTTCGTGCTGTAGGATGCTGCTGAAGCACTAGCTTCTATTCACGAGCCCAGTAAGGTAGACAATCTGAACACCGTGTAAAGCTTTCGTATTCAAGTCTTCTCTCTTCTCTTCTCCTCTCTTCTCCTCTCCTCTCGTCTCTTCACCGAACCAACCCAAACCAATCACTAGTCGCCCAAACAGTAGTTGGCGACCATCCCAATGCGTCGCTTCACCCTCTCATTCGTCTTGCAATTGTCGCAAATGCCCGCACGTGCAGTCTAGCCGATCGCTTTGTTCTCAACAGACGCTGCAGCGGATTCTGGTTCCGCTGTGACGTGGAGCAACAGGGGAATTCTCTTTATTTTCCCATCCATCGTCGTGTTCCACTTACCAAGAACCAGTCTCACAGCTTTCTATGCGTCTGCCATTGATACGTCTAATTGCGTGTTTGTGCACGTTTTCGCGTGCACGAGCGGACAGTTCTCTTGACGGAATTGATTTAGATCCAAGTACAGAGACACTTGGTGGTGCTTTACGTCCTCCATCTTTTTCCTGCTGTCTTGACTCTCTAGAATACTCGTTTTGTGGTGTCTGTACTAACAATTCAGACTCGAATTCCGTAATTGTTGCCTATGACGAAAACGACATAATCAGCGAGACGCTGCCAGTCGTCGATGGAGTTGGCACAGAAGATGAGTCCAGCCAATTTTTAGAAACGTGTCTTGCTTGTTCACAAGCTGAGAACTGCACGTTGATAGAGGTTGTCAATTTTGAAAGACGGGACACGAGACCTTCGACGGGCATCATTGCTGGCGTTGGATGCCTCGTGTCCGGTCTCGTGCTTGTCTTCTGCACTTGGTTATGCTTGTGTGTAAAGAGAAGGCACTTGACATCGCCTATCCACTGGTCTGTCCTGGCCAATCTTTCCGCAGATGCCCTCCTTCTCGCTGTGGTGGCTTTCGAAAACACGGGGGGTTTCTCCAGTTCGTGGCAGTACATGCTTGTGGAGGCGGTACACAAAGTGCAGCAAATAACGTGCCGTCTCACATTCTTCTTTGTTGCTGCCGGCTATGGAATTACGCGGCCAATTCCCCGTAAGCTGCCTCTTTGCGTGACAATCGCGTCCTTTCCTCTTGCGGCGGTTGTGCTTGTCAGCATGTGCGATGGCGTTCCCCATCTGTCCTTCATCGCCCAGACAGTTTCCGACTTTCTCCAGTACGACACCGAAGTCCTCACATACGTGCTTGTCTCTATATTCGTCTACAAGCGCTTCGCTGAAGCCTCCGCCGAAAAAGACAAGTCGAAGGCTCGTGTGTACCGCAATGTGCTAGCTGTGGTGATATGCAGCTCGTTCATGCCAAGAGTGCTTCTTGGTATCTACTACGAGCTCCCACTCAGTGCGCCGCTGAGCGTGGAGCCCCTTTTCAGCGTTCTTTTCGACCTCATTCTCGCATACCAATTCCTTCCCACCGGCCAGAATCTCATGAAGCTATCGATGTAGGGGGACACACACACAAACGAACGAGAGAACCCAACCCCCTTAGCAGCAGCACACACACACACACACACACGCAAACTCTTCGCAAGCAAGGCGCCACCAGCGAATGTTTGAACAGCTGCTTTGTTTCGTGACCCGGCGCACATTTCGCTCAAAGACAAGCGCCACCAGTCAGCCAACTCTTCGCGCTTTGTTCTTCATCCCCGTCAGCCTAATCGGCGACGCAGTGCGCACCTCGCACCTTGCAATGACTCCCAGCGAACCTGTGTGTTTTGTTACGCATTTTAACGGGTGTCCCTGTATATCTGATTTAAAGAAGCGCTTGGAGTTCCGTTAATTGGTGTGTGCGCCAATAAAGTTTATCTGATAAGGCATCCATCTAATCTCCAAACCGGCTCCGGCTGTACAGCCTCAATGAAACAAGTCACAGCAGACCCAGTCAAGGCCCTTAAGCAATACGCGATACAGCGGTCGTCCGCTGACACCTCATGACCACCGGGTGCTCACAGGACGATGCTCTCTAGCAAGGCAGCTGAGGCATTTTGGCCGTGCGCCATTTGTGCTCCAGCTTCGTATAAAACGAGGCAACCAGCAGGGACCAAGTCGTTCCCTTTCCCAGCAACAACAAAGAACAGATCCAACGACGACAGTACCAGCAGCGAACGGATTTCCCCCGCTGCTTTCATTTCATATACTTGGTAAAACAGAATTGTTGGTCGCCATACACAACCGACAAGCCTCTAGCAACAACATCAGATGGACACAATTCGGGCACACGTGGGTCGGGCGCTGGTCCAGCTTGGCGAGCAATTCCTTGAACACGATTTACACCACGAAGAAGGCCATGTGGCTATGGACATGGACATGTCTATGTCCGGCATGAGCATGGACATGGGCTCGACGACGGCCTCCAGCAGCAGCAGCAGCACAATGAACATGGCGATGCCCACGTCCTCGTCGTCCATGTCAACCATGACGAGCATGAGCATGAACATGGGCATGTCGATGACGAGCAGTGCGATGACGGCTGCGTCGACGGCGATGAGCAGCATGAGCGGCATGGGCAGCACGAGTACAAGCACAAGCAGCAAGCCCAGCTGTGTAATTTCTATGACGTGGAACTGGGACACAATCAACACCTGCTTCATCAGCAAGCAATGGCAAAACACAAGTCACGGAAAATTCGCCGGCAGCATCATCGGAATCTTCTTCCTCATGATTGCCATTGAGGTCGCACGCCGTGCACAGCGCGAGTACGACCGCTACTGTCTGCGACGCTTCTACGGCAACGTCGACGGCAGCGGCAACGCCAAAGTCAACGGGTCTCACAATTCCATGCATGGACAGCAGCAGCAGCAGCAGCAGCAGCCTTCACGACCCAGTGCTCTCACACGCATGACCATCCAGTTCGTGCGCTCCTTGTTCTTCATCGTGCAGTATGTGGCCGCGTATTTCGCCATGCTGCTCGCCATGTACTTCAACGGCTATGTAATCCTCTTTATCTTCCTCGGCACGTTCATTGGGTACATGGTGTTCGGCGCCGACACCCTGCCACTCGTGCCCAAAACTTGCTCACCGACGTGTCGCACAGACTCGTGCGCCGGCGGCCACCCGATGGGCCACGAGAAAACCGAGTTTTCCGACTCGACATCCAGCGGCGTGGAAAAATAGGCTTGGGCTGCGAGTACCGGACAAATATAAGCACGCGCGCGCGCAGCAACGACGACGACGCACACACACGCACATACAACAGCGTCGATGTATTATAGGGGCGCAGACTGCAGACGCGGCAAGACGCCCGACGGGAAGGATCGCCGTTTCTCCTTCCTTACTTACTTGTATATTAGCACATGCACACCAAGTGCAGGGGATGTGGGATGGGCTGGAGGGATGCGGGGGAACGTGGTGGTTAGTGGAGGGATGTGGGTGTTCGTGGGGGAGCAAATTAATCCCACGTGAAGGGTGGGGGACCACTCGTCAGCGGTTTCTCGTCGCTCCCAGTGTCAAGGCCGAAAAGCGTCCTGTGCCTGTCGCCGAACAACCATCTCCCGGTAGCGAGCCAGGTCCATCCCGACGGCCGATTGGAAGAGGAGGACGTCCACGCTGTCGTCTGCCCGCTTTCTGCCCACACAGTGAACCCATTCGTGCCGGTACACTCGGATTTGGGGCAGCACAGCACTCACATCGCACTTGATCCGATGTCCTCCGTCGCGAACCACGACAATTCCATCTTTGTATTCTTCAACACACGCGAGAAACCGAACCTTGTCACCAGTGCTGCAGCCAGCAAGCTGCTCTGCAAAGATGAGCTTGGCGCTATCCATGGCAGAGAGAGAGTGCAGGGCGAGGGTGGTGGAGGGAGGGGGAGGGAGACGGAAGGCGGTGGAGGGTGGTGGAGGGCAGCTGTGTGGAGTGCGTTAAGGGGATAGGGAGAGAAGAGGGATTACCGTATATTGGTTACGGTGGTTTAGTGGGGACTAGCGAGTGGTAGTGTGTGGTAGTGAGTGAAACGCAACGCTCCACTGTTTAACGAGATTCTCCGCCGTCTAACGAGATGCACCGCCCTTCAACACAATGCACCGCTCTAGTGCACTTAAAGCGAGACGGACGCTGCTGCAGTGCACCGAGCTTTTTCACGAGTCGCTGCTTCGCATCGACTAAGCTTGCATCGACCATGTTCGCACCAACCCGGTCTGCGACCGTGCCCCTCGGTCGACGCTACTTAAATCGCCTGTACCCCAAAGACCGAATCCCAAAAATACCGCCCGTTCCCCAAGGCACCGTCGTCGCCGACGTGCCTCGTCTGGGCACCCTTCTTCATAACCCTCCTGCTGCTGTCCCAGACGTTCGCATAACCCCCGCTCTGTTCCGTGTGGGGCACCACAAACGACCCACAAACCCCCATCACGTCGCTCGTATGCCCCCACCAATGCAGGCAGAGCGTGCTCTGCCTGCAGGGACGCGTGTGTCGCTCAAGCAGCTGTCGAAAGAAGAAATCGAGGAATTGCGGCGGCTGCGGAGGGAGGACCCAGCGAGGTGGACCACCGGCGTTTTGGCTGCTCGGTTTCGGGTGACGCGTCTGCTGGTTTCTCGAGCAGCTTCGACAAAGCGGAGCTGACCAAGCTGCGTCTGCAGCAGCCGACGCAGCTAGAGAATATTCCCTGCGAATTTGCTCCCTGATGCGCTAAATCGCGTTGTGTTGCGCTATGTTTGCAATAGCGTGAAACACTGTGCTCGCTGGTGCTCACTGGCGCTCGCAAAGCTTGCTCTTCCACTCGCTAACGCTCGCTGGACCTCACTAGCGCCACCCGCTCATCCTTTCATCATACACGTCATCCCCTCTACTTATACCCAGTGTCGCTCTCTTCTCCCGGCATCCACCATGATGAGCAACAAAAAAGTACTGTTCACAACCGCCGCTGTCGCGGGCCTCGGCTATTACATGCTGCGCCGGAACAAGGGCTCTGCCGAGAAAACCGGCAATGACCTCGGCAAGGCCATGCAATCAAAAGGCAGAAGACTGGACAACGCCGTCGACTCTGCCGCAGAAAAGTCTGCCTCTATGGTTCGCAGCGGCGCTGATATGATTTCAGAACAGCTCGAAAAACCGCGTCAAAACACGAACGCAGCCATTAATGAGGCCCAGTCCAAGGCGAACGAGGCCGCCGAAGCGACCAAGCAGAAGTCTTCTAAGTGGTTCTCGTAAACCACGTGGAGAACGTGTGCGACGAGCGCGCCAATCACACGCTCATGCGCCATTTAAGCGACTTAAGCGCTAGGTTGGCGGGAGAGCCATACACGTGCACACACGTGCTCGCTTATGCCATCGCTCGCTTAACTTTAATTTGCTGGGTAACTTTCCGCTCACAAGCCTCGCCGCACTTTACGACTCGATATGTTTGTAATGAATGTCATGTATTTTACTTGCAAGCTGTTTTTTCTACGCTGAATGAACTGCGATTGTTCGCTGTGCACTTTTTCGCACTTTCGGTTCTTCCCCTCTCTCTGGAGTCTCCACCAAAACCCGCGGAACTGAACTACTCAACATTCACCACATCATTATGCCTGAGCAGTTTTTACATCCTCCAAAACGTAAGTCTACGCGGTAATGTAGAGGCGAGGACGGTGGGAGACGACCGTGATGGTTGGACATTCATTCATTCGACGCGTTTGTAGTAGCAATTTTCGTAGTTTGTAGCGTAAATGCCTGATTTGTGCCAGAAACACGACGTTTTTACGCGACCTTGCAGTCAGGTTGGGTTTGCTAAAGTCCAGCTTTTGAATTGTTGGTGTGATGCTGCAATTGTCTTCATCGTCGCCAGTCGTCGCCGGTCGTCGTCAGTCGTCATTCTTTTTACCCTCTCTCTCTCTCTCTCTCTCTCTCCCTCTTACTCACACTCGCAGCTTACTGTCTTAACAGTGACCCCAATTCGTTTGGTATGGTCTGTGTCCAGCATCGCTGGCCGATCATCATTACGGGTGTTGTCGACGATGTGTCTCGTCACGTTGCCAAGGCTTTGGAAAGAGGAATGTCCAATGATGCCCCCTACGTCGTCCAGGGCAAGCGAATCATCAGTCAACTGAACCAGCTCAAGTTTGACATTGAACACAATCGCACTATGCTTCCCTTGGAGGGCGAGGATGCAGACTTGGCCGAGTACAACGCCGAACTGGCCGAGTACGACGGTTTGACATGGGGCGCGGCACCTTGGTTGTATTCAGAGTGCTACATGTACCGCTACATGAGTCTGTGTTTTGCGAGACAGTCCGAATGGGACCGTCACGATCCTTTTTTCGAACAGAAGGAAAAGACCGTTCGCTCCAGCAGAATCGCCATTGTAGAGCTGGCCGAACGCTGCATGCATTTGTCGAATGATTTGAAGGAGGTTACCGAACACCAGAACGACGAAACTGCCTACCTGCTGTTCCTCGAAATGGCCCAAGTTTCATTGTGGGGCAATGCTACGGACTTGAGTCTACTTACGAACGTTTCGTACGACGATCTTCAAAAACTCCAAGGCAAGCAGGCCGTTGAGAACAGCCAGAAGAACATCATTGCCAACGACTTCCCCTCGGTGTGGAAGTCGCTGCGTCATGTGAGGGATGGCCGTGTCGACATTGTGCTCGACAATGCCGGGTTTGAGCTGTATGTCGATCTTGTGTTCGCGTTGTACTTGCTCAAGTCTCGCATTGCCAAGACGGTCGTCTTCCACCCGAAAGACGTGCCCTGGTTCGTGTCGGATGTGTTGGTCAACGACATCACCTACCTCTTCTCCATGCTTGCTTCTGATTTCCCCGAGCCTAGTGTACAGGCACTGGCCTCGAGCCTGGCTAATTACCATGCAGAGGGTCAGATCATCATCCGTCCCAACGCTTTTTGGACCACGGCCCACTACTACGGTCGCATGCCAGAAAAGGCGCCAGCCCTGTTACAAGACCTGGCCACTTCGGATCTAGTCATCTTTAAGGGTAAGTTGGGGCATGGACAGGCGCAGAGGCTGCAAGGGTATAAGGCGTGTAACGTGTGCCCTTTGCTTCAGTCCCTATACACTTCGAATGGAACGCATCCGATTGCACTGAGCTAGCCGTCCACGTCCCTTTTCCACAGGACCCTTTTCCATTTCTCCCCCTGCTCCTGTCCGTCCCCCGCCATTCCATTCCATCCCCTCCGTCCCTCCCTCCTCCCCCTTTGCGTTTCCCTCCTACTAACCGTTCACCTAGGTGACTTAAATTACCGAAAGCTTACGGGCGACTGTCAATGGCCCATGACTACAAGTTTCCGTGAGGCCCTGGGACCCCTTGCAGGAACCATGAACGTCTTTGCCCTGCGTACCTGCAAGGCTGATGTTGTTGTAGGTCTCGCCGAGGGCGTCGAGGAGCGATTGACCCGCGAGACTCCTCATTGGGAGCGTACGGGCAAGTATGCTGTTGCTGAATTCTGCAAGAAGGACTAGGCTGCTGTGCGCGTTACCGGCATGCCATACTGCGAGCGTGATTGGATGCACTGTTTTACACTCACCTCACCCTTTCGTGTAATGCGTGTGTGTGTCTCGGATTGGTGTCATGCGACAGTGCTTCCCAACCTGCTGTCTTCTCGCTTCATTTTGTCAACATGGTTGCCTCTCGATGCGCTTTTTCTCACGTGCGTCGCTTGTCTCACACATATCGGTTTTTCCCGTCACTCTGTTTGGTCTCGCTTACGCCAACTTTTGCTATAGGCGGATTCACCTCGGACTGAGACGGGGAAATTGGTCACCTATTATACTCGCTACGCTCCACTGACCGTCGAGCCGCTGTGCGAACGGGTCTCACTCAGCTTATCGCTTCCAGACCGGCGATTGTGTCAATTGTGTCAACTGCACCAATTGCATATCAACCACGCACTGTTGTTCTCATCCACGCACACACTCACTACTACTGCAACATCAACCAACCGTCCCGCTCGTTGCACCAATGGACGTGCTGCTCATGACTGGAAGTACTGTCATTGTTGCTGCTCCGTCCCGCTTACTGCCACACGGCTAACCCTGATTTACGTAATTCCAGCGTTCCGTCCTGTGGTGTAGGTGGTGCGTATCTGGCCTCCCCTTAGCACCGGAACAACTGTTGTTTCACGTGTGTGATGTGCACCCTACAAAATGTCGGCCGACCTTAGCTTCCCCCCTGCCGTCTCCCTTAACACCAACCAACCAACCACCACTTTTTGGTCTCACTAGCAAAACATCTTCAGTCGCGTCGGGCGACATTTTTTGCTGGTTTTTGGGGTTCATTCTTCGCATCTCTGTTCTTTTTCTTGTTTAATTAAGGCGTTCATCGCTCGAACGAGAAGAGACGGTTCGATTAGGTCATCGTTCGCAACACTTACTTGTTGTCATCACCTTTTGCTCGCGAGATATTCCTTGTGTTCTTGACTCGTAACACGTCTCTGAGCACTCTTGGTAAGCACGTGTGGACAAACTGTGTGTCTCTGAACCGTTTTTATAAACCTTCAGATTTGTCGAACTGGTTCTGATTTGGTTTGTTTGTGGATTCGTCAATTGAAATACACAGAAGACAGTAGATCGTTTTTTCTCTGACTGTGATTTCAAATACAACAAGACGAAGCAGTTTTCTTGTACTTGAAAAGTGTTTGAGTCGTTTATTTTGTTTGTGTATATCCACATATAACTTTTCTGTTCTATCAGCTGTTCATATTTGCTTGATAGACTGCCGTGAGCACCCAGTGGTATAAGGTACGTGAGACTTCTTCATACACGCACCCTACCTTTTTTTGTTTGTCTCAATTATAACTTTCCTTCCAAAAGATATACATCTTTGGAGTAGAGCACTTGGTTGTACAGTATGAGTTACAGCATCCGTTCAATTCCTCGGCAAGAGCCGGAGCCAGCTGTTCCTTTGGAGCAGGTCGAGGCCGAAACTGAAAAGAAGTATTTGGGCTTCGTGACGAAGAGAGAGATTAAGCTTTTGGCCATTGCAGGTACGGGTTTCTTGCTCGACAGTTATGACCTTTTCATCATCAACCTGGTCTCGCCCATTCTGTCCTACCTCTACTGGGGTGGTCTCGAAGGCCATGAGCATTACCCGTCTGGCATTCGTGGTGTCGTGAATGCTGCAACTAACATCGGTAACATTTTGGGCCAGCTGTTGTTCGGTTTCTTGGGTGACTTTTTTGGCCGTAAGTTTGTGTATGGTAAGGAGATGATCGTGGTCATCATTGCTACCATCCTCATTATTTGCTTGCCCAACAGCATCAAGAGTCCTACGGGAAAGATGATGTGGCTTTTTGCTTTCCGTGTCGTTCTTGGTATTGGTATCGGTGGTGATTATCCTATGTCTGCCTCCATCACGTCCGAACGGTCCCATCTGAACCGTCGTGGTACACTTCTTTCCTGGATTTTCTCCAACCAAGGTTGGGGCACGCTTACCGGTTGCGTTGCCACGATTATTATTCTTCTTTGCTACGAGCATGTTTTGAATGTTGAAGGCAAGTACCACAAGTTGAATGGCGTTTGGCGTTTGCAATTCGGTATCGCCTTGGTGCCCGCTGTTCTTGTTATGATCCCTCGTTTGCGTATGCAGGAGTCCCAGCAATTCAAGGACTCGAAGAACGTCATGGCCAAGGGTGATGGTGCCGTTGAGATGGATGTGATCAAGGAGGCCAAGGCTAATAATTCCTCCAACTCTGCCACATACTACCAGTCCGAAGACAATCCCTCCAAGGACAAGTCGCAAGCTGAGGTTGACATTGAGGCCGCTGCCGCACCTAGTCTGACTGAGAGTGGCCAAGATGCCGCTTCCAAGGTGATCCCCACGGAAGGTGAGGACCCCAAGACTGGTTTCCTTGCATACTTTTCCGAATGGCGTCACTTCAAGATTCTGTTTGCCTCTGCCGCCTGTTGGTTCTTGCTTGATATCGCTTTCTATGGCGTTAACCTTAACCAATCCGTCATTCTTTCTGAAATGGGTTTCAGCAATGGAAAGAACGAGTACCACAAATTGCAGAAGAACGCTATTGGTAACTTGATTATCGCTGTTGCTGGTTATATTCCCGGTTACTGGGTAACTGTTTTCTTTATTGAGCGTCTTGGTCGCAAGTGGATTCAAATTCAGGGTTTCCTGATTTGTAGTTTGCTTTTCGCTATCTTGGCTGGAACCTGGAGCACTATTTCTACCGCTGGTCGTTTCATCTGTGTCGCCTTGGCCCAATTCTTTTTCAACTTTGGACCCAACACTACCACTTTCTGTTTCCCTGCTGAAGTCTTCCCCTCGCGTGTGCGTGCTTTCTCGCATGGTATTTGTGCTGCCTGTGGTAAATGTGGTGCTATCATCTCTGCTCTACTTTTCAACAAGCTGACTGACGTTATCGGTTTCGCTAGCGTCCTTTGGATCTTCTTCGGCTGCATGATCGTGGGTGCCCTCATTACCTTGCTTCTTCCCGAGACTGCAAACCGTGACGCCGACTTGATTGATCGTCAAGAAATCGCAGCAATGCGCCGGGGTGAAAAGTCTATTCTTGATCGTAACGAGAAGTGGGCTTGGTGGAAGCATGGCATCTAATTTATTTAATCTTTTATCCGAAACCCTTCCCCTTTATTCGTTGTTTTTTGGGACCTGTGAGTCCGTCTTAAAAAAGCCCGTGCTGTGGTTTGCCATTCGTTCAGTTGTGAATGTTCTTTTTTTTTGGGATGTGAATGTGTTATGTTCTCATTCATTACATGTCTCACCTACGTCAATTATTCCTTCAACTTTTCTCTGCTCGGCGTGTATCTCTTTGGACTGAACTTTCGTTATGGACAGTTGAACTGTTCTCCACATTCTTAGTTTTTGGTCGCTTAGCTTATGACTGTCGTTTGGATCACTAGCATCACTACTACCTTAGGTTTATTTTCTATAAAAGTTTTTGTTTCTATTAGCATGGTTGGTTTCTCATATAAGTTCCTACAAATGACTTTTACAACACTGTGAATTCTGTATTCTTTCCAAGTGAACGGTGAACCTTAGACTCCGTATAAAGTTGCGTCTTCAACTATATGCTTTATATATCCGTTCGTATTTCCATAGAAAAAAAAAATGAATGTTAAATTTTTCCATAGAAGAATATGGGAACTGGAAGTGCTGAAAATGTGTGGTACATTTGCTTCTGAATGTATCTCTCGATTGAATCTATCTAATTGTCTTCTCTGTGGATAATGGGTTCGTCGGTTTATAATTATGTACTTCATTTATTCACTGACCGCATGTCTGATTTATGAGAATGAGGGTTTTTTGGAATGCTAAATACGGAGGTCAGCATCGGCTGCGCGTGCTTCACTTGTATAGGATAGGCCTGAGGGCATCTTCAAAGTTGCCGGACATAGACTTACGACGACTTGCCAAAGATATTTTTATTGGAAAATTCCGCAAGGCTCGAAGCGTCCATCATCCGAAAAAAGCGGGTTCGCTTTATCGACTAGGTTGCGAAGTATGTCGCTGTTAAAAGAATACTGTATATATATTCACAGAAGTCTCAGATACTAACATCCTAATCTTACAGTATGTGAATAAATTTCAGAAAACTATTCGCGGTACATTTCCAACGGAGCAGCTACGAAAGGAACTACAGCATAGGTTTTCAGAGTACTTACTATGTACAAAGCAAGGCGGTTTAGATGTTACAAAATTTCAGAAACGGGGTTTGCGTAAAACGCCTTTGACTGAAGAACGAGTGTTAGAAATTCAATCAAAGGCTGGAAACCGATTGATGTTTGATTTTGTCCATACGTCAAGTTATGCGACATTTCTTCGGCCAAAGTATGCAAAGCAAAGTACGAGATTGTCTATGTCCCTAAAGTCAAAGATTAGAAAGACACAGGAAATGCGTGACAGTCTAGACAGTCTAACCCAGCTACTGTATCACGCGAAATGGGAAGATGCCTTCGAGAGCAGTCTGTTTCAGAAACGCTGCACAGAAGAACCGACTTGGTCGAAAGAGATAAGTGCTTCCCTGGTTTTTATTCAATACAATTTAATTGTGGAAAGAAAGAAACAAACAAGAACTTGGATTCAGAAGCGGGATATTTATGAAAAGTTGGTTTCAATGGTTCATCGCGACTGTTAATAAAAAAATGAGAGGAAGCAGTCTATACTTGGCTTCCATTATTGTAGTAGTAACCAGATAATGAATGTTGAATAAATTTCATGAAGGGGCCATTAATATCATAAAAAAGAAAGAACAGAAAGGGGTTCCAAAGGAAAAGAGAACGAAGTGTGACATGATTCACGCAAAAATTGAACAGAAGAATGCAAAAAGAAAGAGATGATGGGAGGGATTAAAGATAGGAGAGTAGAAATGGGGGACGCATTATTGGGCAGCAGATGAGAGAAATTGTGCTTCCGTTTGCGTCATGATTGCTTGGATAGCTTCTTCGTCCCAGTCAATATCGTCTCCACTAGGCTCGCTGCTGTAGTCGAAGGTCGGTTTAAGCTCCTCGGTATTTACGTTGGAAGCAGACCCTTGTGTTAGAGCAGTTTGAGTCGATATCCAGTGTTTCTCAATGTTATCCAGTTGCTGTATGTCATTTTCATCTAATTGCAATTCTGTTTCATCAGCGACTGTTGATTCACTGGCTACAGATACAGCGTCTTCGGCATCATTTTGTACGGGCGCGGGAAGGACAGTTGCATCGACGTCGATGAGTTGAGTTTCATAAGAACTGCTTGAGGACGTTGCCTCAGTGCCATAGGGCTCCGAGAATGACTTCTTCAGCTTTGAAGCTTTCGGTGAGCCTGAATGCTCTCGCTCATGAGCATTAGAATCCCTATCAAGCTTGGCCCGAAGAACACTTAATAAGCTCGACACTCTGTTTAATTTTCGATTTATCGTCGAACTAGGGATATCGTCTTCGTCACCATCGGTTCCAAGTTCATCACTGCCTTTACCCGAAGAACGCTTTCGCTTTAAAATAAACGGTCTCGTTGATTTCGTAGGCGTCTTACTCTCTAACGGACAAGGCAAAGACACTGAACGTTGGCCTGTAGAATGTGAAGCCGTAATTCGATTCCAAAGCTTACCGACCGGATCATAAGGCGACGTAGGTTCAGCATTGGTATTCCCCTGAAACAATTTTGAGACATCTTTTGCGCTCAACGTCCGTGCCCTGCTTGGTGAGATTTTCCAAGAAACACGGGTTTCTTGGGACCCCGTTAACTCACTCATCCCATTCGAAAGGCTTGATAAGACGCCAATGAAAGACCCTGACCAAGAATAAGTACAGACGGAAAAATTGTACGTATCCTGTCCAAATTGGTTAACTGTTTCGGAAACTGTTCCCAAGTAACAAATTTGTTTTTTTCAATTTATCTTCTGTGTTTGGTGGGTGTATTAGATGCGTTTACAGTGACAATACAAACTCGAAACAATACGGGGATTAAGACTTATAAAGAAACTTCGAGTATATACGGTATTAAGTGCAAATACGCATTAGGGGTTTAAGCAATTTTAACGCAGCTTTGAAATGTGTGAATTTTTTGAAAGTTCAATTTCTGTAATAATTTTAACTTGTTGACCGTAAAATATGAAACTACATGGGGATATGCAAGGATAGATTGTAAACAAAAAAGAAGGATTGAGGTAGTTTCTGTAGCGCGGGCACTTTCACTTACCAAACAATGAAGGTGACCAAGGCTGCAGCGGCCAAGGAACCAAGGATAAGGAGGGAAGAAGAAGAGTAACTCGAGGCAGCAGAAAGCGTGAACACACTACCACTACCGGTGAAGGTTCGTGCCGAGTATGTGGGTTTGTAATAAGAGGTAGTCACGGTAGTAGTACCTGTATGCTCTGTCGTAGGCACGATGGTAAGGTTTACAGTATACACACTTGTTGACGCCAGGCTAGCGGACGGGTAAAAGATGAGAGGATAGCCGTTTGTCATGGTGGCTTCAAAGACACCGCCCGAACCGACAGTTGCAGTCTTTTGATGAATGATTTCACTGAGGACCACACCAGAAGAAAAGTTGGAGCTAATGGTATAAGTTGTAGAATTCACGGACACACCGACATTGGCAAACACAACAAGCACCTTGTTCTTCTGAGCAATCATATGGTCTCTAGCAGACTCAATGAAAGAAAAGAGTGTTGTCACATATGTACTATCCTGAGACATAACGGTTCTTCGGAAATGCACGAGAGACTTAATAAGCGTGTAATAGGGGTTTGTAGTATCGTAACCAGAGGACCAAAGAGCCTCACGATTGAGAGGATCAGCAGCACCACTGAAGCCCTGCTCTTGACCATAGTAAATAATGGGGATACCATCCCAAACAAGTACAAAAGCGATTGCACCCATAATGTTTGCTTGGTCACTAGTGTATGAAGCGAAACGCTGTAAATCGTGGTTCTCAATAAAAGTTCCCGTCAACGAACGATCAACGCCGGAACAATTGGAATTGGAACTCATACTTTCATACAAACTTTCAATCAAAGTCATACCCGCACCAGTGGCAGTGAACGAAAAGTTCATCTTCAGTTGAAGAGGATAGTTCGTAGAGCCAATGGAATACTTCATGTATTTGCACATCATATTAGGATCGTAAGAGAAGACTTCACCAAGAGCAAAAACACCTGCATTGGAAACATAATCAGGGAAAAAAGAGGTATTCATCTGCTTCGCAGAATCCACACGGATTCCGTCAACACTGTACTTTGAGACAACAGACTTCACTTGGGAGTAAAGATAATCAGACACGTCACTATTTTCCAAATCCAAATCTGCCAGTGTAACCACACCGGCATTGGTCCAGCAATCAACAATTTGGTCGTCAGTATCTGTATCCCAGTCAATGACACAATAAGGATGGAAGTACTTCTCAGCGTTGAAGGGCACCAACGTCGAGTACGAGAAATCTGGGTTACTGCCATTCACAGCCATAGAATTTGCAATAGTATCAAACATAACCCAAATGCCGAGATTGTGGGCCGCTGTAATCATGCTAATCAGATCGCTCTCTGAACCAAAATGGCTGTTCAGGGACTTATAGTCCGTATTCCAGTATCCATGATAAGCCCAGCCAGAAGTGCCTTGTTCACCCTCAATGTTCTTGTCAATGGGAGAAATCCAAATGGCAGTGAAACCCATATCCGCAATGTAATCCAGTTTCGTACTGATACCCTTCCAGGTACCACCGCAGTATTGCAATGATGACACATCACAGTACGTGTCCGTACTACCATCGTCCACAGCAAATCTATCAGTCAACAACTGGTAGATGACACGAGAACGCCATTCCTCCGACGATTTCGCTATTGTTGGTAAAAATATGCTCAAAAGAGAGAAAAGAACAACAAAAACAGATCCGTTCATATTGAAACAGTACAAATTATTAACATGCAATTAAATATTGCTAGACGACAAGATAGTCCAGGTATTGACAAGTGCTTTTTTAGGGAATAGTTAATGCTGACCTGTTCAAGTTACGCCTGATACAGAACGGAAAGACTTACCGGCCGTTCCTCCAAGAAACAACCTCTTAGTCTTTTCCTACTGGTATAAAGAGGAAAATGTAATGTAGAACAAAAAACCCTACTGACACTTGAGCTACAGTGTTGGCGAAGGGAAGGTTGGCAGGCTCTGGTGTTACCACAGCCTCTCCTATGTTAAGTCTGAAAAGTGTCGGGTTACAGGAGGGCGGTGTTAGTAGGCGAGCGTTCGAGTCGCGTAAAGCGAGATCAGGACAAACTCACAAACGTATTTATGTGAAGAGACTGAGACGGAGTATCGTGTTGTTTAGACATGTTTGTATTGTAAAAAAAGCTCTAGATTTTAATGTCATCAATGGATGCATAATTGGATATGGTCAGTTATACGGTAGTATGAATGAATGGTAATAGAACGTCCTTATGGTCACATAAAGCTAGTTTATTGATAGTTAGTCGAATTTGTCATGTCCATGTTGTAAGAAAGTAACTGAATAAAGAATGCTATAAATGAAATGTCGTTCATAAACAATTCGACTAATAGAGTTTAATACGCGTTCTAATAAAACTTACGAGTGATCATAAAAACGCTCAAGTTATTACTGAGTGACTAATCGCATGAATACGTGTTTCGAAACTTGCGAGGAATTCTAAAGTTCTATGGAAAGTCAAATTCTGATGAATAAAAAATCTAGATTTTATAGAGACTTGAATGCACTTGACATTCGAGTACTCTTTCTATCGTTCTAAAATAGTCTTCTACCTAAGTATCTTTATAGTCATTATGTGTCTCCTAAGGGTGTTAGTACAACACGCACTAGCAAACACGCCTCCAGAAATTATTCTGTACGGAACAGTACCGTTGACTATCAAATTCATCTTTAACTTTCGACTGGTTGTGTTCTCAAAAAAACCACTCTCAGTTATACAGGAACATTTCCTGTTACGGTTCAGTTAGAAGAGACATTGCTTAACGAAACCGTTTTCCCCCCTCTTCTCTTCCTACTTTCATTTCCCTATACCCTGCTTTTAAAATGGAGCAAACGGAATCTATAGAGACAACGGAATATTACAAGGTATTGAATATACCTAAAAATGTACGATTACCCTCGATCTAGGTCCAATTGCTAACTAAAATGCAGTCCAGTAACGAAGACATAAAAGAATCATACAGAAAGCTTTCAAGACTCTTTCACCCGGACAGACAAAGTTCCGAAAACAAACCTATTGCAGAGAAAAAGTTTCAACAAATCCAAAAAGCTTATGAATGTCTCTCGGATCCAAAGAAGCGAACGATATATGATCATTTTGGCGAAGAGGGCCTTAAAGTCAAGTGGGATGTCGGCGTTCGCTGTAAAAGCCCCAAGGAATTTGAAGAAATGATTCGGCAACAGCTTAATGAAAAACAAAGTGTTGAACTAGAGAACATGGTGAAGAGCAGAAGTGAAAGTACACTTGTTTTGAATGCAATGCCCTTGTTTAAGCCTCCTCTTAAAATTGATAATCCCCTTCGGCCAGGTGTTCCTTCGTACAAAGGCTCATTTTTTTCAAGATTTAATATGATTCACTGGCTATCCTTCCAGGCAAAACATTCGTTTCATGTACCTATTCATTCCCTTGATTCTTTACTCTCGGGTGTTGACGAAACTCTTGAAACAAAAGAAAAAAACGGAACATCACTTGTCTTTCTTAGTAACGTTTCAGTGCGTCCACGCGAAAAGGCAACACCGTCTTTTTATTCGATTATAAAACATCAATTGTCTCCGACTGTCAACCTGGAAGCTGGAACTTCTTTACTTCGACCTTATAATGTTTTCGCTAAGGCGACATGCGTTCTCGACGACAAGAGCGTTTTTGTGCCTCATGTACAGTTATTGGGGTTAAGCCGCCCTCCACAAGCTTCCTTTCACTTTGTTCGCCAACTAACCCCCCTTGGTTCAATGTCAGTTCGTTATAAAACTGGTGCTCTAGCTCTTGGTCCTTGGGAAAATGAAGGATTTTTAGGCGACCGCAGTATGTTCTCTTTGGGCTGGCAGCAGCTTCGTGTACCTTCTAGTGAACAAGGGCCCGAACTTGCTTGGAATGCTGATGTTACTGCTGGGTTAATGATGTCTGGAATCAACCTAAATTACAATTTTGGTTTGGGTGAGAAGGAAAAGAGAATTGCATGTAGAATTGGTACTTCATTATCAACTGCCAGCGGGATGCAGTTTTCCGTTGACGGCTCTAAGCAAGTAGCTAAACACACTACTATTGGTGCTGGCGCCATTTTTGGAATTACGACAAGCTCCTTGACACTCAACTTAAGGTTCGTGTTCTTAGTCATTGCTCTAATACTAACTTTGTTCAGTTGGTCTAGATTGGGTCAGACAATCTCCATTCCTATTTTATGGTGCGATTCCATGACCAAATCTTCCCTGTTTTGGGGTATAGCATTTCCGTTAAGTACCGTCTTGGGCCTGGAACATTTTGTTTTATCGCCTCGTCGTAAACGGATTGCTAAGCGTCAACGCCTGCAGCAACTTCAAGAATATAAAGATGTATATGAATCTAAGAAAACCGCTGCACTGGAAGAACAGGTCTTGTTGAAACCATTGGCTCTAAAAAAAATTGACCAAGAAGTCGCTAAAGCTGGCCTTGTCATTCTGAAGGCAGAGTACCGGACGGTTTCAAAAAATTCATTATTAACACAAGACGTCAAACTTGTATTAAGTGCGTTGATAGAGGATTCGCGACTTGTTATTCCTTCAGGATCTTCAAAGGTACGGGTTAATAGAATGGTTCGTCAGCTAATAAAACAGACTGACTTGTTGGGCATCTATCCTCTCTTCTCTGATGATCCAAAAGAATTAGAAATTACTTACACCTTCCATGAGAAGATGCACAAAGTCATCCTTACAGATAAACAAGGAGCAACGCTGCCATCTCGAGGTATGTTTCATAACATTGACATTAAAGGATTCTGGCATGACTAACCTAAAAGCACACATAATTACAGCATAAAGAAAGCTTTGTTTCATATGAGATTGGTATTACAACTTGCCTTTCATTTTTTTCTGATGAAAATAAGGTTTGTTTACATCTGAATGTAATTAGTTTATGCAACTGGTAATTCGAATTCTCCCGGAGCACATACTACTCAACCACAATAAAGACAAAAAAGGGTGAGTAGAGGCTGCCAACCTCTGCAAACGAGTGATTAATAGAATTGTCATTTAATTTGCTGTTCTTTTTCCTTGACTATATTTATAAGTCTATATTTAAATATGGTTCATGGAATGTCACTTCGTTTAAGCACAACAACATTGCAATTGTTAGCGCTCGTCCTTGGCGCACATGGTTTCCGTGACTACAATGAACTTCCAGTCTTCGACATAATTGATGGAAATGTTGGTCAGTTTTTCAATAACACTGAATCCGATTATACGGATATTGATGTGTTATTCACCAACGTTTCCTATTCCATTGAATCCGAGGAAGGAGTTAATTACTCGTTTATCCATCTCGACTATCCTTATTTGTCATTGACAGACAACTATGTGATCGATGGCCCTGACGAGTACTGGCACCAAGTTGACTTAAATATGCCACAACTGACTCCTCTACCACAATCCTTGGAGTCTGACATTCGTTTGCTCCCGTTGACTAAGTCATACGGCTCTTCGCATTTGTATATGTTTACTCCAAAGGAACTCTTTGAAGATGTTGTTTGGACAGAAGAAGCTCCTGAAGTTAGCCATGTCGGTTGGGCAATTGTTTTCGATAATGTAGGTCGTTTCTTTTTGCTCGAACTTCGTGGTTTGCGCGAAATCACACTTGCTATGTTCCTTGTGTTTTCAATTTTCCCTCTTGTCACTGGTGTAGCTTCCGTTATGATCTTTCGGAGGGCTTATTACCGAATTGAGTTCAACAAAAAAGGACGTTCTAAGAACTCGATTCGTAAATTGAAGTCCCATTATAAGAAGCGACAGAAACTGCTTGAGCAGTCGCAGGAGAGTACGGATATTGTGGAGGGTGAGGATCCTCTTCCTGTTGATCCTCAAGTTCATCGTACCTGTATTCTTTTTGCAACTCTTGAGTACAACATTCCCGACTGGGATATCAGAATTAAGATTGGTGGTTTGGGTGTAATGGCAGAACTAATGGGTCAACATCTTCCTCACTACGATTTGATTTGGGTTGTTCCTTGCGTTGGCAATCTTGAATACCCTTCTGCTGAAGAAGAGGCTCCTATCCATTTGAAAGTTGTTAATCATATATACACTGTTCGAGTATACAGCCATTATTACAAGAACACAAAGTATCTTTTACTGGATGCCCCAGTTTTTCGTAAACAAACTGCTGTCGAACCTTACCCTCTTCGAATGGATGATTTCGCATCTGCTATCTTTTACAGTGTATGGAATCAATCAATTGCAGCACTCATCAAACGTGAACCTGTGGATCTGTATCATATCAACGATTACCACGGCGCCTTGGCGCCTATTTACAATCTTCCCTCTGTTATTCCTTGTGCGATCTCTCTTCATAACGCTGAATTCCAAGGTCTTTGGCCCTTGCATACAGAAACTGACGTGAAAGAAGTCTGTGGTCTTTTCAATCTCCCAATTGAAACCTGCAAGAAATATGTACAATTTGGAAATGTATTCAATCTTCTTCATTCTGCCATTTCTTATATCCGTGTTTATCAAAACGGTTTTGGCGTCGTTGGTGTTTCCAACAAGTATGGTGAACGTTCATGGGCTCGTTATCCTATATTCTGGAGCTTGAAGGAAGTTGGAAAACTACCTAATCCCGATCCTACTGACACAGTAGCCACATTAGAAGACGACAGCGTTGATGGAAGGAGTCTTGAAAGTGTCCTTGCTTACCGTAAAGAATGTAAAAGAAAGGCTCAAGAATGGGCTGGCCTGAAAGTCGATGACGATGCAGATCTTCTTGTATTTGTAGGTAGATGGTCTATTCAAAAGGGTATCGATCTACTTGCGGATTTGGCACCAACATTGCTTGAAGAGTACAACACACAGTTAATTGTGGTTGGTCCTGTTATTGATCTTTACGGTAAATTCGCTGCGGAAAAATTCGTCTACATCATGCAACATTATCCTGGTCGCGTATTTTCTATGCCTAAGTTCACACATTTGCCGCCTTTCGTTTTTGGTGGTGCTGACTTTGCTCTTATTCCTTCTCGTGACGAACCGTTTGGTCTTGTTGCTGTCGAGTTTGGAAGAAAGGGTGCTTTGGGCATTGGCTCTCGTGTTGGTGGCCTTGGTGAAATGCCAGGATGGTGGTACACTGTTGAATCTAGTGCTACTTCTCATCTCCTTGAACGTTTCGAAACTGCTTGTCGTCGAGCTTTGTCTTCACCGAAGGAGCAGCGACAAAAGCTTATCATGGCTGCAGTCAAGCAACGCTTCCCAGTTAGCGAGTGGGTTGCCCTTTACGGCAATCTTGTGAACAAGTGTATCCGTTCTCAAAAAGCTTGTTTAAATCCCAAAAAATTGAAGAAACAGATTAAAAAGCAAGCTGCTCTTCAGGAACAAGTTGCAGACAAAGAACCAATGCAACTTCCCACAATTGAGGTCCTTGATGAGAACAACAATGTGATTTCGACTGAATCTTTTGCGCAAACAGAGGTATCAAACGACGCACCTGAAACCAGTGATAGAATGGAAGGCAGTGAAACTGCTGGACCTGAAATTACTCCATCAGATGCCGTTGAAGCTATGGAAGCAGACGTTATGGAGGGTGGCATTGAAGAACCAGAAACTGAGGAAACGCCAGTAGCTGTTGAGTTTTGGGGTTCAAAGATGGAAGAACGGTTCATTGACGCTAATGGAATGGCTATTAAGGAATATTCGGATATGCTTTCATCACTTACGCCTGAAAATTCTAAAGGCAGTCATTGTATCGAATCCTTCCTTGTCAAAGTTCAACGACGCTGGTATGAAGAGGAACATCACTACTATAAGACTCGCTTTTCTAAAAAGAAGTATAAGTATTTGCAGACTCCTGAACAAAATGCAGCTAATAACGTTGCTGAAGTCTCGACTAAAAGTGAGGGGACTGCAGACAGTAATGCACTTGATTTGCCGCTTGCGCAAAGAATTATGTATTACAAAGTCGGCTCGTGGCCTGTTTATACAATGTGTCTTTCGTTGGGACAAATTCTGTCCGTATCTTCTTTCCAACTCACACTTCTCTCTGGCTTCAATACTAACAACGCTTACTCTCTTTATGTTGTTTCCATTGTATTTGTTCTGTCTTCCTTCCTCTGGTGGGGTATATACCGAAAGTTTTCAAGCATTCACTCGTTGTCACTTCCTTTTGTTGTATATGCTCTAGCTTTCACCATGACTGGTATTTCTTCTTTAGGATTTCCTATTGCAATCTGTGGTTGGCTCAGCTATGTTGCTACATGGATTTACGCCGTTGCAGCAGCTAGTGGTCCACTGTACTATTCCCTTAACTTTGAAGAGGAAGGTAATTCTGGCGTTGGCTGTTGGGTATACAGAGCCTGTGTTTTGCAAGGAATCCAACAGATTTGGACAGCCGTACTTTGGCTATGGGGTACAAGAGTCAGTCACCTGGCTGATGACGGTACTATTCTTGTGGAACCATTGAACACTACTTATGTGGCAGCTATTGTATGGCCATTTGCACTTTTCTTAATTGGTCTTACAGTTTTTCTCTACAAAGGACTTCCGGTTTATTACCGACAACTTCCTGGTTCTGTTCCAGCTTTCACGAAGTCCTTGCTTCACCGTAAAGTCGTTCTCTGGTTCCTTTTTGCTGTTGTCTGTCAAAATTACTGGATGTCTACCCTAACTGGTCGCGCTTGGCGTTTCTTTTGGGGTTCCTCACTGACAAAACTCTGGAAAATTGGGTTTAATGTCTGCTGGTTTCTTGGTTTTTGCGTGGACATTCATCCTGACCGTTCTTGGTCATTTCTCTTCAACGCACACTTGGGACAATTCCCGGTTATCGGACTCGGATTCGGTATCACGAAATGGCTCCACCTCTTCTGGAGTACATCAAACATTGGCATGTTCCTTCCCTGGGCTGGCATCGCTGGTCCATATCTGAGTCGTGCATTATGGCTTTGGCTAGCTATTCTCGATGCTGTACAGAATGTCGGTATTGGTCTTATTCTGCTTCAAACGCTTACAAGACGTCACGTTACTAGTACTTTGATGCTTGGTCAGCTTTTTGGAGCTACGACTACAATTCTTGCTCGTCTCACATCGCCCACAAAGATTGGCCCTTCAACAGTCTTTCCCGACTTGACTGGTTACACAACGGTTGATGGAATCGAGCCTTTACTCGATATACCCTTCTGGGTTTGTCTTCTCTTGCAGATTATTGTCTGCGGAGGATACCTTAAGTATTTCCGTCGAGAAAACATGAGCCGTCCTTAGTACAAAGCAATGTCTAGGGATAATTCATGCCGAATGGAACGAACACAGGTTTTGTGCTTTTTTTTATGATCGTTAACGATTAATGTTTACTAATGAAAGCTATGATAATACAATAGAAAACTACATGAACATAAGAGTTAGCTTTAGCACAATGAGTAGTAACGTTAAACAGGAAAATGCATTAGCCGTGAATGGTAGACGGTTTGCATTATCCGTTAAAGCAAGTTGTTAAAGGCGAACTTGCATTCGTTTGACTTGGTTTTTTTTTGGTTTTGGTGGAGATCAACGCGTCAAGTAGATGGTAATATACTCCTTTGATAACTGAAGTGGTATGTGCACACCTACACATATAGTCAAAATACAGTGAAATTGCTATCCAATTCGAGCCTATCCACAGAAAACAGTAATTGCGTAATTGGATTGAAGTGAAATGTCTTCTGGTTCGTTAAAAGATTTATGGGAACACGCCGAGAATATTCAAAAACAGGGAAATCCTCAACGTTTTCAGGAATTGGTTACTGAGTACGCTCAATGCCTAGATTTAGTTCATAAGCTCTCGCTCTTTAGCAACAATGAGGACTTAGAAGAAGTGAAAACAAACGAGTTAAAGTTCATGCTCGTGCCTTTCAAATATGCCAAGGTGCTGCAAGATTGGTCTCGTGAAGAACGGCTCGGTTACTTAAAACAAGCAGAAAATCTGTATCAGTACTTTCTGCAACTATGTGAAGACTACAAGATTGTAAGCCCAAAAGCCAGTGTTCCAAAAGACGCAGCTTTCACTCGCCAGGCAAAGATTGAACATTATAAGCAGAAAAAGCAACTTAATGCTCAAATTCGATCTCTTGAATCTTCTTTAAGCACAAGCGATGAAGAGGATGTACGAGAGTACTGGCTTACCGTGCTTAAAATGGCTGTGGAAGATACATATGATAATCTTGAGAGTCTGCAGCTGGAAGTATCTCTTTTGCAATCGCGGCCTCAACCAGGAGAACAAAAACGACTTGAAGAAAGAGACGAACGTGACAAGGAGCGTCTTGAAAAGAAAGAAAAGGCCAGTGATTGGAAGTTGGACGATCTCTCCAAGTTTACTGGTCTCTTAGATAAAACCGGGAAGCCGTTGCGTCCGTTTACCATCTTGCCAGACAGAAAACAGCAAGCAAAGGGCGTTTTTCGCCCCGATTACAATTTACCTACCATGACTCTGGACGAATACATTGACGAAGAGATGCGGCGCGGAAATATCATTAGTCAGAATGACAATAAGGGCGAAACTAATGATCAAGAGGAAGAAGACACTGACGAGAAAGCCGATGCGAAAACGATGAAAGCACGCCGATGGGACGAGTTCGTGGAAGCGAATCCTCGCGGAATTGGCAATACGAAGATGAACAGAGGTTAAGGAATTGCACAGCTCAGACAATTGAAATACTAATTTGGTCGGCTACTGGTTTCTTCCGACAGCAATTAGTAAAAGCTAATTCAGCTAACTCAGCTGTTCGTAAAACAACAAATCATATTGCGACGCTACAATGTTGTCCAATCTCATACCTTACTGTTGCCGTCTTTCTTTACGTTTTATTCATCAACATCTTCTTCCCTAACTAATTGTATTATTCTTTCTTTTGTACTTTTCTTTCTGCTTCTCGTTAACTCATTTTAACGAGGTTTAATGACTTTTTTTCTCGCTTCCTTTGGCGGTACTCCAAAATCACAGGGATTGTTGAAATTTAGTGGCAGCCATGGTGAAGGCATCTTGTTCAGTGAAAGCAGATCGTACTGAAGGCGTTTACTTGTTTGAAATTGCTTCTCTGGATGACCAAGTGGCAGTTTCTGCATCCAATGGTTCTTGGGGACTCTATGACAAGGAAAACTTACGGCAAGTGCTGACCATTGAATCTGCACACGCTAATGTGTCGAGTATTAAGCCCTCGAAAGACAATAAGGGTGTTTTTACGTGTGGTACAGAAGGTGATTTGAAGTTTTGGGACATTCGCACAGAATGCAAGAACCCGGCAAATACTTGGCACGTTTCGTCGCCCATCTTGTCGTTGGCTGTAGCCAACCATGGTAATTTCATTGCTACGGGTTCCGAGCTTTATCAGAATGAGGCACCCATTTATCTCTGGGACATTCGTAATACTTCGCCTGTACGCAGTTGGAATGATTCACATAACGACGACGTTACAACCATGGAATTCCTCCCTAAGTCAAAAGAGCTCCTCCTTAGCGCGTCTACGGATGGGTTGATTAACATTACTGATGTGACCAAGGATGAAAATGCCGGTGGAGACGCAGACGAGGAGGCAGTATTGCACGTAATCAATCACGGTGCATCCCTCCATATTGCTACCTTTCTTTCCCGCAATCGCATATTAGCTGTTTCGCATATGGAGTCCTACGCGTTCTATAAATTAAAGCGTGAGACTGATTCCTGGAAAAGCAAAGCTGTGACAACTTTTGACGACTTGCGTCCAAAATTGGATTGTAGCTATGTTATTGGAACAGTTGCTACTGATGATAAACGAAAACACATGCTTGCTTACAGTACCTTTGACAACCCTACTGTGCGATTTGCTAATATCGACCGTAAAACTGGTGTCCTTAACCCAACTTCAAGCGTGCAACTGGATCGTATGTCAGGAGAAATTTGTCGTGATGTCGTTTATGACAAGGCTCATCACGTCTACTTTACTGCGAGTGAAGATGGATTCTTGCAGGCTTTCTCATCATAATCCAGGCACCAGTTACTCAAAAAAAACCACGCCCTCTTTTGTCTAAACATACTTTTAAGGACACTTTTAGCACGGCTAAACTTTCTTAGTCTTATGTGTTCCCCTTTCTTTTTTGTTAAAATAGACTTTCAAATAATATTAAAAACAGAATATATGTACTAAATGAGTTTGATTGAAAGACTGGATTTACTGTTGCAATAAGTGAAACGTTTTTTATTTTTAAGGTACTGATTTGTTTGAAACATTTTTTGTTGAAAATCCATAGGGTTTGTCAGTCCAGATAATCACATCCCATCCTTCAACATTTAAGCAGATAACAATATGAAAGTAACATGCTTTTACGTGTTTCATTCTGCCTGCGTTTTTTAATTTGATGTTCCCTCAATTTGCTCCACTTTACAAGTCAGACATTGAGGTTTTCCCTTACAAGAATTTTTTTTCAAAAACAAACAGATATTTTGGACATTTCAAAGGCCATTTTTAACCATAGTCAAGTCGACTTATTAAAAAAATTACACAACGGCTTTTTAGACGGGTCAGCGTGATATTAGTTTCTACAATATGGCCAATTCACGCTTCGAATACGTGAAGGGTTTTGAAAAAGCAGACAACTTGCTCCCTGAGACGTACATTGTTATTCGTATTGATGGAAAAGGTTTTCATAAGTTTACAGAAAAACATGAATTTGCCAAACCAAATGATTCCCGCTGTTTAGAGTTAATGAACAAGGCAGCTGAAATAGTCGTATCAGAATTCACAGATATCGTTTTGGCTTACGGCGACAGTGACGAATACAGGTAAGAAGAGTAAAACCCTTTAGTTACGAAACGTGAAGAGTTCATCAATTTAACATGGATTTAGTTTCGTCTGGTGCAAAGGTACTCAGCTGTATGAGAGAAGAGAGAGCAAACTTGTTTCTCACGTCTGCTCCTTGTTTACTTCGGCATTTGTTTTCAACTGGTCAAAATTTTTCGATATTCCTTTACGCTCACTTCCTTCGTTTGATGGTAGAGCGGTTCTTTACCCTTCGTTCTCCAGCCTTCGCGATTATCTCAGTTGGCGACAAGCAGATTGTCATATTAATAATCTTTACAACACAACGTTTTGGGCCCTGCGACTTCAAGGCAAAATGTCTAATCGTGAAGCAGAAGAACGACTAAAAGTACGTCCAAATTGTAATATAATAACTACTTTTAATGCTAACCGACTTGCCAGGGAACTGTTAGCGCCGACAAGCATGAAATTCTTTTTTCCCAGTTTGGTATTAACTATAATAACGAACCAGAAATGTATAAAAAGGGTACCATATTTACTCGAAAAGTATGTAACTTTTTAAGAGATTGCGAATACTAACTAAACAGCCCGCCGATGGAGACGACATGCTTTCAAAGGGGACAAACCTCTCAAAGAAACAAAAGAAAAAACTCGTAATTGAAAAACTGCATGTCGACTTGATCGCAGATAGTTTTTGGAAAGAACGACCATATTTGGAAACATTTATGAATCAATAAGTTGAAAAAGAAAGCCGGCGATTGAAGACACGAAACTCGAGCATAACGAGTGAACTCTCTGTTCAGAGTGGGAGAGGAAACAACAAGGTTTAGAATATAAACAGACAACGCAAGGCCAACTGCTGCATTGGTTTTTTGCGCATTTTTTATTTAACTTGATTGTTCATGTGAGTTGAGTAGGGATTTATAATTACAGAGGGGACTAATGAAAATAATTCATTCTCTAGCCAGACATTTTAAGGTGTCAAGACCCTCACGATTGCATTAGGAGAAAAAATTTGTTTCACACAAATTGGTTGTGTAGGAAAAAAAACGGATTTGTTCGTCGATAGCGACTCGCAGTATTTAGTAAGAAAAAAAAAATGTAAATCCTAATTTGGATTAGATGCCAATGAGACTTTCGCCATGGCTTCAACAAAGTTATCACCACGACCTCGCTGGTTTTGCATTTTTTGAGCAACCAAATCATGACGTCTACGAATCAGTGCAATAACTAAATTCGGTTAGTGAATGAACTATGAAGATAAAAGGTAAAAACATACACTTCTTAATGGTGGGTGCATCATTAGACTCATCAGTACTATTAACAGAAGGGAGATCACCTTCCAAAAGTGACTCCAACAACATATTAGATGCTTCGTACATGCGCAAGCATTTTGCCAAATCTTGTCCTGATAATTCCGAAGTTACGGCCGTCCTCGACTATAACTGTTAGTAATCTATGCATGATATCCATGGAGGCAACATACCATATCAAGAGCTTGATTATAGATGAGATGCGATGCCTCGATGTTGTCAGAATCATCAATCTCATGCAAAGTCGTTAGCGAAATATACTTTTCGCGCATAAACTGAGACTTTTCAAATGACTCATTATAACGCCTGCGAAACCAGTCATGAGACTGTTGAACAGGCATGGAACTGCTCTGCTCCAAATTACCAGCTTTAAAGGCAAATATTCTATCAAGACCAATTTGTAAAAGTTCCATGTCGCGCTCATACAGCACAAACGCTTCTTTGCAGAGAGACGCAATAGCACCAGGAGGTAATTGTGCATTGGCCTCCAACTCCACAATACGAGACTCAGCAGCTAGTGGAGAAATTACTTGAGCAAGTTTTATCTCGGCAAAACGGAAGACGGCGTTGCATTTTGTGGAAAGCTCCTCGAGTGATTTAATAAGTGCTGCTTCACCAAGAATAATAGGCTTCGAAGAAAAGGATCCCAGACTCTTCCTTCGTGAAGAAGTGTCCGACATCATTCCACTTTTTTCTTCATTGCCATGAAGTTTTGCATTTGCAAAGTTTAAAGCCCGTGCTAATGCACTTTGAGGAGTTGCTACGGACGAGGGTTCGAATGTGTGGAACTGATCATAAGCTGGCTGCGCTAAATGAGCTGCAGGCGCAGAGCAATTTACCGCCGTGTTGAAAGACGGCAAGCGACGTAAACGGTTGACGGGGATAGGGATGTTTCCAGAGTTTGGAGGCAAACTTTCAGGAGAGAAGCTATTGGGATGCATTAAGCCGGCAGTTGGAGACGAAGTTGTATATTCGCGAGAAAAACGCTGATTATTATTGACCCAATAACTTGAATCGTGATCCACAACAACGAAATCGCTGCCGTTTTTATTGCTTTTGAAACTCGACACACCCCGGTCTTCGTAGTTTTGAGCGCGGGCATAACCAACGAACTGATTTGTCGATACAGGTGCACTCTCCGGAGGCATGACTGGTGTGAAAGGTACGCTGTTATCAGTACGAGAATACCGTGTGGTAAAACGTCGAGGGATAGGGACATTCCGTGAGGCACCCGCACCGGTAAACCGTTCGGCCTGAATGGCTTGTCGCAGTAAACCACCAGTGGCAGGAGGTGTGTTTCGAGGGAAAAGGTCAGTAATAAAAGCCGGGCTGGAAGAAGGGAGTGTGATGGGTTGGACAGCGTCTTGAATAGCACTCTTTGATAAAGAACAGGCGTCATCGACAGGGGTCGTAATCACCATTGATGACTGCAGCCCCTCGTAACCAAGTCGCTCGCCGGGTTTTTGCTTGAGCAGAGCACAGATGAGTAGTTTGATGTCGGGATGGATGAATGCCTCCTCGGGAAACTTGATCACATCCTTTGCACGTTGAATACGACGAAGTAGTTCGACGTGATTAGGGGCCTTGAACGGAGGCTTACCAACGGCCATTTCGTACAGCACAGTACCCAAGGACCACAGATCAGCCTTTGCGTCGTACTTTTCATACCGCAAAATCTCAGGCGCCATGTACAAAGGGCTGCCACACAGTGTTTCTGCCATGGAAGCCGTTTGCAAGTAACGAGCAAAACCAAAGTCGGCAAGTTTTAGTATGGGCAAATTCGGACTGCCAACAAAGTCGGGATGTGCCTCCAAGTACTCAGAGGTAGGAGGAGGCTGTAGCAGGAGGTTTTGAGGCTTAACATCTCGGTGAATAAGAGATTTCGACCGTAAAAACTGCAATGCCGAAACGAGTTGCTGAGTAAAGTGTCGAACAAGCGTTTCATTCAGACCAGCCTTATAAACGGGTGGATATTCGTTGACGAGCCAAGACAAGGAGGGAATACTTCCGAGCTTCTCTCGTTTTCGGATAAAGTAGCTTAGATCTCCCAACGAGCAGTATTCCATAATCAAATGGATAAATCTGCCGGACTTTTGGCAATCATAAAGCTCCACAACGTGAACATGTTTAATTTCTTTCAAAATTGAGATCTCGCTTTCCAGGTTCTCCAACAACTTCTTCGTCAGTTTCTTCCTTAGAACACTTTTGATGGAAACTGCTTCTTTCGTCACTGAATGTCGACCTTTGTATACGGTAGCAAACGATCCACGTCCAATTTCTGAACCAATTGTATATGGACCGACCGTACGCGTCCCAGACTGCGATAATTCATTCATTCAGCCTTTAGCGTCGGTTTTTTTAAGTTGTTTCCTGTTTTTTCTAGCGGTTCTACTAGTAAATGTTGAATACAGCAGACCGCTCCGCAGGTGGTGAAGTCAAAATCAACCACCACGAATTTAGACGTGCTTGATATCGCAGATGGTGGATTATAACCAAGCCGGGCGACACCAGTGAAATCCAACTAGATAGCACGCCAAGTGTCACCACCATTCGATAACCATGCGGGTCGGTGGCTATAAGATTTGCTGGGGGAGTCGACGGGTAACTCGGGAACCGCAGACGATGCAACGTCAACGGTCGAATCGCAGATTGTGACCCGCTAATGCAGCTCATGTCACCGTCATCGTCATCATAGTCACAGCCATAGTCATAGCCATAGTCGTATTTGCAATTTTTATTTTTTGTCGCTGTTCACGAGGAGGTAGGTGACAAAAACATCGCCAAGTAGACGGCGCAAAATAGACAATGCTGTAGACGAATGCGAATTGAGTATGCGCGTATCGAAACGGAAAACCCTGAGAATGCTTAGAGCGATCCCCTGTAAAATGCGATAGCGCGAAAAATTGACCCCTTGTTGAGTTATAGTCATTGGTTTGCAGTCCCAGGCAGGCTTGGATGATAAGTGTGAATGCGTGAGAGGCACGTTCACAGGCCTTAGCATGGTTTGTTTCTTAGTTAGCGGGACGATCTTTCAGGACAGCCGCTTGTTCTCGTAAAAGCGCGGGACACTGTCCAGCAGTAGATAGGCAGAAGTAGATTATCATTTTGACGAGACACACTCTCCATCAAAGCAGCTGCAAAGGAAAGCAAGACACTGTGTAACCAGTATGGAGTTTGCACATGTTCGAAAAAGGAAAGAAGAAGGAGTGGAACGAGCACAGCGAGCATAAAAGCCAATGTTCCTTCCACCGTCTTAGAAGTATGACGAATGCGGATGCGACCAAAACGCTTGCCAACTAAACTTGCCATTGCATCGCCGCAACCAAGACACAAGACGCCCAGCAGTAAATCGATGGAACGTGCCGAAGATCCAGCGGCTAGTGACAGCCAAACAGGAAGTGCACATCCCAACAAGAGGTAAAGATGGGAAATGATGAGTGTGCCCTTGTGATCTCTTCGGTCGGTAAACTGCCACAAAAAGTCGTGGATGATGGCACCAAAGGGCGCAATTCGATAGGCACGAACGTACTCCACAACCTGGAAACCAAGAGCGGCAAGCGAAAACGAGAGATGGGCGAGAAACGGATCAAGAGAAAGAGTAGGCAGGAACATAACAACCACCAAACCGTGATAAAGCTTGCGGTGAAAGTTAAGAACTGCTTCCTGATTAGGTAGGAGACACCTTAGTTTTATAGCCAAAATGGAACGAACTGAAACAAGTAGGCCTGCGATGAACAAGCAAGCAATCCACCAGCAGAGGATACGCAGTCGTAAGGCGGATTCTGGCTGTTCCAAGAGAACCTGTTTGAGCCAGATTGCCGGATTGATGTGAAGCTGAAATGAAAGCCAGAGACAACTTGAACCGAGCGCCAGTATGGGCGGGGCATACATAGCATATGATTGAGAGACACTTCCAAGCTTCTCTGCTGCAAAGGTCCAAACGAGCAAAAAGGCGAGAAACACATTCGTGGTACAGTTCAGTATCGTAAGAAGTGAATCAGACGAAGTAGCGAACACACCGCCCAAAGCAAGAGCTGAGAGCAACGCCGAGAGAGTCGTGCGCTCGACAAACGAAAAGCTGCTACCGACGTAATCATGAAATACTCGACACAGCTGAAGATGAAATGCTAGCACAGGATGCAGCTGTCGAAACTGGCACCAGACAAATTCCGCAATTGCAGCACTTGGCAAGCAATGACAGATGCTCTGCACGACGTTACCAACGACAATTAATTTGAGAGGAACGTTCAGTGGAGAAGAGTGTGAAACGGAGGCTTGAAGGGCAGCTGTTGGCAAACTCACTAACCAGAGAAAGTATCTACACAAAAGGTTAGCGTGCATTACAACACACATGCAACTCACTCAAATACACGGTTTTGTGGCCGAGGAAGACAGAAGTACAAAATCAACGGTGAATAAAACAAACCAAACAGAATCTGATCCAAGAGTCCGTGAACAGGTCCAAAAGGAAGAGCGAGAATTAAAGTTAATTCAAGGCACTCTGCAAAATTCATATTTCCTACCCATTGTTTCTTAGGGCGACAAGGTGAATGATTGTGAGTATTGTTCCAAAAGAGAGAATACCTGGTACAGATGCTTTCTTTTCCACATCTCTGGTTTATTGATACATGATTTCGACGTGTCTTCGTTTCAAAGCAAGCGGCCATTTACTGTGAGAGAATTACCGTTACGATTCGTTAAAAAAGAAGTTTACGATTCACAATATGAACATCCTTCTGCAAAAGATTTCCAAGAAAATCCAAAAATTAACAAAACAGTTTCTTTAAACCGTAATTCGTAGAAAACATCAGCTACTACTGTTTCAGACTGACGAGGGCTGTGTCGATCACGAAGATCATGCAGATCCATACAACTTTAATATTCACCACCAAATCTGCCTAACACTTATTAGCACAGAGGGACTCCAAACAGCAAGTTGTTATTTTTAGGAAAGCAATTGTACGCTTACTCTAAGGTTTTGTGGCACTTGCAAGACTCTACAAAGAGCAAAACAAAAAACTTAATTGAATTAAAAAATCCTCGTCTCTAGTTGAACGCGTTTGGAACAGTTTTTCCAATTTTTAATTTGTTTCCCCTTCTTGGGAACAAAACTGCGTCTCAGTCATTTTTATACAATTGAAAGAATTGATTTATTCATCACTTACAAATCTCGTCGTTTATTTTGTTCATTATGTCTAATACAGCGATTCCTTCTTTAGAAGACATTGTGCATCAGAAACGACAACGCGAGGAAGAACGTGCACGGCCAAAATTCTTGTCAAAGGCAGAGCGTGCAAAACTTGCCATCCAAAGACGCGAACAACAAGTTCAGGAGCAAAGAGCGCGGCTCGATACACAGAGACAAGCCTTGCATTTAGCTAATGGACAAACGAATAATGGCCGGGAAAACGATTCCTCCTCTACTCGCTCGAGAAGTCCAGCGATTTCCGAGAAAACACAGAGTTCACACAACATTACTGAAAGTGAAACCACCACAGCAGCTTCAACAGAATCGGCCGACGATCCAGACTGGACAATTAAGCAGCGATACATGGGAATAAAGCCTCCTGTAAAGAAAAAACGAAGAAATGCCGACAAAAAGTTTGTATTTGATTGGGATACATCAGATGATACATCCGCGTCGGCCTTACCAAATGATAGCCATGATCAACTTGGTGTGTTCGGACGGGGGAAATTGGGTGGATTTGATGAAACCGAAATACGTAAAACACAGCAACACGAAGCATTGATTCAGCGGTTGCTTAAAGGTTCGCCGGAGGATCAACGGCGAGCCCATATGCTGATTGAACAGCAAAAAAGAAAAACAAAAAAGGTCGACTGGGACGATGTTCCTTGGTACCAAAAGCCACTGGAAGCTATGAAGCCACGAGATTGGCGAATTTTAAAAGAAGATTTTGGTATTTCAGTCAAAGGCGACAACTTGCCAAATCCTTTACGTAACTGGGAAGAGTCTTCTTTACCCGAAAAGGTTCAGGCTACGCTGAAAAAAGTTAAGTACAAGGAACCAAGTGCTATCCAAAGAGCAGCTATTCCTCTTTTGCTACAACGAAACGACATCATTGGTATTGCTGAAACCGGTAGTGGTAAAACAGCAGCCTTTGTCATTCCCTTAGTAACACACATATCGCGGTTGCCTGCTTTGGACGATACAAATATGCACCTTGGTCCTTATGCCATTATTCTAGCACCCACTCGTGAATTGGCACAACAAATTCAAGTCGAGGCAAGCAAGTTTTCCGAACCACTCGGTCTTCGGTGCGTTGCCGTTGTGGGTGGACATGCTTTTGAAGAACAATCCTTTCAAATGAGCCAGGGAGCTCATATTGTTGTGGCCACACCCGGTCGACTTGTCGATTGTTTGGAACGCCGTGTGTTTGTGCTTAGTCAATGCTACTTTGTCGTCATGGATGAAGCCGATCGAATGGTTGATATGGGTTTTGAAGAAGATGTGAACAAGGCTCTCACAAGCCTACCACCTTCAGGCCATGATGATGACGAGGCTATGGTAGCCGGAGAGGATCTTTTACGATCCACAAGACCTACTCGAGCTCGTCAAACGGTTATGTTCAGTGCTACCCTGCCCACCAGAGTGGAGAATCTTGCTAAAAGGTACCTGAATAAGCCCATCATGCTTACCATTGGCACCATTGGTCAAGCTGTTGACCGTGTTGAACAGCGCGTAGAGATGATCGCCGACGATGCCAAGCGGAGAAAGCGTTTGGAAGAAATCTTAAACACTAATCGCTATGCTCCACCCATCGTCGTGTTTGTCAACTTGAAACGCAATTGCGAGTCTTTGGCCAAGGCTCTTTACAACATGGGTTGGCGTGTGGTAACCCTACATGGCAGTAAAAGTCAAGAACAGCGTGAACGCGCAATTGAGCAATTGCGCAATCACTCCGCTGATATCCTCGTTGCTACCGATTTGGCTGGTAGAGGTATCGATATTCCTAATGTTTCGCTCGTCGTCAATTACAACATGGCCAAATCCATCGAAGATTATACGCATCGTATCGGACGTACCGGCCGTGCTGGAAAACACGGTACGGCCATCACGTTCTTGGGTCCCGAGGATACAGGTGTGTACTACGACTTGCGACTCATGTTGAGCAAAAGTGCCAACAGCCACATACCCGAAGAGCTGCGGCGACATGAAGCAGCTCTTGCCCGTCCGAACATTGTGCTCTAGCCGGCACGAGTTCTCTGATACGCCTTACCTTGACACACACACACACATTCACCCGATTCACACTATCCTTCTGTACTATACCATAACAAAGGTCACCGTTCTCTCACCCGACACCATCGTCTTTGAGGAAAACGAAACAAGCGTTTCTTCTTCATTACAGATCTAGGGTATTGGCAAGCCAAGTTGTATATCATCATCAGTGCATATCCTTGGGCAAAAGTGAGAGTTAACTGGGTATACTCACCACAGTACAAATTGGCGTGTCCATTTGTTGCAAACGCTTTTTCTGCAGTCTCCATGAGCAAACTCGTCGTGCCCGAAAGGAATCCCCTTGTGTGAAAGTCCATTTCTTCGTACATATGATCTTTCAAAGACAACTTAGTCTTGTCTTCCCTTGACGAGTCTTTTCATACACTTGTCCTTCGAAATCACATAAACAACGCAACCCCAACCACTTATACAATCGCGGTCTATTGCGTTCAGCAGGGCTTGCGAAATCGTTTCAAAGAGATCTTCGGGTTCAAGATCAGGTTCATAAAGGTCTTCACAAATACCGTACAAGTGATCGGACGCAGTACCACTCACGGCAAAGTCTTTAGCAAAGTCGATACAGCCAATCGAGTCGAATCCACAGATGAAAGGCTCGTTCGTTTTCGAGAGACCCGCAACAATGGGGAACGTAAAATAAGGAGCGAATCTGTTTGTTGTTAGCAAAAGGGGACACCAAATTGTCTACCGCGACCAGGCCCAAACTCACCTTTTTTCATAAAGAGTGGATGATACAAGGTTGGCAAATGTTTTTGGTTCAATCTGACGCTCTTCTCTTAGCTTGTACATATTGATTTTGTAACGAAAAAGCTCGTGAAGCGTCTGAACATCTGTGGCCAGGCCAGTAAGACCCAAGTATGTTTTTTCGGTCATAGAGAAGATTTTAGGGAAGTTGTTCGTCAAAGAAACAGATTGTGCACCAAGACGAAGATCCGAGGCAATCGCCACGCACTCTTTCCCGACCATGGCGATGCATGATCCACCGTTATATTCCATAATACTCATTTTGCCGACTGTTTGCTTGGTTGTGTCCAGGAGAGGCAGACACGGTGTCGTGTAGGAGAACGCGTGGGGGATGTGGGGGATGTAATTAGGAAGAGAGCAATGTGGGATTGTGTGGGATTGTGTGGGATTGTGTGGGATTTCATGGGGGCTTGATGGTTTACCGTGGTGCCCCACACACCCCACATATATCCCACAAGACCATTGTCAAACGAGCACCGCCTCATGCCTGACTCTTCTTCTCCAATGGACTATTACAAAGTGCTAGGCGTCGATTCGTCGGCAACAGATGCTGAGATACGCAGAGCGTACAAAATTGCAGCATTGGAAACGCATCCAGATCGCGTCCCGGTGGCCGAGCGCGAAACTGCTAATCGTCGGTTCCAACAGGTGAATGAAGCGTATTATGTGCTGAGTGACCGTTCGAGACGCCGTGATTACGATAGACAACGTGCAGAGACCAACTCGACATCCGGAGCGACTGGTGCAGCGGGTGCAGGAGCGAATCCGTTTGGTTTCCAGAGCTCGTTCACCGAAGAGCAATTTCGACGCATGTACAACGACTTGTTCGCAGAAACACAGCCCTCAGAAGGAAAACCAGGCCGTTTATGGACAGTTCTGGGTGGTCTTTCAGGCACAGTGATTGGTTTCATCACGTTTAACGTGCCCGGTGCTCTTGCTGGTTCTGTAGCTGGTGCCAAACTTGGCCACATTCGGGACACTCACGGAAAGAGCGTGTACGATGTCTTCAAGAGTCTTCCTGCCGCCGACAGAGCCCGTGTTCTTACTGAAATGTTGCAATTCCTTTTGAGCCATCGCAAGCCAATTTAGCTCATCAGGACGCGACGCGCGCGACGGATTTGCGACTACCACCTGTCGATCATTGCCCGCGACGCTGCTTCATTAAGCTTAAGCTTAAGCTTCTTTGCTTAAGCGATTTATGACGTTTACGATTGATGTAATGATTGGAACACTATGATTTAATGACTATGACGTGAGGGTGATAGCTTCAGGGTCAAGGCCCCAGAGCTAGAAAATGAACGTGCACGCTACACACTACTCAATTCACTACACATACCATGGGTACTGTTGAAAAGCGCACAGTTGAAACCTGTGCGGGATTACCAGGTGCTCATCCTATGCATACTCACAATCAGCCGTCTGTAGGACGATCCGCGTCCATGAGAGCGTATTACGGTGGTCGTGTTCATGAAGACCACCCAGCAGCTCACAGTGCTGCCAAATCCTCCGCTAAAGCTCCTGTTTCAATGACTACCAACACCGCCGTCATCGAATCTCCTACGGACCCTGCTGTGAAATCGGGAGCTCTCAATGTAAACGGCTTAGATGGCCCTCAGAGAACTTCAGCTGCCTCCCGAGTCGCGTATACTGCCAACTCGCGGGCTCCTATGCCTACTGGAAGAAAAGAAATCCCTACCTACAATTTCAACGCTAATCATGCCGCTATGAATGCTCAGGCTCGTGCACGAACCTCACATAATGACTACCAGTCCCAACGACCTCCCTCCGACTCGATGCCACTGCATCCTGAGTGTGCTTCTGCTGCCGCTCGCTCCATAGCTATTCATCACCAAATTGCCACGGCTCCAGCACCTTCACACCGCGTGGAAACACACAAGTATCCGGTTCACTCCGCTGCCATGGCGGCAAAGTCTGTTACACGCAACGATGAATTGGATTCCGGAAAGCAACGAGTTCATAAAAAGGCTACGGTGGCACAGGACATGCATGCTCAGAATGCAGCTCAAATGGCGAAGAACACGTCGAAGACCCGTGCAGAGGTTCAGCAATCGGGCGACGGCGACACATACATGGGTACTGAGGTTTCAAAGCCCATAAGCAGCATCGCCGCCGCTTCCTATGCAGCTGCAAAGAAGAGAACAAACCAGGAAATCAGCACGGGCCAGGATCTGGAAAGACAGGAGATTGACGAAAAGGCTCGGTACCAACTGCGCAATCTCGGCATGCCCGACACCATTACACACTATCGCCAGCTGCATGACGGTGCTCAAGAGAGCTTCGACAGCGTTCCTGAGCGTGAAGGAGGCTACGATGGCCGTACGCAAATGAACGTGACCGCTGCCGCTGCTGCCGTCAAAGGTCGGAAGCCAGGCTCCTATGTGCCAATGACGAATGTGGGACAAGAGCAAGACGTTTACGCTGCCGAGCGTGTTGCCAACAGTTACAATTTACCTGCTGCCTCTAAAGCTTTGAAAGAATACGAACTGAGTCCGGAGAGTTTTGCTCGTCCTCCCGAAGGTTTCGACACACAGGACCCCGAGCAAAGTGCAATTGCGCGTGTTCGTGATATGAAGCTTGATGTGCCTCGCATCAGAACCAGGGTGCAGTCTGAGATCGGCAACCGTGATGGTCGCAGTGCAGCGGCGGCAGCGCATGCTGGTCAATATGAAGCTAGCACCCAAAGAGCCGCAGCTTATGTTCCTCCTGTAAGCACATTGCGCCGTAATCGCTCCACGTACGGAAACGCAGCTGCTGCAAACGCGTATGCCTACAGTGGAGTGCCCGCTGTTGTCGAACCTTCCGCTATGGCTGGGCAAGGCGCCAATGCCGCATTGTCACATCCTCGTCGTACAGTTACGTTTATCGGTGACGAGGGTGAAGTTGCCAGACGTGTTCAGCGCGATATGTCTACATTCTCCTCGAACATGCGAACGCTGCCTCAGCGATCATCAATGGACGCTACGCAGGTGGCCGTTGCTGCCAATCGCAATCACCGCGCGTCGATGGCCAATATTGATGCTCGTATAGTAGCCGATTCTGGACCATTAGCTATGCAAACAGATCCGGAAGAGTTGCGCAGGCTGGAAGAGCGTCTGGCTGCTGCGCGGGTTGACGACAACGAAATGCTCATTAACATCGGAGGCGGTAGCACAATCAGCCCAGAGGAACTCGAGATTATCGCCCGCCGACATGTGGATCCTATGGTGGACGAACTGAGTGAGCGTGCTGCAGCCGATCGCCTTGCTAAGGAACAACAAATCGAAGCGAAACGTGCTAAGAAGGAGGCAAAAGAAATCGAGAAGGCTCGTAAGAAGGGAGGAAAAGCGTTTGCGCAAGGAATCAAAACATAAGCAAATTGTTGGAGATCCACAGGTGCAGCAATTTATTGCCGAAAGCACACGCTCGCGATAAGGAAGACTTGGCTGAACAGCCTGCGGCATTACCACTTTCAGTTCCCGCGATTGCTGAGCATGTACAGCCGCAGTCTCAAGAGAGTCGCTCCATCTCGTCCTTTGGAAACGCACCTGTGGGTGTGGGTGGAGTGCCTCACGAACCTTACAATATGCCTGCTACTGATCAGGATACTATGAACCATGAGCGTTTCGTAGACCAGAATGTTGCGCATACGGTGGAGCTCCAAGCTCCCACGCATCCTCATCCCGAACCTTTGCGGGCGCATGCTTCAGGTATCAATCTGGACGTTTTACAGCGTGTTGAGGAAGGTGATACGGGACATGTCCAAACAACAGAAATTACAGCCGACGGTGGTGTTTCTGCGAGGCCTGTAGATGATGATTATGGTAGAACTAATGATGAACAAACTGATGTCGCTGGAGCGGCCTCTTTCTCTCCGAACAACGAACCTCCGGCCATAATCCAAGAAAGCAAGCCACGCGTGCAAGTCGATGACATCGTGGACGAAGGCTTCAGCACCGGTGCTGCTGCTGCTCACAACCACGACGATGCTTTAGGGGCAAGTCGTGAACCTGCGCACACAGATGCCACTGCTACGACTGCGGATGGAGACAATCTCGACTACCACGTTTCGCAATCAACTCATATCGATGACGGATACGGCACCGCTAGTACTACAGAATCAAACACGTACGACGGAGTTCAAAGACCGGCGCCTGTTGAAGCATCAAAGGCTGCAAACGCCGCTCAAAACCCTGCAAATGTTGGGACCACGGCAGCAGCCGCTGCTAATACTGCAGCTGCTGAAGCCCCAGTTTCAGCAAACGCCGACGAATTCACCAATCCGCAACCTGCCGGGATGAACGTCGGCGGCAGTTCTGTTGGGCTTGCCGGTGCAGCGGTCCCGATGCAACACGCAAACCCAGAAGACGTTTTGGGAAAAGAGAAGACAAAGTCACCTATCCAGTGGATCAAGACCAAGCTTCGGACCCGTCGTAACAAGAAGGCCTCCAAGCGCGCCTTGGAAGGGGGTGTAGCTCACGACGACTTGAACGCTCCAGGAAACGTCGGTAGAGTATCCATAGACACTCCGATGGAAGCTGCTGTTCCCGACGCAGCGGCATCGAAAAATCCGCAGCCATGGAATCCGATGCCTCGGCGTTACCGCTTCACCCTGCAATCGCTCCCACAACAACCTCTCCTGAAAGAGCGATTGAAAGAGAGTCGTCAGAGCACGTTGCGCCCGATGTTGCTGTGAAGGAGGAAACGCGTTCTCCTCCTCCTGTCTTTGACGAAACAACAACAGCAACCAAACCGGCGGCTGCGGCTGCAGTCTCAGAGTCTACAGGGCTCGACGAGGGTGCTCCTTCCCATGCCACACTGACACAAACGGCTACGATCACGAGCGACACAGATGGAGTGGAGCAGGTCGTTGACCGAGGAACGCACGACGTCGATGCCCTCGTCATTGGTCGCAGTGGCACTCAGTTGCAGGGGAAATCTACTGCTACAGCTGCTACCAGCGGTGCCGTCACCAAGCAAGGCCGTTCGCAAGTCGACGAGCCGCAACCTTCTGTGATTGATCACTTTCCTCGTGCAACCTCATCGATGACCAACAAGGGGGCCTTCCAAGAGGACCTGTAATATCTATCTACACATGAACTGAATTGCAAGAAAACACATTCGTCCGTTCGTGGGGAATAAGTGCCTCAATAATTACTACAGCAGTCTGCTCAAGGGGCGGGCCGCATGTATTGCGCAGTCAGTACCAGCGACCGGTTTCGTTGCTGTCGAGCCCCGGTTCTACATCTCCTTTTTAATTTACCCGTGTCTAGGGCTTCTGTGTAAGCCAAGCTATGCGGAGCACGGTGCACCATCCTATTCCTCCGGAGACTCGTTCCTGCAGGCCGAATGGATCAGCGTGTGTGTGTGCATGTGCGTGGGAGGATCGCCTACTCCATGAGGCCTGTTTTTGCCCTTGCTTATGATTTTTATTGTCTGTCTCTTGTTTATAGCGGAGAGAATGCGTGACGGATTCTGTTTTTGAGCAGTATGCACTGCAGACCGACGCATTCTCATCCGTAGTAACTGCTTAATCTGTATGCTTATAGTAGGAATATATTAATGCAAAGCCGGCCAAGCGCCGCTGTTAACAAACAGAGTCTGCGGCAGTAGTGCCAGCAGGACGAGCTGTTCCCACTAGCGACGAAGCGTCCCCAGCGCATGTCCCAGCGCATATCCCAGTGCATACCCCATCCCATCCATCCCGCCTTTTGTTCTCGTCCCTGCGGCAGTTCTACTCGCTCTCCCTCTCTCCTCCCTCTCCCTCTCCCTCGTCTCTCCCTCGTCTCTCTCCCACTTGCCGTCCTGACCTCCCGCTGTCCAGTCCTGCGTCTGCTGCGGCAGTTGCACCACGGCACCCCCTTCAGTACCAGCCCCCACGGCCCCCACAAACACAGGTTGCTGACGTAACGCATGACGTGTCGCGCGATGCGGGAGCCGTGACGAGTAGTTAGGTAGAAGCGGAACGGCTGTCGGTCACTTTTAAGTTGTCATTTCCCAATAACGCCGAACGCTCAGTGCAGGCTTCTCGCACTCCTTTTTAACGTTAATTTGTGTGAATTTGCTTTCTCTTGCCTTCGAGAGTACCACAGCTGAATTCTCCGACCCTGGTTACGTAAGTACGTTTTTTTCCGGCTCTTGTGCGTAAAGTTTTGAGAGAAACAACTGGTTCATTAGGTAATCCGTGCACCTGTCCGCGATATGTGAGCATTAGGACGGGCGGGATGACGAGAGCCCGCTGTGGCAGGGGCAGGATGCAGGATGTTCGATACGGCTGAACCTTAACAGCCGAGGAGTTAACGACGGGAACGTGAAAGTGTTGCCCGCTAGACGAACAGGGACTATTGCTGTTGCTACTTCTCCTACTGGCCGGCGGTGTATTAAAGCACTTAAACACCAAAACACTAACTAGTGCCGGCAGGGGCTGGTCACCGGCACTTGGGACTTGTCCGAGCAGCTCGTACCCTGTGTGCGTCCTAAGTAGTAGTGTTCTGTGGGACACTGCCGGTCTGGCCCGGCCTTGGTCACGCATGCAGCGATAACCCAGACCCGCATCGAGGTTTCATCGAAGGTTCATCGAAGTCTAGTCTCACCGAAGTTATCATCCGTATATCGCCCCTTCGTCCTTTTCCATGGCGTCTGGCACTTGTGTACTTCCGTCGATGCCTACGAGCACCTGATTACACACTGCTTCCGGCTCGTCCCCCTCTTCCTGCCTTTTTATGTTTCACTCTTTCGCTCTCTTTCTCTCTCCCATCCATCCTTCCTCCTCCCTCCCTCGATACCCCTCTGTCTCTGCTCTGTCTCACACACACACACACACTCGGCCTTCCCTCCGTCTCCCTCGTGTCCCTGCTAACAAGCTCCTAGTTCACGCCAAACAAGTCGCCTTGTTCCTGGTCGTTTCCCTTTATTTATACACACGTAGAGCGGTCGCCGTAAAACTGCGATTGTCTGCGAATTGTTTCGGCGTATCTGATTGCTGCGGCTTGATTGCAGTCGCAATTGCCCATTAAGCTTCGCTATCGAAAATGACTGGCTACTACAGCGAGGAAAAGGTGCACAGACATTCTGAGCGCCAGCATGGTCGGCGGTTCCGCAAGATGGGATTGGTCTACTTCGCCATGCCATTGATCACAACGCTCATGTGGACCATTGGTCTGATTGTGTTGCTTTGTCTGTGGAGAGTCCAAGACCGCTGGCACACCCCAGGGGAGCCAGACCCTGTGTACATTAGCGACATGGGTGCATACACCAAGGGGTTTTTCGTCCCGATGTGCGCCGTTACCGGCGGGTTCTTTCTGATTACGATGTTTGTGATTCGTTTCGCACGACATCGTCGTCTCTTGTACCCCGACCGCTACATTGCAGAGCCCGTGCTGGGGTACACCAGCATCTTTTTCGCGGCTTGTGCCTGTTCGTGCCTGATCGGCCTGGCCGTTCGTGATGACGTCCATCACGACGACCAGCATTGGAAGTTCACAGTGGCCTTCATTGTGACGATGTTTGTGTCGGCCGCTGCCAATGTCATGGAGTGGTTCATCATGCTGCACTTTTTCTCCTACAGCCGCTACATCTGCTGGACGACCTGGACCAAGCTGGTGGTTCTCGTGCTCGGCATCATCTGCGCCATTTGCTTTGGCGGTCTCAAGAGCCGCCATCGCTCGCGGGCTGCTCGGTTCGAATGGACGACGGCGTTCTTTTTGTCGCTTTTCTACGCATGTCTGTGTGCTGATCTGTCGCCCACATGTAAGCCCGGTCGCTTTCCCAACTACAAATTGCAGTCTGCCTACAAGCAGCGGAATTCTGTGGCCACCGACATTCTCCCGCAGCATGACATGCCGCCCCCAGCCGGCGATGTCGAGGCTGGTTACGGCGAGAATCTTGCCCGACCTGCCCCTCCGTTTGCCAGCAATGAGCAAGAGGAGTCGAACGCAACCAGCTCCGGCCAGACTTCCTTTATTTCGCTGCCTCCAGCCGCAGTTGCTCCTCAGGGCCGTGTGTCTGGGGATGCGGCTTTCCCTGCCGCTCCCAGAGCCCCTGCTGCTGCTGCTGCCGCCGCTTCAGCGGCCGTTGCGACCGAGATGCCCGCCGAACCCAGAGCTGTGCAGGTCGCAGCATAGAAAAAATGGTAGACACACGCGCGCCGGATGTGTTCGGCAGGTGTGTCATGTAACGGATTACACACACCGGCATTGATTACGCCCAAGCAACATACACTTACACCGAGTTTGTTGTGTCTGGTCCGTTCCAAGCCCTCTCTCTTGTCTTGCTATATAAGTGACAGGCACGTTTGTCCCCTCCCTTCTAAGGCTGCGTCCACTTTCTTGCAAGCAGTCCCTACATTTTGATTACTCTTAGTGGCGATTCCTTTCACACTTGTTTCCTTTTCCCTTCCCCCTCTTCCCTAGCCTTCTCTACCTTCAAAACCGACTTTCCTTCATCGATGCTTGTTGTGAAAAAAAGGCGACGGCATTCGTCCGCGCAATTATTCTTGCAAAAAAAACTGCCTCTAGAGCAGCGCATCTTCCGTGCAGGACTACTCATTGTATATTCAAGTGTCTTTTAATATTGGTCCTGCAATGTCTTCTTCTTTTTTCTTTATACAATTTTTCTACATTTTTTTTTCATGCGTGTATTTATGAACGCACTTTTATAAAGTTCAATACAATTGTTATAACTAGTGAAAGCGGTAAATGAACTGGGCTGAGCTGAGCTGTCAATGAGGACGGCTTGCAGCTGGTTTGCGTTCTGTCTTGTTTTTTTTTTTTTCAATGTTGTTTTGTTTCTTCCACCTCCTCCTCACGCGTAGCGCGTTTTCATTTAACCTTAATTCCCTTCCTCCACCACATACCCACCAGCAGCTCTGTTAATACTCGCCGAGTCCCACCCACCCTTCACCATCACATGCCACCCAGTGCTGAAAAGACAAAGTATGTGAAATTCTGCGCCGATTGTTACTAACAGAACGCAGCTTCGAACTCGTTCGAAGTATAGAACCCATCTATGCTGGCGGACCAGTCGCGTTCGCGTCCAACGCGCGACTTTTAGCAACGAGTCTGAATGAACGTGTCATCGTGTCTCACGTCGACACAGGAGAACGGCTCTGCGTTATTGAGAAGGACGAGGACGACTACACGACTGCTCTCGCCCTTACTAGCGACGGTTCACGACTAGTGGTCGCCTCGAGGTCTCGTCTCGTCAGCATTTATGATGTCGCTACTTCACGCCGTCTTCGCTCCATTAAGGCTCACGAGGCACCGGTTATTGTGATGAAAATTGATCCTACAGACACTCTTTTGGCCACTGGTGGTGCAGAAGGTCTTGTTAAGGTGTGGGATCTGGCAGGCGGTTTTGCTACTCATTCTCTCCGTGGCCATGGCGGTGTGGTCAGTGCTCTGGCATTCGGCAAGGTTGAGGATGCATGGATCCTTGCTTCTGGAGCAGATGACACGCGTATTCGGATCTGGGACCTTGCAACTAGTCGGTCGACGGCTTCGTTCGAGGGACACTCAAGTACTGTTCGGGGACTCGTGTTCACCGACAATGGAAAATTCCTTGTGAGTGGTTCTCGAGACAAAACAATCCTCGTCTGGAACGTTCAGACTCGGAAGCTGGCTCGAACGATTCCTGCGCTGTACAGCATTGAAGCCATCGGTTGGATGGAAGGGGTCTCGACGGAGGATTCCTCTAAAAAACTGCTCTACGCTGCAGGCGAAAACAACATCATCGGTGTGTGGGATGTCTACGACGGTAAGCGTGTAGACAACGCGTCCGCCTCCATCCTCGATGAGTCTGTGAGCATTATCGATCTGTTGGATATGGGCGACGGTACTGCCTTGTCTGTTCATTCTGACCATGGGCTTCTTGTGCGTCGGTATGTCGAGGACAGCGAAACTGTGGCTGTCGAGAGAAAGCTTCACGGCTCGTTCGATGAAGTGATCGATTGTACATGGCTCGACGGCGGGAATCTGGCCGTTGCAACGAATACCGAAACCGTTGATGTCATTTCTGAAGATGGCACCCGCGTCGTCGCCATGCTTCAAGGACACGAAGACATAATTCTGGCGTTGGATGCAAGCCAAGACGGTCACTGGTTAGTCACTGGTGCAAAGGATAACACAGCTCGTCTTTGGCGTATTGATGCTGCTGCTGGCTCGTACGAGTGCGTTCGAGTGTTCACCGGCCACACTGCTACCGTGACTGCAGTAGGTTTGGGACCTCTGAACGATGAAGGTATTCCAAAGTTCGTTGTTTCTGCGTCACAAGACCGTACGCTTAAGTTGTATGACTTGGAAAAAATGGATAGCAGTAACAGCACAAGAGCCTTGTGGACGTCCAAGGCTCATGACCGTGATATCAACGCTGTCAGTGTCTCTCCTGATGGCAAAATAATTGCTACAGCTAGTCAAGACAAAACGATCAAGCTCTGGGATGCCGCCCTGGGTGACGTTTTGGGTCTGCTTCGTGGGCATCGTCGTGGTGTTTGGAGCTGCTGTTTCAGTCGGTATGGCAAGCTTTTGGCTAGTGGAAGCGGTGACAATACGCTCCGCGTTTGGAACTACGAGGAACAGCGTTGTGTACGCACGTTTGAAGGACACACGGCTGCCATTCTTAAAATCGCCTTCATTAGCGAAGGCACCCAGTTGGCCACGGCCGGTGCTGATGGTCTTGTAAAAATTTGGTCCATAAAATCTGGTGAATGTGTTACTACATTGGACAACCATGAAGACCGCGTGTGGGCATTGACTGCCAGAGATGAAGGATCACTCATTGTCTCAGGTGGTGCTGATGCCGTCCTGAACGTTTGGCGCGATTTCACAGAACAGCACGCTGCGAAGCTGGCTGCTGAGTATGAACGCCAAGTGGAGGAGGAGCAGACACTTTCTAACTACATTCTCACGGAGGATTGGAAAAACGCAATTGCTCTTGCTTTGTCTCTTGACCGTCCTCTTGGTCTGTTACGACTGTTCGAGCGGGTCATCTCTGGCCGCCAAGAGGCAAATAGCTACCTGGGAATCCGCGAGGTCGATGAAGTGTTGTCGCATTTGGATGACTCTCAGTTGACAACACTTTTACTTCGGATTCGTGATTGGAATACAAATGCAAAGACGAGTCTTGTTGCGCAACGCCTCTTGCACATCATCTTACATGCATATGAACCTGCTCACATCCTTCGTATTCCCAACATTAAATCTATTCTGGACGCGATGGTCCCTTACACTCAACGGCATCTGAATCGGGTTGAGGACCTTGTGGAGGACTCCTACATCGTGGACTACGTTCTTTAAAATGCGAAAAGTTGATAGACGCATCATTTTTGTGGATTACGGTTATGTTTTTTTTTCAAGGTTTTGAGGACGTAAGTCAATTAGAGACTCTGTCATGTTTCAAAAAGCAAACACTCGGTTTGCACAACAAGTTAATAGCTTCGCGTTTACTGATAAAGGAATCGGATCTTTATGCAAAGCTGCATATTATTTTCAATGGTCTTTTGGTTATTAATACTGTTTTGTTTTTTTCTATGCAATTGAGAGGGAGAGTACATACGTGAATCATTATACGTTACAGTCATTGTAGAGGTGAGAAGGAGGAGGGGGCTGTTTGCAATGTGTTCAATTGATACACACTTTGTGCCTCGACAGAACACTTGCTTGAGTTCATAAGCTGAGTTCACCGGGCATCATCAAACTTTAAATCCAATTTGGTTGTTGTATTTCCTTCTAGCTTGTGCGACAAACCCGGTAATTATATCTGTTGCAGCTGCTTGGCCTGCCATTTTACTCATAAACCTATATAGTGGATTCTGAAACTCATAAGCGACACTTAGTTCAACACGTGAACGGTTATTGCTAGATTCGTGTATCTGCCATTGTGTTTTTAAATACGAGAACAACTTGTGATGGGACGCATCTGCTAAAACTGTCAACTTTTCTGGGTTACACTGCACCTTGCTATCAAACGTTTCCGAAAACCCCCGAAATCCAATTGTTAAATCGGCTGTGGTTGGCAAGTTTGTTTTCTCGTCTCGAGTGGTAACTTTTGAATCCTGACAGAAGGGAACGAACTCCTTGTAAGTGTCTATATCGCTTACGACGCTGAACAAAAACTTCGGTGGAAACGACATCAATCTCGACGTCGTAAACGTCTGAAAAAGGAGCGGGGTACACCGAAAGGACATGAATACTCGTTTAGCTCTCTTTATTCTGTTATTTCGTTGGTGGAATGCGTTGTGGGTCCAAACGTTTTTTCAGCCAGACGAGTTTTACCAAGCTTTAGAAATTGCTCATAACTTTGTTTATGGAACTGGTTTTGTGTCTTGGGAATGGCGTGAAGGAATCCGTTCGGCTGCTCATCCTTTACTGTTTGCACTCGTTTATAAATGTCTGAATCTGTTGCACCTGGATACAGTAAACAGTATTTTTGTTGCTGCTCCGAAGCTCGTTCAAGGCACCTTTGCTGCTATAACAGATGTAGCAACTTTTGAGTTTGCCAAGGTTCGCTTTGGAAGAAGAGCAGCCGTGTGGGCATTGGTCTGCAGCTTGCTCTCCTTTTTCAATGCTTATGTGTCAGTACGGACATTCTCAAGCTCTTTGGAGACAACATTGACGGTGCTCATGTTTTGGCAATGGGAACTCTGGCAGAAAGCGATGAAAAGTCGAAGCACTGAGAACGTCAAGATACGACACCTACTTTTGTTTTCTCTTTTCTTTTTGCTGGGTTTTATTATTCGACCTACAAATGCACTTTTTGCCATACCAATAGGTTTAGAATGGTTGTACCGTCTGAAGAAGTTTTCATTCCGAACCTTTTTTCCCTCAACATTATCTATTGTCGCCTGTTTGGTGCTGGTAACTGGACTGTTTCTTTTGAACGTGTACTTGGATACTTGGTTCTATAGCCGTAACATTGTTCCGTTAATATCGTTTCTCAAATTCAATGTGGCTTCAGGGAAATCGGCGATATATGGCATTAATACATGGCATTATTATTTAACACAGGGTCTTCCTCTTATCTGCGGTTTTATGTTGCCATTCGTATTGCTTGGAATGACCGGCAGGGATTATGTCAGAGTTTTAAGCATTCTCGCTCCCTTTTCTTTGCTGGCACACAAGGAAGTGCGCTTTGTGTACCCACTGTCACCAATTCTGCTAAGTGCTGCTGGCTATTGTATCTCCCGTTGCATTAGTCGTATCCGTCGTCAAAAGATTGCGCTTGTAATCTTTTTGTTACACTCCTTCATAGCTTTCTTTTTGTGCCGTGTACACCAAGCTGGCGTTATTGAAGTTATGCCTACATTGAAACAGCTGGCAGATGCGAATACTACGGGTGTATTATTAATGCCGTGTCATTCAACTCCATGGCAATCTCATTTACATTCCACTTTAGCCGAAACTAACTGGAGGTTTTTAACGTGCGAGCCTTCCGAATATCCTTCGGGTGAAGACATTCGTTTTTATGAAGACATGAGCGCCTACCTAGATGCATGGGAAAACTGGCCGGATTATTTAGTCATCTTTGAAGAGCGACGTCCAGCTTTAGAAGCATACTTTGCCGCTCATAATCTTGCATATACTCAGCGTGCGAGATTTTTTAACAGTTATATTCATGACGATTCTCGTAGAACAGGAGACGTTACAGTTCTTCGGGCTTTACGAAATAATGTGAACTCGGTCAACAACTGAGTGAACACACATAGGCATCATATTCCTCTTTTAGGTTTGAAAAAAAGAAAAGGAAAAAAGCAGTAGAGTTGTTATCGCTCACTCTCTACTGCTTTTTTGTTTTAATAATTTACGTATTAGCTAAAAGCATCATTTTATCATTCATCATATTACAGTAAACGGAATCAATGACTTGTTACGAACAGTATTTTCCCACATTATATGAAAGCTGCAGCTCTTACTGACTAGTCTGTTTGTATTCATTTTATACAAAATACCCATGGTGATTCGGTTTCTACATGGTGTATATAGGATTAAATACAGTACTCTTTTATGGAAAACGGAATATACTCATCAGCTTGAAGAATGCTGTGGGCAAATTGCTATCTGCAAATGACATACATATAGAATTCTCCTGTTTTTTCTAGAGTCTTTCAATTATACAGCAACCAAGCCAACAAAAATTGTTACCACAGGCGTTGGTCATTCGGTTCAAAATATACATCCTTAGACTAAAAATCACTGAAAAAAAAACAGAACAACCTAAATGAGCTACTTATTACCCCATTTACACAGTGGTTGGTATGTTTTATACTGTTTTTGCTAGATTCAAATGTCTTTGTGGAAAAATATGCTGACTAGTTAGGCACGTTGATCAAGCTATACTGTCGGGTAAGCTTTAATTCTCTTTCACAATTTTCAGCTGCATTTAGTCGTGTAAACATAACTGACATTGATTTAGAACAGGAAAGACTGGTTGTTATTCGATTTGGACGTGATCATGTACGGACGTTCTGATTTTCTGATTGCTAGATGCTAATCATTTTAAGGATGAGGAATGTATGAAACAAGACGAGGTTTTGTATAAAGTCGCTGAAAAGGTGTCTAATTTTGCTGTCATTTATTTGGTTGACATTGATGAAGTACCCGATTTTAATAAGGTATAGGGCATTTGGTATTGACAAACAAATTAATCTAACGTAATTAGATGTATGAACTTTATGACCGCACAACAATCATGTTTTTCTATCGCAATAAGCACATGATGGTTGACCTGGGTACTGGTAACAATAACAAAATTAATTGGGCTCTGGAAGATAAGCAGGAGCTTATCGATATCATAGAGACAGTCTACAGGGGTGCCCGTAAAGGAAAAGGTCTTGTTATTTCTCCTAAGGATTACTCGACTCGACACCGTTACTAGATACACAATCAAGCCCGAAATATACCTACTATACCTGACTTGTGCGCTCGAGCGATTACAACTGTACATACAACACATTAACGTCTTAAAGCTTTTTTGCGTCCTCATCAAATGCTTTATGAGCTCTACAATGTATTGATATTTAAAAATGGGTATTTAAGGAAATAATAAATAATAATAAAGGTTAGTAAATCCAATCAAGAGTGAAATTGTAATAAAAGACGTAAACGAAAATGAAACAATTCGCCGGAGTATGTTTATAATAATTTATATCTTCTTAACCTGCGGTTGCCTTCCATCCAAAAGTCCATTCAGTATAGCGTCGAGCGTGACGAAGACTATATGGGTATTGAGTGTTTGATTCTGGATTACGCGAAAGATCTTTTTTGCCGCGACATCCGGTGTATACCCTGGAAACATTGACGCAAGCATAAAACTGGCTTCGGCCTTAAGCTGAAATTTATCCGCGTAAGATGCGTTCCCTTCACCTTCGCCATCAGAATTATTGGTTTTACTCAAACCCGACGGGGAGCAAATCTTCTTTCGAACTTTCTGAAGCCATTCCAAAAGACGTTCTGGACGTATCGATTGATAAATCCTTTCTCGAACCTTTTTTTCAAGAGTGCCCCCAAATAACTGTTCCAACATAAGCATACAAGTTTTCATTGGCATCCACTGCGTTTTCGTGGGATCGTTCAGACCAAAAAGTTCCACGAAAAACTCACAAATGTACCGAGCAAATGGAGAACTGGATTCCTCGGATGCCGCTGATGACGCACTGGACATATCAAAGCCCAAAACCTCGAACATCGCTTTCCACCGTATTTTAATGTCCTTAGTATCGTGCAGCTTCGGAACTGTAAGATTCTGCTGTGATAGAAACACACGAAATGTCTTTCCATCACAAACCTCAGCAATTTCAAGGATGCTTCGCAAATATTGTTCCAAAGCCTTCCGACGAAATTCAAGAGTTTGCGTAGATAGAGGGGAGGAAATGATAGTTTTTTGGGGAAATTTCAACAAGCCGACCTGCGGACACTCCCTTTTCAGTTGCTTATGCAGCTCATTAAATTCACGATAACGTCGAGCAACAACCCAGCCTGATGACACATCGCCATTCTCTATTCGTTCAACTCGCATGACATATACCGCAAACTCGTTCCCATCGTCATCTCTTGATTGCTTGTAGTTGTCGATAGTAATACGAGTGCGGTTATATAATTTGCTATCTTCTTCTTGCGAGAGATATTGAGCCCGTTGACGTTCCTTTCTGTGGATAATTTGCTCTAACGATCGATAACCCTTGGAAAGTATTTCTTGTTGCTTCACGTCAGCCGTTATTTCGGCCTTGTTTAGAAGTGTCTTTAGTACACGGAATTGTTCTCGTAATTCCTGTAAATCTGTGTCCAGGGCTTCAATAGATTCTGAGATTTGTAAATCACCAGGAGGTGCATACATGACTTCCTCTTCATCTGAGAAAGGTGCCTCATCATCGTCCTCAGGACCAATGTTGGTTGGTTGCTTATTTAGTAAGCTTTGAACGCTGACACTTTGGGAGGGCCAGGACTGCAGGGACTTTGAGCTACTCGAAACGCTGTGTATCGAAGTTTGGTGAGAACACAACTGAATTGGAGTCACAGGATTAGGATGAAACGAAGACTTATGTTCCGAAACAACATCTTGTGCAAGAAAGCGATAATAAATTTCACTGTTCTTAAATTCATTGAAGTAATCTCGCTCCATCGTTATATAAACGGCATTCTGAATCATCAACATAGCATTTCTCGCTTCAACCCATTTATCATTAGGCAAATTATTAACAGGACAATTTATAAATAGTCGAATAGGTTCAGAAAGTGCTTTTGGAATATTAAGATGACCCAGTTTTTCATCAGTAAAGTATTTTTCGTATATAGTAGCAAAATCATCGTGGTCAGACGCGATGTCTGAAAATGGTGCCAGCACATACGCATTCAATGGATCATCCTGCGATGTTTTTAGTCCTTCTATCACAAGCCAAAAATGAACAAGCTGGGACTGATTTTTGCTTTCCATAAATTCAATGAAACACGATACGCCTGCTGGATCATTTAGAACATTCATTAAAGAATGTATTTGTTCAGATAAAGTGGATATCTTCTGTTGAATGGGAGCACCAGAAAGTGTCGTAATACGCTTCTCAACGGCGCGAACAGCGAGCTTAAGCCGCTCACAGTATTGAGTAAGTTCAGAACTAAAGGGGATACTTTGGTCAAGTTGCTTCATTTGTACCAGCAGTTCCGTACGTAATCTTCGAGCATCAGAAATGTTAGATATGCGCTTAATCTCCCGGATGTACTGATCAAAGGCGTGTTGAGTGTCTTTTAAGCCAAGTTTATGCTGTCCAACTTGAGAATGCGTGGACATTTTCCGAATAGCATGTTTCAGTCGCCGAATTTTGCGACGTCTTTGCAAAATAGTACCGCTAGCACGTATAATTAACAGATTAAAAAAGTCGGGATTAGAAAAGTGAGCTACAAGCGGTAGCATAATTTTGCCTACTATTAGTTCAATAGCAAATGTGAGTGCCAATGGGCTTAGATTTGAGTACTCTGGAAGAAGTATAGATAACATAGAATTTATCCATTGACGGAGATATTTCTTTTGGGCAACAATCGGATTACCCGATAATGAGACTGCTTGATGAAGACGACCATGGTTGTATCTAGCTGCAACTTTACGAGAAAGCTCCAGGGGATCAGTAAACGAGACTGCTTTCCGGCCAACAACGAGTTCCTCTGCCTCGACGTACAGTCGTAAATGATCCGTTAACAAAGGCAACCAATGCCGGACCAGCAAGTCAGCTGGGTCCACCGTACTCAGTCGATTTATGACATTTGAAAGCAAGTCTCTAATCATCTCCTCCACTATATTAGAAATAGCCTTTTCGGGCATCAGTTGCATGGACCAAGAGGAAACGAATTTTTGAATAAGCATTGCTAAAATAAGATCCATTTCGTCTGAAGCCTCGGGAGACATTTCGAATAGCGGAGACCGGATTAGGGTATTCAGTTGTTTGAGCTCAGTACCCTCTCTTTTAAAGACATCGCTTCTAGTACACAGTGGAGGCATTGTTCGAATAGTATGGTCGATAGAGTTCGGGAAAAAGCAAAAATATTGCCAAACAAGCCATGCTGCGAGCCATGCACATACTACTTTACTTAAAAAGGGTGTAGCAATCCAAAAATATACAAAACCAAGGCTTAAACCGAGGTAAAGAAGCAGTTTTCGATGCATCTCCTATAAAAGAAATGTGACAGACCTCATCAATGGGGAAACAAGTGTAATTCTCGTATTAAGAAGGATAATGGCCGATATGAACGAAAGCAAGGATGAACTGACAATCAAAATAAATTCCACAATAGCACACCTTCGGGAAGCAGGGGGAATCACAAGTTTAAGAGAAGTGTTTCCCTGTTATGTGTTTAATTCAAATGTTCTTTTAGGAAAAACCCATGCATACCTGGATGGTTGAGTCCAGGTGGATAATTCACGCGGATACCAAGTACAACATAAACGTAGCTGTTACAGCTAAGAAACACTACAAATTTCATACATGCAAAATGTTAAAAGAGCACTCAGATGCTAGCATTTGGGTAAAAAAGGCCAGTTACACGCCCCTACGGTTGAACAATGAGGAGAGAAAAACTCTTGAGATTTTGGAAGCAGCGTATGTCGAAAAATCATTAATGTCGAACAGAATTAACGCTAAATATAGTCTAAATGTGATTGAATATACGGACCATGTTGATATTCTAACATACTCATCTCGGTCGCGAATTATTGTAAAACATTTATCCGAAATGTGCAGCATTCTCAGTGGTCTCGTCGTTGCGATGGATATTAAGCTTGGCTGCAAACTTTTCGATGATAAAGATCATTTTGCAAATGCGGATTTTTTTAAACGGGTGTTTGAAATTGGCAGACGCTATAAAATCATGAATCCTGGGAAAATGCGAACAACTTACGGCGCCATGATGTACATGTGCCAAGACTCAATGCTCCCTGAAGTTCGCTCTCAGATGAAATTTGACTTTTACGCTCCAATACGAACTGTTTACACAGCATTGAAGGAAATCGAATGTCTTGAGTTGCTAGATGATACTCAATTACCACAAGCATTGACACAAATTCCAACCGATATAAAGAAAGAACATCGTTTAGAGCTATTGGGACAGAGAAATCAGGCAGTGAAAGAGCTGATAGCTAAATTTGATAATAACGACAAAGATCGTGCAGCTACCATTGAACGTTGCCTGGCCTCTCTGGCTGACCATGAAGCTTTTCTTGTCGCAAATAGAAATCCAGTCGAACAGATGCGAGACTATTTGCACCAGTTTTTTTCCCCTGAAGATTCCTCAAAAACTGGTAGTCTAAAAATTGGTTTCATGAGCGGTGCTCGATTAAATCATAGTCACAAGACACAATTTTATTATGTGGACCAAAGCTTGCTGTTTTGGACGCGGATGATGGATCAAACGTTTGACCTTTGGCTTCAAAGTGATGCCGATCTACTCAATAATAATGGACGTTATCACATCTCCGACACTGGACAAGGTTTGAACCGGGTTCAGCAATGTCCTCACATTCAGCGGTTAATCCACTCGATTTTAAGTGCGTCCCAAAATGAGTCCTCTGTGAGCTGGATAGGCAGCTCGGTTGTTCATCTGGGAGATAGAGCTGTCCCCAACGCATTGATGTTTATTGACAAGTACAGACAAGTTCCCCATATCCTCACACCTTTGGTTCAGGTAATGAAACAATTGGAAAGCCTAAAGGATCCATTCCTGGTTCAGTATATTGATGACGAATATGGTGGTGTTCATGGTCTGCAGAAAACACTTTTATTGGATTTCTTTAAACATGGTTTTGATGGTCGTGGAGCCGATAACTACTACGACGCGGGTAGCTGTATTGATGGTCGTCTTACAAGTGCATGGAACTGGACGAATGAAATCTCCAAGAAAAAGTATTACAGAGTATTGCTTATGTCTGGCTTCTTAAATTTTGAGGGAATCTGAAGTGATTACACGGCCGAACACATTCATCCGTTAACTTCTTTTTCTACGCTGATATTAGAATTATGATTTAGATTTGGATCCTGAGAAAAAACGGTGCATAAATTTGCAATCGTATAGACAAAAAAGAAAAGTGGCGTATTTACTAAATAGTTTACTGAAAAGTTTAAACAGTTTTGTTGCTGCACGAGGTCGTACCGAGAAATCATGAGGGTAAGGTATTGTCTTGAATCGAATAGCATGGTACAGACTACTGCTGAATTTCTCTTTCCAACTTTGTTTACTTTTACATTAAAAGATACTTTGTTGAAAGCTATTAGTGCAGCCGTTCGAAAATGATAGATATTTTTAAGTTTTGAAGATATTTGTGTACGGAATTCGGCTTGTCATTTACAAATAAAAAGAAGTAACTTAATGGCTAGTGGACCTAAAAAATATACATTAGCACATAACTGAATCAACCAAAATTCACTCGTAATTAAAAAGTTTTTAACATAGAAAATATGACAAATGAAAAGTATTAAAACAATTGATAACAGTTGAATTGTCTGGCTTGGCAAGAGCGGTGGCATTAGCAGACGAACGACTCAGAATTGTTATTGTTAGTAGTTGACAATTCGTCATTTTCATCAACATAACAACGTTAAGATCGTCAATTGTTGATCCATTCATATTATTTCACTGATCAAAATTATACAAGAAGCACTGGGGCTTGGGATTCGGAAGAGGCACATGAATAACTATCTATTTAATGACAGGAATAATGTCTTTTAAGAAAATATGAACAGATGTTGGTTTAACAAGTGAATTATGAAACGAAGAAACGGAAAGTTAAGTAGCTTGAAATTACAGACTTGTTGAACTAACTAAAAAATTACACTTTGCAGTCAAGCATTTCGTATGTGAGGGAACAGCCATTTTGCAATGAACCGCCAACAATGAGCTTCGTAACCCTACAAACGAATATGGATTGGATACTTTGTTTGTTGTCCGTGGTATTAAGGTCACAATAGAGTAAATACTACTGTTGCCAGTATATGACTTCTAGGACTTATTCTGTGCATAAAGATGATTATTGTGTTTTACGTGTTGCGCGTTTTAATATATTATGCAACTTGAATTGCATCTTCATAGTGGTGACAAAGATTGGTGTTAGTGCGTTTGTGTCACAATAGATCTTTACAAACTCACCACCAAGAGTTGCAGACCTTATCCTTGACAAAGTTTATCTAAACGAAGAATGTTTATATTATGTATCGTAAAAACGGTTATGGTAGTTTAAGGAAACACAATTAGACGGTCAATCGTCTTCTGAAAGTTGACTCGGAACTGAAATACAGTTGATTTAGTACTACAATTGAATTTTATATAGAAACTATTACTTTTATAAATTAGACTAAATTTCTGCACAACTGTCTCGGTAATAAAGAAACTTATCACTACTGAAAGGGAGAGTCTTGACTATATCAATAATGTTTGGGAACACCCTTGACATCATACATTTCATTCAGAAAAGCTCAAGTACATTATGAAGCATATTGAAGTACATATAGATAGTATTTCGACTTGAATTAATAATTAGCAATATAACATTGAAAGAGCCATCCCACAGGAGAAATTGAAAAAATGTGTCATAATTGCTAGTTCCTAAAGGATCACAGAAAAAGAAATACGGGCAAAGCATAAACTAAGCTTTACATGATATGCATGATACTATCCCAAGATGGTCATAGATAGTGTCAAGTACTAAAAAACATTCGTCTTGCTTTTCTTATAAAGCACACTTTTGGATGTAACTTGGCTCCAGCAAATGATTTTGCTAAATGATCAGGAAAGTTGTGCAATGGAACAGTAATCGTTGAAGCCTTCTATTTAGGCATGCCCCTTTGATGCTTAGGTAGTCAGTGAGTGTGATGAACTGCTACTTCCTATTTACTGCTTACTAATGGAAACGTCAAGACTAGTATCTCCCTTAAATACCCAAAACTCTAGAGAAATTATCAGAGACTTAAAACTTCTTTGCATAAAGACCTCTCAATTGCTAACGCTTACACCGCTTCTCTTATCAATTTAAATATTTTCTTTTGCTAGCAATCAAAAGAATTATCTCAAGTCTTTGATGCAAACTTTTCTTTCTGTGTCTTCGAACTTTCTTTCATGTCGTCTTAAACCAACAGCAATTGTAATATGTATATCGCTAATTAGACTTCCTTAGTTCTTAAGTGAGCGCTGTTTTACTGTAGAATACAAGAATTCAAAAACTGTGCAATTGATGATTTCTAGATTTATGGAGTTCCGTATTATATATTAATGTCATTAATGTTCGTTAGATCCTCTCAATGCGTTAGCGCAATCTTTACAATGTTAATTATTTATAACAATTGAAAGGGTTATTACGTTCACATTAAGCTCGAGGGTATAATTGTTTTCATATTGATAATTTCAAGAGATTAGCAATGTATTCTGTAAACGTTAAGCTCTGAAGTAAAAGTCAATGTGTCAAGATAATAAGCTCCTCAAAGTTTTGTCAATCGGACTGGAACGCAATATGTGTATGAATAACAATACTGAACTGTTTACGGAATCATCAACACGACCAAACCAAATACAGTAAATCAATGTCTCGAATGTTCTCACTTGGTGGTTTCTTCCTTATAATGTTATTAGTCTTTAGGAGGAATATATTTTCTACATGCATGTCTCAGTTGTATTAATCTTAATTTATCCATTGATACGAAGATATCACAAAATTATATTTTTGCAAGACACCGGTTGGGAGTGATGGAACATTAAATCATTTACTTGTACCAAGCTTTGTAGGATTTTGTTTGCCAACCGACTACTTATTTTTGTCAAACATAAAATGTAATAAATGTAGCACGTTCATCATCGTTTATAGTTGAGATGCGTAATTCAAGGATAGTTCTCATGATCACATATTGCATTTTAACTAGGTTTATTTGCGAATTCGATTAAAGGCATACAGAAATAGGATATATGTTACACCCACTTGTATCAGTAAATGGGATAGTTTGAAACTTAAAGACTAATTGTTATGACTCCAATGCAGGTAATGACAGTGACAACTATAACGGGATGCTACTTTCGTTCTTATATGGGCATGCATATTCTCTTATTCTTTGTACTTTCCCTCTTTTTACGAAACGACGATAGCTGACCCACTACTAGTAAGCTTAAGTTTTACTTTTAATCGCAACTAAACAAACTAAACCCGTGTCCATCAATATAGTATTTGTTATCATTTTTTACAACTTCCTGCATCGCATAAGAAAGAAACCACCAACAAGAAAACGGAAACATACAAGCTAGTCGTCTGTTTCCATCTATCATTCCGGCCAACGCAGTCTTTGTCACGAAATAAATGAACGAATGCTAAGACCCATCTGCCATCAACCACTCACTTAATTGAAACCAGATTTGAAAGAGTTAAATAACTGCAGAAGTCTTGTTCAAGAGAATAGGCATAATTGACCGAATTCACAGTGTTTTTGCTTCCTTATCTTAAACATTGCAAATTATGTCATTCGACTTGGAAAACGAGGACACGCGTCTCTCATCCGAAACCGTTTCAATTTTGGGTACCGTAAATTCAAGTTCAGGATCATACGTCGAGTACGAAGTACATTATAAGGTATGCAAATCAATGAGCTTTCAATAGGAATCGTTTAAAAGGATATATTGAAATGTTGTCCCTTTTGCAGTTTTGCAAGTACGACGTAAAGAATATGCATATTAACGACAAAGGGACATTCTGTATGGAGAAGATATTCCGATTTTGTTTCTGTCCGAACGATTCTTTGCCGTATCTATCCTGTTTTAATCGTTCCGCCGATTCCGGAGAAACAGTCATTGTGTACGAGACATGAATTATGATTACTAGTACTAATGATTACGTGTAGTAAGCTACGCTAAGAAGCCTGTTACTGCAAAACGTGATACCAAGCTGTTACGACGTCGTTCAGTCTTACTGCAGTTATTCTTAGGGCAATGTTTAAAGCACCCCATACTATCGGCAGACGTTCTTTTTCAAAGCTTTCTGTCGCAGAATATCCCTTGGCATGCTATCCTCTCGGCCGAGAGTGCATCTTTGCAACACCCGCAAAAAGAAGCATTAAGGGTACCACCGTTGAAAACAGTGGACTCGGATCCCTATGCAGACATTCGTCCTATGATGCCACTGATTATGAGTGGTACTAGTGAGTATGTTCAGTCTGACTCAGTTTCTTCAATCACCAATGAAACAGGTAGTTCGTCTACCTCTTCACCCATGCCAAAATCCGGCTCAAATCCCTTAGATTCTGCTCCAGATTCTAAATCTTCAGATGGAATTGACTGTTCTGACCTAAAACAAACGGCAAGAGAGATCAAAACCCTGAAAAACTTGCTGCGAAATGATTTTGAGAAGGCTATTCAAAAGTTCTTGTCCAGCTTGAACAAACTTGAGAATTGCCTTTCTAAAACAGGCACACTCTTCCATTCAATGACATCCGTGCAAGAGATTCCATCTTCACATTTATATCATATCGTCGCAAATACGTTCGAAAGCAGTGGCTTGTTCACCACAAACTTGAATGAAGAACTGAGCATCTCGTTATATGAATACGTTGTGCAATCTGCGCAGCTCGCTGCATCCGCTGCAAATGTGTTTAAATACCGTGAACTGAAACTCAGGCAACGGGCGTTAATTCATGACTTATTAGTGCAAGAAGTGAATATCACTGAAGGCTCCGGCACCACCAACGTTCAAAGAAACAATGCCCATCGCCCGACGGCGTATCCACAACGTAGAAGTTCGTTATTTGGACGTTTGCAACATGCTTTTCACGACATTTTAGACACGGATTCCTCATTGCTTGGAAAGGTTCCTACACGTTTCACTCGTGGTGAACTGGAGCGAATGCTAGAGGCTGTGAATGAAGACTGTAAAGTCATCGATGCACAATTGGAGGATGAACTTACTTTCTACGAAGGGTGCCAAAAAGAACAGTGGGAAAAGATTGCTTCTGCTGTACAAGAAGGCTTATATCAATGGGCCACTACGAACTTGACCTGCTGGCAACGTACTCAAAGAGAACTTGATGACCTAACAGCAGAATTAAACCACGAGACAGATATTAATGCTGATGAGCAAGATTAAATTACTTGCTGTTATGACGAAGCGTATTATTAATTCCTATTTTTTTTTCTCCGTTTGTGTGAAAAACTTTAACTTTAATGGCTGATTTTGATGACCTTTTCCCTTATGCTCCGTTTCTCTATACACGTTCGAGCACTCATACACACATATTTTCTTTTTTTTCAAATAAATTACGTACAAATCCATACACATTTTCATTAACACCTCCTCAAATAACCTTTCACTAAAATCCATTTTTCCGTAACAAAACCTTGATTAATTTATACAAAAAATCCGAGCAATTGGCTAGAAGTGAAATTTATGAAAGCCGATACAGAAAGACATTCTCAAGCAGAACAAATGCAAGCACTGTGGCAGCAGATCTAACACACTGGCAGCGATTTTTTGTGAATTTAAGGCAGTTCAGGAAAATCTATCTCGTCAAAGACACTTTTCATCACTCCATGTTTTCTGCACAAGCTGTAGAAAACAAGAGAGACGGAGAGAGGAAAAATAAAACAAAAAGAGAAAGAAAGGACAGGGGGGAAATGTTTGGGAGAATGTGTAAGAATAAGTGAGAGTGTGCGCTGTGCGTGTGCATAAGAGAAAGAAGAAAATTTGAGTTTTGAATCAGTACGGGTAGCAGTGTTACGGAGCAAGATGACAAAAAAGTCTAATAGCAACTGTTCGTAAGAGATTTACGCTAACAGAGGCGTAAATGTAGCCCACGTACCAACACAGGGAACAACAAGAATGTTGACACCTCTATGATGAAACCATTCTAGGTGTCGGCTCACAAAGTCGTCAAGCCGTTTTTGAGACTATTAACAGTGATCCTTTACGAAAAAGCACGCTTCAAAAGGCACCAAGCACCAGCAGCACCAGCGATCATGGCACTACTTATACCCATAGCACGAACACCACGAGTGGACTTGAAAACAGCTCCTGTAATGGCACCAGCAGCAACGCTGTTGGTCCAATCATGTTTTCCACGCTTATAACCGATGAACGAGTTGATGCTGTTGTACATCATGGCCAGAATACCGGCTGAATTTCCAACAAAAGGACCACGACGAGTCACACTGTTGAGAATACCGTTCACACGCAATTTTTTCACCTGAAGATTCTCTGTCTTTTTTAATCCCTCCTTAAGTCCCCAAAGACCACCGACTGCCAAACCTCCAAGGTACATGGTACCGGTACCATAACATAAGTCATCCTGCCAACCACGGGAAGGAATTGCATGGGAATCACCAGGGAGATTGCTCAATGTGTCTTCCTCTATGTTTAAATAATCAAGCGAACCTCCCAAATTTGCCAGTGGATGCAGAACGGCCGGATCAAACTCTGTTCCAGACAAAAGCTCAGAGGCTGTCGCCTCATGCTCCCCATCCGGTTTTTGTTTCTCCTCTGATTTTCTCGTGAACAGCCAAGACATTCTCCAGACGACCGACTACTTCCCAAACGTCGTGTTTTTGGCAGAACACGGTGGTCAGAAAAGCGTGGTGGTGATAGCGATAAAATATGCGATGGAGGAGCCACGGGTCGACAACGATAACTAATACTCAGCTCACAGAAACATCAGCGATAATGGATAAGACTACAACGACCAGGACGTGCAGACGAATGATCGTTTCTTTTTGTTTTTCTTAGGTGTAATTTACAGTGAGAACGGTCACGTGAAATCTTAATGCTGATAGAGTTTTAATGCGACACCACTCGAAAGCCAGAAATGACACGGGAACAGACAGCTACTACCTACAGAAACAACTGTTTGGATACCAAAAAAGGGCTTTTATAAAGGTTATATGATACAAATTGACAGAGATGAGAAATACAGGTACGAAGGTAAAGTTACAGAAAAGAAAGAAGACGTCAAGTCTACTTAAGGAAGTACATGCGGAAAGCAATATAGGCGACAACCATTGCTCCGACGATTACCCACATGAAGGGGTTTCTACAACACGTTAGTTTCAATGAATAACACAGATAAAACCGAGCCCCGGTAGGCGTTCACAGGGATCGAATTGTACATACACATGCTGCTCAGAAGAATGGTGCTCACCACCCAAATTGGCAGAACCCTTAGGCAATTCAGGGCCACCTTCAACGCGCTTCAACTTGCCAACGAAGAGACCCTTCAGAATATCTTGGGCGTCCTCGGAGTGGCCAACATCTTCAAAGGAACCAGTAGCGTCACGACCTATTTGTCAGTACAAGATCAATTGAGAGAACGAACAGAGCAGAGACAAGAACACGTAGCAACTCAGGACATGAAAAAGGCGCACAGTTGTCCCGAAATTACGCACAAAAACGGCTACTTACCAGCAACATCAATGAGGACCTCCTCACCACCGGGGTGGGAATCAATAAACTTGGTAACGTCGTAAACATTGTCACGGATGACCATGTAAAGGTCATCCTTAGTGTTATGCTTCATAACTTCTTCAACGGTAATTTCCTTAGTCATCTTGGTTGAACCTAATGGCTGCCCGTCTAATTATACTGTACAGAAAGAAAAAGGTGGATATTGGCTAAAGGAAGGTTGTCGGTGGAAATAGTTACCTCCTCATTTGCGTTACCCCGCGCAACAGAATGGTACCACTTGAGCTTAATTCAGCAGTCACACCTCCGCGTCTGGGGTTACACCCCCAAAACAGAAGTTTCCGTTTCCCAAACAGAAGGAACAATACTCCACCATTTGCTTTGATGCTTGAGAACAAGCTTTACTTCCAAGTATTACAGCAATAAACTTAGTTGCTTGCCTTTGTCTTTATGTTTGGCCTGTTCAAACAAACTCCCGTTGCATTGGGAGGTTATCTGTGGAAGAATCCATGGCGATTATCGGCTTTAAGAAAATACCGGCACCGTAAACGTCTGCAAAATGTAGATGAGGTCGTCAGTACCGTAAGCGAAGCTTTAAACACGAATAATCAATCCTGTAAGCTTCTTCGTGTCATTGAAGAAGGTTTACCTCGGGAATCAGAAATGTCTCCTAAAGACAAATACTCGGTTTTTACCAAAACTACTAGAGGTAAGGGTATCCAAGGATGGCGCAAATCCATTCATAAAGTACCGAAATGGACAAAAATCACTCACCGGACAAACCCATTGGGTTTCTAAGAAACATGTTCCAACTGTATATTTCTGGCTCACCCACGTCTCTTGTAATTTTCATAGCACTAGCTCCCCCGCCTACGATAATCTCATGTCTTAATTACCCATTTCCTTTCTTTTCTTGTTACTCAATATAGCGACTCTATGCATAAGTTGAACCAGAACCCCTGCAGTTTGCTCTCTAAGCGGGTGGAGTTTCAACTGCGAAAATGTAAAAGAAAACCAAAATTACGAAACCGAAGAAACACATAGCCTTACCAAAGTCTGCAAACCTATTCCGTAAGCTCATAAAACAAAACATATGCAGCCGGGGATACAAGATCGTCTTCTGTGATCAGCTGTTGCGATGCATCTGTTGCAATGTGTTAGTAATATGTTGACTTAAAATTAAATGCTTGTTGAAACTTACCATCGAAATGATAAAACTTTTTAGAAACGAAGTCTTTTGCAAAAGCAGTATAATGACCGCTGCTCATGTAACCGTAATGATTATCCACAGCGTAAAGATTGTATTTTTTTGTGCAAGTTTCTGGTCTGAAAGAGTCCTTAGTCCCTGTTGACCATTCGTTCTGAGACCCTTCGGAGAGTTTCAAACCCTCAATTGGAAATGTTACAAGATCGTTTCTTTTTCCCCGTCTCCAAGACTTTCGACAAGAAAATCTATTTAAATGAATGACTAGTATTTTAGGAAGTTTCCAAATTTCCATGGTCTTCGTTGCTGGTCGAAAGTCTTTGCAGTTGGGACAGTACCACGCATCTTTAGCCGAAAGTTTTTCAGGCTTTGAGAATTCGCGCATGCAGTCATTTAGTGTTACTGTCTCCGTTGTTGATGGTTGCTGTTGTCCATAAATCCACATTTTTCCCCGAGCAAAACACTTATCCTTTAATGCTTCATCCCACTCAGCAACGAACACGGTGCCAGCATCGACATGAACAAGCTCTTCATCAAGCACAGTGAGTTTCTGCACTTCTGTTTCCGCCGTTTTTTCCCAAGCGTTGTTGCTCTTTAGACTTTGATAAGCCAATATCGAAAAATCATTGTTGCCAACTCCAACACCCGTTGTCGCATAGTAAGCAGAGATGATAGATTCACGAATTGTTTCTTGTTTGACCCAACCTATAGGCAATTGAATTTGAAGTGGCATACCAAATGCATCACGATACTGGTATGCACCGCAAATATCATCGCGTGCTGAAGCACTTATAACAGGTGCGTAAACAATGTCTCCACAACATTTCTGACCGTATAACACAATGTTGTCTGATTTTGAGATTGCCTTTCGGATTTTTTGGTGATCATAGTGAATTCGGTGGACTTTGCCCCAGTATATGTCACAACTGAGTAAAGTATCGACATATATAGACATTTCAGATAGCTTTGTGATTACCTCATTCTTCATATCGCTAATTGAAGCGTCCATGTCCAGCTCAAGAGTCAGAGCGACGGGCTTTTGATTAGGTGTATCGGGCATAAATGTTAAGCACTTTTTCCAACGTTTTTCACACGGTAAAGGTAGTGTAAGGTACATGAACGGATCAAAAACAATAGAGATTTGTTGGCATTGTTGGCATTTTAGGGTGCTCTTGTACATTCCTTGGAAGAGACTAACAACTATAGAGTCATTTCGTTTTTTGTAGGCCTCCCAGCATTGGTTGGCAACCTGTTCGACCTTTTGTTGATTATCTTCAAACAGATCTGGTCGCTCCACGTAAGGCTTCTTTCGAACTCGGTTTAAATCTTCGTGCAATCCATCCAAAAAGAAGGCGATAAACTCTTGCGAATCTTGTTGAGAAAACCCTAAGAAAGACGTGTTGAATTCGCCAATGATACGTTTAAACGAGCTGGGCGCAATAGCACTACCTGGTTTTTGTTGATTCATTTGCTTGACTAATGATGCATAAGACAGTGCAACTTTCCCATTCATGCCTAAAGGATTCGTATAATTCACATCCTTCTCATACTCATTCGTAATGAAATAACCAGTCAGCTCCCTTGTGTGAAACATACACTGGATGGCTGAATTCATGTAGCAAGTATTTCCCAAATTATACAGTCCACCAATTCCTACTAGGCCTTCACTCGTAGTTTGCTTTGGTAAAACCAAGTTCGTGGGCCAAATACCATCTGCACAGAGCAATTCAACCACTAATAGACCCCTATCGATATTCAGTTCATAGAGAGACATGGAATTCATGTCATCAGAGAGTAAAGTCATGAATCCTAGCTTCAGAAACTCATCGAGGCTGATAGTTGGCGGAATGGGATAGTTCTGATTTGCATACCAAAGACGAAATTTTCCTCGTTCCAGTTTCAGTAGATCAGAAACCGTTTCCTCCATTTCCTGAACAGTAGAGGCCTCGGAAAATCTAAACATTTGCGCTTCTAAGGTACCATCACGTATAGGAAAAGCTGAATACATACTGGCGGACTGAGTGTCTTCATTCAAAAGAATGGTTAATTGGAAATGCGGTGGATAAACATCCAGAAAGGGTTCCCTCTGTGATGGAGATCCAATGGAAAGCACATTTCTTTCCAGAGCTGGTCCTATAAGTCCAAACTCTGAAACAAGAGAAGCCCATAACTTTGGTGACACAATTGAATAGTCAATCATCTCTTCCAAACCAGACAACAAGGTATTGTCATCTGAAACTAATGGCCGTTGATCTATGGAACCGGGCCGAGTGGCATTTTCGGAAAGATAATCTTTTAGCGCTTCAAACCAATCATACTGAATTAAAAACGCTGTTTTCTCATCTTTCCAGTTGTTCAATTTCTCAATTGAATTAATGATCTCATCTGGGTCATTTTCAGTATCATAATCCTGCGGGAGCACCCAAGTTTTGTCGAATTCGTTTAAATTTGTTCGAGCAGCCGCGAGCTTCATAACGAAACCGCCAGCATCAATGTAACAATGTTTCTCGCCGAGTTTTCCTGGTAAAACGAGTGCCGTAGGCTACTTATACCAATCAATGCTTTTCCCACGTTTCACTAAGAAGTTTGTTGAGAACAGCTTTCCAACTGCCTCCCAACAACAATTTTAAAAATTCTGCTTGGAGACTTCGTACAGAGATTAAGATACTTACGAATTCGATCTGTTAATATTTTCAAGACTTACCGGGCACATTGTCAGCGGTTTATAAGGAATCTAATGTATTTTTGAGGCAATTTCTCTAGACATACAACCAATATATAACAACGAAAAAAATTGAAAGAATCAAAAGTTAGGAAGGTATACTGTTCTACTGCTGCAAGATCATTTATTATTTTTTTAACATGGCGGCCGAGCAAGCTAAAATCATTGAACAGCTCATGGGAAGCAATTTGAGCAACTTTTCCAGTCGTGGTCAAGTCCAATTTACGGATAGAAAGGTCTGTCGAAGCTTTCTTTGTGGAATTTGCCCTCATGATGTTTTCGTCAACACTAAGATGGATCTTGGTCCTTGTCCAAAAATTCACAGCGACAAATTAAAAGCAGATTATGAAGCAGCGAGTTACTCCCATGACTACGGATACGAATGGGATTATCTACAGGATTTAGAGCGTCATGTCACCGAATGTAACAAACGAATTGACATCGCTGAAGCCCGTCGCGAAAAAACTCGTGAAGAAATTGATCGTACAGATGCGTTAATGAAGGAGATTTTGCATTTGGACCATACCATCAGTGTTTTGATTGATGAAATTAAAGCACTGGCTAGCAAGGGTCGAGTAAATGAATCCATTCAAAGATTCACGGCTTATAACAAGGTTAAGCAAACAAAAAAAGAACTTGTTCAAGAAGTACTATCTATCAATGAGCTTCCTAGCCAGGCGAGTTCAACACATCAAAAGCTGCAAGTCTGTGACGTATGCAGCGCCTACTTGTCTCGTCTTGACAATGATCGTCGTCTGGCTGATCACTTTTCCGGTAAGATGCATCTTGGCTATGCTCAAATTCGGGATGCAGCAAAGGAACTTCGTCAGCTCTTGGAAAAACGCGAACTCGAAAAGAAAGGTGAGCTTACTGAAGAAGAAAAAGGGGATAGGCTCGAATTTCAAGAGGCTGTCAAAGCGACTTGACCAAGTCTTAATGAAGAGATTCTAAGGGAAATCTTTTTAAGGAGAATAGCCTTGATTTCTTCCCTCAATGACCTTCAATCCAGCTACTTTCCAGACCTCGACATGTCATTCGTTCATCAACCTCATCTAGACAACAGCATCACTCTCCTTTCTCTCTTTTTATGAGTTTTGTTTTTGTTGAATATCCCTCGGCAAACCCGCGGCACAAATTCACCACCAAAAATATCGTCTACCTCAACGCGACCATGAGTACGTGAGTGCATGGAAGGGAAAATGAGTCAGGCGTGCAAAACGACTTATTCGTCGCGGTTACGAACTGGAAATACAGCGCTCTTTAGAAAAGCTCTTCCCGCTTCCACAAGATCTCACACTTCTTACAGTGGGCGTAATTCACTGCGAAATGTTCCTGTGGTGAATTACGCAGCTTTCGAACAGGGTGAAGATTTCGAAACTCGGGAAACTCCAAAACAAAGACCAGAGGAAAAAGTTGTAGTCGATGAACGAGGTTTTCCCGTACAACGACCAAAAATTGAACTTGTCCAAGTCAAACCTGCAACAAAAACAAAACACACCTACGTCACCGATGAACAACTCTCTCGGGCTGCCGAAATAGAAGATATCTACATTCCTATTCGTTTGAACCTTGAGCATGAAGGTTTTAAAATTAAAGACTTTTTCTTATGGAACATGAATGAGCAAACGCTTTCGCCAGATACATTTGCACTCATTTTATGCACAGACTTAGATTTGCCTGTGAATACATTTGTTCCGCAAATAAGTTCTATCATACGAACACAGATTGAGGAGTATGCGCCGGTTGCTGAGGTTACAATGCCCAAGGAGCATGAGATGCTGGTCGTCTTTAATATTCAGGTACAACTGGCAAACCAAACGTTTAATGATAAAGTTGAATGGAACTTAACGAGTCAATCCACGCCCGAAGAGTTCAGTCTACAAACTTGCATGGACTTGGGTCTCCCCGGAGAGTTCTCGCCTGCTATCGCCACGGCAATTCATGAAAACTTACTAAAACTAAAGAAAGATGCCTGCGAGGGAATACTACCGGAGTTTGAGAACGATTCACTTCTCGGAAATGTCGCTGGGCCTCGGTATACACCAGACACATTGAGTGCTCTGTGGCAGCCTACACTCGAGGTGGTTCAACCTGCAGATGCAGAACGGAATGACGCTGCTCACGAAAACTTTGTTCGTCAGTGGCGCCGAGAAGCTTCCAAGTTTGGTGGAAATGCGGCTGATGTTTCAGCAGAACGGTGGAGAGCAGCAACAGCAGCGGCAGCAGCCTCCGGAGGCGCTGCCGCTGCTAGCAATACTGCTCTTCCTAGTAGTTCTGTCTCGGATGCCCAAACTTTACTCGATCAAGAGCGGGCGCGTTGGCGATGTCAGTGGTGCAACGTTCCTGGAACAGGAACGTTCTGCGTTCGTCGCGGACCTAAAGGCAACAAATCGCTGTGTAACGCATGCGGTGTCGCTTACGCAAAAAACGGAAAGCTTCCCTACTGGCGAAGTGGACTTTACACTTAAGCTATGCAGTGCCCCATTCACGCTTTTCTTTCCACAATATGCCCCTTCCTCTTTCATCAATCTACGTTATTCCTCAACTACTAATAGTGACAAAAAAATAAGAATGCAAAAGCTTCATCAACTTCATTAAAAGCATCCGGGCTTCCCTACTCATTGCTGGATGTTCTTCCACATGTCCCATTAGGGGTTCCATTCTCGTCTTCCGAGGAGAGTCGTTTTACAGTACGTGATTGAAGTTCGCTGATGGGTGTGGTATCCCAATCCGATCGCACGTTTGCTTCCGACATAGTTGCATCCTCTCGACTGGCATTCTCAGCAGGACTAATGGGATCGTCTGAATGATTCGTTGCTGCGGCATCATTTGGCTCTGTCGTGTTGGAATTATTAGATTGTGTCCTTATCGGAGCAGCAGAAAATGGTCGACCAGTGAAGGTTGCAAGCCGCAATACGCATTGTCGCGTGTTAAGCAAGTTATTATTTTTCCAAAAACTTCTTAACATGGTAAAAACAATCGCCTTTCTGTCCTCTATAAACTCTTCAAAAACTCTGATTGATCAAGTTCTTTCAGCCCACTTGATTGATTCAAGTAATAGGTATATCTCACAATTAAAAGTCCAAGCCTGTTTTTTTATGAATAGCCTCTAGGTTACAACATTCTTTTGCCTCATTATGAACGCATTGAGCCGACATGTATGGGCGATTTTGTTCGTTTTGCTGAACGCAACCACGCATTAGCATTACGACACAATTACTACTGATCAGCCTGGAGCAAGATGTGATGGTGGCCAGGAATGGGTAGAACAGAAATTGTAAACGAGTGTTTCAGGAGTAGGCAATAGCGAGTGACCTTTTAGTTGTAATGATATTGAATGAACAAAAGCGTACATGCGGGGGAGAGAGACGGAATATCATATGGTTAATTTTTTTGCATCACACTGCATTTACGGCATTAAGCCTAAGTAAGGCGCGACATGGGTCTAGCTGAGAAAACAAGAGCGATCACTGTCCACAAGTTTAGAATGGTAAGCGAACTTTAATGAGAGTTGAGTATAGTTGTTTCAACCAAACGACTATAAACATGATCCAAGAAGCAGAATCTTATGTTTCATGCATAACAGCATCTTCAACGTCAGGAATAGTGATAACGCCCTCGGCAACAAGTTTTGTTTCTAATGCACGTAAGAAACGTTCAGCTCCATTCTCATCAAGTATCTCATCCAACGAAAGTCCGCACTTTGCAATCAATGCACTTGCTTCTGGCAAGGTGACGGCATCCACAAGTGCAGCGATTGCCTTCAGAAACTCGGGATCTTGGGGGAGATTGTCAGGTCCCTTCTGTAGAAGGTCCTCCCGTGGATAATGAGGAAACAATTTTTCGCATACACGTGGGTGACTAATTACACGCCACAACTGATCATCAATGGGGAAAGAGACGTACTCAGCGGATGTGGTAGTAATCATGGAGGGCAATTCGTTCACAAGATCAATCAACGGACGACCCTCTTCAAGGTTTTCGCGAAGAGTTTCCTCATCCATGGCTCGATTACTGGCAGATTCCTCTGTCGGTGCTTCATGACGAGTGCTAGCAGCTGCACCAGACTCTGAACCTCCGAAGCTAAGATGAGGAAGGATGCCTTGATGCTCCGCCGTAGGGGAAAGTACATCCCAATTGAAGTCTTGAAGAGAATCTCCACGTCCAGTGGCACCAAACAGTTGCAGCAGTTGGTTTGTGGATGAAGAGTCATCGAATACATGTGAAGCATGACTGTCCGACTGATTACGGGCATTGATGGTACGGGCAACTGTAACAGGATCGGCAATAAGTTGATTAATTAACGAGACATCATGCTCATCTTTTTCAGTGTTCGTATCCTGAAGCCAATAAAAGTGAATTTGAGAGGAGGACTTAAATTTTAATGCATAGACACGACCCGTCGTGCACTGAGGAATTCTGACAAATTCTGCCTCATCGGGAAATATGATAAAATCCTGCTTGCGTTAACTACATGCTCGTCGAAGAAAAAAGAGTTCGAGATAAATGAAAGCATGTAACCAGCAACTTTAGTTCCAATAAACTCATTTCCTCCATTCTACAAAACATACATCTTCAACTTGTGTAGAGGTAGCACTTCTTGGTTTCCAGTAGAAATGTAATAATTCGTCAGATTCGAGTTGAAAGTAAAGGACACTGCACAAATAAACATTAGCAAATGAAAAAACCGCAATCCTCATTTCATACCCTTTACGATGATCTGCCTGAAGTACTTTCGTTCCTGGTTTGCGATTTAGTTTTCCTGCTTTGAGGGAAATCAATCCCAGTCTTCTTGTCTGGTTTTCATTCTGCCGAGATCTTCCAAATACTGTATCCATTTTCTTTTAATTGTAAGGGCCGTTAGGGAGGTTTGGTTAAGTAAACGTTTTACGAAAAAGTTCCCAAAGCTACGTTACCAATTATGCGGTGAATGTATTTATTGGTGGAGCAAAATTCCACCTCCCTCTCAGCGGTCAAAATGAAACGAAGAAAACCCTAAGAAAGGTTTAGTTGTATAGACAGTTTTCGGTTATTTCATATGAATACAAGTGTAAAACTACAATCTATCTTTTGATATGCTTCAATGTTTTTTGGTGTGGTTGTAAATAAACCTTTAGATCTTTTCGTCTACCGACCAACAGCTTAGTGTAGTAGGAAATTAAACAAAACGAAAGTTGTCCCTTTTTGAAGAAATACGAGACAATCATGAGCTAAATAATATCCAATCTATTCGTTCATAACGTTTTTTTTTTTCTGTTGTTCCTTTCAAGCAAAATACTGATTTACTACAACAACAACAACCTTCAGAACCTCAATTCCATCTTTCCTTACGGCACGCGTTTTTACGACTTGTACACGCGTAAATATACGCGAATACTTGTCAATCACGCATATCTGTCTCTTTTAAACCTCTCTCTCCCTCTGAACTGGTTTTTCTGTTTTCATTACACGTTTTTTTAATACCATTATGTCCAGCCAACAACCTTCGGATTCAGGAGGCATGGGAACACCAAATCGTTCCAGTCAGCCCTTAAGGTCGGAAAACATGTCTTCTCCACTGTTTTTTCCTGGTTCATCACCATCTGTTGCACCCCAAGCAACTCCTCGCTCACGAGGTCCTTCTAATCGTATGAGTTTGCCGTTATCTTGCGTACAAGCATATAGGATATATACTAACAAACAGTTCTGTCCTCTCCGTTGTTATACGAATCCAGTTCGCCCGGTTCTAGTGCACCCCAAAATAGTCGTAACTTGCTTCAATCGCAACACACCGACCTACTAGCAAATAGTAGCCTGAATGCCACCCCTCGCTCCATCCGGCGCGGTGATATTCATCCAGGCTCTCTGTTTTCGACACCGAGACATCGACATGAAATTGACCCTTCAAGACCTATACCAAGCACGCCCAATGCGTTGTTTCTGGGGTCCGATACATTGACGTACAGTCAAACAGGTCCCAGTAGCGACATTCCGGAGGCTACTGTTCGTGTCATTTGGGGCACAAATGTTTCTATTCAAGAGAGTATGTCTTCGTTCCGGGGTTTCCTTCGTGGATTCAAAAAAAAGTACCGTCCCTCTTACCGTAACCAAACCATGCTGCCTCCTGATGCAGAGCAAGTTGTTTACGTTGAATTAATGCGTAATATGCGCATTATGGGATTGGATATTCTCAACCTTGATGTGCAAGATTTAAAACATTTCCCACCGACTAAAAAGCTGTTTCACCAACTGCATTCATACCCACAAGAAATTATTCCCATTATGGATCAGACTATTAAGGATGTCATGTTTGATCTGTTGGGTCCCAACCCACCGGAGGACCTGGTGAATGACATTGAGTTAAAGGTGTACAAGGTCCGGCCATTCAATTTGGAGAAAACAATCAACATGCGTGATCTTAATCCGGGTGACATTGACAAACTCATTTGTATTAAGGGTCTTGTGTTGCGTACGACTCCCATTATCCCAGATATGAAACAGGCGTTCTTCCGCTGCTCTGTGTGTCATCACACTGTTACTGTCGACATTGATCGTGGTCGTATTGCCGAGCCAACAAAATGTCCTCGTGAAATTTGTGGCTCGACAAATTCCATGCAACTGATTCACAATCGTTCCGAGTTCGCGGATAAGCAAATCATTAAATTGCAGGAGACACCAGATATGGTCCCTGATGGCCAAACTCCGCACTCTGTAAACCTTTGTGTGTATGATGAGCTTGTTGATTCGGCTCGAGCTGGTGATTCCATAGAAGTTACTGGTATCTTTCGCTGCGTTCCCGTCCGCATAAACCCTCGAGTTCGTACTGTTCGTTCTCTATTCCGCACGTATCTTGATGTCGTACATATTAAAAAACAAGACAAGCATCGTCTTGGCACTGATCCTTCCACTTTAGAAAACGAACTTGCTGAAGACAGCGCTATGCAAGTTGACCAAGTTCGTGTCATATCCGAGGAAGAAGCAGAAAAAATTAGAGAGGTATCGCAGCGCGAAGACGTGTTCGAATTACTCGCTCGATCTCTTGCACCAAGTATTTACGAATTGGAAGATGCGAAGAAAGGCATCCTCCTGCAGCTCTTTGGTGGCACAAACAAAACTTTCAAAAAAGGTGCTGGTCCCCGTTATAGAGGAGATATCAACATTTTAATGTGCGGTGATCCTTCAACAGCCAAATCGCAAATTTTGCAATACGTTCACAAAATTGCTCCCCGAGGCGTGTACACTAGTGGTAAGGGTTCTTCAGCTGTCGGTTTAACAGCTTACATCACTCGTGACCAGGACACAAAACAGCTCGTTTTGGAAAGTGGTGCTTTAGTTTTGTCCGATGGCGGTGTTTGTTGCATTGATGAGTTTGACAAAATGTCAGATGCAACTCGTTCTATCTTGCATGAAGTGATGGAGCAACAGACGGTAACCGTCGCAAAAGCTGGTATCATTACTACCTTAAATGCACGCACATCCATTCTGGCTAGTGCCAACCCAATCGGCAGTCGTTATAATCCTGAACTGCCTGTAACAAAAAACATCGACTTACCTCCTACCCTTGTTTCTCGTTTTGACTTGATTTATCTAATGTTGGACCGAGTGGATGAGGCAACCGATATGAAGCTGGCTGATCATATTGTAAGTATGTACATGGAAGATGCACCTGTACATGTGAGCAGCAAAGAAGTGCTTCCGCTTGAGTTTTTGACAAGCTACATTACGTATGCAAGAGCGAACGTTCACCCTGTTATCTCCGAAGCCGCTGCTGATGAGCTCGTCCGGGCATATGTTGAGATGCGTAAAATGGGTGAGGATGTTCGTGCCGCTGAACGGAGAGTCACGGCCACGACGCGTCAGCTGGAATCAATGATTCGGCTTTCAGAAGCGCATGCGAAATTGCACTTACGACAAACTGTTGATCTGGAGGATGTACTGGAAGCAACTCGTCTCATTCGCTCCGCCATTAAGGATTACGCTACCGATCCAACAACAGGTAAGATCTCATTAGATTTGCTGTATGCAAACGAACGTGAGGCGCTGGTACCTGAAGACATGGTGCGAGAACTTGACAGTCTGGTTTCACGGCTGACGGTGGGCGGTAATACGATTTTGGCAAGTAATCTGCTTGCCAAATTCCGTGAACAAAGCTCCACGCACGTAGATGCTGCCGAATTTGAAGCCTGTTTGGCAGCTCTTGACAAAAAAGGAAAAGTGAAGGTGATCAACAGCGCCGGTCACCGGATTGTACGACCTATTGCTCAAATTGAGTAAGAGGGGGATCAAAGGAAAAGACGGGGAAGAGAGGTGAGCGTAAGTGCTTTCGGATGTGCACTACAATTGAATGCATTTCTTGAGACGCCTCCGCTTGGTATGCAGCAGCAGCAGCACCTCTCCCTTTCCTCTCCCTCCACGATTTCAAGTTACGACACACTTCACTTTTACACCCTACTACTATTTAGCTTACTTTTTCCTTTATGCTTTCATTCTTTCAATATTCATGTTCGCGTTTTATACAAACCATTGCACTGCGTAAGCATTCGTAGAAATATAATATATATGAAACACGGGAAAAGGAGCGCTCGGATAATGAGTTTTAGCAGGTATGCTAAAGAGTTGTTTCTTGTAAGGTACGTTTGCAGAAGGTGTTTGTGCCGTTAATGCTGCCGAACCGTATGCAATAAGTGAGTTTGAAAAATACTGCTGTGCAGGTGTCTTACAAAACGATGAAGGAAACGAGAGAAACAACGACGGCTGCGAAGACCAGAACCGATTTGGCAGAGTTGATGCTGGAAGAGGCGCTTGTCACAGCACTTTCAGCGAGTTGACGCAAGGTCGGGGTGGTGGTAGCATAACCAATGGATCCCGATGACACATCGTACGTACTCGTAGGACGATACTCGCTGATTGAAAGGGGACTGAAGAGTTAGTATGAAAGAGAGGAAACGAAGGAGACGGAGGAGGGAACACAAGAGTAGCAAGGGTTTACTGAAGACACAAGTTGTTCGGCAACCTCCTGTTCTTCACTCTTCGTTCTCCGCTGTTCGCCCTTCTCACAACAAAGTAACGTACAAGAAATGTTCAACGTTTCCTAATGTTCCTTCTTCGAACCAAGTGATTTCGGTAACAATGATCCAGCCAGTTTCGGTAGTAGAGTACACACCCTTCGTTGTAGCAAAAGAAGTAGAACGAGCTGTAGTACTACTTTCAGCATCCTTCTTTTGAACCATTGGTGTTGGAATTCCTGCACGTGTGTTAGTCACTGTATCTGAAGAGGCAGCCAAGTTCTCCTCCGAGTTCTCCTCCGAGTCCCCCCAGCCGAAGGCCTCCCGGTCGAGTGTCTTGTTTTTCGTGCTTACCAGGCAGAACCACATCCCGCTCCTCTAAGCTCAGGGCGTTCGCCGACAGCGTGGACGGAGAAATGAGAATGCACACAGCAAGTCGAAGGAACGCAATCGCATAAACCCACAGAGCCAGCATGATGAATTTGCGAACGGACAGAGTTTGGCTGAGGCTGAGAGTGGATAGAGTGCTTTACGAGTTGTAGTGTAGCACGTTATTACGGGTTGAGTGGTGGTGAGGAGAGGGAGCGAGAGAGGAGAGCAGAGAGGAGAAGAAAAGAGACTGAGAGCAGGCAGAAGCAGAACAGCGGAATTGCTGAATCGCTGAGGAAATGCTGTATATTCGCCAGTAGGAGTGGACGGAAGTGAACGAGCATATGCATCTCAGTGTGCTTTCATTGTTGCATGCGAGTGACGTGGAGGGAGCAGCATGATGATTGGTTCGCGTATTTAAGCTTAATTTGTAACGAGTCATGACGTATCACTGAGAATGAGGAAGACAACTACCGTCTAGAAAACAAGTACGGTAACGAGAAAACGCGACGAATCGATACAATTACGTTCTCTAGGCCGTAGTGACATCCAACACATCACCGACCGGCCGGTTCCTCGCTGAACATAAATTCATTCCTACGAACTCATTTGTTTGGCACTACGTTTGGTTAGCAAGAGCTACTCTCGGCGAAAAAGCGTGTTCTCCGTTAGCATACTTAAACTCGGCGAACCGTTGGCCGACGCGTTCCGAGTGTTTGAGGAACTTTTCGGCGCACTTGATGATGCACTCTCCCTCCTTTTTAGACAGTTTGTTGGTAGTAAAGTCCTGCACACAGTCCTTGAAGCAGTTTTGTGTCAGAGTTGAGTACATCTGCCGTCCATTCACATTAGTTTCAGTCATCCACCGTTTGTCGTTCACGAGCATACACGCAAATACTCCTTCAGCTGTTTCGCCTCGAGCACCTGGCCCAGAGCCTCCTGTTCCTTTGCATTCAAACGTTCCATGGGCAAAAAGTGTGGGGTCTGAAAAGCCTGTGCTGTAGGTGAGATGGGTGGGTGTGCAGGCAGTAGGCCCTGTTTGAGGTGGGATGAATTAGAGTCGAGCACGTGGAATGCAAGCGAGAACACGTGCTAGTTTAAGCGAAGTCTAATTTACCCCCTCCCCCACGCTTCTTATGATTGATCGTGAAAAATCACGTTCGGGGCGGACCATGTCGGTGTCCAAGTTCGCCGGGCTCGGAGAGTAGTGTCGCCGTAGTTGACCGTGTTCCGATAGCAGGAAATCAAGTCGGCCCAGGACGCAATAGAAGGCAAGTGGGAGTCAGGCACACGGTGTCCTGTGAGTCTGTATGCGAATTTCACCGCAGAGAACTGAGCCTGGGCATTTCGAAAGGGTTCGTTCAGCCGGGGAGCGTGTTCAGCAGCGACTTTGTTGAGAATGTCGAGCGTTTCTGACTTGTTCTTTGGTTTCGACGCGAATGTAGGAAGCTTTACGCGAGATGGGCGAGTGGGGGCAGAGGTTGAGGGTTTGGCAGGGAGAATGGGAAGATGGTCATAAATATCAGTTTCGTGGACATTTTTTGGTTTCGATTGTTTGGCACGCTTAAAGAGGCCTTGGAACCAGCCAGACTGTTTGGCCGATGTATGAAACACACGACGCATGGTGCAAGCCAAGACAACGACGCAAAACGGAGACAAGGCGAGACAAGGCGAGGCAATTGTGGGGGTGTGGGATGTGTGGGATACGCGGGGGCAGGATCGTTTCACTGCAACTCGCAACAATTCGTTAAGACTCACTGGCCCTCGCAATCCTTGAGGACGCGTTCGCCCTGCTGTACGAGACTGTCGACGATGGTTATGAAGCTATCGAGTACGTGGTCAACAGACAGCAGGGTCTCGTCGTAAGTGGACGAGTGCGCCTGCTGCTGCTCCAGAAGCTCATTCCGCTCGCGGAGCACTCTGTTTTCGATTTCCAAGTCCTGCAGTCGCCGGTCAACCCGGACGTCGCGTTCGAGCCATCGTCCTTCCGACTGAATCTTTGGGCGCATGGAGAGTAGTCGTAGGAGAGAATTCGTTTTCCGCTATGCTGGGCACGCTGGGTATATAATGAAGTTCGTTACGATGTGTTATCTTAATTAGCGCGACTTAGCGGGAGGGCGGGTGGTTACGGAGCGAGGAATAGAGGGGAGAAGCGAGGCAAGAAATAGAGGGGAGAAGCGAAGCAAGGAGACGACGGAGTGGTGGGTACAGCAGGACAAGACTAAGGGAGGAACACAACTTTATTCTACTAACGTAGAAGGACAATCTACACGAGAGACACTACGGGTGTAACCTATGAATGACATACTACGGGACGCACCACCAGTCATCCTCATCACATCGTCTGAAGCAGCAAGACCACTACAGTCGATAAGAAGAGGAACTTTACACGTCAGAATACACCAGCTGCCCTACACGACGGGACCGTCCAGAGGACGAGAAACCCGAGGCGTAAGAGATCATCGCTGAAGGGGGAGAACAGAACCTGAAAAGAGATCCTGTTGTCCCTCCCGAAGAAAGAATTGTCTCACTCTTCGGGCAACGGTGCTTCCAATCATCATCCGTGTTGAGTTCTGTGGCTAGGTTAGGAAACCCAAGCCGGACGTATACTATAGAAATGATCCTATGGAGTATCGTCGATGGTTTTTCGTGGAGCGAGCCGTGCCCTTTTATAGTATTCCCGTGTGGGGAAGAGCAGTCACAGTGTGGGGGTAGTGAAGGAGAAAGGACGCTAAACTGTGTTGTTCGTCGCTAAATCGTTTAGCGAACAGCACTAGCTTCCGCAATCACCTTTAAGAACCCGCAACAGTGTTTCGGTAACCCGTTTTTTACTACCCACGTTACCCCTCGGTATGCCACGCTTCCCCGGCTTGGCTCACACCACAACTGGTCCGCTCCCTCCCCCATATTTCAACCATTGCCAAGTCGCCTGTCCCTACGGATGTCTTGGAAACTGACAAAGAGTATGTCAAACTCGCAGTAACAGCAGGCAAACTTGCATCAGCAGCAGCGTCTCTCTTTTCTGGCTGTGTCACGGCGTGTCTGCTCGAATTGAACACGCAGAACGGAGAGTCGTGGACGTGGAGGTCGACGGTGGGAAATACGGAGCTGAAGAACGATTGAAAGAGCGTAGAGACTACGGAATTGACGGACTAAAGAGTTTGAATGAGCTGTGTGGACTGTATGTGGAAATTATGGAATTTGTCTCGATGGAAATTGCCTGGTCTCAGTGGTTACTGGGGCTGACTGGCGGAAAAGACATGCATTCGTCGCTCAGCTACGTTCTATGTAGTGAACGTAGACCATCTCTGATGAAAGCCAAGGAAAACTAGAAAATAGCTGCTCTCGAACGAGCTTGACGACTTTATTGGTTTCCACACCTGGTCTCTCTCTTCGTCTCTCACTCACTCACTCACTCACTCTCTCTCCCCTTTCTCTCCTCTTCTCACCTCTATACCCGTGTTTGCTGCCGGTTTCTTGTTTCCCGTCTTGCCCTGTGTCCATCCTCTATATACTAACACTCTTTTAGAACTTAAGGAGGCGAGCTTCGTCTCGGCAATGGGCTTCTCCAGCTCAAGCTCATCCAAGCACAAGTCTGGAAGCCATTCAACAGCGTCTTCTCGCAAGTCGAGTGAGGAGAAGTCAAAGTCAAGTTTTGATTCCAGTCGGCGGTCCATGTGTAGTGACGCGTACGGGAATGTGAATGTCCAACCTGGTTTGCTTCAGGTTCGCATCACCGAGGCCCGTGGGTTGAAGCTGCCGCCCGCCTTTTTCTCCTCCAAATCTGCTTCACGTGGATTTGACTCTACCCATGATTCGGCTAATGCATGGATGTTTCCATACATTGTGGTCGAGTTCGATAAGAGTGAAGTCGTGGTGAATGCATTGCGTACGTCTTCTCCCGAGAATCCGTGCTGGGACTACCAGGCTACCTTCGATGTGTCGCGTTACTCACAGCTTTCTGTAAACATTTATCAACGTCCGCCTCCGCGTTCGCTTTCCATCATCAAAGGTGATGCTTTCTTGGGCGGTGTAAAGTTGTCTCCCTCGTTCATTACCAACAAGATGACGGACGAGTGGGTCACTTTGCAGGGCGGTAAGGGCGAGCTACATGTGCAGGTACTGTACAAACCCAACCAGAAGACCGATCTCAGCATCGAATCGTTCGAGTTACTGAAGGTTATTGGAAAGGGTTCGTTCGGAAAGGTTATGCAAGTTCGGAAGCGCGATTCCAACTTAATTTACGCCTTGAAGACTATCCGCAAAGACTTTATTCTCATCAACGGTGAGGTGAAACACACTCTCGCTGAGCGAACTGTTCTTGCTCAGGTGAACAATCCCTTCATCGTCCCATTAAAGTTCTCCTTCCAATCCACCTCCAAACTCTACTTAGTACTCGCTTTTATCAATGGCGGTGAGCTTTTCCATCATCTTCAACGTGAAAACACGTTTGACATCTATCGTGCAAAGTTCTACACTGCGGAGCTGTTGGTTGCTCTGGAATGCTTGCATGAGTTTAACATTATTTATCGAGACTTGAAGCCGGAGAATATATTGCTCGACTACACCGGACACATTGCACTTTGCGATTTTGGCCTCTGCAAATTGAATATGACGAAGACGCAGCGGACGAACAGTAAGTGGATGCGGTAGACGAGTTTTTCAGAAGACCAAGAAAAACAGCCTTCCGAACTCAAGCCGTTTTATTTCATTGGATTATTATTTCTTTTTTACTAACCTATTGTTATTAGCTTTCTGTGGAACTCCCGAATACTTGGCTCCTGAATTGCTTGAGGGCGATGGTTCGTACACCAAGGTTGTAGATTGGTGGACTTTGGGTGTCCTGCTGTACGAAATGATCGTTGGACTGCCTCCCTTTTTTGATGACAATGTGAACCAGATGTATAAAAATATTCGTGAGGCTCCATTGGTGTTTCCAGATTTCCTGAAAGATGAAAAGGCAAAGGATTTATTGAGAAGATTGTTAGAGAGATCGCCCGAGAAGCGTCTTGGCAGCGGTGGAGCTGCGGAAATCAAGAATCATCCTTTCTTCGCTGATATCGACTGGAAAAAGCTCGTCGCCAAGAAGCTTCAACCTCCCTTCAAACCTCATGTGGTAAGTCCGAACATTCATGTGCTTGTTGCCATAATCCCTTTTTGGTTACTCTTACTAACAGCTCTTAGGAATCTGAAAGTGATACGAGTAATTTTGATTCGCAATTTACCTCGGAGCCAGCTCTCGATAGTGTTGTTCCTGACTCACACTTATCCGAGACTCTCCAGCAGAAATTTGCCAATTGGAGTTATCAACGGCCGAGTACGATTGAATCATCAGTTGAATTCTCGGCTCCTATCAATTTAGACTCTGTGAACGGACGAGCTTCGCCTTAGACTGGACGCGCATTGCTTTAAGTACACGTTACTTCATAAGTCGCTGGCTAGCGGCGTGTCTTAATTACGACTGTGTCGGGACGGCGACCACGGAAACATTATACAACGATCATCAAAACTACCTGTGTGTTACTGGCCCGCGTTTTTTGTGCGCTATCATTCCCTACGAAACGAATTGTCGTTTCTCCAAAAGCTCCCCTTCATACCCCGCTGCCGCTGATGTTCTCCCTCCCTTCTGCTTGATGAGCGTTTGTATTATGAACTCATACAACATACACATACATACACACATACACATACAAAGGTTTTATTAAAATGAAATGCAAATGCCAGGAAGCAGAGAACCCACTCGTAGACGGTTAGACTGTTTGAGAGTGGCACATGCAAGCATATACACACACACATACACATGGCGAAGAGATGGAAGAAAGTGGAAAGGTAATAGAAAAGGAAGAAGAATGGGAAGAAGTCGTTTTTAAACTGTAAAGAAGTGAGAATCTTTTGCAAACCGGACAAGAAGCGTTACTTAACAAAAAAATAGTTTTTCTTTTAAAAGTCCATGTAGTCAGTTACGGCGAGCCAGCGCCGATAAAAGATGCCTCAAGAATAGTAGTAATTGCCTGCGGCAGATTCAGGCTTTTTATTGCGGCTCTTCAGTTATGACTGCAGAGGACGAATCCAAGGTCGCTGATGCCGCTGAATTAGGTTCTGTTTTTGTTTCTGTCGCTTTGAAAGAAAGCCAGCCTGATGATTGGAGAAACTCAAACACTCGCTGAACTTTGTTCTGGTCAACTTTAGGAAGTAGGACGTAAGCACGATCAAGAGATATTGTCTTGGGGTTTGCAAGGAAGGCAGTAAGAAGGGTACATTTTATGGCGAGGTAAGGTTTAGGAAGAATGTGTAGCTGAGTACAGAGAGTCTGTTCTTCGGGCGACAATAGCTGTCGGTCTGCTGAAGTGATAAAGGTTAAAGGAGCAGCTTGCTTTTTTGAGCTTGTGCTGAGATCACGGTAGGGTAAATCGCGTGAATTGTACAAAGACGACTTTCGTAGATCGTTGCGGTCTAATGAACTTGCAGCTTTGGTAAGAAGAATCTGTAACATAAATTAGTAAACCTGAAGCAAAAGGCTCGCCGCACATTTTCACGACAAATAAACTTACCCGTTGAGCTTTGTCTCGCTCATATTTGTGACCCTGTTCCATCGTGGTAAGGCCCATTTGGCGCCATTCTTGCAATTGCTCAATACGCTTTAACAAACTATGTTGAGTGAGTAGGCCATCAACAAATGCTGCGTAGTCTTCTTTCGACAGCAGGCGAGCAAAAACTTTGGCCTGAGTGAGTAGGGACCGCTCCTCCTTGCTACGACGCTTTTCGTTCGCCTGTATACGTTTAAAGTCGAGCAAATTGTGAGTGAAAATGACGTTTTTCCGTAAAGCTCGCCTTGTGAGTCGGGCATTGTAAATTTCGAGCAGAGCTAATTTCACTTCGACTTCTGGAGAGGGCGAGGACAAGTCCAATGACTCGTCAGAATCAAATGTCATGTCTTTGACACTGACTTCTGCCTCATTCTCCAGCTCCTGATCAAACTCTAGACGACCTGGCATGTAGCCTTGGATCTCGTGGCATTGTGGTGTCGAAGCAAGCAGTTTCAAAGGATACACAGGCGGAGGAGTAAAGGCTTCTAAACGAGCTCGTTTTCGAGCAGCAAATGCTGTCCTATCTACGTCGAACACCGTGTCCATTGACGGTAAAGGATAGGACTCCGAGAGGATGTATGTGTTGATGTAATGCTGCTCGCAGTCTTCCTTCGTACGGCAGTTTCCGACATACTCGGCGATATCAGCCCAATTTCCAAGACCGAGCGTTTCACACGCATCAATAAGCAAAAGTTCTTCATCCGCACCCCAATCGTCGTTGAAAATTGGGAACGAGTTTGTCTCAATCACCCGGTATGGGTGGGCCGGTTGGTGATCGCCTGAGGAGGACCCGGACGTAAAACACGAAACACAAAGATCAAAGTCTGTGCAAGTTACACAACGTATGTGGATAGAACGTGTGATGTCCTGAGCACAAACATTGCAATGGTACTTCTGAGGCGGCATGTCGAGGCAGGCGATTTGGAGCACGGCGAAAAGTCGCCAGCTGTGGTGGAGCTCGCTGGGCTGCAGTATGTAACTTAGTGAGAATTCCGCGTGCGTGCAGTGCAGTAATGAGTGTTAGCATAATTAAAGGTAACCGCTTAAAGCCTTTAACGAAACTTTCCGTGGAGTACGGCGTCGTTAGGAAGAACGATAATAAATATACCGCAATTTTGGACTGCGCTATTATGCTTATCGATACTTACTGCGGCGCACTGTCCTGCGCTAGGCCTCGTATTATCTCTTTCCTCTTCGTTTACGATCGTTAACATTCGCTAAACTCTCGCTAATTCTCGCTCTGTTTTTAACAGTCACGCATCCTTTTCTCCCCAGCACACCTTTCCTCCCCTCAGAAACAAAATGGTAAGAAAATGACCGTAGGCTTGTACTAACGATAATGTAGGGTCGCGTACGTACCAAGACTACCAAGAGAGCCTCTCGCGTTGTCATTGAGAAGTACTACCCTCGTCTCACGTTGGACTTCCAAACCAACAAGAAGATCATTGATGAGGTTGCCATCATTGCCTCCAAGCGTCTCCGCAACAAGATCGCTGGATACACGACTCATTTGATGAAGCGTATCCAACGTGGCCCCGTCCGCGGTATCTCCTTCAAGCTTCAAGAGGAGGAGCGTGAGCGCAAGGATCAATACGTTCCCGAGCACTCTGAGCTCGACGTCGAGAAGGTTGAGGTTGACCAAGAGACCAAGGACTTGCTCCACGCTCTTGGTTACGACCAGGTCCCTACCACTGTTGTTGCTCCTGTCCGTCAAGAGCGTAACTTCCGTTACAACAGACACTAGACAGCATGTGTGAGCACGACGGCGTCAGACTTGCTCATATCATCATCTGCAGCTGCAGATGATGATATGAACAAGCAATCATCGGCACTGCATCTATTTTGAGTGATGTTTGTCGCTCCGTCTTTCGCCGATCTGTTCTGTTGCGTACGTACAGTATTGTGCCCAATAACAAAAGATATTGTTTCAAGAAGGAATTAGAAGGGCTAGGGATTGGTGTCGTTGCTAGTGTTGCGGTGTGTGAGGAGAGTTGGAAGCTTTGGAGTTGTTTGGTATAATTGCATTACTCGTGCGGTCGGTCTTCGCCCCTCGTTCACTAATTCATGGCATAACTCTACATTTTGTGCTTCGTAACTCTTTTTAATCCAGTTCCTTCCGAGGGAAGAAGTCTTCGGTGCGGAGGGGCCTTAAAGTCTTACCGTTTGCTAGAGCAGTTTTAAGGCTTTCCATGTCCATCCCATACTGTCGAAACAGTTCCCGACGAACTCTTGCGAGAGCAGAACGACAGGTTTCTTTGATGTAGGATCCAGAGAGGCCCTCGGTTGCTTTGACCACTGCTTCTATATCAAAGTTTTGATCGAGGGAAATACCTTTCAAAAACTATTCATAGGTTAGCGACAGGACAGTTCGTTGTGTAGGCGAAAAATAGAATCCTCATTCTTTGATGTCTTACATACCAATTGAAGCAGACGAGCACGTTGTCGTGAATCTGGAAGCTTAATGTGAAATGTTTTAGGCATGCGACGAAGAATAGCCTCGTCGATATCTTGGATTCGGTTCGTAGCACCGAGTACGACGACACGGGACTGACCAGTCAAAAGACCATCCCATAACGACATAAACTCTGCTTTTAATTGCGCCATTGCTTCATGGTCTGTGCTTTGTCGTTGACGCAAGAAAGAATCAATCTCGTCAATGAAAATGACAGTCGGTTCCAGCTTGTGTGCAAGACGAAATAATGCTTCCACAAGTTTATTTGATTCGCCAAACCATTTGTCCGTAAGCAAACCAACATTCACGTTTATGAACGTAGCACCGCTCTGTTTGGCAAGTGCTTTTGCGAGCATGGTTTTCCCGCATCCTGGTGGTCCGTACAGTAAAAGACCTTTAGGAGAGGCAAGCAAGTCATTGCCCTGTATATCGCCGCAAATGTTTGGATACTGAAGGGGAAAGAGTACGTCCTGTATCAGTTCCGTGATTTCGTTGTCCAATCCTCCAATGTCTTCAAATGCTGTGTCAATGTCTGATGGTAAAACGAGCTGTGAAGCAATCAGTTGCTCATAATCATCAAGCTGCAAATCTTCAGGTAACCGATTCCGCCGTTGTGCCCATTCATTCAATCGGGCTTGACTTTTTTGTATAGCTTCTTTTTTTCCGCTTGTATGATGGATCAATGCTCGGTAAAAACTGCTTTGCTATGTACCATGAACATCCAAAAGCCAAGGCATACAGAACCGCCTCCTTTACGAACCGTTTTGCCTCAGGATGCATCCGGCTTAATTGAGTACGTGCTTGCTTGGAGGAGGTGAGAGGGACCTAGCACAGAAGATATAAAAACTTTTTATCCACTTTTGACAGGGTGGAAGGGGAAAAATGAAACCAAAACAGAATGCAAATTGAATTGCGATAGCTGTGGTTGGAAATGGGGGAAAAACTTGAAAATAGAGAAAGGGGAAAGGTATAGACAGAGAATTGGAACGTTCTGTTTAGGAAATCCTGCACTCAAATAGTTTTGTCGGAAATGGAAGGAAAAAAATAGAGGTCATTCTTCAAAACTTGCATAAAGTGATTCCTCACTTTGTAGCTTTTCTATTAGCACCGTAAAAGTATAGACGTAATGATTTTTTCAAGCATCTGGATGTTCGCCTTCCTCTTGCATGCCGTTTGTGTCATCCGCTGTAGTTGGAGAGACGGTCGGATGAATCTGTTCTTTTAGTGATTGGATTTGCTTTAAAATTTCCTCAAATGAAGCATTTCGAGCATCCCACAAGCTAGTGTAAGACTCCTTTTCTTTTTGCAGCTCTTCAATAGCATCGTTTAACTTGGTTACCAATCTACTCAGTAATTAGTATGCTTTTTCAGATAAATCGCGGGGTGTCTGGGCCTCCTTTTGTAAATAGCTCTCACGTACTGCTGCTGTTCTTCAGGACTTCGAAGATCTTTAGAGGTGATCATCTTGGCAATGTTATCATATTGCTCTTTTCGGTGGAAATCCTCTTTGGTAGCTTCCATTTGTTTTAACAGTTCCTCGATGGTCTTTGTTTCCTCCTCACATTCTTTTTCTAACGGTACCATTTGTTAATATAACGTCTGCTCAACGTTCATACCAATTTCCTCAACTCGTTTTTGGTAAACGCGAGACTCGTTCTCGTTCGTTTCGCTTTGAAGCTGTAAACGCGTCCAAACAGCTTCCATTGCTGCACACTCAACCTCTAAATCGTCTATGTCAAGCTCATTGTTTTGAAATTCGTGACATTTGCTAATAAATCTACGCAAAGGTCGTTCTTCCACGATAAGGCGTTTTTTTATAAGTGTGTCTGATAAACGTGTTAATATCAAAGACAAAGGCTCCCAAATACGTGAAAATACTTACCGTCCATGACAGAATGGATGTTGGTACTTTCTGAGTTCTTGTAGGCGACGCGACCATAAATGCATGTAACACCAACACGCGAACGTGCTCAAAACCAAATACAGTTGTAAACACGAATTCCTCCTGTTTTTGCTTATAACGAGGTTGAATTCTTGCAGAGTGAACAATCACTTCATATTTGGGACCGTGTATTGGTTGTTATATTTACAATTGCCGGTTTTCTGTAAATCACTTATTTAACTCCTTCAACCACATTTTTGGGTTCATTTTTGCTTCCTCTGAACTGCCATATTCTCCCTTCTTTATTCTTCATAATGAGTACTACTTTTGCCGAGGATATTGCCCTTCCTATGTTCCCGAACAGACAAATATCTGTCGCTGTGTTCAAAGATGTAACAAATGCTAGTGAAATTCACAGACAGATCATCTCTCTGAACAAAGAGTATGACTACGCTTTTATTGATGCAGGAATTGTGCGTGTTATTCCGTCATAAAACATTAAATGGCGGGTTTTTGTGAAAGACTGAATTACTAATTGGAATTGTTTTAGATTGTGTGCAGACAGCAGCTTTTTGCGGCCATCATTCGTGCTCTCCGCGATCAGCAGGACGGATTAACAAAGACAAAGACCATTCACTCGGAAATCATCTTGTCGCTCTGTCCTCGTACTGAAATTTCTACTGCTTTTCGCAATTTCGGTATCTCAAAGAAGTCAACAAGTCTTGTTATCGTCAAGGTTGGTGCATCTGCCGCTGAAATTGGGCCCAAATTACGCACAATGGTTGAAGGAACACCAATTGCCTTTTCACAGGCAGAATTGGATAAACTTGTTGTCCGTAAACAACTTGTCAAGGTGCGAAACTCGTCGGATGACCATACTACATTTCATTTCCTATCTCACGAAGCTAACAACCTCCCCATTAGAACTACAAACTGGATGCCAGCAAACCCGACACACACACTAGTTGCGTCTTAGCAGCCATTGCTCTCCGTGGATATAACTAACAAACAGCATTCTTTCGTTCATCGGTATTTTCCGGCTTAGCATAAGCATAACAATCCAGTCGATCATTAGCATGATGGTTGTAAATCCTTTCTCGGCTTTTGTACTAGATCTGCACTACGGCGAAGATGAGATTGATGCGCTACGATGAATACCAAGTATCTATTGGGTCTCGGGACTGGCTGACCGGCTGCTAGAACAGCCTACAGAACGTAAGCGATTGCTATACCAAATCTTCTTTGTCCTCCCATGATTTGTCGCACACATCATCGGCTTGCTACGCTTCCGCACTTTTTTTAGTTGCCCGATACAACCTACGCCGCTAGACAGCCACACAACATTAGTTTGTTACCGCTACACCTTTCTGGTCTGCTAGCGAGTTCTTCTTTGAGCTGAAGGTTTTTCACACACGCACCACACCGACATTACGATTTTATGGAATACCAATCCCACAGTATTGAAGAAGAATAGTCTTAGATGTGCGATGAGACCGAGAAATCAAAACATGAGACGGTTGCACGAGACTATGAATATCCAGAGACGGACACGTTGTTTTTGGGGTTCCACAGCGAACTGATTGAAGACAGAAACTCAGTGAGCTTTACTGAAGACTATTTTACGAACGAGTTCGACGACGACACTTACGGAGAAGGAGCCGACTATGGTAATGGAAACGGAGGCGCACAAGAAGGCTCAAAGCGGCTTGTGGCCGGGGCGGACGGCCCAGAAGGAGTTAGTGATGAATCTTGGCCCTCTGCGGATTCGTCTGAGCAGAACAGACAGAAAAAGCAGTCGCTTCCCGCCGAGGTTATTGCACAGGCTGTGGCTATGTTCGCTTTCGAGCCTCAGCACGAGAACGAGCTTGGATTTAAAGAAGGTCAACAACTTTGGATTCTCTATAACTATGGTGAGGGCTGGCTGATTGCATTTGATCCCACTACAGGTACGTACTCACGCCCATTCAAGGGCACCGCAACACGGGGTGTCCAACCCTGGTACCCTTGGAGCTGTGACTTGCACTCGATGTGTGACCGGGCCGGAATTGCAGACCAGTCTCATCGGTTTCATCGCACCAATTTTTCCGAGCCGTAGCGAGCAGGACTGTTTCACGAGATGGGCACAGATGAAATGGTCCGCTCGAGTTCTGGAAAATTCGTGTGTGAGGCTTTGTGAAGCTATGGTCAGTATAAAAGGAACGGCCTTGGCACACACGCACTCGTCGTTTTGTGAATCTAACAATGGACTAGGAAAAACAGGTCTTATACCCGAGCAGTTTGTCGAAGTGTTATAGCAGAGCGCTAGTGCTGAATACGAGTATGGAGTAACGATCAGGCATCTGTGCTCGTGTTTCCTCTCTTGCATCCTTCAGTTCGAGGATGCTGTGTCCTCTCCCCTTACTCCCTCATTCTTGCACTCGGTCGCCTCTTTTTGTTAATGCTGGTCATTGCAATTCCTAATAGCAAAATCCCGATGGTTATTACAAGATGTTCTTTTTGTGGACTAAAACATGGAAACGAGTTAAATTCAGGCGCGCTTTGAATAAGTATTGGCAGCCTGCAACTACTAATAGCTTCGTGGTCGCTTCTTCCAAAGCGGCAGGAGTGTCTTGCGTTGCGTTTTGCGACGGGGGCATATCTGCGGAGTTACATTTGTTGCTAGAATAAGCGTGAATCATAGTACACCGAGGGTCCACATCTTCGTGTTGCTGTTCGCAGCAATATTCGGATAACCCTCTCGGTGTCTCCATTGAGCACAAACATTTTAAAGCCTTGGTGAAAAAAAAAACTCTAAAACACAAACATAAGTTCGTCAAACCGTACGTAACCTTAAGCGATCTAACTATCCAAAAACTCGTCATTAGCTGTCTTGAATTCAGGTTGTTGGACCTTAAATCTTTTCGGAGAAGGCGTGATTAAGTCTCGTAAGCTCGTTCGTTTCGTGGGCGTTGTTGATTCTGCACCTGGTGAAGAACGGGCGTTTCGTTCTTCGGTTGCTTCTTTTGTCCACTGGCCACTTTGGAGCTGTGCATAGTAATCTCTAACGGTGGCCTCGATGCTGCCAGATGAGAATGAGGTTTGCTGTAAAAGACCGCGGACAGTGTATGACCAAACCTGTTTGAGTAGTGTCTCTGGCGGCTCCATCCATAGTCTCCATCGCCATTCGAGTTGGATATTGTGTACGCTTCCTTGGCAGAGAAGGTCAATGCTTCCTCTGTCATCGCTTAGGCAGAGTTGTGTTCGGCTGGGTGTTCCAATGTCCATTAACAATCTCTCCAGTGCCTCCATCAGCTCGTCGTATGTGTTTACGGGATCAATGGGACATCTGTTTCTCTAATGTCATCGTCAGCATTTCAAACACACTTTTGCGGCTCTGTACCTCTGCTTCTTGGATAATGTCCTCTTGCCGAAACGTGCATGTCCATATGTACGCCAAATCCGTTAAACTGATGAATGCAGTTTCACCGTTTCCATTACGCATTCGGGCCTTCACAAAATGGCATTTGTGCCCCTTAAGCTGAACCCAATCCATGTCGTCCAGTTTTGCGAGTATCACTAGCCGCCACTGAAGAAGATCGTCGACCGTAAACAAACCATGAGTCACACACACAATTCCGAGTACTTCAAACAGCCTATTGGAGTCAGAATGATTTATTAGATACGGACAGAATCATGAACAATAATCTAAAGGATATAACCTGCCCACGGGGTATACATCCATAAAAACTCGATGCAAACACTTGGAGGCAGGGTATTTTTCTCCCCAATCTGTTTCAGCTCGATGGTCCTAGAAAACGAACGGACACGTCTATACGCCGAGGCGAATGGAACACATCTGGTCGAGCCTACCATAGAGCCAAATTAGACGGGTGACAACTTTCATCGAATGGGGAATCCAGCACACTCCTTTTATACTTTTCTCTGAGGCGAAAAAAATCGGCAGCAGTCCTACGTTCGGCGATGCGACCATTGATAGTGATGCTAAATGTTGGCTGGTAGTCTCGTTTATTGGATCACTTTGCTCTATAACGCTGTTTGTTGTTGTGCAAAAAGGGACATAGAAATAAGCGACGTTACCGAGCCAGTGGAACTGTTCGTTTACAACAAGAAAGCGCGAGTACGAGAAACATCAATCAAAGCTTGCTGAAGGAATTGCTGCTCTCATTACGCTACAGGTTTCGCATTAGCGACACTTCCTCGTTTATTGTTTGAAGGAAGCCCGGTTGGATTCGACACTCGTCGCTCGTCAATATTACTGAAATATGGAGGATCGGATGGACTTGGATGAAGACGAACAAGCCATTGCGCAGGTCCTGAGCATTGTACAGGTGAACAGGGAACACAATTCGTTCGCCAAATCGCCTTCTCATCAAAATGTCGCTATTCATGAGAAGGGACCAATCTGCAATATTGATTGCGTAAACATATTGTTTGTTTTAGACACCAACTTTTTACTGTCGCACATGACATTTTGTGAAGATTTGTTACGGTATACGAACGCCGAAAAGGAACTCGCAATTGTTATTCCATGGACTGTCTTACAAGAACTCGATGGACTCAAGTCGAATGAGGGCACTTGCGGTTATTTGGCTAGACAAGCACACACATTCTTGCTTGAGCAGTTTCAACAGACGCATACTGGTATTTACGGACAGCGTGTAGATGAACAATGTCGTTCGGGAGAAAAGGGTGATAACTCCATCTTGGATTGTTGCATTTACTTCCAAAATGAGCGTCTAAAACGGGTAATTCTGTTGTCGGACGACAAAAATCTTTGTGTAAAATCAGCCGTTCACGCAATTGAGACATTCTCGCTCACCCGTAAAACGCATGCATACGATTTCTTGGTAAGTGTGATTGGCGAAAACCTAAAACAGCAGCCAAAGTCGCTGAGCCAAGCGCCGGCAATCATGGAAGTCGATGTTGTTGCTGTCCCTTCACCCTCTATCGTTTCTTCGACCCGTGCGTCAACGGTCGATTTCCCTATGGATGCTCAAGACAATAGTGCCTGGAGTTCCCGGTATGCGCGGGTCGATGCCACTACTGTAATTGATGAGCGGCCTACGGAATCTTTGGATATTGCTTATGACTACCCACTGCTGTCGAAACAAGAAATCTTGGCAAGTTCGCATCCGCGCACATTAAAATTACTGGATCAGATTACTAAAGTGCTTGTTGAGCATAGTGGTATCCTGTTGGTTGCTCATTTAACCAACGTGTGGGAGACGGAAGACTTGGCAATTCAAACATTGCATTCATCAAATTCATTTCCACCACAAAACATAAACGACGTAGCCTTCATACTCGAAAGGCATTGGGGCACGTGTTTTGATGGCTATATTCCGTTTAAAGAGTCTAGCCGTCTGAAATCAATTGCATTGGATTGGGAAAAGTGGATGCTTTGGGCTGAGAACGGGACTTCCAGTGGACCAGAATCAAATGAACTGCTCCTCGACGCTATTCTGTTTTGGGTAAAGCTTTGGCGAGTTTTAAGTCGTCAAAACATACTGCAGCATCCATTGCAAACGCATTCGCTTGTGTACCAAGCAATGCAAACACGCATCGCATCCATCAATGAGCCCAGTGCTTATGCGAAATTCCGTGAACAACAGATTTCAAAGTGGACAGAGCGAGCGCTGCGGCCTGGTCTGTTGTCGTGAGTTTGCTTCGCCTATTATTTGTACATAAAAAACATTTAGTGAAAATCTCAATTCGATTTTTGGTTCGGGATCGAACAATTGCGAGGCTAGTCGGAATCCGATCTCTGCAACTTTATTTCCTGCTCTATAATAGAGCTAATGGTAGAGAGCGTTGCATCGAAATCCGTTACCTCTTCAGGGTCATTGGGAAAAGCGCCTGAAAGTTCTGTCGTTGCAAACACTTGACGACGGAATCTAGCAGACAAAATTCGAGAGAGTCTGTTACTAGATTCGTCAACGCTTCCGATTCCGGTTAGAGTGGAGCTAACTATTTCCCCACGTCTCGCAGGGTTCAGCGACGGCATAGCCAGCGACATTGAACCGAACGGGGCTGATGCCTTGTTCGATGCCCAGATGAAAACGGCGTCTGAAGGGTATAGAAAAACGACTTGAATCCAGATTTTGTGTTGTCCGGGAAGTTGCGGATTATGAACGATCTGCACAACTTTGTGCTCCGACTCTTCTAAACTCATTTCTGAGACCATGACTGTTAGCTTTTAATCTTGAGAGCGACTTACTACCGTGTGTATGTTTATATATCTTGATTCTATGGGAATATCCGATCACCGAAATGTAAGGAAACGAGCTATTAGTGCTGTTGCAATTTGTTATACTGCGTTAACCTGAAGTTCGGGAAGCTTAAAATGAAATAAACTGGCCGGGCTACAGAGGAGGAAGTTGGTTGTTTTTTGGTTGGCCTGTATAGCTTTCAGAACGTCGTGAACTAATTTTACTACGCAGCAATTGAACTTAACTTGGCCTTGGTATTTTGATATAGCGAAGTGTAGTTACTATAGGACACAATTAATACTGAGGTGCTGAGTGAAAATCACCACGGGTCACGAAGGGGCTGTTCAAAAGTTTCTGTTCGTTACGGAACATGGTCCCGACCCTTGTGGTTGATCCGTAAGGTGAAGTAAATTGATGATTTAGAATTGGATTGATCAGTCATAGTTAGCATCGCTTTACATGGAGCCGGCAAGAGATATTCAAAAAAAGGACTAGAGTAGGTTTTAGAAAAACAGAAAATTCAGGTTAATTTGGCTCATTTATGTCTGTGCTATACTGACTACCTAGTTTTGTGTTGCGATCTATGGTTTATTTATTATTATTAATTTTTTTTTTTTTTTTTAAAATATATTTTTTTAATAATTCTTTCTTTAATTGTATATTAACACAACCATAAAATAAAAAAAATAAAAATAAAAATAAAAAAATTGCAAACAAAACTTCCTCCTAACGAATTTACTGTTCCGTTTCTTTTGGTCTATGAATTGAATCATCACTTGATTAATAAATTTACTTTATTTTTGTTTAGAGTTTGTTTAACTGATTTCTTGTATCCACCATACGTAGTGCTTCCCTCAACTTCACCACAGCCAAAACCATGTTGACTAAAACGCGGGTTCTTGAGCTGCTGCTCGCCTTGCTGTTCGTTTCTGTTGTTCATGCTCACAGCGTAATCGTCAAGCCTCAGGAAAGACGTATGTTTGGTTAAAGAAGTGTCTAGTTTTGGAGTTGTGATGAGATGTTAACAAAACGCCTTTCTGCGTTACAGGTTGTTTGTATGAGCAGCTTCACAAGAATGACAAGATGACTGTCTCGTACCAGACAAGTGTTGGAGGTGACCAGCTGGTATCAATGGGTGTCTACCGTGATGACTTTAATTATCCCATGTTTACTCAACCCGGCAGCAGCATGGGTGAGTACTCCTTTGATGCTCCGGAGGACGCAAAATACATCTACTGCTTTTACAATGTATGTTCTTCAACGACAGAGGCATTTACGATTGTTGTCAAACACATTATGTGCTTTTCAGACATCAATATCTCGCCTGTCCGTACAATGGGAACAAAGCAAACTCTAACATGAAAACAGGAGGGTCATGATAATCAAGACAAAGAGGTTCTTTTCAACGTTCACGGTATCATCTATGTGTCTGCCGACGATCCGGACAATCAAAATGCATTGGAACAAAAAGTGAAACAATTGCACGATACAATTGCTCAAGTTCGTCACGAACAAGAGTACCTCGTCGCTCGTGAACGTGTTCATCGCAACACGGCTGAAAGTACGAACTCTCGTGTTAAGTGGTGGAGCATTCTTCAAGCATTCTTGCTCGTTTGTGTTTGTGTGTTCCAAATTTTCTATGTCAAGCGTCTGTTCGAAGTCAAGCGTGTAGTATAAACGGTAGCCTGTAACTGCTCAACGTTTTACTCATCAGGTGCGTTGTGCTCCTGCGTGTCGTTCTCCTTGCAAAACCCTTTTTCACAACATGTACACGTAATGTAGCACAATGCCCACTTCTTTCTCTCAACAGTCTCTCCTTATAGGGTCACATACTACAATCCGTTCCTGTCACGTTTCCCAGCTAGCCGCTGACGCTCAAGAGCTATGTTCCTTAAAATAAATAATTAAACTATGAACAAAAAGTAGTCGTAACAAGATCCGGTGAAACATCATCTGGTTCTAGGGCCGTCGGAGGACATGCCGCTGGAGCCTAAGCAAGAATTACAGTCTTGCTATTTCGATGATCCTGTTTTTTTGTATCATTTTTGACCCGCGGCGTTGCCGAGGTAATTTTTGGACGGACCCTAGCCAGGAAGGCGAATAAGACAGTTGCCCTCCGCCAACTGCCAATTAAACCAGTAAGACAGGATATCCAAAATGGCACAAGGAGAAATGAAGAAAAACAGCACTTTTGCTGCCAAGAAACAGCGTCAGACCAAAAAGGCCAAGAATCCGAAAAAAGGAGGTATTTTCAGAGGAATCCATATTTTGAAGCCATTGAACGTTTATTAACCACTTGTCAGCGAGATTTTGCGCTCCCAAACGTCCTGCCGCTGTTAAAGATCACTTGGTGAACAAGGTGAGTCGTTTGATGTTGGTGAAACCGAGTATTAACGCAGGTAAAGGCCTTTACAAAAGCATTGAACGTGAAGAACGAGAAGATGTTCGCTGGTGTGGCCAAACAACAATCCGACAAATTGACAATTATGAAGGCTCTTAGTGAAGCCGGTGCCAAGGAACTCGACAAGAAGAAACGTTGAAAAAATTGCTTAGAGATTTTTATGTCTTGAGACTTCGTTTGTGGTTGTTATTGTTGTTTTTTTCTCCTTGGTCTGTTTTGGCTGGTTTTAAACCAATTTGGGTTCTCTTTTATTTTTCGATGGCATATATTTTGATTCGGTAATGGATGGCTTGTTTTATTTTATGGTCGATGACTGGTGCGAGTAAACAACAAAACGGCACCAAAGATGGAGGGAAGTACGATGCACTATGGGAGGAGGGGAAGGAGAGGAAGGGAGTTGTTTTCCTTGACAGGTTTTTGAGTGAGAAGGAAAGGTTTCTCATTACCGTCTCCGCCGACGTTTTCTCGTAATGGGGACAGCTGGTTTTGGGGAGGAGGAGGTGGAGGACGACGCTTTAGACGGTGCAAATGTTCGTTGGAGATATGCCCATTCTTCGTGCCATTGCTTTAGTAAAACTTTAGCCTTGGAGATATTTTCACGAACATTAAGAATAGAGGCTTTATCTTCTAGATCGGCTGATGGAAAAACACTTGTATTTTCTGTGCGCGTTTTTGCGCCAGAAATATCCTCCAACATGCTTTTTCGTGCTAATTCCGTGTATGTTTGCAAGGCCCCAACTATGTCGGACCCTGTGCTGGAAATGACAGATGCAGAGTCCGACACCGTTCCATCCATATCTTCACCTTGCTCACCAGACTCATTAGCGGTTTCCACCGTAGGTGCGGGATCATTTGTCGTCGTCATATTGGAGGTGTGTGCTTCCTGTTGAACATCATTGCCATTCTTTCGCTCAACGGGAGATTGCGATTGGGGATGCTCGATTGCCGAGTCATTATTACTGTTTTCAGTTGCTGAAGGAAGTGTAGAAGACACGGGTATCAATTGAGACAAATCTTTGTACCCGTAAGTCACCGACTCGTCAGTGGGGTCGAAGTCCTCGGACTCGTTTTTTGCCAATGGTGGGTCAGTGGCATCATTAGATTGCTGAGTATTCGTAGCAGAATTGTCGTTTCTGGCCTGCTTTGCATAGGAGTAAGCTGCTAAATAACTCGCATCGTAGCAAATATCTTTGCCGTGTTGCTCAAATAATTGCTGTATGCTTTCAATGGTAGAGGTCTGTTTTGTCATCTCACACAAAGTTTTAGCATCGACCTGTACCGTTTTTGTTTGTCCATTGTCTGCTCTATGTTCGAGCAAGACACTTGCGTTTTTCGTATCAGATGTGGGATTGGCATCCGTCGTTGTTTGCGGTAGCCATTGCTTGAGAAAAACAGGAAGCGGATATTTTGCCTCAGCAAAGCCTAATAGGCTAGCCGACACTGCAAAGTTAGCAAAGGAAGTTTGAATTGCGACCGAAGGATAGGTGGAAAAATGCAGACAAAATGTAATCCAGTTTTTTTCAACCATCCAATTCGCTCTCTCAATCCTTACCGAGAACCATCCAAATAGAGGACGGCTTATCGCCTTTCCTCGATTGTTCAAAGTTGACGACCGACTCATTTGAATTTTGACTTATTTGATGTTGTAGTTTTTGGGCATCTTCCTTGCATTCTAATGCTGCACTTATAGATTCCAGTGTCACTGGCCGAACAGTCTGCAGCAGAAATGAGCGTAGAGCACTGGGTTCGACAACATATACAGACTGATTGATTTCGGTAAAGGAAGTAGCCATTGGACCCGATACAACCGCTCAGCGTCGTAAAAGTACCGCACAACCAACGAAGAAAACCGAGTAAATAGAAAACGAAAATAAAAACGAAAAACTTCGAAAACGAAAGAAACGAAAAAAAATATACGTCTGTTCAAAACTTCAAAAAGGTATGCACTACAAATGTGCTCAGACAAAACGTTTGTCAAAGATTTAAAAAAAGAATAAAAAAAAAAAACAGAAAACGAAAAAATTAACACAATGAGGAAAATAAGCTTCAGTGAACGTGAGGTCTTCTACAATTGAAAAGTAGGTTAGTTAGATGAAATTGACTTTTTACCGTGAATTTGTTTCTCGTTGAAAACAAGAATTTCTACGGCATTGCTGCGTCATACTAATTGACTCAAAGAAGCTACAAAATGATTCTAGTACAGCGATTCCGTCGCAATCCCATAAACCAAGCCAAATGTCGTTTGAGAAAGCCAAGTTTGCAAAGCGTGCGTTGCGACGATGGAATAATCGCCAATATTGGCCGACTCCGACTTGTTTTTCGCTAACTGGTCGCCCCGCAGGGGGGTTAACGGAAATAACCTAGACCAATCTCCAAACCCCTCCCCGCACTTCTCCTACCCCCGAGGGGCTATCGACCCCATAAAAATCGCACCCCCGAGAAACAACCAATAACGCCAAGTGCGCCAATTGAGAAGAACAAACACAAAACATCAACCAATGAATGACTAGATTACATAACACCCCAAAGTCATCGACTCCAACGTAACCGATAACCAATGGGCGATCTATTAAGTCAATAGTCACCTTTACACAGCGCTAAAAAAACAAAAAACAAAAGCTGGTTGCAGTACATTCACGGCACCACATCAACCAACGTAGCAAACCAATTTCGGAACGTAAGAAACCCGTGCCGAGAACGGTTATGCGAACAGAAGGCAAACGCCCGACAGATAGAGTGGAACCGGCTATTAATCGTTGCAACCTAAGAAAATGTGTTGTGAGAGACATAGCGTTATGATACATGCGACGACGAGACTCCGTCGGCGAATACTATATCCGACAACACTAAATCATTCAAGATAATAAACCCACTTACATCAAGAGGGCGAGGACGAAGAGACCAAGGACACCAGCAACGGAAACCTTGGAAACGGCGGCAGCAGCGCCGGAACCGACAGTGACGGGCTCGTAACCGTTAGTACCGTTAGTAGCGTTGGCAGTGGAGTTAACACTAGCGGGGGTATGTTGTTAGAGTAGACAACACCGTTACCAGCAGAGGGAGCAGGAGAAGCACTCTTGGTACGGGAAACGGTAGCAGTGGCAGTGACAGTGGTGCCACCAACAACGGTGGTCACAGTGGAGGCAGAAGCGTCACCGTTGGCAGGGAGAGTGTAGATCTTGGTAGTACCACCAATAACGCTGGTAGTAGTCTCAGTCTCAGGAACAACGGGGACAGCAGAGGTGGTCTCCTTACCACTCTCGCAAGGGACAGTGGTGGTCACGACGTCAGAGAAGTAAGTGGTCTCGTATTGAGTGTAGGTGACACAGTCGCCAGTGGTAACAGGCTCAGCAACACTGGTGGAGACAGTGTGAGCAGGGTACATGGTCTTAGTGATGGTCTTGGTGACATGGTCAGTGACAGTGACCTCGGTAGTGATGGAGGCAGTGACGGTAGTGTAAGGAGTAGTCTCAACCGTAGTGAAAGCAGATTGCTTACCACCGACAGTAGCGGTCAAAGTCTTGGTGATGGTGGTGTACTCAGTGATGACAGTAGTACCACAGACAGTGCAGGGAATAGTGCTGGTAACCGTGTAGTTGACGGGAAGAGCAGTGGTCACAGGGACAGCGGTGGTGCTGTTAGCATAAGAAGCAGGAGCGACAGAGCTAACAGTAGCGTTGTTGGCAGCAACAGCGGAGGAGGCTGCGGGAGCAGTGACGTTGGCAGAGCTGACAGGAACAACGGGAGCGACCGAAGTAGTGTTGACAGAGGGGGCAACGGGGATGAAAGTACCGTTGGTAGCGTTCAAAGCATTAGCGACAGCAACAAGGCCAGTGAGAGCGACAGCAAAAGGTCCACGCATTATGAATATCAGATATTAGAAATAGGAGGGTAACTTAGAGTAAGATAAAATCAAATAGGTCCAAACAATGGAAGTATTTAGAAACGAATGACAAGTGTGGTATTTGCGAACGCTGTCGATATCTCTGTGCAGACGCTATTCAAGATGATACAGCAGCAGTTAAGGAACGGCAGACGCTAGGAGCACGGTACTTAAATACCAACATTCATGTCCGATCCATGACTGCTTTTTTATCGTGAGGAGTGTTACCAAAAATAAATTACAGCCAATGAGCGTAAAGAGCGCATCGTTAACGTGTGCGCCAAACCCCAACCTCCAACGCTAATCAGGTGCAATGGCTAATCAGCACCCAGCTGTCTATGTAAACTACGTCACCGCCAACCAATGATCCACACTGGACGTCATAGCAGCTGAAGAACCTTCAAACTCAGTTTGTTGCTGCCGTCAAACGCGGTACAGGCTTGCGAGCTATTCTTCTGCGCCGCACGAAACCGTCCTGGGAGACGGGATTGTGCTCGCTAGTGGAGAAATCTCGTAACTAAATTCCAGCCCACACGCGTATTCCCCAGTTTCTACGACCCAATATTGAAGGTTATTCAGTCACTTGACCAGCCTTGAACCCTGGCTTATCCCTGAGATCGGCATTTCGAAATACCACTCGTTACACCTCACACAATGGACCAACACAATGGCAACAAGGCCTTTGCAGCACGTTGCAACCCTCCCATTCCCTACGTCATTGACCCAATACCGCGGTGAACAAAGAACCAAAGAAGCCGTGTTGCGCCATATGACGTCGATACTTTATTTGTTCGCCACCCAACGGCTCGAAAGAAGGTTTCAACCCTCAACAAATCATGAACGGGGTTGCTCGTGTTTGAGGCACAGAACAAAAGCGAAGGGAGAGGGAGGATGACTAGGGGAGAAGAAACATATGAACGATGGTCCGAGAAGGGAACGACCGCACTCAAATAGTACTCAACTAGACGCGCTTGCGAAACTATTGTCTCGTCTGATGCCGGTGCTCGCATCCACTCTCATCAAAATTCGAAACGAACGGAGCCGTCCTTGCTTCGCATCGGCAAAGCCGACAACTTCCGAACCATAGCCAATGAGAATAAACCACGCGACTTAGACTCAGAAATTAGCGATAAAGGCGAGCGCACATCACGCTTCCAGAACGGTCGCTAACGTTTCATCCCCGCTCGCAGGTCTGCAGATCCTCCGAAACCGCATGCACCGCTTTCACAGTCCGCCCGGCGAGATAAGCACCGGACGCTTCTGAATGGTCTCGGCGGAATATGAGAAGTAACACGGCATAATTCTAAGTAACAAAGCATGACTGTTTACCGGCATTTGTTGAAATCTCGGAAGCAAATAGCGACTAAAATGTCTGCTTTTGCGTTATGACGCATTGCGCAGCTAGCCCTATATAAGCAGGGAAATCCGCCCCGAACATTATCATCTGCAACTTCCTTCGCAACACATCTTAAGGAATTTTCAGAAACTCTCTACTCAAAATGGCTCGCAAATTCTTCGTCGGTGGTAACTTCAAGATGAACGGCTCCTTGGAGTCTCAAAAGAAGATCATTGAGGCTCTCAACGCCGCCAAGCTCAACACTGAGAAGGTTGAGGTTGTCGTTGCCCCTCAAGCTCTTTACCTTTTGAACACTCGTGCTGAGTTGCGCAAGGACATTGGTGTTGCTGCCCAAAACGTCTTCAGCAAGGCCCACGGTGCTTACACTGGTGAGAACAGCGCTCAATCCCTCGCTGACGCTGGTATCACCTACACCCTTACTGGTCACTCCGAGCGTCGTACTATCTTCAAGGAGTCCGACGAGTTCGTCGCTGACAAGACCCAATACGCCATTGAGCAAGGTTTGATCGTTATCGCCTGTATCGGTGAGACCTTGGCCGAGCGTGAGGCCGACAAGACCATCGAGGTCTGTGTTCGTCAACTCAACGCTTTGGCCGCTAAGGTCAAGGACTGGAGCAAGGTCGTCATTGCCTACGAGCCCGTCTGGGCCATTGGTACTGGTAAGACCGCCACTCCCGAGCAAGCCCAAGAGGTTCACGTCGAGATCCGTAAGTGGGCCAACGAGAAGCTCGGTGCTCAAATTGCCGATGCCCTCCGTATCATCTACGGTGGTTCCGTCAACGGTGGTAACTGCAAGGACTTCCTTAAGTTTGAGGACATCGACGGTTTCTTGGTCGGTGGTGCTTCCCTCAAGCCCGAGTTCCACAACATTATCAACGTCCACAACCTTTAAATGCCGTGCAAATGATAATATTTGTGCAATGAACTTGAGCGTCACTCCCTCTGTCACCGTATAGATTTCGGCGGCTATGCATGTCGGATGCACTCCACCTTCATTTTTAGATGACAACAATAGAATGGACTTTTTTGTATGACTGTGCGGGTGAATTGGTGTATTGGTTGTGTGCAGTGAGTGAGTGGGTTTATGATTCGTCCCCCGGGAGGGGGATCGACTGGTTGTTTCTCGTTTGATGGATTGGTGCTTTCTTACCGTTTTCGATAGTATCTGTGACACTTTTGCTCGAGTTCTCTGTGGTTTGATATATTTTATTGGGTTACAACTTCTGCGGATGCTATCGAGTGGCATCAGTGGAAACGCTGGATGGGTGTGTGAGCATTTCCGTCCGTCCACTGAAGTTTGACCTCGCCGACGGCATCGCGAATGAATATTGAAATAGAGGCTCTGGACATTTTTGCATCAACTTCGCAGGGTTGAAATTTGCGTGGGTTTTTTTTTACTAATCGCGCATTCGCACTGACGAAACTGCATTAACATCATCGTCGTATTTGTTACTATAAAAAAGGCGCTTGTCCGTCATTAGACGATGTCTATCCCCTCATATCTCACCAAGCGATTTGTGCCGCGCTTATTTAGTGAAAGTTCGCTCCTCTTTCAGTCTGCTACCGCTTGTCGACTTACTTCCACATTTGTTGCACTTCCTAACACACCTATTCACTCGGCCCTTTATCCCAGTTCGCGATTTTCTCGGTCTTACAGCAGTAAAACGCCACCGCGGAAACCCTCGAGTTTCTTTTATTCATCAGATCTTCCTTCTTTCTCAGACACTAGTATGGAAAACTTGAACCGTCGTATCGAAGAGATTGACCACCAGGGTCTCTTGGTCAAAAAGCAAAAAAAGACAGAAGACCAAGTATGTCACTTTCCTTCGGATGGGCATATCAACGACTTGCTTGAACGCAATCAAGATTGGTCGGAAAAGACGGCCAAAAACTATCCTCGCTTCTTCGACGCTACCAAGGATGTTCAGTCTCCACAAGTTTTGTGGATTGGTTGTTCCGACTCTCGTGTACCCGAAACAACTATCCTGAACTTGCTTCCCGGCGAGGTCTTTGTTCATCGTAACATTGGAAATGTCGTGTCTCGTTCCGATGTGAACTGTTTGGCTGTCATGGAATACTCGGTTACCGTATTGAAGGTCAAACACATCATTGTGTGCGGACATTACGGTTGCGGCGGAATTAAAGCAAGTTTGGGTCCCCCTTCCTACAACTTATTGGATCACTGGCTTCATCATATACGTGATGTGGCCGAGGATAATCGTCCAGAGCTGGACTCGATCACGGATTTCAGTCAGAAGCATCGTCGCTTGTCTGAACTTAATACTCGGGCACAAGCTGTATCGGTCACACGAGTTGGTTTTGTTCGTGAAGCTATGGAGAACCGAGGACTCAAGGTTCACGCGTGGGTTTACGATGTTGGCACCGGACGCATCAATACGCTTGACATCCACGATGCCATAGAAAAGGCGAAGTACAAGTTTCATGATGAACCTTCTCATTAGTTTTGAGTCTGAAATTCTGCTTTTTATTACGTGCAAAATTGAGTAAACAGATTGCCTTTTTATCTGCAAACTTGTTCTATGAGTATGATGAATATACAATTATTTTATGAAACATAGCTATTCGTATGGTAGGTTTACGCCGGGTGACGGTTTCAGGTCTTGATTTTAAGCAGTTTGACTGATAATAAAGTTTAAGTGTTTCTTTAAAGCCGCTAGTGTTTCAGTTGGTCGCTCCTGCGCAGTATAAATGTGCACAGTTAGCCAAAGTATCCAAGTCAAAATTGAAATAATAACCAAGAAGAATATGGCATGACCAGAAGGTGCAGCGCGACTCTCACCAATGCTTTGTTTTTGCCGTCTTGAGTTGAGACTGGGGGACGGATCTCGCACGAGCAAAAGTTTGCATCTTGCATGTTTAGGGAGGTTGAAGTCAACTTTTTGGTCGTCCGACATACTTAAGTGTTGCTTATGGTGATTGTACGATACACTTGAAAAACGAACTGTTTGTTAGTATTAGCAAAAATGAAATGGTGCTTACAATTATAGCATGCCACATCATTTAGTAAAACACGAAGAGAATGAAGCGGTTCGGAGAATATTGGTAATGGAACAATAACGTAAGTGCCTGTGTATACAGGCACTACTTTAAAACGTGCTTCGAATTGAATGGACAGTCGTTCAGAGTCATTCAATATTGTATAGCTGTCAATTCCGTTATGAGTGTAAGAGATGGGTGCATCATTTACGTTTGTTGACAAGAACCACATGAGCGTTACCGCAGTTGGTACAGTAACTGTTAACAATTCTTCGCCAATTACACCTGAAGTGTATAGAATTCCTCGCATATGGATGTGTATTAAACCACTTGTCCGTGTTTCTAACACTATTTCTGGATCTTGCAGTGGACAATTTAAAAATGCACAACCAGTCGACAATGGCTGAATGAAGTGTAGGATAGGAGAAATCCGAAAACAAAAGTCTGGAATGCCATTCGTAAGATGATATTTTAACGTAGAAACATCATCAGCCTTTGAAGCTAACCGAGACCAAGAATGCTGTGTAGAGTTTGATAGCTCCACATTGAATTGACACTGTGTTAATACTAGTGTAGTAACAGTTTCAGCATCTTTCAGAAAAAGAACACGAGGAAGAGAAACTTCAGCACCAACAGAAACTGTTTGTTCGAAAAGCATTTCCAAACGATCGTCACAGTTCAAACTTACTCGCCGATCGAGTTTCATAACGGTAACGGCGTTTTTTCCAGTATAACATTGGAAAGCTAGAGGATCTCTGTTCATCAAAACATCTTTTAATTTTGCATTTGGAGGACAGAAGAGATAGATCCGATGAAGTGTCTGGGTTGAAGCAACAGAACACTGAATGGTCAAAGCATTCAACATTTCCTTATTCAAGACATTGCCGATCCGAAACGCGGATTTTGAATGTACGTAAATGAAACACGGTGACAAATTCGTGTTAACATATGATTTAAACCACTCGATTGAAAGCGACGGATAACAAGACATGTTGATTTCAATAGGTTGAGATGAGAATGATTGCCAATCGGCAACCATTTTACTTCCGGTCTCTGATATAAGGCATGGTTTTTGTTGCCCGTCTAATATAGACAGTTTCCATAAAGAATCCTTTGGACGAGAAAGAAATATGTTAACGATAAGTAACCCCGACCAGCTCATGAAATAAAAGTCGAATTTCGAAGCTTTGTCAACGTCAGTCAGTTGATATTCTATTAGAATAGAAATCTTCCAGGTAGATTTACATGATCCAGGACGCACAAACCACAGACAGTCGGCGCGCTGATCAATCAAAGGATCATTCGTGCTTAGTGACACCGGACTAGAAGAATGAGAACAAAACCGTCCTCCAAGAGCAAAACTTTGCTCGGGATCGCAAGCTCGATTTTCAGTGACACTTTTGACTAACGAGATATTCGACTGGAGCAATCGTTCGTGTTTCTTACGTATATTCGCATCTACCTTTCGATGCTTTGAATATGCTTCATTTTCTTTCGTGTTCTCGTCTTTCGCTAATATATGTCGCTTGTCCGTAACATTCTGTTTCTTCGTAAACGACTGAAAAGAAGAATTGGTAGGAGAAACAGTACCTTCCAGTAAACGAAAACCCTTTGGAATTTGAAAGAACGGGAATTCCGAGCCGTGGATTGATTGTTGTATCTGAAAAACTGTTAATCAAAATGTTTCGAAAAAAAAACTTAACCAACCTCAAATTGAAATTGCAGTAGCACACCAGAGCCGCATTCCCAAAAGGGAGAATGAGATTTAGAGCGCATTTCTTGCTTTAATGTCGCGAAACGTTAGAATCGTACACCGCAATGTCTTGTTGCAGTTAGTAGACGGAAGCCTTCCTACGGTCGGTTTGTTCACCAGAGAGCGTCGCAAAAGCGTCGATCACTGAAGCCTAATTTCAAATGATATCATATCTCGTGATCACTCTAAACCGTCAATAAGCGAACACCAAAACAACGAAACTAAAAGACAGTCACAAGTTTCCCTCCACGGTTTTTCGGTACAACACCTCCTGCCCTTCCCAACCTTCTCCAAACCACACCATAGAAACAGCGCAAATGGCAGCCGCTCGTCCTACAGTGAGTGTTTACTCAGTTCAAGGTGCAGTCTCTGAGAGCACTGTGCCTCTTCCCTTCGTGTTCAAGGCTCCCATCCGCCCTGATGTGGTCCGCTCTGTTCACACTGCCGTCGCCAAGAACAAGCGTCAAGCTTACGCCGTTTCTGAGAAGGCCGGTCACCAAACCTCTGCTGAATCCTGGGGTACTGGTCGTGCCGTTGCTCGTATTCCCCGTGTCGGTGGTGGCGGTACTCACCGTTCCGGTCAAGCTGCCTTTGGTAACATGTGTCGTAGCGGTCGCATGTTTGCTCCTACCAAGACCTGGCGTAAGTGGCATGTGAAGGTCAACCAGAACCAAAAGCGTTATGCTATTGCTTCCGCTGTTGCTGCTTCTGGTGTTCCTTCTCTCCTTCTTGCTCGTGGTCACCGCGTCGAGGAGATCGCTGAGGTTCCCTTGGTTCTTGCCGACGAGGTCGAGTCTATCAAGAAGACCAAGGAGGCTGTTGCTGTCCTTAAGGCTGTCAAGGCCTACCGTGACGTCGTTAAGGTCGCCAACTCTCGCAAGCTTCGTGCTGGCAAGGGTAAGATGCGCAACCGCCGTTACGTCCAACGTCGTGGCCCCCTTGTTGTTTACAACGAGGATGCTGGCATTACCAAGGCCTTCCGCAACATTCCCGGTGTCGAGCTCGTCAACGTCCGTCGCCTCAACCTCCTTCAATTGGCTCCCGGTGGACACTTGGGACGCTTCGTCATGTGGACCAAGTCTGCTTTCGCTCTCCTTGATGCCCTCTTCGGCAGTGCCACTGAGGCTTCCGAGTTGAAGAAGAACTACTTCCTCCCCACTAACATCATGGCTAACGCCGACGTTACTCGTCTCATCAACTCTGACGAGATTCAAAGCAGCATCAAGGCCGCTGGCCCTGCTCGCGTTAAGCGTTCTCACGTTCTCAAGAAGAACCCTCTCAAGAACAAGGCCATCATGGCTCGTCTTAACCCTTACGCCAAGGCTTACAAGGCTAACGTCAAGATCAACACTACCAAGACTCCCAAGGCTGCCGGTGAGAAGTTCTTGGCCGTTCTCGCTGAGAACTAAGTGACTTTGTGAATGCGGCTAGTATTGCTGAAAATAAAATCGTCTCGTCCATGTCACTACTACTTAAAGGGTGTTAAATTTCATTGGTTTTGTATTCACGGAAATGGAAGGTTGTTCCGAGTTCTTAAGTGTAAAGCATTAGGGCCGCCTGAGCAAGGAGCCGAGCGGTAAAAGGGGGCTCGTAGTGCTCGTGGCTTGCCCAGTAAGCTTGTTGATTATCAAAAAGGTAATTAGCAGTAGGTCGTTTGCCTTGTAGGTGTCCTAATAAAGAAATCCTCAAAAAGATTTACACGTTGCGGAGCCAGTTGTGTAAAGGAAAGTGTGTGGTCATCAAAACATCTCTTAATAAAGGAAGTTATTCGGCAGAAGCTTCTAGGTCGTCGGATGCTAAATCCATGTACTTTGACATTAACTTATGAGCATTGGGTAATGATTGCTTCAGTTCGTCAATGTTTTCGTCGAGTTTGTAGATTTCTTGGACCCGGAAGGTTAGATGATCATAAAACAGCCTAGAAAGCTTCTTTGATACTTCCCCTAATTCGACTCGGTGAGCTCGACTTGACTCTATTAAGTTCTTTTGGGCAGAATGAACAGACTGTGCCGTTTCGACTTGAGTAGCTAAAGTGCTGGCACTCTGTTGAATTTGTGTAACCACATGCTCGATAACGCTTTTTGTGTCGGAAGCTGAGTCTGGCATATGGCACGGATTGTCTTTTTCGATGGGATCTAATTCAGTTGTTCGTTGAATGTGCTGTTTTAGTGTTTCCACCTCATTCGTCGTTTGTTGAAGCTTTGTCCGTGATTGTTCTAATTCACGAATAACAGTGGTATGCTCCGTTCGTTTTGTCTTTCGTTGAGAAGTTAGACGAACAAGTGAGTCCTCCAGTTCTTTCGATTGACGTTGGAGCTCTGCCTTTACAGCGAGCTTGTCATTCAATTCACGGTCCATAGCCTTCATTTTTACATTCAACTCCTCGCTCTGTTCTTGGAGTAAGTCCATTTCGTGTCTCATTTTTTCGTATTCTTCTTCACCATCATCAATCGCAGCTTTCTCCCGTTCCGTTTGACGATTGATTGTTTCTAAGTTTTCATGAAGCAGCTCAATTTTGCTCTCTAACTCTTGTAACACCCGTCCAGTGTGCTTGTTTACTACAGGCACAGAAAGATTCGGGCAGTTTGAATCGTTCTCCAACTGAGCGTCCATGTTTTGTAAGTCGTCTAAACAATACTTCAGGGTTATATTTTGACTATGTGAGTCTCCGGACGCGCCAATTGCAGTTCCTTGCCTGCTGAGTGTTTGGTTCTTGCTTCGTGCACTCTCACGAGGGAACGCCCAGGGTGAGTGTCGCGGTATAACGCGCAAGATCTCGTAAATCGTTTTGTGAAATTTAAAGAACTACTTTATAATAATAATGCACTCTCTTATTTTTCACTAAAGTAAATTAACGAACGTTTAATTTTGACCATCGTACAGTTCACTATTTATCGCTATACTCGACACCGCTACAAGTTAGCTCAGAAATGTAACCCAACGAAACGGAGCCATGGAGCGTCAGCGTCGGTCGTATTCTGTGCATAAAGGCACGATTATTACTCGAAAGACCCACCTGGTTGCCATGATGAAACGCAAACAAAATGAGCTTGAGAAAAGGTATGCACAAAAAAAATACGAAGACTACCACAACTTAGTGGTATATAAATTTTCTAAATAGATTCACATACTAACCCTTATAATCGTAGTGGTCGGACACTTTATCAAGCTGTGGGAATGGCAATTCCCCAACTGGTGCAGTTGGTCAACAAATACCAGCAGCAGGGATACCGTGTCCAGCTCGATACTGACACCATTGAGTTGGTGGACGATGTTATAAATGATGTACGCAGCCGAGGATTCTGTAATAGTGCAGAAAACACGACATTATTTAGCCTTTTACTAACGCCGAGTAGGATGGTTTCACTACAGTGAAGCGGTCTGGCAACATTCTTTTCGCAACCGTATTCTACAAGTAAACAGAATGCTTGTGTTCAAAGACAACCGATGTTATGGTTAATGAATCATCCGGAAATGCCATATGGTGGAAGCGGTCCATTAGCAGGTTTAAAATGAGTGTAGTTGTTTTAGAAAATGTTAAATATAGAAAATAAAAGACAGACGGGCAGGAGGTGAATCAATAAAAGACAAAGTCTGCGGAAAGAAAAGCAAAGAATGTGACAAGAAACGGCGAAAGGGTCTGTGTATAGCACGGAACAAAAACACATCTCGAGTAGAACAAAACCGAGTGTATGGATGTCTCTTGTCTTGCCTGAACGGGCGACTCCATACACATATACATGTTATACAGATACTCAAGTCAAAGGAGAGAAACAGAAAAATTAGGAAAGAAACCTAGCACTGCACAAACAAAGAAGTTAACCAAAACCGAATGCAAACATGGAAGAAATATATAAACAACAGGTGTAGAAGATGCTTAATGCATGCTGTGCCGGCGAAATGTTTGAAGACGACCATTGAAGAATTTTGAAAAAAATGTACTCTCCGACGAACACGGCAATCCGGAATACCGCCTCGGCAAAGACAATTGTAAATTGGTTTGCGCTGTTTTATATCCAGCGTCAATTGTTGTGTACATCAGTAGGTGCACGTAGATAGCGTTTAGGGAAAGTTCCATTGCATGTCCCAAGTCCTCCGCCACGATGTTGGGCTTTCTACCGGAAAGTCTCGAGACTTGGGATACTGGGAATTTTTTCCCTGTTGCATTGGATTGGGTCTTCCGAAAGAGTCATTTGGGACGCGTTGTTGTGGAAAGGGAACATTAGGAAAATTAGGGCCTGTAGCGCTAACAGGAGACGCGTACGGGCTGTTACCATCGGGAATAGAAAGTTTGTAGGGCGGTGGCAGTGAATGGGTATTGACAGGGGGGACAACACTTGAAATGACAGATTGAGAGGGCATTCCATGGGAAGGATAGGCAAAGTTCATAGGTGGTACGGTATCATTGTCAAAGTATTCCATACTATAGGACGACATGACGGGGACGCCCGCTCTAGGAACCGAAGAAACAACTCCGGGGTTATGGGAAGGATGTCCCGAGTGAAGCAAATGATCCGCCATAGCTTGTTCTGCGTGTCCATACGATATAGAGGGCATGGATTGGCGGGGGAGACCAGGAACAGAAGGACTGCTAGAGCCCGAAACAGCGGGAACATATTCCATGGAAGAGTCAATCATCCACGAACCGCTGTTGGAGGGACCAGCATTTGAGGGAGAGGGAAGGTATTGTTGTTGACGGTTTGGGTTTGGAGCTTGAGATGCGGAATGTGTAATGACGGGGGGTTGAACATGAGCAGGTTGTTGCTGTATGTTTGTGTAAGGCGGAGAAATTGTAAGTTTCATATGGCTTGCTGGGCTGAGTCTGTTGCCTTCGAGTACCATTAGCAGTCATTTGCGAATGATAGCTTTCGTCAACCGGTTGGGGTGTTGTGTCCATGTTTGCTTCTCCATCGTAAAAATCGCTAGGAGACTTTGCTTCATGAATTTCAAGCTTCTTTGATTGCTCTAACATTTCATGAAAATCAGTTGATGAAAAAATATATAATCGACCTTTTTTGTCGATAATGCTAACGGAGATGTCACATTCGGTGAGAACTGATAATTCATATGCCTTCTTATATAGTCCATGTTTACGCTTGATAAAAGTGACACTCCTCGAGCGTTCGTCCTGGATTGGTGCAATTGAAATTTTTTTACGACCCATTGCAATGACCAGCAATCAATGGAACGAGTGAGAGAGCTTGAAGAAGTAGTGAAAAAAAAAAAGAAAAATAAAATAAAAGGAGAGAAAAGAAAAGAAAAGAAGAAAAAATTTTAAGAATGACCAGACAATTGCAGATTTTCTGTAATGGACAAGACGAGACTCGTACTAATAAACGACTAGCCGCAGAACCCCGTTGTATCGACACACGCGATTTAGAAAACAAAACAAAAATGCAGGAGAACCAATGACCACACAACAGTTACAGAACTGATGGTATAATGGTGAAAAGGGAGAGAAAACAAGTCTTAGGGTAGAAGAAGAAAAATATCGAAAACTTAATTGAGCTTAATCAATTCCAAAAGTTGTTAATACACAGACCTAGGACGATGACTATGTTTTAAAACCAACTCAATTAAACGCTTAAAAAACAAGAGTTGTTCTTCCAAGTATTGAATTCGCTTGTAGCGGGAAATCAGTAAAAAGCACCAAGAAATGAGCTTAAAATATGAAAAAAAGAAAAACCAGTTGGTTCAAACCAACAAATGAGCCAAACAGAATCCAAAAACCACGCAGTTAATCCACAATTCGTAGGAAATGATTAATCAAACGAGTGTTGCGATATTGGTTCTTGGTAGCAGTTTTGGGGTGTATGTGGAGTTGCCGTGCACGGCAATTGTTGGATGAAGCTCCGAGTACTAAAAAAAGGCAAATTGTTATGTAGCTAGCAGTTCAATCGAGACGATATTCAAAAACAGAACATGTGGGATGATATTTTAGCGGATATTGTAATTTAATTTCGTTTTTTCCTGTGCACGAAATCATAGCAAATTAATAGCAAATTACCCGAAAAATCATAAAAAATCTCTAAAAATAAAAAGTTAGAAAATAAAAAAGATGGAAAAATACATACAAATCATAAAGAAAAAACAAGAAACGAGTTATTAATCATTTCAAAAAAAATTCTCTAGTGTAGATAAATACAGAATATTAAAAAAATCTGCTCTCGACATGAATTAACATATCACAAGGATTGAATATGACATTTATTGCATGAAAACAAACACAGACTCTTTGCAACGTTTTCCAATTCGCGCAACTTACCGGCAGTTCTCTATGTTTTGTCCAAAATACGAAGATAAACTTGCGCATCGCATTGTTTTCATCTTCAAATGGGACGCAGATGTTGACGGCATATGTTTTTACACATCATCGTTTCCTTCTCTGTCTGTGTCATCCTAATCCTAAGCGGCGCTTTATGAATTTTTATACTAGCGCCCGCTACTATCCTTGGTAAGCGAAAAATAAGGTTCAGGGACAAAAGAAATGATCGGCATTATGGACCCTTGATCTTCGGACAAGCGATTGACTCTCAAGCTCCTTTCACGAAAAACTCACCACCAAAAAAGAAGCAAACGCGCATTCCCTGTTCTCTCCTTCTGGTGCAAGAACTACCCCTTTACGAAATCGTCTTTGCCTAACCGTAACACACGTAATCCACATATAAATACTCTACCATGCTCGAGGCGAGACTTCAACAAGCTGCTCTTTTAAAAAAACTCTTGGACGCCATTAAGGATCTGGTCGTCGACGCTAACGTAAGTGATGCAGCATTAATGAAAGATTAGACATGTGTGTGATGGAAAAGAGTGAAAATGGTTGTTGTCGTCACCTACAACATTATGGATCGTGAACAAGATTTGGTGAAAGTTGACATCTATATTGGTAATGGAATTAGGATCCGGATTCCATATACATACGTGATTCGGTCTAAAATGATGAAGATTCTCGTTGTTAACTTTCTCTCCTTTCTAATTCTCTTTGAACCACCAATTTTTTCTTTCTCTGCTTTCTCCTTTTCGAACCGTTTAACTTGTTCCTCTATTTCTTCCATTTTCTCTACTATCTTTCACCCACGTTCCCTCTCTTGTTTCCGTACTAACATTTTCATTAGTTTGATTGCAATGATAGTGGCATCTCGTTGCAGGCTATGGATAGTTCTCATGTTGCCTTGGTGTCTATGTTAATTAAATCTGATGGTTTTGAACCTTACCGTTGCGATCGCAATATTGCTCTCGGTATTAACCTAAATGCTTTATCCAAGGTTCTCCGTTGTGCTCAAAATGAAGATCTTGTGACCCTCAAGGCCGAGGACACACCAGAGTTACTCAACCTTGTATTTGAGAGCGAAAAAAATGACCGCATTTCGGACTACGACATTAAACTTATGGACATTGACCAAGAACATCTCGGTATTCCCGACATTGAGTATGATGCCACCATCACCATGCCTTCGGCAGAGTTCCAACGCATCACTCGTGATCTGCTTACCCTCAGTGACTCTGTCACTATTCATGCAAGCAAGGAGGGCGTTCGTTTCAGTTGCAGAGGTGACATCGGTAATGGAAGCACCACGCTGAAGCAACACACAGACCTTTCCGACAGCGATCAGAGCATTGAGATTTCGCTCACCCAAGCTGTTTCTCTTACCTTCTCCCTTAAGTATCTGGCTCAGTTTACCAAGGCTACGCCTCTTGCTACTCGTGTTACGCTTTCCATGAGTAGCGAGGTCCCTCTTCTCGTTGAGTATAAGATGGAGTCCGGCCATCTTCGTTACTACCTTGCCCCCAAAATTGGCGAAGAGGACGAAGAGTAAAAAACCTCGCCTAATATCACTTAGTCTCTCTCTTCAACTGCAAGTATCAAAGACAGTCCACGTGTACGCATTACACCTTATCATGTCACCAGTGCGTGTATACCTTTGCCTACACACTTTAAAAATGTGGCCAGTCTTCGTAACTCATTTACGCAGTTACCAAAAAAAAACTCTACACACTGGTCTGCATGCGTGTCTTATTCAGTAATGAAAGCGGCAACCAGCAAAGAGAACCTCTGGGGTGGGACCTATATCGCGATCTTTTTCGACAGTTGACTTTTCCTGATTCTATTTACCATTTACTATTCACGCCCTCCTTACAAACACACGATACCCTCTGTACAATTCGCTATTTTCCTGCTAACAAAATGTAAGATGCTACAATAACCTACCTTTGTCCCCTGCCACAATGCCTCTTGTTACTATTTCGCTGTATTACTTTAAAGACATTAAAGATAAGATAAATTATGTGGGGTAGGCGATACTGAAAGCAGCGGCAGTAGCGGCAGTGTGGTTTAATCTCTTGTATACACAATCTTCCTCGGTAATCCGCGGTAGTTGTCAGTTTTAGCGCATATTCCAGCTTATCACTATCAAGTTTAAAGATTTACAACGCGTCTACGCAAACCTTATTCTCATATTTTACACGCGTCTCTTGGTACTCTTATCCTCTCCCAGGCACTTGATAAACCGTAAACGGCACCCTGTAGACTGCATTCTACAAGAAACCGTTTTCATTGTCTCTGCTTCCATCATCAATGACTTCGTCTAACACTTTCATCGTTGCAATTGCCGGCGGTCCGGTTTCTGGAAAGGTTTGTTACGCGTCTCTTATCAAGCTGTTGCCTTGATGCATTCAGTAATCAAATTCCGGCCCTTCTAACATCTTCCGTGTTTATAGAAGACGCTATGCAAAGAGCTTGAACAAAGATTACAACATTTGAATCACCCGGTGAATTCGCATACAATTCATATGTCATCTTTCCTTTTGCCGAACAACAAAAACAGGTTTGACTTGAACAGTTACGATATTAAGGCTTTAAAATATGTTTTGGAACAGGCAAAAAATGGTGCGAACGTCTTGGAGCTGCCCAATGGCGAGAAAATCACACTTGAGGGCGAAAAAAACCGGTTCCTCCTTGTCGAAGGTTATTATTTATTGGTTAATGAGTTGTTGGACTGCTTTACCCTTAAGGTGTTCATGTACGCAGACTCTGACACGCGTCTCCAGCGCTGCGTTATCCAACGTGTTCACGAGCAACATGAGGACCTTGAGACCGTGCTTCAGGAATTTATTCAAGCCGGAAAGCCTTGCTACGAACTTATGATGCATCCTACACGTGAGAATGCCGATGTCATCTTCCCGCAAAAGGAGAACATAGACAACGCGATCAAATTTCTGTTCTGTTACATCCAAGATTTGCTGGACGAGTCTCTGAAATCAGGGTTGGTGTCGGAGAACAAGGCCATGTTTTCGGAGGAGAATAGTGTCCATCATCAATTTATGAAAGAAGCCTTGAACATGGTATGTGCAAATTTGTTAAAACTTACCACTAAAAGTCAACTTAGGCAGAGCTTGCCTTGAAGTGGAACGAAGTTCCTGTAGGCTGCGTCTTTGTGTACAATGGAGAAATCATTGGGAAAGGAATGAACGACACTAACAGAAGTTTGTCGGTATGTTTAACTACAAATTTTATTCAGTTTGTTTTGGGATACTAATATCAGCAGGGCATCCAACATGCCGAATTAGTGGCAGTGGAAGATATTTTGAAAAGATACCCTCCTTCTATCTTTGAAGAGGTGACCTTATACGTTACTGTGGAGCCATGTCTCATGTGCGCGGCCGCCCTAAAGCAATTGCATATTAAGGAAGTTTATTTTGGCTGTGGAAACGATCGCTTTGGTGGTTGCGGAAGTGTATTTTCCATTAACAAAGAGTAAGTGACTCAATGCATAGGAATGCTCCTGTCTTTCTATGACCAACACGGCTAACCACTTTCTGCACAGTCCTTCTGTCGATCCTCCATACCCCGTATATCCGGGATTATATCGTGCGGAGGCAATCATGTTGATGCGGCAGTTCTATGTACAGGAGAATACAAAGGCTCCTGTCCCAAAAACGAAGAAACAGCGCATTCTTAAATTGGAGATTGACGAATTTGACAGTAGTAAATACGCATAAAACCTGTCGCTCTTCTATCACAAAATCAAGTGCGAGCATCCACCGCAACCTCCCTCAGCACCGACTCCCTTGCATTACCCAGACACACGCCCTTTATGTTGCTGATTGTAGTCCGTATATACATTCCTCCTACGAAACTATTTTTGCGATAAAGCTTACTTCTTCTTGGAGACACCGACGGTCTTACCACGACGACCAGTGGTCTTGGTGTGTTGACCACGGACACGAAGGTCCAAAGCGTGACGGAGACCACGGTGAGCTTGGATCTTCTTGAGACGCTCAAGATCATCACGGAGCTTGCTGTCAACATTGTTGGCCAAGAGTTGGTAAGACTTGCCATCGGTGATGTCCTTTTGACGGTTAAGGAACCAGGCAGGAATCTTGAACTGAGTGGGATTTTGAACAATGGTAACGAGACGCTCCAACTCCTCAGTGGTAAGCTCACCAGCACGCTTGGACATGTCAACATCAGCCTTCTTGCAGGCAATGTTGGCATAACGGCGACCAACACCCTTGATTTGGGTCAAGGCGTACATGACCTTGTTCTTGCCATCAACGTTAGTGTTGAGGAGACGAAGAATGTGTTGGAACTATTGAAATTTTGTTAGCAAGACTGCTCAATTATTGCAGCGGCATCAGTAGCCAGGTAATCTGTTGACCGTTCCAAAGTGGTTGACGGCCAGTCTTTGTACTTACGTTGTCAGGAGGAACGAGAGACATTTTACTGCTGCTGGTAAGGACAACTGCTAGGTAGGCCGACGTAACAAAATTTGAGCTCTGCTGTGTTAGCAGTCACATGGACCTGCTGTGGGCTTCCCCACTTACTATCATGTGGGGTGTGGGATAAAAAGAAGCCTTCATTTAACGTGAAGCTCGTTAAACGACGTAAACATGGTTACCGTGGAGTAAGGATGAATACAAAACACTTTTAACAAAAACCAAGGTACCATGCAAACCGTTCTTTCTACTAGGGGCGGGCGGGGTATTACTCGTGTATTACGTATTGTGAGCGCTGGATCTCATTACGTCAGTGTAAACAGCGCTCCTGAAAATAGTGGCTTTGAGGTTTTTCTTGCCTTTGCTCGTTGAGAATACAACCCAGAAACAGAATTTATGTACTCCAAGATACTACGATTGACTGGACAATTCGAGGAGCATACAGAAACATCTCTCGCATGCATTCATGCGCTGCACTGGGTTGCTTCGCTTACGTATACCCGTTGCGACCGGCAACTTCGATAAATGACGTCATCCAGATCCTCCTTGTCTTCTCCTCCGCATTCTCTATCCGTGACGATGTCCCAGTATTGGCTGAAAAGCTGAGAAACGCGAGAAAGAATGGGTAATTAGTTAAAAAAAATATACTGCATTCAGCTAGACAATGCGCGAAAATAATACAAAGAAAAGCATTCATGTATAGAAATTTCTCATTTTTTCCATGCGGCATTTCCAGCGCGTTCTGGTATGTTCGGCGGCTCTGACGTACACAATATAAATACGAGCCTTAGCACCCTCCCCCTCCACAACAACAAATACGAATTACTTCAAGTGATCATTCTACGAATTATCATTACCGTGAAATATTTCACACCTATTTCCGTTTTACCTATAACGACCTTTACGTTTTACGATTTTAACGACCCTTTTTTATTCCTTCATTTTTGTCCTTTTTGAGTTATCTTTCTTTCTTACAATTAACTCTACAATAATCCATCATGGCTGATTATCCCTTTACCGATCGTGCAGCGAAGACATTATCCGATGCTCACTCTCTGGCCCAATCTTACGGACACCCTCAATTGACGCCTGTTCACATCGCTTCCGCTCTTTTGGCCGACCAAGGTTCAAATGGTAGCCCTTCTCTGCTGCGTACCATCATTGAAAAGGCCGGAGGCGATGGCCAAAAGTTTGAGCGTCTTGTGACAAGTCGACTCGTCCGCCTCCCCTGCTCAAGACCCTGCTCCTGAACAGGTTACGCTTTCCCCTGAATGCGCAAAGTTGCTTCGAAATGCTCATGAACTCCAAAAGACCCAAAAAGATTCATATATTGCACAGGATCATTTCATTGCAGTGTTTATTAAGGACGATACACTGAAGAGCTTGATTACCGAGGCTGGCGTCACGCCTAAGGCATTCGAATTCGCCGTCAACAATGTTCGAGGAAACAAGCGTGTTGACTCCAAGAATGCCGAAGAGGGCTTTGATGCTCTGAACAAATATACCGTTGACTTGACTGAATTGGCGCGGAATGGCCAATTGGATCCTGTCATCGGCCGTGAAGACGAGATTCGTCGTACCATTCGTGTGCTGTCTCGTCGTACTAAAAACAACCCCGTGCTTATTGGTGAACCCGGTGTTGGTAAAACCTCCATTGCTGAGGGCTTGGCCCGTCGTATTATTGATGCCGATGTCCCCGCTAACCTAGTCAATTGCAAGCTTCTTAGCTTGGACGTCGGTAGCCTGGTCGCTGGCTCCAAATACCGTGGTGAATTCGAGGAGCGTATCAAGTCTGTCCTTAAGGAAATTGAGGAGAGCGAAACTCCTATCATCCTTTTCGTCGATGAAATGCACCTGCTTATGGGAGCCGGTTCCGGCGGTGAGGGCGGAATGGATGCAGCAAACCTCTTGAAGCCTATGCTTGCTCGTGGTAAGCTTCACTGTATCGGTGCTACCACTTTGGGCGAGTATAAAAAGTACATTGAAAAGGATGCCGCTTTTGAGCGTCGTTTCCAACAGATTTTGGTGAAAGAACCTTCTGTCAACGACACAATTTCCATTCTGCGTGGACTTAAGGAGAAGTATGAAGTTCATCACGGTGTTACTATTTCGGATCGTGCCCTTGTTACTGCCGCTACCTTGGCAGCTCGTTATTTGACACAACGTCGTTTGCCCGATTCCGCCATTGATTTGGTCGATGAAGCTGCAGCCGCTGTTCGTGTAACTCGCGAATCACAGCCCGAAGTTTTGGATAACCTTGAGCGTAAGCTTCGTCAACTGCGTGTTGAAATTCATGCTTTGGAACGCGAGAAGGATGACGCTTCAAAGGAGCGTCTCAAGATGGCCCGTCGCGAAGCTGAGCAAGTGGAAGAGGAGATGCGTCCTATCAAGGAGAAGTACGAACTTGAAAAGTCTCGTGGCTCTGAACTTCAAGACGCCAAGCGTCGTTTGGATGAACTTAAAGCTAAAGCGAGCGACGCCGAACGTCGCAATGACTTCACCCTTGCTGCAGATTTGAAGTACTATGGTATTCCTGACCTTCAAAAGCGCATTGAGTTCCTCGAGCAGCAAAAGAAACAGGCTGACGCAGAGGCGTTAGCCAATGCTCAACCGGGATCAGAGCCCCTGTTAACTGATGTTGTTGGCCCTGACCAAATTGCTGAAATTGTAGCTCGTTGGACCGGTGTTCCTGTCACTCGTCTCAAGACTACCGAGAAGGAACGTCTTTTGCATATGGAAAATGTTCTGTCTAAACAAGTCATTGGACAGCGCGAGGCAGTTACTGCTGTTGCCAACGCTATCCGTATGTCGCGTGCTGGCTTAAATGATCCCAACCAGCCCATTGCATCTTTCCTGTTCTGTGGTCCTTCCGGAACAGGTAAGACTCTTTTGTCTAAGGCTCTTGCCAACTTCTTGTTTGACGATGAGAATGCGATGATCCGTATCGATATGTCAGAATACATGGAGAAGCATTCGGTGTCTCGTTTAATTGGCGCTCCCCCAGGATATGTCGGACACGAGGAGGGTGGTCAATTGACTGAACAATTGCGTCGTCGTCCTTACTCCGTCATCCTGTTTGATGAAATTGAAAAGGCTGCCCCCGAAGTGCTTACAGTTCTTCTGCAAGTTTTGGATGATGGTCGTATTACCAGCGGCCAGGGTACTACCGTTGATGCGAAGAACGCTGTGATCATCATGACTTCCAACCTTGGTGCTGAATATTTGACTACCGACAGCGAATCGGACAGCGGTAAAATTGATGCATCTACTCGTGAGCTTGTCATGGGTGCCATCCGTGGTTTCTTCCGTCCTGAGTTCTTAAATCGTATCTCATCCATTGTTATCTTCAACCGTTTGCGCCGGAAAGATATTCGCAACATTGTTGACAACAGAATTCGTGAGGTACAGAAGCGGCTTGAGGCTAATCATCGTAAAATCGACATCGATGTTTCTCAGGACGCAAAGGATCTCCTTGGAGCTGCTGGTTACTCTCCTGCCTATGGTGCTCGTCCACTGAACCGTGTTATCCAGAACCAAGTGTTGAACCCTCTTGCCATGCTTATTCTTAATGGACAAGTACGTGACAAGGAGGCCGTTCATGTTAACGCCAAGGATGGCAAGGTAGTGGTTGTTCCAAATCACGAGGCATCTCCCGACCAAGGGCAAGACATCGATATGGATGATGAAATGAGCGATTATGGGGAGCCTGTTGAGTGAATCTCGAAGCAGAAAAAAGCCAGGTCTTCTTCTAAGCGTGCCAAAGGATCTTCTTCAAAAAGACGTAAGCGCCCGAAGAAATAATTATGACAAGGCAATATAATCCTGTATGAATAGTACAGAACTATAAGTATAATTTCTTTGGCAATCATTCATCGTGTTAAATAGAAATATAATAGTTATTTTTGTAAATAAGAACTAAGAAATCTTCAGCTAAAAAGTACGACAAAGTAAAAAAAATTTGGGGTATCATGAGTTGTGATAGTTGTGTTAAAAATTACAGTAAGTGAAAGACATATATTTGGTAGCTATAACATTATTTCGCTTTCTCCTTCACCAATTCGCCTCTTAGGTGCCAATGCAGCTGCTTTGCTAGAACACCTATAGAATCGTAATTATCGAGAGAAACGTCAAACATGTTGCAGGAGGAGGAAAACATAGAGGATATTGACAGAGTCTCTGAACTCTCCTTCTCCTCGGATGCGTCTGGAGCTAGTTTGTTGCTTGATGTGTTACAGGGTGCAAAAAATGGTACTTCCGATGGAGACGACGAATCAATTGATTTAAATGTTTACGAAAGTGAGGACGAAGGTTTACAGAGTACAGGTATGGATTTTAAATTTTGGGAGATAATTTGGAGTGAGAACGGCTGGTCATTGTATCTCATCTTCTAAAATATTTGTTTCCCATGTGTTCTTCAGAATATCATTTACTAAGCAATTTTTTTTTAGCATCAAAGGAATCAAAAGAGTTGCGAGATGAAATGCGACATGTTCTTCGAACGCATGGCCCTGCTCGTTTCCTCGAACGGTTTCTCCATCAAAACAAAATGAGTGTCCGCTCTATATTGGAAACACTCAATATTAATTTAGTATGCTACTCTTCAAACTTCGCTAAAAGAAGATACCTATGGGTTGCGTACTAACATAAACTAGCCTGAAGTATTAAGTGACTTTTCCGACGAAGAGTATGTGATGATATCCAAGACAGTTCTTTGCAATTAGCCTTAGACATGCTGTGCAGGATACTAATGCGTTTAGTCTTCTTCCCCTCTTAAAGTACATTCTAAAACACGAAGCCTCACGTCGATTGAAGCTTCCTCAATATAACACACTGGACGATGTAACCAATTTAATTCAATCCTGTGATAACATTATCGTTCTTACAGGAGCTGGAATAAGCACTAGTTTAGGCATCCCAGATTTTCGATCTGATGATGGTTTCTACGCAAAACTTGCAGAGCATGGATTATCTGAACCTATGGAAATGTTTGATATTCATGTTTTCCGTGAAGATCCAAGCATTTTCTATAAATTTGCCAGGGAAATACTGCCCCAAACAACTCAATTTTCACCTACTCATGCTTTTATTCGACTTTTGGAAAAGAAGGGCAAATTAAATACTTTGTTCACTCAAAACATTGATAATTTGGAACACTACGCAGGCATTTCTCCGGACAAAACGGTTCAATGTCACGGTACGTTTGATGCAGGCCGGCCACTGTGGACTTTACTAACATTTTCTTTTAGGTTCTTTTGCAAAAGCTACTTGCGTGCAGTGTCGCTATGAAATTGACGGAACTGATATTTATGAAGATATTCGTAAACAGCGTGTCCCAAGATGTTCTAAATGCGGACAAGGTCCTCCTAAGCGCAAACGTACTCGTGAACGGAGCTCTTCTTCAAATAGCACCGACGCGGACAGTATCGTTGAACCGGGTGTGTTCAAACCAAACATTACTTTTTTTGGTGAACAATTGCCTGAAACTTTCTTCGCAAAAATTGGAAGCGAAGAGCTGCGAAAATGTGATTTATTGATTTGTATAGGAACGTCCTTAAAGGTAGCCCCAGTTTCAGAAGTTATTGGGCTGCTCCCTCCGACAACCCCACAAGTCTATATATCTCGAACTCAACTCCGTCATACACAATTTGATGTGAGTTTACTCAGTCCATTCAGTGATTGGGTTGTCGTTGAACTATGTCGGCGCCTTGGTTGGTTCAGAGATTTGAAGAAGCTTTGCTATAACAATCGGTGTTACCAACCTGCTGCAAAAAGAGCATTTGAGACACCCTTAGACATCCAATTCATTGAGCCAAGCACCTACATCATAGACTCAAAGTTAAATAAGGAGTCTAAAAAGAAATAGCTATAACATTGGGTCCCAGAAAACTAATCCAGTGGACCAATGCAAAAACATACTGAACACACCCTCACTCAGTGCAGCGAATGCAGGAGAACACACAAAAAGGCACTGATCCCTTCAATTCACCCAACCATCCCCCACACGACATTGTTTAATAGAGAAAAGGGAGACGAAAAACAAAATTCTTATTTGCGAACATAGTAGGTAAAACAAAACTATCGCATAACCCTCAGGGTTCACGAAAGTTAGACAAAAAGAGCGTACAGGTGTATAGCGCGGCGTCAAGCCCGTGATAATAAGGGACTTGAGGAGAAACGCTCTCCCTCAGGGAGGAATACGTTTCGACTAGTAACGAGTGACATATCTTTTCCTCTCAATAAGTAGTCCTCGAAAAAGTCTGCATTGCGCAAACCCTGCTGTTACAAGTACACGCCACACGCATGGATATAAGGACCATAGCTGAGCAGTTATTACAAATTCACACCACACCAACTCATCTTCTCTCTGTGAATAATAACGACTGACTCATTATGAGTAACCTTGGTTGAAGTGAGGCACCGGAAAAAAAGAGGCTACTTGATTAAAATCGACTGCAGCGTTAAACAATACAAACGAAACGGTAACGAATAACAGATGGAGAGGCAAAAGAGGTACAAGGAAGGGGGATATGGATACAAACGGCTTAGGCCCATTTTCCCAACAGTGCCATCAATCCAGTACCCAGCATGGCACAGAAGACCATGTAGACGGTCTTCCAGGTACCCTTTTCGCGGTTGGGATCGAACAAAAAGTCGTAAGCCAACAATTCGACCAAACCAGCGTAAATAAGAATACCAGAGGAGAAGGCGTCCAGAACACCTTGAGCGGCGTAACTACCAGGGGCAATAGGGTTCCAAGACTTACGAATACCGATACCGACAGCAACACCAATTGGTGTCACAATGGAATAGAGGATACCCAAGATGTAAGGCTGAATATTGAAGCCGGGTTTCCAAGCCATTGCAGACAAACGCGATCCCAGACCCATTCCCTCGAAAGCTTGGTGGAAAACAATGACGGGGAAAAGCGTTTTGAATTCATCACCAGAAACTGCAAGAGTCAAACCAATGATGACACTGTGCATGATGACACCAAACTCGAGAATGTAGAAAGCGCCCAACTGTTGATGCAAAAGCATCTGGCGATCGACAGTAACGGCGGTCACATCGGTAGTGTTGCTGTTACCAGACTTGGGAAATTCTTGAACGTGATACTCTTCCTCCTTGTCAGACAAAGTAGGATCCTCCAAGTCCTTAGGGTGATCCTGATAGTTGTCACCAACAGGTTGGCTGTGAGAGTGGGAGTGGGAGCCTTGACTACCAAATTTATACTCGACGAAACGGGAAAGAATAAGATCAAGCACCAAAATAAACCAGGCTGCGATCATCGAAATGCAAGGAGCCCAGTCATATGAATCGAATCCAAGAGCATCGAGACAACTATCGTACAACTTGTTGCAAGCGGGAGCGAGAAGGTGAATGAAAGCTGTGGCCAGAATAACACCGGCACCGAAGTAACGGCAAAAGGTGTAAACGTAGTTCATAACATTACCATAGCGAGTCGAGCGTTGCTTAAAGTGACTCAAGACCAAGGGAGTAAACACACCAAGCATCGAAGTGATAAAGATAACGAAAATTGAAACAATACGCACTGCAAGAAGACCATTGTATCCATTCTCGTCACCTGAACAAACAATAGGAGTACTGCTGTTGCCTGTGCCTGTGTCCTCATCTTCATTGGAGTGAGCACTCAGCTGATGGGTTACATTCACAGCATGTAACCCGTGGACAAAAAGCTCTTCAAATGTGTAATCCCGGAAACCCATGATGCGAGACGATGTAGTATATAGACCCTGTGGTCAATTCAAATTCAATATGCCAATTAGTAATGGACGATGATCGACGGTTAATCCTCGGCGCCGATTTTTGCGAGTTAAGTGTAGATTCGCAGAAGATTTTCACGCAAAAGATTTTCTTCCTAGGAAAGTCTTGGTGGAGTAAATGGTTGAGGTTAAAAGTACTAGTAACACTGTTTACACCTTAAACCAGGGAAATAATAATTAAGGAACAGAGTTGTGGTTGTAGGAATAAAAAAAAGTATAGGGATAAACAAATACCAACTCTGTCAATAATTCTCGAAAACGTTCACTCAATTGACTTTGTCAAGGGTGAAACACAGCATGCAATTTAGGACAATGTATGTATAAAAGATTCGCCAAAACACAGCAAGCGAGGAGCCAACAGAGAACAATAGGCTAATCCTCTTTAGGTTAAATTTTTAATGCCAAGGGTCAAGAACGCCGCGCTGACACACGAGGTAAACGAGGCGGGAGGGCCTCAATTTATATATTTTTTTACACTATCAGTTACTGCGACCTGACGTGGCAAAGCAAGCAAATCGCTCACATTCTGCGCATGTTGATCGACGAAAGATCGCCGTGCCCGTGGGATGGAAGAACGGAAACGATTTTAGTGGATGACATCATCCACGGTCTAGATGAGGATCTGCGGATTCACAAGAGGGGAACAGACACACGCAGGTTTCGAGAATTCGACTGAAAATTTTTGTTTTTGGTCGAAAATCAACATTCTGAGCTGCTTTCTGGCCGTACAAACAGCTCATAATCCCTTTTTTTTCATTTTTTGTCAAAGATCTTCTTCAGTCACTCCTCCCTGTCTCCAGGGCTGTGCCAATCATTGGATGCTCTTGAGAACAATTTACCATGGAATACAGTCACTTAGTACGATGACGAATGCGTTCAATACCTTCAGCCAGTGATCTGCAGCACATGCTTTTGGATTCACCAATGATTGGTTACTTTTCGACTAAGTGATCTGCAGGGTGATTTTTCGTCAGGGAAACCCCTCCTCGCGTGACATTTTTAGGCGAAACGCTAAGCGCACTTTAGCCGATCAATTAGGTGACTAAAGCCAGTTTAAAAACCAATCGGTGTATTTTACCCTAATTTCTGGGTAGAGCACTGTAACTGCGAAGATACTGGGTCAGTAGCGTGATTATTGCAATTCCATGTGCTTTTTTCTGTACCAATTACCGCTCTTAAATGCGGAGAAATTGTCGATCATTTTTGGTTGATTCATGGATTCATCGACAGATCCGATCCTTTGTTTTGCAGATCAGTTTTCTTCCTAGGCTGAGGAAAGGGATTTTGGGGAGCAATACTAGTCACAAGTCGTGGAAAAAACATGTGAAGTCAAGTTAGTACAGGGATCTAAGGGTCGTCATGACAAGTTAGTCACTCTGGAGATCAAAATGCATGATGTACAAAGTTGCACATTGTACCCAGATGATCTTGTTAGTGAATGAGATTTCTTTAGTAAACAAACAGTCCACAATGTGGTGGGACTGAGTTCGCAGCAAGTTCGTGCTGAGTTTTTATTTAGTTTTTTTAAGATGTTTAAGAATACAGTTAAAGTGTGGTTTACGTTTGAGGTTTCTTGTTTCACTTAATCAAGGTCGAGAAAGATTTTCCCGCCGGAAAAACAGAAGATAGCCCCCACTCACGACAAGCTGTGAGACGAGACAAATCCAGAAGGGGACATTCGCAAACACTTGGCCACCATCCTTAAAGTCCCAGGCGGTCAAGTCAATGAACACGGGTCCAGGGCCCAGTCGGTTTGGCGCGGTCGCACGAGCAAGAAGGGAGGCAACAGTACCAATGATTTGACCTGTCATAAGCGTAGTCGCAATATGCTGCCTCGTCAGTGTCTGCAGCAGTATCATTCCTACCCCGATTCCTTGGATGGCATCCAGCACCCCTAGCCACAACCACAAGAGGCGACCAGCAAAGGGTCCAAAATCTCCTGCCCAGGGAAGGTACAGCCCGATGTTGCTAGTACCCCACATCATTTGAAGCCAACGTGGCGAGCCCAAACCGACGCCGAAAATGGGCAGGAGCCACGAGTGCGTCGTAGACTTTAAACCTAATAAGCTTAACATTAGTGTCCACACGAAGACGAAGAAAATGCTGGCCATCAATAGTATTTTCCAAGAGTCAACAGCAACGCTTCCCCATAAGTACTTCCATGAGCGGCCATAAAGTGTTGAAAGCCAGTAGTTTTGTAGCACTGTGGCAACAATAAACCACAAAACTAACTTTCTCCGTAATAATGATATATAGAATGCAGGTATTTTACCCGGAATTTCCCAGTAAAAGTCCGGCAAGCCAAGAACAAGAAGGATTCCAACAACAATCATCATAATAGCAAGAGGCCAAGCAATGGCCGCAACCATGCCAGTAGGATACATGTCGTAGGAGAAAAGATGTTCTTTCTGTATACTGTGATCAACATAGGAACCCCAGTACCATAGACATGCAGCCCAAACTTGTTGTAGTCCTTGAACAACGCATGCTCTGGATATCCAAGACAGAACACCGGTATTTCCCTCGTCTCCAAAATTAAGTGAGAAGTAAAGAGAACCACTTGCAGAGGCCATTCCATAGACACAACTAGCAGCATAAGTCAAGCAAAGCTGAGCGGTTTTACAGAGAGTATTAGGGATGAAATGCCGATAAGCGCAAAGGATAAACAATATAAACCAAATGGCAATGTAACGACAACGACGCTAGGTAGTTTTCTAAACATGTACCACCAAACAAAAGATGAAAGAATAAATACCCCTCCAATGATGTACAGTTGTGTTGACGATTGTCCTGCTGAACCGGTAAGTAGCGTCAATTGAAAAGAAGTAGCCGCTAGGATTTGTCCGAGTGATAAAAATAACGTATAAACCGGCCATTCTCCTAAACGTCGTTGCATGAAGCGCTTAATTCTTATGTTTCCTTTGATACCAACAGTCGGCAAAGAATTCTTTGATTGATTCGCACCTTCAGCTTGATCATCCTTTTCACAGTTCACATGCGAAAAGGAAAATGCACTATAATTGTTTTGAAGTAAAGCCTCATCCTCCTTTTTAATTAGTTTGTTTGGTTTCTGTAGACCAAATTTAAGATTTCTTAAGCCGTCATACCACTCCTTTTTCATTTTCGTAAGAAAGGTCTCTATACACAATTCTTCCTTGGATGTCTTTGGTGTAAGCCCCTCTAAGAACGTAGAAAAATATTCGAGGGCACGACCTTTGCTATCCGTGAAATCCAAATCAGTCCGAGAAAGGGCAAATTCCTTATTGCCGCTAAGTGAAATCACCGATGCCAAGCTTAATTGTGAATCATTGTGAAGATTACTTGAAAAGTCTCGAGGAGGACTGGTCGGTTGCGCACGATAGATAGTGACTTGCGCATCCGCAACCTCGCTTGGCCTCTCTGCTTCAGAAGGACAATAAGATGGAAGATTGTCTGTAGTTGAAAATTCGCTACTATCATCATCTCGATAGGAAGCAAGAACGCCACGATTCGGTGGTTCAAGAATTGAGTTCGCATCGTCAACTTCCTGTAATTCCGATCCTGAATTACCAAGTTCATTTTGCGACATTCCTAATACAACGCTGGCTTGATATATACCATCAGGATCCATACAACGCGGACCTCCACTTTCATGAACATCTTGTTGGTTATCAAGTATGACTTCCTCTTCAATTGCTTTAAGTGGATCGGGTTTGCTCAAGGTAACTAAGGAGTGTCCAGGTCCGCTACATGATCCTAGTGAACCTTTTCTGATTAATGAAGACGTACATTCCTTCTGCTCATTAACTTGTACGCTTTCCGAAATAGGTTCCATAGGATTCTCGCTTTCCGAGATTAAGTCCTCCCGTAAGGTTTGAGTGATATCGGAATTTCCAGAAGTAGGTTTTGACTTTTCAGTTGAGCGCTTTAAAGGAGTCGATCCTTGCTTTTGACATTTTTTACTTAGACGTATACATCCATTCATCAATCTGTCAAGTTTTGACACCCATTCCAGGACCGGAAAACGTTGGCGAGCTGATTTCGCACGAAGCTTTGCTCTTACGTTGGGCGACGAACTAAGAGCTTGTCTACAAGCCTGTTCAAATTGTCGCAGTAAGTGAGAAGTAGCATTGGATTCGACAGTATACCACCAACCTGGCATTTGGCCAAGACCGCCGACTCTAGCACCGATACCCAAAGCACCCTTTCTACCAAACTCAACAGCAACTAGTCCGAATGGTTCATCACGAGACGGAATTAGGACAAAGTCGGCGCCGCTGAATATATACGGTGGAAGTTGTGTAAACTCTGGTTTGGAAAACACTCTCCCTGGATAACGATTCATCAAGAACTCCAATTTTTTTGCAGCAAATTTGCCATAAAGGTCAATGACAGGTCCAATGGTGATCAGCTGAACATTATATTCTTCAAGTAATGTGGGAGCCAAATCGGCAATTAGGTCAATTCCCTTTTGCATTGACCATCGTCCAACAAACACAAGCAAATTTGTATCATCGTTAACATCTAAATGTGTCCACTCTTGAGCTTGCCTCTTATGGACTTTTTTTAAGGCTTCCGCCTCTGCATCAATAGTGATCTCCGCATCGACATGGGACTCATCAGCAAGTGCAGCCGTGTCAGTGGGATCAGGATTAGGCAGCTTGCCTATTTTTTTTAAACCCCAAAAAATAGGATAACGGGCTCTTGACCGTTTTCCATACTTGTTTGAAACGCCAACGACGCCAAAACCTTTTTGGTGAATGCGTAAATAGGAAACACCGGCATGCAAAAGATTGAAAACATTACCAAATTGAACATATTTTGAACAAATGCGTGATGAAATGTTGTAAACAGAGCACACCTCGGCTTTTTCTTCTGGAGTACGTAAAGGCCATAATCCTTGAAATTCAGCGTTATGTAATGAGAGAGCGCAAGGAATGACAGAAGGGAGAAGATAACATGGAGCAAGCGCTCCATGATAATCATTAATGTGATACAAGTCGATGGGATATCGTTTAATTATGCCAGCAATGCATTGATTCCAAGCAGAATAAAAAATAGCGGAACTTAGGTCATCCATTCTTGCTGGATAAGGTTCATTTGAAGTTTGTCTTCTAAACACAGGCGCTTCTAATAGAATATACTTAATATTTCGAAGCCGATGTGAGTATACACGGATCAAATAAACCTGATCGAGGACAGTAACTTCAAGTGGACTTTCCTCATGCTCGAAGGGATAGACAATATCTCCGACACAAGGTACGACCCATATTAAATCGACATGGGTAAGGTGTTTTCCCATTAGTTGTGACATAACGCCAAGACCACCAATTTTAATTTTGATTGCCCAATCTTCAATGTCATACTCCAAAGTTGCAATTAAAACAACTTTTCGCTTTTCATCCGATAAGTTGCCAACATTCCGAAGATTTGACACGTCTAACGAGTCAGTCAATTCTTCAGTCTTGTGTCTTTTTGTTAAATGAAGCAACGGAGAACGTTTGTTCTTCTTGCCTTTGTTAAATTTGACTTGATAGAAGAAATTCTTAAAAGAAAAAACAGCGACAAGTGCTGTAACGAGAGGCGCGATAAAAAATAAGAAATAAATAATAAAGGATACAAGCGTTGATCCCCTAGGCTGTAAATGATATTCACGGGTGTAGTCATTTAAAATGATCTCCCAAGACAAATATCCCGTCGGCGGAGGTTTCTTAATCCACGTAACCGTTTCGTCGAGTTCAGAAGGAGGGAGTCTTTTAAGAACGGTGCTTATTTCCGACTGAGCCATATACTCTCGTGATCTGGTCTACCAAACTCATCGACGTTGTAAACATTAAACTGGACTTTGGAAGGGTATACTTCACTCACAAAAGTTTTTCTCCAGGTGAATCTTTAGAAAGGGGTATTTCGTTTGATATACCAGAGTCAAATCCCCATTCGTTATAAGGTCCATTAAGATACAAATGAGGAAAGGTTCCATATTGAGAAAGTCCTCCCTCTTGCATATGATTGGCAGAGCTAGCCATTTCACTCCAGTATTGGACTTTCACATAATGTCCACTCCATGATTTTGTAAGATTTGTTAGAGCGTCAGTGCAATTAGTTGGACGCCCATCATACAGAGTCCAATTCGACCAATGTAACCCATAATCGACAGAGTATCGATAATAGTCGGCACCTGAAGCCTTATGGTTTATAAAAAATGAATTTCCATCTTTGGTTAGAATGTCGGATGAGCGATTAGCGGCATTAAAAACCATTGGATTGTCTGGAGAACCTATACGGAACATAAGGTTGTAGTTTGTATCACTCAACAAACTGTGATCCGAATTAAAAACCCTTGGAATTGTAACTTGATGAAGCCCATCTTGAACGTTGTATAAACGCCCAGACCAAGTAAACTTAGTAGTACTTAACCCAGTAAGATTAAGATTTGGCTTTATAGTAACATTGCTGCATACGACCGAACTTTCATCAACATGTAATACCGTTGAATAAAGAGTCTTTGACTTAAATGACATACGTTTCGTCAACATCTCACAGTCCATTGGTTCGTTAAAGGAGACAGTAAGGGAAACGGTTGAGTTATAATTAATTAGACGAGAATCATGTGCTGGAGAAAACGACGTAATGTACGGCGCAAAACGTGTAAACTGTGATTTCGGTACGAACAGGCGGTACCCCCAAGCAGGCAGACGAACTTTCGGCAGGCAACCATAGGACCGACCATTCTTGGATATACGCTTTTTAGATGTCAAAAGTTTAAATTCCTCAAACGGAAAGATCAAGTCTTTAACCGTGATTCCCGATTCAAAAGGAGCAAGTACAGCATCCTCTGAGTCGCACGAGCGATCAAGTGTCACCGATGAGTTTTGATTCGTATATAAAATCCAAACGTCAGACGTTCGAGAATCTTCATACTGAGAAATTGTAAAATTTTGTATTCCAGGTAAAAACCCACGAACAACGCTCCAAACTCCAATCTCAGTAGAAACATTCCAACTATGTTCATACAGTTCTTTGTGAGTCCAATTCCCGAGCAGTTTAAGCTTCCATCCGTCTTTTAAAGAAACGTAGTAGTTCCGTATAGCTGAAAACTGCTTAAAAATTTGCAACTCTTCTTTTGCAAAATCAAAATGGTCCAACGTATTCCATTCATCTTGACAACCATGGCTTGCTTTTGAAATTGGAAAAGTAGGATACTGCTCAGATCCAAGAGAATAGCAACCATGTAACTTCCAAGCCATAGCAGAAGGCATAGCCTGTCGTCCATATATGTAATTCTTCGCAGTATTATCAAGCACATACATTCCTTGTTCGTCTCCATAATATATTGATGGTATACCAGGAAAAAGAAAGAATGTAACCATCGTTCCCAGAATGAGTTTTTCAGCGCCATTGGCGATCGCTGGCCATCGAAAAACATCATGATTTGTGACTCCATATAAATGACGAGGGTCAAATGTGCCCGTGTTGGGATTTATTTGATCTTCATAAATGACAATTTTGTTCCAACCCTGTGTAAACTCCACAGGAACGTCAAATCGAACCTGCAGATCGCCATCCATTCTCAGAAACCGTGTAATAGCTCGATAAAGTGAGTAATGGAAAGCAGAAGCATCTAATGCATTATCATGCTGACCGCGTAAGAAAAAGAAAGTTTCATTACCGACCAGTTTTAACGCATTCTCGAACGAGGGTGGTCTTTGATCCGGTTGTCTTCCTCTTCCATAATATATGGAGCCGTAACTTGAGGATCCAGTAACTTCACCAGGGATGAAAAAATTAGTTTTGTTGAACCTTTTAGCACAAGAGCGCACAGAACTGGACCACGAAGCAAGAAAATCCACAGTAATTTGGGTTGCTTTGTCAATCCGAAAACCATCCACATCTAGCATTGAAATTATTAAACATGCGAAATGTTTTAGTTTAGCTGCGACCTCCGGCTTCCATTCTCGTAAACGGTCTTGAACGGAGGCAAATTTAGAGAGTTGTCGTTGCCAGTCCGGATGAGTTCCAAATGCTTCAGTGTCCCCATAATGGTCAAAATCTGAATCATAACAACCCTTGTAATCAATTACGACGGGCCCACCATCTTCTCCCCAAAACCGTGGTAATTCACAGTTGGCATCATATTTATTGGTGAAAGTCCAATCCGCATAATGATACTTGTTTTTCCATACGGCCTCATGTTCAAAAAGTGAGAACGGTGTGGTTGTGTTTAAGTATTTTTTAAAACCAACTAAATCGCCCAAGGTCGAAACAGTCAAATCCAACACAAGGTAAAGGCCGCGTTTGTGAATATCCTCAATCGTTTCCCTCCACTGTTCAATTGTACCGGAATGATGATCAAGAATTGTGTAATCCAATGGAGAATACTGATCAGCACCCCATGGTTGATTCACAAAAGGTGTACCTGCAATATATATTCCCTAACGTGTTAATATAAATAGAAAAGCTTCCAAGAGTACCTTTATTCCAAGACTCTCCAGATAGTCAAGAGAAAGACGAAGGCCAACGATGTCACCACCGTTTCGGAACCCAGTCTCATACATATCATACTCAAATAAAGTACCGTTGGCTTCGTTATTGGTAGGATCCCCGTCTTTCCATTTATCCAGAATTACTGTGTAGAAAGGAAATCGCCAATCATTCGGACTGGGATGAAACCGATGATTTTCCCATGTTCCCCAATACTCCAAAGGGTGCGTTGCAGATGTATTTTGATTAAGATTCCACAGCTTTTCATCTTCAGTGAACCTTGCGGCAGCTGATAAGTTTAATAGTTGAATTATGCAAAGCAATAGATAAAACATGCTTCAATTGCAAGGAAGCAATTAATTGTTTAAATGCGACCTCTAGTTTCAGTAATTTAAGCAGTAGTTAAGACTAATTAAGCGTTAAATATCCACTGTTAGTAAAGTTTTCTTGTTTATAAAGGAAGAATATAAATTTGGAGTACGGTAACGTTTGTGTAGAGGTCAGGTGTGGAGAAATAAAGTTAGTATACAAGACATCATCATAAAATGTTACATTTTCTACATGTAAATTGGCATTATTTCTATTAAATAAATCAAACATGTACAGTTCCTGTATTGTAAATATTTTAGATGTTTTCTTTATATTTATTGTTACTGGTGGGACAAATAAGCAGCCATGGTCAGGACACATAGTAGCATTCGTATTCAGTGCACGTTACTGTAGTCCCCTGCAGGTGTGTTTTTTTTATATTTGTATAGTTAACTAGAGAATTATATGTATCTGCCTTTGAAGTAAGTTTTATTTGTATGGTGTCTTAAGTGAGTCCGTATGCATTAAGTAGTTATTATTCCATATCACACGCTCTTTATATTTACGTATTGCATTATCTTATCGTTAGCAACATTCATTTTGCCTAGATACGTTATTTTTTATTAATTTTCCTCTTTGCCAATTATCCTTTTCAATTATTTATTTTTTTTATTGTTTTTTTTTTTTGATATTCAATTGGTCGTTCGTTAATGTCCTATATATACTCTTTTGGATTTTTATTTTTATTTTAATGTTTAAATTAGTATTAAATTTAGAATGCATTTCAATATTCATTCCTTTCTTTTTACATCATCAGTAAAAGACTTTAACCAAAAACCATTTGTACGTTCTGTAATTGCTTTTGACCTGAGGTGTCTATACTTGATCTCATTTTCTCCCTTTCTAATTCTTCCCTTTGCAAATGTACATTTTCATGAAATTCTCGTGAACACTGTTGTCTTTATCACAAAATAATATCCAAAAGCTGTAAGAATATACCATATCCACTATAAAACCCTCTTTTGTGCCGCATTTTTACTTTAATAGAGTTGTCATTTTTGACAAAAGTCGATGGTAAGAAATTTAGAGGAGCGGGAAATTGGATGATATTGTTTTAAAATAAACACTCTATCAATTATTATCATTTAGTTGCTAACTTTTAAACTTTTCTAAAGGCTAATCAGAATGAGGTTCATGGCCTCTATTGTGATAATGATTTACAAGAAGGTCAGGATGAAACAACATTATTCCCCGATAACAATGAATCAAGTTTTTCCAATGATGACAGTTTTGAGTTAGCTAGCAGTGATCTTGTATTACTAGATACTGTTGAACAAAATCTGACCTTAAACGATACTACCATTAATCCCCCCAGACCTCTGGCAATATCAAATAATCATACTGGCGGCTATCACAATTCTGTACCAAGTCAGTGTGCTCCAAGTAGCGAGGCATACGACGATGGTTGGGACTTTTCCTCGCTACCCAATGAAGTTGAAGAAAGGCTTGATCCATTGTTTCTTGTAATTGAAACAAGGGAAGAATATGAAGAAAAAAATGACTATTCATTTATGAAGAAGGTTATCCTGCTCACGAATATTGTTAACAGAAAACCGTCCACCGCAATTCTGTTGGACGAGTGGTCGGATACTCCAGTGAGAACTGGCGATTCGTTGGCGATATATGATGCTTCTGAAATTGAAGGGGATATGATTGTTTCGAACTCCAACGGATATATTATCATGTTTCCATTTTACTTATTATCAGCGACATCCGTCGCCGATTCATTTACATGTTTAAGACGAGCAACTTTTAAAGAATGGTATGGATCTACACATTATCTAACAAAACCAATTGTTTACGGAAACATTTTGCATAGGGTTTTTCAGAATTGTCTTCGTGACCCAAATGAGTTTACCGGATTAGATAAATTGGACGCTCTTCTACGTAACTCCATCAAATTAGAAACAGTTAACATTCATTTCGCTGGTCTCACTAACGATCAGTGTCTGAATGAATTGAGAGAACGTTTGCCTGCTATTAGAAAATGGATGCTTTCAATCACAACGGGTGATGAACGTCAGCCTGTATTGATTAAAGCGTTGATCGATACCGAAGAATCAATATTGTCTTATAGGTTTGGACTCAAAGGTAATATCGATGCTACTGTTGAAGCTAGTATTACTGGAATGCGACCCTCAGTTTATCCATTGGAATTGAAAACAGGAAAAGTTACCAACACTACAAGTCATTTCGCTCAAGCATTAATGTATACACTGTTAATGTCTGAAAAGAGTGGATCAGATATACAGAACGCATTACTTGCTTACTTGGAAACAAGTACTTTAACGCCAGTAAAATCTACGGTTAACAAACTACGTGGAATTATCATTGCTCGAAATAGACTCATAAGCTCTATATGGCATCATGAAATACCACCAATTGTGGGAAACGTTAGAACGTGTCAACGTTGCTACCTTTCTGAAGAGTGTTTTACGTATAATGAAGCTTTTAAAAACGAAGACTCGGAAATTGAGCCTATACAAAGTCTTTACCAATCAAAACTTGAGACTAGAGATAAAAAGGACATTGAGTTTCTGCGGAAATGGGACCGTTTGCTTCTCTTCGAAGAAAAAATCATATCCAAGTGCAAGTTTGATATGTATTTTCTTTCAGCTGAGGAAAAAGAGGAACGAGGTGATTGTGTAAACAATTTAAAACTAACTAAATTTCCGCTTGATCGTGGCTCCTCATTAAGTAAACGCTATTTATATTCCTTTTTTAAGGATGAAAGTATACGTACTTCGCTGAACGTTGGTGACCATGTTCTACTATCATCAACTAACGGAAAGTGGACTCTAGCGAAAGGTGTAATCACCTACATGGAACGAAATCAAGTCGATACAGAACTGAACCAATTTCTCAGTCCTACAATTTTAAATAAGTTTAATTCTGGTGACCTTCCTTTTCCTGAAACTGATAGCGTAGATGCATTATTCCGAATTGACAAGGACGAATATACAGGCGGTCTATCTCTTATTCGAAGCAATATACTGAAGTTATGTATTCTCGCCGAACATGAAAGTCTTCGTAGGTTAATCATACATCTCGATGCTCCCTCGTTTACAAAACATAAGACAAAACCTGCTAGTGTGGTTATGGAACAACTAAATTCTGATCAGCGAAAAGCAATAGACCATGTTTTATGCGCCGATGATTACGCTTTAATACTTGGCATGCCAGGTACTGGAAAGACGACTACCATCGCTTGTCTCATACATACCCTAGTATCTAATGGAAAGTCCGTACTTTTGTCCTCTTACACTCACACGGCAGTTGACAATATATTGTTGAAATTAAAGCAATTCAACTTTCCTATTCTTCGATTAGGCTCAAAGTCCAAGGTACTACCAGAAGTGTTTTCATTTTGCTTTGGCGAACATGATACAGCAAGTGATGATATTACTGTCAAGAAGATTTACGAGGAACCACTTATCGTCGCTACTTCTTGCCTGGGAATTCAGCAGTAAGTATTATGTGATGAGTCATTCTAACTATATAGCCCATTATTTTCGAAAAGAAAATTTGATTATTGTCTCATTGATGAGGCATCTCAAATTCCTCTCCCTGTATGTCTTGGACCATTGGAGAATGCACATAAGTTTGTACTAATTGGTGACCATTATCAATTGGCACCATTAGTTAAAAGTTCAGAAGCTACTGAGAACGGATTAGGCTTAAGTCTTTTCAAGTTACTTACAGAAGCGCATCCAGAAGCTGTGAGTTTATTACGCCTTCAATACAGAATGAACGAGGATATCGTTTCGCTCTCAAATAAACTAATCTATGGAGGTATGCTTCAGTGTGGCTCTCAAAAAACAGCTCTAAAAAGGCTTCATATTAGTGACACTGACCCTCAAAAAATTAACCGGTTGCTTTGTTCTGTGAAAATAGGTAACAGCAATTTACCATGGCTCCATAAATTGCTTGATCCTGCAAAATCTGTGCTGTTTTTTGATACTGATGGATGTTCGGCTAGCGAAACAAAAAATGGACGATCTATTGAGAATATAAAGGAGGCAGATTTTATATTTAATTCCGTCTTAGCACTAACTGTTCTCGGATTAGAACAAAAAGCTATCGGCGTGATTACTATTTATCGAAGCCAAGTTTATTGCTTAAGACGAGTTTTAAGTGATTTTCCCGAAGTCGAAATTAACACTGCAGATAAATATCAAGGACGTGACAAAGATGTGATTTTATTATCATTTGTTCGCTCTAATCCAAATGACTCCGTCGGTGAACTGCTTAAGGACTGGAAACGTATCAATGTGATCTTAACTAGAGCTAAAACTAAGTGTATCATGTTTGGTTCTAAAAAAACGTTATCGTCTGCAACGTTATTCCGAAGTCTCTTTTCCTTTCTTGAAGAAAAGGGGTGGCTATATTTACTAAAAGAAGACATTGGTGCAGATGGAACGGTTTTAACAGCTACAACAAACATTACTGAACACTGTTTTAGAAATAAGAAACGTGAACTTAAGGTAAGACTTATTGAAACACTTGAATATACTAACAGTTGAAGGTATTTGACGGTGAAAACGTGTTATTGAAAAAATCCAAGCTTGCATCCTTTCTTGTTGATCCCTAACCTTTATGAATGCATACCTTCTATTTTCTCCAAGACACGAACACTTCGTCAGTACGATACCTTTGTGTAATTGTTGAATCTTCCAATGAACAAATACTACCATTTTTAAACGCCAGAAGTCCAGCTTGAGCAATCATAATGCCATTATCGATACAGAATCGTTCATCCGTTGCAAATAACATGGCACCTCGCTCTTCGCACATCTCGGACATCATCTGTTGCAATCTTTTGTTACATCCGACACCTCCAACGATGAGAACAGAATCGGCGCCAACATGAGCCATGGCACGTTCTGTAATTTCAACGAGCATCGCAAAACCGGTCTCTTGCAATGAAAAGCATAGATCTGATTTTGTATACTTTCCCGCGTTTTCTGGAGATGGATTAAATAGTAGTTCATCTGCAGCAGCTTCAACACCGGAAAGAAGTCCTGAAAATGAACAATCCATTCCCTTTACGGTGTAAGGTAGATCCACAAATTGTGTTCCCCTAATGACATGTTAAAATGATAACTCAAGATATAAATGAGTAAAACGTACTTTGTAGCTTCCTGCTCAATGTTATATCCTGGAGAAGGATCGTTTGATATATTAATGATACGAGCGAAACGATCGAGACAATTTCCAATAGCGATGTCCAATGTCTCTCCAAAAATACGATAACGTCTTTCCGAGTATGCAATAACTTGTGTATTACCTCCAGAAACATAAAGTACAACGGGGTTCTGTGCACCAGTAATTTCTCTTCCCATTTCGATATCTGGTTCGTTAACAAAATAGTAAGCAACAAATACATACGGCCGACACAGTGATTCACAGCAACCAAAGGTTTCGAATACATCAGAGAAAGCGTACGTGCCACTAGGGCGACGCTGTGTAAGGGTGCTCCAATTCCTGGTCCTTCACAATTAGTTAGTACCAATAATTCAGCAAGTCCTTAGATATACCTTTCGTAAAACAAATACAATCAACTTGTTTCATTTTTATATTGGCAGTTCTAAACGCATCTTTAATAAGTCTTATGATCCAAGATCGATGATGCTTGGCTGTATCACTTGGAAGGAAACCTTGACCAGGGGGTGTAATGTAGGTATGTCGTAAATTCGCCAAAACTTTGGCCGGTTGATTATCTTCATGAAGGATAATACCGACACCTAGCTTATTTGCAGATCCCTCAAGACCAAGTGCTATGAATGAAGGCATTTTAACGTTGAAAAAAATTACGTGAATAAAAACACAAAACCTTGAGAATTAACTGAATTTAGTTACGTGTTTGACACGATTCTTGGAAGTCAAACTTATATTATTTTCCTCTTATGCAATAAACTCTGGAAATCGTTATTGCCAATAATCCTTGGTCTGTTATAGGAGAGTACTTGCAAGTAGAAACGATGACAGAAAAATATCGAGAATTAGTAACGGTTAGTGCATAAATTTAACATTCTCGTATGCCAAGTCATGTGTTATTGCACTTAAATTATATGATAATTGCATTATTTTTCATTTTGATTTCACGAGATTGGTATTCTTATGTTTCTACGTAAATAATGAAGATTGTTAGAGTAAACGATACATAAAATAATACTAAAGTATGTACAAATTTTATTTTCAAAACTTTATTCCCTTTATTGAGGAGAATTGCCAAAATACTGTTCGTTAGCATTGAATTTTAAAAACTAAAAAGATACCTTTTCTCTAAACTTATAGTGAGCTGGTAAATGCTCAGAATTTTGAGTAATATTGTTTTTCACCACTGTAGCTCTCGGGAGACGTTCAAACGTTAATAGTCTTCTTGACCCTGTAAATTTGAGTTAGTTCGGCTTTGTCAAAAAATCACCAAAAAGAGCTCAAAACATACAGTGGTTAAAGTGTTGAGCGCTATTATAGAGTAGTCGAAGAGCTGGATGTTTGGGGATATCATCGATAGAGTATTCTTCAGTAATAGTAGGCAACCAAAGCACTAGTCGTCCTTCATCAACAAGTCTTTTTGCCGCAAAATCGACGAGATCCTTTACAAGATCGCAGATCTCATAATGCTCAAGTTTGGGATAGCGGTGAAGAATTGGTTTTGTGTCCTTGTCCTTGATAATATTCTGGATTGAAGCAATACGTTTTGCGCCTGCACGCACACCATAAGGAGCTGATAACAGGTGTGTTAATATCGTTATTTAGCAACACAAATTTACTTACGATCACAAACGATGGCGTCAAGGAGGAAAGATTCTCTTATAGGACAATGAGTTATATCAGATGTAAAAACATCCAAGAAGCTTGACTGCAGGTTGTATTGAGCAATGTTCTCCCTAATTGACACACTGTTTTTACCACGCATTTGACGACCGTCAATATCAGAACCTAAGAGTTAGTTACAGAAATACCGCTAAACGAATCTTACCGATCGTATGAGCACCAAAAAAGCTGCATGTATACAAGAAACTACCAGTTCCTACAAATGGATCATAGACAACTTTTGCTGGTCCGGCCATGGCCATTTGTGCTGTAACTAAAGAAAGCTCAGATTCAAAACTCGTAATACCAATATAGCGTCTTTGCTTGAGATCGAATTTATCAATTGCATCACGTGAACCAACACCAAGCTTACGACAGAAATATGCCTTTACTTTGCTGTCAGACTTTTTCTCATTGTCTTCCAATACAGTGAAAATACAGTCCGGAGATTTCATGCTCACTTTGCCGTTCAAATGAAGGTAACCAAACTGGTTTATAACGTTCAGTTGCTCCTCCATTGTAAGATGTTTACCATAACTTTCAATGGAAAACTTATACGTTGTTTGCGAGTACAATTCCCAGGGTTTTGGTTGCATGTTCTTTAGCAACTCATGGAGATTGTCCAATGTATCGCTACATCCATACAATTCGTACACTCCCTTACAGAAAATAGAACGTTTCACTAGCTTTCTTGCGCTTTCATCGTCTTCGATTTGCACGATCCAAAATGGATTGGACTTGCCATTGTTAGCATTATTATTTCAAAAGTATTCTCCATACACTCCGTTCTGTTATAGAAAAAGGAACATTCTCAATTTTTGAAAGAGTTTCAAGTTCTGGTAAATGAAAATCCTTGTGGGTAGAAGAAAAATGAAGTATATAGCACTTCATTGGAACTTTTGCTTAGAATCACACAGTTTTAATTTTTCAAACAAAACCAACAATAGTCAATCAAAAAGAGAAAGGATACCCAAATCCGGCTCAATAATTTGGTTGTCGAAAAAAAAAGGACAAGCTCCGTAACGGTTCCAACTTAGTTTTTCGGTTGAAGGTGTTTTTTTTTAAGGTGGTTTCAAGAACAACACCTTTGACAAGCGCTAAGTCAAAGCCCATCAGTTTTGTTTTTATTCTTAAGATGGCAGAATTGGATGTACTGTTGAGTGCAGCAAAAGAAAAACTTCTTCAAAGCGAGGTTTCGGAAGCCTTAAGTCTAGCTGAACAAGCAACAAAATTATGCACAGAAAAAGACAGCCGGCCTTACGAGCTGCTCGGTGAGGTTTTTGCTGAGCAGGGAGAGTTCGACAAAGCAAAGGCTGCATTCGAAGAGTCCATTCGTCTTGCTAAGTCATCAAATAACGAAGATCTGGGTTATGAGAAGTATCTGTGGATGGCACAAATGGGCCAGCAAGGTGAACCATCATTAGAACTCTATAACAAGGGAATCAGTATACTCGAAATTTTAGCTCAGAAGCAACAAGGAAATGCCGATGAACTTGCAGAAATACGTAAAAAACTGGTCGGTGCGTACTGCGGTATCGCTGAATTATTTATGACAGATCTTTGCATGCGTGAAGATGCGGAACAACAATGCGAACACTTTACGGATTTGGCGCTTAAAATGGATCCTTCAAGTGCGGAGGCTTTACAGACCTTTGCATCCATGCGCATCAGTCAACAACGTGTGGACGATGCAAAAGCAGCCTTAAAAAAATGTATCGATATCATATTTAATGCAGAACCAGACGTTGAACTTCCAGTTTACGCTGTTCGAACATCGATTGCTAAACTTTTGATCGAGATTGGAATGCATGATGAGGCTCACCAGCTTCTCATGCTTCTTCAAAAGGAGGATGATCAAATTGTGGATACTTGGTACTTACTCGGTTGGAACTGCTATGTTGAAGCAGAAGAGTTGCAAGAAAACTCTGCTCCTCACGAGGAGATTGAAGGTTTGCTGGTTGATGCGAGATCTTATTTCTTGATTACACTTGCTACATATGAAAAGACAGCCTGGGATGATGAGGGAATACTAAATCATACAAAGGAAGTTTTAAGCGTACTGGACACGTTGAATCTTCCTTCTGTTGACGAAAGTGGTGCAATTGAAGAAGCCATTGAAGAAGAATGGGAAACTTCTGAAGATGAGATGGAAGAGGATCATTAGACTTACAAAAGATTACTATAAAGTATTTAATTAATGTTGTTTTGGCTCGTCATAATTTATTTATGTTATTCATGGGTGCTAAGAAAGCAGCTTTTTGATGGAATCCTATGGTTAGTAAAGTTTCAAAGATAACAATCGTACCCAAACGCTCGTATACTGCTGTACCGAGTTTTCTGACACAGTGATTTATATCAACAGACTCCCAATTGATCCTTTTCAAAAATCTCAGTGCTATCCGAAGTGGATGCTTTGAACGAATAAGCATTGTACCATCATGATCTTTGTCCACTGTATAACTGTTGACCTCATTACCTGATTCCTTCAGAATAGTTCTCTTTTCTTCTGTCACGAAATTTCTTTTAGCATCGGATAAGCATTTTTTTTCGAATGTATATTTCTCTGCATCTGACAAGCTTTCAAAATACGCCTGATCCTTTCCGTATTTTGAATTTGGCGTGTCATTAACCTTCAATAAAATCCGGAGGGCTCCTCCTACGGCTAGAAGATATTCCTCAGAGTCCCAAAGTTTATTACACATATTCACGAGGCTATCATATTCTTCATAAAGGAGTCTTTCTGAACATTCAGGGTATAATTCAAATCTCTCCGTATCATGGTCTTCCAATATTTCAAGCACAGTGTAAAATCGTTTGAGTGCAGTGTGATAAATGCCTTGTCTTTCTAAAGATTCACCATCTTCAACAAAGAACCATAAGCACTCAACAGATCGTAAATATCCAATGACACCATTAAACTCATCCTTAGTGAAGCGTGCAAGTACTTCGTACGCATCTTGATTTTTGTCCAATTTTAATAATGTCTTCGCTAATTCTATAGCAATTGGTTGATCGGCATAATTAAGTTCGTGTGCTATGGAGAGGTCTGTTAAAGATTTTTCAAGATGTCCAAGCTTGAAAACGAGTTTTGCCCTTAGTACATAGAGATCCGGTAACGTTGGAGAGTGACATATTGCTTCATCTATTTTTTGCAAGGCGGAATTTAAGTCTCCCTCGGTTTCGTAACAGCAACTTTGAAAAACCAAAGCATTCAGGAACTTCGTAGGGTGCATCTTTGTAGTCTGAAGATTGTTCAAATATTCATGAACACAATCCTTAACAAGACACACAAGCTGTTTTCGTTGTTCTAGTAAATCTTGGATTAGAGGAAACAGCATAATATTCCTAGAATTTGCCATTTCGAGAATCTGCATGGTAATTTCTTTAAATATTTGCGGCTCCGTTGTTAGATATTGCAGACTGTGGATAGAAAACATAAAGGCTTCAGAAGATAAATTTTGCTTCAATACATCAAAAAACTGAATTACCGATTTTAAGTTTGACATGTCAAATACATGTTGTATGCACGATATACAATCTTCAAGGTAGGTCTTGCAACTAGGATTTTTTCGTAACAAGACTAGACGTGTATAAAATGCATCTCTATAAAGACCTTTACTTTCAAAAACCATCGCGCGAAGCCGAAACAGAGTTTCCTTTGGCAAAATCATTTGCTCATACTTACTTAAATAAGCATCTGCCGTAGAACTATCGCCCAGTTGAAGCAATAGACTAATTAGAAGAGTCAGAACCCTTGCGTTCGTTCTTTCTTCTATAGTAAACGTATTCAAAATCATTTTCAAAGTTTGGATTGCAAGCGAGTAATCTTGATTAAGATAAGCTGCATGGGCCAAAGCAATGTGATAAGTTTCATTCTTTGCATTTAGTCGACAAAGTGAAGCGCAAGTAGTTTTCAGTTCAGCATAATCTTGAACCTGTGCTAACACGAACGTTTTGTCATACAAGAGGTTTTCCAAGTCTTCCTCTAATGCGTTATGTAAAGCTTTTTGGTAAAAATAAAGCGAACGTTGGTAATCTCTTTTTTCCCTGTGCACAATGGCTGCAACGTGAAGACAAAGTTTTGAGGAATCATTCAATTCAATCGCAGTGCTCATTTTTGTTAAGGCCTCTTCGTGATTATTAAGCTTTACCAAATTCAAAGCTTCCACAGCAAGACACTCCGCATGCTGTGGTTTTTTCTTTAATAATAAACGGATTAATTTAAGGCTTTGTTGGTACCTTTGTTTTGAAAATAGGTCAAGAGAACGGTCAAACAATGTGGCATCTTTCTTGTTTAATTTTTGCATATTAATTTTCTCAACATATGGTAACAATGGCCGAATTAAAAATCCAAAAAAAAAAAAAAAAAAAATTAATAATAAATAAAATTATTAAAAGAATAAATAAATATAAAACAAAAATAAAATAAAATGAATAATGATTATTTGATATTTTTTAAACGTTCGAGATTAAAGTTTCGGATCATGTAGCAAGAGAATATATTAGAGAGTACAAAATATAGTTGATTACAAATATAATTAAGTTATCCCTTACGATGTATACATATTAACAAACTTTGGATAAAGCTATAATATTTAGGGCAACAAATGTTATCACTTTTGATCTCCCTTGTTAGGATTGCGTATCTAAGGACATGTTCCATAGGCAAAGTTGAATAGTTTTTTATACACAAAGATGTTGTTCCTTTACAAGACTGGGTTCTATTTGTTTCTTTTTAAACAGAATCTTCAAGACCTACTCTGCTTAAGGCTAACTTCTCCCAAGTTTCCTTCAAAGCAATTCCTGAATAGTTTGTACATAGTTAATAAAAAATAACTGCGTTGTTTGTCAATTCGTCGTAAAAAACAACGGATACGAAAATATAAGCAACTTAATCGAACACAAACTCTTCGAATTTCCATACTGATTCATTATTAAACTGAATTTTAAACCCGCAGTACTATCTACTTATTCTAAGTAAAAGAAGGGTATTTTGCTCAATAAATTACATTACAGGAGGTAGAGATAGGTTATTTATCCTCAGAACAGTGCTACTTAATATATTATTGTTACAAATAATCAGTAGCGATTTTTGTATCTTATGGTTTCATATAAAAATAAAAATGACTTAAATTAATAAACATCTAAATGTTAACACATCTTACCAAGACCTTAAACACTTTAACACTTATTTCTCAACAATATCTACACTGATCAAGGTAGCTGACTTCCTTAACGAGAAGGCCTAATACTTCATTAAGCCAATGAAACCCATGACCTAAATAACTTACACTGCGGAAAGTCATTTTAGTGCTGCTACACTTGTCACCGTATAATCACGGAAATTCATTACTCATTCGCTAATGCAAATTTTGTTATTGATACTCAGTAGATTCATGATTCTAAGTTTCCTCAATGAACAAAAGCGTGTTCATGATTTGCTACCCACTCTCCCTTTAAAGCAGAATTGTCAGCACAAAGTATAGACCGCAATATAAACTTCCACTATTGTAGAATAAATTAGCCTTCTGAAGTCATCCAAAAACCCAATGTATCGCTGAAAACAGGCGAACTGCTTCAATTACACGCAACAAATGGAAATGCCGTTATGCTTCAGTAAACGGAGCTAATGAGTGTTAACACCCCCATCGGAATATAATTAAGAGGAGTTGTTCACAGATAGGGTATGAAGTTGAACATAACTTTAACAACATTATAAGATGTTTATGATTCATTTGAGGACATTACCTCATCAGCGTGTTTTTTAATTGCCAGAGCGAGGCTCTCAACTGACTCATTAGCGTGTCCAGTGGAAACACAAACACGAATAGAGGGAGGAAGTTTAACCTTGTCCAACTTCTCCACAGTTTTCGAACGCGACAATAAAAAGCCGTCATCTTTGCACTGGCATGAAGTTAGTAAATTGGAAACAAAACTCGGTGTACAAACCTTCTCTATAATTTGTTGAAGAATGCGATGTTGCTCATTGTGAGGAATAGTCTGGTCACGAAGGCGAAGGTGGATAGATGGTGATTCAATATGGCTGGGAGACTCGAGCCACTTACTCTTATACATACAGGCATGGAAACGAGCACATCTGTCACGCAAAGCATTCATAATCTTATCTCCACTCTCTTCCAAACGCGCAATAGCCTCATAACCGGCCACTGCGAGCGAGGAAGGAAGAGAAGCACTGAAAATAAAAGCAAGACCAGAAAGACGTTGGTGATTCGTCACCATTAAAGAACCAGCACAGAAACCACCACCAGCAGCAATGCTGTTACTCAAAGAGCCGATAATCATGTCGACTTCATTAGGGTCAATTCCATAATGCTCAGTGATACCACGACCAGATCTTCCACACGTTCCAAAAGACCAAGTTTCATCAAGAATAAGGCGGAACTTGTACTTCTTCTTTAACATGATCAATTTAGGCAAATCAACCATGTCACCAAGCTTCTCAGAAATGCCCTCCGTGACAATGAAACGACGAGTCAAAGGCTTACGAGCAGCAGCAGCCTCGGTGACAATCTCGTTAAGAACACGCTCCAAGTCCTTCATGTCGTTATGCTTAAAAAACCGAATGGATGAACGGGAAATTTGGACACCCTTTTGAATGGCAAAGTTGGCATTATCGTCAACGACAAGAAGATCACCACGCTTCAAAAATGCAGGGATAACGGAAGAAATAGTCTGGAAAGCTTGTGCGTATACGATGGAACCTTGGACACCAATAAACCGTGCAATATCCTGCTCAAGTTTCAAATGCTTATCTTGGTTACCATAAAAGCCCGGAGGACCGCAAGCACCAAGACCGCATTGACGCAGAGCCTCAACGACACTCTTGTTAATCGCAGGATCCTCGGCGAAGTTAAGAAAGTTATAAGAAGCATAGTTAATCACGGGGCGACCATCGCTCAACTTTGTTTGCAAACGAACACTATAAACACGATGTTAGTCACGACATAAAAATTCACGAAAAGCACTTGAAAAGCCGTATCGCTAACTGGCGATGCTTATGCTTCAGATCAGACTTACGAGTCCAAGATAGGAATAGATTCAAGTTCGAATTGCTCTTGGTCCGTCAGAGGAGAGACCAAGGGCTCGGGTTGCCAATCATCCACAAGCTCGTCGATTTCCTTCTCTGTCAAATCAATGTAGTTATTATCGGGGGAAGTTCTTGGTTTGCGAAGAACATAGTAGGCAGCGAAAAGAAGCAAAAGAAACTCAACGAAGGTACGGATGGGGTCATTTTGGTATGACGACTTGATGTACTGCTTAATGAGGACAGAACCTGGCAATACGTCGAGACATTTCCAAAAAAAATCACGGTTTGATTGAAGTAGGCGTAAACGTCCTCCATAAGGGAAGCGGAGGTGTTACTCATCGTGAATGCCAACTCAGAGTTTACTGACAAACGACTGTTCAAGACCCTTCTTGCAGTGCACTTGACGAAACAATGAGGATTGTATTAGTGACTTGGTGGTTCTGGGCAAGTTCCCTTGGACGTTGAAATTACCGAGTTTAGCGTGGTGTAGTTAAATTCTAAAATGATAGCGACGCTCTCTGGCTGCTCGTCCGTAACGAGTAAAGCGTGAGGCGGTTTCCCTACGGAAGAACACTCCACCAAGCGTAAGCAGGGAGTATAGTGAAACACATAGCCTTATTACTGATACCTAGGATGAACAGGATTGGTATAATTAACTAGCGTATGATGAGTAAAGGAGCGATGAATGTAAAGCGTTTCTAAAGCAGTGTTTATTTGGTCATCCGCCGTTTTTTTTGGCGCTTGTAACGAGAGTAAAAGTGTGTAATAGAGTGAATTGATGGAGTAAAGTATAGGAAAATTCAATAAAATGATGGTAGCACATATCAATTGGGTAATGACATCTACAATTAGATATCCACTGGGCTGAATTAAGCTACAGTTCAGCAGCGAACTCTTGCAGACGTAAACGCGAAGCATCATTGGGATCTGCCCAACACAATCCCGATTGCAGAAGGAAACTTCTTATTTGTGGATCAGCAACAATTGTATACGACGAGTTTGCTTCTAAAGAGCAATTCATTAAGGCCTGTAATTTCGTTAGCACCAACAATCAATGACGACAACCGGACAGTACCTCTAGTACTTCTTTCATCTGTTCTGATGAAGTGCTTCCTTCCCGTTGTACAAAACCTTCTAATGTTCGCTGTGCAGAGGGTTGGGTGTCGGCATGGAATGATTGAAGGATATCGGTTATATGTTTGTCGAGAAACTCGTCAAGGAAAACAAATGTCTTCTCGTAATTGTCGGTAAGCTTTTTAATCTTGTCATTCCATCGACGAGATGCCGATCTCTTGCTTCCTGCACGTTGCATTGCTCCAAGTTCTTGGGAACGTAGCGACAAATGATGATGGAGATCTTTTGCCAATGCAACCTGTTCTCCTAAACAGTGAGTGACAACTTCGAGAGAATGAACTTCATTCTTATCACGCTTCGCCTGTTCCTGTAATTCCGATACATTCGTGTCTAGGAGCCGTTTGGTGAGCAGGAGCCTCAAAGGCCAATCTGAGGCCAATCCGACATAAGCAGACAGAGCTTCTTCGCGAGAAACCTACACTGCTATTAGGTTTATGTCTATTTCAGAAACGCCCCAAGAAACTTACCTCCTGTGATTGCAATTGCTTTATTTTTTTTGATATATTTTCTGCCGTCCGATCAAGCCCTTGTAAATAATTATCAGGAACTAAGTCAAGACTTTTCCGACCAAGCAATTGAACAGTTTGTGCAATGAGTTCCTTATTCATTCCAATAAGCTAACCCAATGCTGTCCATACAAATGCAAAAACTTCAACTGTCAGTAAAAAGATGACAACGAACGAATGTTCGCAAAGGTCGTACTGGGAGTCGAACCCAGGTCTCGAGAATCAGAACCTCGCGTGCTAACCGTTACACCATACAACCCCTACTGTTTAATAAAATGTTAAAGACCCTTACATATTAAGCAAAACTTTTCAGTTAAATAATTAAGGAAAACATGAAACGTTGTTTGGTCTCCTTCTGCATTATAACATGGGTGTATAAACACTTTTGTCTCCTCTTGCCACAGGTTTGCTGACTGATGCTTACGTTATTCTCAACCAATAGTGGTCTCGCTTCGTGACAGTCCGCAGTTCGCTTACTCGCGTATGTCGGCTAACAATTTGTGACTGTTTTTTGAAATACAACAAGAGCCGTTGACACAGCTCCACAGCTTCCTCCGTACACCAACCACAAACTTTTACCATGGCTCGTAGACCTGCTCGTTGCTACCGTTACTGCAAGAACAAGCCTTACCCCAAGTCACGTTACAACCGTGCCGTTCCTGACCCCAAGATTCGTATCTTCGATCTTGGTCGTAAGAAGGCTGGTGTCGACGAGTTCCCCCTCTGCATTCACCTCGTTTCTAACGAGTACGAGCAGTTGTCTTCCGAGGCTCTTGAGGCTGCCCGTATTTGCGCCAACAAGTACCTTGTGAAGATGGGTGGTAAGGACAGTTTCCATCTCCGTGTCCGTGCCCATCCCTTCCACGTCGTCCGTATCAACAAGATGCTTTCTTGTGCCGGTGCCGATAGACTTCAAACTGGTATGCGTGGTGCTTACGGTAAGCCCAACGGTTTGGTTGCCCGTGTCAACATTGGCCAAATTTTGATGTCTGTTCGTACCAAGGACTCTGGCCGTGCCATCGCTATTGAGGCTCTCCGCCGTTCTCAATACAAGTTCCCTGGTCAACAAAAGATCATTGTTTCCAAGAAGTGGGGTTTCTCTCAATACAGCCGTCAAGAGTACATCGAGAAGCGTAGCCGTGGTGAGATCATTCCCGACGGTTGCTATGCTAAGTTCTTGACCAAGCACGGTCACATCGAGAACAACCTCCGCAACTTCCCTGAGGCTACTTTCACTGCTTAGTCTAGTTCAATCAAGTTGAAAATTGAGAGTATACATTTGTGTGTGGTGAAGAGAGACTGCAGGCGGCGTGTTGAGTTTATAGGCGTGGAGTCTGTTTAGTGAATGCTTTTTGGAATGTCTGTTCTGTAGTGTTGGTTAAAGTTCTTGTAGTATTGTGGATTACCCTTGCCGTGTAGCGTCTCCATTGATTTTATTATTACAGTAAGAGGTCCTCATCGGCATCTTCTTCTTCATCAAAATCGTCTGCCTCGTCTGCTTGGTATATAATGGCGCCTCCGTTAGCTTGTAGCACAGGAACTGCGTTGTCGTCAGCCGTTGCAACTTGAGCATAGTGTGGTAGGAAAACAGTTTCGCGGTCGTTGCGCTGTTTATCCGACAAGGACAGATTGAAAGGCACACTCAATTCGTCTAAAACGTTTGCAGGAGTGGTATTTTGAACATTAACGTGGATGCCAGAATAAGGTTGTATCTGACCATTCTTCAGAATGACCTGTTCATAAAGCTTCCGACCACTGCGTTTTCTGTGATCAATGCTAATTATAATTCCGTTTGGAGAATTGCAACCAAGAGAAGCAATGTTGCCAAGCTCCTTACATCCATTTCGAGAGGACTAGGTACGCTGCGCATGCGTGCTTCATGCTCTACCCGAGCGTGCTCCTCACTTTTCAGGGTCATGATGGTAGTAGCGGTAAAACCTAAAAACGTTTCGCAATTCGCAAGGTGCGAAGGGTACGACTCCAATTGCACATCCGTATGGAACGTAGTAAGAATAGAAATGTTTCCGAAACTAAGGACTGTTCCAAAAAAGACAGAGAAGCTCGAAACGGATGTGTTGAGGAGGTGATTAATGCAGTCAATGACTACAAGATGTTGTGCATCCTTGTGACAGAACTCCTCAATTTTCTCAGCAATTTGTCGAAGAGGCATGAAGCCGTCCCACGAACTAGCGTACAAGAAATTGTCCACGTTCTTTGGTGCATCTTGCTGCAATGTTTCGTACGAAACATAGATCACTCGAATTTTTCGCTGCAAAGCAGTATCCACCATTTGGTCCAATACGGGTCTCGCAGTTTGTTGACTCGAATCCTTGACGATAACGAGTGGGGATCCATCCCGGATGATTTTTTGGTACAATGAAGTACTCATGATTGTGTCAAATAATAGGATAAAAATGCACAGAAATTCCTAAAAAAAACGACGTATAACCCTGTGATTTTTTGTACAAAATACAGTACGGAATAAACAAGTAAAAACGATGAAAAAATCTCCCAAAAGAAACACTTTTATGAGCCCAATTTTTTTTAGTTGCACGCAGAACTTGCCAAATATCTCCTCCTCTCCTTCACGAGGGTTGCAATTCTGCAGTAAGGTGCTCTATTCTGGCAGAACGCGTGGCTCTACCGTTTTCCTTGGCCATGCTGCTACCTAGCACTCACGAGCACTGGTGGAGACTCTCGTTGCACCCCGTACGACCGCCTTACTGGTGTATAACGCTTTCTAACGAGCTGTAGTGTAGAGTTTGTGGCATTGCTGCTTTTGGTGTTGGTGTGCATTCCAGGGTAGGGTTGTGACTGTATTTTCGGTGTAAGACAAAAATGTTGGAATTCAACCTACAACCCAACTTTTTCAAACATGGAAAACGAAGCTGGACAATTGGTCGACCTTTACGTCCCTCGCAAGTGGTAAGTATTGACGTTACCGGTCAGATCGAGTCCAATTACTAACGATTGCGTCCAGCTCTGCCACTAACCGCCTCATCCAAGCTAAGGATCACGCTTCGGTCCAAATCAACGTTTGTGCCGTTGACGCTGAGGGTCGCCAAATTCCCGGCCAAAACAGCACCTACGCCATCTGCGGCTTCGTTCGTGGAAAGGGTGAGTCTGATGACTGCATCAACCGCCTTACCACTCAAGATGGTCTCTTGGAGGGTGTCTGGTCTTACCAGCGCTAAGAATAGATTGGCTGTTTGCCTTTGAAAAGGTTCAAAATTAATGCTTCAAGGTGTTGTAAATGCGAGTGGTGGATGGGGTGTGATGTGTGTGCAAGAGAGAGGGTTGTGTCGCTGGTGTTTGAGTTCCTTTTTCGTTCCGATGAAGTGTGGTTTGCAGTGATTTTGAATGAGAGTCGGGGACACGTATTAGTATCGAATTGACACAGAGTAAGTGTAAAGTTGATTCTGAATAGGCACGCGAATGCAGACCATCCATTGTGGGGTACACAATTGAACTAAACAAGTACAATCACCGTAATAATCCCAAAAAACCAAGGTTTGGCAGACTGTACCCCCACAGTCCGACCCGGACCGTATACCCACCCCCACTAAACAGCTACACCTTCAATATGTGATGCAAAACAGAAAAGTGCAAGTGGGAGCCCTTCGTTCGGTGAAATTACTTTTCATGTTTTCGACGCTCTCTTTGTGGTCCAAGACAGTTTCTGCTGTCTTCCGGACGAAGCCCGCCAGTTTTCAGTTTCACACATTTTCTCCTCTACAGGTAACTCTCAATCAAGTCCTCCGGGGTGCTCGTAAGAAGAAAAAAAAGAAACCCCCAGCTTCTGCTGCTCTTAATGGAAACCCCTTTTTAAAGGGTGTGTGTACAAAGGTGTTCACAATGAAACCCAAGAAACCCAACTCCGCCATTCGTAAAGTCGCGCGTGTCCAGCTTTCGAACGGCAGAGCCATCACTGCGTATATACCAGGCATTGGTCATAACGCCCAAGAACACTCGGTCGTCCTCGTCCGTGGCGGACGTGTTCAAGACTGTCCAGGTGTGAAATACCATCTTGTCCGAGGCGCCTACGACCTTGCCGGTGTCGTAGGTCGCATCACTTCTCGTAGCAAGTACGGAGCCAAAAAGCCCAAGTCCGTCTAAAGAGACAATTGGTAGTAGCCACAACGGATCAACACCTCGCTAGTAATGAACTTAATGAACGACAGAAGACATCTGAAGACGGAACAAACGCAAACTGAATTAGACTAACCCTAATACAACTCTACAAAGTCGATACCTCTTCGAAATCGACACCTCTCTGTTCCCTAGTCACACCTTCCTCCATATCAGCTATCACCCAATACCAACTCAAATTTAGCCTCCAACCTCCTCCAGTGTTCTCTGATAATAAGAATATCATAATAGCAGAATAAGATTAATAGTAATCTAGATTGCATGCAAGTCGCCTGCACACAGTCGTCTACTTATACTCGTCTACGCACAATCGCCTCGATTTAATCGGCTGCTGCTCGCAAATCGCTACGTCCAAACCAACGTGTGCCGAATCAAGACCCCGCTCGTCAATTAGGGTTTTGATAGCCTGTCTAAGATAGCCCGTGAGGTTTCATCGGTAACGTTTTTCTGCTCCCACCGGACACACACTCTTCTTTGCACGTGTTGCAAACGAACAAACGGCATTCTGACACTTCGTTCGCCTAAGCCATCCACGATGTTCGTCTGCGGAATGTCGTAATGACAGGCGACAAACTAAGGAATCGCTGGTTTCGCAATTGGACACGTCAATATTCGTGTCGGCTTTCTTCTGGCCTACTGTCCCACTGTCCCACTCCTCAGCGTCTCGTCCCTTCGCGATTATCCGCCATTTGTGGGGTACTTGATAAGATAGCGGACAACCAAATTTAACCGACAAATCAGCGTCAATGGAATTCTTGAGTAGGCGCGACCGTCAGAATGGGTTGCTATGCCAACCTGAGCCCTCTTGGTCGAATTTAAGGAAGAACTGCTCCTACCGTTAACGGCACCACAATCGAACCCTTTTTGACTTAGACTTGGACTGATCGTTCTTTAAAGCGCATTTTTGTAGTTTAAAGATTACGATTGCGGTTCCTAGCTGCTGTTTTTATATTTGTTTTTAATTTTTTTCTCTCTCTCTCTACTTACTCTCTTCTCGCTAATTAAACGCTGACCGCCGCTCCGTTTCCGTATTCGTCTTGACTGCCACGTACCACCTTCCAGTTATTTTCTCAGTCCAAACGCTCACGCTCCGCATTAGCATTTTTTTCTCGTTCATTAAACTTGACATCTTTACTTCTCCTTCACACACTTTCATAGAATGGCGAATTCTTCATTACCTACGGACACGTCTGGAACAGCTGTGGACGATTCTTCAAAACAAACCATCCCAAACACACTCGCCGGTTCCACTACAGGCATCCCAAACGAGATTTTTATTGCCAATGAGCGTCTTGACGCTGGCAAAAACGGCAGCGGAGTCTCAAGAAACGGCAACGGCAAGGTTCCTCGGGCGCTCGTAGACGAAGAGGACATTCGCACCGTAGACGAGATTCTTAACCGTGGTGTCGGCAACGAGCAGGTCCCTATTCATCATACTCCCAGTTTCGTCGACCTGTATGCTTCGCCCAAACTTCATGAGAACGAAAATGAGCGCAACTTCGGCACCTCGCGCCTAGACGACATCGCCCCCAACGCTGACGGTGTCCGTCGTTTGCAGACCACGTCTTCGTCGGCAAACATCTCTGAGATGAGAGGCAACTCTTCCCTTGCTGTCCCCGTGACCATCCCACGCAGACGCTCAGACGCCTCGACGTCTCCAGCACACAGTCTGGGCGAGTCTGCCCCAGAGGTCGCTGTGCCGCTTGATCCTAACGCCGGCACTGTGCCCTTGATCATTCCCGAGCAGATCGACCGGGGTCTTCCATACGCTCCCGAGGAGCAATATCACAACTCTGCCACTCGCAAACTCAAGGGCGATGTGCGGCCCGAAGACCTAAACCACTCTACCTCCCCCTCCAATGCACCCAGCTCTGTTGCACCTCCAGAGGCGTGGGAGGCCGAGTACAACGAGGTGCTCGACGATGTTGAGGCTGCCGTGGACGGCAAGGTTCCTATTGAGAGCACCAACGATCCTCTTCCTTTAGAGCGCTGCCGGTCAACGGTGAACTTGAACGAGTCCGATAACTTTATCGGCTTGACGGCCGGTTCTAACGAGCCTGTGCCCGACTATGTTGAATCCGAACCCATTGAAGACACTACTCAACTCGATGCGGAGAAGGGTTTCTACACTAAGGATGGCGAAGGAACTGCTGGTCTGCCGTTCGATGTCGTCGACAACCCCCGTATTCCAGGTGAGCGCACTGGCAGCAGCAAGTTCCGGGAACGTGTTTCCCATGCAAACTCGTCTTCTGCTCTGAGTGAACTGTTTCACGCTGAGGAGAAGAAGTCTGGAGAGTCGTTGTCGTCGTCAAACACAAAGCCTGTGACGCCTTCTAAAACTGTGGAAGAGGCCGAGAAACCCGAGAAGCCTGTTGAGGTCAAGAAAAGTGCCGAGAAACCCGCGGCTGCTGAAACTACTCCCAAGGCAGCCGCTGCGCCCGAAGAGCCAAGTTCTTCAAAGTCGTCTGCCTCTCCTGCTTCTACTTCTTCTCCCGAAAAAAAGACACCGTCCCGTACCTCGTCCTCCGGCTCTGCCAACACGCCTGTCGTCCCACCTCGTCCTCGTGTTGCCAACAAGTTCTCGTCTGCTAGAGCCGCGTTTGTAAAAAGTTTGGAATCCCGTTTGCAGGACGGCAACCCTATGCGTCCTTTCATCCCTAAGCGTCCACAACGTACCAAGTCTGGCGCCTCAGACGACAGTTCTTCTGAGCAGAAACCCGAGGCCGCTGCTCCTGCCCCAGTTGCTGCTCCGGTGACTGAAGTTAAAAAGACTCGTGCTAGAGGTCCTGCTCGTCGTCCTCCTACCGCCGTCAGCAAACTCTCCATCTGCGATCCTACAGAGGTGTTTGATATTGCAGCTGTATCCTTGAAATCGGTGGAGACCGTGAAACCGGACGTCGAAGCGTCTGCAGACTCCACAAATGAAGCTGAGGTTGCCGATACTGAAGTTGAAAAGGTTGAAGCAGACACGAAGAGTGAGGTAGTTGAAGCAGTTAGCTCTACTTCCCCTGTAAATGAATCCTCTGCTTAGAAACATGTGTCTTTTGAGATGTTTTTTTTTTTGAATTCAAATATTTTCTTCCCTTCAAATTACGGAGGAGTCATATTGTACCTATAAGGATGAGGCTATGGATAACAGTTAGCATGGCAAACTATTTACAGCACGTATCCTGGATTCAAACGAGCCCTTGCATACTCACAATTGACTCCGATGACTTAACTGCTACTAATCATTTTCAAACACACTTATTTTCTCCCCTTTCTGTCTCACTAGTCACACCGGCCACCGATTCTCTCAGTAAGGCATTGTTAAAGTTATGACCTAATTATATTGATGAAATTTCATTAAGAAACGAGAACAGAAAACACTTCAAAATTATGGATATACGGAAAGAGTGGTAGTTGTTTTTGAGAGGAGGAAGAAAATGATGCGAAGGTATCGTTATAGGGAAAAGAACAGGCGGGGATGGCGACGTTGAAATGGTGCATGAAAAGACTAAGCAGAGCGAACCTTGCTTGCTGTTTTTTTGGGGACGGGAACATTAATGAATGGGAAATCAAGCGTGTAAGATTCGAGTTGCGGGAGTTTCTGTTGTCGCATACGCTCCAATTCCAAGAAGATTTGAAGACTTGCATACACATCAATGGCTGCGTCTAAGAAAATTGGTTAGTAACGAGGAGTTTAATCACAGAATTGATCAGCTCGAACGCAAACAACGACTATCCCACAAGTGGAAACGAACCGATTGTTTGGACTCTGAAGCTTTGTTAAGACGCTTACATTGTAATTGACTTGCTTTCAGCTTGCCCTGATCCCAGTTGGAGACTTGAACGGGTCCTTTGTCGAGAGGGAGACCAAGATATTGATGGGCCAGTTTTGTAAGGGCAATAAGACGATTGCCTGAAGTGCGTGGATTGCCGATCCAGGTCTCTGGATCCACAGCACGAGCATACCGACTGAGTTCGCAGAGTCCCTTCGAGGAAACCTGGAATGCCTTCAGCAGTCGAGTAGCGTCACCCTGAATAGCGACACCACATTTAATGTGATCCGGAGACTCCATCAATTCTTTCAGTCTCCGAGGAAAGTACTCAGGGGAATAAATGCGCATACGAGTCAGGTGTACAAGAAGAATAAGTTTACTCGTACAAATCTGAATCATGCTCACTGGTGTCCGATAAGTCCACTCCATGTCGAAACCCAGTACCGGCGAAGATTGGAGTTCATGCATGTACTTGTTGAGACCTGCTTCTGAGTTTACGTACACGACTCGAGGAGTAGTACCGCCATTCTGGAACGCTGTTTGAAAGTTCCAGTACTGGCCTTGAGTTGTTTGCTGTTGATTAGGAAGGCTCCAATCTTTGCGCAAGAACGACCGTCCCAGGCGAGGCAAGACAATGTTATATTCAATAGGAGGAGGCATCTTCGACATTGTAGCCAGCGACACTGAATTCAAACTTCTGAGAGAAGCACTGGTTGGGACTTGGTGGGTAGTGTTCGACCGTAACGACGACGCCAATCGGCTGTGAACTGAATCGCAAATAACTTTTCTGTTTTTCAGAACTCTTAACATGACGCAAATGATCTTTATAAATGAAACAAAAAATTAAATCCACACGCCCCTGCTGCTTTTGTTTTTTCCTTTTTGGAACACTGCTGTAAACCATCAGCCAGACGCGTTTTAATAAACTAATGAAGACGCGTCGCGTTGTGACTGTTAATTGAAACGCGCTACGCGTTGCGTTTCCTGCGCGACGCGCTCGTGTCGCAACGCGGCGAGGCGCGGCGCGTCATTTAGTTCTTCATCACGCGTCGCGTTCGAGGCATGTCAACAGACGAAGACAAGAACGTCCTTTACAAGACTTGAATGTAAACAAACATTCACTAAATTAGTTTTAACCGAGTTCCGCTACGCGTCGTGCGAATCGCTAACAGGCGTTGGAGATTCCAATTTGTCACTAGATACGGAACAAGTATGCAGGCTATGCATTGTTGACAGATGGCATTTCTATAGCAGCATCCGCGTCCTCTTAACAACCGGCCCGTTCAACGCGTTTACTTTTGTAATAATAAAATTCATTACGAAACACATTGACAGATAATTGCCTATGTACATAAAACAAGAAACGGACTACCAATCGCTTTAAAACAAAAAAGGAACATTAACGGACCAGCAAGTCATTAGGCAGCCGGTTCTTATTATTGCCATCATCGTATATCGCCGCACAGACGAGGAAAAAGGAGAGAGGTTGTGAGAGAGAAACATGCAAACTGAGGAGGTGTGGACGGAGGAATACGTTCATTAGGCCATGTCAAAACTTGGAAAACAGAGTCGATTCCGCTTCTCAATATCCCATTCGTATATGCAGGATGGAGAAGCCACGTACAAACGAGATCCATCGTCCGAAAAGCATGTTCCCGACACCTCGACGTTCGCACCTATGGTAGTGCTTTCCAGAGCCTGGATGGAGAAAGTTTTTTCGCAAAAATTACGAGTATCCAACAGGTGAACAATGTTGTATCCTTCAGAGTACAATAACAAGTCTAAGGGGCCCGCATTAGGTGGGCTGAAGTGACAACTTCGTATACTTCCAAAAGGACTCGGCCGCTGGCAGCTACGGCTTTCCAAAACGCGACCAAGTTGACGAATATCAAATATGCTTATGGTAGAATCTTCACTCGCACACGCAATCAGTCTGTTGTCAGCAGAAATGGAGGTACAAAAAGATCCTTCGTGCGTGTCGGCCCGCGAAGTGCTTTGATGATGAAAAGAACCGGAACGATCTATGTCATAAATAAAAACGTCTGGTGAATCGCCAACACACACCATAAACCGGCCATCATTGCTCACGCTAGCGTGATTCATGTTGACAGGAAAGTAAAGCAGGTTTGTTAATGATTTATCGTCGAGGTTCAAAATCTTGATAGTGTGATCATTGTTGCACACCAACGACTCGGCTTTCTGATCGCAATTGCGACGATGGATGGCCACGCCGTTATTGTATGTTCCTCCAAGTTCCATAAACGTGTGTGAACCATTTGGCGCCCAAAAATCGACCTGGCCATTTAGCGGTCCGCCAGAAACGACGTATCCGCAAGACCCTAGTAAACATAGCGGCTTGTACTTCAACATGCCGCCAATTTGCTTAATTGCTCCAGAATGAGGATATAGGCTCCAGATAAAGTAGCTGTTTGTAAAATACACGGGGTCTGATGGCTCCCCGGTGGGTTGTGTTGATATAAGGTTTTTTAATTGTTGATGATTGACTGAAACTCGAACATCAAATCTTTTCGTTTCCGGGACTTTGAGCAGAAAATCGGTTTCGATAATAGGCTTCGACATCAATTCCATAGTCGCCATTGTGTGGTTTAAACGCGTATAAAGGAGATACTAATGAAGAGCACAAAACTTTAGTGCGAACGAGAAACGACGAATTATTGCCAAGGACAGTGGTACCGTTGCAGAATGAGTGGTTCCAAAAGTTATCAAAATCAAGGGAATGGTTACAGCACAAAAACCACGGCGGATCGTTAAAAGATGATTATGTTCTTATGAGTACTTCAGTGCCGCTGTCGTTGTCGCCGCCGCCGCCGCCTAAACACAAAACCCAAACGTAAACATGACGTCACATACGATAAGTAGGATGGAATGAAGGTTGAAGTTAAGCGGTGCGTGAAGTGCTTTGTTGCGGGAAAGACATCGGACACGTGGACGCGAGGGTCTCAGAGAGAAATCAACAGGAATGAGCATCTTCTTTAAACAAAGATGCCAACCACTTGGCTTCTTTCACCATTTCTTCCATAGTTCTGGGTGCACGGTCTTCATCTTTAGGTATAATGCGGTTCATAGAAGCCTTGGGCAAGCCATCCTTGGCAATTGCTGAGTTGCTGTCAAACTCACTGTTCATCGTTGCCTCGTTCTTTTCTAAATGAACATAAACATCGTCGTTGTTTTCAAAGTCCAATTTTTTACGCGGAATAATGTGAACGTGAACGTGAGGGACGCTCTGCCCGGCTTCTGGGCCATCCTGTAACAAAAATGTCAGCGTACATGAATTCCGGGGCAGTTTTCATCGATCCACTGTTAATGGTTACATACCTGAATTCCAATGTTGGAGGAAGTGCCACCGAAAGCCTTTTCAACTACATTTTGCACCACTTGCACGCTTTCAAACAAGTCATCAATTTCTTCCTTGGACAAATCGCGTAAACGAGCAACAATGCGCTTTGGGGCAACGAGAACATGTCCAGGAAGAATTGGTTTCAAGTTCACCAAAGCAAAGGAGTACTTGGATGCATATATAACCTGAGAAGTAACGAGAAACTTGGAAAAGTAATACTGCTGAGACATGTTGGCGGATGGTAAGTGATCTAGCGAACGCGAAAATTCCATGGGTCAATATAAGGTTTAAGGTTTATGACGTCAACTATGAGGACGAACAAGATGCAGCCAAGGCATATGGAAATTAACGAAATCGGGCCAACCAAACCACAGAAACGCACCTATTACCCTCAGACCAGCAATAACTACATCGACAATTGCCGTCAACTACTCACATCCATAATCAATGGTTGAAAGGCAGCAATGAATGATAACCCATACCACTGTCAGTTTTCATTTACTGTCTACGACGGAAACGTTGCTCTTGAACAACAGGAGCAACAACCTTGACAGGGACTTGGTCGTAACCAAGAGCGTGGAGCAAGTCCTTGGTCTCTTGGTCAACGTCGACCTTCTCGACGTCGAGCTCAGAGTGCTCAGGAACGTATTGATCCTTGCGCTCACGCTCCTCCTCTTGAAGCTTGAAGGAGATGCCGCGGACGGGGCCACGTTGGATACGCTTCATCAAATGAGTCGTGTATCCAGCGATCTTGTTGCGGAGACGCTTGGAGGCAATGATGGCAACCTCATCAATGATCTTCTTGTTGGTTTGGAAGTCCAAGGTCAACCGGGGGTAGTACTTCTCAATGACGACGCGAGAAGCTCTCTTGGTAGTCTTGGTACGCACACGACCCTAAAAACTGTTAGACAAAGGTCAAGGGGGGGACTAAGAGCAAGGAAACGATGTTGTGTGACACTTGGCAAACTCTGTGTGTCCGAATTATCGCTAGTCCCTGCTCCTAAATTTCATCTTACCATTTTGTGAAGTTGTTTGTTGGCTCTGGTCAAGGTTTTGGTTCTTGTTGCCGATTACAACACTACAGTGTGACTGTTTTTTCTTTTAATAGGGTAGGGTTCAAGTATATGTACCCTGGTGCGTTTTCCAATGCGTAAGCGCACGTTAAACCACATCTACGGCATTGTAAAGCAGTGCGTAATTCGTATCCTCCGTCCTTTCTAGCCAGGGTTAGTCGGTGAACAGTAAGTGTTTGGCACAGGGCAACAGGATCTAGATGCGTTGGGGTGGAACACAAAAACGCAGAGTGTTAAAAAGTTTCGATTTAGAGTGGTAATTCTGCATGTTTGTACACGTTCTTGGTTCCTCTTACTTTGCTGTTTTTCCAAAACTTCTTGCATATTTGTATTCCTTTTTTCGCTCTCCCTTGCTTACCTAACAATACAGAAAGGTTCATCTTTTGTGAGATGATCTACATGTGGCATCTTGAGGTCTAACACGTAGAATGTGTCATATTCCCGATGCCGCAGTGTTTCAGCCGTGCACGGAAGCGTAAGACACAGCTGTCCACATGGACAGAAGTATCCGTATCCTGAAGACATAGTAGGGACGGTGTTGAGGTTGAAGAAGTGGAATAGAAAACGAGAAAAATAGTTAGTGGTTTGGAATTGTTTTAATGAAGACTAGTTGTCAGTACGTGAAACAAGACCTAACAAAACGTCTCGACAACCCTCTTTAGCAAGGACTTTTTACACTTAAGGCGAGTAACGACTGTCATTAAAGTTAAGTTTTAAACATTGCCGTCACATGACCGCGTCCACGTGCAAGGGAGGTGAAGGATCTGCAGTGGCCATAGTAGCGCGTAACTTGCGGTCATATACTGTGACCATGACAAAGGGTTTTCCCCACCTTTCGTTCGTTTCCCCAATGCACTACGTAATGAACTCAAGCTTAGCATTGTCCATTTTTGCATCTTATCAGAGATTAGATTTTTTTTGAAGGCGCAATAGGTCAAAAGCTCGATTGATACCGTCGAAACGTCATCACGATAAAGTAGCGGAGTTGTTAAATCACTTTAGACTTATCACTGGACCTGAGGGTATCGTCAATTTATCCAATCAAAACAGAGTTTAGCGAGAAGTCAATTAAGGGTCGCATAGGGTCTCGAAAAAAAATACATAGTTTTCATTTTCCAATGAATATGGAACCGAGAAATTTAAAAACATTTCAATTTTTGTCAAAAAAAAAGCAAACAACATCTCTAAAAACCAATTTATAGTGTCTTTATGAGGATGTTTTGGATGTTTGCTTTTTGCCTTTAAAGCTCGGCGTTATTACGACCGCTGAGCCAATTACTATATCTAACCTTAACCAATCACAACTTTAATTGATAATACAAATCGCGCACTGTGCGACGATCCTTCATATATTTGCCTTAATAACGAATAAGCATGACGTCATTTTTGCAAATGACGTGGAAAACGGTGCAAAACAATTCACTTGTCATGATTTAAAACAACCGGTTTCCCCATTTTTTTATGAACCAAGAACGCAGCTCTTAAGAAAAACATTCTTGTGAGAGCTTTGTCTAAACATTCTCTTGTTCTAAAACGCATACGCTCAGTGCAATCGCATACCTTCGACTTGTCCGGTGATCCGAATTATACGGGTCGCACACTCATTTTGGAACAATTGACAGGTTTATCAATCATTATTTGAATACATTTACCCCTTTACAGCATTCCAAACTCAGTGAATTATTTATATTCCGAAATTATCGCTCGCTGCGATGGAATTGAATAATCCCGCCTACACCCTCTCCATCGAGGACATTGGAAAGCAATTAGAAACAGATCTCTCTTCTGGACTATCATTTGTTGAAGCCAGTCGCAGAATTACCGAATATGGGGAAAATAAACTTACTACGGATGTCGGTACATCGGCTTTTCGAGTATTCATGAAACAAATCCTCAACGCTATGTGCGTTGTCCTTATTCTTGCTGCCGCCCTTTCTTTTGGTACGACAGATTGGATCGAGGGTGGTGTAATCAGTGCTGTTATTTTCCTCAATGTTTTCGTCGGTTTTATTCAAGAGTATAAAGCTGAGAAAACAATGGAGTCCCTTCGCTCGCTTTCTTCTCCTATGGCGCACGTTCTTAGAGATGGTTCCGTCGAACAAATTGCCTCAAAAGACGTTGCCGTTGGTGATGTTGTTGTTCTTCGTACTGGTGATGTTGTCCCTGCCGATATTCGACTTACCGAAAGTCATAGCTTCGAGACAGACGAAGCGCTACTTACTGGCGAAAGTCTTCCGGTCGTAAAGGATGCTCGTGAAACTTTTTCAATGGAAGAAGATGTGCCTGTTGGTGATCGCATAAATTTGGCATACTCTTCATCAATCGTGACAAAAGGTCGCGCAAAAGGAATCTGTTACGCAACCGGAATGCACACCGAACTTGGTGCAATTGCTGCGGGATTGAAGAATGCATCCAAGCGCCAATTTACCCCGCCTTCAAAGGATCAACCTCATTACAGAAAACAGTTACTTAAGTTTCGACTAAGGAAAATTCGCTATTACATCGCTAGAGGTTTGGGCCTCAACGTTGGAACACCGCTTCAACAGAAGATGACAGTGATGGCTTATGCTTTGTTTATTATTGCAATTATCTTGGCCATCGTTGTAATGGCGGCGCACAAGTTTGATGTCACGAACGAAGTCTCCATCTACGCTATTTCCTTGGGTATTGCAATTATTCCAGAATCTTTGATCGCCGTTCTCGCCATCACTATGGCTATAGGACAAAAGACAATGGCTAAAAGAAAGGTAATTGTGCGTAAATTGGAGGCACTTGAAGCACTTGGTGGTGTCACGGATATTTGTTCTGACAAAACTGGTACTATTACTCAGGGAAAAATGATTGTTCGGCGTCTATGGCTCCCTTCTGTTGGAAGTTTGGTAATTGATGCTCCTAATGCTTTGGATCCTGAATCCGCTGATGTCTCCGTTCAAAGACACAAATACGAAAAGGGTGTTTTCAATGAAGAAGCAGAGAATTCTGGTTTTGAGGAAACTGATTTCGGTTCACTCAAGGACGATCTTTTGCCCGTTGTTGAGATTACTTCTCTTTGCAACAATAGTGTTGTTCAGAAACCCGACACGAAGGGTGACGAATGGTCTGCGAAGGGAGAGCCCACGGAAATTGCTCTTCACGTATTCTCTTGGAGGTTTGGTCTCGGAAAAGACGTTCTTCTGCCCAACTATACCCTACTGAAGGAATGTCCCTTTGACTCGGAATTGAAGCGGATGGCTGTTGTTTACGAAAAACCCGACGGACAGCGAATGGTTTTGGTGAAAGGTGCAGTTGAAAGAGTTATTGAACGCTGTGCAACAATCATGGGCTCTCCTTTTGAAAAACAAGATGAAGATGTTGTCTCTTCATATGTTGAACTTCTCGCCGCACAAGGTCTCCGTGTTTTGGCCCTCGCGCGTAAAAACTTTGACGAAGATGTTTCTGATTGGGAACGCCTGGACCGTGATACCATTGAAAGCAAACTTGATTTTGTAGGACTCGTCGGAATTTACGATCCGCCAAGAGCAGAATCAAAGAATTCTGTTGCTCTCTGCCATAAGGCCGGTATTCGTGTACACATGCTTACGGGTGACCATCCCGAAACCGCGCGCGCTATTGCTAGAGATGTTGGCATTATTCCGTTCAGAAACGATGACATTCGTGATATTAAGTGGATGGTTATGACAGGCACTCAATTCGATTCCATGTCGCACGAGGAAATTGACAATCTACCGGCGCTACCACTTGTTATTGCGAGATGCGCTCCCCAGACCAAAGTAAAAATGATTGAAGCCATCCATCGTCGCAAAGGTTTTGCTGCAATGACTGGTGATGGTGTGAACGACTCGCCGTCTTTGAAAAAAGCCAACGTTGGTATCGCTATGGGGCAAAACGGAAGTGATGTTGCGAAAGATTCAAGTGACATTGTGCTTACTGATGACAACTTCTCATCCATTGTTAATGCCATTGAGGAAGGTCGAAGAATTTTCGACAACATTATGAAATTTGTTCTTCACTTGCTTATCTCGAACGTCGGTGAAGTTATCCTTTTAATTGTAGGTCTGGCCTTCCGTGACCATGTTTCCCTATCAGTCTTTCCAATGTCACCAGTTGAAGTCCTTTGGGCAAATATGATTACTTCTTCCTTTCCTTCGATGGGTTTGGGTATGGAGGAAGCGACTCCAGACATTATGAACCGCCTCCCTCATGACAACAACGTTGGTGTGTTTACCACTTCTTTAATCTGTGACATGCTTGTTTATGGATCTGCTCTCGGTGTTCTTGCATTGATGACATGGGTTGTTATCATGTATGGATTTGGTACCGGAAACTTATCATATGACTGCAATGCCTATTATCATGAGGGTTGTCTTGACGTTTTCCGTGCGAGAGCCGCAGTGTTTTCTGTTGTTACTTTTACTATTCTGATTATGGCATGCGAGGTGAAGAACTTCAACAACTCCGTGTTTAATCTGCGCGGAGAGCCTTGGAGTGAATGGAGCTTCAAAAAGTTTTGGAAGAATCTTACACGCAATAAGTTTTTGGCCTATTCGGTAATGGGCGGTGCTGCTTCCATTTTCCCTACCATCTACATTCCGGTCATTAACACAAACGTATTTAAGCACAAACCCATTGGATGGGAATGGGGTGTCGTTTTCGTCGCAGCGATTCTATTTTTGCTTTTTGTCGAACTTTGGAAATTCTTCAGAAGATGGGTCTTGGGCGTTTCATCCGAGTCTCCCGCCTTCAAGCGTGCTTTGAGCCGCACTATTACAAATGAAACACGTCTTACAGAGAAAGACCTGGAGCGCCGGCTGTTTCATCATGTTCAGAATGCTGACGATTTGCCGAATCGAAACGACGGAGATGTATAATCGGCCTAATCCAACATTCATCTCTTCACTCGTCGGTTTTCAAACTCCTTGTGTATTCTTTTTTGTTGTTGTACGTTTTTTATCTTCTTTTTTTGAAAGCAAACAGGCTGGGATTCTGTTAATTCGGTTAATCCATCCTTTCATGAACAACTATCGCAATCATTTTGGTTTTCATTTTCTTTTTGTCGTTCATTTTTTGGCTCTTTAGCATTCTTTATGGGATTGGTGACAAGAGATTTAATTCTTCAGCTCACTAATATTCTCTCGTGCCCTAATGATTTTGATTTACTAATAAATGCATTAACAGTTACTAACATTCACTGACTGCTTAGCGCTTCAGAATACTGCGTAACAAAACAAGTGACAAGTTCCGGATATCCGGCCGCGCTAGGGTTTTCACTCCTTGATATGACTGGCTGATGGGTGTCGGCTCATATATCCACTGGCTAATCTTATATTTTTCCTATTGGTTCAGCTCTAAAAAAGTCGCGTAAGCGAATTTCGGTTTGCGACGTATTTAAATACAATCCCTTTAACAATGCTGTCTTAGAAAGTAAACATAACGCCAAAAAGTCTCACTCCTTATTTAAGTTTTATTAATAAATACGAAAACCTTTTTTGAAAAATTACTTTTCTGTAGAGCCGCCACTAAGACAAGGCAACTTCTTTCAGGTACTCAGCCTCCCGCTTCCTTGCGCCCCGCACCGCTCCCCCGCACTGAAAAGGGTCCAGCGCGGTAACCTAGCGACGGACGATCATATAAAGACAACGTTCGGTCTCGATTTAGCGGTATAGACCAAGAAAGTATTTACTAAACGATCTAATGCGTAATATCTCATATTTATCCGCTGAAACTTTAAAGGAATGGATTTTGGAAAAACCTTTTAATTTTGTTATTCTCGATGTCAGGGGCGAAGATAGAGCCGACGGACATATTCCCGGCAGTATTAATGTTCCATCGGACACGTTCTTGGTTGACATCGAAAAGGTGATGGACCAATGCTTACGGGCAAAGTGTGTTATCGTGCACTGCACAATGTCCCAAATCAGAGGTCCGAAGGCCGCCCGGGTTCTGCACGAATTACTCATGAACCGGTTCTGCAAGGGAACACAGGACTCAATGTCGCCTATCGAAATTGATGAAGTCCTTCACAAAATGCCTTCCATATACATTTTGGAAGGCGGCTTTTTCTATTGGAATCAACGCTATTGTAATGATAAACGGTTGGTAAGCTATAAAATGAATTGAACTGAATAATTATTATCTCGATTTGGGGATACTCGTTCATTAAAACCATATACCGAGTTTTAGGTAAATTTCCTATTTTTTTAAAGCCATCAAATGGATGAAATCAATGACCCTCGTAAGTCTAAAGATCCTTCTTGATTTTGAGCGGATGCTTGTAGTACACACCTTTAGAAATAAGTATACTGGCATGTTCTAAAGCAATAAAGAAAACGACGAGGAAGTTGCTGATGCAGAAATGACTAATGCTGATACCAATTTCGAGCCAGGAACCCTCGTCTCTAACCAAGTAGAAAAAGTTGATAGTAACCACATCTGCCATGGCCATTGCGATGAAAAATGTATTTCTCTGCTTTCTGCCAAGACGCTCATTCATGATACCAAATACAGCAGAAAGCACAACAAAGGGAATTATAATAATTAGAATGAGGATAGCTCCTTGCACGAATGGGTTAAAAACGGGAATTAAACGTTTGACCGAATCAAGACTAAACGATGAAATCGATGCAACGTTTCCTGTACCAAAGAATGCCACTTGAATGAAAATGTAGAAAAACATTGAAGTTCTGATATGGGAAAGTTCAACCGGAAGATATACCCCGTTCGATTTCTTCTCATGTGCCTCTTTCAAACGCGTTTCCAGTTCCATCCACAGACACAAGGTCATAAAGAAAGAAACATTGAACAGGGATTCGAAAGATATCGTGAAAAACACCAATGTCGGACAAATCATTAGAAAGAGAATGACTAAACGATCCGCGAAATAATGCTTCAAGGAGCGAGCACTAGCAAAAGGAATCACGAACGAGGTGCACAAGAGTGCAAAAGATAAAACCCGAAGACCGATGAGAACGGGTAGATTATTTTGCAGATGATTAACAATTTTCTTCGTCAATAAGCTGGTAAAAAATATACAACTACACTGAAGGATAAGTTGCGAAATTGGAACACTAGAATCCTTAGCACTTAGCCGGCTTCTCGAGAATATGATGTAGGAAACACCGAGCACAAGCATGATGATACCGCCAATGTCTATAAGAAGAGGAGACTCGATCTTTTCCGCGGGTAAAAGTGTAAATGCACCAGTAGTGAGAGAAAACACCGACCATAATGCGCAAATAGCTTTGTTTTGGAAAGAGAATTTGGTATGGAAAACCCACGGCCATAAAGACAACAGTATAAAGTATACGCTGTAGATATTACGATGGAAATAACTCGCAACAACCGACTCCAAAAAGACAAAAACAAGTGACAAGCCACAGATGGTATTTATCGCACTCGTTTTCCGTTGCGTCTTCGTTAACGTTAGAAAGTTCTTGAAACCGTCAATGCCTTGAGGTGCTTTGGTATACAACAGCTGAACAAAAAGTGTTGGGAACAACAAGTAAAGATAATAAGCAAGTGGGCTCTTTTGCAGGTAAAAAAATACATAAAGTACAGCGGACGGAAGGGACAAGATGATAGTGCTGGCGACAGTACGTCTTCTTGGGTGCACCTTTGCACTGGCATTCTGAGCAAACACGGAGCACAAAATATACAAAATCCAGCCAACGTAACCACAAAGAACAATCGTTCTCAACAAAAACCAATCATAGCGCTGCAAATAACGAAGCCCATCAAGACTCTTGGACGTGAAATCAAGACTGTAGGCAATTGCGTCGCCATATCGACCCTCCGTAATGGCTGTGTGCACAGAAGTATTGAAATCTTGAACATGTGCTTGGTAATTCGCCAGTGCAGGATAGGGTTTGTAATAGAACTGTGTTTCAGCCTTGGAGGACGATTTTACGTGGTACTGTTCACCAACGACAAGTGCATTAACAAAAGCGGCTTTCGCTTTTTGTGCATCATCACAATCCAGAAAATCCAATGGAATTTCACCAACGGAGTTGCTTGGGAAATTTAGGCCCAGTAAGTACGACATCAGTGGCGCAATGTCAGCTTGTTTAACATCTAGGCGCTTGACAGAATCGAGTCCCCAAGGGCGAGAATACCCGTCATGACCTTCTGAAGAGTGAATGGGCTTTCGAATACCCGCACCCCAGGCAATCAACGGAGTTCGCGTATTGTCCAAACTTCCATCACCATGGCTGCCATAATCGCTCATACCATGATCGGCAGTGAAAACCCATGAAGTGGCTTTATCGTCTTCATAATATTTGTTCACCATTTCTACCACGCGTTGTAAGTTCGTATCAACATACTGAATGTTCTCCACATAATCTTTTGAGTATGGACGTTTGCTGTGTCCGACGGTGTCGATACCAAGCAAGTGCAAAAAGAAAACAAGCTTATCCTGATGAAGCATTTCCCAGAGTTTGGGATCGTGGAAGGAGGCATTGAACATTTGTTCTACGTGCTCAAACACCCATTCGTCTTGAACAATGCCACTTGCTGAGAAATCCTCGTATTCTGGAGGATACATAAAAGCATCAACACGGTCAGGATCTGAGGCACCATGAGCAAACATGGGAAGAATGTCGGGCGAACCAAAAGAATAAGTATGTCTGCTTTGGTTGAAAACAGAATCAAAATTGACAGGGTTCATCTTCCAGCCCTTGGTGACGGCAGAAACATCCTCGTAAAAGCCAGCAATGATGGCTACGTGTCCAGGGCGAGACTCGGTAGGAACACGAGTATGAGAGATACCAAACGAGCCATTGTTTAGGATGATTGATCGCAGAAAGGGAGCCGCATATTCCTGGTCATTGTCCAGCATGTGCGATGGGTGTTTTTGAAGCAATTTATCGGCTCGAAGTCCGTCACCTATATGTTTTTGTTAGAGCGAAATTGTACGTATGATCGGCGATCATTGTAATTGAGTGTTCTCTTCGCGTACCAACAACTAGAAAAAGTCGCTTCGCTGGATGCTCCTCGACAGCATATTGCTGCATGCCGTGAACAAGCGGCGTTACGAAATAAATATCAAAGATAGACTTTAAATATATGACATGGAATAAGATACCAAGCAGCAATAGACGCCCCAGCATCGTGAAAAATTGTCTTAAAAGACAGTAAGGAAAATGAAATTGCCTCTAACGATTCGCGTAGAATGCTAGAGGTAATTGTTAATGAATGGTATGCGAAAGCAACGAACAGGGAGCCACGCAGTTTGTGAAAGTTGATGTCGTTGGTGGGAACAAGAGAGGTAACAGTGGGTAACAGATCCAAAGAAATCGTGACATAAACCGACATCGTCGAATCAAATCGAGTTAAGATTCAGGCATGGCGATCATAGGTAACATCTAAGTAACAATTGCCGACAATACCTATGCTCAGTGTAATGTAGTAAATGACAATATCAAAGACGAAAATGGTATTTAGTACGTGCAGTAAGTGTCTTTGCTATCACTAAAGTCATATATTTGTCGAGTGCGCTCATTTTTCGTTAGTAGCTTCTTCTTAAGTTTTTGAATTACTGAATTTATCGGGCCCAAATGAAATCGAAAAGTTACATTACATAAGATTTGGAGAATATCATTACAAACAGTGAAAACACAATAAAAATATACCTTTCATACTCTCAAAGCCCCCATTTTCGCAGCTCCTTCGCCATTTTTACAAGACGAATGATACCGGCTCGGAAACGAGCACGATGTCTTTCACTGCGTAAACGAGAACGTCTAGCAGTTGGTTTTTCGTAAAATCGTTGTGCGTAAAACTGTCGCCGGACATTGTTTCTGGCACATAAAGCCTCTAGTTGTGAAAATGTCTGCGACAGACTTCGTCGAACGGATACCGTAGCACCAAGATCGTACTTTGGTGCCATACGCTGCATTCTCTTTGCGTTCAAGGCAATCTCTTTGACTTTTTGCAGCGGCTCATTTGCTATTGCATAAGTGTTAGCAGACGCCAAAACATAAAAACTCTATTTATAAGCAAATAGCTATATATTACCAAAGAACCGTTTCTGGAAGTGAGATATTGAAGGTTGAATAAGTCCACTCCAAGAGTGTAGTGTTCCTTTCCTCAGTGAAGAAATCATTTTTGTGATACGATTTGGGTGCAGTGTACTAGTTGAAAATTAAAATCAGTTATCGTATAACAGAATAAGAGACTCGTGAGAAGGGTTGGAGGGTTTTTGTTAGTCTGTTGATGATGACAAAGGGAGGAGGAGGTTTCTATATATTTTTATGAGTTTTTTTTTATTTTTTTTATTTTAATTTTTTCTTTAAATTTCACTTCAATATATTTTCACTTAATAGCTAGTCGGTACATCCACCGTACCTTCTACTCTTGTTTACAGCAAGTACTGTATACTTATTACACCTTTTCTTGTTAAACTCAAAAGAAGTACTAAGCGAAACGCGGTTCCCCACTACGAAAAATCAGTACAAGACAATTGCGATGTGTAAGCGTGAAAAACCTGCTCAATTTCATACTAATAGTGTTCTTAGCTTATCCAAATCAACAAGCCGCTACGTATCCGTACGGTTATGTTCAAAATGCGGCTCCATTGGCTGTTCCTTTCCAACCTGTCGTCGCGTCTCTGCCTTCTGATTACAAATTATCATATCCCAAACTTTATCCGATCCAGAATGCTTTGATTCCGCAGCAGAACAACGATCCTCTGTCCACTGTTGATCTTTCGGCGCCCGTCATTCGGTTTCAAGATTTGGTATCCTCGAAGCAGACAAAAGACACAACTTTTAATACAAATGAAGCAAACAAAAATGTGTCTAAGACCTCAAAATCAGAGAATGCTTTCGTTCAGCAAGGACGTGAGCAAAATCACCCAGCTGCAACCCAAAAAGAAGTTCGTCCACTGCTCAATGTTTCTACTAACCAAATGAAACGAATGCTACTAATATCCGATGTTCCAAAGGCTTTGGATGACTTTTGGATGGATAAGGTTTTACGTCTTTCTGGAAAGTTAATCGCCTGGAGAAGAATCGTGGATGAAAATGATGAGCCAACATCATTTGGCTTTGCGGAATTCGAAAACACAGAGCAATTCAGTCGGGCGCTTGAGGTTTTGTCAAATTATGAATTCAAGTTGGGCGGCGAAAGCAATCCAACTGTTGAAAAACTTACAATTCAAGTGGATAAAGCAAATGAATCACTCATTAAAGATTGGAGAAATAATCGTTATTACAAAAACAAGGTATGACAGGATAATTTATTTACATGAATGCTGCTAACACGTATTCAGCACGAATCTGCTATTATTCAACAAATCTATGCCAATTTAGACAGAATCTCTCTGGATATAACAAACCCAGACATTAGAGCACGCATCGAACGAGCTGCCAAACAGGCCAAAGAAAAACAAGAACGGGCATTGCGTGAAAGTAAAATGTCCACCATTACCATTAATGCCGCAGATTTGGAAGGCATTAACCCAGATCAGCTGCCCATGATTGAAAATGAGATTCGTAGCTTTCGGGATCGTTCGGCGCTCAAGGAACGCGAAAAACAACGAGCACAGGAAGAGTATACTCGACTTCGGAGAGAATTCAAAGAACGCGAACGGAAGGCTGAACAAGAACTACTTGAACCACTTTTCAAACGTCCTGTAGCACAAAAGCTTTTACAGCTTTCTAGCTCTTTACAGTCGATGTTGCTAGCGGAGGAATCCTACCCAAGCGACCTGACCGACGAAGAAATCGCAAATCGTGAAAAGGAACGCGAAAAAGCCAAAGAAGAAGAATCGTTTTACTCGCGCGAGCGCAGATGGTTCAACCGTGAACGTGCTCGTGCCGCTGCTCTTGAACGTGAGGACTTGCGTGAACACGATGAAGAGGCACGTAGGGTCTCCCAGCGCAGACATTACTCAGAAAAGCTGGCAACATTCGATGATGACGAAGAGGCTCGCACTTCCAGAGATGAGTATTTCGTCGATCGTGCTGCTTGGATTCGCCATCGTGCAGTTGCCCGAGTGCGCGAGGAAGATGCAGATGAACAAGACAGACGTGCAGATGAACGTAATGCACAACATCGTGATACATCTGCAAACGGCGGGGCGGCTCATGAAAAAACAATTACTAGTGAAATGCCATTCCATGAAGGTCCCGTCAAACTTTCTCTGCAACCAGCGCAGCAACCAGCGAAACGCGATCTTTCCGAAAAACTCATGCTGCCGGAAGAGGAGGAAGACGAAGAGGATGAAAGTGTTATGCTTTCTCTCTACGAGAAATCGACGAAAAACAAAGAGGCTTCTACGGAAAAAGAGCAAGAAGGCGAAACAAAAACGTATACAGGAGCTCATTGCTCAAATTCCAACGGTTCCAGAAGAATTGTGGACATTACCTGTTCGTTGGGATGCTGTTACGGAGGTATGTTATGGAATTGTTCTTCTGCTTTTATCATCAAACAATGCTAACCACAAACAACAGGAGCTATTGACAAATCAATTGGCGAACTTTGTTACCAAAAAGATTATCGAGTACATTGGTATTCAAGAACAATCGCTCATCACATATACCATCGAGCATTTGAGGCAGCGCAAGGGTGCAGGAGAGCTTATGAAAGAACTCGAACTTGCACTCGATGAAGACGCGCCTGAATTCGTGAGCAAGATTTACCGTTACCTGCACATACTCATTATTTTGCAAACGGAGGGATCGGCATAGCCATCTTTCTATGTGTCGCGAAAAAAAATTGGAATGATCGTTACGTTTGGGATGTGCGACATGTCCTAACGAACCCCGTTTTTCTTTCCCATTTTCTGGTGTGTGTGGAATGGGCTGTACCGTTATTCTTTTTTCTTGTCTACTAATTTTGTCTTTTTTGCCTGTGCTTTCATGAATGCTTCCAGTGAAATGCCGGAAAACACAAACAAGACACCCACCCATTGCAGTGGGTTGAGTTTGTGATGAAAATGAACTACGCTAAGCAACATGGTGAAAACCTTCCGTGTGAGTGTGATAGTGACTAAAGTGATGCTGCCGAACTTTTCGAGTGTGTAAAAGATGAACAACTGTCCGATAGCGCCCATGGCACCAAAGATACCGATGTCATAAAGCACCGAAGGATGAGCGTGTATAAATGACCATGGATCTTGATGGCACCACGGGGAGAGCAAGTAAGCACCGTTGAGCAAGCATATACCCACATTAACAGCCACCATCATGGTTATGCTGGACAACTTGTAGTGTGTAAACACCTTGTCCTGTGTGGTGTTTGTAATCCCGTCCATGAGCAGGTTCATGAACAAAAGCGAGAGACCCCAAATACTGTCTGCGGACTCAGACGCAGTGCGGCTGCTGGATGACTTGGAAAAGTAACTAAACATGGCCACACCCGCCGTGACCATACTGACAATCAGGTACTTGTGAGGGGGGAACCGTCTTTTGTACAGAACCACATGCAAAGCCATGACAGGCAGCAGTTTGCAAGACTTTCCGAGAATGACCATTGGGTAAGAAATATGAGCCATACTGGCGTATCCGAAGTACGAACTGAGAGTGGCCGTAATCGCAATTCTGGCAAAGTAGTACACGAGCTTCGCATCCTTAACCACAAAAGGAAGTGTTTTTTCTCGTGTAAGTTGCCAAACGATTCCGCACACGACTGCTCCAGCCGCCTGTGCAAGACTGAGGACAATGGGTGCTTGGAAACGTTCGCCTTCATACGGCTTTGTCATGAGTTGTTCCTGTAGAACAGCCCAAGACAAAAAGGAACCGTAGATGCCAAGAACACAGATCAAAAGCTGACCAAGTGAACCGCGAGCCATATTGCTGTTCTCTAGCGTTTCAGCTGTAAACCGCGTTTCGTTGTTCTGCTACGAAATAGAGGCGTGTGAACAGGACTACTACGTTTTTTGACAATCAGTCCAGAAGTCTCAATCAAAGCTGAAGGAAACGAATGGAACGAACTCGTTTGGGTTGAGTATTTCGAGTGTTGTCGCAGCCAAACCCCGTCGTCTCTGCCTTCTACACACTGCACGCGCACACAGAGAACGTGGAAGACTTGACATCTTCACCACCTAAAAAAACACAAGTGACAAAAAACTTGACAATTCCCTGGTCGTAGCGGAGCCTTTGCTGATCGTCCGAAGCCCGGAATCCACTACGAACGACGCTGCGCTGAAAACTGTTTTCAAACGCACGTACGACAGCAGACACTGTCAATCTGCATTTCTTTCAAAAGCTGCGAGTAGCCAGCACACACCAAAAAATACAAAACAAAAACAAAACCGTCCGCGACCACATTAACGATGAGACGGACGAACCGTGGTGCTATGGGTGGCCTTTCATGGCAGGATGTGGCGGACATGAAGCCCATGACAGATCCTGTAAAAGGATTTCCCGACCGAGAGATACCCGTTCCAAGAGGAGTACAACCCCACGAGTTTCTGGAACAGCGGTTCTTACGAGAAATCCAGCACACGTTCAAAAAAGAAAGCCCTTTCTACATTCGTCTCAAGTCGTTAAAGAGCGAGCAGGAAAACGAAGACGGACTCGAACGGTACAGCGACAAAACAAAACCAAAACACAAGGGCTACTTCCTCCACCTTTCCGACCTTAACTTGGACCCACGTCTGTTTCCCGAAGAGCTCCATTCTGTTTTTGTGCGTACGTCGGAAAATGGACAGAAGCACTCTGCAAAGCAGCTTGATATGAAAACATTCATCGACTTTACCATTAAAGCAGAAGATCTCCGGGACGATCCTCGAGCAGCAGCAACCGCCGAAGAAGAGCGCGCCGCTGATGAGTTTGAAGAGGAAGATGATGACTTTGGCGACGACGAAAACAACGACTACGGAGATAACTACTTCGACAATGGAGAAGGCGACGACGTCGAAGACGATGACGACGACGGAGCCAATCTTTATTACTGAATTGAAGTTGGGGGAACTGCGGAAAAAGGAGCAGGAGAAAAGAGGGACTTAACCTGTAATCTAGAATGGATTTGTTTTTTTGGGCTTGTAACGGAACCATGGAATCTTTCCTCTGTCCCTATAAGCAGCCTGCGCATGTTTCGAAGTAGCATTTACTGTTCGCTTAGATAAATTACAGTTATCTAAGCAACGCGGGACAGCACGCACTTCTTAGGACCCTTCACTAACCGAATTCCCCTCAACACCCGACAACTCTATTTTACAACCTTCAACACGTTCGTTACACGAGGATTGCATTCATTCTAATAACCGAATTGAGCAAGCTTTTCGTTAACAGAAGAGGCAGCCTTGGCAGCAGAGAACTTGTTTTGCTTAGCGAGCTTAGCTTGGTAGAAAGCGGCACTCTTCACCTTACGACGCTCCTCGAGCTTGGCAACGACGTCTTGGTACTTCCAGCCAACCTCGGCAGAGAGACGACCAACAGTGCAGTACTTGCGGCCAGGCTTAAGACGCAAGACGCGGAGAGCAGCAGGGACAACAACACGCTTCTGCTTGTCGAAAGGAGCAGGGATACCCTCGACAGCTTGAAGACGCTCCATGGCAGCCTGACCACGGGCAGTCTTGTGAGGAATCATACCGCGGACAGCCTTTTGGAAAATGCGAGAAGGAGCGCGGAAGTGGAAGGCACCACGGGTGGGGTTGTAACGACAGGCCTTGCGCAAGTAAGCGAGGTACTTAAGCTTGTTACGGAAGAAGTGGCCAGAAATGTTGAGTTCCTCACAACGAACAACAACGACCTTTTGACCGTTCAAGAGTTGCTTGGCGACGACGGAGGCGAGGCGACCGAGAAGGTGTCTAAATACAGAAAAGCGATTAGCAGGATGGACCACGATACAGCGATCACGAGTCAGTGAAGACAGTACCACCGACTGTGTTAGACGTACCCCTTTGCGTCAATGACAACGACCTTTTGAAACTCTGACATTTTGGCTGTCTCTCTGGTGGATGTTTGGAATTTCGAGCATTTGAGATTCTGTGACTGGTTTTTGTGCCCTACCCTAAAACAACAAAGTGAGCACGTGAAACAAGGTTTCGAAATAAGCGAAGTATGTGGGGAAGCGCGGGGGGCAAACGTGGGGTGCAGAGGGAGGGAGTGTGGGGACGGGCCTGTATGGGTACATAGAATAGAAGCAAAAAGTAGCTGGCCCAGCTAGTAGCAAGTCGAGCACGGCCCTCAGGCCGTGCCCGACTTGGCCGGAACGATTGAAAACCCGAAAGAAACCATTGAGAATCGTCGACATGGTCCCGCACGCTTGCAACCCCTGACAACTCTTATTCCTTTTTTTTTTTAATTGTCGCGCACTCAGTTAGGCGGCTCTGTGGAAGGCGACAACTGCTGTCGTGCTGCCCACATGCCCTCCAAACTCAATGACGGGCATGCGCACAGTCGAGTGGACAACCAAGCCGACGGGAGCAAACTTTTCGATGAGCTCCTCCTCGGTCCAGTTGCAGCTAGTGACCAAGAGGATTCCGTGCGGACCCAGCGCTTTGGCAGCCTGACGGACATACACATGGTCGGCGGGCTGGCCGTCCACAAGGTCGGGACAAAGGGAAATGGCGTCGAGCGTGCCCTTATCTAAGAGCAAATCCCATTCGCCTTGGTAGGGCACAGGATCGCGCAGGAAATCGAGTGCGAAAAAGTCGACACGGCTTTCAAGACCATGCTTTGCTGCCACCTGCCGGGCCAGCTGCACGGCCGACTCAGAGTAGTCAACACCTGTCAACATCATCTTGTCAGGCACGAGATGAGCAAACTCCTCGGCCACGCGACAGAGGAGATGGCCATTGCCGGTGCCTACGTCGAGGACACGAATGGCCGTAGGCGAACCAGGGGAGCTACCGGTCTTGGTGGAAGGAGAGCTTACGGCAGTAGCACTAGCAGCAGCAGCATCGACGTCCGCTGCTGCCGATACCGCTTCTGCTTCTCCCATGGTGGAGTGCCTGCCCTCACACACAGGTGCCACATGCTCCTCTATCCACTCGATAATTTTTTCCTCGGCCTCTTCACCGAACCAAACTTCTCCTTCGTCCGAGAACTCGTCTAGGTTGGCCACCTCGAGCGAGTAGACCGAATCCCAACTGTGCAGTTAGCATTGCACGAAGCGGTCGTAGCAGGCGTGACGAGCCGAGCGTGCTGAACCAGCCCGTGAGGGCTGGTTCAGCTGCGTTCGCTGGCTGACGGCCTCTGCTTCTTTTGCTGCGGTGACTTACTGAGATTTTGTTCCAAGCTCTGATGGTGGGAGCGACATGTGGAGCAAAAGCCGAAGCAAGCGGAGGGCGGAGGAAGTGGGGGAGCGCAGTGCGGCTCTGCCGCACTGCGCTTCGAAAGAATCCGGTAAAGCAGATAGTGCGGAAGGCCGAAACATAATGCATTGCAGCCAAGTTCAGTAAAGGTAGCTTTATGACACGTTAACACACGCTAACCCTCACTTCGTTACACTGCACTGAACCACGCTCGTTTGCACTATCCGTGTTAACGCGCTCTGTTTTCGCGCTACTTCACGCTGCACATGCTACCGTCGCGCTACGCTCTGCGTTAATTCAACCGCTCAGCTACGCTGCGCGCTTCCACGCTCCTTCCATGATCCAACTCGTCCCCAAGCACCAGAAGCTCGTACGCACATGCTACCCCAAGGACAAGACGGACAGCGCGGTGCCTGTGAGCTCGCCTCTGGCGTACCTCTGTTACTATGCTTCGTGTAACTCGAGCAAGCTGCGCAAAGTCCTCGCGTACCTTGAGGTCCGGACGCGTTCTGACGTCGAGAAAAAGAAAAAATTGTAAGTCCAAGAGCCATTGGGAAGCGAAACAGAGTAGTTGAGGCTAAAATTTGGGTCCGACATGGTCTGTCCCGAAAAGAACGGCCCTGTTCTGCGGTCTCTCACGGTCACTACTACCGTCGTCTACCAGTCCTTGTCATTTGCTTCGCACCTGTCTTCGCACCTGTTCTCTCGCTAACACTCCAGTGACACGCTCATTACTCTTCAAATCCTTAAAGCTCTTATCGAGAAATGTAATGAAAACTTGCCCGTGCTGGCTCACAATACGTTCACCATTCTGCTCTCTTGTCTGGAATTAAAAGACTTGGAGTTGGCTGCCTTGTGCGAAACATGTTTCTCTCTGTTTCCTACGTACACCAATTTTTCCGTGTGCCTTGCCGACCAAGAATGCTGTGACCAGTGGAACGCCGTTGTGGATGCTTTTCGAGACCTCTCTCTCATGGACTACAGCGCTGCAAATGCTGCAACTCCTCTTTCAGAGTCGACACTTGCTTGGCGTCGAATTGGTCTCATGGCTCTTAGCTCGATCATGCAGTGTCCGTCGTACCCGTCCAACACTCTCGAGGCTCGTCTCGTCGACCTTGTCGTCCACGCCTGCCTCTGCAACTTGTGGATGGGCGACCATTTTGTCACCGGTGCGAAGCTGCTGCAGTCGTTTCGTGAACCCGCTGCTCGTGACATGATGCCTCAGCTCGTCAAACTCCCCGTGCCCGACGATGCTCAGGGCCTTATTCCGCTTGCCGTGTACCCCATCTACCTGATTCACGCCAACGTCACCGGTGATCGTGCTTCGCGCAGCATTTCACAGCTCTTGCACTTCGCTGCCGACCTTGGCAGCCATGAATCTGTGCTCAAGTGGACCGCTGGTCTCGTGGAGATGTGTCTCAGTTGGAATCCCATTCATATGCGTGCACTCGTTCCCCGTGCCCTGCTACAGGCTATTCCTGTGCCACCGTCAAGCTCCTCGGACTCTTTAACGTCCTCCTCGCGACAACAGTTGCGCCAGTCTGCTTCGCCGCTGCCTGACTCCTCGCCTACGGCTGACAAGGATCATCCGCACCGCTCTGTGCTGGTGCCGTATCTCTTGCACACCGTGCTCAGCTCGAGTTACAGTCTTACCGGCCTCAATGTGCTCGACACACTGCAAAGATTACTCGACGGCTTGCTACAGAGTGCAGACTACTCAGGGTCGTTTGTCGACTTCTCCCGTCGTCATCTGCTCAATGCCGATCGTTCACTCGCTTGCCGCTACTACCTTTTAGCGATTGGTGTCCTTTTGCACCACGAGTACTATGACGAACAGGCATTGGATGTGTGCAGTGAACTTTTGCTCCAACTTCAATCGGCCTTTGGTTCTTTCGTCGCTTATCACCACAAGGCTGCGTCAGCCATTTCCCCGCTTGCGTATGTTGACGGCCGCCTGGCAAACAAACAAGCCTTTCTGCTTTGCGAGGCCCTTGCCGCCTTTTTGGAAAACTCAAAAGATGCTCACTACGAGCAACGCCGTGCTGTCTGTGATTCCTGGCTGCAATGGGCCTCCCTTATGTCCAGTGCTTTTGGGCCGGACACCCTCTCTGCCCTGCTTGATTATGATGTCGTCTGGCAGGAGTGTATGATATTGCGTGGAATGTTTGTACATTGTTTACTTCTTTTTCTCGATTTAATTCCGCCCTCGCAGATCTCAAATTCACAGGCCCGTCAACTTGTTCATCGCCTGTACCCATGCATTTCCGAATGGGGCTCGTCCGTCTACTCTAAGGCGGATGCTGTGTATTTGAGTAGACTTACGCATAAACTGCTTGTACTCTTTCCTACTTGTCATATATCTCGTATGCTGCCCGTCTTGCGAACGTGGGTAGATGCGTTCGACTTTGTCGACGTGCCCGACCTTCCTTTAGAAGCAGCCTCGACAAAGAGCTTGAGTGTGAATGCCACCGATAAAAGCTCAAGGGCGTCAGCGATGCCGCCGTCGTTGCATGCGGCTGTCATTACGGTAGTCGCAATGAACCATTTGTATGAAATCGGTTCTTTTGCCAACACCGATATTCTTGCAACGCTCTCTACCGAATGTGCCTCCTACGTTTCAGAGCTTGACGGAACGTTCGAATCTGCGGGCTACTTTGAACGTGCTACGGTGCCCAGAGAGCTTTACGCCTCCCTTCTCGACCATCAGGGTTCGCTGTTGCTACCATGGGATGCTGTCCTCGCTGATCTCCAAAATAGTGAGCTTAACTTCACTGCGTCTGAACGAAAACTGTTATCGCTCGACACTCCTGAATCCGACAGCTACATCGATTCGCCCAAGTTGCTCACTGAGGGTTCTCGCGATCCCTTGGATACCTCGGACTTGCTCACCCTTAACGGAGGTCAGAACAGTTTGTTTCACTTCTCCAATAATGCCTCTTCTGTTCTTCTTCCAGCGACTAATTCCCAGCACGTTTCCTCTCGTTTCTCTGGCGCCAACACTACAAAGCTTCCTAGCTTCTTAACCAACAGATCCGTAAACCGTTTCACATACGCTCGTTCCTCAATTTCCGTCAACAATGGTCTCTCGACTGCTGCAGACCTTTCACAACTTCTTCACTCAGTTCCTGGGACTGTTGCTGCACCGGCAGCCAAGGTGCGTCACCAGTCACTTTCGCGACCCGGAACACTGTCCTCTCGTGCTGACTCCTCTTCTATACCCGGATCTGCGTCGATTGGCGGCTCGTTCCATTCTTCCAAACCCATAACGCACGATGACCATCTTCAAACACTTGTGCACTTGCTTGGCTCTGTTTCACTTAATATCACGAGGGCCGCTTACGCTCCTCCACCCTATGATACCCGTTCGCCACTTTACTCTTAAAAACACTAGCTACCGTCTTTTTAATTTATTCCATCCTATTGTACTTAGACGCATTGTTTTGCACCATTGTTAGTAAACAAAGAAACTAAGGGAGGGGCGCAACGGGCCGTCGGCTGGTGCAGTTAGGCCGATGAACTGACACCAGCAAGAATGGCCTGGTGTTGCACGCTGCAGGAGATACACAGGAGGGAGGCTAGTGCAGATGAGAACAAAGACACTATGGACAAGGAGAGAACAAAAAACAAAACAATAAAAAAACCCGAACTCACAAGTAGCGAACGACAAACCATGAAACATACAGACACTGTAGACGCCGTCAAAAGACACACTGCACCAGGCAAACCACTACAAACAACTCACAACCTCGACTTCACTATCCATCTTAACCGGAGTATACCCAAGAATTATATTAATAAAGTTTACCTTTTATACGTCAATCACCGCAGACGACTTACTTCTTTTGGGCCTTTTGGGCAGCCTTGGTGACCTTGGCTTGACCAGGGGCAACCTTCTCGACAGCCTTGATGACACCGACAGCGACGGTTTGACGCATGTCACGGACGGCGAAACGACCAAGAGGAGCGTAGTCAGTGAAAGCCTCAACACACATGGGCTTGGAGGGAACCATCTTGGCGATGCAAGCGTCACCGGACTTGACGAACTTGGGGTGGTCCTCAATCTTCTTACCGGAACGACGGTCGATCTTCTCAATGAGCTCCTCGAACTTGCAAGCAATGTGAGCAGTGTGGCAATCCAAAACGGGAGCGTAACCGGAAGAGATTTGACCAGGGTGGTTCAAGATAATAACTTGAGCGGTGAAGGAAGCGCAACCCATGGGAGGGTCGTTCTTGGAGTCACCAGCGACGTTACCACGGCGGATATCCTTGACGGAAACGTTCTTGACGTTGAAACCAACGTTGTCACCGGGAACACCAGCCTCAAGAGACTCGTGGTGCATCTCGACGGACTTGACTTCAGTGGTGACACCGGAGGGAGCGAAGGTAACGATCATACCGGGCTTGATAACACCAGTCTCGACACGACCGACGGGGACTGTACCAATACCACCGATCTTGTAGACATCTTGAAGGGGAAGACGGAGAGGCTTGTCAGTGGGACGTGCAGGGGGCTCAATGGCGTCAATGGCCTCCAACAAGGTCTTACCGGTGTAGGAACCGGACTTGGTCTCCTTGTTCCATCCCTTGTACCAGGGCATGTTGGTGGTAGGCTCAATCATGTTGTCACCTTGGAAACCAGAGATGGGGACGAAGGGAACAGTCTTGGGGTTGAAACCAACCTTCTTGATGAAGTTGGAAGTCTCCTTGACGATTTCCTCGAAACGGGCTTGGGACCAGCCAGTGGTGTCCATCTTGTTGACGGCAACGATAAGTTGCTTGACACCCAAGGTGTAGGCCAAAAGAGCGTGCTCACGGGTTTGACCATCCTTGGAGATACCAGCCTCGAACTCACCAGTGCCACCACCGATAATAAGGATAGCACAGTCAGCTTGGGAAGTACCAGTAATCATGTTCTTGATGAAATCACGGTGACCGGGGGCATCAATAACAGTGACATTGTACTTGGGGGTCTCGAACTTCCAGAGAGCAATATCAATAGTGATACCACGCTCACGCTCAGCCTTAAGCTTGTCCAAAACCCAGGCGTACTTGAAGGAACCCTTACCGAGCTCGGCAGCCTCCTTCTCGAACTTCTCAATGGTACGCTTGTCGATACCACCGCACTTGTAAATCAAGTGACCGGTAGTGGTAGACTTACCGGAATCGACGTGACCGATGACAACGACGTTAATATGTCCCTTTTCCTTTCCCATTTTTGTGATGCTGTGATGCTGATTCAAGCTGGATATCGAAACACGGCCCGCTCCGCTCGGCATTTATACCTTTTGAGAAAAAGCAGTCACACTTTAAGCTCCTTTGTGGCGTTTTCACCCCTGAGTTTTTAAGCTCAGAACGACCAATTCTGCATCTCAACCAATGGTGGTCGGCTGAACGACAGCCGACTTGCCGAATCGGAACCATTTGGTCGCCACTCACCCCTAATAAGGTTTTGATCGACAAGGGTTGAGGAAAGAGGATCGACGCCCAGAAGCGAGAAGACAAGGTTCATCTATGGTTATCGATAAATACGGCTAATTTCTCTCCATTTAAATACAGCATTTAGTTAGTAGATGAACTAATACAAATCAAATTAATAGTTTCTGAAAATAGAGATCCGGTCAAGAAGATCTTCCGAATCGTATATTATCCCGCATCATCGACTGTCGCAACTGATAAGAAATAAGATGGGTAATAGAACTTTGACCAGCTCAAATAGACCTGTCCAAAGCCAACCACAGGGATATGGCTCAACTCATTACTGGCACCGATTTGGCTCGGTAAGTGTGTTTCATGTTCTCAATATGCTTACAAATGTAGCCAATTCAAATCGGCAGTTAAGGAAAATGTCACAAATATTCAAAAACGCGATCCCCAGTTCGCACCTACACTTATTATCGTGCAAGTCGGTGCTCGCCCCGACTCCAATGTTTACGTTCGCATGAAGCGCAAGGCTTCTGAAGAGGTGTGTAACGTCGAGCAGGATTTACACTTGTGCTGTGTTGGGCGAAATATTAACTAATACGCTTTTAGACTGGTATTCGTTGCGTTCACAAGAACTTTGCTGAAGATGTAAATGAATACGAGCTCCTCCAGGCTATTGAAGGTTTTAACAATGATCCTTCCGTCCACGGTATCATTGTCCAGCTGCCTCTTCCATCCCAATTGAATGAGCAAACAATCACTGAAGCTGTTTCTCCTGAGAAGGATGTTGACGGCTTCTGTGAGGCTAACTTGGGCAAGCTCGCCAAACGTGGTTGTGAACCCTCTTTTGTTGCATGCACACCACGGGGTGTTATGGAATTGTTGAAGCATTACAACGTTTCATTGTCTGGCAAAAATGCTGTTGTCATTGGACGCAGCAACATTGTTGGACGTCCCATGTCCGTTTTGTTGGAGCGTGCCAATTGTACTGTTACGCTGTGTCACAGCAAGACTGCTGACATCGCCCAATTCACGAAGACCGCTGACATCGTCGTTGCTGCTGTCGGCATTCCTCGTTTCGTCAAGGCTGAGTGGTTGAAGCCCGGCTGTGTTGTAATTGATGTTGGTATCAACTACATTCCCGACGCAACCAAGAAGAGTGGCTCTCGCCTGGTTGGTGATGTCGATTTTGACAATGCTGTCAAGGTCGCTGGTGCCATTACGCCCGTTCCTGGTTCGGTTGGTCCTATGACTGTTGCCATGTTGATGCAAAATGTTTACGAGTCTGCTTTGCGCTTCCGTGCAATTGCTCGTCAACACAATGTCTCTCTGTTGCCCTTGAAGCTTCAAGACCCCGTTCCCAGTGACATTGAGGCTGCACGTTCCCAGACCCCCAAGCATATTGCCAAGCTTGCCTCTGAGATCGGCATCAGTGCTTCTGAGCTTGAACTCTACGGCCCTTACAAGGGTAAGGTTAACTTGAACATTCTTAAGAGACTCAACCACCGTAAGGACGGCCATTACGTTGTTGTTACCGGTATTACCCCGACTCCTTTTGGTGAGGGTAAGAGTACTGTTACTGCTGGTCTTGTCCAGGCGCTCTCGCACCTCGACAAGCTTGCTATTGCTTGTGTTCGTCAACCCTCTCAGGGTCCCACCTTTGGTATCAAGGGTGGTGCTGCCGGAGGTGGATATGCTCAGTTTATTCCTATGGAGGAATTCAACCTTCATTTGACTGGTGACATTCATGCTATCACTGCAGCAAACAACCTTCTCGCTGCCGCCATTGATACTCGTATGTTCCATGAGAGCACTCAAAAGGATGCCGACCTGTTCAACAGACTTGTTCCTGCTAAGAAGGGTGTTCGCGAGTTCAGTCCTGTTATGTTCTACCGCTTGAAGAAGCTTGGTATTAACAAGACGAACCCTGATGACTTGACTCCTGAGGAGAAGACCAAGTTTGCTCGTCTTGATATTGATCCCGATACCATCACCTGGCACCGTACTCTTGATGTCAACGATCGGTTCTTGCGTAAGATTACCGTTGGTCAAAACCCTACTGAAAAGGGTCGCACTCGCGAAACCGGCTTCGATATCTCTGTTGCCAGTGAGTGTATGTCCGTTTTGGCACTTAGTAAGGACCTCAAGGATATGCGTGAGCGTCTTGGACGTATGGTTGTCGCCAGCAGCAAGACTGGTGAAGCCATTACTGCTGACGACCTTGGTGTCGGCGGTGCTTTGGCTGTGTTGATGAAGGACGCCATTAAACCCAATCTCATGCAAACCATTGAAGGCACGCCTGCTCTCGTTCACGCTGGTCCCTTTGCCAACATCAGTATCGGTGCCTCTTCCATTCTTGCCGACAGAATCGCGTTGAAGATTGCTGGTACCGAAGCTGACGAGGACCCCAAGAAGGATGCCGGTTACGTCGTTACTGAAGCTGGTTTCGCTTCCGACATTGGCATGGAGAAGTTCTTCAACATTAAATGTCGTAACTCTGGCCTTGTTCCTGGTGCCGTTGTGCTGGTTGCTACGGTTAAAGCTCTCAAGTTGCACGGTGGCGGACCTTCTGTCAGTCCCGGCAAGCCCCTCCCCGATGTTTACTTGCGCGAGGATGTTGAGCTCGTGCGCAAGGGTTGCTCCAACTTGAAGAAGCACATTGAAAACGCTCGCAAGTTTGGTCTCCCCGTTGTTGTCGCTATTAACAAGTATGTCTCCGACACTGCCGCTGAAGTCGCCGCTATCCGTGAGGAGGCTCTCGCCGCTGGTGCTAGCGATGCAGTCGTTTCAAACCACTGGGCCGAGGGTGGAAAGGGTGCCTTGGATTTGGCCAAGGCCTTGATTCACGCCTGCGAGAATGAGGAGCACAACTTCCACTTCACCTATGATTTGGATCTTCCTATTGAAAAGAAGATTGAAATTATTGCCAAGGAGATGTACGGTGCTGACGGTATTGAGCTTAGTCCTTTGGCTCAAGAGCGTATGCAACGGTTCAAGGAGCAAGGCTACAACAACTTGCCCATCTGTATTGCCAAGACCCAATACAGTTTGTCTCACGATCCCGATTTGAAGGGCGCTCCTACTGGCTTTACAGTCCCCATCCGCGACATGCGTTTGAGTGCTGGTGCCGGCTTCATTTACCCCTTGGCTGCTGCCATCATGACGATTCCCGGTCTTCCCACCAGACCTGCTTACTACAACATTGATCTCGATGAGAATGAGAACATTGTTGGTTTGATGTAAGTCGATGTCCTTCCGCAATTCCAAGCTCCCCTCTTCTTCCCTGACAGCGGCGTGACAACGGGACACAGTGGAGCCTCTGTGCTTACTTTATTCACCTAAACACACGAGCTTTTTGATAGTTGGAGTCGGACGTTTCACCCTGACTCTAGCGACCTGAACGCTTCTTAAGAAGTTGCGTATCTTCACGCCCGCACGCATCGTCTGCATAGCACTACTTTTTTTTACTGTTTTGCTGACGTATCTTTATCACCAAATTCATTCCCGTCTTAGACAGCTTTCGTCTTTTTGTTCTAAGCCCGAGCGTCGTGCCTTGTATTTGAGTTGTGTCAATTGTAGCCCTTGAGCGAGCGGTAGTGACCAAGTAAACTGGGTGTATACCGAGAGCGTCGGGACCAAATGGATAACAACAATGTGTATATTACTGAACTAGTGCATGTAAACGAATACGTAGCGTGAAACACAACTTTTAGGCGTAAGCGAGTACGCCGCCGTTGCTACATTGAATTGGCATGAAAATGCTTAAGCCTTGAGGTTGTTAATTCCCAAAAGCTCAACATCAAACAGCAAAGTGCTGTTGGGGGGAATAAGACCGGGGAAGCCACGAGGACCGTAACCGAAGTCGGGAGTGATAGTAAGCTTGGCCTTCTCGCCCAAACTCATGGTAGGAACACCCTCATCCCAACCGCCTGTCCAAGTTAGAAACATGCTGGACGGAATGCTTGGAGAGCCACAGGATATGAAGCGAGCTCCCTCGTTTTGTACTTACGAATCAGTTGGCCGACGCCGATGGTGCATTGGAAAGGGCTTCCGCGGTCAACGGAAGAGTCAAACTTTTTGCCATTCACCAAAGTGCCTGAGAAAGTGTCAGAATACGGGTTATCGAAGCTTTTACGCCGGCTACGCGACTTGTACACGCGTTTTCATACCAGTGTAGTGCATGGTAACTCTAAAACACATTAGTCTCACGTTCAGAAACAACGTTTTGCCCGAGAATCGAGACTAAAACACATTTTGTCACATACCTGTCACCGGGCTTAGGGAAGTTCTTGTTGTCACCGGGCTACTGTACGTTAGCAGTGTGTTTGGAACGCGTTTCTCAACCATACGCTAATAATTTGTTTCTCGACACCCATTTTTGTGGTAAGTGCTAAAGGATACTTCGTCAGCTGCTGCTCCAACCGACTTAATGGCTGTCGCGGCTATTCCGCGGTTAATGTGCTTCGTTAAAACAGGGATGCGAACGGAAGCGAAACGACGGTGTGAAAAAACAACGAACACCTCCACCAAAAACCCACGTCATCGTTGTGAAATAAGCTCAAGCAACAAACGCGCGAACGCGTCTTGCGGCAGAACCAGCTTGCGACTGAAATTTGCTAATTCAGGTTACATGGCGACGGAGCTGTTTATTTGAAATTTTCTCTATTTTTTATTGGGAATTATGGTAATGCTCTCGTCCTCTAAATTCGTTTTCAATCCCAATGTTTTTTTTCGACTGCGATCGTGTGTCTGGCAACAGTTCAGATGTGTGACATCTATGAAAAATGATTTTATGAATGTGTACGACACAATTGTTAGAGAGAAACGTCTTCAAGAGGATTCCAAGCAAAGAGACGCTGTCCGGATTTTGGACGATGTATTTCATCAATTGGCGGCCTACCAACAGCCTTCTGTTGTCGCAGACGAGAACGCGAAAAGCGGTTCCCAATCGGCAATAACTGGCTGGAGAGACAGAAGACTGTTTGGTAAACACTTTGTCTGGCTTGGTCGTTTTCTTCGGCGATCTCCTAGTTCTGCTATCAAAACACCGAAAGGCGTGTACATGTACGGGAATGCTGGGAGTGGAAAGACAATGCTAATGGATTTGTTTTACGCGTATCTTCCTCCAAATATTCAAAGAAAAAGGAGAACCCATTTTCATTCATTTATGGTAAACATGCACCAAGAGTCTCATGCGATTTGGAGTGCTAAGGGAGGGACCGTGGACATTCCGTGTGTTCTTGCTAGACACATAGCATCCGAATGCACAGTTCTGTGTCTGGACGAGTTGCAGGTAACGGACGTTGCAGATGCACTCTTACTTCGCAGATTGTTTGAGCTACTCACAAGCTACGGTGTCGTTCTGTTCTTTACGTCGAACAGAGCACCCGATGACCTTTACATAAACGGGTTACAGCGAGAGAGTTTTTTACCATGCATCGAATTATTGAAGCGCCAACTTCATGTGATTCACCTTGACAGCCCGTATGACCATCGTCGTTCACTCGAACACAACAAGGAATCGGTGTTTATCAACCAGTCAACGAATAAAAATGCGGATGCTACTATTGCTAAATGGTTTAAAAGACTTTCCGGCTGTGACCTTGAACAAGCGAAACCCGAAACGCTGGAAGTTTTTGGACGTACGGTCCTTGTTCCAAAGGCACATAAAAACGTTGCCGTTTTTCCTTTTGAAGAACTGTGTGGAAAGCCAAAAAGTGCTAGCGATTATCTTGTCATTGTGCAACGGTTTACTACTATCATCGTGGTCAATATTCCACGGATTCCTTTGGAAAGGAATGATCTCGTACGTCGTTTTATCAACTTTATCGATGTTGCCTATGAACAGCGAACCAAATTGATTCTTTCGTCACAAGTTCCTATTCAGAATATTTACCCGACCCCTTCTGAAACACAGCCGATGTTTTCTCCCTCGGCAAAGTTCAAAGAAAGTCATTATCATGGATCGTTCCAGGGCATCGAAGAGGTCTTTGCATTTGAACGATGCCAGAGCCGACTGATTGAAATGGAATCATCGGATTGGGGAGTGCGTTAGCGGAAGAGGACAACAACACAGCAATGCAAATTCTCTTCACGTAAACACAATTACGTGATCCAACTGCTCTACAAGTCTAACGTTCTCAGCCATTCGCCTGTTTTTACTTCTGCTCTTCTCTTCTCCCACCCCCACACCCCCACTATTCATTTTCGCTTTGCAACTATTAGCGACCACAGAGAATACAGCTGAGGGCTCGTGCAAAAGGCCAGAACCAGCGTGTCCATGAACAAAATTGGTATCTTGAGCCAGTCGGACGGCTCTAGCGATTGGAAACAACGTAAGTCCGTTGACTAGCAACTGTAGACGTTTACGACATATCACATGTTGTTTGTCGACTTGGCGTACTGTTTGACTGCATATTAACAAAATACAGGCGACACTCGCGTCCTGTGTAGTGTGAATGGTCCTATTGAGGTAAAACCCCGAAGTGAAATCCCCAACCGTGCGACCTTCGAGTTGCTGGTGTCTCCTATTTCCGGTGTATCTGGAACAAAAGAGCGTTTTCTTGCTAGTCGGATTCTCTCAGTGCTGGAAGATGCTGTGTTGTCGACAAACTATCCACGGACGCTTATTCAAGTGAATGTCCAAATCGTCGAGGGTGATGAAAATGACCTTTTGGCTGCTGCAATCAATGCTACTGTGTTGGCGTTCTTGGACGCTGGTATCGCTATGAAGTATATGCCATGTGCAATTTCTTGTGCATGGAAGAACCCCAAGGAAACTCAAGCCAACGAGAATGCAATGGTCGACTACCCTGCAGAGAAGAGTACAATTGAGCAGCCTGTGCACATCACCATGTGCTATACGGTGTCTGCGGATCCAAAGTCACTGCTCTTCTTAGAGTCCTCTGGTATGATTCCTGAAGAAGACTTGTTCAGTGTTTTAGCATCTGCCGAATCGCGCGTGGACGAAGTGGCTCAAAAACTGCGGCAGGTCGTTCTGGATTGCCGGCATGTAGCTTGAGTTTTCTGTATGGAACCAAAAACAAAGCTAGTGACTTGAAAAGACTTTTTTTGTAAATGTCTTTGATGTTCCTCGGCCCTCCTCAGTCATACACTATACACTCTTACTACTAGAACCTTGTCCCGGCGACTTCAAAATCAAGACTTCCCTTCCACAAATTGCTCCCTTAAAAAAAAGTATGTATGCTCATGTGCACTCTATATACTCCTTTAATTCCATTCTTTTCTTGCTCCCTCTCCGTAAATTCATAGTTCATGTTGCCCCCATTTGATATGTGGGATTTCTCACAGACAGCCCCACTACGCTCCACTTTCATCCCACTTTCATCCCACTTCGGCGCTACTTCACTACCCCACTTTCCTCCCGCTCTCTCCCCCCTCACATGACGGCATGATTCCATAGACGCACCTAGACAATTACAGCGGCAATAAATCTCAGCCATTCACCAGTTAGTCGTACCTAATTCTACTGTTTATAGAAACCTCTCATTCTTCTCTTCCCTTCCACTCACTTCCGAATTGAGTACAGCTGTAATTTCGTTTTGGCATTCACTGTCGTAACGAGAACGAGTCGGCTTTTTTGCATTAAACGTATTTACGACAATCCTTTAAGAACTTATTGGTCACTTCGACATTCGGCACAGTCTGTCTACGTAATTTTCAACCAAGATTTTATTTTGCATTGCTTGCTCGAGTTAAGTCCTGTCCCGGTTTCACACACACTCTCTCTCCGTGTAAACAAAGTATCCAACATTGACAATGTTGAAATGCCTTAAAAGAAATGGTTTTAGGCGTTTACAAGCTTCAGTAAGAGCAATGCCTTCACAATTGCCTCGTAGTTCGATTTTTTTTCGCAACAATTCCTCAGAAGGGAAACCTCCTTCGTCTTCCGGTTCTCCAAGTGCAAATCCTCCTTCTCCCTCTTCTACAACGTCTGCTGACAAATCTCAAGCTCATCCGGTTTCCATTCCAAACACAGACGCCTTACAGGATGCGAATACCGGTGTCGTGAGACGGATGTCTTTTAAAAAACCCTTGCGCGCTATTTTTGAGGTAGGCGGAAATTTAAGTGTCGTCGCTGTCATGCTCTTGCTTCACAGTCTTTTTAGTTACAAATACGTGACCCCTTTAAATGTCCCGCAGAAGGAGCGAAAGACGTTGGTAATTCTGGGCAGCGGTTGGGGCGCTATCTCTCTGCTCCGCGATATTGACCCGTCCTCATTCAATATTGTGCTCGTCAGTCCAAGAGATTACTTTTTATTTACTCCTCTGTTGCCTTCATGCACAGTCGGAACACTTCAAACAACAAGCATAATTGACCCTTTACCTTGGATTATACGTGGTTACAGCAATGGATTGAAATATCACCAGGCTGAGTGCAAGTCTGTCGACCCGAAAAGCAAGACAATCACGATTGGATCTGCCCCTTCCGCTCCAGACACTGAAGAATCCGTAATCCATTATGACTACTTGGTCACCGCCGTCGGTGCAGAAAACCAGACGTTCGGCATCGAGGGCGTGAAGAAGTACGGCCATTTTCTGAAGGAAGCCGGAGACGCGGAAAAGATCAAGCTGAAAATCGTAGAGATTTTACAGGAGTTACGCTTTAACAAAGCTTTAAGCAAAGATGATGTCGATCGCTTGTCTCACATAGTAGTTGTTGGAGGAGGCCCCACTGGTGCTGAATTCGCAGCTGAAATGCAAGACTTTATTGATGAAGACATTCAGGAATGCTATCCAGACGTTCACCCACACCTGCACGTGTCATTAATCGAGGCCAGTCCAAACATTTTGGCTATGTTCACCAAGTCCTTAATTGACTATACGCGAGCTTTATTTAAGAAAATGCACATCAAAGTAATGACCAAGGCAGTCGTAAAGGATGTGTCGAAGGACTCACTTGCCGTCGAATTTGTTAACGCTGCTGGGGGTAAGTCCATTTCCCAAATTCCTTATGGGTTGCTTGTCTGGGCAGCTGGTATCAAGGCTAGACCGATTACAATGCAAATGATCTCTACTGTCCCAGAGCAAAAAGGCGCTCGAAAGGGTTTGTTAGTGGATGAATACTTGGCCGTGAAAGGTATGAGTGATGTGTATGCTATCGGAGACTGTGCCTTCAGCGGACTTGCAGCAACTGCCCAAGTTGCTCATCAGCAGGGTGAGGCACTTGCCATCAATTTAAACGTGCTTGCGAAACAAGATTCTTTGCAGCGTGAGTTGGAGTCGTTGCATAGGATCTCTCACTCTGAAAAGGTAGATGATCGAATTGCGGCTATTGAGAATGAACTGTTGCATATGTCTGTCAAACCATTCGCATACCGACACCAGGGTGCTTTGGCATATATCGGCGATGATAAAGCCGTCGCAGAGATGCACCTCCCTTTTATGAAGAAGACAATTCCGATAAGTGGAACACTTACTTACTACTTTTGGCGCATGGTGTACCTTTTTGAACTCATCTCTACCAAGACCAGAGTGTCTGTTTTATTCAATTGGCTGACCACACGTTTGTTCGGCCGGAGTTTGACAAACCTGTAATTATTATATATAAAATTCTGCTGGAGAGACTAGCTACTACGGCTTCATGAGCTTATTTTTAATGAAATACATGATGATTCTAATTTGGAGCAAACATTTTGTCAAATTCAAAGTGGTGCATTCCCTAGTGACATTTTTTTGTTATCATTCTGCTGCGTATGTTTTATCCTCTACATTACAAAAATAAACCAGTTTACAATGTTGCTTTTGTCTCATTTCTGTCTAATCCGTCACACCATTATCTCGACGTATCAGATAAGACTAATAGATATAACGTTTCGCTTAGATATTGGGTATACCACTCCATTGTCGGAAGTGCTTTCTCAGCTGGAAGCATCATAATCCTGCTTTGAACGCACGGCTCACGTCGAGCCCAAAGTTGCTTGAAACTAATTTTTTGTTTACCGTAAGAAAGGTGTAAATCGTGGATCAATAGAGTGAATTTTAGATGCTTGATGGAAAGAATTGATCTTCCTCGGTTATTGGGAACCACACTGTTGCTGTTTTTGTCTTTGCGGATTCTCTCAAATTGGCCCGTGCGATATCCAGATGATTTGTACGAAGTGCTTCGATTAGAGCAAAAACATTACAATGCAACAAAATCATCCGTTTGGGGGAAACCTCCGACTCACGTTGGCAAGTCTTTACATGTCCCTAAGGACGTTTATCAAAGAATCGACCAACTGTACTCGTTGCCTGTAGGCAAAGGCGCTGCATTTCAGAATTTTACCGGCACATTTCATGGGGATTGGTTCCAAACAAACATTTCAGAAAGGCCCATTCACAGAAATCTCGAATAACACACGCACAAGCTTGGGGGAAATCATTTCTACGGAAACGGGAAAGGCTACTATAAACGTTTATGAGTATTCTAATGCTACTTTTGAACTCAGTTTTAATGGCACTTCGTATTACAAACCCCAGGAAGGAACTCAAGCATACGATTTAGAATTTGAAGGTGATCGTATCGATGAACTTGACTCATTTCTATTAACTACCACTATCACAAGAAACTTCTCCGGTACAGATACGATCCCGTGGATGCTCAAGGGAGTGCGTTTAGCGAAACAGCCGCTAAGAATTGGTGAAGAAGTTTTTGATAAGCTACGAAACAAGTCACTCAATAGAATTGAAGCCCGCATATCAAGGCTTGAGAATACTGGCAAATCGTCTCTTTTCTCTACTGCAAAGTCTGATCAATCATCATGTTCTTTACTTGCTTATTTGCGTTTGAAGCGGTCTCCATACGACAATGAGACTCTCTCTGCCATATACAACGAGTATTTTCATCCAGAAGGCATACCTCTCCCTCCGTTACCGCCTATGCATATGGATGCAGTATTCTATTCACCTAACTGCAATCTTGGATTTACGTTAAAAAATGCAGAAGGCGCAAGCTATATTCAATATGAAGATTATCTACTTCATTTGGCCAGTCTTTTTGTCGTACTTGTTTGCCTTCAGGTTTACTTTTCCTGGAAAGAACTAAATCATTTGACTTCCTCTTATGCATACAGGCTTTCTTACCTGACGGTTGCTATGCAGACATCTACTGATTCTCAAATTGCTATTGGTTTCACGACGTTGTCTCTAAGCATGACCAAAGGTTATTTAATTATGTACACGTTAGGTTTCCTTTTCATTTTCTTGTCAGCTTTCCCGTCTGCACGCTCGTTCTTCATGATTGTTGAAGCACAGGGCTTAATTCGCCCTTCTGCGCCTGCACAGGCCGTTGCTGCTGAGGAAGATGAACAGAATCAGGAAGGTGAAGAACATGAACAGGAGGAAACGGTGAATAACGAAGTCAACAATAACCGTCATAGCCGGCGGATAGTTTCCGTTATCTTCACTCTGTACTATGTTTCCTTTTTCGTCATGTGTTATGCGTTTGTATTTGTGCTCACTCGCCCGCATAAATATGCTTTCCGACTTTTGATGATGCTATTGTTCTTCATGAACTCTTATTGGATTCCTCAAATATGTCGGAATATCTCGCTTGGGTCTTCCCGTAGCTTTTCGTGGTCCTTCATTGTTGGCATGAGTGTTTGCCGTTTGGTAAGTACAAACTATTTGAAGATAACTGTGCTTTTAAAAAAAATTACCTTCGCTAACCTTTAGGGATTGCCCCTTATTATACTCTTACTTTGTGAACCTGTACTTGGTTTTGCTCCTAATTATAAGGCTAGCCTTGCTATTGTGGCATATGTTTTCATGCAGGTTATCATTTTATTATTGCAAGAGTCTTTTGGTCCGCGTTTTTTCCTACCTTCATTCGTAAGTTTTACATCTTGCATTTAGCAAGCATATTAACACTGTTGCAGCTCTTTTCTTCCAAAAGTATTTACGATTATCACCCCGTTATTCATACTGAGGATCTCGAAACGCTAGTCAGTAACTCCAATACTTGTCCGATTTGCATGCAGACGATTGAACTGCCTTCGGAAGGCTCTGCTCTGCATCCATCTTCCATAATGTTAAGGCGTAATTACATGGTAAGTTTAACTGAAAGTTATTTTTTTGAACAAAGTACTAACTATTGCTCAAGCTCACCCCTTGTCATCACTTGTACCACAGGCAATGCCTAATGCAATGGATGGAATTGCATAGCATATGTCCGATGTGCAGATCTCGCCTTCCACCGATTTAAACCCTTAGTAGTAATGACCGAAATGATAATTAACGCGTTTATTTATGTAAATTGTTACACTTGATTATTCACATCACTCTGAGGGAATGCGGGTATCCATGTAGAAATAATACTGGCAGTATTGCCTTTCAAGTACTTTAGCTGCTCTTCTTGTAACGCAAGTCTATGTGACGCATGCGCTGCCAAGTTCCGCAATTGTCGTAAGCCGGATCGGCCTCTTTCTGAAGCCAACAAGCGATGAGAATTAATACGTTGGAGATCTGAGTTCGCTATTTGCCTTACAAAGGGAGCAACCTCAGTTAACAGTATTGTGTTACTGCGATCTATGCAATTTGGTGGGAAAGTGGTAATGTTGTGGCTCGTGTGTGGATACGATAAGAAGGACAAAGTGTTATAAACGGTATCGGGGTCCAACCTATGTTGGGTTAGTAGATAAAATAAAAAAGCATTGGATAATAAAGTACTTACCGTGGTTCCATGCGAGAAGCCAACGCGGAAAGGAATAACGAATGTGAGGAAAGAGGAAGTGTAGCCACTTGATGCTGACATAAGCTAGGTTTAGCTTTATAGAAATAAGTGCTTGTTAAGCTATACAATGGGAACTCCGGACGCCATTCAATAAAAGATGGAGAAGAAAGTTTTCCAAATGGTTCGGGGATGGATGGGTAGCCTATGATATTGTCGTCGGTATTTTGCGGAGGGGAGCTTTGATTATTACATCCTTGCTGCCTGCTTTCGAGGAACTCGGCATCATCTGTAGCAATAAAGGTCGAATACATAGAGAATCGTTGAGAACAGTGAGCATCGATAAAGGACAAGTGATTTGCATAATCGCTGAAGAGCAGTAGATCCTCCAAGTTACTAGAGCTGTCACTTAGTTTCGTTACATCAGGCTTGCACATTCTCCAATCTAGGACATTTGGACAGAAATAATTTCCGAGATCACCAGAATATTCGCACTCAAACGCATGCAGCATATCTTCTTCGGATTCTAAGCTCTCGTTAAACCATCCCATGCCGTCACTGTACGCCCCAATGCAAACAGGTAAAGCATCTTTGTTTGTATTGGGATGAGCGAGATGTTTAGAAACCTCATTATTAAAGTTGCTTTGACACCAAAAATTAAGTTGCATAAGAATGGCACGTAAATCGTGGTTTCTTGATTTGTCTAATAGTTCAATTGCACTCCGCGAAACTATTTGGCCTTCTGCGTAAAGAACGGTTGATACGTAATCGACCAATAGTATGGACGGCACCTGAGAGAACTCAATTATATGATCCTCTAGTAGGAATGAAGCAGGTATTAAGTCGGTTGCTAACAGGTCAGTGACAGAAAAGTGAAAAACTCATTCACTAATACTTACAGTTGCATGTCATAATCACCGGACGTTTTGATTTTTGGGTTAAAGTGGATACGGCCTGCCAGAATCCGCGGTCCTCATTAAATAGAATATCCACCTCCTCTAACAGAATCAAGCTGTCCGTGTAGCTATTCCACGAAGATTTATCCACATTATGGCTTTGTGTTAATTCTCCAATCTGGTCAAGGACATCCTTGCCGGATCTTCTCATTCCCGAATGGATTTCAAAGACGACAAACTTAAGTTGCTTTGCTAAAGCATATACACTTGCAGTTTTTCCATAGCCATTTGGACCCACCAAAAGCATCCAATTCTGCTTAAATCCGCGATGTTGACCAATACTGCTTAATTCCGAATCATCGTCAGTAACGATATCAGGATCAAATTCGCTTTCGCTGCCTCCAAAGTCATTCGTAGTGGAAGTATTACTGTTCAGCGATCCTGAGTCTAAAGCTGAGTCCTGCGAACTTTTGCTCAAAGGTTTTGTAAGCTTCAAAGATCGCAACCACTCCTCTAACCGACTAACACCCGCGGGGTCAGCACAGCAGGAAGTAGAATTTGATGGCGCATATGTGTTCGTCCACAGGTTCCGGGCATGGAAATTATATTGCCAATTTTTTGTGAATATATCCAAAGCGTGTTGAACAATTGACGACGGCGCGGAGTTTAGGCCCTCAAACGCCAGACTCTCGAGCTTGCTTGGAGATATGAAAACCGTCTCTGGAAGTAAGGTCTCCTTAAGGGGAATCCGGAGCTTTTGAGCGACTGGTGTGAGTATACTAAAATCAAGAACGGTATCGTCGAGCGTGTGAGCCGCGCTTTGCTCCGGTACTTTCGGAAACGAGAGCGGCCGTGCATCAGGTTCTGAGTTATACTCCAACAGAGTCTGTGTCGACTTTGTAGGCCACAGAGGCTCTAGCAATCTCTGTTCCTCTTTCTCAACAGCAGTGAACCGGCCATCGAAGGAGGAAGAGCGAGAGGGTTTTGAGACTTTTGACCGAACTCTTTCAAAAAAGGGGTGCGTAACTGTACGTGTTTTCGTGGATTTTTGTTTGGGAACGATATTGGGTGCCTCTGTCATAACAACATTGTCTGACTCCACCGTCGTAGCATCCTCGAGCGGCATAATCGGTGGCTCTTTGGCCTTTGCTTTAGGGTACAAAATCGCGTCTATAGCCAAACTTGTATCATGACTGACTCGAATGCTGACCATCCAAGGAGGGCTGCGTGATTCTGTCGGTGACAGACTATCACTTTTGTCAAAAAACCTTTTCATATAATCTCTCTCCTGAACAAAGGCTCGAGAGTTCTTGCTCTTTTTTGGTTTGTTGATGTTTTTCGTTTCATTTGCCTCATTAATACTCTTTTTCAGAGAGCTCACGCTTTTTTTCGTATTCTCGTCATTATTGTTGAAGTCCTTAAACGCCTGTAGAGGCATTATCTTTCCTGAGGACATTGAAGGTCAACTCTCATTGCAGATATAAATACATTGAATGAAACAGACCCACTTTAACAGGCAAAACTAACGTTCAATGAACTGTCACGATTCCGTACGTCGAATTGTACCTTGGTTCGAGTCGATGGACAGACAGACAGCTTGTACTCTACAGACAGGGTCAGATGTTGTTTGTTTGTCGTTTAAAGAGTTCGTATGATGGCTGTCAAAAGAAAGCAGCAAAAAGCAATAAGAAATAGCAACACCCAGAACAAGATACCTATCAAGGGCGTTTTTAACTAGAGAACTTGCCTCTCCTAGCCTGCACCGTTCTCTCTTACGTCCAAGCGTTGAGGACAATGTGTAGCTGTTAGCGAACTAGCCAAACGCGAACCGCGACCCGCAATTCCCCCACAGGAAATAAGCTTTATTCTACGCGTGTCGCGTCGCGAACACGCGTTTCCGATGACGTCATGTTTTCTTGAGAAATAAAAGCAAGCGACCCGCTGCAGAAACCTGTCCACACCCAACAACTATCAATTCAATTAATTTTAAACCAATGAAAGCCATTAATATTAACACTAAGATACAACAATACATAAATTGGTTTCACCTCGGACGATAAAGGCGCTTAATTACTATCACCGCAAATGTCAGACACATCAGCACTAGTAAAGTAATCAGCACAGACCTCACGAATTCCACGGCTTTTCACGAGCTTTTTGATTTATTCGTACGAGCCATTGACAAAAAATAGACACTGATTGATATCGCTGCTGATTTCCTAAAAACAATGACCGTTTAAATGAATGCCTTTTGGAGGCATTGACGCATAAACCGTGTTTATTTCCCCAACAGAACAAATTCGGGTCTAAGCGAACGCGTCTTATGCGATCGGAGTAGACGGAAATCTTTTTTCGGCACTAATTGCATGCAATTGTTGGTTTTTAGAGGCATGACACTACAATTCATGGCACTGTGACAGATCCGCCGTGTTTTTTACTCTTAAGGCTTATTCACAGATGCTTGTTACTTGTTCTACAGTTCGATGATTCCGTGATGGCTGGAGGCGGCTTTCGGTTATTTTCGGAAGAAGATCTTATCAATTTTTTTTTCCAAGAAACAAATAAATAGATATGTTCGCAGCTTGAGCGTTCATTACGTCCGATATAACAGCAAACCCCTCAGTCCAGGTGCTTTTTGTATGTTCCAGAGAGGCTTTGTATGATAGTGTTCTAATACTCTCTAGTGACCTGACCTCGTTATCGACAATACTTGCTGCATATAAAGGTCCATCAACATCATGTTTTTGACTCGAAATTTGCAAGGCTTACGTGCGTTGCGTGTGAGCCGTTTTTCTACGTCTACTCGTCTCGCTTCGGCTGCTGCTGCTGCCACTGCAACCAGCAGAATGCAACCTATGGATTGCTCTGAAATTAAAATTACGAAGGCTGACAAGCTCAAGCCCATGCCTGAACTCAATACCTTGCAGTTCGGTAAGGAGTTCACTGACCACATGCTCATCATGAAGTGGAACAAGGACAACGGCTGGAACAAGCCCGAGATCGTTCCCTTCGGCAACTTGAGCATGCACCCTGCCTCTTCTGTGTTCCATTACAGTTTCGAGTGTTTCGAGGGTATGAAGGCTTACAAGGATGCCAACGGTGTCCCCCGTCTTTTCCGCCCCATCAGAAATGCCGAGCGTATGTTGAACACCGGCCGTCGTATCTCTCTCCCTGACTTCGACCCCAACCAACTTGTTGAGGGCATCAAGAAGTTCGTCGACCTCGAGTCCCGTTGGGTTCCCCAAGAGCGTGGTTACTCCCTGTACATCCGTCCCACTTTCATTGGTACTGACAGTGCCTTGGGTGTGCACGACGTCGGCAATGCCATGCTCTTCGTGATTGCCTCTCCCGTCGGTCCTTACTACAAGTCTGGCTTCAAGGCCGTTAAGCTGTGCTGTTCTGAAAACATTGTCCGTGCCTGGCCTGGTGGAAGTGGCCACTACAAGCTTGGTGGTAACTACGCTCCTAGTGTTGTCCCTGCTCGTGAGGCCGGTAAGAAGGGTTTCGCTCAAATTCTCTGGCTTTACGGTGAGGAGGACTATGTTACTGAGGTCGGTACTATGAACTGCTTCACTGTCTGGATCAACAAGAACGGCGAGAAGGAGATTATCACTGCTCCTTTGGATGGTATGATTCTTCCTGGTGTCACCCGTGCTTCTGTTTTGGATATTGCCCGTGAGCGTCTTGCTCCTCAAGGTTGGAAGATCACTGAGGGCAAGTACAGCATGAAGGACGTTGCCCAAGCAGCCAACGAAGGCCGCTTGCTTGAAGTCTTCGGCTCTGGTACTGCTGCTTTGGTGTCCCCTGTTAAGGCTATTCAATACCGGGGTAAGGAATTCTCTATTCCTTTGCCTGCTGGTAAGGAGGCTGGTCCCATCACCGAGCAAATTAGCAACTGGATTCTTGACATCCAATACGGCAAGGAGCCCAACCACCCCTGGAGTGTCCCCGTCAGAAACTAGAGCACTTTTAGAACCTCGCAACTCTAGCTTTCTCTAAAACCTTTTTTGTTGGCTTCTTTTTTGTCAGATAGTTTATTTTGTCATGCACGGATGCAGGTCCTGTTTTAATGCTCGTACTTGTAACATACTAGAATGACTGTATTATATAAAATTTATGATTGCGAAGCTGGACGAGCTAATTAATGGTAGGAGTTGAGGAGCTTGTGTAACAACATTGCTGTGCTTGTGTTGGTTGTTTATGTACATTGTTACGAGATGGGTCCATTCTCTCGTCCTTTTTAGATACGAAGCAGAATTTTCGATTAGTTTTGCTCTAAACATCACATTTGCGTTACAATAGTTTTTCCTCTTCTACTGATCGTTTATTTACGTGTAACAACGATCCTGCTGCTCTTCAATTTCGAGGTAATCTGCGACTTGGCACTACACCCCAAACCGACTGGCGATTCCACCGAACAGACACATGTCTGCATTTGCGACGTCCAACATGCCCGTAGACGGGACGAGCTGGCAGGTAATGGATTAGTTTAAATTATAATCCGTTAAGAAATGGCTAACATCTCGAACAGAATAATTTTGCCAATTCTTCTTCTTCGTTCACTAAAATGAACGAAAACGACGTATGTAGTCGGTTTCATTATAATTCATAAAGCTAACTAAGTAGGAATTGGAGAACGTAGTTACTGTGGGCCCAAATGGTTTGTTTTGATTTTCGTTTAGTCGAGCAAAAATTAACATTTCAGGTGCTGTGATGGAGATTGATCTAGGTGACGAGTTTGATCTTTTTGCCGAACTCGTAGAGAAAAAGGGTAAAGATGTTTTTGCAGAGGATGGTCTACTTGCTGCCTTTTATAAAGCATGTCAAGAAAAGTAAGTGAGCAAGTTCTTTCGTTTCAAATGAACCCATCTAACTGCTTTTAAGAATAAAACAGTCAACAAAAGAAAACGACACACTCGCTGTCGAACAATGGGATTTGGAGATGCGAACATGGGATCTTGTTCAGCGCTTGTATCTGTATGTTTCCACGTAGCCGAGCATAAAATCCTTCAACTAACACACGAAGTTTACGTTCAACTGGAAAGGTCCCCGTAGTCCCAGCACATAGATTCTCTTCTCGTGCTATTTGGGAGGAGAAATTCTATTCCGAAAACATACAGGCATCTGAGAATAATGTTCGTTTTACTTATACAGTCTTTCTTATTACTGAAACTAATATTTGTAGCTTGTCCTCAATTGGCTTAGGGATAGTGCTTCAAGCCCTGCTGCCATTGAATTAAGAGGCAATCGATGGTTCTATACCCGCGAGGCTATTAAGACTCGCAGCCGGACAATATCTTCGTTTGGCGAAAAAAGCAATGTCTATGTATCCTCTCTAGATCCAGATGCTGATCTACGTGAAGAAAAACGTTTAGAAGAACGCGACGACGATTTTGAAAACAACTTCATGCAACATCTCTTCTGGCTATTCCGTTCCGGCGAATTTGAGGAAATGGTAGAGTTGAGTAAAAGAAGTGGGAACCAATGGAGAGCCGTGTCTATTCAAGGTATGATAGAGTACCGAGATAGTATAGTCGATTCTAAACTGGATACCGGAACCTTTGGCAACAAGCGGAAAGAGTTGTGGCGTCGAACATGTTTGGCTCTTTCTCGTGAAAAAAAAGCAAGTACTTTTGAACGTGCAACTTATGGAGCCTTGTGCGGTGATCTCAAGTCCGTTCTCCCTGTTTGTAAGACATGGGAAGACCACCTATGGGCCTTTTATAATTGCATGACACAACATTCTGTGAACTTGTATCTCAATTCCGTTATGCCTTCTCCTCAAACACGGTTACCTCCGATCGATAGTGGTGCGGGATTAACTCCAGAATCTATATTTCAAGCTCTCGCACAGAGTGATAGTTCAGAAGTGAAGGATGCGGCCGCCCAACCGCTGCGTCATGTTCAAGCTCGAATTATTTGTAACAATGTCCGCCAGCTTTTTATGGAATTTCATGAACAACTGGAGGCTGTCCGCTCGGGCGTGAAAGAACTGGACAGAACGACCGAGCCACATGTTCTTCGAGTACTGGTGCATCTCATTTACGCCATTCGTTTTGCCGGGTTTGAAGTTGATAATTACGCATCTGATTCCATTTTACAGGCTTATATTGAACTATTAGCCAGTGCCGGGAAATGTGAGCTAGTTCCCTTGTACATTTCTAACTTATCCGGACATATCCGGGATGAAACTTATGCACGTTTCCTTGTCCTCATTGAGGATGAGAAACAGCGTTTGGAACAACTGAAATTGGCGAAAAAGTTTTCCTTCAATATCGATGCTGCAGTCAACACAGCAGTTGAGCGAATTTTTGAGGAAACGTCTACAAATGTATTCAGTCAGAACATTGAGCTCAAGTCTATTGATGCACCCGTGGACATTGAAAGTCAACGCCTCATTCGCACCTTAGAATGGATGCTTATTACTTGTCAATTTACAAAACTCATTGGCTATTCCAACGCCGCCTATCGTCTGTTCTTGCGTACGTAATTTTCTCCCAGCTACTTTGTTCAAATACTAACATTGCAATAGGTGATGGTAATATCAACGCAGCTAATTTACTGGATTCTCGACTGCCCTCGGAGACTCTTGTAACAAACGATATGATCAGTCAAACACCAGACACTCCTGAAAATGAAGCACAACTTCGCGTTGCGCTGGAGTTTATGTCTTACTCCTCCTTGTGTTCTGCATTTTTTAATTATCACGAGTATTCCAAGTTACTTAATACTCTGGTTCATAACCAAAGGTTTGTCCGAGTGTCGGAAAACACGTGTGTTACTGTTAACTAACTCTGAACGTAGTGCGGAAGAAATTAAGTTATCAGTCCTTTTAAAGAATAATGAGGACTTGAAGAAGCTTGCTTCTGACTGTATCTCTTGCTTTTCTGAACTCATTCGTACAAATTGGCTGCATCCTTCGACATTTTCATTGACCAAGGAAGATAATGGCGATGTGTATGACCAGTTGATCCACATTCGAAATATCTTTATTCCAGAAATTGTTATTTCTCTTCATCGGATTTATGAAAATCAAGAAGATTTCCAAAGCTGTTTGACTTTGGCGACACAAGTTGCCGGTGATGATAAGAAGCTCTATGACTGTTTCCTTGCCTCGGGACGTATGAAAGAGTACGTAAGACTTCTGAGTAAAGTCAGTGAACTTGACTTGCTTCAAAAGAACAGTGTGTTTAGTCTTTAGGACATTGCTTCTAAATGAGTATCAAAAAAGTTGGTATATAAAATAAATCTTTGGGCCTTCTACATAGCTAATGAACAATAAAGTTACAAAAGAGAAAGTGCTTTGAGCAAGTAAGACTTTATAAAAGTCTCTGTATTGATGGTATTACTGCTTTTTTTACTTAATTACACCCTTCAACCTCAAACTTTCCAATTCCGTTCACCAGTTGCGTATACCACTATACAAAGATCATTCAATATCTCCCTTTAGCAAATAAAAGCTTGTCTAGAGCTGTTGTTTTGGTTTAACCATTGTGGCTTTTTTGGGTGTACATTTTTATTTCATTTTGCTATCAACGTAATAAACTTTTATTGATGGCTCGTTCGCCTTCACCAGAACCCAGAAAGCACAAGAGTAAAGGTGCTCATAAGGAGAAGCATTCTGAGAAGGGAAAACATAAGAAAAAATCCAACCCCTTCGATGGCTTGAAGGAATTGGCTGATTCTCTTCCGACTGTGGATGAATCGTCCTCAGCAAAACGTTCAGACAAGCATTCAGGTAAAAGTCGTTCCTTATCGAAAGCTTTTGCTAGTTTACAAGACGAGGAAGTCGAATTACCTGAGGAGGCTGCTCCTCTTCCAGCAATTACCGCGAAGCAGAAACGAGAGGTAGAGCCGGCTACCCCAGTGTTCAAGCCTCAAGTCAGATTGCCAAGAGACCTTTTACCACCTACTAAGGGTGCTGAGGTGCCTTCCGACGATATACAACAATGGTCTAATGATCCACATGCGCCCATTGGAGTGAAATCAGCTGCATGGAAGAAACCGTTTACGAAAATACCCAGCTCATCACCAAAGTCGACGCCTCAAGAAACTGAGGAAGAAACTCCATTCGTTATTTCCGCTCCGAAAAACGATGCACCCTCATGGCTTAATGCTACCCCAGAACGTCCTCCTCTGTGGAGCACCCCTGCTTTTCAAACGATCAATCGGAGACAGCATACCGTTGAACATGATTACGTTGATCCTGAGAAGACCACTGAAATGGTAAAAGACTTATTCCAAACTGCCTTCTGCGAAGAAGAACCTTTGGATAATGAAACAGATGGTGCTTTCATTCCTGGTTTAAATGTACGATTGTTAAGACATCAATTGCAGGGACTTAAATGGCTTCAACGCAGAGAAGCTGTCGGCAAAGGTAAATCACTCGGTGGCATTTTGGCTGATGATATGGGACTCGGTAAAACAGTACAGACATTGGCATTAATCCTTTCTAACAAATCACCAAACGCAAATGAAAAGAGTACTTTGGTTGTTGCTCCACTTGCGCTTGTGAAGCAATGGGAAAGTGAAGTTTTGAAGAAGACCAACATGAGCGTACTAGTGCACCACGGCCCTAGTCGTCACAAGAATTATGGTCAATTCAACAAGTATGATGTCGTAGTCACCACTTATCAGGTTCTTGTTTCTGAATGGTCTGGCTCTCGAAAGAATAAGGGAGAATCGGAGTCCTCAGAGTCTTCAGATGATGTTAAGGAAGACTCACTTTTTGACAATACTTGGTGGCGCGTCGTTTTGGACGAAGCACAAACGATTAAGAATCGAAACAGTAAATCTGCACAGGCATGTTGCGCTCTTGTGTCTGATAACCGCTGGTGCTTAAGTGGTACACCTCTCCAGAATAATGTAGACGAGCTTTTTTCTCTTATTCGTTTTCTCCAAATTCCTCCTATGAATGATTATGCTGTTTGGAAAGATCAAATATTGCGCCCTTTATCGCAAACGAATGGCAAAATTGCCATTCAACGCTTACGCACATTTTTGCAGGCAATAATGCTTCGCAGAACAAAGGAGGTTTTGCAGAAAAATACCGAAGATGGGGATGGAGGATTCCTTTCATTACCTAAACGTAGAAAGCATGCCATTGTGTGTAAGTTTACTCCCTCGGAAAAGGAATTTTATGAGAAATTGGAAGGCAAGACAGAAGCTACTATGACAAGTTTAATGGAAGAGGGTACTATTAAGAAGAATTACACAAATGTTTTGTGTATGTTGTTACGTCTTCGACAAGCATGTAACCATCCTCATCTTTTACGCAAGCATCTTAAGGAAGATGTTGATGCCGTGGTACTAACATCTACTGAAACAAAGAATGATGAGAAGTCAACCGCCGATGACGACCTTGATGATCTTGCCAAGTTACTTGGAGATATTAGCATTGAGAAAAAGGAACGCGTGGAAAAATGCGAAATATGTTTTGCTCCTTTGAAAGAAGACTCTACGAAATCCCGCTGCAAAAAGTGCCGCTCAACGATATCGAAGAAAAACAATAATGAAGTCGTAACGGAGAATTACCAATCAACTAAGGTCAAGAAAACCCTTCAAATTCTTTTGGATGATGATATTTATGATGATGAAAACTCTCCAAATGCCAGTGGGCTAAGGAAAACTATTATCTTTTCCCAATTTACCTCTATGTTGGATCTACTAGAACCCCATTTGAGGAATGCTGGAATTGGTTTTGTGAGATGTATGCCAGATATAATGTTTAAGAAACCGTACTAACTTACAGATGATGGACAAATGAAAAATAAAGATCGTGAGGATGCACTTAACAAGCTTCGAACAAAAAGTGAAGTTCAAGTGCTTTTGTGTTCATTAAAATGCGGCGCTTTGGGACTGAACCTGACGTGTGCAAGTCGTGTAATTCTTCTTGATGTCTGGTGGAACCCGGCAGTTGAGGTATGCAATTATAACAAAGCTCACAAACTCTTGAATGCGTATTAACAAAAATAATAGGAACAAGCGATCGATCGTGTTCACCGAATTGGACAAAAACACGACGTCGATGTTTATAAGATTACTATCGCCGACACGGTGGAAGAGAGAATTGTCGCCTTGCAGGATAAGAAACGTGAGCTTGCGGATGGTGCAATTGGAAACGGAAGTAAAATGGATTCTGCGAAATTGTCCATGGACGATATACTGTTTCTGTTTAATAAACGGGCAGAGTACGCTTCCAAATAGAATTCTTACTTCTCATCCTGCATTAACTTGAAAGATAGCAATAAATTAAAGGACATTTTAGACTGTAAAATACATGATGTATAGGATATATATATATTCAAATATACTGAACTAAAAATAACGTTTAACGAGGGAATAATACTCTAATGAGATAATATTTTCGTCTTGTTCCAAAGAGCGTATAATTCCATGAAGCTCGTAACAAGACCAGCAAGGCCAATAACATGATCATCGACATGAATAAGTCCCAAACTGTTCATTGGGGAAATGCAATCAAGGGTGTCTTCAACGAAGTCGAACACGGACTTTTCACGGAGACTAGATTGTTAGTCAGTACTTCGTTTTGATAGATGAGTGTTTCACATACGCCAACACTTTCTTCAAAGACTCTTCCTTCGATCCCTTTTCACTGTACTCGCCGCTGCGAATGATTTTCAAGTCTTTAGAGCTTGTATAATAGACAAAAGCATCTGCCGTTGCTGAAATCATAGATGAGAAGAGACCAAATATGTCAGATGCATTAGAGTAGCCCTTTGAGTCGGACAAGGGTAAAATCTGGGTCTTGTTCAGCCAAAGTCGAAGCTCTGCGGCATTCTGACCGGTATTGGCGATTTCCTTGAAGAACTCTAAGGCTGTCAAAACATTGATTTCAGTTTTGGAGCTTTTATGAAGCTCGCTGCCTTTAACAACGGAAGATTTCAAATTCAAGAAAACTTTACCAACAGTAAAGAAATTACGAGCAAACGAGAGTTGCGACTCGATGCTCTTCCATCTCTTCACCTTGTCCAATGATTCACCTCTGGTATACAAGTACCAAGCAGTAAGTTTAGCAGTGAATTGAAGAGCTCGAAACGACTAACGATCAAAAGTTAACACAAAGAAAAATGTATGTTTGGCAAAAACATTGAACATACTTTGTCACGGAATTTTAATTCATCAAGCAGCTAAGTTATAAGTTAACAAAATTATTCAAAAGTAATACTCTTTTTTAATAAAACTATAATGTATCGTATCAGGAATAGATGACATTAATTCATACGTTTAAAACATGATTGAGATGAGAGTTTGTAAGAACAGGCTCCATTTTCGCTGTGGAACGTTGTACTACCGAAGCACGCTTGAGTAAGTATCCGTTAGACAGGTGGTGAAAGAAGGTAGGTAGTCACAAGATTGAGTCGGAAACAAAAAGGGACATAAAACATAGCTAACAAGAAGTAATATCCTTTACGCCATTAAGTTCTTCCCTTGGAAGTTTTACAAACCCTTTTCATACACACTTAAAAGTTATTAAACACGTCTCTTAAATAAATGCTTGTTCATTCAACAAAAAGAAAAAAGGGTATATATATAAACTAGTATATATATAATGCTTCTATTTGGAAAAAAAATATCAAAAAAGAAACAAAAGGCGAAAAAAAGAAGTGCTCGTAATTGTAGTAAAAGGAAATGACAACGGGAAGCTGAATGAAAACCACCAGCTAAGCTTAAAAAAAAGGAGGGCAAGCAGCACCTTTTGTTATAGAGATAGGTAAATGTCATAGCACACGGGAAACTTTGGGAAAAACAAAACTTCAAAATAGACGAGTGTCTGATAAATAACGCAGCAACCATGTCCATACGTGTATTTAAAAGAGTGTGCCAAAGGATTGCGGAAAGCCATCCCAATTTTTGTTCGGATTTTGTAAAAAGAGGACGAGAACAACAAAAGAGCGTTAATAGGAAACTCAGTATGTGTTTACTCATACTTTTCCATAATCTTGTTGTGGCCTGCAACATAATGCTTAAGGTATTCTTCACCTTGGGCGAGGAAGGTAGTACGGATATGGAACTCATTCTCCTTTTGTCCAAACCCACTTCCAGGAAGAATACAGATGCCTGTAGATTCTAATAATTCCATACAATAAAGTTCATCAGGCTCAGCGCCTTGAGCTTTTGCAGTTTCGATCAGCTTTTTCGGGAAAAATATACGAGGATGCAAATACATGGCACCTCTAGGTTCTTGGCACTTGACATACTTCATGCTGGAAAGAGCACTGTGGAGTTGGCGGCATTGCTTGAATAGCTGCTCATGAACATCTTTTATCTGTTTATGATAGAGATCATGGCTAGGGTCACCAAGCTTAGGTGGGCGAACGAGTATATCGACGATAAACTGACCGGCCACGGGAGGACAGACGTCAATTGAAGCGAGCTTGTAAATTTGTTTGAAAGCTGCCTCTGGAATATTTGTGACTTCCATGTAGCCGCCGCGCTGACCGCATTCTCCCAGCTGACCTTTACTTACAGAGTGAATGCTGATGAGAGATACCTTATCCCAAGCATCGTTCGGGTTCTCCGTTTGTAAACGCGAAAGCACCTTTTTGAACGATACAAATGGTAAATCGTACACGTTTGCCTGATACACCTCGTCGGCAATGACAATTACACCGTTTCTTTTTGCGAAACCGAGAATATCTTCAATGGCCTTTTCGTTCAGACAAGATCCTGTGGGATTACCAGGATTGATGAAAACCACAGCGCGAATCTCAGTGCCTTCGGCAGTACCCGCATCGTAAGCGCGTTGCAGTTCTTCAACAGACACGCTCCAATTCGTTTCCTCGTTCAAGTAATAAGGAACTGTACGTCCACCATACAGTGCCATGGACGCAGTATACAACGGATATTGCGGAATTGGCAGAAGGATACCATGATATGGTCGAGCAATTAGCAGATTAATCATCATGCGAACTGCCTGAGTTGCACCTGTCGTCAAAAAGATATGGTTCGGGTCAGAAGGAAAACCATCACGTTCTAAAATGAGTTAGTTATACACAACAATTTTGAATAGAATGTTTCGTTTTATGAAGGCGACACATTTTCGCTCTGTATACCGGGCAAAAGTAAGCCGCCTTTAAAGAAACTAACCTTCAATAAATCTCGCGACATCTCTTCTGACAAGAGGTACACCCTGGGAAGAACTGTAAGCGCCAATACCGCCAGTTTCTTCAAGCAACTCTTTGGCTCTAGCAATCGCATCCGACGGGAACAATTTCTGTGTAATTTCGGCGTTTTCGATCAGAGCAGGGTACTGGCACAAGGCGAGTACTTGACGAATAAAAGTCAGAGGTATCTGTCCCATTTGATGAGGGTTTCCAATGTTGGCATTTATAATTTCTGTAAATGGGAGGGAGTCTGGCTTCTCCTTTAATTGCGCCCTTAACTCTTCAGCTCTTACAGCTAAAGGTCCGCGTACAGCGTATTGAGCAGCAAATACATTCTGATTCAACTGCTCTGGATCTTTAAACACGTTCAATTTATAGACCACAGTCATTTTTCCCGAACGCCCACTGTGGTTCTCGCTAGCATTAAGAGGACAGAAACAAGACTATACCTACCCGATTATATGAAAGAAATATACATACGTAACTTTAAAATTGTTTATTATAAATGAAAACAACAACTTTATATATTAATATTAACGTATATGCACTCTTTTGTTTCGTATGCAGTTAAGTGTGTTACAAACTCATGCAGCACGACCTACGAAAAACACACCTGTCATAATGGAAGAGGGTCTAAGAAACGTTTCAGACTTGCAGCTGGCGCAAGCAATTTATGAGCTTTCGACTCCTTCATTGTCGAGTAAGCACGAAGAGGCTCTCAGCTTTCTTTTCAAGGTAATTCGTGAATTTAACCTTGCTCCTCTTTATAAGCAACTATGTGAAAACCCAACGACTTCGTCAAAAATTGATGTGGATAATGACTTTCTTAACTCTATGATATCTGAAAATGACAAAAAATTGAAAGAATTAGACTCTGCGATTGAGGATGCCCAAGAATTAAACGGAGAACACGAAATTACCGAGGCTTTAAAACGCAAAGCAGACTACTATGTTTCCATCTGTGACAAAGAACATGCATGGGCTACGTTTACCGAAATGTTAGAGAAGTCTGCCAGTGAGGGCGTTCAAATCGACATTTTATTTGCCAAAATGCGTATAGCCTTTCTATATGCTGACATTAAGCTTGTCGGCTCTTTGCTAGAAAAAATACGTCCGCTCATGGACCAGGCAGGAGACTGGGAAAGAAAAAACCGTTTGAAGGCTTACGAAGGAATATACATGATGGCCATCCGTAACTTCTCCAGAGCTGCTGAGCTTCTCTTGGACACAATGTCTACCTTTTCAAGTACGGAGCTGCTTCCTTATGATGAATTGGTTAAATACAGCGTGCTTTCGGGCGCGATCGCTTTGAAGCGTGTTGATATCAAAACCCGGATAGTCGACTCTCCGGAGGTGTTGGCTGTTCTTCCTCAACACGAAGCTATGTCAAGCGTGGAAACCTGTGTAAATAGTCTGTATCTTTGTGATTACGCTGGTTTTTTCCGCTCCTTGGCTTCCGTTGAGCAGGACCATCTTAAGTGTGATTTTTTGCTGGCGCCCCATTATCGGTTTTACGTTCGTGAAATGCGTCGTCGTGCTTATGCTCAACTTCTTGAATCCTACCGTGCATTAAGCATTGAGTCGATGGCGAATGCCTTCGGTGTTTCTGTTGATTTCATCGACCGTGATTTGGCTTCTTTCATTCCCGACAAAAAGCTTAACTGCGTTATCGATAGGGTGAACGGAAATGTTGAAACCAATCGTCCAGATGAAAAGAACAGACAGTATCAAGAAATTGTGAAACAAGGTGATGTCTTGTTGAACAAGCTCCAGAAATACCAAGCTACTGTTATGAGAGGAGCATTTAAAGTGTAGGTTAGGACGAGATTTACAAGTTTTAAAGTTTCACAATTTTTTTTACTTACATATGCTGAATTGGTTATGTATCTATATCAATAACGACTTAAAGAGCTAATTCATGATGTACCGTAGCGTCACTAGATATTCTCGAGTGTTACTGTAACGTTTTCTTTATTCGCATGGCAGACGCGTATCGCACGCGTTATTAAAGAAGCGGTATTAAAAGGAACGCGACGCGTTTCACAACGTATAAATACCTTAGCTGTATTGTCATCTGCCATAAACAACGTTCTTATTCAAAATAATGCCCGTAGAAGACGAAACAATGTGTAATGACAGTAGCGATACTCTGTGTTTGTCAAGTCCATTAACAAAGTTGGATACGGATAATGCTACCCCGAGAAAGCTTGACCGCGTCAAAAACTTACAAAGATTTGCTCGAACAGTGATCACAACATATGAAAAGGATGCTGTTGCAATGGAAGCAGAAATACTTGACTTAAAACAACAGTTGGAGAATGAACGACTAAGAAGGAAGCAGCTGCAAGTTCCATTGAAACTATTTCAGCAAAAAATGACTTCTTTAGAGACAGAAAAAAAACAACTTAAGCTAGAAAACGATCAGCTGAAACAAGAACAGAAACTTTTGGTGCTTAAAATGGAATCGATCCAACGCAACAATTCGTCTACACTCACAAGGCACATTGAAAGCCCTGTAGAAAACACTAACGAAAGGGTGGAGAAGACCACAAGATGCGCGATTGAACCTCACGAAGTCGTTCAGAGGCTGTCGGATTCATTTTACAAATTGGAGAATCAACACAAGTCTTTTAAAGAGACCTGTGCATTGTTAAGAAAACGATTAATGCAAGATAAAACAAGCACGCAAACCCGGTTACAGTTAATTGAAACGAAAATCTCGAAGCACGCAGCAGGATTCTCATGCAATGTCGCATTCCACTTACCAAAGGAAGCACATATTTGTTAAACCTGTTGAGCAACTGCTAAAAAGTAAAAGACTAACAAATTGTTAAACTATTTAACCAACGTCCATTTCTTTCTTGTTAAAATTTGTGTTGGTATATATGTTATTTTCTTTTTTTTATTAAAACTACTGAAGGTTGATGAAACCGCAATAACCTTAATCATTCATTCGTACAATTATTGACTTAAAGGAGAAAACGACTTTCATATTGTTTCATGCCTTGACGAGGAAAGGTATTCTATTTCGTTGGCGGGTCTTTGACCATTTAATCTCTGTTGTATACCATCACGCATGGTCAGAAGAACGAGCACACCTCCAAATGATATTTTCTCCAATGTTACGGCTCTAAACGAATGCGATGAGGAATATGTAAGCCCTTCTTTAGTGACATGTCAAAGTTTGCTAATGGTAGAGTTAGACTGAGCTGGTGACTAAGTATCAAGGTAATGTACTAAGTTATCCCTACGATTGGAACAGAACGACACACGTTATTACTGAAAACTATGATTCTTTTGCAGCGCAGGAGGGGTTGAGGCGAAAGCTGCATGTTGTCAAGCCAAGTTGGATTGTAGACAGCATTAAACACGGCAACATCCAGAATTATCGATATTACTCGTGCAATCCTAGACATCTGTTCCAGGGTGTCGTAGCTACTGCCTGCGAGTTAGACCCATATCACAGCTATGTGATTGATGAGGCGCTCGAAGCTTTGGGTGGTCATTACTCCCCTTCATTAATTCAATTTATGACACATGTATTCACAAAAGATGGCTTCGGACCAAAGTGTCAGAGAGTGAAAACAAGAGCTGCGGAGCAAATCAAATTGATACACCCACAATGGTTGTTCGACTGTCTTCGCCTTGGGGTAAGACTGGATGACGGCCCATATCTGTTTCCCAATCCTTCATTCTCCACTTTGCCAGTACCAAACGTGGAACCAATAAGCTCTCACGTATTGGAACACAAACAGCTTTATATATCTAAGGATTTATCGCTTTCTTCGAATGCACACATTTCCTTATCCTCATTTTTAAATCGAATGGGATGCGAAATAAAAGACACAGTTTATGATTGTGATACTTTTATAGGTTTCCGTAGGGAAACAACCGAGTACAGAGCTGCAGTTAAAAGTAACTGTGTCATAGGCACCTTATCCTGGGTTTTTAGTATGTTTTCTTCTGATGCATGGATTAATCCGACACAAAATGCACTGCACTATCCCCTACCAGCTACGAAATTTTTAAAGGGCTATTCTATTTCATTAACAAACTATACCGGTGAAGCAAGGGTACAATTAGAAAAATTGATAGTTGCTTCTGGAGCCGCATACTCCAAAAACCTGAAGCCTAACAGCTCTTTATTGATAGCCGCTTCTGCGTGCGGACAAAAGTATCAAGCCTCCAGGGTTTGGGGTATTCCTTCTGTTTCTCATCATTGGCTCTATTCGTCATTCCAACTGGAATCCGCACAAGGCTATGATATTTACCAAGTCAGCACTACAAATCAGTGTCAGGATGCTATTGAACCTTGCTCTGTCAAAACTCCTGAGCCGGGTCTACAAAGTTCTGGGGTACAAACAGATGATGTACTTGTTGAATGGCATGCCTCAAATCCTTCAATGGACAGGCTCACTTCTGATAAACCAAATATGTATCCCTCTCCCGAACAGGAAATTGAACATACTACGATTTCCCAAGAGTTACGACACAGCAATGAATACCATTCAGTTCATACGGTAACATCCACAAAGGAAAAAATCCAGTCTTCTGAAACAATACCAGAAACCGAACAAAACGAAATAAATATTGGTCAAAATATTAATTCAGATAATGATATGAGACCTTTACCAACAAGTGTCAATGAACCGCTCAAAAAGCCGGAACTTTCTACTAAGACGAGAAAGTCCGCTATAATGAATTCTGTGGAAGTTGTGTTGCCTCAACGAACGGACGAGCCACTAAGAGTTATCGCCGATTCTAAGTCAGACGAAGAGAATACACCTTATTTACATAAAAGGAAGGCCGCAGAATCGGCAAAAGAAATATTGGCCAACGTTGTTATGCCAGATGTTCTGGCTTTTGAAAAAGAAAAAAGGTCGCGGCATTCAGTGCAACAGCATTCATCCACTACACAGCTTCGAAAAAAGTATCGTGTAATGTTTACGGGCTCTTCTCCTCGTACTCCATCTAACGAACTAAAACTTGTTGATATTCAAGTGACAGAGAATCCTGCTAAATGTACTCATTTGGTTACTGATAAAATAGTTCGAACGGAAAAGTTTCTCTGCAGTCTTCCATACGCACCTTTTGTAGTAACTAGCGCATGGGTCGTTCAAAGTATACTTCGTCACTCCGTGCAAGATGAAAAGCCTTATTTTCTTAAAGATGAGTTAAAGGAAAAGGAATACGGCTTTTCTTTACAAGATTCGTTGGAGCGAGCACGAACGTATGGCCCAATCTTATTCAAAAATTTTGATGTTTACGTTTCACCAAAAGCAGTTCCAGCTGGTAATTTTTCTGCCATAAGACAAATTGCTCATTGTAATGGTGCAGCTTCGTGCTCTTTGCTCTCGTCTTACACAAAACGGTTTTCAAGTCGAGTCAAACAGGGTTTCGTACTTCTAATTTCAACTGCAGGGGAGGCTAATATATGGGAGCCGTTTTTAACAAGCATTTTATTTGAGGATGCTAATGAATGCTATTTACGGGATTATGACTGGCTTATTTCCTGTGTATTAAAACAAAAATTAGATCTTGATGACAAAGTTTCACCAACGTTTCTCAAAGCCTCCGAAAGTTCTAACAATCTCACAAAATCTGCATTACAAAAGAGTTAAAATCTTTCGTTCATTGCATGGTATGCCTGAAATAAATATGCCAAAAAAGCACGAGGTTTTTGAACAATCAAAAAGCTAGAAATACACTAAAGAACTTAACAAGTATTTCAAGAATGCTGGTTAAGCAAACTATAACAATTCTGTAGTATCTCTTCTATTTTTTATTTTTTTTTTTATTATTTTATTTCCTCGTAGTAACTATTCCACAATGTAATTCTTAAAGCATAATACATACATAACGTATATTTTCATTAAAGGGTAGCAGCTCAATTAAATCAAACTGTGTTAATCTGGGCATAGCGTATTTTTTTCCTCTAAGTTTTGACCTGGCAGTGTTCGTATGCGAGACTTATGACAAGCCTTAATTACTCGGATTTTTCAATAGAGGAAGGTGAAATCTTCGAAGACCGTCTTCCTTGGAATGATTTTAAGATCATAACACCACCTATTTCAAATTCGGAAGAAGGAAGCTCTTCAATTCATAATGACTTGATTGAAAGTGATGGAGAACCCCCAGTTCAAAGAGTGCAATTATCTTCTGAGCACTTCGAAGACGATGAAAGAAAATATTATCAAACACGTATGTTCATTATGTGACCGAAAGTCTGACATTCTTAGATAAATTCATCTTGCGATTTCATGAAACTAGTGTTTACAGAGAATTTTATGAAGACGAAGATTCAGATTTATTAAACTCAATACAACAGCAAACTGGTGTCCGCTTAAAACCTTCTGAAGATTACAGCGTAAGTTCAAGAAGAGTTACTGGATCTAACAATATCTAGACTATATATATCTATGCTACCGAACATCAATATGGTGAACTAGCATACAAGGCATTAACTCTATATGAAGAGTTAGTAAATAGCAAAAGAGATGTACAGCCCGAAAAACAAAAGAAAAACACGGCAGAGGCCGATTGGGTTCGGAAATCACGAACAGTATTCCCAATACTGGAACATATGAGTATTCAACAAACAGAGCAATATACTCGAGTTCTTAGACACTTTCTTAAAGAACCTGATCCCTCTTTTTCATTTGCTGTGGAGGTAAGTTTACAAACACTTTTGTATGTCATTTAACTAAATATTAGGGTACTTATATTTGGCCATTTCAAGGTTTAAAAATCCGTGATGTGATGGGTCCCAACTTGGACAGGTTTAATGACATACGTGTGGGATGCCATTGTTACATCGGCCTTCTGGACTCTCAAACTGATACGGTTGTTATTGTAAAAGGAAAGCAACAAGAACAAGTGGAACAAGCCCTACAAGAGATTGAAGCACTGTGTCTCTCTTTTGCTGCTTCGCAAAGACTCCTTAAAAAAACATCCATTCACATATGCCACTTGGATAAGGAAACCTTCCACTGTTATGTTTATCTTAATGACAAGCATCCGTTACAATTACAATTATTGAAGCAGAATGTGAAAATAGGAATACCCTTAGGTGTTGTCCCTCACAAAATGGTTGAGCCATCGGTTTTATCAACTTCCATTACGGAGTTAAATTTAAAAAATGAAGCAATCATAGCCAATCATCTGAAATTCTCTCTACTTAACATTTTTGCTTTCCATGGTCTGCTACAAATGAGGGTGCAGCTTGGTATTCCGTTCTTTTCTCGTATTAAAAGATTTCGTGAAGAACCAGCTGTAAAAATATCTGAATTGATCAAGGACGAAAGGATCCAATCTGCCTTTTGCTCGTATGTTTTTCCCACCCTCAATATCCAGGCGCTCTATGATTCACTCCAAGAAGTTGATTTCACTTCACTTGATATCCCTTTTGAAGAAAAAGAAATGAGCAGCATTCTGCGTGCTCATTTTTTCTTACAGCATAACGCCAAGACTTTTGAAGTCGTCGCCGAATGGACAAAATCGAAAGGGTCCCCCTCAATTTGGTATAATGATAGCAAAAAGAAAACTGCGAGCGAGCTCACACATGTCAATTTACGGTAAGCCGTTTGAACCAATTTTTCTATTGAACTAACTCGTCAGTAATATATCTTGGAAAATGGGTATTAAATATGGTAAAGAAGGCACAATACCTAAAGAAATTAACGATTTTATGATAAATGTACATTTAAGGTTTGTGTTTTAAATTCATGAGAATGCCTTTTACTAACGTTTGAAGCCCCACTGGTGAGGTCTTTTTCTTTTGTGGAATCAATAGTCCCAAAGTCACAAATATCGTTTTCGAGAAAGTGGTATGAATACTCAAACAAAACAAGCCTCTGTAAACTAACTTTCAACAGAGACAATTCTGGTTTCTTCCCTCGAAAGACTCCATCAGCTTTTGTTTCAAAAAAGTTTGGAGTGCAAATACAGACATGAATACGATTGTCCATCGTGTAGACATCACGAATATCGAATTCACCGGCTACGACATTTTCTTTTGGAATCCGAAATGGGACATCCTACTCAAGGAAAATAAGGACATACAAGCTGGCAAATTGCCCACGTACAGACCCTGTCTTGAAGAATTCTTTCCTGAATCACTACCGAAGTTTTTGCAAAAGATGGATACTCTTGTCCATTGCCTGGAGGCTCTGAAGAAGCACGTTAACAACAGGTCTAATCATTCATAAATTTTTATTGAGCGTTCTATAACGGAGATGTTCGGAACAATAATAACAGCATGTACATTAACCGATAATTCTTCCACGTAGTGTTTGTACACACCATGTTCCTTCGGACGAGTGTAAAAGGGTATACTTGATAAATAAAACGAGTGCTTTGTATATCATATCTGAACAAAAAACACCAACCCTCATAGAAATAGCTCATGCTCGCGTAAGAAACGACATTATAGAGAACAAAATACTCGTAAAAATTAATTTGGCCATAGAACAAAGGTAAACCACACGATAATCCAGTAATAATCCCAATCATCAGTAACATATTCGAGTTCGGGAATCTTTTCGTAAGAACCGGTCAAGACAGACAATACAAGAAACTAAAATTATACGATCTGCTTCCACGCGACACAATACAATACACAGAAGCAATGCCTTAACCAAAAAGAATAGTGAGAAATCTAGTGCTAGAGAAAGCATCACCACTCTTCATCCTTAATAGTGTGACTTGTGCGATGGTATGTAGCTTCAGTTTCTTGTTCATCACCAAAGGCCATAGCGTTCTTTTTTACCCAGTCGCGAACAAATAGACTTGCCTTCATAAACTTCTTCGAGGCATATTTTTTGAAAAAAGCTTCATGCTGAACGGGCTTCTGAAGGTAACTGATCATTTTAGCAACAACAGGAATCAGCTCACGTTCTTCATATCCGGAATAATGTACAAGGTTTCTGTTCCAAGGACCACGACCAAGCATTTCGCGAGCAATATACATGGCAGCGGCGCATTGCTGTGAAGGCGGGTATCGGATCAACCTATGGTCAAGTAAACCAATTTCGACTAGGTACTTGGCAACAGTACGGGTCTGAATATCATAATAATCGGCCTTGGAAATGCGTCGAAGAAAATTCATCGGATTAGGGTATGCAAGGTTATATTCGAGCACACGAAGGATATATTGCTCGGCTTGAAGAATTTCCTCCTCATCATATCCACCATCGGCCATGTAAACAAAGTTCTGCACAGAGGGACACATAACTTCCTCATACTTGCTGGCTATAAACAAAGCCGTGATACCGACAAGCTGCAGTTTAGACAAAGAACAAACGCGCAAAGACAAGAACCGGTCAATGATGTTGACCGAAAGAAAGAGTGTTTCGGGAAGCAAACGGAAACGAGAATGAACCTCAATAAGCCAGTCCGTTAAGATGCCGCGCATTTTCCAGGCCAGCTCTTTTTGACGATCCATATATGTCGGCGACGGCAGCGTCTGTATCTCAAGCTTTCTCATATAGTCAAAGATTTCGTTGACATATTCTGAGACCATTAAAGGGTCTGCCCAATCTTCGGCATCCAGGTCATCCCAGTCCTGCTCTGAAGGTTTTGTTGGCACTTCGCGCTCACTCGAGAGTTCAGCCAAAGGGGCACGAACATGCTCCTCTTCTCGCTTCGCCTTTTTGACAGTAACATCAGCATCGTAGTAGATACCCTTCACTGCACCAATACCATTGCTCGCAGCTTCACCGACGGAACGTGCCTGGCGCAGACCATTTTGAGAGGAGGCAACTGTAACAGTGGGTTGTCTACGCTTCTTCAGCAGTGGTTCTGCTGCTTCAGGACCAATATCTATACCATGATCCTCTTTCAAAGACCGCTGAGCAACGTGCGCGTCTGGATGTGAACTCTTGCGTCCATGGTGCTCTGTAACTTTGTGAGCAAGAGCAGCATGGACCGAATTTTCTTTTGAACTCAAGTTAGACACATCATTTAGAGCATGTCTCTTTTTCGTGGCAACAGTCGCGTTGGACCCAACGACAGCTTGCTTGCCGGACACAACCGCGTTTTCGGAACCGTGCAATGCTGCCACTGCGGCTGCCTTCGAACGTGTAAGGCGTGTGACGGCCGCAGTGTTTTCGTTATTGTTCGTGGGCGCAAGGACGTTCTGGCGAGTAAGACGGCGGGTAGTCATTATGGATTAGTTTTAAAAAACGTTTTAAAAAAGAAGAAAGAAAGAAAGGAAGACGACGACAAAGAAAACGACAAAGGCAAGAAGACAACACAAAGTGAAGAATGCAAATGAAGAAACGACTGAGGAAAGGGTTGTATGTGTGAATGAAAGAAGGAAACGTGCAGACTGGAAAGCAACGTTAAACCCGCACGTAAGCAGCACAGATAAGCTTAGGAGTGCAAACGACTCGGTGTGTGTTGTTTGTACTGACGTCTAGATGTTTATGGAGACTGCAACGCCAGCGGCACGAGTCTACAAACAAATGCGTTTTCTATTCTTCGTTAGCAAGCTGAATCAACGGGAAACGCAAAGGAACACCGCAAAAGCTCAATGTCAATACGAGAAGTGTCTTTCGTCGCCAAACACTGCAGCACGTAACCCGTAGTCACTGAATTACCCAAAGTTGTTGGGAAAAGCGAAATGGCTCTAGACACAGGCAATCACAAGTGACAGCGGGTTGTCCAAACCACCACAGTCCTCCAATCAATCTCATCCAGCTTCGACCACACAATCGGTGCCGTTCAAGCGTACAGTGTTTGGGAAAAAAGACCCAGCCTTGAAAATTGCACAACCGACTTTCTCACACACTCATCCGGGCTTCATACTTACACAAACGACTTCGACACAGCAGTTTTCTGTACACAAACACAACTGTATGTGTATCAGAAATGGAACGAAACCAATGCCAAGGAGTCCGTACAAAGAAGAACACGGAACTAGAAGACTGTGACCTGAGACTCACAAGACAAGAAGAATCGAGCCTCGACGTTCTACACACGAGGTATCTGGCAGTACGAGGTACTTTAGGGTCCACTAATCCAAGTTTAGTGGTTTGCGAAAGGGAAGTCGTGAGTCGGTTTGCAGTGTTGGTAGTGGAATTAGGCTTGAAGGAGTGAGCAGAAGAGGGGTAGGTCAGTCGTTGCCAAGACAACCTGATCCTTTAGGACAGACAAAGAATGTAAACAGGTAAACAAAGCAGTAAATGTACAAAGAGTAGCGTCACACTTACTAGCAATTCTTATACATAAGATAAAGAAAATTGTAGTGGAATAAAGGAAAGGATGGTTGATATAGTGATGACGCTATGAAAATTTATTACGGCGGATATTGGACGAGCTTCGATTATTCTTCTTAACGTTAAAGGATCACCTTTTGGGGCTTGAAAATGGCGCAACTTGGCGTTGCCGAGAAGCGTTTTGGCGCCTGTATAACGCTAACGAAGGTAGACACTATTTCATGGCGCTAAGCAGGGCCCATGGAGGGGAACACCTATTCTCGCGAATTGAGTAGACTAAACGTAAGCAGTGCTATCTCCCGTAACACAAAAGGTTATCAAATTAAGCAAATACCACTATTTCCAATGGGCCAATTTAGCCTCCCCGAAAAGCTTAAGGCTGTAAGCGGGCTCTGGGGTGAGCGATTTCGTGCACCGCCCAAGCAGCCTCGTTTCCCTAAGTCTTAGTTTCAGTATCCTGTGGGGCAACTATCGTCCACGAACTAAAGCAAGCTTAGGTAATCATTGTGACATTAGTTGGACGGGGAGAAGGATGAATCGCGTATGTGTGAATACCCGACGGATTACTGCCTATCATTCCAGCCAATTACATGAATAATTCATCACTTTATATTATTAAGATTAAGCTGCTGTCACTTTTGATGCAGCTGCATTAGAAACGATCAACAGCAAGTGCTGCCGATCGTGTGCGGAGAAAATAGCGCGGGTGTAGACAATGGATTTGGAATGCATGTGGGTGTATCAGAAGCGAACGAGCTATCTGATGACAGGCTCGCTAGCTAGATGAAGCTTCACGAAGTATCAGATATGATATGTGAGTTTTTGGTGATGGTACCGAGCCCTGTAGTGGGCAAAGGCCTAATGCGAATAAATAAACGAGAGGTTGTGTCATCGCTAAAGACAATCGATCAAAGCACATGGGCGAGTCTAAATGGCTTGCTTGGCCTCCATGCGCTGTTTTTCCGTCAAATGTTCGCTTACGGGAACAGCTACCGCATCAGTAACACCCGCATCGTAAGAAGGCTTGACCATGTAGGCATTTTCACCCAATTCGGCTTCATCAAGACCCATCCGTTCTTGCTCCTCAGTAACACGAAGCGACAAGCCGGGGATGAACTTCATGATGTAGAGAATGATACAGGACAGCAAGAAGGAGTAAGCAGCACAGCTCGCCGTGTCGGCAATCTGGTAACCCAGTTGAGCATAATGGTGGGAGAGCCAACCACCACTGTTTCCGGTAGAGCCATCAAGCGACTGAATATAGTCTGCGGCAAAGAAGGCAGTGAGAATGTTACCGACCATGCCACCGATACCGTGCTCGGCAAAAATGTCCAACGCGTCATCAACTCGGACGAAGTTCTTTAGGAATGTAGCAGCGTAGCAGACGACGCCACCAATAACACCAATAACCACGGCTGCCCATGGAGGAACGAAGCCCGAGCCCGGTGTGATAGCCACGAGTCCTGCAACAGCCCCGCTACAGAATGCAACACAAGACCAACGGCGGGACCGAATGTACTCAGCTATGCACCAAGTGATTCCTGCAACAGAAGCGGCGATATGTGTCACAACACATGCCATGATACCACGCAGGTTCGCTGACAGAGCCGAGCCGCCATTGAAACCAAACCATCCGAACCAGAGAAGAATTGTGCCCAACACAACGTGAGGCACATTGTGGGGGCGGTACACAACCTGGCCGTGGTCGCTGCGACGTCCGAGCACAATTGAATATGCCAAGGCAGCCATTCCCGAGGCAATATGCACCGGTGAACCGCCGGCGAAGTCATATGAGCCGAGCTTAAACAGCCATCCCTTTGGATTCCACGTCCAAAATGCAATGGGGTCGTAGACAATGGTGGTCCAGATGAGAATAAAAACGATGCAGGGAAGCATACGACCACGGTCTGCAGCAGCGCCAATTGCCAGTGCTGGAGTAATGGCAGCGAACATACCCTGGAAAATGCAGAACAAAAGATCGGGGACGGATGAGCCTCCAACCGAGTTACGGCCCAAGGTTTGACGGAGACCAAAGTTTGCCAATGTTCCGATGTAACCGCAACCTTCATGCGAGAATGTCAGCGAATAGCCCCAGAAGAACCACTGGAACCCGACAACCGCAATTGACATGAGTGAGAGAAATAGCATTGACACTGCACTCCGGCGACGAGCCAAGCCGGAATAAAAGAAACCAACACCGGGAATCATAATGAAAACGAGTGCCGTTGAGCACAAGACCCACGCGACGTCGCCTGCATCATAAAATTGGTTCAGGTTGATCGTCCGTGAGTCACCGCCATTGACACCGTCCAGGGTCGGCGTCGGTGTTGAAACTGCGTCTAGCGTAGACGACATGAGATATGAAGAAGATGCTTAAAAAGCGGTAATCCAGTAAAAGAGACTTTCGTCTACTGTTGACCGATGATGACTAATTGACTGGTCGTTCGAATGACCCAGTACTTCCAAAATGTTTTTCTGCAGTGTACAATTACGTACACGTATAAAGTCTCAACTGAAAGAACGTAAGAAACACGACAATTACACGTGAAAGATAATTCACTCGAGTTCTAGGAGACAATGATTACAGCTTATTTGGGCAAACGGCACAGAACCTTTTATACAACCAAGTCTATCCGGCAACGGTAGATAAGTAACGATATCTCGTAAGCCTGTAGGTTTCTTAATTGGCTCCATCACATTGATACAGGGTATATCAGAGGCGAAAACACTATACTTGCGTAGGAGATAAGAAACTCCAGGGGATAACACAGCTTAGCAGGAAATCTGACGTCACGTGTTAGCCAAGCGAAAACAAAAACGCGACGCGTACTCTCGTGGCAGAACGCGAAACAGCATTGTAGGCGTTGTAATCATTTTGATAGAGTTTTCTGAGTTTGATTAGCGTCAAGTAACGGTCCATTAGCGATGGAATGATTGAAGGAATTAATGAGTTGGGAAAATCAAGTTTAAGCTCCCATATTTCAAGAACATTTAGCGGTACAGAAAATTCGTTAAAATTGAGTTTGTCGTATGCGCGCGACGCTAAATATGGCGACTAGTTACATGTCAGTTTATCAAGCAAAAACACTTTTCCGGCTGATTTCAATGCTTTCAATTATAACGGTAATGGGAGAGGGCAAGTTCAATGGGAGGGTCAAGTGCAGTACTGAACTGCAATTACGTAGTCCCTTGCTTTCCGGGACTCACTATCGTTTGTTCTGCATGCATCGATGATCCATCATACGTCATAGTCGTTTCGAGTCTGAATCGCCAGAAGCGATAAACTATGGTTCATTCAACGAACGCCTATCAAAACTGTGATAGTAGATTCGTCAGCTCTTAATCAATTATTGAGACAAGATACGATAGAAAGCATATGATCCCTAGAAAGCCTAGGGTTTTTACACTAAGATACTGTTGCTCAAGCACATTTCACTCACAATGCTTTTTAATCTCGGTGACAGAAAGGTGCCTGCTTCGTATTCTGTGTGAATTTTTCTACGTTATTATTGGTGCCTGGCTCTCCATGCAGGATAAGCGAACTCTTTTTCGCAAATTCGCATACCGATAGTATGATTGGCTGGTATTGCTTGAGGCCGCTAATACGGCCGAACACATCAGCTATCCTTTGCGGGATAGACCCCCTAGCGGGGCAGAGGTATGACGTATCCTCTCCGCCTGAAACGCAGAAAGAACAGGTCGTTTTGCATAAGCTGAGAGAGTTAAGATATGTTCACCTGCTTCTAGAGCGTCGATGGCACTGCTCGCCGCACAATGTTGTAATAGGAATGATACTCGCTTAGTTCAGAGATACGGGAGCAGGCTCAAGTTTTGATGGCTTGGATTACGAAGGAGGTGTATAAAAGACGCATCCCATTCAACAGTTAAGCATTGTAACGTGTCCTCCTCTGAAGAGAACACTTTTTGGCGAAACCATACTTTAGAAACGAAGGAGAATTGTGGAAAACCCCAATTTTTGTTCCCGCTCACTTTACTGAATCGTCGACCTTAATCCGTAATTGCGATTCAATCCTTCCTCAAAGACCACAGCTAGTGTGTGCGATCATACGTGCTTGTTACATCTGTTTGGCATATTATAATTTTAGACTGCAATTGGACGTTGTTCTGTTTGACTCGAAAAACCGAGAAGTTATTCCTCCCTTAATCTTCTTCATTCGTTCGTTTTTGATATCTATTTGTCCTTAGTATCTTTTTCTGGAAACACCAGTTTGAAGTTTGACACATCCCTGTTTGTACGATACAGGCTGTTATCTCTACTGGTACCACATAACATTTTCTACTCTCTTTCATACTCTTTTTCATTTCAAGATGAGTTCAAGCGCTACAGAAGTCTACTCTCAAAAAAAGGACACGAGCAGTGGAGCCCAGAGCATTTCTGTCGCTGCACTGGAAGCGCCCGTGCCATATGACGAGCCCGACAATGCAGAGGACTTGGCCAAGCTGGGCTACAAGCAATCCTTCAAGCGACAACTTTCGTTGTTCGGCGTCTTCAGCGTCTCTTTTTCCGTGCTTGGTTTGCTTCCATCCGTGGCCGCAACGTTGAGTTTCACCATGGGCGTTGTCGGTACCCCCGGTATGGTCTGGGGTTGGCTTGTCGCAATGATCTTTGTCGAGTGTGTCGCTGCAAGCATGGCAGAGCTGTGTTCCAGTATGCCTACTTCCGGTGGTCTGTACTATTCGGCTGCTATGCTTGCTCCTAAAGGTTGGGGCCCCCTGGCTTCTTGGGTGACAGGTTGGTCTAACTACATTGGACAGCTTATTGGTTTCCCGAGTTGTGTTTACAGTTTGTCTTCCATGATTCTTAACGCTGTTGCCATCCAAAGACCCTCGTACACCGTTGAGAACTATCAGATCTTTTTGCTGTCTCTTGGCTTTGTGGTTATCTTCTGCATTATGGCATCTTTGCCAACAAAGATTGTCGGACGCATCAATTCCGTTGGTACCTTTTTGAACACCCTTTTCCTTTTTATCTCAATGATTGTCATTCTTGCAAGCGGTGGTCATAGAAACGGCTTCAACAAGAGTTCGGATGTATGGGGAAAGTTCAACAACACGACTTCCTGGCCCAACGGATTCGCTGTTCTTATGTCCTTCTGTGGTGTCATCTGGACTATGATGGGTTATGACACTCCATTCCACTTGAGTGAGGAATGTGCAAACGCTAGCGTGAATGCACCCAATGGTATTATTCTCACCTCCACTGTGGGTGGTCTCGTCGGTTGGTTGTTCCAATTGATCATTGCCTATACCATTGTGGACTTGAACGCTGTCGTAAGTTCGGATAACCTTTGGGACACTTTCCTCAACCAAGTATTGAGTAAAAATGCTGCTATGGCAATCATCAGCCTTACCATTGTTTCCAACTTCATTATGTCTCAGGGTGTTCTTGTCGCTTCTTCCCGTATCGCCTATTCGTACGCTCGTGATGAGGTGTTACCTTTCTCTAACTATATGGCGATGGTGCATCCGAAGACAAAGACACCCATCGTCGCTGTTGTTGTCAACTCAGTCATCGGATTGTGTGTGATTTTCCTTGTATTCGCTGGTCCGGTTACTATCAATGCTGTTTTCTCTGTGTCGGCAACTGCTGCCTTTGTTGCGTTTACTACTCCCGTGTGTATGCGAACTTTCTTCGTGAAAGATGAGGACTTCCCGGCTGGTCCTTGGAATTTAGGCAAGTTCTCTCGTCCTATCGGATTCGTTGCTGTCTGCTTTGTCTTGGTGATGATTCCTGTCTTGTGTTTCCCCACGAAGTCCAACCCAACTGCCTCGGAAATGAACTGGACCTGCTTGGTGTATGGCGTTCCTATGGGAGCAACTCTCATTTGGTATGCAGTATCTGCACGCAAATGGTTCAAGGGACCCAAGGTTTCTCTCGACTCCACTGGTCCATTGAACATGAGTATCGAGGGAGTGGAAATGCCGCAGGAATCTCCAATCAGCAAAAAGATGGCAAACGAGTCTGAAAAGGCTTACTAGTTTTTGTTACGATTGAATATGTAAGTTTTGGTGATGTGTATCGTGATTGCAACGCAATTATGCGATACATTCATGTCTCATTTCCTTTACGTTTATTTATTACGGTGTTTTGACTTGCATGTCCAAGTAAGAAACTTAACGCCGAAGTGTCTCATCTTGATGCAGACGCGTCTCCTTGAGCTTGTGTTTTGTTTTGTTACAGATTTTGTTAGATGAGTTAAGTCCCAATTTGATTTTTCTCAGAGAGGAGCTCGTTCGCGATTCTATACCAATTAATAGCTGCAGCAGGTACTGATTTCTTCTTATTTTTGAACCATTTCCTGGACCGTTAATCTTTCTTACTGTTAATGTTTGTATTAATTACAGTTTAATTATCGTTGCTTTTCCTAACTTCTTGATAATGACATTCATTGGTAGACTAATAGCTTAAATCCGTGCTTGAATTGTTACATGGCTAGCAGTCCGATCGGTGTAATGGCGAATGGACAAGGGCATTTTATTCAGCGCAATTTATACCACTGATGTTCCTCTTCTTCACCTGAACATTCGTAGCAGCTTCTGAACTATTCAATTCTCACAGTCTGTTTGGTAACACTCATCACTCTTCTGTAACGGTCTCCTCGAAACCTGCAAGCGATGTAAAGAAAACGCATTTTTTTCACTGCATCCACCTAATAAACTTATTTTAGTTATTATTCCTCGCCTATAAACAAACTGTTATTTACTTATTATTGTTCTCTTCATCTTCATTGGATTAGCGAAATTCAGAAATTAAGGTTTATCTCGCTTCACTAATTATGAAGCTATTCACACGTTGTCCAATGTTAACGCTTAATTTTTCGCTACGCGAACTTTTATTTCCACGATCCCCGTGAGATATGACCGAATGAATACATACATATAAACCACCATCGATCCGCCGAGGTTTTCTGCCTTCTGCCTAACAGAACAAGTAATTCATGAGCTGAGACTTTCTCAAACTCAAGCAAAAGCGGGTCTTTACCAGACTACAAACATCAAAAAAACAGTCCAGCTGTTTGGCGTGCTTCCCGGGCCGCGTTTTCTTGGTACTCAAGGCTTGATTTTTTGGTTCTCGTAACTCACCGTGCCCAATTTGGACGAGTTGTGAGTCTTTTTATACACTATTGTGAAGGATTTGTCAAGTAGAAACTTTCTATTGTCGCTCCTTTCCTGTTAACGGCTTCTTCACTATTCTTTGATATTAAGAGGGTCCACTCAAAACGTGCGAGTTAACGTGCAAGTTGAGTTTAATAAACTTTGCTTTCAAGTTCATCTTTGTACAATTGATATCGATTCTTACTGTTCTTTGCAGCATACCCGGTCGGTCTTTGATTTTATTTCACTCCTTCACTCCGTTTTCGCTCGGTTTTGCGATTTTTAGTGAACAGTTCACTGGGAATTTTGCATATTTCATCGAGACTTGGGAGCAGCATTTTTACTAATCATTGATCCCTCGTGCTTAACATTCAAACTAGAAGCAAGGATTACTGCAAAAGCTTTTTCTGGATACTTGTATAGTGTTCAATCGGAATACCTAAAGAATGGTGAAAGCAGAATATACTGAAGATATACCTGGCACTGTTCTCATCTTTAAGGAGAATCCATATGCTTCTTCTGAGAGTAGTGAGCTTAAGAAAATTGGAGACATTGTCTTAGTGCCTCAACCTTCTGATGATCCTAATGATCCGCTCAATTGGAGTGCTCTGCGAAAGAATTGGCATCTGACACTTATTTGTATTATTTCTCTCGTGTCCGGTGCCATCGCCAATGATGCTGGTTCAGCGCAGGATCAAATGAATAAGGAGCTTGGCATCTCATACGATGCGATGGACGACGCTGCTGGTGTTCTCTTCATTTGTGTCGGATACTTTACGTACATTGCAATGCCTGCAACATTTCTTTATGGTCGCCGTTGTGTTTACCTTGTTTGTCTGGTGTTTGCAATGGCAGGCTCTCTGTGGTTTGCTCTCACACAAAGTACAGCAAGTTCAATAGCCAATCAAGCTTTTATCGGCATTGGCGAGGCTTGCGCTGAGGCTCTCACCCAGTATTCGCTGTCTGATATCTTTTTTGAGCATGAGCGTGGTATTAAAATTGGTGTGTATATTCTTTCCACGTCCATTGGTACTTACCTGGGTCCTCTCGCTGCTGGCTACATTGCAGCAGGACAAGGATGGCGTTGGATTGGTTGGTGGGGTTTAATTCTTTCTGCTATTACATTTATACTGTTCCTTTTTAGCTTTGAGGAAACAGCTTTCGATCGTGAAGCTGCTATGGCACAAAAGCAACTTTGCCGTTCAGCCGATGATTTCTTCGTCAGTAATGGTGAAAAGAAAACGGAATTTGATGGTCAGATTAGGGACATCACGCCTAATACAGACCTGGAAAAGGGCATGGAAAGCTCACCTTACGAGAAACCGTCTTACTTCAAGAGGTTGGCACTTATCACGCCTGCCTCAAACTTAGAAGGCTGGGGTCTTCGACAGTATTGGGGACGTTTCGTACAAACGTTACGTATATTTACTTTCCCTGCCGTGCTGTATTCAGGCTTACAATGGGGAGCGCAAGATGCGTTGCTTACTTTCTACCTTACGACAGAAGAGGAGGATTACATGCGCCCTCCGTACAATTATGGAGACACGGCTGTGGCTATGATGAACGTTCCCTGCATTATCGGAGCTACAATTGGATGTTTTTATGGTGGTTATCTGGGTGACTACCTTACTCTTTGGTTGGCCAAAAGAAATAATGGTGTAAAAGAAGCCGAATCTCGTTTGTGGTTAATGGTATTGCCATGCATCCTTAACCCGCTTGGACTGTTCTTATTTGGTTTCGGTACTGCAAGAAATTGGAACTGGGTTCCAACTTATGTTGGTCTTGGTTTCATTGGTTTTGGTTGGGGATGTGCCGGAGATATTTCTATGTCTTACCTGATGGATGCCTATCCGGGAGTTGTTTTAGAAGGCATGGTCGGAGTCTCTGTCATTAACAATACACTGAGTTGGATTTTTACCTTCTCATGTCAAGATTGGATTAATGGGATGGGTACCGAAAATACGTATATTTCAATTGGTATTATCTGTTTCTTTGTTATTGCTACGTCCTTCATAATGATAGCTTATGGAAAGCGTATGCGTATTAAAACAGCTTCAAGATATTACCAGTTCTTAGATGTCCGCAGCCGGTTAGATGGTAAGTAACTCGGTTGTGTGAGGGCCTTGCTGGCTCTCATTAGCAATTGCACTAATGGCGTTTATAATTTTGAAAATAAAAATACCGGGGGTCTAGACATCAGATGCTTGGTAGCACGTTATTTTAGTAGCACACCTATCCCGTATGGAAGTAAAGTGCGCAAGTGAACTGCGCATACTGTTAATAAATGGCACACTGCATAATCAATATATAAAATTACTTTGGAGCAACTATCATTTACTAATCGCAGCGAATGAAGTCGAACTTCGGAAACACCTACGTCTCACGGGTTAACGAAACATAGTATCTTTAAAAAACTATTGACTATGATTATAATATTTCCCATTACTTGGTACTCCTGTTCCAGATAGTACTCAGGGGCAGAACTAAGGCGCAATGGCTTATGCAGGACAAGCTTGTGCTACTTTTATCAACGACAAAGTGACGAAAGATGTCTTTAGTTTATCGGAGTCTCGAAGCAAAAATCCATTCGTAATGCTAAGCTTTCATTGAATTACCGGATTTACAGCTATAAGTTGTACGGTATGACGGACATAACACTGTGCTAACATTGTAATAAACTCGATGGAAACGAAGTATTAATATAGCTAAACAGTGTAATGCATGAACAATAATTATTTTTTAAAGCCTGCATGATTAATATCGTTACAGTGTCTGATCTTGTTAATCAAAGAACTAGCACATACGCAACACAGCACGTTCATACATGCTGTATCTAACTACATAATCAAACAAGGACAGCTCGTTTACTCCCAAAACAAAATATCATTTAATTTTACCCATATTATGAGGTGTCCTCCAATCAGTCTCACTTGAAGATGGACGTGAAAGGGTTTGATTAAAAGGGCAAAATGGAGCAGAGTTTAGACATAAAGATAAGCCGGTTTCGTTGTGTACATAAACAGACAGTGTACCGCCTAACACAAGGAGACCAGTCAATCATCAAAACGAGTACAACACAGTACCAAAAACCGTATGGCAATTACTCTGTTCAGTTTCTTAAACCTTTCCGTATTGATTCATTTGAACTTCTTCCTGGAAGTCAAAAATATCATAACCGTTTTCCTTACACAGCTCCGCAAAGCGGGCATCTTCGTCTTGAATGCAAGATTGACTGACATTTGGAACACAGAAAAAAGCGAGAACAGCAACGAAAAGAGCCATTGCACTTGCAGCATAAAAATAGGTACGGACGGCATCACCTCCGAAGGCATAAATTCCAGCGACTGCACCGCATTTTCCGACAGCGGCAGCAATTCCATAAAACAAACCACGAAACGACGCGGGTGATGTTTTGGAAGCCAACAGTCCGATATTGTTGCCAGGTCCAAATTCACCCAGCGTAAGAAACAAACCGTAAATGATGCAAAATCCAGCAATGTGCTTTACAAGACCATTATAAAAACCGGACATGAAGAAGCCAATTATTCCTTGAAGTGTGAGACCAATGATAAGACAATATTTTGGACCTAAAATATCCGAGCCATAAGCACCAAGCAGCGATCCGGGAAGGTAGAAACTATTAATGAGCGTAGACCAGCCGAAGGTCTGTGCCATTGTTGCATTTGATGGTAACACTTTTCCAACGATAGTACTCGAATATAAGCCAAAGGCATACGCAGAAAGATCGTAAACAAACCAGACCAAACATATAACGAGCAGACGCAAACCATACTGACGAACGACCAATCCCCAGGGAATTTGAGAGTATCGAAGACGGTTCTTTGTGTATGAGCCCGATTCCTTGAGACGTAAACGAAAGTAAAGTAAAAATAAAGGGACTATAGCACCCAAGCCAATAGATAATCTCCAAACAATTCTCAAATGTTCGTCGCCAAATATACACGCCAGGATGAATGGGACTAGGGCGCCAACCACAAATCCGACGTCAATTGCGCTGTTGGTGACGGCAATGAACACTGCATGGCGACGGCCACTTTTCATTTCTGCGCTTGACTCGGAAGCTGCAACAGATCCACAAGGATACTCGGCACCAATTCCAACACCAAGGAAGAATCGGTAAACAATTAGGGCTGTGATCATTCCGTCTATGCTGCCATGAGGTCCGTACGCTCCGGTGCACAAAGCTGTAGCGACAATTAAGATAACTGTAGCAACAATCATACCTCGTTTCCGACCAATTTGGTCAGAAACATAACCGAACGACAATTGACCGACAATAGTGCCGACGTATGCAATCATACCCACATTTTGCAATGCATGTGAATGCTTTGTTTCCGCAGGATAGAGTTTGCGTAAAATACTAATAACCGCGCCAATGGTATTGGCACAATAACCATCTGAAACAAGAGCGACACCACAAACTAAAACGATGCCAAATTTGCGTAGCTCTGAATGGTTGTCCGTGGAATCCAAACTTAATCCTGAAGTAGTTTTGACAATGTCATCGGCACCTTTCTTCACGGGGTTTTCATTAGAGTCAATTGTTTCCGATTCACGAATATAATTGACAGACTCATCAGCTGTTTTCTTCAATTGATCATTCTCGTTACCAACAGTGTTGCCTAGAGAAGTGGGTTCTGCCATTATGAAAGAGTTCTTGGGGTTCTGTTCTTTTACTGAGTTTATTATGAAATGTTCTTCTGCAGGAGCAATTGAGAGCCCCGTTTAAAGTAACAGCGACAAACTTATCAAGAGTGACGGCGATTACCACAAAAGGTTTAAAGGAAGGAACGATACTCAACCCGTCTGTTGAGTCAAAAGATTGAGAGTAGGCTTTATCTTGAATTCTTCGTCACAGTAGAATTTACCAGGACAGGTATTTGATTCTTGTCACTTTCAATTACTTATCTTTAAGTGAAATTTCTTAAAGCACAAAATAAGTTGTGCCTGGTATCTCGAAAGACAATTCCTAAAGCTGCTCCTTAATTCGTTATGATGTGTTTACTTTAGGAATTGGGGTACCAGGGGCTGTTTATATGCGCTTTTTTTTTAACGCATAACAGTCTGTACTGTTGTTTACTACTACGCACGTCATGTGCATCTCAGTATTATCAATAAAACGTCGCACACAGAATACTATATATACATCTTAAACAATAATTTCTAGTCTATTAAATAAGTTTACATTTGATGAACATTTGTTTGAGGGCTTTTACTGTTCCACGTTTTTCTTAACGGTCGCAGATTCGTTTGTCGCCGGCATCATAATTCATGATTTTCATTAAGCGAGCTCAGTTCGCACATGTTTCACATAGAAATAACGTGGATGCTTCGTTCATCAGTTGCAGCTCAAAATACTTTGTTTATAGAATCCAATTGCTTAAATTGACAGCGAGTTTTTTCTTCACCATGGTTTTCCAATAACCATTATTACTAGTTCTCCTCACCTAAGAAAAATTCGGAAATAGAAAATCAAGAATGGGAAAATGAAAATGCTTTGTCGGAGTACGTCTAGAGCTGATAAAAGAAATCATTATTACATTGCCTCAATGTTTGACGGAAAAGGTACTTGCCGGGAGTTTGAAATAAGCCAGATGTTAGGGTACAGATATTTGACGTCTATATTTAACGAGGAACATTGAAGAAAGTAATGTGAGCACTTGTTGGATAAAAGAAGAGTTAATGGAATTGGTTAATATATGATTTTCATGGGAATTCTGATGGGGGAGAACTTATTCATTCACTCGTAAAAAGTTTATTCGCTTGGGAAACTGCCCCACTAATTAAACCCTAGATGAATGGATGAAACCGTTTCTTAACCTGCAAATCTCGAAACGATTCTTAACCGACATTGCGGTGCGATTATCTGATCCTGTAAAACAGAGAACAGTACGCCTGTGACCGAGTAGGTGATGCATAAAATTGCGCGTATCATAAATTTTATTCTTATATTATTCATCTATTTAGAAACGAATTTATTAGCCTGCAATTCCTGAATGGACCCAATTAAAAGCACTTCGGCGCTTATTTTGGGAGCGATCGCGAAGCATTGATCACCAGTCGTCGCACTGTTTAACGCACTCGTGATTCCCCGCCCAAGCGGTAAAGCACTGCTGCATCCGCATGATGCGTCGGAGGTTAACTGATAAGCGACAATGTTGGTTATGATTGATTTATTGCTAAACGAAGGATAGTTAAGATTCCCAGTAAAGCCAGTGGTTACAAGAACATTTTGACGGCGCCCATGAGGATTAACGGCTTCTGTTATTAGTTGTGTGCGACTTGAAACCTTTCGTCGCAAGTCTTGTGAAGTAGTATTGAGGAAAAATGGACATGATATTTTCATCAGGGGCTACTTTTTTCAAACATGTGTACCAGTCATGCTAACTATGGTAGTCCCATAACAAGTATACTGCTTGTACATGTGATCATCCCTGTCTTCGGCTCAAAACTCGAATCGTGGGTGTGATATACAAAATGAAATACTCTTGGTCTGAAACTCCGGTTTGTAAGCGAATATGAGAACTTAAATCGCTTCAACAAAAATGCGCATTCATAACAATTGTGATTTCAGAGTTAAAACTAAATCAATGATTTGTTTATATGCGGCGTAAAAGCTTATGTGTGTAAATCGCATAACTAAATACATTTAACAGTTAAGTGCATTAAAATGTCAATTCTCTGATAGTCTAAGTGAGTAAAGCTCGTAGCGCATTGGATGTTTAATAAAATCCCATACCCATAAACTTGATTAACTGAAAATAATTACTCATGTACTTAGGCGCGCATGGTTTTAAAGTGATAGACTATAGTTGGCAATCTGTGACTGGAATACAAAGTGTAATTAGACTCAACGTTTTCCTTGATGAAATGTTACTGGGTTTGTCCGTTAGCGTTATTTTGCATTGTACTATATTTTCTTGTTAGTAGTTTGATATAGTGTTCGCAAGTGGATGACATAACACAATAGCAAGCGCAAACACGAACTTTAGTGATAAGAGCAGTTAGCTAAAAGAGTTTAATTGGTTCAAAGCTAGTGTATACTAAATCGAAGCCGAATCACTTATACGAGAGTTTCTTCATGTTACTGTTTACACACGAACACAAGTAAAGGAAAATATCGGTAACACAATTACAACACGAGTGCAAAATCTTCGTCGAAATCATTGCCTCAATAGCGGATTAAGTTAATTATATACAATCTATATTAACGTAACAACTTGTATGCAATGAAACAATTTCATCTTATCACTTTTTTTTTCTTTAATATCGCTTATTACGGTATAGCTTTTTATATTTATCGACGTCTTAGGGGTGCATTCCCTTTTAAGACTAAGGGTTAACTAAGATAAGTCAACAAATTACTTGTTTATTGCAATTACAGCTGTTTCATTGACAAAAATAGTGCTTGTGGATATTTTTAAAACATATGAATAATCATAGCTTGTCAATACACTAAGTGAGGTCTTTATATAGAAATAATTAGACTTAGTGAAACGCAACAAAAAAGTATCATTGTTGAGATAGTCTGTTCGTTTGAAATAGCTTAGTTACAGTTTATGACGATGGTACATATTTGATGCCTACGATAACTAAACCAAAGCTTCGAATAAAAGTAATAGCAATTCACCATTGTGATATTGAGTCAATAAGTGCGTTTAAACAGCATACGAATCAAAGAATATGTGAGGCTTACTTATTTTAGTTATGTGCTCAACAAATTGAATTATACGGATACGTTAATCTATTAGTAATTACTAAAAAGAAGAGTACTTAGTAGTAGATGGACTAATGATTGCCAAGAAACAACTGCGTTTCTTTTATCAAACAAAGAGCATTCAGTAATGCCAGATTGTGAATGCAGTAATTCAACTAACAAGAGTATCCTTCTCAAATGATTTTTGTTCGGCAGATAAACGATGTTTCTCACTAAGTTTAAACAGCACAATATGAAGGGCTCGAAAACTATTTAGAGCTTTATCTTGTTTTTGCCGCCAAGTCTTTACGATAACCTCGCCTATTTCAAGTAAAAACCCTGGACAAGTAATACAATAATTAGCAATCCATCATTTATGTTGTAATTGCAAAAAGCCCAAAATGTATATTTCTACAATCTACTGAGCCAAAAATGTTTTAGGCACATGAATATGTTCTACAGCTTGTATCTTTAAATATGTAATAACAGATTGTGTTGACAGAATCTCATTAAAGCACAGGAAAACAAAGCACTCAATACTAGAACCAGTAACAGGATTACTCAAAACCAATGTTCCTAACATCTGCTTCCGGTATTAAGGTTATAGATTAGTGGAATTGAAACTAAATAGTAAAATGCTAGGAGCAAGTACTAACGCTACTATTATATAGTGTGCGATACTCTTCAATGCTAAAATTAATATTGTATACTGTTCATTAAATGACGTTTCACTGTGAGCGTTGCTCTCATTAGAGGATTGCAAAAAACCGAGAGATGTAGTTACTTGCTCTTCGCAACTGGTTTTATTTGACCAATTATAATGAAACAGTCTAACTAGTAATTAGTTTACCATTAGCAGTATCATGAAAGCACAAATTACTCAACACGAAATAGCTATTTAGCATTTTGCTAGCGCATTTTTATTGGAAAAGTCCTGAATCCTACTTATAGACTGCAAGCAACATATATTTATGTCATAAAAATTCATAAGCAAGAAGCATTTTGAAATCCAAGTTCTGAATTCAACTGTCGTCACGTCTTCCTCAACAGACCCAGGCTATGCTTTGTCTTAGTTAATCTTTACTTTGCTATAATGAACAAAACAACCACTAGTGAATTTATATTAATATCGACTTGATTAGGTATTTGACATCACTTATTGGCGGAAATAGACAGAGCCTTTTCGGGAAGGAAGATGTAGCGAAACGCATCTCTTCCGTTTAAGTAGTAGCGGTATAACCGTTTGTACCGAGAAAACCCAAGGTGTTCATAGAAGGATTTGGCAGCCTCATTGTCAACTTCTGTTTCCAAAACAATTTCGTCAGCAGAGTTTTCCCTCATTGCTTGTATGGAGGCATTCGCAAGTTGTGTAGCGATACCGTGTCCTCTGTAATTTTTATCAACAGCCAGCATAGCTATATAGCCACGAATTCTGTTTTTTCTAGCATCTTGTTTGCTGACAATGGCACCAATGAGCCTGCCATCGAGGAGGGCTATATAGCTGTACTGGGGCCTGGAATATGTGTTAGAGTTGTGTTATTAACAGTACACTTGGTGGTTTAGTTACCATTGATGCAAAAAGTAGCGGTACACATATTTGCTATATGGTTCACTGAGGTCCTTTTCTATCAGCTTACAAATGTCATCAAGGTACTCGCTAGAATACGGTTGGATTTGTGGGTGAGGCATGTTTTTGGACTTGCAAAACCTCCAGGATACTACTGTACACCGGGCCAAAAAGTGGTGGTGCTAATTTGACAATTTAGCAAACCAAAGGTTGCCTGTGGTGAACTTTGATGATACAAAAATATGAAAGAATGACTGTGTAGGTAATGTAGTTTTATTATACTTGTACAAAAGTGCTCTCAGTGTGACCAAGGCAGCCGTCATCCTACAAATAAGTGATCTTCAGTGAATTTTCTAGGGTTTTCCGCAACATGGAAAGAACAATATTCATGACAAACGGAGCATCAAACAGCTCATTGCAACTAACACACCGACTAACATAAACTAACAACGTTAACTTTAAATTAACAGTCTATCCCAATGAAAAATAATTTCACAACGGTGCCAAAAAATAAATCCACGTAGACACACAAGAGAGATGCCACAAAAAAAACAAAGTCATCTGTTTCGTCTGAGGTTGTTTTATCCTAATACCAAAAAGCCCAAATGTACACTTCAGCAGCCGCTTCGTGCGGGAAATTAATCCTGTGTTTTCAATGATTTTAAGAGGCAAAGGTAGCGGCCACAATAAGAGGGAAGATAATCGTAACTTCTCCGTAAACCTATACCAGTTAGTAACCCATGTACACAACAAAAAGAAAAGGAAAGAGCGGTAAAGACGGTCCGCAACTCCTCCACAAACCATACCTTAGTTCTACGTCCGTCAAGACGAATTTTTCCCCAACTAACAGCCTCATCGGGGCGTGCACCGGCGTCACTGCCATCGAATTCGTTGGCAGTATTAATGTACACCGTCCAATCTGCACCATTACGCATCAAGTTGGCATTGCAAATGTGATGCTTGATGACACCACCGCCAAGAATAATCATACCCGAACGGTTTGCGTGAACGGCAAGAGAGTTGATGGCACGAATATCAGGCACAATATCCAAGTCGATGGGACGAGGATCAGCCTTAAACGTATGGAAGTACAACATGTCACCAATCGAACCATCAGTAAGAGCAGGACTGAAAACGGGGATGTTATTTTTGTAGGCCCAGTAGTACACACTGCGCTCGTCGTTAATTTCCTTACCAAGACGGTGGATGAAGCGAGAAGGAGACCAGTGATAACCGGCCTCCTGCTCCTCGACCATCTTGTCCATGATGGGAAGGATCCACTCCTCAAACAAGCAGTAGTTTTCATTGGGCACAACCAAGTTACCAATACGGTTGATACCCTTCTTACGGAGCTTCTCGCCGCTCAAGGCAAAGTCACCCAAATACGTGGGAGCGAGACACTTGATGAAGTCCTCCTCAATACCGCCAGCGGTGGTGACAAGCACGTCGACACACTTGTGTTGGACCAAGTAGCGAAGAATCTCGCGCACACCAGAGGAAATCAAGTTACTGGTGTAGCCCAGGAAAATAGTAGCTCTGTCCTTCTTTCCCTCAGGAGGATTGGGATCGCGCCAAAGACGCATTTCATTGATGATGTCAATGGCTTCACCCAGATTCGTAGCTTGGAAACCGATTTGACCGTAAAACTTCATGAGCTCGGCAACCGTAACAGGCGAACCTCCATTTTTTCTACGTTCATCAAAAACATTGAAGTCCGGGCCAACAACCTCAACGGAGTTCTCGTCCATCTTTTCAGATTGGACGAGAACAGCGCTTTTTGCAATGGATTCGTCAGACATGTCTGCGGTAGGCAACTGTTGATGGCCACAAGATAATGCTTTTGGCTATTTCGGAAAAGTTGACCGACACGGGTATTGGTGGTCACCGAGGTCACCGAATGGTCCGAATGCAATCACCAGATTTCGATTTCACCGAGCTACATGGCCGAAATGTCCAAGGTCACCGTCAAACTCCCGACCGGAATCTATTCCGGTTCACCGAAGCGAAATCACCGAACAAGAATGTGAGGAGATTGAAGGACAAGTAGGGAAAGATGAAGAGCCTGCTCGTGATATTGAAACTAATGCTAGTCATGGATAATGAAGATGAATTGATAAATTATACAAACATATGACTCCCATCATCTGATGGCAAGCAAGTTTCCGACGCCCTTCGCACCCCTCTCTCCCCCATTCTAGTCAGCTCGAATACTATCATCATTAAAAAATTCATTAAGTGAGGCTATTACATTTCGCACCGAATTCATGCTGTGCGAAAAAGTTGCTTTGGAAAAGCAACACAGAAGATTATGCCTACACTAACGTGTGTTCGCACTTTCGTTGACACACGGTTGGAAAGGAGCTGCAGGATATCGCACTCTAATACAGTAGTAGAAGTGACAATGTCGAGAAGAGGACTTTTGAATAACAAGCGTGCTGGGAATTCCATAACACTGTGGAGGGGGTAAAGTAGGACACCCTCCAATAAAAAGTGTGTGGATATACTCATGCGCACAAGGACGAGAAACACACTGGCTGCGGTGTCGCACACACAATGGCGATTAAGCTCTTGTATGCGCACAATAGGACCCTTTAGCAACAAGCCTTCATTTGGACCCTGTTAATGAAAAATCAATTCCAAAACTGTCCTCTCCATCAGTACGGACAGCCAGAAGTTGCTTATTCTCGCCACACAGACACTAGAAGATGGCTCATTGCTTAGACTTTGCTTACCAAAGCGTCGCAATGCTCCTTCTCCAACTTTTGGCGGTTTCGTTCATGCTCACTGGCCCGCAGCTCGGCCAAAGACGCACAACGGTGATCCTCGAGCAATCTATGTGCTGAGCAGAAGTGTCCTTTGCAGTACATACAGTCACCGACCATTCTTTGAGCAAGACGGTTGCAAGTGGCCAAGGAACAACGCTTCTTACCACCAGCTTTCGGCCTCGAAGCAGGAGCTGCCGACGAGGACGAGGCAAACGTCGACATGGAAGATAACGAGGCTGACGAGTCGTTGGTAACGATGCTGGGAGCAGACGCAGCCGCAGTCGCAGTGGCTGTCGACAGTTCCAATTGCAACACCGCGCCATCCCGCAGACCATCATAGTCCTGCAGTGACCGCGAGGGATCCAGTACAATGTCGTTAAACCGAAGAGTTTTCGTAGTTTCGTTTTGTGGAGCAGCAAGTGCGTTTTCAGAGCCAGCTCTCGGCTTCACTGAAGACAAAAACCGATCGACGATCGTTGCAATTCTATCATGAGCATCTGCCTCCACGATGCTGGCAGTAGACTGAGAGCAAATCACCAATTTCATAATTTCAAATGTTTGTTTGTTTGTGCGGTAATTTGAAAACAAGCGAAGAACAGGCGGAAAAACGTAGCGTTAAGCGGGTGCCTAGAGAGGATGTTACGAGCCGTGAATTTGTATAGCGCGGACGGGTTTTGCTTAGGAAAAGGAAATACGTGCCTGGTTATGCGGTATAGGGAAAGGTTAAGTACTGGCAGGTGGAGTACACAGGCTTTGTGCTGCTCTAGATGACGGTAGAAATCAATGACAACATCACGTCGCTCAAGCCGCTTTATGTCGATAACTGAATTGTGGGGAAACCGGATATGACGAAACTAAGGGTGAAAAGATGATGATTGGATTTCGCTCAGGGGTTTCCTGTCGGCTTTTAGTAACCAGAAGCGCGTAGAAAAGCGCCGAAAGGAGGCGAGGGATGGCATTTAGCGTTGATTGGTGTAGAAGATAAACCGATTCTATTGGTTGGAGATACGCCGTCCTGCCGCCACGTTTTTTTCCCATTTACGTGCCTGGATTACTCAGCAGTGTAGTGGGGGTGCAAGGGGTTAGCGAGCTATTAGATAACCTAAGGAAACCCTAACAACTGTTACCCAAGATAAAAACCTTAGATAAGAGATAAACATCCCCTCCCCACACTCACACACACCCCGCGTTTTCGCCTTTTGAAAACTCACCACTAAAACTGCAACACCATAAAAGTATCGGATGCGAGAATAAGAGAAAAAGGGCAGGTGCAGCGTGAACGGAGGCTGACAACACCAGGTAAGATATACTGTTCAGCAGGGAAGAGACACCGTGACTCTAAAGAGCCGAGCTCAGCCAGAACAATAAATTATCGCTTCGAGCCGAACTGGGAGACATCCTGTATTATCTTGGTAGGAACACAAGCTTTCTCTGTCCGTGTTGCTTTCACCATCTTTTGCTGTTGCAGTAGAATTTTTTTTCAGAATGAACGCACCGAGTCCGACCCTTTTGTACTTGTCTAATTGCAAGCTGCAACATCTAAATTTTGTGGACAAACGGAAACTACTTGTTCTGGACTTGAATGGATCTTTGCTATATCGACCTCCTCCACGACATCTCACGAAGCCAATTCCACGACCAGGCGTTAAAAACTTTTTAAAATTTGCGTTTGCTAACTTCAACATTGTCGTATGGAGCTCCGCTCAGTCACATAACATTCAAAAAATGATGCACGCTGTCATGAACAAGGAACAACGGAAACAGGTGCTGCTGTGTATGACTCGGGAGGATGTCGACTTCGAAGAGGGAGACCGAAACACCAAGATTCAGACATACAAAAACTTGACTAAAGTCTGGCAGCAGCTTAAAAAGGACAAGGACGACAATCCTGCTGCATGGAACCAGTTCAATACGGTGATCGTTGACGACTCAGCTATAAAATGTTGTGCCCAGCCTTACAACCTCCTCCAGCTGTCTGATTTCCAACCGTCACCGACAGAGAAAACGAAGGATTTCGCCCTTGTGTGCGCCATTCGATACCTAAAACATCTAAAACGCATACCCAACGTCTGCGACTACATCCGTTCATATCCCTTTACTAGCATTCAGAATGTCAAGTCTCAGGAAGAAGGCCTAAGAGAGTTGGACAAAATGTTTAAAGCTTACAAACGAGCCTTGCGTGAACAATCCGATAGACTGGAATTAACGTCAAAGGTAGATACGCTTCAACAAAACGGCGAAACAGTACAATCCGGAACCGTTATCGGAACCACTGCAAACTGACACCAGTAATGACGTCCAAGCAAACAATTACACAGTTCTAAGATATCTAATAGATCATCGATTCATTGTATACCTTCATGTGCCTTTTGGCAATCATACATCAGTTCGTACATGCATTGCATTAGTACAGGGGCAGTTGCGTCGCGACCGCCTCCCTACTCTCTCAACCATTGGGCGGAAAGCTTAGTAGGTTGGCGGAGCTTCTTGCGCTTGCCATTCTCAAAATCGGCAACCTGTTTCAGGTCACGACCCAGCTGATCAGGCTTCTTCACCTGGTAAATACGGACAAGGTGGTTTTGCGTAGTGAATGCCTCATCAAGTGTCCACAATTGAGGATCATGAGAAGGCAGTCTTTGAGAACGAACACGGTCCACACCTTGGTTAGGAGGGTACAATTGTGAGAGACCGTGGTAGGACATTTTGTACATCAAGGATTCGCGCATCGTGGGCGAGGCCTCATCATCAATACGGTATTCTCCACGGTTCGTGAAGAATTCACGCTCGACGATATCTTCGGGCCAAATGCCTTGCGAAATACGAACCATCCACAAGAACTTGTTCATGTCGTCACCGCTGTAACCCAAGACACCTCCGTAAATGATGAGAATGTAGTCCACATCATGCTTACGAAGAATGGGGTACGCGGCATCTTCGGGAGAAGACATAGCCTTGCCAACAGTGGCAATGTGAGTGTTGTTCCATGTGTTGTTGTCCACAAGGGTAACGCGATCAGCCATACCAGCAATCTGGTAGCCATAATCCCACCAACTCATTACCTTGGAGTCGTAGGGAGTGTTACGGCGCAACCAGTCGTAGGCCTCACGGAAGTCGTCAATAAAGTATTGAGAACCATCCTGTAATGTGGTGGACAAAACGACAGAGGGAGAAGAGTAAGCCATGGAAGTAACCCATGTGCAGTGATACACAAACAAGATCAAGTAATACAACACCGAACCCGACAACAATGAGACGGGAGAAAACCTTGTAAATGCCAAGACGCTTAATACCCTTTGCAATTTTAAGGAAAGAAGTCTTCGACTCGGCTTGGTTGGCAGCACTGTCATCCTCGTCTTCTTTCTTAGGACTTGGGCCGAAGTATGTGTCGAGAAGGGTAGACACGGCAACAGCGGCAGCGATACAAACACAGGGCGTCAACGTAAGCATCAAACGGACCATGACACCGGAGAAATACGTGGCTGCAACGGCATAAAGAATAATGAAAACATGCTCATTGCGAAGCTCCTTGAAACAAACGTACAGACCAGCTGGCAAAAGCCAGATTAAAAATTGCAAGTCAAAGAAGAACGAAGCCCATGCTGGAGGTTGATGCTCGGAAACCGAAGCAATAATTGGGATATGAATGCGGGCATAGCTAGTATCCCACAAGGAATAGAAACGACCAGTCCAAGGGGCAATGACACCACGCATAGTAAGGTAAACGAGAGCGACAAAAGCGAGACCACTGACGGCGATAATAGCGAGCTGAACGAGCTTACGGAATTGAGCAGAGGGGACGATACGCTTAACGGCATCATAAATAGCGAACAGTTGCAACAAGCCAAAGACACCCAAAGCTGCCATATGCTCACTGGTACGGATGGGTTGGAATCCGACAAAGGGAATCTGCATAGAAGCTAAGGTACCAATAACGTAGAAAGTGGTGTATGCAACATAGATTTTGGACGTGAAACGACCCATCAGCAAAAGAACGAAGATGTGAAGGGGAATCATGTTAGTGATAAACACATAACCACCCCAAGCAGCTACCATGTAGAAGTAGAACAAGGCAGTAGCAGTTCCCCACAGGGCAGAGCCAGTCTTGACAGCCTTGATCCAAAGAGCGAACGTAGTCATGAGCAGGGTAATGGCGATGGCTTCATTGTCATAAGAACCGGCGACAGAACGAGAGATGTAACCGGGAGCAATACCGATGAAGGCGGCTGCAAAAAGGCCACAAGCATCGTCTTTCAGTTCACGAGCTAAGTAGTACGTAGCAATGGCCGTTACGCCGGAAAAGGCAGGAGCTACCATAACACAAACATCCTTGATATCAACATTAATGCGCAAAAAGTGCAAGACGTTGTGAATGAGAGCCGAAGTAATCATCAAACCGGGGTACAGTGTGCCACCAGCAACTCTACCCAAGGGAAACCAACTACGTTCATCGAACCAATTTAGAAAGCTGTAAAAACCCTTCTCAACCAAGATTTTGGAAGCACGATAGTTGAACCAGGGGTCAAATTCGTGGATAATAGATTCATAACGGATCACTGAGAACAAACGAGAGGCGAGGGAAACCGCTACACAAGGTTGTTAGACACACTGTATTATGGACACACAATAACTCAACACTCGCGCTCTACTGCAGTGTTTTAAGCACATACCTGCAATAAGCAGCAATATAATGACCTTAAGAGGTACTCTCCAGTCCCTTTTATGGGCAGAGACGGGCTTCTTTTGCCCTGTTTTGGAAGACATAGTCATGTTCTTGGCAAGAGGGGCAGGGCCGCCGATGGGCCGCATGGTAGCATCATGGCACAGACTTCGGTAAGTCTCGGTATGTTGTGTAATGCGAAACAAGGATGGCACTGTAAAATTAATAACGAGTACTTCTGTTCTGCAGTAATTGGAATAAGGAAACGTAACAAATTGCAACGACAAAATGAACAAACCGTTTTCCCTCTTACCTCTACACCCATAAGCAAGCTTTCAATTCATAGGCAATCGCAGCCTCCCCTACATTAATAGAAAACTCGGGAATTGGGTTACGTCCATTTTCATTTTCGGTAATTGGGATGAGATATCCGTGAGACGCTGTTTATGTCGAAACCTGATCTTCCACGGACTGGATTTGAAGATCTTTCGCTTGATTCTTCTTTCGACGAAGAGACGCTTTCCTTTCTACGGAACATTGCGATGAAACTTCTACTCCAATTGATTACAAAACTGTCACGAAAACCGCGTTTTCTTCTACTTCAGAGGGCTTAAAGAAATCCGATGATGGAAGCAGCGAAAAGACGATTCAGTCGCGACGAAGTGTCACATTGAGTGCTCCAACCACAGTAAAACGTCCGGCTACACTGTTGAATGAGAAGAAAACACCAACCTTCAAGGCGTCCAGCGGGTCGGAATCTCTCATCACACCCCTTGGACTGGATTCACACTCAAAAAGCTTCGGGTTGAACTCTGTTGGACCGACTGAACACGATGGAGATGCTGTCACACACGGTACAGTTAAATCACACAACGGCGGATCAACCGTCTCTTCACGTTGGCGAAGAATTGGTCGAATAGGACTGGGCCCTCCAAAGAGAGCCGAATATTCATTAGCCGATGTAAAAGCTTCAGATTCACAGGAATCCGGCGCTGAAGATGACATGCATGAGGGCAAACAGAACCACCATGTTCCAGCTGCTGGTTCTGACCGGGCAAATGCCGAAGCAGAAATCGAGGATGAACATTTGCGTAGCAGAAAACTCCGTGCACTTTCGTTTTCCAAAGCAGGATTGGACTTTAGCAAGTTCGCAGAAGTTGCGCCGCAAACGAATGCTTCTAAGAAACCGCTAAATCACAATTCACTTTTGAACGCCCAGCAGGGTCAAATGGCAAACCCGTTTTTAGACACACCTGTGGTTGTGCCACAAACTCTGTTTCCTGGTGCTGAAGCTGTTACAATTTCTGGACACACGTTCATCAAACTCGGCGTTATTGGCAAAGGCGGTAGCAGTAAAGTTTTTCGAATCATTGCTCCGGAAAACAAGGTCATCTATGCACTAAAGGAAGTTGACTTTGAAAACGCTGATTACGCAGCGGTTCAGGGCTACAAAAACGAGATTGCCTTATTAAAAAAGCTTTCTGGTCATGAGCGGATAATCCGTCTCTACGCTGCCGAAGTCAATGACATAAAAGGCCAGCTAAGCATGGTCATGGAGTATGGAGAATGTGACATGGCTCATTTGCTGGCCAAAAACAGTCATCGTCCCATAAATCTCCATTTTATACGTTTATACTGGCAACAAATGTTGCAAGCTGTGCAAGTGGTTCACGAACAGAATATTGTTCATTCAGACCTTAAACCTGCTAATTTTTTATTAGTCTCTGGAAGTTTGAAGCTGATTGATTTTGGTATTGCCAAGGCGATAGAAAACAACACTACAAACATCCATCGTGACACACATGTAGGCACAGTCAACTACATGGCACCCGAAGCATTAATTGATACGAATGCCGACGCGACCACTAATATCAAGCTCGTAAAGCTTGGTCGCCCCAGTGACGTTTGGAGCTTGGGTTGTATTCTATACCAAATGGTCTACGGACATGCGCCTTTTGCTCATTTGAATATGATCAAAGCTATCGCTGCTATTCCTGATGTTCGCGCTCGTATTAATTTCCCAGAAACTGCTGTTCCTGCGAGACCTGCTCCTGGCTCTAATCAAGTCAATCCCAAGCTTGCTGTTCCTGTTCCGCCAGACCTAATTCGTGTGATGAAGAGTTGTCTCGAGCGTGATCAGCGGAAACGTTTGACCATACCAGAGCTGCTACGTGATCCGTTTCTTCATCCAGGTGAGGCGCCCACAACCACGGCTGTTGCTGAACGGCCAACACGGCCAGATGCTACAGAAATTTCGGCATCACAGTTATCCATGATCATCGAACGGTCTGTCGAACTGAGTCGTCAACGTCTTTTGTCTAAAGATGTGATTTTTGCATTGGCAAAAGATTGTATATCCAATCTTCAAAAACATCCACGCCAGTAAGTGAATTCTAACTGAGTTCCTGTTCCACTACCTTCATCCCACTACGCACGCACACATTATCAGTTTCATACGTTCTCAGATGTGTTTTTTTATATATCCCCTTCTTGCCTTGTTTTTCGTATTACTTCTAACTTGTTCATCTTTTCTCGTAATCCGACCATTCCTTCTCGACACCCTCCTCGTAACTCGTTCTACAATACAATACAATACAAAATAAAGCATAATGAACTTATAACGTACATTTACACATTGATTATCATGAACAACAATATAATAGACTTTTAGGTGGTCCTTATACGCGTCTTGCGACGCGTATAGTATGACGCGAGCACATAGCTTAATACGCGACGCGTAAGAACTCTCGTTCTGTGAACTTTACTCTTCATCCAAGAACTTACTTGCTGATGCACCCAAGTACAAACGCAACGTATTGGGCGAACAATTAACCAACTTGCACTTAATTTTTTGTTTCTTTGCCATATCATGAGCACGGAGGCGATGACAGCCGCCGAATGCAAAGTAGTAAGGCTTTCCGCCCTTCTTGAACGTTAACACATCAACAGGAGGCAATTCGTTTTCAGGAACATCTTTCAAATCCATAGAACATGACGCCGGAGGCACCTTTCCACCCAGAGTTTCAACCATGCTATTGACTTTCTCCATATCCAGTACCGGAGGAATGGGCCGGATCAACTCGGACATGTCCAATTCAACAATGCGATTGTTATCGGATGTATGGATGGTCATTGTTGACGAATATGAATTATATGGTTTCTTTAAAGTGATGACAAAAAATAACTCGTCGTTACGGGGATGGACGTGAAAACCTTAATCAGAAAGTTGAGACACTTTGCCTTCACGCGCAGTTAGACACCTGTTAAAGCGTTGTATTGATATGGATCTTGTGCGTCAAGTTTTACCTTTCTTTTTATAATTTCCCGTTGACACAAGATGACACAGCAGAAGAGGACCACCGGGGTCGAGAACGCCTCATAGACAACAGGCTTACTCTACCTACGGTCACGACTGAGGAAAGAAGACATCTGATACATTACTATCGATTACATCAAGACGGCGCGATATTGCCGCAGCCTACCGAGAAGTTAGTGTTTTCGGTTGGTTGAGTACCACTTGGGTATCTACAGACAGCATCTGTTTCTGTGATGTTACTGGAGGAGCGCCGATTATGGTATCGAACCGAATACCACCGTATCGCTAAGAGTTGCATCATTTGAGGACAGAAGCTCAAAACTCCTTAGTATAACAAATCCTAACAGGGGAGCCAATTCACCAGTGACAAACACGCCCTGTATTTATTCCTTACACAAAAGCTGTCTCTTATTTGTTTTCTATACTGATTTCGGTTTTATTGGACAATTTTCACGCTTATAAATCATTCTCGCAACGAAACGATGAATCCTGAACGCGCCGTCGCTGACGCTTGGAATCAAGTCAAGGACTTCGGAGAGAAGACTGCTTCGAAGCTACAGAATCTGCTCTCTCAGGCCTCCGGTCGGCCTTCCACTCTAGAAAAGAACGAGTCCGGCATTGGTAGCTTTCTCCATCGTCACAAGCTCATAGTTGGTCTTGGTTGTGCCGCAGTTTTCTGGTCTAGTGTTTCTTATTACAAACGTTATGACTACGCTCGTAAGAGACGGGCCCCCTTGGGACGCAATCAAATCCGGTCGCAAGTCGTTATCTTAAGCAACTGGAATTCTCTCTCTTCGGTCGTTGCACACGATCTCGAAAGACGCGGATTCGCTGTCATTGTTCTCGTCAAGAACAAAGAAGAAGCGAATGCAGTTTCCCTTCAACAACGTCCTTACATTCAATCCCTTCAGTACGACAACACTGTTGCCGTCAATGCCTTCGCTCGTGATGTCCAAGATTCTGCTAGTGATCCCTCCACGCAACTCCATTTGCGAGGATTTGTTTTTGTTCCCGGAGACGGTTCACATAGCTTAAGCATTGAGGACACTGGTCGCGAAGTCTGGAGCACGCAGTTGGCTGCACTCGGCGATTCTTTCTCGCGTATCAGCGTCTTCCTGCCCCTCCTCAAAGAGCAAAAAACTAAAGTCATTGGACTCTGCCACGGGATCTTTGGCGCCTACAACCCGCCTTATCATTGCCTTCCCAATATCGCCGCCTGCTCTCTCGAATCGTTTTTGGAAACGCTTAGACGCGAGACTAGACTCCCCGTCATTGCCCTCCAACTCGGCAATCTCAACTTCTTGGATTACACCGAGGCACCGTCTGGCAGTCCGGACAGAAACCGTCGCGTCGCATTCCGCACTGAGCGTCTTATGTTGAACAAAATTTATGATGTTATTTTAGGTCCTTACGTTTCCAGTACACGTTATGTCGGTTGCCGAACCTTTTTGCTCGTTATCCTTTCCAAATATATCCCATCTTTCTTGTTGAACTGGGTATACAATGCTTTTTACGAACACAGAGCGGTTCCTTTACGGATTTTTAAGCGAGATTAACATAGCTCGTACCATTCCATTCTTTCCTCTAAAATTGATGTAACAATGTTTAACGGCTGCAAATAGTTATTAGAGCCTACTGATAACGGCTTTGATCTGCGGTTTTGTTGGCCGATTTTTTGGTCTATATTACCGGCACAAACCACATACCACGGGACTCTACTGACTTTTTGGCAATCCGTCAAAAATGAAGAAAGAGGATGAAACTAGTCAACCCATGGATGGTATTCCCGTCCCAAAGACAATTCCTAACCATGATATAAACATGGAACTTGGGGATCCTGTCTCTGACCGTGATGTTCAAATCGGCGCCACCCCATTGTTCGAATACTCTCATGAGAAGTCTTTGCACCATGTGCGTATTAAAACTGGCCTAGAGCTAGTTTGTATTTGTTATAATAAGTTTTGTTCTAACATAATCTGTGTAGCAAGATGCAAAGTTTTATGCCATAAACAATTCTCGTGAGGGACGGGCTCGTAGCTTCAGTCATGCAGCCAGTAGCCATGGCAAGGACAATCATACAAAGGATTTGCGTCCAACCTTCTTGCATACGAAGCTTTTGAACGAAAACTTGCAAAATAAGCTAAAGGATATTCACTTGCCTCATGTAAAGGAGGGATTGGACGGAAAGAAAATTACAGCCGACAATGCCGTAACTGATGCTGGTTCTTTGGGGGCCATGGATCCTCTCTTTTCTGATGAATTGCAGGAAATTTACAAGTCCATTCATAAATGTATGGACATGCGTCACAAGTATATGCGTATCAGTATGCAAGGCGAGGACGTTAATCCTCGTGACGATGACTCCTGGGTTATTTATCCGGACGGCAAGGAAGGTGAACCTTGTGAGAATTTTGATTTCTCTAAAATTGAGATTCCTGGTGAAATTCACGATATGGTTTTCCATATGGATGATCGGGGAGTGTACCAGGTGTACGAAAACAACAATGCCTACCAAGCCGGCATTCCGTACTTTAATGTTCCCACTATTCGTGATTACTACATTGATCTTGATACCTTGCTTTCCATTTCCTCCGACGGTCCAACTAAGTCGTTCTCTTTCCGTCGTCTCAAATACCTGGAGGGGCGTTGGAACATCTACATCTTGTTGAACGAATACCAGGAACTCGCTGACACGAAGCGCGTGCCTCATCGTGACTTTTACAATGTCCGTAAGGTGGATACTCACGTTCACCATTCCGCTTTGGCAAACCAAAAACATCTTCTGCGTTTCATCAAGAGCAAACTTCGTAAATGTCCGGATGAAAAGGTTATTCGTCGTGACGGCAAATTCCTGACACTGCAAGAAGTGTTTGACTCTTTGAATCTGACATCTTACGACTTGAGTATTGATACGTTGGATATGCACGCCCATACGGACACGTTCCATCGTTTCGATAAATTCAATCTGAAATATAACCCAATCGGCGAGTCGCGTCTCCGTACCATTTTCTTGAAGACCGACAACGATATTGAAGGCCGTTATCTCGCTGAACTCACAAAGGAGGTATTTTCTGACTTACAAGCTCAAAAGTACCAGATGGCCGAGTACCGTATTTCGATTTATGGACGTCATGTTGATGAATGGGACAAATTGGCTGCTTGGATCATCGACAATAAGCTGTTCTCTGCAAATGTTCGTTGGTTAGTTCAAGTCCCGCGTTTGTATGATGTGTACAGAAAATCCGGCATCGTGCAGAACTTTGAGACTATTGTGAAAAATCTGTTCCAGCCTTTGTTTGAAGTAACTCTCAATCCCCAATCACACCCCAAGCTTCACGTATTCTTGCAACGCGTTGTCGGTTTTGACTCGGTTGACGATGAAAGCAAGCCCGAACGTCGTACATACCGCAAATTCCCCTTCCCCAAGGACTGGAATATCAACTTGAGCCCGCCTTACAGTTACTGGCTTTACTACATGTACGCCAATATGACGAGCTTGAACGCCTGGAGAAAGATGCGTGGTTTCAACACTTTCGTACTGCGTCCCCACTGTGGTGAAGCTGGTGATACGGATCATCTGGCCAGCGCATACCTTTTGGCTCAAGGAATAAGCCATGGTATCTTGCTTCGTAAGGTTCCATTCTTGCAGTACTTGTGGTACCTCGATCAGATTCCTGTTGCCATGTCTCCTCTTTCAAACAACGCCTTATTCTTGGCATACGATAAGAACCCTTTCTTGTCTTACTTTAAGCGCGGTCTGAATGTTTCACTTTCTACGGATGATCCCCTTCAATTCGCCTTTACCAAGGAGCCTTTGATTGAGGAGTATTCTGTGGCAGCTCAAATTTACAAGCTTTCTGCGGTCGATATGTGTGAGTTAGCCCGTAACAGTGTCCTCCACAGCGGTTTTGAACGCTCGATAAAGTCGCGTTGGTTGGGCGATGACTACCAAGTTATGGATCGCACGAATGTTCCCATCATCCGTCTTGCGTATCGTGCGCTCACCCTTCAACAGGAGCGTAACCTGATCAATAGTTACGTGCAGTCGTCTCTCAGCTCAAGCACCTCATCTCTCTTTACGCACGGTAGATCTGGCTCTACACTTAGTGAGACTCCTGCGCAGGCCGTCGCCGACGCCGGTAACGAGTCTGTGTACAGCGAAAACCCAAACCTTGACGGAACCGAACCTTCACACATGTTCCCTGGCGTCAGTGTCATTTCTGAGCGTCGTCGTCGTAAGGATAGTGTGACCAGCGAAGCCAAGGCAAAGGAACAGCTCTTGTAATGGCTTTACTGGCTTATGCAACTGGTCTATAGTGGGCCATCCACTGCTAGTGAAGAAGAAAGAGAAACAAAAAAACTCAAATTAATAGAAAGAAAAATAGTTTTGGTCACCTGTGAATGACTCGTTGGTACTCATACTCAGTTCAAATTTTCGTTGTTCATTACACGTTCATTACTAACTAAGCTTGTTTGTCGAAGCTTTTGATAAATACCTCTTCCAAATCAAAATTTGGAGAGTTCACGTCTAGCCGTTCATCCGGCTGCGAATTCGTTGCAAGAGTGCTTTTTTGTTGCATAGCATCTGCGAGTCCTAACGCCGAATTCTGTTAGCGACGAATACAAATTGATTGATGCTTTTCGCATCCAGCATGGTGTTTCATTTTTATACGCACCATTTTTTTGTAAGCGGTAGAGTTGTTTCGCCTCCTGTATTAAACGCTCCTGTTTTTTCAACCGTTCGCTCAATTCGGTTTGTTCCTTCCGTTTAAGGAAAGCTCTTCGCTCATGGATTCCATAGCCTAAGCCGACGACAAGCACGGCCCATCTCACTGCCTAGGGTTTCGTTAGACGAGCAAGTAACTACTTTAATAATGCACAAAGATACAAACCTTCATATTCATTTTTTGCTGGGTTTAGTGAGCTCTTAACAGACAATGCAAGCCAAAAGCAATTTAAAGGGACCGCCCTCCCGTAAGACATCAGTCAGTCTCAGTATGCGTAAGGTGGGGGGGATGGGGCCAGCGGGGGCCACCACTTAATGAATTCTAACACAGCCTAACAAACTTCCAAAAGTTGCATTGAACCTCGCAAAAATGAATAACACATCTACAAACTGTCTTAAGCCAAATAACGCGGTGCATCGTTCCTCTCCGTAAAAGCTTACTAGTAGGAAACGCTGCAGCTCTACTTCAGCACGAACGTCCACGACTATCCTTAGCCAAACTCAATGTCCCAAGCAAAACCGTCGCAAGTGGTCTTTCAAGACCGCGAAAAGCCTCAAGAGGTTCGTTTCTCAAACATTACCGCTGCGCGGTCAGTTTCTGATGCGATTCGCACCAGTTTGGGCCCCAAAGGCATGGATAAAATGATTCAAACGGGTAAAGGAGAGGTTATCCTCACAAACGACGGTGCTACGATTTTGAAGCATCTCTCGGTGCTTCATCCTGCGGCCAAGATGCTCGTCGATCTCAGTAGCGCCCAAGATGTTGAAGCTGGAGATGGCACTACTTCTGTCGTTGTTTTGGCTGGTTCAATGCTTTCCGCCTCTGAAAAGCTGCTGAAGATGGGAATCCACCCTACGATCATTGCAGAATCGTTCCAACGGGCCGCTGCTGTCACAGTCGAGTGCTTAAAATCAAATTCGTTGAGCATTGAATTGGACGACCGGGAGTCACTCCTTCGTGCAGCTACTACGTCTTTGAGCTCGAAGATTGTTTCACAATACAGTAACCTGCTGGCTCCAATTGCTGTAGATGCTGTCCTTAAAGTAATTGACCCTAAGACGGCCGTAAACGTTGATCTTAAGGACATTCGTGTTGTCAAAAAGCTTGGCGGCATCATCGACGATACCGAGCTTATTCCTGGTCTTGTTCTTACACAAACGGCCATTAAAAGTGCCGGTGGTCCTACTCGTATGGAGAAGGCTAAGATTGCTATGATCCAATTCCAGCTTTCTCCCCCTAAACCCGACATGGAAAACCAAGTTGTTGTTAATGACTACCGCCAGATGGACAAGATTCTGAAGGAGGAGCGTCAATACTTGCTCAACATTTGCAAGAAGATCAAGAAGTCTGGCGCCAACGTACTGCTCATTCAAAAATCCATCCTCCGTGATGCCGTTAATGACCTCTCTCTCCACTTCCTTGCCAAGCTCAAGATTATGGCTGTAAAGGACATTGAGCGCGAAGAGGTGGAGTTCATTTGCAAGTCTACTGGTTGCAAGCCCATTGCTGACATTGACTCCTTTACCGAAGACAAGCTTGGTCACGCCGACCTCGTGGAGGAAGTGTCGTCTGCTGGCGAGCGCATTATTAAGGTGAGCGGTGTGAAGAATGCCGGCAAGACCGTTTCTATTCTGTGCCGTGGTGCAAACCAATTGACGCTTGAAGAAGCTGAACGTTCTCTTCACGACGCCTTGTGTGTTATTCGTTGCTTGGTCAAGCAACGTGCTTTGATTGCTGGTGGTGGTTCACCGGAAATTGAGGCTGCTCAGCACCTTCGTCATTATGCCCAAAAGCTGGAGGGTCGTGAAGCTATTTGCTTCCAAGCATTCGCTGACGCGCTGGAGATTATCCCCGTCACTTTGGCTGAAAACGCTGGTCTCAATTCCATCCAAGTGCTGACGGAACTTCGTAGTCGTCATGCCCAAGGCGAGAAAACTGCCGGCATTAATGTACGCAAGGGCACTGTCACGAACATCCTTGAGGAGAATGTTTTGCAACCTTTGCTGGTGAACACGAGTGCTATACAATTGGCTGCCGAGACGACCAAGATGATCATGAAGGTGGATGACATTACGTTGGCTCGTTAAGCAGTGCACACTTGTCCGTACGAATGTAGAATTCTGGTTTAAGTTTTGCAGAGTGTGTGTGATTCCGTTCTTTTCTGTCTTGTCTTGTACGATTAGGAACAAACTTTACGCTTTGATCACATATACCCCACTAGAGTTCTTTCAGCGGTACGAAGCTAAAAAAAATAACGTGTAAGTCAGCATGGTAAGCAGCACTACGAACGAATGTACGTCGGGTTCTTTGCACTGCTTTTGAATTCTACACGGCCATCGTTCAAGCCTTGCATAGACCTAGCCATATGCTTCCTCGTCATCATCGTTGCATCCGTCTGCTTCCCATTATATAATGTGGTGAATATCTTTGTTGTACTTGGTCTATCAAAAATGTTATTGGAGAAGTATTTTACGTAGACAAAAAAGCACAGAGTAAGTAGGAAAAGAAAAAAACTAGACGAAGCCAGAAGAACTTGAGAGATCATGTACAAGATGGGGGCAACTGATCAACAGTATCTTTCTAAATAGAACCGCGGAACCGTCTTGCCAACGGTGGTACAATGGCAATGGTTAAGGGAACACGAGCAACAATGAGTGCCTTATGAATACCATATGCCAAAATAAACTCCGTCCAAAACGTTGTCATTTGGGGCTTTGACTCCTCCATACCTGCCTCAGGAACATGGACTGGGGTGCTGTTAGAACCCCAAGGGCAATTCTCTCGAATGTACGAGATGACTCGGTCTTGAACAGCACCAATTTTTTCGGCACCAAGTGAATGAACCACTAAGTAAGAGAGTGACAAATCAAGCAAGGAGATTCCAATGTACACACCAAGACCCCACCAACCATACTGCTTGGTGAGAGCTTTTATTCTTTGAGTTAGAGACTGGGGAGCCGCCGATGACGACGGCGTAGGAGAGCCTGGAGCACTTGAGGCAAAAGGACGACCGGTCATGGGTCGCAGAGGAACCCACCTCTGGCTAGTGGCAGGTACTGAGCGAAGGAATCGAAACAATCTTTTTGGCATATTGAGAGGTTCGTTCTGCCGAACCCGCGGACAATGTGGTTTATAAGTTTCACGGTCATTCTGTTGGATGTCATCGATACAACATTGTGCACTGGAATACGATATCCTGGATACCGGAATGGAACAGATTTTTACGGACCGTGGAAAAACCGCGGCCATTTTCATAGCTGCCTTAGCCAAGCTTAGTAACATTGTCCCAAGGTTCGTTACAGCTGGGACATTGGACGGACTGTAATCGATTGCAGCAGTAAACATGCAAGCAGTAACCGCAATTGCATAAACCGCCCTGGTAATTGTTAGCTCTGAACGAACATGCTAAACGCTTAAATGCTTAAAACATGAATGTGGTACTTACCAGAGTGACGATTCCGCGACATGCATTGCATTCAAAAACACTGTTTTCGTACTCTGTTCGCAGGTACTGCTCCAAGTCAGCCAGTGACCGATTGGATAATGAGTACATGCCGTCGCGTTGGACGAGCCATTCGTCTCGTTCAAAATCCTGCAAGTAGGATTCAACTGTGTGTGTTGCTAGCGGGAGTTTTTCCTCTTTTGCTGCAAGTCTGTGGATATCAAGTGAAGAAAGAGAAAACGCGTAGTTTTCCGCCTGTATGATCCACTCAATCAGGTAACGGAAGAACTCGACCTCGATGCTGGGATAGAATGTTGCCTGTTGCGATACTGTGTCGCTCGACATGTTTTGAAGATACCAAAATACGCGTCCATCAATTTGATCCAGAACGCGTTTCAGCTGAAAATCTAAATCGTGCAAAGCACGATTGATGTCGTCTATAACATCATTGAACCGGTCATCTTCATTCTGGCGATGTATGAATTGCTCAAGTTCTGCTTCTTCAATTCCAGCCGACCGAGAAATGATGTGTTGCAGAGTAACCTTGTGTCGTGTAGGAAGCATGTAGTTTGACGCGTCTGTCGCAGGGCATCATAAGCATAATTGTTGTTGCCTTATTAAGGTAACCCCGTGACTTTCACGTGTGCGGGGTGCAAATCCTCCACCATATACTGGTCCGGTAATGCCGTGGTCATACCACGGCATAGTCAGTCTACTGCCCTGCTCAAAGCACACAGCGACTTCGCGTATATGGTAGATGCAATTGGTGCTTCATGAAGAAGAATTGTGCTGCTCCGGCACCAAAAAAAGCTGTGCCTACATTTGTTCTATCGAACTTCACAGCCTCTAATAATCTGCATCATCGTAGACCTCAGCAACCTTGGAAGAAGGTTTTATGGCGGAAACAGGATTATCCAGACAACTACATTGACGAATCTTTCTTGAACGGCTTACAGCGTAATGTAAACATTCAGGTAACGGACTTTTGGTCGCTTGTGGCCGATTCATTGCCTATTACGCAGCATCTCGCCAGTATAGTTATCTTTGTTGCCTGCTTCGTCGCTATTTACCAGAACAGACTATCGTGCACTGTTCTAGGCGTCTGCTCAAACGTGTTTGCCGTCTCTGCGTTCATTTTGTGGGACCGTGTGATTAGTAAACCCTCGCAATCCTATGTTTTTATCAGCTATCGAGAGTGTTTCAAATCATGTCTTCTCATCGTGCTCACACTCATCGGTCTTTCGCCTATTCTAATGTCTCTTACCAAATCCACTTCCCCCGATTCCATTTGGTCTGTGTCTGTATGGTTGTTTTTAGCTAATGTGTTTTTCCACGAATACACCGTCGACAACAAACTTATTCGCTCTGAACACGAAGGCCAGCGGAACAGATCTGCGTTTAACACTCGTTTGCACAATTCTTTATCCACAAATGCCTCTCTGTCGGCCTCCGTTGTTTTGGCTTCGCGGCTTGATCAGTCGTTGCATGTTTTCATTTTCATCCTCTTTGCTGTATACTGGTTTGCTCTGTTTCCTATTTTTCGGAAATACGTTCACATGTATTCCTTTTACGCCGACATGCTTATGACTTTATTCATGCTCATCTCTGCTTACTTGGCCACATGCATCGTTGCTTCTGTCGCCATAGCCTCTGTCTTTCTTCTTCTCATCTTCTTTATTTCGTTTGTCTGCCCTGTGTGGTTTATTAAGCTGCAAAGGTTCAAAAAGTATGTGTTACGTTGTGTCGAAAGCCGTTGTACGTCTTCTCTGAATGCGTTTACTAACGAAAATGTAGTGAGATACATGGACCTTGGGATATTGCTCGTCCACAGATTGGAAAGAACAAGTTTTCATAAGAATCCCTGGCATTTCCATTCACCATTAAAGCATCGCCGCTGCGTTCATTTACATCACCATATGAGCTTTCCGTGTGTAAGTGGGACAAAATCAAGCAAGCCAACTTTAATTTGTATCATCTTTCATAACTACATCTATCCTCTGTGATTGCGACGACAGTACTTTTATTGCTCAAATGCTTTCTCCTCTTCACTACTTAGGTTCCAAAATAACCCTCTCCTTCATACACTTCAGCATAATGGAATTATATGCGATTTTTGACACAATTCTAAAAGTCATGCTTTTTCTACAGCTCACCTCTTCCTCGTTGCCAATTCATTTTTTAAACAGATTTCCATCATGCCGTAAGTCTGTGCCTTAGAGAGTGCAACTGCGCGTTAACTGGTTTAACAGTTTCCAAGGAGCTGTAGCGCGAAGTTCCTTGCTGAGACCTCAATGATGAGCAATAGCGCCTGCATCGCCTTTTGCATCGGTACCACATGGCAGATTCAGGACTCGGTTCCTTTGAGAGTTCTAACCTGGCATCGTTGGATGCAGTCGAGGATTTGTTTGACCTTCCTTTGGACGATTTGAATGGCCAAACGGAAAACAGCAAAATATCTTCTGAAGCATTACTACAACCTTCTAAGGTTTTTTCACAAAAATGGTTATCACAGTTGCAAAAACAATGGCCTGATTCAGCAAACTATGATGACTTAAATGGCTATCCTCGGACAATGTCTCGTTTGGAAATTCAACTCATTCGTCAAGGATTAGATGGTCATGTCATTGGATACCGTGAGGTAAGTAACAAACTTATCCTAGTTTTATGTAAGTTAACAAGGTTTTTTAGATTTCTAACGCAAATGATGAACTTAATGCAACAAACTCTTCAAGTTTAAACCGTCGTCCAGCCGCCAAAGCTGACTTTGTTAGAGGTAAAACAAGTCATATACCTTTCCATCCTGGTGGACTGGCACCCTCTACTTCAGACGTTGATGAACCTAATGCGGAGCAGAAGGTTGCCATGGCTCTTCGGGGAGCAGATGGTCTTTATCAAGTACCGCCCGGCTTCTCACACGGCCTTCCAATTTCAGAAGTGAATGCACGACATCAGGATGAAGGCCCTGGAGCCCTGAGAACTGGGACACTGAAAGCATTCGTCCACTTAATAGGATATACACTACTTTAAATGAGCTGCAAGAACAAATTCAAGCGGTTACTTCTAAGCACACCGAAATTGACGATCTTCTTCCAGAGAAAAAGCAGTTGGCAGACTTGCCTGTTTCTCGTGATATGATACCTCGAAAAGAGTATGCTCATGTAGTAGACAGCAAATCGACTATGGAAAACTTCCATCAACTTGTTCCCGAAATGGCTATTGAGTATCCTTTTGAACTCGACAATTTTCAGAAGGAAGCAGTTTATCACCTAGAAATGGGTGATTCAGTTTTCGTCGCCGCTCACACGAGTGCCGGTAAAACTGTCGTTGCTGAATATGCCATTGCTTTGGCCCAAAAACATATGACTCGTGCCATTTACACATCACCTATTAAAGCCTTGTCAAATCAAAAATTTCGGGATTTCAAAACAAAATTTGAAGATGTCGGTATCTTGACAGGTGATGTTCAGGTGAATCCCGATGCATCCTGTCTAATCATGACGACTGAGATTCTTCGAAGCATGCTTTATCGTGGCTCCGATTTAATTCGCGATGTCGAGTTTGTTATTTTCGATGAAGTTCACTACGTCAACGATTTAGAGAGAGGTGTCGTTTGGGAGGAAGTTATTATTATGTTACCAGCTCATGTCACACTTATTTTGCTGTCTGCAACAGTTCCTAACACAAAAGAGTTTGCATCTTGGGTTGGTCGTACTAAGAAGAAAAACATCTACGTTATATCGACTTCTAAGCGGCCAGTTCCTTTAGAGCATTACCTTTACGTCAATCAGAACATGTATAAAATTGTGGACCAAAATAACAGATTCTTGAGTGATGGATACAAAGAAGCTTCGTTAGCTTTGAAGGGTCCGGAGAAGGTCATTCCGCCGGCACAGAAGAATCAAAATGGAACAAGAGGTCGTGGTAATCCCCGTGGACGTGGCAACCAAAGAGGACGCGGTTCCCAAGTTAATCTAATGCGTGGCAGAGGTAATGTTCGCGCTGGTGAACGGAGAGATGTCAACGTATGGGTACATTTAGTCGGTCACCTCCAGAAACAAAATCTTCTCCCCGTCATTGTGTTTGTATTTTCGAAAAAACGTTGCGAGGAGTATGTTGACACGCTTGCCAATCGTACCTTAAATACACAAAAAGAGAAGAGTGAAGTTCATATTGTGATCGAAAAAGCCATTGCAAGACTCAAAAAGGAAGATCGAAATCTTCCTCAGATCGGCCGCATGCGCGACATGCTGTCTCGGGGTTTAGCTGTTCACCATGGCGGTTTGCTCCCAATTGTCAAGGAAATTGTCGAGTTGCTATTCCAGAGGGGACTTGTTAAAGTTCTGTTTGCGACGGAAACTTTCGCTATGGGTGTTAACATGCCTGCAAAATCTGTCGTCTTTTCCGGCACACAGAAGCATGATGGTCGAAGCTTTCGCGATTTGTTACCTGGTGAATATACACAGTGCTCTGGACGTGCTGGCCGTCGTGGTCTTGATTCCACGGGCACAGTAATTATTTTAGTGCGCAGTGATATCCCCGATACCGCTTCCCTTCATCATATGATACTAGGAACTCCTACTAAACTTGTGAGTCAGTTCAGACTGACTTACAATATGGTTTTGAACTTGCTCCGCGTTGAGACACTTCGTATTGAAGATATGATTAAGCGAAGCTTCAGTGAAAACGCCAGCCAAATGTTATTACCACAGCATGAAAAAGAGATTGTATCGTTTGAAGACAAACTCGAAACAATACGTAGTCAGATGCGTGGTATGCATACTTTGATCGGCGAGTTTCTTGAACGTTGTTTGCGCATAAAGGAGTATGTACAAATTATGCATCAACGGGCTATACGTACGCCAAATGGTCGGCGACTTTTCAAAGAGGGACGCGTTGTTGTTTTCCAACACGCGAATGCCACTCGAAGTGTTGCCGTCTTATTGGGTTCAGCATTGACTACGTCTTCGGATGATTGTTCTTTGGAAGCTGCATTCTTATCCCCTATCGATGACCAGAAAAGACCAAGTGATCTCTTACCCTTCACTTCTTGTCTGCAACCATTCATCGATGCCACGGTTCTCCAGGATTGGTCACGCTTCCGTTACGGTTATATCACCCTTTCAACAATTGAACGTGTCTGTGATACTTTAGTTAAGGTGGATTGTAACGGTGTGCGTGATCGCAGAGAGAACGCTTTCAAAAAGCTTGCTGCTCAATTTGCAAGTGTTCATGACTTTGGTAACTCAATATTCGATGAGATTGTGTGGACTAAGGTTAAGGAGTTCAGCTTCAAGGAAGCAGAAGAAAAGCGCCATCACGAAGAAATGGTGATCGCGACATCACCGTGTCTTGAAGAGGTCAATTTTACAACGCAGTTTGCTCTTTGTTACCAAGAGCATCAATTGAATGTAACAATTGAGAATTTGAGATTACAAATTTCTGATCAAAATCTCGAGTTGCTACCTGACTATGAACAGAGAATTCGCGTCTTAGAAGAACTGGGTTACATTGATTCTAAACGTACAGTTCAGTTGAAGGGTCGCGTTGCTTGCGAAATTAATTCTGCGAACGAGCTTATCCTTACAGAGCTTATTCTTGAAAATACGCTGGCTGAGTTCACCTGTGAAGAAATTGTCGCCTTATTGTCTGCATTTGTCTTTAGTGAAAAGACCGAAGTCGAACCGACTATTTCTGCACACTTGGCAAAAGGCAAAGCAATGATTCTTAGCGTTGCAGATCGCGTCAACAGTATTCAAGAAAAGCACCAAGTGCTTTACTTCAATGAGGGTAATGACTTTGAATCTCAGCCTCGTTTTGGTCTTATGGAAGTTTGTTATGAATGGGCCAGAGGCATGTCTTTCCAACGGATAACGGATTTGACTGATGTTTTAGAGGGTTCTATTGTTCGAACAATTATTCGACTAGATGAGGTTCTTCGCGAATGTCGTGGGGCTGCCAGGGTTGTTGGTGATGCATCAATGTACGCAAAAATGGAAGAGTGTCAAAATTTAATCCGCAGAAACATTGTCTTTTGTCCTTCGTTATATATGTAACTTAATGAATGAATTCATTACGAATCTATCGGTAGCTGTTCCACACACCTTTGAATTTGCCTCCTCCTCTTCATCACAATGTACTTATTTTGACTTACATACTATCCACTGCGAAAAAGACTGAAATGTTAAGTCGGCCAAAATCTGACATTCAAAAGGCTGAATGGGAGGAAAATGAGTTTCCTAGCGTATGTGAAAGATGTCTAGGTGACAATCCGTATATTCGTATGACTAAAGAGAGCTATGGTCAAGAATGCAAAATTTGCTCCCGACCATGTACTGTGTTTCGTTGGCTCGTAAGTCGTGAGCAACGACAGAAACATACAGAGATATGCGTAGCTTGTGCTCGTATGAAAAATTGCTGTCAATCTTGTATGCTGGATTTACAATTCGGTTTACCTATGGCTCTTCGTGATGCTGCATTAAAACTTGTTGATTCTGGACCAACAAATGACATTAATCGTGAGTTCTTTGCTCAAAACAATCAACAGCAGTACGAAGGAAGTGAAACGCCCTACGACAACAGAAAGGCTAGCACAGTTGCCCGCAATTTGGTCAAGCGAGTTGAGAAACGTGATCCTTACCCAAAGAAAAATCCACGGAGGACAGTTGCCGATAATGAAGCCAAACAATTGCTGCGAACCGCTAAAGCTGCCGATGCCGCTGCAGGTGTTGACAGACCAACGTTCCCAATAGCCAAAATCGCTAACGGGCAAGTTACATTGTCTGTAAATATGGAGCCGCCGAAGGATAAAAAAATTGTACGTTGTTACCTACAAATTTATTACTAATCTAACTAATAGGCATCGCTCTTTCTTATAGGTGTAGAGGATGAACTTGCCGACTATAAAATTCGGAAGCACTTTGAACAGTTTGGCCCTGTTCGTTCAGTAGTCTGCTCGCACAAAGCAAAGTGCGCATTTGTGAATTTCAAATCTCGAGCCGCAGCAGAATCTGCTGCCAGCGCTTATCCAAAAGGAGAGGTATTTATTGATGGTTTCAAACTTCGTGTTCAATGGGGAAAACCTAGAGCACTCGGCGGTGGAGATGCGGAAGAGCGCAACAGTAAGCTTGCGAAACTTGTTATGAAGGGATCTGTTCAAAACAAATCTGTTGCTCGTGTTGGCGATTCAGCGGAACGCGCATCTAATGTTGAAGAAACAAAGGTGAAACAAGAAATTGCGGAACCTGTCGGTTCAACTCAACATCACTATCCTTCCCAAAAGCGCTGATAATACTGTTTTGTTTATGGAATGAAAAGAAATGTATTAGAAATTTACTACGTATTACATCCGTACTTTCCATCAAAGTCACCTATCTTTACGATACCACAACACACAATCTCCTGCTGTGAAACATGTCTTCAGACAATATTGATAATGAAACACCTGCGGACGAGGAAGACGAGGATGTCGAGGATGTTGATGCTTGGGATATCGCAGTCGACAACAGCGGTTGTAAAGACGCCTACTTAGCAATGAATGAATGTTATTGGGACAAACACGACTGGCGGAAATGTACAAAAGAGGTACGCTTTTAATATTTGTAAAAAAAGGTGCCTTAACATAAAATTAACAATACAGGTTATGGAATTTCGAAAATGCTGGGAAAAACTGCATGGCCCATTGCCTGAAACCGGAATAAAGCCGCGATAAGGTTACGGCACCATTAATTGTACTGTATTTATGAATTGGGAGTTTTTGTAGCTCATTTTATGAACTGTCTAGCTACAGTGTATTATGTACATTTGTTTACCTCGGTGCTTTACGCGAAGTAAACAAAAACCCAAATAAGGGAAAAGATAATTTTTCTCCGTTAAAGCAAACAGAGGAGACGGGAGGTGTTAGAGCTCAAAATTAACAAATGAGCTTTCACATTTTGTTGATTGCTTTCAGTTGCATCTTCCTCGCAATAGCAGAGTACTACTTAATTGTACACTTAATTAGTTCTGAGAGTTCATTTCTTGTATGTCCCATGGATAAAACATCACCTATTCGGTGTTGTCCATCGCTAGCGTTAATTTTAATACTAATGTCCTTATCCATTAGCCAAAGCTGTTTGCGTCGCTGAGTGTTTTAAGCGTAATCTGGATGGTAATTGGAATACCCATGTGGGAGTTTGCGAACGAAGAATGCCATTTGCACATATGCGAAAGGGCGGTATTTAAACCTCACTCAGAATTTAAGTGTGAAGCCGAGCAGCGCAGCCATCGTGTAGAGCTGAAGCAGTAAATCTATACACAGTGATGAAATAGACGTAACTTCTCACTAAGGTGCAATTTCACCCTGCTCCATCTCTGTTTTTTGCTTTTTTGCGGATACTGATTCATCTTCTTCAGCACTGAGCGATCGTTTTCGAGAAATTGAAATGGTTTCTGAAGTTGCATGCTCATCTTGTTGAGCCTTTTCGTCAGTCTGCATTTGAGTAGTGGGTTCTTCTGACATCTGTGTTGGCTTTTTTGATTCCATCGATGTTTTTGAAACATTTTCAGACGCAGTTTTATCCGTTTGCGAACCAGCATTTTCATCGGCTTTGCTCTGTTGAATTCCGCTTTTCTCCAAGTCACTGTTTGTTTCAGGAGTAGCTTCAGTCTGTGGTTTTACAGGTGGAATCTGCTCAAGGCCAAGTGCTGCTTTATCTTGAGGACTCTCTGCAATTCGAATATTAAATATAGGAGAGTTCACCACAAGTCCTTCAGGAACATGTAATTCATCTCCCTTCATTGCTTTGCACAACAACTTTAAATCAGATATGCCAATGAATCGAAATTTGTCAAGGTTATCTGAGATTGCCGACCTCAAAGCGCGCCATGTTTTGCTTGCTTTGGCTTGCAAGTGATACTGACGTTCATCTTCTCTAACAGCCTCAGCCGCTTCGTTTTCTTCCTTTTCAACACCATTCAAAAAGTCAGTGGCTGCTGGAACTTGGGTTGCTTCTTTTCGTTGTAAATCCTGAAGGTTCTCCTCAACCGAAGAACTCCAGATTTTTGATAAGGAAGCAGTACCCATGCAATAACGTAACGCTGTAGCAGGTACTGTAAGCTTGTTCAATCCTTCTTGTGCTGCCTCCAAAAATGAAGAATCTAGCAGTGGTTTTTCGATGGTCAGGCAATTTCTAGCCTTCCATATTTTCCAATTATTTTCAATGGTAAAGAGACTCCGAAGAGTATTTGTCAAAACTGATTCCGGAACTTGATCCAAAAGTTTTTCTGTAGCTTGCTTAACTTTTAAAAGTTTTTTCTCCTAAAAACAAATTAGTAAATCTATGTTTTAGAAATAGTGTTTGGACTTACGTCTTCCGAATCCAGTACAAACGATGAAATAAGTGCCTTATTAGTAAATTGAAGAGAGTCCTGTTTCTTGCGGTTTTCTTGAGTAAAGTCAAGAAGATGATTTAGCAGGATAGAGATTTGCACCAGATATTCTACCGAAAACTGCTCATCAAGTAGTTGGTATGCGAGAAGTTCATGACTGCGGATATACCGATTTAACAAAAGAAGGTGCTTTTCCGAGAATGCCCTGCGTAAAAGGATTTGGAATCGTTTGTGCAGATCTACAGAGTCGTCTCGATTTTGGAATACACTAAGTTTATGAACCCCATTGAAACACTCAAGAACTTTTTGAGTATTCGTAGTAAACATCTCAATCTCTTGGCTTGAATAGAGCTTTGTTGGGTTGGACATGTAGTTTTGCAAGCTCCAAATAGCCTCAAAAACATCATCCAATACACTTTGCTTTATCCGGGTTTCGGCTGTTGTTAATGCACGGATATTCTCTGGCAGGGTATCTTCAACATTAACAGGCTCATTTGCAATGTCGAATTCGCCGCGTAAATTGGCACCACTCCGTTCATGAGGACCAAAAACAGAACTTAAAAACATATGAATTCGACCACAAAAAGCGGGATGATCAACTCGAGATAAACGTCTTAGAAGGTTATTTGAAATACGGAGCAACACCGGTCCTTTTCCCCGAGTTCCACTTAAACCAACGGTGACAAGCGGTCTTGTAGTAAAGTACTCATAGAGCTTTTCACAGTCTTGAACACTATGAATATCAACGAGCTCCTCCATTAGTGTAAATGTAGTAACCTCATCATGCTGTTCAGAGTGTAATTTTGCCAGGGAGACTGTAAGATCCAGAATGGCGAATAACTTTTGAATTCGTTTGTCAATTGTTAAATCACGATTCGCCTTTTCAATTATTAGCACAGATGTAAGGACAGGACTCAAATTTCTATACATACAGAGATATCATAACAACAAAATTTGACAGCAGTTTCAAGCTCTGTGACATTACGAAACGACTCTTGCAAAGAAGGATAAACTTTCTTTTCAACAAAATCAGAGAATTCTTTTTTCAGAGGAGGATTGGAAAGAGCAAGTAGATCATCTAGAGACGCCGACGCGTAGAATTTCGTTTTTAATGTCTCTCTAATGCTCATTTGAATATGGAAACGCGAATTTCTGACGACTTAGCATCAGCACGCGGTGAGTATCGGGGTCAGCGGTCGCCTTGTGTGTATGTTATTCGTGGTGTAGTGTTTCAAATTTAAGTTTCCTCGTCATGCGTAATTAAGGTTGGGTACGCGTCGCTTCACACACCTTTAACCAAACACTTTTATAATCTTCATTACACGTAAAAAACCTACGATAGACATATTTTGACATTTGTTCATCTATGTAATGATTCTGTGTTACTTAATGCTAGAACAATGGCAGACTCAAAGGAGCTAAACGAATTGGGGGTTTTCTCTGTGGATCAAGACACGTTTGAGCGTGGTCTTCAACAAAATGCAAACAAGCTCTTGGCCGAAAGGAAAAAAGAATCAGAAGAGAAGCGCTTAGCAAAAGTTAGAAAGGAGTTGGACGCACTTAATGCAAAAATAAGACGTGTCGAAGAGCGAATTGATTCCCGATTTACCAAAATTAGTGTTCGTGCAACCCTGCACGAACAGTTGGACACATTACAGGATGATTTTAAGCGTCTTAAACAAGATGAACAAGACATTCTACAGCGTTTGAATCCAACTGAAAATACACCCCAAGACTTTGATAGTCAATTAGAACAACGTGAAAGTCTCATTCGGACGGGTCAAATCACACCGTTCTCGAGGTTAGATTCAGTTCAACAGCCGGATGAGTATGAAGAGAACGTTGTTGAAAATGAGGAGGTCAAAAATGCACCTAGTGGTTCTCCTTCTGGAGAGAAAGAAGAAGAAGAATCTGAACAGAAGAATGTACTGGCAGAGAATGCTGTTTCTTCTGCAGTAACAGAAGCTACTTTGGCTTCTTTGGATGACGGTGATGAGCTAGTTTATCGTAAACGTCTTCAAAAATGGTGCACCGCTCGACAAACATTAAGAGAGAAAAAAGAAGCTGCGGGAGAAGGTACCAGTGAAAATAAAAATTCACAGACACAACCAGAATCACTTAGTGAAGAGCCAGAATGGTTTTTGCCTCATCCGACTAAAAAGGCCCAGGTTTTTGATGATGGATTTTCTATCCCCGGGGACATTCGGCCGAAGCTCTTTCGCTACCAAGTAACATGCATACTCTGGCTTTGGGAACTCTATTGTCAAGGTGCTGGAGGAATTATTGGTGATGAAATGGGTCTTGGAAAAACCGTACAGATTGTCGCCTATTTGGCTTCACTCCACTACTCTCGTAAATTCGACAAGCCAACGTTGGTTGTTTGTCCGGCCACTTTAATGAAACAATGGGTTGGAGAGTTTCATCGGTGGTGGGCTCCATTCCGAGTAGTTATATTACATTCTACTGGAAGCGGTCTCAACTCAAAACGGGAAGGACGAGATTACAAGGATAGTGCATCAGAAGGAGAAGATGAGGAAGAGGAAAGCGTTCTTGAGGCCGAAGACGAAAGGGTAAATCCTCTTCGGCGTAGTTCTGCATCTTTTCACAAATTTGCGGAAAAGCTGATTGATAGCACTTTTGAGCGCGGACACATACTAATTACTACGTATGCTGGGTTGCGCATTTATTCGGATCTTCTTCTTCCTCGAGAATGGGGCTATTGTATTCTGGATGAAGGTCATAAAATTCGTAATCCGGATGCTGAAATATCAATTCTGAGTAAACAGCTACGTACGGTTAATCGAATCATTTTGTCCGGGACACCCATCCAAAATAATCTTACTGAATTATGGAATCTATTCGACTTTATATTTCCTGGACGCCTGGGCACTCTTCCAGTTTTTCAAAATCAATTTGCTTTACCCATCAACATAGGTGGGTATGCCAATGCAACCAATATACAAGTGCAAACCTCTTATAAATGTGCCTGTATGCTCCGTGATCTAATATCGCCATATTTATTACGACGGATGAAGTTGGATGTCGCCGCAGACTTGCCCAAAAAGTCCGAGCAGGTCTTGTTTTGTAAATTAACACCGGAGCAAAGGATCGCTTATCAGCAATTTTTGAACAGTGGTGACATGAACAAAATTCTTAATGGAAAGCGTCAGGTACTTTTTGGTGTGGATGTGCTCAGAAAAATCTGTAATCATCCGGATTTGGTTATGCGTGAGTTTTTGGAACATAAAGAAGGCTATGAGTATGGTGATCCTAAGAAATCAGGAAAGCTCAAAGTGGTACAAGCGTTGCTGAAGCTTTGGAAATCTCAGAATCATAGGACACTGCTATTTTCACAGACTCGCCAGATGCTCGATATTTTGGAAAAGGCAATTGGTTCGATGGGCGACATTTCCTACTGTCGAATGGATGGAACAACATCTATAGGACTTCGTCAGGGACTCGTGGATGAGTTCAATAAAACTTCACGTTACGATGTGTTCCTGCTTACCACCCGCGTCGGCGGACTTGGTATCAATCTCACTGGTGCAGACCGTGTTATTATTTTTGACCCAGATTGGAATCCGTCCACAGATGCACAAGCACGAGAACGTGCCTGGCGTTTGGGCCAGAAGCGTGATGTTGTTGTGTACCGGCTAATGTCTTCGGGAACAATAGAAGAGAAAATCTATCATCGGCAAATATTTAAACAGTTTCTTACCAACAAAATTTTGAAAGACCCAAACCAGCGGCGTTTCTTCAAGATGAACGACCTGCATGATTTATTTACCTTGGATGAAGACAAAGAAGATGAGGGAACGGCAACGGGCGACATGTTTCTTGGCGAGGAACGTATTTTTGCTACCAAGAAGAAGCCGCAGACATTTACAAAGCCCCCAAATACATCTCATTCGCAAGTTCAACAACGCCGAAAACGCAAACCGCGTCACAGTAATCCAGATGACCCTGCCGAGTTTAAAAAGTTGGAAGGAGTCGCTGGTCTAGAGGCTTACAAACCCGCGGAAGAAGAAGCAAAAAGATTGAAGAAACCCAAACAGGGCAGTACTTATGGTGAAGAGTCTATGCTTAGTGGAATTTTTGCGAGTGCAGGCGTGAAGAGTTCGTTAGAACATGATAACCTGTTCAATAATGATAATCCAGCAGATCGTATGGCACAGCAAGAAGCAAACCGGATTGCGAAAGAAGCTGCGCAAACCGTTCTTCAATCATCTTACGCTTCGCGTAACCCAAAACCACCACAACCAACAGTACCATCAGTTTCTCATACGCCGTCGCCATCTTCTGCAGTACCAAGTTCAAGCTCACTCTTAGCTCGTCTTAAGCGAAGACAATGAAGTGAACATCTCTTTTAATCCGACAAATTGGTTCTGAATCCTTCAATTTTGTTTCACCCACTCTCTTTCCAATCCGTAACAGTTTCCTTCTTTCCCTCTTTTTGTTGTCACTCTATAGGTTGTTTCATTAATTGTTGCCATACTGAATTGACTTTCTTTTGTATCATTATAATGAACTTTGTTAACAGGTTTACTTCCCCAGCTTTGTTTATTAGGTGCTTCATCTTGACATGAAACAACTCGTAGCGTCAAACGGGATTATCGTGAAAGGAACTTCCTTTCAGCAAATAGTATTCTCTTCAGGCTATTGGCAATCCGTATAGTGAGGTTTTACGAAGCGAATTTGCTGAATTTGTCAAGGTTCATAAGGTCAACAACCACATCAATTTCTTAAGAAACATAAGGATATCTTCATTAACAACAAGAATGTCATTTTTGATAGACGTCAAGGCTCTTGCTGGTCTCTTTCAAAAGGCAACGAAACCATTGGTACTATTGGATGCTACCTGGTACATGCCGAATGACCCAAAGAATGGACACGACGAGTTTTTGAAGAACAGACTTCCTGGAGCCCAATTTTTTGACATTGATGGAGTGAAGGATTTCAATAATCCTCTGCCTCATATGCTTCCCACAGCATCTTTGTTTGCGGAGTATATAGGAAAACTCGGTATTGACAGAAACTCTAGTGTTGTCGTATACGACCGGATCGGTCTGTTTTCTTCACCTCGAGTGTATTGGACGTTCAAGGTGTTTGGACATGAAGATGTTTCAATACTGTCTGGTGGGTTGCCTGCCTGGACTGAAGCTGGTTTCGAACTTGAAACCGGCGAACCAAATGCAGCAGTGCCGAAGGAGTACAAAGGTGCAGTCTTGAACAAGAACTTGGTTGCAAGTTTTGAGGATATTATTGAAATTTCTCAAGGACCAAATGCTCAAAATGCTATCGTAGTTGATGCCAGAGCTCCCGAACGGTTTAACGGAAGTGTCCCGGAAGTCAGACCTGGAATCGCTTGCGGTTGCATTCCCAAATCCATTAATGTATTTTTCAAAGATGTCTTAGACAACTCTGGTCTTCATCTTAAGCCTGTTGATGTCCTGAAACAGCTTTTTGTGTCGAAGGGGCTCGCGGATCCCAAGCAACCTATCGTAACATCTTGTGGTTCGGGTATTACCGCCAGTACTCTGTTTGTTGCCTTACATGCTGCAGGCTATAGCAATGTTCGTGTGTACGATGAATCCTGGACAGGGTACGGCAAGCGAGCTGCTGAAGATCCTAAACTACTTGGTCATTAAAATACCGAACTCAACAGACACAGTTATGACTTGTATGCGCCCTGATGAAAGAGCAATTTCTACTCTTCATCATTAATTTGTTATGTTTTGTTTTTTACAATATTATTTTATTAAAGCAAACAAAAGGAAGGACACCCAATTTCCGGAGTGAGGAATATAAAAAAACCATTTTAAACCCTTAGGAAGTAAACGAACCGTTGCTCCGCATTCACTAATTTAACAATACACAAGCACATAAGGACAACTTTTCTTAGATCGACGGTCGGTAGCAACTCATACGGGGCTTTCTCTGTAATGGGTCAATTGGTTCAACAGTGGTCCAAGAAAGGGGACACCGCGAAGGAATCCCTTTACTAAAGGGAAAGACGAAGAGAAGAGGTTGATGAAACCGAACAGCTGGATGAAGAAACCAGCGATGGGAAAGTGAAAGAAAATCAGCAAAGCACCAGTAAAGAAGCCGATGGTGCCTAAAGCCTTTTCTTTCCGAAGAAAGAAGTACGACATCCTGCTTATACCCATCAATAGACTGATGCCCGACATCAGGAGGATCTAAAAGACGCAAATTAGAGACTCGTCCTTAATACTTGCAACTGAGTGTCTGCCGCTAAGAAAAGACACTCGTCAAGGTGTATCACATACGTTTCCTAATGACAGGAAGGGCCCATCAAAGAGCATAAAAAGACCCTTTATGGATGTGTCAGTTTTTCAATGCAAGAGTTCATAAAAGTTCCTTACTATTACGAAGAATAAAAGCCCTAAAGCAGTCAAACTTGCTCCAATTTCTGTCAAATTTTGTTAGCGGATTTTTCAACTCGTTGACAAACTAACTCTGCAAATCCGAGAGCCACATGATGCTAAGCGATTGCAGTTTGGGTTTTAACCTGGAAGGAGCAGGGTTTTAACTCAGCGAAAAAAACGTAAACAATTGACTACAGCTCGCTTAACGACGTCACTCTAGTGGGGCTTTGTGGGGGCGCATTTGGTGGTGAGAAAAGTCCTCGGGCTGAAGGTCGTATAGCGCGACTCTAACGAGCTGCACAAAAGACCCCTTAGTGCGTGCGTACACAGCACGTTATTCTGGAATCGTGGTGCGCAGTGACCCCCTGTGCCTGGGAGTCGTCCGTACTGCGACGATCATGTCGAAAGGGTCTAGTCCTAAGGGATGCGACTTGGCCACTCAGCTATATAAGAGAGACGCAGTAGCACAGCTGCCTGGTGGTAGTAGTGTAGTAGTAGTGTAGTAGTAGTGTAGTAGTAGTGGTAGTAGTAGTAGCAGCAGTAGCAGTACAGCAGTAAGAGAATTGCAATTGCAGCAGTACTGGGACCAAGTCCAAGGTTACACCGAATTGTGCCGGGCTGTGTCGCTAATTGAAAGCGTGCAGACTCGGGAAAACATTCGCAGTTATAAAAGAGCAAATCGTTTGCGTTTCGGCTTTGGTTGCAGATGAATAAGAAGAATAGTATTAATTAATGGAAAAAAAAAAACAACCCAGGTTCTAAACCGGACCGTGAAACTCTGAGTGCTTTTAATGAATTATACGTTGTAATGGACATCAAAAATAATGGAGTGTGATGAGGGTGGAGAGCAATGCAAAGTAGCGTTATGAAAGGATGAAAAATCATGTACATCTTCAGAAAATTGAATAGACGTTTGTCTCACGCCCATCTTTCAAAACTACATTTATCTGCGTGTCCGTCTTCTGTGTCTTCTGCGTCTGTTTCGCTTCACACGAGAGGCGAATGATTTGGCGGAAAGGTTGCTCAGGGACTTTGAAGTCTCACCGGTTCCTAAGCTGGTGCCAAGACTGAAAGCATCAGAACCTGCACGGGAAATGGGTCGAGAAGGAATGTTGGAGGGGGTAGTAGAGGTTGAAACCTTGGGCACGAGAATACCATTCACTTCCTTCATTTCAACGACATCATCACCGCAACCGTGAACAGAATCAGTGGGCGCGACAACAACGCGCTCGACACCGTCTTCCGTTACATGACGGCTTTCAATAACATTACCCAGACGAACACGTCTTCCACTGTACGAGGAGCTAACGGAGCCATGGGGTTTGGCATGGTAGACGGCACTCTGCTCCTTCAGTTGTTCTGAAGAACCAGCTTCCACTGTAGGCGAAGAGTGAGGAGAAGAAGCGTTGACGGTGTTTGCGGGAGAAGTAGTGGCTTGATCCTTGGATGGCTGTTCAGATTCCTTGGAAACAGTGACGGCGGGTGCTGAGACGGTAGATGAAGGCTCAGCTGTAGTGGAAGTAGCCGTAGTGGTGCTATCCAAAAGAGCGCTTTTCTGTAAATCAGGAGAGGAGGATGTGTTTCTTTGCAATTCAGCATTCACACTCTTCACTTTGCCGTCTGCAGCCTCGGAAGCGGCGCGACGATGCGTGTCAATAGAACCGTAACTACGACCAAGTGCGAGTGCGTTGGATGCGGGCTTCACCTTAATGCGTTCAGTAGAGTGAATTTTCGGATTGATAGCTGCATTCTTAGGATTCAAAATTGGCACATATTCGTTTGGCGTACCCTTGCCCTGAATATCTGGACGGGGCGATTTGCGTAAAGCATCCAGATGCTTCATGTGAGCACGATGGAACAGACGTTGCCAGAAAGCATTAGTGTTGTTCACACGGCGCAACTTTTGACGAACATCAATGTACACATCGGTCTCGTCGATAATTTCCTCACCGATCAACTCCTCTACGATGTCCTCGAGAGTGATCACACCAATGGCACCGTGGTTTTCACCTGGAGAAGTAGAAACAAGTATCATGTGGCTCTTACCTTCTTGACAATAATTCAACAGATCCAAACAAGACGTCTCAGGCCACGTCTCAGGGAGCGTAGCAAGAGGGAAACTATAGACGGGAAGACGATCTTCTGGGTCATAACCTAACAACGTTTTAATGAGCAACATACCGATAAAGTCAGTGGGGAAACCGGGCTTGTGAATAGGAATGCGACTGTAGCCAGCAAACACAATCTCCTCAATCAAAGCCTCATCGAGGATACGATCCGCAGAAAGAGTGAAGACGTTTTCGATAGGAGTCATAATCGTTCTTGCAGGCTTTTCACGCAAGTCGAGCACAGCATTGATGATTGTAACCTCATCCTGGTTCAGCTTGTCCAAGCCGAGGTCGCGATGCAAGGTAACCAATGTCTTCAAACCCGACTTCTTGTACATAGTGCCTTCAGCCTTACCCAAACAAGCATCCAGCACCAAGGCCATAGGGTAAGCAATGGGATAAAGCAAGTACATCATGAAAAGCACAAGAGGCTCAAGCTTGGCACCGATCATTAAACCATAACGAACACACACAGCTTGGGGAATAACCTCTCCAAAGATGACAATCATAGCCGTAGACAAGATAACAGCTGGCCAACCACCGCCGATGATCGAGTCGAACACAATGGGCAACGTTTCGTTCACGATAACGTTACCAAGCAACAAAGTGACAAGAACCCAGTGCTTACCACGGCGCAGCAAGCCAAGAACCTTCTTCGAGTACAGCTGCTCCTTCTCATCTCCGCTACGAGCAAGCACCTCAAGGTGAAGGTCGTCAACACCCATAAGAGCAATTGTAAGACCAGCAAACACACCTCCCAGCAAAATAAGAAATACGCTTACCAAAAGTCGACCCATGTACTCTGAGACATTGGGGAGCGCCGGAAGGACGCTCATTCCAGCCTTTTCATCTCCACTGAAACCATGAAGTTGATTCTCTCCAACGGGAATGCTGTGGACAAGCTTTGAAAAGTAAGATATCGAAAAAATCAAATATCTTAACCGAGAAAGCATATAGAAAATTCCGTAAAATAACTGCTTCTGGGTTCTTCTTTAAGAAAATGGAGTTCTTCTCGATTGAACAATCTCAACGGTACTGCGAAGGACAAAACCTGTAATTTATAGAAAAAGTGTTGGTAGGCAACAGGTAAGACCAGTCAACAACTCACCACCAAAAGAGTACTTAACGAAGCGAAAGGTGTCCGTGTATAAGCCATCTAGGGAAGAAGCTCGTTAAGATGGCTGAGGTAGGCTCGCTATGGTGTTTGTTTTGTTACAAAAGTTGCGACAAGTAGTGTGTAATAAGAAATGTGTAGTAACAGTGTGGTCATAATTAGCGGCCCTAATAGTAAGTTTGAGCTTGTAAATTACGTTAAAGACTGTTACGACGAGTCATCAGGTAATTGTCATGTCTCGTAGTCTGGTTTGTGGTTTTAAGGATTTCGTCGAGTTGGTGATTTTTCTTTAAATTACCAAAATACTCTTTTCCAAAAGTGTAGCCGGTATTATAGATGACCTCAAAGTTTCCAAATTCCATGGTCTGATATACGGTGACGGGAGGACGAATGTAGAAACATCCAGGGCTGGACTTCACCTGCTCACCCACGGTGACGCTTGTCACATACGCTAAACGAGATTGGATTTCAGCCATTGTAGGCAATGCTTGATGATGTCCAAAGGGGTTCCAGCGATTGATGAGTGCCCAAACTCCAGAAATAGTATCCCCATATTTAAAGGGCGTACGAATATCATCGCTGCCAACGTCAACAGCAAAGATGACATTTACGCCAAGTGAGCGCATGTGATTCACGGTAAGGTTATCCATATAACCCCCATCAAGTAGCATGCTTCCCTTGTCGTCGAGCATGGGAGGTACTAAACCTGCGAGTGACATACTGGCACGGATGTATTTCCATGCATAACCACTAGAATGGATATCCATACGAGACTGCGTGATGTTGGTTGTGTTAGCGTAAAACGGAAGCCAAAAATCTTCGATATGACTATTGCCGAAAGTTTTCCACAAACCACGATTGAACTCGTGTCCTGTTGTATATGCTACTTGAGGATACGTCAAGTCCAGAAAGAATCTCCAAAGGTTTGACATACGTCCACAGAATTTCTTGGCTCGGCCAAACATGGGAACAATGTCGGCTTCACGTGCATAAAGACCACCATTGAAAGCGCCGATACTCGTGCCTCCAACAATGTCAATTGGAATACCATACTCTTCCATCACCTTGATGATGCCAATTTGTGAGATGCCGCGTGCACCGCCGCCGCCAAGTACTAAACCAATAGCTTTACCACAGATCCTTCTCGCCAAACGCGCAAAGTCATTATTTTGGGAACGAGCTGTTCTGTATACCGGACGGACATGCTTCCAGTCAATATACTTCCTGAATTCAAAATGCAGGTTTTGCACCTTGGTACGGATTGTGTTCAAAAACAGTTTCGCTTCAGTGTCCTTGGTCATTTCCGGTTCCAAGTTAATCGATAATTCCATCTGAATATGATGATGAGCATGAATCCATGGCCGTTCTCTCAACCAAGTGCGTGTAAGCCCTGGCATACAAAAGCGTTCGCGATGTAACAGAACCAACTCTTTTCGCGCTGTAGACTTTGTCGAAAGCAGAAACTTTTCAAAGTCACTGACGATCGGCTTCTGTGAAGCCTCAGCTAGCACATAGATACAATCGGCTTGACGAATGCACGTATCGAGCCAAGTAGTTCCAACGCCGGTGTCTGCAACGTAAATCAGAATGTCATGCTTATCCTCAAGGTCTGCTAAGTAACTTGAAAGTTTGAAACGACCGATTTGGTTGAAAGCATATTTGCCAAGATGTCCCAAGACGGATGATTGCTGAAGTAGTTGAACAGATGTTCCTAGATCTAAAAGTGCGGCAGTAAGCTTTTGAGCAAACGTAAGGAGCGGAGCGTTTGGAGTAGCCGGTAATATAGCTAGGGTTCGTAAGTTGTATTTTGGCTTGCTGATAGGGGCAGAGAGGAATGTTGAAACATTTTTTTCCTGGAGGAGATCTTGCATACGGCTGGCCACAATTTTAGACATTTGAATGCCGACTGAAGGACGGATGGAGGCAAGCGTGATAAATAACGTTTTTGGTAGCTTTGCAACCTCAGAATCACGAATAGCAAACAGCGAGGATAAGCGACGAGAGTTCGTGAGCATTTCGAGCTCTCCAACACTATCGCCTCTGCTATACTCGTTGAGGAACTCAGAAACATATTTCCCTTCATCTTTCTTAACGGTTCTCAAGCGGCCGCTCAAAACATAGTACACACAATCGCTTGGTTCATCTTGGTGACAAATGACCTCTCCAGGGTCAAGGTGAACCCATTCCACAGCAAAGTCGAGTTTCAAAAGAATTGTTGGAATGAACGATAACATTTGCTTCGCAATGGTCAACGAAACCAAAGGCTCACGTTCCACAATTTTATCCAAGGCAGACCGTGGAAAGAAACCAACAAGCGCATCTGTTCTTGCCTTCACGGTGACAAAGGAGCAATAATTAGCAATGCAGGACTGATAATTAGCTAAACCACCGGGCTTTATGAGAAAGGAACGTGTGCTGTCTTCATTACTTAAAGAAGACGATATACGGTCAGGAACATCGCGGCAGTTCACCTCAAGAAAACCATCAATGACATAAAAGATGCCTTCGACAGCCTCTCGTTGCGATACCAAGGTAGCACCTTTCTTGTAAAACAAAATCTCGACATCGTTACTGAAGTTAAAGTTCGTGCTTTTCTTAGAGCTACTGACGCTGTCGATGGTGCCAGCATCACTTGCCTTGTAATCAGAGAGCGGTTTTCGTTTTTCGGCAAAATTGAGTGTTACATCATGACTATTAACACCAAGCATTGATCCTTCATCAGAAGTGTACGCACTAGCCTTAATAGCCATTGAGGTTGCTTCTCCGGGATGAGCATTTATGTCTGAAATTCCCCAAAGCTTCAACAAACAGCGAAGTACCCCTTCACGAAGAGAAGCATGTGGATCATAATCACCAATCTCATGACTAAATGTTCGCTGATTTGTGTTCGGTCTCAAATTCAGAGACGAAGACACTGCGGAATGGGGATTCGTAGATGTGAACAAATCACCAGCATTGGAAACCGAATGTGTAGAAGAATCATAAGGCGGAGAAGAAGTATCGGGATTAAGTTTGTATTGTAAACCTCGAGAAAAGTACAAGGTTTTGGAGAGTGATGGGGCTGCTTTCGAGACAATATAACCCCCTCTGGATTTCTCTTGGCATCGACCACTTCGTGCTTCGGTTTTGAACGCATCAATAAGTCCCGGCTTAATGTAATTAGGGAGATCATAGGAAGTCAGAAGGTTCGAGTTCAATTCCATTTTATAGATGGCGTCAGACAAACCCAAGTAGTAGTAACCAGTCGAAAACGTAACACGTTCAAAACGTGTTAAAATTACCTGTGAAATATGAGCACCTGCTTTGGGATATTTTTTGATTAAGCGTCGAAATGCATCAGCTGGAATTACAGCGATAGTAGTATCCACTTTGGCTCGTGCAACAACATAGAAACTTCTCAGTTTTCTTTGGGCCTTGCTCTCGCGTTTTTCTTTGAGAGTATCCGTTAACGGTGAACTAGCCTGACTTTCACTTTTGCCCTGAACAGGTTCATCATTGTCCGAAACAAGCTCAGTGAAAAGCTCCAAGATAGTGAATAAACTAGAAAGCGGTGCGCCATTATGCACCTCCGTAAGAAGGGAATAATTCTTCTCTATGTCGGTATCGCTGAATGCATCGTCCTGGTTACCTCGTTCGTTTTTAACAAAGACCTGGAAGCAGCCGTCAACAACGAGAATGAATGAAGTCTCCTTTGCGAGAACAATTGTTTCTCCCTCTGCAATCCTACGTGTTTCCATGTAACGGGCAAGTTCCATGAACATTGGTTTCTCCAAGTAACCAAAGATACGAATAGCACTTAAAAACTAATTGGTTTAATACTAGCTCAAATCCGCATTTGTATGAGTGTACGTACCTCATCTAAGTAGGTCTGAATGCTGTTTACTTTCGAGTTTGCTGTCGTAGGGCCTTCATCGATATCAAGCTTTGCTTCTTCAATTGGAGATTCGGCCGGTAAACGAGAGTACTTATTGAGATATCGGTAACGAATAACAACCAATACACACGCCAAGAAGATGAAAAACAGAATCACACTTGTCAAGTCAGTTTTTTTGAAATAATTTGGTCAATTCGCGATACTTACATTGAACGAAAATTCAACTGGACCGTCAAAGTCAACGAAACAATTTTATACGTCCATTTCGGGAGTGTTATTGTACAAAATGATAGTACATCTAGTGAGAGTCTTGTTAGTTGAACGAGGCCCCACGTTATGACCCGAGCGGTAAGGCGAATTGATAGAGCAAAAAGATTGTTTGAAGCAGAGATCGTCGTGTCTTCCATAAAAAGTACGGCAGCACTGCAGTTGACGAGCCTAAGTGAGCGTAAACGAATTTTTACGCGCAGTAAGAGTTTGGCAGATGGAACCCTCGCACATACTTCACGATACCTTTTTCATGACGTAGCGTGCTTCTCTGTGTACCATCACGTGAAATGCTTATTCAACTTTAAACAATCGCCGAAATGCAGTTACAAAATACAGTTCACTAATGAGTTTTAATTGACTCTGTTTCTAGAAAAAGAAGCAATAAAGTGCATTTGTTTAGAAAGGATTGGTAGAGAAACTAAAGCATGCCTTGAACTTAATTTACAACTATATAACGTACAAGAATCCAAAACTATTCATTTACAAGGAGTCACAAAAGAGCGAAATATTGAGCCGAAAATGTGAGTTAGTTCCTACCATATTTATGGCATTGCTCCAAAAAGAAGCGAACATCTTCGACCTTCACAGCAGGCGTGATACCGTGGCCGAGATTAATAATGTAATCCTTTTTGCCAAAAGCTTCGATCATCTCCTTCACGCGCTGCTCAATGGTTTCATGACTGCCGTAAAGAATACTGGGATCCAAATTTCCTTGAAATGTAACGCGACGGTTACCGCGAATACGAACTGCTTCAGCAGGGTCTTGTAGCCAGTCGAGCCCAACAACATCATAACCAGAGTCACAAAGTTTGTCTAAAGCGTACCAAGCTCCCTTCGCATAAACAATCATTGGGACCGGTTCAATTCTGCATTCGCGCAGAGACTTTTTCACTGTGTTACAAATCTCAACAAGATAGGGGTAAGCAAATTCAAAGAAATCTCTGGGTGAAAGTTCGCCAGCCCAAGAGTCAAAGATTTGAAGCATCTAGTAGATAAAGGGTTAGTACGTATATACGTCTAGTGAATACCCAGCGCCATCTTCTGCCTTACCTGTGCACCGGCTTTTACTTGTTCGACCAGGTATACAGAGATTGTTTTGGTCAAAAGCTTCAGCAATTCATGTGAAGCCTCTTGGTATCGAAACAACCAAGTCTTGGCTTTTGCAAAAGACTTACTACCTCCACCTTCAATCATATACGCCATAAGTGTCCATGGAGCACCGGAAAACCCTAATAGGGGTACACGATTTTCTAACCGGGTGCGAGCCAGGGAAATTGCATCCATAACATAACCCAGAATGGAAGATATGTTAGGATTTTTTTGAAGTGTTTTTAAGTCATCGGGTGTATTTAGAGGAGTAGGGAAATGAGGTCCTTTTCCCTCAAGCATCTCTACATGCATTCCCAATGCTTGTGGAATAACAAGAATGTCACTGAAAATAATAGCAGCGTCCAACAAACCGGCAAACCTATCAACAGGTTGCATTGTCAATTCTGAGGCTGTTTCAGGACACTGACACATTTGGAAAAAGGTAGACTCAGCACGAAGTTTATGATACTCTGTGTCGTATAAAATTAGTAACGTGGAAAACGACATCTAAAAGAAGCATACCGGGAAGGTATCGGCCGGCTTGTCGCTGCAAACGTTAATAACACATTCTACTGAAGAAGAAGCACGGGCAAATATTCAATTACAATCGCATGGTCAAAACTGAACTTCATGCCACTATAAAACACTTGTTCTAAAATTTGTACCCAGTGTTCGTTGCACGTACCATAATCCAAACAGGAAGCCGTTCAACAGGCTCACCTTTACCATGTTAGAACAAATAGCTCTTTTCAAGGAAATGAGCGATAGAAAATGAATCAAAGGTAGATCTTGACCGAGAGAAAACAGTAGAATTGTTACAAGAGAAACCAACACGAAGAGCTGCTTTTTCTTATTCATAACAAACTCCAGTATCATTCGCTATTATGTTTCAAAATACCTACCACGAGCAGCTCTTAACAATAGATCATTCACCATTATTAGAGATTGTTTTTTCAGTATTATAAAGGAGAGAAGAATACGTAAATTGACAGTACTTTTAGTACTTTTTCTGAATGAATCACAGATTCACGGCTGCTTAAACTAGGGGTTACGAATGGTGGAAGTCAGTGACCCAAAATTGAGTCAAATGAATCTCGTCAGAAACGCGTATAATAGTAAGTAAGTAATAAACAAAACAGTGAAAATAAGAACAAATGCATTACATGGCGACAATAAATCTCCTCGTCCCAAAAAATGTTACTAAACAGTGTTTTTCGGCGTAACTGTTTCAAATGCTGATAGATTACTAAGGAGTAAACTTCGTAGCTTCAAGCTCTCTTGTTGCTCTCTAATATCTACGGCACTCAATAGAGCCTTACACAACCAGAAACTTTTCTTTTTTTTACCCAAAACCCGAAACCTAAGTATATATTTGAACCATAAGCTTCCCTATCTATTGGAGAGAAGCAAACTAGAGAGGGCATATAAAAAAACGCAGCGTAAGTACCAAAAAAGAACGCCAAAAGAGGAAAGGTTAAGCAAAGGAGAATAAAACAGTAGCCGGTAAAAGATTAGAGAGCAAGTACACTTCATCTACTCTTCGTCTTCCTCCTCCTCCTCGTCTTCGGAACCTTCCATTTCTTCTTCTTCCTCATCCCCCTCCTCAAGAGCTTGAGGGCCACGCTTCAAACCCTTCATCTTACGGGTTTGCAGCTTGTTAAGATCCTGTTTATCAATGTGGATGCGACCAACCTTGTCACCAATAGGATTGACATCAATGTTCTTCTTTGTTTTGACCTCTTGAGACTTGGGTTTCTTGAGTGCTTCCTGAAGAACATCGTCTTGGGCAGCCTCAATGCGACGAATAGACAAATCCATTCTAGGGCCCATTTCAACCAGTTCCACACGAGGAAGTTTTTGCTCGGTCTTCAACAGTTTAGTGTTGTAAACACGGAAGTTAATTTTAGGGAATGAAGCAACATTTTCGGCCTCAGGGTCCTCAAGATCAGCGGCAGAAATAACAACCACATAGGTTAGACCAGCAGAATCTATCTTTTTAATTGTTTCGCCACGGAAGAAGTCAAGGAACAAAGATTTTGCGTGACGATACACAGGATGATTGTCAAACACAGAACCTTGGAAAATGATCAACGGCTTGGTTCCCGGGACAATGAGAGGAGCCTGATGGATACAGTTAGTCATTGTTCTTTGACGTATGCAGAGTAACTTACGCTAAACTCCTTAATAGACTTAAAGTTGGAAATTCCCATTTCCATCATATCCATAACTTTGTGATCAAAAAAACGAACCCAAGTAAGATTGTGAGGACGCTTTTTGTTGTGGGTAGCCAATACCGCAAAAGCAGCATCATTCTTCTCCGAAAGGAAGTCCAAAGAAGTTGTGTCTTCGAAAGGCAAAATTGCATTCTTTTTTTGAAAATTGACAGCAGCAGGCTTCTTCAACGCATACAAGTCAGACAGCGCATCAACACTGATTTGAGAAGTAGCAGTTCCTCGCAAAAACAAGGCTATTTTAACATCCTCTACAGTTTTGGGTTCTCTTTTTTCAAGAGCACGCTTAGCACGCGCGTTTTTGGGTTTACTAAACAGTTAGTACTTTGTGAGTTTGTAAGGGCACGTACACTTGGCGAAGCATTGTATTAAACCTGCTGTTTTCAAGTGGTTGGTTGCTGCTACGAAGGTTATGTGCAGACGCTTGAAGGAAATGGAGGCCAGTCAGCCCTATTGTACCCTAGGTTTTCCGTTTGGTGGTTAGGTTAGTTTAGCACTCCCTATCCATCTTTAACCACCAAAAGTCTTAGGGTGACTCGGGCTCTACGTCCTTAAAAGGACATCAAAAAAACACAATAACGAAAGAAAAAACACTTAAATACACAACTTTGAAGTACATTATCAAATGATTCTACAATAAAATTATGCGTAATAAACTTGTTGCGTGCTAACGAAAGAACTTGTTATGTTTTGCCTACAGTTCATGATTTTTTTAGAAATTGCTCGTAATAAATGACAGTAGATGTTTAGGAAGAAGCATAAGTATCCCAGTTTTGAATGATCTTCTTGATCCGCTGAGAGCCAGTAAGCTCATAAACCTCTTGGAAGTACTCCTTCGTCACGTCGAAGGGGCGAGCGGTAAGATTGGGAATAAACTTGTGACGAAGTTTGGAGATGTTGACTTGGTGAGGAGTAATACGCTTCATCAAGTATTCACGGAACATGCGAACACCACCTCTCAAGAAGGTAGAGTGGAAGGGAACATCAATCTTCAAGGGAATAGTAGCGTAACCACGTTGAAGCTCAATGATACCATTGTTCTTCTTCAACTCCTCAAGAGTCTTCTCGTGACACTTGCTGACAATCTCAGACAATTCAGCCTTCAATTGTTCCATAGACAGAGTCTCGACCAACTTTTGGAAGTCAATCTTTTGAACCTTCAGGAAGTTCAAAACGTTGCCCATGGTGCTCAAACTGTGCAAGTGACCACTGACGACGTATTGTTGGTTCTCAACATTGAAGTTGACAATCTCCAACAACAGCTTCAATTGTTGAGCGATATGGTCAACAATGAAACGAAGGCCGGCCTCGTTGAAAGTGGGAGAAACACGGAGAGGGCTTGCGGCAACCATACCGTATTCGGAACGGCCTTCGGCATCACGGTGAACAGCGTTCTGCATAGTCAAACCACGCAAGAACACAAGATCAACAAGATCCTCAATAGTCATAACATCACCCATAGAAGAAAGGGCAGAGTACTCACCCAAAGAGTGACCAGCGAAGACACTGTTTTGTTGGACAAGACCACGAGAACGCATGTCCTCGAAGGCAGCCTTCTCCATAAGTGTAAGAGCGGGTTGAGTGAACTGAGTGGCGGAAAGAAGACCTTGGGGATGTGTGAAGGTGTAGGAGGTGCTCTCCTCGGTAATGGTAGGGAAAACAGGGACAATGGAAGTAGTTCCATCTTCATTTGCCTTCTCGTAGATCATGTCCATGTAGTTCTTACGAATGAACTGACCCTTGGCAGCACCAAAGTGAATGGTAAGGTTCTTGGGGTTGTTTCTGACAATGTCAAGAATGGAGAAACCGAAGTTAGAAAGGAAGTGGTTGTCGGCACTGTCCCAAATGGCGCGAGCAACAGGGCTAGTGCTGTACAAGTCCATACCCATGTTTTGCTCTTGAGAACCTTGACCAGTGAAAACGTATGCAGTGACGGGTTGCTCAACCTCAGCAGAACCAACAATCACAACCTCCTCAGTTTCCTTGTTCACCACTTGAATCTTGATGATCTTGCGACCATTGATCATACCAACGTGGGAAAGTTTAGTAACAAGCTCAGAGTTGGGCAGAGCCATGTTGACAAACTTAACCTCGTACTGCTTAACGCGGTCAGGAACATTTTGTGCAGCAAAAGTTTCGACGAAGCGACGAGTAGCAGCAGAGTTGAACATGCCGTGAGTGATACCATGAACACCGGGCAATTGAACAAACGCAGCGAAGACCGAAGAGACGTGAATGGGGTTATAGTCACCAGAAACCTCAGCATAAGGAGTATTAGTGGGAGGGGTAACAAACGTAGAAGAATAGGCGTCATCCATTATGCGAATAAGACTGTAACCACCGTTTTCAAACTCAACAGGTTGCTCAATAGGCTTGCCTTGGCGTTTCAGGAACTCCATAACAGGGTTACCATGGCAGTCGACGGACTGGAAATCGACGGAGGCAACTTGGATGACTTCCTTGGTGGGAAGTTCCATAAGCACTACACCCTTTGTCTGAACAGAGGCTCTAATAGTCTTATTCTTGAAACGAGAGTAAGAGTTCAATCTGAAAGTAAGAGAGGCGCCAGAGAGATCACGCTCAGGGTCAAGAACTTGGAACCAAGCCTTAGATTGGAGAACAGCAACATCCTTGGGAGAAGACAGAGTAAGCTCCATAGGGGTTTCTTGAGTATGCTCGAAAGTGTTCTCAAAATCGGTGAAGTTACCACGGTAAAGGAAACGAGTGACAACTTCCAAGACATCAGTGCCGTTGGCAGAAAGCGTACCCTTAACTTCAACCATCTTACCATTTTCACGGTTAATGACAGCAGTGATGACAGCAGAGGTCTTGACCTTGTCACCTTCTCTCAAAGGCGTCTCACCAAGCATGCGGAAAGCATTAGAGAGGTGGACAAGACGCAACAAATCGCCATCAATGGTCTTGGGGAAAATGGCCTTGGTAATGGCTTGCCAGCCAACAACAATAGCAAAGTCCATGGGAGCGGTACGCTTAGCGTTTCCACGCTTAGTGTAAACCTCGTTCTGGTTACCGACGACGCGGCAGAAGTCGTCGATCATGCTACCAGTAATTTCGACCTCGGGACCGGTGAATGTGTCAGTAATGGAAGCCTCCTCGGGGTAAGGCTCATTGCCAAACCAAACCTTCCAGTAGAAGCGCTTGATGCGGTCGTTGCGACCCTCCAAAACCTCAGAAATAGGGCAGTAACCGGCAGCACGGTTGTAGTTGAAGATGAAGTCCAAACCAACATGCTCCTTCAAGGCATTGCGCTTGTCGGTAAGTGTGCAAATGATGTTTTCACCATTGTACTTGAGGATAGCGGAGAGGGAATAGATACCGTTGACGGTCTCATAGAGCTCGACAACAGCGGCATCTCCGGAACCCTTGAGAATAAGCTTTTGGCCATAACGGGGAGCAAAAATGCGACGAACAGGGTTGCTCTCAAGCTTCCAGTTCTTGGCGATACGGGCAGTAGTGAAAATTGCACGTCTCCAAGAGAACTCGGGACCAGCGAGGATCTCAAACCAGCTCTTCAAGTTAGGCAAAGCGGAAGTAGATCCGAGGGGAGCAGTGTAAACAGCTTGCTCACCAGCAGTTTCCTCGAAAGTCATACCCTCGAGGTCAGACTTCTTCAAGGTCAAGGGCTTCTCACCACCGAAGTATTCAACAGTGGGAACCTTGTCTTCACTGCCGTACAACTTCTCGGTAAGGGCAGCAATATGGGCATTGTGAATGTTATCGAGCATTTCCTTCACAGGCTCGTTAACCTTAGTAGAGTGACGGGCAGCCATGGGACCTTGCAAAATAGCAACACGGCCGACATCCTCACCAACAACTGCATCAAGGTCCTCACTTTGCCAGAGAGAGTCCTTCTTGAAGAAGAACTCGAAAGTCTCATCAATAGCAGGAACAAAAGGAACAGGCTTTTGGAGAGGGTTGGCACACATGGTGAAGAAGTGTTGAGCATCTTGACTGTTGATGAGCTGGTCCTTGGCCTCAGGGTAGACAGTAAGGAACTTGTCAGCAAAAGTGTAAGGATCAGAAAGAACGTCAAAGTCCTCAACAATAGTAGTCTTGCCGGTAACGTTGGTGAAACGCTCCTCAACGCGACGCATGTAGTTGCCGGTCATGTTACGAAGAGTAATGTCAATCCAACGCTTGTCCTTGGTGACATACATCAAGTCAATCAAACGATAGAGAACCTCAGCGTAAGTCATTTCGGCGAGGTCGTTAACGGCCTCAAACTTGAACTTCTCAGCAGAAACGCGTTCAACAATGTGAGCAGGGAAGTAAACCTTTTGGAAGTCCTCGTTCAACTTCTTGATAATCTTAGACTTCTTAGCCAAAAGGGCGGGAAGACGCTTAGGGCGGGGAAGAGAGAAAATGGTGTCATCCATTTCCTTCCAGAACATAACACCGCGAGTAGCAAGCTTGTGAATGGGTTCACCGAGCTCGGAAAGGACAGTAACGATACCACCGGCGGGGCCGTCATAGGTCTTCTCCCAGTCCTTGTCCTCGACACCAGGGGCATCAACAATAGCTTGCTTCACACCAAGGGAGGTACGAGCCTCCTTGGCAACCATAAGACGAGATCCAAAAAGAACACCATCGAAAGGCATAGGAGGCAACTTGAACTTGTCGCTCCACTCACCAGTAAGGTATGGAAGGGTATCATCGGAACCACCGAAACCACTACCGGCAAGCAAGACAATGTTAGGGCAGCGGCGAACCGAAGAGTACGTGCTCAAAATGGGGGCATGGAAGTCCTCGAAAGAATGGTGACCACCGGCACGACCACCAGTCCATTGAAGGACGATGGGGAATGAGGGTTAGCCTTAGCAATGGAGATGACGGAGTTGACAGCCTCGGTGGAACCGGGCTTCAAGCAGATGTACTGAACACCCAAGTCCGAAATCAACTCGTTGGCAACCTCAAGAGAAGGAATACCAGCGGCGATGGTAACACCACGAATGGGATAGCCCTCGGCGACCATAGCCTTAATCAAAGGAATCTGCCAGGCATAAGTTCTGGGGTTAATGTAGATAACATTGACGCAAATACCGGAACCAGCGGGAATGTTCTCAGAAAGCTTGTGAATAGCCTCGCGCATCATGTTGGGGTCGAAGTATCCACCACCAGCGAGCTCAAATGTATAGCCAGCTTGAGCAATAGCAGAACAGAACTCCCAGGAAACGGTAGTGGGAGTCATACCAGCGCACCAAAGAGGGGGGACACCAAGCATACGAGACATACGGGTGTCAACGTAGCATCTGCCAGCAGTGGTCTTGACCACCTTAGGGCTGAAGCTCTCCAACCAGTTGGGAGCAAATTGAACAGAGTTAACGTCACGGTCGAAGATCTCAGTCTTAGAGCCGACGTCAATGGACTCGAAAGAATCGGAGACAATGATGCGAACACCACGACCGTCCTTGTTCATGCGAGTCATGGAACCAACACCAGACAAACCGCCAGGTCCGAAGTCAATGATGTGTGTGACACCGGGGAAGTTGCAGGCCTCCTCCCAATGAACAACATTAACGGTAATCATTACAGCAAGCATCATAGGGAGCTTTTCAGGAGCCACAGCGCGCAAGTCTCTGGCATCATCGGTGGCATAAACAGGGATTTGAAGCTTACCGAAGCTAATATCCTTCAAGTCATTCTCCAAGTCAGCGCGAGCACCCTCGAGGTAGCTGCTGTGGAAGGGAACGGAAATGCTAAGGAAACGGTTGATGAAGCGAAAGCTTACGCTTGGAGTGGGGAATGCGGGCTTGGTTCTCGCCTCCAGCCTTGCTCTTGCGAAGAGACAGATTTAAACCGTACAGAGAGCGAGCAGGGCCGCTCACGACAAAGCTACGAGGACCGTTGATAAGGCTAAGGCAAACCTTGCGGTCCTCGGGCAAGTGAGTGTTCGTAATCTTAATGTGCTTGTTCAACACCTCCATGGGGAGATCACGAACGGTAAGCATGGGGGAAGGAGCTCCCTCATTGCACTCGAGTGAGTCTGACAAGACAGAAGGGGGGAGAGTAGTGGTGGGGAAGGCAAGTTGAGAGCGGACACCAATCCAGAAAAGGCAAGTGAGGGCAGACTTGGCGTTCTCGAAGAAGCTACGCTCGTCGGTAGAGGCAGAGATTACGGCAGCAACGACAATGCCCTGGGAGTGACCAGTAGAGGCGGAGAACTTGGCAGCAAACTCTCCAACATCAAGGCCGAGAATTTTAGCTGTTACATAAAACTGAACAAGTTGGGTAAGACCAATAAGGGGGAGAGAGACGGGCGCACAGACCAGGTAGTCGCGGTCAGGGCGCTCGCCAGCGAGCCAAGCAAGCACATCGAGGCCCTTGGAGAACACCTTAATGGCTTGCTCATTCTGCGACAAGTCCAAGAGGTGCTTGGCAAGTCTGTGAACAAGGTCAGCGGCAAAAGGAGCATAAACATCATAAAGCTCAACCAGCTCTTCAAAATAGTCTTCGTAGCCCTGGCCGCCGAAGATGGCACCGAGAGAGACCTTGGGGTCGTTCAACAAGGCCGAGCCATGGTTCTTGATCGTCCGACCGCTCAAGAAGCGGGAGCGGTAGTAACACTTGATGACATCCTTTTGAGCAGGGATCTCGAGGCCGGAGCGTGCAGCAACAGCGTGCACCTCGTTTCCGGCAAGGAACGTGCGCTCAAACTCGAGCGTGAAGACATTAAGGAGCTGGGTAAAATGACCGTGGGACTCCTCTTCCTTGGCGGCAATGAGCCCGATGAAGCGGGCAACAAGATGGATGTCTTGCTTGAATTCAACCTCATCAGTGTCGTTCTCAATGGCCTCGGCCGAAGGAGCAGGGTATTTCATCAAAAACTCATCACGCAGCTGTGTAGCGACAGAGTACAAGGACGCCGGCACCGAAATCGATGGAGAAAGCTTTCCGTACGAAAGTGTGAATGATCTAACGCTTTGGTTAAGGTGTGGACTCGTATATCCTGTCTCCACCATTTTTATTTAATTCTGAAGTTTCCAATCGGTGAAAATGAAGTCTGATATGTGACGGACGTCGTTCGTTTCAAGGAAACGTATATGCTAAAAAACTAGGAGAAATTAATGGAAGTTGAACAAGAATTTCTGCCGTGTTTTTTCTCTAAAACAGGATGTTTCCAACAAACAATAAACAAATTAATGCAAAACACGTCGAAACCTACGCTGCACCAGGTTTCCAAAACGAGTTTGGATGCAAATAGTGATATTTATATTCGGCCCTGGCAGAGCTTAGTTGTTGGGAAATGGCAGGAGGCCAAGAGCAGTACGTGTAGCTTCTCACGCAGAGTCACGTGAAACAGTAGGCGCAAAGGATTATGGGACGAGAGTGCAAAACAGGCTACATGAAGAAGTATGTTAAAATCTGTTTATTACGAATTTCTACAAAACTGTGTATAATTATGAAACATATGCTTTTGTGGTACTTTTGTGGGTCTGATGGAGCAGCTTATCCAATGCCCACGGTGGCAGACGTGTGGGCAAGGGGTGACGACGAATGGATGGTGTGGGAGTAGCGAGAAGTGTGTCGGTGGCATCCGCTAGGGCTGTCGTATGCGTCTATAACGCTAGCGAATAAAAAACGCGTGGTTAAAGATGTGGGCGGTGGACCCGTGTCAGCTCGTTTCGTTGAAGAACTGATTTGTCAGTGGCTTCTCACACTCCTTAGACAAAATAAGATTGGAGGGCAAAGTACGAGATAGGCTAGTTGGCGTTGGATTAAGCGAGGCGCGATGACGTGTGTCTCAGCGCGGGGCATAGCTTTGTGCACGTTTTTAGCCAATAACGCCATGCGTGCACGTGCCGAAGAAGGAGGTGGGATGTGGTGGAACGTTGCGATGTCTTAGTGAACATAGTGCAGCTTAGTGTGGGGAAGCGAGAATAGTGGGTTAGTGGCGCATTACGAGTATTACGAGCATTGCGAGCTTTGCGAAGTAAAGCGAGTGTGGAGGGAGGATGTCGGTGAGGAGGGGCAGAGCTGTGGGTACAGACAGACAGGTACGGTGGATACGACTACGGGTGCGAATTATGTTGAGTAATTGGATCGAATTGAATAGAATTAAGGCGAACTGAACTGACTGCACGACACCTCAATGCCTTTATGTAGAAGTAGTCCCTTCATGGTACAGTTCTTCAAGCCCACCCTCGGATATCGGTGTCATATGGACATTCGGTAATTGCTTTCATAAAACCACCCACTAATAGTTTCACTAATAATTTTACTAACAACTACCTTAACAACTACATTAACAATCTCACTAATATTATTTTTTCTGAAACCTGTTCGTTTGTTCCTTCATTCGTCGTGTTCCCTGCACTCAATTGTCTTCCTAGTCATGTCTTACTTTAGCGCGTCTACTACTTGTTAAGTTCCTTATTGTGGTTATTCCGGTTAACACCGGTGACTATTGCAGATTAAACGCATGATCTACTCGGTAGCCATTCTGCACTGACGCTTACAAAGAGGTACAACTCTCCATAAATGGTGTATTGCTGATATTAGTCAAACTGCCTTAATGTGCAACAATGAAAGACTGTATTTTAAATTCTAAAAGAGCTCATCGACTCACCCCCCCCCCCACAAGACTCACTTTCCGTAGACTCGTCGTAATCACCATACTCTGCACAATACCTCAACTGAAAATTCGTTTTTCTTTATATTTTTGTACGAGTCGTACACACCTAATATCACTTTTTTACCCACCCTTTTAATGATAGCGCCTTTACAAGACCCTAGTTGTTAGTGCTGAACTTGTATGCACAACGAGGGCATTCGTAAAACACGGTAGAACCTTCATCTGCACTACGCAGTTGAAGTGTGTGGAAGGTCATTTCGTCGTTACCACATTTGGGGCACTTTTCTTGGATAACGGCAGCCTCCTCTGGCTTTTTACCTTCCGTCTGGACAATACTGTGTTTTAAACGAAGAGCAGAAGGGAAAGCATTTGCACCGCTCCGGGTTTCCAAAGTCAAGTGTGCAAATTTTTCAGAAGGATAAGAAGACTGACACTGATCACAAATGGTCCACTGAGCAGTAGTACTCTCCAAAAGGTTTCCGCAGGCAGAGCAGAAAATCAACGATCCAATGGCAGACATGTTTTCGTTTTTATGGTAGGGATAATGAGAATCGACAAAAAAAATTAAAGAAAAAAAAATAAAAAAAAATAAAAAATAAAATTCAAAAAAACCGGAAAAAACCACAAAAATGAACCTCTTGAATCAAAGAGGAAGTATCTTTAATAAGAGTGTTCAAAAACCGTTTAGGTGTGTTGCGAATTATTTTTGTCCAACCACAGCAATCGCCAGCAAGTGCTAGGGAAAAGGTAACAACGGCCTACCGGGCAGTGCTACACCAGTTCCACTGGCGCCAGAGGATTTCCGAGTACATGAAGTGTTGAGAGCAAATTTCAAAACTCACCACCAAAAAGTGGAGGTAGCGGGGAGTGAGGAGAAAGGAAAACCAGGACACATTCTCCGTGGGGAGAGCACTGAGGGAATGAAGAGACGATTACGTTTCCACTCTCTCTTCCCCACCTTTACGTAGTAAATGAGGATGCCTGGAAATTTGCGTAGCAAGTATGTGTGCTTAGTACTCATTCGCTGATGTTGTACATTGAAATGTAATTCGTACTGTACAGCTGAGAATAATCACCTCGATGCCAAGTAGCGTTTCTTAGTTGATTAATTGATTCTTTTATATTTTTCGCTACTCGTGAGGACAATTCTCTTTCTCTCTCTCTCTCGCTCTCTCTCTACGAATTCTTAAGGGCATCTCCAATCTCACGCTACTACTATGTTCGACATTTCTTTGGATAGTAATTTTATGACATAGAATTGATCGAAATTCTTCGAGCAAATTTCACTTACTCCTCATTTATTGAATGTCGATGTGACTAGCCAAAGACGGATCTATTCATTCAAATTCAATCTATCCGAACCGGAACTTGCTGTTACTGCGTTGATCTTCCCGGAAGAACTTTTGAAGAAAAGGGATGTGGTAATTAAATGGCTCATTCTGAGAGCGGTTTGCTAGTTCGTTAAAGGGGTTAGGATGAGGGGTTTAAGAGGGATACCATAGCGGAAACCCGGGAAGCCTTTGCTTCGTAGGATTACGATACGCATGGCGAGAAATAATTTATGAGGTCAGCTGGATAAAATTGTAACACAGGCAGGTTGACCGTGTGGATGCGTTAAATTCAGTAGTGATATACTTCTGGGGGGGATATTTCTCGCCTAGATCTAATTTTTATTTTTTTGGAAGGGAGTGAGATGTTCATTGTACCAAATACTTAAAAGTTACTTAGCTCTAGGAATAAAACCATCCTACGTCTACGTGTTCTGAACTTAAATAGAGTTTATCAATTTGTCATAGTTTCGGTAGCTTAACCATGATTAAGTGAATTATAGTTGTGTGTAATATATAGCAAACACAGTTTTCAGCAATTGAGCGTCCAATTACTGTTTGCAAAATTTTTACGTCGAGCTTTCGTTAAACACGAGCTGAAAGTACTCATTACCTTTTATTCAATTTTGTATATTTAATTTGGCATCATGTTTTCTGCAAGAATGTAGGTGAACGACTGATCGTACCTCCGGTATTATCTTTTATTTATCACCTTCATAATTCGCATGAACGGTTGGCGGTTGTACTATATTTTCGCTATTCTTTCGTCGTCATACTAACTTCTAAGAACGAATTTTTTATACGCTACATACGTACTAGTTGGAATGGCCGCAACTTTATTTGGAAGCATTTTAATTATGGACTTCATCACTATTCCAAGAAAACCACTTTCGTTTTAGTATTTTCATGACTTTTCTTGCTATTTTGTTTCAGAATAAGCCGTACTATGTGTCAGTGACCAATTAGATTTACACCAAAAAGTTCATATAGTCATGAAGCAAAGAACTAGTTAATGAGCAAAGCGCATTTAAATTAGTAACAGAACACACACAATCGCTATAAATAACATATTCCGAGGTCTACCAAAATGTTTTTGATTGCACAAATGATTTTCTCAGTGAACTTTAAATTTGCTTCCTGGTTTTTAGTAAAACATGGTACTGATATACTATGCATTTGTATAAAGAGATCTCATAAACAATTCGCAAGCTAATCGAGTCCGATTTTTCGAATGCCAATAAAATGAGTATTCACTGCGTACGACTTGCAGTCAAACGTAATCATATTAGTAATCGGCGTCAAATTCATGATTACTGAAATAATTTTTTTGACGCCATAGTTGTTTATGTCTTTATATTTCTACAGTTTCATCTTAAATAAAGCTTCGGAACTTGTGTTTTCCAATTGTTCTTGTTGTTCTCCTGTTTCAACATAGTTGTTTTATTTCAGATATCAGTATATGCACTAACGACTACTAACGAAAGCCAAACTTTGTGAAACAAAAAGTAGGCCTACTAACATAGCTAGCTACTATCATTGGACTACTTTTATAATGGTTGCTATTTGAGCGGCTATGACCGCGAACAAACAGTCGCATCCACATTTAAAGTTTCAGTAATGCGAACAAGCGAGCGTCTGTCCACGTAAAAGTGAGCACTCATTTGTTCCTAAACACTGTTCTCTTGACTACAAAAATTGCTGCATACATAGTGTTGGATTAAATGTTACTTTGAACCCCCCCTCTCTCTCTCTCTCTCTCAGCACACTATAAAGTCTCTTAAACCGCAATTGTATGTATTGCTGTAATATTCATTTCTATATTCATTAACCAAAAAGATAATACATAATAATATAAGGCACACCTATATATTAATGCGCCATGCAGGTCATTATAAATGACGCTGTCAATTCCTCACAGCGCCATACATCTACTCTGTTGAATAAATACAATCCGATGACATCAGTCGACTGTTCTCTCCGAAAACAGTCTTGACCATATGGTCAATCACCGGCCAACCGAAGGCATTGTTGAACAACCGCCGAACGACGATATTGTTATGTGCATCGGGCTGTAAATTGACGACCACTTTGCGCCATGTCATGTCGCAGTGCCAGTTCGTAGCCATTAAACGTTCCATTGCCGTCCAACGTTCCGTCCAGCGACTGTCCGTATCCTGCAGGAGGTGCTTCACCTCATATGGATGATAAACCTTTTCATGCACAACAGGGTTTTCTCGATGCCGCGTTAACAAAAAATTCGCTTTTGGGACTTTTGGGACAAGTACCCGTGCAGTGGATTCAAAAAAGTTGTACCGTTTGTGAACCCATTCTCTGCCTTCTCGACGGTCCCTTCTCCGAATACAAAATACATTCCGATGGCGCTTTTTACGCTTCACCTTTGATGCACGCTTTTCCAATGCCATATCAACATGGACTCCATTAACTTCACTGCGTCGCACCTGTTCATCTGCCTGACGAACCGTTTCGTATGCATGTGAATCGATGTACCTACAGTTGGTCTCGCTCGACAGCCTTAAACTGTGAATTTCGTTGAGAAGCACGTTGTAATGCTGTTCATACACGTCTTCACTTGCTCGTGTCGACGATGCAGAGCTCGACGCTCCACTTTGCTCCTGGACTGCAGCAGCAGCAGCAGCATCACTCCTCCTCATCGATCCCGTGACAGAGGAATGAAGCAGAGAACGATGGTTCAGTCGAATCGAATCATAGTCGAGCAGTAGCAAGCAGCTTGTACGCAACGGCACAATGCCGTCGTTGTACAAGTTTGAATAAACGGTCCGATGTTGGAACATGCGAATGGCTTGATGAACAGGTGATGTTGGTTGTGACATGAGCAATAACAGCGGCTTCTTTGTGCGAACAGTTTTCGCTGTGGGAGACATTGTGTATTCGATATTCGGCTCCTGCACCAATCCAAGATCACGGCCAGTTTGCCAAATGATGCCACAGCTGAGTGCCAGCTTGAAGTACACTGGATTCTCGAACGTCACGCCGAGCCAGGGCGAGGCGAGCGTAATGAGATGGACAGGCTGAATTCGCTTAAAGAACTCACCATTGGTTTTACGATGAACATAGCCAGCTGCGAATGCCTGGACAGGCCCACCCAACGAGTGTCCGATCATGCTTATGCGTGAGTATACTGGATTAGGCCACTGGGTCTCCTGCAACATCCACTGCCCAACTCGTTTCCCGAGCCATCGTACACCCCGAAACGTATTGCAACGGTTACCGGGGAAGCCCCGAACGCAGACATCATCGGGGTAGCCCGAGTTGCGGCAGTACGTCTCAATGGCATCTCGCAGGTACAACATGTCAGCGTACGTGTTCGATGCCAACCCGTGCGTAATTACGACGAGATGGCGTGGCGGCTCAGGTGCATAGAGGGGTATACTGGGAGAACTAGACGATGCCCAGATGTCTTCAGAATGCTGCACATCGACACGCCAATGGGCGCCAAGGTCGACGATTGAGGTAAGCTTTTTGCGCCGGTGACGAGCAACAACGGCCTCAGCTCCGTGCTTCGAATTCGACAGCGTCACACGAAACCGGATTGGAGCGTTTTTGGAGAAGAGCATCTGGCTGACAATGTCAATTGTAACTGTGCTGTCCACAAACAGCCGTTCGTCCAGCTCAGCGACCAACGTGTGATGAGGAACGAGATTCGTTTTAAACTTGTAGAATGCATTGCATGGCGCGTTGCACGTTCTTCCATGAGCGCGAGTTTCCTCGTTAGAAGGCACATTGGGGGATGTCGCTTCGCTGGCCAGTGCTGTCCCCGAGCCCTTTCCGCTGCACGGGTCATACTCTGCATTTGGATCTGCTAATGCTGCTGGACCATGTGCGTTCTTCCAATGCTCGTTGTACACAGACACGCTGAGACTAAAAGGCCCGGATATACGAGCTGAGTACACAGGCGACAAAACATTCTTCAATTCCAAGTAAAGTTTTGTCGGCTTTTCTGACGCTACTTTGGGCCTGTCCGTTGGCGGTAGCTTGAAATGATGTACCTTTAAACGAACAGACTCGCCAAGTCGGACATTGTCGACTAGGAGATATGACAAATGGTCTGGATCATCCATGTGTATCACTGATGGATGAAGAGTATTGAATTGATCTTCCCAAGGAGATAAAAACCGAAAGAGCCCTCGAGACTCTTGAAAACCAAGTAAGTTTCTGAAACTCCTGGGGCAGGAAGGACTCGACAGATTTTGTAAATGTCACAGATTTATCAAAGTCAAACCCGAAAGCCGCGGCTGCAAGTTGAACCTTAATAACTCGGATCGGCAATAACCGCAGGCCGTTTCCTCTTGCAATCCGTTAACGGCACTAATTCTCTGAAGTCGTTTCGAATCGACAGCTGCAATTGGGACACAATTTCCCCGTCAAACGAACCGAACAATTGTTTTTCTCCGTCCGTTGCTGACTCTTCATTTCGTTCTCGTCTTGTCGCCTTCTTGCACACCGCTACTGTCTAGAACTACTTTTTACTGCGTTCCTCGTACCAGGAACGATCCATGTCGTTGGTGACGGGAAATGTACGGATGTCGTTAACGGCGTCACACGGGACACACGGCAACGTTCCATGACCTATCGAGACGAAAATGCCGCCGACTGCTACAACAACACTACATACGGCGGCCATGGAGAATTCCGTAGTGTGGAGTCTGCTAGAACAGCCGTCGGCCAGTGCGACCTACACGCATCAGCTCATTTTAAGCTGACGTAAGGTCGCGGGCCAGCAAACTTCAATCCCCCCAAAAAGTGGAGGTGTAGACGTGGGTTGCCTAACAGTAGAACCTACCCAGTACCAACCAGACCTCGTCTTGACGGATTATTTCTTTTAGGCGTAAAACGACGCTTTGAGACGACATCCAACGACTACATTTGTAATTACTAGCGGTCGGACTGCTCTTTAACGTTTTTTGTTGGCAATTGACGCCTGTTTTGAGCGGCAATCAGGTCGTGTTTTGCGTATCCGGTGCTGTTACGACCTAACACAATTGTGTAGATAAATACGCGTGTTCTCGTGTGAAACGTACCTCCCTTAGAACCAACAATTGCCTTTTACGCGTTTGTTCCTGGTGACTTGTTGTTTCTCTTTAATTCATATTTCTAACGACCGAACACCAACCGATCTTTCCTCAATACCTGTCCTCTTTCCTTTCCGTTGTGTTTATGTGTAATTTTCCATGAAGCTCTTTACTAAAAACTATCTTGTGCAGGCGTGCATGGTCGCATTTGTTGCGGTCATGGCGCGCTTTGTGTACAATGTTCATCATACGCTGTTGACTCCTGTTACGGAGCCTTATGATGCACATGGAGCTGCCCAGATGTCCGAAGCAAACATTCTCAAGCACACATACGAGCTGGCCGATCGCATCGGTTACCGTATCCTGGGCACAATTGAGCAGGAAATTGCTCGCGACTACGTGTTGAATGAAATCCACGCTCTGCAGAAGCAGCTGCAGGAGAGCGAGTACGCCAACCTTCACGAGATGGAGGTCTTTGTGGAAGAGGGCGACGGTGCTCATCGCTTCGACTTCATGAACAAAGTTGTTATCAAAAAATACCACAAGCTCCGCAACCTTGTCGTCCGTCTGAGTGACGGTACAGACGAGAGTAAGGAGAACGCCATCCTCATCAACGCACACATAGACTCGACGCTGCCGAGTCCTGGTGCTACCGATGACGCTATGGCTGTTGGTATCCTGCTGGAGGCGCTTCGTGTGCTTTCACAGCAGCCTCAGCGACTTGCACACTCCATTGTGTTCCTGTTCAATGACGCCGAAGAATCGTTGCAAGACGCTTCCCATCTCTTCATTACCACGAGTCCTCTTCGGAAAACCATTAAGGGTGTCGTGAATCTCGAGGCCTGTGGCACTTCTGGCCCCGAGATTTTATTCCAGGCAACGAATGAAGAGATGATCAAGGCTTACTCCCACGTCCCCCGTCCCTTCGGCAGTGTGCTGGCCGATGATGTGTTCCGCACAGGTCTTATTCTCAGTGACACCGACTTTCGCCAGTTTGTTCAATACGGCAACTTGACGGGTCTTGATATGGCTGTCGTCGGTAACAGTTATCTCTACCACACAACGCTCGACACGACTGCAAACATTAAGCCCGGTACTGCCCAGCAATTTGGAGCAAACATCCTCGCCATTCTGCGTTACCTTTCGTCGGCCGATGCTGATCTCGACAACAACGGCAGCGGCCGCATGGTCTACTTCTCGTTGCTCAACCGCTTTTTCTTCATGTATCCCGTATCCATTGGCCGAGTAATCAACTCTATTGTCGGTTTTCTGGGTATTGTACTTTCCATCCGCAACCCAAGCTTTGGATTCTTCAAAGCGCTTTTTGTCTTCCTTCTTTCCCTTGGTAGCATGTTCTTCTTTAATAATTTGTGGGCTTTCTTCGTCAGCAATGTCCTTGATTCAAGCATGAGTTGGTTCACCAACGAAATGTACCCCTTGGTCATTTACTTTTCCCTGTCTACCGCCGTCTTATTCTTTATTGGCGCGCTCTTTCACATTTCCGACTATCTCATGTTTAAAGCCGTTGTCTTCTGCTTCTCGTTGGCACCTTTCATCCCCCTCGCATCCTCCTACCTGTTCATGAGTCTTGCCATATGGATGGTCCTGGGCTTGTTGTTGAATGATTTTGTTTTCTCACGCCCAGGCCGTCTCCACCCCGTCACTTACTTCATTAGCAACATTGGCACCTTCACATTCGGCATAGAGGCCATCTACGGTATGCTTGACATTTTCGTGCCTCTTACTGGTCGTATCGGAACAGCGAAAGTGGCCGACAACATCATTGCTACACTCTGCTCACTCGGCTATACGGTCGTGTTCCCGTTGCTGACAGCGTGGATCCAACGCTTCCACTCGATCGGCGCGCTGAAGCGTGGCTTCTTCACTTCCGTTCTCGTCTTCCTGAGCTTGTCTATCTATCTGTTGCGCCAACCCACATACTACGATGCACTGCATCCTCGTCGTGTCTTTGTGCAACACATGGAGAACATCACGTCTGGCGAGTTTTCGCTGCACATCGCAACGGCCGACACGGCCCCAGGTTTTGAGAAGCTTGTCGATGACATCTCCAACGAGTTCTCTGCCGTGCCTGCCGTAGCAAACAACGTCGATGACTGGAATTCCGACTGGGACACCATCTATCCTTTCAGCCAATTCCTCGACGCCTATCGTGTGCCATTGAAGGATACCGTTTCGGTGGACCTGTTGCCCACCATCACACTCGATGAGGCAATCGAAGATGGCGACTTAATGAATGTGACAGTGACCGTTCACCATCCCGGTCTTCTGTGGACCGTCTTGTCGTTCGACGCCGAGCTTATTAGCTGGTCCCTGCCTGATGTTCCCGTGGGCACTCGCCGTCACCACATCCGGGAGGTCAGTACCTACGGCACTGATTCGTACACGTTCAGCATGTCATACAGAAAGGCACCCATTTACATGGATTTTGTCGGCATGGATGGGTTTGCCCACTATCCCTCAAAAATAAACGAGGGAGGCAACAGAACGAGTATCCAGATCTGTGACAAGCTGTACAAGGACATCTTGCCTGAATGGACCGATCTGTTGTGCTATGGCATCGTCGCCGGCGTATACATTATTGATGCTTAGACAGAAGTGTACAGCATTTTTTCTATTAACGACAACAGAAGCATGAGTGGGCTGCGGCTCCTGATCCTGCTGTTTTTATTATCACACAGCCTCAACCTCTCTTTCGTCCGCACCCCCCCAAAAGCGTTCCTTTTATTTCGCAATCTCTCGTATGACGAAATAGACAGTGCAATGCAACACACGCTCGACGAACTCAGCGGTCACAGCAATCACACAGCCCTAGCACACCATCCATCTGCCTGCGTGGGCACATACAACCTGCCCGCATTTGTCCCGCTTTTACACATCCATTTCTTCGGGGCACTTAAGCACGAGTGTTTAACGTTTTTCCCCTAAAAAACACGTGAAGCACTATCAATCAATCTTATCTTATCTGATCCTGATATGAACAACCAAATCATGTGGATGAAAAAAATGAAACGAAGAACAGAAAAAACAATAACGAAACTTGTAATTTACATTTTTGTCGAATAGACTTAATCTCCTCGCGCCTCCTCCGCGCCTTTCATTTTCCTATCCTCGTTTTGAATAAACTTTTTTCGCTTAGTGTGTAGCCCTTCGGCCCTTGCTAAATGCCGAAATATTCGGCCAAGGAAAAAAAAAGACGACTTTGCGACTTTCCGCCTCGCAGCATGATTCGACAGATTTAAAACGACGTTCAGGGGGTCGTGTGACGTAGAGTTAGCGTCAACAGGCCATCTCTGCGGTACCAAGACACGCGGTATCGTTCATATTTGCGGCGCATCACACCTCCAGATCATACACACCTTTCGCAAGCCCTAAACTGCGCCTGCTAACCGAGCTCGGATGTTTATTCTGATGGAGTTTTTTTTTCGGCGGCGATATCGTGTGTAACACGCCAGTCCCAATGCTACCACCATTTTCTGTGACGCTCCATCAAAACATGCGATTTGTTCGCTACACCACATCACCCACACCAGTGCGTGCACCTTAATTCGCGTTTGTCCTCTTAAACTCAACCAACCACTTTCAATTCAGCTGAAAGCCTGTATCTGTACATTTGTGTGCTGCGACTCGTGTAATCGACGTCCGCTGCTCGTTAGGATCCATTGGGAATAAACAATTGCTGCTACTGCTGTCCGTGGTCTATTTTCGTGTCTAGTCTTGTCTTGTCTCGTCTTTTGTCGTTTATTGTTGTGTCGTCTCGGTTTTGTATACTGAGCTGTACTCTACTAGTGCTGCCGCCACTGTTTCTACGAAACAATTGCGTATCCTGCGTTTCGTGTGCATTGTGTCGCTGACTTTAAACTCGATTCGTCTTTATCATCATCTCAACTGTCTCTTCTACGTGTTTGTACGTGTATTTTCAAGAACATTTGATTCTCCGGTATTCTGAGCATTCGCCTTTCTTTTTTAACGCGAATTGTGAAGAAGTTTAAGGAAAAAAAATTACCTGTAGGACTCTTGAGAACCACAAAAACGAAAGAATATCATTCATAAACGGGGTTCGTCGCCGTCTTTACTGCTTTTAGCTATTGCAGAAAATCTCATTTCTTTCAGATACCTGCAAACCTCTTACCGCGTGTGTGTCGGGGGTTTACGTCTTTCTTGAGTGTTATCGTTGCCCATTGACCTGTGTGTCGCTGCTATTCGTGCATTAGTCCCTGCTTATAGCTCGTACTATTGCTCTTTCTCACTGTTGTGTTACTTTTACTCTCCTATCTATACTACTGTTGTGCTCGTGTAAGCATTTCTGGTAGACGGAAGACTTTGTTCGTTGTTTTCTGTCGCCGCTCCTGTTTCATTATTTGCGTGAGGCATTCTTGTATCTCTTGCAAAGTTTTCTTTTTTCTTTCACTTTCGCACTGAGACTCTGTGTCTGTGTGTGCATTAGTATTTCGTCTTATTCCTTTCCTTTTCTTGCTGTACCATTGTATTTATTCAAGGCCAGCTCAGCCATATACTCTTACCACATACTCAAATTCTGCTGCTCTGCTCTGCTTTTGCGTTGCTGAGTTTCTTGTTTGTCTTCTAAACACTACTATAAAGCGTCTGCGTTTTTCTCTTCGTGTGTATTTCTCTTTTTTTTCGCAATGCTCTCGTCTTCTGCAACAACCTCTTCTCTCTCTGCTTGCCCTAACGGCGCAGGCAACTTGGATTTTTCCACAATGCGTACGTCGCCGCTGGGCTCTTCGGCCCTTGAGGCTTTCTCCTCGTCGTCACTCGCCGACTCTGTGCACTCCGGCGCTGGCGGGGCAAGAGGTGGCCATGTGGATCATCGTGGTTCCTTTGCCCGTGCTCCCGGCTACGAAAGCGCCCAACGGTCTCGTTGCCCGTTTTCTTCTATGCAGCAAGCCTTCTCTTCGCTATCGCTAAACCGCACTGAAGCTGATGGCGCTGCGAACCTTGCGTCGCTGCTTCCTCGCGACCTCGTTTTTGATTCTCGCAGCCATGAGCCTATCCACAAAAGCCCCGGCACTTCCTGTAACTTTAATACGTCCCTCCCCACCTCTGTTTCCGCCGTTCCCTCTTCGTCTCTTTTTGAGAACGACTCGCCTACCCTTGCTAAAAGAACTGCTCTGCACCGGGAGGTTTCTCGGCCAGCTGTTCATCGGACATCCAGCGACGTGCACTCGTCGCATGTGTGTCCACATGTGGCTATGAATTCCACTAACGGTGGATTTTCTTCATCGCATGAGGATGTGCCCGTGGGCCACTGCTGTTCAGGCAAGCATTTGTCGAATGGTGGAAATTCGGTCCACAACGCATCCGTGATGCACCATCAGCATCGACTGTGGGCTTCACAAGATGTTGCAGACAACGCTGTCGGTCATCATCATCTTAATTGTGGAGGGGCCAAAGCGGCGACTGCAAGTAAATGTTATTCCCAGCATTTCTCGAAACATGAGTTGGGCGATGAAGGATTCTCGCGAATGAACTTTGAACACCCTATGCGTTCTCGTTCGAGTGTGACCCATCAAAAGGCAGGTTCGCCGTCGTTCTGCCCGCATCACAATGGCGCATCCATGTCTTCGCTACCCCTCAGTGCAGGCGAGGTTACTGAGCATAGCTCTATTTCAAGTGGTGAAACTGTAGCGGGATGCCATCCTTTGCTAAGCAATGGTTCTACTGATTACGGTCTTTCGGCCTTTTCGCCCACTGCATCGGGTCTTTCGACGCCCAGCTCGGAGCTGCCATCACCAGCCCATGAGCACGGCACTACGTGCTGCCATTCTCACGGTGCTTCTGCTCATCCGTGTCCATTCGTCGAATCGCATCCTCATCTGGCATCTCGTTTCCCTTTGTCGAACTACACGGGGCCTACTAGTTTCCAACAGTTGAACTCTTTTCACAAGATCTTCAATCGCCCGTTGAATCCTCATTTATTCCCGTTGTCCACTGGTGGACTGAAGTCCGGTTTGTCTTCCGGCATTGGTTCGCCTACTCTCTATGGCGATGAGTTTTCTTCGTCGCTCTCTGGCTACTCCAGTTCCGTGGCTTCACCTGAATCGGACAAGTCTTGTGGCCGCTGCAGATGCTGCGAAAATGCCTCTCATACCGTTGCATCCAATGTGTCGAACGCCTCCGACTCACCAACGCTGCTTAATTCCAGCTTAGCTTCCTCTCAGCACAAGCCTACTCGTGCTTCGACGCAGCGTTCTCGAAGCAACAGCGCCGTCTTTAATAACACGAAGAAGACGCATAAGCAGCAGAAGCGTTCTGTGGATGATGGCAAGAACGGTGATAAGAAGTGCTTGGAAGCTTTGTCTACCTCTCCTTTGGAAAGCTTTTTGGGCAAAATCTATCCTTTGTGCAAAGATCAATACCGCTGCCGCTTTTTGCAAAAGAAGTTGGATGAGAACCCCCGCAACAATGTTGCAATTGTGTTTCCCGAAGTGTATGCTCATATCAATGAGCTCATGACTGATCCTTTTGGTAATTACATGTGCCAAAAGCTGTTTGATTATGCTTCTCGCGAGCAGAAGATTATGCTTCTCACTGGTATTGCTGATGAAATCGGTGAGATTTGTTTGAATATGCATGGTACTCGTGCTGTGCAAAACATCATCGAGAAGCTTACCTCGAATGAGCAAATTTCATTGCTGACTCTTGCTTTGTCTCCCCATGTCGCGAAGTTGTCGTGCGACTTGAACGGCAATCATGTTATTCAGAAGTGTTTGCACAAGTTCTCTTCTGAGAAGCTTCAGTTCATCTTCACTGCGATGGAGGAGAATATCGTTGAGATAGCAACCCACCGCCATGGATGCTGTGTTCTTCAACGCAGTTTGGACCGTGCTGGTGAGGAGAACAAGCGCCGTCTTGCATTCAAGGTCATTGCAAATGCTTTGGCTTTAGTGCAAGATCCGTTTGGAAACTATGTTGTCCAATATGTATTCGACCTGCGGAACGATGAGTACAATGACATGCTGGTAACCCAGTTCTCGGGTCATATCTGTGATCTTTCTATGCAAAAGTTTAGTTCGAACGCCATCGAGAAGTGTATTCGGGTGTCTACGCCTGAGTCCTGTGAGCGCATGCTGGAAGAGGTGCTTCAGTCTTCTCGTATGGAAAAGCTTTTGAAGGACAGCTATGCCAACTATGTCATCCAAAGCTTCCTTACGCATGTGACGGGTGAAATGCAACAACGTCTTCTTCAAGCCATTAATCCTCTCTTGCCGAAGATTCGTAATACCTGTCACGGTCGTCATATTACTGGTAAGGTCGCTTCTCTCATCGCAACTGCCCAAAGTGCTGCTTAGCTTTTAGGTGGTGATTTTATACTCGTTTTATGTGTTTGTTAGGTCTCATTCGACCATGTATATATTATACGTTTCGCCTGGTCACTGAACAAGAAACAAGAACTGTACTCTCTTAGCTACGGCACATGGACTTTTTGGATTAGTTTTGTATATAAGAATATTATCATTGTATGTATATATACTACTACAAGTCATTTCGATTTATATATATGTGGGTGTTGTTGGCGAGAATGAGCAGGTCTTGATTGAGAAGGCGTTGGACAGGTTCGTCGAAACTATGCTACATATTGTTGGTTCAGGCTGAAGAAACGATGCCGGTTGGATCTTTGCATTGACGAAGTGAAGTGAAACACAACAGGTGCTTTCACACTTCCGCCGATCGACTTGTTGGTCTCTCCATCTTTGTCTGAAAGAACATGAGATTCATCAATGTCACCACCACTTTCCCACCAAATTCGGATGGAATTTAACGGCAAATAGAAAGATGAAAAACGTGATGATCCTATCACTTTCTATACGATAAAACAGTATTAGGCGGTTTCACATTTTTGTTCCAAGGAGGTTTTTGGCTATCTGCTATCGTATCTAAGCCTAACAAATATTATCAGATAACTTAAAATGATAGGAAACATAAGAGCCAGGCGATAATCTGAGAGGACTCGAAACGAGAACGAGAACAACAACAACACTGAAAGACGTAATCTTAATGGGGGTTCATATTTTTAAAGTTATCAAGATAGGATAAGATATCAAGTCTTTTGTGAAAGTCACCACCAAAAAAACTGAAGCTATGGGCCTACCAGTATGTGGTTTCAGCCTGTTGGAAAGACTGATTCATTCATCCGGTGCACCAGAATGGCACCTATTTATCCCAAAAGCCGGCTCAAACGTTTAGTAAAGCAAAAAACAAACAGACCCATTGAAAATGGGGCTCTTGATTTGGTAAGTCACTAGAACAGTATAAGAACTTGGAAGCGATGATGTTAGTGCGACGAGTTGTCTTTGTAGAGAACGATTCCACTGACACTCTTTATTTGGTAAGATGTACATGGACTACTGCATCTTTTTACAAACGCTGTTGAAAGAATCCAACATTGAGGCAGCCAAAGAGAAAGAGAAGCAGATCCAGGCTAGTCATATCGAAAGGGCAGAAAATGTATGTATATCATTGGGACACGAAGCGTCATAAAGAGGAGCGTAAAAGAAAGCTTTGTGGCGACAGACAAAGGAAATGATATCTGACAAACAGGAAACACTTGCGAAGTTTCGGGGATGAGAATTATAAGCTTGCCAGTGTTTTTGCACTCATTTCGTCGTCTTAAAGATCGGGTCTGCTGTTCAGGACACGAACAATACAGCCAACGCCAGCAATTTCAACCAACTAGTAATGTTAATAAAGTCACGTTCCATGAAGCATGTGTATTTAAGTAAAAATACCTTTTGATGCCAGTTCAAGAGGACAGCAGAATTATACTTGGCGGGTTCAGCGAGTCCCTTGTAAATATAGTTCATTAAGTATGTGTGTTGGTCAACCGACAAGCTTTTCAGCAAGTCGGGAATGTCTGACAAACGAATGTTGCTCAGTACATCCAAGAACGCAGCCAAGAATTGTGACTGATAATGTTAGCACGAATGTGAAAAGGAGGAACGGAAGGGGAAGAATTCACGACGACGCAGAACCACTGGGAACAATTCGTCTCTGTATCTTCAGTATAGGTCTTCATACCTTTGCTTCTTCTACGTCGTAACCATAAGGAGGGTCAGAAAGGAATGCAGGAAGAGAGGCAGCAGCGTTTCCACTACAAAAACTCGTTAGTAACGGGTTGAAATGAACCTGAAGACGCGATCTACAAAGACATACCCAGAAATGGCGGAACGGGCTTGGTCAACGACAGCAGCTACCTGTTGGTTGACTTCGTCGGCCGGGGTTTCACGAGGAGGAAACAGATCTTCTTCTCTGAGGAAGTCGGATTCATACTGATCTACATTCAAACTTCTAAACGACATGCTTTTCTTAACAAACGGAGCAAATTATGAGCAGGTATGCACGGACGACGGAGAGGTGGTTGATGGATGTAACGGGAGACAGGAAATGCTTGACACTAGATGAACACTTTAATACATGAAATCTACAAACACAATTGTAAGCCAGCGTGTTATACATTCCGTTTGCTCATTTATTGACATATCAAATATGGACGAATACTATATAAGGAGCGCGAACACCATTTCTTTTCTCCAGTACTCCAGACCATTATTGTGGACGGAAGCCCTGAAAATCCACAGATTTCTGTCTCTACCTTTGGTCTCAGAAGAACGCCAACGGTTCAACACAGAGGAGCTCTTATGGGCTCTCCTACGAATACGTTGGGACAAGTTTGTTCGATGGTTGTTCGTTAGAATATCTTAGATTATGTTAAACTAGATTAACGAGCTTGTTTGGTTTTTGCCTTAAGAAATGTTAACGTGTGTCAAAGAGTACTTAAGGTGTGTTACGTGCTGCTTTATATTGTTTTGTGTGTGTACCGTACTCGTCGTTATAGCGTATGCGGTGCTTCTTCGTATCAGTAAATAGGATAGTGCATATTGCTAACTCGCTCTATACTTATTTACGGTGTTCTATAGTTTTGCAGTATTTGTATTTACCGCACCACACAAACCCTCACAATATACCCACCTTCTTGTTCTTCGCCCTACCCCGTGTATGTAGTCGCGACGCGATTTGTCTGAGACTAACACTAGAGTATAGAGAAGTGAAAATGCCGGTTCACGGGCTGTTGCATTGTAGCCATGTGTCTATGGCTACATTTTTGGCAGTTGCACAGGATCGACTCTTGAAACAACATCATGCCCAATTTCTGCGTACGTAAAACGCTTGCTGTTCTGTTTCATGAATATCTGTCTAATAAACGCCTTGTATACAGGGAAGTGGAATGTCCACTACAAGCTGTACAGAAATGCAATCTCACCTAAAGTGCTCGAGTTCCTTTATCAAAACACGCAACCGAACATGATGGCTTCTATCAACAATGAGGAAGCTGTTGTAGACACAGAAACTGATTTAGAGGCCATCATTGTTCGAACCAAATTGTGGACCTTTCGACAGCACTTGTGTGCTGAAGGTGCCATCTACGAGGTCGGTGATTTCGTCATAGGAGTCGCCAATCTGCTGCAGAAGACCACATGGAAGGGCTTTCTCGTTCACGTTGTGTTCAAGGGCTCTGACGATATGTCAATTGCACAACCCATTATTCGTGACCTCTGTGAAAGCTGCTTCTTTCGGGATCCGACTGTCCCTGTTCACGAAAGTTACTACATCAGCGAACAGCAATATGCTTCACCAAAAACACTTCAGAGTCTGTTTAAGCAGCGTAACACCATGGAAAGAAATTCTTCTACTACTTCCCTTCACGCCTCCGCCAATGTCCCTCCTATGGTTCCTGCACCAACTGCCGAGATTCCTTCCGGCTCAACCACCGATGCGTCCTCTGCCGCTGCTGCTGCTGCTGCTGTTGCTTCAAATATGCAGCAGGGTCTCCACCCAGCGGCCCCCAATTCTGCTGCTGCTGCTGCCTACAAAACCGAATTCCCCATGATACTAACGAACACCGATTCCTTTGTAGATCTCACAAACATGTAACCTTTCCCCGCAATAAAAATCCCCGACTATAGATGTGTGAGTGTGATCGACGACGAAAAAGCAGATCCCCCGCAGCCGAAGACGAACTTTATATTTACATACGACTACAAGTCCTACAAACCAAACCAATTGTTTTTAATCAAAAATAGCAGAATCAAGAAGCCATTTAGTCAAGAGCGTCAGTCACAACACCCTTGGAGGCAGTGGAGACATTACGGGCATACTTAAGGAGAGTACCCTGTTGGTACTTGAAGGGAGGAGCCTTCCAGCCGGCACGACGACGAGCCATCTCAGCTTCGTCAACAAGCAAGTCCAAAGAATTCTTGACAGCGTTGATCTCAATGATATCACCGTCCTTAACGAAAGCAATGGGGCCACCCATTTGAGCCTCAGGGTCAACGTGACCAATGAGGAAACCGTGAGAGCCACCACTGAAACGACCGTCAGTCAAGAGAGCAACATCCTTGCCCAATCCAGCACCCATAATGGCACTAGAAGGCTTAAGCATCTCGGGCATACCGGGACCACCCTTGGGACCCTCGTAACGAATGACAACAACAGTCTTCTCACCCTTCTTAAACTCACCACGCTCCAAAGCCTCAATGAAGAGGTTCTCGGCATCGAAAACGCGAGCCTTACCGCGGAAGAAGAGACCTTGCTTACCAGTAATCTTGGCAACGGAACCCTCAGGAGCAAGAGAACCACGAAGGACACGCAAATGACCCTCCTTCTTGATGGGGTGCTTCAGATCCTTAATGATCTGTTGACCCTTCTTCAACTCGGGAGCAGCCTTCAAGTTCTCGGCAAGAGTCTTGCCAGTAACGGTCATGTTAGAACCGTCAATGAGACCCTCAGCGTGCAAGTACTTCATGACAGCGGGGACACCGCCAATGGCGAAAAGATCCTCCATGACATACTTGCCACTAGGCTTCATATCAGCGAGGAAGGGGGTGCGGTTGCTGACGGCTTGGAAGTCGTCAAGCGTCAACTTGATGCCGACAGAGTGTGCAATGGCAATCAAGTGAAGCACAGCGTTCGTGGAACCACCGAGAACCATGGTAAGAACCATAGCGTTCTCAAAAGCACTACGAGTCATGATGTCGCGGGGCTTGACGTCGTCAATCAAAATACGCTTGATGGCCTCACCGGCATCCTCACACTCCTTGAACTTCTCGGGCGAACCGGCAGGGAAGGAAGAGGAACCAGGCAAGGTCATACCGAGAGCCTCAGCGCAACTGGCAATAGTGTTGGCAGTGTACATACCACCGCAAGCACCACCACCGGGGCAAGCGTGACGAATGATGTCGTGGCGAGTGGTCTCGTCAATCTCACCGGTAATGTATTGACCATAGGATTGGAAAGCAGAGACAACGTCAATGGGAGCATTGTTCTGGCACTTGCTGTGACCGGCACGGATAGTACCACCGTACAGCATGATACTGGGACGGTTGAAGCGACCCATGGCAATCAAAGAACCGGGCATGTTCTTGTCACAGCCGGGAATGGAGATATTGGCGTCATACCATTGAGCATTCATCACCGTCTCAATGGAATCGGCAATAATCTCACGGGACTGAAGCGAGTAACGCATACCAGAGGTACCCATAGAGATACCGTCACTGACACCGATCGTGTTGAACTGGTAGCCAGTAAGACCGGCCTTTTGAACACTGGCCTTGACGCGACGACCAAGGTCCAAAAGATGCATGTTACAGGGGTTACCCTCGTACCAGCAACTGGCAATACCGACCTGGGGCTTAACCATGTCCTCCTCGGTCAAACCAGTAGCGTAAAGCATAGCTTGAGAAGCACCCTGAGACTTGGGCTCTGTAATTGTAGCACTGAACTTGTTCAGCTTTTTCTCGACATTAGCGGCCGAGATGTTCGTGTAAGAACGAGCGCTGGCGCGCTTGGCCACAGAACAAAGAGCCTTAGCACGAGCAAGCTTATTCAACATCATCTTGAAGACTTCCTCGTAAATCCCAACTCAGTCCAAAAAAAGTTACGACAGAACCGCACGTAGAACGAATCTGCTGTTTCTTTTTCGTTTTTTTTTCTGGTGTATAGGACTGGACACGAAAGAGTGAGTGACTTTTGGGAGGTTAAAAGGGAGCGCGCGGCCCTATATATACACGTCCATATCAGCCAATAATCACAAGCTTATTGGGTAGGTGCCGATTTGCCCAAACGGGTGATCGATACTAACCGAGTCCTAGATTTAGAATAAAATCGCAGATTGAGGCGCCAATATACATAGAAAAAATGTCAAGTATGTTTTTTAAGCGCCTAAATGTATTCTTCATTATTGGTTTAGTCGAGAAATTTAGGTTTTTGGAAGTTACCAAAAATGGTGACGCTCCTCTAAAAAGTGCACTTCATACAGTAAATTAATCATTTCCTCATTCAGATGAGCGAATTGTACGTACAGGCGATGTTTAAAGGCGTTTCATGATCAATTGCCTGCACAATTGATGTTTGAGAGGACAAGAGGTGGAAGAGGTGCTGCGCAGGTTCATGCGTGCCCCTGAGGCTCGTTGCTATGGCGACGACGACCAGAACAACCTAACCAGAGCCAAAAAACAAGAAAACGAATAAACGAGGAATCGCTGGAAAATAACAAAAGCAATTAGCTTTAAAAAGTGTTTCTGAACTTAATATACAGTTTCTGTCTATTTGAATTAAAGAGAAAAGGGTTTACGAAGAACGAGAGACGACGAAACGAAAACAGGTTCAAAACATCACTATAGTGCAAAATATTTAGAGATGGGTATTCATCGGATTAGCAAGTGTCAGATATCAAGACCAATTATTGTTGGAAACGACGCAAAACCGTTGACGGAAGAAGAGAAACAAAATGCACCCAAAGATCATACTCACCATTGGCGAATCTTTGTGGAAGGAGTGGACGGAGAGGATATTTCGCCTTGGATAAGAAAGGTCGTCTTCAAACTGCACGACACGTATCACAACTCCACGAGAATCATTGAGGAGCCACCGTTTGAAGTGAATGAAACGGGTTGGGGAGAATTCGACATCATGATTCGAGTGTTTTTCCCGCCTGAGGCACATGAAAAGCCCATAACATTCTTTCATCGGCTTAAACTCCATGCATATTTGACGACGGGTGATACAGTGACACCTCTGAACGAGTATGTGAAATCAGAGCAGTATGAGGAAGTTGTCTTCAACGAGCCGACTGAGATTATGTATAATATTCTTACTCAGCACGCGATCGGTGATGGGCACGGGCTTGCTGTTGAGCCAGAACCTGGCCACGAGTTTTCTTTACAGCGTGAACAGGACGAAGTGGACAAACTCGACATTGCCGTCGGAAAAGTGAACGAGATGATTCAGTCATATCGTAAGCGGCTCCAAGAACTAGGCGGTACTCCGGAACAGGGCACTCCAGTTGCGCAATGAGCAAGTGCGAGGGAGCTGTTTGCATGGATTATTTTTTTTGTATTTTTAGGTGAACTTTCGTTTGTTCTCATTGATGTTTTTGTGTGTGGAGGGTATGTATATGTATGTATAAAAGTCTAGCATCGTGTTATGTAAGCATTTTTTGTCCGCAGTGAGCGTCTATTCGGGTTGAGGGAAAACACCATTGTACATGTAAACCAAGCCGAAGAGGACGAACAAGGCACCGCCGAAGAGCATCAAGACACGAGGGCTCACTTTCGAGGCCACCAGTTTTCCGCTGACGACAGCCAGACCGGTGCAGCAAGCATGGCCGACCAAACTACCAAGGAGCACCATCATAAAATTGTCCGTAGCAGCCAGAGTGACGGTAGCAATTTGCGAGCGGTCGCCCCATTCGCCAACAAAAGTTAGAGAGAAAGCCTTGACGAATGTGGGAGACAACAAAAAGGTGGTGAGATTGCTGAATCCCTCACGGACTCGAATGAGCAATGTTTGCTTAGGTGTCTTCGTTGCACCGTTCGCACCTGCTTCCAAACGCTCAGGAAGAGAATCGGTTGCTCGGATTTCGTTGCTGACATGCAAGAATTCTTCCTCCATGGCATTACCCTCGCCTACTTCGCGAGCTTCTTGGATCATTTTGTACCCGAACAGCAAGAAGAGGCAGGCACCAATAATGTCGGTGAATTGTTTGTTAATTAAATAGGGAACAGCGGAACCAATGACACAGCCCAAAAGGGTCATGAGGGCCAATGCACCGTAAGATGCTAAGAAAACGGTGACACGCGAGTTTTCCATGGCGAGCAAGGCAGCGACAATGAATGTTTTATCACCCAATTCGCAGCCAAAAATCATACTAATGGCAAACACAAAGCTTCGAATCAAACCTTTTTTTTCTGTAATTCCCAAAGCAACAAGTTCAGCTGGGTCTGCAGCATAACAGCCTAAGGCGGAAGCCATAAGCATGCCTAAAACGAAAACATTTTTTAAAACAGACATTTTTCGGTCGAGGTACGTATCACTCAAACAAATTGTGAGAGTAATTGAAGTCCAAAGTAGTTTTTAGTAAGTGAACAAGACAATAGGCCAGGAATTGACTTTAAAAGTATTCGTTCGGCGAATACAAAAAAAAAGGATTAGTAACGAATGTAGGATTTGAGCAAACCGATTTGTCCAATGAACTCTATTCCCAGTAAAACCCGTTGCTATATGAGCAATCTAATTAAAAAAGAATGGAAAGGGGAACCGTCTAAAGAAAAAAAAAGAGAGGGAAAAAACTAAATAATGGAAAAAAAAAAAAAAAATAAAGAGCCGAACAGTAAAAAATGAGAAAAATAAAAGCAATTATCCGAAAGGCTAAAAAGCTTTTAATTCTTCAAATACCTTCTAACAAGAAAGAACCGCGTGTTCGCGAAATTAGAATTCCCTACTGATTGCAGTAGTTGGAGAATTACCGTATTTAAGAAGATGCAATTTTGAGTCGGCCAACAGTGACGGCTACATGTTCGGATAAATAATTTCGCTTTTCTTTATTGGAACGGTACTGTCGCATAAAGAAAACTTATTTAAATATTTACGTAATTAACAATGATGGGGGTTGTGCTTCTGTAAGTTGGTCGAGAGAATTACTATAATTGATATAAAAAGAATTAAGTCGATGAAACGTGGGGACAGTACCATGGGATGAATGCACGTTCCCTTTACTGGTTGATTCTATAAAGTCTAATTACAATTGTTTCATTGTCAAACGAAAGATGATGATGGAACCAGGTATATACACATATAAGGTAACTTTGCTTGAACAGACTAATATAAGGGCTACATCCAGATTGTGCTGCAAGGGTCCACAAAGGTGACCTTAAGGGTATAGTCGATTATAGCAACTGGAAATAGGCACTAGAGTAATATTAGTACTACCCTAGCTTACAAAATCAAGTACTGTAACGACTGCCTGAAATTTATTAAAATTTGTAGCCTAGTAAAGTACGACTAAGTATGCAAACAAAAACTATTTCAGCAACGACCCGTTACAAACACACACGCTCCCTATTTGTCTTAGTTGACTTTTGAATATGATTAAGCACCTCGTCTAAAAAATACTTGCAAAGTCATATTAGATCAAGTTTGGGCATCATCGTTCCTTAAACTAGCAAACCATAAAACGGTGCAGTTACGAGATCTCTGCGACAAAAAATCTCTCGTATAAATATTATAATCATTCTTTGCAAGCAAATTCAGAACAAGAATGTTTTTGAAAGTATGCAGCACACAATGCTAACAATGAATTCCTAAAGTGTAGCCCATAGTGTGGAATCGGAAAAGCAATACACAAGCGATTGAAATGTCATAAAAACGATGGAAAGGCGTAATACAACGGAATATATACTCAATGTCTGTAGAGAGCTAATAGCATTGGGTCCGAAATTAGCTAGCTGTAAACGAATGAAGAAGAGGGATAGAAAAAGGGTTGAAAATAAAACAAGCGGCGGGCATGGCAGACATTAGACAGTGATGCTTAGAAAAATAATTAAGCGATGTGGGAGGGCCCGGCTTAAAAGTAATAAGCTGCGGCACATTTTTATTACTGTTGATTCTGTTGCTCAGAGGGCTGTTGTGGTTGAGCTGGAGCTTGGACCTGGTAAGGTTGTTCCGATTGAGATTGATTTTGTTGCTCCTGTTCCTGCTGTTGTTGAGGCTGTTGTTGCTCCTGCTGAGGTTGATTTTGTTGCTCGGACTGAGACTGCTGTTGTTGAGGTTGATTTTGCTGTTCAGGTTGGGATTGCTCCTGTTGAGGTTGATTTTGTTGCTCAGGCTGAGATGGCTGCTGTTGAGGTTGACTCTGCTGCTCTTGTTGCTGCTGAGGCTGATTTTGTTGCTCGGACTGCTGACCTTCCTGTTGTCCTTGCTGCTGCTGTTGCTCCTCCGGTTTTGGCAATTCTGACTCATCACGCCAAGAAAGACCTTCCTTTTGGTCGAGAATGGCGGAAAACTTGTCAAAGTTTTCCTTGCAGGTACCGAAGTCCTTGCAACCAGCAAAGTGGACACAAAAATCGCCATCATGCCAATTGTAATCCTCCATGTGACTACTGTAAGCATTGATGAGGCGATTTGATACAAGCGCAACTCGCTTACGAAGTTCAGGATAATTAGAGATCATGTGTCCCAAGACCTCTTGCTCAGCAAAGATCCACGACTTTTCCAAGAACAGGGGCTCAATCCATACGTCCAACAACCACCGTGTAAATTTCGTGTTGCGGAAGAACATGCTACCGGCATTAATGCCGTTCCAATCCTGACTGATAATCAGGTGAATGTCGTTCAAGTTGTAGTCGCCGGGCGTTATAGTGTTGTCGCTAATACCCGAGCCAGGTGTGTACCACCGGTTGCGAAAAATGGTACTATTGAGTTTGTCGTATCGCAGCAGATCGTTCACCAAGTGAAAATCTCGGTTGATGATCAGAGCATCATGGTCCAACCACCAGATCCACTCTGCGTCTGGATAAGTGTTCATTGCTTCACGCAAAATAGGAATTTTTGACCATGCAGGAGCATGTTGCTTGCTGATTTCGTAATTGTCAACATTGCGCTGCATGAACTTAAAGCCGTGGCGTTCTGCGTACGCACGACGGTTCTTAACAATACTTTTAGCCAAATAGTACATAGATGATTCGGGGTGAGACTCGAGGTTCGAAGCGAAGACCATCACCACTTTTTCAGGCGACGGATTGCTGTCGCCTGTAGGTCCAGGAACCACAGATGTGCTTGTGGTCGTAACACTTTCAGTCACATACTCAGTGTGGTGCTCTGTTTGTGTATAAATGTACGTTTTTTCGACCGTAGTCACTGGAATAGAAGATGAAGCTATACCATTCGCTTCATTTTGTTGCTTTTCCCGATGGAAAGCACTGTTTTGCATGCGTCGATCCCATGATCTATTCCAAATCGTACCAACGGTAAAGGCAATGACAATAACACTGCCTAAAATCAAATGAGAACCAAACCTCATTTTTTCAAGACAAAATCAAGTGAAGAGTAAAACAAAAAAGCAAGCAAGAGATGAAAAGGAAAAAATCAAAAAAAAAAAATCAAAAAAGAAGAAACAAAGGAAGGTGAGGAAGAATGAGACGCACGGTTTCACTTCCTTCAAAAAAAAGAAGGAGAATAGTGTTAGTGAAAGGCGTCTAAGTATGGACAAGCCTCTTTTAGTCCCCCTAGTTCGTTTGTTTAAAATAAACCTTTAAACGAATCGTCCTTTTAGCCAGAATTGACTGAAACCAAAAAAAAAAAAAAAAATCCAACGAACAAAAAAATAAAAAGAGAGAGAAAGACGAGAATAAGAGGTTAAAAAGACAGTCTATATCGAGTACTTCACAAATAAGAAAAATGCAAAATGAATGACTTCTAAAAGAGAAAGAGAAAAAAAAACGGAAAAAACGTAGACAGTGTGAAAGTTCTCAATTGCTGTACTGACGTAATGACGGTCAGAAATATGTCAATTCACCAAAAAAATGAGTTCTTTACCGTTTCCTGGTCTCCTACTAGTAAATTACGTGAACAACCCGAGCTGCTTTAAGGAAAAAACAAAGGTGGAAAGATGCCAAACTTCCACCGCTACGAGGAGATGCTGCTTAACGTAGTAGGAAAAAGAGAGTGTGTGAGGAAGGGAGGGAGGTGAGTACGACCGGCAAATAAGCTTTATACGTTAATGAAGGGGATGAGTTTACTAAGAAGGGAGTGAGTAATGGGGGATTCCGGTGTTTTAAGGAAAAGTATTTGGTTATTCTGAGAACAGATATTTGGTCGTCATAACAGTCGCGGCTGCATTTGTTGATTTCGGAGGATTGGCTGTAACGTCGAGGCCTCCGTCAGATAAAATCGTATCTTTAATGCAGCGAATGAAATTGCTAACTGATAACCTTAAATTTTTAACGCATCAATCGGATGGCGCCAATAAGCAGGTGGTGAAACAAGTATGCAAATGGCTGGATAGGCCCCGTGGGGTTAATTGGTATATTTGTAATTACGTATTCCTTAGTGATGATCAACACACCTCCTTTACTGCCACCAGAAAAAGCATCATGCAACCCCATAATAGTAGTCCAAGAGACGTTTGACTGATTTGTTGAATAATGTTTTCTAAGAATAACTTCAAATTTATTAAAAAATTAACTGATCTGGACAAGACGGATAGCAGTAGAAACGGGAGGGGGGAATAGGCCAGAAATATTCTCGATGTCCGTTCATTGATTGAGTAAATATTGTGGTGTGGGAAAAGCTCGGTAGTTATAATATTACCATTTGTTAGCAGGGAAAGAAGCTGCAGAGATAATAAATAATGGCTAAAGAACGAATCACCGACAACCCTGCACTTTAAAATTACCGATCCACGTGTCACCGCCCCGCCAATGCTTAATTTGAACTACTGAAGGACAGAGTTTCAACCGTGGGTAGGAAAACTTTGGCTGAGACAGTTCAACTTGATTAGACTGCCATGAACTAGATGGGATTGAGGAGAGGTGACATGGAGTGGCAAAATGTGATGAGTAGATTTTGCGGCGCACGAATACTATTCGACACTACTTGGCGATATTTATTCGGTAAGTCTAGAATTGAGGTTGTAAAGCTACAAGGTGGGAACGTCAAATGTTTACAACGTTCCATTTACGTATAGTAGTCATTTAGACCAAGAGAAATGTTGGGTTTTGTTGTACAACAATCGTTGTGTAATCTCTCTACGTTTTCGGTTACACAAAACTCATCTCGTCTTTACTAGGCCCAAGAATGTAAAGTTGTAATTCGAGTTTTCACTTTTATATATGATTGGCGGATTTGTCGCTTGCATTATTTTCGGATAACTGCCCCGCAAAACAATATTAAAGGAAATTAGGATTCGAATGTTGTTGACTCAGCTCATATGGATGACGGAAAAAGAATTAGTTTCTACGTAGTCGAAAACAATCGAATTGATAGGATTTTCCAATAGCAACCACAATCTTAGCCAGTATTGGTCCGTTTTAGCGTGCAGTAAGGGTTACAATTAGCACATGGTTGTTGTCTTAACGAAATTCACAGCAGTGTTCCTTCAGTTAACAAGCAAAAGAACAATGCCTGCGGGTCATGTCAGTCAGCTCAATGACATAGCAAAATCACGTTTAATCCCAAACACAATCGTGATGGTCAAACGAACAACTGTCGAAGTTGACTTTATTTCGTCGGAACTGCACATTGCTTATGCCGCCTATAATTAGTTAACATACTTAAATGAGATAATGAGTAAACAAATGGCTTTAGTTGGGCTACAGACTGCTTTGAAAGGTGCATTTAACAGTAACAGCGTCATGAATAAGGGTTGAAGGAATGAATGACCTTGTTGTACACTGTCGCTAGAGACAAACGCTGTTAAGTACTTTCTGAAATTACGAAATCGTAAACGCGGATTTCTTATAGAGAAGAGTCTGTTAGTCAAAGATTACTATTTCTACAAATCGAAAACTTATACTCATCTTCTGCTCACTGTTGCGATAAAAAAGGAAGAGATTTACTTTCTTGCATTATTCTATCTATGCTCCAGTATGAACATGAGCTTGTTAACTTGGAAGCTGCTCTCTATCCGAGTGTTTCGTTATCAAATAGCATATTTTTTCTTAAGAAAACATGACTTAATCTTTTTAAAACCGCAGTCGACTTTTACAACGCTTGCACAGCTGTATCTTAAGAAATGGTAATTCTAATTCTAGTTTGCAAATGCTTACTGTTCTTCCTCCTATGTGCTTTATCACTCACTTGCTATAAGCAAAAAAGATGATTTCTTTAGAACGTGTCCAAATTAAAGTTTTTACTAAACACTTATTAATTCATCAACATCCAACAAATGGTTTCCCCCTTAACAGTGTCTGCTCCTGGTGTCAATTGGTTCACAGTCAAAATTTTAATAGCTTAGTAAAAGTTGACAGCTATAGTGATAGCTACTGTAATCACTGCTACGAGTAATGCTAAGCCAAACAATCATGTTCAGCAACTAGAAACTCTGTTTTTACCTTCAGAATGTTCTCAATGCTCGCTCCATACCCCAACCCAGCTGTACGGAATTTAATAATTTCTAACCTAAAACTCGTGCTCATATATTTTCTCTCTTATTCTAATTCTAAAAAAAAATTGTTTTGATGTTCTGTGTCGCATTTTTTTTAATCATGTATTACAAAACAGTTCGCTTAAAATAAACCTTAAACGCTTAATTGGGGAAGCGATAAAACTCATCGCAATAACTGTCAATTCAATTACAAAGCAAACCAACAGCCATCCATGAATAATTCATATGACACATACACATAACGTCTAAGTAGATTGGTATTGCAAGTTCCAATATTTAAGATCCAGACGCGTCATCTTTTACAGAATTGTTTATTCTGAGAAAACAGACTGAATGACTCTTCTGTACAAACTAGTTTTTTAACAACCCTCTTCTGTTCATTAAACAGTTTTTATTTCTTTCGTTTAATTTGCTTCAATTCTCGCTAAAGTTGTGAATTTCTCTCATACTGCATGTCCTCGTTAAAAAAACTCATTGGAAGGACAGTTGAATTTCATGGATGGCTTGTTAGTGCGAGTAGGCGAATTTCAAAAAATACCAAGTTTATGCAATTGCGTCAACCTGGAGGTGAGTTGATTCAATTGATCGATAAAAGACCACCAGAGCAACGAGCGGGTGATGCAAAAACGAATTGCTCTCCTACCGGGAACCTCCCAGCAGAAAGTGTTGTTCGTGTTCGAGGTCTCGTATGCAAACGCCCACTGAAAGACCAGCGGCCAGGACAAGAATGCGAGGTTGAAGTTCAAGATATTGAGTTATTGAATGCTGCTGACAGTCCGCTCCCTTTCAATCCTCTCCAACCGCCATCAAACATTCTCACTTGCCTTCGACACAGGCATTTATATCTTCGTTCTCCTCTGATGCAAAAGAATCTTCGATTGCGTTCAGAACTGTCTTACCAAATTCATTCGTTTTTTCATGAGCATGAATTTTGTGAAGTAGAAACACCCCTTTTGTTTAAAAGTACACCAGAGGGAGCTCGTGAGTTTCTTGTTCCATCACGACATGACCCTGGCTGCTTTTATGCGTTGACTCAAAGTCCTCAACAAATCAAGCAAACACTGATGGCAAGTGGCTTTCATCGCTATTATCAATTCGCGCGTTGTTTTCGTGATGAAGATTTGCGAGCCGACCGACAGATTGAGTTTACTCAAATTGATATGGAGATGGCCTTTGTCTATAATCGAGAACAAGTTATGTCAGTAGTAGAAGCCCTGATACGATTTTTGTGGAAACGTGTGCTAGGCCTCGAATTAAAGTCTTTTCCCCGATTAACTTATAAAGAGGCATTGGCACGATATGGCACCGACAAGCCAGACTTACGACACGACACTTCATTCAAATGTCTTAACGAAATACTACAATTAAATTTGCAAAACGATGTTCTCATAGAAGCATTCCTCGTGAAACAAGGTGGTCATCATCTTTCGGAAAGCTTTTGCAAAACACTGAAACACAATTCCAAACAAAAACTGAATTATATTCACGTAAAAAATGAAAATATTATGCATTCATGGTCTCAACAACTTCCAGAAACGAAGTTGATGCCACACGAGACGACACGGTTAAATGAGTTCCTTGGTTTGGAAGTTGGAGACATAATATTCGTGTCCTCTCGACCTTCACATTCGCCTTTTGCAATGACTGCGCTTGGCGAAGTATACCCATTGGTACATAAAGCTTTGACTGAAATGAAGGTTGCTCCGAAATTAAATGAACATGAGTTTGCATTTACATGGATTGTCGACTTTCCGTTAGTGACACCTGACGCTTCAAACCCAAATGCATGGAAAGCAACCCATCATCCATTTACTGCACCACACCCAGAGGATATTCATTTGTTACAAAACAACCCTTTGGATGCACGCGCTCTGAGCTACGATCTAGTTGTAAACGGTATCGAACTCGGTGGAGGAAGCATTCGAATTCACGATTACCAACAGCAGTATGAAATATTACGAGATGTGCTCAAGTTGACAGACACAGAAATCCGTTCCTTTGAACATCTATTTACCATTCTTCGCAGCGGATGTCCACCGCATGGCGGATTTGCTTTAGGCTACGATCGCTTGGTCGCACTTATGGCCGGTTGTCGCGATATCAGAGACGTAATTGCTTTTCCTAAAACAGCAAGCGGAAAAGATTTACTTTTTCAAAGCCCAGGTCCCGTTTCATCATCACAATTGACAGAGTACAAGTTACAGCTCCAACCTTCAAATGCCGTATAGTCGAAATCTAGTAGTCTATTACATTAAGATGGTCATCTATTTTCTACCCAACCTTGCAGCTTTGAAACGACTAAGTCGAGGAAGTTCAACGCCGTTCTCATCCACGGGAATATTGGCTTCTTCTTCTTCTGTTTTCCGATAACCGTCCATATATTTCCCCATCATTTTTCTTCTAAGTTCATAGTATCTTTGGGACATTTGACGGTCTTCAAGTTCCTCAACACTCTCCTGCTCAAATGGTTTCCCATCTGGTGCGGGCGCTGATGGGGTCCGTTCAACAACAACATCACTTACAGTTTTTGTTGCAGAAGGTTTATCTTTCGACGTATCGGTCACCGACTCATTATTTAGAGCACCTTTCAGTTTCTTTTGTGAATCGTGTTTTTCGATTTGTTTCGCCTTTTCCTCTGATTTCTTCATCTCGTTTTTTATTTCAACTCCAGCAGCTTTGCATTCTTCTCTAAACGCGGAGATGCGACTTTTCATACTTTCCGCTGGGAATTTATCATCGTACTTTTCCGGAGGTGTTGGCATATGCTCCTTACGAAATACTCCCTTTTTGCCAAATGTTTGAACTTCAATTGTATCTGCAAAACGAACTTTTCGAGGTGTTTCCTGAGATTGTGTTTCGGATTTAGTATCAGTAACGTGCGATTCTGACACGGGTTTCTCATCTTGTTTTTCAGTACCGATTACTTGGTTGTCTGTATTTGTTCCTGTAGGATCAATATCGGGTTCAGAAAAATAGTATCGTTTTGTGTTCAAGAAAGGAAAGTTGTAACGCATTGCAAGCTCATCATCGTCGTCCTCATCGTCCTCATCGTCATCTTCGTCTTGAACGGTTCCACGAAAAAGATCGTCATCTTCGGGCATGTAGTAATCATCATCCTCACTATCCAGTTCAGACGTTTCCACATGGTCTGGAAACTTTTCTGGATTAATGACAATGTCCTCTGGTTTCACATTTGCAAAAGGAGTATCATACCAATCGTACTTAACTGCTTGGACCTTGTTTCCATTGGCGTCAGTGAGTTCCACGAGTTCGGGCAGCGAGGTGTGATCCATCTCCTGCAAAGAGTTCTTCTTCTGATCTTTCTCCAATTGGGGCTTGTCAGTGTCCGATGGCAACTCTTTGTCAGCTGTTACTTTTGTTGCATTCTCAACGACGGATGGTGTTACATCGTTTTTATGTTCTTCAGTGCTTTCGATATCCGCCGTGATGTCTTCGTTTTTCTGTGTTTGTACCGTTTTCTGTTGTTGGGCTTCAGCGCGTTTCTGACGGAAACGAGATATTCGCTTGGGTGCTTTCGTTTCTATCTTTTCATTCTCTTTCGCAACGACCTCATGCTCCTTTACACTTTCATGCACGGCAGTTGATGAAGATGCGGACGATTCGGAAGGCTTTCTCTCCACGACGTTTTCCTGCACTCCGGCAGGAACAATTGTATTCTTGGTATCTGCTTTGACTTCCGAAGTGAGCCTGGTGTTTTCTTTCGCGCTGTCTTGACTTGCTACTGAAGCCTTAGTTGGTAGTGAAATCTTTGTACCACTTAAATCATTTTCCGATACCGTAATTTGCTTAGATGATTTTGCGGGTTGTTGTTCGGACTGCTCAACGTGATCATCTGGAAGTTCTGTTATAAATGTTTGTGGGCTTGAACCTGCCGACTTTTTTTGACTAGATCCAACGTTTGTAGATGTGTTACGCTCTGAATTCCGTGCTTTGGGCTTATTGTCTGTATTTGCCTTTTTCGTCTCCCCTTCAAATCCAGGAAGCTGTTTCACTACAGAAGCATAATCAGTCAAAGAAGAAATCTTCTGCGGTGTTACGCTTGAGCTAATAATGTTTCCATTCTCGTCAACTTCCTCACGGATATCCATGATAGGGAGACCCTCTTGATTTTTTACCGTAAGGCTCTCCCTTTTCCGGTTAATTGACTCAAGAAGACTGGACTCATGTTGCTTGATCATCGACTGAATATAATTTAAGACTGAACAATGTTAGCTTCTCTATACCGCATCGTAAAATAAGTTTCTCTATAGCGTACACTGTATATGGCCATAAACATCGTTTCCGGCACTGTATTTGGATCCATACTCTTTACATTCCTTATCCATTTTCTCTAAACAGTCTGAGATATCGTCAAACTGTTGACAGATGTGCTGCTCTAGCATCAAGAGAGCGACTTGTTTTGAGTCGGAAGCCATTTCGTATTAACAAAAACAAAAAATACACAGTTTTTCACAGTATAAAGAATATAGAAATCGTCCACCGGATGCTTTGCTGAATTCTTATTTATAATATTCCAGACGAAACGAGAAATAAACGTAAACGATTCAAAATTGTTTTAAGGAAAGATCCTTAATAAAATATAAGCAAAACAATCAACCTACTCTTTAATAAATAGGAATTAACAGAATGATTGCAGAGATAAAATCGGTTCCCTGTAATCAACCACTGGCAACAATCTCTGCGGATAAGAGGTTTGTCTGTTAAGACGTGTGTTTCGTTTGTGCTACTTCCGTCAGGCTGCAAAAACCATACACACCGTTGACACCCACGGAAAATCGGTTTCCACTGTATGACGGCAAAAGAAACAAGGTGCTACTGATATGAATGGCCGGAATGAGGGCAAAAATTAATTGAAGACGCGAGCTGTACGTCGGGTGCAGATGAGATCGACTCGCAGTGGCTAACGGTGTATTCAGTCCCAAACTAAATAGCCTGTTGAATTCAAGGGAAATGGGCCTTCATTCCTCTACAAGATATGATAGAGCTTCACCTGAGTCGTCTATGCAGCTGTTTTCGCTGTATGCTGCCGTCAATTCTGCACTAAGTTCCTTAGAAAGAAAAGACCGACAAACCAATGCGATACAAGCATTCCCTGAAAGCGTAAGTGAAGCTTCTACGGATTCAGAATTGCAGCGGCAGCAACAGCAGGTGCCTCAAAGCGTTCCTCCTGCAGTTCTTTTCTCACCGTCTTCAATACCGGAAAATCCAAAGAAAAGAAAAGCAAGTTTTTCAAATCACCAGGACCCTTTGATTGCACAAATTCGAGAAACAATTTTCGATCACTTAAATCTACTTTTAAAAAAGGGCAGTGCTACTTCCAATGCCCTCTGTAATCGTATACGGGATCCACTGAATCAGTACAACCAAGCCAATAAGCTGGTCACCATTTCCTATCAGCATGCCTCTGTTGCACAAAAGTCCTATGGTGCAGAAAAACGTTACCTCTGTCCGCCTCCGCTCATTTCTATAACTGGCAACACTGGATCAATATTGGGTCACTCCTTTTCAGTGCAGCTAGCCATCACAAATGAGCAGGGTCAACACTCGAATCAGGTGTCTGAAAACTTTGCTGAACGTCAATCAGTCGCTTTTCGTTCTCTTCACATTTCCTCTTCCATTGCTGCCAAGGCAAAGAGTTTTAATCTCAACATAGATGTCATAAGTTCTTCAGACGATGTTTTGGCTCAAATGGTTACAAAACCCATTAACATTATATCTAAACCATCAAAAAAGGGAAGCAAAAACCGTGTTTCCAATTCTACTCTCATGTCTGGCGCCATAATCAGTTTATACAACAGAATCAATTCTCAGACTGTTCGTACAAAATACATGTCTGTTGCCAATGGACGTTTCTGCTTGCGGAACGAATCTTGGACGCCTTTGCAAATTCGTGTGTACGGTGCCAGTGAAAGTTCATTTCATCAACCCATCATGTATGGTTCACAGGTTGTTCTCTACAACGAGCGAAGCGGTATTGTGAGCGATCCGCTGTACATTCATCGGGTTGACAAGGATCAAATTGCACCTGATGATGGTTATCTTGGGCAAATGCATCGTATCGTTCTTCGTCGAGGCCAATGCAACAACGAACCCAATGTGTTGAAACCATACGCTAATCAACAAGGCATGGATTTTGTACAACCACTTTTCCTCGGGGCAACAACAGCCCAAGAAAAAAGTACTACCGGCGACATGGACTTTCCCGTCGAACTGGAACCGGCTACTTCAATTGACGAGAGTGGTTCAATCCGGGTCAGTGATGCAGTTTGCTGGACCGTTATTGGTATTTCCCACTATGAGTTTTCGATGATGAATGCTCTTAACGCTCGTATCACTCAACCTATTACACCGTTTCCAGTAGTCGAAACATCCCCCAAGTACATTGGGGAAACACATTCACTGGAATTGCTGGTGAGTGGTTGTACCCCTAAAACACAAGTTTGGTTGGGTCCTTACGGGCCCTTGGCATATACCAGGCAGGAAACAGAAAAAGCAGACGAGAATCTGCTTATTGTCTCTCTTCCATACATTGAAGTGAATACTACAAACCCGTGGACAACTTTGCCTTTGCTCTTCACTCGGCCAAACGGACTTATTTACGTGGGCAAGTGTGACGTTGTTGTCCGCTAGAAAAGCATGAAACGATCCTGAAAACACGCAGTGAATGTCTCGTTACAGGAAAAATTGATTCATTACTTGTTAAATGTCATAGACATGAAATTGTATATAGATCTATAGATTATGCTTTAACTTCATTCTCTTCCGCTGTATGGCGACGCATAGTTCTACCATAACAGATATTTTCCACCTTCTGAATGCTAGAACGCATTACTTCCAATTTTTGAGTCAATGACTTGCGTTGACGGCGAGTTGTGTGTCCAAGAATTTGTGTGCAGCTCATTTCGAGGGCTTGCAAGAAAAGTAAGCTCTTCAACAATTGCTCCTTCTTCAGTTTGTTTCCATTGGTAACGCAAAAACGCATAATTTCACCTGTCAAATCACATAATCCTAAAACATAGTCTGACGGAGGCAGCACTACTGCGGTCTCGAGTCTTTCATATGGAAGTACAGTTCCATCCGCCAACCAATGCTCAAATGTCACTGCCTCAACATACTCCTGGAAACCGGGGGAGTATGCTTCACAATACTGGTCTGAAGAAAACCCGTCTAACTCAGCAGCAAGCTCCTGCATTTGTTTCTGAATGCTATTTTTATATGGTTCACAACATTCCGGTTTCTGTTCAAGGGGAAATTTTTTAGAAGCTGCCTGATGAAGAGCAAAAATCATTCTTTTGCTTTGGATGGTAATTTCTCTAGACACTCGAATTAAACGCTCCCGTTTGTCTTGATATTCTTGCATCACTTGACGAAAGACATCGAACTCCGGCAATGGAGACTCCGTCAAAACCTGGATTTTGCATTTCTTTTTAGGAGGAGCAGCCATGAGAGGAATATGGAGAAGGAACAAAAAAAAAAGGAATACAAAATGAATGATAACACCGCAAGCAGTCTTCATTAAGAAGAAGACACCATCAATGGATAACTGGAAATAACGCGGTTCATTGATTCTGTCGCGAAACCCGAGACAATGGTTTTCTGTGTATGAACCAAATATTATCTGCGGCCATAAAACAAAATCAATATCATGCAAAGAAAACGACACAGTTCATTAACTCGTTTGTATTTTATTTCACTCGGCACAAAAGCATTCCCCCCAGCCCGCTAGAAATAGCATCTTCAAGACCAAGTATTCCACGAGAAGTAGACACTACAGCAGTCTCTCCGGGTTCAAGCCCTCGAGCGCTTGGAACATCGTAACCAGTAGCAAATTTCTTTAGTGCTGGAAATTGAAGAGTTACTTCCCTGCTGGGTTTTGATATTGCTCGAATGCTCTGCAGGACTGGCTTCCCTTCAAAGTACTTTAGACTCAACCAAAGGCGACGAGTGCTGATGTTTTGACGTGTCAGGGGAATTTCAATTTCGTCTGGAGCAAATACAGACCCGCGTTGAACAGCTGAAATAAAGCCCTGCTTGTAAAGAACGAGTGAAAGTCCCAGAGTTGACTTCGTCAGAGGAATTTTAACCATGCTGAATCCGGCGCGAAAAGCATTTTGAATGATAGAATATGAATGAATGAGCTGCATCAGATCGTTTGCCCTCCGTACGGGATTCGTCAATACACGTCGATTCCTGGTCCTTTACTCGAATTGAACCCTGCCGTGGAATTCGACCGCATGTGGGGGTTTTACTGGTGTGGGCAATATTTTGGTGGTGAGTTACGGGGCAGTTCCGCGGCTGAGGGAAAGTTGCCCGCGGCGTGGATGCCCCATCCTAACAGCCGGCCTCGCCGGTTGGCGCTGTCCTAGAGCAAACTATTGAAACAAAATGAAGCTGTTTTCAATTGCATGCCTTTTTACAGCCGTCAGCAGTGCTCTCTGTAGTTCATGGGGTCTTCTGGATGCCTCTTTGAGAGTGCGTAGTCCCAGCACGAACGTAGGCGGTTCTTTGAAATTAAGGTTTGCTTAATAACATGAGGAAAAGACGCGTCGCACATTGCTAACGTTTGTTTTTCTATAGAAATGACCAGTTTTCTGAGGAGACTGAAGTCCCTGTCAGTCCTTTGAGCAGCCTTAGTCTGTCCATAAAAGCCGGTGTCGATGGAATTGCTGCTCGGCCTCACCAAGCTCATTTGGCTATTACAGTGAAGGATCAACCCAGCCTTGAATTGGTTGCAGCTATCCCTACCAAAGAGGACGGTTCTGGATCCTTGAAACTGGTAAGTCCGTTGCAGCTTCTGTACGAATAATCACTGACACACTTGAAAGCCTCTCAATGAGATTCCATTGAAGTTCCTCAGCAAGCAATCTGATCTTGCTCTCAATATTCTCCTCGGTTCGTTCGGTGATGCTGAAGCTGTTAAAATTCCCGTGGGTGTAATTCCTTCTCAATCTTTGGAAGCTTTTGCTGCCACTGAAAAAGATGAAAAGAACGCCGAGTTCAAGGAACAACCCATCATCGTTCATCAGTTTGCTCCTCCTCCCAAAGATGCCAATGAAGCTCTCAGCTATCTTACAATGGGTACAGTGGTTGCCGGACTGGTCCTCCTTGTCTCCGGATGGTTGTGCTTAAATGTGAACATTGATGGTCTTGGACACATGCCTATGGGCAAGACTGTGTGTCGCTTGCTCTTCTTTGCATGGATCATGGCTGTTGAGGGCTTGTTGGCCAAATACTGGGTTTCGTTGACTTTCTTCCAGCTTGCTTCCTATGTCCCGGGTTTTGCTTTGGTTGGTCTGCTGTTGTCAAGAGGCATTTAGACGATGCTTGCTCAGTCTCTAATGGTATGAATTATTCTCAAAATGTCATATGTATGCCTAAACGAAATGATTTGAATAAGACACATGTTCCCGTATGGGTCAATGGCAGACTTGTCATCGAAAATACTCATCAATCCGTCGCTTACTCCTTTTCTTAACGGACGTCTTTGTTTGTAAGCACTCTTTGATATAAGTAACACTGAGACACTCCTCAATGTGCTTATCCACAGAACAAGCGTCGTTTATTAGGTAACGCGAACATATGGGACACTGAACGCCGTTCTCTTTGGTAAATGACTTAATAATAAACATGTGAGCAATGCATAGCCCTCAAAGCAGTTGTATACTCCACTTACCAATTTTGATTCTTCGTAGATGCTTGCGTCTTGCAGCTTTGTCATGCGTACCCCTAACAACCGCACCTGGACAGGAAGCTCGTAACTCAGTAATTGAAGCACATACTTGTAAATAATATCAGACTCATTAGTATATGTGTTCAAGTTGGTCTGACGAGTCCGGACTTCAAACGAGGTTGTTTTGAGCTTTAACACAACAGAGTTGCCAACGAGATTTCTTTGTTTCATCGTTTCAGAAACGGAGAAACATAACTGCTTTAGCTTTTGTGAAATGGTTTTTTCACTTCCCATAGGTATTGAAAAAGTCATTTCGTTACCGATACTTTTTCGGTTTGAAGCATCGGTAGGTTTCACAACATTGTTTGATATACCAAGAGCGTAGGAAAGAAGATTCTGAAATGACTTTTCCTGAAAAACATAGTAAAGATAACCTTTTCGACGGAGGATATCACCACAGTTGTGAACATTCAAAGAAGATAATTCTTGTTCGAGAACCCGACCAATTCCATTCACCTGTCAGTCAGTTAGTACCAATAATAATACATTATGATTAAGTTCAAGATAAACCTTTCTACAGGGTAATGTGTCCATGAATTCTAGGATTGCTTCACGCGTGCGACCAATAGAGAATTGGTCGTTTGGTTTTCTCATGTTACTAGCAATCTTTGCAAGCATAAGATTGGCACCGATGCCGCAGCTAACAGTGATACCAGTTTTTTCGGCCACTGTCTGCCGCAAATGCTCAACAACAGCTTCCACGGTTTCTTCTTCATTGTGCTTTGTCAAGTAATCTGTGAGATCAAGATAAGCCTCGTCAACGCTTGCCTTACACATGTTTGGATCATATTCCTGAAGAATTTTTGCAATCTCGGCTGACTTTTCCTGATACTTCATCATGCGTAGAGGCAGGACTATTAGATTTGGACATAATTGACGCGCAATGAATTCTGGCATTGCTGAACGGACACCAAACTTGCGTGCACAGTAATTCGCAGTACCTTGTATAGTCAGTTATGTTTTACTCCTTTACATTTAACACACAAACTTACATAAAACGCCTTGTCCCACAGCCATTGGTTTCGTTTTGTATGCTGGTTTTTCCAATTCCTCTACAGATGCGTAAAATGCATCGCAATCAACGTGGACTATGATTCTTGAAAGGTCTCGTTGAGCCTCCATGCTATTAATAAGTTGATCGATTTTGTGCATATCCTCGGACCATTTCGCTGCCTTTTCAGGATTATTTTCGAGGCCCAATTCCAGTTCTTCTAATTTCAATTTCATTTCCTTATTCTTTTCCTGCCAATAACGTGCCTTCTTCTGTTCATTTTCAAAAAACTTGCTGCCTTTAGAGGCCTCGTAAATAACTTGATTAATCTTTTGCTGATCCACCTCTTCCTGACCTGGTTTCATTACAGACGGACCAGCAAGTCTGTGCATTAAGTCTTCATTCTTGAGATCATCGTCATTTGCTTCATCCTGGCTGCAAATCGACATGAATTAGAACTTTCTGACATGAAGTCGCTACGAAAGTGACGCGTGGTGTAGGATTTTTCATTAAAAAATTAAACTTTCCTTGGGACTAAGTCGACGCTAATTGGTGTTGATAGCCGACAGGTAGCCCGACTTGCGACACAGTTAAATGAAAAACGCGACACGTAAACAGACACAGTTAGAAAACTACTCGGATATATAAACAAAATTGGCATCACTAGGATAAATGGAGATCCATCCTGATTCCTTAAAGCACATGCAGCATTCATACTTTTTATTGTTGAATAAACCCAAGACAGTACCGTAGCTAATACAATTCATAAATTTCGTGAATCACTAAAAGGACGTTTTATCGGTTTACTCGTCATCCTCGAAAGGGTACTCAAAATCCTCTGGAGGAGGAGCTTCTTGCTCTTGAGGTTCAGTTTGTGTAGGCATAAAGTCAGTCTTCAGTTCAATAAGATCAGGGGCAGTCTCTGACTGGCGATCAATCAACATTAAGACACCACCCGTGAACTTACGAACGGGGTAGTACCGTGAAGACGGATTAAATGTGATGTATTCGAGTTGAGCAGGAAGGACACGAGAAAGGTTTTGTAACACTTCTGAGTCAGCACTTTCCTTCTTTTCCGAAGATTTTGATTCGGGACTACTAGGAGTTTGCTCGCTGTCTGTTTGCATCTTCGTTTCGCCTTCGCTCTCAGCCTTTTCATCAACCTTCATATCGGAGTCCTCTTCCTTAGCCTGCTTCTCCTTTTCAGCACGCTTAGCACGAGCCTGGGCCTTAACGGTTGTGGATAAAACAGCTGTCTCAACCTTTTGAACGGCTTTAACGGAAGGAAGCTTTGTTTTGGGAGGGTAAGCGAAAAGCTTGGGATGAGCATTAGAAACGAAAGAGAACTTGGGAGCCTGCAAGTTCTTATCCAAACCAATGAGCGCAGTAGGAGAGAAGGACAAGGAAATGAAGTGTGTGAGGGGGTACCAGTACCAGTACTGCAAGAACACAGCAAAACCGACAACAGATGAGAGTTTCAAGCTGCCTGTCGAGGTTTGAAGTGCAAATGCAACATTACGTCCACCAGCATCGATAATTCCTTGAGCTAAAGCAGCACCAAACTTAGCAAGAGCATCCTCGTGTTTTTCACTAATGACTTGCTCAAAATGCTTGCGAACCTTAGCACAATGAGGAGAGGTAGCGTCATTGTGTTGAGTCAAAATCATGGCTTGAGCAATCATAGCGCCTTGACGAACAAAGTCAACTGCATCCTCCACAAGACGACTAAGCAAATCCAGAGCAGCCTCGTTTCCAGAGTTTGCACACGCGATACCCAGTGCGATTGCACTACCGTAACGGACGTGGGAGTTATAACTATCAACGAGGAGTTCGATTGTTGAGATAACAACCTCAGGCTCACGGAAGCAAAGGAAACCAAGAGCAGCGACAGCAGCGCGACGGACATCATCATTCACGTCGGTAACAGCCACGTGCAAAAGTTTCTTCAGCAGCTTGTTGTTTCCTGTACCGCAATAGGCCAGTGCGGTAGCAAACATACCACCGTACCGTAAAACGGGATCTAAATCATCTACCAGTCTATCAATAACGGCATCTGCTTCTTGTTGACGACCGTAAACGATGAGGGCAATACCAATACCCAAACCACGAACGATTTTTTCATGTTGAGTCTCGTGAGCATATTGGATCATCTCATCAATAGCAGTGGCAGAGGCGGTACCAAGCATAACCAAACCCATGGCAATACCAGCAGCGGCACCAGCAACGGCATTATCACTGAAAAGGACATTCTTAATGGCTTCGTAGATAGTTTCATCATGACTAGCCATTCCAGCGAGACCAAGACCCAGGACAACACCATGTTGGACAACTTCATTTTCTGCGCGGTTGAGGTGTTCACGCAGAAAATCTGTGATTCCACGACCGTGGTTGGCGTGAATTAATCCCATGGCATACAGGGCACCACCCTCTGAGTAGACCGAAGTGGAAGGTGACTCGTCGTCAGGCAGGTAAGGCCGGAGGATGTTCATCGACTGGTTGTAGTAGCCCTTGTGAATAACGCCCAAAGCGGCTGTAGCCGTGAACTTTGACCAGTTATTGGCCTTTGAAAGCCAAGAAAGATTGTCGCGGAAAAAGCTGTCAGAAGAGGTGCCGAAATTCATGAAGGCATTAGCAAAAGTAACAGCATTATGGAAAATTGAATTCCTTGATTCCAAAGAATCTTTTGTCTTGTTGAGAATGAGGATATCAGTGTTATTATGAGAATAGAGGAATTCTCTGTGGTATTTCACAGTTTGATCGCCTGACAGAATCGAGTGTACACGAGTCCACGGTGAGTTCTCGTCAACCTTTTCATCGCCTTCAGGGTTTTCATCATTTTTCATCTTTGGAGGTGGAGGAAGTAAATCGGTAACACTGTTCAAGAATTCTTGCGTTGCAGAATCCTCTAAATCAAAAGCAAACTGATACGCCGTGAGGAGGCTCTTGTCTTCTGCGGTGTTCGACAGAAGCTCTGTAAGCAATTTAGCAGCAATAGATGCATCGTTCAAATGAACAACACACTTGCCGACCGAAAAATAGTCGGGATTAGCCTCACGAGTGAGAATCTCTAGCAGGAGTTTCAGCAAACGGTTCCGAAACTCAATATTAAGAACAACACGCATAGCAAGGTCGAGCACGTACGCCCGCAAACTCTCATCTCCACTAGCAGTAAGCACATGTTCAATAATATCAAGACGGTGAGCCTCAACAGCAATGCCTAAGACATGTTGCCAATCGTTGTTTGCATAACATTTTTCAAATATCTCATCAACGATTTTCGCCAAGCGTCCGTCAATCTCAGGCGAAGAAGAATCATGATAACGCTCGACGCTTCGCTCAATAAAAGCATCAATGAATTTTAAAGTCATAGCCTCTTTGTAATCTGCATTACCATCGGTTTTAAACATGGGACCAGATGATAACGCATATAACATTGCATCTTCGTGCTCTCCCAAGTAAAAGTAAACCTTCGAGGCGATTAAAGCAGCCAGATTACGTTCAGGAAATGCTGTGTCTTCATACAGAATTTCAATTTTTGAGATGTAGTCTGAAACTTCCGGCCAGATTTGGTCTATAAACTCATATATCTTTTTTAAAGCGTGTACTTGCAGTTCTTTCTCCTGCTCGTCTAGCAGGGCCATTAAGCCGCCAGCTGACGTGGCAAGAGAGGTATTTCTCGATACTACCGTAGCCATCCTGTTATAACTTCTACTGTGCTGCAAACAGGATATTTGCGCTATTTTTGGTAAATTGGCGAGGATGAGACGTTGCTTGTTGTTGGCAGGTGTGAAGTGCAGTGCCGGCTTGGCAGAAGCCTGAAGTGGGATACGTGGGGGCGTTTATGGTGGTGCACATGAAAAGATAAGCTTAAATACACGTGCTTTAAGTTATACCGCTTAAGGTTTTTGATCAAGAGAGACCGACGTGTTTTTATTGAACGATGGCAGGATAAAGTGTGTGGGGAATTCACCCGAGGGTCCCGCATCCCTAACCGAGTCGAGTCTCGTCGACACACCTACGGCTGCCGTCTCAGAACCAAAGACGTAGATTCTGTTGAAATTCGGTGCAACATGTCCAATTTACGCCGGAATCGTTATTCGATTTCGGGAAATTTGTGTAGAGATTTTCAGCCGTCTTCAGAGCGAAGAACAAGCCCGTCGACCTCACAAACTGTATCAGCATACGGGGCTTCCAACTTGAGAAATGCATGTTACTATAAAACACCTTACAGCCTGTACGCTATGGATTGGTGCAAAGTACAGGGACCTGCTCAAGACTTTATAGCATGCGCGAGTTTTACAGAGGAAACGAACAACAAGGTTTGTATACGTCAGTGGAATTGACGAAGAGACTTGAGCTGGGGCGGGTTTCGTCTAGAAATGTTCTGATTAGGTTGACTGCTTTCGTATTTGTCCGTTCTTATCTTAATTCTCACCTTGTCAATTCGTTTCCATCCAGTTCGTGCTAACACATACCAGATTCAGGTGTTTTCTTTGAACCGCAGCGGCCAGGGCCAGCCGTTTCTTGACAAGACGCATTCTACTGTAAACAATTTGGATTTTCCTTGCACGAAATTGCTGTGGAATCCTTCTCGGACGACCCCCAGTGAACATCAATTCCTTGCTTCCAGCGATCAGAAGCTCCAACTCTGGCGTGTTGCAAATGACGCCCATCAGAACGATGCCATTGAAGGTGTTGCTTCGTTTTCGAATGTACGTGCATGCGTTTCTCCCGCTTCACATAGCTAACTCAATCTTTGCCAGGCGAAGACAAATCGTGCTGCACCGCTTACCTCGTTCGACTGGTGCAAAGCAGACATCTCACAAATTGTCACTTCAAGCATTGATACTACTTGCACTGTGTGGGATATAGTGACCCAACAGTCAAAGACGCAGCTTATCGCCCATGATAAGGAAGTGTTTGATGTACAGTTCTTGGCAAACAGCGTAGACGTGTTTGCTAGCGTTGGCGCAGACGGCAGTGTTCGAATGTTTGATTTGAGGTGTGTTTTGTGATTGCCTATGAATTGGCTCGGACTCGTGTCTAACTCCTGTATACAGATCTCTGGACCACTCTACTATTATTTACGAAGCTGAGCCGGCTTATGTTCGGCCAGCCCGTATATATGAAGACTATACGGCTAGTGCTGCGGCACCGCTTCTGCGGCTTTCTGCTTGTGACGTGGATCCCAACTTGATGGCGACCTTTCACCACAAGTCGTCTAATGTGCTTATCATTGATATTCGTGCCCCGGGACAGTCATCCATGACACTCCAGGCACATACGGGTGCTGTAAATGCGGTGCACTGGTTGCCTGGCAGTCGGTCTCGTCTTGTCTCCTGCGCTGAAGACAAGCAGGTTCTTTTGTGGGAGCTCAACAAGGCCGAGTCATCGAATTCTTATTCTCACCATCCTCGTTACAACAGTTTTGTCAAAGAAAGCTCAATTATTTCTACCGAATCGAAGACAGAGTCAGGCAGCTACAGTGCCAGTGCCCCAGTCTCAGGAACCGCTACACCTGCTACAAAAGTCATTGCGAGTCCTTCTGCTTCCTGGCTTGCAGACACGGAGGTGAATAACGTCTGCACTTCCGGAACTGGCGATGCTTTCGCCGCCGTCCATGGAAGGTACGTACCACAAGACTGGCAAAAATTTAGCAGTCAAACTTTTTTTTCGTTGTATCCATATATGTCTCTCCTACTAACTCTCCTCCAGAACTGCTCAAGTATTCTTCCGTAACGACTATAACTCGATTGTACAAACTTAAAGATGTTGAAGTGACTCCTCCACTTTCTGTTCCATACTCACGTCCGATGACCACTGCAGACAACCTCCACGAATCATTGATCCCACATCAGCAAACCATTTTTGCACTGCAACCTGCCATTCATTGTTCTGTATGCGTTTTGGATTCACACGAATGTCGGCGTTTTCATTTCGCTTCGTTTCATGAGGATTTTTATGAACTTTAGTATATGAAATGTAAATTTAGAATACAATCCTGTCCTCTTCGTACTGCACTTCTGTTTTTCTCTGTTCCGCGGCTTTTCCGGTCCTGGGCTCCGGTAGCCGACACCATTTTTGCTGCATTTTTTGGTGTAGTGGCCACTCCGTTTCCTCCCACCACTACTGACGTTTTCCCTCTTCTCCCTTGAAACAACTCGCAGCAAAGAGGTCGTAGGCTTCCCACCATGGCTGACGACGGACTTTCCAAACTCAACCTGGAAGCGTATTTGGGGGATTCCGGGAGTGCGCAGGAGTTGCTCTCGTCGCTCGGGATTAGCGCCATTCCCCCGGCTACGAACCTGGGAATGGATCACAATTCGGGATTGGCATTTGACCCGACAAATGCATCTGAAGCAGCTTTGTTTATTGCTCAGCAGGTAAGAGGATTTGAACAATTTGTCGGATGGTGAAGTCTGACGGGAAACCCGACGCAGGTTGCAGCAATCAATCAGCCTCCTCCTCGTAAAATGTCTTCTACAGAGAAGACACGGACGGAGAACCGTGAACGGAAAAAACGTTGGAGAGAGCAGAACGAAGAACGAAACAAAGATAACGACTTACGGTGTCGGGTCAATAAACGGGCCCACAAGCTGTTTGGAACGGATCCTAGTCCTGAAAAGAGTGCTTGGATTGAAGCAGAGTTCTACAAACGACAAGCAAAACGTCGTGAGAAAGAACGACAATGTGCGAACCAGAACAACAACAACAACAATGTTCTGGGTCGGAACATGCAAAACAATCTGCTAGGAGATTTGGGTTTGCTTTCTACTAACCAGGCTGCGGCTGCTCTGCGCGGAAATGCGATTAACAACGCACTGAACGTCCTTGCCAAGGATCCCGACTTGATCAACAACTTGCTGGGGCAAATTGACTTGGACCCTACGAAAACAGACTTGCTGGGTTTGGGAGCAATGCCTCCCCCGCTTCCTCCCCAGCCTGAGCATGAACTAGCAGCGTTGCAAGAGCACAACGAGGCTCACGACGCTGCAATGCGCCAGTATGAGTTGCAGCGCCAACAACAGGATGGTGTCTTACTCCCAGGCCTCGCAGGACTTGATAGTCTGCAGGCACTGCAGCAGCTTGATTTCACAGATCCTACAGTCGCACTGCAAGCACATGCTCAAGCGAGCTTTCAGGACCTGTTGAGTCAACCAGACTCCACGGCTTCGCTGTTTTCGGCGCTTTCTAGTGGAACTGGTGATTCGCCGGGTGTACCTGACGCATTGGTTGATCCATTGGGTGCAGGTCGCGAGTTTTCGTTACCACCCGTGCTTCCGCTCGACTTGCTGGCCCCAGCGACATCGGTAGATGTGTCTCAAGTCTCATCGCCAGCTTCCGACTCCCATCTCGACTTGTCACTGCCGCCTTCGGCCACCATTGACAGTACACTTCCCGTCAGACCAAGAAATTACAAACGTGATTCCTACCGTATGCTTCCTTACTACAACAAACGGAATACCGACAGCGCTCTCTCGTCGCCTTACGATGCTTTGTCGCCCAAGTCGCCAAATCTGGACGTGACCCTTCAAGGACTGAGTCGCCCGCAAACTCCTAGCGCTCAGTCGGTGAACGGAGTTACGGGCAGTTCGCTTGTTGACGTGAGTCTAACTGCATCTCTCACCAATTTTACAACTTCTATGCCCCCTAATGCCCATTCATCCCAATCCTTCTCCAACCGACCCGACATTCAGAAAAAAGCACATGCCCTTGGCTTTCCACCAATGCCGGGGAACAAAATTGAGTTTCAGCGGACAAGTTCTGTTTCGAGTTCCGCCGCCGACGGCAAATGAGACTTGTTTAACGAGTACAATTCTGTCCATGCTCAATGAACTACACTACTGTTATGTCTGCGTTTCACTCATCACTGAACAGGTGCACGTGCATTCAAACATATTATCGCATCGAGGTCTTCTTTCTGAGTCTTTCATTGCGTGTTGTGTGTGTGTGTGTGTGTGAAAAGTGTCTGCCTTAAAGCGAGTGAATTTCTGCGGGCTTCATGAAACACAAGTTCTCACATTTGAATCTCAGAATGTGGGTTCTAATGAACGTTCCGTTCCGCTCTTTGGAACAATTTTTTTAAACAATGGGTTAAAGGGGTTTTGCTTTTTTTGGTATCGGATTGATGAAGAGGAAACGAAGCACATAATTCTCTTTCTACTTAAAATGCTTACTTGCACAAGGAGTCATCGTGTAGATTGTCTAAATCAAAGCTCTGACTCTTTCTGAAGTGGATATATTTGGATACGGTCACTGGGATTGGCATTTAACTCTTGGAAGGGTTCTAATGCGACTCATTTTGCGAATACCGTACCGTCTAGCATAAACACATCAAGTCTCATAGGGAACTGAGGGTGTGTTGTTGAAGTAATTAAACGTCTGGCATGTTTCAATTCAGCCTGGTTATGCTCGAGGTCAGTCTGAACTTTTCTTCAATACTCTTTGGTTTTTTACATGTGCGATACTATTTTTTTTCTTTTTTTTTTGTCTTTTCTTTTTGATTTTTTTCTTGTTATTCATACCGTTTGAAAGTTAGTGTTCCTGTCTTGTCAAACTTCTTATACCTTACGAACTGACTGGATTTTGAAACATGTCGACTTTTGACTTCAATTCAGCGACGCGTGTCTTGTTGCGAAATGGGTTGCTGGACATTGACAAATGACGTTTGGCTAGTTCAATGATCGGGTCATGTTGCTCTCGCTCTTCCAACTACTGAAAGGAAGAGTTGTTTGTGTTTGTGCAAGTGAGCTACTCTGTTTTAAGAAGATGCTGATGTGAATGGTTGCATTTATCTGGAAAACGGCGTTACACGTCTGGTATATCCTTTCTAGTATTTTCGTTTTATTTTCATTTTTCCTTTTTTTTTATTAACTTGTCGACAACAGCAGTTGTTGGAATTTTTATTTAATAATTTTACCTTCAGTTCTCTTAATATTAAACACGAAGAAATATTTCGATTATTGTTACATGTTGTTTGCGAGCTTCTCTCCCTCTCTCTCTTTTTTTTTTTTTTTTTTTTTTTTTTTTGGGTTTTCTATAGATTTTTGTCTAAGTAATAATTGCTCCATTAGGTATACTATATTTTTAAGAGAATTCGTTCTTTTTTTTTCTGATTATAGCAATGAGTTGTGTAGCATACTGAATAGTATTTCGATTGGACAGAAATCTGTAGCTAAATTTTTTGTTTGCCGCTAATTCAATGACTCCCGACCCAAAAAACTGTGGGATTCACCAGCTTTGTAGCAATGTCATTTGAGCTGCATCAGCCTGTGCCATTGAGCAATAATTCTGAAGATGTCTTAAAGACGGAAATTACCGTTGAACCGGTTGTTATTGACGATTTCGTTAAGGAATACGAAATTGATGATACTGCGAAATTCATTAACGAAGGTGGTTATAAAAATGTAAGTATTTGCACCAAGTGAAGAGCAATCGGCTGTTTAACTTGGGTGTCTTTTGTGTTGGAAATAATGCAAAATCCTCAATTGAAAGTGATAGACCTAGTGAACGTCTTCGTTTTTAAAGACCACGCAAAAAGGCTTCATATAATCAATTCTCTAACTATTTAGGTCGCTCTTCAGTTCCCAGACGAACATCTCCAGGATGCTGTAAAAGTTGCTGACGCTTTGAGTAAATCCATTGATGCATCCGTTCATGTGCTTGCAGATACGAATTACGGTAGTTGCTGTGTTGACGAAGTTGCCGCTGAACACATGGGAGCAGATGCTCTTGTTCACTACGGACGAGCCTGTTTGTCTCCGTAAGTACTATCGAACAATCACTTAATTGAAAATACTAATAGACTAGAACCACACGACTCCCTGTTCACTATGTACTTGGTCAACTTAAAATTGATATTGAAAAGTGCACGGAGGAATTCACAAAAGCAAATCCTCCCACTGACAAGCAGCCTATTTTGCTCATATGCGATACACGTTGGTTCTGGGCTCAATCCGACATTCAAAATGCATTAATGAAAGCCGGCTATCCAACAGTTTGCTGTGCTGAGTTAAGCAAAGGTGAGGCTTGCGAGGAAATAGACGGTATACCCTATGGTTTGCCGGGACGTCGCGTTCGTCTACCAGATAATGTTGACTTGGCGGATGCTACTTTGTTGTTCGTTGGCCCGGAATCACCTACATTGACAACAGTACTGATGGGCTATTATTCCAGAGTCCAAGGTATTTACTCATTCGATCCTGTCAGCAGCCGGTTAACGGAGGAGTCGACGCCATCCGGAAGACGACTTCGTCGTCGTTATGCTCTGCTTCACAAATGCCGAGACGCTGGTATTATCGGTATCGTAGTTGGCACTTTGGGTGTTAAGAACTATTTGACACTCCTTGACCGACTTCGGAAATTGATACTGGATGCCGGAAAAAAGCCTTACATGATATCAATTGGTAAATTGAACGCAGCAAAACTTGCCAACTTTCAAGAAATTGAATGTTTTGTCATCATTGCTTGTGGAGAGAACAGTCTTGTGGACAGCCGGGTATGTTAACTTCTGATATTTGATTTCGCGTATCTAGAAAACTTTATTACGAAAAGTGCATCTTCAAATTGCTAACATTTTAAGGACTTTTATCAACCTGTTGTTTCTCCATACGAGCTTGTTTTGGCTCTTTCGCCTGAGCTCATTTGGAAGAACGAATGGATTACAGACTTTGAACGTGTTTTAAGTCTCGCAGACGAAATGTATGGTGAAAACAACAGCGAAGAAGAAGAAAAAACGGAAAAGAAAGAAAGCGAAGAGGAAGAACCACATTTCAGTTTGATGACTGGTCAATTCGTAAATGCTACTCCTATGCGCCAACACATAGATTTGTCGGTTGAAAATGACAGCAGTACTGAACAAGGAATGATCAAACATGCAGGTATGGCATTGGCTAGTGTTAATGGCATGTACTCACCAGCTGCGGCCTTCTTGCAAAAGAAGGAATGGCGCGGTCTGCAAAGTGCAGAAGGTGAAGAAGCTAGTGAGTTATACCAAGGATTGTCGGGCATTGCAAAGGGATACAATGGAGAAGCATCACAAAAGTAGTGCAGTAACTACAAAAGCACACAGTTTGTTTTGGATATATAACAATAAAAATTGGTTAATAAAAGGATCAATAAAGGGATTACATGATAAAACAAAAGTGTAACCGATACACCTGTGTAACAAGATGGCGCCTTCGCTTTGCATATGAGTTTGAATCGTTTAGGATATTATGTGTGAGATGCGAACTTTTATTAACCTTTTAAACTTGTCCTACATGATATTCGTGTCAACTGCGGTTCCAAACATGCAAGACATTATCAGCCGTTCGCCCGGCAATTATTGTCTTTTTTATTGGATCCACTGCAAAAAGTCTTTGAAAGAGGGGTATTTGCGTGTTTTTTTTTCAAAGCGTTGCTCACTAGTTTTTGCCAGCTCTACGAATGAGTGAGAGGCAAAGAAACAATGCTTATGCGGTTAACGAAAGTACATGTTCCTTGGCTATTTGCAAGCAACCTTTTAATAAACCCTTTTGAATGTGTGTCCCGCCCATCTTGACCAATTTGCAGATGCGACCAGCGTTATCAAGCATGATTGTCAAGCGTTCGACACAGAGAGACTCCTCATCATCGGTTGGATCGGCAAGAACACAATTTCCGAAGACGGTCCAGGAGAAAGACTCGATGTGTGAAGATAAGGCAAGAGGATGTTTTGCGCGTTCATCATGAACACAGACAACACGCTCCTCATCTTCGTCCCAAACGACAGCGGGTAAACGCGTCGTTTCAAGAGCATGCATGAGAGCTTTCCACGCGCAGTCAAATGCATTACCATCATAGTTCAAGCAAACGATGTCAGCGTACAGACACCAAGCTGCCTTCTTCTCGCGTATGCAAAGGGACTCGAGCGGCACGAGACATGTTCTGATAAGGTTAGTGTGACGAGAACAAGGGCAGAGAAAGCGGACTGTGTTCGTCGAGACAGAGCTCGGTTTGATTGAGCAACTCATCTCAAATCTGTAACTTACTGTTCTAAGACCTGATTCATCTGTTCCGAGACAACCTGAGCCAGTTCACGAGGTGGACCGGGCTTGAATTTGCCGTTGCACAAGGGTCCCATCTCAACATTGGGCACAATCCAGCCTCGAGAAGGAGCCTCCAGCTCTGGTTCAGCAATTTCTGCCTTGATACCACACACGAAAACGCTCTCACCAGCACGAACAATGCAACTGCCGTCTGCGGTAGAGATACATTGGGTGTTGACTACCCTCGGCCGAAATTCCGACACAGTCCGGCCGTCTGGTCGAACCTGGTTATCGAGGAAATGTTGTAAATATTGCCCGGGAGCAATACTTTTGTAAATGCTGTTTTGTATTAGTAAAAGGAAGAGAGAGAGTGTGTGTAGGGGGAGTGAGACGAGACGAGACAGTAGGGAAACGGCGGGAAACCGTTTTTGGCTTTTTCGTTCAAGCACACTGAACATTGTGATTCTATGAATGACTTGAAAATTCCTTTCAAAACAAAAATTGTTTCCCCTTCAAAACTTTGACCCTAAGACTAAACCGTAAGACCTCTATACTTCCCAGTCTTAACCCAAAGACTAATCCTTGATCGTTCAAACTCGTTCAAAAACGGACTGACAGCATGGACACCAAAATTCTCAAAAAAAAAAAAAAAAAAAAAAAAAAAAAAACAGAATCCCGTCCGAATCCCTTTGCATCGTCTCCGTTCATGCGACTTACCTCGGCGGAAACGACAATGGTTTCACGTCAGACATGGCGGTCGGTACGTCGTTTCTGCTCTTCATCCTCTAGCGGTCACCTTGGTGGGGTATGTGGGGAATCCCACATACCCCCGTTTCGCTGGACGATGCCCCCGCACGGGACATGGGGGTACGGCGGGTGAGACTCGTCCACAGCCATGCACGAGCAAAATCCGAAAGCGGACGTTGCTGAGCTGCGCAGCTTGGTGCGGTATTTGCGAGAGGCCAATGCGACAAACCTCAGCTGGCAGTTGTATCGCGCACACTTGCAGCGCCGAGAGGCTCTTGCTGCAGCTAATGGAAAACTGAACGCGTCGACGGCGGGGAGAACGCGTGCAACATCCCAGAACAGAGTCATCAGAGCTTCTCCCGGTGTCGTAGAGGAAGGAGAGGCTGCGTCTGACGGTCTGAGCAGCTCGGATCACCGCGAAATCCTCACACAGGCTCCAACTTCCTGGCAAACGCCTGCTGAGCCAGAACCGGTTGTTCCGCGCGAGAAGCGCGGTTCATCCGCGTCATGCCCGAAACAACAATGGACCCGGTGGCCGGTTGATCGTGCTCGTTATGACCTGGACGAACGCCTCCCGCTGCATCTGGCGAACCCGGCAGCGGCGCTTAGGCGGCAGCTCGCGCTGCTCGTCCTGCACGTCGCAACACGCAGCCTCCAGTCCCGCGGCCGAGAACCGAGTGCCGAGGAATTCCCGAATGCTGCTGCCGCTATGCTTCCAGTCCGACACATGCAGCAAGCTCTTGAGCGGCTGCTCGATGCCGTCGATCTCGTCCACCAGGCCCACGGAAGTCAACGGACCGCGGCTCGGATGGGTTCAATCGGATGGACCGCGGTGTTGCCACTGCTTGAGCTGAAGGCAAAGGCGGCTGCCGGTAATGCCACGAGCAACGAAGCCCTGGAAGCAGTTGCTGTTCGGGCTTTGGCCCGGACGCGTGCTCGGTGTGAGCTCCTGTTTCGGGCCGACGAAATGCCCGAAAGCGGCGAAGAGGAAGAGGCCGAAGAGTCCGTCTGAGTGGGAACCGGAGAACTGTTTCGGTCACTTCGTCAAGTTGCCTACTCACACTCTACGCCGTCTTCGGTCAAATTCTCGGCCAAATTGGCTACCCCTGACGTCTCGGTTAATATTTTTCCAGCTCTCGCAGCTGATTCGCTCTCGCTAAGTCTTCAACGCTGTGATTGGTTGTCGCCAAGCAGCGAGCAAATCGCTGCAGTCCGTCCTCGTCTTGCCCTTCTTCGGTCAATTTTCACCTCCTTCTCGGCCATCTTTGGCCATCAATCGGCCACCTCTGGCCAGGCGGCATCTTGCAGGCTGCTGGACGTGCCTGTTCAACTACCATGTTTGATCTCTCCGGGTGGTTTCCTTCAAGTTGGGATGGCCTTGCGAATGCGGACGAGGGGTTTGCGTTTGCGGGTCAGTTTGACGAGATCGACGTTGCTGTCGAATCGATGATTAAGAGCGGGAAACCTGTTCTTCGAAAAGACCATGTTCCTTCGTCCACATCACTTGCGACCTCTGCCTCTCCAAGTGGACCAAAAACAGCCGGGAATCCCGGAGTCCAAACCGCGGCTACGACCCCGATTCCCGGATCTACAACTGCGTTGCACTCCCTTCTGTACCAACGGCGAGCCTCGTCGTCTCTGGCTCCTCCCGGTGCCTGTGCTTCTTCGTTAGGAGCGTCCCTGGGCTCTCAACTGGGTGCCCTTTCGGCAGCTGCGTTGCCTTCTTCCACCACGGCAGCTGCCGCCTGCACCCCCACATTCGGCAGTAGCCTCTCCACCTCCGCTTCCCGCCCGTCCGTCCTCGCAACTGCCGCCGGGGCCCATTCGCCTGCCTTCTCCTTGTTCACGCCGCCACCGTCCCTCAGCGGAACAGCCTCGGCAGGACCGGGGCTCGGCGACCTCTCGGCACTTGAGGGCATACCTGTCCCGTCCAAGCGCCGGCCCTCCACCATTGCCCCCATTGGCACGCGACCGGCTCGTCGGGAGCCTCCCGAGGAAGAACCCGCGGAGTCAGCGAGACTGGAGTTGCCTGGCTCTCCGGGCTCAGTGAGTTCTGTGGAAGCGCCGCCCTTTTCCCTGGACCAATAGACGTGCACACGTGTGTGACGACTATGCGTTATGTTCAGTTTGTTTCGCCGAAAATTGCATCTGACGGCGTGCCCGTTGCTCTGGCCGCGCCGTCCACCGCCGACCCATCGATTTCGACTTTTTATTTAGTCCCACCATGCTCCACCTTCTTCCACTCATCCATCATCCTACATGCCGCTTCTCCGGACTAGTCTAGCGACGCTTAGTCGCAGTAATGAAACTCATGGACTAAACTTTGCGGGCTGGTGCACGTGATATTAGAATGAAACTTTAATGTGTGACGAGGTGAAGCGGGCAATGGGTGGCCTCTGAGTGGCCGGTGCTAATATTTATTGAGTCGCATCTAGTGGTAAAGTGGCGTAGTAAATCGCTGGAATTGTCGCTGTTGGCGTCGATTGAGCTTTGACTTGCGAGTGCAAGGGTCCAGAGCGACGAGTGAGCTTCAATGGTTAAAGTTTTCGCTTAGATAAACCTTAATCGAGGAGGTGAGTGGACGGTTGATGAGATGAAATGGCAGTATTCGTATGGAACTATGTGAAATAGGATTGCTTGTGCAGGTAGTGACAAGTACATTGTTTTGATATATATATATATATATATATATATATATATTTTTTTTTTTTTTTTTTTTTCTTTTTTTATCATTTTTTTTATTATTTTATTATTTTATTACTATTATTTTTTTCTCTCGTTTTCTTTACACCCTAAATTTATATCCTCACTCCTTGTCCTCAAATTTCAATTGGAATTATTATTTAATCATAATTTTATTATTATTTCTTTTTTTATTCCTTTTTTATTTATTTATTATTATTTTTTCCATTTTTTTTTCCTGTCACACCCCCACTTAGCCCCACTCCTTAATGGCAACTTTCTCTGGACACGCTGCCTAGAGCTTTTCTCCACCGCACCCATGAGCAAGCATTCGGAGCACAAGCGCAAGCACGACGCGCAGGAAAAGGTGTCTAAAAAACGTTCCAAGCACAGCAAGGACAAAAAGCACAAGGACAAGGCTGTCAAGGATGTTTCGGACGTAACCGAGGTTACCGAAAAAATCACCGAGAAGGTGACCGAGACGGTCACCGAAATAACCGAACAGGTCGCCGGTGATGTCTCCAAAAAGGAGCAGAAAAGCAAGAAGAGCAAAAAGGACAAGTCGAAAAAGAAGAAGCACGACCAATCCTCTGAAAAGTCCGAGTCCGGTTCGACCGAATCTGCAGATTCGACAACCACTTCCTCTACTCTTCATACGGACCCCGATGCTGCTCGTGCATTCATGAAGGAGCAAGAAATCTCTATCGCTGATCCTACGACGAAAGAGATTCTGCTTCCTTTATTGTCCTTTGACGACCTTCCTCTGCCCGACAAGCTCACGGCTGGTCTGCGCAACTTCAAGCAACCTACTCCCATCCAGGCTGCCTCCTGGCCTTACTTGCTCGCTGGTCGTGATGTTGTGGGAATTGCAGAGACTGGTTCCGGCAAGACTGTTGCTTTTGGCATCCCTGCTCTTCGTTATCTGAACCAGTTGCCAAAGGAAAAGCACCCTAGCATCCGCGTGCTCGTCGTCAGTCCCACTCGTGAGTTGGCTATTCAGACGTACGAGAACATGCGTGACCTCTTAGCTCCCTTGGGCCTGAACGTTGTTGCTGTGTACGGTGGTGCTCCCAAGTTTGAACAAGCTCGTGCTGCTCGTGAGGCTTCGGTCATCATCGGTACCCCTGGTCGCTTGCTCGATCTCATCAACGACGGTGCTGTTAACTGCTCAAAGGTGGGCTACCTGGTGCTGGATGAGGCTGATCGCATGCTCGACACTGGTTTCGAGCAGGACATCCGCAACATCATGAGTGCCACTCCCAATCCTCTTGCCGGTGGTCAGCGTCAAACCGTCTTCTTCAGTGCCACTTGGCCTGAATCTGTGCGTGAATTGGCCAGTACGTTCCTGAAGGATCCTGTCAAAATTACCATCGGCAGTGACGAATTGGCAGCTTCTCACAACATTACCCAGATTGTCGAGGTTATTGATGACCCTCGCCAAAAGGAGTACCGCCTGGAGGCCTTGCTTCGCAAGCATCTTAAGGAAATTGGCAAGAACGGTAAAGTGCTTGTCTTCGCCCTGTACAAGAAAGAGGCTGCTCGTGTGGAAAACACTCTCCGCAGAAAATTCGACGTCGTTGGTATTCACGGTGACTTGTCTCAGGCCGCTCGTATCCAGGCTCTTGATAGTTTCAAGTCTGGTCGTTGTAACCTTTTGGTTGCTACTGATGTCGCTGCTCGTGGACTTGACATCCCTCAAGTCCAATTGGTCATCAACCTTACATTCCCTCTTACCATCGAGGATTACATTCACCGTATTGGCAGAACTGGTCGTGCCAACACGAAGGGAACTTCCATTACTCTCTTCACTCCTCAAGACAAGGGTCACGCTGGTGAGTTGATCAATGTCCTTCGTCAAGCAAATCAAACGGTGCCCGACGAGTTGCTCAAGTTCGGCACTGCTGTTAAGCCCAAGCTGAACGCCTATGGTGCTCGTGTGGCCGATGCCCCGATGAAGGCAGCTACAAAGATCGTGTTCGACTAAGCGATTTTTTTTTTGTCTGTTCACAAGATCTCATACACTGTTTTTCATTTTTTTGGAAAATTCATAAAATACACATTGCACTGGAACTATCTAAATCATTTATGTCCGCTTTTGTGCACAATAGGGATATGCGTTTTGTCTTCTTCTTTTCTTATTTTTTTGGGTACAAGGATAGCGTCTCCCACCGCTGGGAATAATAAAAATACAGTTCGTTAAGGTTGGCCATTCTTTGTAAACTGATCATCAGTAGTAGTAAATCTAGTTTGAAACGGCACCGCTGGGGAGCGAGTGTCCGTTTGTTTCGAATTCACTTTGGGTCCAGCTGTATAGGCCGGCTGTATCGAACAAAAGTCCTAAAAGTGGGAAGGTAACTTGTCCGCTGGATGCCGCCTGAAATAGTGCATCCATCCTAACTATCTCAGTCTTTACATTGCGATGTTGTTCCACCAGAATAAACTTATAGTTGGATCCGTCAGCAGTTCTTTTCACATCGAGGATGTCGCCCGGTCGGATTTCAGGAAAACAACGGATAACCTCATTAACGCTGGAGCTTGTTCTCAAGGCTGATTTTGTTGATTTTCCTCCCAACCATGCTGCTTTTTTCTGCTTGTCCATGGCGCAGCCCTCATGATACAGGAAGGCCTTGTCCAATTTCTTGCAGTGTTCCGCTAGCTTGCGGATAGCAATCTTGACATTTTCCTTATAGTCGAATTCAGACATGACATTGTGCGTTAGAAACTTTAGCAAGTTGTATTTATCAACTTTGACTTTCTGCATATTACTAATAAAACTCATCAAGTCAATAAGTAGTTGTTGACATCCGACCATAGAGCGAAAATTCAGTTTGGGCTCCAAGCCTGAATCGCTAGTTGTAGAATTTTTATCCCAGTAATGATTGTAATCAAGTTTGCTTTCCGAATACCGCCATTCAGTTTCTTCAATTGGTGTAGGATCCATCCAAACTCGGCAGTTAAATGATCCATTTGTTCGATACTGACAAAAGAGAGAGCATATATTCGCGATCGTTAAGAAGACACCCGAGACGGAACAGAGAGTTTTGCAATTCACAACTTCATGGCTGACTCGGAGAGTAACCATGTGATTCCTCTGAAACGCGTTAAAAGTATAAGTGGGCAATTTAAGTATGAGCGACTCAAAGGCTGGTTCATTTGCAAATGCTTGCTCACGAAATGAGTTAAGCAAAGCATCGTGCAAGCAGAAAAGGTCGTGCTTCGTAAGACAAATATAACGGTCGGCGTATTTTAAGGAAGGGTATACGGGCTTGTCGTTGCATAGTAATTTAATGATCTTTTCACACAGTACCGAAAGTTCTTTGTGCGAATCTCTTTTCGAGTTACGGAGGAGGCATTCTTTCAACAGTCTCTGCATCTCAACTGCCAAAGTGGAAGATGCATCAGGCTGTGATTTTATACTCGCAATGAGAGAAACAGCACTGAATTGTTCGTAAAGAAATAGGCGTTCAAGATATGATTTTTCGCTTTGAGGGACACCTTTAAGGTCATTTTGTATGGAATGCAGCACTTGAATAAGTTCCCGGGGAAGGAAACAACGATTGTCTCGCAGGTAACTCAGAAAGAAGGAAGTACGTCTGAAGCTAAAGTTGTCATTACATGACTTCGGGAAAATAAGAGATGGTTCATAAGCAATTTCAGCCAAGTAAGAGTAGTAAAACTTTGAAAATTGCGGGCTGATAACAATTTTGAAAACGCGAGCTGCCCAACGTACTTGGTTCTCTGTGGTTTTTTGGTCCTGTAAGCAAATTGAATCCTTAATCATTTGAATAATAGCTTTAGTAAAACATTGGCGATCAAATTCTGTTAAGCCAAAATTAAATAGCTTTGCGATAAGAATATTTGCCTCTTGATTCGTTAAGTTCGAGCTCTTGTTAGAAAAAAGTGCTTTAAAGAAGCTAGCAGCTATAGTCGGAGATTCTTGTAAAGCGAAAACCATGTTGTTGTAAAGAGCTGGACAGCTAAAGTCTGTTGCAGGAATCAGAGTCGAGGAATGGGGAATGCAAGTTGTGGCTCCAGGCTTGTAAACATCACTCGTCGCTAGTATATTGTAGGATTGAACAAACAGATTCACATTCTTCAAATTAATTTTGTATGCTGTTTGCATGTAAATCTCCACTTTAGCAGTTTCTCTCTTGGGAAGATGTGTAGTAGTCTTAAGCAGCAATTCTATCATCTTTCCAGATGGCACTCGGACACGGTAGTCAGAAAATTGACGATTATGTTTGCGAAACAAGTAACCACGACATAAAGCCTGAATTGTAGTCGCGAAATTAGCCATTGTTTGTCGACATATTTTGAGTTTCTGTTCCCTAGCCTTCTTAAAATGGAATCGAATATTTTCGAAATTTGGGACGAACTTCGTGGATTTAAATAGTAAACTAATCAGTTCCCTGAAAGACGTTCAGATACCGGAAAACGTTCGAGGAACTGATCACCAAAGTCGATCACCTTTCGTAATTGTAGCACTATGAGAGCCATATACACTGTTAGCATTGTCGTGGGGATATTGACGCCAACTATGTGTTCCTCTGGTCGAAAAAAGAATCGCTGTTTATGTCAGTAAACTGAAGCAGTAGGATTCGTACATACGTCTTTTATACCAATTGTGCTACAGAACTCGAGAAACATATTGGCAAAGGACAAACGCCTCTCCTTGGCACAAGCATTGATATCGTATTTCTTCATGAGTGAAGGATCAAAAAGAATTACTATGCGACAGAATATGCTCCCATTCTTCAGTAAAAGATTGAAGGCTTTCTGACTCATCGGTTCAAGGCGGACTAGTGTTTCCACCCAACTGTTGTTATTAGCATGCCAATAGTATCCTTGACGTTTGCTTACTATTTAATCGTCAAATGAAACGAAACATAGCGAAACCAAAGGCGATTGATATTTGGAATTCTACTCCGGGGATTATCACTAGAGGTGATGTTTACATCAATTCTAGCAATTGTTCCACGGCGTGATGCAGCAGAAGACATTTTAAGCGTTAAAGGAATTTAAGAGATATTCAGAATCACGATTGTAACAAGAGAATAAAGCGCTTAAATCCAGTTTTCGTCCGAGAATAAGCAAGATTTACTGAAAACTCTGTTTTCAGTTACTTATTTAATTATGTTTTTTTTTAATATGGCTTTTTAATACACTTTCTTTCCGTTTAAAAATTGAAAAACGTTTAAGTAATTTAATCCTTTCCGTAACTTTTCTGGTAATTAAAGTTGAAGAACGGTCAGATTTGAAGCTGAAATTTATACCTTTTTCAGGTAAACAAATAAACAAATCCAGAGAACCAATTGAATGTGGGTTTTTTAAAAATTTTAATCCTATATTTTGAAAATTGTGAGAAATATTGAACCTGTAAACAAATATATCGTACCATAAAATTTAAAAACTGTTTCAAAAAAGCTATTCCACTTAGAAAAGAAAGATTTAGAAAAACCGTCAAGAAAAACCGTAGAAACGAAAACAAACTTATTTTTAACAAGCTGTAAGTATTCTTTTGTGATATTTGCTTTATTTTAGTATTACAAAGCCCTTTCCATTAGTTGACAGTTTCGCTGAATTAAAATTCAGTGGAACACAAATGAGGCTATAATCTCGTTGCTTAATAATGAAATATTATTATCAAGTTTGTTCTTTATCCTCCCTGTAATCATGTATCGAAAATCATTCTTAAAGAGTAAACTGCTCACAAGCTGTGGTTAGGAACTTCCAGAATCTAGAAGGGCTTCGTTTTTTATGCAAACCTATTCACCACTGTTTAATGTCAACTGGAATGATTTAAAGAAAACTGGCCTAATATGAGGTTTACTGAAAGGAAACCATTAGCCAAGGCTCGTCGTCATTTTGCGAAAAAAGAATTTGACCTGGATGAAGTATTCTGGAACTGAATATACTCATTGAGTTAAGACTAACATATCCAGAGTGATGATGATGAAGACACGTTTCTACGCAAAACCTCTGAGATTTCGGATGTCGATTTTTCGAATCGGTTACAGGAAATAGAACATAAATCGACAATACAAGCCTCAGTGAAAACCGAGGGCACTTCAAGCTTGCATACGAGTTTGGAGAATAAACGTAGCACTATCCCTGTTGATTTGTTTCACTAACCTGCGTAAAGAACAATCCACATCACTTTGTACAATTGTCCATCTCTCCCATTTTCCTGACTCAGTTGACATCAATGATTTTCGAAAACATATATCATCTATCCCTGGAATTATGGCTGTAAATATATTTCCACCACAACCCGATAGCGAAAGAAAGGGAATCCTGGTTGTTCAAAACGAGGCAGCAGCGTTTTCTGTGACACAATTCCTAAAAACAAATCCATTCAATGATTATTTTATACAAGGCACATATGAGATTAAGGAACCAAAGACTATCTCAAACGGTGTAGAAAACAACAAGAGCACCGTACTCGTTTCTCAGGAACAAAACTCTATCAGCGTTCTTTCTCCGTTTGAAAAAGCCAAATTGAACTGGCTGTTAGATAAGATGTCCTGCTCCCGATCGTCTATAGCGAGAGCCATGGCATTTAGCATGGAACATGTTCATTGTCACGAAGAGGTAATTAGTTTTTATTTTTATTTTGTTTTCCAGAACACATATCTAACGCGTGACTAGATTGTTGATCAAATTACCAATTCATTTCTACAAACATCGGATTGCTTGGAACTGGACGTTGTTCGAAAGCTCAGCCATTTATACCTCTTTAACGATATATTGTACAACTGTGCTTCAGGAATACCACAGGCTTGGAAATATCGGCTCAGGTTTGTCTTCTCTGTCTTTCTTAAACTAACATATCGTATAGTTTGGAAAAGCACTTACGCGTCATTTTTGAACACCTTCGTTTCACTGCCAAACGCTTTAGTGGAAGATTAAAAGAGAATATATTTACTCAGAAGGTACTAGCCGTCACCGATGTATGGACAAAATGGGTTTCCTTTCGGGAAGAATTATTTGAGTATGTGCACAATTTATTTAATCCCAAAACCACTTCATCGACACAGTTTAGGCCAGTGGAAAACGAAACAGCGCTTGAGGACGAAAAATGGTTTAACATGACGCCGCCTGCAGAAGAATTGGAAAATGATGAGGAGTACAATGGCATCCCTGTTGATGTTAGCGAACTTTTGGGTCTCAAGGCAGCAAAGGAAGAGACAACACATGAAAAGCCGGAACCTTCGATACGCCCTGCAATGTTCAAACAGAGTTTTACTAAAGGTACCGTCGTTTCCAAAAAAATGCGTATGCGTGCCGAGGACTTATTCGATACTTGAAAGCCAACTTGGCAAATGTGCTATGTGAGCGTAATTATTACTACTACCTTGCAATTTCGTTTACTACGTTAATATTAGACGTGTACTATATTACAGTAGGACTTTGCACTCACAGTACTGAACCAATTGTTCCTATCACCGCTACTTATAAACAAAATAAAATTACCGATCAGAAGCAAAAAAAAAATATGTTATTAGAATTAAAACCGAAATGGTTAATGCGAAAAGTGGCATTAATGCTAATTAAGACCGCTTTGTAGTCGGCAAAGAGTGCATTTGCCAAGGGATAATGTGCGTGAGAATACAAACGTATCCGAGAAAGGTCATGAAAAGGACATCAAAAAAGGCAAGCGCGTCATCAAACCATATCAATTAAGCGACGGGCTTAGGGCCGCCTGCACTGAGAGGAACTCCAGTTGGTGCCTCGTTCGTGACATACTCGTTTTGTTCTGTTGACGGGACTGAAGAAACGCTTTTACGGCGGCGTTCTTGTGATTTCTTTTCTCTCTCCTCTGCCCGTACTTCTCGAGCTGCTTCTGTGTCAACGGTATTATCGTTACGACGGATAGCATTTCCCCATTTGTCGAACGTTTCATTGATACCGATGCGAACTTTTTCAATGTCTTGGTTCATTGTGTGAGCTGCTCTTTTGACGTCGTCTGTCCAAGTCATTGTTGACGAATTTATAGAAATTAAATTGAAAGAAAAACGCGTGTGACGTATATATTGTTTTTTATTGTTTTTGCCTGACGCGTAAATGAAGGCGACTTGAGCTTATATGCTGTTTATAGAGTGATGTCATTATCACACAGAAACTTTTGGTGGTGACTTTTCCCCCTTTGCGGGCCGAGCTGAACCCGGAAGTCATGAAACTGCAAAGGTGGGGTAGACGAGTATTTCGTCGAGTCTTCTAGAAGGAGCTAAATGCAGGACGGGAAGTAATAGATTGGTGACATTGTTGATGGTTTATGTTACACATTTTGTTTTGATCGTGGATGTTTTCATTTTGAGTTTGACTCCTTTTTTCGCTTAGACTGGCGATAACCTAAGATTTTAGAGATAACTCTATTCTCGTTTTACCGAGAATATGGAAAAATAATTGAAGCATTAAACGTTGATATTTAGTAAATAGTAACTGATATGACAAACCTCTTGTCTCCGACTGCGTTCTATAGAATACCAGGTTCAAGTGCCGAACACCGAGTTTATAGCACTGATCTCTTTTAGGTAACAAAACAGCGAATTCAGTTTTTGACCTTTTATATTAGTGATATTTAAGCACGAACCGAATAGATTCGAGTACTTTGTAGTTTAACTGTAAAGCTCTAACTAAAGATTTAAGCTCAACTTCACTTTGTCGTAATTAAGAATATTCATTATCCGGGAATTATTATTCATCAAACATGACAGCTGATCATCAGCATTAAACGTCCCAATGAAACGTCCTATTCTATACCTTTCTCGTTTAAATCTTGTTGTCTACTGGTTGGTGAGAAACCTACTCGCTGGTGAACCTTTTTATACTACACCCTGTACTGGCACACACCAACCTGCATTGTAAATAAATATAGTCAACCCATGACTAATTCCGCGGTTTCGGTTGATCCAACACTGAAACCAAATAAGATTTTTGCCAATTACTTTTGGGTATGTGTTAATAACTGACTAATTGTGCGTTTGCTGTGTTTCTGACGTTTTTTTTTTAAGGGACCTAATGACGAAGGATTCACAGCTCTCACTTCTCGATTTAGCGAGGCAAAACAAATAAATGAAGAGTTGCGGTTATATTTTCGCGAAAGGTATGTGTTTTTCTGATGTGTTATGTATGAATTTACAGGGATACGTGACAAATATGGTGTAGATTGGAAAAGAGAGTTGCTTCATGATCTATATTATATAATTATACCTAAGGATTGTCTGCTAACAACGTTCTTACAGGGCTTCCATCGAGGAAGAGTACGCCCGGAAGCTTTCGAAGCTTACCAAAATGAATTTGGGTTCAAATGAAACAGGCTCTCTTCGAGATGCCATGTTTCAGTTGAAAGAGGAAACCGGTGCTATGTCCAAGTTACATTTTGATTTGGCCTCGTATATGCAGGACGATCTTGAAGGCGCTATTTCCCGGTTTGCTAGCAATTTGAAGGAGAAGAAAAGAAATGTACTTGTAACTGCACATGTTTAGGAACAATGCTAACACGCTAATGTATAGATTATCGGCATGATTGACAAGAGTCATAAAGTTAAGGTTGCTCAAACACAGGCCGTCATCAAGGTTCGTGTTGCAGATTCAACCGGTTTCTCTTTGCCCGCATATTCAGTTATTAACAATTTCAAAAGGCGCAGGAACGCTATGAGTATTACTGCAAGCGAATTAATTACTATGTGTCTCAACAGAATTTGCTTGTAGGAAAGGATCTCGAAAAGAACAACAACAAATTAAGCAAAACACAGCAACTTGTTACCACAAGTGCTCGTGATTATAAGGCGGCTGTTGAAGGATTAAAGGATATAAACAGATCCTGGATTGAGGAATGGCATGAAACATGTGACAAAATGCAAGACATCGAAGAAAACAGAAGAGATTATTTGAAGAGTCTGCTCTGGAAATATTGCAGCATTGTCTCAAAAGGCTTTTCTACCGGTGAAGAATCCGCGGAGCGTTTGCGTCAACGTATCGAATGTTGCAATGTGCTTAACGACATTGAATGCTTTATTGACGAGCGTGGAACAGGAAGCGGCATTCCTCAGGCACTCAAGTTTTACGATTATTACAAGGGTGAGGCACCAGATGGAAACGTGGAAGTCGTACAGGCTGCATTCACCCGCGAAACTAGCAATGTTGTTAATGATAAAGTGCCACTCAATCGTCAATACACGCTGTCAAACCCGACAACCCCCAATTTCTCTAACACAGTCAATACTGGTTCACCTTTAAGCGATGCATCAAATTCTGATGTTGTGAAATCAAGACCAGTGTCAAAGTCTCCCACAAAACGATTCTTTGATCGGTTTGCGCATCCTTCCCGCAGCACCAATAGAAGTACTACCAGTTTGGGCATTACGAAGCCACAAGGTCTCTCAGTAAAGGAATCTCTATCTGCTGCTGCTATCGAACAATCGATGTCAAATCTTAAGATGGACAATACCCCACGCGTGTCTGGACGTTCCACTGTGAATTCTCTCCATTCAGCACCTTCCAATTCACAGTCACCTTCTCGCTCACCAACTCGTTCTTCAGTTAATACAAATGGTCGCAATACTGTCCAAAGTGATACCCGGCCGGATCGTGCTCATTCTAGCAGTAGCGCACGAGTGCAAACGGCGCAATCATACATAAACAGGAAACAACAACTGCAAGAGGAGTTTGGTAGTGTGCTAGAGATGGAAAATCGTGCTGCTTCTCCTATGTACTATAACTCACAAGGAATGCCAGAGTATCGCTCTTCAACTTCACAGCGAAACTCCGTGTTGAATACCGAACAACATTCACGAACAACTTCTTCAGTATCCGCACATGAAGATATCCCTCGTTCATTAACACCAGGACTTGTTGAACCACGCTATGACTTTGGTATAAAGGTCAGTGCAGCTCATTCTCCTGTCCACAACTATTACGATGATGATGATAATGATGATACTCCTGCATATCAAGACCAAGCTATGAACGTTTTTCCAAAATATAACGAAGAAACAAATAAAACTCCTAACCATACGGAGCAAGTTCCCGCTCCAAAATACGAAAGGTTCGATGGAACCGCTAAAACTACTGATGGCTTGCCAATTATTGGTTATGGTAAGTAACGCACATACTATGTCTGTCACAAGGATACATACTAACTTCTAATAACAGTCCATGCTCTGTACAGTTATACCGCAGCTATTCCAGAAGAAATCAGTTTCCAAAAAGGCGATACTCTGGCCGTGCTCAAAGTGTATGATGACGGTTGGTGGGAAGGATTTGTCGTTGGCGAAGACGACCATAATCGTGGTCAGTTTCCTTCAAATTTTGTTAAAGAGGTAAATGTTTAAGCTTTATTCTGCTCCAAAAACCTATTTTGAAGGATCATATTTTATCTTGTTCTTTTTGTTACACGACTATCTATTATTTGTTCATTGCATACCATCTGCTGCATTGTCTTTACTTTGATGATTAATTCAATACGATTCGTTTCTCGTCTTCTTGCTCCAATTTGCAACACATCATCCAATTAAATACCGTTTCCCCTTTATTTATAATAATCGGAGCGATACACAGTTATTGAGCCATCTTGTTTATTAATAATATAAACTTAAATTAGCCAAACTTACTGTTACCTAAGTTGTTACTTTTCGTGGTAGTTTACGCGTTCAAGGTGTCACTTGGCTGTACCACAACGAAGTAAATAATTGTCGTAAATACGACAATGCGCGATTCTTCGTCGTTTATCCAACGTAAGAACCTCTTTATATTTATCAATAGCGTGCTAATTATGTAGGAAACTCACAGCTTCCGCTTTCATCGAATTCTCGTTTGTCTAATATCAATGGACCTGGATCCAGCGCTCGACGGCCCAGTCTCGCTCCAATGAGAGCTATAGCACAAAAGAGACAATCTATGACCGTTGATTCTTTCAATAATGCCAATTCCCGTTTTATTGCTCCAAGTGTCCGTCATAGTATTGCACCAAGGTTTGTTAACATAGGACTCAAAGTGTCAGCTCTTCTAACTTACACTGAATCAGTAGCAGAAGATCCAGTACCTTTGTGGGAGGAAGAGCATCAAACGCTTCTTTCCTCAGTCAAGGTGTTGATCAGGGAGACACAAGAGATCCTCGACCAGTTCGTGACAAGGCATTTCAATCATTATGTGCAACCAACATTGTAAATTATCTCATTAATTCCGGTTATCCGAGTCCTATAACAATCAAGAACATTTTATCGCCTACCACAAAAGAGTTTCAATCTATTTTCAAATATCTTTACAACAAAATCGATCCTAACTTTTCATTCGTTCGACGAATAGACGAGGATGTGAAGCTCTGTCTCAAAGACATCCAATATCCCTATGCAGAGTCTATTACGAGGTCCCATTTAATGGCAATTGGCTCGCCGCATTCGCGACCAGTGATTCTTGCCATGCTCCATTGGATGGTAGAAGTCGTGCAGTGCATTGAGAGCCTGTCGACATCGCAAGAAGAGGTTCCACCCGATGATGAACATTTTGCTGACAAAGCCTTTTTTGAGTATTTGGTAAAGTCTTATCACTTTTTCTTGGACGATGTCCCGGATGATAGTAGTCTTACGGAAGAACTGTGTGCTTTTCTTGATTCGCAAAACAGTGGAATTGGGAAAGAAATTGAGAACCTTGAGAAGAACATACAGTCCATGACCGAGGAATTGGAAAAGGACGAAGAGCTGGCTGCAGTCTTATCTCAACTACAACAAGAAAATGCAGTTCTTCAAGAAGATGAACTGAAGCTTCAAGCAATTATTGAACGATCCGAACTTAGAATTGAAAAGCTGCAATCAAAGATGGGACCTTTGGGTGAGGAGTTGAACGAAAGAAACGTGGAATTGGAACGGCTTAATCAGGAAAAGCTCTCACTACAAGCTCAAATTGAAGCACAACCGATTTCTACAACTGACTTGGATAGAATGACTTCCGAACGTGAGCAGCTTTCTAATGGATTAAATCAAATTAGCAACAGGATTCAGGAACTCCGGAGAGAAATTTTGGAAGCCGAGGGAAGCGTTCAAACGAAAACAGATTCCTTGGAAAAACTTGTTCAACGGTACAACACTGTAGCCTATAGACTTGGCATTGTTCCATCAACCGCACCACGTGCAAATGATCAATCCTTAGAATTAGGATTACTAGAGGAATCAGAAGGTTGTCTCAACCTTGATCTGAAAAACATAGTCCGGCCTTTCCTCATCAATTTACGACACAACTTGACGACTGAGTTTCACTCGGAGCAAAGCCGTTCATTGGAGCTTCAGGAATCCTTGGATAAAATAAACGAAAACGTTACTGATACAAAAGAAGAACTCGATGCTTTGGAAATAAAGATTGAAAATACCCTTTCTGAATATACAATGTTAAAGGCAAAGCTTTCTGAAGAGAAAAGTATACTCAATTCGGAATCCGACAAACTGGAACATGAACTCCAACAACTAAAGCTGAATTCACAAAATACTCTGCTTCAGTTGGACCAACGGATACAAGCCTTGCGCATTGAGTATGACCATACAACACAGACATTAGAGATCATGAAAGGCAATGCATACAAGGAAGTTGCATTTATGTTGGATGAAATCATACACTTTAAATTGCACATACAAAATGGCTTAGAGGAGCTTGAGACGGATTATGAAAAAGAGCTTGCCGAAGCTTCAAAATAAGTCTTAGTTCCCAATGGCCTGTAGGCATCATGTTCTGTGTTTTGTTAATGATTGTACTTTTTTTGGATGGTTGGTCTTGGTTTGGGTGCATGTATAGTTTAATCCTTTTTTCCAATAATGATATCTGTTTAGGCTAAATGATGTACTTTTATTACGTGTCAACCGTTTTCCCATTCCAGGACGGAATCGCCAGCGTGCTTATATTCGGGTAACCTACTTTCTTCCTTTCCCAATCCCCATTAATGCAGAAAACAAAAACGCGACAGAGCACTAAAGACACACCGTTAAACACAATTAAACTAGGTAATAATGCTGATCCAAAGAACAGGGAAGCGTTGGATTCTTCGGCTTTGTCGAAAATTGATACAATTCTTAAAATTCTGAAAAAACACGGAATGCCTATGACTACAGTAGATTTAGAAAATGCCTTGAAACAACAGTGTGTAATGGAGAAAGAAAATTGGGCTGAAGCAACTAGTTTGTCCATATATTCTTTTTTGATGAATTACATTCGGCATTGTGCTTCTACAAAAACCCCTACAAAATTGCGATTTTTTTACGCCAGATCAGGAATAAATGCTCATGTATTCTACTGTTCGAATTCTAAAAGTATACCAACTCGCAAGTCTCCAGCAGTGAGCTCTAAAAATCAAAAAAAACGACAAGCTCCAGATGAATGGGTACCTTCAAAGCACACGAAGTCAAAGGAAAGAAAAACGGGATCGCTGAAAGTGCTTTTACGTAAAGCAGCGACTTGTGAAGAAAATTCCGTGCAAAGCAAAGAATCAAACAACCCAAAGCCCGTCCTACAAGCTTCATTTGGAGGCGGTTCCTTTCTGTTTCTTGAAACAAATGGTTATCTTTGGGATCCTAGTTGTTCGATAGACCATGAAGAAATGTTTGTCGATGCAGTGAAACCGCTTAAAGACTTAAACGAGTTAGTCCCCCATTTAATGCTTGAAAACGATTCTAGGGACCGGCTCGAACCAATCTTCTTAAACGAACTTGGTATGGAAATTTAAAACCCTTAAGCTGTTTAAACCTTAATTATTTGACACATTATACATTAGAATAGGTGATCTATGAGCCTTCTTTTTCACCTGTAAACTACTTATGTCTTTACTTTCCGCTGCCACTGATCCTTCAGACTTTGAATCAGCTTAATATGAGCAGGAGTATTTGAAAGCCTTACGAGTTAGTGTGAAATGAAACAAAAAGCATGCTTACCAATCTGTTGTGAGGAGCTGTTCATAAATTGATGACGGAAGAGGAATAGCATGTGGTTGCTGTAGGCCGTAAAGGAGACATTCAGCTACATGAAGACGAAGCTACGGGGTTAATTGAGTGTCGTTTTCGGTGCAATTTAGGCTTACCTTTAGCATAGGATGAACAAGTAAGTTTGTAATGTATTTCATCACTTGCACCCACACTTTTTCATGCTGTACGAGAAGAGTGGATTGGTAACTACAAGTGTCAGTAATACTGTATGCTTGTTCAGTTAGTACTCACAGTCTAAGAATATACTGTAAGGTCGAGAAACTCTTAAATTGCTTAACACGCCTCTGTGCATGAAAACTAATTAACAAAAGGCTGAATGTTAGTCATGGAATTTGATGAGCTGAACAATATCGCGTACCGTTTAGGGGAAATAAAATTAAGGAAATAGCCTCGAACTAATAAAGAAGTGAGTAACCGCACAGAAGAAACCCAAAGAGGAACTTCGGTGGCAGCATTCGAGATAAAATGTTCAAGAAAGTCGAATATGTCTTCCAGCGCAGTAAATTCTGAAGAAGATTTACTGACAGGAAGCAAATCGAGATACAGAAGAAAGTTAGAGTATGCTGATGTAACCTATATACTAATTAGTTATGTGTAAACGGAATTAATGCAAGCACTTACGACTTCATTTCCGAACCCATCACATAAAAGCAGAACAAGGCCATGAAAGGCCGAGTCAAACATTGACGGAACATTCAAAAGATTAATGGTTGTCTTGCTAACATAATTTGAGGCAGCCCATGTCGTAGAAGAAAAACTAACATGTGTAAGCAAATGTAGACTGTAATTTAAGTTACCTTTCCAGCACATCACAGAGTGGCTTGTCACCTTTAATCAAGTAATGATTGCGTGAATTCACAAGAGCATCATTAGCTGAAACTCGTATTTTGTCTATACGATCGAAGCGAAGACGAACAAGTAATGAGAGGGAAGTGCGTATTTGGCTTTCTTTAAGTCGCTTCACTTCTGCATCGCCCAAAAGCAAGACCGCAATTGCTTGAACTGCGTATTGTCGAACCCAAGAGCCTGTATCACCGCGTGAATCAATATGGTAATTATTACCAAAATTAAAAACCAGAGATACGAATGTATCCAAATAGTTCTCCTCAAGATTTTGAAGAACATAATCCACGGAATTATAACAGAAGAGGGAAACCTCTTTCTGTAATTCGATACATGTTTTCTGAAGGTTAGTTAAAGGCACATTCAACATATTACTCACTTTATCAGTATAAAGCGTACTCAAAGCTTGAAATACAGGAACATAATACTGCGACTCCTTCCATTTGACTGCAGCAAACATCAAAACATAGCAAAGCTGTGTGCTTAATAAAGACGAAGTATTCAGGGTCTTCAGAAATACGCTAGTTTTTACTGCGATATGTTCATATTGGTAAAGTAAAGCAAAAGTTTCGGCAATTTTTGAGTGTAACATTTCATCTTGTAGCGAAATTGCAGCTGATAAATGAGACAAACTCCTTTCTAAAAAGTCATTGTCCGGAGGTGCAGCATTCTTGCAGACGCAGCTTATGAATGAAAGTAAAATTGAAGAGAGCTCAAATCCTTGAAATTCATGAAATAGCGTAACAGGAAGGTATTGTTCATAATTGTATAAAAATTGAGTGTATGATTTCTCAAGCAAAGTTTTGTTCGTGGATTCTACTGCCTGATAAATGGCACATAGAGCCAATAAATCACCATGAATATGGCCCAATTGTGAAGTTGATAACCTTTCTATCAATGTTTGAACTTTTGGCAAGATTTCATGCGGGTAAACACAAGCAAGAGCTGCAAGCGCTTGAACAGCTAAGGAACGAATTTCGGCATCCCAATAATGAAGCTTATCTATAAGTCTATTAATTATTGGCAAACAATATGAATCATATCTAAACGTTGTTAGTTAAAGACAAGAAGAAAATATACCTACTGTGCAACTTCAACAGATATTTTTGTAAAGCAAGCCGTTCTGTCTGTTACTGCATAGAACCCAAGTGTACTAACTAGGTGAACTCCATAGGGGACGCATGTGTTTCTACCGGTCATCTCCTGAAACGCGGCGCTTGATGCTCTTCTGACATTGAGTTCACGGTCAAAAAGTGCCGTAAGCGCAACTTGAATAGCTAATTCTTCTGTATAGCTTGCAAGTTCTTTTTCTGTATAAACACGGTACAGAGACCACACAAAATAATCAGCGGCGTCGCGGACGTTACTTCCAGAAACCTTTGTTCCGTTTCTGACTTCGTAGACAAGAGACTGTTATGTTAGCTTAATTTAAACATCCTTTAAATAGCATACTAATAGCATAAGCGGAACAAGCTTGTCGAGCGTCCTTTTCTTCAAAAGACCGTGAGATGCCAATTCTGAAAAACATAAAACGGCCCCATGCCAGCTGTTCGGGTTGGTTACGGTTAAATTCCATTCATTCGTTACCGGATCTCGGAATGCATTTTCCATCAAAATATCAAAAACTGCGTCCATAACCTGTTCAGCAAAAAACCAGGGAAGCCTTTCAACAATTCTGGCTAAACCCTTAGCAGCAGACCACCTAACAACAGTATCCTTATGTGTAATACTGTCAAGCAGAATGTCAACAGAGTATTCCACGTCTTCGTGAACTTCCACATTATTATCCTCTGGATACTGCTCGAAATTGGAGAGCGCATACTTACTAAATCGCCATTGTTCTGAAGACTTTAAAGGAAGCAACAATAGTGCGAATCGATAAGCGGCCTTGCAAGCAAATTTTTGTAACAAAGTATCTTCTGGGGTGATGAACTTTTTATAAAGCCTTAGAAAGCGAAAAATCAAATCTTCAAACGGTAAAAATACAGAACGTTCAACGAATTTTAAAAACTGTGCGACAGTTTCCAAACATCCAAGAATGGAGTAATCTGTTTGCTTTGAACCATTCAAAAGAGAAATGGCGTAATGAATGAACTGTGGAAGAAGCTGAACAGTGTCTGAGCGTGAAAGAAAGCGCCCTAGAGCGACGACAGAAGCATCACGGTTTTTCCCTGGCAATTTGAGAAATGAGATGAGTAAATTTAGAACTCGTACTTCAAGGTTTGGTTTTTGCTCAAGTGTTTTAAGAGGAAAGGGAGCTTGAATTACCTGGGATAACCATAACAAGTAAGTATAATGTACTTTCCAACTTTCACATTCGTCATTAGATAGTTCATCAACGAGACGTTCAATTAGCGATATGTCTGTAACAAAAGACAGGAGTAATGTTTTGTAGCCCTTGATTTTACAGAGTTCGTAAAATAAACTACATGAAATGAGTCGCTCTGTTGGATGAAGAAAGCGGGAATTCAGCTCTGGTAGAAATTCGCCAATAACCTTATCTAGTAATAATGGTTGAGCCTGAAATTCTTGTAGCTACACTGGTATTAGCATTAGTTAAAGAAATAAAGTATCGTTGACAAACATTTTGAATTAGCTTTTCCGACAACAGTAGTTTCTTTGAAGGATCATTCGATAAAAAGAGATTCCGGAAACCATCACGAGTAGCTTCTGTAAGCTCGTGTTCGTTGATATACAAGTCGGGATAGTCCTGTTGCTCTTCATATTTTGTGACCGACATCGGGAATTTTCACAACGTTTAAGGGAACTAGAATAGTTCACTGTTCAATAATTAGAAATAAAAAATGGCAACACGAAACATGAAAAAAATGCATGCCAGTTGACTACGAACCGCAAGTAGTACTTGCTCAGTAAATAGTTCTTACCCTCTGAGTAGGAACGAAGCCGAAGTAGAACTAAAGAAAATATAAAATCAAGATTACAGGCATAAAATTGACGAGTAATTGCTAAAAGATATGTTACATGCAAGTTTTTTTATGTTATAGAACCTTATAAGTTAGTTTTCGTTGGAAAAAGACTTTGTTTTATGGAGAGAGTCGAGTACTACATTTATCAAGTTTATACATATACTAGCGTTTAGTGAATGAACTTGTAATAGTGAAAAGAGGTACAGCTGTTTTAACCGAGGTTATAATCATTTTGTTTCTTGCTGGGGGGTATAAGTATTATTAAAGTAATCTACTCTGTAGGAAAACGAACATCACCAGTGAACTTTTGAGAAGAAGAAGAAAGCGTTGTTTGAAAGAAGTACGATTACAGACAATTTCGTTTGGCACGTTGATCAAGTTGAAGCTAACGCGCAGAAAGCAAAAAAAACTATATAAACATTTCAAGCGAGAAAACCATAGAGTAACTAAATTTTTCGAATTCTACTCAGCAAGCAACTACCGAAGCAGCATATTCACTGTTACATATTGATTATAGAATCATTTTTCATGCCTTCTCACATCCTCATTTCAAGGATGATCTACTGCAGATCATAACTTTAAACAACTCACTTTAAATACACGTAGATTATTGGTCATTCGTCGTTGATGCGCCTTTATTTTATTCGTTACGAATATAAGCGAACATTACGCGATACTCATGCTCAGCCCGCTCCCTTGGATGAACTTAACCAGAACCAACCACAATGCAACTCCTATTGCTATGGTTTCTCGGCCTAGGATGGCTGCGGTCTGCCTTTGCTGACCTTACCTTCACTTCTCCATTGTCCTCATCAGTTTTTACTGCGACGACTGGTATTACAGTGGCCTGGCAGGGTTCTACGGCCGGTGCTCCCATCTCCCAACTTGGAGCAACGACGTTCTACCTTTGTTCCGGTTCTACCGCTTCCTCCACGACCTTGATGACGCTCACGGCAGGAATTTCTCCCGGAACCACGACTACGTTCACTAGTGGTGAAATTGACCCTGCTAAGGGACCAAGCGGCAAGTACTATTTCATTACTGCCAAGACGACGTACCAGAATGCTGATGTGTACTACTACTCTGATTATTTCACGATCAACGGGCTTACTGGTGGATTCGCTTCGTCTGTCATTTCAGCATTGTCGGCTGCTGGCATGTGGGCCGCAACATCGACTCTTTCGACGAGTGCTGCTTCCACTAGTACCACCGATGTCGCCACGACTGCGGAGGCTTCGTCTGTCACGGAGGTTGGCTCGATGGCTTTGAGTTAATTTCTTGCTCCTTTGGCCCCACGGGTACTATGCGTGATTATTATTTATCGCAGTCCAACTCTATTGTATATGCTCCTATGCAACCGAAGCCCGGCACCACTTTCACTGCTGCTTCGACGATTTCTTCTCCGTTGTGGGATTCATCCTCATACACTGTGTACACTACTTTAGTGCCTTGCTCGTACCCGCATTTCCACCGTAACTCCTGGTTGGTCCTACACATACACCCTTGTGGTTAATGACGGAGAAACAGCATCTGCGCCCACTCACTTGCCAACCGTTACCACTTTTGGCACCTCTACGACACTTACGAACAAGCGTAGAGATGCCTGGAATGATCCCAATGACCTCCGACGCCGTGCTATGCGTGTCCCCCTTCACAACAAAGGTTTCTATAACAGGTAACCGGATGAGATGACTGCGATTTTTTTTTCTTTTATCCTCTAAGTCCCTCCTTTTTGTTCTTTCTTTAAAATTTCCGTTATCTACAGACATATACTGTTATTAACGTGACGACTGGTATAAAAACAACAACCCAATTTTTGTTCACCAATTGTCTTTTTTGACGGCGATTCACATTTGCTTGGAAAAATGTGCTCTGGCTCGCTGGCGCGTCGATTATCTGCACCTATCTACTCCTTATCTACTCTGACCGTCTGCTTTCTTTATTGAACAGCCTGCATTTTATCCCTTCTCACCGTCTCATAATGCACTCTTTACAAATCTCCGCAAGTTTCGACGGTTGATGGCTCTCTCTATGCTACTTACTTACTACACAGGGTTGTGTTTGGCTTACTAATACGCGCAACCTTACTATCTCTTTATTTATTGTTCCATTTCATTGAATATAAAATTCGTTAACGAAGTCACCCCTCGGCGAGGAGGTGGCACAAATGTCGATGGGAGCACAGGTGTGACATGGTATGTGATGGTGCACGGAGTTGAGCTCTGAAGCCCGCTTGTTCTTCTGCTTCGCGTTAATCTATTAAGGGAAGCAGGATGATGATCAAGGGATTACTTTCTGCCACCCGACTTCCTTTTAGGACTGTTGGCGGGGATGTGCGATTTCTTAACAATGTACGAGGTAGCCATGAGGGCACCTGTTAAGGCTGTGCAAGTGAAGAGGACTTGTTTCGTCAAAGTGCCTGCCTGACGTTTCTGGAGAACATAAGCTGAGATTGCACCGACTCCGAAAATGTCTAGAGGAATGATCCAGTTCTTCAAGCAATCAAGCATGGATGCAGACTTGGCTTGAACGGTGTCTTGAACCTTTTCTGACCGTTTCTTTTTCTTCATTTTCTTTTCTGGCTCTGAGCCTGAGGTCTCCTCATTGCCAGCTTCCTCTTCGAGGTATTCAGAAGCCTGATCCTCAGGAACCACTTGAACCTTTGTGTTTTCTTCACCTTCAGCGACATCACTAACGGTGGACTTCACCTCTAAAGGAGGCGGCGCTGCCTTCTCCTCCCGTGTCTGAGGTGAAGCGGTTTCTTTCAGTACTTCTGCGTACGTTTTTCCGTGTTCTTCCGGCATAGCTAATTCTTAATAAACCGAATGTCAATATCGTTCACAATATCGCTTGTGATAGTTCGTCCAATATATAATGCGATCTTAAATTCGCCTTAGGCTGAGTCCTTTGTTTTTATAGCTCAAAATTATGGACGAACTATTACGTATCCATTACAATGGCAGAACATCATCCCCATAGTGAGCAAGGGAGGAGACGGGGAAGGGGGACAGAGGGTGAGTGGTGTATACGAGTGAATAGAAGAGGTGATAGGAGGCTATACGGTATTAAGATGAACTTTAGGGTATGCTAAGCAGATCTCTGCATCATTACTGAGGCTATTTAGCACAGTCGGATGCTGCAGGAAGTGCCGGTGGGACCGGCAGGGGTACCAGGGATGGACAAAGGCACTACTGGAATTGTTGCTGATAGAGAGGGAAATAAACGAGTTAAGGAAAATAAAGATTGTTTAAGCAATCTGGAGTTTTCCGTTACGGACTTTGTCGGAGGGTGCTCGAGTGTGCCCTTAAAAAGTTAAATCGGTTTACCAATTGTTTATTTTGGTTACTGATCTACGGAAATTGACTAGCAGAGTTATGAACATAACGACCTTTTAAACTGTATAGTAATACAACCTACAGAAAGTCCGACCCGTACTAGCGTATAGACTTAGAATTTCGTACTCAAGATTTTTCTCTTTAGACTGTCGTAAACGCATATTTACATGTCACGTTCGAGGTATGCAGACGGTCTTCGTCTGACAGCTTGAAAATAATGCCTTCGGTATCCCAAAAGACTTTAATAAGTAGGTGTAAAGGCCATTATTATCATTTCGAATCTGAACATATTACTCCGTTAGTATGAATTTTCAACAAGGCTTTGTGGTGTAGTGGTAGCATACTTCGTTTGGGTCGAAGTGGTCTCGGGTTCGATCCCCGACAAAGCCCTCCTGTAATTTTTGCCAAACAGTTGAATCACAATACCGTTTTCTAAAATTCGTTGGACTTCGCTAACAAATCTGTTGATCCCATTGACGTTTCCCACTCCACCACATTCTTCTTCCTCTTTGCAAGAATGAGCCGTAGAAGCAATCGAACACTCTACGTGACGGGCTTTCGCCCAGGGATGCGTGCACGCGATCTGGCTTATGAATTTGAGCCGTAAGTAATGAGTACTACGGTACACGGTATACGGTGTCGCTAACGTTACTTAGTTATGGACCCTTAATTCGTTGTGACATTCCTATTCCTCGCAATCCAGAAGCAAGACCGTAAGTTTGGATTTTGTCGTTGAGTTTGAGAACGCGTAATTTCACAAGGAAGAAAACAACATGCTAACATTTGGCTTTCAGCTTTGCTTTCGTGGAATACGAGGACCCACGCGATGCAGAGGACGCGTACCACGAAGTCCATGGTCGTCGCATCGATCGGGATGTACTTCGTGTGGAATGGGCTCGTCAGTCGTTCAGCTCACGCCGTGAAGAACGTCGCGGTAGATTTGGTCAGGAACGTGGTCGTCCACGCTACCGTTCTCGAAGTCCGGGTCGTCGTTTGAGTCCTTACCGTCGTTCTCCCGGTCCTAAGTACGGCAATTCACGGTTCAGTCCTCGTCGTCGTTCTGGAAGTAGGAGTCCCCTTCCCCGCCGAGACTCGTTCGACGATTCTGCAAACAGTCGGGAGCGCGAAAGGGAACAGTATGACACGAATGAACGTCCTCGTCAACCGTTTAAGTCTGAAAACATGCAAGACGAAAAGGCTCCTCTTTCTTCCGAGCAAGATCACGCTCCCGTCCATGAACAGTATCCTAGCGAGGCTCCAGCTACTACTGAAAATGCGACAGATACTGCTGCAGCATCTGCCCAGGAACAACCAACAAAACCTGCAGAATCTGAAAAGGCTGCCATTGTTACTACTACTGCTGTTGCTGCTGCTGCAGAACCTCCCCAGCCAGAAGTTTCTGAACAAACAGAAAAGTCTCAGCAAGAACAAAACTCGCAGCCAGTTGAAGACAGTTCGAATGATGCTGCACCCGTTCAATCTGACAACTGAGGCGGTTTTATTTCTTCGGAGCTTCATTCGTGCAACTTGCTCCAGTTTTGATTACTGTTGAGTTCCAGGAATAAAAAACCAATTAAAACAAAGCTCATTGGTTTCTTACTGACAGTACAACAAACAATTCAGCTTACAAACACAATCCCACACTCTTTATTGTCTTTCTCTCTTTTTATTTTTTTTTTTCTCTCTTTCTCCCTCTCTCTTTCTTTGGCACAATCAAAAAATCACTGTAATTCGCTTCAAATTTGTCTGTGCCATTCATTCACTAATCTTTCACACTCTCCCACGCAAATTTAAAAGCATTACTCCTCTACATTCGTTCAAACCAGTTTATCGTTCTGATTTATACATCTCTCCGCTCCTTCTTTTACAGTAGTTTAGATCGTGTACCTTACTTCGCCAATTCACACTGCTCGGTTGTAGCGATTTCCTTCGCATGACCTCTCTCATCCGTTCCCATATAAAGCTGCGCTTTTCCCTCCTTGATAGGTGCGCGGCCATTTGTATTACACAGCTTTTAGAACAAACAGTGTACTCGTAGACTTACTGTAGAATGAGTATCTGTCACTACAACAGAATCCTGAATCACGCGTGTTTATTTCAAACATGTAGCCTCTGTGAGTATTAAACAGTCATAAAAATGTGCGGTTACTTGATATTAATGTCTACAACGTATGCAGATTCTTTAGAACGAATGTTTTAAAAGGGCTTAAATGTCATCAAGTGCATTCGCGATTCTTTCCTTCTTTTTCGTAACAAGGCTTTCCTTCCACTCTGGTAACAGCTCTTTCACGGCTTCAGGTTTGTAGGTAGCAGCAAAGAAACTTGCCTCCGGCAAACGGTTACCAGAACGCAGAACCTCAATACACTTGTCTGGCTGGTTGGTAAGCCATGAACAAACGAAAGCAGTGTTATTAACTTGCTTAGAGATGGCAGCATCAGCGAGCTTTTCAAGACCTTCAACATTGTTGGAAGCGGTATATAAGAGCAACAAAGAACTGTGATCTTGAGCTTTTGTAAAACATTCCTCAGCCAAAACAAAGTCCCAGTTATTGAGGGCCACATCACCAAGCTGTCTCCATTTTGAAACATCGTCCAATGAGCGAGCAAGAACAGCCGCGGTTTCCAGTTGGCCGGCTTCTAACGCAAGTTCAAAGCGTTGCTCATCATCTGTAGACAGGTCCAAAGCAGCTTCCTTATAACCAAGATCAGAAAGAAAATCAGAAAGCTTGCTTTTTTCATCCTCGGGAATTTTATCGAGAATGGATTTGGCTTCCTCGAGGTTTCCATCAAGAACAGCGGTTTGATACTCAACCACATTCAAATTGAAAGCGTAGCTGATTATATTCAAGTCACGATCAGCAAGATAAATCCGTCCATCTCTGGGCAAGTATCCTAAAAGATATACGTAGTTCTCAACGCTGCTGATTTTAAAGACTTGATCGGCAACAAGATAGTTGAGACGTCCAGAGCCTGTGCAGTAAATGAACGTAGTACCAACCCACTTTCCGCTGACGACAACATCGGAACTCTCAAATACTGGTTCAAAAGCTTCTTCTGCGCCATCATCTGCAATAGTATTTGCTTCGGCAGCGGCATAAAAGGCGTCAGCGTTAAAAGTAAGAATATAAAATGCATCAGAACAAGAGAGAACAACACGAGTACCATCTTCACTCCAGTAAACGTTTTTGGGCTTCACGTCAATTTTACGAGCCAAAATCTTGGATTCCCAATCATAAAAACAGATAAAGTCGGCACCCGATACACCCAAAAGATGGCCACCGAAAAGAGCATCACATGAATAATCAAGCTCCAAAGCATCAGGACGCTCCTTGAAATTCTTAGAGAACTTGATGATCTTATCCGAGACTTTTGTAGCATAAGCATTAGCGTCGTTAGACCAAGCAAAATCAAGAGCCTTTCCGTAAACTTTACTACGCCATGCCAGTGCTGTGTATACAATGTATTCGTCACTTCCGCATACGGTCACAAAGCGACCGTTGGGCGAGTGTTGCATTTTCACGGGAATGGTATCCGAATTGCCAAGACTCTTGGGGGACAGATTGATGGACGAACCATCTGTAACCTCTTCATTCGCAACGGGTTTAATCATGGCGGATTGGATTTCGGAGTATGTAGACCAGACAATTTTGCCCGAGTTGTCCATGCTTACAATAGGTTCATCACGTCCCAGGGAGAAAACGATTATTCCACTGTCAAAACCCACTGTCACTAGACCGTTCTCCGAATTTTGAGATATGCACCAAGCCCGCTCCATAGAAAAGTTATAAGACTTCACCAACTCATAAGAGAGGGTGTGCCAAATCTTAACGGTTCCATCTTCGCTACCAGAAATTGCAAGAGGGAACTTGTTGTGAAAGAGAGCAAATGAGACGTTGTTCGTGTGGCCTTCCAACACACGAACACAAGCTTTCGTTTGATAGTCCCAAATCTTAATTAAACGATCATCACCGGCTGTAACAAGGTATGGCTTATCGCCAGCAGGATAGTAACTGACGAAATTGGCACCCTTGTCGTGCGCCTCGAGAGTAAAGTTGGCAACAGTAGAGCCAAAACTCCAAATCTTGACGCTTCCGTCCAAACAAGAGGAGGCAAATGTGTTCGTGTCTTTGGGATTAATTGCCAAACTCATGACATAGCGAGAATGACCCTCAAACACCTGGACACACTTCCAGTTCTGCTCCCAGTTCCAGCATTTGATTTTTGTGTCGTCAGAACAAGTCAAAACAAATGGTTGTGTGGGATGAACAGTAAGTGCCCGAATGTAATCAGGGTGTGCCTCAAACTGTGTAACCTTTTCACCAGTGTTGTAATTGTACACACGCAGTTGGAAGTCATCGCTTCCGCAGACGAACCAGTTTTTACGAGCGATAAAAGCACAAGCCCGGATAGGGACATCGTTGATGTCGAATTTCTTTACTGGCGTCTGAGTTTCATAATTCCAGATGCAGACTTCACCGTTATAGTGAGAAGAGAGAATCCATGGCTCGGAAGGATGGAAATCGATTGCTTTAACGCGATCTGTGTGCGTCAAAAACTTCCTCTACAAAAGTTTGAACGTTAGTAAAAGACCAAAGTTAAATGTAAACCATGAACAAACCTTAAAGTCCAAACGCATTATTATAAGGAGGTCTACAACGGCTCCAAAACCTCAAAGGACTATTAGAAACTCTACGGAATGAAGGGAAACGAGGGTAGAGGCAGTTGGTAGGGTGCTGTTGGCTTAGGTAGGTAGGAACGGACTCACAAGGAAGGGTGAGGCAGAAGTGTGGTGGTAGTGAAGGAGGAGGACGAAAACCAGTAATTGAGCTTTTCTAGAGCGAAAGCTTTAGTAAAAGAGGTTAATACGAGGTTTGTGTACAAAGGAGTTACTGAGAGAAATTGATTCAATGTATCGTGATATTCCGTTAAAACGAATTTAAAAATCACGGAGTAATATAGTTGTATTATCGTATACGACAAAGAGAGAACCGTGATTCAAACGTGTCGCAATAACTTCTTATCTCCTTCGCTTTTAGACCGTATATTGTGTCCTCCAGTCTCCTCTGAACATAGCAATGCTCAGGTAACATGTTACCTAAATGTTTCTCATTTTTGGTGGTGAGTTTTTATGGAAAACAGCCACGCAATTAATGCAGTTTTCTGAGTGAAACGAGTACCCAACGAAGTGTGCTACTCAGAAGATCTTTGTCGTACTGTCCATTATATTTGATTAGGCTTTATTGCCGTATATTGTTAAATAAAAATGGCTGAAAAGGTGCAGTACCACTTGGAGCTGTCTGTTCCTGAATTGGAGGACCTTTCAAAGAAGAAAATCTTCAACAAGGCAGAACTTACAGCAATTGTGAAAAAACGTACTCAGTTTGAACAGTCTTTGGCCAGAAGACAAGTTAAACTTGCTGATTACTTAAAGTACATTCAGTTTGAAATGAACGTTGAGGAACTCAGAAAGAAACGGCATAGACGTTTGCAAATCAAGGGAAAGGCAACCGTCAGTGACTACGCGGGACCTAGACGCATAATGTATTTGTTTTTCTGCGCTACTAACCGTTTTTTTGGTGACATTGCTCTTTGGGTTGACTATATTCGATATGCTCAACGTATCCAAGCATACCATCATGCTGGAAAACTCTGTGCACTGGCTCTTCAGAAGCATCCAAATAACATCATGTTGTGGATGCTTGCATGTGATCATGAGTTTTCGTTGAATGCCAATATGGAGTCTGCTCGTGTATTAATGCAACGTGGACTTCGCTTAAACAACGATTCTCCGGATCTTTGGGCTGCCTATTTCCGTGTTGAGCTAGCTTATTTGGCCAAATTGTACGCCCGTGAACAGCTCTTGCTTGCACCGGTTGCTTCCGATGAAAATAAAGAAAAAGACAATGCGGAAGAGGGCGAGGACAATGATGCAGATCACATTAAGCTTCCTTCTGTGTCTGTGGAAGAATACCGCAACGATTCTAAAAATGATATGCCTTCCGTAGCTGACGAGCTTCCGGCTACAACTACGGACAGTGAAAGACATGCTGCGTTTGTGAATGTCTTTTTAACCATCATTAAAAGTGCGCGCACCAGCTTGAGTCTGGTTGGTTGGGCTCAATTTTTGATTTCCATCACGGATGTTTTGATCGAGAGCCAGTTATTGCCTGTGGCTAGGGAACTACTCGAAAAGCACGCTGCTCCCATGATATCCGAGACACTTGGCACGTGTGTTGCAGAGAAGCAACCTTTCAGAAAATTCGGTGAGTTAATGCACCGCTATGTGCTATATCCTTTGTACTCAAAAATTGACACCGTGTATCCTTTTGAAAGCAAGACTAAATTTTTGAGCCCAGAACACGTAGACATGAAAAAGTTGGTTTTGTCGCGTTTGTCCAGTCCATCAATTGCTGATGCATTGAGCGAGTGCTTAAACCGCTACACAGAGTGCGCTCAAAATGCAATGGTGGCTTCCATTGTTCGTGCTGAATATATTCGGCTCTTCATTCATACGCTTGCGGCTCTTGCAAGCTTGGGCATCAATAGCACATTGCAATTGGTGTTTGACACAATTCAGCAGGATGCATTCCAGCAGCTTACGCGAATCGCTGGCGTCACGATGGATGACCATCTCCAAACCCTGCATCGTCAATTACAAGCGCGTCTTCATCCTGAGACAATTGCGCAGTCCTCTGCTTCTCAAGGCTCAATTTCTGTAAATTAAAAAAGTTAGATATAAGACGGATTTTTTGTTTTTTTATAAAATAGACTTCAGGTTAAGTGGGAAGATAATGAAGGGTATTGGCTTTTTGTAGTGATAGAAAGTGAGATATTGAAGTTTTAGTGTGATTTTTGCAAATTTATTATGTAGCGGTGGATTTATGTAAGAACATTTTATAATTGATTCAATATAAAACTTAATTCCCTTTTGCGAACAGTTCAAAAGCAAATTATGGAGCAATTAAAAAGAAAGAATCATGAACGGAATGTCTAATGAAGAATAATATTTTGTGTAAGTAATCCGCAATAATCCAATTAAATAATAATAATATCTGTATAAAGTTTAATTAATAAAATTAAAAAAAAAAACAAAAAACAAAAAAATACGCACAACAAATTAATTCCATGATTAATGTTATGTTATTAATATTATTAATATTATTAAATCTATTTTATATGAATTTATCGCTGAAAAAATAAAAATATCTCTACAATCCCCCAAAAAATAAGAAAAAGATATAACCGAATTACAACTGGAGGGCTAAAAGCTCACGTAGAATGTTAAAATAATCAATTTGAAGTATGAACGAGAATTGAAACAGATCTGTAGGGAAATATTATTCAGAACACGATTAGCAATTTACAAGGTCAAAAAGTTCATAATTGTTTACCTTCCTGTCGACTGTATTACGTGGTACCAATTGCCCCGCTCACTAGCTTAAGTGTTTACTCGACAGACCAACACGTTGTCGATGTCCAGATACGTCACCTCACAGCGACATGATCATCGTTGCGGGGTAAGGGGTTCACCTTCACAGTCGGTACGTCAGAAGTCGCAAACTATGCGAAATTACACCTACTGACTGTCGACTGCCCCCCCCTCCCCCGGACTCAATCGAAGACGGAGAATCTGCTTCTTTCTCAAAGCAATCCCGGGTTGCCGACCATCTTTGATAATTTTCTTATTGGAATTGATCCAATGAGCTTTCGGCTTTCGAATTGCCCCGCATTGCGTCCCACCTTAATACGCGTGTGCAGATCGTGATAGCGGGGTAAGTGAAGAAGGTGTCAATATAGACGAATGAAATGCGAGAAAGTCTTCAACCCTTCATTAACACATCCAATTGTTTACTTGCTGCACCTCGAATGCTCTCAGATGACATAATAATTTGACCCCACCTCAATCGCCTACTCGTTGAATTACATCCAATCAGAGAACGCCGATGGGTGCTCACATGTTTCGCTCTGCAATACACATGTGGAGCTGTCCAATCAGTTTTAGACTTTAAGTCCCTGTGACTACCTTGTCAGGAGAAAATATGGGGTAGTGACGTGTGGAGCACACGTTCATTGTGGCTGAGCTTAAATTGCCAACGAATAAACAAACGAGCCATTGTGATTGGCCTACAGAACTCGGTAAAATGAGATCAATTTGAAGTACATGCGGGGTGACGTGTGGTGCTCCACAACCTCAATTGTGAAGCGAGTTATGATTGGCGAATTCACAGTCAACCATGCACAGCACTCTCCATACACCGTTTTGATTGGGCTACCGCAGTTTCAAACCAGAGCTGCTGCTCAAATGTAAACGAAGTACGTCACTAGCCCAATTTTTCTATATAAGGGTGTTGGTTCTCCCCACAATTCTCCATCAAGTTCTCCACAACTTCCCCGCATTCTTATATTGAATACGCTCTTTGCTTTTCGCATTCTTATATAGGCGATTGTTTGCATTCTTTAACAATTGCTTTCTTTCTTTCGGCATATTTATTTGTCTATTTGCATTATTAATTCTCTCATTTTGAGACACAACCTCGTTCTTTTTTAAAAATGGGATTCTCTCGCAAAACCATTTCGATGGTCATGTTGGTCTTCGTATCCATGGCCGGTTGGATGTTCGGTGCTGATACCGGTACCATTGGTGGTCTCACCAATATGCGCGACTTCCAACGTCGTTTCGCTGACAAATACGATTCGTCGACTGATACTTATTCTTACTCTCCTACCCGCCAAGGTCTTCTCGTTGGTATGGTCAATGTTGGTACTCTGATTGGTTCTCTTCTTTGCTCTCCTCTCGCCGACCGTGTCGGTAAGAAGGTTTCTATTATGATCTGGACTGTTGTTTACTTGAGTGGTATCGTTATTCAATTGACTTCCAAGATGGCCTGGTTCCAATTCATGATTGCCAAGATCTGGACTGGTTTCTCCATCGGTGCCTTGTCTGTGTTGACTCCCGGTTACCAATCCGAGACTTCTCCTGCTTCCATTCGTGGTCTTATCGTCACTAGTTTCCAATTGTTCATTACTCTTGGTATTTTCGTTGCCAACATCATCGTTTTCGGCTGCCGCAACATCAGCGGTGCTGCTTCCTGGCGTGTTCCCTTGGCTATCAACCTCGTTTACGGTGTTATCCTCTTCATTGGTATGATGTATCTTCCTGAGTCTCCTCGTTACTTGATGCAAATCAACAAGCCTGAAGAATGTCGCCGTGTTTTGGCCGACACTGAGGGTGTTGACCCCAGCGACCCTGCTCTTGATGCCGAATTCAACGCTATCCGTGACTCCATTCAACAAGAGTTTGCTGGCGGTCCCGTCACCTGGGGTGAGATTTTTGGTCCTCTTATGCGTTACCGTACCTTCCTCGGTATGGCTGTTATGTCCTTCCAACAATTGGCCGGTGCTAACTACTTCTTCTACTACGGTACTGATGTCTTCAAGGGTGTCGGTATTTCCAACTCCTTCATTGCTTCTTTGATTCTTGGTGCTGTTAACTTTGGTTCTACCTTCCCTGGTCTCTACGTCGTTGAGAACCTTGGCCGCAGATGGCCTCTTATCATTGGTGCCGTCTGGATGTTTGTCTGCTTCATGGTCTTCTCTTCCGTCGGCTTCAAGTCTCTTTACCCCCATGGTCCCGATGCTCCTTCTGACAAGACTGCCGGTAACGTCATGATCATCTTCTCCTGCCTCTACATCTTTGCCTTTGCTTGTACTTGGGCTCCTGCCGCTTGGGTCATTGTCGGTGAGTCTTACCCCGTTCGTGTCCGTTCCAAGTGTGCTTCCGTCGCTACTGCCTGCAACTGGTCCTGGAACTTCCTCATCTCCTTCTTCACTCCCTTCATTGTCAAGAAGATTGGTTTCAAGTACGGTTACGTCTTCGCCTGCTGCTGTCTCTGCGGTGCCCTCGTCATTTTCTTCTTTGCTTGCGAGACCAAGGGTCTTTCCCTCGAGGAAGTCAACGAGATGTATGTCTCTGGTGTCAAGCCTTGGGCTTCCAACGGCTATGCCAAGACCGTCATCCGCGACCGCAACCACTCCGACCTCGAGAAGTCCATCACCCATCCCCAACTCTCCACTGTCGACTCGGAGGAGAACAAGAAGGTTACTCCCTCTGCCGAGTACGTCGAAGATGGATCTGTTCAAAGAAGCTTCAACAACGGCTTTGAAAACTAAGCTGATAAAGAGCCTTTCTCCCGACCTTCAATAACCATTAATCTATTGGTCCTTGAAAAGTTCACTCTTTAAAACCCCGGTTTGGTTCTACCTTTTGTTTATTTTGTTTTGCTTTTCTGGGATGATCACAAGCTGTCGATCTACTGAAAAAAGTGTGAACGACTCTGTGGTCCAATTTGCATACGACGCATCATTTTTTTAATGCTTTTTCCTGTTTATGGTAATGAGCTTACTGCTACTGCTGAATATTTATTAGTTAAAAACAACATATGGGGTTTCACTGAGAGTAATTAGGTGGGAGGAATTGGTGTTTGTGAAATAGTGTTTATTGCATTAGAGTGAAGAGGAGTCTGGGTACACAACCAAGGAATTCTTTTTAGTGCTTATTGTTTGGAAAATCAGAAGGACAGCGAAACAAACTGGTAGAAGCAAAAAAATAAAGGAACTTGGTAAAATATAAAAAATTCAAATAAATAAACCGTTCAAAACGACAGGGACAGAGACAAAGCAATAAGCACTAAAAGTTTGGCGATGACGGTGACGGTGACTGCAGCTACGAAGACAGCTAGAACAAGAATACTATCATTGGAGTTCCTCTGAACCAATCCAACGCAATTGTCAGCAGCATCGCAGCCCCTAAAGTTAGTAGAGCGACTGCTGACATGATCATCACTTAATTACACAGCGCGACACGTGTGTGAGTGTCGCACTCAGTGACAGAAGGGATGTTGGCGATCCCTAGACCAACAAGAAGCAGCAATAGCAGAGGGAATTACACTTCTTGCTGATGAAGGGGTTCCAGTTGGTGCACCAATTATTGGATGAAAATAACAGAGATTAGAAGAAACTAGAAGAAATATAAATAAGAACAATTAAATCAAATTAATTCAATTAAAATAAATTAAACAGGCAAATAAAAAAGCGAATAAAAAATAATAAAAAATAATAGAGAAAATTAAAAAAAAATAAGAGAGAAAATTAAAATAATAAAAAAAAAAACAGAAAGAAAAAAACACGCAAAAACACACAGGAACGCCTTAGCCTGCCACAATTGTCCTGTCTTTCCCGTTCCAGGGCGGGTAACGGCTGAGTGCATAAACGAGAGATGCAATTTAGTCTGCGAATTGAAGCAGAGTTTGTGAATAAGCACAATGAAAATTGTCGCTCGAAATAAATTCGGCCAATGGGATACGTGCCGTGTTCCGGATCTACACCTCCTTGCGAAAATAGAGGGTCTCGGTAAAGCGTTAGCCGAGCGCCGAAATCGGCCGACTGACCACTTGCGAAGAGCTCCGCGTGCACTTAATCTCCGGTCTCATGGTAAATTCGCAGTTGACTCTGGATAGCTACTTCCGTTGGCTTCTCACATCGCGATCCCACGGGGCCGAACCTTATACCAGAATGGTATAAATATTGGTCGCGCCCACGCGACAAGAAACAGGACTCATCAGGTCAAGCAAAAGTCCAACAGCCATGCAATTTCTTGAATACCTCGGCGCTCTGTTCGCCGCTTCTCTCCTTTCGGGTGTGAACGCTCGTTTCACCAAGTTCGAGTCTTTTGACACCGCATTTGACTTGGGAAACCATCTTGGTTCCCGCAGTGTTTACCATGAACCCAAGTTCGTCGGAATGGACAACTCCTTCCCTGAAGGATGCAGCATTAAGCAATTGCATATCCTCCAGCGTCACGGTTCCCGTAACCCCGAAGGCGGCTCCGGCACTGGTATGGCTGGTGGCATTGACGCCCTGCAAAACCGTCTTTTGAACGGTTCTATTCCCGTTGACTACTCGATTCCCGAGAACCCCTTTGCGTTCCTTAAGGACTGGGAGCCCGTGATCAAGGTGGAGGATGCTGACGCTCTCTCCAGCAGTGGCCGTGTCCAATTGTTCGACATGGGTCGTCAGGTGTACGAGCACTATTCCGAGCTCTTCCAGGACGACTTGAAGTACACTGTGAACTGTGCTGCCCAGGACCGTGTCGTGGAGTCGGCTAACTGGTACTTGATGGGTATGTTTGGTCGCGAGTACGCTAACCGCACCAATGTCCTCTACATGGCCGAGGACGACTCCGCCGGCTTCAACTCTCTTTCCTCTTACTACGCCTGCCCCACTTACGAGACTTCGTCTCCTGACCCCGAAATCGTCGAAAAGGTTCACGACACCTGGCGCGGCATTTTCCTCAAAGCCCCCCGTGAGCGCTTGTCCGGCTTCTTGAAGGGCTACAACTTGACCGACAAGGATGTCCGTAACCTTTTCTCCATCTGCCAATACGAAATTGCCTTGAAGGACGAGAGTGAGTTCTGCAACCTCTTCACTCCCACCGATGTTCTCAACTTTGAGTACGACAACGACTTGGACTTTGCCTACTGGGGTGGCCCGGCCGCCTCTTACGAGGGCAAGATTTTGGGTGCTGCCTATGTGAACAGTGTTGCCGAGCAAATGCGCAAGCTCGCCAACGGCACCCTTACCGAAGACGACCAACAAGTCTTCTACGGCTTCACTCACGACGCCCAAATTATTCCCGTCGAAAACGCCCTTGGCTTCTTCCCTGATATCAACGCCAATGGCCTTCCTGCTGACCGCAACCCCTTCTTCTACTCCCAAAAGACTTCCGACTTTGTTCCCTTCGCCGGTAACCTTTTGACCGAGGTCTTCCAATGCTCTGACAACAAGTACTATGTGCGTCACCTCGTCAACCAACAAGTCTTCCCTTTGACTGACTGCGGTTTCGGTCCCAGTGGCAGCTCCGACGGTCTCTGTGAGCTCGAGGCCTACCTGTCCTCCTCCGTCCGCTCCAACTACACTCTTAACGGCCGTAACTTGTACGTTGACTATTGCAAGTCCAACGCTACTACTTTTATTGCTGAGTTCTAAGCAGGCTTAACACTCTTTTAGACCAGCTTGCTAATGATTCCCACGGAACTGGTCGTCGCAAGTATCGTCGGCCGGTATTCGGATGTTTTATGCTTTCAGACAAACCGCTTCAAACTCTTTCCTTTCTTTATAAATTTTTTTGACCTACTTGTAAAACAATATATGCAATTTAAGCAATTGATCGCGTGAAGGAGCGAGAGAGAGAGAGAGAAGACAAGGCGGCGACGAAATCTTTGAATTGCCAAGTCAGAGAGACGAGAGCATAGACATGTCCCCGTCAACGAACGACCTCCGTTAAACCACCCATCACGACGCCCAAGGCCCTCCGCCCAAACAAAACATCAACCGTTCGACACACACTACAACACACACGACCTGCAACCACTCTCTTACATCAAATTGCTCCACAAAACAGTCTATTTCACTGAAGAGAACAAAACACCAAATATGTAGCGAGACGCTTAAGCACGGCCAGCAGCAACAATCTTGGCTTGGACGCGAGCCTTGCGCTCGGCGTTGGTAAGCTTGTTTTGCTTGTACTTGAGAGACTCGGCCTTGATGGCAGCCTTGTCCTTGGTAGACTTCTCGGGGAGAGGGTTCTCGCGAATGTTGGCATAGGCCTCAGCGTAGATGTCCTCGAGTTGGTCACTCTCAATGCCATCGGCAATGAGAGAAGAGAATTGCTTTTGGTAACGCTCCTCATCATCGTCAATAAGCATCTCCATGTACTCAGCAACGTGACCACCGTAGATGTACTTGCGAAGAGTCTCATCGTCCAACTCCTCAGTCTCGATATCCCAACCAGGGAAACGGCTAGGAGAGTGGGGAACGTAAAGACCACCATCAGAGGCACCCTTCATAGCACCGAAGACACGAGCACCGGTGGAGGTACGCTTCAGACCAACGTCCAAGAAGACCTTGAAGGGACGAGGACCGTCCTCAATAGCCTCAGTGAGCTCAAACTCACCCTCAGGCTCGACAACACCCTCGTACTTCTTGTCAAGACCCAACTTGATAAGAGCACGACGGGCAACCAAGAGACCAGTAGCGTAGGCAGCGGTCCAGTTGGCCAAACCCCACTTGATGCCGTAGCGAGGGAGCTCGGAAGAGTGAGCAGAAGCAAGAACATAGTCACCGTTAACCTTAGAGGAAACGATTTGGCAGGTGACGAAGCGGTTGGAAATACGAACGACCAAGCGGTACTTGGGGGCGTTGTACTTGTTCTTGGCTTGAGAGATCAAACGCTTACGAGCATAGTAGTCGGTCTTACCCTCACGACGACGACGGTACTTGGTTTGGTAGCGAGAGAAGTAGGCGCTGTTCTTGACACTCTGGAAGGCCATTTTTGGTGGTTGGTTGACGGTACGAGCGAAACGCGTTTCCTCCACAATCACAAGCCCGTGTTGTGCAGTCACGGTACCCTACCCTAACTCCAGGCTTCCCCTTCGAAACTCACCACCAAAAACGCTACACCAAAAATATGACTTTGTTCGTTTGGTATGTGTTTGTGGAACTGCTTGCGAATCGGTGACCACGGAAAGTTGCCTGCAATCAGCATCCTTTTCACCATAGTGTAGAAGAAATCCAATTTAAAAGAAAAAAGTCTTTCTGGCTTATAACGAGAAAGTCAACTTGTTTCATAGAGCAACCCGTTACTTGTATTGCCTGCTTCGTGACTCGATTATTTTCAGTACGTGACTATTTATTGTTCACTCAACTTTCTTTTTCTTGTTTCTGTTTCAAAAATTTTTTGGCTACATGAACGGTGGTTTAATTGCTGTGAATAAGCCGCAAGGTGTTACTTCGGCACAATGTCTTAACCGTATGAACTCGTCTACTTACATGTTTCTAACAATCGGATACTAGAATTAAAGGCAATTATTAGTGACAGTCCACTTGCAAAATACTTTCGATCTCCTGCACCTCATCCTAACGATCGGAATCGTAGACGCAGAAAAAAACATAGTCTTGATATCAAAATTGGTCATGGAGGCACCTTAGACCCGCTTGCCTCGGGTGTTCTCGTCGTTGGTCTCGGTTCCGGCACGAAGCAATTGTCTAAACTGTTATCCTGCAAAAAGGTCTATGAAACGGTGGCTCTATTTGGTAGATCTACAGACACATACGACTCTTCCGGTAAAATTGTGGAATCTGCCGAGCATGTTCCTACTAAAGAGGAAATTGAAACTGCTTTACCCTCCTTTAAGGGTGACATTATGCAGATGCCTCCCATTTATTCGGCCCTCCACGTTAATGGTAAACGTTTGTACGAGTACGCTCGTGAAGGTCTCCCGCTTCCAGATTCAGTAAAGGCACGCCCTATGCACTGTTTCGATGTTGAGATGACAAAGTTTATGTCTAAGGGCGAACACACGTACTGTGATCCGGACAACTTCTTCGAACTCGAAGCAGCTGAGGAGGGTGCCGAGGAAAATAAGGACTCGGAGAAAAAAAACAAACAGGGAAAGAAGCGCAAATTTAACGAGGTTGACTTGACTCGTGGTACGCGTGAGCCCATCGGTCCTGCAGCTTCCTTTCGCTTAACTGTTTCTTCTGGATTCTATGTAAGATCGTTCGTGAATGATTTAGGTGAGAAGGTGAACAGTAAATCACATATGGTCGAGCTTGTTCGCTTGCAGCAAGGCGACTTTGAGCTCAATAAACCCGGCTGTTTTTCCATGGAGGAATTTCATAGCGGCGAGTGGTTGAAAAAATTGGCAGATTACTTTAAACTTTCTCTTGATGATGAAGACCAAAAGGAAAAGGACGCGTCTAAAGAAAATGCTTCTATCGATAGTAAGGTTTCTGAGACTGCAGAAACCGCTCCTGATGAAGCCCCCGTTCAAGAAGACACGAAACGAAGCAAAACTGAGCACGAATAAACATATGTGAGTCGGATTTTACTGGCGGGCATCTAAATTTTTGATTTCCTTTAACTGGGCAATTCGGCCATTTGTTTTCGTCGGACACGTATAGTCTAAAAGCTTTTGCTGTCTCGCACTTCGGGCTTTTTTCCCGTAGATTGTTGCGGTAATGTGATTTGCCGCGGCGCCTGCCGTTAGAGGTTTCTTTCCATCCCAGAGCTTTAACTTTTTTAAGAAATTCAGCTGAGAATTGGAGGCCGGCTTCTGTCGCCAAGTTGCATGGCGCATACAAAATTGAAGGGGTGATTTTTGTGATTTTAAATAAGTCTCAGAGGCTCGAACAGCAGCCTCTAGTGTTGGAATATCTGTGAATAGTGCGCTCTTTTTTGTGACGAATGCATTCTTAAACTGTTTTAGAACACGGAATGATCCATTAAAGGTCTCATTTTTCATATCTTTATCAATAACAATAGCACCTTTCAATGTCTGCAATACGTATCGTTGCATTCCAACGGCCACCCATGCCAGACGGGATATTCTGTAGATATCATCATCGTTCTTTTTCATATCACCTATAATTTCTAAAAGCGCTCGCATCTGTGAAAAGCGCAGACGGGAAAACATTCCTTGTTCACCGGGCGGCATATTGAGTGTTTCAGCCAGGGCGGTTCCATATTTCTGCATCTCATCTTCAGAAAGTGGAGGTCCTAATCCCGTTAATGTCGGTGCTGTATCCAGTCTAGTATGGCCAAATGCATTGCACATATCTAAAATGAGACAGTCCTCTTTTCCTTCGCTTAATCGTAAGCCTCTCCCTATCATTTGAACAAGCAAAGCAGTGGACCTAACCGGGCGGGCAATGATGATGCAGTCTATGTTTGGAATATCAGTTCCCTCATTCAGTATAGAGCAATTGACTAATACGGGGAATCTTTTGTCACGAAAGTCTTGAATTGTCGTATGCCGAAGCTCGGCAGGTGTCCTTCCAGACACCATTCTGGCATCGATTCCAAAATTCCGAAAGGCATTTGACACTTTGTAGGCGTGTTCAATATTGACACAGAAGACGAGCGTTGATGAACGTGTCCCTTCTAATTTTCAAAATGTTAAAATCTATGCGAAGAAATTGAAGTACATACGAGCGTGTTCCATCCAGGCTCTTGGAATTTCATTTATGGCAACTTGATTCGTAGCTTGCAAAGCAAACAGTTTTTCGTCTTCATGATTATGACTGGCTGCTAATTTGTGATCAACGCTCCATGATACTCTTATAACTTTTGTGTCCACAAGCCTAAAATCGTTAGAAAAATACACGGGATACAGGATTGGGTACTTAAAAGTCTCAAGCCAATCTCGAGTTGTTTCTGTCTTACCAGTTTTCTTTAATCATATCAATAAAATGTCTGTTTCCAAATTAGTACTTGTAACAGCAATTCACAACTAACCTATGATACACAATGTCATCAAAGCCAACAAATAAACCCTTTCCATCTGCACGAAATAAGGTGGCAGTTACGCCGACAACGTAAACTGGAGAAGCTGAAGAGATCGCTTGAAAGTGATTGAGTACCCGCGTGTAAGACATTGAAGCAGAATGATGCGCTTCATCTATTAAAATAAGCTTGAACTTATCTGGATCGAACTTCTGAAGCCGCTCGTTTTTCAAAGACAGGACAGATGCAATAGTAATATCTGCCATTCCGCTTGCATGCTTATCGCCCATTTCAATTTCAATTGTCTAAACAGCTTTAGTTAAATACTTTCTTTCCCAACAAACCTTCTCTGGATAAAGTGCTCTGCAATGTCGAAAAGCCTGTTGGGCAAGCTCTTTTCGATGTAACAAAATTAGGCATTGATTCGCATTAGGTCGAATTGGTTGGACTCGATCAATTAAATGAGAGAAAACTACCTAATGACTTATGCGTTAAACTCTGATAATCCAATTTTATTTCTTCTTGTACCGTTTTGCCAGATCCAGTCGCTAACGAAATGGCGACTCTTCGTGTACCTTGTGCAAATGACTGTAACACGCTCTGTATGCATTCCTCTTGGTAGGGCCGTAAATGAAATGTTGAATTAAATCTAATCTGACGAAATTGTGCTATTGGCATTCGCCAATAATAAGTTCCAGGACAGAATCGCCGCGTGAAAGGGCAAATCCATTTTTTGAAATGGAACATAGCCAAGCAAGATCGTTTTTAAAGGATATGAATCACGATCTTGTCAACTTTGATATTGGATGTGCTAGTATGAAAAAATACTTATGCCTATGATAATTATATATCGCCGTTTCGGCTAAACCACAAAACTGTAAAGATGAAAAATTAATTTCTCCAGTAGACGCAAAGTTGAGACGATACATTCTAAGAAATAATTGATGAAGCTGTTTGTACTAATAATGAGTTATTGATATGACTGTCTGTTCACCTTAACAGCCTTTCTCCTTACTATTATTAAAAAAAAAAAAAAAAAAAAAGAAAAACCTGGTTTAACAACATCTCGCGTCCTAGTGTATGGACTTGAAGTTTTCTTATTTCCTATTCTTACATACGACTGTAATATAAAAATTCTGTGTAAGAAAATCCTTACGACATTTCTGTAATGCTTTAAAATATTACAAGAGTTAACCTGTAAACACCAGTTCACTTGACTGTAAAACGAAACATCTACAGGGGAGTGTTATGATGAAGTATTCGTTACAGTAATTGATAGTGACAGAACAGCAAGGCATGCTTACTTTCAAACCTCACAGCGACTACGTCGTTATGAGATTAGGAGGCAAAATAAATGTTTTCATCATAGGAAAACAAGAGTTATGAACAGTAAAGTTATCGATTTCTTTAGTATGAATTTGTTTGGATGAAGTCACCATTACAGTTGATGAATACAGCATATATATGTACAGAAGTGATAGCTATGACCTGAAAACAAGTATCTGAAAAATGATGAACACCATCTCAAACAAGATTACAAACGTCCTTAGTGACCGTTTGGGGAAGCATCCTGTGGCAGAGGGTTCTACCCAACCATATGTACATTCGGACGAACTAATGTCCGCCGTTACATGGCAAGGACCAAAGTCCGTTGCTGTTGAGAAGGTTCCCAAGCCTACAATAACGCACGAAAACGATGTTATTGTTAAAATTACTGCATGTTCAATCTGCTCTGGCTCTGACTCCCATATCTTCTCCGGTGAAATCAACCCAACTAAGAAGGGTTCTATTATGGGTCACGAAGGCTGCGGTGTAATTGTCGAACGCGGCCCTGCTGTTAAGAATTTGTATGTTGGCGATCGAGTCGTTATTGCATTTGACATTGCATGTGGTCAATGCCCCTACTGTAAGAGACAGGAGTTTGTTGCTTGTGATGCAACGAATGATTCGAAGTTAATGGACAAAATGTATGGTGCACATCACTGTGCCATCTTTGGTTATAGCGATATGATGGGAAACGTTCCAGGTACACAGGCCGAATATGTTCGTGTTCCGTTTGCCGACGTAAACTGTTACAAAATTCCAGCCAATTTACCAGACCGTAAGGCATTATACGCATCGGATGTTTTGTGTACCTCTCTGCATGCGGTGGATATGGCTGAAATTAACAAAAACGATACCCTGGCTATCTGGGGATTGGGTCCTATTGGACTCCTCGCTGCCCGCTGGGCTCAAATTCGCGGTGCGCGATCGATTATTGGGATTGATTCCGTTCCTGAACGCCTTGAACTCGCTGCTAGTAAACTGAAGATTCACGTAATCGACCGCAGCAAAGTTAAAGATATTCCTGCTAAGATTATGGAAATTGTCCCGGGTGGAGTCGATGCTGCTATTGAAGCATCCGGTTTTCGTTTCACCTCTAGCTTCCGTCATACAGTGGAACGGGCCATCGGCATGGAAACTGATTCATGTGACATGATCACAGAGTGTTGTCAAGCTGTTCGTAAGTACGGTCGCATCTCTGTGATTGCAGACTACATTGGTTTTGCTGACCGTTTTCCCATCGGTCACATTATGATGAAGCACTTAACGCTCCGTTCAGGGCAATGCCCTTGCCAATGCTATTTCAAACAAGTATTTGATGCTTTGGAGAGTGGTAAAATCGATCCGGACTTCATTGTCACCGACGTTGTGAAATTTAACGATTTGCCTAAGGCCTACGAAAAGCTGTTCTACAAGAAAGACGGCATGGTCAAGATTTACTGTGAGCCTGAAAAGGAGGATTAGGTCATATATTTTTAGTTTAGATAGAGGTAGGGGTGTTTGGAGTTTTTCTATTAAACGAGTTATGACCAGTTAGGACGCTGAATTAATAATTTTACACATAAAAACAATGTGGAAGAGAAGAAACATTGTTTGAGTAAAAGTTCTGTCGCCAATACTGAAGTAGGAGTAATATGTATTATTACTTGCTGTTTTATTACTCGACCACGTCCTTGCCTTCCCTTCCACCTCAGTCTCATAGCCAGTGACCAAAAATCTTCCAAATAATGATTGAAGCAATTCTATCGGGATATGAGGCCACACAGGAAGAACAAAGTAATGTTTGTGCTCACAATTTACACAATGGTTCGCTTTTGAGTACTTTTCGGCAGAGTTCACCATACCCAAATGCAACCTGTATTTCGCGTTCATATCTGCTTTCTGCGCAAAAAAATAAGCCTCAGCTGAACATCCATGCTTTTGGAAAGGTATATTGAGATAAATCGTTACTAACATATGTTTTTGAAGTTTATTTGAAATCTAACACGTTACAGGAGAACCTCGACCAAAGAATTATCCTTCCTGAAACAGTGGAGTGTTTAAAGTGCAGTCCCTGTGGTTCCTGGCTGGTTGCTGGCACAAAGTCAGGTCAATTGTATCTTTGGTCTATGCTTTCCGGTGCCCTGCTCCATTTCTTCCGGGCTCATTATGAAGCTTTAACACACTTGGACTTTACGGACGACGGGATGATTTTATTGTCTGGTTCAAAAGATGGCGAAGTGAATGCCTGGACGATGGCATCTCTTGTGGATAAAAGCAATCAAAACAACGTTGGCGTCAATAGCTCTATTAAGCCTTATAGAAAATTCAGCGGACATACTAGAGATATTACTGGATTATACTGCGGGAAGGGACCCGCTGTCGCTTCTCGTGTATTTACTACAAGCCGCGACAACACTGTGAAGATCTGGGATATGAGCAGTGGTCTCCTACTCACAACAATTGCCTTGCCCGTATCGCCCATCTGTTTCTGTTGTGATCCGGCTGAACGGGTACTGTACCTTGGTTATGAAAAGGGTTTTATAACTGTGCCGTTGTTCGTTAATCCCAATACTAAAAAAGATACATCAACAGAAAATTCCGCACCCTATGCGTTGGGCGGAAATGGAAAAATTGTTGATGGTGTTGAGGGTGAACCATTTCCCTCTGTGCAACACACATCTGCTATTCAGGTACTGACTCTATCATTTGATGGATCGTTGTTGATTTCTGGAGATGCTGAGGGTACCGTGCTTGTTTGGGATGTCGTTTCCAAACAAGTGTTGCGGAAAATAGTTACCTTTCCAAAGCCTGTGACCTTTTTACAGACGACAACTGAAAGCATGCAGTTGCCGGCCAATTTAACTCCGTTTCCCATGCTGAAGAGAATGGTTACGGAAGAGGGCATTTTGTCCGACTTGTCTGTAGCCATTGAAGACAATGGTGTCGAGGAATTGATGCAGCTTCCAGATATTTTGGAAGTCGGAAAGGAAATTTTGGTAAGAACCGTTACAACGCAATCATTGTACCTCATACTAACTATTTCTCTAGTCGGAAAGTACTGAATCTGGTTGGCGTGCAAAGGCTGAGGCCTTAGAGCTCGAACTGAAGGAAGCCCGGTCCTTGTTTTTGGAACTTAAACAGGTTCACCAAGGCTTGTGGGAAAAGTACTTGAAAATGTAGGATTAAAGTGATTTAATGGATGGTTTCTATTTTCAAAAATTAAAACTAGGTGCAACTCAAAAGCTATGAAATATACAATTGATATATAAAGACTCCTCAAAAGTCTATTTTATGATACTAGTTCATTCCGACTGCCGTTGATTGCGTGTAGACAAGCTGAAAAAAAGTGATCAACTTTTCATAAATCTCTTCTTCATAATTACCTATCGGATTAGTTGGACCGAATTGCACTATTCATAAAAAAAAGCTTACCGCCTGAAAATGAAGGGATTCCGTATGTTGCACACAAGTCCTCCAGCAATGTACCAACAGGTTTTGTGGAAGTTACATAATTGCGTCCGTGCTGTTCACAAAATTAGTACTTTTGGCAATGCAACTACTATAGCACGTACCGTTAGGATATGTTCAGCAAGAGCGGGTGTATGGATTTCATGATTCGTGGTAATACAGGAGACAATAAGTAAACTTCCAAGCTTATGCTTTAACTCTTCCCAATGTGCGTCCAAATATGTTAACAAGTAGTGTGAACTAAACTCTGCACTGATAGAGTGCACTCTGTTTCCTTTAAACTTGTTGAAAATATAAGGAAGACACACTTGCATGTAAGTTTCAGGTGAAGAGATGCCTGTAGCGTGTATTAGTAGCTGTCAATGTAGAAGGACTCAATAACTCATACCGGGAATATCATGTGAAGAGGTCATGTGCGTTTGATATGCTTGTAACGAGTTCAGAGTCTTAAAATGTTAGTCAAAGCAAGTATACAGGTGTACTATACCGTAGGTGCTAGTGTTTCTGGATCCCAGTAATATAAAGCGGGACATAAGACAACAACGGGAACTTTCAGTTCTTCAGTAATATACTGAATTATCCCAAAAACGGATGCAACCCGCATGTCTTTTTCCTTCAGAGCCATTGTTGACCAGAAAAGAGCTGTAGCAGCTGAGGGCGCAAGCAGTACAATGTCTTTATCCGTTTCATCCCATCCATTTGTCGCGAAGAAATATGTATGCGGCTCTGACTCTGCCGTAACTTGTGGAATACGAATGAGCTTCAGTTTTGAATGCTGAGCTGTCCAGTCAATGAGACGAGCTTGTCTCGAGTTAGCAAAAGTCCTTATAACAGACAGATCTTATGCTCAAATGAGCGATAGATATGTACCAATACCTATTAAAACTTGGAAAAACTGCTCATTGTAAGCCAGTTCGGGTTTTTGCTTAAATTCGTAAATGGCATTTATATCCTCAATTTTTCTTAATAAGTAATTATCCGTGACTTGATATCCTAAGTCAGATAGAGACTTATCCTTTTCAACGTATCGAGTGTTTTTAGGCACTGGTTTTCTACGAAACATGGATGATACACAGACTGGTGAGATTGATCCTAATTAGTCATAAGTAGTCAATACAAAAAATCAAAACTTGAAACAACAAACGCAGATAGCGCATAAGTTTATACACAAAACGCTTACTGTACGTCGTTCGTACGTCCACCGTATTTTTCCCACAAAATATGCACTTTGTGCGAATTAATGAAAGTTCAGTATTTATCAAATTGAGTTCTACAGTTTAAACACATCACATATTGATTGAAAAGACAGACAAAACATATATAAACATAAAGACTATTGAGCAGCAGCGGCTTTGGCGGCAGCTTCCTCAGCCTTCTTTTTTTGCAAAGCTGCTACATACTGAGCAAACTTGCTATCGGGACGACTGTGAAGACCACATTCGGTCTTTACTTTTCCCTTCCAGCGACCAGCCCGCTCATCTTCACCCTCCTTTACAGGCTGAGTTGAGTGCCAATCACCAACAGACCGATAGCCACGGTCAAGAAGTGCATTGTATGGGACATTGTGTTCACGAATGTAACCCATAACCTGTTCAAACGACCAGTTGGCCAAAGGGTTGATTTTCAAAACAGGGCCGTCAATTTGGAGAATATCAAGATCACCTCTTTCGCCTCCTTGACTGCGACGACGTCCGGTAAACACGGCAAGCACGCCGAGCTCCTTGTATGCGCGTCTGGAGGGTTCAACCTTGACGAGATAGTCGTATTGCATCTCGTCACGCTCCCAAAGTTCCTTTCCAAACTTTTCCTCGAATTCCTTCGTATCCTTCACACCATCGGCCTTAAAAACGTTCACAGTAAGCTTGGGATAAGTTTGACGGACACGTTCCAACAAATCCAAGGTCTCGGGGAAATGATACAGAGTGTTGATAAAAATAAGGGGGACCGAGTGATCCATTTTGGCAAGCATGTCCGTGATCACAAGACCAGACAGACCCAATGCTGAGGTCTGAAACAATCGAGGAAAGGTGACTAGACACCAACGAAGCACCTCGGGAGGCTCTAAGTGCGAAAGTTGTTCGTTGAGAAAGGCAAGGTGCTCCTTTTGGAATAATTGATCTGCTTTCAAATCACTGTAAGAAGACATTTTGTGTGAAGTGTGCTTAATTTTCCTTAATATGTATGAGGAGATGATGAAAGAGTAGTTTAATTCAACAAATTGTCCAATCCAATGCAGTGTATTTATTTTCAATTCACAGGCGAGTAATTTTTCCTCCGTCTAGTAGTTACAGGGGTTCCGAGGTGGCCAATCTCCGTAAGGAAAAACTAATGAACTAAATGTTAAGGGGTCGGTTGTTCGCGGATGGAGGTCAATCATCAGCTTAAAAAGAAAATCATCGGAAACGTCCCGAATAAACGAATTCGCAATTCGTGGTTCATCTGATGCGAACCCTTGGGTGATTAGCAATCACCTGGTGGAGCCAACAGGCCCCGGGCCTAAAACACCATGTACAGGATACACAAAAAGGTAGGGCCACTATACACGTTGGTTAGTAAGAGAATAAATTGCGAACTCAAGATGTCGGAAAATTCCGAGTTCGGAATTTCGTCATCTGAATATCGCTTGTTTTGTGATAGGACTTACCTAAATAAACCTACCCAAAAAAACACGTTGCCGAAAAGGCGACGGTTCTTCAGTAGCTTCGTTTGAGAAAGATGATACAAAGGTATTTGGAGAAGCTGTAAGTGTTAGCAACAAAGTGTCAAAAGAAGTGCAGAGGGTGAAACTGGTCGTGTGCAATTTGAATAGGAATCTGTACCATAGCGTACAGTTTTTTGTATTGCACCGATGTAAGTACATACTTGCATGCACATAATATAGCAGCGGAGCTTCCCCGTCGTAAGAAACATAACAAATTCATGAACAAGGGCAGATACAAGATAGGTGAGAAACACGGCGTTGGAGCGAGAAATGGTTCCGAAGACAAGAGAGGAATGGTAGACGTGTCGAAGGAGAAATACATGCACGGGCTTGTTCCATTCACGGGAAAACTCGTTCCAAGTAACTGTATTCCACCACAGACCGTAGAATCTTCGGTCTGCGAAGTGTGTTATCTCTGCAAATGCATTAAGAATACAGTCAAAAATCAGATAGAAGGTCAGAAAGTAGAGCACTATGCATGGAAACAACAAGTCAAAGAGAAATAATGGGGCGCGCTCGAACCGTTCCTTAAGAGTGTAATCGGCTAAAGATTGAGAGAGAGGTTCGATGTATTTTTCGGCAATGACAAACATAACAACAATAATACCTAACGTGCCGGCAAGTTTGATTGCCAAATAGCGCCAGCTAAACGTCTTGACCCGTGGAAATTCAAGCGAGTACACGAGAGAGGGAACGAGAAGGTAGTCAAGATAGTTTTTCAGAGTTACATTGTGAGGATAACAAACGTTACCGCTTTCACTTCGTAACTGTCGGCTCAAGTACTTGCAATGAAGAACTAACAAATCATCGACGGCTTGCACACTCATAGAGCGTGCGAGTTTGTCGTTATTGTAAATGCATTCGCATTGCAACTCCCCGTGTTGTTCTTCGGCTGCCCGCTGAGCTGCACGAATTGCATGAAGTTTTTCGTGTAGTTTATCCCTAAGGCGTGCGGCTTCGCTAATGAAACCGAGATGGTGCGAGTAAGAATACTGCTTCATAATCATGACTGCACAATGCAAAATAAAGTAGAGCCCAGGACCCATGCCGAATTGCTTGTACTTCATCCAGATTGCGCTACCAAGCAAGTAGAAGCCTTGCCAAACATACTGAATCCGCTTGCCCGTGCCTTCCCATCGCAACTTCCCCATCACGATGAGACGCTGTAATACATAAGAAACCACAGAGAGACTGACCATAATGAGATCTGAAAGAAACAATGACTTGTACGGGCGACTATAGGAACGGAGCAACCGAAAGTCAGCCGGCAGACCAGTCACATAATAATTCTGTACGAAAATTTGAGTCATCCACATGATGACCGCAATCCAAAAAAGCACGTAGAACCCATGAAAGTCATTCTTTTCAAAATTGTCCCAGGAAGTGTATTCGTCCAAAAAAGACCTACTTTCTTGAAACTTGTAGTCATGATACACCTTGCCTTCCAGGAGCAAATTCCTGGAAGTACTAAGGTTAAAGGAAGCGATTACTTTTTCGCCTTTTGAGTCCTTTACCGTAATTATAGGAGCGTGGAGAGCGATCAATGCCTCCCGACTGGGGTGAACCTCATGCCGTGATTTACTAGAGCTTGTAGAAACTGTAGAATTGCTAGAGGACATCGAGAACGGACAATTGAGTAAATTGGACGAGTCCTTTCTTATCCAAAAAAAAAAAAACTGTTTTTTTCGCAATGAACAGGTTCAGTTTTCTAAGCAACAGAAAAATATATTTCTCAGAATGCTTGTAGCGCAATAAGAGTTGTTCGTGCTCCTAACGTGTCGTAATATAAGAAGCTTTCGTCGTAAAAAGTCGTAAAAGTCGTTAAAAAAAGAAAGACAAGTTCTCCCAATTCAATCAAGTTAGTCTACAAAGTTAGTTGCTTGCTATGAAATTAATGTAAAGTACACTTTGTGAAAAATGTGGTAAAGGGAGAAATGCGTTCTGACAAACGCGTCGTGTTGTTAGCAGCAGTCGAACGACATGAAATCACTGGGCGGAACGGTTGCTACGTCATCCAAAGCCCTAGGAGCCACTTTCTAAATAGTCTCTAAATTCAAAACTAACAAAAAAATAAACGACACGTACAACACAATTAGGATCAACGAATTTGTAATTACTATTTGATGAATTGCTTATTCGCGCATATTAAGCATGCGCGATGCATTCTCTTGACTTTGCGACGCGAATCGCGTAGTAAAGCTTAAATGCGCGTCTTTGCCAAAACAATGACATCATGAATCTTAATTGTATTTCGCGAATATGGCGAACGACAAGGGCGACGTTGTAGCGAAGCCGTACAGTCGAGAATAGAAAAAAAAATAAACATCCACAACAAAGAAACGCTCCTTGATAAAAACATATACCAGCATTTTTTTGATGCCAGCTTGAAGGCACGAAACGAAACTGATAGACGCATTTCGCTTACTGATGACGTACTATTCGCTTAATGCGACTGAAAAAAAGAAAGCCAATTTTTAAAGTTAAAACGTGAGAAGCATACTCCTAGCAATATTCAGACATACTAAATGGATGATTAAATAAACAGAGCTATGCGCATTACAATTTCCCTTCATTTGTTACTGCAACCGCGCTTAACGGTTACTGATCCCCACGTACCCCGGTAATCATAGGCGAAATTAATTTCGCCTATGATTGGTGGGGTTGTCACTTAGATTTTCATGTGCTAAAAACGTCATTTTTCTCGGCTATAATTGGCTAAAAAATTTCGCAACCCAATCTCTAATCGAGCATGGCTGGGGGTTGTTTCTTTAGTGCAGTAAGTGACAATTTAGTATTTCAGTAAAGGAAAGCAGTCGCATTAACGTAACCAGAGCCAAACACCAATTTTCAGCTTGCTGGTCTGTTTTTGTGAGAGCAATCGACTAAGGGTTCACCTGGGCTCCTTTCCTCTCAAGTCCTCTCAGTGGCCGATTAATCATTCTCCGGATTGGTCATTTTCTTCATCCCGTTTCTTCTTCGTTCCCTTTTTTGTTTGCATCGTTGTACTCATTCTTCCGTGATTCTTGTGGGACACTTCCATAATACTCTATTAGTCGACGTTCCCAAGAAACGTTCTCTTTGATATCTTAATCCGCAGATTCTCCTCATCGTTGTTCTCTCCTTGTCCTTTTTGTTTGTAACATTATGATCCGCAACGCCTTCGGTTTCGTTTCCCTTGTGCTGCTAATGGCTGCGATGACTATGCTCATTTTTGGCTGCATTACATCTCCAGTAACTGAGGCTCTTCATTTGGCAGCTGTTGACAATATACATTTTGGTATTTTTGGCTATTGTAATCTGAATACCTCTGTATGCTCGAGCACTTCGTTTGGGTATCAATTGGAGTCGGAAACGAGCAACTTTTATTTCAAAAAAGAGGCAACTCGTTTGACATTTACGAAGGTTTTAATCGCGCACATTGTCGGTGCTGGCATGTCTTTAATTGCATCTTTCTTTACTGTATTGTCCTTGTTTCAGCGTCTCAATCGGAAACGTGGTCTGAGCATCTTCCTCATCCTAATTGTTGTCTTCGCTATGCTTGTTTCTGTACTGGCATATGTGATCGAACTTATTCTCTTCCTTCCCCACAACAATTGGCCCTCTCACATTGCTGCCGGTGCCATTGCTGCTCAATTTTTCGCAATCATATTCCTGTCAGTTCGTGATGTCTCTATCGCGCGTGCTAACAAACGTGAACGGAAGGTCGCAGCAGCAGTACGGGAAGTGGAGGAGAAGACCGTCTACAATGAGGATGAAGTATCTGATGCCAATTACCCACTTACGCTTGATGCCAAGCTTAACGAGGCCAAGGCAACGCTTCCCCACTTTGCCGCGCGGAGCAATGACCAGCTCTCCGTCCCTGCGACGCGTCTCGACACTGCCAGTAGCATTTCGTCACTTAACGTTGACCACAAGGGGTCCGCGGATGTGGTTCGCGAAAGTGTTATTATCAACTCTTACAGCAGTTCACCGGATAAGCATGCTAATGTTTCCCTGGCTGGATATGAAGAGTTCCGTGATTCTGACTACTCGCCGACTCACACCCCTCAGCCAACGAGTTCTCCTTTTGCTATGCCGAACAACGCGTCTGCTAATGCCGTCAACAATAAGGTGTCTGCTCCAAGTACTCATTCCCAGAACAGCACCTCAGTGTTTGCCGTCCCACCTCAGCCATCGTCACGTAGTGCGGCTTCAGCTCCAAGAAGCCGTTCGCCCTCTAACACCGGTCCTCGTCCTTTGCCCAACAACCACGCTTTCAATCCCAATTCGCATCCTCGTGGAAGACCCCAGAATGTTCAACGGCCTCGTGGCCAGATGCATCCTCCTCCCGGTCGCTCTCCTCTCAACGGAACTCCTAATGCGGCTCCTAATATGCGCAATGCCAGCAGAGGGGCTCCCCGGCCGCGTCCGCAAAGACGAGTACCACCGGCACAACAGCAACCACCAGCATCATTTGACCAGCATCCAGTTACTTCTTCCACTTTGGACGCGCTTTCGGGAAACGCGGACTTTGAGCTGCCGACTCGTAAGCCCTACCGTCCGCGGGCGGGCATGAATAACCATGGACCTTACTAGGTTGCCGAGTCGCTGTGACCCGAAAGTGCGATTGCCATTTTAACCCCTAACTCCCCTTAGCATGTGTTCTTCCGTTAGTTGATTTTTTGTTGTCTTACGGTTAGTTCTTGTCATTCTTGTTTTCTTTTTCTGACGTGCAGTCTTTGCCTTGCCGAAACGTGTGCATGGAAAGCTCTACGAGATGTGCTGCGCGCGTCTTGTCGGTGATGTACTACACAGTGCATGTTTTCTCGTGTACGCTGTTCATACGGGTTTGATTGTATTTCTTTTGTTGCTTCATGTGTTTCAGCAGGCTGGGCCCTTGTTATGTAATAGGATATACTTAGTTTCCATTACTACTGCAGATAGGAGTTTTGAGTGAGTCTACTGCGTAACGTGTTATCGGAGCATTGGGATAAGAGAAGTGAATAAGAAGAGGTATAACAAAGAAGGATCCACTTGGGATATTATTATCCATGAAAAAACGAAATGGCATGACGAACGTAAGGGAGAGATTGTGCGTAAGTTGGGATGCAAGGAGAGGGAATTAAGGGGCGTTTAAATGCGTAAATGAGAGACGAATGGAGGAGACATGAAGTTCATACAAGAGGGAGCAGACGTGAAACGACAAAGGCGATATCGCGAGTAAGCTCTTGATTTTCTGAGGATGATGTACGACATAGCCGCACGCAGTCGGAAATCTTTTGATGCACCCCCGACTCGGGCGTGTCTGTGCGCAAACTCAATTGCTTCACAACAACCTTCTTTGTCTCCTCCTGCAGTAACTCATGAACTGGATCGCATTCTTCGGGCAGCAGTTTAGCCAAGGCGGAGAAACGACCCCGTGATTCGCAAACAAGGACCGGCCGCTGGACAAGAACCGGCTTTTTGTTGCTCGCACCAATTTTCTTTCCCGTAAGCACGCTTCGTTTCTGCTCTGAAAAGAACGAGAATAAGTTTGGACTCAGCTCCTGTAGGCATGGTTGCACGGATGCATGAAATGGAAGCCGAATGTTAAGGCCTTGAGTGCTTGGCGACCATATGCAAGAGCTCGAAAGACAGTTTTCCGACATTGAATGTGCGTTGTTTTTGTGTCTCGTATTGCAATTGCTTGCTTTTTATATTTGTTTACATGACTTTGTCGGCATGGCAACCATGCCCAAATGTAAACAAATAAAATAGCAGGATTGCAGAAGAGTAGTCAGTACGTGTGAAAGCACAGACACTAGCAGCTCGTAAATGAGAATTATGTACAGAAGTCATGAGAAAGTCACTCTTCAGTAAGACAGTTCAATTGAACGAAGTAGTCATTTTTTTCTTTTCTTTCTCAAGTGGTAGACTTTGGAACACGTTTGGGTCGCGGTTTCTTCTTTGCATTTTTTTTGGGTGGATTTAGCGACTGGGAAGCCACGTTGGACTCAGCAGACTGTTTTTTTGTTTTTTTATTCGCCCTGCGTGGACCTTTATGAGCAGCAGAGGGTTTGGAAGAGGGAGTTGCGGCAGGGATAGAACCAACGGACGGCGATTCAATTGAAACACTTGAGGCATTATCAGCAATATTTGCAGTGGCTGAAGTTGCATCGGCTGGAATTGCTATCGAAATGCTTTGCGCGCTCGTACCCGAAGATTTTGCGGCTAAGGGTTCACCGCCTGCAGCGTCTTGTTGTTGTTGCTTACGTTGTTGCTTAGATAATTTCTTCTGACGGGCCTTTTCCTTTCGGTGTTGAGCTCGTTCCTGGGCTTTTTGCTGTTTTGCCTTGACGTATTCAAGTAACGGCGTTGTCGTTTTCACGGGCTCGGTCGTTACCACTGAATCTTCTGGGGCGAGTGGGAAGCTGGGTTTTAGGGAAGAATCCGCTTCTGCGGACTCTAGTGACTTTTTGAATTGAATAAAATCCTCATCCTCCTCCAAGGTGCCCATCCGTGAATCCTTTCGCCCATGAGCGACCCACTTTTGATTTGGGGCTACTGCAACAGAAGCATGATAGCGAACGTCTATTGAACGTGTTAGTATTAGTACACTGAGAAAGGACAGTCAGATGCTTCACTTAGTATGGCGAACATATACTCAGAGGAGCTTCGAATGGAGTGTATACATACTGTTCTTGTTTACAAACGCATGATTCTGATAATGGAGAAAAAAGCTTGTCACTTGTTCTGGTGATTTAAACAAGAGGATCGCGTAGGAATGTACTTCAAGGTCTTTTCTTCACACCAGTATTAGTCGGAAATTTCCTAACATATAAATATAAAACCATTTAGCAGCCGCAGCTGCTCTTGACGACACTGGCAGTAGCAACAGCAGCAGCATGTTCCCCAACAAACTTACTCGGGTTGTAGATGACCAGGATGGAACCGGCTTCGTTCAATCGCCTCGTGCCACGGCTTCACCGAGTCCCAAAACACGGAAGCGGGAAGATTGGCGGGGAGTTTTCGGACGACCAACTTGCATGGGACACGCTTGCCTGCAGAATCAAACGGCACCATGAGGAAACGGTCAACGACTCGTGCTGGAATATTGAACGGAGGTGGTGCATAAGTGGGATGTGTGGGGGAAGTGGGCTACACTAGACCAGCAGAATTAGGAGGAATGAGCGAGAATAGTGCAAGTGAGAGAAGCCATTGGGCGGCAACTAGCAGTTAAGAGAATGTCTGGTTAGTGATGATGAACAGAATGGGAAACTAGAAGGATTAATGAAGAGATATATGGTGGAAGAAGTGGAAAAGGGACGGCAGCTAACAATGAATGGACGAACAAAGACTGGTCTTGACAAAGAACAGTGCGAGAAAGGAAAGGAATGTATCACAGCAATTGGCTTATGAAGGCAACGAAGCATTGATAGTAACAAGTAGAACTTGCCTGCAATAACAAAGAAAGACTAACCGCTAATAGTATTTGATACCAAGCAAATTAGTAAGTTACAAGTAATTAAAAAAGTTAATTAAATAAATACAAAAAAAAAAAAAAAAGAATAAAAAAAGTGTAAGGGCGTGACAGACGACACTATGCAGCACAACGAATTCACTCAACTGTAACAACTGTACTAAAGAGTCAAGAACGTTTGCTTAAACAATTCAACAGTACACTCGTCCCTGTCTCGCTTCACTCGTTTCTAGCGCCTTGGTGAAGTGACCCCACAAACTCTATTTCCCACCGATCGGCTCCCATAAACGTCATACGTGCTTCCATAACATTCGGGAAAATGACGTCGAACCTTGTAAACGGGATGAACCAACAAAAACGTCATTAAATCGTATGAAACGAAGCGAGGGATCGAGAAAACGGTTGTGGGCACGATCGCATTTTGAGGTTTCAGAACACTGGGCTCGCTGCTGTGACGGGAAAAACGCGATTCGAGCGACCAATGTTTTGTGCACATCGCCACCTACGTCCCGGCTCGTCCTCAAAGTCGCAGCAGTTTTTCTCGCACTTTCGCGTCGTTGCGCGGCTCTGTGGGGTCGCTTCGATTATGCTTTTCTCTGCCTTTCGCTGATTGGCCGATTACTCTTCTGGAATGTCACGAGGGTTAGGGTACCGAAGCTTCGAGAATCCGCATCCAGGTATAAAAAGCAGCCCAGCAGCAGCCGTTTCACCATCACATTTCACCAAAACAGCTTCAATTCAAGTTCCTTTGGTTGTTCTTGCAACTTGCATATCTCTTTTTTTCGAGTTCTTTATACGCAAGTGAATTTGCTTTTTTGCAAATCATTCATTAATTTTACGACTTTTAACGACTATCTGCGTGCGAAAAACACACACAAACCTAATTCTGCTTACTAGTACAAGTACTGTTTGCTGCACTTTTTATTTCCATACAAAATGAGTAAGGCTATCGGAATTGATTTGGGTACTACGTACTCCTGTGTTGGTCACTTCTCCAACAACCGCGTTGAGATCATCGCCAATGACCAAGGTAACCGTACCACTCCTTCCTACGTTGCATTCACCGACTCTGAGCGTCTCATCGGTGACGCTGCTAAGAACCAGGTCGCGATGAACCCCCACAACACCATCTTCGACGCTAAGCGTTTGATTGGCCGCAAGTTCGCCGATCCTGAGGTCCAATCCGATATGAAGCATTGGCCCTTCAAGGTCGTCGACAAGGGCGGCAAGCCTCTTCTTCAGGTCGAGTTCAAGGGCGAGACCAAGACCTTCACGCCTGAGGAGGTCTCCTCCATGGTCTTGACCAAGATGCGTGAGACCGCCGAGGCCTTCCTGGGCGGCAAGGTCACCGACGCTGTCATCACTGTTCCCGCTTACTTCAACGACTCACAACGTCAAGCTACTAAGGATGCTGGTCTTATTGCCGGCTTGAATGTTCTTCGTATCATTAACGAGCCTACTGCTGCTGCCATCGCTTACGGTTTGGACCGCAAGAACACCGGCGAGACGAATGTTCTTATTTTCGATCTCGGTGGTGGTACCTTCGATGTCTCTCTTTTGACCATCGACGAGGGTATCTTCGAGGTCAAGGCCACTGCTGGTGACACTCACTTGGGTGGTGAGGACTTCGACTCTCGTCTCGTCAACCACTTTATCCAAGAGTTCAAGCGTAAGTACAAGAAGGATATTTCCCCGAACGCTCGTTCTGTTCGTCGTCTTCGTACCGCTTGCGAGCGTGCCAAGCGTACTCTTTCCTCGTCCGCCCAGGCCAGCATTGAGATTGATTCCTTGTTCGAGGGTATCGACTTCTACACCTCTATTACCCGTGCTCGTTTCGAGGAGCTTTGCGCCGACCTGTTCCGTGCTACAATGGAGCCCGTTGAGAAGGTCCTCCGCGACTCCAAGATCGACAAGTCCTCTGTCCACGAGATTGTCTTGGTCGGTGGTTCTACTCGTATTCCCCGTGTCCAAAAGCTGGTCTCTGACTTCTTCAACGGTAAGGAGCCCTGCAAGTCCATCAACCCCGATGAGGCTGTTGCCTACGGTGCAGCCGTCCAAGCTGCCATTCTTACTGGTGACACTTCTGAGAAGACTCAAGACCTTCTTCTTCTTGATGTCATTCCCTTGTCTCTTGGTATTGAGACTGCCGGCGGTGTTATGACTCCTCTTATCAAGCGTAACACTACCATCCCCACCAAGAAGTCCGAGGTCTTCTCTACCTACGCCGACAACCAGCCTGGTGTTTTGATCCAAGTCTACGAGGGTGAGCGTGCCCGCACCAAGGACTGCAACCTTCTGGGCAAGTTCGAGCTTTCCGGCATTCCTCCTGCACCTCGTGGTGTTCCTCAAATTGAGGTCACCTTCGATGTCGATGCCAACGGTATCTTGAACGTCTCCGCTTTGGAGAAGGGTACTGGTAAGAGTCAAAAGATTACCATTACCAACGACAAGGGCCGTCTTTCCAAGGAAGAGATTGAGCGCATGGTCGCTGATGCTGAGAAGTTCAAGGCTGAGGACGAGGCCGAAGCTTCTCGTATCCAGGCCAAGAACCACCTGGAGTCCTATGCCTACAGTCTCCGCAACACTTTGGAGGACAGCAACATCAAGGACAAGGTTGACGCTTCCGACAAGGAGACCATTGAAAAGCACGTCAAGGAGACCATCGAGTGGCTCGACAGCAACCAGACCGCTACCAAGGAGGAATTCGAGTCCAAACAAAAGGAACTCGAGGGTGTTGCTAACCCCATCATGGCCAAGATCTATCAAGCTGGCGCCGGTGCTGGTGCCGGTGCCGCCCCTGGTGGCATGCCTGGCGGTGCTCCCGGTGGTGCCGCTCCTGGTGGTGGTGCTGATGGTCCCGAGGTTGAAGAGGTGGACTAAGGTGTGTCTCCGACTAAGCACAGCAGCACCTTTGACAATCAATGATGCTTGCTAGCATCGATAAACACGAAACTCTCTGGTATGAATGGGTTTAATTGGTTTTGATGATTAATTTACTGTTAATGAATTTAATTGAGTGTTAACAACGGTGGGTGGATCGGGTGCTGGGATTCATAGTTGTCGTGCTTAATACTGGCTAGCGGGGTGTTTGTGTGTGCGACATGTAAGGCATCGTCCGTTTCGAACTATCGCACTGACGTTGTGGTGCGAGTCGACGTTGTTAGTACCGCATGTGGCCCTTACCGCCGTCAATGCTTATCATTACAACTTTCTTAGCGAGCAATTCAAACAGACGGGCTTTTTCCTTTCCTCGGCCACTCATCAGCACTCCATTTGAATCGCCTTCCTCTCTGTCCTCTCATTGATCCCCACCCTTTTCCTTTTTGGCCGACAAGCAACTCACCATACAGGACGCGTCGTTTCGGCCATACGCGCGGGTGACGCCCGATGACAACATCGAGTACTTATCGCTCCTAGCTGTCTGGCTCGCGAAAGCCGCCGCCAACTAACAAAACCCCTTTGTTTGCGCCAGGAGAAAGTGAACAACCGTGTCCGTCCATTACTAACGCTCCTCACATTCGGCCTTGATTAAGCATCGCGTGTGTTTTCTTCGATACGGCTTGCCACTCCTTTGGTGATTACACACGTCCACCACTCTCATTTAGTGTCTCTGTTCGGCTGGTGTTGCAGCAGCTACACCTTATCACCGACATCAAAAGTCAAAAAAAAACTTGACGCCTGATTGGTCCATTAACCGTCCAATCACGAGGCCTCTATCTCATCAGCGCGACTTCTTAACCTTCGGGCCTCTGCACCTTTCTCCTTCCCAGAGCCAGCTACATTTTTGTCGAGGTTTACCAGTTGCTCATTGTCATAGCTAATATCAGGCCAGTGACAGTTTGTACTGTTTGACAGACCCGAACTTATCCCTTTTTCGTTTTCTCCTCATAAGCGTCATCTTGTCATTTCATTATTCTTTATTTTTGCACTCCTCCCCTTTTTGCCAAGTAAGTTGACTAGCGTGTCTCCCTTGTTGCATTCCAATACGGTGATAGTTTCAACAGAGTTTTAAGTTTAACACTCGCTTGTCGCCATTTGGAATTCTTCTTTTGTCATTGGCTCAGCTCTCTACCCTACGTACATACATTCTTTTTAACTACGTCCGCAGTTCTTGACTGTCCGTAACAGACACAGAGAATTGGTCTTGTAGCGCCGTGATTGATTCATTCTTAGACGATTGCTGCTACTTGTTGTGATCCTAATAAAGGTTTCATTTTTTGGATTATTAAAATTGTACACTGAGTGTCTGCGTGACTCTGTGTTCTAATCCCTGTTTCCCTCCGTCCCGTCAAAAGTGTTCTTTTTTCTGCACGGTTTTGGTATTGGTTTCGGTTTATCGTTTTAGATATTCGGTCATATTTGTTCGCCCAAGTTTTCCCGCTCTATACATCACAGTCTAAATGAAGTTGCAACGCGATCTTGCTGCCGCTGCCCTGAATGAGGCCGAATGCGCCCATCCAGAAATGGATGCTGAACTCAATGGCATGAATGCTCCTGTCTACAACTACGATGTCTCCAACAACGACTCGTGGGCTGGAGCTTTGCCTAAGGAGCAAGGTCTTTACAACCCTGATTTCGAAAAAGATGCTTGCGGTGTCGGTTTTGTTTGTCAAATCCGCGGTCTCCGCTCTCACAAAATTGTCACCGATGCTCGTCTGTTGCTTTGCAACATGACGCATCGTGGTGCTACTGGTGCTGACACGCGTGATGGCGATGGTGCCGGTGTCATGACTTCAATGCCTCATGAGTTTATGGCAAAGGAGTTCAAGCAATCCCTCAACGTCACTATTCCCGCCTCTGGTCGCTATGCTGTCGGTAACGTCTTCTTCTCTCCTGAAGAGGATATCCGTAAGGCAGCCATCGAAGAGTTCACCAACATCGCTGAAGAAGCTGGTTTGGCCATTCTCGGTTGGCGTTCTGTCCCCTGTGACAACACCATCCTGGGTCCTGCCGCTCTCTCTCGCGAGCCCGTAATCCTGCAACCCTGTGTCATTCACAAGGCTATGCATGACGGCGCTCAAGAGTTCGACTCGGCCGTCTTTGATCGCCAGTTGTTCATTCTTCGCAAGCGCTCTACCCACAGAATTGGTATGCAAAAGTGGTTCTACATTTGCTCTTTGAACCGCGAGACCATTGTCTACAAGGGTCAACTTGCTCCTGTCCAGGTCTACAACTACTTCTTGGATCTTAACAATGCCGAGTACAATGCTCACTTCGCTCTTGTCCATTCTCGTTTCTCTACCAACACTTTCCCTTCTTGGGACCGTGCCCAGCCTATGCGTTTTGCTGCTCACAACGGTGAGATTAACACCCTCCGTGGTAACAAGAACTGGATGCGTGCCCGCGAGGGAATTATGAAGTCCGAGCTTTTCGGTGATGAGCTCCAATCTTTGTTGCCGACCATCGAGAAGGGTGGTTCCGACTCCGCTGCTTTCGACAACGTTTTGGAGCTGCTTTGTCTCTCCGGTACGCTTTCTCTGCCCGAGGCTGTTATGCTTCTGATTCCTGAAGCCTGGCAGACCAACCCCAACATCAGCGACGAAAAGTCTGCTTTCTACGAGTGGGCTGCTTGCCAAATGGAGCCTTGGGATGGCCCTGCTTTGTTCACTTTTGCTGATGGTCGTTACTGTGGTGCTAACCTTGACCGTAATGGTCTTCGTCCTTGCCGTTACTACCTCACATCCAATGACATTATGGTTTGTGCGTCAGAGGTTGGCACTATTGGCATTGACCCCGAGGTTGTTACCCAAAAGGGTCGTTTGTACCCTGGTCGCATGCTTCTCGTTGATACCAAGGAGGGTCGTGTGGTTGATGACAAGGAGCTTAAGCACACTATTTCCACTCGCTATGATTTCCGTAGTTGGTTGGATTCCGAGCTTATCAACATGAACAGTCTTGTCGATGCCCTTGAGGATAGCAGCGAAGTTGATATCACTCCTGAGGTTGACAATACTGGCTTGGCCGAAGATAAGCGTTTGCTTGCTTTTGGTTACACCCTTGAGCAAGTGAATATGATCATTGGTCCTATGGCCAGTGAAGGTAAGGAGACGCTTGGTTCCATGGGTAATGATGCAGCCCTTGCATGTCTTTCCGAGAAACCTCGTCTCGTGTATGATTATTTCCGTCAATTGTTCGCACAAGTTACCAACCCACCCATTGACCCCATTCGTGAGTCCGTTGTTATGAGCTTGCAATGCTACGTTGGTCCTAGTGGTAACTTGCTGGAGATTGAGCAGAGCCAGTGCCGCCGTCTGTGCTTGCCCACTCCCATTTTGACCTTGGAAGAATTTAATGCTATTAAGAACATCAACGTTGTCCATCCCGACTGGAATGTTGAGAGTATTGACATCACTTTCCCCAAGAATGGTAGCTATGTCAATGCCATTGATCGCATTTGTCAAGAGGCTTCTGATGCAGTTGACAATAACAAGCAAATCATTGTTCTTAGCGATCGTGCTGTTTCCGCCGAGCGTGTTCCCATTGCTTCCCTGATGGCTGTTGGTGCCGTTCATCACCACTTGGTTCAAGCCAAGAAGCGTTCTCGTGTGGCCATTGTTGTGGAATCTGGTGATGCTCGCGAGGTTCACCACATGTGTATGCTGCTTTGCTATGGTGTTGATGCCATCTGTCCTTACTTGGCTATTGAGTCAATTATTAAACTTCACCATCAAAATGCTCTCAAGCCCGGTGTTCCCGTTGAGAAGGCCGTCGATAACTTCAAACACTCCATCAATGGTGGTATTATGAAGGTTATGTCTAAGATTGGTATTTCCACCTTACAGTCGTACAAGGGTGCTCAAATTTGCGAGATCCTTGGTTTGGACAATGATGTAGTCGACAAGTGCTTCGCCGGCACTGCTTCTCGTATTCGTGGTGTTTCCTTCGATTATATCTCTCGCGATGCCCTTGCTCTTCATGAGCGTGGTTTCCCCACGAAGTACACAATCTCGTCTAAGGGTCTTCCTGACATGGGTGACTTCCACTACCGTGACGGTGGTGAGGAGCATGTTAACCATCCCAAGGCCATTGCTCAGCTTCAATATGCCGTCCGTAACCGCAATGATGCCGCATACCAAGAGTTTGCTCGCATTCACCAAGAGCAAATTCGTAAGTGTACTCTTCGCGGTATGCTCGATTTCGATTACTCTGGAGAGGGCATCCCCATTGAGCAAGTTGAGCCCTGGACTGAGATCGTTCGTCGTTTCTGTACCGGTGCCATGTCTTACGGTTCCATTAGCATGGAATCCCACTCTGCCATGGCTATTGCCATGAACAGACTCGGTGGTAAGTCTAACACTGGTGAGGGTGGTGAAGATCCTGCTCGTAGCCAACGTTTGCCTAATGGCGATACCATGCGCTCTGCCATTAAGCAAATTGCTTCTGGCCGTTTCGGTGTCACTTCTTATTATCTTTCAGATGCTGATGAGCTCCAAATTAAGATGGCTCAAGGTGCCAAGCCTGGTGAAGGTGGTGAGCTGCCTGGTTACAAGGTCAGTGAGTCCATTGCTCGCACCCGTCACTCTACACCCGGTGTGGGTCTTATTTCTCCTCCCCCCCATCACGACATTTACTCCATCGAGGATCTTAAACAATTGATTTATGATCTGAAGGCTTCAAACCCCCGTGCTCGCGTTTCCGTGAAACTTGTATCTGAAGTCGGTGTTGGTATCGTCGCTTCCGGTGTCGCTAAGGCTAAGGCCGATCACATCTTGGTTTCCGGTCACGATGGTGGTACTGGTGCTTCCCGTTGGACTGGTATCAAGTACGCCGGTCTTCCTTGGGAGTTGGGTGTTGCTGAGACTCACCAAACTCTTGTTTTGAATGATCTCCGTGGTCGAGTTGTTATTCAAACCGATGGTCAATTGCGTACTGGTCGCGATGTTGCCATTGCTTGTCTTCTCGGTGCTGAAGAGTGGGGTTTCGCGACCACTCCTTTGATTGCTCTGGGTTGTGTCATGATGCGTAAGTGCCATCTTAACACTTGTCCTGTTGGTATTGCTACTCAAGATCCTGAGCTCCGCAAGAAGTTCACTGGTCTTCCTGACCATGTCGTAAACTTCTTCTACTATGTCGCTGAGGAACTCCGTAGCATCATGGCCAAGCTTGGTTTCCGAACCATCAATGAGATGGTTGGTCGCTCTGATAAGCTCAAGGTTGCCGACCATGTCATCAATGAGAAGTCGAAGAAGCTGGACCTTTCTCCTCTTCTCACCCCTGCTTTTACTTTGCGTCCTGGTGCGGCTACTTACAACGTGCGTAAGCAAGACCACCGTCTTTACACTCGTTTGGATAACAAGTTGATTGATGAAGCCGAGCTTACATTGGAAGACGGCATTCCTAGTGTTATTGATTGTGAGATTATCAACACTGATCGTGCATTGGGTGCCACTCTCTCCAACCGTATTAGCAAGCGTTTCGGCGAAGAGGGTCTTCCAACTGACTCTGTACGTGTTAACGTTTTTGGTTCTGCCGGTCAATCATTTGGCGCCTTCTTGGCTCCTGGTGTTACCTTACAACTTGAGGGTGATTGTAATGACTACGTCGGCAAGGGTCTTTCCGGTGGTCGTTTGATTGTCTATCCTCCTAAGGTTTCTTCTTTCAAGTCCGAGGAGAACATCATCGTTGGTAACACTTGTTTGTATGGTGCTACTTCCGGTATCGCCTTTATTCGTGGTGTTGCTGCCGAGCGTTTTGGCGTTCGTAACTCTGGTGCTACTGCCGTTGTTGAGGGTTGCGGTGATCATGGTTGTGAGTATATGACTGGTGGTCGTGTCGTTATTCTTGGAAGCACTGGTCGTAACTTTGCCGCTGGTATGTCTGGTGGTATTGCTTATGTCTACGATCTTCAACAAGATTTTGCTAAGAAGGTCAATATGGAGATGGTTGAGCTTTGCCAGGTTACTGATCCTGCCGAGATTGCTTTCCTTCGTGGTTTGATTCTTGATCATCGTCATTACACTGGTTCTGAGGTTGCTGACCGCATTCTCAATGATTTCCTTCGTAACCTTCCTCGTTTCGTCAAGGTTCTTCCTCGTGACTACAAGGCTGTTCTTGAGCGTGAGGCTGCCAAGAAGGCCGAGGCTAAGCGTCTGCAATATCCTAAGGCTTTCATGCCCGGCAACCCCATTCGTGAGCAATTGGAGAAGAATAGCAAGGACGAGCCTGCCGTCGCTGATGTTGAAGATGTTGTTGGTGGTGCTAAGACTGAACAACGTCTTGACAAGCTTCGTGGTTTCATGAAGTACCAGCGTCGTAGCGAGAAGTACAGAAATCCTGTTAAGCGTACTAACGACTGGAAGGAGGTATCTCAACGCCTTCGTGAAGGTGAGCTTCGTCTTCAAACTGCCAGATGTATGGACTGTGGTACTCCTTTCTGTCAGTCTGACTATGGTTGCCCCATTTCTAACAAGATTTTCACTTGGAATGATCTTGTCTTCAAACAGCAATGGAAGGAGGCTTGGAACGAGCTTTCAAAGACTAACAACTTCCCCGATATTACTGGTCGTGTTTGTCCTGCTCCTTGTGAGGGTGCCTGTACTCTTGGTATTACTGATGCTCCTGTCGGTATTAAGAGTGTTGAGCGTGCCATTTTCGACAAGGCCTGGGAGGAGGGCTGGGTTGTTCCTAACCCCCCTAAGTACCGCACTGACAAGCACATTGCCATTGTGGGTTCTGGTCCAGCTGGTTTGGCCGCTGCCGATCAGTTGAACAAGGCTGGTCACAATGTTACTGTCTTGGAACGTGATAGTGCTCCAGGTGGTTTGTTGCACTATGGTATTCCCAACATGAAGCTTGACAAGCTTATCCTTAAGGCACGTATTGATCTCATGACCCAAGAGGGCATTACCTTTGAGACTAATGCCAAGGTTGGCCCCGATGGTCTTTACACCATTGAGGAGTTGTCCGAGAAATACGACGCTGTTATCCTGGCAACTGGTTCGACCGTTCCTCGCGATCTTCAAATTCCTAACCGTGATGCCGCTGGTATTCACTTCGCTATGGAGTTCTTGCACAAGAACACCGAGAGTCTTGAAAAGAGCAACCTTCTCGATGGTAACTACATCAATGCTAAGGGCAAGGATGTAATTGTCATTGGTGGTGGTGATACTGGTAATGATTGTTTGGGCACTAGTGTCCGTCACGGTGCCAAGAGCATCAAGAACCTTGAGTTGCTTCCCATCCCTCCACGTGAGCGTGCAGATGACAACCCCTGGCCTCAATATCCTCGTGTTTTCCGTGTTGATTACGGTCATGCTGAAGTCCAAGCTCATTACGGAAGCGATCCTCGTGAGTACTCCATTCTCACTAAGTCCTTCGAGAAGGACGAAGAGGGTAACGTCAAGGGTATCAACACTGTCCGCATTGAGTGGGTTAAGAATAGCAAGGGACGCTGGATCATGAAGGAGATCCGTAACTCTGAGGAGTTCTTCCCCGCCGATCTTGTTATTTTGGCACTTGGTTTCTTGGGTCCCGATGAAGAGGCTACTTCTGGAACCGATATCGAAAAGGATGGTCGCTCTAACATCAAGACTGTTGAGCGTTCTTACCGCACAAGCCTTCCCAATGTCTATGCTGCTGGTGATTGTCACCGCGGTCAAAGTCTTGTTGTCTGGGCTATCCAAGAGGGTCGCCAATGTGCTCGTGAGGTTGATGGTGCGCTTACCGGTAAGACCTACCTTCCTGGTAACGGCGGTGTTGTTCAGAGCACTGTCCTCCAAAACTAAATAACTGGTATGGTTTGAAAGTTATTTTATATCACGAAGATATATGATTATGAGAGCGTTATCATTACCGTTTTGATGCCCTGTTTTTTTCTCCTGGTGTCCTTAGTACGAAGAAAGATTTGAACTGCTTGTCAAATCTCGTAGCTGGCTGCACGTTTATATAAGGCAAGTTCTATCCTTCTCGTCCTGAAAACAGATTGATCGTGTACGCCTCGCAAACTTTGCGTTTCTTGCGGGCGGATACCACTTGATTTCGTTTTAAAAAGTTAACTCGAAGCGTTTATAAATTTTTGTTCCTTGAACATTGTTCTCCGGGAACGCAACTCCCTTTCATCACGACTCCCTTTTGTGGAGTGTATGGTATTAACTTTATTATTTGTTATACTATTTCCTTTTGTTAATTAATATTGAATTTTGGTCGTTCATCCCATTCTGTATTTTGCTGCGCAGGGAGGTGTGCCGGCATGTATGCTGATTTGATGTGTCGTGTCTATCGGCAAGTTGATTGTATTGACGGGTTAACACTGTTCGAATTAATTGTTCATCGTAACTTGTATTACTAAGTTTAAACAGAATGATTCAGATTTCGTTCTGTTACTGTATTCTCTTCGGCTCTCGCTCCCTTATTCTCCGTAGCTCCATCCCACTTAAGGGCTTTACTCCACCAAAGTTGGCTTGCAAAGCCATGTAATGGGAGTACGAACTACTCATCTCCTGTCGAGAACCACTATCCAGGTTTGGTAACGTCCCACTAGGTTTTGTTTTTGACCGTAAGTTTTGAGTTTTTCTGTGTCAAAAACAGTATCTGCAGCTATATTTCACTGTAACTGCACGGTTCGTATTCCTTTATACAAAACTTTGTAAAATAGCTAGACAGTGAGAATCTGGAAGCCAACTAACTGTTTGGTCGGCTCGAGATTAAGCTACAAAGAGAACCGACTTGTTTGTTTAAAATATTCATAAACGATGTCGAGTTCTTCTGCTGAAGGTTATTCAAATCTTCGCAAGCGTTTCTCCTCAAAACACGAGTATCAAGCCGAGAAATCCGTGAATGACTGGTCTACTAAGTCCGAACGTGGTTCACTGGATGATGATGATGAGAGACTAGTCTTGAAAAAACCGTTAAGTAAGGTACAAAAAGCCTTCAAGTTCGGTCTCATTCCCCTTGCCCTTACTGCTGCTGCATTCTTCGTTCGTTTTTGGAAAATTTCCGACAGCAACATTGTCGTTTGGGATGAGGCTCACTTTGGCAAATTTGCTTCGTACTATTTGAAGCGTGAATTCTATTTCGATGTCCACCCTCCTTTGGGAAAGATGTTGAACGCGTTGGCCGGTTATTTGGCCGGCTATGATGGTCAATTTGGTTTTGAGTCTGGTGCCGCGTACCCAGAAGGTATGAACTACAGTTTCATGCGTTATTGGAATGCCACATTTGGTGCGCTGTGTGTCCCTCTCGTGTACTTTACTTCCCTGAATTTTGACTTTTCTACCCTCGCAGCTACGTTGGCATCTTTAATGGTTTGTCTGGACAATCACTTGGCAACTATTAGCCGTTTTATTCTTCTCGACAGTATGCTTCTTTTCTTCACCTTTGCTACCTTCTTTTGTCTTTCTCGCTTTTACGTTTTTCGTAAGGCACCCTTCTCCTTCCGTTGGTACAAATGGATGTTCCTCACTGGTGTGTGTATTGGTTCCGTGACGAGTGTTAAACTTATTGGTTTGTTTGTCACTTCTGTTGTTGGTATTTACACTATTGAAGAACTTTGGCGCTTCTTGGGTGACCGTCGTATGAAAACGACCACTTATGTCCATCATTGGATTGCCCGTATTGTCTGTCTTATCATTGTCCCCATTTCTGTCTATATGTTGAGTTTCAAAGCTCACTTTATTGTTCTGAGCAACAGTGGTCCTGGTGATGCACAAATGCCCTCTTTGTTTCAAGCTCGTTTAAACGGTTCACCTATGGCCGATAACCCCATTGACCTCCTCTATGGTAGTCGCTTTACTTTAAAAACAGAAACCCAAGCGGCGCTCTTTTGCACTCTCATGTTCAAACCTATCCCGACGGTAGTCAGCAACAACAGGTTACAGGTTACCATCATAAGGATGATAACAACAATTGGTATTTCTTCCCTCCTCACGGTCCAAGTCGTTACTTCCCCGAGCAAGATGACTCTTTAACTCCAATTGTTCATGGCTCCCTGGTCCGTATGTTCCACCCTGCCACCGGACGTAACCTTCACACTCACAGTGTACCTGCCCCTGTTAGCTCTGGTCAATATGAGGTTTCTTGTTACGGTAACTCTACTATCGGTGATGAAAAGGACTACTGGATTGTTGAGGTAGTTGAGGACACTTTGACTGGTAACAAGACTGGTGTCCATGCTCTTTCCTCTGTTATCCGCTTGTACAGTCCGGTAATGAAGTGTTACTTGGCTATGGATAAGGCGAACCTTCCTTCCTGGGGTTTCTCACAACGCGAAGTTACTTGTGACCCTAATGCCTCTCCCAAAGATGTACGTACTCATTGGAACGTTGAGGAGCACTACAATCCCCGTCTTCCTGCCGCTCCCAAGGGTACGTTCAAGGGTTCCTTCATTAGACTTTATTCACTTGAACCGTGCCATGCTCGAAACAAACAACGCTCTTGTTCCCGACGACGACAAGTTTGATGCTCTTCGTAGTGAAGCCTATCAATGGCCTTTCCTTCTCGCTACTTTGAGAATGTGTGGTTGGGGTGATAACCAAATCAAGTACTTGTTGATTGGCAACCCATTCTCTTACTGGCTGTCCACTGCATGTATTGGTGTCTTTTTGCTTCTCTGCGTTACTTACTTCCTTAAATGGCGCAGACATACACTCAAATTGACCTCCACTGAAATTGAGAAGTTCCGTGTCGCCGGTATCTATCCATTTTTGGGATGGTTCTTCCATTACTTCCCCTTCTTCATTATGGGTCGTGTTCTTTATGTACATCATTACGAGCCTGCCTTTGCATTTTCAGCTATTACTGCTGCGTTCACGATCGATTGGTGTACTCGCAAAATGCCGTGTGCTGTGCGTTTTGTTATCTTTACCATTTTGTACGTTGCTATCATTGCTGTCTTTGTTTTCTTCAAAGATGTTACCTTTGGTATGCACGGTCCAGCCTCAGACTTCCATCGCCTTCGTTGGTTGAAGTCGTGGAATGTTCATGACTGATGAATTCGTAACGCGAGTATTATAAAGCTTTCACGCACGTAATAGCTAAATGTTTCTATTCAAGAAATTAATATAGCAAAGTCTTGTCCGACGATTTTAATATCCACTTTACTTGCACACATAAATAGTTCATAATACTTAGATTACTATATCAATATTATGATAGCGTGTAAGAAACAAGCTGTTAGCATCTCGGCTTAACAGTAGTTATGTATTGTTCCTGTGTTGGGACAATAAATGACTTCGAGCTGGCAAAATGCAAAAAAAAGAACGGAATTGAGAATAAAACTGCAGCGGATGTTTATGTACTTTAAAGGAATAATTGTAGCAAATTCTTATCAGTCTTCTTTTGTCAATAGTCTTCGGTAAAAGCCTTACCGTACTCCTTATTGCGCCGTTCTCGAATTTAGTTACTACGTTAGCACTGGCCTCTCTTACGCATAGACGGAACGGTATAACTGTTGGTCCAAACTACTAAATTTGGACATGAATACTTCAAACATTGATACAAATTTTCCTTTATCGCCTCTTTCTGCTGGATTACTGCCTACAGGCTTTAATTTTCAATGCGGTGAATTTAAGGTGACCATTGATAAATATCTCGCCGAAGGTGCGTCTGTATGTTATGTTTAAATCTCTCTAACAATTACAGGCGGCTTCTCTCATGTTTACCGCGTTTCACTAGCTAAACCAAATGCGAATCCTGTGATTGCTGTGTTGAAACGGATATTCGCAAATGATGCTATTGCACTTGGTCCAATCCGTGCAGAAATCCAGACAATGGTATGCATGAATGTGTTCCAAAACATATTAAGCGACACCCTAGCATCATCTTTACGCTGACACGGATTGTAGAAAATGGTTAGCAATCATAAGCGTTGTGTTTCGTATTACGGATCAGAATTTTTCAGGACGAGAAACAACACGTTCGAAGTGCTCGTTCTGTTGGAATACTGTGCCGGTGGAGGACTTATTGATTTCATGAATACCCGTCTCCAGACGAGATTAACGGAGAATGAAATTCTTAAGATTGCAAGCGATGTCACCGAATCGGTCGCAGCAATGCATTACCTTAATCCTCCACTTATTCATAGGGATTTGAAGATTGAGAACGTTTTGCTTGACGCTCCCAACTCTTACAAGCTGTGCGACTTTGGTAGTGCCTGCCCGCCTATCCCGGGTGCAAAAACGCCTGAGGAAAGTCAAATCCTGCATCAAAATATGGAGAAATATACTACTTGGCAATATCGTTGCCCAGAAATGATTGACACTAGCCATGGAATTGGCATCGATGAAAAAAGTGGTAAGCTATCGTGCGGGTTCACTTGCGAAATATAGATTGGCCTTACTAACTTACTCAAGATATCTGGGCACTTGGTGTCTTGTTCTATAAGCTGTGCTACTTTATCACTCCGTTTGAGCAGCAAGGACCCGTTGCAATCTTGAATGTTTCCTACTCCTTTCCGCAAACTCCTCCTTATTCAACACGGTTAAAGCGATTGATCTCCACTTTACTCAAACCACATCCATCCCAAAGACCCAATATTTATCAAACTCTTCACGAAATTTGCAGTTTACGTAACGTTCCGACACCCATAAGGGATATATATAATGGAAAAAATAAGTCTTACTATAACCCCTCTGGTTCCGAGTATCTGATGAAGTTGAATCAACAAGAACGCGATGCTCACCTCAAAACGTCGGCTTCACATATGTCTCTTCCTGCGAAGTTCACCGCAACAGCAGGTACTCCAGTACCTGCTACTTTCATTCCTAGAGCAGTCAGCATGCCTTCTGCAGCTCCAAACGGTTTTGCTGCTGCAAAGCCTGCACCCGTTCTCGCTGCTAAGATTCCAATCCAGCAGAGTGTTGTGAAACCTATGCCACCGGTTCCCGCAAGGATTCCACAGACGAATGGCGGGCCAAACTTTTCTGCGGAAAGAAAGCCTGCCCCACCGCCTCAGCGCATTGTTAAAAAGACTTCTTACATTTCACTTGCTGACAATGCTTTCTCTTCCGCTCAAGCTCCTCCTAGTCGGCCGGTTGTTCCCCTTCCACCGAAGCCTAAGATCGCGGCTACCGTAGCTCCACCTGTAATTCCCGCAAAGCCAGTGATTCAAGAACCCATACAATCGCCCGTTGAAGAGGACGAAGAACCTCCTCTGCCCATCTCTGCTCGAATTAGTCAATGGAACCAGACCGCCACTAAAGCACCTTCCCCAGCTGTCGTCAACAAGGTTTCAGAGCGAATTATTACACCGCAACCAGCACGCGTTCCTCCTGCTGTTCAGCCTAAACCAATACTTTCGGATGTGGGCTCTGAGTCAAAGAAATTTATACCTTCGGTATCTAGCAAATCGTCACCTGAGCCTTCTGCGTATCGAACGAAGAGTTACAGCCCGCTTAGTAACTCTTCTGTATCTTCAGTTCCTCGTGCTGTTTCCTCTGTACCCGTTTCCGCCGTAAGAACGGGCAGTTCTACGAAAAGTTCTCTTATCCAAGAACGAATTAAATCACTCATGGCCCCCAAAGAAAAAGAAAAGGTACCTGTTGAAGGGTATGGCAAGTACACAGATGTCTTAAGTGATCAGAAATAAGTTAGACAATGGACTTTCTCCTACTTTCTCTTTACTGTTACTATTTTTTGGTATAAAGTTTGACTTCAAAACGAAAGTCAATTTTGAAAGTTTTTTACAACAACTTTAGCATGTTCTATGCTATTTCCTTCCGGACTTCAATCTTTGTGTATAATTGCTTGCCTTAATTAAGCTATACTCATCGTTGATGTTTATGAAGTATCGTGTGAGCTTTTCTCAAATGACACTACTTGGGCTTGGCACCTATATAAGTTTAAATAGCACAACCATCATGGTCTTAGACAATCGGGTCAATGTCTCTTACGAAGCTGAAAGCTCGAACAGAAATTCGACTTTTAGACGCCGGCTGTTTAATAAGATTTCGTTAAAGAAAAGTGCTAAAAGAAAGGATACTGCCAATACCAAGCTCCCGGACGAGAACTGCTTAACGAACTGTGACACACACTACCAAGTCCCTCATTTAAAATTACGACTTTGGGAACCCAGGACAGCTGAAGATACTTACAACGCAATGTCCAAGATGAAGCCACATCTCTCACGGAAGCAAGCATATTTAGACAGTCTTTTAAAGGTTCCAGAGCAGACAGATGATCACGTTCGACTTTCTTTAACAGTAACACAAAAGCCTCTTAAAAATGGAGAACTTGTCCATGGTTATATATCATTCTCTCTTTCAGCAAGCGTTCCTTTCTTTCTTCAAGCAATAAATTTAGACTTCTATGGACAAGCACAACTTCACAAGGAGAAGTCATTTATTTTTCTCTCGTGCAGTCAAAACTTTATTCGAAGTAATGATGCCAATTTACCGGTGGAGCTTTTAGAGTATGCACAAAACATAACTGAACATGGCGTATATATGAAAACTCCATGCAATGTTAATATACCGTTCACTTTCAAGATACCGGAAGAAGTTGGCCCCGGAACTTTTCAGTACAATGTCGTGAACATTTCGTACGCCTTCTCAGCGTAAGTACATCGCTCCCATGGGATGCCTATTAACTTATTTAGTTCACTCGTTTGGACACAATTAGGCGATAAGGAACATTTTGTAAGGTTGACTTATCCGAAACGGGTTGTTCCACGGGTGGATTCTGATATCGTTTGCGCTTCGAACACCATTGTTTGTGAGGCCCCAGAGTCTTCTTCGGAAAAACGTAGACTGACACTGATCAGAGCGAGTATCCCTCGTTCAGTTTTCACTTGCGCTCAGAGTGTTCCGGTAACGGTCTACATAAACAATAGCTGTCACCAAAAGGTTTGGAATTGAAACGATTTTGATCAATTAGTAACTAACTTTGTGAAAGGTTCATCATCTAAAAGTTGAATTATTAGAAACGGTAGCAATTTCGACTACGACAAAAGCACCAAAGAACTACAGCGAAGAACGTAATGGCAATGTATCTCAAACATTAAAAACGAAAACACTTTCCAGTGTAACCATTCACTGTGGGCACGACAATCAAGTTCTCATCAAGGAGACGGGAACATGCTTCTCCTTGGAGATCCCGTTTCACTGTCGGAGCATTGAATTCAAAAATCGGTTCGCACTTGCGTACTCGCTTAAAATTACGGCTCGAACAAGGCTACGACAGAGGTATTTAAGACCAATGCAAACGTGATACACACGTGCTTCATATTACTTTCATTACTAACGAAACAGACTCGCTTCTGTTCGATTTCCTTTAACCATCTTGGGCGAACCCGTGGAAGAAGCCGATTTTAATACTGAATCCGAGAACCCGATGATTTCCGATCCCCCTACCCTCTAGACAGAACTAGGGTAGTTGACCTTAAGTCATGCGTTCGCCTGTTTACGCTTTGAGACATAGACTTAACCATCAGTCAATGACATGCATAGTATCTTTCTTCAAGTAATATATCTAAGAGTTCTCATGAAAATGGTATTGATGCGCAAATGTATAGGTCTTATTTTCACTAGAAAGGAGAAGCTAGGCAAAAATACAACATCATCGTTGACGTGAGAGGCAAAATTATCAAGCATCATACATCGACCAAAATCCTATTATACAGGTTTAAAATCTTCAAGTGCATTGGAGCAATGCACAACAAACACGTCTTAATGAAAGTGACAAAATAGCCGCAACAGCATAAATTGATGATAATAATAAATGGATCCTCAGTACCATGAATCCAGTGGTTGAATAATGCTTATAAGAAAAAAATTACCAGAGCCATGCCGTGTTTAGCTACGGTGTTTTGAGAAAAGTCTTCTAAAGAAACCAGCCCTTTTAGGTTTCAAGCTTCCATTGCCGGAAGAAAGGGGAAGAGATGTTTCAGATTGGGTATAGGATGGATAAGGAGTGGTATTCAAGACAGACTTTCGTTGTAGATTAGACTGAGGAGGACGTGGAGGCGGCGGTCTTCTCTTTCTTTCATAGTTCTCGTTATTTGAATATGATGAATTAGCGGGTTTCGGAGTCCTTTCGGTTACAGGTTCATTGTCAGTTTCGTCTCTATTAGATATAGGTACCAGAGGCGAGCGAGACGGTTCGTTGCGGTAAGGCTTCCAAGAGGCTGAAGCTGACTTGTTCCGATAATTAAGAGGAAGGGTCGTTGATCTGGACAAGGAAGGTCCCCGGGACAAGCCAAGTTTCTTTGCAATGGACTTTTTACGGGACAAGTTTGCCTTCTCAATGGCAAGCATCTCCTCGTTTCGGGCGATAGCATTCTTCGATGCGGGAGCACCCTCAATACGAGTGGAATCGGTCAAGGCACTTCCCGCCGGAGTTATAATAAAATCTTCTTCGAAAGCATCACTGCCCAGCGGTTGCTGCAGTATGTTTTTCGTTTTAAGCTGTTCAGCAACCGACATCCGGTGAAAATTCTGTTTATGTTTAGGGTCATTGAATCCAGTACCGGGAGGTTGAATGCTGTTAGCAACACTATCTTCAGGGAATGCAGCCACTGGTGCCTTGGAGGTGTTGACATTTCTATGAGGCCGACACGCATCAAAAGGTCCATCATGATGAAAGCTCCCGGCTCCGTATAAACCCGTAACATCCAAACGATCAATTTGATCCAAAGGATTGTTGCTTCTTCTCTTTGCCTGAGTCGACGACGTTTCACGCACAGTCTTGTTTCGGCGCAATGTTGAGGATCCATTGCCTGGAGACTTCAAATCCGGAGTGGAAGAGCGAGAAATGAGAGAGTTTCGACTGCCTGCCGAAAGATGATTACTACTATGTGTACGTTGAAGACGTCTTTGAGGATGAGCAGGTGGATCCTTTGGTGGACTGTAACTGGGCAAAGGCTCCAATGGTTCGTAACTATTGGCAGAGATATTAGCCTTGTCGATCGATGATCGCGGCCTCGGAGGCAAGGCTTTTGCCTTTTCTATCTGAGGAGAGGGAGAAGAAGCTGCCGGTGTTCTTGCTACGTCTACTGGGTTTCCAGTGTTCGTCGTGTTAAAGTTCCCAAACTAGTTACGTGTTAGTACATCGTCACATGGCGAAACGAGCTAAGGGTGAAAGAGAGATATGTGCGAACCAGCAAACATGGACGTCCCGTGAGTTTTTGCAGACTGACTCAAAGTAGCAGAGAACAACTCTTACAGATGATTTCTGTCTAAGCCTCAAGATACTTGCTCACTATAACTCGGCGTTTACTTACCAATTGATCTGCCATAGAGTCCACTAGAGGATCCGAATTTCGATTAAATTGTGGTGACAAGAACGGATTCGTCATAATCCGGCGTCTCTGTTCCTCTGGGTCTAAGTCAGATGGACCATTATTAAATCCTGGGCCACTGGATTGATAGCCCATATTGTCCCCGTAGGACGTAAACGGGTCATTAGAATGAGACATCCGACAGCTCCAAAACTAGTTTAAGTACAAAGCAAAGATTCAGCTTTAGTGACGCCTTCCAATTGTTTCGTACGGCCAAAAAACAGACTTAAAACGGTTGTTGGATGGCTGTCGACGGACGTGGAGGCACTGTACTTGGGGATTGCACGGTGGAGTCTCCCTTGTGTAGTTTACCCTACCCTAATAAAGGATGATAGAGATAACCACATACAGCGGAAGGAACAATAGGCTGGATATAGTCAGGCGTTTGTGACCTCTGTAGGGGTTTAAGATATAGAATCGATATCAGATAACTTTATTCGTGGAATGTAGCCACTTAGTAAATAGGCGTATTTAGGGAATACAAAACAACGGTGCTCGTTTGTCAGCAATGTACTTCACGTGGATGTAGTCTAAGGATGAGTAGAAAGGAGAAAAGATACATGAAATTTGTTAATAGAATACATAGATCCAAAAGACACAATTACTTGTGAAATTCCAAACAAGAATGGCATAGTTGAAAAACCATTCCCACCTGGAATCCTAGAAATTTCTGCTGTGAATAATATATCCAGAAGGTGCTGAGGCACATTTGTCCTGGGTGATAGAGCAGAGTACTAGCACAAAATATACAGCGCTGCAATTAAAGAGATTCCTATGATCATGGAGATCCAGAACGCAACGTTTCCAATGACGCGTTGACGGAAAAAGGAGTTCCGTTGAATCATTATATACGGAATCTGAGTCATTTGAAAGAAGAGTTGGTAACCGCGAATCTTCTTTGTGATGCAAAACATAATGGTCTCATGGAGAATCGAAGATAAGAAAAAAGTTATAACGGTAGCATTCAACTTTGATGTTATGCTTGCTACAGGAAGATACACATGTCGGAGCAGAAAATAATGTACAGGTTTGTTCCACGTGCGAGCAAACTGATCCCAAGTATAAGAGTTCCACCAATCTAGAAAGAATCGCGAGGTTAGAAAACAATACTGGTTAGTTTACTAATAAATACTTACCATCATAAAAGTTTCTATCAGCGAAACGAGTAAGTTCGGCAGCAAAATTACAAACACCGTCGAATATGACATAAAATACTGATGATAGTTAGTCGAAAGAACAAAGACTAGGAACCTTTTTGCACTTACCAAGGAGGAAAGAAATCGTAAATGGAAACATGAGATACGTAACAGTTTTGCTGAAAGAAAGGTATAAGGAGAGGAAACTGGATTCGCGTGCCTGATGCAACTGTACAATTGCCTTGCGAAGGATAGGTACAATGTAGTTCTCTGAGATTAACGTAAGCAGAAAGATACAGCCGAACGTGGCCGCTGCACGTTCCAACAAATACCAAACACGGACACGCGAGGTGCGGGGGTAATACAATTGATAACATAAAGTGGGCATGAATAGAAACTCTACAGCGTTCTTGAAGGTGAGATTGAAGGGATAGCGAACGCCGTGCTCCAGAAGCTCGAATTCAGCCTGCTTGAGTTGTTCTTCCTCCGCGGGAGAAAGCGACTCCTTTTGTTTTAGAGTGATATTCACTTGGTAAAGATGTGAATACCAACCATTACATATATTGTAAGAGACGAGCTTCATCAACATCATCACGCTGTGCAGGATGAAGAAGGCGCGATGCGTCCATGGCCAGTCGCTGAGCAAGCAACGAGCCATGGCAGACAGGAGAAAGATGCCTAGTGCAGTGTAAAAAAGCACTGCACCTGTTTGATACCATTGAATAACACCTGCGGCCAACAATTTTTGAAATGGGTAAGAAAAAAAGTAAGTAGAGACCATTGTCAAGTCGGCTAATACAAGATCAAGCAGGTTGGTACGGAAAAACTGAAATACAGAGCCTCCAAATACTCTGCCCGTTTGCTCAACATTGTCGAGCGCACTGATTATAATAATAACGGCTACGCCGACCCAGAAAAGTACGAAAAAACCACTGAAGTCAACATTGCTTCGGCTGTGTTCCCGATCAAGAATTGTGGGTGTCGGGGTAAGTTGCAATGAACGGTAAAAACGGCGCTGTTTCTTGGTTCCTTTCAGTTTATTCACTTCATGAGTTCCGGGAAACTCTTTCGTCTTCGAGTATTCGTTTCGTTCATTTTCTGAAGCGGGAATTGCAGAAATCATGGCGATAAATTCGATGTAAAGGAAGAATTACGTATCAAGAATCGGGTTTCACCGTCAATTGTATTGTTTAAAACACAATAGTAAGCAGCAAAATTGAAGAATCCCGCTGTAGTTGTAAAGTTACAATCGTAAGAGAGGCTGAAATCACAGAGGACACCAATTGTTTTTGGACAGTGTATGCAAAGTGTAGTATAACCAGTTCACGATAACGTTATAATGAAGGCACAAAGTGTCAGGTATTGCGCAACCTTACTAAAACAATAAGCAGAAGGGATTAGAAGAGTGCCTTTAGAGACGAGAGACTGTTACAGAAACAGAATTGGCAACGAAGAGCACGAACAAGATGTTGTTTTGTTAAACTATTTAACCCTTGTAAAGTCAACACTAAATATGCCGCTAAAGTCCTTAAAAAAAAAGGAATTTCAACCGAAAAAAAATAGACAGAAGAAGACGCACAAATGGAATATGAAATATGTTTTCTTCAAACAAGTTCACAGTGTAATGCTTTGGTGTTTTTGGCAGAAAAATCCCAGCTATACAGTACGGTGCAGTGACGGAAGATGTGTCGGTACTTTTCATTGCCGAACAAGCGAAACTCACTGCGATCGGCAAATCACAGACTTAGTGCGAACTTAATTAACACGCGTAACGCGTTGTAAACAAATACGTAAGGTGAGATACGAAAGAAAGCAAGGAAGCACCAGAATGCCCATACTACAGCATGGAATCGTGTGTAACACGATGAATTCTATCCAACTACATCTTCTACAATGCACTGTTCAACTTGTTCGTGTTAGATGTGAGAATTCATTTCCATTCATTATTCAGTCAAGACAGATGAAACTAAAAGTTTCAAACTACAAAAAGATTTGACGATTCCAAATTTAAATGCTCGTTAAAAGACAGGACCATTAGTCATCAGCTTAGTTAAAAGATCGAAAGTAGGGCATCATTGCCAGTGTACCACGCATGCAGCGCCATTAATGACTGTGAAGCGGCGCTTAGGGATGGATGTCCTGGACGTGAGCATGGTGACGGGAAGGAGGAACAATGAACTTTTCGGTCCAATTGTTCACTTGGCGCCATTTCTTAGAATAGGCGTCAGCGGCGCGAATTGCGTCGGCAATGTCGCCAGGCGAGAACTTCTTCGACATGTTGTGAATAGTCTCGTCAGGTTTCAACGCGGCTTCGCCGACCTTTAACAAGTCTTCGTCAGAGATGTCTTCAAGTCCAAGCTCCTCAAGCGTAATGGGAAGATGGCATTCGGCCATAAAGGAAACAATGTCGAAGTATTCCTCCAGTGTCCGGTTCTCCAGCACAAGTTGAACAAGAGTACCGTAAGCAACCTTTTCGCCGTGCATCAATTGATGGATGGGGCCACCAAGAACGGTAAGACCGTTATGCACTGCGTGAGCGGCAGCCAAACCAGCGTTTTCAAAGCCCAGACCAGATAAAAGGGTGTTTGCCTCTACAGTAGCCTCAAACGCATCAGTACATGCGTGACGGATGTTCGAGAGAATGCCCTGTACAGCATACTTCCGCAGAGAGTCCATACATGCGCGACCGATGTATGCGGCCACAATGGTTGGAGTGCCACCGGCAGCCGAGGTTGCATGGGAATTGATGACACTTTCAGCTTCAATCCAGGTAGCCAAAGCATCACCAACACCGCTAATAAGGAAACGAACAGGAGCCTGAACAATCACCTTGGTGTCAACCATGACCATATTCGGGTTCAAAGGATAGTACGAATACCGTTGGAATTGTCCATCGGGAGTGTAGATGACAGAAAGAGATGAGGTAGCAGCGTCGGAAGAAGCGGTTGAGGGGGCGATGACACAGGGAAGGTGCAATTTGTTGGCAACATACTTAGCGGTATCCATAGTCTTACCTCCGCCAACACCGATGATCAGCTCGGTGCCGCTTTCAGCAAGCGTGCAAATACGTTCCAATTCAGCCTCACTGGCTTCACCTCCGAATGTCACATCGGTGACTCTGAGACCGTGCTTGACGAGGGATTGCTTGACCTTGTTGGCGCCAATTTCCCAAACCCGTTCATCTGCGATAATCATTGCGCTCTCAGTGGCCCAATGGCGGACATACGTGTATGCACGCTCAAACACACCGGGGCCCTGAACATACTTTTGAATGGAAGTGTACACACGCTCAAGGTGTTGCTTCGTAACAAGCGCTTCCTCGTCCAAGGATTGGTCAACTTCAGAAGTAAGAGGTGCCATTGATAATTAGGGAGAGGTTGAAATAAGGAAAAAAGGAAAGAGAGAGAGAGAGAGAAAATAAGAAAAACCGTAAAAATGGGTTTTCAAAATTGAGTTTTTACCAAATTGTTGTCTCGATAAAAACTAATCACAAAAGGTCAATTAGTAGCAATAGACACTCTGTGATGAATAAAATGAATTGAAGTGTGAAGATTGATGCACGCTTCAAAAGAATGAAAAGTTAAAAGGATTGAGTCTTTACTGTAACTCAAAAGGCGTAAATTGTAAAAGTCGAATACTGATGAACAGAGCGTCCGCCCAGTGCCCTTTTAACTGTGTACAGTAGCGACATTATGTCACGAAAGCATCACGGACCGTTGAAGGAAAGCGGGGATCGGTTGCAACATGTTTAGGATGTGCGGAGTCCTGACGCGGGTGTTAGGGAAGTGACAGGGGTGAAGACAACAAGGGTGGAGTATACCGAGTATAATCGTATGGAACAGAGGGGAAGTCCAAGCTGACGAACTGGTTTGCTGCGGATTGCTGGTATGCGTTGCGGCTCAATGAGAAGGGCGGGGGATTAACAAAGTCTGGCCGACGTATTTGTGAGAAGGCTCACACTGAAACGCGGAGAAGCGGCGCACTATTAGAAGAAAAGAGGAGCACATGGGCACCAGAGAACGCGGGGTATGGTTTGGCTAAAAGGCTTGCATAAGGCGAATTTGTTTGAGGGAAAATTGGTAACTGAATCGGTGAAAACATAAGCGAGAATCGAGTATGTATCGACTCAGCCGCTACACGCGATGGCTGTGGAAGTGATATTTGTTCAGCATGGTTGCCGTCTGCTTCAATTGGTGTCAGGTTGTTGCTCCTCAAGGAGAGAAAGCGCCGAGCGAAGGTGCGATATAGCAGTTTCAATATCGTCGTAGTCGAGAGCGCTGTACGCGAATTTGGAATGACGACGAGCTTGATCTATACGCTCAGTCATGGCCAAACTCACTTTATGACGAGTATTCTCCGTATTCGTAGGTGTGGTCGATGCAACGTGAGCGACAGGATGTGATACTGCAGCAGGAACGGAATGAATTGGTGAAGATGATGTTGTTTCACTAGGCTGATGTGAAGATTCCAAGTTGGCGGGTTTTTCACCCGCTTCAGGCAGATCCGCAGTTGGACTTATCCTGTCCCTTTCCGATGATGGGCGCGATGTATTGAAATGGGGTGCTCCATTTGTCGTCGATCTTTGGGTATCTTCCTCATTAAGTTGAACGGATGCATCCTTGTGCTCAGTGGGTTGTAAGGCTTTAACATTATCTGTGTCATCCCTCACTGCAGCTGTTTTTCCTTTGACTAACTGCAGTATCCGCACTTTGCACAGTTTTAACGACTTTTGAAGCTGCCGTATCGTTAGTATGTCTCATTTCCAGATTGCATAATACACACCTGTTCATCAAGAGGGCCCCAGACTTCATTTAAGGAAATGAAGTCCTTTGCTGCAAGGTATATTGAGACGTCTGGTTTTCCGGCTTTGGTGTTTCGTTCAGCACGTACAAGCGTTTGAAGAGCAAAAGCTTTTACATACGCAGAAGCGCTATCGTCATTTTTGACATTTTCATTCTCATCAAGTTCAGCTCGTAACTAATCGTAAACAGAATCTGTTAGCTTTCGTGGATCTGTAAACGAACAGGACCTGTCATTGACAGGCAACAGGACCATACACTTTCGCACGTTTCCATCAAATGAAGTATGTAAGGTCTACATTCATCCGACAATCCAGAAGAGTTCTTAAGCACTAGTGAAAGAGACCAATAAAGACCTTGAATTCCATGTCAGAGTTTTATTTACTGTAATAGAATAATTGTGCTCTTACACCAGTATCCTATGGCGGGTTCAAATTCGTGTATTTCGCTCCATCGTTGAACAAACGGACGTAATTTGCTTAATTCATCGGGTACATCAAGTAAATCCATGAAAAAAAAATGTGTAACTACAAAAATACAGAAATTAGCTGCAAAAAGCGGTGGAGGGGAGATGGATACTCGAATTGTCGCATCCCATTTTAAGGTTTGCGGTACGCGTTCACGACCATTCCATCATCACCCTCACCAACATATTTATAACTGCTGTTTTAACAAAAAAATAGGACTCTACTCTATTGTTACTTCGGCTTCTTTATTTCCCGCTCTTTCTTATTCTCTTAAATTCCGTTTCTTTATTTTAAAATTCTCAAAAGCATTTGTTCTCAAAGTTGTAAGATAAATCGGCTGTACACGACAAACTGCTACAGATTTCACTAGCAATAATTATTTTCAGACAAAATCACAAAAATATGAGAATCTTTTCCTCGGTTTTTTGGCTGGCCTTGGTAATACCAGCTCTCGCCCTTTTTTCTTCATCGAGCCCGGTCATTCAATTGAACGACAAGACTTTTGAAAAGTCAATCGCAACATCACCGGCAACGCTTGTTCTATTCTATGCACCATGGTGTGGTTATTGTCAAAAATTTGCCCCTACTTATGAGAAGCTTGCAACCAGATTGAAAAGCATTATTCCTGTAGTCGCCGTGGACTGTAATGAAGAAAGTAATAAACAACTGTGTTCTCGTTTTGAAGTCACTGGATTTCCTACGGTGAAGATGGTCACTTTTGCCGACCGATTTGATCAGAGCTTGATGAACATTGAGCCTCGTATCCATAGTTACAATGGTGCTCGGGACTTTGCTTCTTTGAAAAAGTTTGTTGCAAAGAATCTTCCTCATCGCATTCGTCGAATTACTAGTGTCGAACAACTGGACGACTTTATTTCGAGCAAGGATTACCTGTACTCTGTCATTCTCGTTTCCGAGAAACCCAAGGCCTCTATGATGTACAAGTCTCTATCTAATTACTTCCCAAGTGTTCAGTTCGCACAAGCCCGTTTGTCTGACAAACTCCCCTTGAGTCATTTCCCTGATATTACAGCTTCATCTAAAAGCAACTCTACCTTATTATTCTACAACCCTGCTACCGAATCGTATATTCCATATGAGGGCCCTAATGATTTCTTGAGCATTCGTGATTTTGTTGACACAAACACGAAGAATGTGTGTCCTTTGAACTACTTGCAATTTGTTTGCAAAAAGAACCGCTGCCTGGTGGGATTCTTCGACAGAGAGAAACACGATGCCGACGATTATTTCAACAAATTCATTCGTCTGAACGTGCCTGGATTCATGTCTGTTCCCTTGGATAAGTCGTATACTAGCGTACAAAAACTTCTTTCTTCACTTACATCTGAACCCAACGTGGACACAGTTATGTTTGACTGGAAACATAGTCAATATGCTTTGAAACCAGTGGACTCAACGCTCCAAGCTTGGGTTACCGACATTAAGCTCGGTGATTTCCGTGACTATCATCACTTTGATTACGACGCTCTTATGGAAGAAACATGCCGGAAGACTCAAAGCCAAGAAAATGAGAATGATGACGATGTAAATGACGAACTTTAGGAGAACTGGAGATAAAAGCAATTAAGCATTCCGTGACTCTCGTGACTTTTATCTTGTAGTGTATTCTGAATAAAAACTCGGCTTTTTTTAATTGTGATACGAAGAGAAGGTACTTAATTTATAAACACAAGCGTTCGTTATATGAGTATACATTTCATAGTCATTTGATTTTTAATTATTTTATTAATTAATTAACCTACTAACACATGATTTATGCAATTACCCTTATTTTTGCTGCCGCAATATTCAGTGGTTTTTAGTGTCAACATCTAAACTTTTGATGTAGTCATTGACATCATTGGCAAGAGCTTTAACCTGATTGTCAAGCTTTGTATCGTTCTCCTCATTAACATTTGTTTTATCCATACGGGCATTATCCGATGATGATTCGTTGGATGATATTGTTTTGTCCGTTTTCACTTGACCATTTTTTAGTGACTTCTTAATTTCCTCCTCCTCAGCAGCGGCCGCTCTTCGGGCTTCTTTTCGTTCTTCTTTACCCTTGTTCAGTGAGCCGATTTCGCCTGTCACCCTTGAGTGCATTTCTGCGACCCTAGCTTTAAGGCGAGCAATGCGTTCCTGCTTCGCTTGCTCTTTGCGTTCAGCAATGACATCAATTAGCGTTTGAGATTCGGAAACTTCAGGTGCCTTGGTTATATTTGTTTCAACTCGCTTTAAAGCCACTCCAAAGCCTGTGTTTCGGGTCGGTTTCTTAGTATTAGATTTCGAATTTAGTTCGGTTTCCACCGGTTTTGATACCGGCTTTAAGGTTGTCTTCAGCTCGTTGACAGGAATGGGTGCAGTTGAAGAGGTATCAGTTTCGTTTTTCCTAGAATTTATAGTCTGTTTTAGTTGCACGAATAATGCATTTCTCTTCTCACCAATGTTAACGACTTCCTGTGTGGTTAAATCCCTTTTATATTCACCAGCTGAGTGCTTGTCCATTTCTTTCAATGTAGATTCCACTATATTTGATTGGTGAGTAGATGATTTCACAACACTCCTTGGTTCCGAAATCCTCTTTCTTGGGTGTGCAGCAATTTCAGCATCATCTTTGTGGACTTCCTCTCGCAGGCGGGCAACTCTTTGCTTAATTGCCGCTAGCTTTACAGCTCGTTCTTTGTCCACAGGTTCTTCAGCAGGTTTCGTCTCCGTCTCCATCACCGATTCTGCGGATACCGTTTGCGAAGGTAATCTTGACACATCGCCGATGATAAGTTTAACCGTGTTATCGTTACTGTTTTCTTTCTTATGAGATATATCTCTTTTCAAACATTTCGGTCGTGGCCTTTTAGCGTCACTTGAAAGTAAAGCACGCTTTAACTGTCGGAATAAGACTCTGGTTGATTTATCAGGGCTTGCTGAAACAAGTCCAGCCTTTGGAGACGATGGACTTTGACTCCCTGTGGTCATGCTCGTAGTCTCTGGTACAAGTGATCGATTAAAAAAATATCCACTCTGAGGAACTCCAGGATTCAAGAAATTTAAGGACGGGACCATAACGTAATTTGGTTGCAATGGTGTCTGTCCAGTCGTGAAAAGCCTCGTAAGTATACTTTCAAAAATACTTGTAGAGTTACAATCGGGCTTGGACTTTTTGCTCGATTTCTTCTTCTCGAGAAGAACGAAACTTGCCGCTCCGGCAGAAAATCTTGCGGCGACAGAATATCTCTTAGGTAAAACTGCTTTAAGAGATTCTTTCTTTTTATGCTTGCGGTTTTTGGGCTTCTCGACGGTTTCGCCAGAAGGAAGATTACCTTGCTTTTGACAATTGCAGCATTGCGATTCATTGGATGAGAAACTCTTAGTGAATAGCGAAGACACGTTTATAATGGCTTGACTTCTAATCGAAGAAGCGATGTCTTTCCATGGATTAGACACGGCTTGTTCTTCCTCAGCAAAAATACCAAGGGTAAATAAATCAAAGTCGAGCATCTTAGCAGATGTTTCTAACCCTGACCTTGTTTGTGTAACTCTTATATGCGTATGCTTATGCGTATGAATGTGAGTATAAAAGTGTTGTTAAAAAGTCGGGTATTGCCTTTCTTGTTTAACGGTGTTTGCGAAACAAAAAATGTATAAATGAAAACGCTTTTGAAATTGGTTTTAGTTAACAGAAATTCACAGAATTCTCCTATTTATAGGAAAATATTGATTGTTTACAGCTTAATGTAAACAAACTTATCCCCGCTTAATAGCATCATTAAGTAAACAAACGATGATGTAAATTTGCGGACGTCTCAATCCATTCCTCTAAATAAATTAAGTGATTATATTGTTGTCATACCCTGTCTAAGGTGCGGATGGTTTTTTGCCATTTCGAATTTGTGGAAGAAGATCATATACTTTAAGCTTGTTATAATCGGAGCGAAGCTTTATCATATCGTGCATAACGAAATCAGAGTTCATCGCTGCTCTCAATTCACCTATTGTAGCAGAAAGCAGATCCGCGCTGATTTGGTTAATAAAATGAAAAATAGGACTCCAAACTTACTCAACAATTAAGATACTCGAAAGACTCATTATTTTGTTCATAGTTGAGATAACATGTGGCACACCCCATTGCTTTAACTCCATATTTATAGCATTGAGGTCCCTTAAATTGGTTAATAAACAGAAATGATTAGTATGCGTACCTCTGTAAAACAATTGCACCAGTTTGATTGACCGGTGGACGCAAGAAAAACTTATCAAGCATTGCCATAATAGCGGAGCAGAGTTCCCTTCTGAATTCAAGCAAGTAATTGGCGTCTTTCAAAAACATGTTCACAGTACTGTAGATATAATGAATATAAGAAACGATCATTTCTGGTAACTCAATTCGGTAAGTGTCAATACGATCAGCAAATCTTTCCTGCACCATGTAAGGTGTTTCATAGTAAGGTGAGAGCATAGTTCGAATGCACTGGCATGTAGCATTCACCGTCAGGTTAAGACAAACATTGATGTCTTTTTCAATTGATTTGAGAGTTTTTAGTAAAAGAGAGGTAATTTCTCTGCGGCAAGTCAAGGACGCATGAGACATTGGTAGTACAACATTTGTTATGTATGCTGAAAGCAGAGTAGTGATATGGTTTGCTTCTCTAAAATTTGACAAATAGTCCAAGCTAAGTTTTTGACTGTATTCCTGTCGTTTTAGAGTTTTCTTAAGTGTTTCGAAATACCGCTTTGTATAATTGCTATCAAGAGTTTGAAGAAGGAATGAAACAATACTAATTGTGGCCGACGAAAGATCATCCGAAGAAAAGAATAGAACAGCCCGACTAAGAGATTCTGAGTGCCAACGAAGTATAACTTCGGCTTTAGAAAGTTCCAAGGATCCATTGTTCTCGGAGAAAGTAATTTGGCCATTTGTATCCGTTTCCATATTTAATGGATCTCTATCGAATCCGGCTAGTTTCAACAAGGAATGGTAACGCTCGGTGGAATGAGCTCTGCTCAACCCATTTGCCTTTGAAGCGTGAAATTGTTTGAACAATCTGTCAATTGTAGAGCCGTCCAAGGCTTCTTTTCTTGTGTGTATGGTATCAAACTTGAACAGTAGGACAGACATTAGGGTTTTCAAGGAATAGCGTTCATGCCGGATAAATTTATCAACAGTTAGGTAGGGAACCAATAAATCGTCTCTGTTTTGTTGCAGCATCGTGACAAGAGGAGATGTCTCAGAAACATCGAAACTTCGTTGACGAAGAATATTCTTCACTTCGGAAATGAATTTATTAATTGCAACAACAAAGAGTTGGAGAAATCTGAGACAAGTCAAGTCTGACACGCTGTCAGCGTGGTCGAACAATTGTTCGAATCGTAATTGAATAGACTGTCCAAAAATTCGTTGCAAAAATGTTTGCATAACAGGTTCCGGATTAGGGAATACACGTCGAATAACGGCGCTGTCCGTGCGGATAACTTGACACATTTCATCAAACATCGAGTCAAGCATTGGACATTCTTTCTCGACAGGCAATTCTGGATTAGCGAGCTTATTCCACAATGGGTCATCTTCCATTTGTTTATCAAAACTCATTTTTTCAGTGTTGATGAAGAATTCATGCTGATTCACATATTCTCGGATAACAGAGGAGCCACCATTGAATTCGTGAAGAATAGATGCAAAGGAGGCCATTCCTTTCCAATTCGGTTTTCGATACTCGTTATTAAATAATTTAAGAAAACTGGTTTCCAAAAACTCTGAGAAACGTTCTATATTTTTTCGTGTTTCCTCAGCTCCAGGCAAATCAACTTCACCGGCGAAGCTGAGCAGCTGTCTCGTTCTCTGTGCACACAAAAGCATTTGGTCGTGTTTGTTAGAGCTGAAATAGCCCTTCAGAGTTGGAGAAGTTCCTTCACGAAACTCGAGATAACATTGGAATAAAGAAGAGGATGTCAGAATACGTTTTCTGTGATTTTCAAAATGCTCAAGTTCATGGCCAACGCCGACCAAATCTGCCTTCATCCCAGAAACAGTAGAATCTAGGGAATGGAAGATACCGTCGACCTTGTTGAATTGGTTCTTCATTTCCTGTGATTTCTCTGTATACTCATTCTGCACAGCTTTCGAAGCGTTTGTGTGTTTTTGAATTTTGTGATGAATGAGCTTTTGCAGTCTCTCTATTTCAGAGATTCCAAATTCTAAGACATCAAGCGGCTTTTCCGTGGATATACCTTGCAAGGTTAGAGATGAAGTTGGCGCAAGAGAGCATTGAGATTAAACCATACACTCATTCCGTGTTGTCCGAACGTGTTGACATAAAGGATTTGTGAACTTCTCCGTAAATTTCTCTGGAGATAGGTCGATCTGTATGAATATGACATTAGCAGTTATTTAAGCAATAAACCGTTTGTAGATACGTACATCTTGCTCTAAATCAGCAAGTAACTCCCTCTGTTCGCTGGCTAACACATATTTGTTAGCCATTCTCTCTTACAATAAACGACTTTTCAATGCGTTTATAAATTTCTATTCCCGCACACAGAATTACAGCTTGGAAGAGGGAATCAAAGCCAGGAGCGAAAAAGTGAACGGTACTTGGCAAAACGAGCTACGCGGTATGGAGTTTCCTGCAATGGTCGACTCTTTCCACGTCATAGATAAAATAAGCAGTTCGAGTGGGGCACATTCGTTCGGCTTGATTATTAAACTTTCGCTTAAAAAGGCTAATTTATAAACAGAATCTCCGAGGGAAGAAATCAAAGAAATGACTTACATGAAAGCATAATCATTAATACATTAGCGTCTTTTGTAACTTATAAAATCGTAAAGCTATTCATACTGTTTATCACAGTCGATAATTCAAAATTACACCATATCAAAAATAGAGGACCTTAGCAACAACATAACAATCGTAGAAGTGTACATCTTTAGGAAGAGTTCCCGTTAGAATCATCTGAAAATTCAGCCTCAATGTCAGAATCGCTAAGAACTGATTTCTCAACCAGATGATGCCGCCTGTTTTTGCGAATAATTACCGGCTCCTTTTTAAAGCTTAGGAGTGTTGTTTGTAGCGGTACAATGTTACCTTCTTGCCTTTTTTTTTTCCGTAACATTACTTGTTTGCGAGCAGCTGTACCAAGCGCATTTTCTTTGGCGAAAGACCTACTCTGTCTCTCGTCTTCGGGTGCGACATGACCAGTTTCGATTGCAGAAACTACTTTCTCAGCCAAGTCTTCGGGAAGGGCTGTAATACCGTCGAGGTTGTTCCATATGTCGCCGCCCATTCTGGCTTTCACATTTTTAAGTATTCTCGGTGTAACGCAGCCCCAGTGCTTCCAATTCCAACTCTGAAAGCGACCTGAGTCCACGAAGGTACCAAACCGCAAGGTTCCCTCTGGGATTTTAGCCCTGTAATGTATCAGTGAATGTGTTCATTGTATCCAATGAATGCAAACTTAAGCACAATTAAATTGTAAAATTTTCAAGCAAAGCTTTTTAACGTCATGAATGTTTGCTAAGGAACATTTCTCGTTCATTTTAAAACACTTACTTTTTGCACATGGATCCCTTGCAACCTGCGCGACTATTTGGTGCCAGTTCTTATCGTTAGACACTGTTGTAGATCTTTCGTTCACTAATATGAACGTCGTACTTGTCATACCTATCCGATAACCAGCTCCTCCTTGTTCCATATTCTTAGCTCACACTGCTGAGTCTGCACAGTAGGAATCAGTAGCTGTTCAACAATTTTCATTACGAATTCCACATACTCGGAACGTTACTACCTGTCACACATCTATTACGTTTATCATTTGTTCTTTTTTATCTATGCCTCAGGGGGCGTTTGGACTTACGAGATGACGTGAAGAAAGTTAGCTCCAATAAACGATAGAAATATGAAGATGTGTATTCTTATAAATGCGTTTTATTTACGCTTTGTTCTCTGTGCTAAGTAGCAAATGAAGAGAGAGATATTGTACTTCGCGTTACATCCAATTGTAATTGCTTAACAGAATATGCCGTTAGAGAGTATAGACATGCGAATTGCGATCTCTGTGTATACATTTTTACTAAATTTTAGAAAAATAGTAACATTCTCTTATTTATACAATTGCAATCATTACTTGATAACGGAGTTGTGTCACATATTTTGGTCTCTGATTCAGTAAAAAGGCAATTGCCTCGAGTAGGTGAAGAAAATCATCGTCCAATAAAATTCCCAGCCGAGTATTTGCGACACTAATTATCGGCTTGTTTCAGTGATGCGCAATTAAACATAAACAAGGGTTCTTTCATTCTTATACAATATATAACCAATTTTGTTATTCACCAATTCGGTATTGGATGGGAAGTGGGTTCTGGCGGTTCTCCGTTAGAACTGATGGGAGCTTGAACTTAAACCCTACGACTTAAAGTGAACACAAGCACGGGTATTTTTATCCACTTATTTAAACTGTATTGTTGTAGAATTGAAAGGTTCGTTGAGAGCGTAATAAATTTGGTTACTAAGTAATGCTTTTTCAAGATAAACGTTCACATATTCGTATGTATGGATATATGCAGTTTTAACTTTAATTACTTTAATTTTTTGTTTTACGACTTTGTGTAAATATCAAATTGACGATATGTAATGAATAATAATATGTGCTATATTGATCTTAAAGCGTGTTTGCTTTTGTACAAAAATAATATGTTTACAGAATTCCTATTATTCGACACTTCCATATCCAATGACGCCAACGTGAGGTAGAATATTCCACCAATATTTCAAACGCTGTGCAGTATAATATCATAAATTTAACCTCTTAAATTCCTAGAAAAAACAAAGGGTGCTCACCTATTTTACTGAATGGCTATTATAATTGCCGACAATCTTGTAAACAAAACAATTCGATTGCTGCACAACGAAAAACGCTTTCAGGTTCAAAATTGAAAATTCTTATAAAACTATTGCTCTGGTGTTGAACTACTATTACCAATAAAATAAACGTTGTTCAATGCTACACAATACTAAGTATCTGTTCTCTTGTATTTCTACCACTTTTCGGCTGCATAAGCACATTTCTTCCCTGTATTTACCGAATGATTTTCTAAGATCATTTCATTCAGGATTCCGTTCTTGTAAGAACGCCAACTTTTTGTTCAATTCCCTTCTTCGAGAACTTAATATTGATGTATCTTACTTAAAAGAACATCCCAACACACCCGACTTTTCTTCTCCTCCGCAAAAGCGGGTTACCTTAATAAATGCAGACAATGAACTTTCCAATGAAAAGTATGTAGGAACAGGAAACGAGAATCGGCCGCCAAAGTTTATTGAACCGCATCCGCCTTACCCAGTACATTGTGCCCCCGTTTTGGATGCTAAATTACTAAACAAGCCAAGCGCTCTAAAGAAAACTTACAACATAACAATAGATGTATCTCATTATCCGCTTCCTCAAGGAACAGAATGGCTCGTTGGCGGGACCATCGGCGTTATGGCACCTAATTCCGATATCTCTGTAACACGGCTTTTAACTGCACTGAACATTACCATGCAAGATGCTATTAAACCCTGCATTCTAATTACTAGCAGCGGCCGTTGGCCGTCTATGTGGGGAGAAAACAAACCTCGAGAAATTCGCACGAACATATACGAATTGTTACGATGGACTACTGATTTTCTATCGCAACCACCTTCTAAAGACTTGCTACAATTACTAGGGTTCTCTTCAAAGGACCCATTAGAACGCTTACTCATATCCCAACTCATGAAACGACCGAGCAACCTGTGTTACCCGAACACAAGTTCATACAACATTACCGTCCTTCAACTTTTAGAAATGTTTCCTCATTCCACGCCCTCAATTGACTATTTGTTGAGCGTATTACCGCAACTTATGCCAAGGTGGTATTCTATGTCTAATGATCCCAAGTTAACACCTGGCTCACTTGAGTTTGCCGTAACAGTACAAGAGTTTAAAGATCTTAACAACATATCCTATAAAGGAATTGGTTCCGGATTTCTGGAACGATTAGCCCAGATGGTAATGTCCGCAAAGCACAATGGTAAAGCAACATCAGAAAATGTGGTACTGTTACCAATGTATAGAGGCCTACAGCGCAACCAGTTTGCCTTAAATTTCAAGGATAAAGGTCCTATGATTCTTATTGGAGTAGGTGTTGGTATAGCACCGTTTCGAGGTTTTGTACAAAGACGATTGTCTAACCCATCAAACATGGGGAACATCTGGATATTTCAAGGATGTCGAGATCACACCAAGGATGAGCTATTTAGTGAAGATTTAAGAAACATCTCAATGAACAACCAGAAAGTCATAAAAATCTTGGCCGAGTCCAGAGTCGGCCGGAAAGAACATGTTCAAGATGCTCTGAAAAGAAATCCGGGAATCGTCTGGGACGTTATTAACGATAAGAATGGGCACATTTACCTTTGTGGTTCTGGTCATGGTCTTGTCAAAGATATTGAACAAGTACTGCTAGAAGTCACAATGAAGTATCTAAAATGCACCTTACAAGAAGCACAACAGGTAATGAAAGAATGGCAAACAACACCTCCTTTCAAATTTATCGAGGAGGTTTGGTAAAGGAATGCACAATGATATCGTAACTGTCATCCATTCATTACAGCGATTCAATTACGCGCTTTTTCCTCTTTTTGTGTGAAACCAATATTGTAAAAACTCTTCACGATCAGATAAACCAAGTTGAACTTGACGTACTCTTCCCAATTTTGCCAACTGCTCACTTACTTCTTTTGTGACATCCAGCGTGTTTCGAGGGATGATTGGTTCCGCGGAAAATCGAAGGCGAGTTTCAAATACAAAGTAAGAGAAAAAAGTTTTTGCAAACGCAACGATAGAGGGGACACCGAGTGTAAGATCACCCTGCATGTATTTAATGTACAGCAAAAAAATGCGGTCTTGTGGACCCGCAGAAGTCAAGCAGTTTGTAAACTTGCAAATTGCTCTACCATTGGAACAAAATCCCTATCATAAACGTTAATGAGATACACATTTAAAGCATCAAAGCATACCTCTGGAAACACGACCAACAACCGCTTCTTCTGATGAGCGTAATTAGCCGCTTTACTAAGTGTGATTGCACCTTTCACGGGCGTCTTTCTTTTTTCGGAATTAAAACACTGTTTGAACTCAGTCCACGTCGAACTGGTTGTAACATATTGGGAATCTGCATAGGAAGCCACAAATACAGGATTATACCGAAGGGCCAAAATTAACACATCGATGGGACTTGTATGATTGACAGCAATAATGTCACCAGGCTGTAAACTATCTCCCTGAACAAACGAACTAAAGATACCGTTAGAAACTCTTGCCCATAGTTACCATTGCGTACCCAATTTTAGTAAAACGAGTGTTAAGAAAGCCCAGCAAGAAGAGAATCAATTGCAAGAGGCTGTTATGAACGAAACTCACAAGCTTTGGACATGCTTTTCCGAATAAGAAATTTAAAATTGTTGTTAAAACAAAATAAACGAAAAAAACAAAGGCAACCAAGGATCCCCGAATTACGGATAAAGATATTCTTAGAGGTATCAGAATAGCGAGTGAAATGTTTTCGTATTGTCTAATAGGATAAAACGGTGCGATGCCAGTGCTGGGATCTACAAAAGAGGTTAGAACACATGTGGACACAATTGTACACACCTCTCCATCGCGTAAATTTCTCCATTGTAAAAATGCAATAAACTGGTTTCTTCTTGTACGGAGGAAAGACACCTTTCTATGGATTAGATCGACAACCGCAGATCATGAAAGTTACCACCAACGCAATGTTGCAGATCATTGCTACACCAAAATTGCACCGGATGAAGATCCTGTCGACGCTTTATTAACTGGGTGTGTCGAATATTGTTTCACAAAATTTGCTTTTACAGGAATGTGAATCGTTCATTCTTAGTTAGTTAATAAGGAAATGTCTCAAAGAAGATTCAGTTCTATTTCGGAAGAGATTTCTGATAGCGAGAATGAGAATACTCAATCCGGGCCTCAACGAGCAAATGAAACGGTAAAGGCACATTCTTCACTTTCATCTCAAAATACCACCTCCTCTACTAAGGATACTACAATTAGTTTGCTTCAAAGGCGTGACAACTTGAAGCAAATAATAGCAGATCTTGAGAATCAGATTGAAAGAAAAAGAAAGGAACGGCGTCAGGAAAGCAAAAATATTGAGGACTTCATACAGGAACTGCTTCGTATTGACACTGCACCTGCTCAAGCACAAACAAAAACACTTCAAGTTCCAGAAACGAGTTTTAACGGATTTTCTCAAATACCTAGTGGAGAACAAACTTCATTACTGGATGAGCATACTACATTGGCTGACTTTCATCCCGGAATTATTCATCCAGTCAATGTCTCTTTTCACAATATTGTGTTTACAAAGCATAATACTGAAGTAGTGGATGAGGAAAATACGAAACATCTCTTATATGGTACTTCTCGCGATTTAACTTGTATGACATTTCAAGTTGAATTAAATGTCCACACTGCTTCTTGGTCAATAACGAATCTTCACACAACTGTTCCGGTCTTTGCACAACCCGAGTTGAATGAAATCCTTACACGGTCAGGCAAATTGTCTGACTTGGTATGTGCTCTTCGAGCAATCTCTCTATTCTCTCTAATTCATCGACAACGCTGCTTGACATGGATCAACTTGTTAAGAAAACAGATGTCACAATCGCATCAAGTACAGGCACGACTGCAAACATTTTCAATATCAAATCTTCATTACACGGTGGATATTCATTGGATCATCAAATTTGACGAGTTTGGGTTTGCAAAGTCTAAATTTAACGTACATTCAAGGAGAACGAATGCTATAAGAAAAATAGAACAAAAGAAAGAGCTAAACGTATTTCACCGACTAAATATGATGCTTCAGAAAGCGATGAAGTTATACGGACCCGAGCGCGGAATAGCCATCATCATAGGATCCCTTTTTTAAATATATCAACGCTGTGTACTTCTATCAGGACCCTGTGCTCAGATTAATAGTTTCCAACATTAAAGTAGACATATGGGAGGGAATTAAAAATAGCGGTCAGTGGAAAGGGGACATGGAATCTAAACTTCTTCGAGTTTCACTTTTGGTCTTGGGGGAACAGATGAAGCTTTCGACGATCGGAAAACTTCCTTCAACATTATATCCCCCTCAACCTTTGCTCGTTTTTTGTAAACACGCGGCCTCTGGTTTTCAGGCTTCTTCGCACCATGCGTTTTCAGCTTTATGTTCAGTGCAGTCGGACCAACATATGCAGTGGCCTCTTTCACCGCTGTTTGGCAATCGCCAGTGACGATAACGTCACATAAATGATCGAACTCTTTGTTAGGGGGATCATGATTCATCCAAACAACACTTCCCTTTTGTCTCCTGACAGACATACTCATCTGCTTAATGATTCGCTTTACTCCGGGAATTTTACACGAAGTACCGGCGATGATAAGACAGTCGGGTTTTGATTTTAAATCTTGAGTGCATACAGAGCCAATTGCTTCCGAATCGGGATGAGATTCGTTGTATAGCACTATGCGAGGCCGTAAACAACCCTCTGCCGTAGATCGCTTTCCAGCAATCCTTCGAACTTCGTTGCCTATTCTGCACTCTGGACAGGCTGTTAAGCCGTCCTTCCCAAAAAAGCTTGGATCAAACTTTTGAATGTAACCACACTTCGTACAAGACACCATTTCAAGCGTTCCATGAAGTGCGATAGTAAGCGGCCAAGGCGGGGAAGATGGAAGGGGGATACTTGTTTCCAGCCCCTCTAACCGAGTTTCCAGATAATCAATGTTTTGAGTATACAACCGCAAAAGACGCGATTCCTTAGCCAGTTTCGCCAAGAAGTAGTGAAAGTCTGTTGGATTGGCATTTTTTGAAAGTTCATACAGCTGCTTAATCATTTCATGGAAGATATTAACCGTTTCAATGTTCTTCCCAAAAGATGTTAGCCTTAATCCAATAATGATACACGACCAACTGGTCTTTGAACTTACCCTGTAAACGGAATTATCAAACATTTCCTTTCCGGAGAACGAGATCCCGTATTCTGAGCGCAGTGTTTTGAAAAGTCCAGTGGATGAACGAAAGTCGGGAATTCCTGCTTGACATGAAATACCAGCCCCTGTAAAGATGTGAGAAACAGAAAAACACATAATTGTTCAACGCAATTCGAAGTTGAGAAAAATCCAAGTTGTCTAATACTTTTACCAATTATACAAAAACAACAGTCCAATTTCACCCAAACAAAGTAATAAGCTCGTTGTCCAGACAAATTGGACCTTTCTCCTCTTCGTTTCACTTCACAATGGATTTACATACCAGTGATTACGACAATTCGTTTTGACTTTTGTAAGACGCTTGCCAATGGCTGTATATCATACCCTGGGAGGCCCAAATCAATAAGAAAGCGAGTTTGTTTTGGCACATTTTTAGTCGATTGTTTGGCATTTCCGACAGCCTTTCTTTTTCGGGAAACCGTAGCTTTCGGACCCCCCTTTACAGGATTTAATAAAGAGGAAATGGTCGGATTGCTCATTGTTCGTGCCGACCCAGGTAATGGTAAAGAGAACGTTGTAAAATTGTCCGCCGCGGAGTACAGCCAGGGCTCTTATTCAGCGCCCACGTGTTTCAAAGACGACAATATGTTGTAGGTTTTTGTTGTGTGGGGTGATAACTCTATTTATTTACTCCTTAGATAACATTGGATAATCGTATTTAAATTAAGGCAATATACTGAACTAAAATGTATCGTTAAATAATTTTAGCGAAATGCGGTAAGTTGCGTTAAACCAGTATAATGATATTTAATGAATCAATAAACCGTTTAATGCACTTTTAAGAAGTGCTTTGAGAAACCTTGGTTCTCGCAAATCATTTCAATGATTTACAACATGCGGTTTGTTTTTTTCAACGTCCGCAGCATCTATATTAAACTGAAAAAAATAATAACAGGTTTTCTCGTTCTTGATTGTTTAGCATTGTCACAGGAACGATAGAATCAAATTGTCTGAAACACGACAGCATGGATTCCCACCTGGTCAGCACAAACGGTGGGTTAGGAACGATTAACAACGAAACGCCATCGTCTTTGGCCGATACCGCTGTTGATCAAACTATGATTGTTTCAGAAACTTCATTACTTCCAGATTTTCAAAAAACGGATGTCGCACAAGCTCAAAGTACCACTGGGACAACACCTGTTGCCCCTGTAAATTCAGGCATAACAGCATCTATGGACAGTTTAAATCCCACACCTGCAGCATATGCTACTGGAACGAACACTCCCGATTCAGTTGCGACTCCAAGCGAACTCACGCCTTCAGTCGACTCAAGTGTTTCCAACGACCTGGGGTGGAGACGTTCTACACGGACAAAACGAACTTCGTATCGTGATTCAGCCTATATGGACAGCGGCGACGACTTGGAGCCACCAGTGCCAAGGCGCAAAAAGCAAAAACCGTCTCGGAAGAGTACTCCGCAAGACAGTGATGATGATTCTTACGAGCGTACGCACAAACCATACATGCGAAACACGCCTCCTGTCACTGAAATTCGTGTGTCCTCTCGCTCTACTAAGGGGCGGCTCGCTAGTTATAATGAGCAAGAGTTATATGGCGACTTGAGCGGCGACGAGTTTGAGGAAGACGGAGTCGATGAAAACGCAGTTGAAGAAGAGCCAGAACCTATGATTGACTTGGTTCTTGATCATCGAAGACGAGAGGATGCTGAAGGAGATGATCCCAAAAATGATTACCAGTTCTTTATTAAATGGAGCGGTGTTTCGCATTTACATAACACATGGATGAACTATCCAGATGCGGTGTCTTACCGTGGTTACAAAAAAGTGGACAATTACATCAAAATTAATATTGTTCAAGATCGTCTAATTCGTGCTGACCCGACCACTACCGCTGAAGACATCGAGTCTCTTGACATTGAGCGTGAGAGAAAACGCATGCTTTTTGAAGAGTACAAATGTGTGGAACGGGTTATCGCTGCTGAGGTTGGGCCAGAAGATCAAACTGAGTATTTTGTTAAATGGAATCAACTTCCTTATGATGCGTGTACTTGGGAAGACGCGGCTACGATTGCTCAACTTGCTCCCGAAAAAGTGCGTTCTTTCTTGAGGCGCGAGACAAGTCCATATCTACCTTTCAAAGGTGTGTATTACAATACCCGTCCTGCATATCGCAAACTCGACAAGCAGCCTTCTTACATAAAAGGTGGCGAGCTTAGAGATTTCCAGTTAACTGGCCTTAACTGGATGGCTTATCTATGGCATCGAAATGAAAATGGCATTTTAGCTGACGAAATGGGTCTTGGTAAAACCGTACAGACAGTTTGTTTCCTTTCGTATCTGATTCACCAACTTAAGCAACATGGTCCTTTTCTCATTGTTGTGCCTTTATCAACAGTTCCGGCTTGGCAAGAAACTCTTGCTCGGTGGGCTCCCGATATTAATAGTATTTGCTATACGGGTAACTCGGAGGCCCGTACTACTATTCGCGACTATGAATTCTATGTCTCTACTAATGCTCGAAAGTTAAAGTTTAACATCCTGTTAACAACTTATGAGTATATCCTAAAAGATCGCCAAGAGCTCAACAATATTCGTTGGCAATATTTGGCTGTCGATGAAGCACATCGTTTGAAAAACAGTGAGTCTTCTTTGTATGAAGCTCTTTCGCAGTTCAGGACTGCTAATCGTTTACTAATTACGGGTACTCCTTTGCAGAACAATCTGAAAGAACTTGCGTCTTTGGTAAACTTTCTTATGCCCGGCCGTTTCTACATCCGTGACGAATTGAATTTCGAACAGCCAAATGAAGAACAAGAGCGCAACATCCGCGATCTTCAGCAACGGTTACATCCTTTCATTCTCCGACGTCTGAAGCGTGATGTTGAAAAGTCTTTACCTTCTAAAACGGAACGCATTCTTCGTGTGGAACTTTCTGATTTACAAACACAACTCTACAAAAACATTTTAACCAGAAACTATCGTGCCCTTTCTGGAGCTGCTGCTGGAAACGCGCATGTGTCACTTCTAAACATTGTGGTAGAGCTCAAAAAGGCGTCTAATCATCCTTATTTGTTTCCTGGCGTTCAGGAAAAGTGGATGATTGGCAGAAAAAATACCAGAGAAGACAAACTACGTGGAATTGTGATGAACAGCGGAAAAATGGTTTTGCTTGATAAGCTACTGCAGCGACTCAAGCAAGACGGGCACCGTGTTCTTATTTTCACTCAAATGGTCAAGGTCCTTAACATTCTTGCAGAGTACATGAACTTACGTGGTTATAACTTTCAAAGACTTGACGGAACAATTCCCGCTCCAGTGCGTCGGCTGGCAATCGATCACTTTAATTCTCCTGATAGTCCTGATTTTGTCTTTTTATTAAGTACCCGTGCCGGTGGTTTGGGTATCAACTTGAGTACTGCAGACACTGTCATTATTTTCGATTCCGATTGGAATCCTCAGGCGGACCTTCAAGCAATGGCTCGGGCTCACAGAATTGGTCAAAAGAACCACGTGAGTGTTTATCGGTTTCTTTCTAAAGACACTGTTGAAGAGGACATTTTGGAAAGAGCGCGTCGTAAAATGATTTTGGAATATGCTATTATTTCTTTGGGTGTTACTGAGAAATCCAAGAACTCAAAAAGCGACAAAATTACTTCTCAGGAATTAAATGCTATCTTGAAATTTGGTGCTTCTAATATGTTCAAAGCTAATGATAATCAACAAAAACTGGAGAATATGAATTTGGACGACATCTTGAAGCATGCTGAAGATCACGACTCATCTAATGATGTCGGTGGTACTAACTTGGGTGGAGAAGAGTTCCTTAAACAGTTCGAGGTTACAGATTACAAGGCTGATGACTTGTCCTGGACTGACATTATTCCTGAAGAAGAGCGCTCTAAAATTGAAGAAGAAGAAAAACGGATTGCCGCTGAGCGTGCAGCTGAAGAAGAGCGTGAAAGAAAGCGTCAAGAAGAAGAAGAGGAACTTAAACCTCGACGCACTACTAAATCAATTACTAAACGGCAACAACGTCGTGAAGCAATGATTAATGAAAAGGAAATTCGTCAACTTTACCGGGCAATGATCAAGTTCGGTCTTGTTGATGAACGTTACGAGGATGTCGTCAACGAAGCCGAAATTGCTCATGCGGATCCTAAAAAGGTAAAGAAAGTTGCAGCTGAAATGGTAGAAGCTTGTGAAAAGGCAGTCGAACGCTACGAACTTGATGAGGGAAGAACTAAGCAACCACGAAAAGCCATTCTCATTGAGTTTAAGGGCGTAAAAAATATTAATGCCGAAACTATAACTCAACGTGTTAAAGACTTAACTTGCCTTCATCGTGCTCTCAAAGGATTGGATCCTGTAAAACAAAGAATTGGCTACCCCATCCGAAGTGTGCATAGCTGGTCTTGCAACTGGGGTATAAAAGAGGACTCGATGCTGTTAGTTGGTATCGACCGACATGGGTTTGGTGCTTGGCACACTATTCGTGATGACCCGGAACTAGAGCTTGGAGACAAAATGTTTCTTGACGAAAATAGACTGAACCGAGATTTTAGGAATGTTCCCACTGCAGTACATCTTGTTCGGCGAGGAGAATATCTGTTAAGTGTTATTCGCGAACACCCTGAAGCTTTTCGTGTAAAAACAGAGGGTGTTACTCCAAAACGTAAATATACAAGGCGTAAGAATATTACTACTCGTCGTTCATCTCGTCAATCAACTCTTGAAGATTCAATACCCCCTCGTTATAACTACAGAATGACTCGTGAGCGTCGACGTATGCAAGATGAAACTGTCGATGACGACGAAACCTCTGCGGACGATGAGACAACACTCGAAGACCAAGGAGAGGCGGTTGAGAAGTTGCTGAATAACGAAGACGCGTCACTTCCCGATAAATTGGCACCCGGTGAAGAGAATCAAAAAGAGAAGAAGCCACATACCAGACGTGGTAGAAAACCTCGTAAGCAACGTCAAAGTGCAACATCTGCCATAGATGCCTTGACTGCTGCTGCCGCTTTGGATTCGGCGTTAATTGAGAATTCACAAAAAAATGCTACTGCAGCTGGATCATCTGAGGAGGGTCAATCGGAAGGGAACCTTATTCCCGTAAAAACAGAGGTACAGAATGAAGCTGAACCCGTAGTTTCTGAGGAAAAGCCTGTTGAAGCACCGCCTTCGGCAGACAGTTCTATAACTGCTGACGCTTCCACCGCAACCGAATCTCAGTCCACTGTAGACGTTGCAAAGGATAATGATGTGCAGGCTTAATGTGCTTGCTAACATTTATTCCTTCGTTTCGGACTGCTGCTTTCATCCGCTTAAGGAGGATAATGGCAATATATCGTTCAAATTATATGATAGATGATTTATTATTACCTTAACCGAATGCTACATTTGTACAATATTGAATAAGAAGACAATCGTTTGTCTTGAAACTAGAAAACAAATTTCCTATTCTTTCGTCGGGGGCCGGTGAAAAACACGAATTGATAAACAAGTACTGATTTGTTAATGAAATGCAATAACATCAACTGATATATGTATCTAGTTTACGTACAAGTGAGGCATCTTTACGCATAGATAGTTGTTTCTTTATGAACTTAATAATTACTTCAAATTTCTGGTTTCCACTAATTGTAAAAACTGCTGTCTTAAGTGTGGGTGTTCTGCCAATCGGCATAAATCGTAATGTCACTGTAGTTCGTCAATAGACAGTACTGAAGATATCTTGGAATTACCTTTTTCATTTCCTCGGCTTTTATAAGAGTCTAGTATGCTGGCTGTGTCTTCAGGTAAACGTTTCAAAAGGATGCTGGCTGTTGCTGATGTTTTAAGATCTTCATTCGTTTCCTCAGATATGTTATTTTTTTCTTGTGTACTCATGAAGTAAGACGATGTTTTAGATGAATGCTAGGTGAAAGGCTTGGTTTATAGACACTATGTATAACTCCGTTACATAAATTTTTGGCCACTGGAAACAGTTCTCGGCGAGTTTTGGTGCTTACAGATCACTCTCTGAGTTCATTGCCAGTTTATTGCTAAACGTGAACAACTGTAACTCTTTATTGTTGAACATTGAAATAGACTGAATATAATAAACAATAAACATTAAAACAGAGATTACATAAGAGTATATACCTAAACATGTCAACGTTTCGTTGACTATTCTTTATATTTTGCGGCACACATAAGGGAGTTATAGAGTCATAGCTGTGTGTTTAATCATGGATTCAAGATAGAAGGTATATGAAAGCGTTAAAGCAAAAAGGTATTCTCAACCAATAACACTATTAATCGTTTCAGATAGTTCTTTTTCATCCACTAAAACACCAGTGTGCGAACACTTGGCCTTTTCCTTTAATTTGACACACAAATCATCGATATCAATTTGTTCGAACTTCGGATGTTCGACAATCTTTGACCAAACAGTTGCGCAATTAAGGTAATTGTAACCTTTAGGAGGAATAATCTCTTCTTCCTCCGGTGGAGGTTGAGTTGTCTCAAGATCGGAACTTGATACAAAAGTTTCTGGTTGATGGTCAGTTGATTTCTCGGGTACGGTTGATGCAAAAGGAGGATTGGTTTGAGCGGGACTTGGCAGGATAGGTCCGGACAAGTTATCTGCTTGTTCAAGCGCGGTGAAGTTAAAGCTTGCGGAATCATCCTTTGCCTGAGTTATAAGAGTCGAGGAGAAAGCGCTGTCTGTAAGAGATGATGCATTTTGAAGTATTTCTGGAGTAAGTAGATAGGCAGACTCCTCCGAAGCTTTCGTCGTATCATTGAAAAGGTCGGGGAATACCTCATTGAAAATTGCATCGTTTGTTGCAAAGTCATTGTCCAGAGAGTCAATGGGTTCACGCCATGCCTCAAATACACTAGGATCGGTTTCCGCATGAGAAGCGTCTTTCTCCTGAAGTGGAAAATAAGAAGAGACACTTGGGAAAGCAATGCTATTTTCAAGTCTAGAAGTAGCGTAGTCACCGGAGGACGAAGAACCAGAACCAGTGCTTGGCGTAACAGATGTAGCTTTGTTGCTGCTCACACTGGGAGGCGGAATCTTCGACGAGTAGCCTGAATAGGCAGCAGGACTTTGCCTTTCTCGTTTAGGAAGCGTGCACACGGTGCCACAAGCTGTACTGAGCTCCTTACAAAACACATTTTCATCAAGACCTTCCTTCTCCTTGGACGCAAGCGACTCCGGAGAAGCACTCGAGCCCGCACCGGCTTGAGGCGTTTCTAATAGATTACTGGCAGAAGAATGTGCAGCAGCTGTTGTGTCACTATGTAAAGAAGAAACAGCTGTCATTTCTCGGGTTCCATTAGACTCTGAATTAAAACCGGGTTTCGTGTGAACAGGGTCTGCAACTGTTTCTGTAAATGGATTCAGTCCCAAGTAACTTAATTGGGGAAAACTTGTGTCATGCTCAAAAATCAACGGTCCAGTCACCTGATTGTGTTTACTGTGAGTGACCCACTCATCGAGACTTGGCATTATGTCCAATTCATTTGATTGTCGAAACCCTTGATGCTGTTTGTTACCTTTAAGGCGTTTTACTTCATTTTCCAACTCGTGTATCTTTGACTCTAACATTTGATTTTTCGTAGCAGTTGCTCGTTGTAACTCTTCCAGCTCAACAACCTGTTTTTCCAGAGTACGTAAATGTTCCTCCTTTCTTCGCCGGAAAGCGCGTTGAGCTTCGCGATTCTGGGCCTTTCTTCTCGAAGCTGAATCCATCCGATCTTGGTCAGGTTTCTTGGACGATGTGGTCTCAGTTCCGTTATTTGACATTTGCTTAGTTATTGTTGTTCTCAGATCTGAACTGGCACCTAAATTCCGGTTCATATGGTAATCGACAGGTGCCGGAAGTCCTCCTTCTCTCGAAAGTGGGTCTTTTGAAACAGCAACGGCTGTATCTGAACGTTTTCCAGTATCCATAAGTTAAATAAAGGTATAATAGTCAATCGAGTTAACGATTCAATGGTTTAATATTGCAGAAGTTAAAAAAGCACTACCTGTAATTCCAAACGTTGGAATATCCGAAAACTGCCACGAACAAGTACCACACTCTTTATTCTATCTTCGTACTTCAAAAAAATCCCGTAAGTGCTTTCCTCTATAACTGAGTAATATGCTCTCGGATAAAATGCTGTCTCAATTAAAAATTGTGAGAATGATCAATGGCAGTAGCTAGTCGAAAAACCAACAAACAAAAATACGTGAGAATTTAAACGGAGATAAGCTTATGATAAGCCTTTGTAAATTAAAATTTCGTTTGTATTGAACTGTAAAATAGTTAGAAAATTTTAATCCACAAATGAATTCTAGAATCCTTTGGGGGGCGAAATATGCGGTAGAAACTTTGTGGTGGTAAATTTCATCATAAGGCTCGTAAACCCATTTTAAGTATGTTTTACGATACCTTAAAGTGCAGGCAACCGCTAGGCGGTGAAAAATTGTCATAGCAGCTTGCAGAGAATATGTAAAAGTAGTACTCATTAATTCAAGTGCAGATTTCACATAGTTGTTGTTTCAGACTATTAACGCCTTCTATTTAAACACGATCGTTTCTCGTAGTCTATATTACATATTTATCATAAACAAAGTACGGTATACCATGTTAGTCTATAAAAGTTTTACTTACGGTCATTTTTCTTACGAATAGTAATGGGTGCCGTTTGAGTAATTGAGCTCGGTGGTTGTCTCTGCGTTGTTGAAGAACGACGTCGAGAATTCTTACCTTTTTTTGGTTTCATTGAAGCTTTTATTGCAGTTTCTTCCGCTTGTTGCTCCAATGCCATTTGTTGTTGGTAACGAGCACTTTCACGTTCCCACCATTGTTGAAATTCTTCTTCCTGTTGGATCTCTTTTATGCTCTTGCGGTTCATTTTTTTGGTACGCTCTTCTTCCAACTCGAGTTGTTGCTCAAGCATAATTTCAGTCAATGAAGTAGCCCTCCCAGGACTTTTCAAAGGAATTGAAGAAGAAGGTGAAGCCAATGGAGAAACAGAATTTTTACGCCACACAGGCGACGGACTAAAAACCTTAGAAGGGGTTGAACGAGATGGAGAGACGCTGCTAAACGAGGAACTAAGAGCTTGCTCTCGTCGCAACAGATCCCGTAATGAATCACCCTTTTTCACCGATGACTTTGGTGTTGTTGACCATGCCTTTGGCTTTTGTGTCGAAGCTGGTGATGAGGAGGGCGTTGAAGACAGTTTCTGTTGTTGTAGCATTGAAGAGTTCGCCGATTGCTGTTGCTTGTGCTTGTCCCTATGCTTTTCCTTTTGCGACTTTTTAAGTATAGGTTGTTTCAGAGGCGTAAAGGCAGGTGGAGATTTCACGGAGTCACTCTGCTTAGCTGAAGTCATCAACGATGAAAGACTGACTTTAGGAGTCTGTACTGTTGTTTCTGAAGACCAACGCTTTCTTTCTTGCCTAGCCGAAGAAACATCCACATCTTGAGGAGATCCAAAAGATAACTCTGCTAGCTTCTTAGTTGTTTTAGTAATGTCTGGTGTTGAAGGAGCTTCAGCTACTGTCGGAAGTGAAGAAGAACCGGGTCCAAAAAAAGTTGAGGCTTTCATATTCGCAGGTTGCCTTGGGGAACTTGCGGATTGATCAGACACCACTCTAACAGAAGTAGTTTCCACTGAAGGTTCAGCAAGAGATTTCCTACGAGGGCTTTTATGCATTTCATCATGCATTGTATCCATTGGCACTTTCATTGTTCCTTGAACACGCTTAATAGAAGGCCAAAATACTCCCTCTTCATCGGAAAGAAAGAACTCAATCAAAATCCTCTTACTGAATTTTTGAGTGTCTCCAAGAATGGGATACTTTATGGTCATGCGATTCAAGACAGCATTAGAGCGTAAATTAGGTGAAGAGGATAGTTGCAATTCTTTAATCTTTTTTGTTATAGCCGAAATGTGTTGATTTTCCAACTGGCAAAGTTTATTACCCTCCAAGTAATACTGTATGTTATAACAGGCATAATCAACACAACGTGCATAAAGTGCGTCGATGTGAAAGTCCTTAGCAAAAACCATAAGTTCTGGTAAGGTTTTAAGATTGAGGAAACGCAAAAGAAAAATCGCTATCTCTTTTCTTAAACGGAAAAACAAGAATTCGTCGGCCACTAAAAAAAGCTTGTATATGAGATGTAACCATTCGTCAATTGTTTCGACTCCCTCCCAGGAGGAAAGATACGATCCATGTGGATCATAAACAGAATTAATAGTTCGGCGCATAAGTTCCGATTGTGTATCCATGACAGAAACCTTTTGGATTCCTGATGGACTATTATCTTGCAACTTTTTGAATTGCATAACCGAAGCAAAAAATCCACTCATGCCATTAAGAAAAACTTTATGGCAGTAAAGGTTTTTGTCAGAAGCACTCACGACAATATCTGCAGTACTTTCAAAAAGCGGAGTATTTCTTTTAAACTCCATCAAATTCTGTAAAAACGAAGAGGGGGGTTGTCGGACAAACGTATATTGTAAAACATCTTCTAATTTGCTTAATTTTAGCGCGCGCGCTAAAGAAAGAACAGCATTTTTGGTTTCCGTGTTTTCTTTATCAGACAAAAATGAAACAAGTAGCACGTCCGTATACAGGTAGACTAGAATGATGGCGATAGCCACGTCAGAGAAACCAGTTAAAGTCAATTCCCATTGTCCATTTGAGTGATGGTTTAATACAATTCCATCCATCAATTCTTGAGAGTTTGATAAAAGATCCGCTAGTGGGCTTGACCTTGTCGCAAGAATTGCTCTATGACAATGCATAGAAAAGGTGTCTGTTTTTACCACCGTATCTGTATGGGGAAGTTCTATTTTTGATAATAAGAGACAGAGCTGCTCTTTAGAAAGGGTATCATTGCTGTCATTCGTTGTTCCTTCTCTGCCAGCTATCATACGTAACTGTTCAGGAAAATAGTTAAACAGCACGGAATCAACAGACGGAACATCCTGGGGTATGGGATCGACACGATAGTCGCTTCGGAGGACGAAGAAAGAATTGTGTGAATTAGAACGAACTGCAGTAATTCGTTGAATATCGCCAACTCGTTCATATTTGAATTGTCTTTTATGCAATCTCTGAACGTCGTCTCTTGGCTTCGAACGTTTTATTCGCTTCCACGCACTTCCATCTAAAGTGCACAATAATAAGGTGTCGTTACTGCCGAGCGCAATATCCATAGCAGCTTTTTGAGCCCTCTGAAATGTCCAAGCCAATTTGAACTTAATCTTTCCCTTCGTCAAAGGTTCTTGATCTTTGAATGGACGAATATCCGCCATAATCACTTCACCAAGTTCGGTCAAAATGCATAAAAAGGTGTCGTTAACCACCATTTTTTTATAGATATTCTTTTTTGAGGATTGCGGGTGAGCTGTTATTGTCAAAGATGAGCTTGGAGTATCTACAATAACCTGTAGACGAAATTGTGTGAACCGTGTCATTACCCATATTGAATTGTTGTCAAGAAGACAGATAGTGCAGTATTCATTACAGGCACAATTGACTACCAATGATGAAAGTCCAGCAACTCGTTTTGGCGAAGTAATCACCTCTTGCGTTTTGACGTGTCCAAGCTGTCCATTATTTAATCCCCAAGTATAAACATCCGTATTGGTATAGGCTATACAATGTGTATCACAAGCACATATACCAATGACATTCATCTCCTTCAAGGCAATAATACGCCGAGGACTTAGTTGAACGGCCTCATCACGTTGAGACGAAGACATACTATAGCCCAAGACACCATTTATTGAATTTCCCCATGAATACAGGGCACCCGAATCCGTCAAAACAATGGTATGATAGTTTGTGACACAAACCTTTACAATCTTTCGATCATGAACAAATACTTGCATTGGCGTGAACTGTACATCCGTAGCAAAACCTAATCGCCCACCAGTGCCAATTCCACAGATGTAGACATTGTTCTTCTCCTCATCGGTCAGAATAACTGTGTGAAAGCGAGAAAGCTGAACATCAAGAACATGAACATTCGCAAACCGTTCTGCCGAATCAGTATACACTTTGAAATCCTTACAAAGATGGATTTTTTCTGGATGTGAGCGATCATCAGAGTCCGGGAATCCTAAAAGACAATTGGAATTCGAACCAAAACTGTAAACTTCATTTGCCAATTCCCCCTGTGAAGGCCGAATGACTGGCAAGGTGTAATCTAATAAATCGAAAGGAGACAACCCTTCTTTATCCTTAATACGAAGACAAGCTTCTTTTCCACGTTCTAAAATTAAGATAGCAGCAGGTATATTACCGACAAGGAAAGCTCTATGTAACGCTGTATACCCTGATTCCTCGTCTTGTGCCAGAAGATCGACATTCTCGTTTTTTAATAAAGCTTGAACATAGTTATTTTTGCATTCAGAGACGGCAATGTGAAGAATTGTTCGTCCAAAACGATCTTTCGCATTAATCTCACTCTTTGTAAGAATCGTCTTCTTCGTGGTATTTTTCCCTTTACGATGGAGTTCTTCTGCCAGTACTAAATCACGAAAAAGCGTAAACTTGTCCTGGTAATAATAAGCGAACAGGTGGCTGCTCATGAATGATCTTAGAAATCAAAATTGATGTTAGTTGGGTCCATAAACAAAAAAGATCACACAGTTTTTAGCCGGCGATTCAAAAATGTGAACTATTAACAAAATACTGATCACTTGTTGGTCAATTGCTATGTGCACGCCGGGATCTGTTGGTAAGGCGTTCGCAGCTTAAACGAGTTGAAGACGAATGCCCGAATCTTTGTTTTCTCATTCAAAATCGTTAAATCAATTAACGCATTTTTAATTTTGAAATTGGTAATTATCAATAACGAATTTCGCTATTCTTCGCCACGTAACGAAACTCCAGTATATTGAATACCATATTGTAACGAAATACACCACCATGTAAATGAAATGAAAGCAGAATTCATGAATCCATGGAGCTTGAAAAGAGACGTTGTTCAGTCCTTGTGTCGTAGAAGTATTTTTTTAGAATCGTTTAAATTAACGCGAGGGACATGTAGTTATAAAACTTTATTCTTATACTCCGCGTTTCTCAAAAGCGAATGCCAAGTAAAAATCTATAAAGTTAACCATTAGTAAACATATTTATCCCATCACAAGTAGAACCACTAGTAGCGTTCTTTCTTGAGTAAGCTTACCTGCAGCCTCCATCTCGGGGCCGTTGATGCCGGGGTTGCCATTCTTATCAATCACTTGCATTCTCTCAAGTAATGGACCGAATTCAGTTGAATTCTTTTCTTCCATAAATATTTCGCGGAAAGACTTCTGCCAAATCATTTCTAAATGATAGTCCTCTGCAAGCCTATTCAGTGTTAATTCGTGTTGCTGTTTTAACGATAAAATAGCTTACGCTCGAAATGCCTCAAAAGGGACGACAAACTCGGGGACGTCAGAAACGGCATCTTCTAAATAGAAAAAATATTTGTTTCCAAATGGTGGCCGGAAACTAAGGTTGGGCGGACTTTCGAAGCGGACGTGATAAATGGCATTGCCAAATTGTAGCGTTCCAGGTGCCATCTTACTAGCGCGGTAAGATATACGATCTGAACTAGGTATAGTACCAACCATAATTCCTCCACGAGGAAGTACGCTTGATACATTTTCCAACATTTGTCTTGCAAGAGCTTCAGATTCAAATGCGTAATGCATACAAAACTGCAAGCTTACAATATCAAAACGACGCTGGTCTGGGGGAAGAAGTTTGTAAATAGGTGTGGAAAAACAATCCCCAGAATAGAAAACCGCGTCGAAAGACGCATCCAAATTTTGGTATCTGCGACGAGCTTGATTGACTGAAATTTCAGCAATGTCAATACCAACGTAACCGTCTACATTGACCTTGTCCCATTTAATGAGATCGCCGCCCTTTCCACAGCCCATATCTAACACAAGAACAAGGTCTTTTTTTGGGGTGAATTTGTTGATTAGCACACTTTTAATCCAATTGTTAAACCGTTTAAGGTTAATAATTGGGGAAAATCGTCTGTTTCGAAGTCCCATCTCGGGACGAGCATTATAGTGATGGCGAACGGTGTCAGCAACATCTTTTTCACGCCTATTTTGAGGGCGATTGTAGGAATCATTTGCAGCATAATTACGGGAAGGGTTGGAAGGTCGCTGTGGACAATACTCATTTCTGATAGTTGGTCGTTTTTGTGGTCTTCTGGGATAATCCGGTGAGTCTAAACTTCTTACATGTGATTTTGTATCATTTTGAGAGTTTTGTCTATCCAACACTTCTGTTTTTCTAATAGCGTTAGTCAAATACTGTTTCATGATAGTAAAAAAAGCTTACCTATCCGTGTTGGACGTTTTAGCAGAATCTGATTTTTCTTCCATATAAACATCTTTGCCCGTTCCAACTTGAGTTTCTGCATTATCTTGATGCTCATGGCTCAAGTTCTCCACGTTCGTACTCATGTTTCGTTGATAACATGCGATTAACAAGAATATGGGAATATAATTCTGTTTATGGAGTACTTGGAGGGCACCCGGTACATCACTAAAGCAGTGTATCTCAAACGCTTTCTAAACACTGATACACTTAGTTTTCCTTGAGTTCTTGTTAAATATAGATAGCATGATTTGTTTGACTTTCTAATTTTATTATTGTTGTGTTTCTACTTGCAGTCTCAAACATAGAACGAGTCCAATGTTGTGAAGCCATAAGCAGTTTGTGATAGACCATGCAGTAACTTTCATGGTTGGAAACGATTTTATCACAGTTCTGTACTAAACAGGGATTTGAGACAAAAGTACCAATAATATATATTTCTGTTTCGAATTACAAAATGAAAATCGCGTATGCCCTACGAAAACCATCAGTAGCGTAATATTTGTATTCAATGCCGTCCAAAAACATCCCATTTATTAGCACCCTATCTTCTAATCCAACCGGACAGACTACATCTGTCTAAATACATTTTTACTGGCAGAGCGACGACCTGCATAATTCTGCTTCTTTTTTCCTGAATCACTTTCGGGTCTAGATTCAGTTGACTTCTTCTTGCGATTGACAGAAAACGTCATCTCCATCCCGCCGGGAGTGCTCCGAATACTTTGAACCGAGTCCTTGTTTCTTGCATTTTGTGCTTGCATACGCTTGTCCAAAAGTTTGTCAAAGGTCTCCACTTCGCTTTCACTTTCGTCCATAGAAAGGCCATCATCAGAGCTAAACTGAACACCGCGTGCAAGTTCGGCCTCTTCTTCAGACTCCTCTGCTGCGGTAAGGCGTTTGGTGGATTTTGTAGGATGCAATTGTTTATATTCGAGTGTGTCCTCGTCCACTTTGAAGTCCTCATCAGTGAAAACATTCTTGAAACGATTGTCTTCCAATACACTTGGTGTGTTGTCACCAAGTTGCTTGCGGAGTTTGCCTTCTTGGAAAGCCAAACGCTCTGCCAATGCAGCATTGACCTTGGGCTTGTTCTGAGCACGAATTTTGCTTGCTCTCTGTTTTTCCAGACGTTCCTTGACTCTGCGTTGACGGTGTTCTTCGTAGGAGAAAGGATTGGCAATAAGACGAGCTTTTTCGTACAAACGTACATCAATAAAGAAACCATGCATATATGGCCGAATAACATTTGTTCCAATAAGATGATCCAAACCCAAACTGAGAAGCTCCTTCTTCGTAACGAACTTGTAGTTATCGTAGATGGAAGGAGCGTGGCTTTCCTCCATCTCTTCTGTAAGATTATCCAAAAAGGAACACCATTTGGGTGCAGGACCTAAAGCGGGAATGTAGAAAGAATGCATGGGCGAACCTTCGTTTGCAGTAAAAATAAGACCAGAATCGGGAAACACACAAACATCGTTTATATCCACAGTGGGTTCGACAGATGTAAATGGGGTTCCATGGTCCTTTTCCCAAATCTTGATAATTTTTGAATCCGCCGACAAAACACGACTAACTGAATCAATCGGGCTTTCAACCCAATGTAAATTCTTTACCGGAAGACCATAGCCCTGATCTTTAGTGGTATAAGGATTAGACGAACGGAGATCGAAAAGCATCGACATGCCATTAGAAGCACCAACAGCCAAATTTAAACCGTCATTCCGGAAAGACAATGCGGTAACAGAAGACGCCTTATCATCTCCCATGCTGGGGGGTGCAAATTGTGATACGTTTAAGATGGCAATGCGGGAGCGATCACGAGGATCCCAAAATTCAACAGTACCTGCATCAGTACCAAATGCAAGTAATTGATGTGCAGGATTAATATCCATAACATTTACACCGTCGTTTATGTTACCGGCAGATGCACTTTCAATCTTGAAAGGATTCAAAAAACGACCTTGTTCAAGGTTAAGTCGATAGACTTCATCTCCAGCAGCAGCAACATAAAGATCACAACTGGGATAATGATGTTTCATGTCTCGGCCATACCGCGGAATACGAGTTGAGTAGTGAATACCACCCTGACTGTGAAATTCAATTGATCGGTCATTTTGCAAATGAACACTTTTCGTCCAGTCATCTGACAAAATCTCAAATTGAACGTTCTCCGAGTCTGTGTGTCTCTCAAACTTCAGAGACATTTCTGCGAATTCATACAGCTTGATTTGAGGTTTATACACTCCGGTGGCCATTAAGAAATTTCCGTCTCTGGAACATTTTAACCGGTTACTAGCCTCAGGAAAATCAAAGTCCTGAATAAGTTCAATTCTATGAGAGAACTCAATGTCCTTTTTAGCCTTTTTTTTATTTACCCAGTCTGGCAGTTTGTACGAGACACCGTCGCCTGAAACGGTGTAAACACGAACATTATTAGGGTTTTGCACCTTCAAAACCATTTTCAAGTCCTTATTACTTCTGCAATATAGTATTTAAGAAAAACCAGCCCGTAACTGATTCCTCAGCGCAAAAGAATTGGCTTGGAATTTTTGTGTAGCTCTTGGATGGACAATTTTTTTTTCCGAGTGCAGGGCAGTGGGCACAATAGTACGGGTCAGACACCAACTAGGTCACGAAAAATGCAACGAAGAGAAATTATATCAATGTATGCGCATACCATATATTCTCGTATAATGATTTATAAACCTATCATTAAATAGAGCTAGTGTCTCAATATCGTTATAACAAACAAGAATACAATATCTTAGGCTACACCATTAAACAAAACAAAACAAAAGACATAAGTGATCCACAATGTCTGTTCTTTCACGCCAGATCGATGGCGAGTCTTTTGTGAATATATAATAAAACAGTAAGTATACAGTGTTTCATCCACTTATAAAGAAAAATCTTCGGTGGACTTGTTCGGACCGAATATGGAGTTAACGATGTTACCGGCACGAACAGCAGCCCAGCTCAAAAGCGTTTCACCAATGCCATGTTGAGATTCACTTAAACCGACAAGGTATAGGTGACCTTGCTTACTAGGTTCAGAACTCAGAACATAGTTTTCATGAACGATGGCCTTTTCGCCGGGAGGAATAAACTTTCTGATGAGATCATGTCCACCATTGTGGTTATAGCCGGTTGCAAAATAAACGACGTCGTACTTCTGGACAAGTTTGGTGGGCTTTCTCTGGGGATCCTGAAAAGTAATCGTCACCTCTAATCCATCTTCCACAGGTTCAATATCATCAACAAATGAGTATGGAAGGAGTGTGTGTGTAGGTTGAGACGTATAACGTTTCTGGTCATATACTATACGGAACATTTCCTCAATCAATCCTTCTTTAACGACTCCGTAATTTGTTCCTCGACCAGAAGCAAGACCTGGAAGACGTTGACATTCAGGCAGGCGGTACCACCATTGAGCACGGTCTGGATCAAAAAATAAGGAATTAATGAATGGACTCGAATCGCTGGGTAACGGAGCGAGAGAACGCAAGCTCATGTGTACCGGCAACTTTAAAGGTACGTTGTTATGACAGTGACGCCAAATTTCAGCGGCAGATTGGCCTGCTCCAACAACGAGCACACCGTGTTTGGCGTTCTGAAGGTAGCTTTGGCTTTCCGGATACATGAATTCACTAGAGTGACGAATACGACCTGTATTGAGTTTGCGAAACTGTTCAGGAATACATGGCTGACCGCCAGTAGCCACGAGCACGTTCTTTGTCCGTACACTTTTGCATGTTCCGTCAGATTGTTTGACACTAAGGGTGTATGTATCACTCGACTCGTCATAGTCCATGCTGGCTACTTCGCTGTCGTACTGAACAAGCGATTCGAAATGGCTAGCACACCAGGACAGATATTCGTGAAACTCGCTACGGGAAGGTTCCATGACAGACATGTTCAAAAAACCGTGGAAACGCTCGCAGCCATGTACGTGAAGAAAATTAAGAAAAGAAAAGTAGGAGCGAGGGTTTCGAGGGCTAGCAAGATCCTTAACAAATGAAATCTGCATGTTGGATCCAGGAATAAGCATGCCTCTGTGCCACGAGAACTCCTGCTGTTTCTCAAAGACGCGAATTCTTCTCTCTTTCAATGGTTGAGAGGAATGTTCATAAGCGGCAATTAAAATTGACAGGGAAGCTGGTCCCATACCAATGATAATCAAATCAAGAATGTCGTTTTTTTTCAAGTCAACCATACTGAAGACGCTGCTATCGGATTCCGCGCTAGTGGTACAATTGAATTCAACTAGTGGAGCACTGAAATGAAGACGACTATTAACCTTAAACCTTCGTTAGCCCAATTCGACAATGATTTCGTTTTGGTCACAGTAGGTGACTCTGAGGGGAGCTACTTACTGACTGAGTAATTGAGGAAGGGGAAGAAACGCAATTCGGTCTACTGCAGCAATATTAATTTGCGATTGAAATGATGATTAGTAACAGTGTTTGTACTACTGAAACCGATTCGCACGGCTTAGGAACGTGTGGTACGAGCTGCTTTCCATTGAAGGAATCTCGACTAATAAAACAATGATGACGTATGAAGCTCTAATGTATTAGTAACTTGAAACACTAAGAAAAGAGGGTGAGAAACAGAAAAGGCATTCATGATTCTTTTTCTTTAGACTAAGAATTTGTTTAATGAAATGTATAGAAATTTCGTGTAAACATTCTGTTTAAAGTCGGTCGAAATTGTCCACATTTCGTGCAGGATCTTTACTGAAACACTTCTAGTTATGATTCATTTGTTACTAGATGCAAGTTACGCACTTATGGTCTCTTAAATTAAATATTATTTGGGCTTTTTACAACTGAACAAGGCTCAAAAAATCTTCCGTCGCGCACGTTTATTGAAGCCCACTATGTGACGAATTGCATGCGTCATGCCTAGGACTCGTTCAACACTCTGTTACTTTGAATTAAAGTACCGATGACGTGCAAAAGTCCACCTGCTACAGATAACTGTAGGTTAATTCCTCTCCCAAACAGACCTCAATTCCTACTACTAAGTGTTCTTGTGCTTGTTTTACGTCTTTGTTTCTCTTCATTTCTCCAGTAACATATTTTCACTAATTGTAAACTCAGTATCTTACAGCTTCCTTAGGACTGTTGAAGATTTGTACCTACTATTCACCTGTAAAGAATTAAAGAACTATTTACGGAGCCTTTTTTTGTTTTCTGTAATAGTTGAGAAGTGACAATGGGTAGCCTTGAAGACAAAAGTTCAAGATGTCCTTTTCTTGGACAGTTCAGGAACTCATCAAAAGAACCAAACCACTGTTTTCGCACGTGCTCCTTCTCTTCAACGTTTCCAGCTTTCGCAAATGCTTTCTCAAATGTGTTTCGTGGTTTGTTGGGTGGGTCCTGTTCTTTCTACGTACTCCAAACTACTTCATCCTTGGAGCTTTGGTCAACAAACGAAAATGCATCTACGGTAGATATTTCTGCCCTTCCTGACGATGTCTGTTTACAAACTGTTCTGGTAAACTGTAATGATTTGATTAAAGATGATGAATGGGAAACTCTAAGCGACTGTATATGTAAAGCTTCTTCTGGCAAGTTTCTCGGTGCTTGCTCGGCCTTTCAACGATTTAGCAGCATCTCCTCCTCTCTTGTCATTTTTCACTCGCTCAGAAAGTTTGCAATTGCTTGGGACTCGTCGTTGTTTGATGAAAGAATCTGCAATTACTTCTTTCGTACACTAACTGCTGAACTTAGCGGCGGTTCGCCTATATTATCTCATGCTATTCGTAATGTGAACGAAACAACTGAAGAAGACATCTCGGTCCTTCAAAGTCAGCCCTACCGGAACTACTTGCATGGGTTATTCTACCATAATGTAGTCGACTTTCCGAACCAAACCGCATTCACCTTTTGTAAAGAGTTTTACGATGATGAACATTTCTCAGATGTCTCTTTCACTTTCGGCCAGTTTCATTGTGCCGCTATGAAACTAGCTTCACAAATTCAAACACAGCATTCCGTTGTTCCTGTTCTTGTTCCACACAGTCCGGAACTGTTTGTATCTATATTGGCTATTTTGTACAGTGGGAACGCATATTGTCCCATTGATATTGAATCTACTGAAGATCGTGTATCATTTATTTGCAAGGATGTTGAAGCTTCCTACATTCTCACAACATCTCAATATAAAACCGTTATCCCACATACTTTAACGAAAATTGATGTTAACAATTCACTGATTTCCGAACGTCTAAATGTTGACGCATTTTTGGATAAAGCTCCGTCTTTTGAAGCCACGACCAACGAAACCTCCTACGTTTTGTACACCTCGGGTTCTACTGGCACGCCGAAAGGCGTCCCCATTTCCCATGACGCTTGTACAAAGGCTATATTGTCTCATACATTTTTATATGACAAGTATCGATTAAGTAGAGGTGATCGGTGGCTACAATTTGCTAATCTAACTTTCGACGTTTCTGTGTTTGAGATTTTCGGTAACTGGAACATGGGACTTGAGCTTGTAACGGCAGCTCGAGACAGTCTGGTTGGAAGTTTGGAGTACTTAATTCGTCATTACAAAGCGAACGGATTAGAATTAACACCTACCGTTGCGAATGTCATTTCGGTAGAGGAGAATCGGGGATTGCTTTCGAGTGTTCGTATGCTTGTTTCTATCGGCGAATTACTTACGGAAAGAGTTATCGATTTTTGGGATACACGATTGGTTAACGCTTATGGACCAACAGAAACGGCGATACATGTTACCCTTAATCCATCTGTCTCACAGACATCAGTTTACTTAGTGGGCACACCCTTACAAACCGCTGAGTTATATATTTTAAACGTTAACCAAGCGTCTTGTAATGAGATCTTGGCTGAAGGATACCTAGGAGAAATCTGCGTAGCTGGTCCTCAGTTGTCTCGAGGCTATCTGCATAGAGACGACTTAAATGAGAAAGTATTTGCAAAGCTTCTCTTAGACAATTCGTCTGCCGCCATTCCGATATATCGTACTGGAGACAGTGGTCGCATTATCGACGGCCAGCTATACGTATACGGACGTATTCAAGGTGATTTGCAAGTTAAAATTCGTGGAAGACGTGTAGAACTTGGCGAAATTGAGTCAAAACTTACCAAAAGTGCGAAATCACTTGTTGTCGAGAAAATTGATCAGTCGCTGGCTGCATTTTTTGTGGGGAATAAACAAGAAGTAGAGAGAACTGCTCATGACTCCCTTCCAGCTTGGATGCGGCCTTCTGCTTTTATCCAACTTTTAGAACTCCCGCGCCTTTCGAGTGGAAAAGCTGATAGAAAAAAGTTAAAGGCCGACTTTAATACTTTACTGAAATCTCAAACGAAGCCTGATAATAATTTTGATTATTCTTTATCAGATGAAGGTAAGGCGCTGCTTCAAGCAATACATGTTGTACTTTCTCGAAAAAGACAAGATATAACAGATGCACTTATCGCTTCCTCGAATATTCTTGATTTGGGAATGGATTCACTAGATGCTGTGCAGGTTATCCGGATTTTAGGAACGAAGGGTTTTGTTTGTGGAATGGCAAAGCTAATGACCGAAACATTTTCAGATGTTTCTGCCTCATTACGATACATTTCACCACCCTTGCGTATTAAGCAGAAGTTACCTGACTGGATATGCTCTGACTTGCAAATTGGTATGCTTTACGATTCGTTGAAAGACGATCGTAAACTATTTGTAAATCAAGCTGTCATAAAAATTGATTACTCTGCTGCCGAAGTTGTAAATATATGGCCCTCACTACTCAAAATACATGATTTATTAAACTTCGGGTTTAAAATTGATGAGAAAAATCACTTCATAAAAGAAAGGACTCAACCAAAATTAGCACCAACTATAGAACATGTTTCAAAGTCTTATGATATAAGGAGGCATCTTGAAGAAGTTTCTGTTTCCGAAGAATTTCTTTTGAATGGGCCATATGACGCTAAATTGTTTGTTTTTGCAAACGATTGCACGTATCTGAGTGTAGTCATTCACCATGCACTATATGATGGTTGGTCGATAGACATCTTAATGAACAATATTGAGAAACTCTTAGGTGGAAAGACCCCGAAGGTTGCATCAAGTTATGATCTGTTTCTAAATGCAACCCACGACTATAGAGTTATGCATCAGAACAATGACGAAGCATTTTGGAAACGTGTCTTAAATGACTATAAACAGACGTGTTCTCTTCCAAAGACAACCCAGTATACTGAACTTTGTACAAAAAATGGTTTAAAAGTGTCAAGTGTTGAAGCTTTTTGTCAACGATGGCGAGTGACGCCAAACGCTCTCTTTCACGCTGCATGGTCTATCATACTTGCTAAAACGCTAAAGAGCGACGATTTAGTTGTTGGAACGGTAGTTTCGGAGCGAAGCTTTTCGATATTGCCAGATGTTGATTACGTTTTTGGACCATGCATGGCTACTCTTCCTCTTAGAACTTCCGTAAAATCTGGCTTGCAGTTCTTTAAGCATTGCCAGCTCGTCAATTACTGTTTGGCTAACACGATCGAACATAGCTCTTTGTCTTTCCACCAAATTAAAGCCTGTACTCAGTATACTGGAAATCTTGATACTGTCTTAATTCTGCAAAAAACGTCCATTGGTGTTTCCCATCCTCATGTCGTACTAAGGCACATGACGGATTACACAGAACATGGAATTCTATTAAGTATAGATATTGAAGGGAATGGCGACTTTTATTCATTCAGTATGACTTCACTACTTGAAGAAAATCTCACTAGTGAGCTTTTAACTTCTTTCGAAACCCAAGTGAAGGTTATGATAGAGAAGCCGAATGAGACTTTAAGTCTACCAAATGTAAATCATTCGCTTAACAGTATAGATAAACTATACACGGAGCAAGATACAATTCCTCAAAATAGATGGTCCTTACTAGCTAAACGCTATCTTGAGAATTTATTAAGTACTGATCTAACTACTTACTCTTATACAAAACCGCTCATTTATGCTGGTTTTGATTCCTTCATGGCTCTTCGTTTATTGTCAATTTTGAAAAAAGACGGTTTTAAAACCCTAAAGCTTACCGATTTAAAAGACTCGTCCGTAGAGTCCATCTCGTCGGCCTTGGAAACCAACTCAGGGAAACAGCAAACATCAGAAGAGCATACAAAAATTATAATCTCGCCTAGAGACATTACGTGGCCACAAAAAATCACTTCAAATGATGTCGAGGCATTTTATTATTGTACTCCTGTGCAGCAAGCTCTAATCACTAGTACGCTTACGGAAGGCATAGAACACTACTATAATTATTTTCTTTTTGACATAAAAATTGGCGTTCAGCAATTCGTAGACGCCTTTACACGTTTATGCCAAGAGACTCCTATCTTGAGAACTTGTTTTGCGTATTGCGACTCTGAAAAGAGTTCTTTCTGTCAATTGGTTCTAAAAACACTCAAAATTGAACCCCGGTATGAAGAGTACAAGGAAGGAACATTAAGTCAGTATACCACAAGCAAATTAGATTTGTTGACTTCGGGGAAACCACCGATGGATTTAATTATACTTAATTCTGATACAGCGTGTCTGGTGCTTTTAGTAATGCATCACACGTTGTATGATGCTGAGTCTTTCAACTTAATATTGGAAAGGCTCAATGATCTCATTGCAGGCGATACTTTAAGGAAAGCCGACAATATGGAGTTATTTGTCTCACACATCTATGAGTGTCAACATAATTATAATTTAGAAGACCTTGTACTGCCACTCCGTAATTACCATTCGAAAACTTTCCCTGAACTTTCCTTTGATCATGGTGAGTCCGTGAGGCAGTGTAGACAACTTGGAGCTTCACTTGATGACATTAAACAATTTTGTTCAGACGCAGGGGTTTCGATCTCCTCCCTTTTATTGACGATCTGGGCAACTTGTTTGTCAATACTTCAAGATACAGTCGATGTTTGTTTTGGTTCTGTTGTCAATGAAAGACATGAGTCACTGCATAACACGGACGAAGTCCTTGGCCCTACCTTTAACACGGTTCCAATCCGTGTCGAATTTGACAAGCAGGTTTCATTTATTAGACACTGTCAGAAGGTTGAGAAACAGAGAGTGCTTTTCAATCCACTAAGATACTTTTCGACTCGGCAAATAAAACAGGCCTTAGGTTTAGGACGGGGTCGACTATTTGATACGGTGTTTATTCTCCAATCCCAAGGCGTTTTCACTAGTGAGTATTGGAATCTTATAAATGAAAGCAGTGAGAACGATGTAAGTTATGAAATAAAGCAACGTTACTAACTAGTCTAGTTCGCTGTAATGTTGGAAGCAGTTGCCAACGAGGAATCTAAAACTGTTAATTTAACTGTTAGTACTTGGGGTGATAAATCCTCAAACGACTACCTAATTTCACTATTTGATTATCTTCTTTTGTCTTCACTGAAAATGAAGACACACAAACTCAGTGAATTAACTTTTCCCGATGGGTTTTACGAAAAGAGAGAAGCCAAAGCAAAAACAGAACCAATGGATACCACCATTCCCACATTTCTCAAACGTCCAACGATGACAAAAGGTGGTAATACTGCAGTCGTTTTCCTTTCACTGGGAGAAACTCTCAGGTACTCTTTTTTGGATATCGCCATGCTTGTCACAAAAGCTGTATGCTATTACCAAAAGACCGGAATAAAAACTGGTTCTCGAATCTTAGCAAGACTTCCTATATGTCCTGAGCTTTTAATAATCGCTTTAAGTTCTATGTTTCTTGGAATAAATTGCTACTTCTTGGATGTTGGAATTGACGACAATCACATTGATGAATATGTCTCGCTAGTTTCGCCAGATCTTACTTTCTCCGAAAAGGCTGATTTCAACTCAGCTTTAGCAAGCGCTGTTCCGGATCTCAATAACATCAAGGATTTCAAAAGTTCCGACGAACTAAAGGCTTCTGCAAAAAGTGTGTTTTTTAACTTTTTATCTAAATATGAGCAGAGCTTTGAAGCTGTCTCTGTTACTGATCTATTCGACTCTTTAACGTTTGTTAACTCTCATCTTCAAATTACTGAGAACGATCGATGCTTTCATCTACAATCTATCCTAACTGGAGCGAAATTGTCTGAGCTTCTTTTAGCATATACAGCAGGTGCAACCTCTGTTATTTTAGACTTTGAGACATCTTTAAACGATCTCACTCTGTCACTAAAAAAGCTAAACATTACCATTCTATCATCTTCACTTTCACTCTTATACCCATTAAATGATGACAACTGCGAATGTTTACGTGCCGTTATATGCCAAGGTCCCTCACCAAGACAAGTCAACAAAAAATTGAAGTCAAAGCTCTTCAGCTTTTATGCGCCAAAACGTTTACTGTATGTAGCCCTTTTTGACAAGCATCCAGCGAATTCAGCGATTCTCCGGCATTTCGCACCAACGGTTGCATGCTCTATTCGTTCTTTTGACGACACCTCAACTGTAAAATTAGTGGGTGTGCCTGGCGTGATGGCCATTGAATTCGGTTCTGGAAGCTGTTTCATCACTGAAGATGTTTTCAAGATGTCTTGCGATGGAAAATTACGTTTTGAAGCTAGTAACGTCTATTCTTACTCTAAGAGCTGTGGTGAAATGTATTTGGACAAAATAGCTAATGAAGTCATGGACAGTTTGCCCACTCTTGAGCTGCTCTTAATTATTCCTTCGTGGAATGACGAACCAATTAATTTGTATATAATCTATCTGCTAAGACATGAACAAGATGGAACTAATGAGAGAATCGAGAAAACCACGCGGAAACTTCTGGCAGAAAATCTGGAGGCTCATCTCTGTATTCGACGCTTAAAGAATGCTACAGAGTTTATTTCATCTTACGAAGAAATTTGTAACAATGTATCGAAGAAGAGCTTTCCACGAACAAGTTTGAACGCCGAGGACGGTTCATATGATTCTCAAAATGATATACTCGATGCGGATTTACTGAAACTCTTGCAAAAAGTTGGACATCACAAAGGTGAAATTCATTCATCTACACAGCTCCTCTCATTGGGTATAGATTCCCTGAATACTGTCCGGCTCGCATTCAAGTTACAAAAAATGTATTCCACCTCAATAACTGCCTCGGCCATTCTGAATTGTGACACAGTCGATGATTTACAAAAACTCATTAAAGAAACACACCCGGTTAATACGGAACGCGTTGATGAGCTTAGACAATTAACTAGGAAGCTATCTGAAGCGATAAAACAGCACATTGATTTAGGCACGCTGGATATAAAAAGTATCGTTCCTTGTGTTCAATCCCAGGTGGAAATGCTGACCTCTTTTTTTTCCAGCAACGGAGAGAAATATTTAAATTACATTACTTACGAGTTATCTGAAGAGGTTGATTTGGACAAACTGTATTATTCATGGAATTGTATTACCCAAAAGTTAGACATTCTCAAAACTATTTTTGTGCCTACGTTTCAACTTGAGCATCCATATGCGCAAGTTGTTCTGAAACAAGTTCACACCCAATGGAAGCTTCTTAATGTTGGCGAATCTCTCTCGGAATCGTTACGTTGTGCGATTGCTGAAGTGAAGGAATCGCTTCTGAAGTCTCGGCTTTCTTTGCCTTACCGGGTTATTGTAGCTAAACGTGGTCAGCAACCTGCAACGTTTACACTGTTGCTTCACCATGCTATGTTTGATGCCACATCGCTAGAGAATTTGCTGATGAAGGTAAAGGATTGCTATTACGGTGAGCTACTGCAAGATGAATATAAGTATGAGGACGTTGTTGCCCAAATATATTCAATGTCAAAACTAAAAAAGGCAAAGCAGTTCTGGGTCACGGCTGCCAATGGTTTCGATGCGACACTTTTTCCTAATCTAAACGCTACTATACCTTCAAATTCCGAAGTGAAAAAAATCACAAAGAAGTCTTCATTATCTTTACATATGTTGAAGCAGTACACCAAAAAATTTGAGTGTAGTTTGCTTTCTTTGGTGCAGCTAGCTTGGGCCAAAATATTAAGTTCATACACTGGTGAACAATCTGTTGTATTTGGATCAGTACTTTCTGGTCATAATGCATTGAAAGATTCTGAGAGTTCATTTTTTCCCTGTTTAACTACGAGTCCCGTGTTTGTTTCGTTGAATGGTTTGGTCAAAAACTGCGTGCGTCGACTTAATGAATTCAACAAGGCAAGCGTAACATATCAGTACACTTCGTTAAGAAAAGTTAAAGAATGGTTAGGCTTCCGAAGCACATCTATGCTCTTCAATACACTCTTTATTTGTCATGTTCCATCGTTGAACCACAATGATATCTTTTTGCGAGAAAGAACAAGCTATGCCAATTTAGATTACCCGCTGACATTTGAGATTGAGCTAACTGAATCTTATGTTTTATTTTCTTCTGTGTATAATACCTCTATTATTCCAGAATCTCATGCTTTATTGCTGCTTAACCAATACGAAGCTTTGTTAAATGTTCTTTTAAGCAGTCCGGAAGGAAAGATTTCAGAGCTTGAAAAGCTTTTGGATTACAAACTCCTTTCCGTAATAAAGCCAACTGTTGACGTCTATCCTTCTTCGGCGAAGTTGCTTCACCAAATGTTTGAAGTTTCGGCTACTTCCTTTCCAAATGCTGTTGCATTAGAATTTGTAACAGATATTACAACTTCCGGTTATGAAAGCAAATGTTATACATATGATAAGGTTAATCGGTTGGCAAATCAGATTGCTAGATACATACTTAAGAAAAAAGGGTCGTCTACAGCTGTTATAACAGTCTGTTTCGAAAAGTGTCCTGAAGCTTTTATTACCATCCTTGGAGTATTAAAGAGCGGATCTGCCTTTCTTGCCCTTGATCCTTCTGCACCAATTGAACGAAAACAGTTTATTGTTAAGGACAGTGCGTCCTCGCTGGTATTCGCCTCAGGAGAAACTTATGAATGTTTAAAAAATGAAAATCTTAGCGCGGAATTAGTTGATGCAAGTAATATTGCTCTTTTTAGTTCTTTCGATGAATGCAATTGTGCTGTAACAGCTACTGAGCAGGATTTATCTTATATTCTCTACACATCAGGGAGTACTGGAAAACCAAAGGGTTGTTGCTTGACTCACCAAAATGCCGTACAGGCCATACTCGCGTTTCAAGAACAACTCTCTGGCTCTATTGACGAAAATGCTCGTTGCCTGGCCTTCGCCTCTTTTCACTTTGACGTTAGCGTTCTTGAACAATACTATTCTTGGAGCACTGGTATAACATTGGTTTCAGCTCACAAACAGCTTTTGTTACGGGATTTACCACATGCAGTGCAATGTTTAAAAATTACACATATTGATTTGACTCCTAGTTTGGCGTCTATTCTGACACCGGAGAATTCGCCTTTCTTGCGTGTGTTTATCACTGGAGGTGAGAGATTACGACAGGAAGTGCTCGATATTTGGGGCAATACTGGAGTCTTGTATAACTTTTGGGGTCCAACAGAGCTTACCATTGGTGCAAGTGCATTTAGGCGGTTGCCAAGAAATGCAAGAGTGTCTAATATAGGGCCTCCATTTCCGAATTGTGGTGCATTTGTCTTATCTCCAGAAACCAATACTCCAGTATTGTTTGGAGGTATTGGTGAGATTTGTATGAGCGGAGCGCAAGTTTTTAAAGGCTATTTGAATCTTCCTGCTGCTACCGATAATCGAATAATTCAACTGAAGCCTTTCAGCGACCGCGTGTACAAAACCGGTGATTTGGGTCGTTTCCTTAAAGATAACTGTTCCATCGACTTTTTTGGCCGCGTTGATAATCAAATAAAGTTGAGGGGACAACGAATTGAAATTGACGAAATTAATACAATCGTGAAGGAATCTTCAGATCGTGTTATTGACGCGGTGACTCTTGTTGCACGGCATCCGTCACACAATAAGGATCAATTAATTACATTTCTATTTCTTGGAAAGCCTAAGTCTGATGTCTCCTTCTTTAGTTTTCTTGGTAAAAATTCTGAGATTATCAATCATATTAAGAAAGAATGTCAGACCAAGCTAGCGAACTATATGGTGCCATCTTTGTTTTTTGTTGTAAAGGAGCTTCCTTTAACACCGACTAATAAACTTGACGTTAAGAGACTTCTGCAAGAGTATGCTGCTCTGGATCAGAAATCATTGAATTTTGCTTATCGTCAAGCGAATAGTTCTTTCAAACAATCGAAAACATCCCAGCATCAGCTTGATCATAATGTTGCTGCTTTAATAGCCTCATTCACAAAGATTCCCATCTCAGATATATCTCCGGACATGTCGATATATGAGCTCGGTCTAGATTCAGTTTCAGTTGTTCTTTTAAGCTCATTGTTTCAGAAACATGGCTACTCGCTGGCCACTCCATTACAATTACAGAGCGATAATTACCTTTATCGCATATCGGAAAACTTGACAGCCAGTCACGGTCCGTCGCATCCTGCACAGAAGATGAATAGGATTCAGGTTGATTGCTCCCCTGGAATTAAAAAGTTAATCAGTATTGGATTGTTTAATAAAGTTGAACGAATAACTCCCTGTTTACCATTAGTTGAGGGCATTCTATTTGAGTTTGAAAAATCAAAGAGAGGCACTTACTGGACCGGCGTTAACTTGTCGTTCCCTAATGAGCAGTTGAAGCGAAAATTCCTCAATTTATTCAACCAAACCTACAAAAGTTACGAGGTTTTGCGATCATCGTTTATTCAAATTGATGGCGTGTACTATCAAGTATTTTGGAAGGGCAATGCAATTTCAACAGTTTCAAGAAATCTTGAAAACGAGTTTATTGTTTACAAGCCTTTTGAGCTCATTACTAAGCAGAAAGTTAATATAACTTTACGCATCTTTCACGGAGTATTTGACGGATGGTCTCTAAATCTACTACTGCATGACTACGACCGTCTGCTTAACGGTGATACACCAATTGAAAGACCAAGTTATTCTAAAACGGTTGAAACCATCTTATCGAGCGTTGACGAACAAAGCTCCCGACAATTTTATTCAAAATATTCTAGTCCGTTAATTTTACCTCGGTTAGAGTTAGAGTCTCAAGAAGGAATTGCGTACTCTCAAACGTTACATGTATCGTTTTTAAAGCTTGAGACGGTCAGAAGGAAAGTACTCCAATGCTCCCAGCAAGTTTTTTTCCTTGCGTCTTGGGCATTTTTTATCAACTCTCTCTCGACTTGCTCTTCTTTCGGTCTCATTATTGGAGGGCGTACTGGTTTTGATGATAGTAGGCTTAAGGTTCCTGGTCCATTGTTTAATACAGTCTGCTTCATGGTACCAGATGCAAAAGACATAGCTTTCTCTGATTTTGTTAAAAGGTGCCAAGAACATTTAACATTGCTATCAACTCATCAGTACGTTGCTCTAAAAAATGTTAAGAAATGGTTGAGAACAGGAACTCTTTTTAACATGCTTTTTTCATTTTTGGATAAAAGTTCTGATCCTGAGTTTAAATCTTTCAAAGTCAAAACAGATTCAGGAAGAATTGACGTTCCTTTTGCTGTTGAAATTGAAAGATTACAGCGAAGCAGATATCGGATTCATCTGACCTCTAAATATCTACGGTTCAATGGACACAAAATAGTGGATATAATTAATGAGTATGAGGCTTTCCTGTCTAGAATATTGGTAAATCCACTTCTGATTATGGATTCTCCCGAGCCTATTGTTGCATCAACTACTAATACTTCAAAATCTGGTACTCAAATTGACTCCAGTCCTTTACTTAGAAAAATTATTCAGTTACTAGATGTACGCTATTCGGTTCCCTCAGAGGCATTTTTTAATTCATCAACTATCTACGAGTTTGGAATGGACAGTATTGATTTAATATGGCTTTCATCACAACTTTCTTCCAACGGTATCGGCAAACTTGATATTGCAAAGTTTGTGGAAGATCCAAAATTTGGTAATCTCTTGAACTGCATCACCAGTGACAGTCAAGTTTTCACTACTAAAGCTGTGAATGCTTACTCAAAGCTTAAAAACTCCAATGAGTTTGCTACTCTTCAGAAGACGTACGAGCTTGTGTATCCCGCAACTTACTTGCAAGCTGGTATCTTACTCGAGAGTCTACAGGAGCAGTCTTCATACATGAATAGTGCTCTTTTTTCACTGATGAAAGGGGTGAACTTATATCAGTTGAAGAAGGCATGGCTGTCTCTAATTTCCTCTAATCCCATATTTTGCACAAAGTTTTATATACTACAAAAACCGGTAGAACAGATACGTGTTTTACAGACTATAGTATCTTCCACTGATGATTTGGTTCACTTAATTAAGGGTATATCTAGTGATGAGGTGCTGTCATTTTATGGAAAACTTCGCTCTCGTTCAATACAAGAGCTAAAACCTTTGGATGTTGTCCCCTTTCAAGTGTGGATTATTGAAACAAATAAACAAAGCTATATGTCTGTTCATATTCATCACGTGTTATATGACGGTTGGAGTTTATCGTTGATGTACCAAGAATTATCCAATCGATATATGAATATTGAAGTGCAAAAACGGCTTCCATACTCTAACTATATCGAAGCCACCTATAACAAGTGTTTAAATGCTTCGATGTGGCAATCTTTTTTTGAAAACCTGACGATGCCAAAGACGGTTTTCTCCGTGTCTTCGAACGAGCTGAAGAAAGATGAATTCGTATCAGTTGTTGATATATCTAAAATTACCTTCTTTGCTAAATCCCAAGGTGTTAGTCCTCAAACATTGTTTTATTATATTTGGGGTCACTTTTTATCAAAATACAAAGGAGAGGACCCGGTGTTTCATACAATAATGTCTGGCCGTACTCAAACAAACGGAGCCGAAACAGTTATGGGACTGTGTATGAACACGCTACCATTACGTGTGTTCTTTAAGAATTCGCTTCATGATTCTTTACTTGCTTTACAACATCTTTACAACTGTGTATCAGCGAACTCGTTTACCCCATTGACATATATACATACATATTGTCAGCAATTACGAGATGTAGAGGTGGATACCCTTTTTATATGTCAACATTCACCTTTAGAAAGAAGTGAAATATCACCTCCCTGGAAACTTTTACAAGAAGACTCAAAAATTAATTACCCGTTAGCAGTTGAAGTCGATATCTCCGATAATCATCTTTATTGGAGATCAACCTCAAGAACGAATGATCTATTTAGATTTGATTTACTTCAACATCTTGATTCTCTGCTACTTAAGCTTGTTCAAGGAGATTTAGAATTGCCAGTGTTTTCTCCCGAAAACACCTTTACGAATAAAGGTATCAAATTTGTTACGAATGATGTACGCTCATTGGTACTTTCAACATTCAATAATGTTAAAGAATGTTTCTTTAATGTCATTCATGACGATGTTGTAAATACTGAATGTTTGGTATTTTATATTTGTTTTTCTGAGAAGCTTTATAACGCGGGCGAGATTTCGGAAAAACTTACTAAATTAATTAACGAATTCTCAAAAACCGTTCGACTTTCCTTTCCTCAAGGTTTAATACCGGATATCATAATTCCCTTTGATGATAATTTAACAAAACAAATGAAGGACTCAAAGTTTCGCGAGTGTTTTTATCACCAAATAACCCCATTGAAACGACATCAATTGGCATCTTTAACAAGACCAAAGGATTCGCCTGTACAGGGACAAATTATAAAAATACTAAGTGAGACTACTGGCATTCAGGAAAATGACATCAAACCTTCGAGTTCTATATTTGAACTTGGGTTGGATTCGGTGAGTGCTATTAAAATAAGCGCGCAAATGAGGCACTCTGGTTTCGATGTTTCTGTCGCTGATATAGTCAAACATCCTTCAGCAGAGAGACTTGCGTCGTTTCTTACGGAACGAACTATGTTGCAGAGTCACAATGCGGAAGCCGCAAACCTTAACAATTTTAAATTTGACATCCAAAGAGTGGCACAACTGCTTGACGTTGACGAACGTGAAATTCAGAAAGTCTTACCAGTTTCGGCCGGCCAATTATTTGCTCTGTCCTCATGGCTTGCTACAAATAAGCGGGAATTCTGTTCAATCTTTGTCTATGACTTAATCAATATCGATGATTTCGGTCAGCTCAAGCATGCCTGGAAAGAATTGGTTGAAACGACCGACATACTACGTACTTCCTTTCTTCGCCCAGAATCCTCAAACGACAATGTACTTCAAGTTGTGCTTAATACTTCCAAAACAAATAATCTGGTCGAGCTCGCATTCGCGAGTAAGTCACAGTTTCTGGATTATCTGAAGTCGTTTGATATCAATATGACTCTAAAAACGCCTTTCAAACCATTTCTTTGTAAAACAAATGATAATTTGTTTTTGGCGTTTTATATTCATCATGCACTCTATGATGCTTGGTCCTTATTCCTGCTCATACAGAAACTGTTGGATCTTTATAACAGAAGAGAAACACGTACTTCTGGAAGTGCACAGGGTGAATTTCTGTCTTTAATCAGTGACTCTTCCATGCAAAAAGAACAGCAAGCATATTGGAACAATTACCTGAAAGGAAGTGTTAGCGCACGCTTCAATTCTCAGACAGACAAGAAGGAACGAGTGAAGCTGTTTTGTGAACATGTAACTTCAATCAGTGCTGTTAAAGCCAGATGCATCAAACTAAATGTCTCATTTCCTAGCTACTGTTTTGCCACGTTTGCTAAAGTTATGAGTACTTATCTTCGACAGAAAGATTTTACTTTTGGTATCTATGTTTCGGGACGTAACGTGAATGTTAAAAATATTGAAAACACGATATTTCCTACATTTAACGTTATTCCTTTACGATTTACAAACACGGATGACAGCATTTCTCAAATGGCTAAAACTGCACATGAATTCTTGATTTCTACAAACGGCGTTCTTCAGCAAATGCCTTTGACGCATCTTCCAATAGCAGGGTTACTAAATGTTACTATGAACTTCTTAGCGACTCCTGACGGAGGCGAAGAAGATGCTACCGGAGCTATAGTGAAACATGTGGAAAGTATTAGACCTTCAATAAAGTCTAGTACAACTTCGCTTAACGACATGATAAAGCCTTTAAATATTAGCCCACAACTTGACTTTGAAGTTAAGTTGGATGGTGAATATTTAAATCTTGGTCTGTTCTGTCATCCCGGAGTTCTTGACAGCAAACAGGCTAAATGTTTCATTGAGGGGTTTGTCTGTACTTTACATTCTGAGGTATAACTTGTTTAAACAATTATATGGGTGCTCTATTACAAAAATAAAACGTATGATATTATCCTAGGGTACATTTTAACGGTTAGAACTAACATCTAACCACTGAAGATAGAAAAGAAACACATTAATGATGACTTTTGGTGAACAAACGCGGTGCAATGTTCATAGACATTAACTCCTGGAATAGCAATTTTGCTGCGTAAGGAAGATAGATCTGGCTAAAGCGTGTCCGATTTTGGCAAGAACGGCATTCATAAGAGTTCTTTTTGAAACTGGCAATAGCAATCAAACCACAAAGATCACAGACGATTACTCGGTATGCATCCGAGCAATCGAACAGACGCTCACGTAGTACACTGCTGCAACCATGGGAAATCTGACAATCACGTTCCATTTCACCGAAACGCAGACCACCATCACGGGAACGACCCTCGACGGGTTGACGTGTAAGAATCTGGACAGGACCACGCGCACGAGCATGAATTTTATCATCGACTAAATGCTTAAGACGTTGATAGTAAGTAGGACCAAGGAACACTTGGGCCACGAGCTTTCTACCGGTATGACCGTGATACATAACTTCAAATCCACGAGAGTGAAAACCGTGAGAGCGTAACAATTTTGAAACAGCTTCAACAGTAACCTCAGTAAACGGAGTTGCATCACCTTCAAGTCCTGAAAGTGCAGAAACCTTACTCAGTTGACACTCTACAAGATGTGCAACTGTCATACGTGAAGGAATAGCGTGAGGATTAATAATAATATCAGGGACAATACCCTGTGCCGAGAACGGCATGTCTTCATGACGATAAGTCATACCGATAGTACCTTTTTGACCGTGACGAGAAGCGAACTTGTCACCAATTTGAGGGATTCTGGTACTTCTCATTCGAACTTTAACGAACTTGAGACCTTCTTGGTTGGTAGTAACCATTACCTGATCAACGATACCGCTTTCAGTACTTCTAAGAGGTGTCGATACGTCCCGCTTAGCATGAAGTTGAGTTCTCTGACCCAGTTCTTCATGATCAGGGGGCACAGGTGCAGTTTTACCGATAATAATGTCATCACCAGAAACACGAGTACCGGGAGCAATAAGGCCATCATCCTCCAACTTATCGTAGGTACCGTGTTTCATACGCAAAGTGGTAGAGCGAGTAGGTCTTTCGAACTCTTCCATGACAGTCATACCAATTTTCTTTTCTTGATCCATATAAGTACGATAGAAGATACTTCGAAAAAGACCCCGATCAATACTGCTTTGATTCATAATAATGGAATCTTCCTGATTATAACCACTGTAGCACAAAATTGCGACAATAGCATTTTGACCGGCAGGTAATTCACGGAACTTCAAATACTCCATGGAACGAGTTGTTGCTAATGGTTTTTGAGGATAGTATAGAATGTTGGCCATGGTATCCATGCGAACTTGGTAGTTGGTAAGGTAAATACCCATAGCTTGCTTACCCATAGCAGACTGATAGGTGTTACGTGGGGATTGGTTATGATCGGGGAAAGGAATAATACTTGCGAGGATACCAAGAATCATGGCTGGATGAATTTCGCAATGAGTCCAAGCGTGAACATGAGGGTTTGGTGCTGGCTTAACTCTTTTAGCAGGATCTAATTCTTCTTGCATTTCGTAACCAGCATTTGCTTGCCGAGAGAGCTCCAAATCGTCTGGACTCATGGCAATCATTACGGTTTCTTCTTCTTCGGCGTCAAGATACTCAATCAGTCCACTGGCAATCAAGCTAGACCAGCCAAATCTTTGCTCGGCATTGATGTCGAAACGATCTCTATCCTCAAGAAGTTGTTGAATATGCTCTTTACGGATACACAATTCACCCTTCGTGTCACTATTTGAGTCATTATCAACAATGAACAAAGGTCGACAAATACGACCAGCGTCTGTGAAAAGACGCAACTCTTTTTCACGGATGTCACGAACAATACTAACCTCAGCTGAAATGTCGAGACGACGACGAAGGCTTCGGAGAGTTTCGGTAAGGTGAACGGGATCCCGATGTACGCCGAGCCAAATACCATTAACAAAGACTTTAGTAGCATTGGGTGAGGCAGAAGGATTATAATCTTCCAAACTCTCCATACCCCATTCCTCAAGAAACTCGATAATTGGAGCGCTGGGCGAACCAACAGAAACGTAACTCATAAGCGAAAGGTTCTTGACAAGGCCACAAGCTTGACCTTCAGGAGTTTCAGCAGGACACACCATTCCCCAATGCGTGTTGTGCAATTGACGAGGTTTAGCAAGTTTACCATCTCTTCCAATAGGGGTGTTTGTACGACGCAAATGGGAAAGAGTTGATGCAAATGTATAGCGATTAAGCACCTGTGATACACCTACACGGTTCGCAAGACCACGCTTTTGGTCACCCCAATTACCCGTAGCAAGGGAGTAACGAAGACCATTAGTAATCGTGTTCGACTTAACAGCCAAAGTAAGATTGAATTCTCTGTTAGTTTCGACACATTTTTGCATATATTTGTAGACATCACGAGTCATTTTTTTAAAGAGCATTCGGAATAGCGATGCTAAAAGAGGACCAGCAAGATCCAAACGCTTCTTACCAAAATGGTCTCGATCATCAGGCTCACGACGCTCAAGAGCACACAGAAGCATGCGATGAACCATGTAACCCAAAAAGAAGGCTTTTCTCGTCTCAAAACCTTCTAAAGTAGTGATGTGAGGAAGCATTTCCTTTTGCAAAATGTCATGAGCATACCGAAGACGCTTTTCACGAGTGACACCAGTAGTACTACCACGTTTACCGATGTAATCAAGGGCTACATCTTTGTCTTGGATAACGAAAGCCTCTTCAATACACGGTTTCATCATTTCGAGCATTTGTAAGTCGTTGGGATCATAGCAAATGTGTTCGAGAATATCACGATCAGGAACAACGCCAAGTGCACGGAAAACAACGACAATAGGAATGTCGCTCCGAATATAAGGGAGAGTGGCTTTAATTGTTTGACCCGAATTTTCTGTACTGCGTGCCATAAGTTTAATCTGCATTGAAGAAATAAGACGACTGCCACGTTCCAAAGCAGACCGAATTTCGGCCACATATGCAATAGGGCTAGGAGCAGCTTTCCGAAAAACTTGAACAATATTTGCTGCTGAACGTTCCTGAGCAATAATAACCTTTTCCGAACCGTTGATAATGAAATAACCACCTTGGTCATATGGACACTCGTTTAGATCGTAAAGCTCGGAATCACTAACGCCATTTAAGATACAGAATGTCGAACGAAGCATAATTGGGATTTTTCCAATGAAAACCTTCGAAGGTTCATCGTCCTCTTCCTCCGTCAACCAAATTTCTTCACCGATTGGCACATTGGAGTCCTGTGCACGCATCACTTTTTTGCGCATATCAACATAAAGCGGTGAAGAATACGTCAAGTTACGAAGTCTTGCTTCTTGAGGAAACATAGTAGTAGTACTGCCATCTGCCTCCGTCATCGTAGGACGCGACAAATAAATTTGTCCAAAATTAATTTCATATCGACGTGTATAATCGCCTTGGGCACCAGTATGTTGGGCATATTGATCCAATGTCAACGTTGAATCGTCATCGACGATTTCCTGCATTGTATTTTGTACAAATTCATCGAAAGAAGAAAGCTGCTGCCGAGCAAGTGAATTCTCCTCAAAATAGGAGGAAATCACTGTCCAGCAGTCTTCTTGAGTCAATGTCTCATTGTACTGGTCTAAACAATTAGCGTCTCATCTTGTATAGGGTACATACAATCCTCATAAGACATTCTTCACCAAAAAGGCAAGTGATGGAGACGTTGGCGGTTGGTGAAGGTAGTGTCGTGTCTTGCCTCTAAACGGCTTTGAGTGCAGCAGTTGTTACTTAAGCCGATGTGGGGATGTTACCTGGAAGCGACTCAAGAAGAGATTAGGAGGAGGCAAAATAATTAAGTTCGCTTAGAGACTTAAGGTTTTCCTTATCGAGTATACAGCACCCTAGATTCATGTAAAATCTATCTGACACTAAGCCTAGACAGCTATTAACAAGAACGCTACGACCACTTACTAACTAAACTGAGAGATGCTCTAAATTCTTCACATACAGACCCCATACCCAAACGACACCAAATCACACTCAGCACATGAACCAATAGAGATCAAGTCTCATTCACCAACTAAGACCTGTTTATTTCTTGGCGGACATACGACGGAGGTAGAAAGCCAATTCCTCACCCTCCAAGATGTAACCATCGCAGCGGCCAGATTGACCAGGGCGAGAGGAAATGACAGCGTACAAACGACCAGCGGCAAATTGGGATTCCAAGGCAGAATCAATCTTGGATTGAGGAGCACGCTCGTTAAGCTTGCGTTGAACATGCTTAGACTTGGGAGTGGGAGTAGCGGTAGGCTTCTTACCCTTGCTGCCCATAACCACACCGTAGTGGGTTTCGTACCACACACGGAAGGGAGCGGCATCGATTTGAACGACGGCAGACTTGGTCAAAGTGTTGGTACGGACCAACTCGTTGTTCGAAGGGTGGTAGCTGACTTGAATGACACGAGTCTTCTTAGAAACACCCTCGGAACCCCAAGAGAAGTTACCAGAGTCCAAACGAAGAGCACGGTACTTCTTGTTTCCACCGCGAACACGGACTTCATGGATACGCTTGGGTCCAATACGAGTGTTAGCGGCTTGACGGCCCAACTCGAATTTTCTCTTCTTGCGGTACTGGGCGCGCTTGGCACCAGTAGCAGAACGCTTGTGGCGAGAATCTCTCGTAATGCCCATCCTGTTTTCTAGTCCAGAAAGAGTCTTGGTGGAAGTGGTTGGTGGCAGGGGTTTCAAGAGTTGTCAGCCAGGTGCCCACAACTGTGACTGTTTTTTTGGAGTGAGCAGACGTCTGTGAATGAAGGTTTTTAAAACAGTGATAAAGTAGGCTTAAATGAAAGTGTGAAACTTATTTATTAGAAATATGCTCTTTTTGAAGCCAAACTGAATATCACATGTGCACTTTATTTAGTGATTAAAACTAGCCTAAAATATCTTATCTTAGCGATACTATTCCCAGGCAGTTAAGAACAGCTGAACTCATGGCTCGTGAGTACTTACCCAGAACCTAATAGGTGAGAGGGTGTCTGCTTGCTTCCCTTTGTCGTTTGTTATACTGCAAGCCTTCTCAGGTACTTACAGTTTAGAGTTTGCTGGATTAATAGTTACTCGGTTTATTCTGAGAGCTTGTTCTCTGAAGACTGTAATTTAGGACAAGCAATAATACTTGCAGTGTTCTATTCTCAGACTACAATTAAACCGTAATGGACCCTAACTTCCCGTCCGGACCTAACGCACCTCGTTCACGACCTTCTAGCCGTTTGTGCAATGTTGACAAACAACCTCGTAGAGTCTCTTCCAAAAGCTCTTATAATTTAAAAAGAGAAGAAACCAATGAAGAGAGTACGGATGCTCAACCCTCGAATGACTTTGTTATGCCCGTTATAGTCGACTTTGAAGAGTCTTATGCCCCTACTAATTATGAATCCGAGCTGTATCGTCGAAGCAGTTGGCAATTGTCAAACTCGCAATCTTTTTCAAATCCACAGAATCGCATTTTGCAGGAACATGCTACCTCAGAAAATGGTGCTATAGGAGGATCAAAGGATAATCGCATAGAGGGAGAGGGACGTTCCGGAGCTCGACCTCCTCGTCCTACATCTGCAATGAGCGGAGATTCGCTGACATTGAAGGACAGACAGAATGCCTTGAATGCAACACGGGCGTTTGGTATACGTCTTTGGAAGCCTGCTGTCTATAAGAAACACCGTTCCATGGATAACGAAGCTGAGGCAGACATTCACGATGAACCCGTTAGAAGATCTAATCCGTCTCTTATTAATTTGTTTTGGGTGTTCTGTTTTGGTGTTCCACTGTTTTTTATCACGTTCAGTTGTTGGTTGGTATTACGGATTTGTTCTTGTATTGACTCTTTCCAATTGGTCCCTTATGCACAACGGTGCCAAGGATTGATGTGGTATCTTTTGTATCCATTTGGTAAACATGTTCGTCATAAACTTCACCCAGTTGGAACTGGCTCGGTCAATGGCAACAGTGCTACATACTCTCGTCGGTTCTCCGCTGATGCTCCTCCTAATTCTCCAAACTTCTTAAACTACTCCTTTGTTGTGAATCCGATGAATCGTTCACTCAATTGCAAGGCGCCAAGAACCTGGACTCTTGGTAGACTTATTTACGATTTTCTTTATTTTACGCTGCTTGCACCTTCGATGTTGCTCGTTGCTTGTATTTGCAGTTTCTCCGTTTTCTTTATCCCCTGTGCTCGTCTTCTGTTTGTTCTTTGCAAGCACTTGCGCAAATGCCCTCTTGAAATCAGCTTCCGTTCTAACGTTGCTCTCCCTCTTCCGCAAAACTCCCCTGACATGGTACTTTTGTGTATTAAGCGTGCTGCCAGTTTGAAGTATTACAAGTACACTCTGGGTGGTTGTAACATCCTTTACATTAACATGTTCTTTATTATTATTCCTACGATCGCCTTTCATTATTTATTGGAACCAGGAGCTTACTGGTTCTCCTCCCCCTCCGTAATCTTTTGTGCTGCTCTGGTGAGCATTGTCCCTTTGGCTTATTTTATCGGTATGGCTGTTGCTTCTATTTCCGCCCAAAGCAGTATGGGAATGGGTGCCTTTATCAACGCCTTCTTCGGCTCTGTTGTCGAGGTTTTTCTTTACTTAGTCGCTTTAAAGAGAGGCAACGGTAAACTTGTTGAAGGAAGTGTCGTTGGCAGTATTCTCGCAGGTGTGCTTTTAATGCCAGGATTTTCCATGTGTGCTGGTGCCGTTCGAAAGAAGTTTCAGTTCTTTAATTCCAAGTCTGCTGGAGCAACAAGCACAATGTTGCTGTTCTCTGTTCTTGCTGCATTTTCTCCTACCTTGGTTTCCCACATTTATGATACATTTGAGGAAGTTTGTGTGCCATGTGGTGAGAACTGTCAACGTTGTACGACAAAGAGTGAGTTAGATGACACACCTTTCTTCCGTAACAACATTCGTCCTTTTGCCTATTGGTGTGCAGCGTTGCTTCTTTGTGCTTACGTTGTTGGACTTTGGTTTACACTGCGTACACATGCTGCTCACATTTGGCAAAACACTGATGCTGCAATGCTTGAGGAAGAGGTGGAAGTTAATGCAACGGAAGTTGTTGAGGAAGCCCAAGCTGAACCCTCTCAAACGCAACCACCTTTGGAACGTCATTGGTCCACTTCATCTGTGGGGACACTTTCCGAACTTTTGCATGAGCGCGACTTGCTTCGCCCGCAGGCTGCTGAACAGCTCCCCTTGGATACCCGAAATGCCGAAACATCTCTTACGGAACCGGCGAAGCCTAAGAATCCTCACGGTGAGGATGCCCCTAACTGGTCTCGTGAGAGAAGTACGGTTATTTTGCTTGTTGCTACAGTTCTTTATGCTGTCATTGCAGAGATCTTGGTCAAAAATGTCGATACGGTCCTTAAGAACTTTCCCATTAATGAAAAACTACTTGGTCTCACGATTTTTGCCTTGGTGCCTAATACTACCGAATTTATGAATGCTATCTCCTTTGCTCTGAATGAAAATATTGCACTTTCTATGGAAATTGGATCAGCCTATGCCTTGCAGGTTTGCCTTCTTCAAATTCCCTGTTTGGTTGCCTATAGTGCTGCTCAGTACTACATGGCTGGAGGTGAAATTTCCTTCCACAACATTTTCCCTATGGTTTTCCCGCTTTGGGATGTCATTTGTGTCATAATTTGTGTTTTCTTGCTTACTTATGTTCATTCTGAAGGAAAGAGTAATTACTTCAAGGGAACCATTCTTGTGTTATCCTACCTTGTTTCCATTTTGGGTTTCTACTATAGTTTATAATTTGAGGAATGAAACGTTCGATAATAACGGCGTTTTTACGAGTGATTTCGTTATTCCCAAATTAAGTGGAAATCCATCCCTTTGGGAAAGGTAGGTTACTCGGCAAGCTGTCCCATCTTCGTTCGTTCCTTCCCTTTCAATTTATAATGTCATTATAATTAACTAATAGAATATTTAATAATAAATGAGCTACACTAGTAAACGGTTTACACCGAACCACAGGTGGTCTCATAAATAAACGCACAAGACAATAGAAGTTAAAACATAGAGTCATTATATTGATATAAAGGTGCACCTAAGCGCTCTTTCTGTAAACAGAATTACTAGTGGCTTGGTGAGAAGGAAGAACAGTGGTGTGTGCAATAACAGTGTTTTCTCTGCGGCTAACACAGAAGACAATAACTTCTGCAATGTCTTGCGCAACCAGAGGCTCCGTTCCTTGGTAAACACTGTCGGCCTTGGACTTGTCACCATGAAAACGAGTAAGACTGAAATCGGTTTCAACCATACCGGGATCAACTTCAATGATACGGATACGGGTATCAAGGGTCTCTTTACGCAGAGCGGAAGTAAATTGTGTAACGGCAGACTTAGTACAGCAGTACACTGAGCCTCCCTTGTAAGATTCCTGACCAGCAGTACTACCGATGTTCACAATGTCGCCCTTGCCGCCATTTTTGTAAAAGATTTGTAGCACAGCCTTAGACATTGCAATGAGGCCAACGACATTGGTGTTAATCATGGTCAAAGCTTCTTGCATGTCCAAGGTTTGGACGGTGCTAATACCCAATGCGAGACCGGCATTGTTAATAAGAATATCAACGTTCGCAAACTCTTCAGGCAAAGAGGCGATCGTAGGCTCGATCGTCTCGATCTTGGAGACATCAAGTTTCAATGGAAGCACCTTGACGCCCTCATACTTTGATTCAATTTCCTTCTTCAACTCTTCGACCAAAGGAAGACGACGAGCAGCAAGAATAAGCTTAACCTTAGCCGTCTTGGCAAGCTCAATGGCGGTACTTTTTCCGATTCCTGCAGAAGCACCAGTAATGAATATGGTTTTTCCTTCTAATCTGCTCATGATGATAGATATAATGAAATAAAGAAACAGAAACAGAAACGATTAAGGGTGGTTTTTAGAATAAAAAGAACGAACAGGACTTTATATTACTCAACAAAGAGAAGAGTTGTTTGATGATATCTCCGGATTGCTGAGATTTGCTTTGAAGGGATTGTGTGCAATGAAGTCCTTCCATGAATCATTATATACTATTTTACCCTCGCTTCTTATCGAGGATAATTACGTAATTACAATTCTATCTAAGCATCGCTATGTTAAATTATGCGACGAAATAGGCGCTAATATGTTCTCTGAAGGATTTATTTGTAAACAGGGAAGCTTTTCGAATGATTTCGTAATTAAAAATGGAAGAACAAGTAGATATTTCTGTTTTTTTAACTCATAAAGCAAACGGTAAAACAATTGCTCTTCCTCGTTTCTTACAATCTCGATTTATTTTTTTCTTCCGCAAGTAAGATTTATAAACGACCGTGGGTCTACCGCGGCCAACCAAAAGTCAAGGTGCAAGAAAAATACAATATTCTTAGAATATGAACGGTAAATTTATAAAATGATAAGAAGAATCGATTCAGTGTCGGAGATTCTGCGTAATATCGGTTTTGTTTTTTGTTTTTTTCTCATCAGTTCAGTTTATTAGTTCAATTTTTTGAGTGTTATTAGACTGTGTTTCTTCATCCATAAGTACATACATTAAAATAAGGCATGCTATTGTATGTTACATATGTCCATTTTTAGTAAATTCATCGTATAATGTTGTATACTACAAGGGCAAGACGACTAATCTACACCAAGTGAAACTCTCCATTCAATTGGTTTCTTTGACTCATTGTCAGGCGCTCTTAAGAATATATTGTAGACTCTTTCGAGTAAATATGCTTTATTATTTTAATAAATTATTGTATAAATCATAACACTAAAATGCGGATCAAAAGTTATTTGGAAGGAGGAGGTTTGAAAAAAAGTATGTATATATCAACAGGCAATGAAGCCAATGTTTTTAGAGTACAAGAATAACGTGGTCAACAAATCGACTATGTCCAAATGAGTTTCTCATTAGAGAAACCCATGTATGGAAGGAAACCTGGTTTGTTGAGACAAGTCTCAGTAACGTCTATTTTTGAATGCTCATCAGGCAATCACGCAGCACTTGGTTGGCGTTTTTCCAGTAGGTCTGACTGTCGTAACAGGAGCAGAACTGTTAACGGTGGTCGTCTTTACAGTGGCATTCTGTGATAGCAAAGGTTCTTTTCTAGTTTCAACAAAATCTTGAAACCTAGAAATGTTAGTATAAATGAAAAATAAATTTAGAAAGATCATGCACCATCCAACTTCTAATGTTGTTTTAAAGGAGAATGCTTGGCGGAAATGAAAAAGAGAAAAAGCACCGCCGCTTTCCTTTAAACAATTTGAAGAGTACAAACTTACTCTTTTCTCGCTGAGTTCACGGACAAAGGTTCTGCATTCATTAAAAATATATATTAAAGTGTACGAATTTCGGACCAGACTTGGAGAAACTCAAAATGTTCTTTAGTGGAGGAAGTGCTCATACGTCGCTGTTACTCAGTCAAAACAAGTAGTATGTATGTAACAGTGTCGTCAATTCTAGCTATTAAGGTGGTGAGACCGGATAATAACGAGGGGCAGAGGCTGGATGGAGGCTAAACCAAAGTTTATGTTTTATTAGCGCATAGTGTATTAAAGAGGTGAGCGGCGTGCGGTATTTAATGAAACCTTAAAACAATTAGTAATTGTAGGTTAAGTAGAATGAGGAATGCGATGAAGGCTGGGGATACATTAAGGAATGGTTTTTCTTTTTTAGCCTGGGTTAGTTGACGAAAGAGAACGGTTTTGTTTGCTTACGGTAGCATACTGGCCGAGTCTTAGGCACATTATAGAACTAGTAAAGAATGACGAAAGTTGATAATTAATGGATTTCCATGAACTACTTTGATTTTTACTGTAGTAGATGGCTGTAGATGTTTGCGAATATTCGTAGCAATGCATTTCACGGGTTTTTTTAACATGAAAGAAGAAAGACAAGGCTAAAGTTGTGCTTAAGCTGTTTCATTCAGATTTCTACGAAATAGAATGAGTTGTCTAAAACGTATAATCATAAAAAAGTGACTAAATTAATAAAAAAAAAAAAAAAAAAAAAAATTAGGAGCGGAAAAACCGGAATGACAGAAGTAATAAGCTAAATGAAGCAACTAAAATAGTATAATAGTTTTGACCTAGGCATCATTTATAAGTTTTGACAAACATAAGCAACTAAACGTTTCGACTTAAGCTAATAACATAGACTCCATTAAACATTTTATCGACACGAAATAACAACAAAACAATCACGCTTACATAAGATTCCAGGCCAAAGTCATGCATTACTTTGACTACAATCAACTAGACTTTTTCCAGCATATTAATATACATCAATTTCTAACCGGTTTCAACTTAAAATGGAGGGACGTTAAGCTAAACAACAAGGCTTTCAAATCCTGTACCAGATAATAAAAGACACGAAGACCTTCGGGATCCTCACTATTTTGAACATCGGCAAGACTTCCAATTTTGCATGTCTAAAAAGAGAAAATTAGTATACAAAGCTGATGCTCATAGCCCATTATCATACCTCAAACATGTAGCTTTTTCCATTCATAACAATTTCAAGCTCTTGCTTTCCATCTTTATTTTTAGGAGGCCAAAGCTTATCGGATTCACTGCACCTGTTAATAATCTGTTTAAAAAATCGTACAAAGACGAATCATTTAGCACATCATAGAGCATTTACCAGAAATCAATTCTCCATTTGCTGCTAGTGTTCATCTCGTTTTGTCAATCTATAACTTACTTTGCAATTTCACTCTCTTCAATAATTCTTTGAACTTCTTGGAGAACAAGTGGACTGACAAACACTGTTAACGGTCAATACTTGCACTTATTTAAGTTTCATGTTCCATTGTATGTTATGCGTACTTTCTTTCCGGATCAACGAATCATTTCGATAGTTTGAATTATTTGCGTAACGCGCTTACAATTAGAATCTGTTTTAAAAAATGGAAAAAAGGCATACCAAGACCGTCGTGGTGAAAGTCAAATTCTATAAAGAAAGTGTTAGTATTTCGCAAATCTATGAAGCAATCTAATATAACAAACCTAAAAATTCGTGTCCAAAACGACCATAATGTCCTGAGCTAGCCGGTTAACAATCATTATCATTACATTAACATACTAATAACGAACGTAAAAGTCTTTACTGCATCCTTTTTCAGCCATTGCCGCACGATAGAGAGGAGGGACGTGGGTTACCAATTGTACACCGTCGCAACATTTGCAAACGCCAATTAATTGAGCATTACAAAGCTTGACTGGGTCAAAAGCTATGCTTTAACATCGTTCGTGGTCAATTTTACTCATGAATTATCTTTAATGTTAACAGTCTACAACTTGAATGATTTCGTTGTTCCTTATTTTTTTGATGATTTAACACCTAACACAATAACTACATGACACTCATTTGGATAGGCCTGAAACTTCAGACAGTCTCCCGCTACGTTTGTTCCTAGTATTTAACCCTGTTTTCAATTAATAATGGCGGAATACCTTGAGACAACTACATCATTACTTCCCAAACTCAAAAGCGAGGAGCGTATAGAATTGGCACAGCCAAACGTTGGTCTCTATCTTAATGGCCATAAAAGCATCGATCATATGGAGGGTACCTTATACCTAACAAACCGTCGAATTTGTTACGTTGATGATACACAGCCCACCGTTCACTCCCTTTCAATAAACCTTACAGACGTTTCAGATTTACAGATAACTAATCGCTTTCTTCGGTCTTCTGCAAAGATCTCTGCAAAAGTCAATTCCACACGGCGTTACTTAATATGCCGAATATGTTCCTTCACCAATCACAGTTATCCACATATCCCTTGCAAGCAATGTGGTGTCGCTGGAAGATATAAAGAAATTGCTGCATCAACTGACGTTAATAATCTTGAATCCGGTCGGTGCAGCGTCTGTACTTTTCAAAACCATCCGATGATTCTTGATTGTGAGATGTGCGGTACACCTTTACGTCAATCCAAGTCCCTTGATATTAAGTTTTCGTTTCATATCGGAGGTGCTCATACCTTCTGGGGGGCACTTAATCAGAAATGCCAAGAGGCCTCGTCTACTGATTCGGACTTGAAGCAGAAACGAATACTGAAGCAAACCATTCGCGAGAAAGCCATTACCCTCGGGGGCGTTCATGCTCTACAAGTTTCTCACCAGAAGCAAGTTAAGCAATCCGGTGCTACACTGACAAGAGCTTTCCAGGACCTTAATGCTTTTATGTCTTTAGCAAAGCAAACGAACGATTTAATCAAAAACTTGTCACAACAAAGCAAAGGTAAACATATGCTGCAACTTTCTATACTTGTATGCTAACTAAAAGCAGAAACGAATTTATCACCAACCAATAATGATCTTGAGATGACGGTGACGAGGAGTTACTTTGATCAGTTTTCCTCTTATGATGTTTCACTTACGACAACAACAGAACTAAGCAAGAGCGTCGCACAGGTGTTGCACTCATATTTTAAAAAGACATCATGCGCAGCCGTAACGCTAACTGTTGCTTGGGCCATTTACAACAGAACTAGAGGAATTGATCTTATAAATCCCAGTCTTTTTCTCAGCGTTTGTCAAGAAATGGTGAAGATGAATCTTGGAATTCGGCAAATCACTTTTCCATCCGGTCTTATTGTGCTAGAGCTTGTTGATGACCACAGATCAAATGTCTTGGAACTTATAATGAGTACCATGAAGCCATATACTAGCGCTTTGGAATGTGCTGTAACTTTGGGTTGGCCTGTTAATGTCGCGTTAGAACATCTTCACCAGGCAGAAATAGAGGGCTCCATTGTACGCGATATGGATGAAGTGAAAGGCACAGGAATTAAGTATTGGAAGAATATGTTTTTAGACACAGAGTTTCAGGAAAACCCTTGATAGAATTTAGTAATAATCATTACATCGTAGTTACAACCTAAAGACTTTCTAACGACATTCAAACCTTCATCAAGACCCTCCTTATCGCAAGCGATAGCATACGAACTCATTCATAAGCAGCCAATCCGAGAGACCCTATTGTCGTCTAGAACCTGACACCTGTCAACTACCATATACATCCATCAACAGGTGTTACATCTTTCATGAAAGATGGAGGCATATGAACAAGAATTCAAGTAAGACAGTTTCATGAGTTATGTTTAAATGCAATTGGCTTACAATTAGGCTGCTCCAAGCCGATATTGAAGAGAAACTCAGTGATGTTCAACAAAACGGCGATTCGAGAGCTGCGGAGTCATGCAAACGAGCTTTAAACGAAGCTGATGAAGTGGTAAGTTTGAAGAATAAGGAAAACAAATTATTGACATAAAAAGCTTGCTCAAATTGAACTTGCATTAACAAACATTCCAACTGCGGAGCGTGGAGCTGCACAGAGTCGTGCTCGTGATTATCGTCAAAAACTTGACGGTTGGAAAACCTCACTGGTAAACATGCTTGGAAGACTGCTGATTATTGACACTTTTATAGCAAAATGAGCTTCAAGTTATGGACCGAAAGAATCTTTTTGGAAGAAGGGATCAGTCAGCCTACGGGGAAAACGATAATGATTATGACCAACGCTCGCATTTGCTGCAAGGCACAAGTCGTTTGGAGCAATCTTCGCAACGTCTTCTTGACTCGCAACGAATGGCACACGAAACGGAGGGAATCGGCGCTGGAATCTTGAGAGATCTCTATGGACAACGAACACAATTGGAACACTCAATGGGCGTGGTATGTGATACTAGATCTAAGAGCTCTCGAGCACATAGCAAACATGACCCCTCCGCTCCTTAACTTGTTTCTCTAACCTGTTTACAGTTGAACGAAACAAACAGTTATCTGGACCGCAGTTTACGGACTATCAAAACAATGGCAAGACGGTAAGTTTATTGATTTACGATTACTGTGCTAACCCATTACAGACTCGCAATGAACAGAACGATCACTACCTTGATTATTGCATTACTGATCATTCTTATTCTACTTGCACTCTACAACAAGTTTCGCTAGACGTGTTAAATGGCCTTTTTGAGAGACCCTGTTTCTTCCAAGTGAAAGACTGCATTCCGAGCGTAGTTTGCCCACATTTGGCTGGCGAGTTCAACGTTCATATTTGCCATGTTCACTTGCTACCAATGAATGAGCAGGTCGTTATTATTAAAATGGACATACCTGAAGCTTTTTATTCAATGTTATTACGGAATCATTTAGTTTCCCCAAATTATTAATTATACGTTCCAGAATAGCATTCTGCTGCTCTTCCATAGGATTGTTCATTTTGCTCTTTTCATTTATGCTATTCTGAGTACTGATATTTGAGGCGAGAAGACGTAGTAATGGTTATATTCCTTGTTACACCAGAAAACCCGAGTACGAGGTGGTGGTAGTGAAGGACTCAGAAACAGCTGCATTCAGCGGGCTGACCTCTGCATTGTTATAGTATATACATTAAAAGGTACATAGGTATAGAAAATAGCAACTGACGTGTTTATAGTAAGGTGAGAGGTATTAATGTATACTGGATGATCCAAAAATCATACTTTTTGTAGAGAGACAAAAGTCGACAGATACGAGTGAGAGCGAGTGTCAAGCAGTGCTAAGACGATTATTGTTTTCAAAAACACTTGGATACAGCAAAGGCTAAAAGTTCTACTGAGGACGCAACCGCTGTTTCAACAATAGTATTTGGTTGCGTTGTTCAGGAGGAAGCATATTAATTTGAGCTGGAGTCAAAGACATCAATTGACTAACAAGTGCATTCTAATTATCTGTTAGTAAACATAAGAACAAAAGCCTGTACATACGTAGCTGGGATCAGAGGTAGGTGGCGGAGCTTGAGCCGGTTTCCGTTGTTGTTTTTGGGCTGCATTTTGAAGTACTTGCTGAAGCACTCGTGCATCAACCATGTTCAGTAATAAGAGTATTTGAAACACTGCATATGAAAGAGCCGGTGTTGCTTTCAAAAGATTTTTTGCCTCGTCTGGTGCGACGTGCACCACCGTTTTTAGTTGCTCGACTATGTCAAGCAGCTCTTTGGCCGGGAAAGCTGACAACGTTTTCGCTATGGGAGACGTTTTGGAGATAGTTGCAGGAGCAGAGACAACAGCAGGTCCCGGAATAATCGATGGTGCTGAAGCTGCGGCAGGATTCGCCGGAAGAGAAGCTGACGATGGAAGACCATTAGGAGCTACAATAGCAGCAGCAGATGGCATATTCATGGGTCGGTATGCACTTTGACTTTGCAAAGCGGAAAGCGAGACAGCAGAAGAAGGTGGAGGTGGAGTGGGTGTCGGGTTATTGTGCATTAATGATGAGGGGGCATGTCGAATACCATCATTCGACGAGTCTGACCGACCTCTAGGATCGTTGGAAGGAAATTCTACACGGAGTTTTCTCGCACCAAACGGGAAATTATTTAAGTTCCTCACAGCTGAAGCAGCTGTTTCTGGGTCATGAAACTCACAGAATCCATATCCTTTAGGCTGATTCGTCTCCGGATCAAGTACCAATTTAAACGACCGGACCGTACCTATCTGATGAAATATATCAGCCATCTGTTTTTCAGTAGCATCGTATGGGATGTTTCCCACAAATACTACATTCCCAGCTGTCATTGACATTGCGAACGCGTCTGTTGCAGCTTTGCGTTGCGCGCGTGTTTTGGTGGTAAGCAGTAGAGATAAGATTTGCACATTTAAGGTCTTAACCTAAGATATTAGATAAATATACGTGATGCGTTGGTAGTGGTGGTGGTATCGAAAGGACTATATTCTACGTGCACCGGTCTTACCGTTTTTACAAAAAGCAAAGTGAAGCTGTGCACAGCGAAGCATCTTTAAACCTCACGTCTTTAACATCATGTTAACTCTTCTTATCATTAACAGAGCTGGATCGTTGATTTACCACAACAACTTTGCCAGCGCTCCCGTTCCGCTCTCGCAAAACGATTTTCTCGTTCTTGCAGGAACCATTCACGGGTATGTTTGAAGTGGTCGATGGGACATCGTCCTCTTATCTGCAATTTACGATGGAAGTGCGAGAAAGAGCTTCTGTTTTCATCGACGAGACCCTAGATTCACGTGCGCACTCTACTATCTCATGACCGCGTAATTCACGCACAATTTCGCTTATACTAACCTTAAAAGTGTCCATGCCATTTCAACGCAGATGAGTCCTCTGCCACAGTCTTCTGGCATTCAAACGCTTGAGTCCAAGTCCTTTAACATGCACATCCGCCAAACGCATACGGGTTTGAAGTTTATCATGTTCTGCAACAAGAAAATCACCAACGCCCAGCAAATGTTGAACAAGGCCTACGAGCTCTACGCCGACTACGCTCTCAAGAACCCCTTCTACACACTCGAAATGCCCATCCGTTGCCAACTATTTGAGGAACAGCTAAAGAGGTACATAAATTCTTATTGAAGATTTTTAGTCGAAAAGACCAAAGCCCATCTAGATAAATGTCAGCGATAGAACATAAAACAAAAACACATTTCACGACAAAACAGCCGCGAACAGCAAATAAACATACGTCTTCATCAGACTCTTCCTCTTCCTTGGCCTCTTCCTTAGCCTCCTCAGCGGCGGCCTCACCGGCAGCAGCAGCGGGGGCACCGGCGGCAGGGGCAGCAGCACCAGCACCAGAGCCAATGTTCAACAAAAGCTCCTTCAAGTCCTTGCCCTCAAGAGCCTTAGCGAAGATGGAGGCCCAGATGGGCTCAACCTCAACGTTGGCAGCCTTGGTCAAAGTCAAGAGCTTGTCGGACTGCGATAGTTAGCAAGTTACCTTTGCAGTGGTCGTGCTATTCATTACGTACGGTAATCTCGATTCCCTCGTCAGCCAAGATGAGAGCGGCGTAACTTGTGGCAAGTTCAGAAGCAGACATACTGGTGGTGTTTGGTAAAGGGCAGATGTTTCGGCTCCTGTTGTTACGGCTGTTGTGCTTTCGTGACTGTCCTCAATTTCTACCCTACCCTACAAAAATAGCTTCCTTTTCAAACTGCACACAGAAGCTTGCTACAGTGGCCTCCACAACGTTAAGTCATTTAATGTGACTTAACGTTGTGTACAACAAAATAACGTACTTCATTAAAACTTTTAAAACATCGTGAGAGATCAGTATAGATTCTTCGTTATATTACAATTTGGCCAGGAGGGAGTAAAATGGGAGGCTCGTAAGCAATGCCGTCTTTGTCAAGGGTTTCACTAGGAAGCGTCTTGTATGAGGGGGAGTAAATGTAGTACGAAAGCACAGCGTTATGGGCGGCCTTTTCGGTTAGTAAGGATTCGGGTGAGAAAAATCGTAGTCGCATACCTGCGATTGAGAGAGTTTTAAGGAACTGGCTTGACCTTGTCCAATCCGTTCTCCATCAGCATAAACGCCTACCACAAATACGGGTTCTCTGGATTTCCTGCCAGTCTCTGCCTCCAAATAGTAAACCGGCTTGGACACACCCAGCCGTCTACACAGTGCCCTCAATTGTTGTTTTGGCTTTTGGAACAGCATGAGTGTGTCTGGTGGAAGGTATCGAGACAACATAAAATTCTGAACAAACAGTCGAGCAGCAGCATTACCCTGATATTTAGTTAGCACGATATGTTAACACAACTGACGATCACAAGACAGAAATACAATTCCTCTTACTTCATGAATATAAACACCTGCCAGAATTGATAGAATTGTCCGTGCGACTGCCTCTGACTTGTATGATTCTCGACCCTGCCGAAAGCTCTCGGCAGGAACTCGCGAGTATATAATTTTTCCCATTCCATCAACGAGGTTCTCGTCCTTGCCGATAGTTTCTAGTCCAAACATCGCTGCTAACTGGTTTAAGACGGCAGTTCCGGCTAACCCGTCTTTTAAAACAGCAACTCCTTCTTCAGGAAGTCTCGGGTATTTCGTTTTTATGTATTCCAATGTATATAGATCACGAAGAACTCGTCCGATAGGCCATAACAATGAATTGGTATTAGATATGTGAGTTGGAAAGGACTTATCGATGAGAGCCCGAGCAAGCGTCCGATTAGGAAACGATTCAAGTAGACGAAGTCTTTTTTTTAGTGTGTATATCTTTACACATTGTGCTATTTTGTTAAGATCAGGTACCTGAGCCGCATTTTTCGGTATCATAGAGTTTGCCGAAACTGTCGACAGCGGTGCACAATTAAAGTACAAATAACTCTGCAGTAATCGTTTCCTAGCAACTGTAAGAAGCATTTTACAGGCAGAACACGAGAATTCTCGTCATGCAAATGTGCATATACGATGATTCCTTACCTAGGAAAGGTGGTTGAGGGGGGTATTATATACGAGGTCCCGAATTGAGACCAGATGCATTCCAAGGAACTGTAAGATGATTTTACGATGTGCAGACGCTTATGTTATGACAGACGACTCGTCTTATACACCCAAATTCGTTTTACAATTGCAAAGCCCTTCCTTCATACACACATTCCCTTATTAAAGTATATATATGGAACTTCTAATAATATTCGCGTAAAATACTTTTTATACACATGTTAGAAAAACAGATATGTTACATACACAAAAACAAAAGGAAAAGGAAAAAGAGAAAATGGAAACGGGGAACAAAGAGAAAAAGAGAAAGTATTTTTAAAGCAGCATTCGTAAAATCGTCATCACAAAGTCGTTTGGTTTCTTAAGGAATTCGTTCGTCGCCTCCGTCGCAAGACTCGGTTACCTTGATTGATACTCTTAAGGAAAAGATCGGCAAAATTGTTGCCGCCGAGCCCGATAATGTTAATTACATTACCAAGAGCGACCGCAACACAGTGATTAGTAAGCTGCAGCGATGGTCCTGCATTTGCAATAAGCAACTGGTCCTGTAAAGGTACTTTTCTTGTAAGGGAAACGTCGTCTGACTGAGAAAGCATCCAGACTTCCCAGTACTCATCAGGACTTGCATTATCGGCAGGTGACTTAGTAGTTGCTAACTCTTTCAGCGACGTATAAGAATCCACGGCGGCACGATGTATAGAGTATCGCCGCCGACGACGCAAAGATGAACTCTGCCAGCGTCGAGAGAAAGCAGTTTTTCTGCGAACACCAAATACAGATAATCCATCAGTCGTCATAGCCCAGCTACCACAATTAAACTTCTCACGAACAGTTTGCTGCATGATTGAAATTCGTTTTTCCAAATTCGGACCGTCCGGATCATGCAAATCCATTAAACTAGATTGTCGTGCATAGTAACATAAAATAGAATATGCCTCAGGATCGTCGTGAGCGTAATGATAATACTGCAATGCACCTGTTTTCTTGTGCAAAAAGCAGAGCGAGACTGATGAAACACGATACTCACCCTTGACGACGCGAAGATTACTAACGGCGGCATGTAATGTCCCTTCTTTCACACATGAAATGCCAAATGTGTGTACCTCTTGTCGTGTTGTCAGCTCAACCATTTGAATACCACTGTCTTTGACTAGCAAAATAACATCGACACCCGCAATAGCACATATATCAGCAACCTTTTCCTCAGCCAGCTTTGTTTGACCTTGGATTTCAAGCTTAGAGAATACCCATTTAGAACTCACATAGGAAGCAACAAAGACAACACCGTCGTCTGAAAGTGATACAAAACGTTGTCCAACACGAGCGTTTATAGAAACAGTTTTCCGAACCATAGAACCAATGAGTATATCAGCATCAGAACGTAACGTTAACTTTTCCGCATCTCGAGTCATTACAAAAGATTGCACATGCCCATCACCTGCTATAGCTACAAATCGTTGTGCTTCGTCATTATTTCCTTCCGTGTCAAGCCAATACGCTGTAAGTCGGACATTATTTGGAGTAGAGAATTTGCCCTTCGCGACAATTGAGGCCAGTTGTGTATCATAGATATAAAAACGATCAACAGAAAAAACCACTAGATAGGTTCCCAAACTGTTTAAAGCAACAGCTTTAATTACCTCAGGAAGTTTGTAATCATCAAGCTCAACAAGCAACTCATTTTGCAAAAGATTCCATACAACCACTTTCCGGTCAAGGCCAATACTCAAAAGAAAGGCACCATTAGCCGTAATTGATAATCTCGTAACGTCCAGCGAATGATGCGTCGGTAGCCGATATATACTGAGAACCTCATCTTGCAAAAGCGACTGAAGGCCTTCTTGGTCATCATCATCGGAACCATGAAGAAGAATTTTAACAAGCAATCCTACTGCAAAGTCGACCAGCAACAATGTATAAAAGAATGTGGACCATCTCCACAAACGACGAGCGTACAAGGACTTGTACACAGATTGAAACTCGGTTCTTGGCAAGCGGTCGCCAACTAATGGCCGATACATCGAGAGTGTTAAGTCGCCTTTCTCAACGCCTGCACCGTTAGCAAGCAAGTCAATTATTTCCGGCTGTCCCAGCCAACCGGTTTTAACAAGTGGAAGAATGTGTCTATCTTTAAGCACACGGCCGATCCGCCCAACCAACGACAGTAAAAAATACGGATCCGGTGATTTTAATTGCCAGCTTCCGTAAACCTTATGTGTATAGATATACTGAGCAGAAATGACACCCAAATATATAGATATGGTACCGACGTTATCGGAAAGCCATGGAAACCAAAGCTTCTCAGCACAATAACCAAGCCATGCATCCCAGCAATCGAAACGCACTTTCGATACACAGTCATTAAGCAAGTCTTGAAGTTCAAGACGACGAATATCGACACTAAGTACAGCAAGAAAAAATGAGTTGTGTAGTATAAAATCAATAGTAAGTGCAGCCGCAAGAAACAAACAGTATTCCTGTACCATTGGATGCAAGAAAAAACTTAAGATCAGCAGTGTTACAAGTTTTGATACAAGTGACAAGAACGTAGGGAAAAAAGAACGAAGATAGCCTTCTGTAATACGAATGGAAATTGATTTCGTAGGAACCGAGGATATCACATTCTTAATAAGGCGGAACGTGTTTTCCATATCCATAACAACGATCACTGGATATACTAGAGGGAAGGGATAAATAGGGCCACTGCGCTCAAAGAAATACAAAATGGAACAAGCGGTCAAGCAAGAAGTTACGCCCTGTATAAAGACTGTGACAGTAAGCCCAAACTTAGCTTTGATATCATGAAGACGGACGAGTGAAATATGCATGTATGTAAAAAGAAAAAGAGCGATCGTTAATATCACAGACCAAGATGTTGGCGACATCATCCCAACAACGGGTGCAATTATGGTTGACGGTGCTTCATCCATGACGTTAGTATAAAGCTTCGTGCCCGATGAAAGGGAACAACCATGAAGCAACCTGTCAAATGTATCGACGTGCTCCTGCAGAAGGAAATACGTGAGCACGTAAGCTCGAACAGTAGCGTCATTATTTGCAGTGGAACCGTTCGTAGAACCAGTCTCGTAAGACAACATATCCAATGCTGATGTGTTCACATCAGTGACCGAGAAATTGTAAACTCGGTTTTCCAGCGTATTCATGTATTCTGGTATAGGGTCTAACGTCAAACATGCTGTTTCATCCCTCTGAATACACGGGAAGTCATTTTGAGCTAGCAAATCATCAAAATGTCTCTGCCAATCGAGAACATCTTCAAGAAATGTATTGTCTGACATAGAATTGTTTGAATGAAGCATTATTAGTTGCTTTACTGCAACATTCGGTGAAGCATTGGCGTCTTCAGCCACCCATGAAGACCAACTTGATAATGCTGGATCATTAATTGTTTGTTTAAGAGCGACCAGTGCAGGGTATATTCCGGTCATAGAAAGCACCGTAAAAACGAGTATAAAGTACCATGGATTCCTAGATATGCACTGACCGAAGCGATAAATGAAGCAAGAAACATAAGGCTGAATAAATTGCTTCGATCCTCTTATTTTCCCAATGGTCGAATCTTTCATTACGTCGTAAAGAAACCAGTTGACTCATCGGCGGATGACTGTCAAACTGGGAGGAAACCGTGTTGACGAGGTGCCAGGTTGCGTTGAGAATAGGGGTACCGTCGGATCCTGCCGTCAGTGGTTATAGTTGTTTCAATGTAGATCGGACCAGATCTAAACGAACTTTAACAAATCTGATAACCTTATTTTTACCTTCAAGCAAATCAGAATAATCCACGCGATCTTGTCGATCAACCTTAAAACCTTAAAAACCCGAGATTATTAACAACACTGTCTTTAATTATAAGAAAGACAATTAAACACTGTTTTATCATTGGTATAATACAATAAAATTCAAAAAAATGAAAAATTAAAGTAGATACCAATCGTATTCATAGAAAATATCCATCATTTTTTGTAAGAGTTAGTAAAAACAATTTTCAACTTGTCAGACCTGCTGGCACCTGTTCATCGACTTGGACATTGTCGGATTGACTGGAAACAAGAGTGGCAAGGCTCTGAAGAGCTTTAGAGTAACCCTTTTCCACATCCTCAAGGGTAACGAGACGCTGGGGCACTACGCACTTATTCCGTGCACTATCAACACGAGAGGCCAGGAACCAAGCATCATTTTTGGGTAATGTGCGCAAAATGTTTAAAACAACCAAGTAGTCCTCCAACAGTTGTGCATATTGTGAACGCTGCGATACAATCATTTGCGATTGGAAACGGACCAAGCGTTCAAACAATATGGCAGCAGCTCCACGCATGTTTCCTTGATTCATGCGCCAAGCAAACAAGACATGATACCACGACGGCCGTAGCGTGACATCCACTGTGTTTAAAGCCTTCGCTTGAAGGATGTCATCAAATGTTTTTTGAAGACCCGGCATGGGAAAATTAAGAATCTGATCAACACATCCAGCATCAGCCATACTGCTTAACAGTTCAGCAAGAAATTCACGAGGCAGCTGGCGTGAAGGGACCTGCATAATAGCCATGTACGCAGTTTTAAATAACCCGGCAGCACATGCACTCTTGAACATTCGGTAGTATATGTCTGTTTCCATCGCTTTGTTGCTTTCTGTTAAAGAAGAGATAGCGAGTTCACAAAAAGTGACGGCATGTCTAAAACAAGCAGCATTCATCAGACACATGGAAATGTGAAGATAGTAACACGCAAGTGGCTCTTGGGGGTATAGTGCAGCTAAGTCTTGATAATCAACAAAGAATGCTGAAGAGAAGTCAGCTAATTCATCCACTGGAATGAATGCGCGTCGAAAAGATGCAACAGCCTTGTCGGGTTCAAGGCAGTTAAGGTAGGTATGTCCTTTCAGGTACATTTCAACGGCAGAGGTCTTTAACCAACCAATCAATTGTCTACTCAGGCTAGCTTGTCCCTGCAAGAGAAGCTGGCTCATCAACTCGATAACAAGTATGTGCCTTCTGGAAGAACAGAACAATTGACGGTAGCAAACTTGAATCAACACTGAATACAAGTCAGTTTCCGGTTTCTCGCAATTGCAGTAAAAGTCAGTATTAATTAGAGAAACGAAGAATTCAAATGCCGTAGTACAGCGGGTTTTTAATGAGTCAATTTTATCAGCTGAAGTATCAGCCATGATGGTGGAATCCGCTGATTCCTCTGCCGTAGGCTCCATCAGCAGACGAGAAGCGTCAATATAGAAGTTAATCACGCTCCAGTCGGTAAGCAGTTCAAGACACAAATTGTCGCATCCCACTAGTGTTGACTGTAGTTCCTTGCTTTCTTGAGAGGCCGCAACAAATAGGAGGAATAATAACGATTCCACGATCGTGTTCACAGCATGGAACGAATCTAAAAGACTGCGGGAAATTAAAAGGCTTGTCAGGAAAGAAGGCGTTCCGTCACTGCGTTCAAAGTCGCCAGATTTTATGGTCCGAATGAGCCGAGAAATAGTGTTCACGGGATCTTTCATAGAAAGCATCGTATCCACTAGAGCGTAAGTCATCTCTGTCGATAAGCTTTGAGAGAGATACTTGTCGTAAAACGTCCAAATAGAATCACCAACGGAATAAGTCATTTCTTGTTGAGTGAGTTCACGGAGAGCAAACCGAGATTCCGATAAAGCAGAATCAGACAGTGCATCATGAAGTAGTAATGAAAGTTTAATAATAGGTTCAGCGGCCGTTACCGAAGTATTCGTGTTCTCTACACCGGCACAAATGCTATCTGGAAGCAACGCTAATCCCAAAAGACCAATTTTGTTAGCATGAGCCGCAGCAAGGGCTGAGATACCAGGCAGGTAAACAATATCATACACCTCTTTTCCGTAATTGTCCATAAAAAGAACAAGTTTATAAAAACGATCCCACTCATTGTATAGTCTTTCACGATAACCGTCGTAATCATAATTCATAGCCTGCTGTTCAGCTTCCAATTGCACATTACCTACCACAGCATGAACAATCTTTGCTCCCAACTCTTGACGTCCCATATCGTCAAAGGAAAGTGTCGGATTGTTCAAGTCGGCGGCAGAATTTTGGCCAGTGTATATCAGAAGAGCAACTTCAAGTGCCGAAGAAGAAAGAGCTTTTTGAAAAAATATGCGCTGGAGCCATATTTCAGAAACGTCACCACTGGCCATGGAAGATGGGATATCAAAGAAATCATCGTCAGCAGCGTCTAAAGAGTTGGCGACTGGCCTCCAAGAAACCTTCACCTTGTGACCTAATTTTACGTCTGCACACTGAATCAGACAGCTCAAATTGCTTTTCCATGCCGTAGTAATCACAAGAGAATCACGGGAATTCGTATGTACACAAAGCCCTGTGACAATCCATGGCACAAATGCTTTATCGTCGGGTATGGGTGCTTGGATAGGAGAAGGTGTTAATGGACTAAGACCAAGGAAATGATTGTCTGCATTTGTTTCAATTCGAAGGAGCAAAATTGCCCCCCAGGCAACATATGGACAGTAGATAGCAAGGAAATTGTTGGATACGGTATCCAACGCCAAAAAGGCGTGAAAATAAGCTTTTGGAGCATTGTCACAAACGATAGGCAGAGTCTTTAACAACGCGTTCGTTATTGTCGAATACACACGCAAATTCATATCAGCCGTGAGAACAAAAAGAACGTTATGCGTTGCACTACAACGCAAACAAAGCACTCTGTTGGGTGGCACATAATCCGAGCGTAATGCTTGCAATGAGAGCAATTGCTTTAAAGAAGAAAGATAACCATTGTGCGAGAAATGAACATTATCAACGTAACCGTCCACTTGTTCGTCATATACAAGACGAACAAAGCCACCTTCCTGCCAGGCAACGTACAAGTTTTGTTCGTTGCTACAAGTAAGAGCCATTGGAGAGCGTACGACAAATGAAGCTGGTCGACTAATTCGGCACCAAGAACGGGGCCAATTTTCGGCAGTGCGCATAAAAGCGTCTGCGGGAAGTGTTATACTGTACAAAACACGAGCAGTAGTGAGCACAAAAAGTGACGTTTCACTGGTATGTGCATTATGGGCAAAAGTGATACCATGATCAAGAACATCTGCGGGAAAATGAATACACACACTGTACGCCGCCCCACTCGTGTCCTCAGAAATACTATCCGGGGCAACACTAAACAGCTGTACGGATTGGTTCCGTAATATCTTCCAGAAAATAGGACAGGCAGACTTCACGGGAGGAGCAAAGATACCGCTGTTCCGGGCAATCACAGTGTTTGCATACGCTGTCTCGACTTCGTTCCGTGGCCCAAAGCCGGAGGCTTGTTTATGTCTTGGGGAGCGGCTGTCAGCAAAAGCCGTAGACTCAGTAGCATCATTCTCAAAAGAGGGAACGTGAAGATGCAGCACTCCACGAAGGCCGAGTGTCTGTACGTCAAGCGAGTAGACTGTCTCCTTAAGAGGTTCCCTCATGACGAAAGAGGAATACGATCTCTTCGGTGGTGAGTTAGTGGGAATAAGCTCGCGTTGTTTAGTTTTGCCCTACAAGTCGTTGTATGACCTGCACCATTTGTCTGGTGGTAGTGATGGTGGTGTAGGGAATGTGGGGGCACCGCAAAGAGACCAAGGTGTTTAAAACAGGTTGCGCTTGTGAGGTTGGAAGTTAGATTTGGTTTAGGAAGTCCTCAAGCGTTAGGAGACTTCGAATCTGCTTTTTCTACTCGTAACAGCGTTGCATGCGGTTCGTATGACCTCACAACGCTAATGTCACGTGTTTATGAAAATCGAATAAGGTTTACAAATTAGCGAAAAAAGTCTACCTTTAGGCCAATGAAAGCTCGCAAAATATGATTCTCTGCCACGTGTGAGTTGACCAGTTATTTGCCCCACATACCATTATTCTCTGGACGGTGTGACCGTCTTCCAACGCAGCTGGGAAAACCAGACAATGATACTACAAGAAGTGGGACGTATATCACGTCGAATCGTACAAACAATAGCACGCCAGGACGGTGTCACCCTACGCCCTGGAATATGTGCGAGATATTTGCACGGGAGCAGTCGAATGGGCGTTGAATCGCAGTATCTTTTAACCACGCGTTTTCTATACAACTCACTGCGGCTACGGCAATATGCCTCCATCAGTAGCAGCACTCAGGACACAACAAAGCCAATTCCGTCATCACGGTGGTCGAAACACACACTGACCTCTCGCGATCCGCGACGTGTACAGGCGTCGGGTCCTGACGGACGCGTTTTCGAACTGCTCGTAGACGATTCTGCTGTTAAACAACTTGAGAACATATGCCGGCGGAGAAACACGGACAACGTTGGTCTACGGTTGACCGTAGAAGGCGGTGGCTGTCACGGTTACCAGGTCCTGTACTCTGTTGAATTACGCGGCAGCAATGACGACGATATGTAAGTCGATCAGCTTGAGTGTCGATCAGTCTGAAAGTTCTTACTGTATGATCTGCACGAACCGATCGACATTCTTCACACCCCCTCATTGATTCCCCCCACTAACATTATACAGAACCTTCCAACGCGGAAAGGCACGTATTTACATAGACACGATCAGTGCACCCTTGCTGCAGGGGTCGACGCTCGTGTACAAACAGGAGCTGATTGGATCTTCGTTTCAGGTGGTCGATAACCCGAATGCGAAAGACTCGTGCGGGTGCAATGTGAGTTTCGCTCTCAAAGACACCGATCCCCTGGAATGATCACACACGATGACGAATCTGCTGCGACTGCAACTGCATCAGGGCGCACAACAGCGCTGCGGATATAACTGTACTGCATTGCACGGCACTATATGTACGATTAAGAGAACGAAAAGCAAGACCCGAAACAGAATTAGAGAGGACTATTGGCGGGCTCGATGCCGCGCCCATGCTTCGTGTGTGTTGTAAGTGCACGTGTGTTTGCACGTCTTGAGGCTTGAGTGTGTAGTGCGTGTATGTATGTGTTGAGTGTCTTGACAAAAAAGGAGCAATAGGAGCAGTAGGGGCATTGGCGTTGCCTGTTCTTCCTCCACTCGACTCTAGTGCATCATCCCCACAGTGCGAGTTTTCTATTCGCCCATGATCTTACGGACGCGCTTTAAGATGGTATCCTTCTCGGGGTCGTATGGATGCTCTTTACTGGGGATTTCCAAAATAGCAGGGAATGCTTTCGTGCAGGCTTCGACACGGCCGCGAATACGGTCGGCAATATACTGGCTTATTAACACAATTGCAATATCATCCCGCTTCTCTGTGAATTCCTCAAACACGCTTTCAATTTGCGCATCTGTAGTTTCTGCACGCGTTAACAAAAAGTCTACGACAAAAAGCACATCTCGTGTGTACTATAGCAGTAATAATGCACGTACTGGTGTCGACCACAAAAAAGTTCTTGTCGCCGTTATCGTTCACCTGGCCAGTTCCAGCCAAAAGCATGCCTGTCACAGTGTTCTAGTGGGCGTTAGTAGCGGCGCTGAGCAACAAGTCTTACATCGTCACCGATGACGGCAATCAGCGTTCTCTTCGTGTAGTCAGCCATGAGGAGTAGGAGGAGAGAGAGACACGCCTGGTAATGAGAGACTTGGCATTTAAGGAGAACGAGTGCGTAGTGCGGTGGAGCTAATAAGGGAGTATCAAACATTGCGTTATGCTATATAACATAGTGTCAGTATCATTCGTTATCAATTATAACGATCGTGATACAATTTGTTATTTGTTATTATGCAATTCCGTGTACCGCTGTCGTGTTGCCCTGCGACTCGTTAGGCGACGCGGGGACTGCTGCTTATTCAGAAGATGCTGATCATCTTCATCTACCCTCTGCAAACATGCTTCGACTGAAACAATTCGTTCGTCCCAGCGTCTTTCGCTGTTTGCGCCCTCAATTTTCTGCGGGAGCACTTCGTTACTCCACAGAAACGCCAAAGAAGCCGACAGAGGGTGGTGTTGACGGGTCTGCTACCTCTGCGGCTTCTGGTTCCGAAGTCGAAGTCTTGAAGGAGCAGGTAGCCAAGAAGGACAAGGAGATTTCTGAGTTGAAGGATCAATTCCTTCGTCAAGTCGCCGATTATCGTAATTTGGAGAAGCGTGTCGAACGTGAAACCAAGCAAGCCCGAGATTTTGCCTTGCAAAAATTGGCTAAGGATTTGCTGGAGTCGCTCGACAACTTAGAGCGTGCTCTTGAAATTGTGCCTGAGGAGATGCGTAACGACACTAAGAATCACTCAGAGCTCGCCGAATTGTACAAGGGTTTGTCTATGACGGAAGAAATTCTGATGAAGACACTTAACAAGCACGGTCTGAAGCGCTACGACGGCGTTGGAGAGCACTTCAACCCCAATCTCCACGAGGCTGTCTTCTTCGTTCCCGTTCCAGACAAGGAACCGAACACGGTTTTCCATTGCGAAAGCAAGGGTTTCGACTTGAACGGCCGTGTCATCCGCCCAGCAAAGGTCGGTGTCGTTAAGGGTCCGGAGTAGAGCGAGTCACGTGCTAGCTTATCATTTAAAGGTGGCACGTGAGTAGGTACAGGGTCCGTGCTTGTTTGATCGACATCGAAGATCTGCAGAAAATCGCACAGCCTGCGCCTTTCGGCAGCAATGGATGCATGTACACTAGAAGCGGGGCAAGCAGAGCGGGGTAACGGATCTGCGGCTCAAACAGTTCTCTCTTTCTGCAGATCCTAAAACCTCGTTTCACTTAAAACAATTATCTGTTACTGCTATTTAAAAAAAACAAATATGACATTTGTAATTTCAAGCTCCCATCCCTGTTTCTTTTTTCGTTTCACTCGCACTCTAATTTCCGCTGTGGGGCTCCTATTTTCCCCTCTCTTAATGGTTGTCCCGTTGCGGGAGGGGGCGGTTTCTCACTACTACCACCAAAAGGATTGCTGCTGCATAAACGAACACGTTAAGGATCCTTACTGATTTTAAAGCGTGCCCCTACGCGGCTGTTAATGTGCCTCCTTTGCCCTTGTGCCCACACACGCAGACATCCACACCAAACCCGTAAGCACGAAGACCCACTCCTCTAATTGCGCAGGGGAAACATTCTGAGCTCTGCTTGTTGAAACGGAGTACTTGGATTTAAATTGGTTTATTTTCTTGCTTGTTTATAACCTTTGTTTCTTTGAAAGCCAGCCGTTTGTTGCCTTTTAATTAACTCCTTTTATCTTACCGGTGTCACATCTTTGGAAAGCAAAAAAAAAAGCAGACTCAATCGTATAAAAGCTCTTTATATACTAAAGGAATTATTGTCTGTAACTGTTTTGTGTCTTCGTTGTACACTTGTCAATTAAGAACTTTGGATTTTGAAATTGATACGCAAAAATTATACATACACACACACATTATTCTCAGTATCCCTCTCCCTGTCAGCTTCTTTCTTCCTCTACTGTCGCTCGTTTAATCCGACAACTTTTGTGTATTATATTACTACTTACCGTATCTAGTTTCATTTTGTGATAGTTTCTACACATTCCCTCTCTTTTCCCGTCCTATGATTCCTTATGTCTGCTATTGCAAATTTAATTAAAGAAAAACTCATTGGTACTGAACCCCAAGAAGCTGAGCGTCGTTTGCGATGGTCTTTCCGGTTAGCGGCTTCGCAAATTCTTCTGGGCAGATTGGAATGTGAACTGCTTTTGCCAGAAAGCATTGACAACTCGCATCAAGCTCTTTCTACGGCCACTTCGCTTCACACGGACAATATCCCCGAATATGCAACCAGCATCGGTTTGCCCGGTAATGCTTACATGTTCAATGATTACTTCTGCTTTATTTCCGATAACCATGAGGTGCGATTTTGCATACCGTACACTGTTATTCAGAAGGCTGCGCGCACTAGTAAGAACGGGATTGCTTCTGAGCTTCGACTTTACATGTTTCATGGTTTGACTATCACTCTTGAGTACCTGCGGGCACCGGAGGCTTTTCTTCGGTTTTGCGAATTACTACGCGATGCCTTACGTGCTCACAAATCTGAAATGCCTTCCACGGCGGAGTTTGCAAAGTCTTTCTACTCTGATTATATTTGTAGTGATTCTAAGACTCCCAGTAAAGCTGCGCAAACAAATTTCGGTTTTGGCGAAATTCATGATTATCCAACAGACGCGAAGGCTTCACGTGAACGACCAAAACTTCGTCTTTGGCGGGACTATTTCTCACAACATGGACGTAATCTAACGCTCGTTCGTTTGCCTGTATTCTCTAAACTCATCCGTATCGGTATCCCGAATAAACTTCGAGGAGAGCTTTGGGAGCTGTGTTCTGGATCTCTCTACTTGCGTTTGGAAAACCGTAATGAGTATACGCACTTGCTCAAAGTACATTCTGGGCAAGTTTCGTTTTCCATCGAGGAAATTGAAAAGGACTTGGGACGGAGCTTGCCAGAGTATCCCGCATACCAAAGTGAAGAAGGCATTAGCTCTCTTCGTAATGTCTTGGTTGCCTTTTCGTGGAAAAACCCGGATGTCGGCTATTGCCAGGCTATGAACATTGTTGCGGCTGCATTGCTAATTCATTGCAGTGAAGAACAGACTTTTTGGCTCATGCACCGACTCTGTGAATCTTATGTACCTGGCTATTACTCTAAAACTATGTATGGCACGTTGCTAGACCAGAAGGTGTTTGAAAGCTTGGTGCGGAAACTTATGCCGGTATTGTATGCTCACTTCATTAATTCAGACATTCAACTAAGCATTGTTTCTTTACCTTGGTTTTTGTCGCTTTTCTTTAGCACTATGCCGTTGCAACATGCATTTCGAATCTTGGACAGTTTTTTTCTTGAGGGGCCTCGCGTACTTTTTCAAATCGGTCTTGCAATTTTGTATCTCAATGAAGAAGAGATCTTCAAGGTTAAGGAGGATGCAATGTTTATATCCATTTTGAAGCGATACTTTTCTACGTTGGACGAGCGACCTTATCATGAATCGTTGGACAAAAGAGCTTCGAACATTACCCGTTTCCAAGAATTGCTTGTTGTGGCATTCAAAAAATTCAGTAATATTACGCATGGCGTTATTGAAGCGGAAAGAAAAAAGTTTAGTGGCACCGTAATGTCTTCTATTGAGTCATTTGCCAAACGTACACAGATTCGCAGTCTCCAAAACTATCAACCCTTGACGAAAGATGAACTTGGTATTATATACGATCGTTATTTGGCCGCTCAAACAGAACCATTGTCTACTCCTGATGATACTTCAAGTACTCATATGGATTTTGTCTGTTTCTGTCGTTTTATGGCGGGTCTCGCGGAGTGGGCAAATGATTTGGATGAGAAGTCCATCAATACACCTGCTTCGTTCATGCGGAGATTGTTTCTGCGTTTTGATAAAAGCCTTGTGGGTTCGGTATCGCTGCAAGATGTTGTGTCTGGTATTGCCGAATTAAAGGTTCGAGATGTAATGCACACCATTTCTTATATGTTTGAGCTTTATGATTCCAATGGGGACAGTTATTTGGAAAAAAACGATGTACTTATGGTTTCAGAGGCTCTCTTATGGATTACACGGTATATGGGTGATGAGTATCTGCCTGCCGTCAGTAGATTCATCCAACGCTGCTTTCATTATGCTGACGAAGCTAGCGCTGACGGTGGTGATGCCACAAATCTTGTTGATATAACTTCTTCTGAGGATGGTGATAAACGTTCTATTGGTGCCAATAGTGCGATTCGTGTGAGCTTGCCGACCTTCCGTATGGTCATTCTTTCAGTTCCGGAATTGGAGCAGCTTTTCGCAACCGGTCTCGCAGACTCTATTAAGTTAGAATCCTTGCCGCCTATGATAACGCCCTCTCGTGGTTTGCGTGGATTGCTCGACTCACTTGTCAATGATACCGCTAAACTTACCGTGGCTTTCCGGGCTCATCGGCCAGCACAAGAAACTGTTACTACCTCTTCTCCTTCAACCTCCCCATCAAAGTTGAATTCTAATTCGGAAAAAGATGATGAACTCGGCGCCGCCCACGAAAATGATAAAGATTTATTACAATTTGATCCGTTTTAACGACCTACTGCTTTTTTGCAGGACATACTCGATTCTTCCTTTTGTCCCTTTCTGCATTCATTTATACGTGTTTACCCATTCTCACTGTTTTCCCATCAACACTCTATCAATCTCATTTATTATTTGCAATGCCAATACTTTTACTTAGATTTATAAGCTAGTTCATTTCTTTACTAGAAGCTATACGACAATTTAACAGCTATCGACTATTCTTAATAATGAGTGCTATTTATACCTGCTTATATCCGTCATTCTTCGTCTTTTATCCTTAGAATTTTCTAAATAACTTTATATTATCTAAGCGAACCTTGTTTTTTTTTCCAAGGATCAACTCTACAGTGAAGAAGGCCTTAATTTGTTACACAGAACAAATGTCGACACCAGAAACTCAGTCTATTGATCTTACAAAGCTATCTATAGAGCAGCTTTCCGAGTTGGTGAAGCAGCTGAACTCGGAAATTGATTACCTGGCGACTTCTAGTGCTCAACTTTCTCAAGCTTTAACTAAGTTTACTGAGTGCATTTCTTGCGTTAAGAACGTGGTAAAGGATGAGAATAATGGTAAAGTCTTTTTATTTTTTCAGTCATAGTCCTTGATATTAATGTGGTTCCGGATAGGAAAAGAAATTTTGGTCCCTTTAACAGCCAGTCTTTATGTTCCAGGCCGTTTTAAGTTAAAAGATAACAAGGTCCTCGTTGACATTGGAACCGGTTATTTTGTTGAAAAGGTTTGCACACATCATTTAAAAGGTGTTACGACAACACATGACTAACAGTTAATTTGCTGCAGACAGCAGAGGAAGCTGCCGTGTACTATGAGGGAAAATGTGAATACTTGAGAAAGAGCATTGGGGGTTTAGAAGGAGCAATTGATGCTAAGAATGCTCAAGTTAGAGGTAAGACGGAGTGTTTTCGCAGTATCATCGTTTCGACAATATTGCATTGAGAGTCATGGCATTCAAAGGTATGAAAACTAATGCTTCAGCTGTCCAACAAATTACACAAGAAAAATTCATGAAGGAAAGAAAAACTGCTGCTAAGTAACTAACAGTTGCCCACAAGAATAATTGAGAACATTAAGGATTTAACGGAAGTTTACTTTATGGAATGAGTGTTGGATTTTCAGTCGCCCGAACTCCAGCACGTGTTGCTGCAGCCTGAAGATGTAGTATTTTGGCTGTAAGTAATGCCTCGGATACAAGGTCTTCCATTTCGTGTGTTCGTTCTTCTTCAGTGAGTTTTCCTCTCCGATGAACAGTCTATAATGTGTTAGAAGAGCCATTGTCATAGAGCATAAATAACAATCGTGTCTACGAATTCTTTGTAACGCTGTACATACCTTGTTCATACTGTCCAACTGCAAGTCCAGTAGGCCATTTTCCATAAGTTTTGTTAAGCAATTATCCACCTCTGCAACGGGAATAGACGTTTCCTCTGAGATACGTTTCAGTTGTATGTCAGAGTAAGGAAAGAGGAACTGCATGATAACATTTTGGTGAATTAATGGCATAATGGTGGGCAATTGAGGGGCCAGAAAAGGGTCAATAGAATAAAGGGGTAGATTGGAGTTAAGTATATCGCGCATATGACTGTATCGTCGGGTGTTCATCGCTTGCATACATTGCTTAAGTAAAGGATCGATTTCTGCAAACTTTGCAGCTTGATCTAAGTCGTTAAGAGTACATTTTAGTTCTTCTGCGGTAAAGCATGCCATGCAGCACAAACTCATGTATGTTGCATGATCGGCTTTAGTAAGAATACACTCTTTAAGGTCAGAATTCACATGCATAAAGTTGTCAAGGGCATGTTTATATTCCCCAAGACACATGTGTGCGAGACCGCAATAAGCATATACTGCAGATTTGATTTCAGGCGCAGTTTCCATTGTTGATTTGGCGCGCGAACCAAAAGCTAGGACATGAGAATAATTCTCAAGATAGAGGGAAACGCGCATGAGATCCAAAGATAAGTAAGCCATTTGTTCTGGGGCAACACAATATTCACGAACTTTTGCAAAAGCCCGAAGTGCATTTTCGAATTGTCCTATGTCTAGGAAAAAACGTGCAAGATCTAATTGACCCATACGAATAGATTCTCGTATAAGATTCATTTTATAAGACTTTAAATTAGAAATAAGCGCGTCAAGTCGCTGTTTTCTGTTGTAAGTGACACTCTCTATCCACGCTGTGTCTTCCGCTTCCAGTTCGGAAACCGATGAAGCAAACTCATCGCGAATAGATTTGTACAATTCAAAATCGTAAGTCTTAGATTTCAACTCTTTAAGTGCTATAGCTACAGCTTGAGGACGAACTCGTTCATTTGATCGAGCGACAAAAAGAGCTCGTTGAATTAAGCCCCATGCTTTACTAAATTAGTATATAAAACATTATAAAATGTACAATAAATGATACACACCTTCATACTCATCTAAATACTGATGAATATCCAAAGATAATGGAGAAGATGACATTTAAGTCAATTGAAACGGAAAGACGAAGTAGTTACACGAGTTTTCTGCCAGCTACTGGAGACCGTAAGCATGGATAAAGCTGCCTAGTGGATCGAGGCAGCTTATTAATAATTTAAAACTATATCAGTACGTGGAAGTAATTGAGTACACTAACCACTATATTATTAAGAAGCAGTGGAGTACGTTGAATAAATTTGTAAGATTACCCGAGGAAGTGACAATAATAAAGATTTAGGATTCGCAGAATTCAATTCTTAGATGAAATAGTAAAATGAAACTTTGTAGATGAATATTTTTTTTTTTTTTTTAGGAAAACTTTTTGAAATTACAACGAGTAGTAGTGTTTCTTTACTTTAATGATATAATTCACCTTATCTTGGCTTTCTTTTAACTTAGATATTGATTTGTGTTTTAGATTTTGAAGAAAGGACCATTCTGTTCTTCACTTAGTTTAAGCATAAGCAGTAGGTGCGCACTTCAGTTGCTAGAATATAATCTATTATATTTGACTATAACAGTTCGGCCACACTTTTGAAACAGTCTACAAAATGATAACAAGAAACAAACGAATATTATTGACTAGACTGAACTATTGGGCTAACTTTAATAACTGAGGTAGTTTTTTTTTATTTCTTATTTCTTATTTCTTATTTTTTATTTTCAGTTTTCAAAAATTTTTTAGTTTCCAAGTACAAGTTTTTTTTTATCTGCTTCCATCACAGTAGTGGAGAAGATACTGCGTATGAGCTTTTTGTTTTTTTCCATTTTTTTTGGTGAAAGAAACTGCCGGAGATTCAGTTCTTCATTTATAATTATCCGCATTTTTGGTTCCAGACACAGCCCACAGGAGAAATAGGCTGTTCCAATATTTGATGTTTTCTAGTTTTTTTTCTGCTTTAGTAGTCATAAATCCGATAGAGTCAATTGCTTTTTTCGTTAGTCCTTCTTTTATTAATAAAAATGAAGAGAAATTTGAGAGGAGTTGTAATAATTGATGCTGTTTCCAATGATGAGTCGTCGCCGTTGCTATTAGAGTCCGTTTATTAGCAATCATTCTTTTTTCCTTATTTTGTTTTTTTGTTAAATTTCGGTTTTTTCAAATTTTTTTCAAGGTTTTAAATGTTTTATTTCCACTTTTTTTGATCAGTGTTGCCGGTATCACTTGTTTTCATTCTTTTTTCATCTTTTTTCTTAAAGTATTTCGTTTTTGTTTTTGTTTTTGTTTTTGTTTTTTTTTTATTTTTATTTTTTATTCTTTATTTTTGAATTTTTTTTTTTTTTTGATATTTTAGAGTTTCATTTTTTAAGAACACATTTAGTGGACCATTTGCGTGATGGGATCAGTGTGCCGCTTTCTGTAGGTCAGCTCGAGTGATAGAACCTTTTCGTAAGTTTTGAGCCTGGAACAGCGCTCGAACATGTAACGAAGCTTTCTGTTCCAGTTGCCAAGTGCAACCTGCAAATTCTTGGGCTCGGAAGAATACTGGATATTGTTAGTAGCAGAATTTTGTGAAAAACTTACAGTTCTCTTAATCTTTGGAAGTAGTTTCTGAAAGTTGGCTAGTGCATCAATAACTTTGGGAATGCTAGTAGTCATTGCCTTGCACTTTGCCTCAAAAGTTTCTGGCGCGTCACAAACACCACGAAGTTCGATAGGACGCCATTCCTTGACTGGTTGTTTATTGTCAATGTGTGCGGTATTAGTTAAAGGAATTCCCCATCCATAATTTACGTTAGTAACACATTCGGGGAGAGGAGGGCAAGTAGCCATTGCAGCATTAAAGTTTAAAACATGACACCATTGTTGTTGATCAAGGGGAGACTCAGTAGTGAATACCAAAATTTCTCCATCGGGCAGTGTTAGGCTAACTGGGGACCGTTCAGCCATGTAACCATCTTTAATGTTAGAGACATCAGCAATAGAATTTTGAAGCTCAACTCTATGCGCAATAGAAGAATGAGAGAGCCATGTCTGTAAACTGGGTTTTCCGGCGAGATAGTAAATTTTAGGAAGTTTGTAAATGCTTAATGCCTTTTCTTCGACACTAAGAAGTAACCATTTTGAAGCTTTCGCTCTTAACCCTTTCATAGCTTCTTTGCTAGAAAAATACTTGCAATAAACCAATCCAAATTTTCTCCAAGGAACGCGTTTATCTTCCTTAGAGGCAGCAACGGTCTGTTCGTAGCTGTATGCTTTAAAATTCTTGACATCAGAGTCTGCTTCTTTGTAAACAATAGGAATGTCAGAAGTGGGTTCTTCAGTTAATGCTTCCTTGCCGAACTCAACAGATGAGTGGGAAATATCACTTTTTAGATCAGCTTGGGTGTCCTCACGGGATATCTTCTCATAAATGCGAACATCACGGCAGTCATTTTTAGTAAACTGACTTTCCGTTTCGGGCTTTGTGGATGAGCAGTTGGTTGTATCAGTTAAGACTTTACGGTCGGATGCAGTTTTGACTTTGGGAGGGGTGGGCAATCCCGTCCGGGAAATATCATCAAAGAAGTCACGAAGGTGACAGTCAATGAGAATTAAAGCATGCTCTGGAACGTTGAATTGTTTAGCAAGTCCATGTGCATAATTTAAACGTTCGCGATGTGCAATATTGAACGAGCTTAATGACTTCCACCGGTCGTTTTTCCATTGCTTGGGAATCGTAACATCCTCTGAGGATTTGTGCAAGTAACTCGCGGCTTCGAAAAGCGCCATACGCATGAATTCTGCTTTTGTGGTACGCTTTCTGTATATATTACCATCGATATGATAATTTCTGTTCAGCTTAATGCAGACATCCATTATAGATTTCACAGTTGAACAGTTCATAAAAGATAGGTCCATGTTGCATTGATGCCAACGATCTGCCAATAGATACAGCATTGGCTCTTCAAATGAATAAACAGAAGTTAGATGTAGCTTCCTGCAGATCAACTTCAATGATTCCAAAATTGACATACCTTGGAAGTTAAACTTTTTGACATAGTGCTCACGAAGGCGCTTCATTTTGTCAGTATCGTGAGAGAGCCATTCAGTTAAGTTTTTTTGAATCAAGTTGTGTTCTTGTAAAGTCCAAATACAATGAGCGAGAGTTTTTTCATCATCATACGAGCGATTGTTAACAATTTCGAAAAACTCGTGAAGTGACTTGTCGGGTAAAGTGATCAGTTCGACAAGACACCTGGGCACAATAATTCTTGGACGATTTCCTTCATATTTGATGCCTGTGATGGGGTTCTCATAACGAATCGATTTTAGTTCTCTCTCTTCTTCGGCAATCTCAGATTCATTCTTTCTCTTCTTATTCTCCGGACCAACAAGGATATCAAAAATATCAGCCTTGGAGTCGAGATTTGATTCAAGAGAAACATCGCCGTTCTCTTCTCTCTGTTCTCTAGCGACGGTCTTTTCAAAGGTTCCATCAGTCTTTTTTAAGTCTTCAGATACGGTAGCAGCAAAGTCATCATAGTCTTCAGGAGAAACCTGTGTAACAGTAACTTCGCCGCCATCTTCCGTGTCGACCGTTTCTTGGAAGTGACCGACAAGTTTGTTTTTGGACGGGTCAGTAAGAGCGCCGGAATATTCATTAGAAAATCCGCTGGCAAGTTTAGTGTTTACGGAAACGGCATCATTGGAAACGTCCCATGGACTATAGTCAGTTGTACGGTCTGGATCCTCTTGTTCGAGAACATCTTCAATGTTATACTTAGGAGGAAGGTCCGCGAGAAAGTTGTTCCTTTCAACTTTGGTAAGCTTCAGTAAACACTTGTCGGTTGTTGTTTGGGCTGATCTCGGTTTCAGCTCGAAATTGGGTTCAGGGAATACTTTCTTCTCAGGCTCTTCTTTAGGCAGATCAGGAGGGACCCAAGTAGAAGGACCAGCAATAGCAGGAATCTCTCGATGAAGATAACTGGCAGTCTTGTTCTTAATGTTGGTAAAAATTTTGGCACTTTTAGCCATAAAATTTGAGGCAGCCTTTTGAAATTGGCTTTTTTCGTCACGGGCGGGTTCAGTAACTGGGAGAGCAGGGGCGGGTTGCTCGGGTTCGGTCTTCTTTTCAACATCAGTAGTTGCAGCTTTCTTTGCTTCTTTGCGATCCATATAAGCCTTCCATCTTTTTTGCATCAAGACATTGCGTTCCTCTTTCGAAAGGTCATCCCAACGAGAAGCGGAAAGGGTTGGCTTTTGGTGCATACGAGCCTGTTTTCTTTTCTCGGCAAAGTGTCTTGACCAAGCATCTTCATGCTCTTGAACAGCACGGTCGGTGTTTGTCTGTCGCTTCTTGTTGCTAGACGGAGCTAGTTCGAAAACGGAATTACGCTTGGCAGTAGCAACCCTATTAAGGGATGCAATGGGTGCAGTAGTAGGCATGCGTTGACACTCTTTGTTTTGTTCAACGATAATACCGGACATAAAATCAGCAGTTTCCCTTGCCCTCATTTGTTGATGGGCTTCAGGCTTTCGAACATACTTAGACGGTGAAACAGCCTCACAAGGTATGCTGCGAAGCCAGTTCTTGATACCGCTAAGCTTACTGACAGGCTTGCCAGATGCATTGTTAGTGAGTGCATGCTCGGTAATCACTTCCTTGAGCCTCTTCTTTTCAACAAACTTGGAGGTAGGTCGCTGAATCTTTCCATGTGCCGGTGCCTCGCGGGATAGGGAGCGAATAGCGTTGGTAGTAATGCGAGTGTTGTTCTTTGGAATTATATGAGGATGGATTAGTTGCTCGTCAACTTCCATCGGTGTATCAATGGCAGACATGATATAAGGTAATTGCTTAATAGCGAATGGTTTCGTTTTTTTTGGATTTTGTGATTGTATACGGCGGGTTAAAGGAAGTCAGTTTTTAGACTTTACCAAAAACCAAACGTGCAATACTGAACAGTAAAGGCGCAATGAGAGTAACACTGATAGGGAATACTTGAGGAACAGTTATGAATAGCTTAGAATGAAGTATGCTTGGCGCTTGAGAGTAGACAAGTTATTGAGCAAATGTATGTTCTGAATAACGAACTTGCTCAATTATGTGGAGGCAAAGAGAAAGAGTGAGAACAGAAACGCTTATATACCTTCGTTTACAACAAACATTCGTTTATGTAAACAAAAGCTAGAACATGATTAGTTCACAGCTTAATGTCTGATCATTCATGAAATGTAAACAAACCTCATGGGACCTTCCAGTAAGCGCAGCGAGAACTGGAAGGTGAATAAACGATATGAATGTTTATTAAAGGAGGTGTTAACAAGCAGGAAACTATGCTGCGAATTCAAAGCTCGCGAACATCAAAGACGAAACCCAACCAGCAGAACAATCCTCACCTATACTAGTAAGCATCAAACATTACCCCCCTTTGGGAAGCTCCGTTTACCAAGATCACTTGGCTCACCCACTCTGAACACATTCACCGCTTCTTCAACCTGAATCTCAACAGCAGCTAATGACATAAACATGAAAGACAGAAAATGCTGCCTCAATTAGATTAGAAACATTACTGCAATAGCTCCATGAGCATAAATGGTACTATAAGCAAAGTCTACCATCAAGGCATGGTAATTGAGAGACGGAAAAAGTAAATGAGAGAAAGCGAGAAAGAAGATGGACGGGAGAGGAGAGAACAAGAAGAAATTAATGAAAACTTGCGTTCTCCACTCAATGCTCTCGACAAAATAACTCTTGTTGGCAGACGTTAAGAATTGAAAACAGGAGAATAGCATGTAATTCGTTTTCTAGCAGTATCCTTTTCGTCATTCAAGACGACTGACCAAGCTAGGCAAGTACATAACTGTTCCTGGAAAATAAGCATCACATAGTAATACAAGAGCAGAGCTCGAAAGTAACAAGTGGCAAGGAAAGTTGAAAAGAATGAACCAAGTACGAATCTCTTAAGGCAACTTTGACACAGAAATTAAAAAAGGGGTAACATAGAAACATTAAAACAAATCACATCAGAAACACAACAAAAATCATAAAAAAAAGCAAAAAAAAGGCACAAGGAAAAAGGAAGTGATAATGTGTACTGAAAAACAAGTGTCACATTCTTGCTCTGTTCAAGAGATGGGAGAAAATGAAGGCAATTTCGAAGCGCACTCACAAGAAAGAAAGGAAAAGACGCTTACAAGCAGCGTACATGAGGAATGGCAGAGAAAGTGGGAATAGTGTGATATGCGCCAGAAATGCCATACCAATTCTTTAGAAAAAATAGAATTCAAAGAAGAAAAAAAGAGAAAATAAGAAAGAAAAGAATTAAAAAGACCGAAAAACAAGGACAGAGGAATAAAAGGAAAGAAACCCCAAGCGATTCTCGGGAACACAAACAACATCTGTTTCACTCAAAAGGAGCTGAAGAAAAAGAACCAGCAGTGTCTCATCGTCCCAACGAAGCACGATCAAACAAGCAAGGCTCTGTACTGGAAAGCAGAGTGCAATTACTGCACACAGGCATCATAATTAATAAATCACCCGTTTATGAGGAACATCACGTCCACAAAGGAGGGTCAAGAGAAGTGTTGTTGTCGGAAAGATCGAAGACGGCAGCATTCGCTAGGAAGAAGTCGTCGAGGTCGTCGCCCAGCTTGCAAGGGACATCGAGAAAGGACTCGGGGAAGAGCTCATTGCTGCAGGCACGAATGTCAACCTTGCCGCAGCTTCCGGGGTAATCACATCCAACGGAAAGCAGGGAAGACGGTTCGTCCATCTCTGACAAGATGGACGAGGGCGGCTGCGACGACATGGAGTTTCGAGGCGTGTTGAACAGCGAGGTGGCCATGTCCGTCAGGGCCGAGGGACCCGACGTGGAATACGACGAGCTGCACTCTGAGGGCAAGTAAGGAGCCGCACCAGCTGTGTTTGAAGCCGCGTTCATTCCAGTGGCAGCGGCAGCGGCAGCAGTCGCACCAGCGCCATTTGCACCACTACCACCAATGCCTGCGCTGGCCAAGAAGCCGTAGGGCTCCATAGCAAAGCCAGCACTGAAGGAGCAGCTGCGGCGAGGCGGTGGTTGTCGGGGAGGGCCCAGTGGTTCTGAGACGGAAAACGTGCGCCGCATCTCAGGCACAGGCACGCCTTGCAAGGGCGTCTGGGGTGTCGTTGGGACGCTGGTGCTGAACGAAGCAACAGCGCCCATGGGATCAAATCGGTCGCCCAAGGAGGCGGTCGAGAGACGATGCAGGGAATCAAAGTTTGTAAGAGGGCAGGAGGAGGAAGAGACGCTGCCGCTGCTGCTGCCGTGGTGTCGCGCAGCTTCCAGGGAGGCCACGGCAGCAGAGGTATCGGCCATGCAAGCCATGAGACTCGCAACATCAGCGGCAGAAGGAGGTTTTTTCGTAGTCATGTGTTTAAGCAAATCTAGATCTTGTGGTGGGATTCCGCCGGCATTAGAAGAATTACGGCGCTTGCGGGGACGCGACGACGTGTGTTGGTTTTTGCGAGGACTGAACTTGTACTCGGGATGAGTCATCATGTGTCGCTGTCGTTCGAGGACAGCAAGGTCAGCATAGTACTTTTTCACCTGGACGCTCTCATTGCGCCAGAGCTGGCCAATAATGCGAGAAATGCTCTGATGATTGTTGGTGGGGATTTCGTTCTGGCGATCGCGCCGGTAGAGCATGAAGCTGTTCAGCGGGCGCTTGACGCCCGAGGCCGACGAGCCAGAGCGGGAGCTCTTTTTCGAGCGCAGGCGCGAGCGCGAGGGCGTGGACGGGGGCAGTGGGAGGAGTGGGATGGTGGAGGCGGGGGCGAGCGAAGGGTCCACCGGGGGACTGGCCGAGACGGGCCTCGGATGCGCAAGGGTCGGCGAGGGCGTCGTGGGGGCCGCGAGGCGAGCGGGGGCGCTCGACGCCAGCGGCGCGTCGAGCTCAGAGGGCGACGGTGCCGCAGGCGACGGCAGTGCGTTGGAGGTGGGCACAGTGGGGGTTGCCGCGTCGGCCCCCGCGCTGGGGCTCCGCACATGCGGGGGCTGCTGCTGCTGCTGCTGCTCGTGCGGCTGCCCGTGCTCCTCGTGGTGCTCGCCGGCCACAGGCGGCAGGTACAGCCCGACGGCAAGCGACTCGCCCAGGCCCGGGCCGGCCGCGGTGCGCGTCTCGGCGTCGCCGGCCGGCTGCGACCCCAGCGGCCCCCACATCGCCGACGCGTCGCCGAAGAGGTTCGCGGCGAGGTCGAGGGTGTCGGCGGCGGGGGTCGGTGGGGCGTTGGGGTCCGCGGTGTTTTCGTCCGAGCCCACACAGTCCTCGTGGGGGTGGACCCTGGAGTGTGGGATGCACTGAGACATTTTGTGGGCGTGCTGTGGGGGAGCTGATACGGCTGAGCAGCGTGTTGTGTTCGAATGCGTTGAGAGCTCGTGCTCGATGTTCATTTACAGAGTGGTGCGTGCGCTGTCCGGTGAAAGCGGGCTGACCGCGATCGTCGCGCTTCTGCGTTGTTCCAAATTGAAAACGTTCTTAGGCCCCGAAGACCGCGCGTGCAGGCAAAGCAAAGCGAGCAGGCGTCTTTGTACGAAGGAAAGGAACAACGGTAGTGGTTCTTTGTAGGTTTGGCAAAGAGAGTGTGGAACGGGCTCCTTTTATACTGCAACAGTGCGTCATCACAAACAATGGTTTTATCAAGCCGCGACGCGTGTCAGGGCTGTTTTTGTGCAGGCAGACGCGTCGTGTACCCGAAACCTGAAGACGCACGTAAGTCGAGTCAGGGTTCGGAAACGAGAGGACTTTGAAACACAGTCGCCACCCCCAACGCGACGCGCGCGCACGCGACGCGACTCGGGGTGGGGTAGGAGGATGCGCGCCAATGGGCGGCGGCGCAGGGGCAGCGTGCGGAATGCGTGCTGATCAATCAGTGGGCGAGGATAATCATGATGTCATTGATAGCGATATGATGGCCGGCAGTTGGAAAGGCGAGAAACCGCGCACGTGCTCACTGGCTCACTGGTTTGGAGAGTCGCTGCCGGCAGTGCGAAAGCCGACGAGCGCTTTTTTTGCGCGCAGCTTGATCAGCTCCCAGGAGTCCATGGCGGGCCGGACGTCGAGCGAAAACACGGGAGCGCCGTCGGGCGAGTCGGGCGCCTCGTAGTAGTCGATGACGTAGCGCGCGACGGAATGGTCGTCGCGCTGGACATACCAGTCGTGGCGGTCGAACGGCGGGCCCCCGTACCGAGTGGGGGCCAGCCGGCCCAGCAGCGCGTACCAGCGCGCGCGAGGGGAGGGATGGGCAGCCCGGCCTTCGAAGCGCTGCAGCGTTGGGTGGCCGTGCGGGCGTGCGAGCTTTTCCCAGGCAACAATTTCGTGCCAGACGCCCTCGTTGAGGAAATTGTGCACCTGCACCATCATGGGGACGTCATGCGGGCTCTGCTCGTAGCCTTTGCGCTCGAGGGCGCGCTGCATCTGCTCGGGCGACGGGTACTCCCAGAACGAGCCGTCTGGCTTGGGAATGCTGCTCTGGTGGGGGCGGGGGCGCGAGGACCGGAAGGGCCACCAGCGAGCGAGGAGGCCTGCCTGGCCGGCGGTGTCGGCGACGGGGCAGGCGCCGCCAGCGCCAGCAGCAGCCGGCGGCGCCTGCGACGAGGATGTGGGTTTCGTGGAGGAATCGGTGGACGCCATGAGCAGTGGGTGTGGAGAGAGAGGAGAGGAGGAGCCCGGCCGCCACGGCCGCCTCTAGCGCGACGCGTCGCGACGCGTCGCGCTCGACGCTCGGGCTGCAGGTGGGGTGGAGTGGAGGTGGGGTAGAGCGGAGGCGGTGCGGTGCGGGCGCGTCAGAGTCAATATATGCTCGGCGTGACCATCTAAGTTTCGTCTAATGCCTCCGCTCCCCCATCGCCCCCATCTCCCACCCCGCTTGCCTGCGCATGTGGAGACGCGGCGGTTACGCTGCGTAATGCTTGCGTCACGCCAGCGTCGCGTTAGCGCCGCACTAGTGCACGCTACTTCTCGTCTCCAGCAACCTTACCGGCTTATGTCACTCAGGCGTCAGCCTCGTGTCATCCAGTCCCCCTGGGGTCCTTTGTGACGCACGGCGAGCTCTCGAGATCGGGCAGCTGTTCGGCTAGCCGGCCGCGATGCCAGTGGCCAACGAGGCCGTAGCCGCCAACGCGACGCTAAGGCGGGCCGCTTAGAGAGCAAGCCGCCGTCGGGGCCTTTTGCTTGCTCCGGCAGGTCGCCCCTGTCGCATGCGTCCGTGGCCCTCCCTGGTCTGCCCTGCCCTGACTCGGCAGACATTTAGTTCTGCCTCCGGCCTTTCTTGCTCTCCTCCAATTCCTTTCCTTTTCGTTCTCGCCCTCGTAATGCCTCTGAAGAAAATTCATTCCAGCGCTCATTTCCAGCAGCTCAAAGACGACAGCGCGTACGTGCTGCTGCAGCCGCACCACGACTCGCAGGACAAGACGCTAATGGCCGAGTACGTCCGCCGTGGCTTCTTCAAGTATGCTCCGTACTTTTTCGTAGAGAAGAGTGGTAAAGGCAGCGTTGTATTCTTCCATCCCTCTGCCGATCTTTGCGGCTACCCGACAATGCTGCACGGCGGCTTCCTTGCAACAATGCTCGACGAATCGTTGGCGTACGGTGTGGGCGCCAACTTCCCCTCGCAGAAGGGCGTCACCGTGTCGTTGAAGGTGAACTACATAGCCCCTGCTCTTGCTGATCATTTGTACAAGGTAGTGTGCACGACCACTAAGGTCGAAGGCCGCAAGGCGTGGATCACCGGCGAGCTGTACCGGGTGGTCGATGCCCAGGAGGAGCAAGGCAGCAAGGAGAACGTCGAGGTGGACGGCAAGGAGCGACTGGGCAACTTGATGCTCTGTGCGCGCGCCGAGGCATTGTTCATCGAGCCTGCCTCGTACAAGGTGCGGTCGTCTGTGTCTGAGGACAAGCTGAAGAAGCCGGTGGAGTAGGGCGGCAAGGACAGTGAATGCAGCGAATGCTCGTTCATGCTCGCTCACGCTCGCATTCACTGCATTCGCTGCCAAGAGTCTTGAAGGACAGGCTCCATTGCACGAGCCAGCTGCTGGCTCGTGCAATGGAGTTCGTCTACCCCGGCATCCCCTCCACAGTGAGACAATTTTGGACAATTTTTGAATACTAATCAACTGACGAAATGACCAACACAGTCGGCACGCGGCGAGCAGTCGCCACGCGAGACGGCCAGTCCGACCACGTTCCAACTCTGCGCAGCTCAGCTCAGCACGAGGACTCGAGTCGACCGTCAACAGTCGACAGTCAGCACGCATTGCTCGCCACCCCCGTGGAGGACGTGCCAGCAAGTCTCTGCTCGTCACTCGTCTTTCGACTCCGTTCACTCCCTCCACTCCCTCCTCTCCCTCCGCTCCTCGTCCCCTGCGACATCCCTTTTGTTTTTGTTTCATTCTTCATGCCAACTGCAGTCGGCGGCGCGCGCAATCGTATCGCAGCTTCGTTTCGCCTCGACTCGACCAGTCTCCTCTCTCAGCACAGCTCATCATACAAAACATCACAGCACCACAGACGGCGCAAATCCCCAACCATTCCTTGACCCCTCTTCCCTTCCCTCAGTCCTTTCTCCTGCTGCACCCTGCTCTGTCGGCTGCGTCTGCGGCCGACGCTGCTCGACCAACCTTAACTGCTGCTCGCAGGGTCCACCCACCGACGCCCCCGCCCCCTGGATGGGAGCGGGCGTGGATGGGGAGTGGGCGTGGATGGGGACCGTGCGTGGATGGGGACCGTGCGTTTCGATCCTCGCAGAGCGTCTGCCGCAACGATCGGCGTCAAGCGAGGGTCGTCGCGGGGCGAGCAAGTCGAGGGGTGAGCAAGTCGAAGGGTTCAGGGGCTAGGGACAAGGACAAGGGATGGTGCAGGATAAGCGTCAGGTAACAATAGGTAACACTAGAGGAAGAACAGCCAGACACAGAGGTAAAAGGTCCTAAGCGAGAAGAAGGGTCCATGGAGAGCGTGGAGAGCAATGGCGACGTCAGTGTGATGAAACGGCGTCGAACGGCGCCGAACGGCGCCCGCAGTGGGTGTCGCCCGCTGCAGCTCTGTCTGCTGGTGTGGGCCAACGCAATGACGGCGATAATACCACGACCTCCACGACCTCCACGACCGCCATCACCACCGCTGCCGCTACTGCTCCCTGCTGTCGCACATTGCCGGCGCCTGTATCGTTCGGTTTTCGCTCGTCCCAATTTGGCTCGTGCGATTCTTTTCTTGCTGCACGCTCTCGTTGGTTCGTCGACGCGCCGCCGGTTTGCGATTAAGCTGATTGCACACTCCGCAACCAGCCCATTCCAATGCACACGAATAGATGGCCTCCTTGCATTCCGTTCGAACCGTGCGCGAACCTTGCAACCGCAGTGCCGTACGCCAGTGGTTGGAGCGCCTGTGCGCCAAAATGTAAAATCTATTTTTATCTTTCCGAGATATCTAATCAGAGAAACGATGACGTCGGCCAAACTGTAAATCAACCGGCTGGCATATTCCGAGCGAGTGACGCAAGAGAAACGTTGTGATGTGAAGACGCGCGCAGAATCGCTCTGTCGTGGATTCTGCTGCATGCGAGTGGATGGAGCGCGCGTAGTTGCGTGGACTCCGGTTTGCGGGAGAGCCCGCGAATGCACGCCGGCGATTGAGCAGACTCGGTGCGCGCTGATTCGCCTCTGCAGCTGTGGACCCTGTAGAGATCGGAACGAAAGCCCTGAGAACTTTATTCTGGATAAGCTTTGTGCGAGGGAAGCGACAGCTGGGTAGAGAGAGAGGGGGGGAGGAATTATAGTGGGGACTATGATGACTCTAGTAGGGACTAACTAGTGTGATGGATGATGACACAGAGAAGAGAGGGAGAGAGACACGGCTGCTGCAATTCAGTCGCTGTGGCACGGTGAATACTCAAAGTAGGGTCACGCGGTCATCCGTGACCTCTGGAATACGCATTGTCTCGTTGTCACCTCGGTTGGCCGGCAGTGAGCTCGGGGCGGGTAGTTTAGAATTAGTTAGGCCTTCCGCTGCCGTCTAGGTAAGAGGTCTTACATATTGTAATGTGATTCAGCTCCAACTGCCACTCGATGTCTGACGTTGAAACGTCAGCAATTGCAGGCGCAGCAGAAGAAAATTTTTATTCTATGTCATGAGGATGAGGCGGTGAATGAAGATGTGATGTGAGGAGGGGGGGAGAGGAGAGGAGTCGTCTTGTGTGGGTAAACAATTGATTGTGTAACGAGTGTGAGTGTGAGTGTGAGTGTGTGTAGCGCGTGTGCCTGTGTATTGCGAACGATTTCACACTCTTTCGATATACTACATTGGTTCACGAAGCGATGGCAAAATTGCTTTATTCAATGGTGGGTTAATACAATCGACAAGAGAGGCTGCTACGGTAATGCCCACGGCTCTTCGTTTCAGAAAACGCCGCTTCCTTCACTGTGCGACACATACGTTCCTTGCTACAGCTGATCAAGGACACGTCAAGAGACATTTCTTTTATTTCACAAACTGAATTGATTGAATTGAGTACTGTACTCTAAACTTTAGACCTGCTGATCTATCATAACGTGGACAGTCTCCGATCTTTCGCCAACTTCAATTCGTTAAGATAACTCCAAATTTACTTGGCTTAGTTGGATATGGTTTGTGCTATCGTTGCTCGTATTTGCCGATAGTAGACATTATCGTGCTTGAGCGGATGAAATTGAGACTAGTTCTTGTGTTTCTTGTGTGGCATCACGCGTTTTGCTTAAGAGACATTCCTTTACATTACCGAGCTGTTTTTTAGCAATTTCGATTTTTTGAGTTTTTATATACAAACTCAAAAAATCTAAATTGCATAGTCACTATAGTCGGTCAAACACTAAGACGAGTTACCTCGGTAAACTTAGTCGCTAGCTTGGAACGACCTGCATGTGATGACGGAATTGTTTCCTATGTGTGTTCCGGCTTAATTGGGTTGCCCACAGAGAATATTTCATATCAAAAGTCTTCCTAACGAGACGGAAAGTAGTCGCTTTTATTTGCATAACTAGACACGCTTGTATATCATTCAACAGATATATTGCCGTCAAACAACACTAGTCATGAAATATTAATTCAATCAAAAGTTTATTTCCTAATTGATTCTTCTGTCAACGAATAGAATAATCTATTCAGAATGCTGTTCCACTCAATTGCTCTCGTTTCAGGCGTTCCATTGTATTGAGAATGTGTTCCGTACATACCATATTTTTCAACTTTGATACTATTGTTTCCATACAAGTTCTTGTACGAACAATTATACACAGAAAAATATATCCTGAATACACTGGCTATGTGTAATACTACATTTTTAACATAACCAGGCACAGAATAAGCCCCCAAAACTATACGCTCTACTAGCGTCTCTCTACCGTCCACCATGTCTTACATCTCTTTCATAACAGACTGAATCTTCTTTTCACCTAAATCCCTAATACAACAATTGGATATGTACTTTTTGTTTGCCAGAGTGTTCATCCCGAATAGCTCCCACAGAAACAAGTACCTTTTGGAACATCTGTATGCGAATTTTGTGCTGCTTCGGTGCCTTAATGCTGACATTCAACGCATACTGAGCTTCATCAAACTCCACAACAGGTTCTGGAGTAGACAGCGTCCGAGTATAGACAATTCCCTCAAGACCAAATTTGGCAATGAAAACGACAAAACCATTTTTGAAGACCTTGATAACATGTGCCTCTTCACGAGTTTCACGGCCCTTCAACGCTTGACCAACGTAATACTCCACACTGGCACGTCCCGCCATCTGTGCCATGCGATGCCGATAGTTGATACCGTTGCAAATATCAACCAATTTTTGTTTGTTTTGCAGAGAGGGATGCAAAGTCTCGTAATCAATAGAAGCGGCCAACTGCCGATGAGCCAGCACATCGGCGTAACGACGAATGGGCGAGGTAAAATGCGTGTAAATAGGAGAGGCTAAACCGTAGTGTCGGAAGTCGGGGTATGCAAATGTTCCCGAACAAAAGTATTCGGCTGAAAGCATACAACGCGTCGTCAAGATACGAAGCAGTGTATTGAAATAGGGGTCAGCATTATCTGAACACTCATCCAGCGAGTGTGCAAGTGCTTTCGAACTATCACACTTAAGTTGCATATCCTTACACACATGCAAGATGTCTTGAAGTGCTTCAAAATTGGAAGCTGGAGGCGCGGCGTGACGACGCAAAACCGCAGTTTGTGGAAAGGTCTCATAAATTTTTTGGGCAACAGAAATGTTGGCGAGAAGCATGAACTCTTCAACAAGCGAATTCGTTTCAAGAAGCTGCTTGATCTCAATATCCATCGGGTCCGAGGTCTCATTGTCCATTTGAACCTTCACCTCAGGACTGGCGAGATTCAATGCGCCGTTGTCTAAACGTCTCTGCTTCAGTTTTTTTGAGAGACGAAGCAAAATTCGCATACCCTCCGTAAGAGGATCCTGTGCCTTTTTGTCGTCAATGCGGGCTTGCGCTTCAGCGTAGCTGAACGCTTCCTTCGAAGAAATTACGGATTTTGTAAACGAAACATTAACAACGTTCGCATTCTCATCCATTTCCCAGATGCAAGAAAACGCGAAACGCTCAATACGGGGGCGAAGAGAACAGAGATCGGTACCGAGCAACATTGGAAGCATATCAATACGTTTATCGACCAAATAAACTGTGGTACCGCGCGAAGAAGCTTCGGCATCCATTGCGGTGCTTGGCTTGACAAAATGTGTTACATCAGCAATGTGAACACCTACCTCGTAATTACCATTCGGCAACGGACGCGCATGAAGAGCATCATCAATATCTTGACACCCAGGAGGATCAATACTGCAAACAAGCAGTTCTCGAAAATCAGCACGCTTATGCCACAACGGATCGCTTTTATCTTGCGGAACACGCCATTCATGACCTTCAGCGGGCAAACAATCCAAAACAGATTTGGGAAAGGGGCGATACTGTACATCGTACTCGAGCAATAATGCTTCCGTTTCTGCTTCCTTCGTCTCCATTTCACCCAGCGCGCGCACGAAATGGCCCTCCGGGTAGCGACTGTCAATGTCCCAGTTGTCTACTGACACAACGATCCGCTGTCCTAGCAAACGTGAAATTTGACGAGTACGGAACCGGATTTTGGGCACACGGCGATCCATAGGAGTTAACAGTACAGACTGTTGAGAACTGCCGGTACGATTTGCAACGCTGGCCATGTCAACATGGCCAACGTATGGACGCCAATTGCGCTTCAGGATACCCACAACACGAGCCGTCGGCAGAATATGTTTACGGGCAACTTCCTTTTCATTTTCGGCTTGGAAGGCACTTTCGTCTTGGGCGACGGGTTCCTCGACTTGTTCCTCATCGTTTTCATCTGATGCAATTTCGCTCGTTTCCGTTTTCCATTCGCTTTGAGGCAATATTTCAATAGCAACAAGATCACCTTGTACAGAACGATTCAAGTTCGAACGCCCCAGAATAATTACTGGCTTATCGTAACCGAGCACAGAGACAGTACCTTCCAGAAAGTTATACGGGTTGATGTTGACGATGCCCTTGTGGATTTCACCGTTTTTAATGCAAGTAAGCATGCGTGACATAGACCAATGCTGCGTAAAAAGAGTTTTGCCAGCAGTTCGAGACTCGCGCTCAGCTTGGGCCTCAGCATTAGCGGAAATCATATCAAGTAAAATGTCTGCGTCCGGCAGTTTTGTAATGTATTCCTTTGTAGAGCTGACTTGCAAGCCTTCCTCACGAGCTTTACGACCATTTTCAGCATCATCTGTCAACAGCACAACATTGATACCAACGCCTGCAAGATGATTCGCATACCAGTGCGTAGCCTTCCGAATAGCTCTATCGTTTCTGTCATTCACCTCTTCCTCGTCCACCTTCGTGATATAGGTATCTGAGAAGAACTCATTTGAGAATGTGACAAAACGCTTCGTCTTCTCCTGACACACGCGCTTTACGCGGTTGTAAAGAGGAATAGAACGTCCTGAAAGCTCGGAAAGTACAGTCTGTAATACGATGACATCAAAAAAGTTGTTAGGGTTTTCCAATAAATCCATGCAATGAATGAAAACATTGGTATCTGGGACCAAGTAGTGTTTACCATATTGTTCCAAGTGGAAAGGATTTTCGGAAAGAATTGGTTTTAAAGCTAAAACGAGTGTGTCAGAACGGGGAATCGTAATTAATCTACCACTAGAAGAACGAACCAGCATTTAGCACATAAATTGTTTCACATACAAAATCTCGTTCAGTTCCCCAAAACAATTTCTCTTACCATTTCCATTGAAATCCACTGGCTCCTTCGAGACACAAACGGTGCATGCACAACTATGACATGGAATATCATCCCGTAGGTAGTGTTCACGTACAATTTTCTGAACCTTTCCGCGAACCGAACGAGCAAAAACTTTGTTCAGTATGTTTGAAGAGCCGGAAGACCTTTTCCGTTCTACAATGCTAATCATTTTAAAGGCACCAGGCAAAGGCTCGTGGAGGGAAGGTTCGACTGAAGTGCTTCTTTCCCTGCTGTGTATCGTATATTCATTTTTTGGTGTAGCACTATTAAGCTATTTAGGGTTTCGTGTAAGCGAGAATGACGCATGGATATAGAGTTTATTCCAGTGAATGCCGATGGATGGTCTTTGCTCAAAGGCTGCACTTTACGCCTGGAGAGCTAAAGTTCGGTAGTATTACAGCGTTGTCGCGCATGTACATATTGAAATATCGTTAGTGAAAGTGAAGAAACGAATTTAGCGAACTTTAAAACTGGACGCGTGCAAGTTACAGAGTTACAGATATGTCAGAAAATGTTGAGACATCCACGCCCCCTGTTGAGACTAAAATTGTGGATGAGCAAGTTGTAGATAAAAATATACCTAAGGAGCCTACCTTTCTCGAAGGTAATGAACCGACAAATGACGAAAAAGAACATGATTCCTCGAATAAAAGTGATGAAGACCAAAAAACGGAATTAAACCGTTCAACAGTGAAAGAAGAGACGAAGGAGGAGCATCCTACTCATGAACAGGAGGCTGAGGATAAACAGGAGCTGAAAGTGGAACAAGGTCAGAAAAAGGAGAAGGAACCTGCAGGGAAACCGGAAGCCAGCCTAAAGAATAATCAAACGACGGAGAAAAAGGCTAGTTCTGGGACTACAGATGATACTAATCCTGGCAATTCGAACCAGGGAATAACAAAAATTATTGATAAGTATGGTCGTTTGCAAAATGGACTCGAATACAAAGCTCGAACGTTCTGCTTGACAGGACGTGGAAATGTTTTATACATGCTTGGAACAGAATGCGCCCGGTTATTGGGGTTCAAAGACAGCTATTTTCTGTTTCATAAAACACCTTCTCTGCGAAAGATTGTGACAACACCGGCAGAAAAAGAAGAGCTTATACAAATGGGGTTGCTTCTTCAGAATTTTCGTTCGCGTCAGGTCAGTATTGTGCCTGCTCGGCAGATATTCATGGTTTTTGGTGCCCGAATATTGGTCCATGGTTCTGTCGATCCTTCAGCCCACAAAATGCTCTTTGAACAAGGTATTGCCTGGGCTGATGATGAGTATCACAAGCTTGACAGTAAATCCACCGTATCTTCATCAGCAGGAACGCCTGGCCGTACAGACGGCCGTGGAGACACTCCTTCTGAAAGCTCTACTGACATTGAACCAACGCCTCCTGATGATTTTCAGGCAGCACTTCGCAATGCAGTAGACTATAATGCGGAATTATTCAAGGAACGTAAACGCCGGCTGGATGCTGCACATTATTTTTACTACGGTCAGACAAAACATTGATTTTCTATGGATCCACACACACTTAACTAAGAGTGACCGAATTCTTGACTCTTTTACACAAAAAAATGCTTATGGATCGATTCTTGAAAAACGTTTTAGTGTTTATCAACCGACTGTCGGATTCTAATGTCCCATGCTAATGTAAATCTCTTACTCAATTAAACATAGGAAAAAAAAAACAATCTCTCCTCACGACAGGTCAATTCGTTTCGGTCCTCCAATCGTGATCATTAACATTGTCCGATGTTGAACATTATGTTACTTCATTCAACACATGTTATCTTTACCTTCGTTTCATCTTCTAAACTTTCACTCTTTTTTTTCTTTTATTTTTCTTTTTGTAATTTCGATTACATGTTGCCTATTCTGTTATAGGGCAGCTATTCCCAATCTTTTAATTTCCCTTTTTGCTAAAAGGTGTACCATCTTATATCGACACCGGTTTGCGTACTTTAATATACTAAAATATAATAGCTCTTATTGACGTATACGTATAAAAATTCTGTCACATATCCCTAAGATATCGTAAATACAGCTTTTCACCTACTCACCGACCCTAGACTGTCCTTTCATTGTTTTCAAGCAAAACTTTACACCAATAACGCCGCCGCTAGAAGCCTACCGGCTAAGAAACCAAATTTCACCACCGCGAGTAGACACCACTTGTCCTCTCCCATTCACTTCAAACCACCACGATGGTCTCTCTGAGTATGTGAATATGCATAAATAATACAGTGGGAACCGATACTAATATTAATATAGAAAAGAAAAGTAAAAGAAGAACGACTCGTCTGCGGAACAAAATTGAAAAGCAGGCTGCCAGCGCCAAGCGTAAGGAGAGAAAACTTGCAAAGAAAAATCCTCAATGGAAGTCTCGTATACCCAAGGACCCCGGTATTCCCAACTCTTTTCCTTTCAAGGAAGAACTTCTTGCACAGATTGAGGATCAAAAGAGAATAAAAGAAGAGGAACGCATGCTGAGAAAGCAAGCTGCTAAGGAAAACAATGGGGACGGCGACATGGCTATTGAAGATGCTGCTATGAACGAAGAGGGCGAACAAGAAAGCATGATGGAGCGTCTTGCTAAGGTTGCTCAGGCTAATGACGCTGAGGATGGTTCTGGTGACATGGTCGTGATGGATGAAGACGATGATGGAGCTGATGTTCCTCAACTTGTCTCTAACGATGCCGATACTCGCATGGATGGTTCCCGTAAGGATCTGTCTCGCAAGGCTTTCGACAAGGAGTTTAAAAAGGTTATCCAAATGGCCGATGTAATTCTTTACGTGCTTGACGCTCGTGATCCCGAAGGCACTCGCTCGAGGGATGTCGAACGGCAGGTACTTATGTCTGTCAACGAGGACAAACGCCTAATTTTTGTCGTTAACAAAATTGACCTCGTTCCTTTAGACGTTCTTAATAAGTGGCTCAAGTATTTGCGCACCTTCTTCCCTGCAATTCCTTTACGGTCTTCTTCTAGCAACTTGCCAAACACATTCAATCACAAGTCCTTGACCGTGTCTTCCACTTCTTCTAACCTGTTCAAGTCACTGAAGGCATATGCCGCAAAGAAAAAGCTGAAGAGCTCTTTGACAGTCGGCGTTATTGGGTATCCTAACGTTGGAAAGTCGTCTGTCATTAATGCTCTCGTCACACGTTCTATTAATCTTCGCCAGTCTGGCCCCTGCCCTACTGGTAATGTTGCAGGTGTTACAACTTCTTTGCGCGAAGTAAAACTCGATAACAAACTCCGTTTGATCGACTGCCCAGGTATCGTCTTCCCGAACGAACAAGGGAAGGAAGACTTCGAGCGACTTATGTTGCTCAATGCCGTGCCTGACAAGGCCAACATGGACTATTCCGGCGTTGCATCTGCTGTCGTGCGCTACCTGAACAAATTGCCTGGTTTGTTGGAGAAAATGATCGAGTATTACGGTATTCCACCTCTGATGAACACCGGTGAAGACGCTATGGCTACGGACTTGTTGGTGAATATTGCTCGTAAGCGCGGACGTTTAAGTCGTGGCGGTATTCCCAATATCAATGCCGCTGGTAAAATTCTGGCTACTGACTGGTGCTCTGGACGCATCCAATGGTGGACAGAGCCTGAGGCTATCACAACTTCTGTTTCTGCCAACGATGAAAAAGAGGTTGTCAGTGCCTGGGCCGAAGAGTTTGATTTAAATAATTTTTGATTTCATACGGTTGAATAGGGATAAATTGTATTTGGGTTCTTAAAAAAGCATTGTATTTACTGTTGATAGTAACCTAGGTATGCGTATAGCTAAGCGAGGTTAGGAATTTTTGACCACATTCTGTAATATGTGTAAAGTGCATTCCTTCATTATCATCGTTCATAGAAGCCTAATGGAATAATTAATTATCGTTTGATTGTACCGTAACGAACTTCCGTTCTAATGTCAGTGCAATATCGACCTATTTGAAGAAGACAAACAGCATTGAAACATGAAATATCACAAAAAAAATACATCAAAGCTATATCAGATTGCTTGTTACATTATTATAAGACAATTACATTAAACGTTTATGTAAAGTTTTGTTTATATAGAATCCTTCTTTAGGGCGTCTCTACCCCGGGGCACTTCGTTTTCCAGCCAAACCAAATCAAACCACCACCGTGAATTACTAATGCGTGAGATTGTAAGAAATCGTTGTTAAGCTGGCATATTAACAGTAAAAGGTTCATATTCAAGCTGGTCAATGTGGTAACCAGGTCGGTGCTGCTTTCTGGTACGTTTTGCTGTTTCTTTAAAGCTATTTCTAACGTGTGAAAAGGTCTACTATTGCCGACGAACACGGTCTTGACGCCTCTGGAATGTACGTATCACAACGGATAATGGTTTATTTCATTATTCTTTTTTTATGGTCTGTGAGAAGCTGACCTTATATCAAGCTACCGTGGTAACTCTGATGAGCAACTCGAGCGGTTGAATGTTTATTTCAATGAAGTACGAAAAATTAGGGCTTTACGGTTTGAGGGTGTTTGTTCCGTTCGTTTACACGGTGCTCTCGACCTTTACCGTTTCCTGCTCGCCCTTTTACATAATGTTATGGATGATTCTAACATTGATAGGCAAACGGTGGAAAGTATGTCCCCCGTGCAGTTCTTGTTGACTTGGAGCCTGGCACTATGGATGCTGTGAAGTCTGGCCAATTCGGCAGCTTGTTCCGTCCTGACAACATTATTTATGGCCAATCCGGTGCTGGCAACATTTGGGCCAAGGGTCACTACACAGAGGGAGCCGAGTTGGCCGACACTGTTCTCGATGTTGTAAGACGTGAAGCCGAAGCCTGCGATGCTTTGCAAGGTTTCCAATTGACGCATTCTTTGGGTGGTGGTACTGGTTCGGGTATGGGTACACTTTTACTTTCTAAGATTCGTGAGGAGTATCCCGACCGTATGATGGCTACATTCTCCGTGGCACCCGCTCCTAAGAGTTCTGATACAGTCGTTGAGCCTTACAACGCCACTCTCTCCATGCATCAGCTTGTGGAAAACTCTGACGAAACCTTCTGTATTGATAATGAAGCTCTTTATTCTATTTTTGCAAAAACTCTCAAAATCAAAAGTCCTTCCTATGGTGATCTTAATCACCTCGTCTCTGCGGTTATGGCAGGCGTCACTACTTCGTTCCGTTTCCCTGGTGAACTTAATTCTGACTTGCGTAAGCTTGCCGTAAACATGATTCCCTTCCCTCGTTTGCATTTCTTCATGGTCGGCTACGCACCTCTCGCTGCCATCGGCTCTCACTCGTTCCAAGCCGTGACAGTCCCCGAGCTTACACAACAAATGTTCGATGCCAACAACATGATGGTGGCTGCTGATCCCCGTCATGGTCGCTACTTGACCGTGGCTGCCTTGTTCCGTGGCAAGGTTTCAATGAAAGAGGTTGACGAGCAGATTCGTTCTGTTCAAACCAAGAACTCCGCTTACTTTGTTGAGTGGATTCCAGACAATGTCTTGAAGGCTGTTTGTTCCGTTCCTCCTAAGGACTTGAAGATGTCTGCCACATTTATCGGCAACAGCACTTCTATCCAAGAAATCTTCAGAAGAATTGGTGACCAATTCTCTGCTATGTTTAGAAGAAAGGCTTTCTTGCATTGGTACACTGGCGAGGGTATGGATGAAATGGAATTCACCGAAGCTGAGTCCAATATGAACGATCTTGTCAGTGAATACCAACAATACCAAGAAGCTGGTATTGATGAAGGCGATGAGGACTACGAGATTGAAGAAGAGCAAGAGCCCGTTGACATCTGAGTTAATAGCACATAAGACGAATATACTATGCGATATCCCATTGAGAGCTAGATACACCATTTCTCGAAAACCAGTTACTAATGATCGCATTTGATACCAAATGATATACACATGAACGGTGTGCTGTTCTTTATATAATAACTAGTTGTGTTGAGCATATACTATAAGGACGATGGGGGGTTTATTCAATGTGTACGACGTTTAAGGGGGATAATTCTCTCGGGCAAGAGAACAAGGTTGAAGTTGCCTTCATAATCATGGACCAAGTTGGTAAATGGAGTTGAAAAACGGCACCAATAAACATAGTTTCTTCGGATCATCACTGGTCGGATTATTTGATGAATGCCATGACGGGTCTATTGGTACATTCTGGCTAAATTGAGCTATGTGTATTTTCCATCATTTTCTATCTTTCTTCAATAGGTTCATGGAATATAATATATTTAAGTAAAGATCGAACAGTAAGGATAAACTCTTGTCTATATGAAAGAGCTATTGTGCTATCTTCTGTATGAGAGAAAAACTGTCTTTGCGCTACGAATTTTACAATTAGGCAGAAGAGACTGCACTCAAAAGCTTCTAAAATACTTTATAGTGCCTTTCTAAATGAAAAAAAAATAGGAGTATCACAAATAATAGAACCATGATATTGAGGTTCCCTTTGTCTGTGTCTAACTATGTTTAACTGTGTTCTCGTTCCTTCAATCCGAGTCGGTTGAAAAAACAAACCGTCATATTAATAATGAACGAATAACCACTTTATTTTTTTATTAATATATATACAAACAAGTTTATAATGCATCTCTTTTGGCTACGCTGTGTACTGTTTTTATCTGCCTTGTGCTGCTTAGCTACTCCGTGCACAACTCTCTTACACCAGCAACCCTCCACCTTCACTGTGGTTCAGATTTGGCTTGTTCGTCATGTCTTGCTGGACCCTGGTACAGCCAGATACGCTCGTTGATGTTCCTTCTACGGAGCAGCTTAAGACTGCTCTGGAATCAAAAAATGATGTTGTTAAGATTTCCGCTATGAAAACCATTTTGAGGATAATCATCAATGGCGACCCTCTTTCCTCCATTCTCATGCATGTTATCCGCTATGTAATGCCTTCTAAAAACAAAGAACTGAAGAAGTTACTGTTTTACTATTGGGAGGTTTGCCCTAAATACAATTCCGATGGCACGATGAAACAAGAGATGATTTTGGCCTGTAATTCTCTTCGTAATGAATTGCAGCATCCAAATGAATATATCCGCGGTGCAACGTTGCGATTCCTTTGCAAATTAAAAGAACCAGAGTTGTTAGAACCTCTAATCCCTACTGTTCGCCAATGTCTTGAGCATCGTCATGCCTACGTTCGGAAGAATGCTATTCTTGCTGTACTTCGTATTTATCAGTTGTCTTCTCAACTATTGCCAGATGCGCCCTCTTTGGCTGAAGACTTTATTACAATTGAGCAAGATGCCACCTGTAAGAGAAACGCTTTTATGGTATTATGTACCATCGCTCCAGAGACTGCATCTCTTTATTTGCTTGAGAATAAGGATGCTATGCTGACTCTTCCTGCTCCATTCCAATTAGTCGCGATTGAATTCATCCGTAAGACGGCAATTAATGATCTCGAAAATAAATCAGTCTTCTTCTCAATGCTCATGGATCTCTTACAAGCTTCATCCAATTCTGTCGTTTACGAGGCAGCAACGTCGTTGATGAATATGACTTTCAACACCCAAGTGATTAAGATTGCTGCTTCAAAGCTTCTTGATTTGGCCATTAAAGAATCCGACAATAACGCTAAAATCATCATGCTGGAACGTATTGCAGAACTAGTTCAACGCGACAAGTCTGCTCTTGAGGATCTGGTACCTGAATTGCTGCGCTTGTTGTCTACGGATGATGAAGATGTTTGCAAGAAAACTCTCGACATTATCATGGGACTTCTCTCCACTCGTAATGTCCAGGAGGTGTTGACTCATTTGCAGAAGGAACTTGTAAAATCGGCAATGAACAGTGAGAGAGGCGAGGCTCATAGACGGGCATTCACTGATGCAATTCATTCTTGTGCCATTCTCTTTCCTCCAATGGCCTCCAGCGCCATACAATCTTTGCTTAACAACGTTTCCGAATTCAAAAATGAATCTGTTGCTAGTGTTGTGAGCTTCGTCAAAGAGGTCATGGAGAAATTCCCTGATCTGCGTTCACCTATCATTAGAAAACTGTTACTCTGTCTTCGTGAGGATGGAAACGAAAAGATTTATCGTGGTGTCCTTTGGATGATTGGTGAATATTGTTTAACACTCTCCGATATTGGTGTTGCTTGGAAGGCTCTTCGTGCCAGTCTTGGTAATATGCCGGTTATGGAATCTGTACTTAAGGAAGGAAAGAATTCGGTAGAAATGTCTACTGATGAACAACACAAGTCATCCTCGTCGCGTAAGATTTTACCTGACGGTACCTATGCCACCGAAAGTGCTATTACAGCTAGTGCCACTTCTGCTTCTTCTACTTCTGACTGTTTGGTAAGAACAGCAATCGTAAAGGGTGATCATTACTTGGCCTCTATTTTAGCTTGCGCTCTCACAAAACTTGTCATGCGTAGTAGCACATTAACTGATGACAGCGCACGCATCAATTCAATGAAGGCTGAAGCCATGCTTATCATTGCATCGTTCATTCGTTTCTTGCAATCCGATTATGTGCAGTACAGAATTGATGACGATACGTTGGATCGCATGATGGTTTGCATTCGCAGTCTTCATGTCTTCCCTGAGGTTGAGTCTTTGAAGGAGGTTTATTTGCAAGATTCAAGACTCGCTTTCTCCAAAGCTATGGCAGAGTATGAACAACGCCAGAAAGACGAAAATGCCGAAGCGTTTACACAACAAATTGTCCAAGCCGATGACTTGCTTCAAATTCGTCAAATTACTAAACAATCGAAAGAGGGCGAAATTCATGAGTTTGAGTCTGATATTTCTAAGGCTGCTGGAGACGATATTATTGTGGACGCCGATTCTTCTAAGCTTGATCGCGTCGTGCCTCTGACTGGTTTTACTGATCCCGTTTATGTGGAAGCTTATGTTAAGATTCAACAATTTGACATTATCCTTGACATTTTATTGGTTAATCGTACGAGCAATACTCTTCAGAACCTCTCCCTCGAACTGGCTACCTTGGGAAACATTAAGTTGGTTGAGAGACCTCCTGTAATGAACTTGGGACCCAACGCCTTTAAGTCAGTACAAGCTACCGTCAAGGTATCGTCTATTGATACCGGTGTCATTTTTGGTAGCGTCGTGTTTGATGGTAAGACTGCACTTGAAAGTCGTGTTGTCATTCTGAATGGCATTTCCATTAACATTATGGACTACATTAAACCCGTTTACATTCCCGAGTCCGAATTCCGAAGCATGTGGACTGAAGTTGAGTGGGAGAACAAGGTGGACATTGTCCGCAATGAAGACATCACGGTTCATGAGTTTTTGCATGATTTGATGAAGAAAACGAACATGAAATGTCTGACGCCCGAATCTTCGTTACGTGGAGATTGCCAGTTTTTGAGTGCCAATTTGTACGCTCGCAGTATATTTGGTGAAGATGCATTGATGAGCTTGAGCATTGAAAAAACTACCGACGGCAAGATCCTGGGACATGTACGTATTCGTTCCAAGACACAAGGTGTTGCCTTAAGCTTGGGTTCAGTGGTTGCTGCCTAGACACTTTGTCAACTTTTACGGTTTTTCATTTTTACGTGCCCAACTCGCTCATTTAGAGATCGGTGACTAATTTACCTTGATGCCTACATCTAATACATCCAGTTTCAAAAAAAAACGTAAGTGTTCTGGTTCTTTATCGGTCGTAGAGAAAAAATATATGTTTAAGCCAGTTGTTTCTTTAGTAAGTAACTTAAACATGCCAGTGAGCTGATAATATTGAACAGTTACGGACAGCTTGTTTCCGTTACGCTGTGAAATAGCTAAGTCTTTTTCCATGAAAGGACGTGCATGATAGATACAAATTACATTTAGTGTACAAGTGCTCTTCGTTAATACAGATATTACAGCTATTAAGATGAAACTATTACAGCAGTAAGTACAAATTCTCTTTGTATTCTCAGGAACGTTGATTGCTTCGGAAAATCGTCTTCACTAAAAGATCTACAAACCCAATTACTCGCTTCTTGAAATTCAATTTGTTTAAGCTCATCCACACTCTGACATTTTCCTCGTTAATACCGTATGCCGAGGCTTTTCGCAGCTTCATCTGGCGTCATCGGGCAGACACTACACCAAGTATGTGGTAGACCGCAGATAAGCGGTTGCTCATCATCCGTACACCTGCACGAAACAAGCACCACACAGCCAATTCAGTACTGAATGGTAAGTACGAGGTGTTAATGGTAACGAAATTTATTACTTACAGTATAGGCCATTGTTAAACGCACTGATAGAACCAAAGGTGGTGCCGTTAGGTCACCCACTCAGGGCAACGCAAATGGCGGAATCCGTAAAGCCGTTTACCAAACGAACAAGAAGAAAACGGCCGGTGTTGACGATTTAACCCTTTTATCCAAAATCTCTGATGAAGACATTAATGCAAACTTAGAACTGCGTTTCAAGAATGGAGAAATTTACACATACATCGGACATGTTCTGATCAGTGTAAATCCCTTTCGGGATTTAGGCATTTATACAATGGAGGTGCTGCAATCTTACCAAGGAAAGAATCGGTTGGAAGTCCCACCTCATGTGTATGCGATCGCCGAAAGCGCATATTATCAAATGAACGCTTATAAAGAAAACCAGTGTATTATTATTTCAGGCGAATCCGGTGCTGGAAAAACTGAAGCGGCAAAACGTATTATGCAATACATCACACATGTATCTAAATCGGTTGGAACAGAAATTGAGAAGGTTTCTCAAATTATTCTCGCTACGAATCCCTTGCTGGAAAGTTTTGGTTGTGCAAAAACACTCAGAAATAATAACTCATCTCGTCATGGCAAATACTTGGAAATGATATTTAATCAGAGTGGTATTCCCATCGGAGCCAAGATCACGAACTACCTATTGGAAAAGAATCGAGTGGTTCATCAGATTCGCAATGAACGTAACTTTCACATTTTTTATCAGCTTACGAAAGCTGCACCCCAAAAGTATCGGGAAATGTTCGGTATTCAAGGACCTGAAAATTATTATTATACTTCCATGAGCAATTGTTTGTCGGTTGATGGAATTTCCGACGAAAATGATTTCTCGGAGACAATTCAGGCCATGGAAATCATTGGACTTAGTGAGGAAGAGCAAGACAATATTTTTCGCTTGCTAGCAACTATTTTATGGCTTGGTAACATTCGTTTCCAAGAAGGTGACAGTGAGGGCAGTGTCATTAATGACGAGAGTGTTGTTCAGTTCGTGGCCTATCTACTCGGTTCGGATGCAGCAGCAGTCCAGCGTGCTTTGACCGTGCGCATTATGGAGACTTCGCACGGCGGCCGTCGAGGATCGGTATACGAAGTTCCCTTAAATCCTACACAGGCTACTGCCGTCCGAGATGCTCTGTCCATGGGAATTTACAACTGTCTTTTTGACTGGATTGTTGAGCGTGTCAATAAGGCTTTAGTGACTACCGCTGCTACTGCTTCCAATAGTACAATTGGTATTTTGGATATTTATGGTTTCGAAATTTTTGATAAAAACTCTTTCGAGCAATTGTGCATTAACTACGTGAACGAAAAGTTACAACAAATTTTTATTCAACTGACACTTAAGGCAGAACAGGAGGAGTATGTTCGTGAAAAAATTCAATGGTCTCCCATTAAATACTTCAACAACCAGATTGTGTGTGATTTGATTGAGTCAAAACGTCCACCTGGTATTTTCGCAGCTATGAATGATGCAATTGCCACGGCTCACGCTGATTCTTCTGCTGCAGACAATGCCTTTTCGCAGCGTTTAAATTTCCTGTCTAGTAATCCGCACTTCGAGCAAAGACAAAGTCAGTTTATTATTAAGCATTATGCTGGTGATGTCGCCTACAGTCTTAATGGTATGACTGATAAGAATAAGGATGTGCTTGCTACGGATATTCTGAACTTGGTTCACTCGACGGACAACATGTTCTTGCGTAACATTTTCCCCGAGAATATTGACACGGGATCCAAGCGCCGTCCTCCAACTGCTGGTGATCGTATTAAGAAATCAGCTAATGAGCTTGTTGACACTTTGATGCAATGTCACCCGTCTTACATTCGTACCATCAAACCAAATCAGACGAAATCCCCTAACGATTATGACAGTGGAATGGTTCTTCATCAAATTAAGTATCTTGGTTTGCAAGAAAATGTCCGTATTCGGCGTGCAGGTTTTGCGTATCGCCAGAGCTTCGAAAAGTTCGCTGAGCGCTTTTACCTCCTTAGTGGAAAGACTAGCTATGCCGGTGATTATACCTGGACAGGTGATGCTTTCAGTGCATGTGAACAAATTCTGAAGGACACTTCGATTCCCACTTCTGAATATCAGATGGGTACAAGCAAGGTATTCATTAAGAAACCTGAAACCTTGTTTGCCTTAGAAGAAATGCGAGACAAGTATTGGCATACAATGGCTACTCGTATTCAACGGGCGTGGAGAAGTTACGCTAGAAGAAGAAACGATGCTGCCAAGACTATACAAAAACTTTGGAACAGAAACAAGGTTATACTCGATCTTATCCGCGTAAGAGATGAAGGTACTAAGTTATTGCAAGGAAGAAAAGAACGACGTCGTTTCAGTATGCTTGGTTCTCGACGCTTTTATGGTGATTATTTATCTGTTGCGAAGTCGGGAAGTGTCTTGATGAAATCCTGCGGTTTGAATCGTTCAGATAAAGTGCTATTCTCTATGCGTTGTGAAGTTCTTGTGCACAAGTTGGGACGTTCTTCTAAACCTTCTCCGCGTCAATTAGTTGTGTCTGATAAGACTGTTTTTCTTGTTATTACCAAAATGACTAATGGACAAATTCAGCAAGTTGTGGAGAAACAATTCCATATTTCTTCAATTAGTTCCATCAACATGACATCTTTGCAAGATGATTGGCTTGCTATTCGTAGTAGTGCTAGTACTACCGGTGATATGTTCATTCACTGTTTCTATAAAACCGAGCTGGTTACTACACTTAAAAATGTGAATCACGGAATTGAGATCCACATTGGTTCTACGTTACAGTATTGTCGGAAGCCTGGAAAAATCATTACGGTTAAAACTGTTAAGGACGAGGGCACAAAGGATAATGATTATTACAAAAGTAGCACTATTCACGTTGGATCCGGATTGCCCCCGAACTCAAAAAGTAAGCCATACCCCACCAGAAGTGGAAACATTACTTTCAACAGTACGAATGCTGCTGTTCAGTCCCCACCGAAACAGGTTCGTCCTCAGACACGTCCTCAAGCTCGACCTCAAACCGCAGCTCCTGCTCGTGCTCCTGTTCCAGCAGCCAAACAAAGTGCACCTGCTGCGAACAATCGTCGTCCCAGAGCTCCAGCAGCTCCGGTGCAAAACTCGTCACGTCCGGCACCTGCTCCAGTGCCGGTAGCAGCAACGGCACCTGCGCGTCAACAAGTGAATAATGGAGGTGCTAGTGCGGCGGCGGCAGCAGCAGCAGTTGCCATGTCGTCTTCTCGTCCCAATCCTTCCACACCAGCAAGCGTCTCCAAACCACCTGTTGTTACTCAAACGACGACGATTGAGCACAGTTCACTGGCAAATGCAAGTGCTCCGCGTCCACAGCAAGCTCAACCAGCTGGTTTGCACGGTCGTCCTAGACCTACGCGTGGTCCGAATACGAACAATAGCAGTGCACAGTCTTCCAATGTCCAGACTCCTGTAAATACAGCATCAACGGCACCAAATCATTCTGCAGCAGCAGCAGCAATTCCACCGCCACCACCCCCTCCTCCTGTAGCAGCAGCTTCTCCTCCCAAACCGGTTTATACGGCTTTGTATGATTTCGCCGGTAGAAGCGCCAACGAAATGTCTTTTAATAAGGGAGATGTTCTTGATATCATTCAGAAGGAACCTAGTGGATGGTGGCTTGCCTCGCGCAATGGCATTGAGGGTTGGGTCCCCGCGAATTATTTCAAGGAAGAAATGAAGAGCATACCTACTTCCAACGCCGTCTCTACGCCCCTTGAAACTGCACAACCAAGTGCGGTGTCTGTAAATTCGAATGCCGATGTTAATAACCTTGCGGGCTCTCTCGCTGACGCTTTGCGATTGCGCGCAACTGCTGTGCGCGGAAATGATGATGAAGATGAAGAAGAAGACTGGTAAAGTTAATAAAAGACCGATTTTCTGCGCATGTTAGTTTCATGATTAATTCATAAAGCGAATGTATATAACAACGTTGTCATTGTATCGATTATTATTGTCATTACTATCGTATCATTTCGTGCGGTATTCATGGTTTGGACAAACACGATGCATTCTGTTTGTCAAAACCTACAGGCCTGCGCTAACATTGCGGACAATTCTTTTCTTTATAGGCTTGAGAATGTCAAGTGTTGATACACCTAAGCTACGAATACCAACAACGAAGGGGTTTTTCGTAGTATATAGCTTGTGAAATTTATCGACAATGCCCAAGACGTAATGATTATTATAGTAACGCTCGCGGACATAAGGTTGTAAGGAAAACATACTCCCCACATCCTGTCCATGCTCCACTGCGAATGTGAGTGCGTTAGCAAGCGATTTAGCATCGCGTAAACCGGAGTTCAATCCTTGCCCTGCAAGTGGATGCGTATTATGAGCGGCGTCACCAATTAGTGCTAAGCGTTCTTTCACGTACGTATCAGCGTGTGCTAAACGAAGAGGAAAAGCAGCTCGGGATTTGGGCAATATTGAGGTAACAAGAGGCGGAGGTCGGACCTTTGGTACAGTCATATTGAGTCTCCATTCTATCTGTTCGTTAATGGGCTCGGGTTTGGTCGGATCCATTTTGTATAAATATTCCAAGTCCACTTCTCTTAATCGAAAAGAGGCATTTAGCATATGAACAAAGGTTGGAGCAGGAAGCTGAAGAAGAAAATTTGCGATATGTGGCCGCGTACTCCAGACAAAAGAGGCATTATTTCCTGGTAGCGGCAAGAAAGCTATAGGCCCAGTGGGAAGAAAGCGTTGATAACCGATGCAGGGGTCATCAGGAGCTTCAATTGAAAGTGTTCCTACGACTGCAGATGTGTTGTAGCTCCATCCTGGTAATTCTATACCCGCCGCTGAGCGGACGAGTGAGTTACGTCCATCGGCACCCACCAGCAGTTTCGTACTTATTGTTCCGACATTAGCGATCGTCAGTACTGGATGTTTTGTTTCAGGGTCAAGTGTAATGTTCTCAATGTTGCTTCTCATGATAAAGTCTACCGGATTTGATCCGTTATATTGAAGCAGAGTCTTTACAAAAGCGGACAGAATGTTAACGTTTTCAGTCATGAAAGCCATTGAATCATTCTTATCTGTTTGGTCAAGATGAATTACCGAGTCCGTAATACCATCCCAAGCCTGAACGTGTCGAAAAGGTTGTATGCGATCATGGCGAACATTTTCCCATGCTCCTATTTCCTTCATGAATTCACGGTTGCATCCTACGACTGAGCTGCATCTATTAGAGAAGTTTGTTGGTGTCCAATTCTCCAAGTCCGTAACTTTCAAACGGTCCACAACTGCAATTTTTAGGGAACGTGTTTCTGGTTTGGCTTTTAAGGCTGTTGCTAGGGCTAGTCCAGCGGCACCGGCACCGACAATTGTAATGTCATAACAAGAGTCCCCATGAATGTTGCTCGAAGCAGCGGTAGCAAACCGCATACGTTGAGGGACAGTCGCCCTATGGAGGACAGTTTTTAACATAGTAATACAATTGTAACTGGATTTTACTCAGTACGTTTATTTACGCTTTCTTGGCGGTGTTGATGATCAGCAGAGCACCAGCTTATTCAACTATGTATGACAACAGTATGTACAGGGGGTTACATAATTCCGCAAGGAGAGGTTAAAACGCGTTAGAAGGGTCGTCGTTGTTAAGTATTCTCGTTTACTGATAACGCAAGGTGTTAATTTTAATGATGGATTTCTACTGCTAGACAATGTCGTAGTAAACGAGGATTATTAGACTCACATGCGGTGAGTCAACAATACTGTACAACTCAGAAATATGGCTCTCCGTGACCTTTGAATACTTTAAAAAGTAATGTTTAGTAAGGTTTTATTATACAATTGTATTAGTACAATTATAGGGATAATCGTGTGTAGAATGCAATATTTGATATTGCCCACATTTATAACCATCCCATCAAATTCAATGAAATATTCAGAGCCATCTCATTGTAATTATTTCATAATTTCGTTAAGATTTATTAGTGTTTGGTAAATTTATTAGTTCTTCATAACAGAAAAACAAACGACATGTAAACAAAAATGATATGAGAAAATCGTACAGGAATATGTAACCAGAAGCTCTTTTTGTATCGTAACTATCATAAACTTGCGATACTTCAATATTTAATATCAATTATGCTGTTGACAATTAAGGTTATATTGACAACATATAAACCATTGATGCATCCATCTTGTCTTTTTTTAACCACTTCAAGCTCAACTTGGTACAGCCTTTAACTCCGGTCTTAGACCATATCTGTCCTTCTTGAAGGCATTGTTGTGCGTGGGCTGCTTTGCGAATCAATTGCGAATGGAATTTGAGAAACAAGCGAGTGTCACATCGAACGAAGCCAACTTGACTGGTTCTAAACCAAGTCCTTTTCCTGCAACTCGTTCAATGCAGACCCAAAACGGTAGTCTGGATGAAGCTCACAACACGAAGACAAAATGTGCAACAGTTGAGAAGCCGTTGTCGCGGAGTCTGTCTGTCGGCTCGTCTATTGACTCCCACGTACACAAGCGCTTTAAAGCAAACGGTGATGGTAATACTGCTGAGGAGAAAGCAATTAACGAAAAAGACCTTGTTTTTCAAGCAGACGAGGATCTCAAAACTGTACCGTACAACAATATCTCAGACGGCACTCAAAACTCCAACACCCAAGTTTCCGCTAACTACAGCAATTCCTCACAAAACAGCCTGGTGGCTCATAACGCTTCCTTACCTGTTGGCACCACGGATCAGGCCAACAGCGTATCCGTGCCTGCAGAGACCAGTACCTTCCCAACGTTTTTAAAAACAAGAGTGCGTGTGTGTATGGTATCACAAACACTACTCACGTTGGTATCCCAGTACTTTGACCAAGACGACGACAATCATGTCGTAGAGGCCTTATGCACGGTACTTTGCAACGAGAACCGGCCTTCCATCTTCTACTTGCTGAGGGGCTTGACATTCGGCCCAGAACACCGGTTTGTCGTGCGCCGTAAGCATTGGTGGAACCCATGGAGTGAAAAGGTTATGCGAAAGGAAATTGTTGTAAAAAAAATTGACACAAAACCCGGCTGTCGTAGTATACTGGAACGGTTTCAGACGACCAGCGAAAATGACAAGCAGGATCTGATGGTCATGCCCATGTATACGATAAATATGTGGATCGTGTCATTAATCACTGTTAGTGGATTGGGTTCAGTGCTTATTGGTCTTTGGATGCGCCTTACAGATCCTTCTTTTGCGCATGGAATGCTTCTCAATCTAACCATTGGAAGTATTGGAAGTTTGTTGTATTTATTGTCAAATACCTGGTGCAGATAATGTTTCGTTAATGATTAATAAACTGCCATTTTTTGCTTGACGTTGAGAGAGGATCAATATGCTATTGTTAATCAAGCATTCGCCTTGGTTGTTTTGCGTGAGGCAAACCGTTATATCACCAAGTGTTTTATATTTTTTTCCTGGCTCTAACGACAACGCATTTGGAACGATGTGTGCTTTCACCAAATCATGCAGCATTTTGTCAGCGTTGTATTCTTGAATAGCGGCATCATTGTCGCTTGGTGAGATTGTTGAAGAAGGTAGCCATGGTTTTGGTTGGAGAGTCTTGAGGAATGTGTTGCTTGGTACCAGGAATACGGTGCACTTTTTAAGCGAAAGCAAGAGCTCTTGCAATTCCGGGTATTTAAAGAGGATGTCGGAAAAGATACTGCAATTCCTGCTATTTGCAAGAAGCTCATAGAGACGAGGTTCGCGTTGTGTTTTCGACATGTAGCACAAATGTTCTCAGCGGTAAGATGATCCAAACAAAGAGCGTCAGTATCTCACAACAGAAAGTGTATTCTAAAATTAAGGAAGACAGACTAAATTCGTTTTCCGGTGCTCGTTTTTTATTGACAGGGTTTCCCCGTTATAAGCCAGTATCTAAGAAAAAAGACTTTATCGTCCGTAAAACGCAGTAAAACACGCTTTAAATAGAATTAACAGATAGAATACGAAAATCTTTTTACGAGACAATATAAGTGAGGTTGTTATGGTTCTTGTGGAAAGATATACCGATTTGCAAAACAAATGTAAGGAACGAGTCGTTCCATCAAAAGGCCCTTGAATTTCCTTAAATATTACATTAGCAAGAACAGAGTCTAAGTCATTGGATAACTGAATGTAGCAGAATTATTCTACTAAGAATATGTCAAGAAATTTGTCATTTGCCATTACCAATTGTTACTCCTAATATTGTACCTCCAAAAAATTTGCGTCGGCTGGAAGTTCCACTTATAAATTCTGTAATAGTATTACTTATCTAGACTTATGGGCCTATGTACAATCCAGAATCATTTAACAATGATAAAATGCTACGTTTGCCTTCACAGGACGTATGTTTCTTGTTAATTACTACTCTAACATAAAAACAGAACAGTGACCAGGCTTTGTGGGCTATCTTCGGGCGCAATGAGGACCTAACGCCTCAAACAAATGGAGTCGTTAGAGCACAAGCGAATTCTCTTGACCTGTCGCAAGAGGAACAGACTGGACATGCTGATACTTCAACGGCAACCGACAATCTGAACAAGAATGCAGACAACTATCTGCAACCAGGCCCTTCTTTTTTAATTGCTTCTCAGCTCTCCTCACAAACAAACAAAACAACAAACTCGATGACTCGGTATGGTGCACGTTATGTCTCAGCAGAAGCACCCATATCAGTTAAAGCAAGCGTTCCTTCCTTGCCACGGGTAACTTATGATCGACTTTGTAAAGAAGCCGCACTTTCTTGCGGATTGCCTTCAGATGCTTTACATCCGTACGAAGCAAAAATGCTTGGTGAGATTCTGGAAACGTCTTCATGGCTTACTAAGTATGTCGATATTCGTAATGGTTTGTGTTACCTCTGGATACGGAATCCGACTTTGTTTATATCCTTTACGGAAGCTCTCGGAATCGTTCGTGAGAAAGATACGTTTCCTCTTGCTTCGTTGGCTTTCGAATTTCTTACTCGAAATGGTTATGTCAACTACGGTTGTCTCTATATTCCTTTTACTGTTCCCTACAACGAAACATTACCACAGAAATCTGTTGCCGTTGTCGGTTGTGGACTGGCTGGGCTCAGTTGTGCTAGACAACTGGCTAACCTTTTCGCACAATACGAACAAGATTTTGTTAACCGAAATGAAAACGTTCCAAGACTTGTTGTTTTTGAAGCAGATTCACGTATTGGTGGTCGGATCCTTAGCCATCGTCTGGAATCATCACAAACAAATGCGGACGTGGAAAAGACATCCAGCACGGATGAAGAACCAACCCAACATTTTATTGAAATAGGTGCAGACAGAATTTTGGAGATGAATAATGCAATGGATCCTCTACGTATCGTTGCCGATCAGCAACTTTCACTTGACGTTCAGATTCATGAAACGCCCCTAGTAAAACTGATAAGTGAGGACGGATCGTCTGTGGATCCTGCAACCATTCAGCGTATTTGCGAACTATTCGACTGTGTAGTTTTTGCAGTAACCTTATCAAATGACAAAATTACACTAAACGGTGTTCTTACACCTGAAGAACAATCTCTGCGAGAGCGTTTAGATTTTCTTCAACGCTTTGGCTATCATCTATCTCTTGAACATTTTCGCTTTTCTAATGAAGGCTCCCTTGGAAGTACTCTAAAGCGAGCGCTTTCTATCCTTAATGACTTTATACAATTTAATGACGTGGAACTACAAGTACTGAATTGGTGCTTAAATTACCTCCAACAGGGAGTAGGTGCAAATCTTGATTTTGTTTCGACAAAGTGCTGGTCTTGTCATTACCAACCAATCTGTCAACTTTCAAATTCAATGACCATTGGAGAAGGTATGTCATCAATCGTTCAACACATGGCATCCACTCCTACTCCTCTTCCTATTCAGCTTAATCACTCCGTTGTTAGTGTTAAATATAATGACACGGGTGTGCAACTGATCAGTAGTAATCAGCAAGTGATTAACGTGGACAAAGTGGTCTTGTGTCTACCATTGTCTGTATACAAAAAACATACCTTAACATTTGAACCTGCCCTTCCCGATTGGAAGGTTACTTCTTTAAATCGGGTAAGCACCTCGAATTTCCGCAAAGTCAACCTACTTTTTAGTCATGCTTTTTGGGACTCGGAAGCAACGGTATTTGGTAAAGTGTTAGGAAATTCATTTAACGACATACCCATGCAGTCGCTCATCTTCTTTAATTATTTTAAACAAACGGGACTTCCGTTGTTGATAACAAATTATTTCGCTTCTGAAAATGAGTCGGATTCGGAGATTTCTGAAAAAGTGATGAATGCTTTAACGGATCAATTCTCTCACATGCAGAACTTTGTACGACCAAAAAGTGTTTTTATTAGCAACTGGAATACTTTACCCTTCAGCTCTGGATCTTTGTCTGTAGCTACTTCTTCGTTTTCGGCTGCCGATTACAAGGCACTAGCAGCGCCTTTAGAGAATACTGTTTTTTTCGCAAGTGATTCCATGTCAGGTGAATCGTTGGGAACATTGCATTCTTCTTTTCGTTCTGGTTTAATGGCTGCTCGTGATGTTTTAGCTTCGCTGGTCGGGGACGTTGCTATTCCACAGACACTTATTGTGAATCAAGCTTCCAAACAAACGAATACCACTACACAATCATCAAATACAAGCTCTACCAGAAGGAATACCAGGTCACGAGAACAAGTAACTCCTAAGTTTTCGTACCGCTCCGAATACATAAAAGCCAAGCAAGCACGTCTAGAAAAAGAAAATCAAGAATGTCAAATGCTCATACAAGAGTTGTTGGGTGCACCCCCAGAAATGCCGTCAAGACCGACAGCAAATCCTTTTTTGTTGTATCAAAAAACCCAGTGGCATGTTTGCAAAGCAATGGCAGATAAAGATAGACAAGAGGCCACAGGTGATCCTGAAGCAAGGGCTACTAAAAACGAAATTCGAGCTAAACTTGGTCGATCATGGCGCGACTTAGATGAATCTGGAAAACAGCCTTGGATCGACGAAGTGAATGCGAGACGTGCTAATTATACCGCTCTAATGGAGGAATACCAGCGTCAACTGAATACTTTTAACACCAGAGCAGCCCAAATTAAAGCCGAGCATAGGCGAAAATGTGAAGCACAACCCATCCCGGTCGAAGAATCAAGGCTTCAGGCACTCGCTGAAAACGAAGAGGAAGAACGAGCCCGCAACGAACCCCCATCTACTAATTCTCATATGAGCAACGTTTATGACGAAAGCGATGATGAGTACCATGATGAAGGAGAGGATGAGGATGATGATGTTGCTGATGATTTGTATTCTAACGGTTACTTGTGATAATTCAGACAAAAAATACTCTCCTTTTTATACTACACATACATCTAAAAACCTTAATGTCTCTCAAATATATTATTTATACAACATAGTTTATCGCTTTCAGTGTTACTGCTAAAGAGTTTGCTTTAATTATAGCCTCCTCTTGGTGGTGATTTAGATCAGAACCCTCTGGCAAACCAAAAACCACGGTACAAAAAAGGAAAATAGTATGTCTAAGGCAGCTACGTTTCAAGCATCAATGGATCCGCCGGATCACTTGGAAGAAAACCAGCTTATAGCACGGGTTACCGCGTTGCGTGGTTCCTCACTTTTCGAAGTGACTGATCCGGCAGGTTCAACTTTACTGGTAGAAATGCCACCCAAATTCAGAAAATCGGTTTGGGTGAAACGAGGGGGTTACGTGCTATTAGACAAGAGTGAGTTTCAAGACAAAAAAAACAAGATTGACGGAACTATTGTACACGTTATTCACAGCACCAAAGTGTGGATGAAACAGCATTACTGGTATGAATTGTGAGCACGGTTGCTCCAAATGGAAAACCGTGCTCCCTGTGTTTGAAGACAAAAATTGCTGACAGCGTAGGCCCCCAGAATTTGCTGCCCGTATCCAACCCGTTGAAGAAGACGAGAGCAGCAGTTCGGAAGAGTTCAGCGATTAATCGAACAGTGCTAGCATTCCATGAAGTGATGTAGTAGTAAAAAAGTTCAACGGATGCACTTTTAAATATTGTCATTTTCTCATTCATTTTAGTTCTCAAATTGAGGGGTGATTTTTTAGAACGATAGAAAAGGTTCAACATCCTCACTGCAAAAGATGTACTAGTAATCTGAACATTGAGATTACCAAGCGTTTGCCTTATAGCAGTCCTGTAATACGTTAATAAATTGTTCTTTAACTTCAGCTTCTTTTAACTTACCTCGGGATAGTAAGCAATTACAATTGATCTGTCATCAAAACGGAGACCGGACATGTGTTGAAGAGCGTTCGCAGCATCCTTAATGGAGCCAAAGCGCACAAAAGTCACGCCAACACCTGGAGGGGCAGAAGTATTATCGGAAGAAGACGTTTCTCTTGGAAGTTTCAGATCAAGTACTTGGCCATATTCGTTGCACTTATTCTGCACGGATTTTCGAATATCTAAAATCGTTAGCGATTGTATGCAAAAAATGGACATACCCTCATAATCTTCAGTATCTAACGTTTCATCAGCATCAAGAAGATTGTGAATTTGAAGCACACGTGTTGGTGCCGCTTCTGTGCTAGATTTGCTGAGCTCAATTAAAGCAGCCATGCCGACAGACCTAGGTGAAGGAACAGGTTGTTGAATGCCAACACAAGCAAACTGAACCATCAGACGAGTGTCACCAAATTCCATATTGTTCAGCCCTTGGACGGCGGCCGTAGCGGATTCCGAAGAAATGTATTCACAGAATGCGTATCCCCTTGATGTCATATCTGCAGAGTTTTTAGCTAAAAACAAACTCTGTAATTCTCCGAATGGCTTTAATAATTCAGAAATTTGGTCTTCATTCAGATATAGAGGCAAAGATCCGATGTATACTTTGTCTGCGCTATCGAGCACTTTTTGATTCAGGTCATTTTTTGGTCGCTTTTGAGCAACTTCGGAAGAAATTTGAGGAACAATGTATCCTTCCAGACGGTCAATTAAGACCGTTTCATTTTTGAATTTAAGTTTTCGTGCACCCCAGATAAATGTGGCATCCTCCGGAGTTGCTAACTCAATGATAGCATAACGTTCGGTTTTGCAAGGATAAATAGCGGTAACATGTTTTGTATCACGGTCTTTGTGGAACGATGATGTAGATATCGACTCTTCAAAAACATTTTTTAAATCTTCAACTTCAAATTCAGCTGGAAGCTCTTTAACCTTCAAACGACGGGCTTGTCTACTAGCACCAGGTTGTATAGGAGGAGGAGGTGCAATGATGCTGCCGGCAGTGGAACGAGCAAAGGCAGCCAATTTCTCTGGATCTGCTGTTGCTGATCTTGGTGCACCTGGAAGTGGAAATAGTCCAGACATTTTTGCTTGATCGGCTGTGACATTTTCGTAACCCGGAGGCTTCATATCCCACATGGATCGCTTCCTTTTCCATTGGTTCAAAGGTACGACGTTTTTTAATTCTTCAAGTTCTCGTTCAATGTTTAAAGGACGCGATCTGTAGGAAGGACTTCTACTGCGACGACGCGAAGAGTATCTACTTTCTCTCCGTTCATTTCTGTCATAACGGTCGTGTCTATCCCGAGAATACCGACTTTCCTTACGGTCGCGTTCATCATCACGGTCACGTCCGCTGCTGTATCTTCGATCATCGTCTCGGTATCTGCCTCGATATTCAGAATCATCGCGTCGTCTGCGACGTCTTTCATCACCATAATCTCTTCTGCGGTCATTGGAATAGCTGTTATACTCGCCAGCGGACCCATAGTCTAATTAAGTGTTAGAAGCGTAAAAAAAAGTAATTGAGTAAAACTTACCGCGTGAACGAGAAGACCCTCTATCTGAAGAGATCCCTTTGACTAATTAGTAAAAGATATCAATACTATTACTTACGAGAATGTAGATCCATCTTCAATTTGTGGGTGGTTAAAGTCAGTACGGACTAAGTGACGCCTCTGTCGTCTAGACATGGCAAAATTAAATTCGTAGGATAAGATACACAAAATTGGTTTTGCCCGATTTAACTGGTAAAGAAACAATAATCCATGTTCAGCGTCGGAATTCTACAGGCTTGTTGTCTTTACATGCTTTCAAATCTTTGAACAAATACATTGTCACTCTGCCGTCTGAATGATCAGGAATCTACTGTTGTAAAGTGCTACCTTTTACTGTTTTGCTTCGATTCGGGTCGTAACTTCTGATGAAACGAGGTTGTGACGATCGTTGCGATGAAAGATCCGTAAAAAAAATAACTTTAAAGGAATGTCATCTCAGTAAAAAGGAACTCGTTTTTGCTCGCTCCGGAGATAAAAGTACTGTGTATGGACCAGAAACGTCTATGTACCTACTTGCTTTTGAGCAGGTCTTGGATACTGTTCTTAAGTATGAAGATCATTTGTTCTCCAAGAACGAAATTGAGTGTATTCAACGCTTTTTCAGTTTCTCTGCTGCTTCAAGGTATCTTTTCGTACGCTTATTTATGAGGAAAAGAGACAAATGGTTCCGCGTGTCTCAATTGAATTATAAAGAGTGTCAAAATTTAAACGAAGCTTTAAACCATTTGGTGAAGGAGCAATTTCTTGATGATGAATTGGCATTGACTTTAGAGGATGCCCTGACAAATCTTCAAATTCAAGAACTTAAAGTATTAGCTAAGCAACATCGGGTATCGGGATCGACTAGAAAAGAATTAGAAACCGGCTTATTGCAATGCGAGAAGAATCAGTCCCTCATTTCAAATTCCGGCCAACTGCTTCTTAACTTGGATCGGCGAGGAAGGTTTTGTTCGACGACTTCTTTTCTGTTAGAAAAGACACTATATATAACAGGACCATGCGTTCGTATTAACCCAACTACAGCTAAGCTCTTTCACCTCGTTAATTCTGTATATTTTCGTTCTTCGTTGTATAACGAAAGTTCCTTAACATCTTTCGTGCTTGAACGTATTCAAACAGTTGTGTATCCTAAATATACGCTTTCGCGGACCCGTTGCATTTTTCCATCTCGATTAGTATTAGACTCTTATGTCCAAGCTTTAGAACTTTCCAAACATGCATTGGCGCTCTTCGAAAATTACGGGAAACTTGATGATCATGGGAAAGCAGAAGCTTTATCATTATTTTTTGATATTTACCCAAAGTGGTTATCAACCATCCAAAGTGATGTAAATGATTACTGGCAAAACAAGGAATTGGGAAACCTTTGTGAAACTAGCTATTATGCGACCACTTTTTCGCCAGGCTCTGTTCTTACTTACTTAATTCACAAGGGAACTATTGTCTTAGCAAGAACTGGACTTGTAGAGACGGAGCTTGAAGTTCTGGATGCTTTGCTTGCCCAGAATGTTCACCAAGTGGGAAAACGTGGTGCCTGGTATGAGAGAAAGGCACTCATAGAACATAATCAGCGGCACATTTCAGCAAAGGAAATAAAGATTTGGAGAAAGAGAGCCTTGGTGACATGCATTCATGGCTTGGAAGATAAATACACGCGAACAAAATATAAGTATTCACTCTCAAAACGATTGCGAAGCTTGGAACGGTCATTAAAAATCCCTAAACGAGAGCAATATGTTCACGTTTTCGTACTTTCAAGTCCGTTAACTCACACTTATATAACAGGCAAATTAGTTTGCGATTCAACTTCTAATCGTACTACGTGGTGCTTAAAGGACGACGGTTTAGGTACTGTTGAAGAGAAGGCTTTGGAGTATTATGAATCACTTGGATGGAAAGGCTTGCATTCTGAATCCGGTATCATTACAACACTGTTCGCTCTTCTTTTTTGGGACATACTCTTTTGTGATGTTAAAGGCGTATTTCAATCCCCATTTCAAAATGCTCCTCTCGATCTGTATACAGAATCTTTCTATAATTCCCGAGAGACTCGGATCATTAATCGACTGCAAGAAATTTCATGCGGGAAATCGTCAGAGATACTAGAACATGTCGATGAACTAGAGCGCAAAACAAAGACTCGTTGTGTAGGCCTCAACTGGGCTTATGAGAAACAGGATCTTATCACCATTGCAAAGGCTATAGGAAATGATGGTTTGGCATGTTTATGCAAGCTGCTAGCAGAGGATTATGGCAACTGGTCCAGCGGCCTTCCGGATCTTTGTTTATGGAGAGAGAAACCAGAGTTGGCTTTTTGCCTTGTTGAAGTTAAAAGTCTCAACGATCGGTTATCTGAATCACAAAAGGTATGGTTAGACGTGTTGCAGTCAAACGGAATATCGGTATCTGTTTGTCACGTACATGATGTCGACGGTAATGACACTAGAAGGAAATTGAAGTAGTGAGTCGATCTGACAAAACGGAAATTAACCTTGGTGGATCTAATAAGTCATACAACAATTTCAAAATTCTACCTAGACATCACTACCCAAACTACGGCATCCATATTTACGTTATTGCTAGAACTCCAACTAATTACAGCGAACCGTTTCATGTCGAAGTGAACATTCGTTTTTCAAAGGATTAAATATTCAGTACAAAAAGAATAAACATAAAAATAATTAAATACTATGATTACCTTTCATTCGTCCGCGGCTGCAATAGTATTTAAACTTCGCTACTAAACACTGGCTACTGACTTAGACGCGTATGTACCGCGTCGATATATCTACATGCTTCCACTACACCAAAAGATATAGTGAGGATTACGGTGGCGTCCACCTACGCCTGTTATGTTACAAGTTTCTCTAACACTTGCGAAGAACCGTCAAGCTTTCCCAATTGCGTTTCGATTTTTTGAACCAACTGGTAAATTTCCCTTAAAGTACAGTTTTGTCTTTTAGCACTAGATTCAGTCAAAATGGGAGGCGGTGATTTGAATATGAAAAAGAGCTGGTAAGCAATTATGAATTTATACTGCAGTAGATGATACTAACGAATTATTTAGGCATCCTCTGCTCATGAGGAACCAGGAAAAAGTATGGAAAGATGAGCAAATGCACAAAGAAGAACAAAAACGCGTTGAGCAATTGCGGCGCGAAATTGAAGAAGAAAGACAGTTGCTTGAATTACAGAGGCTTCAAGAAGCAGCGGGAGGAAAAAAACGGCGGGACATTGTTGAATGGATGTACGCGGTACCAAATGCAGATGGTGAAAAGAAATCAGAGTCTGAGATGGAAGAATATCTACTTGGTCGGAAGCGTTTGGATGATCTTTTGAACGAAAAAACTGAAAAACAAAGCAATGATCTTAACAAAACTGAATTTATTGCTGTCCAAAACGCTAATTCTGCTCAAGACATTCAGACAAAAGTCCGGTTGGACCCACTTTTAGCAATTAAAAAGAAAGAGCAAGATCAACTACAGGCAGCTCTCCAACGGAAGCTTTACGAAAAGGCCAAAAAACAACGGCGAGAACGTGATGAGTATCGTGCACATAGCAGTCACCGAAGTGTTAGTCACCGTTCGCGAAGCCGTGATGATGAGTTTTATAATGAGAAAAGACGTTCCAGCTCTCGGTCACCAGAGAGAGAACGTCGCCGATTTGATGATCAGCGACACGGCCGTCATCGTTCCTCTAGTCACAGATATGAAAGCAGTCGTTCAGGACACCGAGATTATTCGCACGCACGTGAAAGTTCACGACATTACAGAGAAGATGGGAGAAGAGAACAAGAACAAGAACGAGAACGTCGTTTGCAAGAAATGCAAAACAACGCCAAACAATTAGAGCATTCTCGCTCAGAAAGAGTTCGTATCTTGGAGGCCCAAGAGGCATCAGAGCGTTTGCGACTAGCAGAGGAGCATCGGGAAGCCTCTAAATGGGACAATCAAGGGGAGTTTATACGCAAAATGAAGCGAGACGTATACTCTGGCGACAATATAAAGCTTGAAGATCGTGTTCAACGGGGGAGACGGTCATTCTTGAGAAACGCATAACTTTCTTTTTCTAGTTTGAATGGTATGTAATTGTATTCTTAGTAATTTAAGTGTTGTTAAAAAGAGCAATTGTCGTTGCGTGTCATAAGAGAGAATAGCGAAAAAGAAGGTAGCCTCAGGAGTCAAAAAGTCAACATAAATATCGTTTTAACCAGAACGAGTTGGGTCTTCTTTGTCGAAGACAAGTTTTGGTGCGGGTCTGCCCAGTTTCGAGGGATACCGAATATCACAACCGCAATCATACATGCTTATAATTTCTGAGCAATTCAAAGGTGGTTTGTGTATTTTTTCGTTTACAAGACTGTTGGATTTGTTAGCATACGAAGCAATGAACGTCCATACTTATGAATCTTGCAGCCCCATTGACTAGCGGCGTCGCGAGAGTGAACTTCCGGGGGATGCTGGTTCAGGAGAATCTGGAAATCCTTTGAGCATTGTCCACATGGATACAGTTTTGCAAAGAGATACAGAAAGTCTGAGAGCGAATCTTGCTCAGCCTGTGTTGGTTTTTCAGGAAAGCGAGCCAGTATGGTATGTAATAACTAGATACAGGGTTAGCAGAAGACATACATGAGTTTACTACTTACCCGCCATCCACTCCGTCCCAATTCTTTTCTATAGAGTTTCGCAATTAGTAATGTACACAAATAAGAAAAAAACAAAAAGTCGATCGCTCTTCACGTTCAGCATACCTGGCCTCTTTGTCGCTCATTTCGGGCATAATTGATTCAATGCCAGGGGCATTGGGACGTGGTCTGCTTGGGCGCTTTGTATCTCCTAAATTCAATCGTCCGTCTCGTTGAACGTCAATATGCCCAAAATACCAGAAAAAAAGAATTAACGTCACCGATGCGAGTAGCAAAACTTTAAATTGCTTTCTCATTATGTGAATGAAACAGTTTCCGAGGACAATCGGTGTTGGTAAGTTAATAACGGAAGTCAAGACCCGTTCAGATCTCAATATCCACCAATCTATTAGATACCCTTCAATTTTAACAATTGCCGCACAGACTGCTATTGTCAAATTGAACTAAAGCATTTAGTTGGGGTCTCGGGATCAGAAGGCGCTAAAAGAGAAACTTTCAGGGAAAGTGCCGAAATAGCGCGAAGTTTTTTCAAATCTAAAAACAAGAGCCGCATTTTTGCGTCAACAGCCCAAGGGCTTTCGAAAATGAAATTATCAATTCATTATTGTTTGATTTAAAACTAATATACAGTTCATGCTTAGGGCCATATGCAAGTGATTAGAATAATACTAGAGCCATCTAGAAACGGTAGCAAAAAATAAAGGGAACGTGTAAGATTACGGAAGGAGCATGACAAGGGGAAACGTGACGACCATGTGAGAAGAGAACCTGAAAGAAGAAAACGAAAAACTGAGTGAGGTGATCGGATGTCGTTTATATCCATTCGCAAAGATGGTGCTCCCAGCCCTGGAAATCTGTGAGCCCCATATGATGAATGTTTTGCTTTAGGCGTTCCCGCTTGCGATCCGTCAGCGGAACAAATGCCTTAGAGCCGGGGGAGAAGTGATGTTTCACTTTCGTGAATACATCCTTCATAGTACTTCGAAAGCCTTTGGATGTCTGCTTATCCGAATCAAAGAAGCTGAGTTTCTTGGGCGTCGATTCCGAGAGAATGGCTTCGTAATGTATGCCATCATTCATGTCTGACATACTACAGAATGAATTGCGTTCTGACTGCTGAATGGAATTGGTTCGTGATGTTTGCCTTGAGACATCTTGGGAGTCATTGCCTTTGGACCTTATGGATGACTTTGTAGTCTTTGGAAGCAGCAATCGTGTTTGAGAATTTAATGAGCTGCACCTTCCCGACAACCAAGGAGAATGACTTTCAATATTACGATTCCAAGGCGAGGACGGTGACTGGCGCTCAACCAGAACAGCATTTGCTACAAGTTCGGAGGGTGTTAAAGGTGAATATGGAGCCGGCGTGTGAACAAGGGGGCTAGGTGTCTCGTAGAATTTACTTTTCGTGAGGCTCGCAATGCCGTTCAAGCGCAATGGAGCTGGTTTACTTCTCAACATGCTGGTAATAAGTATGTGTAAATGTCTCCTAGATTTTTAAAACAGAGGGGACTTAGAAGTCCAACGAAGCGGTTGATATGGTTAAGAGTTTCAGAAAGTGAATAGGCTACAAGGATGAATACGGTTAAGAGATGGGCAATTGTGTCCGTTTTATAGACAGAAGTAATCGACGCGTCGAGTTCATTGTTTGATAAAACAAAGAATTGTGTACCAGAAACGCGTGCGTGTCAATTGCTTTCAATTTGGTGTTAAGATCTGCTGCTTTGTTTTTTTGTGCAATTCCGATCGGCGAAAAACTCTTTGTTTCAAAAGATGACTTATTATTTTAAGAAGAACAAGACGATCGATCTAAAAATCAATGAACACGTAAACAATTGCTACTTATATACATAGTATAATGTAGTTCAATGAACCCATATGTGGATTTTACGGGCCACCTGGTCACTCTTGTGGCTTCCATTCCACTTTCCCTGGTGATAAATATTACAAGTGGCAACAACATATTTAAAACGTGTTCACCCCTCACTTTCCAATTATTTAAACGCTTTTACTAATGTATACGTCTAAACCGTTAATATAATTCTATTGTTGTACAGTTACCAAGTTAACTTTCACCCTTCCACTTGTTTACTTCACTACGAACTGAATATTTCTTTTTGCGGAAATGTCAAGACACCAGTGTACACATGACTGCTCAGAACATGCATTTGAGAGTTCTCCTTCTGATTCACTATACAACTGTATTGATTTGGACAAAGTTTTCGTGTTAAATGAAGGAGAAGAGAGTGCAGGTAGCAAGGTTATCAAACCTTGGGACAAACGCTATGATGATACCGATATTTTAAAGAGTGACGTTGATGATCAATTAATTATTCACATTCCATTCACGGGTTCTGTTTGTTTAAAATCTATTCTTGTTCGTGTTTTCAGTGACGGTTCCGCACCGCAATCTGTTTCTCTATTCCCAAATCGTACGGACTTGGATTTTGAATCTGTCGATGAGCGTAAACCTACAGAGACGTTCCAATTGCCGGTAGAAGGTGCTGGTTCTGATGTATTAGAATTCCCTGTTAAAACCCGTCTGTATCAGAACATGGCGAATTTGAACCTTTTCTTTCGACGTGACGATGGTGATGATGAACCTGTAGAAATCGCCTTCATTGGACTTCGTGGAACATTTATTCCGTTTAAGGGCAATCCCATCATCACCCTCTATGAAGCTGCTCCTCGTCCGACCTCTCACAAACTGCACGGAGTGAATCTGGAAAATCGGTTTAATGCACTATCTTAAGTTGCCATTTTGTATATACAAAACATGAAAAGTATTATTGATCGTTTCGTTTTAGTTAGTGAGCAGATATAAATTTCGTGCGGGACTCATCAATTGAGTTACCCACAACACATGTCTGTGGCTTGATTAGGTTTAAGCGTTTCGTTTCATGGTAGTTGTAATTAAGTCAAGATTTTGATGAATCTCTTGTAGTTTTTCGTGCACGACGAGCTCGTTGACGTTTACGGTTTTTCCGATCTCTTGGCAATTCAAAACTTCGCCGAAGCTTTGTACGCAAGCTCGGTGCAGCATAATTCACCCGACGTATGGGCCGCCGACGCTTCGGACTCAGTGAAGGAGAAGCCGCATTTTCGATGGACGTTGCGTTTTTTGAATTATCATTAAGTGAGGGTTCCTCTCTTTCAAGCTGTTCGTGTTGGGGTAGCGGAGCTTTTGAAGGAATGCTGACGCAAACAATTGGTTTTGGGGCTTTGACAACGTTTGAGCTAAAACTGTTTTCGTTCCCAACTGGTTTACAGGGTTTTCGTTTAGGACTGAGAGAGGCCCGATAGAAGCGCATACTTTTTCGTCTGCGGCTCCGAATTTTGGATGGGCTGTTTTGAAAACTCCGTTTTTTTGGCGAGCTTCCTAATATGTTAAGCCTGTTTGAATGTACTGGTACATCTTGAAGCACGGAACTTGGCTGAGCAAATGAATCCTCCGGCCTGGGAGGTATTCCAGTGTACTCATTATCACGGAAAACCCTGATAGAACAGGCATTGGTTTTGCGAGGAGGACTAAAAAGAGGATCTGGAAGCAGTACTTCGTCCTCTTCTCTATTACTTGATATATGAGTTCCTGCATCAAATTTAGTTTCATGTGATTTTGAGTTCATGCAAGTTTGTAATAGGTTACAGAGTGAAGAAACATTCGTGCTTAACTGTGTCTGTATTGTTTGAATGTACTGCACTAAAGCAGCAGATTTGCTCAAGACCGTTTGTTTTTCTTCTAGACGAGCTATGTGTTTTTTTAATTCGAAGCTTTCTTCCATGAAGCCATGTATTTTGTTTTCTAGCTGTCGTATCTTAGAAGAAAGAGCAGAGTTTGAACTGAACGATGTTAATTTTTGTTCACAAATAATTGATACATACTTTGCAAGATCACGGTTTTGTTTTTGTAGGATATCCATGTTTATCTATATTGCAGAACTGTAATGGAAGTTATTAGACACTATACAGAATATCAACACGTTTGTTTTCCTTTGACGTTCTCTGCTTACGTTAAATACCAAGATAATGCATGTTTTTCTGGTATAATGTCAAGAACTGGTTGACAGCAAGCTTGTTGAGCTGTCTGTCTAATGGTGCCCCCTGGTAGGTGAACCAAAGAATTCTAATTAAACAGAAGTAAAATGCTCATAATAAACAGTGAAACTTATTAAACTCTTCCTGTAAACCTACTGCGTTCATTAACTTTAGGTACACGGCTCCACTTGAATTTTATTACGGATATGTTAGGCAAATGATGGATGACGAACGGTGAAGTGAAGGAAGTATTTAAGTATATATTGATCAATGCTAAAATTGAGCTTAGGGCTATTGGAAATGAAGAATTCGTTTCGTTGACCGGGCCAGAACTTCCATGGAAAGTCGAATACATAATAAAGTACTTCAACTTTCGTGAGTGTGAGGAATAGTCATTTGAGACGTTAGTCAAGTAAAAACGAGGACATGGCGCAAAGTCCACAAAAATTATACATGACGGAAACACTAGCGGGAAAGAACATTGAGGAAGTTATGTTCAGGCACGAGTAATCATTAAAGCGCGTGCGAAAGGAGTGGATGGTGACGGATACCGTGTTTTCAACGAGGGTGCTCGATAAAGGTTGGACTTGCTTGAGTACATGTAACAATTGCATAATTTCTTGGGTCTATGCTTTGGTCACTGCGGACTGTAGTTTTCTGTTAATACAGGTAATGATTAAGAGACTTGCCTATGATCGCTTTCACAATCGTGCGTGGAAATACTAATTAAGATACAGCCAGACTCGTACCCATGCATCCGTTAATATAACAAAATGTATGAGGCTCCTGCAGACTTGTGCTTGGATTCATCACCGCCCAAAAGAGCAACAACAGCAAAATGCTGACCAAAAACCGCGCTTCTCTTCCTCTTCTCGGGACTCTTGTGCATTATGTAATAACCCACGATGCCCCTTTCCATGGTAATGACGCGGCGTCATGCGCGAAACTGGATCGTAAGTGCCATAACCCATTCGGTCCTGAACAAGATTCAAAGGAGCAGATGCAGAATTCCGGGATGGACAGGGCGGAACAAGTCCACTAGGTGAGGGCATAGAAACATATGCATTTGCATTCGATCCGCGTGTTGTTTTGTTGGAAGCATATGCCCGTGAACGGGAGTTTACGTTTGCTCGTGAAGTTTCGTGCTGACGAGCACAGAAGCCGGAGAACTTTTTGTTACGCTGCATAGCAATTACCGAAGAGTGATTAGATATAGATTCCCAACCTTTTCCATTGTTTAACAACATCCAGTCATATACGCCATCATTGATGTCGCCATTGTTTCTCAAAACTTGATCAAAAAGGTCTTGCATAAACTCATAATTCGGCTCTTCATCAAAGCCAAGTTCACGAACATACGTGAGGTACCGGCTAAACTCAGAAGGAAATCCAGCACACAATTCCTTTATGGATGTAGATTGTTTTTTCTCACTGATTTTCTCATACTTATGTTTGTTGTTTGCGGCGCGCAAGCCCTGCCATGGAAGGCTGCCACGCAGAAAATACATAAATACATGTCCCAAGGATTCGAGATCGTCTCTGCGAGATTGCTCGCGGCCAAGATGTGTATTTATACTCATGTAACGTGCTGTTCCCGATAAGCTTTTCCTTTCGCGGAACGGAATATGAACTTTGGTTTTAGGATCGCGGTAGTATTTAGCCATGCCAAAGTCCACAATATAGATCATATTAGGATTTTTTGATCCGGGTCTTCCAATTAAAAAATTATCTGGCTTTATATCCCTGTAAACAAGGTTTCTTTCGTGTATCGTCTGTATTCTAGCAAGCTGGGGGGAAATGTTAGCATTCGCTGTAAGTGTATAACTTTAAAACACAAGGATTTTTACCATTTGTTTAGCGGTCATTGCAACTGTTTTTACACTGAAACGGCGTCCGCACAGCTCAAATAAATCTTCCATACTGGGACCAAGAAGATCAATTACCAGAATATTGTGCAGGGCCTCCTGTCCGAAGTAATAGACGCTTGGAACACCGGCTATGGTAAGTTAGAAAGTTCTTGAACAGATTACATACGGCAACCGACGAGAAGCTTGTACGTCCTGTATTCATCTCGTAATTGAGGTGCGTCGGATTTCCTTGATTCCTATAATTTAGTTAGAACCCTAATGTTTGTTAAGCAGTAAGAAGATACTGCAAAATGTGCACGATTACGTACAAATTTTATAGCTACAGGTTGGCTGTTTAGAAGATTTGTTCCATCAAAGATGATACCAAAGGAACCCTCCCCAATTTTGCGTTCCACGCGATAATGGACACCAACAACGCTTGTTTGTGAATTCATGGAAAATTCACAGGAAGTTTTTATAGGCAAAACAGCAGAATTCCGATGTCAATTCATAAGACAAAGTTGTGCGATGGTACTGCCGTCACTCCGCTCTTAGGCAAATCCAACGAAGTATAGGTTACTTTGATATACAGCAGTGTTATCCACAGCCAATTGAACCAAGTTCTCCCCTTTTTGTTATTAGAACAGGAAAACACAGAAATGAAGCTTCTTGGCTTAACTCAAGTTCATCCTATGCGTTGGGTGCGTCCAGTAACCTTGGTAAGGGTGGGGCACATTTCCCGTCGGCGGGGTGTATCCATGGCTCAGTAACAGGGCGATTTACAGTAACAGCCCTCAAAATTAATTGCGCGTCACGTTAAATTCGACCGATAAGTTGTATAAAGCAGAGCGCAGTTTTAGCTAGTAAACAAAATGGCGTTCGGATTTTCGGATCTTATTATTTTGTTTTATTCGTATTGTCATTCGCTGTGAAGAGAATTGAAGAAAATAATAGAATATAGGCTGCTACAGAAAATAGTATGATGTTCTTCTGAGTATTGTATGCTGCGGTAGAGAAACAAATAATTATATGTCATCAACAGCAGAATTATGTACCGCCGCAGTTCAAATAATCAGCAGTGCTCTTTTCGGGATCATTTTACATTAAGATTTTTAAAGAGTCATTCGTATGCTGAAAGGATCAAGATTTATTGTAGTGAACTAGACCTAGAAATATAGTCGACAAGAATTTGTCCTCGCGCAAACAGAACCATATACAGCCATTGGCTCTATACAGCAAAATGTGCATTTCTTAATTGTAGTCAAAGTACATACAAAGAAAGCTACAGTCCCTTCTGAAAAGTTTAGAAAAGCTATCCAATGTTGATTTATAGTAAATAGTATTTGTGGCAGTAGAAATATTTTAGACAGGATAATAAACTGTAACAAGGTAAAGCATACACGTTCATGAAAATCATTAAGTATCATCTAACGTATTTCATTACCTTCTGTATGCTCATCAGCAAGCAAAAACAATTTTGCCAAACCAAGCTCAATGTTTTTTACGGATAAATCAGGTTGTTGTGAGGTAGATGTTTGTAAAAGCTTGGAGGCATTCTGAAAGTTCTCTTGCATTGCCTCAAAGACCCAAAGAAGCTCGAGTGAACGTTTTTCGGTAAGATATTTTCTAATAAGATTGGTATGATTTGGGTAATCTTCAAGAAGTGTTGAGACTTTATGGTTCTCAACAAGACTTTCAAAAAAGGGGAATGCAAAAGCTTCGCCGTATTTGTCAATGTAATGTTGTGATTGCCTTTTAAATATGTCCGCTGGAAGATTTGTATGCATTAGTAATGCAACGATAGACGCTATATTGTCCGTGTCTTGAAGAAGCGTAAACGCAGTTTCATAAGACTTTAGGTCAGCAAAATACGAAATCCAATTGTCCCTGTTCTGTTCAACATCAAACACGCGAAGCTGAAGTTTCTCTGCCAATATTTCGACATACAGCTCGTTAAAAACAATGACAATATCTTCCAAGTTACAGTTCATTTGCTTCCGAATTAATTCATCGGATGACTCGTATGTGACTTTAACACAAAGTTTGCCAAGATATTGGATATGCTCAAGAATTAAAGAAACGAACTGTTTTTCGACTATCCATAGCTCTTTCAAAGAATCCATATTAGTGTTTTTTAATGCATCAAAATTATCCTTGGCCAACACATTTATCTTTCGTAAAATGGTTAAATAAACAAGATTCGCATCCAGAGCCGATTGTACTTTTGATATAATATCATCATCTTTCTTTTCTTTTAGATCATAGCTCAACTGATTAAGAAGTTTAGCGTAACTTAAATCATTACTCTGAGAACTGGAAACGAATACCGAAGTAAGTTTTTTCTCGAATTCCTTGAAAAATACTGACCTTTCTCGTTTTTTATGAGAGATTTTCAGTAGCTCGACATATAGATCAAATTTTAAGTATAATGAAAGTAGTACAACTGTATGCTCTGGAGTCAATGTGATATGTTTTTGAATGTACTCGAGGATTGAAGAAAACATGTCTCGCTGATGTTCTGATTTTTTTGATAGATCATCTGAATGCAGAAAACTTTCTTCTTCACTCGAAATACCCTCATGCACGCTAAAGCCTTGTCGCAAAAGCTTCCAAAGAGCTTCAAATATATCCTGTTCTGAAAATAGTTCCAGAACAGGCTTTAACGAAAAGGTAAATTGCTTCTTCGCAGCCGCTGTTTGAAATAACAATTGCTGGAAAACCGAAGCGATGTACTGAAATTTTGGGAAAACTGCATTCTCTTTTGACAGAATCTTAAAAATTCCATTGTGATTTGTGACAAGAATTAAGCTAGGAGACTCGGCATTTGAAACGAGACCGTTTACGCAATCCACATACACTAAGCGCGTTTCTGCACTGTGATTAATAAGTATCGACTCTTCGCATATTTTCTCTTCGCCCTTCACCGAAATTAGATTTATCACATAATTGTCAAACGAACAATAGTAATCACCTCTTGTGAGATTACCGAAGAGCCTCGGTCTTGAGAAGACGCTTTGATTAGGTAAACAAATGGGATATATGCCTTGAACCGACAATGCAAATGACTCGGTCAAACGACAGGAAACGATAGCGTACAACCGTTGGGTATCTACATTCAACCAACTAACGATGATTGAAAATATGTAAGGGTCTTTCAAACAGACAGCCACATCGTGACACGTAAAAGTAGCACACTGAATACTACGACCTGCAAAAGCTGTTTGCAGTATCTTTTGCATGTCATTTTGAATTAGCAAGCGGCTCGTAAAGGCGCACGAAACTTCCCAAACTTGTAAATTACAATTCGAAGAAAGCGTATACACGAATCGTTCATTCACGCCCTTAACGGCACCCGCTTTTATGATGGAATACTTTGGTGAACTTTGAACACCAAGAAGAGTTGTCCATGTTTTCAGGGAAAACAGATTCGTATCTGCTGTAAGTGCACGGTGACAAACACTTGGATGGCCGACAGCATCTCGGAGAAAAAGTTGAAATTGACGCCCAGAATCCAAAGAAATGATGAAGCAAGCTGGTTCTGCATTGACTAATGTGGTTATTATTTCATCTTTCTTTAAATCCAATTTGTAATGCAGAACACGTGAACATTCGAGGGTGGATGAGGAATTTTTTAAATGTTCAATATTCTGCCAATATTGAACATGCCCTGTTTTTGGCCAAACCAATACACAACCTGAACTACTTGATGAGGATTCGGGCCGGACCAATTGCACTAATGGGGCACGAGTTTCTTCCGGGGAAGGACAAACTGATTGGAGAGACACAGTAAATTGAGGGAAACTCGGTTGCTTGAAATGAATAACTGTCAGTTCCTTTTCTTTTTCGTTTAAGGCCAGAAAGTGTTGTGTCAACTCATCAAAACAGCAGTGCACTTCGGATTGTTTTGACGAAAACGGTTTCTCTGGCATAACAATTCGTTTTATCACATATTGAGAATTTGCCGAAACAACTTGCTGAACATTGCCATTTACCGTGTCTGTACTAATTTTAAAAGACGTGTTCTTTTTCTTTGAGTGTACAACATATTTTTTTATGTTCAACATGAGAATGCAACCTCTCTCAGAAGGCGTACAGTCGAAAGTACACAACTGGTGTGGTTTGGGTTGTGATGGATATGGAAGGCAAGAATAAAATGAGACGCTAGTTCAGTCAGCGCTGGACTAGGATTATCACTGTGATATATAGATTTTATTTTAAAGGATAAGTATGTAGAAGAGAGTTAGAAAAGACTTTAATAGCCTGCTAATTATCTGTTGTTTATATTTTCATTCTTTCACAACTAAATTATGTACAGACTGCTACTATAAAATGTAATACACAACAGAGCATACATAGCACGTAGTTGCGCTATTGTCTACGCGGGACTTAATTAAATTCTGCTTTGTTTGGTAATGACGGGGGATCCCCGAGGATGCATGTATTGTTCCGCGGAAACGTTAAAATTGTAGAAACGGCGGTACATATATATACTATTCAGTCCAAAAAACTCTCAGAAAGACGATTATAATAGTTTCTATCTTTATTGAATGCAAATTTTGTACATTCAATGAAAAATGGCGTTGGTGGACCAGCTGCATATCACCGCCATCAGAATACTTTAAAACAAAAACCACCGAGATAACTGTTGCCGCCTAAACCAAACAGCAATTCGTCGCAAAGCAAACACCAGAAGTGTGCTTGCAGTGAGTTTTGCACGTCGGTAGTGAAGCATTTAGCATGGCATCACCAGCTTTGCTGCGTAGAGTCCCAAGAGCGCGCTTTGGCGCCATTTGCAGTGGACAGCTGTTGTCCGCCTCCGGAAGAACATTGAATGCTCGTTTACTGTTGTCTCGTACTATCACCAACAGCACTAAGCTCTCTTCTGCTACCACATCTGCCTCCATTGCAAGCACGGGTGTACGTGCCACTACGCCTGATGTTTTGGGAGATTTCCAAAAGGTTGGTGCAAACACGCGTTACGACAACACGTATGTTGGAAAGACTGGTGGTGAGATTTTCCACGACATGATGCTTAAGCACAATGTGAAGAATGTGTTTGGTTACCCTGGCGGTGCTATCTTGCCCGTTTTCGATGCCATCTACAAGTCTCCATACTTTGACTTTGTCCTCCCTCGTCATGAGCAGGGCGCTGGTCACGCTGCTCAGGCTTATGCTCGTGCTACGGGCAAGCCTGGTGTTGTTTTGGTTACCTCTGGTCCTGGTGCCACAAATGTTATTACGCCAATTGCTGATGCTATGGCTGACGGAACCCCCCTTGTCGTTTTCTGTGGTCAAGTCGCTACTGCTGCCATTGGAACTGACGCTTTTCAAGAAGCCGATATGGTTGGTATTTCCAGACCTTGCACCAAGTGGAATGTAATGGTTAAGGATGTTGCTGACCTTCCCCGTCGTATTGATGAGGCATTCGAGATTGCTACGAGTGGCCGTCCTGGCCCTGTCCTTGTTGACTTGCCTAAGGACGTCACTGCTAGTGTTTTGAAGAACCCAATTCCTGTGGTTTCTTCAATGCCCACCTTTACTCGCAAAATCAAGGAGACTCTTGAGGAGCGCTCTAAGATTATTGACAGCAAGTTGGACCGTGTCCAAACTCTTTTGAGTCGTGCCAAGAAGCCCGTTATTTTTGCTGGTCATGGTATTTTGTCCAACCCTGATGGACCTAAGGTTTTGAGAGAGCTGAGTGAGAAGCTCAGCATTCCTGTCACCACTACCCTTTTGGGTCTTGGTGCCTTTGATGAACGTAGCGACTTGAGTCTCCATATGATCGGTATGCATGGTAGCGGTTATGCTAACATGGCTGTTCAAGAAGCTGATTGTTTGCTTGCATTGGGTGCCCGTTTCGACGACCGTGTTACTGGTAACACGAAGTTGTATGCCCCTGAAGCTCGTTTGGCTGGACAAGAAGAGCGCGGTGGCATCATCCATTTCGATATTTCTCCTAAGAACATCGGTAAGGTTATTCGCCCCACTGAAGCTATTGAGGGTGATGTTACTGAGATGCTCAAGCTCCTTCTTCCCCGTCTTACCGCTGTGAGCCGCCTGCAACGTGAGGAGTGGTTGAGCCAGATTGCCAGTTGGAAGAAGCGTTTCCCTTTCACATTCACCCCTAGTAAGCCAGGTGAGCTTCTGAAGCCTCAAGCTGTAATTCAAGAGCTTGACAGACAAACCGCTGAGATTAAGGACAAGGTTGTGATTACTACTGGTGTTGGTGCTCATCAAATGTGGGCTGCCACTTTCTACCGTTGGACTCAACCCAGATCTCTTATCACCTCCGGTGGTTTGGGCACTATGGGTTTCGGTCTTCCTGCGGCCATTGGTGCTAGTGTCGCTCGCCCTGACAGCATTGTCATTGATATTGACGGTGATGCTTCTTTCTCTATGACCGGTATGGAGATGGCTACTGTTCGCCAATTCAACTTGCCCGTTAAGATTCTTTTGCTCAACAACGAGGAGCAGGGTATGGTTACACAATGGCAGAACTTGTTCTACCAAAAGAGATACAGTCACACTCAACAAGTAAACCCCGACTTCCCTAAGTTGGCTGAAGCCATGGGCTTGAAGGGTCTCCGTGTTACTAAGCAAGAGGAGTTGGCTCCCACCATGAAGCAATTTTTGGAGACCGAGGGACCCGTTTTGATGGAAGTCAAGGTGGCCTCCAAGGAGCATGTTTATCCTTTTGTTCCTGCTGGTAAGGCTCTTCACCAGTTCATTTTGCACGGCAGCCTTTCTTAAGCATATCCACTGCGTTGATTTTTGAAAAGCGAATAGCTTCATTATTTTATCTTTTTCTGGGAGCTTCGTAGACAGCGTATGTCGAAGCCATGAGGCATCGATATTCCTGGTGTTTTGTTGATTAAACATGAAATATGTACAGTTTTGTTATTATTGTTTATAGTTATTTGGAATGGGCACTGGTTGGGGAAAAGAATGGAATTGTTAGTCTAGCAATGGCGTCGGTGAAAATGAAGAGATACGAGGTCTTGGTGATACATGAGTGTCACCCATTGAGGACTATACGGAAATGTTTTAAACGCTTTTTTATTAAATCACCAAAATTACCAAAATCACCATCTCTTACGCCAAGTTTTTCTCCGTTTAGACGATTCAGCTGGAGAGGAAGGTGAGGATATCCGATTCCTTAAGGACTTGTCGCGGCCATCTGAGTATGGCGAATAGTTGTCACGGCGTTTTCTGTCCGAGTTATATGAATTATAGCCACTGGAATAACTCCGCTTATGAGGACGTTTTGAGTATTTGTTGTTGTTGTTGGACTGCGAGTAAGAACTAGAAGGACGATAGTGGCTATCGTCTTTAAACTCTTGATGCAGTTTTTTAGTGAATTCTTCATTCGAGACATCGTTTCCAGTAGGACAATTTGCTTCGCAAAAGGCCGTATTACTTTGATACTGTGAACGAGATGGCAAGTCGCAATCGTCACCAAAATGTCCCTCTGCTGCACAGTTGTAGCAGTGTTTTTTAACTCGACCAGCTTCTACGCGAACAGTATCCTCTGTCTCAACGTAGTAACGCCAAATAAGGGGGCATGTACGGCTCGTGTGTGTGTCTATATTGCATGTACGGCAAACACGAGAGCGATTTCTTGGTTCGGGACATTTGGATTGAATGTGACCAAGTAAACCGCAGTTCATGCATCGTTTTGTACGGGGACATCTATGAGGAGGATGATCATCGATGGCACCACATGTTGTGCACTAGTAAGTTAGAACGTGACAATCCATGAATGTAAATAAACGAACCAGAGTGTGTGTGCAATCCCGGGAAACATGGCCATGTCCTTTACAGTTATGACAAATAATGTCGTCCTTAGGATCAGAACCAAAATAACGGCCTTTGCTAACCTGTAAGGTATGGTTAAAATCAATGAACGAATATTTTTTCACGAACCTCAGCCCATTCCTCCTCGTCAAATTCGCTAGAACTAACAGAAGACGTTTCAGAAGCAGCTACTTCGTGCTCTTCACTATTTTCTTTGTCGACTGTGATTGAAGCATTCGGTTCGGCTGCATCGTCTATAAAAAACGGGTCAAGCTGTTCACCGGCACCAGTGAACACTTGATCAGTCTCAGTACTCATTGTTCACTGCAAAATTGTACAAACTTTGCAAGTTGACAGTGATAGTAAAAGATTCCGAGTAATGACTTATAAATGCAGTGGCATACGTGAAGTACAAAACTAGTAGGGCTTTGAGTACGCAATAAGGCAACTCAATTTGAGAGCAGCAGGTAGTGTTGACTAATAAATGGGTATAGATCTCTTGATTGTATTTTTTATCTATTTTACTTCTTTTTGTACTTTTTTTTCTGAAGAATTAGTAAAAATTTAACTTGAAAAAATAACATAATAATTATTACGTTAGATCAAAACGAAATAAGAGTATAAAACAAAGGTTCATTGATTGATTGACTACCGTAATCGTCTAAATCACATAAGAAGCACTATAATATCAAAAAATAAAACCATTGAAAAATGAAGTGAATCGTCCCGGATGAGTATGCATGAAGAGACCTTTCAATCGTTACGGACAAAAAACAAACTCACTTATAACAACTACTGTCATCCACGTCCACGTTCAAATCCAAGTGTTCGTAGCCTCAGAGATTTTCGCAAACGTCCCACCACATCCAGGGTACGCTAATAAAATGCCAAGATGTAAGTTAAAATCACTATCGAAATGTCATATTAACAGACAGATCTCTGTGACTATTGTCAGGTTTGGCTTACACACGACAGTCAATCTGTTCGGAAAGCACATAATGCTGGAAGAGCTCATTTACAAAATGTACAAGATTACTATGCTCGTGTAGCTCAAGAAGAAGCGCAAAAACGTTTATCAGAAATGAGTTCTTCTGGCTTAAAACAAAAAGAAAACGGTACACTGAACTTACCACATGTCTTCGCTTTTCCACCGAAACCAGTATATACAGGATTTGCACTTCCTCCTCCTCCACTCATAATTCCTTCCACGATGTACACTTCAGCTCCTCAAATACCACAAGCTGCAGCTGCTCCTTTGGCTGCAGCTGCTGCGCAAACTCTTCCTACTGCTCCCAGTCGGGCAAATGCCGCACAATCCCAACAACAGCGCCCAAATCGTCATCGTCCAAATGGACATAGACCGATGCACTTGTCTCGCAACTAGCAGTTGTTTTTGGCTCTTCGGGACGCCATACGCGTTATTTGTTTACTTGGCGTTGCATTAGTTACTGTGGCAACTACGCGGGGAGACGCCGACAATTGAACAACACAGCTCCACATCAAAATTCAAAAAATCTAGCAGCTGTGGGATTACCATGCCAAGAGCAGCGCAGATTTTTAGGTCTGTCGTTATTCCGAAGCGACGACTCGGCTGGGGGTCGGTTCCGTACAATCCCGATGAAAGTAGAATTCTCGAATGCCTTTCGGAGGACGACAATGGTTACGTACGTGTAAAATTTGCCGCGAACTTCGAATTGAGAATACCAAAAGACCATTTAAAGTTGTACAAGAACGGGAAAAATGCCTATGAAGAGTTTCTTGAACGAAAAACATACGAAACAAAAGAAGAAAGCGACTACTCGGTTTCTTCGTCCTCTTCAGATGCATTCATCGAATCACCATCTTCGGATTCTGACGCTATTGTCGTGACACGGAGGTCGAGACGACTGAAGCGTCTGAGAAAAGTCTCAGGCATTGATTCTTCTTCTTCATCTGATGAAAACGACCGTATCCTAACTCGCCTTCAAAAACGAAAACGCAATGTGGTGGAAAAATCTCGCTATTCTACTCGTAGTCACAAAAGACAAACATAAAAAGACGTGACTCTTGGTCGAGCGATTCTTCGGTCTCCGTAAGCGGTGCTCTTAGTAATGACCAAAGTGACAACGCAGTCCAGCCGACCAAAGATGAACTCGTTAGTTCAGAGACCAGTGAGTTCGCTAGTGCAACCAGCGGTTCTGAAGATGATTCGGTAGATTTGTCGAATCCAGTACATAGAATGCAACCCAAACATGACTCTTTTTATCATGTTCAGCTTTGCGCGAAATGCCATCGGCTTGAAAGACCGAGCAGTGCTGCAAGGTGTTTCCTCTTTTGCTCTCATTGCACAAACGCATATCACGTCGAATGCTCTTCGTTCACTCGAATGAACAAAGCTCAGAAAAAGAAAACTCTGGAGGATGGTTTTCTCTGCAACCCTTGCACCAGAGAGTCCAATTATCGGCTTACACGGAACTGTTTTAAGTGCGGATGTACTGCTGACACATCCACGAACAAACCCGAAAAAGCTGTTGATTATAGTCAACGCATGTTTCGATGTTGGCGGTGTCTTCGTATTCAACATTTCCAGCACATCATTAGTGGTGATCCTGGCAATGAACCAAAACAAGCCGTGGAGAATCACCTTAATATGAAAGTTTGCAATGATTGTCTTAATCACCCTAAAGATGTTGCAGAAGTAGTTGCTTGGCGGCAGTTACCCAAAAATCAAATATATCCCGGCTTTATAGTAGACGATAATTGTACTTCAATCAATGTGTCCGACTGGACAAAGGAATACTTGGTACGATTTGATAACGAGCCCTATTTGAACTGTTGTTGGATGTCTTCTACATGGCTTGCCGGTGTAGCATTTACGCGAAAGACGAATTATGATTCAAGAATGAACGCGGCAGTGAAAGATGAACGTGAGGCCATTCCTGAAGCTTACACTTTGATAGACCTGGTGCTTGATGCACGCTACGAAGGTGACATAAATCGATTTCAAATGAATTTCAAAAACAAGCAGGAAGAATTGTCGGCTTTGTCGAAAGTTCAAAAAGTCTTTGTCAAATGGCAAGAGTTACCTTACTCAATGTCCATGTGGATTGATGTACCAACATCTACCGATGAAAAGAGATGGACTTTGTTTAGGGATGCATTCCATAAATATGTCTCTCGGTTCCATCAAGACAAGCCAACGAAATCCGTTTCCCGTGGCTTAATTCCCTTCACACATATGGAGCTAACAAGGCAACCTGATTATATTGTCGGAGGGGATCTTATGCCTTACCAGTTGGACGGTGTTAATTGGTTGTACTACAAATGGTACTCAAATCACCCTACCATATTAGCTGATGAAATGGGTTTGGGAAAGACAGTTCAAATCATCTCATTCTTGAGTGTGCTAAGACACGAACAAAAAAGTTTTCCATTTCTAGTCATCGTTCCTCATGCCACTGTTTTAAATTGGCAACGTGAATTTGAAAAATGGGCACCTTCTATTACAGTCAGTTCACTCGTTGGTATTTCAGAAAATCGTCGTGTCGTTCGTGATTATGTCGTGACAACAAAAGATGATCCTCGCGAACTTAAAGTGCAGGCACTCATAGTAAGCGCGTCTAATGTTTCAGATGAGTTTTCTTTTTTAAAACGGTTTCGGTGGAGCTGCTTAGTTGTTGACGAGGGTCAAAGATTAAAAAACGACATGTCGATATTGCCGTCTTTACTTCTATCACTTCAGGTGGACTATAAAGTCATTTTAACTGGTACACCTCTACAAAACAATATAAGGGAATTATTCAATTTGCTTCATTTCCTTGATCCCAAAAAAATAAACCCAGAAGAACTTACTCGTCAGTATGAAGATTTGGATGCCGAGAAAGTTGAAGAAGTCCATCAGCTTCTGAAGCCATATGTTCTGCGTCGTGTGAAGGACGATGTCTTAAACTCTTTACCCCCAAAGGTTGAACTGATTATACCACTTTCTATGACTTCGTTACAGAAAAAACTTTACAAATCAATTTTGGCAAAGAACGTTAATCTTATTAAAAGCATTACATCAAAATCACGTTCTGGAAAAGGACCTTCTCAAAGCTCGCAAACATCCCTTAACAATATTCTTATGCAGCTGAGGAAGACACTCGCTCATCCCTACATTTACTCTCAGGATGTTGAAGATAGAACTCTTTCTGCCGAGCTTAGTATACGATCTATGGAGGAAGCTAGTGCAAAAATGCTATTGTTGAGAATTTTGGTACCAAAACTTATCGAAAAGAATCATCGAATCCTATTTTTTTCACAATTTATCATGCAGCTTGATATATTAGAAGATTGGTTCGATGCAAAAAACATTAAATACGCACGTTTTGACGGTACCACTTCCGAGTCGGACAGGCAGAATGCTATTGATGCATTTTGTCGAAAAGACTCAGACTTGACATGTTTTCTGCTTTCTACTCGTGCCGGTGGTGTTGGAATTAATTTGGCCAAAGCTGACACTGTCATTATTCTTGATCCGGATTTCAATCCCCATCAAGACATGCAAGCCATTGCAAGAGCGCATCGTTTTGGTCAAAAAAATAATGTAACTGTTTTTCAGTTAATGATCCGCAACTCGGTTGAGGAAAAAATTGTCCAGGTTGCCAGACGAAAGCTACTTTTAGACCACTTGATTGTCGAAACTATGGACAAAGATGATGGGGACAAAGTTGATTTAGAAAGCATTATCAAGTATGGCGCAAGGGAACTTTTTGACGACGATGGCCTTCACGAAATTAAATATGATGAGGCTTCCGTAACAGCTTTAATAGAACAAACGGAAGCCTCCTTTAAACAAAGCTCCGTCACATCAGATCCCCAAAAACATGAAAATCAGTTTGCTTATACGCGCGTTTGGGAAGCTGGCACGCAAACGACGCAAGATTTTGCCGATACCACGGACTCCAGAAATACTAGCGCACAGGGTGACGACGATGTTTGGGCTATAATTCTTAAGGAGCGAGAAGCAGCAGCAGCAGTTTCTGCCGAACCAACAGTCGAAGGTCGTCGTCGTACCCGACGAAAAGTCTCATATACTGAACCAGAACAGTTCTCTAATTCCTCAGATGACGAAGATTATATTGCTGAACCCACGCCCTTTGCAGCTTCATCCGATTCCGATTCCGATTTGGTTGAAGACGAACCTTTAAGCCTTCAAGTTACAAATTCTACTAAACTCAGAAACTTGATGAGTGATCAACCAACTCTTCCATTCAGAATCAGAGAACGGTTAACAGCACGTATCTCCGAAGTAGATGACAACAACACTGGAGAGACTGTAAAGCCAACAGAATATCAAGTAAAACCTTCCGTGGAATTATCTGATGAACTTATTGAGCTTCCCGCTGACAGTCCAGCATACTCCAATAAGGTTTTCGAACCTGAGCACAGACTTGTTCTTAATGATGTTTCTGAGCTACTTTTGTTTAAGCATCTTGATTCTTATCGCGTTCCCGATGGACCGAGGTGCCGATTCTGCGACATCAATCACGTTCCTGGTAACTGTGGATTAAGTACTGTACCTTTAGAAATTTGCTTCCTTTGTGGCACCCCTCATTTCAGCGGAAAGGCAGCATGCCCACTTTTTAAAAGCGAGGAGACTCTTCTTATGCTAAAAAATATGTTGAAAAAGTCTGTTGAGTCAGATGTTTTAAAACGAAGAGCATTGGGCAGGCTGGACAGCATTATAAAAGCGGTCCGCAAAAGCGTTAACACCTAATCTCTCACTTTACTTTCGTTTCTCTTCCACTTATGAATACCGTTAGTGTACATAATGTCCTTTATTTTTGTTGCTCGTCATTGTTTAATTACGTCTTACTTCAATAAATGTTTTGCATACTGCAATTACTTATCATACTTTACTGTTCTTCAATTGTAATGTATTGTAACAATTCTGTGTCACGATACCGCTTGTAAAAATAACAAACGCTAAACGCAAATATTAACGAGCTTTGACAACACCTGGGAAGATGGTTTTTAATGTATATATCTTTACTAATACTTAATTCCAAAACCCGAAAAGGCAAACTAAATAGTAAGGGATTGCGTTTGCTTGCCTGTGATATATAGTAAGCAAAATTCAATTAAAGGTTTACAGGCATATTTAGTAAACCTGTCGGCGAAGGAGGCCAAAATTATAAGCTTAAGAGTAGTTATGCCCATTTTTTTGTTTTTTTTTATATTCTTTAACAGACAACACACAAATTCTGTTAAAACGAAGGAAAGGGTAAAGTCGCGATGGGAAAAGGAAGCAGAACCGGTTTAAGTAGTTGAAAGAAAGACTACCCATAATAGTATAGCTGTAAAACCAATTCTAAGAAAAAGGTAAGCAGATTTAATGTCATCAAAAGGTCATGTCGTTTTTTATGTAAGTCATCAAATAACAACCTCCCACACTCCAACCGTTTCCGGAAATGCAGAGTTTGGATCAGGTTCCGAAGCCTCCGTTTTAGGTGAACTCTGTTTCATCTTCAAACCAAGCAACTCGTTCCACGGATCAGCATTATCTGCATCTGGAATTAAGAGGTCGTTAGAAACAATAACAGGGCTTTGCGCAGGAAGCGACAGTGCTGGACTTGGCAACTTTTCATCTTTTATATTGGTAGTTGCAGTGTTCAGATTGTCATCATTAAAGAACTCGTCCCAGAGTTCCAGTGGATCGTCTGAAGCACTCTTACCATCAAAAGACAATAAAATGTTTGCTGGACTAAGTGAATTCACATCACTATGCATTGCATCAGGTGTTGAAGTAATGAAACACTGGGGCGTCCGTAAGGACGAGGGTGTTAATCCTGTCTTTGAGTTCAGGAACTCATCATCGGCGTCAATGGCAGAAAACGCCTCAATCGCATAATGCAACGGATTAGCCAGTGCTTCTTCCCGAGCACGAGAAAGAGGTTCTTCCTTAATTCCGTTTTGGGTACTGGTGGCGGATGAAGCAGAAACCTGTACTGGTTGAGCACTATTTGAGGTATCATTTGTTTCTTGTGATTTGATAGTAGGGCTTTCAGCATTGGCTTTAGGCTGAGGTGACGAGCCCGTTGCCTGAACTGCCCTCTTCTTTTTGGCAGGAGGCAGTTTCAAGTCCTCCTGCTTCAGTTCATGCTTGAGAGGGATTGTAGGCTCTTCAACATAAACGTCACTCGTCTGATTCACCGGTATATTCGATAGCGAAGCATTCGTGTACGGAGGAGCGACGGGGTGAGGAGCTTGAGAAGCCATTTGGTTCACAGGCGGTGCGTACGAATTGTTTGCAGCAGCATTCGCAGATACAGGTTGATTCGGCTGCGTAGAGGACGACTGCGTAGGACGATTAACAGCTGCCGTACGACCAAGTTGCATTAACGCTTGTTGAAGTGTAAGCTTATTGACACTAACTTCATTATGAAGTCTCATGAGATGTGCCTTAACGAAACCAAAATAGCTTTCGAACTTCTCTTTTAGCTTAGCCAATGTTTGGGGTGCGCATATGAAAATTCCTCTTGGATATCCATCCAATTGAAGTTGAAACATGTGCCGAAGTTGAATAAGCTGCAAAGTAGCCTCATCATTGGCAGTGATACAATAAAAAAGAACAATTAGTTGATTGGTACGAGAGAACATGGGATAGATACCCTTCGTTAACTCTGAAGCCATCAACTTTTGCTCCGACGTTAAGTTTAAAGGAGGTGGACGCGTAAAACGACGGGATACTTTTTCAGTCATTTCCCGAATTCGCATAGAAAGTTTTGGTTGACCTACTCTACCGCCAGTCTCTAACAGCTGCTGAACAATGTATATACCACCATCTCGTTGAGCTTGTCTGTTTGGTTGAGCAGACGCCTGAGGATTCTGTGACGACTTTTGAAGATTTGGTTGTGACGAATTGCCAGCCGGAAACTTTAGCATATTATCTGACGGATTTGTGTATGGTATTTGTGAAGCGCCGGCCGCGCGCATTTTTTGAAATTGAGTATTTTGTTGTACATTGACTGGCCCTTGCTTCATTTTTGCAGTTTCATTTTCCATACGTTTAAGAGCAGCCATATCAGACATCTCAGGCTTATCCATTTTCAATTGCTGCATTGCAGCGGAGTTCGAAGGAAAAGGACCAACATTTGCGGCGGTATATGAGGCCGTCTGCTGCTGTTGCTGATACGCCTGCGGAACAGCCTTGTAACGGGCTTGCTGCTGCTGCTGCTGTTGTTGTTGTTGTTGTTGTTGTTGTTGTTGCTGCTGCTGCTGCTGCTGCTGTTGTTGCTGTTGCTGCTGTTGAAGCTGCTGGTTTTTTTTTGCTGAGCTTGAGCCTGCGCTTGTGCTTGCGGGCTTGCCGAGCATTATTCAGTTGATTAACTTGCTGTCGTTGTTGGATGATAAACTGCATGTGTTTCTGAAATAAAACGCTAATAATTTTCATTTGTTCGGGATTTAAGCGGCCAGTTTTGCCCAGTTCGACAACTTCACGCCATACCTTCAAGTTTGGAGGCAATCCAGGAATTTGAGACAGAAGCTGTGGGGGAACAGGGACGTTGGACATATCAAATCCGGCATTGTTAGCATTGTAGTTCGGAGGTCTCGTTGCAGCAGGCCGATTAGGGGGATTAGCAGTATTAGCAGCTGGCATGGAGTGTTGATCAAAACTTTGAAGAGAGGGCGAGGCTTTCGTTTCACCCATTTGTGCAGGAAATCCAGATGCCGCAGCATTCGTATGAGAGGTACCCATTCCATATCCTGGCTGATGAGGCTGGGCCTGAGACTGGGTTTGCTGCTGCTGTTGTTGAGCCAACTGTTGCTGCTGATGAGAACGCAACGTACCCAGCTCTTTCTGATATATAGCCATTAACCGCACAGGCGGCATGCTTTGCATCTGCTGCAGCGTGAGAGGAGGGCTGCCATTACGTGCCATAAGTGCCGCAAGCCGGGTATACAGTTGATTTAGTTGTTGAGGGGTTAGTTGAATGGGGAACTGTTGTCCAGCCTGGGGACGCATATTTGCAGATGGAGCTCCAGTTTGCGGAGCGTGGTGCATGTTTTGTGATTGCATGGAAGCGGGTACATTTCCTTTTCCGGCTTGCTGCTGTTGTTGCTTTTGTTGCTGAAGCTGCAGCTGAGCCTGCTGCATCAACAGTTGCTGTTGCTGTTGAGGTGTCAAATTCACTCCCGCAGCAAACTGAGCAGGCATACCTTGGGCTTGTAATCGGTTCATTCCTGCAGCTTGAGCACCTCCATCCGTTCGTCGCTGTGCACCAGCTCCAACACCGGTCATGTTTCCTGGTCGGTTGGCATTTGGATACATGTTCGACATTTGTGTCATCTGAGCCAGATGGATCTGTTCGCGAATTTGTTCTCGAATCTGCTGAGCTTTTTTGTTGCAGAGATTGATGTATTCGTGCTACAATTTCGTTAGAAAAGAGCCCAGGACAGCTTATACACCGTTTCCAGCCCCATTTCCCCGTACCTTACTCGACGAACGCTCAAATGCTCGTTTTTCAAAAGAAGACGCCATCGCCAGTAATTGAGCCTCTGAAATACTGGGCGAAATGATTCGGAGAGCATTAGCGCTATATCAAAGATTAGCTAGGTCTCTAATGGTTACTAGTTCCTTACATTTGAACCGCAATACTTTGCCTATCATTCGAACTAACCTGATTCTGCCATTCTTTTTCCATCGAATGACTCATAATCTATACAACGATGGTCCAACAATGGTTTCTGAGGCAAATTCTAGCGTGAAGAAGGAGAAAAGACTATATACCGAACACGAAACTCGTTGGTACTGGTTGCGAGTTGGCGACCGTTCTGAACAAATGTAAGGCAGCGTACCGCAGAAAACAGATGGCCAAAAGTTACAAGATAGAGAGCAAAATAAGCGAATTGATAGAATGAAGCATGTTACTATCAGTAAAAATGAATGCCTAATGAATATATGAAATGAAGAATTGGGATATATATTTTAAGCTATTTTTTCAGGAGCAAAGTTATGAAAGACAAAAAGAAAAGTCCACAGAAAACAAATTTTAGGAAGAAATCCGAAGGGGAAAACGAGAAACGAGCCTCTAGAAACGCATCGTAAATGGTCGTAAAATCATGCATTACTCATCAGTGCTCCAGAGAGAAGAACTGGGTTCCAAAAAGGAAGAAGGTGAAGGACAGTGACATCTGTCCAGCCTGCAATTAGTTTTATAGGCGGAAAGAAAATGAATAGGAAACGAGGAAGGAGAAACAGGCGACGGAGGAGGAGGAGCAGCGATTTGCTCAGAAGACGAAGGCTGCATACTCAGGATGAGAATGTAAGTGAAGATATGGCGACACATGCCAGCAGGTTTGAGTAAGAGAATCGGAAGCATCGCCGTGTGTGCGTATCCCGCTCAAGCCAAAACAAAAGGAGCGGAAACCTACCACTAAAAGAAGTGCCAGCCAAACAGGCAAACACGGACGCCGACTAAACAATCAAGCGAGCACTTTTGCCCTATAGCATGTTCGTGCGTTCAAGCACACACACCGCGTTTCTTGGTGCCCCTCCTTCTCCCCCTCCTTCCCCTTTTTGTCCTCCTGTTCATGCGATGACGGACGGCGCGCACTCCAGTCTAGCGTGCGTTTATGATGAAAGGAAATGAAGAATGTAGAAAAGAATGGAGCAGATCAACAGCGACAACAGAAGTTGCATCAACAAGCCGACGTGTCTCTCAAGGACATATATAACCTCACCCATCATGTACTCAGGCAACAACGAATGGTGATCACTACTAAGGTTCCGAACTACCCGAGCCGGCAGAACAGCAGTACTCAAATAGCTTCTTCGCCTCAGAAGACATATGCTCTTTTTGGAACTGGAATTGTTCGCGAATAGCCGCGAACAATATCATACGGTCACTTTCAGGCAAGTTGTCGGACATCAACAGCTTGAGCAGGAACGCTGGTCCATACGACTGGTCTGCCATGACTCGTTCGAGAGGCAATCCTTTTGCATTGTGTTGCAACAACGCACGCACGATGATGGATCCAGCTTGACTGTCCTCCTGAGCGTGCGCGATAACCTTGAGCAGGGTTGTTGAAGCAAGGCGGTGTGTACACATACGCACAATGTCTTGCACAAAACGCGACGCAAGCAGGTTGGGAACGTTAGGAAGGGGCTTGTTCTCTAAAAGGTAATTAAGCAGAAGAGTGCCGTTACCATTCATCGCCAGATGGTCGGCGTACACAACTATCGTGGCTGACACAAGAGCACGATGAGTGGACGAAGCGTCTTTGCTGTCGAGGCACGCCCGAACGGCTCGGGAGCCGTAGCGGCTTTGCGCAATAACCCAGAACTGTGACATTATTGTTTCAAAAACAAAATCATTCATAGGAGGTTTAAATTTTAAACATGCTTGCACAACATAATTTCCAAAAGGGTCTGCAAACAGCAGAGGAATGTAGGGTTGAACGTGCTCGGCAATGAGAAGCATTTGCTTCTCAGTCGAAGCAACATCGACAATTTTTTGAGCGGCCCAAGTTCCGTTTTTGTGAATACCGATCTGGGCAAGGTGAGGGGCAATGCGTTCGAGCATCATTTCCTTTACGGGATCCGAGCAGTAGTCAAAAAGCTTCTGCACAACAGTGTTTCCCAAATGGTCACTCGAGAGATCAGACACCTCGTCGAGCCAACTGATGGCTATGTCTTCCACTTCCTCTTGCGTGCAAAGACCATTGTCGATGCGCTTACGCACCTGGCGCAGTTTAGGTGCATTTAACCGACGACTGCTGAACGCCTTAGACACGGAAGGGATTTGGGCTGCAAAGTCGACGAGCTTGCAGGCCTTGTCAAGCATCTGAACGCAGTCGCTGAGCTGCGAATAGCCAAAGTCGCGCACAACGGACAGAATGTCGTTGCGCACTTCACTCAGCGATGGCACAAGCGACACGTTGGAGAACGCCTTGTTTATGCTCTCGAGTGAAACGTGCACGTTTTCCGAAGGCGCTGACGCCACCTTGGCAAAGCCAATGCACACAGGATCAGACTCACTAAAGAGCGTTCGGCCGTTGAGCTCTTCAAGAGCATGCTTAGCATTCTGCACGGTGTCAAAATTGATGAAGGCCGAATGTTTGTGCGAAAGCATCCGCACATTAGAGATGTTGCCATAAGGAGCGAATGCAGCTCCAACGGTTGTGGATGAAATGCCAGCAGGCAAGTTGCCAACCCAAAGAGCATGGGTGGGTTCGGCCTGTGTAAGATTTTCAATGGTTGCATCTCCAATGCCAGACCAGCCGCTACCGGCAGACTCGGTGCTGGTTCGCGCGCTGGGATTTGAACTCTCGGCGTTGGAAGAAGGCGTAGTAGCAGCAGCAGTGGCAGCGGCGGTGGGTGCAGTCAAAGGATTGCTGTTGCTCGACGGCGCTGCCGTAGCCAGAGGAGTCGTGGCCCCGGTGGTGGACGACGAAGCTGAAGACATACGATCAACTGAGCAGTTGCGCTTGTGGCCCAGAGGCTTCTCGGATATCGTTGCTGCGTGGTTGAAGGGCAAGAAGTTGGAAGTGTAAAAGCCGCTCGAAATGCTGTGTCCCATTCCATTATTGGCATTCGTTTTGCGCATGGCAGACAAAGACTGTGAACGGCGACGCGAAGCACGAGCATGATTGTTGCTGCTCATGCCAGCACTGCCGTTCAAACGAGCCGTGGCCAAATGGGCAGCCGCGTTTGGATCAGCAAAGCCTGCCGCACCACCGTTCCCACCGTACGACGAAAACGAGGGGCCAAAGGAAGTCAGTTTTTGTTTGGGCGCTGCCATTCCCGAAGCGGACGAGGTCGAATTCGCGGCAGCCGCGAGCGACGAGCGCAAGTTGGACGTTGAAAGCGACGACAGCGAGCTGTGGGAGCCGCCGGCAGCCGCAGCGACCGGGTTGCCCGCAGACGCCGAGGAAGTCAGGTCGGGGAGAGCAAACGGAGCAGCAGTCGATGTCGCACCAAGCAGCGAAGCACCATAGTCATTACCGCTGTTGCTGTTTCCGCTGCCCGAACCGTTTCCGGTGTGGGTCTGCGAGAGACTCACGAGAGCAGCGGCGGAGGACGAAGGGTCGACCGAGTCCAACGGCAGATTGGGGTTGGCGCCGCTCGCGCCGTTCAAATACGAAAGCAGGCTCTCGGAGATGCTCGACGCATGAGGACGCCTGCCGCTGCTGACACCGTTGTTGCTGCCGCCGCTGCTAGCAGCAGCGGCTGCAGAAACAACGTCCGAACCAGCAGCAGTCGAGGCAAAGGATGCACCGCGGGGCACATACTCGCGGGACCAGATGTCGGTGCTCTTGTCGAGGACAAAGGACTCAAAGCCCGTCTGGAGCACGGAGGCGGGAGCGGCCGAAGCCATGGCAGAGTCGAAGAAGCCCGTCGGGGCGAGCGAGTCCGAGAAAAGTGAATTATTGCTGTGAAGCAGCGAGGACGCGGCCGAGGGAGGACCGGCGAGCGAGGGCAGCAGCGACGTTGGCGTCGAAGGCGACGACTGGCGGAGGGAAACGGCGGTCAGAGGCGACGCCATGGGTCGCAAAAGCCGAGGGTTCCATGGAATCGTGTTGGAGCGCGAACGAAAGCCGACACGCCCGGACCTGGACCACGGGCCATTGGCGACGGACGGCGTGGCCGCGTTCGAAGCAGCGGGAGCCTGCGTCGCGCCCGGCGAGCTCGCAGAAACGCCGGCAGAGGAGCCTGGGGCAGCCGCGGAAGCCCCGGAGCCAGGACGGAAAGAGGACCAGTAGAGCGGGGAAGAGCCGGTCGTGGTGTTGGAGTGAGTGTGTGTGTTGGTGGTGGAAGACGAGGCGGAAGAAGCAGGAGAAGAGTGATGGTCGCCGAGTCCAGCAGCAGCAGCAGCAGCGGCCTGAGGAGCCGGAGCCGAGGGACTGGGCGTGAGCGAAGAGCGCGAGGATGCGTTGGGCTGGAGGACCATCTCTGGAGCAGCAGCAGCGTCTTGGGGGACGGGGGCACCGACAGCGCCTGGAGCAGCGGTACTGGCACTAGCACTGGCACTGGCGGAGCTCGGGCCCATTCCGTTCGAGTCGTCCATGACAGAGTTCAGCGAGACGTGAGCAGAAGCGCTGGTGTTTGCATACAAAGCAGACTCTCGGAGCAGGTGGAGTGTGCGAGGAGAGGTTGGCGAAGGTTACGAGGCAGCGGGCGCAGGCCTGGAGCAGAGTGGAGCGAGGAGCAAGAGAAGGGAGAGGGCAATGACGGAAGGAGGAGTGGGGGCGTGGGGCAAGCGAAGAGGACGAGGGGGTGGGGGCGACCCGACAGTGGGGGCAGTGAATGCCGATCACAGGTTCATCAGCGGAGCGGCGGAGGGAGTGGGAGCTGAACCCTAACCCAGAGATCTGCGCGGCCGCTGGCTGCTCCCCGCAAAAGGTTAATTTCATTTGATTGCTAGGGTGAGGACGAGCAACAGGAGGAGCAACAGCGTCAGCTGTGCGAGTCGCGTAGACTGCGAGTCGGCTGTAGGTCTGCGCGGCCGCTCAATACATGCGGCCGCAGTCTACGTGGACGCACGGCTGCGTGGCCGCACGTGGCCGCAGTCTACGGGACTCGCCGGACTCGCACAGCTGACGCTGTTGCTCCTCCTGTGCTCGTCGGTGCTCGCCTACACACTCATCTTCAAGCCCATCGCAAGCACCGCGAGCCTCACGTCGATCACAAAACCCTCTCGCTCCAGACGCTCGAGCTCCTCGGCCAGGGTCCTGAGCGGCAGCGTAAAGTTGGTGATAAACTCGCCCTCGTCGAGCTGCTGGACGGGGTGCTGGTTCGCGGGGAGGTCCATGTCGACGTTCATCACCACCACCTTGAGATTCGCGTTCGTCAGGCCGGGGTCGTTGACCATGACCACGCTGCTACGCTGCACCGTGCCCACGTAGCCTGTCTCCTCGCGCAGCTCGCGCACGGCCGCCTCCTCCGGCGTCTCGCGGCCGTCGATCAGCCCCGCAGGGATCTCGACGCAGTACTTGCCTGTGGGGTTAGCTGGGTGTTGTGGGGGTGTTGTGGGGGGCGTACCGACGGGCGGGCGAAACTGCTTCTGGCACAGGACGTGCTTCTCGTTGTTGACGGGGACGATGGCGAGGATGGCGACGGCTGGTTGGGGTTAGTGGGGGTGAAGTGGGAGGGTAGCAAGGTAACAACGAGGCGAGAGGTTGGGCAGGGCGAGGGCAGGGCTGCAGGGACTGAGGTCGACGCTGTCGACGCTGTCAACACGGCCTGCCCCCGCCCTCGCCCACCTCTCGCCTCACTGCTCCTCTGGCGTACCATCAATTCCGCCCTCTCCTCGCGTCGACCGCTCGGCGGCCTCCCAGACGCGAGACTTGCCGGTCTGGTCCGTCCAGTTCAGCTTGACAAGCCGCGTCCACTTGGCCTCCGCCGGGTCCAGAGGCTCGCGTTTCGTTACTTTGGGTTGCTGGGTCATTTTCGTTGCAAAGGTTGCTTTTGCTGTTCGCAGAGTGCAGGAGGCCGCGGGCCGGAGCTGCACTCGCCATGACGCACTCACCGCTCGACGCATGCTGCGAGGCGACGGCGAGCAGACGAGAAGAGCCCGCAGGGGGGTGCCGAGGATAGCGAGGGATAGCGAGGGATAGCGAGGTACACCGAGGGGTACCGAGGTGCGAGGAAGGCTACCGAGGGCTACCGAGGGAGAGGAGGACACCGAGGGGTACTGAGGGGTACTGAGCTGCGGTGGGGAGCGGTAGCGGCGATAGTGTGCTGCGCCGCAGTTGGTATCGCGGCCCAAGGTGCCTAACGTCACCTTGGGCCGCTTTGGGTCGCCTTGACCGCCTTGGGCCGCCCGCCCTTGCCGCGGCATCCTTCCTAGGCCACGGCTTATCTACTCGTCCCTCCCTCCTCCCCCTCTCCTCTCCATGTCACCCTCCAACACCTCCAGCGTCGCTTGCGACCACTGCTTTCGATTCATCAACGGCTCCTACTACCACTGCTCGCAGTGCCCAGACTACGACGTTTGCCGAGACTGCTACGACAAGCGCAGGACCCGACACGCCTGCGCGACACCACGTTTCCTCCCTCGCTCCACCAGGCCCCCACAATCCGCTGACGCCCCCACGACTACTCCTACGAACACCCCACCGGCCCCCGCTCCATCCCGTACATGCCGCGCTGCCCCCACAAAGCCGGCCTCGCGCGTCTTTTTGCTGGCCCTCTGCGACGCGTGCGAGCAGCCGATCTTCGACACGCGTTACCGATGCAGCACGTGTGACGATTTTGATTTTTGCGAAGCGTGCCATGCGGCCTCCGTGCTGCATGTGCGCTGCCATGCCTTCTACCGCATCACCTCGGCCGCCCAGGCTGCTGCTGCACACCCCCGCCAGGACGCTCTCTTCCCCGACCTCGCTGCCTTTGAGGACGCGTCTCCCCTCCACCGCGGCTTTGTTTGCGATGCCTGCCGCGGTCCCATCCTCGGCACGCGTCTGCATTGCGTCCACTGCCGCTCTGACTTTTGTTCCCATCATGCGCCCGGCGCGGTGACGTCAGCGTCGGTCCACCGAAATGCAAACGCGTGCACGCACGCGTTGCTCGAGGTCCAGCGGACGCCGCAGGCGGTGCCTGCTGCTGCTGCTGCCGACGCAGATGCTGTCGACGCCGAACGCGAGCCGCCGGCCGATCTGCCGCTGGACTTTGAGCTCGTTGACGAGTGCACGGTGCCGGCGCGTCCGGAGCCCGGCAGCGTCTTTGTCAAGTGCTGGCGTGTGCGCAACCGGTCGGGTGTCGTGTGGAAGGGCCCACTCTCTATGGCGTTTCGCGGGGGCATGCGTTGCTTTGATGGGGACGCGCCCGCCGTCCTGCCCGTCCTCTCCGACGTTCCTGCTGACGACATCTGCCAATTCGCGGTGACGTTGCGTGCGCCTCAGACCCTGGAGACGCCGCTGCTCTCGTTCTGGAAAATCGTTTCCCCAGACGGCGCCGCGTTTCACAAAAACCTTTGTGTCTACGTTCCTCGACCTTAATGACTCTGACGTCACTCACGCGCCTTACGCGTCCAGCACGCACTCTTACGAACAGCTCAGCACACGAATAACGTAATGACACGCTGACCTTAGCTTTTGCGGAGAATGCGGGGACGAATGGGAGTGCATGTAGGCGCGCTTGGTCGGGTATCCGGCGGTAGTCTGGGCCGGCAGCAGCGGCCGGCCAGAGCGAAACGAAGATCGAGATGGTTGCGTCATTTCTTCGTCAATCTTATCGGCCAGGGTCCTGCGCCCAGAACGCCTGCCGCAGCATGCAAGGAGTACAGGAGCAGGCACGCTGTGTGCCATGGGAGTACAGGCAAAACACCGTGAGCCCGTGCCGCTGACTTGTGCTGCAGGGGACAACTGCGATTGGGACCGCGGAGCCCTCCGCCGACCGCAGTTTCCTCCTATGGCGGCTCCTCGTCGCCGTCACCGTCTGCACCGCACTTACTTTAAATTGCGCTTCGTCTCCGAACGTCCCTTGTCTCCGAAACCCTCTCGCTCTGGCTCGCGTATCTCGCTTGCACCCTCGCTCCTCGCCTGCGAGCCTCGTCGTCCTTTGTTCCTGCCCGTTCTAGTCCCATCTCATCTCTTCCAACCTGACGTCACCGTTCCCGGCCTCGCGTGTCTACGCGTGCCCCTGTCGGGCGCGCTTGCCCGACGACTTAGCGTGCTCGTTTACGTCTAACGTGCTTTCCTCCAGCCAATCGCGCTAATTGACGCCATCGATCGTGCGCGCTCTTTGCTCATCCTGGCCAATCGTCGCGACTTGTGGGCTCTCCCCACAGTAGTTGCATCATCTAAGCTTTCACATCAGCGATCATCCCATCCGGCTGTCTAATTCGCAATCTCATCGATCGCATAACCGAAACGAGGTTTTTTCTGACTTTTCAGCCTTAAATACGAGCCCCGCCGCCGTCCCTGAGCTCCATCACCGTACAAGCACAGCTTCTTCACCGCACGCACCAGCAGGTCTCTTCTACTCGCCAGGTCGTGCTCCAGCATTCTCCGTGTTCGTCTCTGACCATTCGCGCGATTCTCTCGGTCGTTCTTCCTTCGCTTTCAGGAATCCCCACTAAAGCCCACACATATCCCACTCATCCCACATGGATTTGGATTACTGCATCATCTGCGGAAAGGCCACCTCTGGCAACCTGTACTGCTCCCGCGAATGCCACCTGCAGGACTGCCCGAGCTCCTGCACCGATACCGAGTGCTGCGTGTACAGCCAGTCGGCCGAGTTCCAGATGCTCGCCTCGCAGCACCTCGACCACTTCCGCCGCCGCTCGTCCGTCAACTCGTCGTCCATTCTGAACGGCTTCATTTCGTCGCGGTTGACGGCGCTGTAGGTGCCTGCAAACGCAGTGATGGGTGACGGCGACACGGGCGCAGGTGTACGCAGCAGACGCGAGTGCGTTTTGCTACAGACGGGCGGATGTCTTTCCCTTGTCCGTGACAAGACGCACGCATAGTTTCAACTCTTCGGGTTTTACAATACGCAGTATCTCTCTCTCTCTCTCTATCTCTCTCCGACTTTTTTATACTTTCTTCGTCGAACTCATCACTGTCGTTTGTCGGCTTTGTCTGCACAGGGCATACATTTCATTTCAAATTTTTTTCTCCATACATGTTCACCCCCTCCCCTTTTCTAGCAGTTCTGCCGGACGGGCTTTTGTCCGGCTTTGATGAGTAACGACAAATCTTAAAATGAGAACGGTTTTTGCAGGGTGCCGGTCAAGACTGTCTAGGGTTGTATGGTCTTGACGGGCATTCATTCCCTATTTCTTTCTTCCAACCTCTAAACAAACAAATACACACACACACACACACTCACCCTGCAAAACATGTGTGACGCCTGAATTGGCCGGCACACAGCTGCCTCTTGGCGTGGTCTGTCTCTTTGGGCGTTGCAATTTCACACAACATACATACACACCCTTTAAACTCGATTTCTTACATTTTTCTTTCATACAAAACAATGCGTTTGCAAGCTTTGGCTGCCTGCTGCACGGAAGCCAGCCAGCAGGCGTTCCGTGTATGGAGGTACGGTGCACGTTCGCACACATACACACATACACACGCTCACATGGAGTCTCTTCAACCATTCCCTCCTCCCCCTTTTTTTTCTACAATTCCCTCTGTTCGGTTCCTTTCTTTTCACTTTGCGTGTGTTTGACCAGCATCAACTTTTGCGACGTGCATAATGCGTCTTCCTCCCCTGTTTTTTTCGGCTGGAAAACAACAAAAAAAAAGAGAAAAAAGATCAAAAAAAGTTGAAAATCTTAAAATGGTTCTTTCTTCTTTGCACTACATTTTCGAGAAATGAACAAGTGTCTCTTACATTGTCTTTTGACACAACGATATCGTGTGGTTAGAGGTGAGTGTGCAAGTGGTACGGCGAAATCCCCGTTTTGTCCGTACTGTAAGCATTCTCTTTTTCCTTCGTGCCTCGACTTTGCTCCAACAGAAAGCGAAATGGCTCGTCGGGTGTCTTCTCCAACAGAATTCGCCCTTCTGCCTCTTGTTTCACACAAACTCATTCACTCACTCAAAACACACACACACACCCATTCAGTCATCTTGATCATTTACTACTACTACTACTACTTCTACCACTACTCTTGCATGGTCTTTTCTTAAGATTAGTTAGCTCGGGCGGGCTTGTTGTTTGTGTAGAGCAGCGCAGATGTTTGTAACTCACTCATTCACATTTTGTTCTATGCTAGTGAGTTTGCCTTATTTGTTGCGGCTCTAGTACTGGTTTGTTGTAGTCGGGTCGGGGCCAGCAATCTATGTGTTGCAACCGTTCCAGCTCGAATATTCAAACTCAAACGTGCACACCAGCAATGTCGATCTTGAGCAGCTTCATGTCTTGACGCCTCCATCCTTCTACGAGGTTTTGGGTTTGGTTTTTACGGCACTTTTATTAACGACGAAACGATGATTATGAAGGTTATTATGACATTACGAAATACAAAAAAAAAATCATGAAGGTGATGTCCCGGAATTTGCGCACTTGGGCGCGGCGGCTACTTATTATTAGAGAGCACACACACTTAATATATAATTTTTTGGTGCGACGGAAACAACGATGATCAGCAGATCTGCGGGTCACTGAGCAGATCGCTCGATGATCGGCCGGTGGTTAGTAGATCCGTTGATCAACTGTTCTTCTTCGTCCCTTTTCTATTGAATACGAGTGTTCTGTGGTTGAGGGCGTCTGATGTTCTTGACATGCTACCTTTGAGTATTTCAGTTTGTTACTAAATAAAAGTCTTTCACCGTATTCGTTTTTTGCCTGTCTTGTTTTCTCTACGGTCGCTTCGTCGCCTAGATCGCTTCATCATGCCTCTCATTCTCTTTCCTGGCCAGGGAATTCCTTGGACAAGTTCAGTGCGACCATTTTTGCACCTCCCTGCGGTGCAGAACACGTTAAAGCATGCAGAACAGGTGCTCTCTATATCCATTCTGAATGTTATCACCGATGACGGCTGCTCTAGGACGGCCTCGCAGCTTCCCACAAGCATCGTACAACCAAGCGTGCTGGCGTGCTCTGTAGCACTGTACAGGGCACACGTACTGTCGTTACGGGAATTGCCTGAAAAGCATTCACTCTTTCTTGGCCATTCATTAGGTGAATATGCGGCTCTTGTGGCCAGTAAAGCCCTGAGCTTTGAGGATGCTCTTCGTGTCGTTGATGTGCGTGGACGTGCAATGCACGAATGTGCCAAACGGTATGCAGATACTGGCATGCTGTGCTTGACATTGCTTTCTCGAAACCAAAAAGCAATTGGAGCCTTTCATGCTACACTACAGCAAATCCTGGAGACCCAGAATGCATCGGTCAGCATTCCGGAAGCCCGAGTTGTCGTGGCTAATCTTAACTCTCCGTTACAGATTGTGTTCTCGGGCAGAAAAACGGCTTTGCAGGCATTCTCCGGTAAGGCAATTGAGACTATACAAAGCACTAGAACTGGCTCCATCTGGAGGGGATCTCGGGTCCGGAGCACGATGCTCGACGTCGAAGGTGCGTTTCATTCTCCTTTTATGGAGCCAACAGAAGAACCATTATATCGGGCCCTACAAACCGTTCAATGGAACCTTTCTCAAACAGACAAGGACTCCCACAAACTACGAGTCTTGTGCAACGTGACGGGCGACTTCCATGAGGCCAACCCAAACATTCTTTCTCAGCGGCTCGTCCAACATTGCACACAGCCCGTCCAATTTCAGCGCTGCTTTGACACTGCTCGTTCAGTCTTAGGGCCCGATGCGACCGCTTTTGACAATGGCCCTGCAACCGTAGCTTCCTCCCTTGCGCGTCAGAACGGCTGGACCTTGGAATCCGAACGGAATGAGAGTTGATTGCACTATACACGTCAACGTAGAGACATCCTAACCTCGCCCACTATGACTACTATTACTACTACTGTACATACGCACAACGTCCCCCCTCTCCTCCACCCAATTTACTCTTAAAGGCATCCATTGAACTGCACCAGACTACTTGAGCTTCTTCTTAGGGCGCAATTGGTTGGTGTGACCACACTTCTTCTTGCGGCAGTTGGTAGCACGGGGAGGAAGACGAGCATAGCACTTACGGCAAATCATCTTCTCACAGTTGTACTTGGAAGCCAAAGCCTTCAAAGAGGGCTCAATGATACCACCACGGAGACGGAGAACCAAGTGGAGAGTGGACTCCTTTTGGATGTTGTAGTCAGACAAGGTGCGACCGTCCTCAAGTTGCTTGCCGGCGAAAATCAAGCGTTGTTGGTCGGGAGGGATGCCCTCCTTGTCCTGGATTTTGCTCTTGACATTGTCAATGGTGTCGGAGGACTCAACCTCAAGGGTGATGGTCTTTCCCGTAAGAGTCTTGACGAAAATCTGCATCGTGGTTGGGCAAAGCAGAGTTGTTCAACGCACTCTCGTCGTTACCCAACACAAACCAAAAAAGCAGTCACAGTTTGTTTCCGTGACGCGCGTCTAAATTCAAAACACTACGCGAAAGTAAACATACACCAGAAGCAGAAGGGGAGCAAGAGAATGAAGGTTGAGAGCACTGTACTGCTACATAGTAACAAGTTCAACTACAGAACTTCGCCAGAACGGTCTTTGCGGTAAACATTTAGTTTCGTAGTAAGGATAGTCTGTAAAGGATCAGAGACGATTGGTTGACGATTATATGAGAAAGGAGGCCATCGCAGTATTTTGTTTTGTCGACGATACTCGCAACTTAGTAATGAAACAGTCGCATTCAGAAAACACAATCAAGACAGTTTACATAGATAATCATTCTCACAAATACACACCTTCTACGTGCTTGACTACTCAGCAGCAGCGACGATTGGCGACTTTTCACAAGTCCGATGCAATTTATTTATGAACGATTTAATTTACACTTACTTATTCGCCAAAAGTCAAACGAGTGCATTGAACTCAAAACTCTGCTAATGTTGTTTTCCTCTTGCAATTCTGTGTTGGATTCAACACTCATCAAATAGGAAAACTGAAAACTGATTCCCCATTTAGTTGATGATGGACGCTCTAAACCCAAACAGAAAACGAAATCAAGGAACATTCATTTACAATTTATGTACAGTTAAAATGTACGATTGACCATTTTTGACTTATTGAGTCCGCGTGTGAGATGTATATTGCAGTGATAGTTATCGGAGCGATTCCAGTTGTAATACGAACTTGATTACTTTAGAAGCGGGACGCAGGACTCCCGCCCATTCTAATGAAAAGAAGCGTGTTACGAACGTGGCCGAGGAAGAAGAATTATGAAAGCGTTGTAGGAAAACTGGTATCCAATGATTGACACATTGGGATAAGGAACGCGTAAAAGAAAGTAGATAAAACGTAGTTGAATGCTTAAGTATCGTTATTTATTCGTTGCCAAAACCAATCGTCTCTTCAATTGCTAGCGAGAGTTTAGCGTCTAGCACTTGCTTGGTGGGATAGTCTGGTAGATCAAGACGATTGAAACAGGTATGTGCTTTCGGAAGCTGGGTTGGCTCACCGGATTTCTCTATAGTAAACTTACGGGGGCCATCGCTACCTTGTAAGTCCTTGAAACCATTGACGGGAATTCTCGAAGTACCGGTAGTGAATTGCAGCAAGCGAGAACGCTTCTCGTTGTCCCATTCTTCAATAAGCTCCCAAAACCACTTAATAACTTGGTCATTTGCAGTGTACGACCGGTATTCTGTGTACTTCTTCCAATCCTCAAGGTCAATCTCCGAAATACCACCGATGAGCAGCTCAAGTTCGCGTTCATCAAAAACGGTGACCAACTCATGGGGAATAAGTTCACTGAAGCCTTCATAAAAGGCGCGGAATTGATCCTGGATACGGGTTTGGATTCTCCACTCCGTCACCGCTTCAACATATTGTTGCTTGTTCTCCTCTGTAACCTCAATGTTCCGGCCATTAGGAATTAAATCAACGGTTACAACTTCACCGAAACAGTTGTCCTCAACTGAGAAGGTGAGATCGAGAATGTCAGTGATATCGTTGTTGAGAATCCACATGAGACTGCGATAGTACTCGGCGTCCATGCTCTCCATATCGCTCAAGGCAACCTTTTTCTTCAAGATCATCTTGTAAAATGAAACGACGAAAAAGGCATCGACAAAACGACGATGGAAAATGGCCAAGCCTATTACTCGTCCGATAAACTTAAAGTAGTTAAGATGTTCTGGGTTAATACCAGAGTGAGGGTTTATTTGCAAGGTATAGTTGTCAACCGAGGAGTACTCGAAAAGACAGTAAAAAGGATTAAACATCTCATGGGACAAAAGGTAGAAGTACTCACGCGAAAGACCACCGTAATCCAAACCATCCTCGCCATCGAACTTAATCATTAGACGTTTTTTAAGGTCGGACGCAGATTGACGCATAATCTCAGCGTATGAATCTTCAAAGATGTGATCACGGCGAACCTTGATGTGACATTGACCAGGAAGAGGGTGCAGAGCCGGTTGAGACAGGAAATAAATAAGTTTTCTGCGAAAATCACGTTTGTACTGCGGCACATTTTGGTCAAGGGATGAAGGCAAACGAGGGTCATCCCAAGTGGTTGTTTTTGTGTTGTGATCAACAAAATAGACCCTTGCGGTGTTGGTTAAGCGCATTTCCCAGCCGCTGGGTAACGGACCTAATTGCGAGACGGGCTGTTGTTGTATGGTGGTGCTATTGCTAGCACCAAATGTACGTATGTACTGTTGACGTCTGGGATCCACCCACGTTGTTGTCCGAGTATTATGGTCAACAAAGTAGGGACGACCCTCAGGAGTGTACCGCTGTTCCCATCCAGGAGGTAGTTCACCGGATCCAGCAGTCGTCGCATTAGAAGTGAGCATGCCTGTTTCCGCGCGATGGTCAGATACCGCGGTTAAAGGTGCAATACCCTCCGAGACTGACGCATTGGGAGCTGGAGGTCTGCTGGGAGCTGGAACTTCATTCGTGCGATGAACGACACCAGAGCTGTTTGGTCGAATCCACGTCGTACTGCGTGTGTTGTGGTCAACATAGTATGTGCGTCCCAAGTTGTCCGTACGACGCTCCCAGCCTGGGGGCAAGCGACCATACTGGTCTTCAAACGAACTGTAATTCCGCGTTTCAACAGAAAGAGCGTTTTCACGGGTTGGAGAGGCCGGACGAGGAGAAGCGTTGCTGACGCTATGAGCCGCACTGCTGCGCTGGGACTCGTCAGCACTAAAGCTAAGCTGGGTGTTTCGAGGATGGCTAGAAGAGACAGCGTTTGAGGGAACTTGAAGGGTGTTTTGCGGCATCGTCGAGATGTTGATAATCAGTTTTCCATGAACGATAGAATTGTCATTAGACTTCTTCAGTTCCCGCGTCAACATCTCGTCTCCACCGACGGAAAGATCCAGGACGTCGCTTATCCTGACATTTATTACACCCAAAAAACCCTGTCCTTTTTTTTTGAATTTTTTTTGATCAAAAATCTGTACAGCCAAAGTACTATTTTCGTTGGCGGTTCTACAGAAGCGTTAGTAACACATAATGGTCTAAAGGATCGTCTCATGGGACAGGAGACCGGTTCCGAAGAAAGATCAAATGACAATACAACGTCTCTCCTCCCAATCGCTCACTTACACTTCAAAGCTTTCGTTCCAATAAGGGTTAAGTGTTTTTTTAATGACAGTAGTAGTGTGCGTTTGTTCACCGTCTACCGTAAGTACAGCGAAAGGATCTGGAAACCGAAAGACATCGCGCTTGTATAGACCGTCAGCAGCAACGACTGTGTGAGGTTAGCTCGAGTATTCTTCTGTAGCGCTCTCAAAGTTCTGAGTTAATTGCTTACTGGTAACTCGGAGTCTTCGCGTCCTGTAATATCGAGATTAGTAAAATGAGCCAGAGAATAAAGAATTGCAAACATACAGATTGCTGTTCGACATATCCGTAGTACTTGTCTAGCGAGAGAAGAGCGAACCAAGCCTGTACAAAACGATATCCAGGTTACACGACTTTTCGCAAACTTCGAGTATATCAACTCAGACCTTCGGAGTGCGAGCGAACCTGCGAAAAAAGAGAAGCCGGGGAATTTCGCAAAATCCGTCAATTCAGCAGAATTCTGTGCGAATTCTACAAGTGAAAGACGAAAAGCTCGGTTTTCTGACAAATACGCTGTGGGAGAAGGATAACTGCAGTAACCGCCAGTGTTGTTTTCAAAAAGGAAGGGTGAGACACAAGCCCAGACCTTCCGGTGGTGGTGAAGTTCAACGACGGTGGGCGAGCTGCTGCTGCTTACTACTCTACACGCAGGGAGGGAGGGAGGCAAGGGGTCAGCAGGCGTAGGTGGAGAAAGGGAAGATATAGAAGCGAGAAGCAGGCTTAGGAATGATTTTCTTAGCGAGAATATATTACGCGACCAGAAACAACTAACGCTTACTGATTTTATGAAACGAATTGGATAGAAATGACAAGGAAACGTGTAGTTAATGTTTGTGTGTTACTGCTGTTATATATGAAACTATAAGACGAAAAAGTGCACTAAAATAAAGTCCAATCTCCGGTACGACAAACAGCGCATGTTTGACACTTATAGTCATTAAAAGCCTTCGATAATACAATAGCACTTACGTGAAGTTACGTGACCGACAGATATATCATCCCTCACTTTTATATTTATTCAACTTCTCCCTACGCAGTAGTCGATTTCAATTTCAATAAAATAGTATTTTTATATGAAATAAGAAAAAAAAATGGAAGGCTGTGATATTGCTGCCTCTTTAAAACGGAAAGCAAACACATGCGTTAATGACTTCAGATAATAACTTAATAGCAGAAAAAAAGAGGAAAACACATTGACAGGGTTTGTATGTACAAATTGCTTGAGAAAGACGGCCTAGTGTATGAGTTTGTAATAGAGCATAGTAGTGTGAGCTTTGATAAGGAACCAATAATAAGGAACCATTACTATGCACACTCTCATACAGCCAATTTTAAGCCCTTTTTCGAACAAACCGAAACACTGCTTAAGGAATGAATGATGTAAAAGGAAAGAGATGACGGTTTATAGTTCAAAGTAAATCTTGTTTTTTTTGTGGAAACAAGCTGAGGTGAAGGGACTGAATGTAGACGACAATCACCGTCACGACCTGAGCACACAAGCACTCCGAGTCGTTAGCGTTCGGAAGGGGAGGGTGCACGCAAAGCGAACGTTTAAATAGTACAGTATACCATTCAACCTTGGCTAGATGCGCACGAAATTGCCCGACTGGTCAAAGTCCCAATACGACAAACGTAACGTACGGGAACCACGATCCTTCAAGCTAGTCTAAAGGGCGACGACGAACAAAGCCAACAACGCCCACCTTCGAAGAGGCTAGGTAAGTGGCGCTTGGTTATAATGGGACGTGTTTAAAACATGTCATACCGAGGACGCGAAGCAGCACTTGAGCCGTTGGGTCCTGATGTGTTCATAGTGTTGAATGAATTACGAGTGGCAGAACGAGTTGGGTCGTCAACCTCTGGGTCGAAAGAACTCTCGCTGTCCGCATCAACTTCTGGGATAGTAGCCAAAGCACCGTCGGTCGACATATTAGAGCCCATGCTGTCGTGTACATTAGCCACAAAAGGTGCGGCGTCGCTGGAAAACGGTGAGTTAGAGGAAGTAGACGAAGAACCGATGGAAGAGGGTCTCGAGTGTTCATATTCAGAAGCCAACGCATCAGCCGCCAGAGCTGCTTCATCTTCAGCAACTGTCTCCAAAACGTTGTTACTGTTGCTCGTGGGAGGGGTCAAATTGGGGGGATTGCCGATAGGGCGAACAAGGCGTGAACCAGGTGCGGCAGCAGCGGCGCCCGCCGCTGCTGCTGCTTCTCCAACTACATTTCCTTCACCGAAATCTAAAGAAGAGGCCGTACTAAGCCGGGCGGCAGCGTTGGGTGACAAAGCGCCCGCACCAACTAGAGGTGCACGAGGTGCAATGGGACGTGCTGCTCCGTTTGCTGCAGGAACAGCAGCAGTCGTTGCTGCACCGGCACCAGTAGCTGCGACTGTGGTCGCGGGAGTTGTGCCAGCATTGCCGTTCCAGCCACGATATCCAGCTGTAGATGGGTTTCTGGTGGGTCCACGGAAATTACCTGAATGCTGGTTCGGGTTGAAACCGTACTCCTCCACCTCTTGTTTACGAGCAGCCTTCAGTTCTCGAGCATGCTTGTAACGCCGCCATAGGTACCATCCCAATACAGACAGGATGATTACACAACCAACGGGAATGGCTACGGCCATTGCAACCACACCGCCGGTCGACACACCACCACCACCACTCTTGTTGCTTCCTGCTGATGATGACGAAGCGGAGGTGGACGAAGTGCCCGTGAAAGTTGCCATAGGGAACACATTGGTTCCCGATGTCGAATTCGAGTACGGAGCAGATATTGTTACTGTGTTCGACCCATAGATTGTAGAAGTCAGTAAAATAGTAACAACACCTCCATTGTCATCTGTAGATATTGAACTACTGATGGAAGTATTCCACGACATTGTTTAAACCAGAATAGTAAAATGGCAAACAAGGCCTCTATTCTAAAAAACCACTCCTATTTTTGCGGTGTATGTTGAATAATGACAAAAATGCAAGAAAATCGCTCAATGCTCCTAAAAGCGGTGAAAATGACAGAAAAGAGCGGAATGAGTTTGAGAACTCTTCAAGACGTGCAGAGAACCCAATTTCGCTAGGTAGGCACTTTGAAAACGGGTATAGTAAAGAGAGGTGCGAAAGGTAGAAGTCGGATGCCGTCGGAAGGCATTAGTACTTAGTGGTTGGCGTTTAAGGTTAAGGAAGGGAGAGGCACATGCGAATGGGTAACAACGAAAAGTAACAACAGCTGACGTGGTGGGGCTGTGAGATGAGGGATAGTATTATTGAGTGAGAAGCTGAGTCACATAAAGCTGCGGAGATGGCCAATCACATGAACAGCAAAATAAACGCGTGTGGCAGATCACTAAGCGAAGCCTTCGCTGATTGTTCCTGTGGGGAAGTGCCGATACAACTACCGGCATGGACGTCAGAACAAACCGAGCCCAGTGGGGCGGCGGCGGCGGCGGCGGCAACGGAAAAACCGTGTCAAAGCCGCGGTTTTAAGAAAGTCATTGCAGTCATTGCAGGGAATTGGAAACGATGAGACTCACGAGCAAGTGCAGACGTTGACATGCAGAGACGGGACGGGACGTGGTCTTAGGAGTTCAGCCGTCTTCCGAATGATACGAACCTTTACTTTGTTTCGTAACACGTTTTCATACTTCCTTGTAGTAAACATATGAATTTAGATAGATAGGTAGGTAGTTAAGTAAATAGGAAAAAATACAGCCCCTCATCCGACTGACCTGCAAGGGTCCTAATCACTAATTACTCTTCGTGCACAACTCCGTTTGTGAACTCAGCGGCAGGAGGAATAGAAACCAGAAGGACAACGTCGGTCCTAAAAAATACATAGCTAACTGCCGCTGTTTCTGTGAAGAACGTGATAGAGGGAACAAATTCTAACAAAAAGGCGGTAAGGGTAGTTAATCGAAGGTGTTTTGGTTCGGACGGAATGAAAAATTAAGTTTTTTTCTTGAAAAGATTCATGCGGAGGACACGAGAGGGTAGATTTGACGATTTAGAGAAAGACCAACAGAGCGTAAGACGAAGGAAAATAAGATACATGGAAAAGAGTTGGCAGCGAGTTACAAAAGTCTCGGGCTGTCAGTTTCGTGAGCAATAATAATATCCCAAAAACAAATTGAGCAAAGACAAAAGAGCACTAGGGAAGCACATCGTCCTCAATAATAGTACAGTGGTATGCGGTGGTGCAAAACGTAAAAAGCAAAATACAACACGTAAAAAAGCCGAACACCAGTGCGGCATTTTAACAGAAAAGAGAATTTCGGCTGTAGCCGAAGTGATACAATACACCACTGCTGGAAGACAGAGGTGTAAGGTAAGAGGCACCCACGCAATGCTCATAAAACTCGCCAGAGACGCAAGGTCAAACATTGTACAAATTCAGGTCGCTGTCTGAATCCAACCCATGCTGCCCCATAAGCGCACGCATGCCGGCATCTTCAGAACCAGCGACTTCAGGAATAGATATTTGAGGATGGTCGAGCGGCTTGTAAATGGAGGAGATAGTAGTGTTATAAGAGTTACAGAAGCGACATTTGTGTCCCAAAAAATGGTACTTCTGTTCACAACGAGCATGACAATCGTTACATTTTATGGTTGTAATCCAGGTGTTGTATGGATACGGCATTGGTTGTCGTGAGACTTCAGCGTCCAGGATACGGAACATGGAATTCACGTTTGCGACTGTTTTCGAACAGGTTGGGCATCTATAATTGCGCTTGAAATATTCAAGGTAACAACTCCGGTGCAAGGGATGAGAGCAAGGCAGAAAGATAATAGGATCTGTTGAAGTGAACATGTATTCACCACAAATCGGACAATTACAATCTGTGCTTCGCTCAATGCACTTGTGGGTGTCATAGACCGAAATAGAAATACATATACCACACTTCTTGCAGTGAAAATAGTCGTCACCAAGTCCACGGCCAACACGGCAAATGCCGCACTCATCGCAATGGTAACTGCTCTTGTGAGGGTCACCATCCCAAAGCTTGCATTTGCTGCAATAGTATTCAGCCATGCAAGCGTCGCACGACCGGCAGTATTTGGCTGGAGGCTGCACTGTTTGACACAACATGCAGAGCATTTTATTTGTAGCGTGACGATCCAACGTGTGGGAGTTCACAGCATCATGACAGCGCCTGCATGTATACCAACCAAGACATTTCGTGCATTGTTTCTTACAGCACCGCATATAATGAGGGCAGCCCAAGATACCATTTTTTTCATCAAAAAAAGTTTTCTCAAGCTCTTCCGGGGTAGGTGATCCAGACTCCCTTCGAACACGGCTGCTCTTGTGCTTATACTTCCGGTAACCCGACATGAGCAACTTCTATAAAACCTGGTTAGCATATCTGAACGAAAAGAAAGATTGAAACTCACTTGCATAAAAGATGCCTTTTGTTTGTCAGTAAGAGTGGGAGACGCTTGAATCTCTTGGATCTTTTTACGAACTTCGGCCTGTTCGTTTAAATTTACATCGCCGAAATTTTCATCAGCGCCATCTGAGTCAGAGAACGCATTCAATTCTTCAATCCGTTTCCTATAAGAATCTTTGGAGGTCTCGTTTGTGTCAGAATCCTCCTCATTCGTAATCTCATCCACGACATCTGGGGGCAACTCCGTAAGAGATGTAAGCTGTTTAGCTGCCTCCTCGAACGTCGCAGCAAGACCTCGAATGTATTCTGCCCAAGACATTATGTCTTATTGAAGCAGTTTTAAGTGTTCTTTATACGTTTTCTTCCTAGAGCCGTGGTTGTGTAGGTTACAAGCTAATGGTGCGTGTATGCCACGGTACCTATGTCTGAAACCCGCTGATGTCAGATCCACCAGTAACAGGAAGGCAACAATAAAGGCGGTGGTTGGGAGCTGCAGAGCGAAACGGATGAGATTTGTCTAAGGGAAATGAGCACAGTTGTCATAAACGATTTGTCAACAGAAATCTTCTTTTCTTTGTCCATTCTACGAATACTCCTGTCCTACAAAAAAGTCTAATTTTGTCACTAACAGAAAACGGACTGGGCGATTAAGGAATAATGGGAATGCTGTTCCACATATGCCTGTACAAAAAAGAATTAAACCTCATGCGAAATTATTTGTAGTGATAGAATTGTCGTCCCTGTTATACATGTACAATCTAAGCATGTTTTTTGCTACGGCGTCGTTTGCTTTCCCACTCGTGCCAGCTACCGTGCATGTCTTTTAATCTGTAGAATTAGTTAGTAAGTATTTGAGAAGAAAGAAGATTCATGAGAATGTTTGTGGATGCACTTACCCTTGTGCAGGTTCGGGAGGCGGCGACTCACTGGTGAAGTATGGATGCTCCAGTGCCTGTCGCGCAGAAGGTCTCTTATTAGGATTTAAGGACAGTAGTTGTTTTGCGAGATCAAGAGCTGCCTCGCTCAAGGAGCTCTCAAACAGCTGGGTAAACCGATCTGGAAGTTCGTTTTTTGGCCGCATAAGCTCGTACCAGGGCAATTCTTTTACTTCCGGCCAATCTTCTATCGATGGCGTTCCCAATATTTCAAATATTTTTTCTAGTTGGTGCAGTTCATCTTGACCGGGAAATAGCGGTTTCCTGGTAAAGAGTTCCATCAAAATACAACCTGCACTCCAAATGTCTACCGATGGGCCATATGCTGTAGCACCAAGGAGTAGTTCAGGTGGTCTAAACCATAATGTAATGACACGGTTCGTGTAATTTGCACGCCGCTGTGTCGTAGAAAAAAACCGCGCCAAACCAAAATCAGCAAATTTGAGATCGCCATTGCTGCTTAGTAGTATATTTGACCCTTTTATATCTCTGTGTAACACGCCTTGTTGGTGAAGGTAATCCAAACCTTCAAACATCTGTTTTGCAAGATGTTTTATGTTCGCAGGACTGAAAGTGAATTGTGGGTTCAATAAAACACCTGTAAGATCGTGATCCATGTATTCAAATACCATGAAAACAGAATCTAAAACATTAGTATAGTTCAAATGAGCAAGATATATGGAACTGGACGTACTGTTCTCGACAAGCATTTCTAAGAGCCGCACAATATTTTTATGGCGAAGGCTCTGCAATATTTTAATCTCACGAACCGTAGTGATGGGAAACTGATACTCATAGTTAGTATCCAGATGAAGAAATAATAAATACTTACCCCGTCTTTTTCAAGTTCCAACCGAATGCGCTTAAGGGCGACAATTTCACCGGTGACGCTGTTTCTTGCTTTATAAACTTTGCCGTAAGTACCTTCACCAATTTGATCAACACGTTCATATGCCGATTGTCCCTGGAGAAAGGTAGTAATGGAAGCAGGAATACTTGGTGCAGTACCTAGCGACGTTTTATCTTTGTCTTCTCGATCTTCAGCTACAGCAATACGTTTCGCGGGCGGGCGATCAAAACGTGAACGGCGAAGACCTGTGGAGGAAGAGGACCGGGAGTCAGAGGGAATTTGAAAGTAAAAGCGTGACCCCGATTCATTGGCTGTGTTGGCAGCAGATGTTTTGTTCGGTGAAGTGTTGTTCCTCGATTCATAAGAATCACTCTCCGGTATTTTGTTTTCCTCCGGTGCGTTAGACAAAGTCCGTTTACGTAAAGATCGTTCTGGTGCATCAGGATATATGGATCGCTGAAACTTATGTGGGGAGTTGTCGGGGGTGTATCTGTGTGAAGAGGGAGTTTGGGAGGACGGACGAGAGTATGAATTGCTTTTATAACGGGAGGGTTTATAAGAGGGTGAAGACATGTTATCTGACGCACCTGTAGAAGTAGGACGAGGAGATATTGAGGCATCTGGAGGAGGAGGAGGAGGACCAGGTGGAGAGAATGGAGCATAAGGGGAAACAGGACGCGCATAGCGTGAAGGTGGCTTTCCTCTGCCCCGAAAGCGACCTCCGCGAAAGCCTCTCGTAGATGGGCCATCACGAGCCTTACCATAGGAATAATGGTTTCCGTTCCCTCTACCCCGCCGTCCCCGTTGTCCTGAATAACGAGGAGGCCTGCTAAAAGATGGGCGATTGTAATCTGAAATAAAATGGCCACCTAGTGACTCGGTAGCTGCAGAGGGCGATGAGTTGTGAGGAGGAGGAGGATTGCATTGACGTGGAGATGTTTCGTTATTGTAGTTTGCCATAGCCTTCGCAAACGAAAGTATTAATCAACCTTGTGGAAAAGAAGAAGACTTAGGTAAAGAACCGTCTGAGTAAATAAATCCGAGAACACTTATTTTTTCACACCTAACTGAATGTAGGTAGAGAATGGATACAGATTTACTGTTATAAACGATAGTTCCTAAGATACTCCTAAGCGAAGGTCACTAAAGATGAACCTGAAACAAGGTAATCTCAAGATTCCTCGAAATGCGGTGTATGTGAAAGCAACCAACGTCGGACCAGCGGCAAAGAAATTTCGGACCAAGTCAGTAGATGTTTTCGTATTATAGAACAACGCAAAATGTGAACAGAAATTCGTTGTTATTCACACGGGTTGTTCCAAAAAAAAAAAAAAAAGAGGAAACAAGTTACAGAACGGTAATTTACCGACGTAAAAGTAAAGAGAAATAATGAAATAGAAATGAAAAAAACGACAAAGAAAAAACGACGGGTTAGAGAGACAGTGTCATCCTTCAGTCAATACCGAAAGGAAATAAAGAACGAAGTGGATTTGTGTTTCAATAACGGAATAATTGGAGTTTCGTGTTCTAGCTAGGTACAATTTTCTGCCAAAAAAGTCTCCTGTAGAATTTGTTTTCCAATAGTGTTGTTGTTCGGACAAAGCTGAACCACACGAAACACGCTACAAACAGTAGCTAAGGGAAAACATAAAGCATTTCTCTTTACCTGACAATGAAGAAAACTCTGGTAATCAACATGGATCCCCGTTGTGAGGGGAATCAGATGTTGACTTTAAAGGCAAGTCTGAGTCAGGCTATGATATTTAGGTAACAAATACTATCTCACGGTATCAATAGAGACAACGTGTAGGTAGATAGTTCTTTTCTTTATGATTGAATGAAATGAATGTATAAGACAGCTAATAAGGAATGGGATTTGCGTGATTCTGTGGAAAGAAAACTTCTGAGCGTGCTAGTTAGTACTTCTGTCAATTGCATGTCCTTAGCAACTTTGTATTCGTAGTGTGAAGCAGTTGAGGGATAAAATTACATTTTATTTGATTTTTATTGTTTTTGTCACTATTATTATCATGCTTTCATTTGCTGAGTTTGTAATTCTTTTTTTACGAATTTGCTTACTTACTTCTTAATTGTAATTATAATTTACATTTTTTTTTTTCTTTAATCCTCGTTCCCTATCGACAGCTACTCCGCAATACTTTTCTAATTCTATTTTTATTCTGAATTTATTAAATAAATTTTTATATGGCGGATTCCTAGTGAGCCAAAAAAAACGAGCAAAACACATTAATCACAAATTGTGAGATAAATTACTAATTGAGGGTTTGAAATGAACAACGGAGCTGAAACAGCTCCCGAAATTACATATGCCGTGATAAAACCTGCCAATGCCGACGGTTTTATGATAAATGAAAGAGCAATGGAACAAACAAACAACAATAGTCCAAGGAGCGAAAGGGGATACAATTCAGAATTAGCTAAAAAACCTACAAAAAATGAATCGTCTTTTGCTCCTCCATTGCCAGATGAGCCTGTCCCGAAGCTCGAACAATCTCAGGCAAACCAATCGGAAACTGAATTACTCAAAAATGGAACGGGCATCGTTTTACCAGTACCAAAAATGAATGGTCGTATGAACTCCCCATCCTTTTCAGAAGAATCTACTCTTAATAACGCGGATTTAAGTGCTCCTCCATTGCCTGATGAACCAATTCCTCAAACAGAAGCAGAAACGCAACCTCCGCTTCCAGATGAGCCTGTCCCCGTAAGTGAATCTACTGAGAAACCGCGCATGGCTTGGTCGGCCGATGGCCAAGTTGCTGCAATTTGGGATGATGCAACGGAGGCATACTATTTTTGGGACAAAAGAACGAATACGACATCCTGGGAGAATCCACTGGATGAAAAACAAGAAGAAGATCAAGAAGACTATACTTCTGTTGTTCGGTTAAGTAAATTAACTGGTAAATTCATACGACCAGAAGCCACACCCGAAACTCAAAGTGAGCCTCAGAAAGCTTATAAACATATGGAACAGTTTTTTGATGTAAAAGGTCATCTACAAGAACATAACGGAAAAAGTTTGTTGGAAGAACGGCGTAACAAACGTTATACGCGGAAAGAAATGGCGGAACTGAAACGAAAGGCAAAAGAACGTAAAGAACGAAAACGTCGAGCACTCTTTGACATTTCGTCTGATGATATTGACTTTCGTAGACGGAAGATCATACGGTACTAGTCGTATATATTTGTATGTACTTTATCAAGGCGGGCAGACTATTAATGAAGCTATATGGCTAGCCTTTTGATAATAACGAGTAAAGAATGGTTGCTCGTATTATGTTTTCTTTTCTAATTAGTATTAACAAATTCATTGCTCATATTATAACTAAATTCCTTGTGTATATACGTTAAGAAAAATGCTATACAAAATAAAAAAAAAAGAAAGCCACTATAACGCTACATGAACCCATTAACTTTCTTTAGCTTATCCAAACCCTTATTGTAAAATAAATATCCTTCTATAAAAATTCAAAACATTCTCGGTGTTAGTACTTCTTAGTCACCATCTAAGTTTTTTTTATTTCTTTTTTTAAGCGTTATCCTATTGCTTGAGCAGAAATTGGATAGCGAGATGGTTAATCCAATGATACAAAACCAGTTGAAAGCTCGTACTTCACGTTTCCTGTCAAAAGGAGCGATAATTCCGACACCCAATTTCTTCATTCCCCTTTCAAAGGGCACCATTCCTCATTTGACACCAGAGAATGCTGAACACTCGTCAATCCCAGGCGTTTTCTTCGGCTTGGAGGAATGGTATGTCGAACTTACTTTCTGTTCTAGTTGTTAAGTTTTGACTATCTTGGCATGTATAGATAGTCTGAGTCTTTGTCAATGCTGAACGAAAACATTCAATGAACAATGCTAACATTTATATAGCCTTGACGAGTTGGCTAATTCAGCGATTGCGAAGGGAAAATCACGTCTTGAGGACTGGATAGCTATTTCAGCCTCTGTATCAACAATTCTTTCTCCTAGACGTTTTCGTCCTCTAAAAAGTGTTTCCGCTAGCGATTCTGATATTAGCATTGTAACTTCTGGAGGCGTAAAGAAACTTACAAGTGAATTATATAATTCGCTTGTTACTAAGTTGCAGCCAGATGCAGTTATTACTTTAAATGACAATCCTACTAGCAAACCAGGAGTTAAAAGACGACCAAAAATGATTTCTCGGAATCTCAATTGGGCGAAGGAATTTTTACATAAGCAGTTGGAGCAAGAAAGAGCAAATGCTCCAGACATTATATTTCCTATTCCAGACTTACCCAATACTTACTTAATCCCCATGTTTGATAAGTTAAAAGAGCTTGATTTTGGACACATTAAAGCATTCGCCTTCTTTGGCCAACCTGTTGCCGTACCCACTGAATTCGATAGTATTCCCCGAATCAGTCTTGCACCTGTTGAGACGCCGCATGATATATTAGACGCATTGGAAAATGGAACGGATATATTCGTCACTGATCTTGTTACAAAATGCACCGATGCAGGAATTGCACTGGCTTTTAACTTTAAGAATTCTGAATCTGAAGTGAAGCTTCAGATAGGAATCAACATGTTTGATATTTCGCACGAAACTAACATGTCTCCAATTTTAGACGACTGTACCTGTATATGTTGTCGCCGGTATAGCCGCGCTTATATTCGTCATCTATTGAGTGCACATGAGCTTGTTGCATGGGAGCTTTTGCAACTGTAAGTTCTTAACACTGTTAAACGTTCGCATTTCTAGTGCTAACATTTTTTAAGTCATAACATTCACGTTTTGAATTCGTTTATGTCCGATATTCGTGCTTCCATCAACAAGGGTTCATTTAGTTCCAACAAAGAACGCTTTCTGATTCAGTATGTTAATACATATCCGGAACAACAAGCTCTCGGACCTCGTCGACGTGGTTATCAGTTGGATATGACCGATTCATTGCCTCTCTCAAATCGACCTCCCTGGAAGAAACTGGACGATGACTCGGCGTCTGCAAATACCAAAACTGGGTCTATTGTTGTCACCTCGCAGACACCTCTTAAACTAGAAGCTGATACCACAAAAGCCGCAGCGGACACGTTTCAGACACGATCAGCAAATGAGTGGGTAACCCTAAAAGAACAGTTCAATTCTAACATTTTAGAGATCAAGTAGTTGGAGAACTTGTTGATGCTTTTGCCGCTAAAGTGTCAACGACGAATGACAAAGACAGTGATTCGGAGCTTGAGGAGGAGCTTCTGGAGGCCCTTGATGAGCTAGATGATACCGCTTATCGTTCAGAAAGAATGCAACAATTGAAAGAAGAGTAAGTGATTTAAATCTTCCCGATACTAATCGTTTCTTTAGATTTGAACTTGTACAAAGATGTAAACTTCAAAATCACATGAACCTTTTTACTGTCGAAAACGAAAAAGATGTTATGGAAATGACAGTGTAAGTAAATTAGAGTGTTAATCTCGCTAACAATTGAAGAAAATCTGAATGCGTTGTTATTCATTTTTTCCACCCAGACTTTAAACGCTGTAAAATTCTTGATAACCATTTGGAAGTATGTAAAACTGGACTCAGAAGTGCAACTCTCTAACTAATATTGGTTTAGAAATTGGCCAAGAAGTACTGGGAGACCAAATTTGTTAGAATTGAAGCGGCATCTGCACCATTCCTTGTAACTAAATTCTCCCTAAAAGTTCTTCCCGCTTTACTTTGTTTTAAGGATTCGGTGCTTGTCGATAAACTTATTGGATTTAGCGACCTGGGTAATACGGACAATTTTGATACAGCGGCAATCGAATTTCGGTTCAAAAAATCCGGAGTTATCAAACGTCTTAAAGGCAACGAGTACTCATACAACAATCTTTCAAAAATTGAACACATATCTTCAAGTGATGAAGATAGTGACTTTTTTGAGTAGGCATCTTTTGTATATATATAATAGAATTATACTATAAAATTATCAATATTTAGTTCTTCTGTAAAACGGCATTTGCTGCAGATTCAGCCATCGGGGCAAGCTTTTTTCTACTGGCAGCGGCGTTTCCTTGATTCCAAGCAGATATGTCTGTATCTGTAAGGTCGTCTACGGCGTGCAACTGCAATTCATCCTTGTATAATTTGATAAACTCATTCGCCATTTCCTTTCCAATAGAAGTTCTTCCAAAAAGTACCAGTTGTCTTTTAAACTCTTTTTTCTTTCCTTGGGACAGACCGACCAAGGCAATATCTAATTCATCTGCTTGAGCCCATTGAATTAAATCTTGTTTCCAGTTTGAATGATGTTTCTCCAACCATTTTAAACCCTTGCCAATACTAGGAAAACCAAGGGTAATGGTATTGAAATAATATTTCTTCAAGTCTCGATGAATTAGGTCGGTAAAAGTCATACCATCACAATCTTTCTTTGCTTCCTTCAAGGTTTCAAAAAAATCATCGCGCTTAAAATTATTCTTAACTAACTTAAAAAGCTCTTCGGCAACATGACAATCCTTGTCAGTGGTCTTAGCGTTCTTAAGATTTCCAGTATCTACAAGTATGGCGCCAAGAGCTAATATTGTTAGAGGGAAAGGGCCTTTCTCACCATGAGCCTTCCAATGTTCAAATTTCTTCTGTATAATTGGAAGAAAGTATTCAGCAACGAGTGTTGAGCAACTACCAGTAACGTCAATTATACGGGGATTAGCATCCAAAAATTTTCCTTCATCTTTATGATGGTCAATAATACCGGCAACATTATTTGAAAGAAAGGAAAGCTCCTTTCTGGAAATAGAGTTGTGATCAACAAGATGTACACTTGTGTTTCTCAATACATCCTCTCCTTCCTGTATATCATCCAATGTCAAAACATAGTCTTCCGGAATCTTAGCATATTTTAGAAGAGAGGACAGCTCCGGACGAAGACGCAATTCATCTTTTGGGACATTAAAAAAGGGTAAAACAATGTCATCCTCATGCTTTTGTTGATAACAATATGCGTACAGCAACGAGCTAGCGCAAGAGTCCAAATCTAACAGAGAATTAGTTAATGATTAATTTAAATCAAATAATACCGGCAGATTCATTTCCGCAAACAAGAATAAGCTTCGAAGTTACGTTAGATACCACTTCCTCGGTAACCAACTTTTTATAAAGCTGGCCATTATTTTTTAAGAACTTGATAAATGACATTTTACGCGTGCCAGCAATAATAGACTTAATGAGGATATTGATGAACAAAACGTTACTAAACTTAGCGTAAATATGATCCTAAGTATCTTGCTTAAGAGCACAAACGCGACGTTGAGTAATGCAGTTATAGAGTAAGGATAAGGGATCGTCGGTAATTTTCGACATTTACTTGTTACAGTTAATGATACACGTTAAAAAAAGTATCTGACCCTTTTATTTTCTTGAAATTGTTTCTGAGGTTTCATGCCTTTACGAGCTAATATTAAGTTTTGTTATTCAGCAGACTACTATAATTGCTTTAAACAAGTTGCTAAACTGAATCACTACTGTTTCTCGGATAATATGATATCTTGTTATCAATAATTAGTATGTTTCCAGTGGTGCATTATCCGTAGTTCCCTCATATTAAAAGTTTGCGATTCTCAACTGTAGCAGAACATTACTAGTAAACAGGATCATTTTGTTCACAAATATCAAACCCATAGGGTATCTTCAGAGTATATTGATTAGCTTTTGTTATCAAATGACTAATGTAAAGGAACGTAATCATTTAAGCTTGCTAGCTGTAAACCCAATCATTGTTAGATATTGTCAAGGTCCTCCTACCCTAAAGCTATTCTTTTCAGTCTTGAGGCTTTTGTGCATTTGCTTTATACTCATTGAATTAAGCTTTGAGATATAACAGCTCCAAAGACGATGTCATTAGTAAGACGCTAAATTCTTCCCAAACAATGATTCAAACTATTTGTTCGAGAGGCTGTTAGTGAACTAAAGCATCGCAATTATATGGTAAATTTATTAAAAAATCCCACTCCCAAAGCGCGTTATACGACAGGAAACTAGTGCAGGATTGTATTAAAAGGAAGGAAAGTATATATATACAAAACGGAATCCATTAAAGGAGTGTCATTATGTTCACGATTCATTAGCCTTGTCCATTAACACGCTGAAATTTCTCAATCAGTTTCCGTTCTCCAGGGTAACCACACTTCAAAGTCAGCGTGTCATAGAAGTACTCCAGGTCCGTTTTTATGGAAGGCCAATTGTCTGCTGATTCAGCCGCATCAGCCAATTCCAACTGTAATCTGTTTTCAAACATATTAATAACCTCAGGCACAACAATCATTTCGTCGAGTTTTGAATATGTATGAAGGACGTTGTACACTTTCACTAGGCCTTTTGTCAGGCTTTTTATATAATTGTTCGGTTCAGTAGATGTCCAATTGATGTTACCCAATTCCCTGCAACAGGAATTTGCTTTCTCGCGCATAAGAGCAACAAATTTGTTTTGTACTTGTTGTAGATGGAAGCTAAAATCTCGGTTGAGCTTCTCAACCTCCAGTCCAGGGTTAATACCCCCAGTTGTTTCAAGAAACTGTACCATTATCTTTAAAGAACTTTGTAAAAATCTGATCATCTGAGCAGCTAAGGCAATATGTTTTCCAAGTACTCTTGGAAGACCGGCGGACCTCACTGCACCCGCGCCCATGATCAATTGATACACACGCGAATTAACCACCCGATAGAGCTCTAACACAGAGGCATAACAATCGGAAGAGAAACGAGGAACTTGAGAGGCAAATCTAGCATAGTCGACTAAGACATGTAATAACTTTGATGATGTAGCTACACAGCTAAACGTGTCTGATCCCAAACGGCAACCATAGGATCGAGGTTCATCCTTGCTGTCTCCCTCACAACCGCTAGTTTTTGCATCGTTAAACGGATTATCAATCTCAGATAACTCTGGCACAGGCTTGTTTGATGTTAATGCATTAAGACAATCAGCCATGTGTTGGTCGTTTTTGCTAACAACAACCAGTTCCCAACGTTCAACTTCCAAAGACTTTGCGATACGTTCTATGGCAATACGCTGGAAATTATTATACCAGCGTTGAACAATCTTAAGCGTCATCGCCATAAAATCATTAGATACGATACCGCACAGTTTTTCTAGTTCCGACAAAAATATAGAATGTAGACGATACATCCCAAGAATTTCATCTAACGAGTAAGTTAGGAAAACTTGCTCTCTCACCGATAACAAAGTAACCATTCGTTGGAGCACAACACCAGCACTCACAAGCGTGAAATCATTTAAACTCATGAAAGCGCTCGAGTTTTCGGCATCGTGCCGAGTTAGGAAATTTACCAAGAACTTAACTTGGAAGTTTAAGCGTTTCAAAGCCAGCAAGGTAAACGCACAGACACGTCTCAATAAGCTGAAGTAGTCCCGAGTAGACAGTGCGCGCAAAGCCGATGCCAAAGCGGCACCAGAAGGCTCGACAACTTCTCCTTTTGAGTCCCTTGGTGTCACTGGGGTCATGGGCATGCTAACGCTTTCGTTTAAGGAAGAAGATGATGAAACACTTCGTTTTGCCTGAGGAAATTGATTCTTCACCATACTCTTAACTTCCTGAAAAACATTTGATTTGTAGATAGCAACTGCAGCTTGTAACCCACCAGTTTGAATTAAGCAAGTCAAGTACTCCTCCACGGTACTTGCAAATTCTGGGGAAAATTGAGAAGCTTCCTCCAAGACAGTAGGTATTTGTCGACTCGTTTGGTTGTAAGAAGCGAGTAATTGGTCCACCAGTACAATTTTTTCATTCGCGAAAGAGAACGTACAAAGATCGAGAACCAAATGCTCACTGAATGCATGCACAAGCCCCTGAAACAGTATATGCTTTACGTTTTGGATTTTCTGCAAGTAACCACGGACAACTGTCAAACGTGTAAAATCCATTCCTTGTGCTTGTTTGCTTCTCAGCATTTTCTCGAAGTCTGAAATTGAACCCAAAGCAGCTCGATAAGCCTTGTTCTCCACATTACTGGAAGCTGACCGACAAAGCTCAACTAAACGTTGCACGTCGTCGGCACAAGATACCAAACATCGCAGATTTTTTTCCTTACGTTCAAAAGTCGAGATACGGGATTGGCATTCAGATAACCGAATATCACGATCGGCCAAACGTGCTTTAAGCTTACCAGCTTGCTCAGAACAGTCTTTGCTTCGAACTCGAAGATCATTTAGACTGTCGATAATACGGGGGAAACTATCACTGGCATCCTCAATCTCTTGCAAAAGATGCAACTCAACCGTATCCAAATACCAGGATAATTTCTCCTGAATCATAGAATTGTTCATTAAGAACTTCCGAGGAGGCCTGTTGCTTCCGTCATTTGAAACGTCCTCCGGCGGCACAACTTGAGCATGTTCACTAACCTGATCAAACGTCCGTGGATGATCAAGCGAGAAATCTGGTTGAAAGAAGACCGTTGGGATTTTATCTATAGGAAACTTCTCTTCCAAGTCCACATTCCCCATAAGAGCAACATCAGCCCCTTCTCCACTGTGTGGAACGTCAAGGGTGGATGATGAGAACGAGTATTCACTTGGCAAGCGATTTTGATGATGTATTTGAGAAAGGAGAGAGGGTGTGTATCCTTTTCGTATCGTCGAAGCATCGTCTTCTACAGTCAAGACGCTATCGCTCTCAGAACTCGTAAACCGTTTGCGGCTCTGTTGAGCCAAGTAATGGTGGAATTGGGCCTTCTTGTGTCTCTCATAGCGAGCATATGGATGTGCAATTTCGTCCAAATACGGCTGAAACTCTGCTTCATCAATAATCGGAATTGGTGTCAAGACGACAGGCTCAATCTCATATCGGGCGGGCACATGAGTTGTAGCATGTGGATTAATTGGATCCGTCAAAATAGACCGAAACTGGAATGGCAAAAGCACTGTGTCTAATGCAGCCGAGGTGTCATTCTTGGGAGGAATCCGAATAGAGGGAATGGAAGATGTCGACGATTTTCGGAGACTGCGAGCATCCATGGAAGACGCATACAAGGTCACTGGCAAAGACGGCAGGGCATCCTTCTCGGTGACATCGGTGAACACCGGATAAATCGGTAAATGGAGGCACTAAACTGAAGATAATTCGGGGACTTAGTTTAATTTGATTGAGCACTGTTCGGCAAACTAAGCCTTAAGTGATCCAATCAGTGAACAGTCCGATGCCATATTACCGAAAAGTCACCGATATATGGCCGTCGGAGCATTCTTGAGAACACCGAAAGTCTCCCTATCGGACGGTCAGTTTCGGCAACCGCTCACCGTAGCAACGACTCTACAAAAGCTCCAGGATTACAGCCCGGCCCTTCTAACTAAGTCCAATGAAACCTCTGGTGGGTCCTGGTTTGGGTATGGAAAATGAATCCAATAGTTTGCTTCTAACAGATATTCTAGCCTGGTTCTGTACCGGCATTTCTGCTATTGGAATCCTTTTTCTTCTGGTTTTGTCCTATCTGTTCGCCAACGGGGCAGAAACATTAATTCATGACTTGGAAGGATCAGATTTGACTGGTAAACAAGTTGCCAAGACCTGTTTGGGTGCTGTTGGTATTTATGTGGTATGAGACGCGAAATGGACACGCGAACATGAAACAGTATGGGGTCTGTCAGTTGATGAATGAGGAGTGTCCCACGGGTCCATCTGTTGATCGTGTTTTCGTATGTTGAATGACTTTTGCTAACGCATTAATGGCATAGATCACCTTTTTGTTTTGTGGCTCTCAAGTTTTGTCTCACAGAAATCAAAGACCCATCCACATCTAGTATACAATATTCGCACATCTACTACCTCATCGGCTCTCTCTCTCTCTCTCTCTCTCTTCTATGAACATCTTTTCAACATAATGCACAGTGTACATTCACATCGTACTGCTCAGTTTCCATTATCCGCGCCCGTCTTGTTCGTAGTTTAATCTGATTCTTTTGAGAGAATAAACGGTATGAATACATAAATTTTACAAGAGAGAAAATTAACGAGGCCTGCCCCCCCTTAAATATTCTAATAGTTAGTCAAACAACGCCGATATCCATTAAACTTGTATTTATTCTAAGGGAAAGGAGGTTTTTGTTTCAATAGAGAAGAGGTCTATGAGAGTGAGAGTACTTAACAAACGGAATGGCAAGACGGGGTTCATAGGTTTAATGATCGCTCAAGGAAGGTCGAACAGGGAACTTACATTCACGACCAACATCAATACCACGTCTCATCCAGCCGTCCGTGCGTCCAATGTCAAATTTACGCCAGACGGCATCAAGGGCATTCGTAAAGTTTCGCACAAAGCGTTCACTGTTGTGAGCTGGGGTGGGGGTGATACGAAGACGCTCGGTGCCGACGGCGACGGTAGGGAAGTTAATGCCTTGAACGTAAATGTTATGACGATGCAGAAGTTCATCACTAGCAAGCTTAACGAGTGATGCATCACCAACCATAGCGGGAACGATGTGAGTGTCATTTGACAGCACGGGAATACCAATCTCGGCCAACGACTGCTTAACACGACGTACTGCGGACCGCTGTTGTTCGCGCTCCACGTTTGAAGTCTTAAGATGTTCGACTGCCATTAAAGCACCCAACATAACGTGGGGGGGAAGAGTCGTAGTGAAAATAAATCCAGGAGCCATGGAACGGATGTAGTCAACCAAAAGAGCGGAGCCAGCTATATAACCGCCGACTACGCCGTAAGACTTGGCCAATGTACCCGTAATAATGTCAACACGCTCCATCAAGCCAGGAGTTTCCTCTGCAAGACCACCGCCTCGGGCACCATACATACCAACGGCATGCACTTCGTCAAGGAAAGTCAGTGCTCCGTACTTATCAGCCAAGTCACAGATTTCTGCAATAGGTGCAGTGCTTCCGGACATGCTGTAGATTGACTCGAATGCAATAATCTTTGGACGATTACGGGGCAGACTCGCAAGCTTTGCTTCAAGATCACACATGTCGTTGTGTTTGAAAATCATTTTTTCACAACGGGAGTTGCGAATGCCTTGAATCATAGAGGCGTGATTCATTTCATCACTAAGGAAAATACAGTTGGGCAGTTTTTGCCCCAAGGTGGAAAGTGTAGCATCGTTGGCGACAAAACAACTCGAAAACACAAGTCCTGCCTCTTTATGATGCAAATCAGCAACTGAGTTCTCCAACCAAACGGCATGCTGATTATGGCCAGCAATGTTGCGGGTTCCACCAGCACCACCACCGTATTTGTCCAAACATTTCCGCATAGCAGCCTTCACCTTCTCGTTATTGCCCATGGACAGATAGTCATTGCTGCACCAAATTTCAACAAGATTCTCCGGGTTTTCCAAGTGCGCCATAGGGTCAATTTTAGAGAGACGATTAATGTTGTTAAAGTAACGATAAGAGTTATCCTTCTTCTTGCGTTCAAGGGTGTCCTCGTAGAAACCTTCATAATCAAAGGCATCTTCGTTGCTATTAGCAGGCAAACGAGACGAATTTTGTTTGAGCGAAAAGGTCGTCCCGCTAGAGGAGTTTTTCAGCTTTTGAGCATCTTGTGTGGAATTAGAATCCTCGGCATTTTCCAAAACACCGGTATGTAAGTTAATGCAGGAATTGAGTGGACGCTCTGTAGCACCACGAGCACCATATGTACTTAAATTACGAGTTTGGGCTTGCAACGGCGCCCTCAACATGGGACAGCGCGAGCCTGCACGCAAAAGACCCTCACCGGCCAATCGTTTTAGAGCGGCCGGTTCAGTAGAACGGACGAATGGACAACGCTTAACAGCAATTCGAAGTGCGGCTTCCATTTGAAAAAAAAAGAAAGAGAGAGTCTGCGTAATTTGTGTTCTGAAAGGTTACCGACAGAAGCGAGAAACAAACGTCGAAAGAAGTACGAAAACAAATGACTTTTTAGAAGACAAAGTAACCAAATACAAATGAACAAAAGTCCTGTCACAACAAAGTTATTACAGGAATGTACGGATCTACGAGAAGGTTAGTAAACTCGTACATACATATAAGAAAAATCGCCCAAACGGTGTTTTTTTATAGCAATGCTTGTCGCACCATGTCAATTCAAAGGAGAAGCGCAAAACCCAGAAATTGTCAACTTATATGAGCCAATTCCACAAAACGACTTACCAAAAATTTACAACCGAAATTTCCTGTTTTTCCCAGTCCGATAACTAATACAAGAAACCTTTCTAATACTACAAAATACCAGTCCAACACTAAGCAGCAAATGTCCTTCGTGGCGGTGGTTGAGTTGCGACATGTCAACTTCCGTGTTTTAATACTAGTCGCGTGATCACGTGAAACTCTAAACAACTGTATTTGCCGTCCAACGAGAGGGTGCAGCAAAGATGGAAGTTGGACATGTGATAAGCATCAGGTGCTAACGACGCAAGTATCGTTCGAAATTGTGTATTTTCCAAGGTCGGTATTTGTCGGCAGTGCGACGTGAGAACAACTATGGCGAATTGATGAGTGAAAGCTTGCCGATTTTCCCAATGGGGGGCATGTGGGGAAACAAAGGCGGCAGTTTGATGGAAATGAAAGGAAGTAATTGTGACAGGGTTTGAATCAAGTTGAAGCCGTTTAGCACGATTTTCTGTTAAAAATAAAGTTTACCGAATCACTCAACGGGGTATTAAGGACACACGCCCGTTCCTTTCACTCGTAGCTTTATTTCGCTTTATTATACAATAGACTAGATACTATAAAAAGATGAATAGAAAAGGATAATGCTGATGGTCGATCGTTTCAAAAAATATGCATGAGCGGGATCCTTGTCAAAACTTTAGGGATAAATATAATGGTGAAGAAATAACAGAACCAACCTTGGAATACGAACCTCAGATAAAACCTTGCACTCTTCACTTGTAGATTGCTAATCAGCGAGTCATTATCATCAACATTATCGTAACGAGTAGTTTTCAGCAGAACGCTGCTTTCTTTTAAGTGCCCAAAAGGATCTTGTAGCTGCACTTGAAAATATGTGTATGTGCGGCAGAGAATGAACACATCCGCCCTATAAAATATTGGATGCGAGGCTATAGGTGCAAGACTCTGGTGGTTTGGAATGCGGCAATGAAGGCCGAGATTCCTCCAATTCGCAAAATCCAGGCGATACTAGAATCTCCAACCTCACGATGACTGCCTTCGGATTGCAGGAAAACGATGGTTGCAATTATAGTGCTCAGTACCTGAGGCGCGGAAACAAAAATATTGTGAACGCCAATCATCTTTCCACCGCTCTCCTGCAATTCAAGACGAGCGAGCTCGGAAGAAAGCAAAGCAAAAGGTGCCCATAATGTACATGCCCACGAAAAACCACAGATTGCAATCATAACTTGGGCCTGCGTCGCCGTCTGCAAAACAAACGTGCTCAACATACAGACGCCAAAAACAACATGTGAAGACAGCCACAGAAGCGGCAAAGACAAACCAGGGATAATCATTTTCGCAGACCATTTATAACGCAAAGTATGCAACGAGCGATGGAATAAGGATGATTCCTCAGAGGAAGAATCGTGCGACAGCTGGTCGCTTTCGCTTTCTCCATGATCCTCTACAAGCAAAGGCAGCGTGGTGTTTGCACAGAGGGATACAATCGCGAACAACAAAAGCGCAAACGAGCCCTGACGGGTCGCAATGTCCCAGTCACCTTCATGTCCAGGAGGTGGATGCTGCAAGTAAAGGTCGCCGACATATGTAGTAATGTAGAACAGGAAGGGAAACCAAGCAAAGTACGCAAAAAACTGGACGTAACAGATATTTTTAATGGATGCCGGCATAAAGCTGATCTCTTGCTTTAGCGAGGTGAAGAAGTGAAATAGTTCCTTGAACACCGATACCTGCGCCTGAGGAGGATTAGTATTAGGTACTTCTTCAACGATGAGACATGTGATCACAACGCTGCTGATAAGGAGAATGGCTGCTAATGCACACAATACTTGCAATTGTGTCGTTCCCAAGAAGAAAAACATCTTTTGTAGAGGCAAGTAACCAAAGAGATAGCCGACAACATTTCCGACACCAATCATTCTTCCTGCCCATGAATTGGCATCTTGTTGCTGTTCAGAGCGGACAACGTCAACAATGAGAGAACGCGAACTGGCCATCACTGCAAAATAGTTAGCAGCAAAGACGACGACACTTCAACATAAGAAAGCAACGTACCTGTATTAACACCAATATCGAGCATATAAATACTGAGCGTGGCCAGGATGTTGACGGCCACTTTTTGTGATGACTCTGGAAACAGTTTCGAGCTAAGCCAAGGAGCCCAGCCCATAAGCATAAGACTAAACATGCCGAGAAAACTAGCACAAATCATAAATGGCCGTCTTCTTCCAAACCGACTTGTACAGCGATCGGAAAGCATGCCTGCCATCGGCTGAACAAATACACCCGTCAACGGACCAGCGATCCAAATAATCGAAGTCCATTCCTTACGCAAGCCAAGTGAAAAGAGATATGGGGTACCTGTACAAGCATTAGCCAGACAATGTCACTGAATACCGGGAACGAACTTACCGTAACCAAACTCGATCGACCAAGCCAACTGTACTCCAAAAAAGCACTATACAGTCCACAGTCAGCAAATCACATTCGCGCATCCACACACATAGAAGGGCCCATGCAGAGATTTCACACTTGCATACCGTTGTCAGTCCAATTAAATATACGACCGAGCGCCATTGTGGAGCAGAGATTGTCCGAGTTGACTCAGCGTAAGGTTCTAGCAGCGCTTCATTTTCAAGCAGCCTTGATTCCGCCATATTAACACCGTGTTCTTCAATAAGCCAAAACTAGATGAGTGACACACTATTCGTTTCGTAAGTAACAAATTAATTGTTACGGTTATGCAATCGCCTAAAAATGTTTCACAAAACAAAAAGCTTTTCTAAAGGAGAAAAAACCGAAAACCAAGCTGTTCTTTTGTTATGAATGTGCTTTTTCTGCCAAAAAGAATTTCGCTGTAATTTCAGGAAGGAGAAAGCCGCAAGCTTTTGAGAAGGAATTGTTCGATACAGAGGACGTTCTACTAACAAAATTGAGTTAGAGATTAGCTGACGAACGTTTAAGACGTTGCTGATGTACTGGAATTTGTGTCCCAGCAGGAACGCCGAGATGCCTTTGGTAAGGCTTATCTGACGTAATACATCGTCAGTCTCAGAAGCCAAACTCTAAATGGCACGTGTGACGCAGCTGGGGATGATGAACGGACCAACTGGCGCTGATGAGGCGATACAGACGCTACAGGGAAACAAAACCCGCTCGCTCTCGCCAAAGGAGCAACTACAAGTCATTAACGCGTTTTATTCAGTTTTATTGTTTAATGATCGACTAAGGAATGTGGGGTTTTGTGTTCGGCTGTAGCATGCTGCATTTAAATTATCTATAACTATTGCGTCACTGATAAGGTCTGTAACGAGTTTTAACGAGCTTTAACAGCGTGTATCAAAATCATCTGTAGCACAAAGCACTGTTTTGTACAGCATTAAGTCTCCGTAAGTATAATTGCGCGAACTATACAAACACACAATGCCACAGTGTGTCTGTATCTGCTTTAACGGAGCACGCTCTACCATTGTGCAGCACGCCTCGTCGCGCTCCGCTGCCAACACCACCTTTCTCGCCAGAGTCGCGAGAAACGGACCTTTCCCTCAACACATTACTTCTTGCCAGACAGCCCTCCTAAAATGGGTGACAATACCTGGGTGCCTCAAGAGCAGATACTGCTTCAGCTTTCTGATGTTATTGGCAAGTCGATATCGGAAAACTCGCAATTGAGAAATGAAGCGTTAAGTGTACGTTGTTATCGATGATAACACTCTCGGCTGGAGAACAGCTTTGAATCGCTACAAGCATGCCTGGGAAAACCCTCTCTAACGACAAACTCTTATTTTAGTTGTTGGAAAATGCAAAAACGCTGCCAGACATAAACAATTACCTTCTTTATATCCTGGTACATGCCAAAGAACTCGGCGTGTCCATTCGTTCGGCCGCTGGTCTGTTACTTAAAAACAATGTCCGTGTTGATAATCTCGACGTAAAAGCTGGCTTAAGCGGACTCGCATACGTAAAATCATCTATTCTGCAAGGTCTGTTTGACGACGAGCAACTTATTCGAGGCATTTCAGGAAATGTTATTACTACAATCATTAGCCGTTGGGGCATCGGCTCATGGTCTGAGGTCCTGCCACAGTTGATGGACATGCTTGTTGGCCCTTCTGCTATCGCTCAAGAGGGTGCTTTCAGCGCCTTGACAAAAATTTGCGAGGATTCTTCTCGCGAACTCGACCGGGATTTCAACGGCACTCGTCCTTTAGACTTCATGATTCCCAGATTCATTGAACTTTGCCGGTCCGAAAATCCTCGCATGCGTACAGACGCACTCTTTTGTCTGAACCAATTCATTCTTATTCAATCACAAAGCTTGTATGCACACATTGATTCTTTTCTGGAAACTTGTTACGGTTTGGCTACGGATCCTTCTCCTAACGTTCGTAAAAACGTTTGTCAAGCATTGGTCTTCCTACTTGATGTCCGTCCTGACAAAATTGCTCCTTCTCTCGGAAGCATCGTCGAGTACATGCTCTACTCAACGCAAGACCAAGACCAGTCTGTGGCTCTCGAGGCTTGCGAGTTTTGGCTGGCCATTGCGGAACAACCTGACTTGTGTCCTTCGTTGGTTCCTTATTTAGACAAAATCGTGCCAATGCTTCTCCGTGGTATGGTGTATTCAGACATGGACATTCTGTTGCTCGGTGATGACGCTGATGATTATAATGTTGAGGACAAGGCAGAAGACATTCGTCCTCAACACGCAAAGGGCAAGACTCGCTTGACTACTGCTGAAGGTCATGTCGGTGGTATGGAGCAAGATGGATTGGAAGATTTGGAAGACGATGATGAAGATGACTTTGAAGACGACGAAGATGATGATGCCTACATGGACTGGAACCTGCGTAAGTGTTCTGCTGCCGCCTTGGATGTGTTGTCGTCTGTGCTGAAACAACAACTGTTCGACATAACTCTGCCATACTTGAAGGAACAGCTTTTGTCCAATGACTGGAAGGTTCAAGAGGCCGGTGTCTTGGCTTTGGGTGCTATTGCTGAAGGCTGCATGGAGGGAATGGTCCAGTTCCTTCCCGAGCTTTATCCTTACTTGATCTCTTTGCTCGACAGCAAGAAGCCTTTGTTGCGTACTATTACATGCTGGACTCTTGGTCGTTACTCTCGTTGGGCTGCTACCCTTCAATCACCCGAAGACCATCAAAAGTATTTCGTTCCTTTGCTTCAAGGTCTGCTTCGTATGATTGCTGATAACAACAAAAAGGTTCAAGAAGCTGGTTGTTCGGCTTTTGCAAACTTGGAAGAGCAAGCTGGTTCCACCCTTATTCCTTATTTGGAGCCTATTTTAACAAATCTTGTACTTGCATTCCAAAAATACCAACGCAAAAATCTTCTCATTCTTTACGATGCTATCCAAACATTGGCAGATGTTGTTGGCCCTGCTCTGAATAACAAACATTACATTGATATCTTAATGCCTCCCTTGATCCAAAAATGGGCTACTATCAGTAACGAGGATCACGATTTGTTCCCCTTGTTGGAGTGCTTTTCCTCAGTGGCAGTTGCTTTGCATGAAGGTTTCGCCCCTTTCGCACCAGAGACTTTTGGTCGTGCATTCAATATCCTTCGTAGCACTTTGTTCATGATTGATGCCGCTAAGACTGATCCTACCGTCGAGGCCCCTGACAAAGACTTTTTGGTTACTACCCTTGATTTAATTAGCGGAGTTATTCAGGCTTTGGGCAACCAAGCTGAGCTACTTGTGTCTCAATGTGACGTTCCGCTTGGTCAGATCATCGGCGTGTGTGCTAAGGACGAAGTTGCTGAGGTTCGTCAATCGGCTTATGCTCTGCTTGGTGACATGGCCATGTTCTGCTTCAACTATGTCCGCCCCTATTGCGATGCCTTGCTTACAGATATGCTTCCTCAAATGCAGCTTCCATTAATACATGTCAGCACTTCCAACAATGCCATCTGGTCCGCAGGCGAGATCGCATTGCAGCTCGGCAAAGACATGCAACCTTGGGTAGAGCCTATCCTTCAAAACTTGGTGTGCATTCTGCAAGCTCCTAAATTACACTCCACTGTTTTGGAAAATGCCGCCATCACCATCGGTCGACTTGGTCTGTTTAATGCGGAGCTTGTTGCTCCTCATTTGAAGCTGTTTTACAATCAATGGTTCGCTATCATGCACGATGTATATGAGAATGAGGAGAAGGACTCTGCTTTCCGCGGTTTCTGCACGATTATCGCCTACAACCCTCAAGCACTCTCCTTCCTTCTTCCACAGTTTGTGAACGCTGCTGCGCTGTACGAAAAGCCCTCAGCCGAGCTTCACGATATGTTTCAAAAGGTATGTTCTTTATTTTCGACTATGCTGTAGACTTCGCAACTAACCTTGTTACAGATTCTTCACGGCTCTTTGAGCATGTATAATGACAAAAGTGCATGGCAAACGACGCCTGAAATCACTGCACAGGTCGAACGCAAGTATAACTTGTAATCGCTGTTTAATGTGCAGAACACTTCAGATTGCAAAAACTGACATAAAACTATCTATTCGCCGGACTCGCGGAACTTTTGTTTGTTTGTACAAGGGTATACTCATTTGTTAATTTACCTGCTTTGAACACTTAGACGTAAAACATAATCATACCAGCAAGCATTTTGGGCTTATTCCAATGGTCGCAAGGCGCGACCAGAAGTCAACAGGGAGGTAACTACAGTCATCCCATCGCAAATAACATTCATAGATATTACCAATTAACTATCACATGTCTGAATGAGGCACCTGATTGCCTTGTAAGGTCACCTTGTTTCCACTAATTCGATTCGCAACCGTCGCTCCTGGAATGGCTGCGTCAATTGTGCGTGTCATGGGCAGTTTGAAAGTTTTAAGATTTATGTCAAAGATGTGCTGTGAGTGAGAATGATAAGACTTGAACTAGTTTTCTATATTGTAGCGTGCGAAGTTTACTTGCTTGTGGCATTAGTTAGCATTAGAAACAATAGTAGTTGCACTACTTCTATTGCTTCTGCTACTAGCATTACGTTGCTACGCTTTCCACCGTAAGATAATGTTAGCAACTGATGTCTTACAACGTCTCTGTTACTGTATTTATTAACCGGTCTCCAAGTTTTCGGCACTATGTTTAAATCAAATAAAGTTCAAGTAAACTATGTAGTTCTTCATAACCCCGCTATGTCTAGTTCTATCGTGACATCATCCAAACATCAAATGGCTGAACGCGGAACTTATGTTAACCTTAATTACGCGGTACTTAAGTCGTTTATCCTCGATCTGTTTCTTTCTTTTCCATACTACCCGTTATCTTATTCCTAGAAGACACTGAACTTGCTATTTCTGAAGCTCTGTATGACCTCTATTCACCGTCCTAGCAGCTGACCTTTTGATAGAATGTTAGGTCCTCTCGTTACACTGAATTGCGGCCTTAAATGCCCTCAGCTTGGTTTTGGAACCTACACAACGCGATTGGGCCAATGCCGTGACTCTGTATATGCCGCTTTACAAGCTGGATACCGTCATATTGATTCTGCGCAAATGTACCATAACGAGCGCCAATGTGGAGAAGCTATTCAGCAGTTTATGCAGGACACTTCAACGAAACGTGAAGAAATCTGGTTTACGACGAAATTGCAGGATCTCTCCGGTTACGAGCACACGCGTCGCGCAATCGATGGTAGTTTGAAGGAATGTGGTTTAGGCTATATTGATCTTTTCTTGCTTCACTCTCCCTACGGTGACCGTTTGGGCTGTTGGAAGGCAATGGAAGAAGCTGTTCAAGAAGGAAAGATTCGTGCTATCGGTGTGTCGAACTTCGGTCCTCATCACATTCAACAGCTCCTTGATTCCCAGCCCCAAATTGTTCCGGCTGTTAATCAAATTGAATTGCATCCTTTTTGCTCTCAACAAAAAGTCGTTGAGTACTGTCAGCAACACAACATTGTGCTCGCGGCTTATGCTCCTTTGGCACATGGCGAGAAGTTTGGAAGCCGTAAACTGCTAGCTATTGCTCATAAGTACAACAAGAATGAGGCTCAGATTATGATCCGCTTCTTGTTGCAGAAGGTAAGCTGAACATAGACCCAGTGAGAAATTGAATTCTCATTTCAGGCCGCCCCCCTAGCACTACTCTCCTTTGTACTAACAAATTTTAGGGATTCATTCCTTTGCCAAAGAGCACCACACCGTCCCGTATCAAGTCGAATGGTGAAGTGTTTGACTTTGAACTAACCAAGGAAGATATGCAGACATTGCAAAACCTTGACGAGGATTACCACTCCGACTGGAACCCTACAATTTCTCCTCTCTAGGCAGACTATAACGATTATGAACTTTACTTCTTTTAATGAATGAATGAATGAATTACTCTTTCCGTACTTTGGTGCTAGCTGAATTATTGTAAGAAACCGGCCCCCACTGCCCCCACTAGCTCTACTCACGAAGTCGACGCGACAAAGGAAGTTTCGCTTCACCAACTTATTGTCTGGAAAATTTTATTAAAAAATGCTGCGTAGTTTTATGAAGGCGAAGAGCGGATTACGTCTGTTTTCTTCCACAGCTGCTAGATGTTCTGACGTTCAACGCATGACTCTCACCGGCAACTTAGTTCGCGACCTTGAATTTAGCAACACTGCTGATGGACGCGAGTTTGCCAAGTACACGCTTAGCTGTTACAATGGCCGTAACATGGATCCTACGTATCACACCGTATTTAGCTTTGACAGCTCACGTAACGAACAACTCGAAAAGTTCATGAAAAAAGGTGCTAAGGTTTTCGTCGAAGCCGACGTCGGCTGGCGCAAGGTGCCTTTGAAAACAGAGTCTGGGGGGGAGACGAACCACATGGTCCCTCGCATGAACCTGCGTCACGTTTACTCTACAATGCTCCTGCCTCCTCGTCGTGTCGACGAGACTGAGTCGACGACGGGAACGAGCACAGGAAATGGACAACCCGAAGAAGAATTCGCCAGCAACACCAACAAGGCTGACCTCGGCTTTTAAACTGTTTATGAATGATCATGAAAGAAGGGGAGGAAAAAGCCATTAGTCTCGCTTCGGTTTATGTTCATCACTGCTAATGAAATATCCTTGCTACTCGTTTGCTTATGTCACTACTCGCTTAATCTTTAAGCCTATATAGACTCAATTAATTACCCCGTATTTTCGTCCACGTGAAACTTTAAATCTGCCAACAATATGTGACTGCTCCACCACACAACCTATTCGCCAGTGGGGGCCGTTTGTGGCTGACCTTGGGACACACAGCTAGAACCAGGATAATGGCAGGGGAGCCTAAAGGGAAGAAACGCAAGTCGAGAGACAGCAGCGCATCCAGTCGTGAAAAGGTTCGTGGACGGAACCAGCTGGATGTATTTGTGACGCCTATTTCTGGCTGTGAGCCTCCTGAAACAACAAAGTTCCATGGATATGTCCGTAATGGAAAGAAGCGTGTAGTTTCTTTGATCGGTACGACCGAAAAGGTTCGTTATGAAGCTACGAATGCGTCCAATACCCAATCAGCTCCCAATTACTGCCTTGCTGTGGTTGACAAGGACGGTAAGGTGAAGCGTCTTCATCCCGCAACCTTTTTGGGATCTTTTGAGCGTTCTGTACTTGCACTCCAGAACAATGATGCTCTTATTAAGAAACAACGTGGTTCTATTAACGGCGCCATTATGCAACAAAGAGCCAACTTGGGTCTTGCTTTCGGTACTCGAAAGAGTCAAAAGGCTATTATGGATGAGACAGCCAATCGTGTCAAGGCCGAGACTTTGGGAGACATCAAGAGTCAACTTATCAGTAACGTCGAGAAGGCTACTGCTGCTCTTCCTTCGCAGGCAGAGCTTGACGCCAAGCAAGCATCTGACCGTCCCATTCCTCCTGTCAACATGGCTGCCGAAACGGTGGAAGAGGCGTACAACCTTTATGACATTATTGGCAAGGAAGAGCTTGCTGCCATTAACGTTAAACCGATGCTTGACTCGCAGGACGAGCAAGCTTGGCTACAAAAACTCCCCACTCGTCACTCGAGTTTCGTCAACAAACGCTTCAGCCGTATTGTTTCGCTGGAGGAGAAGGACTTCCAACGTGCCAAACTTGTTTATGTGGTTGCTTTGTTGCAAGCTTTCGTTTCCGCTAGACGGTCTGTTAATGACCGCGAGACTTTGCGGAAAAAACTTGGATTCCCACCAGAGATTGTCATCGACGGCTTGTTGAAACGTTTTACGGAACGCAATGGCACGGGTGCATTGCAGGTCTCTACTAAGGGTGTTGACAAGATTATGTGTTACATGTTCTTGCTTTGTCTGATGCTTGACAATTACTCTACTGATGTAACCACTCTTGCCAACGATCTTAGTATAAAAAACATGAAGGCCAACGAACTCTTTAAAACTCTCGGTTGCCGAATTATGGCTTACACCGAGACACAATGGAAAGCTATGGGCATCACAAAGACCGAGGCACGCAGTCGGAAGCGTGCTGTCTTGAAGGTTCCTCTCGAGTTCCCCAGACCTCGTAGGGGACGTGCTCGCAACTAGTTTTGTTGTCCGTCTGTTATAAAAAAAGAGGTTGTAACTGTGCATTTTGGAGAGTTGCTGTCAGCTCCTTTTACTGTTCATTTTGTTTCATGTGTGGGAACTGCGGTATCTGTTTCTTTTTGGTGACCGTTTTAATACATGAAAAAACACATACTGGCCTCTAAAAAACAAAGTGCAAGTTTAGCTTCTTCAGTGCTTACGTTAAGGCAGAAAGTGAGAAGGTGAACTGCATATTTTTACATAGTCCTAAAAAAATAGAAGCCAATATCATGAGGAAAACAAGAATCAACGCCTACATTGTGGATTGGATGTACAGAATCATTAAACAATCGTTCTAGATCAGTTGTAAGGGATATAGGAGACAGGCACAAAGAGATCGTCTGTTGGCGTCGTTAAACAACTAGTTCTTTTCGTAAACGGCGCACAAGGCGACCAATTCGTTTCTTGTTCCCGGGTCTGCCAACAATAAGCCGTCGTTGGCGGTTTGTTTTGCTTCGTCAAAACGATGCATAGCTTCTAAAGCCTTAGCCTTCCGATAATAGCCCTTACCGTAATTCTTTCGGATACTAATGGCAGCGTCGGCGTCCACAAGTGCTTCTGGATACTCCTCCAATGCAAGTTCAGCAGCAGCACGATTGCAAAGCAAAGTACTTGTCTCCTCGGCTGTTAAAGCTGCTGGTTCCCACCGATACCGACTAGCAGCCATTTTCAAAGCCATTGAATAAAGTCTTTTAGCCTCTCCCCATTTTTTACGCTTAAAAGCATCGTTTCCGGTCTGTTTCATCTTGTTCACCTGAGCCGACAGAGCCGCATTTGGTTTAGCTGGAGGATAAGGAGGAGGAATTCCAAAAGGATACTTTGCACCAGCGATCATCTTTGTATAATCATTTATTTGAGCTGCTACGGCCAAAACATCTGGAGGAGCGTCATGTATGGACAATTGGGGTACATTCATCTGCGCCGGCGGTGCTGGAGATGACATTTTTGCAAAAGTTGGTTCGTTAACGGTGAACACTGCCAGGTAGTGGACACGGTGCTAGGTGTATGTGTATAGTGGGTTCACCGCGGAATCTCCGCGGGAGTCACTAATGTCATTTGAGTAAAAGGCTTGCCAAAAATAAACGCAAATTCCCTTCCAATTAGTCAGGCAACGAGACGAGTTCCAGCAAATGTAGTTAGGAGCACTTCAGCTCTCGTTTTACGATTTTGCTTGCTTAGTGCGGGCTGTTTGAAGTACCAATAAAGACGCACTACCACCACGTTGAAGTTGAGAAATTGGACCCTTCAGTAACAGCATTCTGTCTCTTACAATACATAATAACGTGTAGCAATGGACTCTTCCCCCAGTGAGTTTTTGAATAAGGTGATCGGAAAACCTGTGTTCATTCGTCTTAATTCCGGTGTTGACTACAAAGGTATGGATTTAACGGGTTGATGGATGAGGATTTAGTTCGCGTCTATGCACAGTGTTTAAAGAACGAAGCTGTTACGATGCAGAGGATTTTGGGAGTGTAATTTAGAGACTGACAATGTACTAGGAATCCTTAGTTGTTTGGATGGATACATGAATCTTGCCCTTGAGAATACCGAAGAGTATGTTAACGGAAAAAAAACTAACGAATACGGAGATGCGTTTATTCGTGGAAATAATGGTAAGCTTCAATAACTAAAGATGCTTCGAAGAGTAGTATCTAACTGGTGCTTAAGTATTGTATGTCTCTGCTATTCGTGAATAAATGGGATGCTATAAAAATGGAAAGAAAGTATCAATCAATGACTACATGAAAGCTGAACAAATAAAAAGTTTTGTAGAATGGGGCATTGGAAGCGAAGTTGGAGAGCAAGGAGATTGCGGGTAAAAACGGAATATCAGAAAAGGTCATGAATGGTGATATAGGCGATGCACAAAAGTTCGTCGTTACTCTACTCGATGCACCTTTTTCACGCGTCTTCTCCGAGAAAAACCAACGAAAAAGATCAACAAAATGACGGCGAAGAAAATTGAAACAAGTGAGAAAAGGAATAGACGCAAATTGTCATTCAGCCACATAATCAGTTTAGCATCCTTTCCATGCCAACTACTTCCGTAAACATGGGAAAAGAACGAAGTAGGCGTATTACCATAGAGTTCTATAGGAAGAATTCTGCTTTGCGTTTTGAAGCTATTCTTAGCAAAGTAATAGCAAAACTGAATGGATAGGAACAAGGGACCCGTGCTTAGCATTACAGTTGGGTATTTCGTGAGATACCGATGGTTGTAACGCGGCAAGGCCTTCATTACCTGAAGTAAGAAAGGATGATGCCTTGAAGCAGCAAACCAATCATTGCTGTATCCGAAAGGTTCAGAAGAAGGAAGGATAAGTGATCCAGTCCCTAACAAGGCGGACATGTCACGTTTGCATCCGATGTCAAGGTCCATATAAATGCCGCCATAATGATAAATCAAAAAGTATCTGACGGCATCTACACGCTGAATTGTATACGTGTAAGAGCGATAGGTTGGCAAAAACCAGGCGTAATTGTCCTCTAAAAACCTCTCTACCTTTTCGTCTGTCCACAAAATGACTTGCCAACCATTCTCTTCTAAGTGAACAGAACGGCAAGAAGAAGCGGTAACTTGCCAATTTTCAGGAATCTCATCATCTTTCCATAACTGATGAATAATGCGTGGGATATGTTCCATTCCATCGCTAGCACTGTCAGTCACTCCAAAGACTTCTTCTTTGCTAATAAATAAGCTTTTCATAGATCGTCCATGAAACAGAAGTTGCAGCGGAACGATGTATGAGTAAAAGAGCTTGGCCCCCAGAAGTAAACAGATCACGCATGTTAGTATTATCGTGTATTTATGCGTACGATGCATGACAACAGGAATTCGTTTTTTCAATTGCGATCTTCTACTGCGGTTGATCACGCAAAAAATAATAGGACGTTGTTTTAACTGAGGAAAAAAATGTTGTTTGAAAGTGTAGCCGCAGTTGTCTAATATTATCAGCAGTAAGTAGTACAGTTGTTCCCTAAAAGCCAAATATATCGTCAATCTCGTCTTTGTGTTTTGTCTTTTTACGTTTTTTCACAGGCTTTTTCTCGGTCCGGGTTTTCTTTTTTTTCGTTTTTAAGCCGACGGGTAAGCTGTCGTCAGTTTTTTGTAAAGGCGAAGATACCCTAGAAGAGGGTTTCGAGGGGATTGACGAATTCGCGGCAACATGTACCGACTTAGTCAAGTCTTTCCGACTAATTTTGACTCCTGTATCTTCGTTATTCTCTGTGTTGTCGACCTGCATTAAGTCGCCCTTATCATCCGTCAATTCGGATCCTTTAACTTCAACGCCTAATTCCCGTGAAAAAACAACCCAAACTCGAGATAAAATTCCTACAAACACCATCCCTAGTGCTGGGAATTGGCCATGTGCAATTAGATTGGAAAAATAGTAATAAGACTTGGGACATTGAGCGAGTAATTTACGTGCAGAATCCTCGTTTCCTTGCAATGCTTGCGTCAACCGACGCTGGAGCATCCGTAAATGTCTCCACCATACAGACAAACGGTGTTGATTCGTGTTCCTGTGCACGATACGCTGCAGAAGCTGCAAGTCGCAAGCTAACGAGTCCATTGACGGCAAATATGTATTAGGCTTTAGCAGAACGTGAACGCGTATGAATTAGAGTATTAGATTTAAGTTATCGCTTAGATAGGCTAAAGCTTATTTTATTCGGCGATATAACGGAAAACTTTATTTAAAGACCTTATCAAATGGCAAGAATTGGTCTTGGCGAACCTGCTCTCTGACAGTCTCCGATTCTTACTAGAGGACCCGGATTGAAGTCTTTTCTCTTGTTTTTCGGCACCATTACATCTGTCTAAGTAGTAAAAATTTGTTTTAACAAGATACGGCTTTGACTGGACTAATTCAGCCGATTTCTCAGAGTCGCCGCAAGTTTGGTTTCCGTAATACTTTGTTAAAAAATTCTTGTCTACCTTTGTCCATTCACGAGAATTCGTTCTTTTCAATCGTTTCTAAAAAAAATTCTCTGTTTGTGTCACGGCTATCGTTATTTTCCTTTGGTTTCTCTCAAGTTTTTTTATAAATTTTGAAAAAACGAATCTGGTTACTTAAGTCATCGAAAGTTCTTAATTACTCTTTTTGCTTCAGTACAGACTTTAAAAAATGTTTTCTTCGCGAACAACATTAAAGGAGCGTTCTCACCAACTGATTGCTCGATTGTTGGGTGCTACAAGTGAGCCTATCACTCCCGTTAGTAGCTCCTCTCAACTTTCTATAAATGAACGTGAGCTCTTGCTGAATAGGGATAATCTGTATAACGAGAACGAGTATGTTGAACCCGAAATTCCCGCAATTTATGGGTCAATGGCTCCCATTCCCGATCAAATACCCCAAAACCCGTTCAAAGGAGACGATCGTCACACGACTGAGGTTGTTCAAATTGCAAAGAATGAAGCATATGAGCTTTTTCGCCTGGGTGTACCTACTGTATTTGCTTATGTATTTCAGTCGTCAGAGCAGTTTTCAACTGTATTCAGTTTAGGACATTTAGGGAAAGAGGAGCTTGCTGCTTCCTCCTTGGCAACAATGACTGCGGCTATTTCCGCGTTTTCTATCTTTATGGGTGTTATTTCTTCGTTAGATACTTTGGCCACACAAGCATTCGGTGCGGGAAGACCTCAGAATCTTGTCATTTATCTTCAACGATGCCTTTTTATCCTTGCTCTTTTGCATATTCCCATCGCATTTGTATGGCTGAATCTTGAAAAGCTCCTGCTTTTGATTCACCAAGATCCTCAGGTTGCAACTCTGTGTGGTCGCTACATGAAGGTTTTTATTTTCGGATCGTAAGTATCTAGTTGAATTACTGTCTTGTGTTGCTAACTTTTATTAACTAGTCCTGGATATGCCATTTTTGAAGCTCTCAAGCGTTATCTTCAGGCTCAGGGTATCTTTGCACCCATTACCGTTACCCTTGCGTTTGCCGCACCTTTAAACTTGATTCTCAACTATTTGCTTGTATGGAGTCCTGTTGTGGGTTTTGGTTTCCTTGGCGCTCCTACTGCTGTCGTCATTACGTACTGGTTCCAAGCTACTGCCTTAGTTTTATATGTTCGTTTCTCTTCTCGCCCTGTCAAATGGACCGGTTTTACTAAGCGTGCCCTCTGTAATCTTTACCCCATGATGAAGCTTGCCTTTTACGGTGTCCTGATGATCGCTACCGAGTGGGCAGCTTACGAACTTACCAGTCTTGGTGCCAGTTTCTTGGGAACTGTCAGTTTGGCTGCTCAATCTATTATGCTCACAACTACATCATTGGCTTATCAAATACCTTTTGCTTTCTCAGTCGCATCGTCAGCCAGAGTGGGTAATTTGGTTGGTTCCGGACATGCTAACGCAGCACGTATTTGTACTCGTGTAGCTACCATGATTGCCTTGACTCTTGCTACCATTAACTCTTTGTTTTTCTATACGTGCAGATACCACTGGGGAAGTTTGTTTTCTTCTGACCCGGATGTTCTTGCCGCCGTAACATATGCTTTCCCCGTGTTATGCTGTTTCGTTATCTTCGATGCCATGAGTGCTATTGGTGGAGGTATTTTGCGTGGAATGGGCAAGCAGAACATCGGCGGTCCAGTAAGTATTATTTCAAATTACTGTATCGCCATTCCACTTGCTTGTGTCTTTGTTATTGTCTTCCATCTGGGACTCCGTGGTATCTGGTATGGTATGATTATTGGCATTGGTATGATTGTGCTGTGTGAGTATATAGTTATAGCTCGTGCAAATTGGAAACGCATCATCCTGGCAGCCGACAAGCGCCTCTCAACCGCTTAATTGTGTTTACAATTTGTTTTACTGGAAATGGGCTAGTTTTTATACTTTCTTTTATTTGTGGTTCTGTTCTTTCCTTCTTTTTTTTGTAACCATATTCTGTTTCTTCTTCCGCTAATAGTTCGACCTTCCCTTTAGTTATCTTCGCTTGGTTCATCTGCAGGGCTCTGATAATGAAGCACTAGATGATGCCATGCAAGTGAGTATCGGTATGAAAGAGTTCAGTTCTAAGGATTCAGGTTAATTTTAATATAATGTTTGTGTAATAAAATAGCGTAGTACTCATTCACTCTCTTCATTTCGTGTGTAATTACATTGTAGGTTACAGCTGTTGTATGAAAATGCCTTTCCAGGCCAACTTCATACACCGATTTTTTGAACCGACTTCAGGACATTAAAATATATCAATTCCGTGTGATTTTTTTGCAAAAATGAGTTTTCATCAAAATAAATATGATAGGTAAGATACTATTTTGTTAGATCGTTTCTAATAAAAGACAATTACGACTTTGGGAAGCAGCAGGCCAGTCGAAAATTGAAAACGCAAGTTGTTGCCTACTATACGTAAACAATGTAGGATGTGAATGCCTTAAAAATTTGATTCTCCCTGGTACGTTATTACCTATAACTTCCTAAAACTGACATTGTAGGCATTGGAAAAATATGTATTCTTGATGACCGGTTAGTTGACAAAAGTGTCGATGCGCCAAATTTCTTCTTGGACGAGGAAGATCACAACAAATCAAAGGTTGAATGTCTAGCAGAGAACTTGAGTCGTCTTAATCCAGATGTCTGTATAGAATCTAAAAAAGCTGTAAGCACACGCTGCACAAACATGACCACGTTTTTCATTTAAACTAACATGAATAATACTAAAGAATCCTCTTGACATAATTTCATCGGATATTGATTTTTTTCATTCGTTTAATGTGGTCATTTTGGCTGACATGCTACCAAAAATACAATTAATAAAGCTGACGAACTATCTCTGGAACAAACAAATTGCTTTCCTTCAGTTGAGGTCTATCGGGTTTAATGGTAGTATCCGAGTCTGTTTGCCAGATTGCACAAGTAAGACATTAGTAAGCTTTATTATGTCTCTAACACTTATAGTCTTACAGACACAAAATGATGCTTCTTTAGATCTAAGGCTTAATATGCCATGGGCTGAGTTGAAGGAATACTCAAAACAACTTTTTGAGAGGGAATCAAAAGATAGGCATGGAGATATACCTTTTGTTGCGATACTTGTTCATGGATGCTCTCAACTTGAAACGGGAAATAAAGGCAACCCTTCTTCCCAGCGGAAAGATATTCTTAGAAACTGGATCAAAACACAAATGCTATACGCCGATGAAGAAAATTTTGAAGAAGCGCTTTCAAATTGTTGGAGACCCTTTCAAAGTACTAATGTATGGTTTCCTCCTAAGTTTTTTTTTACTAATTATGCATTGTATTAGATATCTTCCGCTCTAAAAACAATTTTTGATGACATAAACTGCCAGAATTTAAACGAGCAATCATCTTCATTTTGGATAATCATGAATGCTATTTGCAAGTTTGTGGAATGCTATCATTGTATTCCTGTTAGTGGGATTCTTCCGGATATGAAGGCAGGATCTTCCGAGTTCGTCTCATTGCAACGAGTGTAAGTGCTATTGTATCTAACACGCATTACTAATTTTATATGTAGCTACCAACAAAAAGCAAAGGAGGACGCGCTTAAAGTAAAAAACTACGTTCAAAAGAATTTGAAATTACTTTCACGGCCAATCGACTCTATAACTGATGATGAGATATTTCAATTTTGCAAAAATGCATCCCAAGCAAGGTACATTAAGTACAGGAAAATCGAAGAAGAACTCAACAGTCCTCTGTTGACAGGTAAGTTCTCAAGAAGTTAAAAGTTTCAAGAAGTTTAACGACATCTAAGACTTAGCATCTGATAATGAGAGTTTGGTACCCTGGTATTTCGCTTTCCGTTGCTTCGATATTTATAAGGAACGCTACAACAGCTCCCCGGATGCATCATTAACATCAAGTATCCATAAGTACGAAGAGATCGCATGCGAGTTTATGAAATCTTTGGGACAATCACCTACACAATCCGTATGCAATGCATGCAGAGAAATGTATGTATTCTCAATTTTATCTGAATGCTTGAGCTAACCAACTAGTTCTCGTTCTGCAGGAGCTGAAATTCACTCCGTTTCTGCTTTTATTGGAGCTATTGCTGCGCAGGAAGCTATAAAAGTAAGTACTCTCGATATGTTATAAGTGCATCAACTTCAAATATTCAATTTACTAATCTAAATAGTTTCTTACACGTCAGTACATACCCCTCAACAACACTTGTTTAGTAGATGCAGCACACGCTCGAACAGAATCATTTAGCTTTTAGTGACATATATACATACTTACTGACAACAAATCTGCTCTTCCATTTTAGGATTAAGCATTCAAGGCTTCTCTAATACGGTTCGTAAATACCGATAGCCAAAAATCTTACAAGCGCGTTAATATAAGTGTTTTTATTTTTTTGATTTTATGTCAGAGTCTGATGCCCAATTGTTTCTTCTTTATTTGTATTGACATGTAGATTAATCTTGCAAAGAGATTGAACATTTACTAGTTACGATTTATAAAACAACGAGTTTCCACACGAATCCTGATCACCATTGATGAGGACGAAAACTAAAAAATAATAGTAATATGGGAATTCCAACACCAAATACCGATCATTTAAGTGAAAAACAGTTTTGGGATGTGTATGAACCAGCTGGTATGGCATAATCTCACAAGCTATTGCTTTTTAGCACAATTAATTTTTTTCTAACCATTAAAAGAGGATACTTTTGCTTTACTTGATGCTTTAGAAGAGGATGCAGAAGAGCTACGAGAAAAATATAAAAATGCATTACCTATTGTTGTAGAAATTGGGTATATGAGTCGAGTCCTACATCTTAATGATTATTAACGATATGTACAGATCCGGTTCAGGTTGTGTTTCTGCCTTTACAAAATATGGAGTGCTGGAAAACGTTAATAGCTGTAAGATTAAGATGTGAACTGATACATTACATGTACTAATTGTCCAAAGTATATTTTTCTACTGATATTTCCATGTTAGCTTGCCGGGCTTCGAGCATTACAATGGCGAAAAACAAGACACCGTCTTGTTCAGAATCCTTCTCTGATATTATAAATACAAGATTTATTCAAGCTTTAAGACTTCGGAAATCTGTGGATATTCTTATTTTCAATCCCCCGTATGTTCCTACAGAGACTCAGGAGATACCTTTAGAGGGAACGATAGCAGCAGCTTGGGCAGGGGGATTTGATGGGATGGAAGTAACTTCAAAATTGCTAGACTCGCTCGATGTACGTGGGTTTTTGACACTGCGATGAATTGATGTGTTTTAAGAAAATATCGACTAACTGTTCTTTAGGACATATTATCTCCCACTGGTGTTTTTTATCTTGTGACAGTGGCCAGAAACAAACCAAACGAAATCATAAAGCAAATGGAGTGTCGTGGCTTTAAGGGTTCCAATGTTTTGGTTCGAAGGGCAGGTGGTGAAACATTAAGTATTTTGAAGTTTTATAGACTGAGATATTGATACGATTAAAAGAAATCATATCTAAGAAGAAGGTGAGGGAGGAGGGACCGTAATGCGGAGCTTTCCCTGTTCAAGTTGTGCACTAGCATTTACACAACTGGGGATTTCTTCGTCGTAGTGAGAAATAATAACCATTGCTTGAGAGGGAAGAAGTTTGTCATTAAGCCAGCAATGCGCCTTCTGCACCAATTGAGTATCGACACCTTGGAAAGGTTCGTCTAGAATCAAAAGTTTGGGTTGCTTCACGCAGGCACGACAAAACAGAAAGAATCTTTGCAAGCCAATACTTAACTCAGAAAGTGGTGTCTGTGCATACTTTTGGAGTTGGAAGTAGGAAAGTATTCTCTGTATAGCATCCACTCTTTCATCTGTCTCCTTCACTGGTCTGAAGTTCGTATTCCACGCACTCAACAGAGTTTGCATAACCGTTAACTGCTTAGGGAAATGATTGAAAATTTCCGGAGACTTATTCTGTTAGTATAATGAGGACATTATAATATATGCACTTACTGTATGTCCAATATTTTGTTGCAAGTCCAAGATAGATACGTGACTTCCTGGACCAATTGCTGTTCCAAAATACTTTACATCGACAGCGAACGCTTTGGGATGATCACCAACAACAAACGCAAGTAGAGTCGTCTTTCCGCTTCCGTTTGCTCCCCGTAGTGCCCAGCGTTCGCCTTCACGAATGGTCCACGAAATCGTGCGCAAAACACTGCGGTCATAGTACTGACAATTCACATCTTTAAGGACCACAAGTGGCTTTCCGATGTTGTGTTGCACAATCGTTTCAGGTTTCTGGAAAGTGCTATGAACCTGAGGCATAAAGTGATCCGAAGGTCCTTGATAAACCACCTTTCTATTATTGAGCTGTAAAATGTGTGTGATGTATTCAGGAGTTTCGTCTTGCTCTCGAAGACTCAAAACAATTTTTGGACAATTGTGATTGCTCAATTCCCCAAAAATTTCCGAGAATGATTTTCTAGCTTTCACATCCATTCCAGCTGTATTGATTAGAAATCATGTACTCAAGTAAGAAATATTCCTCACATACAATATGGTTCATCAATAAGGAGCATTTCCGGTTGTCGAAGTAACTTTGCTGCCAGCATTGCAGCTCTGGACTGTCCGTTGCTGAGATTTATTATACTATAAGGTAACAATTCAGTCAAACGGACGCTATCAGCAGCCCTTTTGACAGCAGCAGAAGCATCACGCTGGTTACCATGATAGGCATTTTTTAACCATTGTTCCAATGTTCGGTCATGTTCAGGATCACGTAAACTATGGTAACGCTCTGTATAATATGCCGCAGCTTGAGTTCCAGTTTCTTTAAAGTCGAGAAACTGAATCGTCAGGTACGGATCAAGATTTTTTTCTCGAAAATATGGATGAGAAAAACTTGTCGCCGGTGAGGGGGTATAGCCTCCTGCAAGACACTATATATGTTAGTGTACACGCCCTATTAAACTCAATTGCTTTGTTTTTATTTACAACCTTAAGGAATGATGTGCGTCCACTGCCAACAGAACCAACAATAGCCCAGTTTTGATTAGGCTTAAGGTCAAACGAAATGTTTTTAAATAATTGAAAGGTACTATCGAAGAACGAAGTGTTCCTAAACCTAACGTAGGAAGTCATTGAATGAGTTTTACTAAGCAAGTGTAGGTAGAGAGGCACCGAACTACTAACAGTCGAAACATACATCACTTATTATCTAATTCATCTTAAAAGCTGAATAGATATCATCTCATATTATGAACTATAACATTATGAATATCCGTCACAAACGAGTTCCCTAAATAATCTTAGGGAGAAGCGCATTTCCGTCAAGACCCCTGTGAATTTTGAAGAAGAGAATCACAAGATAATTGTTTCGAGTAAACTTATGTAGCAACACTATATCCTAGACAACGTTTGAAATAACGCAAATAGCTCATCGTTTATGTTTTTGGTGTCCACGAGTCAAAGAACAACGATACTCAATGTGACGTAGATTTCGTTAATAACTCATAAGCTGTAAGGTACAAGGTACACGTTGAAAGGTATCATCATTTATCCATCTAATCAGACTTTTCTTGTTCCCGCTTAACAGCATCATTCATTTCCTCTTCCGTGTAAAGATGGAAACCCTTTTCAGAAGTCACGCTAGCGAGGTGAACGTTTTTTGAGTCCAATTTCTCCTCCATTACCTGACGAAGAACTTTAAGGACCAAGACTTCGGCATCACGCAATGTGATGTCCTTGTAATATTCCTTAACGAGTTCGCTTTGAGCACCTTCGCTGCCAGAACCAATGGCTTTGGCATCATAACGGAAGTATGTTCCAGAGGGCTCTGTGTGATACCTAAGTTAAAGTAATTAGTGAACACATTCAATGAGAACTGGGTAAATAAGCATACAATTGAGGTCCATGTTCATCAATGCCAGCGATAAGGAGGGCAACGCCAAAGGGACGAGACATGATGCGCTCTTCTCCGTCAGCACCTTCACCGAAGCGCAGTGCCAAATCACAAATGGCCTGTGTAGTGCTTTCAATGCCTTGAGGTTCATCATATGTGAAGCGATGGTTTTGAGTTTGGACGCGAGCATGATCGACGATGGTACGGGCATCAGCAGTAAGACCTGAAATAGCACAACCAATATGGGTATCAATTTCAATAAGTTTTTCCACAGAGGAAGACTCCATCAAAGAACTTGTAAGACGTTTTTCAACACCCAGGATAACACCCTCTTTAGTTTTAACGCCAATTGCAGTAGAACCAAGCTGAAAAACTGGTAAGTAAATTGATTCCAGAGAAAACGAGAGCTCGCGTAATCAATACCTTAATAGCTTCAATGGCGTATTCCACCTAATTAAAGTTAACATGGAACTTTAGTATAACAAACGCGTACCTGGAACAAACGACCCTCAGGAGAAAATGTGTTTACACCTCTGTCGTATTCTTATTAAACAGTTAGCTCATAGATAAGCTCGTGGAACTGTACCTGATCTTGTCATAAACATGATGCCGTTCTTTCCTTAATTAAGTAGATTGGTAGCGTGTTTTGGTTGCGTGTAGTTTGTCTTTTACTCCCTTTGGGAGGTCATTTTGGTTTAGTGAAATCTAACGAGCTTTACCGTACCCGTTTTGTAGCCAAGAATACAGAAAACGAGATTTCTGTATTGAAGAAAACGAGGAAGCCTTATCGAGAATCGAGTCTATAAAGTGGAAGGAATCTTCCTCCGAAAGCCTTTTCTCAATAATAGTGGCTAATGTAATCCAATAGTCAAACGACTCATGCTCCATGTATTTAAGTGTTGCAACGAATGCTAGAAGAAGTGCGCCTTTGTGTTCCGTATGTTCAAACTCATAAAAAAGTTCGAATATGAAGTCTAAGTAACGTTTACGTATTTCAGTTGTTTGTGCTGTTCGCAAAAAAGTATCCGTAACCCATTGTGACATTGCAGAAGATTTTGTAGCTAGAGTCCTTAACACATTTTTTGTTTTAGGAGTCAGTATTGGTGCTTTTGTCTCTGTTAGAAAAGTAAGATGGACGCTATAGCAGCACTTAAATAACAATTCATCTCCTTCAAACGATTTATCAGAGAGAGAAGACACGATTTTTATACTCTCTTTACACAATGCTATGATGTCTCCGTCATGAAAATTGAGAAGACGAAGACATGCATTTAATAAAGAATAAACAAAAATCAAGTTTTCAACGGAGTACGTGGAATCGTTTTTCTCCTCATAGGTAAGCAATTTTAAGTACTCTTCCTTCTTCTCCAAACGGGAAAATGCAACTGAAAGCACGAAATCCAAAGTAGAAAAAGAATCTTTCAAAGCTTGAAGAGTAAAACGAATTTGATAAAGTATGTTCAAAACAAGTGTGCATATTGCAGAATCATATGTTGTTCTTGACCGTTTATGAGCCTGTTGTCGCATAACAATTTCTAAAGTAATTAATACCGAAAATAAAAACTCTTTCCGATATTCCATTTTAACATCTTTGCATAGGAGGGTCAAGTTTGTGTGCATACTAAATAGTAAGTAACTAGCTGAGCAGTGAATATCTTACGTCTTTAGTTCATGTATTTGCTGCTTGCTCGGCAATTGCAATAATGCCAATCCAATTAATTTCGGTAGCTGAACGATTAAGTTGGAATGAACAGAAATACTTGCATAAAAGCTTTTTTGAAAAAAAGCAAGCAGTAGCTTTAACTTAGTCAGTTTGATATTATTGCAACGCATCCGTACCTTGGAATTGTCCTCAACAAAAGCAATTTTGTTATCAAAAGAAAATAAAGCTGCACATAGGTCCAAGCATTGCTTATTAGACAAGGAAGCAGAATTTAAAATACCAAGAAGAAGAAGAGTAAACTTTTGTTTTAAGGGCCTGTGAACCATGGAAAGAGTATCCTTTGCAATACTATTAAAACAGAAACATACCAAAGCCAGAGAGTATGTGTAGGAAGCATCCTGTGCATGCTCTGTGAAAGCACCCAAAAGAGCACCATACCAATCGTAAAGCACTTTTGTAGTAAAAGACCTTCGCAATCTTGAAATAGCGGCGGTTGAGAACAACTTTTGTACAGTCACATTGTGAGCTAGTAGCACCTTAGATTTACAAATTTTGTCGAGGAGAAACTGGTAATGATCCTGGGTTGTTGAACAAGCTAATTGAAAGAAATGCCGTAGAAGCCTACACATGGTTAGTACATACATTCTCTATCATAAATACATTCCTTTCTGGCCTGGTCTTATCAAACTCATACTCATATTTAAATGCTTGAAGATGTGACTCCATGTGCGGTAGTAATAAATGATTTGTACTTCACAAAATATGGTATTATACATAAGCCAAACTGCTTGGTTCCGGAAAGGCCAATAATAATTTAAATAATGGGTTACTTTCAATAAAGCACAAGGCCAAATACAACGAGATTGCTACAGATACTCAGAAATGTTTTGATAGATAAACAGATGAAACCATTAGCGGAGTCTCATTCGTTGTCAAAAGTGATTGTTCAAGAACTGAAGCTAATGTACTTGGGGAATTGATTTATCCCGTATTGACAAATCGCAAAAACTTTTTCGCGAGAGTACTGCACCAAAGTCCAGTCGTCAAGGAAAAAAGCTACTGCCGTAATACTGTTTGTTTTACCGATGAAGAAGGTTCAATTTACGTCTTTGTGAATATAATTCTTTAGTGTACTGAGGCTCCTTTCCACCATACGCTGAAGAGGACGTTAAGCACACTGGTATTCAGTTACCGTGGAGCTGTGTTTTCTTAATTAGATCTTCGTCTACACGGATATTTAAAATGTCTCATTTCACCATTGCTTTGAGACGAAACTTTACCAAACTGTTTTCTAGAAAAACATTTTTTTCCTTTTACAACGATTACTCTCTCATAAGACGAAACCTTTCACAAGTAGTGAACAGATCGGTTACCCTCCTGCCAAACCGTGTTGCTCCTATTTATAAAGGTAATTTTTATCAACCTACTTTAAGTACATGGTCTAATGAAGAACAGATTGCACCATTCCTGAATCGATAGGAAGAAAAGTCAACTGCAAACACTTACAATGGTCATCGCCTATTAAAAATGTCTTGATTATAAAGAAACCGTTCGACCAACAGGTTTCATCTGCGTTTGCGGAACTAGTAAAGTAAACAGAGAATATTTTCTCCATTTGTAACATGGATCATGTCACTTTCAAATTACTGACACTGACCTAGTTTCATTCACATGGCATATCCGGAAATTTCGGTCATCGTTGAACCCAATGTTGCTCAAGAGTATCCACACTTGCATCTGTTCACTTGGAATGGTATGGACATATTCTATAAGAAAAGAATGTGTGGTGCTAATGTTTGAAAGATATAAAAGAACTACATGCAAAAGCAGACGCCATCATTACCTTAGGAGGTGACGGAACAATTTTGCACACTGCTTCCCTTTATGCACAAACAAATATTCCTCCTGTCCTTTCTTTTTCCATGGGTACCCTTGGTTTTCTCTTACCCTTTTCCTTTTCTTCGTTCCAGAAAGCCTTTTCCCAGTTCTACGACTCAAAATCTTATGTGCTCAGACGGATGCGGCTATGTCTTCGAAGTTCATCTCGTAACATTAAAAGTCCATACTATGCCATGAATGAGCTTCATGTTCATAGAGGACTAAGTCCACATATGAGCGTTCTTGAAGTATATGTTAATGATGAGTTTTTAACAGAGGCAATTTCTGATGGCCTTATCGTTGCGACTCCTACTGGCTCTACAGCATACTCTCTTTCCGCTGGTGGTCCAATCGTTCATCCTTCCATCAATAGCCTGCTTCTCACACCAATTTGCCCTAATTCACTTTCTTTTCGGCCAGCTCTATTTCCCGAGTCTTTTTCGATAACCATAAAGATGTCCAGAAAATCGCGAACGAGACCTCAATTATCAGTAGACGGCAAACCTCTCGCTCTTTTAGAAGTTGGTCAATGCATTGAAGTTACACACGAAAAGAATACAGGAATTCCTTGTGTTATCCGAAATTATGATGGAGACGATTGGGTAAACGACATTAATAATTTGCTGCGTTGGAATCATCCATTTCACCGCAAGCAATAAGCTACTGCAGCAATACACTTTCCGAAAGAAAATTGGTCTCGGTTTTTTCTAAAAAAAAAAATGTGGCTACTTGTTCCTGTAGTCACGTATTTTGTTATTATTTTCTTGTTGTATATCTTTGTTTTTGGTTCATTTGTAACTAAGGTTTAAAAACATTATAAAATTCTACATCATTCCGCTTGCTTGTGCTTATTTTTGCACCAAATCTCAGAAGTTGTCATCGCAACATGATTATCAATGAATTATGTTTTCATTGTAAGTATTAGCATGTGTAAGTATGTAAATATGCGAACGGGCAAAAGTCATGAAAAAGGTAAAAAAAAAGAAACGGATAAATAATAAACGGTATATTTACAATTGAAGATTGCGAATATTCAGCTCTACGTAGTGAACACTATTTGGCATGCTCGTTTCATACGCAAGCTCGTCTGAAAGGTCGAAGTTAAGAGGACCCGTTGCAGCGCAATCTCTTCGGATAGTAGGGCGTAGCCGATCAAAGTTTTGGTCAATTGTATACTCTCCGGTCGTAGGTTCTCGATTAACCCGATGAAGTCGAACAAGTCTATTTAGACTGCTAGTCACAAGGGAGCGAGTAAAACGACGATTCGCGAACTTGCTAAAAACAGTTAGAGTTTGAATAGAAAACATATATACATACCTTTCAATGATGCTGTAAATCGTGTCCATAGTCAGTTTGGATGTAGTTTGTTCCAATACTTGTAGTACAGCTTCATCTGTTCCAGTGTAAGTGGAGAGGAATTCCTCCTCTGACATGATGAGCACATCCGTTTCCGAATTAATAAGAGGGAAACCAGGGGAGCCATTAGCTTTCTCGGTTTTCCGTTGATTTTTCTGTTTTGTTTTGGTCGCCCGAGTTGTAATTTTAGGCGGATTTTGACTCAAATCAATAGTCGCAGGCACGTTCGTTTGCGCGGGTTCTGCACTTTTTTCATTCATATTGTTTAAAATGTTCAGAGTGTTTGGACTGAAAACAGCCAAATCCGGATGGTAATGTTCACATAGGAGTAGCAAATCTACCAGCTGTGAAACTGGTAAGTTTCCAAGATAAGACTTTTTTTCTGCCAGGGTTAAGTTAAGTTCTTTGCCAGTTGCTCCTGTAACGAGAGATCTCTTCATCTTTTTTCTCCGGCAGTCGTTACAAAACCACTCAGCTTTTGTGGACTCCAGAAATTCGTCGGGAATAGGCGGATCATGACACAGTTGATGATAAGTCGTATTGCAACCATCACAGAAAACAACTCGATTTTTGTATGGTGAATGTAATCTCTGACATACAGAGCATTTCAAAGCTTCAGCAACCATAGGACGGCGACCAGGGCCACGCCTCCGAGTCGGGAATTTTTTGAGGGGATCAAAATGTGATGGCTTATGAACCTTGCGACCGGATTTTGTTTTAATGCCATCAAAGGTATAGTGTTCCTCGAAATCATCATTAATTGTATCATACAATTCTGTCCCATCTTCAGAACGTTCAATGGCAAGAGTAGCCGGCCATGTCCGTTTCCGAGCAGCATTAAACGCAACAGTAACCGGAGTAGCTTGCGACTGGTTATTTAAATTTGTAGAAGGAATAGACGAGGTGTGAACGGGTTGCGACTGAACTCCTACTTCGACAGGATGCTCCGGGGTAACTAAGTGAGTGTCAGCAAGATTGGGTGTTCTGCCTTCTTGTTGTAAAAGGTTATTTGAAGCAACAGCGGTGAGTGAGTTAAACGAAGCAGATGCATTCTGCTGTTGTTCAAATGTCTGGAAATTAGGAGGAAGCGTTATGTCATGATCGATACCGTTTTGGTTACCTAAACGGCTAAACGGATGATTCACTAGCACCTGATGATCTTGTGGTGATCCTGATTGTCCATTTGAATCAACAAGGAACGGGGACTGTGAGAGTGAGTTATCAAAGCGCCGATTACCGTCAAATCCAAAATTATAGGAATCCGGTTCGAAAGGCAATTTGTCGCCTTCGTAATACGAATTCTCGGTCATAACTAATTGAGAAAGAACGTATCCAGGATGAACAGGAGAGGCAAAATGAAAATAGTACAGAGAACGAAACGATGTAGAATGAACACACTAAAAAACAGTTGATTCAAGAAGAATGTGAATTGGTAAAAGTAACCAGAATTATCAGTTTTTAAATGAGAACAACCGAAAACAACTCGTGATGTTGGTACTGTAAAACAAGCGGTCGAGTCCAAGAATTGTTTTGCTTTACGTTCAGCACCAGATACCAATCACAGCGTTCATACAAATCAATTCACTGTTACCAATACTAACACGATAAAGGTGAGTAATTGACACGAGTATTATTGAAGAACGCACACAAATGCACCGGTAGCTTTGCCAACGGGCATGCTTTGCGGAATGGTGGTGAAAGCAACAAACAAAATACTATTCCGTCAAAGAATAGTTGTCCGACCCGTCCTCATCGCCACGATAACTCACAGGACTTCCCTCACCAAAGTTCACCACCAAAAACACTAACAACAAAAAAGGGAAAGACAAATACGGACACACGCGTGTACGCCTACGAAATTGTATGTCTTACGAAACAACAAAACGTAGACGTGGTCGCCCACCAAAGGGCAGCTATGTACAATCCTCCAGCGATGATGACGAAGATGATGATGGACGGCCACGCAGACGTGGACGTCCCCCTAAGCCCAAAGGAGGAAATCCCAATGCAACCGTCGTCCCCAAGGATCTTTATTCGCACCGCCCAGTTCTTGAAGATGACGAGCTGAATTTCGGTGTGGTGGATCCAGAAGGAGAAAAAAAAGTAAATGAGTTGGGATACCTAAATGGTGGACGAGAGTATCGTTGTCGGACATTCACTTGTCTTGGGCGTGGCAGTCGACTTTACATGCTTTCTACGGAACCAGCAAGAGCTATGGGTTATCGAGACTCGTATTTGCTCTTCCTAAAACATCGTTCTCTGCATAAAATCATTGTTGATGATTCAGAAAAGTGGGATCTCATTGAGCGAAATATCATTCCACATTCCTACAAGGGACGAGCCGTTGGCATTGTCGCTGCGCGGTCTATTTTTCGCGAGTTTGGGGCTCGAATCATTGTCGGTGGTCGTCGGATTATTGATGACTATTGGGAAGCTGAGTATCGTGCCCGAGGTTACGCAGAAGGCGAACTCGCCGATCCTGATGACAAGCTTCCACCCCCGGGTATGCCCTACAATCGTAACCAATACGTTGCTTGGCACGGTGCTAGTGCCGTTTATCATTCGCAACCTTCTTCATATGATTCACAACATACGGCATTAACTCGCCGAAAAAAGAAAGAACTGCCAAAGGACGATTCATGGCTCCTTCAGCATGTGCAATCAGCTACAGCTTATAATCTGGACCTAGTACACTTACTAGAACGGAAAGTAGAAACAGGTTACTTTGAACCACACACAAACCTACTGCATGTTCCCGCGTCTACACAACCCACGAGTACTCGTTGGCGAAATGTAGCCGATAGCCATGAATTTCCACGACCAACGCTGAGTGTTGTAATGGACCTGCAACCTCTACCTGGTCCCCAAGTACATCTACTTGAAGTACCCGAAGAACTCATTGCCACATGCCCTCAGGCAGTCCAACAGGCCATTCGAGAGCGCCAGCAGCAAGAGCTCGCCCTTGCTATTAACACCTCCGTATAAATTTGCGAAGTGGGGAAATGAAAATGAACGCATAACATAAAAGTCCATAATGAACGTTGCTTTACATGTTTGTTGCGATATTATTGAGAAGGGATCACACATTAATTAAGTCGTACACACCAAAAACCCGCTTGCAAGCAACACCTTTTCACACTAAACCACACGAAGCAAAAAAACCGTACACATGCCACGGCTCCCATCAAAAATCTATGCTGTAAACTTTTTATTCTTTATTATACAAAGCTTTACCATACCAGTAAAGGTAAAATGAGTATTGTGGGCGCAACACATAAGCTGCCCCAATATTGATAGTAGTACAAAAGACTATTTCAGTCGTACAGAGCCCGCCCTAAGTAGCAACGTTAATTGTGACTCGCAGAGGACAGAGCAAAACCCCTGATCGTTCAAGAACAGCGGGGAATAGAGAGGGGAAAACCACGGACGAAGCGATAAAAAGATCACAGCGTTGAAAGCCGGACCTTATTCAACCGCACCATTCGTTTGCACACGTGCAGGTTTGAGGAAGAGCAGCTTGATGACGAGCTCGGTTCAACTCGAAAAGTCGTCTAATATAGCATGTTTGTTTGGCAGATGTCATAATTGGCTTGGGCCTCAACTGCTAGAAATGGCCACGAATTTGTAATAGTCAGAAAGAAGGACGAGCGGCAATTGAGGGTGTTGTCTATCCCATGAGACGACTGAACTAATTAGCAGCTGCAGCCTCGACAGGAACGGCTGTACGAGTGATCTGCTGGCCACTGCGAACAATACCGTTTCCTGCGGTGTCCTTCATGGGGATTTGCTTTCCAGCACCAGACTTCCAAACCTCGACCTCCATACCACCGCGGACAACGGCAACACGGTAATTGGCAAGAAGATTGTGGGCGCCATTTGTGTGGTCATACACACCGCCATTGAAGGCAGCAGTAGCATCTTTACCATAAGAAGAACGAAGCAAAGCTTGTCCGCCTGGGTGGTCAAAACCAGTCATGTCATGAACAACACCAGCAATAAGGACCAGAGGACGTGTCTTACTTTGCTCAAGGAACTCTTCAAACTCCATAACAGGAAGTTGGTCAAGAGGAACACCCCAGTTGAGGCGAGTACGCCACTTATCCAGCTGCTTTTGCTTTTGTTGGACAAGTCCCTTTTGAATTTCGTTCTTCGGGAATGTCTTAAGCTGAGAAGAAAGACCAACGAGGCTGCACAACCAGATGAAAACCTTGGTGGGATCGTATTGGTACCACTTGAGGGCATTACGGTAGTCGTTGGGGAAAGCGTGATGGAAGTTGTGATAACCCTCACCGAGAGTAACCAAGGCGGTCAAGACATGGTCACGAGCACTGTTCGTGTCGTCGAAGGGTTGATCACCGATCAAGTGGGCAAGAGAGTTTACACAGAAGGTAGCATGATGCACAAAGACAAGACGACAAACACCAGCATAGAAGAAACCTCCACGCCAATCGTTCCAAAGCAAACCACAGACAAGAGTAGGGAAGATAAATGCAGCGAAGAGCGCAATCTTGAGGAAACTTCTATGGTTGTGCATAACAAGAGGGTCAGCGTTCAAGTCGCTAATATCAGCACGGCCGATACGCTGAGGGTTTTGCTTAATAATCATCCATCCCATGTGAGCGTACCAGAAACCCTTCTTCACACTGTAAGGGTCACGATCCGTATCGGTGTAACGGTGATGAGCACGGTGATCGCGAGACCACCAACGGATGGAACCCTCGAAAGCAGCAGCGCCGCCAAACTCGAGGAAGCGTTGGAGAGGCTGGGAAGCCTTATAGCAGCGATGGGACCAAAGACGGTGATAACCGGCAGTAATTCCCAAACCACTGTAAAAATAGTACAAGAAAGCGAAAATCGCAGTTTTAGCGTTAAGCGGGGTCGTTAAAATACCGTAGAGAGCAATAAGAGGAAGACCAAAAAGCAACGGAACATGAAGCCAATTGAGATGCTTGTACCAATTGGTCAGTGTCCAAGGCTGGTCAATAATGTGCTTGGGGGCATTGGGATCCACACGACGTTGAGGAACAGAGGGCACGACGGGAATAACACCGCCAACCTTCTGTCTCTCAGCACGCTTAGACGCGCTTTGAGCCGTGGGCTGTGAGGATGTCGTAGTAGCTTGAGGAGTCATGCTTCAACTGTGACGACGAGATATGAAATAAAGTAATACACGTGGCGATAAAACCTGAGCACGAGAAAGTAAGCGAAGACAATGAACTAAAAAGTATCGTCGAACGCCTGAAAAAGTACACAAACTCGAAATATCAATGGATGTTCGAGCGGTTGAAAAATCAACTGAACACAGCCAAAATTGTTCCTCGTCAAATGAAGAACAGTAGGGCTTTAAAAAAAGTATGATCAGTAACGAGCTTTACGTGAAAACGCGTCGACTGAAGACCGTGTAAGGCAAAAAGTACAAAATTGTACAACAAGTCCCTCAACAATCGTAGTTGCTGTAGGAGATGCTTGTTTGTTGGTATTGCTTTGAAAAGCGTAAGAATTGGTCAGAGCCGTTGTTGGAAGAAAGAATTGCGCACGAGTCCATTCTTATAAAAGTCGTGTTGGAACCGTGAGATACGGATTACCGAGAGTACTTCGCTTTTACCACAATCCATAGTGGCCACCATACCCACGGTTCCATGACATCACAATCGCGAAAGTTAACCGAAAGCGAAACACGCGGGTGTGGCAGTAAGAGGGGTACTAAGCGAGAAAAATAGTGGTGCCTTGTTATTCGGAGTCTGAGTACAGATGGAGAAGCAGCCAGACTGGAGTCGATTAAACGAAGAATTGCGGCTCTTGCGGGCAAACACGCTCCTCGGAGTGACTCTGAGGCTGTCGTGAATACTGTTTTTCGGATTAACCGCAGGCGGGATTTTGTTGTTGGGGACCAGGGCTTGATGATGACGACTCGCGCAGGGGTGATTTCATAAGACCAATAAGCTGCGAGGCTTTCGTATCATCGTGGAGAGGAGTTTGGCTGGCTGTGTCCAATGAATGGCAAGTTATACGATTTAACACCAATAAGCTTATGAAGGTTATCTCGGTGTCCCGCTCACGGATACTACCGGAGGGTGTGAACAAAAGACGTCCTACGGTCTCTGCCCCGCCCCCGTCCGCCAATCCCAAGAAGCTTAATTACATCATGTGAAGAGGAAAGAAACGTTGTTCATATATGACGCAATGTTTTCTCTTAGCGTACCTTATTAAAGTTAGAGTTTAGCGAATGCAAAGCTGGTTAACGAACGTGGACATCCTTCCTTAGTGACAGGATTGTGGAGATAAACGCGCGACAGGTCACTCGCTGCGGGGACGTGAAAGTCGTTGCACTTTTGTCACTCGCTACACATCCACTTGAATTCCCCACAAAAGCTTACACCTGCAACACCAACAACATGCTGTTAACTAGGTTCATTACTATACATACAAAACAAAAATCGCGACTAGCAGTGGGGATTGTTTAACAATCACACCAGATTAGACAGCCAAAAACGACCAGCGAGCACAGCTCAAAAGCCGGGCGTTGGGCAAATCCGCTTTTTAAGAGCCTACAGCTCTTGGCTGGGTTTGGACATGTGTCCTGAAGTTTTGGGCAACAGATGATTGTGGATATTGGGAACGACACCACCTTGGGCGATTGTAACGTTACCCAAAAGCTTGTTCAGCTCCTCATCGTTACGAATGGCCAATTGCAAGTGACGGGGAATAATACGCGTCTTCTTGTTGTCACGAGCGGCGTTTCCGGCCAACTCGAGAATTTCAGCAGCCAAGTACTCAAGAACGGCAGCCAGGTAGACGGGAGCACCGGCACCAACACGTTGAGCATAGTTTCCCTTACGGAGCAGACGATGGACACGACCGACGGGGAAGGCCAAACCGGCCTTGGCGGAACGGGATTGTGCCGATTTGGGAACAGCAGCTTTGCCTCCAGACTTTCCTCCAGACATTTTGTTTCGGGTGCGGTAAATGCGACGAGACGAGTTTTGTGATTTAAGGAGCGTGTACTCTCAAAATTTCGACGAATGCAGATACGTGACTAACGTTCTTTCACTCCCTTAATGATTCGGTTGTGGTAAAGCGTGGCCGAACGGAGCGCGATCCTGCCTTTTATACTTCTCCCCGCGCGTTCCCGCCCCACCCTTCCCGACGCGTCCTGCGTCATGACGCCACGCGTTCTCATCTAATTCAGGGTTAGGGTTCTGATCGCGCTCTTAAGTATATAAGGCAACAGGGTCGTCGCACCTACCACTATCAACCACTGTCGCGACGAGCAAGCAAAGTTTGAGCTACTTTCGTGTTTAATCGACTCTAAATTCTACGACCCAGTTTCTGTGATTCACCAACTAATTCCTTTTTTTACACACAAAAATGTCTGCTGAAAAGAAGCCCGCATCCAAGGCCCCCGCCGGCAAGGTCCCCAAGGACACCATGAAGTCTGTCGACAAGAAGCGTGGTAAGAACAGAAAGGAGACCTACTCGTCGTACATCTACAAGGTGTTGAAGCAAGTCCACCCCGACACTGGTATTTCCAACCAAGCCATGCGTATTCTCAACTCTTTCGTCAACGATATCTTTGAGCGTATCGCCACCGAGGCTTCCAAGCTCGCCGCCTACAACAAGAAGTCCACTATTTCTTCTCGGGAGATCCAAACTGCCGTCCGTCTTATTTTGCCCGGTGAGCTTGCTAAGCATGCTGTCACTGAAGGCACCAAGTCTGTTACCAAGTACTCTAGCAGTGCCCAATAAACAGATTTATGAGTCCTGTCGTTAGCGGCAATTCGCTGCTTTTGACTGTTCTATATGAAAACGTGTCTTGCATTGCATTTGTTCTATCGCGCGCGTCGGCGCGTCTTTTCCCGTTGATTCCTTTTTTGTTTGTGACATTGTTTGCCCTGTATCCGGTAGACGAATGGGTCTAGACGTGGGTGTGCGCCTGTGACGTGTTGCCGACGCCTCTCGTTCCTTCTCGCTCGCGGTGCCGTGTCGGATTCGCATCGCACTGTATATCTTTCCCCCTTACCACTCCACTATATACCGCCGGTGCCGCTTTAAAGCGAATATAGGACGAGGAGGTGGAGCCGTGTCGCTCGCTAACAAGGCACTGCTGCTGTTTTATCCCTGGGTGCACGACCTCGTCTTCCCCTTCTCTCGCCCTTATTCCCGCGTCGGTTGCCTACGGTTATTCGTGGTCTGGCCGTGTGTACCTTTTCCTGTTACCATTCTCCTTTTTCTGGCGGTGAAATGCATGTTTGTGTTTGGACTCAAGTGCTGTTGGCCGATTCACCGTGTTCCCAGCGCCGGCGCTTGGGCGGCAGGTGATTGATCGCTATTTGGCTCTGTTCTACCCGCACTTTTGTCGCGAGTCAATAGGTGCGGCTCTTCCGCGCATCATGTTGCTATAGCTAATATACTGTGTTTTTTATGATACGAGTTGGGGCTGTGTGGTGGTGAGTTTTCTTGGTGCCTGTATTATATAAGTGATGGCAAGTGCTTGGTGGTAGTGAAGATTTGCAGAAATAGTGGTGTAGATCCCCCGCGTGGGGTATGTCGATCGTTGAACTGGTCCAACAAGTTGCGCGGCGCACATACTTTTCTTCTTCATGCCGTGCCCAAAATGCCATGTCCCTCTCCTACAATGACCCGTCCGCCGTGTATTACAATCTGCTTATTCTGGAAGCATCATTTCGTGAGACGTACCTTTCTCTGAGAGCGAGACGCTGGAAGTATCTTTTGTTTTTGAGTGCGATTTTCGTGTGGAACGCGAGTTTCTGTTACTGTGTGTTTTGGCAGCCATCAGTGTATGCGTTGCTTGCACTGCTCCAAAAGTTATGTTGTTTGACGGGTGTTGTTACTCTGCTACTCTTTTGTTTCTCGGGACTGTATTCAAGTACAATTGTTTATCCAACCAAATACGTCTTGTATACGAATAAGACGTTACGACTCTTCTACGTCCGGCTTGTCGTGACACCGTTCTCTCTGTTTCAGTGGCGACGGCCGCTTGATGCAGGTGTGCATCTAGTGTTGTCAAGCAAGGCTTTTGACATTGCTTTTATAGATGGATGGGAGTACTTCCGGACGCAGTACCTCTTGGCTCAAAATCGTCGTAAGAAGATGCGTCCACGCAAACAGAAGCGACCACCACGCAGACAACGGCCTCCACCAAGTTCCATGCGGACACGACGTCAAGCAGTTGGGGATGCCGACGGGACTGGTTCTTCTAGATGGGCTGAATCCATGATGCCTAGTGAGCCCCTTCGGCGTGTTACAGAATAGGACACGGGATGTTTAATGGCAGAGTACAACAAGGTCATCGTCAGTCAAGCACACACAGAGATCGTCCATTAGGTCATTAGAAGGGTGTGCGTGCGTATGAGTAGTGGACACCTTTTCTGTTTCCCTTATCGTATCGCTGTGCAGGCTTTTCTTCGCCGTTCCCTTTTTACTCTAGTTGTCTTTTTTCGTTGCCTATATTGCAACGCAACACATTCCTGTCCAATTCCTGCCAATTTCTTTTTTTTTACACCACAACCTATTCTCGCCTGTCCCCTTTTTCTTCTCCCCGTTCTTATTACACGTTCCTCTCTTACATCGCTCTTTCTTCACCCGTGCCCCAATTCACCGCAGACATAATTACGCGAGCTTACAGAGCATTTCTTCATTGTCACATTCACAGATTCCCTTCGAGCATCTCAACTACGTCTCTCGCTCTCATCTCCATTGTGAGGGCTTTTACATTCTTCTTCACACAAATTCTTATTTACCTAAGCCCTCCTCCTATCTCCCTCCACCTTCCTCTACGTTTCCCCACATATCTCCACATCTCCCCCACAATCCCCACATTTATGCTTTTCACCGCTCCCTTATTACCCCCACAATGGGATGCTGTCTGGTTCTCCTATAGTGCTCTCATCCTCACACCCGCTGGACTACAGCAGTGCCGTAGACGACCACCGCCGTCAACGCACTCCACACGTTTTGATCCTCCATCCTCCCCTCTTTCCCCGAAAAAATGCCACTGTTTTCAGAAGACGATGCTCCCGTACGTAGCTGCTTTTCCTCTCTGTCTTTTTACTAACTTTATAAGGCTCTGAAAAAGTACCTTGTCCAGGCGTTGGAACCTATGTAAGTGGCCTTGCGATATTGGACGGTTTCAGTTGGAATACTTGTGACAGAGGCCGAATTTGGTGGAAAATTGAAAGATTTGGACGTTTTCTTTTGTCCGATCTATCGCGATTCTAACTTTCCGTCCCGAAATTATCGTACTCAACAACAGCATTTTTTTCCTTTTCTCTAACACTGTTATACAGTTCTGATGCTGATGCCGACGTCTTGTCAGATTATGCCATGGCGTTGCTGCGTCATGAGTCTGCTGAAGAAGAGGTTCGGCAGCTGTGTTATAGCCAATTAGAGGATTTTTTGCGTCAAGAAACAATTCCTTTTGTTGACAAAGTGTTTGACGTTTTAAAGGAACGTTCATACTTGGAAAAAGAAATGAAAAGCCCTAAGGGGCACTTATCTACCGCAGCCACAATTCCTGTATCTGCCCCTCTTGCTGAAAAAGGACCAGTTGCTGCTTCTAATGAGCGTCCGAATGCTGCCAATGCGCAAGCAAATGCACCTCCCTTCGGCGGCCATCAGCATCCAACTCTTCCTGCGGGATTTATGCCCAATCCCTCTGGCCCACCTTTTCCCTTCCCTCTCCCTATGCTCAATCCAGCAGCGGCAGCAGCGGCAGCAGCCGCTGCTGCTGCGGCCGCTGCGTCGGGCGAGTTCTCTCCGTTCCAGGGTTCCAATAACTCTTCACAGGCGTCGCCTATGGATATCGCCAGTCCAGCTTCGCCATTTCCACCCCCTTTTCAACCTCGTGGCAGTCGGAGACGGTGTCGGGATTATGAAACGAAGGGTTTCTGTTTACGCGGCGATAAGTGCATGTTTGAACACTCTTCACAACCCGTACGTGTTTCCTCTCCTAATCATCAAAACTTTGCCTATGATCACCGCGCTCCTTCACGGCCTATTCAGCACTATTCTCCTCGCTATATTAAAGGGCCAAGCCGGGATCCAAGCAGTACGATCTTACAAATGCGAAATGTTCCACCCGAGTATCTTGACGAGCAACGTATTCGCGAATTCTTTGAAAAGTTTGGTCCCCTAGAAAAGGTTGAGCTGCATCAAACTCAATCTTATGCCATATTGCACTTTAAAGACCATGCTTCTGCAGAGGCGGCTTGGGGATCCCCGGAACCGATCTTTAACAATCGTTTTATTAAAGTTTTTTGGCAAGCAACCAACACGCCCTCTCGTGGTCCCCCTGGTCAACGTAGGATGACCTCTTCTCGTGTTTCACACTACACCCCTTATAGTCGTCCACAGCCTCGTGGTGAAGTTGTTCAAGAAGAAGATCCTGTTGTTACGGCTCAAAGCCCTGACTTCCTGAAGCGGGTGGAAGAAAAACAGCGGGCGTTTGAAGAGCGCCGTAAAAAGCTGGAGGAAAACAAACGCAAGCTTGAGGAGATTAATCGTAAAAAGCAAGAGCTGGCTTTGAGACAGCTTAAAGAGCAGCAAGTTTTGATGGAAAAATTGAAGAGTGCAGATCCTGCTTCTCAGAGCAAAGTTGATATCCTAAAGACACAGCTTGCTCTTTTGAAAGCTGAAGCGGATTCGCTGGGAATTCAAGTTGGTTCTCAGAATTCGCCCACTCCTTCGACTACTACTGCTACGAGCAAGCCGACTGTGTCGTACTCGCATCATCCAAACGCCTCTGTCGGTTATTCCCATGCACCTGCCCGAGGTCGTGGAGGACGGTTCTCATTTGCATCTATGTCGCTCGATAACCGGCCTCGACGCATCCAAGTCAACAATGTTTCACCCGACAAAAATGAGCTATTGTTGCAGCATCTTCTGTCTGTCGGTGAGTACGAGAGTGTTACTGAGCCCGAGCCAAATACTCGTATGGTAAATTTCCGTTCACGACGTGCTGCTGAGCAGTTTTACGACAATGTGCAAACTATAGATGGCCTTCGTGATATATCGCTTCAGTGGATACCGAACGGCGTTGCAGCAACTCAGCCTTCGGAAAATCAAACTGATGCAACTATGGGTAACGAAAGCTAATGTGGATTATGTTCTGTTATTTCCTTATCCGTGTATATATTAGACGTAAACTGATAGGTCTTCTTTTGGTCGCGTGTGGACACGTGTGATGTCTATCACATTTTCGGTCGTAGCTCAGGTGGTGAGAATGAGTGTCTATGAGTATAAAAGTTCGCTGAGTGGAGCCAATGTCCAAAGAGAATGGTTCTTATGGGGTTTGCTTATGGGTGATTGCGTTAGATGTCATTTTATGCGTGTCGCTCTGCACGACGCTTTGAAGACGAGTTTATCGAAATGCGTTTCTTTGAATGTGTCATTCAACTCAAGCTGTCCAAGCGGGGTAATATCTAAACTGTTTCTTTTTCCGTCCCGATGACATGAATAAGATGGAATTTTTTTGAATCAAACAAATCTTCTGTCAGTCATTCATGAGTTAATAGAAGTATTTTGTTTTTAATTATATTTACGTTTCCATGGTTTACTTACGGTTTATGGGGCTTTATGTGTTGTATTTTCAATTACTTCTCAAAGAAATTGTCCACATGCGGAATACATCTACCGGTCATTGTATTTCAGAACTACTGTGATGGTTATTATAACATTCTTGCCAATCGAGAAGTGTTGCTCTCCCATTGTTCGCTTATTTAACAAAGATTTTGTATCATTACAGAAATGTTTATTAATACAATACAATATTCAATAGTCAATGTGCATACAATGCTTCATGTTATCAACATACAGTCTTATAATTAGATTTGTACTAAACAAGCTTATATGCTCGTTTAACCATCTGCTGACCCATTCACCACTAATCGAGGCATAGTTTAACGGACGACAACCTCGTACGTCAATCAACTAAGCAACAAGCTTATGCCACAACCACTCAAGAAAAGCTTCAAGTTTACGTAACTGAAAGCCCTAAGGTGCCTGTTAATACTTGTAAGGTTGAATGATCTCATTCTCTCAATATCCTCTGGAATTATACACATTCCTTCAATCTGGTTACTGAATACCATTCTTCAATTGTTTTCTCGACAAATTGTAGATAATTGAAACCTGGAACATCCAGGTTTATAGAACTTTCGAGAGACAAAGCATTGGATTCCAGGCAATTCTTAATCTTTTTGATATTAGATTTTTTTTCACCAAAAAAAGCAGATCAACCTGTGCGAGATGTTGTCCGACAACGATATCCAAGCCTTTTATGGTCTTAGCAGTTTGAATCCCACGCAATGGGTTGATACAAAAAAGGAAGAACAGCATCTAGGATTTCAGGATGATGGATCCTTCAATAATGTCAGCATTTCTGACTCCTTGTCTAATTCAATGCGTCATCAGAATCAGTCAATGAGTGATTTGTAGGTTACAACTTCCAATTCGATTTACTAACTTATTATAGGAATACGCAACCTCTTGCTTCGAGCTCTGAAGAAATCAACACTGTAGATGATTTTGGTTTCATAAAATCAGATTCGTCGGGAGGAGAAGGAGTCAAAAAGAAATCGCTTCTTAAACGAAGTATCACCACTTCTGCAGTTCATCGTTCGTCACCTCGAAAGTTTCCTCCTCTTCCTCAGTCAACATCCTCTTCTAGTCCCAAAGCCAAAAAGAAGCATGTAAAAAGGGACCAGCTGAGTAAGCAGTCGAATGCTTCCGAGATGCTTGTTTCGTTGATCAATACACGTTTTCACGCGTTTGTTGCCGCTAAGGAAGTGATTGACAAGGTTTATCAAGAAATGGTAAACCATCTTGAATCTTCAAATGATCAGAACACGCCGTGGAAGAAAATTGATACTGATCTTGACAAGGTCTTGTCTACATTTCAATCTTCCTCACTTATTAGCTCACAGTCAAGTGATGTTGCATACGCAGACGTGCTTCTTGCAAAACGGTTTGCTCCATTGTTTCAATTACCTTCGCAAATGACAAGTCATTACAGAGAGGGAGCTTATGCGATACTCCAAAAGGATTACAAAGATGGAAGGGCCTACTATGAAAATGAGCTAGCAAAGTTCTTAACCCGTGGGAAAGATGATATCCAGTTACAAGTACTTAAGAATGCATGGAAAAAGTGTACGGAAACGACTGAGTCCATATGTCATTTGATTTGGGAAGATATATTGGTTTCCTTTAAGGATTACGCTTATTTCAACCAAATGCTGCTACACTTGTTGCGTTTAAATCCAAATCCATTAAGTGGAAGAGATCCGGTTCTATATGCTATGTTAAGCCAACAAAAAAATCTCCTTCGTCGTATGGAGGAAAGATTTACTGATTACGAGGCAAGTGTTGATCAAGAACGAGTGATGCTGAGTAAGTCTGTTCTTACTCGCGTTCCGCCTTCAGTCGTGTGGCGGGCTGTCACTCGTGGATGTAGTCTCAATAGCGTTCTCAAAGACTGGCCGGAATTACGAACAGTAAATTTGCTAGTGTCTTGGGCGCAGGATTGTGTTGCTGACATTTATCGATTGATTCAGGAGTTTAAGACTTGCGTTTCCGGTTATCTGTCCGGTCGTTTTCAGACAGAATATCCGGAAGAGGCAAAGAATTTTGGAAAGGATGCAAGCAAACTCAACACTGTTGCAAATAAATTAGAATCTGCACTCGTTGAACATGTTTCGGCATTTCTCGGAGACCGTGGCGAACGCCTTCGTATACGGGGAGCTTCTATTCTTACTCAACTTTATTGCTCGCTACAAATCGTCGAGCAGCTTAAGGGCAACTCAAAAACTGTGGTTTCCGAGGCGGCAGTTTACGCCTTATTGGATGAATGGGATGATTCACTGACAAGAAAGGATACAACAACCATTATATTAAAGGACAAAGGAGATACAGCTGCCGATGTACATTCCGACCCGTCAGTCGTTCTGGATATTCTAACAAAGCTTTCTGTAATTTACCCAAAGCCGCAGCGTTCTGAAGTCGTATCTGCGATTCACGCTATGTTCTACAAGGTTTTTTATTACCGTATCAAGCCCTCCTTCAGTATTCCTGAAATCATGGATTGGGAAGATCAAGTGAGAGATGCTACAAAGAATGGTACCCCCATTCCAGAGATACCAAAGGATATTTTGGAAATGAGCACATCTGGAGACGAATTGTTTGCCCATGGACAACGTCTCGTGGAACTTTCTTCTTCTATACAGTCGCTTCAACGAACGCTTTTGCGTTTGTTCCCATTGAATGCACCCGGACAACCATTGGAAGCGCACTTACGAACGGCTATTTCTGAAGCACGGGATGCGTATGCTGCTCATTGTCTTCAATTCCTCCACAAGCGGATGACATCGAAGTACCTAACATCCCCCGAACTGCACAATGATCCAGCTACAGTGAACAGCTGCGTGCATGTTTTCGATGTGATGCTGGACCACACATACGAAAAAATGCTCCGCAGTTTCACGCCTCAGGAAAGTGTGCGCTGGTACAAACGCTCTGTATCGGTTTCTCTTCTTTACTTGCAGACGCATGTTGAACTGCAGCAGGAAGACAAGCAACGTATTCGCAATAAACTGGCGCAGGCGGGCCTTGGCGAACTCTCTCAAATTTAACGACAAGAATGAACTTAAAAGGTAAGCATAGTTAATAAAATTGAAAAACAAGCACGAGAAAATGAATCGAAACAATAGAAATAACATTAATGAACAACACGAATTACAAACCTAGCTAAATTGGAAGAATGAGGAAGAAAAAAACAAGCCAACATTTTACGAAAACAAGGCATTATAACAGTTAACACGACGCTTATAGTAAAATGCTGGATTTTTTTCCAAAGATTCCCGAAACACGCAAAAGCATGAGTCGGAGCGGTCAGGGTTGTAGTTTTCAACTAGCAATAACGCCATCTCGGAAAGGATCCTCACTGATAAGCGTAATACCCGTGCACAAAGATGCCGAACAGCTGAGCAGAGGTGGTCCTTTTATAGCAAAATTTGATAGTCACTAACCCTACCCTAACTAACATCTCACCTTTTAGCTCTCCTCTACCATACACATGCAAACTTGTGCTTGAAATTTAAACATCCCCACGCAGTATACTCTGTATAGTAATGCATGGTATACGGATTTCGGTGATTTACTTTCTGAACTGCAAACTATATATCGATTTAAATATACAAATTTTTTTTGTTATGCTGTTGCTGAATTTGAAGTTACAGTGTTTGGTGTTGTTGTCGTTAACTGATCTTCTTCAACGGTAGTAGAGTCGGGCTGTTTCTGGATGTTTGCTCTAGATACTCGGATTGTTCGGTCATAGATAGTTGAGTAGTCCATGTTTTTTAATGCTTCTTCAACATCTTCTCGATCTTCGAATTCTATGTAGGCGTATGCTTTTTCAGCTACAGTGAAAAATTGTTAGTAATGAAAGACGATTGATTTTTACGTGCGTCGTTACAGTCCCGCTGTTGCATACGTACATCTTCCAGTATTGTGAACAATTATTGAAACAATTTCTCCGAACGGAATGAAAGCATTGTATAAAAGCTCTTTAGTAATGGATTTGGGTAGATTTCCTTTCACGTGTCAGTAAAACAGAACTACACTGGCATGAAATACTATACTCACCAACATAAACTGTTCTTTTGGCATCGGTAATCATACTTCATTCGTTAAGTGTTTCTTAATGTAGTGGTAATGTTGTTGTCTTGTGACTTTATGAACTCGCTTGAATTACTCTTTTAACGTGTACACACACCTTTGACCGCAGGCAGCAGTATCCTGTGTTTTTCTGTGGTGGTGTTTTTTTTTGGGAATGCTACACCAAATAATGATCGGCGAATAGACGAATACTAAGCGATGTTTAGCGAGTAAGAAAAGGATTAAGAAATAGAAATGACTTCGTAAATCTGACTGAAATATGTTCGGTAGCGTTTAGATATGAAGGACAGTACTCGCAAGCTAATTAAGCGTTTGAACATGCGACATTGGGGAAAGAAACTGGTTTAGCCAGAACTCATCATACTCTCAATGAGTTCTTTCATGGGAGAATACTCTTTATCGTCAATCAAGCTGGCTCGTTAGTATATGACAGTCATGAAAGTAATGCATACTCGTATTCCTTGCAGAAGAAGACAAAATGTTTGAAAGAGGTATTCAGGTAGGCTTCTAACTCCATGGCTACCATTACATGGAAATGAGAACAGTAAATGTGGGCGTAAATTCGGAATAATCGACGAAATATCTGTCGAACTACCTTTTTAAAGTGCTTGGGAAATTCGAGACCAATTTCTGTAGGGAAAAGTTTTCTGTCGTCAAGCTTGTGTTGCGTCCAGTCAAGTAGCGTATTGATGTAGTCTGGAGCACTCATCTGAGTAGGTTTAGGATAGTTCGTCTCATCTTGCCAGTAGTATTCAACGTTTCCGCCTGCAGTCATTCGAGGGCAAGTGGCTTCCTGGCAGAATTCTGTAATTGTTCCATACAGCATATTGATTTGAGTGTAGAAATCCATGGCTAAATTTATATGTGAGTAAATGAAATAGCAAGTAAATAGAACATTAACTCTCGTATTTCTTCGTACCATTCATAGCAATCCATTCGTTTACATCTTCACCTTTGGGTAATTTAACGGCTTCCATCAACGAACCCGAACCTAAAGTTGCTTCTGCATATTGACGAAGCTGATACTGCTTCGTGCCAGCTTCTGGCTGTCTCACACGAAACGTCTGTGATGATTTTGTGCCAAACGCAAACATTGTCGATTTCTTTGTAATTATAAATCAATGAAGGCTACTGCAAAATGAAAGAATGGAAACGTAAAAGAAGTAATATGAACGGGTATATTGGCTTGGAAATAAGTGCAATGACGAGAAATTTTCGATGTTTGTATGTTCTGTGCTTTTAGGCCGGGTCCGGCGAACGAGGAAGAGAGGAGTAACTGGAAAAGAGGAACAGCGTTCGCATCAACAAGACGATTGTTTGTGCGTATACATTAATAGCATTCCAAATGAAGTGCTAGGTACTTATTAATTTATGGCTTTTATTGTTGTTACGATTTTACAAAAGGGATTTATCAATTTGCAAGTACTTTTCAGTATTTAGGGATCTCACTATTCTGTGAATTAGTGTTGAAATAGAATCTCAGGAACTAGTTAGTTTATGTCTATATTAATAAATAACGGTCAGATGTTGCAAGATTGATGCAGACATTGGTAGAGAGTTTAAAGGATACTAAGAAACAGAGGATGTTATTAGTATAGCTTTCAATTCGTAAACTCTAACGTGGATAACATTCTGCTACAAAGTGACTGCAGATGTGATTATTCTATCAATTATTGGTAATGGATGTTGAATACTTTAAATTTTGTAAGAAAACCCTAAAATTTGCATTCATACAAATTTAAGAGCACGCATTACGTACAGACAAAAACTAGATGTTACGATTTCGTAAAGTCCGGATCTTTCAACCCGGTGTACCACCTTGTGGGCACAAGAGTCAACCTCGGATTTTGCCCACTACGTAGGCCCAACCAGAATAGCATTACCCTTAAGAACTTGTCAATTTTTACACACTCACAGCAGAATTGAGCTGCTTTCCTTTTGGAGCTAAGGCAAAAACATAGGGTTCCCCCCAGTATCACTTTATTTCACTTTTTGAAAATGACAACGGCGAAGTATAGGGCTAAGAAGTGGCTAGTACTCACGTACATGTTCACTGCAACAATATGTGTTTTCGTTACACAAATTCTTGGTCTCCCTCTCTTGTTATTTGGAAAGAATGTGTTTCGCAAGTACATTTCTATTACCAAAAAACTGTGCGGTGTTTTATTTGCATCAATGACTGAACTATTTAGTCCAACGCCTGTGACAGTTTATTACGACGAAGAGCTGCGTAATCAGTTTTTCCTGGATAGAACTGGCTGCCTTGAGAGTATAGTGCCGCCAAGAACAGTCGTCATTGCCAATCACCAACTGTATTCTGACTGGGTTTACCTCTGGTGGATGGCTTATACCTCAAATAATCATGGAAATATCTTCATCATGCTGAAGGACTCGTTGAAATGGGTTCCCATTCTTGGATGGGGTATGCAATTTTACCGGTTCATCTTCCTTTCGCGCACTTGGCAGAAAGATCAAAAGACTATGCGTCAGCGTTTTGACAAAATTCGTGATCCGAAATTGCCAGCGACTTTAATTATGTTCCCCGAAGGCACCAATCTCGTAGAAAACACGTACAATCGTAGCGCGAACTACGCAAAGAAAATTGGCGTGCCTTGCCCAAAACATCTTATGCTTCCTCGTGTCCGTGGTTTATTTTTCACATTACAACAGCTGCGTGATACCATGACATATCTATACGACTACACGATCTGTTTTGAAGACATAGCCCCTTGTAAGTATGCTGCGGATAAATTCCCTCTGTCTGCACTTTTCTTTGACTCTGTGCGCATTGATCGTGTGCATATGTATGTTCGCCGATTCCGCATTGAGGATATCCCTACTGATGAAGCACTGTTCACCGATTGGCTTTACACAAGATGGTTGGAGAAGGACAAGCTTGTTGATGAATTTACGAAAACAAAGCGTTTCCCTTGCTCTAAACCGCTTAGCACAACAATTCGTTTAAAGAGAAAACTTGAGATTCTTCCAGTTTATACTGTTGTTATCTTCGTGATCGCCTTCTTCATTCACTTATTTAGGTAAGCTGCAATAACGGAACTTTAATACCGATATGAAACGAATACTCTTATGAACACAAGCATCTCTGGTCCCATAATCTCATGTTCAGTGGCTTTCGTATTCCGTTAAGTGTTTATTTTGAATCGACACTTTCGTTAAATCATGTACTTTCGAATACATCGAAGATTCCTATAAAGACACTTGCTGTTACGTTGACTATGATTTTTTCATAACCACTTGTCAAGTTCTTGGGTTTTTTTAGGAACATGGGATTTACTATTCTGTATTATTTTAAGCATATGTTTGAGTATGTTTAAAAATATGCAATTTGAGTTTTCCTTGATGCCTATACTGTATTTCCAGTTTTTTTTTTCTGCTGCTATAGCCCCTAGCGATTAGAAAATACTAAAGATTACAATTTCTCACTTTATCCGTATGTCAACTGTACTAACAACTTATGAAAATATAGCGGAATGAGGAGTTGACTACACATCACCAAAACTGCATTCCATAGTATAACACATATGGTTGTATAATAAAATATGAATTATGAGCTTCATTATTATGGTTTGTCGTATAGTTAAACCTTCATAAGGGTTATTTAAGGTGGGGAATTTATATAAAAAACCAACTGTCTGAGTATAATCTTTCTTAAAGCTGTATACTTATCTATGTTACATTCTCAAAATGGTTAGGGTTTTACATTTATTTAGATAGCGTTTTTAGTTTCAATACTAATTAAAGAAATATGTTTCTCTTGAACAATTAAACAGCTACATACACTCATAGAGCTTATTCACCTTTCCCATATTATAACTCTCATTTACATCAATTTAGGTAATGAATATTGGAGCCGGAATTGCGGGACAGTTTATTTAAGTCTGTTATGGAAGACGACTTGACAACATGAATTTTTAAAACTAAGGATTACGTATGATATGTTATCGTTGATTTAGTTAGTATTGGAATTTCACTTTTTGTTTCCTTGTTCGGACCAATTGGATTTACGATTTTAAAATGTGGACTACTAAGTCTTAAGTATCATTAAAGCAAGCACTTTTTACTAACAAGAACTATAGTTATTACTAAACATAAATAATTGATTAGTGTTACTATCTCGCACTATAGATTTTGATATTACGTGTACAAACTAGTGATCAAACCTTTTTAGATTCTACAACTTTGCCAGATACTACAGCTATGATAAATTAGCTTAATATAATATTATAAGATAATTGCAAATGGTAATCAAAGGACTTCTTATACAAATCTTAGAGTATTTAGAAGGAAATTAGATATGCACAACTGCAAGTGGTTAACAGTGACTTATTATATTCAACCCAAGATTACTAAGCCCGATCACCAAGTAGGCAACATAATTAAACTAAAATCATCCAATTGCGAGACCTAAAATATTTGGCAGGAACATTGCTGTACGACTTTCTCCAGATACCAATAACAATTTGTCCATTATCCACTTTGGTCACAAATTCAGTCAATGAATGCATTGAAGTTTAAGTGAAGAAGACACGCACGATAATACATTCGTGGCTGCCTTCTAAAAATATAGTAACTTTAATGACTACAGGACATAATTTCAAAGCTACCTGTAACGATAAGTGATTGACGCGCAAAAAATAATTGGGTTAAACACTCACTTAGCATAACGACACGAACTTTGGGTAATTACTAAATGGCGAAAAAATAGTAAAACAAATGATTAGATAACAGAAGCAAGAGAAGGAAAAACATTGATACACTTTTATTAGAGATATTCTTTTATATAGTTTCACTGGGTTCGGAATGTATTCATTGATGAATTAAAGTGAATCCTAAATAATCGTTTAGAAGCCATTAGCTTTTAATTTAGGAAGTAGATGGAAATAACTGCGCATTTAATGGTAAGTGCTTTTAAACAGTACAGGATGAGAAGGCGAAATTCTTTTCCATAGAATTCTTCTTTATTTCGAGTTTAGTATAGCAACTGAAGATAACAACGTTGTCACGGGGAACGATTTCTCATACACAGCTGAAGGTAGGACCTACTTAAGCCGTTTCTCTAAACTTGGATATCCTAATGATACAATTAACTCATTACTTTTCTATTTTCACATTTTACTATTTAAGGTTCAGTTAAGCGAACCTTGTTGACAAACTAAGTGAATAGTTTCATCACCGTTTAACACATTAGAATTAATCTCTTGAACCAAAGTCATGTGACCATTGAAATACAACAACACGACGCGAGTCACTATGTCCGAGCGGTTAAGGAGTTAGACTTGAATTCGTTCAGGCATCTAATGGGCTATGCCCGCGCAGGTTCAAGTCCTGCTGGTGACGGGACGCTCGAGGTTTCCAGTCTCGTAGCTTTTTTTTTTTTTTTACGCAGTCTATTTTGACTCATTTTAGTAAAAATACTTAAGATTCGGCTTGCAGTTTGCACGTGCTTTAAATTCAGAAGAACTGAGAGTTGTGAAACAATAAATAGCTATTTTAGAGAAAGTATTACAGCCAATGTGCGGACAACTTCGTATACTAATTGTTACCACGTTATTTTAATTTTTTTGGTAAGAGTTTAGGATTCAAATTGTCGCATCTTTGAGTGAGGTTTTGGAGCTGCGAACAAGCGAATATTTGAACACACCAGCACAATGTCAATTACAGTTATCAACTCTAATTAAATAATAGTAGGTATTATTTTCGATAAATGGTAAATATCCGCTGCTGATTGAAGGTTTATTCAATGATTAAAGTTGCCTTTAAGTTACTTTTCGCAAATATCAATTAAGGTTTATATCAAGCGAACATCAAATAACAAATGTCTGTAAGAATGGGTATTTTACTTCTGGAATTGTAACAAATACAAAAAGAGTCAATATGATAGATTCGCTTCATTAAAACACGTTTGTCGCTAAAAAAAGTTAGGGTTGATATTAAAAAAGATCCGGTAAAGAACGATGTGCTAAAAGAATAAGGCAATAGACCATGCATGCGGCTTAGCCCCATTTATATAATTGTGAATTATTATTCCTTAACATGCTCCATGACTTTGTATAATTTGTTCATTGATCATTAGTTTGATATTACTCATTGAATATGGATAAAATGACTCCTGATACGCTTGTTACTAAAACAACTGAGTGAGAAAAGCTTTTTTGGTATCGTTTTTATTCAAAGGCCCGCAGGCGCACTGTTTCATCTTAATCAGACGGGACACTTCGTTGTAAATTTAGGTTTCCAACAAGTTTCATTAGTATTATTATACACAAATTGCTTCCAAAAACTATGAAATGCGTAATAAAATTACCATAAACGTTTGTATATTATCTGAGAGTTTTTTCAATTGAAAGCGTTTAGTTATAGGAATGAGAGAGAAAAGACTATTGGTTATTTCGTCTCAAGCACAATCTTAAAGCTACGGCATTTGATACAATGCTTAAAAAACAAAGTCTGCCGTGTATGTGTTTAGAAAGGACCTCATGCTGAAATTAACTTCACTTGAGCTCAATTTATTCCCGACAAACGCCAAAGTGATTCTAGCATTAAAAAAATAAGAACAATAATGCAGCGAGCGAGGTTCGAACTCGCGCGTTTATCAACAGCAGAGTTTCCATCGACCGCTCAGTCAACTTAAATCTGCCCCCTTAGACCACTCGGGCATCGCTGCCTCAGATGCCCAATGTGTTTTGGGGGACGTCTTCTTCTACAATTGAATGTTGTGCGTCAATAGACTACTCTCTTTGAGAGTGTCTAACTGTGCAGCTGCACAATGAGGACGGTCTTTAGTTGCTACTAGCCTTTTTTGAACTTTGCTTGGTCGCGATGCTGAGAAGTTATTCTATATCTCAATTATTTGTTTGAGGAAATTAGTCGTCACTCTCATCTAAATTTCCATAGTGGAAAGAGGTTCTGTGTTGATGCCCGAGACATCAGCTATTGGTCCATTACCTCCCATTTACCGACTTTGTTGCAGAATCGTTTGCTGAAACCCAAGTTTCCATAGGAGAAGGAGTGGTGTATGTAATGTCTAAACGAATGCTCTTTAGAATCTAACGGTTTTAAGGTTTATCTCATAATATTAGTAGTTGAACATCATTATTGCCGACAATTTCGGCTCGTTTCCTTTTTGTTTGCTTCAATCTATATGATCGAAACGAGAAAGAAAATGATTCGGATTATTGGGGAAAAGTTTCTTCTTTTCTTCCGTCTCGATATAGAGCATAATTATTTAAACCATCAATGTACCAAAACGAAATACTAGTGTAATAAAACACAAGTCAATAACAGTGGACTCATGACTAATTGAATACTCTAACAAATGACTCGTATATTCCTCCTTTAACTGAATAATATGATGTTTTCTTCTCGTTCTTCTCGTCTTTTTTTATGAATGTACGAAATGAGTTTTGAAATGGTTGCGATGTTACATTTCGGCATTAAAATCGAATTTATACGCAATTTTTATATGTTAATTCTTGTCTTGCTTCTTATAACATCTCATTACGTCTCTTTTTCTTCCGAGTTTTGCATAACATAATCAACCAAAGCCAATGTACAATGATTATTGCATGTCAATTACCCGAGACTGGTTGTTGAAATCAATCTTCTAAAACTAGACTAAATACTAATAATATAGCTTCACGTAAAATACACACTCTACTTGAAGTTAAGTGTGAAGGTTCAGAAACTTGCCTGTCGTTTAAACTTGCAAAGGCAGAACACAAACCAGAGTGTAAGGGCTCAATGACATTAGAACTAGTACATTCGTAGCTGGAAAGAAACCTAGTAAGTATACCTACTCAAATTACTATCAAATAACATTATTATAAAAAAATCAATGATGACTGTCCGACCAGTACTTTGTTATTTGCTACTTTTTAGCTTCAAATGAACGTTATGTAGTTAATATGCCGTGACACAAATGTGTTTGTATAATCTCATCCTTATCGTCTATGACCGTAATTACTTAGAATTGTAAGAAATAACTAATTGTATGCACTACGCAAAATCCGGATTTACACAACTTGTCGACACTAGTAGGTAGTGAGGCTTGAATCTTACTTAAATGTCTTCACATAGTTTAGAGGGTGAAACTTTGGTTGATATTACAGCTCTCAGTATCGAAGGCAAAGGCTTACTGACGCACAACATTCAATTGTAGAAGAAGACGTCCCCCAAACCACATTGGGCATCTGAAGCAGCGATGCCCGAGTGGTCTAAGGGGGCAGATTTAAGTTGACTGAGCGGTCGATGGAAACTCTGCTGTTGATAAACGCGCGAGTTCGAACCTCGCTCGCTGCATTATTGTTCTTATTTTTGTTGCTGCTTTCAGTTTCTTTTCTTTTTTCTTTCGTCGCTTAAGGAATTGTTGTGCTCGCTAGATTAGATTTCCAACTAAATGACTACGAGTGAAGCATTTTAGTCTTTCTTAGACAGACGCGCCAGTGTTATCAAACGATATCAAGGAATACTAACAAATTCCGAGGTATTGACTGCCTAATATAGCAATTGCGCTATGAATTATCTCATACTACAGGTTCTCTGAATTTTGATGTTATAATATTTTCAAGTCATAGAAAAAAAAGAAATGAATGCAAGGAATATGTTTAGGCCGCGTTGTTTAGTTCAAAGCCTAGGACATCCAAGAACCCATTTTTATGTTAAATCAAAACAGAGATATCGTGCATTGGGTTCGCTAGACACAAACCTTAAAATACTTCCTATAGAAATCTAAAAAAATGGTCAAATTGTTGAACAAAATTTTGGCGAACGGTCAGCACTAACTTGAAATGATATCGCTGATTATTTTTATGCTTTATTATCAGTATTGGTGACTGTAATAACTATAAACAGTTGGATTCTGTTTCTCGCTTAATCGAATGGCCGAAACCTTATATTGGAATCACGAAAAATCAAACCTTAAAAATCCATAAAATGAAAAGTAAAATAATAACTGAACTCTGGCTAGCTTCATGAGTAAATGTAACAGTTACTTTAATACAATACTATTTTCTACTGCTACAATTCACCAACTTCCCCGACTGTGTCTCAAGCGAGGATTCAGATCATTTCACTAAAACTAGACAAAATAAACGCTGTTGTGTTTCGCTTTAAAAAAAGACGAAAAAGCTGCGCAACAAAATAGCTTCGTCACCAGCAGGACTTGAACCTGCGCGGGCATAGCCCATTAGATGCCTGAACGAATTCAAGTCTAACTCCTTAACCGCTCGGACATAGTGACTCTTGAATTATCACGGTTCGAGGCCAAATATGTTTAGTTCAATTGAAGATCCTTGTTCGTTGGCTTCAAACAATGAATAACTTATTTCTTAAAACCTTTCCAATAAGCTTCAGTTAATAAATCCTAAATGTTATGTTACGCGCAATATGTTCTAAAAGTTAATGTTGAAAGAAACAAGTAGTGTGTAACGGATTGTAGTCATTGAACTCTTGCATATTTATATTACCTTTTCAATTGATAATATCTTTGGTTACTAATTCAAATTTGTATTGTTTGTTGATTTTATAAAGAAACAGAATCCAATAATTTTACAAGATGTGTAATATAAAGCAATAACTCGATATTTTCTTTCAATAGTGATGAATGCCAGTGAATGCTTAGCTATTCAATTTAAGAAACCAATCAGTTGAATGAGTTTTACAGTACTCAAATTATATGATATAATATAATAAGCTCTGTGACTGATTTGTCACGGTTCGAGGCCGGATATGTTTAGTTCTATTGAGGATTCCTGTTTGTTGGCTTCAAACAATGAATAACTTATTTCCTTTAACCTTTCGAAGCTTCGGTTAATAAACCTTATTTGTTATGATGCGCGCAATTGTTCTTGAAAGTTATTGTTGAAAGGAACAAGTAGTGTTCAACGGATTATAGCCATTGAACTCTTGCATATTTATATTAACTATTTAATTGATACTATCTTTTGTTACTAATTCGTATTTGTAATGTTTGTTAATTTTTGAGAAATAAAATTCAATAATTTTGCAAGTTGTGCAAATGTAAAAGCAATAACTCGGAATTGCTTCGTAATAGCAGTGAATGCTAGCGAATGCTTAGTCATTCAATTTAAGAAACCAATCAGTTGAATGATTGTTTCATTCCCAAGTTTAAAAGTACTCGGAGGCAATGACATAAGTTCATTTGCTCCGTGACATGATTGTGAGAGGCTCCCGTGGCCTAATCGGCTAGGGCATATGACTTCTAATCATGGGATTGTGGGTTCGAGTCCCGCCGGGAGCTTTTTGTATTGCTTTATTATTAAGCAATACTTTTTAGGTCTCTTTTTAACTTTGTTACGTGCCATCGAGGATAATTTCAGTTTTCATACCCTTATACTTTCATATTCTGTGTTCTCGGAACGTTGACTAATAAATCACTGTATCTGCCAATTAATTTTTGAGTATCCCAAGATCATACACAAACTCCTATACAATGTTAAATAAACTAATAATTGACATCAGTTTTTTACAAAATAAAATCAATTGCATCTACAATATTAGTACTTTAATAACCATTATGCACTTTATGACAAGTTACCGTAACAAAGAGTAGCTGTTCGACCCGTACTATTCGATACGCTCTCAAGAACTACTGAGTTTGTCGTTAAGAGCACCCGAAGTGCACGCAAATAATCGTTTTGTAATAATTTCAAAATAGCGATTAGAGTCCGTTCGTGGTAGCCACGAAGAGAAAAATGTAATCATAATATTACTAAGATATACAATTATGAAATAAAACCAACAAAATTTGGACATTCTTTTTGTATAAGCTGTTTGCATTCTTTATTATTAACCTTTTGAGTTACTGGTATAGCATCGAACATGAAGTACAAATATCTTGACTGAAAAGAATACCAAGTATGTCAAAGTCTTTGATTGTTTCACTGCTTTTGTACTCTCAAACGGGTAAGGACTAAACTGCACAATGTCCCTTTCACGGTAACTCGCAACCGTAAAAACCACCGTTTAACCTCACCGTTTCCTACATAAGCACAATCAACACGCCCACTACACACACCTCTGGCGAACGTACAGGCGGACCTATGGTAACAACCTTCCTGACAGTAGATGCAAACAAATCATTACTCATCGTATTGACTGAAGTTTTCTACAAACGTTAACCTGTAACTGATGCTTAAAAAGCGTGATGAATGGGGGAGCGAATGTTTTGGACGGGCTTCCAGGCATCAACAGTCATCTTGGCACGAACGGCAACACCCTCAGGCGTCATCTCGTATTTAGCGTACAATTGTTGGTAAGGTGCGGAGTCACCGAAGCTGTCAATACCAAAGGCCTCGTGAGCGTAACGCTTCCAGCCAACAGTAGAGTAAACCTCAACGGACATGATAGGAATGCCATCAGGAAGGACAGACAAGCGGTACTCTTGAGCTTGCTCATCAAAGATCTCACAGCAAGGCATGGAGACAATACGAGCCTTCAAACCGTGCTCGGCCTCCAAAACCTTGGCAGCCTCGACACAGAGGGAAACCTCGGAACCAGTACCGATAAGGGTAACGTTGGCATCCTTGTTCTCAACAAGAACGTAACCACCCTTCAAAGCCTTCTCAATAGAGGAACCGTTGAGTTGGGGAAGGTTTTGACGGGTCAAAGCCAAAATGGAAGGAGTCTGAGCAAGAGAGATAGCACTGTGGTAAGCAGCGGAAGTCTCGTTGCCGTCAGCGGGACGCCAGCAGTTAATGTTGGGCATGGCGCGGAAGTGAGCATAGGTCTCAATGGGTTGATGAGTAGGTCCATCCTCACCCAAACCGATGGAGTCGTGGGTAGCGACATAGATGGTACGGAATTGACCCAAAGCGGCCAAACGCACGGCACCAGCGGCATAGGAAACGAAGTTCAAGAAAGTGCCACCGAAGGGAATGACGGTGCCGTAAGCGGCCATACCGTTCATGATACCACCCATGGCGTGCTCACGAACACCGTAACGGATGTAACGACCGGAATAGTCGCCAAGGTTAGACTCCTTGGGTTGGAAGTCAACAGCGCCCTTCCAGCGGGTCAAGTTAGAACCAGTAAGGTCAGCAGAGCCACCAACGAGCTCGGGAAGAACAGGTGCAATGCTGTCCAAAACGATCTCAGAAAGCTTACGAGAAGCAATGGCGGGATCAGTGGGCTTGTAAGTGGGGAGCTTCTTCTCCCAGCCCTCAGGGAGCTTCTTTTCGACGACACGCTCAAATTGAGCAGCGAGTTCGGGATACTCGGTCTTGTACTTGGCGAAAAGCTCGTCAAACTTTTGTTGGGCCTCAACACCGCGAGCAACGTGCTTCTTGTACAAGTCATACACCTCAGGAGCAACGTAGAAAGATTGCTCAGGGTTGAAACCGAACTCACGCTTGACATGAGCGGCGTCCTCGGCAGACAAAGGACTGCCGTGAACGCTGTGAGTACCTTGCTTCATAGAACCATAGCCAATGGTGGTCTTCATGTTAATAAGGGTGGGCTTATCCTTGCAAGCAACGGCATCAAGGAGAGCCTGCTCGATGCTAGCATAGTCGCTGTCACCATCAGCGACACGGAGCACTTGCCAGCCGTAAGCCTCATAACGCTTCTCAACGTCCTCATCGAAAGAGACGTCGGTGCTACCGTCGATTGTGATCTTGTTGTTGTCCCAGACAGCAACCAAGTTGCCCAACTTCAAGTGACCAGCAAGAGAAGAGGCCTCGGAAGAAACACCTTCTTGGAGACAGCCGTCACCGAGGAAGCAGAAAGTGCGGTTATTAATAAGGTCATAACCAGGCTTGTTATAGGTGGCAGCAGTGTGAGCTTGGGCAATAGCCAAACCAACTGCGTTGGTGATACCTTGACCAAGAGGACCAGTGCAGACCTCAATGCAAAGGTCGGGGTTGTGGTTTTCAGGGTGACCAGGGGTCTTGCTGCCAAGTTGACGGAAGTTCTTGAGATCATCAATGGTCAAGTTGTAACCAAGCAAGTGACACAAGGCATATTGGAGCACACAGGCGTGACCGTTAGAAAGAACGAAACGATCTCTGTTGATCCAACGGGGCTTTTGGGGGTTGAAATTCATGATACGACTGAACAAGACGTGAGCAGCAGGTGCCATACCCATAGGGGCACCGGGATGACCGGACTTGGACTTGCAGGTCGTGTCGACCGCCAGCGTTCTAATAGTGTTGACGGCCTTAGTATCGAGATCTGTATAAGTAGAAACCATGATGGTAGTTTATGGTTTTATCAAAAGGGGAGGAGAAAGGTATTCGCGTCTGTTGTTCCTGAAACAGCAAAACACGGGTGTATTTGGCTAACGAAAGGCAGCAGGTTGAGGTGACTCTATTTAAATTTTAATTAGTGCTCGCCGCGTGACTCGAACTCACCACCAAACAAGGCATCGAAGCTTCTACGTGATATGGAAGCAAGGTTACGTAAGACCTGATCAGATTAGATAAAATAAAGTTCGGCCCGGGCAAAGCTTAATTACACAAACTCACCACCAACCCCACCATAGTAAATTAGATATGTGGATGGATGGGTTTGGCTCAGATTCGCGCACGAGCTTCACACTGCAGGCTTTTCACTCGTTTAGGGCCTCTACGAGCAGAGATTGTGCAATTCTTGTACTTCAGAAGCCGTTTGTATCATTTGCTGTGTATGAATAGCGGGTTCTGCTAAGAGATATAGTGCATTCAACAGTTATATCGCAACGTTTAGCGATTGCCGTATCGATTTTTCCACCTGAAAACAAACCGGGAAACCATTTACACTTGCCGTACCCGTAAAGAATCATGTTTACAGACAAGATTCCTGAGGGAATACGCGTATTTGATGCGTTTCCAAAGGTCGCCAAAACGTATCGGAAACAACGATCATCACAAGGCGGTCTTCTTTCCATCATTCTTGCCATTTGTATTACATGCATTTCCATCATGGAATTCTTCTTTTACTTCCAAGGCACGCGAGAACAGCAGTTCTTCGTATATGAAACTATTTCGGAACATATGAACATCAACTTGGATATGACTATTGCCATGCCATGCAAGTTTCTCCAAGTCGATGTGCTTGACCAAACAATGGATCACGTTTTTGCTACAGAAGTCTTCACAAAGCAAGAAACGACCGTGGAGGACATGCGTCATGAACCATTGCCCGTCACTTCAACAGGCTCGTTCGACGCTGCCGACTTGCGTCGTACCCGCCGAAAGAAGTTCAACAAGAAAAGCAAAACACTCCCTGACGGCGGTTCTGCTTGTCGTTTTTACGGTGCTGTCACAGTTCATCGCACACAAGGTCTTCTGCACATTACAGCACCTGGCTGGGGTTATGGAATGAGTAACATCCCGCTGAACGCTCTCAACTTTACCCATGCTATCGACGAACTGTCCTTCGGCGACTACTATCCTTCACTTGTCAATGCTTTAGACGGCTCCTACGGATTTACGGACGAGCATGCGTTTGCTTTTCAGTACTACACTTCAATTATTCCAACCACGTATACCTCCACCTTCAGAAATGTCCAAACCAACCAGTACGCCGTCACCGAAAACTCCGTCCGCAGACAAACGGGATTCCGGAGCGATCCACCTGGCATCTTTATTTCCTACGACATTGAGCCTCTAGGAATCCACATCCGCGAAACGTATCCCAGTCTGGGAAACACGATTCTCCGAATTCTTGCCATTTCAGGCGGCCTTGTCACAGTCACGACGTGGGTTGAACGTTTCTATGCCAAACGCAACCACACTCCTTCGCCGGGTCTGTTAGACAAGGACGAAGATGATTAAGCACATAAAAATCCGAAAAGATTGTTCACACCCACACATGAGAGGTAGACTGCATTTGGGAGACGCAGATGAGAGAAAATGAATGAAAACTATGGAACTGAAACCTTGGCCAAAAACCTAGTCTATGCCGTTTCGCCCGCCTGTACGTTCTCGGCAGACTGTTTTTCCTTTAAACGACGGGCCTTGCGGTTGCTGCCTATACCAAGACCACTGATGCCGTTGTTTAAACCCTCCAAAAGCGTGCAAGCCTTGCACACGTCATTGCTGGAGATGAAGCCACAACGAACGCACTTCTTCTGCTCAGGAAGTTGTTTTTGCACGGTGGTCGACAGTTTCATTGCTTCACCCGAATATATGATGTCGAGGATGGAGCTAGGACGGAGCCGTTCAAGCTGTTTGATGAGTGCCCGAGCGGTGCCTCGGAACGCTTCTGGCGAGTATGTGCACTCGGTGGAAAAGTAATCCAGCTTTTTGTAGTGTGCGTAGAGCACAATCTCCTTCTCGTACGTATATTTGAATGGCTTGGACCGTTTGGTAGGCGAAGTTTCCGACATGGTCGTGATCTCCGTGCTCCGAGGCAGACGAGCGATGTCTCCACGAAGCAAGTTCATGAGCACCGTTTCGGCAATATCGTCTGCATTGTGTCCAGTGAGAATGTGCTTAATTCCGAGCGACAAAGCGGCGCGATCAAGTGCTTGGCGTCGAAAGACACCACAGTATGTACAGTTATTCTTAGCGCCAATTTTGCTTACGATTCGGTCCATTGTCCAACCATCGTACAGTTCTTCATAACTGACAATGGTCATCGGGAGTTCGTACTGTTGCTGGTTACGCTTTACGGTGGCCAGTGAATCATCACGATAACCACGAATGCCCTCGTCAACACTAATCAAATGTAACTTCAAGCCGTAGTCGTATCGCTCATTGAGTAGTTTCATTACATACGCCAACACCGTACTGTCTTTACCACCACTCGCTCCAATTCCAATGCTCTCTCCACGATGGAATAGTTTGTTGTCGATAATCACGTTGTGGATTTCCGTTTCGAAAACGCGGTAGAAACAATTCTTACAAATCTTCTGACTCGTTTTTGGACGAACCATAACTGGTCTTTCAGCATTGCAAAGCTCGCACAGTCTGCTCTTGTTCCGTGGTTTCTCATTCATTTTGACGACGTCCCTGCAACAATCTGCTGCAACAATCCACCGCTGCTGTTCTGCAAAGCGTAACCTCTTCCCAGCGACATTTTCTTCACCACCACCACCACCACCACTAAACTCCAGCTGTCTCCTGCCAACACCACGTCTAGACGTGTGTGTCTTCTGTGGTGGTTATGTTTCCTTGCGCCTCACTCCGCTTCGTAATGTCTCGCAGATCGCTTATGCTCCGCAGCAACACCCTGTAGATCCCCCGACCCCCGCTTTTTTACTGCGTAGTTCGCAGCATCATCGGCTTATCTTCCACAAGGTCCAGCCCCTCCCGTCTCGAGACTAATGATGTCATATTCGGTTCCCCGAACTGTCCTCAGCCGTCCGCCCTGTCCCCCCTTACCGGATAGGTCGGCCACATGGGGTTAAGCTCTCGCTTAATTTCTCCATGGGAAGAGATGGTAGTAGTGTTCGGACCTAAATCACAGTCGAATTCTGACGCAAAAAACTTGTCAACAACCAACGTTTCCTGGGCTCGAACGGACCAATTTTACTACTACAGACGACCGTGTTTGCCGTGTACTATATCATCAATTCGTAGCGAAACGGCTGCAGGAATCAACGTTGTTGCCGTTGCTCGGTTTTCCTTTTGGAAGAAATTTAAAAAACAGTCGACAATCTGGACGAGTATTTTGTCTTGAGGGAACCTTTTTTTGTATTGTTCGGCTGTCCTCTGTAAAAAATACCTTAATATCTGGCGGAAAAAGGCCTTAATCTGTATTATGAACATGGCATCTATCACACAACTTGGCTCTCGCAGCTCTAACCTGATGGAAACGAGTGAGCGAGACAGCAGCAGCTCCTCTTCCAGTGAACCGATGAGCTGGATTACATGGTTCGTGAGTTCTGCGGTCAGAAAGGGCGTGAACACCGATAGCCGGCCGGTCGTGTCTTAAGAGGAGAATTCAAAGGAGATTGGATGACTGTTATGTGAATAGAATGTGTTTGTGTGAATATGTATGGTGGAAGTTCAGCAGTGTTTCATCCTTCTCTCTCTCTCTCTCTCTCTTTCTGGCTCTGCGTAAAGATTTGCCTGAAAACAGTTTGGAACATGTTTCTTGACCATACCGGCTTTCGTTCCTCGTCCCCATTTTCTCCCCGTTCCGCCCCATCGGTATCCTAATTTTCTTAATCAGCTAACAAATATAGGTTCTGTAGTCGTGCTGGTCATGAGTTCTTTGTGGAAATAAAACCGGAGTTTATTGAGGACCCATTCAACTTGACGGGCCTCAGCATGGCTGTTCCCTTTTACAGAGAAGCTTTGGAGCTAATCCTCGACCGGCTTCCCACTGAAACATTAGAGCACATTGGTGTCGAGGTGCTTGAAACGAGTGCACAGGTACTTTATGGCTTAATCCATCAACGCTTCATTCTTACTCGTACTGGTCTTCATATGATGGCTGAAAAATACACAGTTGGACACTTTGGATGTTGTCCGCGCGTGTACTGCAACTACATCCACACACTTCCCTGCGGCCGTTCCGACATTGTTGGTCTCGAGCCTGTAATGCTTTTCTGTCCAAACTGTCTTGACATATACACTCCTTCCAGTTCACGGTACCGCAATGTGGACGGTGCGTTTTTTGGAACGACGTTTGCCCATTTATTCTTTCAGACTTATCCGGAGCTGCGACCAAAACGAACAGGCCCTAGCGGCAAAGTGTACGAGCCGCGCATATACGGCTTCAAAATCAGTGAATATAGCACCATGGGTCCTCGAATGCAATGGTTGCGATTGTTTCTCAGTGATACCGAAAGCAGTGAACGAGATAGCTCTTGATATAACTAGACTGAACCCCCAACAAAATGCATGTGCTAACAATGAACAAACAAATGACAGTGAGAGATTTCACTCAGGTGCTTTAAACAGTTGTTGGTCTCTCACTAAAGAGTCGATTTCACAGCACAGTTACACACTACACGCTAAACAAGCACCCCGTATTTGTCGAATTGCATGGTGAGGGTGAAACGCGGCATGCTCGACGTAAACTGATTGGATTGCATTTCTAAAACTAACTGGCTTCTACTAGAGTTGCGAATTTGTTTTAAATGAGACACCTGCACGAAGACAAACAACCGAAACAGCTTACACTCTTTTAGCGCGTCTTCTGTTCCGACGTTGACGCTCTCTGTCGAGAAGCTTCTTTTGCTCCTCAGCAGAGAGATTGGAAACATCGCTGCCGGATGACTTTGCACTAGCAGGAGACTTCTTCTTGGACTTAGCTTGTTGAGCGGCAGCATATTTAGCAACGTCTTCAGCAGCCGTCTTTCTGGCTTGAACAAGCTTCTTGGTAACTTCGGGACGCCATTGGAAGCTGGAAGAAGCCATGTCGGCAATGGCGAGAGATGCGGCCACCATTGCTTCAGCCGACTCGTTAGAGATGGAGCGAACAGCGCTGATGTTGGGGATGGAGATGGAAGCATCGACACGAGGGACACAAGTAATGTCCTTGGTGTCTGCAGGAGGAATGCTGGGTTGGTCGGTGACGATGAGGAACTCGAGGGTATCCAAGGATCTCTTAACGGCCTCCAGGAAGCGTTCGTTTCCGAGGATGTTCTGAGTAATCTCGGCATTTTCAGACATAACAACGTGGGTCTTGGGCAACAAAGGAGACTCAGAAATGCGAGTGAAACCAAGGTCGTAGCGAGTTTCACGCAGAGTCCGCATGCAATCCTTGCGGACAATAGCGAATACAAATGGTTCCCAATTGAGCTTGTCGGGGAACGTGAGCATGATTTCAAAATGGTCACGAGGAGGCAGAACTGGAGCCATCAGGTTGCCCATAACCAAATCGATAGCGGACGAGAGCCATTGAGACAGCCGGTCTTGACGAGGAGCAAGTGTAAGTGTAGTGTGCACGTACTTGACATTCAGACGACCCGTCAAATACGAACGGAACTCGGCAGCACTGAACTTCATCACAGGGCTGGAAGAGTTGTCGGATCCATATTGAGCAAATTGTGAGCGGAAGAACGACTGCACCGATTCATACCAGCGTTGAGCCAACTTTTCATTTTTCTTCTTTCCCAAGACATAGCACACAAAGTAAAATGCAATCAAACCAACAACAACAAGGTCCAATTTAAAGTCCTGAGGACGCAAGTTTCTCCACAACGAGCCTTTTGCAGCAGCGACGACGGGATGAGCATCGTCATCTGCAAAGTCATCCACGTCAATCTCCTCAGCAAAGGCTTTCACAAAGAGCCCAAAGATGACAAGAAGCTTCATGTGGTGGGAAGGAGAGTGAGTGTATGTAGCACACGCTTGGATTACTGCAGTAAACTCTAAGGGAACAGCTGCAGCGAGGATTTGTGTGGGAGAAAGTAGTGTAGTGTGCTGCTTTGCTATGTGAAACAAAGTGGTGTTGGTTGTAATTTTTGCAATGTGTCCGACCCGTGTGATTTACTGTTTACAATTTTACATACGGGTCGGACAGAATAATTGTCTATCTTAAAGTGCTATAATGTTTTTTGAAAGGGAGACCCTTTCGATTACATATTATTTACGTGTTATTCTTGCCCCACTCTGTACTGACGCACAGATGAAAATCATTGGTAATGTTTGCGACTCGCTACTGTCATTACCATACTACTACGTAGACTCACAAACCAGCATACCACATCCCAGTGCACACCTCCGCCGCCCCCACCTTCCGGTGCTACGGCAGCTCCGTTTGGCTGAACGGGTGAGTGTGAAATCATCGATTATGCTGAGCTGCCTGCCACCCAGAACCTTGTCTTTCCAAAAACCATAGCGATGGTCAAGTATATTACACCTGAAGAAATTGCTGCGCACAACAGCGAAAAGGACCTGTGGATGGTCATCAACGGCAAAGTTTATGACATTTCGACTTTCGGTGATGAGCATCCCGGCGGTGTCGAGATCCTGCTGGACTATGCTGGTGAGTTGAGACGAACAAAGTGACGAGACTGGATGGAGTGGACTTAGGAGCTGCTTGGTTTGAATAAACGAAATCTGCAGCTCTTTTGTGCCTCTGGATAACTAGTGTACAAGTCCACGTTCCTTGCTCGCTGTATCCGTGACACAGTCTTACTAACACGACTTTTAGGTCAGGACGGCACCAAAGCCTACAAGGATGTTGGCCATTCCACAGCTGCTGATGAGTTGCTGGAAGAATTGTATGTCGGTGATCTCAAGCCAGGCACGGAACTTGAGTTGGCATCTCTGAAGAAGGACCGTGCTGTTAAAAACAGTCCTCCCCCGTATGTAATTTTGGTGTGGTTCCCATGCTAATTGAACAGTATTGGTCTCATAGTCGCCATTGTCCTGGTGCCCATGGTCGCCCTGTTTGTGTATAAGAACTTCATTTCGAAGAAGACTTCTACTTCATTCGATGAGGTATAGGCTCAGTGCCCATCGTGTCCAAAACATTTGTACTTTAATCCCGGTATGCTGATTACAGCCGGAAAACTGATCCAAAAATAATTGAAAGTTGAAAGAAGAAAAATAGAATATTGGCGTGAACGACAACGTACCAAGTGGGTGCTCTGTTCCAGGGGAGAGCGATAGAGTGTGTGCGTGTGTGTAAATTAGGGATAGTAGTCGAATGTCGACGATTGTTGGCTATAGACATGATAAAAAGAAAGAAAGAAAGCGTTTCATCCGCGTTGATACAGAACTTCGGCAACAAAAACTTTCTGAAAAGAACGCGGGTTTCTTACTCTTCCAACCGGGCAATCACTTTGCCTTTTAGATCTTTTGTATCTAATTGTACGGCTTCCACTTGTTTGATTAATCGGCTTAAACAGTTTTCCAAAAATGCCGCTTCATCACTTGTAGGTTCTTTCCCCTCAGACAGCACCGACGTTGTGATTGGTGTTAACTGTTCCACAATTCCTCTGAGCACAGGTTAGTATTATGTTTACAATTCGAAAGGAAGAAACAGTTTCCTTTATCGTAACATACTCATAAAACATTGTCGAGTCCTGTGGTTTTCCTGGTGTGTCTTTTCTCAGTCTCATGGAGAATATATCAATGAATTTGCTGAGGAGTGTCAGTAAAGCCTTCTTTCTATTCAATTTTTCGTATGCTTACTCTGCAGCATGATTGATGACTTCTTCCCATTCACGCTCTTGTGATCTCAAAACATTATTATCCTCTGCGGCGCTTGGAGGGTTTATAGGCACACTAGAACCAGTTAATTCACTGAACTGCGTATCAAGAGAAACTTACTTTTCGTTTCGCAACAGAGGGTTTAACTCGTCGGGCTGACGACCTGTAAGTAAATAAATTTACGACGACAACTTACCTCTGCAGGCTGTCTCAGTAAACCACAGCAATTGCCCATTCTAATGACGAATCGAGTTTTGTTCGTTTACGGTGTACTAGAGCGTACATCTGTTAACACCCTGATACAGCTCAAGCTAAGCGAATCTGGTAGCCGACATGTAATTTGTCTATGATAGGAATGTAGGTTAAGCGAGACGGAAGCGAGAGTATGTGAGTGAGTAGGAAAACATGAAAGGATGGAATTGCTTATAGGAGAATTGTTAAATTCGTCTTGGGTATGCCATTTATTGATGCGTTACTTATTTCACCCAAAGTGGATTAAGGGAAACAGTGGATATTTTCGCACATTCTTAAACATCTCTAACGAGTTGTCGAGAGATAACTGGCATACTTGATATCTCGCGAAAAATAATTGTAGTCTATTAAGCGTAGAGCGTTAGTCATTAATAAATTGGGAAGAGAAATAAAGAAGATTAAACAAGTGTGGTGCTTTTTTTCGCATCGATATACATGGTGTACAAGAAGAAGCCGATAACATTTTAAGCAATTCCTCTGAGCTCTGAATCATCTCTAAATGCCATTTTTACCTCCTCATCACCAATTGCAAGACGGACTCGGGAATGTCGAGTTTGTTTGCCGTCAATGAGGAATATGCCGCTCTCCACAAGACTGGATAGAGCATAGCGGTATTGCAAGCGATCGGCTTTTCTTGTTTGCGAAACACTTGAGCTACTGAACTTTTCGGATGTTGTTTTCAAACGTTCTGCTTCGTCCATGACTTCGCAGAGGAATGATTCTGCAAAGCCCGAGCGACGCATCCGGTTAACAACAGCACACACCAGCACCTTTTGAACAAATGAGAGAGATTTTAGCAAGGATTGCAAAGGTGAGGTAGTCATTTCTAGAATAGCTTGGTAGATGAGATTTGGGGTAACCTTGCAGTTTTTGTTTTCTGCAAGCTCAGAGGCACGTCGACAAATGTCTAATGCTCGACGAGCATCACCGCTAATGGCAGCGACTTTTCGGGCGGCAAATTGAATAGAATCATTTGTAAAGAGGAGCTCATCCTTTACCAATTCCAGACGACTGCTAATAATACGTTCAAGTTGCATATGGTTATACGGCTCAAATGTAATACGCGATAAACCTAAACGGGATGAAATGCGATTTGTTAATACACGTTCGGGTAAATCCATAGTGTTTGCGATAGCTACGACAATGAGTCGCGAGTGAGGTAAAGAAGGCCAGTTGAAGAAGTTGTACAATACCTTTTGATTGTGTGTTACCAATTGATCAAGCTCATCCATTAGCACTACACATGGATTCCGATTGGGGGAAGGCAAGGTGAATCGTTTATCAAGCAGCTCCATAGCATGCTTTGGTGTAACTCGATCGCCAGTGAGCGACTCCCAAAGCTGTGCGTATGCTTGTGTGGCAGTGGTTACTTTCATACCGTTAATTTCGCAGAAAGTGAAGTCGGTAATTTGGTTTTTGGTAGCCATATCCTGAAGAGACCAAATGACCTCATGAACAGTTGCAGTTTTACCAGTTCCAGGAGTTCCAGAAATGTACAAACAGGCACCAGTCCCTTCTTCTAGTGCGCTTTCAATGCTGCTAAAAATGGTAGTGAATTCTTTATCACGTCCCTCAAGAGAGTTCGGAATGGCCGAAACGTGGAGCAATGCTCGTGCTTTTTTATGAGGAGAGCCTTGAAATTCGTTTAGTGGCATGACACGCATGGGAAGAGGTGTAATTTGCAATGGTTTTTTGGCACTTCTGCGCGGAGTCGTGAGGGTGGATGACGGTTCCGATGAAGCTTTAGCTTTCTTTTTTCGTCGTCTTGGAGTTTTGGGGACGCTATTAGACGTATCTCTAAATGGACTTGGTCCAAATTCATCGTCGTCAGAGGGTAATAATTCGGCTTCTTGAAGTGAGTCATCGTCTTCCTCTGAGTAAAATTTATAGTCATCTTCCTTTGCTCGTTTCCGCTTTGCAGAAGTAAGCGAGGGTGCGAGCTTTTCTTCCAAGTACCATACAAGTTCTTTTATTTTTTTTATGTTTTCACGATACTCAGACCAATCAATGTTTTCCGTGTAACGTTTTGCACGCATATTAACACCCTTACGGACGAAGAAATTGGTTTCTAATAACCGCTTATTTTTTGGCGATATTCCTTTTGGGAACTTTGAAAAGAATTCAGCTTCATTGTAAACATTAACTTTGTCCAATACGCATGACGTTAAGTTTTCATCTCGTCCGGGAGTCATGTAAAGCTCACAAAGATGTCTGTCTGGAAGGAGCAGGTCCTTTTTTAGTTCCATTCGTTTTGCAAAAGCCCGAGTGAACCATATAAGCTGTAGATACTTCTCACCCATGGCTTTACTGCGGTTATTTTTTTCATATAAATACTCGATTATGCCCACATAGTAACTGGAATCGCCATCATAAATCGTAACAGCATCACCTATCCGAAACACAATTTCGTTTTTGCTTAATGCGTTGTAATACACACGGCCACCCTCGACCTTGTGAGGTTCACCTATCCACCGGCCGAAACGCTCCTCAGTGTCATACTCTGAATCGCTTTCGGAGTCCGAAGAGATGCTACTTAGGCGTGCTAATTGTTGACTACGAAGAGATTTTCGTTGACTCATAAAACATGTAGCTTTTGTCTAGTAGTCCATAAACGATGCAGTTTAGCAAAAAAAAATAGATAATCTCTTCTATTATTTTCAGAATTGTGACCTATACAAGCCAGATAATAATTGTTGATTTTTCGGTTTTGCCTACTGCTTGGTAGTAAGTAACTGAGGGTATTAAAACACTATCGGAAAAAAATACAAAAAGAACTACAAAGGGCTTAAAAAGACTTTCATAAGAAACATCACCAATAAGAAGAAGAATGATTACTAAGTTAGATCTTTCGTAATAAGGCAATATTTTCGAGTTCATTAAGTTTGACTAAATAGCAAATATGTACAGAAACAAAATGTAACAAATTGTAAAACACGACTTGCTTAAAAAATGAAGTATGTAGATATTGTGATTCCTCAATGTTTTCCAGGTTCGGTAAGTTTAAGGGCACAGTCAGAAAGAAGGTAACGACATCGTCTATTCCATAAACAAAAGTATTAAATGTAAATGCTATTTTCGGAGGGAAGTGAGAGTTTAATCGAGGCAAATGGTGCCTCTTGTTTAACCTGTAAAGCGTTTTTTGTAATTAAGGCTGTTGTTAGTAGAATGTTCAAATGCATTATGAACTTACAAAGAGTGTAGCTCATTGCTTGCACGGCGACGAGTCTGTTTGAATTAAGTGGAATAAGGTCATTAAAGGCAATTTCGCCAGAGCTTTCAAGTATAGCGGTTTTCGCAAATTCATAAAAGTTCAGTGTTTCATGTTCGACGTTTTGAGAACTAAATGTGGACATATCAGCCGCATCACTAGTGTTTATGTTTAATTCAAGCCCTTCATCTAACAAAGTGGTTAAGTGTCCATCCAATTCTTGGTCCTCATCGTTCACAGATTGCAGAGAAGGTAGCGCAAAGTCATACTTTGTACTCAACGCCGGACTTGATGTTGCATGCTTAGGAAAATGTGCGTCCAAGAGCGGTGTCGATATTAAATCCGAGCTTGTTAGTGTGTGATTTCTGCTGTGGGATCGAACGACGCTATTAGAGCGTGATGAAAGGTTCCATGGCATGCCCAGATCTGAACCATGGAGTGGCGCATCTCTGCCGAGTTCAATATCCGAAATTGTATCAGACATTTGTTTGCGTGCCTGTTCTGGAGAGCCAAGGGGTGAAGTTTTTGCTTCCTGAGTTTCTGCATTACCCAACGCCCTTTGGAGAAAACCACTAAGACGCGGATGAATACTTGCCCAGTCAAACGTAAATAAGTGATTATCTTGTTCATCATCATGCAGCCGTCTGCGTTGGCGCTCCCATTTTTTCTTTGACGCTTCTTTCATGCGTTCCACATAAGAATTGCGCCATTCCATTAACGTCCTTTGTGGGATTTCAGTATAGTCATCTGGACGCATGACCGGCAGGCGTCTACGTTTTCGGGCTGGTATAGATTTTGCTTTGTTTATCACTTGTTCGTCCTCCACTTGAACAGGAACGGGTAAGGGCTGTAGGTCCTCATCATTAATTTGCATTAGATTGACATGCACATCATCTTCTGGCAGTTGTAAATCACTTTTTAGGGATAGTTCCGTTTCCGACCGCGTATTTGGCGAAGTCAATTGAGGAGTTGATTCTCGGTCCGCTTTGGATGGAGCTTCTGTTTGCAAATCCAAGTCCAGATCCAGTGGTTCCTCTTCCAGAAAACCATTCATAAAGCTTTGATCAAGTTGAACTTGTTCTTGAGGAAGCAATTGATGTGACGAGTCATTTATTTCAAGAAAAGAAGAATCTGCTAGTAGCGTTTGATTCGAAATTGGAAGGTCCTTAGGTGAATCCGGATTAAGAAGTTTTGAGCAGTCTTCAAGCGAAAAAGACTGGTTTATATTAGCCATGGCAAGCTCGGGTATGAACGAGGGATCCTCCGGCAGTAAAAGTTGTGCGGAGCTTTCAAGGTTAGCATTTATAGTTACTTATGTTACGTGTAATTACGTACGTAGCCTTATTTTGTTTGGCATCAATTGTCTTTTTGGGTGCCGCTTTTACGTTGTCGACTTCGCGACGAATTCTGTGATGTAAAGAGGAAACTTGATCTACGTATCAAATTTGTGTTAATAAGAAGCTTATACGGCAATGCGAAATTGTTGTTGCTTACGATAGAAGAATCCGTATTGATGAGCCCAGACACGCGTAACGCCAATCATTAAATTGCTGCTAAGCCGAAGAGCAAGAGGTTGTGAAGAAAATGCAACGAATTTGCATGCTTTGTCTATATTTACAGAGTTTATATCGCGTTTTTGAAGTCGTTTTAAAGAGTGTTTTGAGCCAAGGGTTGCTGCAAGCCTGTCATAATTAATAAATGACATATATAAATTAATTCGTACCAAACAACTCCAATGCACCCTTTCTCTTTTGTAAGAATGTATTGATCGTAAAACATGGTTTTGGGCAAAGGACGCGTTGCAAATGAACCTTTATATAGTTTTACGCGACGCGTTTTTCATTTAACGCGTTTTCGCGTTGAAAATGGCTACATAGAAAGACAGAACAAAGTAAGTATGACCGTAAATACTGAATGCGTGAAGCCTTTCCATATAAATTTTAGTTCATAAAACATAATTCATTGAGTTTTATTGCATAGAAAATTGTACCAGCATAATCACTAACCGGAATATTCAATGATCAAGTATTCATAGTAAAGCAGTTTCCAGTAAAGCCCACGTATAAAACTACATAATACTGAGGTCGCCAAATTTCTCTTTGTAACCCGGAATATGGTAGTTACCAGTACGTACCATGTCAGAAACAATCTGCTCAACTTCAGCGGTGGCATCTTTCACGTCGTCAATTGTCAAGTCTGTAACCGGACGAGCCTTTTCAATATCCTGTAATGTCTTGTACAGCGAACTGAGTTCCTTTTTAACAAGAGCTGCTGTCTCAGCGGCATTTTTGTTTGCCTTTGCTTCAAAGGCTTCGATGATTTTCATTTGTGACGATAAATCAATCTTGACAGGCTTAAAGCGCTTAACATGAGACTCGATTTTGTCGACAATCTCTTTGTTGGAAAGAAGCTGACGATAATGTTTGAAATCTAAGGAAGTATCTTGTTCACGGAGTTTTCCCAAACGAGAAGCTGCTTCTGCATGTCGCGTTAAAAAGGCCTTTATTTGAACAGCAGTAGAGGGTTTGAGTTTATACTTTGCTACGACTTTGGCCCATTCTACAGGCACCTTTGTTGAAGGAGGCATATTTTCGGAATTCTGCCACTTCTGTTTTCGGTGTTGTCAACGTAACTTCAACCGACAAAAGTCCCCAGCAGTAAATATGTGGAAAAACGCGACATGATGACGCTTTACGACAATAATGTTAGATACTGATGGTGGAGGTTATAGACACTGTTATCGAAGGAATTGGTAACTTTTCCCGGTAATTGTGGGTTGTAGATAGTTCTAACGTTTACAATAAACTGTCAACAAATTTGTAGCGTAAACTCGTCTAGTGTTTTACGTGTCATGCACTCTACAAAGACGCAGACTGTATGTTAAATACATATCCAATTCGCTGATATCTTGAATAAGAAAAACTAGCACATTTATCCCCACAAACATCGCACACAAAAATGTATTTGTGCTGTCTCTTTAATAATAAGCAAAAAATCGGACTATGCTTCAATTGTGTAAATCAAAAAAGCCGGTTATGTCTATCGTGTCATTCATTACTCATAAGTGAAAGAGTAGCTGAAGAAGGAACTGGTTAGCATCGGCACCACCTAATTCATCTACTCCCGAAGACGGGCCTCCAGTTCGGCTCTGCGCTTTGCTCGAGCAGCTGCCACCTCTTCGTCTTTAGCATTGTATTTCAGAGTAAACTGTCATGGTTAGTTAGGTCACAACATTTGTCAGAATGATTAAATCGCTTACCTTGTTGAAGGGGTTGTCCGGGTGCTTTTGGAATTCTTTGTACATCAAATCTTCGTATTGGTTGAGACGCATACCGGGCTGTTCCTTACGAATTTCGGGAAGACGTTTTTCCTTGTACGCTGTGTATGCAGCCTTGAAACGACGTTCGGGGTGTCGTTCAAGCTCGTCTTTGCTCTTCTTATCCAAAGAAAGCAAGTCCAGAGCGTCGTCCAGATTGTGAGCCGAGAACGTTTCAACAGAAGGGATATCAAAACGACCACCCTTCTTAGCAGGCTGTTTCTTTCCCTTGTTTGGAAGCGAATCCATCTCCTCCTTCTCTAAACGAGCTCGTTCAGCTTTTCTTTCTGCGGCAAGTCGACGCTTTTCGGCCTCCTCTTCCTTCTTTCTGCTATTTTTTGCACCCTTAGACCATTTCTCTTCTTCTTGTGCTTCTTTCTTCATCCGCTCATCCTGAGCTTTTTTGGACTTCGCGGCCTCGGCCTTTTCTTGTCTTTTCTTGGGATTTGCCATCTTTGCCTTGCGTTTTAAGTGATAAAGTAGTTGGAAGAAGACAGCTTTGCGACGCGGGGTCGCGTCTCTTACTTAAATTGGGTTTATTACGTCATACCATGACACCGGAGGTGAAAGTAAATGTGGGATAGTCTCGCTTAGCCGATTTGGGCATGGAAAGCCGAAAACCATGTCCAGAAACGCGAATGGGAGTTTCCTCAATACAGCAATTGCTGCAAAACGACACGTTGAAAGGGTAACTCTTCGTTTATCTGGGGATCAATTAATGAAGTTCGTATGACTGCAAAGACTGATCTTTTTGATATACGCCTACGGAAGAGGCGGGAACGTTTTATCGAAAGATGGGTGACTTTCAGAGGGAAAATTACGGATTCAGTTTTAAAAATTTGATATAAATGGTTATGCACTGTTTAAGGAGGCATGTTAATTAAGCTGTGAATGCCTTTGGGAAAGCGTTTCTTGACTTTTTGTGAAGTTATGCCTGTATGAACCGTTGGGCGCAGCTTTACATTAGCATTTAAAGTATTCAAAATGACTGTTTTATCTACTGTTATTGTTGATTTTTACGTGGTTTGGAATGATTGTTACAGGCGAACTGACGGAATGAGCGGTTTTTTATATATGTATTTTACGTAGTCCGTTTTTAAACCCACTTTTGTCTGATTCGGTGAAATAATATGCTGCATATTGCTACTCTATAATTATGTGAGTAGCCTTTTTAGCATCAAGGTCAATCTTCTTGAAGTTGCCGAATTAGAACTTTCGTAATTTATTAAGGGAAATGCAAGAAAATGCATTATATAGTTCGCGTTGGTACTGTTGCATAATGCATGTTTGAAATTATTAGCGCTAATTCTTGAAAACCCAAGTTCAGTATCTAAATAGGCTATTGAAAAAAATGCTTGGAGCAGCAATAAATCTCTTCTATACTTCTCTTCCATCTCGGTATACAGTTGATAATCACCTTTTCTATGGGAAAAATTATCATTGATTTTTTTTAGACATTTTTTTTTATTTTTTATTTTTAGTTAACAAAAATGTCTTTTCGGGGGACATCGTATTTGAACATATTTAGAATTAATTTTGAGTATCAGTCCGCGTAAGAGTAAATTGATACACAATACTTCTACTTTCAGCTAGTTAAATTTGGCTGAGAGCCACCCCGTAGGCATTGTGAAAATAACAGGCTATCTATCAACTTATTGAATGCAATACCTTCAAATTATCATATCCCACAAGATCAGCAAATTACTAAAAACAAAGCTTTCGTAAATATCAAGTAATAGGATTTTACATTTATGTATTTACAATTTTTTCATGAAGTGTGCAATTAGTGCCGTCTTCTTAAAAATGTTTATTTTTCTAAATTGATCAGTATAACACATTGAACAATATATCAACTAATTTCTTGATAAATCCAAATTAAGCCTCTATCATGATTTAAGACAAAATGGTGTCTTATTTAATGAGGGAATTTTAAGATTCAAAAGTAATCCAACCATAAAGATAATTACGATAGAAAAAAGAGTTTGTAAAGAACCATAGGCATTATATCACAAATAATAATTAGGTACTAGTGATTATTTCTTTAACCGGCAGTTCACTAAAATTTCTTGTTCATATCATAATGAAATAAAACGTACTCAAAAACGCATGGATTCACTACGACCGAAGCTCACCCCCTTCACACGTCTATCGTTCTATCGTTGCATATAGGCTTCCCTAAGGCTACCTTGTAGCATCGTATTCTCGCGGAAGTCAGCCATTACCACTAATTCTTCTGGCAAACATGATGCCTAAAAAGTTAATATTTTACGAGTTTTACTAATTTAAATGATAGAATCGTAGCTTATCCTTATTAAATCTTCACCATAGCTTCTCAAAGTCCATAACCTGTAAGCAATAACGAAATCAATACGAGTGACCAACAACAGTTTCCTTTCGTAAAATACAATTTCCCAACCAATCCATGTCCTTTTAATCGTATGTCCCCTCAACCACAATCTAATGATAACAACATTTAGGTTAGATTAGTAAGTTCATTTTCTTTTGCCATCACCAATGGGTGAGAAAGAAGCGTTCGTAGGGTGTACTTGCTGTCCTCTACCAAACACTTAAAAAAAAACAGGGAAATGAAGAGAGACTGATAGTTGATATGGGAAATGAGTTTTCGTTAGATGAATTGAAAGCTGCAATTCGAAAAAATCAAGAGAATGCAGGTAAAGAGAGTTCGCCCAACTCAAACAAGGTCATTGAGCTCGCGCTGAAGTTTTTGGACGAGAAGCGCAAGGAACCTCATTGGTTTTGTGATAGGAGACTCAGCATTGCTGTAAGAGAATGTCTTTATCTTTTCTCTTTTCAAGTTGAAAAAAAAGTTCTCAGCTGGCTAAAGGTGCATATGACTAATCGCCTTAAATCATGTCCTTCGTGCATTCTGGCTTATTATAAATTGAAACAAGAATTCGGTAATATATGCATAGATGTCTTTCACTACACTAAAGAATCCCTAAGTCTTGTATTAAAGCGCATACAAGATTGGGACATTGAAAGACTTGTACAACTTCTTAAAACCAGTCCAAAAGTTGATTCGACTCCTAATTCTAAACCAATTCTTTGTGCATTTTATGAAATCTTATACTCTGTTGAGCTACTACAGTCACCAACACTGTTCGATTTATTTCGCGTTCGGTTTACTGAATCTGGATTTTTACGATTGTCTAAAAAACTGGTTCCCGGCGTTGTGTACCTTCTTTTCTCAGAAGATGTGAAGCTTCGAAAATGGGCGCACGGTAGTTTTAACAGCCTTGAGATTGTTTCAAGCGAAGAATTCATGCCGCTACAAGGCCCGTTTTTGCAGGCAATGGATCAAATCTGCGATGAAAATTCTCAATCATCCCTCACGGTTTTTTATCAAGCCTTACGTACACTACTTTGTCACATTCACAAGGACTATTTTCTTTCCTTACAAAGTTCTGAACATGATGTCGTACAATTTTTTTTCACAAAAAGGCAACCATCTACATTGGGAGAATTTGCAGCATACTTACAGTGCTTTCAACAGCTTCTCAAGGTCTTTGAAAAAAAAATCTGGACTATCTACTCACAAAAATCCGCGCTGAAGTACTTAGAGGATTTGTTACAGAGCGAAATCTACACTAAGTGGATCACCGAAGTCTCTCAACCAAGCGACGTAGTTACGTTTGACGGAGTTTTCTCGTGGGCGAAATATTTTATATCAAGTCTTCCCATTTTAAATAGTTTGAACGCTGTACTTAAGCTGTTAGAACATTTCATTGAACTTTATAAAAGCTGTAATGATAATGGTGTTAACCATTCTTCACTGCTTGAAAGTATCTGTGAGTGTTTTCAACTACTGTTCAATGAGTTTTTGAAAGGTGCTGGAAATTCGAACAACTTGCACGAAATTGATTACTCGGAACTTCAAGCTGTATCTACGTCCACATACGATCGTTTCTTTGATTTATTGGACTTTGAACATGAAACCAGTATTGATTCAGAAATCGTTTACTCGACGTTCGGGTTTGAGATTGAGGATGGATGTTTTTATTTTGTGCAAAATGCACTACTGTCTTGTTAACAAAATAAACCTTCCCTGTTTAAATACAAAAATTGCAGAACAGTCCTTTGAAGGCTTTTGGAAACATTTGAAGGATGTTTTAAAGGACGAACGAGTAACACTCGCCAGCACATTACTGTCTTCTGTATCTGAAGTAGCATTGGCTGATGAGCTTGAGACGAAATCCGGAGAGACTGATTATGCCGAACAATTTCACTTTATGCTCGATAGTTTTCGAACCGCTTTAGGTGGAATATTAAACTCACTTCAAGATTGGAGTCTTTCTTCTCAAAGTTCGTTGATTAAAGATATCCGAACATGTCGATCGTTATTTTCGCTTTCTTGTAGCCCAATAAAGGATATATCTTCAACAAGTCTGTTTGTATTGAAGACAGCACTCGATTGTGACAGTGTCGAAGACATGCTCCATAAGCTACTTGAGGATCACTTCTCCGAGATATTGTCGGCTTTTAATACGAACTTGGATGACTGGACACGAATTAAAACATTCCGGCCCGCACGATATCTGCTTCGTTATGCCAAGATAATTACAGACACTTTCTGCAATCGTTGTAATGGACTTATCGTGGTGGAAAATAAGCTTAGAGTTATAGAGACAAATCGCAGGGCAATGACCACTTTCTGGTCTAACATTTGGACAGTTATGGCTTCTGTGTTCTTACGTTCTTTGTATTGGCCGGCGAAACATTCTCGTGTTTTGTTAATCGACTTTATGCGTGACACTTTGGAATGTTGTTTGTCTTTACTAGACAACTTGAAAGATTTTGAGTATTTTATGAAAGGCGAAGAGCTAAGTAGCTCAACACCGTCTTCATCCTCTTTTGAGCAAACCGAACTGAGCTCGAAAATGATTAGCAATTTAAAAGAACCCTTGGGGACACTATGCTACTGGCTTAAGTTAAATGATGAAGCACTCCTTTGCAATGTCGTAGCGATTATCTGCAAAATGTTGAGAGCGTGCAAGCGTGTCGAACTCCCCATGAGTCTTAATGTTGTTTCAATGATCGAAAAGTACGCTAACAGCTCGAAAGACCATCGCACAATCCTGACAAAATCAGAACGCGAGGATTTGTTATTTGCCCTTGCTCCCTACCTTCCTGAGCCAGCAACTGATGACGATGTTATCATGCTCCCAGAAGTTAATACTGTAATCGATGATTCTATTCTTGAAGACGAAAAGACGGCTGTTAAATCTCCTGAACTGGACAAACACGTTCCAGTCATAGAAGTTGAAGATGAACAATTTCAATTGCCTGCGCTACCCTCAGTATCTCCGCAATTACCTTCTAATACACTTAAAAGTGATACAAAAAACAAAACCAATACTTTTTCGATTTCTGCTGACATCATTAACAATGCAAAGAAGCTGAACGAAAGAAGTGTTACCTACTCAGCTAAACGCCAACCTGTAGTGATAGAACGAAAACCAAAACCGCCGGCGTCTACATTCAACTTGAAAAAGGCAAGTGCCTCCAGTACTCTCAAGCAATTGAAACAAAACTTTCTTCAGAGTCGTGGACCAGTTACCAAGTTTGGCTCATTACCCGGTAGGCCAAATAGCGTACTTAACCGCAAACCACCAGTGGCCTCTGCCAGTACAAGCTCATCTGACTCATCCGATTCTGAAGGAGAGAAGCCGTCTGATGGTCTGTTCTCTTTGATTAAAGATGTTGACACCAGTACGACAAAAACGGTGGCCCCAAGAAGAGGTATCCAGCTGCTTGATCCGTCGTTTTCTGTTGCTAAAGGTGGTTCTCATCCTGTTCAGCAAAGAAGAACAATTCAGCAAAGTGCTCAAATTACAAAGGCACGCCTTTTCCCTGATGTTTCAAAGTTTTACAAAACTCTCCTTTCTTGGAACCCGGCTTGTGATTCTGAGATACCACCAACCGAAGCTATTGCACCGTGCAAACGAATTTCAGCAACGTATACGTCGGTTGAGAATTACATTAATACATTCGAGCCTTTGCTGTTTCACGAATTATGGGCTCAAATGGTACGTTCTAAAGTTGACAATAATTCCCCGCCTGTAGAAGTCCAACTTTTAAGTCGAAGTACTGTTGATGCATTCATTGATTTGTTCGTCGTGGCGCCCGACAGTACTTTAGGTCTTGGTATTGGTGATTCTGATGTTTGCGCCATGTCTAAATCAAAGAATCCCTCTCATCCATCTGCTGGAGAACCTGCATTTCTTGTAAAAGTTCAATCAATAACGAAGAAGAAAAGTGGATTAGAAGTAACGTTGCGTACACTTCCGACTGTGAGTGCGATGCAGCTCTTCCGACCCAACCTTTCATTCTACGTTCAGAAACTATTCAGTATTACGACAAACCTTCGCGAGTATTCGTCCCTTCGTGCACTGTCATTTTACGATGTTTCTGAAGACATTATCAAAGCCCGTTGCAATCCATGTGACCTTTCTTTGCAACCGCCGCAATTAAAGCGTGTCATGGAATCGTATCACGTAAATGAACCGCAAGCTTTAGCTATACATGCTGCGTGTGCTAGAACTGGTTTTACTTTGGTACAGGGTCCCCCCGGTACAGGAAAGACTAAAACAATTCTTGGTATCGTCAGTGCCCTTTTGACTTCAGGAGGTCAAGGACGACGATTCGATGCCCCCGGACAGAATGGAAACACTCAACCTGGCACAAAGAAAGTTCTCATTTGTGCGCCCAGTAACGCAGCCATTGATGAAATTCTTCTTCGTCTAAAGGATGGCATATTTGACCATGAAGGAATAAAGTTTAAACCTAAAATTCTTCGTGTAGGATACTCGGAATCTATCAATCCTCATGTCAAAGAATTTACACTAGACGAAAAAATGCAAGAGCAAATGCAGGTTCTTAACTTAAAAAAAAACCAAGACAATGGAGAATCAATGCAGGTTAGAAAGCGCCACGATGAAATCTTAAAAGAGCGTGATGCTCTTCGTGCTCAACTGGAAAAAGCAAGAAACTCCGGTATAAATGATCCAGCTGTGGAAATGAAACTGAGAGAGGTAATGAAGACGAAAAATCAACTCGAACAGCGTTTGGACGATATGCGTAGACAGCAGGGTATTGCAAACCGAAACATGGATATTGCGAAGAAGCAAATTCAAAGTCAGTTGCTTAAAGATGCTGAAATTATCTGTTCCACTCTATCTGCTAGTGGCCATGACATACTACTGAAATCCGGAATTTCGTTTCCCTCGGTCATCATCGATGAAGCAGCTCAAGCTGTTGAGTTAAGTGCTCTTATTCCCTTAAAATACGGATGCGAACGGTGCATCATGGTTGGTGATCCTAACCAACTTCCCCCTACTGTTCTTTCCAAAACGGCATCACAAAATGGCTATTCCGAATCGCTGTATGTTCGCATGCATAAACAAAATCCAAACTCTTCTTTCCTCTTGAGTATTCAATACCGTATGCATCCCGAAATTAGTCGATTCCCAAGCTCGTATTTTTACGGTTCACGCTTGCTCGATGGACCAGACATGCAGAAGCTTACCGCTCGTCCGTGGCATCACGATCCTACTTTTGGTATTTATCGTTTCTTTGATGTGCGAACAAGAGAATCATCCTCCATCACGAAGTCCGTTTACAATCCTGAAGAAGCTAGCTTTGTGCTTACGCTCTATGACAAACTTGTTCAGGACTATATCAACGTGGATATGGAGGGAAAAGTTGGTATTGTCACTCCCTATCGTCGACAGCTTCAAGAACTACGTATGCAGTTTGAACGTCGTTACGGTCCACTTATTTTCAAGCGTGTTGACTTCAATACTGTAGACGGTTTCCAAGGTCAAGAGAAGGATATTATCTTATTCTCTTGTGTACGTGGTGACATGGGCGGAGGAATCGGTTTCTTGAGCGATACTCGCCGTCTTAATGTTGCTCTCACCCGTGCCAAATCCTCGCTGTACATTATTGGTAATGTTGGTACTCTTACCAAGGACAAGATGTGGTCCGCTTTAATTACAGACGCTCAAACACGCTCGTGTTTGGTGACTTCGTCTATAGACCAACTGCGTCGCAGCCAGTCATATGCCATTCAATCAAGCCAATCCATTCAAACACCTAAAGCTATCCCCTCTTCCGCGATTTCCTCACCAATCTCTGCCCCATCTCCCATTCCACGTTCCCTTTCCTCGGCTTCTGCTCCCCCAAAACAATATACACAAACAAATGCTTCCCCACAGGCAAATTCGTCAAAGTTAGGTTCTCAAAAACGTCCGTCCATTGCACGCAAGCACAGCGAGAGCAAACATGAAAAGAAAAGAAAGACTTCAGAGGAGTATTCATCTAGGCACGGTCATAAAAAACGAGACAAGGAGTCTCATCAGGATTCTCCGAACCGCTTTTTGTCGCCAGTTTCCCAGACACCTGCAACAGGGGCGTCGCCGACACCGTTGCCTTCAGCAAGTGGAATGCATCCAGCTCGCTTGCAGCGGCTGCAGGAACCCCAGCCAATTGCTCCTGTAGCACCTCCACGCAAGCTTAAGTCGAAGCTTGCTCTAGCAGCTTTGGCCCGTGGATTTACACCTAACGGTCGTGCCGAAAAACCTAAACCCTCAGGAAATACTTGATGAGGACATTGGGTATTCCTCCTTTTTGTGCACTCATTTTTTCACAACTCACCACCCTCTTTATTCTTCGTCTCCATGAACCGCCTACGGACCCTCCCTCCTCTTGTCTTACTGTTCTTACTTCGCATTCTGTGTCGGCTGAATCACATAGTCCTCGCTTGCGAGAACTTTATCTGAGTTTAATTTCGTTAACGAATCCATTTTTGAGCCCCACGACCCCCACTCTATTCTACAAAATTAGGGTAGGGCTGTGACACGCTTTCGCTGACAAGTTTACCACCACAACACACTACGTCTTCTTACGAAAAACAAGACACGATGAAGGTCGAAGTTTGCTCGTTCTCTGGCGCTAAGGTCTACCCCGGCTTCGGCCGTCTCTACGTTCGTGGAGACAACAAGGTCTTCCGCTTCGTTAACTCCAAGTCCGAAAGTTTGTTCTTGCAACGCAAGAACCCCCGTCGTCTTTCCTGGACCCAACTCTACCGTAGCATGCACAAGAAGGGTGTCTCGGTTGAGCAAGCTAAGAAGCGTACTCGCCGTACTGTCAAGCACCAACGTGGTGTTGTCGGTGCTGACTTGAACGTCATCAAGGAGAAGCGTAGCCAACGCCCCGAGGTTCGTGCTGCTGCCCGTAGCGCTGCCTTGAAGGCCCACAAGGAGAAGAAGGCTGCTTCCGAGTCTGCTAAGAAGGCCAACAAGGCCAAGGCTGCCGCCTCTAACGCTCGTGGTCAGGCTCGTCATTAGAAATAAAATGCCTAGAACGAGGATGTGTGGGGTGCTCAGGGATGGTGGCGGTAAGGCGATGCTTATTGTGTCGTGGGGTCCAATCAGGGGGGAGCTAAATTGCGGAGGAGGCGAACATGTGTATTGTTTATTTTTTTACTGGACGGATTCGGAAAGGGATGAAATGCGACATGCGACGCGAACTATTTTGGAGTGCACTGAACAAGCTGGTGCTCGGCAGGGCACTCGAGTTGCCGCAGAAGCGACGTAGCGCCCTCGACGTCTCCAATGCTGTAGTCCACCCATGCTTCGCCCTCTGTGGCTCGAATGATGGGAGTCGTTGAAAGCTTGGGTGCTTCTGTGTTTTGCTTGACTGTCACCTGAACCGCACGTGCCGGCTCACGTGCAGGGGCCTGTGCGCGCGTTACACTGCTATTAGCGATGTCACGTGCTCGCTTCGATTTTTCATCAACATGACGTAAAGTAGGCCGCAGCTGGGAGATGCCACGGACGGGGACGATGTGGAGTTGGCCGTTACGGAAAACGCCGACCATGAGTTTTGTTGCTGGTGGCTGCAGACGACTCGACAGCACCTGCTGGTTTAAGGGCTGTTCCTCGGATCCGAACCGAGTAGCTTTTTCGGGATCGTAGTACTTGCTCGTAAGGAGGGGCATGTCGACCTCCATCCAGCCGGTTTTGGGCTTAATCCGAACACCGGTGGCCACCTCGCCCGTCTGAGTGTTGTAGGGACGATTAGCGGACCGAAGAGGGTACTGGTTGAGAATAATGTTGTTTCGTAAGGCGGGCGAGAAGAAAATGGGACACGACTTGACGACAGGATCGGCAGAAGCCTCGGACCGTTTGTCGTCTACCGGAGTAGACGGCTGCGATGCTGCATCTTCATACTCTGAACCGGCCATGGTCGTCGTGGTTGAAAAGCAAAAGATTTGGTCGAGAAGGCGTTGCTGCGGTGTAGTGTGGTGCAGTATGTTACAGTTCGTTAGCAATCCAAACGGCACGTTATTTTCGATTAAAGGAGGTTTGCGTGCTCGGTAAATACATTTTAAGCTGTGCAGTACGACATCGTTATGCTGGATAATGAGGACCGCGGTTGCATAACGGACTGTTCCGCAGCACACCGCACTGCGCTGCGGCAATTAACGAATTCTTACGCAATTTATTGCATCCGCCTGTGTGATTTCCACAGGCCCTGTCTCTGTTTCTTCCTGACGAAACCACCCATGTTGTCTTTAAGTGCTCGGCGTCCCATACACCTGTCAATGTTCCAACGCACAGGCAGCATTGTGCGTCGTTCTGCGCTTGGCAGCGTTTTTCGCCGCGGCATTTCCATCCAACCGATGACGCCTCAGGAAAACGCCGAAGAACTGGCTCAACAGCGGGTCCACCGACCCAATTCTCCTCATTTGACTATTTACCAACCCCAGCTCACCTGGTACCTGTCCAGTGCCCACCGAATTACCGGTGTCGCTCTTTCAGGGACACTATATCTGTTCTCTACCGCTTACCTTCTCGCTCCTGCCTTCGGCTACGGCTTCGATTCGAACATGATCGCCCATGCAGTGAGCCAGGTCCCTGTCTGGCTCAAAGTCCCAGCTAAATTTATTGTCGCGTATCCACTAGCATTCCACATGTTCAACGGTTTCCGCCATTTACTGTGGGATTCCATCCACGAGCTGACCTTAAAGGGCGTGTATCGAACCGGCTACTCTGTGCTGGCGCTTTCTGTTCTCACAGCGGCATATTTAGCTCTACTGTAAAGTTGGTTTAAGGACATTTCCTTGACCCTCTGTCGCTCCATCGCTACGTGCTGCGACGACAAGGACCACTACGACGACTACGACTACTAATGTAATGATTGCAAATGCCACAGATACAAATTGCTTGAGTTGTTTTCTTTTGGGATCGGCTCCCTATTGCAATTAAGGTTACCCCACCGGGCACCCATCCCCGCGCACTTCTCGCTACAGAACGGCCCCGCTCCACTTTATTTAACATCCGTCGATCTCTGACAGAGCCCTGCCATTGCATTAACCTATCTAACGGTAACGACGAAGAGAAAGGGTGTTGTGACGCAACCAGGTACGGTGTTGAGGGTTGTGGTTGTGACGGTGACCCTTGCCAATACCACGGGACTTCTTGCCAATGGAGGTAAGACCACGGGCCTCACGGTGCTTGTGAACGGCGTTGCAGATCCAGTTGATGCGAGGATCACGACGGACGGCCTTGTGGTTGGGATCGACAAGAATGACCTCGTAGAACTTGTAGGTAGCGTCTTGGTTGACCCAGTAGGAGTTCAAGACACGGAGGTTGGCACAGTGACGACCAACACGCTCCTCAGCAGTGCAGCGGAGGGAGCGTTGGTACTTGAGCTCGCTGACACCTTGGTTGACGGGCTTGCCCATAGTTTGACCCTTGGGGACAGGGCGCTTACGACCACCACGACGAACACGGATGCGGTAAATAACGTAACCTTGCTTGGCCTTGTAACCCAAACGACGAGCCTTGTCAGGGCGGGAGGGCTTGCTGGCACGGTGAATAACGTTCAGCTGGCGGTACTCCCAGGCACGCACACGAGACAAGAACAAGTTGACATCGGACTGCTTCTTCTTAGCGAGCTCTTCCAAATATTTGTAAGCACCCATTTTTTACGCTCTGGTTCGTCTGGTTAGGAAGGCAAGTGTGTGCAAACGACAGGCGCCCTGGTGTTGTGTCAGGTGCGTACTGTGTGCCGTGACTGCTAAAATAGCGGGATAGCGAGATGCAGTGTGCGTCTTGAAGGCGTTTAACGAATGCTACCGAAGAATGATATTCGATTTAACGAAATCATGTGTCGTCCCTAAACACAATAACGAGGGACACGTTCCCTCTCCCTAAAACGATCCACCAAAAAATCCAGCGCCGTCTTGCGACGGGGCCCAAACTGTGTCTCCAACACACCCCCCCTTCCTCCCCTTAGCTTCAGCAACACTCAATTGGATAGAACCATGGGAGAAGCAGTAGCAACGTTTACTACACCATGGGAGAAATAAAATATCATCTAAAACGCAAAAAGAAACAAAAGTAGTGTACACGCCTCGCCCGTGACGTGGCTTGGATTACCCTTTCTTAGATACCGGAAATCGCATCCAAACACAAGAAAATAAAAAAGTCGAGACGGAAGGCAGCAATCATGGGTGATGCGTCACTAGCGACGATTAGTAGTCAGAGAGACAAAAAGGAGGAAGGACAGCGTATAGAGGGGATGGGATGGGTGGTAGTCATAGGCTGCAAGAAGCCAAACCGCCATTTCGTCAGAGCAAATGAGTCATTCAACTGCTTTGACACAATTGTGCTCACCATCGTGTAGAAAAGTTTTTCCTCTTGTCATGCATGCTCGCGTGCGTGTGTGTGCTTGTGTGTGGACTAAAACTAGACCTTTAACCAAAACAGACAATTATATAGCAAACAAAAAAAAAGAAAATAAAAACGGATCTGAAATTCAGAACACGAAAAAAAAGCTTGCGATTAGCGTCGTTGGTGCATTAGATAGAAATGAAATGCAAAGAAATCAGAAGAAAGAGAGACAGAATTAGGCTATTTTTGCCAAACGAAACGAGCAAAACACTTTGAAATTGAGGAACAACCACAATGCAAGAAATAACAAATGGAAAAATGCAGAGGAGCACACAGTGCCTCTTTTTCATTGACACCGTACAAGGATGTATCTATCGCTGCCGAATTGCTGAATGATGTCTTCCACGAAGAAATTAAAAACCGTGATTTTTTTGTACAACATTATCAGCTATCCAGCAAACGATATGTTCCAACCTGGGTTGCCGGTAGCAAAGGCAACGAGGCTATCAATTGTTGATTCCTGGTAATTTTGCAGATCATCCGACGGCCAAAAGCCGCTCCAAGATTGCATCTCGGTATTTTTCGGCATCCCAAAGTGGGACATCAGATCCGTCGAATATGACTCTTGGTTAGTGCCGCCAGTCGCTACGAGCGGTGACTCGATTATGTAGGCAAAGTGCTTCTCCACTTCCAGCGCCTCATTCTCATCAACATTGTCGTCCGGTACATTTGCCTCTGGAGATTGCCCAGCACCGTAGCGCTGGACACTTTCAGCCCAAATTCGTGACATTTCATTGCACAACATTTGCATAGGCCGCCAGTAGTTCTTCATTTCCAATAATAAACGTAGGTCAATTTCGAGGTTATGACGCGCGGTAGAGGCAACTAGGTTATCCGAACCAAATGCCGCTTCCGTCTGAACACAGAAGGCGGTATAGACGCCGTAGGCAATAAAAGGAGACGTAAGAATAACATTGTGTTTACGGCAATCGTCAACGATCATGGAGATGGCGTTGGCACAGCGAAGACATATTTCTTTCGCAGCCTTGTAAAGACGTGCGGCAGCAACGTTAGAGCGTTGGGGGCCATTCGACTGGGATATTGTGGCGTTGGCACTTTGCAAGCTTGCAAACGACAGCGTGCTTTCACTGCGACTGATGGGGGACTTGGCTTCTCGTGTTGAGGCGGGTTCGTAGATTGTGCGGAATACCCACATAAGAACGTAGTGGTATGCCAGGTGCAAGAACGCGTACTGCGCTCCCTGTTGGATAGATATGTGATTCTCGAGGCCGACGACAGAGTACTTCAGACGCTGTGGAAGACCGGAAGCCCAGTCGAGGATGGCCTCGTTGAGTTTATTAAAGTCCGAGCTTTTGTGCCAGAAGGGATAAGGATCACGTTTGCGTCCTCCCTGTTGCAGATACTTAACTGCACGGCCCCAAAGGGCGATTATTTTGACAGTGTACGCAGCGACACCCATGTTTTCAGTGGTGTCAGCCGGAATTACAATGCTGGGTACTCCTTCCAGAATGCGGCCATCAAGTGTCTGTGTGACACCGGCGATTTGCTTGGTGAAAAGGAGCTCATGCACCGGAAGCTGAATATTAATATCGTTTTCGTCAAGAAACTGTAACCGCTCTGCCGAAGACGAGTACCGATCCATCAAAAAACAAGCCCAAAACGTCCGTCTCCGAAGCTCGCGTTCGAGGAAGGAAATTCGTGGACCCGCGTCCACATTATCTAAATCAAGAGGGTTACTTCCTTGTTCACAGTTTAATTGCAGGGCAGCGGCCATCCGTAGAGCCATGCCGCCGTACATCCAGCTTTTGCCCATGTCGCCTGTGCCAGAATCGTGAAGAGATAGTAGCAGAAGCGCCGATACCAGCGACAAATCCGGTCGGTCAAGGCTATCGAGCGCAAGGCGACGAGCCTCACGAGCAAACTGCTCGCCCGCCATGTACGGGGGTGAGTAGCGAACCTGCATGTGCGAGGAAAACCGTGCCGAAACGGCACAGATTGCATATACGAGGACAAGCGGCAGCGTATTATTGCTTAGTGACTCCATGAAGTTAGGACGGTGGAACAAGTTGTATGTCTGTCCATGGCAGCAGTGGAAAAACACCTCAGCGAGATGCCGCCGAAGCTCCATAGGAGGCAGCTCGGAGACGGGTGTAGATGTGATTAGACGAGGAATGGATGGAGTTGTCTGGACAATTGGCGAGGAAAGAGTACCGGGCGTCGTGACCGTGGGGGCCAAGGGCCCGATGGAAGGCTGTTTGGAAGACTCATTTGGAGGGGGGCCGATGGAAAAGACGGGAGATGAGTTGACAAAGGGGGCCTGGACAATGTTGCAGACTTGTTGCGGTTGCGAAGAGGACACGGCAGGCAAGGTGGTAGAAGGAGTAAAGGCAGGAAGCCCATTATTAAAAGGCGTCGTAAAGGGTCCAGCTCCATTCGCAACCGACAACGGCGGAATCACAGCTGGTGCTGTCCCTGCTGACGCAGCGGCAAGTGTAACACTGTTAGGGGCAGGGTTGTCAATTGAGCCACTGCTTCTGTTCGAGGCGAAAAGATTGCCGCCGTTGCCGACGCTAGCAGGTGCATTTGACACGGAAAGAGCGGCCATCATATTGCTGTCGGGCGACACAAGCGAGTTTTTACGATACATAGCAAATTCAGACGAGAGCAACGAAGAAGCCGCACCTGAAGGAATGGGAGACGGGGCGGCGGGCAGGACGGACTGCACGTTAGGCAGTGAAGAGCCAATGTTGGCAGAGTTGGGACCGGCAGACCCAGGAAGACTGGGAAGCGACACTGAAGCAGAGGATGACCGTCGTTCAAGGGCGAGAGGGTGCGTTTGAGGATCAGAACCCGATCCCGGTCCACCCGGAGTAATTGCTGTAGGAGAACGAGAGTCATCTATACCTAGCCGAGCAGTAGCTGTCACCATTGCTTGGTGCAGTCCCGACCGTGAATTTGCTCCGGCAGCAAGCGGGCCAGCTCCTCCGACGACAATGGGCGAAGGAATTGCAGAACCACCCATATGGTTCGAAGCCGTTTGCTGCTGGTGATTTAATTGCAATTGCTGGTGATGGTGCAGCTCCTCATGCCGACTGTGGGACCGTTTGTTTGCAGACACTTTGTACTCACACACGGTGTTGTGTTTTAAACATTGGGCACAAGACGGCCGTTCACCCGAACATTTGATTTTTTTCTTGCGGCATGATTGACATGCAAGTGGCAGACGTTTCCTGTCCTTGCCTGCTTTTGTTTTTTCGTGAGCCCAACTGGGAAGCGGAGACGCACTTTTTGCCGGTGCTTTCGAATTCTGAGCTGCTCGGGAAATGAGAGCACTTGTGCTGGAGGATGCAGCGGTGTCTCGGTATTCGGACAGGGAACCCGTAGGAGGGGACACCGTTGGCGAGGATGAGGATGCGCCGTTGAAGGAGGCGGCCAGTTCACTTTGATGATTCATGCCGACACTCTGTTGACAACTCTGCGCGGCGATTCACTCACGAAACACCGGCCAAGTGTGAGGGACAATAGCTGTGACGTGGATTCTGGGAACGGAGGGGAATGCTGTGAAAAAGAAACGGTCTTTGTAGCAGGGTCGACGTGGCTACTTTTTGGTGTTGAAAATGATGTAACCACCCTGGTCGATAATAAGCGAACCTTATGTGAAATTAAGCGAGTTTTTTGCCGCAATGCTTTAAGGGGTGGAAAAACGGATACGGATGATTGGATGGTTTTCGTAAAGGGGATTGGATCAAGGGTACCAAGGGGCTAAATCGAGATGCGTATATAGCAGTGTCCCGCAGTCTTAAAATCAGAGCGGGCCGAGATGAGCGTTTTAATGCAGAGGTTAGTAACGCAAAAGAAAAAGCAGTCCATCAGTTAGGCATCTGCGGAAAAATACTGTGCGACTAGAAAAGATTGCGGCGATCTCAAAACACTATTCCGGATACCCATAGAACATAGTCTCTATCCTTTAAAGGGCGAAACTTTCAGCCAATGAACAGCCAGCTAGTGACCTTCTTCCGACTCGCTTAAAATGCCCCGCCGTATCCCTGATTTTAGAGTCGCCGTTCCGTCGCAGGCACTACACTATATGTCCAAAAAAAACTTTAAATCACGAAATAGCACGCTGCGACAATTAAGAGGAGTAAAGAGAAACAAAGCCTTAGGGCTTGTTGTGTTGGTTTCTCCATAAGTTCCGCGCGACGAATGGAAGGGAGTAACGGATGCAGTAAACTACGCTTTGTTATATTATTTTCGTGTGTGTGTCATTTCGTGTAAGAAAGGGCGGGAAGGGAGGCAGAGGGTGCGTAAATGAATGTTTAGAAAAATGGGTGGTAAAGAGGGATGTGAGTGAGACAACGCATGAGTCTTTATGGGAACAAACGCAGGGAATGGATAGGGGATACTGCTGGAGCAAGAGGGAAAGGAAACAGTCGGACGGCAGGTGGAGGTTCAGCCAAGACCGACAGTAGACATAAACCGCTGCCGGAAGTCGTTGAATGTCAGTGTTTCAATCCCATTGGGCTCCTTCAGAGGAAATTTTTGAACATCGTGAAGTAAAACAAACCGTCGGTACTGCTCGTAATGCTTTTGCTGGTAAAACAGAAGCGAGTTTAGGAGCGTCTCGCTTTCATCCTCCGACTCAATTACCTCCCAGTCTTGCAGCATCATGATTGTCGAACTGCCAGCTTCTTCCATAAGACGGTTGTAGGTAGCAATGCAGTCGTTCAGTTTCTTTGAAGGCTCATTGGGAAAGTACTTCTCAAAGCATGAGCGTAGCATAGTAATATATCCCACCGGCAAAACAAACCGCCAAGAGGTAATCTTGAGCTGGATGAAAGGAAGCACTGACTTGATGATGTCCGGCTTTTTAATGAACGCGATTGGAGTGACGCTGAGAATGCCGCCCCGAGGAAAGATGGGCAGGAGTCGCTGCACATATTCGTGCAGCACCCTTTTTCCAACGCTTTCAGGCGCACCGAGCTCAAGACTAGGTCGGCTGACACGCTTTTTGCTGATGGTGTCAACACCGAACAAATAAAAACGACAGACTTGACGCTTCGCCAATGTCAGAAATGGAAGTTCATTGATGTTGGTTTTGAGGCTAGTGTGCACCAATATCAAGTTCACAGAAGACATGCTTTTTTCGTTCAATTCCTTTTTCATAACGAATTGTACCTTTGCCGAGCGCAACATGTCAACGACCTCCAGTGTTTCTGGCCCGTCATCCGCATACACAATAACTTTTCCGGGTTGAAAGGCTCCAGCACGGACATAGTCCATGTTGCTTAGCTGCAGCAGATATGTCAAGTACGGGAAGCTTTTGTTGTATATGCGTGTAGCTCTCGAATTTTTAGAGGCCCAATTGCGAAGCATAGGCGCGAATGGCTCAAGCAAAACGATCCAAAAGGGGCTCTTGATGCCACTGGAACACTTATACATGTTCATGAGTGGCTCATTGTCAGAGGTGAAGAATAGCAAGCTAAATTCCTTCTCTAAAACAATGCCAGCACCCTTACTTCGAACAAGAATATTACGGAAATGATTCATGTCCACATCGTTACGAACATACAAGTTTCCCTGCATGATATCCTTCACACAATCACCAAACAATTCCAGATGCGACGTGGAAATAAAACGCACCACGTCGATCTGCCGCTTGGTAATTAAGCTTTGAAGAATTGGCTTGTTTTCTTCCTCCTCTTTCAGTTTGGAAAGATCTAATTCAAGCTCGCCGGTAAACGAAAGCGACTTGCCAGAACGAAGAACAAATCGCCAGTAATCGGGAATGTGAACCACCTTTGCCGACGAAGCCGGCGAAGAGACATCCTCAGAAAACAAGTGTTCCAAGTCATCGTTTTCGTCGTCAGAGAGTGGTGCAACCGGCGGTACAACAGAATCGGGTTCCGAATCGTCGGGCTTGCTCTCAGAATCAGTAGCACCTAAACCCTGAGAAGAATTTACAGCGGTCCAACTACTTCCAACAATCATTGGTTTGATAGGCTTTTTACGAGAAGACTTCTTAGCAGAGGTCTTCTTCGATTTTTTGTTTTTTCCATCGGTTTCCTTGTCCGTGCTCTTACTGGATTTCGGTTTTTCCTTCTCTGAGCTCTTGGGAGATTTTGGTTTGTCCTTGTCTGGGCTTTTAGAAGTTTTCGTTTTGTCCTTAGCATCTTTACTCCCAGTCTCAAGATGCTCGTCAGAAGATGATTTTTTAGTGTCAAACAAACTTAACGGAGAATCGTCGAAATCAACAGATTTGGTTTTTTCAACAGTGCTAATTTCTTCTTCTTCTTCTTTTTTACTGTCCTCGTTTTTCTTCAGTGGAGCCTCGGAAAATGAGACAGACAAGCGTTCTTTAGGCAGACGACTAGACTTTGTCGCCGCAGTTTTGAGAATGGACTTGTGAGTAGATCGCGGCTGAACAAGTTCTTCCTCTTCCGGAACTGTGTCATTACCTGCGAGTGATCGTTCGTAAAGACTATCCTGGCTTGGCGCTACACGCCATTGAGGATGGCCTTTTTCACAAGCAAGCAAGGCATGATCAGCAGTATCGAATTTTACATAGGCTACATTTTTGGAAGCCTGTTTCGACAGAGGACTTGATAGGGAAACTGACATATCTTTTGTTATGAAAGCAAAATACTCACGAAAATCAGATTCGGATGTTTCCATAGGAAACCCAGTAATAACGACGGTTCGAGAAACGCTAGCTGGTTCATGCTTTTTAAACTTAATTTGTGATAAGTTTGTCAAACCATCAACGAAAAGCGACGCAGCATCAGGAGCCTTTCCGTCCGCTACACTACTTTCGTCTTGCACGAGGGTTTGTTTTGCTTTCGTTTTCTTTCGGGGAGGTATAGGCTTGACCTTCGCGGGTTTTGCAGATCGTGTTTTCGCTGTCTGTGGCCGGAAGAGAGTTTCGGTGACATCCAGCATATCTGTGTCGAGCAAAGGAGGCAGTTCGGAAGAGATGGAAGAATTACCGCTTTCCATGGACGTGTCAGCGGCACTGCGTTTGTCATTCTTTTGAAACGAAGGCAATTCTTCATTATCACTATTGTCGCTGTCCGGTACATTAATCGTTTCGGGCTTTGCTTTCGCCCGGTGGGATTTCCGAGGAACAGCGATTGCTTCTTCCTCTCCATCCTCTCCATCCTCTTCATCTTCATCATCTATAATAATTCGCTTCTTTTTCGTTGAAGTTGTTGTTGTAGATTTGGAAGAAGCAGTCTTCTTTGTTCTCGTCTTTTTTGTACTTGTCGGACTTGCTGCTGCTGCTGCTGCTGCTTTTTTCCGTTTCGTTGACTGTCTTGATGTGACAGCAGTACTCCGTTTTGTTTGCCGTTTTGATTTTTCCCGCTCAGCTTGAACTAGAAGACGCAACCGACGACGCTCCTTCTCCTTTTTTTGTTCTTCTAACTCGCGTTCTTCTTTCCGTCGTTCATTTCCTTCTGAATCATACGGTTTGATTAAATTGCGAGAAATGAGTTCTTTCCGTTTTTTCCAATCCTTCAAGGCTAGATCGGCACCCACTAGGTTGGCTTCTGGCTCCCAAGTGTTGTCGTACCATTCATAGCCGGCCCACTTAATATAGTACAGGGTGTTTCCGTTTTCATCTGTTTTCTCGTCCAGGATATGCTCAACCTCGTAGACATCGGAATCATACTCATCATCACTTGAGTCCATCTTTAGTGGGCTACACAAAAATCGTTAAGCAAGTAGTTTAAGAACGTGTATCGATTGTCGGTTGTGTATAATTAGGTACAGTAGATTCTTCAAGAGTATTATTTGAAGACAAGTATTCGTTGCAGACACCAAAAATGAGTTGTAATGCTCCAAAAAGTTGCACAGTGAACTTTTGTTCACTATTAGTATATGTTTTCAAACAAAGAGTGACCAAAACAGTAAATATTCCTGCTCAATTGTTTTTTATTATACACAATTTGGACAGAAACAAAACAAGAGAGATAACAAGACTAATAACGTTTTTTCTCCTTCGTAAGCTGTAAGTTCACGCAGTCTCTCCCAACCGGCATTCGTTGATATATGGGCTTGCAGGTTCTGTGCAGAATTGCAAAAAAGAAGTGACAATTCCTGTAAGAATTCCAACGTCGGTCTAGTAACAGTTTATAGAAACAAGACACTTGTCCATTAATGGACAAAATACACGCGGGACTGTTCTCCCTGTAAAAATAAACTATTTACAGTGAACCAGGGCGTGTGTGGTTTGGCGTTGTAAATTTGGTGGAGACGGACTTGGGCTACTAGAAGGGTAGTTTAACGTCCTTAGGAGCATCCACTAACGGCGGTCGACCAGGGCTGCGTATGGGTCACCTCCAAGAGTGAACAGCGGTGATCTGCGATTGTTTGTCTAACGGAACAGTTCGTGTTGGGCGAGCTGGCTGACTGCGGTGGCTACGAGGGATGTTTTGTGACACAGACGCGAACTGGTGTTTTACAATGATCTGCATGTAAATGAAATCAATAACCTTAAGCTGTATAGGCTTATCTAAAGTTAGCGAGAAAGATTACGTACATTAACGAGCTAAACGAGTAGCGCGCAAAACTCGTGCCATGCTCGGTGTACTCGTCACCACCAGGCAACAAGCTTAGAGAAGCCCGCCTAGTGTTCCAACCCAAACTTACCCACAACATAACACCTACTTGGATTGTTACTCAAGTTCTACGTGACATTTGCCTAAATTAATATCCTCTGGTGGTATGGTTGACGTCTGCTTTTAGCATTGAAACTAACTTGTTGCGTTCTGTTCAGAAATCGCGATTTTTTAAAGGAACGAAATGAGTCAAGAAGACGAATATGATTACCTCTTTAAGACAGTGCTTATCGGAGACAGTGGTGTCGGAAAGTCAAACCTGTTAATGCGTTTTACTCGTAACGAGTTTAATATCGAGAGCAAGAGTACTATTGGCGTGGAATTTGCTACGAGAAATATTGTTCTTGACAACAAGAAGATCAAGGCCCAGATTTGGGACACGGCCGGTCAAGAACGCTACAGAGCCATCACTTCAGCTTACTACCGAGGTGCTGTCGGTGCGTTGATCGTGTATGATATCACAAAGCAATCTTCCTTCGACAATGTTGGCCGTTGGTTGAAGGAGCTTCGCGATCACGCAGACTCCAACATTGTGATTATGCTTGTTGGTAACAAGACTGATTTGCTCCACCTTCGCGCTGTCTCAACGGAAGAAGCACAAGCTTTTGCCGGTATGTGTGACAGACAAAAGTCCATGCGTGCGGTTTTGATACTGACAAGAGTAGCTGAAAATAACCTTTCCTTCATTGAGACCTCTGCCATGGATGCTAGCAACGTTGAGGAGGCATTCCAAACTGTGTTGACAGGTATGACTAAAGAGGGAATGCGGTGGAGCTTCTTTGAGGGCGGGAAACCTCAATAAAGTGCCTTCGGCATGTGCTTTGACGCCTGAGGTTCTTGCTTTCAAAGTGGCATCCTCCGGTTTCCGGTCCTTGAATATCGCCATGAGCTAACTATCGATTACAGAGATCTTCCGCATCGTTTCAAACAGAGCAATGGAGGGCGGAGACGAGGGTGCTCATCCTTCGGCTGGACAAACGCTTAACATCGCTCCTACCATTGGTGACTCTGGAAAAAGCAAGTCTTCTGGCCAATGCTGTTAGTAGCAGAAACGAATAATCATTGTCACGTAATTTCTTTCGGAAAGAAAGAAGCGTTGTCCTCTTAAACGGAGCTCATATGCATATTTTTTTACCCATGACAGACAGAGTCCTCAGCTTCAGGCTAGTTCTCGTTTTTCTTTCTTCTTCATTCTTTATGAGATAACATTCTCGCCTTCGTTTTATCGTTCTACATTACACGCTTGCAACCATTTGCTAACTGAAAACTTTTTTGCGCTTCGTACACACATGCCTCTGGGAGTTTCGGCGTGCGTCGCCTCTTTTAATATTATGTGTTTTTGAGTTGTCCCCAAGAAAGTTATTACATAACACACAGTGGATCTTTCACTATCTAAATGGGGAATTCAAAACCGCTAGCCCAGCTGCCAATTTCAGATTTGAGACGTTGGATTTCGGGGTATTGAGAGCCATCGCCGAGGAACTGCTTGAAGTCACTCAGTTTGTTCTTTCCGGTTTTCTTAGCATCCGCGTTAATTTGCTTGGTCAGAGCAACGGCTTGGTCAATATAGTCAACAACGCGTTCAAAATCTTGCTCATTGAAGCCGCGGGTTGTGCAAGCGGGTGTACCGAGACGAAGTCCGTGAGGAATGAGGGCAGACTTGTCGCCGGGAACGGTGTTCTTGTTGGCAGAGATATTAATCAATTCTAGCACACGCTCCACACGAGCGCCATCAATGCCCTTGCTGGTCAAGTTAACCAAGACAAGATGTGTGTCGGTGCCGCCAGAAACGAGTTCGTAATTGCGTGCAAGGAACGCTCTCTCGAGGGCCTTTGCGTTGCGCAGCACGCTTTCTTGATAAGCACGGAACTCGGGTGTCTTTGCTTGACCGAGGGCGACAGCCAAAGCCGAGATAGTATGGTTGTGAGGACCACCTTGATGACCGGGAAAGACGGAGAAATTAATTTTATCTTCCAAGTCGTACATGACAGCGTTGCCCTTCTTGTCGTGCTTGCGGACACCACGACGGTAGAAGATCATGGCACCACGAGGACCACGAAGCGACTTGTGTGTAGTAGTCGTCACGATATCAGAGTATTCGAATGGAGAAGGAATTACACCAGCAGCAACCAAACCGGAAATATGTGCCATATCGGACATAAGGTAAGCGTTGACACTGTCGGCGATCTTTCTCATACGCTCGTAGTCGATCAGACGAGCGTAGGCACTGGCACCGGCCACGATAACCTTGGGGCGGAACAACTGCACGTCTTGCTCCAGCGTGTCGTAGTCGATGATGCCGGTGCTTGGGTTCACGCGGTAAGGCATGGTCGTGAAGTATGTAGAGACTGCAGAAATAGCCTTTTGAGGAGTGGAGAATCCATGAGACAAGTGACCTCCGTGAGGCAAGTCAAGACCCATAAGACGCTCGTGGGGTTTCAACACGGCTTGGTACACTTGGAGATTGGCGGGAGAGCCAGAATGGGGTTGCACATTGACGCCCCATTGTTCTGGGTCCAAACGGTAGGCCTCGAGTGCTCTCTTTTGGCACAAACGCTCGCCCTGGTCAATGAACTCGTTTCCGCCATAGTAACGAGCACCGGGATAACCCTCTGAGTACTTGTTTTGCATAATACTTCCAAGGGCATCCATGACAGCACGAGAAGTGAAGTTCTCAGAAGCGATAAGAGCGATGGATTGTTTTTGGCGGGCTTCCTCTGACTTGAGAATGCGAGACATTTCTGGATCACATTCCTCCAAAGGAGCTTGAATCATCTATAGGCGTCAGCAGACATAATCAACAAAGTTGCAGAAACGGAGGAACCGAAGAACTGAAGAACTGAGGAACGAAAAAAAAATTTTAAAAAATTAAAATAAAATAAAAAAACATTGAAAATCGACTGAAACAAAACGAGCTCAAGTTGGTCTTCGTTCTCCACTTTTCCTGTGATTTCTCCTCGCTCAAACTGCTGTACGTACCCGTTTTTGGCCCGCCGTGAGCGAGTAAAAACGAAGAGCTCCCAGCGACGGTTTCGCCGTTCTTCCTAACAATACACGCAGCAAAGACATCTGTGTACTTTTCTCAGCCAAACGGCATGCTGGAACTGACTCGACTTTTTATTGTGGTGTAGTGTTTTCCTTGGACTGTGTTTTTCGACGAGTCGTCTGAATGGGCGCGGTAGCGACCGTAGGCGATGAGGGATGAGCGACAAGTGGCCTGTCTGTAGCGCTGCAGCGAGCAGAGCAGCGAATGAATTGGACGATTAGAACAGGCGAGTGAAGTGCACGAATGAAGCAAAAGAAGAATAAAGTTTTTCTCCAAGAAGAGTTTGTTGCAGGACTGGGGCGGGAGCAAAGATGAGTGGGTATGGAGTGAATGGATTAAATTGATATTGTAATTTTTTTTTATTTTTTTATTTTTTTGGTATATTTATTAAATTAAAATGAAATTCCATGAAAATGAAAATGAAAATAAAAAAATAAAAAAATTCTTCAACATTTTTTTTTAAACAGCATAAAACAAATTCACACAAAAAAAACCAAAAAGCCTCATTTTTATAACAAAAAATTAGATTAAAATCCCTCTTTTTTTCTTTTTCTTTTTTCTTTTTCTTTTCTTTTTTTTTCTTCTTTACCCCATTCCCCCACTCACCCCACATTCCCCATACCCCGCCTCCCTACTAAACTCACTACTACCACGTCGTTCCCTGCTGGAGATCACCTTCTGCTGCATTCCCACTACGACCTTAACCCACGCCCCCACATCCGCCACACCTCTTCCTCTCTTTAGCCCACTCCTGCGGCTACTGCCTTGGTCCATGTCGTCGAAAAACACACAAACGCGCTACTCTCGGGCACTCTCCAAGGTTCTGCGGCACACGGCCCGTTCCTGTGGTCTTAAGCTGACCGAGGAGGGCTACGCCAGAGTGGATGACCTCTTGAAGCTGCCCCAGTTCAAAGGCCTCACAGTCGACGTGCTGCAGCAGATTGTCGCTGACAACGACAAGCAGAGATTCGCATTGAGCACCATCAACGACGAACTGCATATTCGCGCAAACCAGGGTCACTCGCTTACTACTGTCCACGTGGACATGCCCCGCATCACCGACCCCGCCGAGATTCCCCGCGTCGTCCATGGCACGTTCGCTAAATTCTGGCCCGCCATTTACGCGAACGGGCTTAGCCGAATGAAGCGACAACACATCCATTGTGCCAAAGGCCTCTTCGGTGAACCCGGAGTTGTTTCGGGCATCCGCAAGTCATGTGACGTGTTTATCTTCATCGATGCTGCACGTGCAATGGCCGATGGAGTCGTTTTCTACCGCTCTGAGAACGGCGTCATTCTCACCGAAGGCATCGACGGCGTTTTGCCAAGAAAGTTCTTTCTGCGAGTCGAAAACAAGAACGGTGACGTTTTGTACGATGCGTCCCGTCCGACGTGCTCTTCGTGTGTCTGCGACGCGTCCTCGGACGCGTCGCGTAAAGTCGTAAATGCAAAACGCGACGCGATCGACGACGCGTCGGGTCCTTCCGACGTGTGGTCGGATGACGAGCGTGCTGTTTCGACACAGGAATTTCAGCGGCTGCGCGAGCAACGATCAAACATCGGCTACGGTGAAGGCGTGGTCCGCGGGAAAATCGAAATTGCACAAAAGGCCTTTGACGAAGGCTACGTCTTAGGCTCGCACGCCGGCTGGAAACGTGGTGTTGAACTGGGGAAGCTGGAGGCGCTGCAATACCTTCGTCACTACCCCCACCAAGCCGGTGATGCGCATCCGCAAGCCCCACGGGATGCTTCACCAACTCAAAATTGCCGCTCCAATGAGCTCGATTCCGCCCCGCTTGACCAGCAGCTCGCTCAGCTCCGGATTTCCTCCGAGTTTCCCCGATATGTCGATGCAGAACGCGAAAAATTAGCTGCCATCGTCAGGAGAGACTGAGTAGTCGAGTAGTGTTACATGTACTTTTAAGTTATTTCCCTGCATCCTTGACGTAATCCCCACCATCTGCCGCCAGCCGAAGCTGTCGTCTTCGTGTCAGCTGTGTCGCTCACCTGCTTCCCTGTCCACCACCCCGCACACGAACCCCTTGCCTGTTGGAATCTGCTCTTTTAGCGTTTTTTTGATCGCCCATGTCGCAACGTGTTGGGGTCTTGCTCTAGACGCGCCCGGCGGTCTTCCCCACACCTCCCCACTTTACTCCGCATCTTGGCTACCTATGACGTAGTCGCCCTCCTTCTTGGCTTCCTCACCCCTGCAACCCTTGACATCTTTCGCGGTGTCGTCATCGTTTTCATCGACGCGCTAGCGTTCCGCTACCTCGATTCAGCGATCGCTGCAGTCGATCTAGTTCGTCGAACGTGCTCGCTCGCCCAATCGTTTCCCGGGTACTGCCCCGCATCCTGAGGTTCGCGGCTTTGTTTCACCCCCCTCTTTTTTTTGTCCCTTCCTACGTCATACCTCTCCTTCGCCAATGCCCGTATTTCTCCGCACGCGATTATTGCGTGACATCATTGCAGCTGCGACCAATCGTCTGGCTGCTCTGCGTCTCGCTTTTCGCCAATCAGCACCCACTGCTTCTAGTGTATGACGTGGTGCTCGTGGGTGCTCGGTACCCCACATGTGGAGAAGCGGCTGTACCGACATTTTCTTATGCTTACACTTTGGCTCCTCCTGCTGCTTTCATCCGTTTCTTTACCACTCTCCAGGAATTGAATTGCAGCGAGAAAACGTCCTTTCGCTAGGATTTACACGAAATTTGTGTATTTTTTGTTATTTACTGTTATATTTAGGGTAGTTCCCTTTTTTTCGCGGTCGAAACTACCTTTTTTTAACGTTTGTCCCTTTTTAACGAATTCCCTCCTCCCTAAGACGAGTCTATCCATCAGCTCGACGAATTCAGGTGTGTCAACGCTTGCTCTCCTTCATTGCCTGTGTTGCAACGACTATACGTTTCGTGTGCGTTCACTGTCCAACACAGCTTCCCTGGTTTCCCATACATACTGCACGTTGCTGCGACAGACGGAGTCAACAGATTGCGCCAGGCACCGTAAATCAAACGATTCTGCTGCTACTGCCGTGAATTTGACTGATCTAGTTAGTCCGTCCGTGTTTTCACACACACTACTTTTCGTACGTTTGCTCGTCTGACCCAAACGTACTTGCTTAATACGCACACAATTGCTACTACCGTTACTATGAAGACGTACGAGTGCCCTATTTGCAAGCGGATCTTCCATCGTCACGAACACCAGACCCGACACATACGATCGCACACAGGAGAACGTCCGTTTGCGTGCTCGTACCCTAGTTGCACAAAACGTTTCACCCGTCGAGATGAGCTTATCCGGCACACACGGACTCATCTCCGCAAAGCGTTCCAAGTCGCACCCTCCGAGGGTACGGTAGACAACAGCAAAACGGAAAAAGAGTCTAGTCCAAAAGCCGCCCATACTGCTGCTGCTGCTGCTGCTGCTGCTAACGCCACGTCTGAGAGTCCAGACGGAACGGCAGAGACGAAGCCTGTGCCGTCCACCCGCGAATCCTGCACGTCAGCTGCCATTGCTGCTATGAACGCTGCATACGCAAAGTCAACACAGTCGTCCATTTGGGCGGCAGAGTCGGCGGTGGCTGAGATGCAGCTTCTAACGCAAGTCTGCAAGCGTTCTCGAGCACGGCGTAAATCAACGTCCGTCCTTCTCACACCCATCAATCGCATTTTCCCACCGCGGGCCTCCATCCATGAACCAGCCGATTACAGCTCGGTCATTCTTCCTCCTCCGCGGAATATGCTAAACGAACTGACGTGGAAATCGCAGTTGCCGATCGCACAACCTTTCTCAGCCGCACCATTAACGAATCCCTCGCCTTTGGATGGCGCAGGTGGTCTTGGTAGCGGTCGCTTAAACGAGATGCGTCGTAACAACGAACAAGACTTTTGGCAAGGCCAGCAGCTTGTCACCTCTTCGCCTCCAAAAGCAATTGCAGATCAGTCAGCGAATGTCAACTCGTCGGCCCCCCGAGAGGTCTCTATGAACAACGGGGCCTTGCAACAACCAACAACCTATGGCATTCCCATGACTGCGCTGTGTTGCCCTCAACAACCGACACAACTGTTAGTGCAAAGTTCCAATAATTCTTTAATTGAGCAACAGCAACAACAGAGACAAGGCTACACAAGCCCGACTTCTTCGTCTACCGTAGCGAGTTCGGCACCCCCAAGCTCGTCAAGTGACACAGTCCAGTATGCACAGACGATTTACGGTGGAGCACTGCCGTATGGGGCATCCTCTCAAATGCTAGCTGATGGGCAAAAGATTTTCTACATTACGACGGTAGCGGCTGACGGGACATTGTCTACGTCCGCAGTAGCTGGAACTACTTCATCACCGCCTTTGCCGACAATGGAGCCGGCACCGTCAGCTTTGCGAACAATGCTTCCAGAAATGAAGGGGCCGTCTGCGACTGTTCCGAATTCTGGTGGAGCAAATGTTTACGCATTGCCATCCTGGTCTCAAACTGTGTCCAATGGAACAAATACTTCGCCCACTACCACTACTACTTTCTATTCATTCTCCGCACCCCCGTCTGCCTCTGTCCCTGCAAATACGCCCGCTTCATACGCTACTACCACAACTGCCAACAATACTCTTCCTCTCGTTCCCCTCAACGCCGCCGGAGCTTCAAACGGCTTCCTCAATCATGTCCCCACAACATACTCCAGCCTTGGTGGAGAACATGAGCAGAATGTGATGTCAAAAGCAACACAATTATTGCCATTGAAGAGCCATTTTTCTGCGGAATCATCGACCTGATAACGTCTCTCACGACGTTGCACAGGTCTTCCTTATTCCTGAAAAAAATTCTGTTCTGTTCTATTGTGCTCTGTTTAGTTTTCAGTTATACAACATTTCCAAATCGTTCATTCTTCGTTGTGGACAGGACTCTCAGAAGTGCATTGGCTTTCTCTTTTTCCCGCTCCTGATCTTTTTTCCAATCGTTGTCTGTTTGTTTGTTTACCTTTCCCATTTCTTCACCCATACGCTTGCTCTCGCTTGTTCTCTAATTTCTTCCGTCCATTGAGTTCTGTTCTTTTGTAACTAAAAAGCTCTGAATGTTTGTTTTGTCGCCGTGTTGACCTCTGCCAAATTAATTGTCTTTGCTCGTTTCTTTTGCAACCTTCGTTAAGCAAAGATCAATTCCCTCTGCCCATGTACTCCTATTACCGTTGGATTGGCTTGGTGAGACGGAGATGTCCAGTGTTGAACAATGGTTGTACGGTCACCAGTCTACTTTGGTCTCGATGCTTCCTTGCTCATAAGAATGGCCCTCGGCATATCTCGTCATTTTTTTTTACTCATTCGTTAGCAGGTTTGCATACTTCTGAGTCCAATCTGAAGTCCATATCTCCTATTCCCGATACTACGGATTTGCGTTCCACAATTTCACGCTTTTTCGCTCCAGCGCAGCGAGTCTTATTCACGCGTCGGAAGTATCCTCCGAGCATTTCCTGCACACCCACGGCTCACTTTATGCGAGCAGCATCGAGGACAGACCTGTCTCTGTACCTTGACTTTCCAAAGCAAAGAGACCGTTATCTCGAATCACCAGAGTTCCGGAGTGAGCCGCGTACAGCCATAAAAATTGTTTTATTACTATGTTTGCTGAATTGTCTCGTCTTTTATCAGTGGGACTGGGCTATGGATGATGCCGTGACGCGCCAGGATCCGACCCGTCTGTACTGGTTACTTGACAATGCACAAGCTTCCCTTCATAACTTAGCGGAGGGTAGATGGTGGGTGTTACTGACGAGCATGTTCTCCCATCAGAACGCGAGTCACCTACTCATAAACTGTGTAGCCACATACTCGTTCATGACTCCTGTCGTTTTTCGCTACGGCGTATTACGGTCGTTGTTTATATACGTGTGCGCCGGTTTCATAGCCAACGTCTTTACCCTCGAACGTCAATTTCAAGAGGCACGCCGTTCCACAAGTCTTTCTTTACATCTCCCAAATCACGTCTGGCAGCTTTTACAATCGAAAAATCATCTTGTATATGAATCACCCCTACAAATGATGAACCCTGACACCCGCGACATTTACACCATTGCGTCTACAAACCTTCCGGCGGGTTGGACTAATGGATGCCTGGGCTCCTCTGCGGCCGTGTATTCCATGATCTCCATGCTGACTTGCGCTTACCCCCGTGCACAGTTCTACCTACTATTTGTGTTTCCTTTTCGCGCTTCGACTTTGCTTCCTCTCGATTTGCTTGTCGAGTCAGTACTAGCTTACACCCATTGGGATAGGCGGCTTAGTGTCGCATTCGATGCTCACGTAGTCGGAGCCCTGGTTGGTTTAGCAGCTAATCTTCTCGTAATGCCGAGAACTTGGAAGCTTCGCGTCCTCCGTTTCCTTTCTCACAAGTTCCGTTGACAAACACAGTGCATTTTGTTGCATGTCACACCTTCCTCCTTTTGTCCTTTCGTATGCATATTCGCCTAAATGCAATTTTGTTTGATAATGAAGCCATCTTTACTTTCTCTTTCTAAAAGATCAAAAGTCCCCTTCCTTGTTCAGCTAAAGGCAGGACCTGTTGTCCATACACGCCTAAAAGTGCGGTCGGTTCGTACTTTTGAATAATACATTACTAATTCAGTCTATCAAATTTATATGGTAATGGATATGTAAAAAAGGAGTAGCGCACCCTTGCAGAAGTTTGCAGCACGGGTCCTTGAACAAAGAACTTGAAGCACTCGTAAGTTTGGCAGATGCTGAAAACGAGGTGCACGTGCAAGTATAGTAAGTTTGATAGACAGAGGGAGGTCGTGTAGGGTACGGGAAGCGTGGTAAGCGAGAAGGGGGAAGTAAAAGAAGACAAGAGAGAAAAAAGCATAAAGGACACAAGAACGTTGTAAACATTCACGGAGAAGGAAGACAAAAGGCAACCACAAAGGTGCTCATGCTAATGTAATTGCATGTAAATGCACACACACTAACGCACGTACAAAGGCCGTTCTCCACTCCTGCAAGCAGATTAGCTACCCGCGCGGAAGAAGAAAAGCAAAGTGAGTAAAACAGAGAAGAAGATCAAGACTAGAAAAAGAGACGTAGAACCAGCTGAAGACAGTCAGCCTGCAAGGGGAGAGAATTGATAGATTGTGGAATAGCCGGCCTTTGATGCTTCCCTTCGTGGGTAGAATGAAAGAAACTCACGAACACACCAGAAGCAACAGGTCCGAAAAAGAGCGTTAGCACATTCACACAAGCCAAGAACACTCATGCAACGACACTTCATCAGCACGTCCATTGGAAACGCCCATATTAAGAGTCTACGAAAAACAAAGCCGGAACCACGCTACTAAAGAAAGCACGTAGTCAACGTCATGACCGGCTTAGTTTCCGTAAGCTTCCATGATCAGATCGTTGTATCTTGCAACGATGTTTTGACGCTTCAGTTTACGAGAAGGAGTCAAAAGATCATTGTCAGGCGTCCACTCGTCATCTACAAGCACAACACTCTGAGGTGTCTCAATGGTTGCGAATTTACGTTGCTTCGCGATGCTAATCAGATCAGCCAAAACAACCGAGCGAACTTGAGGATCCTTGCACAGCGCCGAAAGGCTTTCATCGGGGTTTCCGAAAAATTCCTTGCCCTGAACACTCTTCAATTGCTCACGAAGTGGTCCTTCAGCGGGGACGACGATGCACACGGGCTTGTAGTGTTGAGTGTCAGCATATACGCAAATATTCAAGATGAGCTTGCTGGTGTTGAATTGTGTTTCCAGCTTCTCCAAAGCAATGTATTCACCGTTAAGGGATTTAACAATGTTCTTTTTACGATCAATCAAGCAAAGCATGTTGTTCTCATCGAGCTCACCAACATCGCCAGTCTTGAACCAACCGTCTTCAGTGAAAACCTCTTGGGTCGCATCAGTGCGGTTGAAGTAGCCGCCGCAAACAGAAGGTCCGCGGATCCAAACTTCACCACGAGGGGGATTCTGAGAGGTAAGGTAGTTCAGCTCGGGAATGTCAACAAGCTTGAACTCCACACAGGGGATGGGGGCACCAACAGAGCGCGAAAACAAGTAGAATGCCTCGGGAGAAAGCACAAAACTACCGGCACAAGTCTCGGTCAAACCATAGCCCAAAAGTACAGGTGCAATAGCAGCACTAATAAAGGCTTGAGTGGTAGGAGCAAGAGCGGCACCACCGTTAATACAGTAACGGATACGACCACCGGTGGCAGCCTTGATCTTGTTGAAAACAAGCGCATCCAGAAGCTCGGTGCCGGGCAAATTCTTACCCATAAGGTATTGCTTCAGAGAAAGAGCGCCGCTGAAAATCTTTTGACGATGAATGGGCATTTGGGAAACCTTGGCCATAATTCCCTTGCGCAACGCCTCGAAAACAGCGGGCACGCCAATTAACACAGAAGGACGGAACTCGGCCAAGTCACCACGGCAGTTCTTTACACTGGCATCGTTGAGGGTACGAACAGATCCGTAACCCAAAACACCTCCCCAGTAAAGACAACACATCTCGAAAAAGAACTCAAACACGTGAGCCAATGGCAAGTAAGCCATCACATAATCCTTCTCGTTAATGTGGTGACTCAGAATACGATTGATTCCGGCAATAACGGAAACAATGTTGCGGTGAAGCAGCATAACACCCTTGGGCTTGCCGGTAGAACCCGAGGTGTACATGTAGACGCAGACATCGGATGGTGCAGGAGGAACCACCTCGCAAGGATTCTTCTCACCGGTAGCAATGAGCTCGTCAAACGTAATAAACTTCAACTGAGGAGCAACCGCCTTCAAAGCCGCTGTCTGCTCCTCAGTAGGCTGGGAACTGCAGAGAATGGTTTCAACGAAAGGTGCATCTTTCAAGGGAACAATAAGCTTAGACAGCAGACCGGGGTCGGTGAAGATAGCTCTGGGCTTGGACTCGGACACAGAAGTGATGAGACCGGGCTCACCAAGCGTTTCGTAGGCAGTGACAATAGGGACACTTTGGGTGACACAACCTTGAGCAGTCAAAAACCAGCTAGAGCTGGTTGTAGCGAAAAGAAGTAAACGATCACCGGCCTGGAAGTTCAGCTGCCGAAGACCGGCACCGGCGGCACACGCAAGCTCGTAGACGCGTGTAAAACTAATGTATTGATAAGGGCCCAACTCGTACAGGATCCAGTGCTTCTTCTCCTTCACTTCACGGTCGCCAATCTTCTTGACCACTTCACGCTCTTCAACGTGTGTTTTAATCCGTTTTCTCCAGCCCATAGCATCTTTGTTGCCGTGAGCAGTAATGGCTCGCTTGAGAACATCATAAACTGTGTTAATGCCTTCCTCAGGACGCTCCAGCAGACCCTTTGCAGAATGTACGGATCTGTAGACATGCGTCTCACCAGGCTTTCTAGGCTCTGTTGTTTCTAAACGTACAGTTAGTCATCAGTAATATACACTTTAGCAGGGCCCGTGCGAATAATCGGAACGATAAAAAACGCGGAAAAGACGCGAATTTTAAACCCTCTGCGCCTGAACCGCCAGCAGAATCCACGTCTACGATTTTCCGACGGCTGTTGACACAGGCTGCCGAGCCGACAAGCCAATTGCTTACCAACACTGAACAATTCCTTCATGTTCAAGAATGAAACAAATATAAGTCAAGTCGAGAGATTGTTCTAAGATGAGAGAGATTCGTTACGTGCAATTAAGTAACAGCGTATTGTCTAATAGAAATAGGAAAGCCCGTGCGTACTCACAATAGATTTTTGAGGGTATTGGTAGTTGGCAAGTTTAGTCCAGCCTATGAGTCAAACTTAAGGTTGGGATACAAAGCACAGGGTGGGAGAGTCTGTTTAAGCTTTCATACGTCATGCGCTTACCCCACACCATAGCGATTTTCCACTCCCACGCCATCGCCGATCACGTTCTCGGATCCGGCGCTTCACCGCCTTAATTATCAGAAATCGCTACTCTACGTCATCGCACAGTGGAAACCTTAAGTGGCACGTGACTTAATAATTGCGACAATCACCAAGCTCTACAGCAGCAACATTCATAGGTCCAGAAAGAAAGGAGGTATGCCTCCTGGCGCAGGCTCAGGAAGCATTTCTACAGCATGATAGGAGCAAACCGGCCGTTTTTGGGCCGCCAATTCCATTTCCCCCTTCTCCTATTTCTACTTTTCGTCCGATGCTGGCGCATGGCGATCCCCTACTAAAAACTTTTTTGTAGAGTCAAAAATTAAGTTTGATTTGATTGAGAGCGGTGGGATGATTGGTCTTTCATTTTCGCACTGTGCGGCGGCGGCATATGATACAAATCAAGAAGCGAGTTTCTGCGGGTCGTGCCTGGGACAGAGAGGCGACCAGTTCGGGCCGAATAATTCACATGATCGAGGAAGCAGCAGCACGGCACAAACTGTGCTCCATCACCGATAATGGAAATCGCTGTAAGGTGATTTTCCGTGAAACGAAATTCACTCGAACCGAAGCTCGTTAAGCTTTGTTGAGTTGCGGTAACATTGGATAGCGGACTCTGTAAAAACACAGTGCATTCTGTTGAGAAACAGTACGTTTCAGTATAACATATAACGACGCTTACGGTGCTCTGTAAATATTTTAACGATGTTTAGAAACCCTTCAGAAACGCTCACTAAACCTTACAAACCCTCGCTGCCTCTCTCTAAGCATCGCTGCAGTTCCCTGTGTGTCCTGCGACGCGCACTCCTCTTCCTCCTACCAACAACGCTACTCCCTCCTTTGCAGAATCACCATGACTAGCTTAGACACCCAACATGATGATATGATTGTACGTAGCAGTAGCAGGATGTTGTTTACTGACAATTAGCACGACGCAGTGTTGGATTACTACGGCAAACGCCTAGCGACCTGCTCCTCCGACCACACGATTAAAGTTTTTTCCGTTGACGGAAATCAACACCGCCTGCAGGAAACGTTAAAAGGACACACCGGTCCCGTCTGGCAATTGGACTGGGCTCATCCAAAATTCGGCACGATTTTAGCTTCAGCTTCCTACGACGGACATGTCATTGTTTGGCGGGAACAAGATGGTACTTGGAAGCAATTGTACGACCATGCCCTTCACCAGGCTTCCGTAAATTCTGTTTCATGGGCTCCCCATGAGTACGGAGCTCTTCTGGCTTGTGCTAGCTCTGACGGCAAGGTTTCTGTTCTCGAATTCAAGGAGGACGGATCTTGTGATACACGTGTGTTTGTCGCTCACGAAGCCGGAGTAAATGCTGTGTGCTGGTCACCTTCGAGTGTGTACGGCTCTATTATTAGTCAATCACCCGCCGCTGGTCCTAAAAAACTGGCTTCCGCTGGCTGCGATAACCTTGTCAAAATTTGGACGTTCGACGCTGACGTAAATAACTGGATTCTCGAAGACACACTTGCCGGCCATACCGACTGGGCCCGTGATGTCGCTTGGGCTCCTAGCGTTGGTTTGGCAAAGACTTACTTGGCTTCCGTCTCTCAAGACAAAACCGCTATCATTTGGACCAAGGAGGGCGCTGACGGTGCCTGGCAGAAGGTCCCTTTGACGAAAAAGGGATTCGAGGATGTCGCTTGGCGTGCGTCCTGGTCTTTGTCTGGCAACATCCTTGCCATTTCCTGTGGTAACAATAAGGTATACCTTTTCAAGGAAACAATGAAGAAATGGCAAATGATCAACGAAATTAGCAACTAAGTTCTCCACCTCTCGAGACGAGAAATAAAACGTCATGAGCTTTTAGAACGGGAAGGCAATGAAAACAAGACTCCGCGCCAAGTGCGTCGAGGCAGGCGCATATGACTCGGTACTGACAGTTTACCGGCACAGAGAATGTTAAGGATTACAATAAGGCTGATGTGTAAATGCCGCTCCACTTCTAGCTATCCATCAACGGCGGCACGCCACGAGCAAGACACTCAGTTTGCACGGCGAGAATTACCTTCTCCAGTGCTTTGCTCCATCGTTGACTTGGTTGGACAATGTGCCGAAACCAGTGGAGTATCATATGAGCTTTCGCCAAATTCTTTTCCACTGTAATTAGTTTGCAAACATACTTAATAAAGTAATCCACATCTTGCTGGTGCGGGCCACGGATGCAGTGTTTATACCAATGGCAGACTAGCCTCCGCAGCTCTGTCATTGTTTGAGCACCTTGAAATGATAGCACGGGATGCTGGGGTACGGCAACGGTATCCGTTTTTGGCAACCTAAATTGCATATTGCGGTCGCGCTTGATCTCTTTTCGTATAGGCGTAGGCAGCTCTTGAAAGACGGAGGGGTCCACTTCTTCATACAGCGGTTGCTTGCGCTTTGCCGGTCTTCTCATTAATTCAAACGCATTTGAAGTAGCTCCTAAAGGTTGTTTCACATTTTTCGCAGCAGGAGGCGTTTTATGACTTTTTAGCTGAAGCACTGGGGGGTGAAGGCGTTTGTGCTCTTCAAGAACTTCATTGCGGATGGGAGTGGGGATGTTTTGTAGGAAGCCTGAGTCTAATTGGGTAGGTATGTCGTAAATGGAACGCTTTTGTGCTTGTGCTTGTCGTTGAATTTCATCGCGTAAAGGTGTCGGAAGCTCTTTCAGCACCTCCAAGTCCAGCTGTGAAGGCGATGGAAGCTCTATGGGGGTACTTGGGATACGGAAGGGAGAATCGGGTGGTCCTTTTTTAATCGGTGTAACAAGTTTGGAAACAGTTTTCGTTGGAAGGGGTGTATTCGCAACCTGTAAAGTGCTTGGAATAGGTGTGTCTTTAACGAGCCGCTTATTCAGCAATGGTAGCTTTAGTAGACTTTGCTTGCTGCTTGTGCCGCTATCACTTAGCTTTAGGGCCTGCAATCCGATTCCACGGATTTCACCGGCATCAATTGAACAAGCATGAAATAAAACCACACACTTTTTTGTGAGCAAAGCCGTATCGTCTGTTGGTTCATTAAAGAAAGCAGACTTGGTGAGAGTATCGACTTCTCCGCATCCTAAGTATTTCAAAGTTTCAAATGAAGCGTGTTTAGCACGCTTTAATACACGCAGTTGGAGTTGCTGTAGGCGTGAATGGCAATCACGCATGCGAGATACCAGTTCTTCGCATAAACGACCCAAAAAATCCACGACGTCCTGTTTAAAAATGAATCGTACTCCCCAATTAACATCAACGGAAATTGAAGACCGTATCATATCCTCCTTTAGTAGGGTTTCATCATGGCCACGTGCAATACTATACAAATGGGCTCCAAAACTTGCACCAAAATCCTTCATAAGGCTTTCTCTAGAAATACTTCGCAAGTCACTCACAGTTTTCACTTTGTAACGCAAAAGCAGCTTTTGTTCTTGGGCCCAACCAACGCCCGGCAATTCACGAACAGTTAATGTCTTGAGGTAATCGCCGGCTACTGCTTCATTAAGCAAGTAAATCCCACGAGGTTTTGCTTTGCGTAGTGCTAATCGAGCCAAAAGTAAGTTTGGGCCAATACCGACACTAACGGTACAGCGAGTCTGTTCAAGGACGGAAGTTTGGATGGACTCCGCGGTCTTGATTGCCTCATCGTCATTTGTAAATATGTCTGTCATGTCTAATACCGCCTCATCAACGCTAACAACCTTGATAGCCGTGTGTTGAATGTGCGAAAGTATTTGATAAAATGTTCTGGCGACAGACTCAAAGGCGTCGAAATCGTAATCTACAAGTTCGAGTTCGGGACATTTGCTTCTTGCAGTATTAACAAACATCCCATTTTTTACTCCAAAATCACGAGCCGCATAATTGCAGCTGGCGATTTCCGAATTTTTTGTTCCGTGTGCAACAGCAACAGGCCGACCTTGCAATTCTGGTCGATCTCGTGTAAGCACAGACGCAAAAAAACAATCAAAATCAACATGAAAGAGGTAACGAGTACTAAACTTCGAAACTTTCCGCTTCTGATGACCGTTCTCCTTTTGTTTAGAGCGTAAAAGATCTTGCACTTCTTGGCGGAACTTCATTTTCCACATGCTGATATGATGCAAACGAGAACTGGAAAAATAATTTGAAAGAAATTGTGGGTTAATGGCGGTGGATTTATAAACATTGGGGTTTTGAAGAAGACGGTAATTATACAATGATGCATCTGATAATCCATCTAACTCATGCTTGGCAATGTGACGGAGCCGCGTTGGAGGCTCCACGACCGGATCATTTAACACTGTCGGAGTACTTGGGACGGAAGGATACTGGGGGGAAGTGTCTGAACGAGGTGTGATATGCTGTTCTTTAGGCGGTACAGGATTTGTATTGGGTTTCGGAGATGTGGGTGTTGTAGGCGTCGAGGATATCACATTCTCATTCTGTTCTTCCCGTTCTTCCCGTTCTTCCCGGTCGATGCGTTCGTCACTAGTTTCATCAACAGCACCATTTGTACTTGAAGCTGCTTTTGGAAGATATTTCTGTAAGGTGGTTTGAAAACTAGATAGCCCGACGGTACGGAAATCTGTCCAAGGTAAGATTCGTTGTTGTTCAATGCTCTGGACAACCCACGAAGGTTTTACGACTTTGTAATTTTTCCATGCTATACGTTTTGACGGTGTCAGATAGGTACAAATTAGATAGTCTATGGAAGACTTATTTTCCACAAACTGAACGAAGGTTCCTCCGTGAGTAATTAACATGTCTTTCAGTTCATCGTACGGAGGGTTTGTGTACCCATTGATGCCGAATCGCAGTCCCGAAAACAGTTGCGAACGTGCCTCAGCATTTGTTTCGGCCCACCGTGCCGCATGCTGCTCCTGTAGCTTTAACTTCTTTCGAGCAAAATAGTCTCCGTAACCAGAAAATCTACGGCTCTCTGACAAAGAGTTTGATTCATTTGAACCATTCGCGTTTCGCTTGTTCGGTAACGTAATTTCAGAACGTCTCCCACGTCTAGACATTTCGATAGAACACGCTATGAAGGCTAGAAGGTTGTTGACACACGCGAATCAATCAATATCCGGAATTGCAGCAAAAATGTACTAGAAACCTTTCAAAAAAATGAGCTGTCCACCTTCACATAACGAATTGATCAACAACATTCAACATTCACATGTGAATCGCTTGGTTACGCGGAATTCTAAATTTCATTCCAAGACCGCGTTTGGTAGTTGGAAGGAGAGACGCATTCGGCACTACATACTTCATATGTGGGATACGTGAGGAAATAATGGAGGAAGCATGGGGGGCAGTGGGATGTTGTGTGGGGAATTGCGGGGGTTATGACTGGGAGGTGGGTTTCACCACCAAACGCAGGAAAAAAACTTATCCTCCCCCAATACTCTCAGTAGGAACCATGTCTGTCCCAATTGCCGTTTACAGTCTGCCTGTTAAGGGCGAGAACGTTCCTGCCGTTGATGAGCAAACGGACTCCTCTGTCCATCTTACCATGGCTTCTATTGATCCCAGTGAGAAGTCGAACAAACCTGTTTCTCTGAAGGTCACTGTTATTCCCAAAGTTTTCGCTGATGAGGAAGTGGACGACGATGAGATGAAGGAGTTCTTGGAAGAAAACAAGCAAGAGTTCATTCTCTGCACCCTCAAGCCTGGTCTCATTTACCAACAACCTTTGGATTTTTCTTTTGGTTTCCAGGAGACTGTTACATTCAGTGCAATTGGAGGAAGCACCATCTACCTCTCTGGTAGCTTTATGGTCTCTGATGAGCCCTCTGATGATGAGGACGACGATGAGGAAGAGTCTGACTACGACCTTTCTCCCGACGAGGACGAACTCGTTGAGACCTTGAGTGACGAGGAAGAGCAAGCTTCTGACGACAGTGAGGAAGAGGAGGAGGACAGCTTGGACGACATTAAGGAGGAGAAGCCCAAGAAGTCTGCCGCTAAGACTGCCGGCAAGAAGAGACAGCAACGCGAAGAGGCTGCCGACGACAACGAAATGGAGGTTGAGGAGCCTGAGGCCGCCGCCAAGCCCGCCAAGGGCAACAAGAAGCAAAAGGCAGAGCCTGCCAAGGAGAAGAAGGTCGCTTTTGCTGAAAAATTGGAGCAAGGTCCTACTGGCCCTGCCGCCAAGAAGGAAAAGCAACCTGCTGCTTCGTCCGAAAAGAAGACCCAAAACCTTAAGGGTGGTGTCGTTGCTACTGACTACAAGGTTGGTGGTGGTGCTGTCGCTACCAACGGTAAGAAGGTCGAGATGCGCTACATCGGTAAGCTTCAAAATGGCAAGGTGTTCGACAAGAACACCAAGGGCAAGCCTTTCTCCTTCCTTTTGGGTCGCGGTGAAGTTATCAAGGGCTGGGACGTTGGTGTCTTGGGTATGGCTGAGGGCGGTGAGCGCAAGCTGACCATTCCCGCCTCCATGGCCTATGGCAACCAGAACATTCCTGGCATTCCCAAGAACTCTACCTTGATTTTCGAGGTTAAGCTCTTGAAGGTTCACAAGTAAAGCCGTAAACGCTAGCGTGTTCTATTTAACGTTATTACGAGCAAAAGCTGAACGGAAGTCAAAACAAAACTACTTCCGTACAGCACCGAGACGACAAGCATGTCAAACAAAACACGCAAGATGTTTTGCTGACTGTGCCGGCCTTTACTCAAAAAGTGCTTTTTATTCTTGGGAGGTTTGCGCGCTCTTTACTTGGCACTTCATGTGACAATGGAGTACTGTTTGGGACATTTTGGTAAAGTGAATTAACAATGCATGGATTCTGGTGAACGAAAGGGAATTGAGGAGAGAAGGTGCAGCCCGGGAAAGGGGTATCAGTGGAGTGATGAGGGTGTGTGAGTGTTTCCTTTTAACTGTGTTTTCTCTGGACTAGTCCTACTGCTGGTGGTGGTCGGATTTAGTACCTTGGAGGAACGTGTAGCTGGCTAACCAATGCTGTTTCAATGGAGCTCGTAGTGGGCACCAAGACTTGTTATGGCCGGAATGCGAGCAAGTTCTACTAGTAGTGTGTGCATCACCCTCGCGGTCAGTTGGCTCTACTACTGGTATTACATACCCACACACCTGCATACCTACATACCTGCCATAAGTCCATTAATCCAATATGCACATAGCGAACTATAGTGAAGACTACCTCAATTAGATTTAACATTCATTGCGCAAACAAGCACTAGCTGTAATAGTGAACCAGAACGTATATATCCCTATAGTGACTTTACGCATCTTTACGGTCTCCATCGCAGTTTTCGTCGCCGATCCTGCTGTCCCTCCGCCTTCTTCCCCGCTCACCAAAATGTTCCATTCGCTTCCACCCCGTTCCGCTCACACCACGGATCGCGATTGCTAACCGCGACAGGAACAGGTATAAATAGGCTGGGACGAGCACCCAGTTTCACCACACTGATTTGAATACATTTCATCTCAACACAACAACTTCACTCAATTTCTTTAACAATGGCTGCTCCTAAGGTTGGTATTAACGGTTTCGGTCGTATTGGCCGTATCGTCCTCCGTAACGCTCTCGAGGCTAAGACCATTGAGATCGTTGCTGTCAACGACCCCTTCATCAGCTTGGAGTACATGGCCTACATGTTCAAGTACGACTCCACCCACGGTCGCTACAAGGGTGATGTTGAGATCAAGGACGGCAAGCTCGTCGTCGATGGCCATGCCATCACTGTCTTCAACGAGCGTGACCCCGCCAACATCAAGTGGTCCACTGCTGGTGCCGACTACGTTATTGAGTCCACTGGTGTCTTCACCACCAAGGAGACTGCCTCTGCTCACTTGAAGGGTGGTGCCAAGCGTGTCATCATCTCTGCTCCCTCCAAGGATGCTCCCATGTACGTTATGGGTGTCAACCACACCGAGTTCAACCCTGCTGAGACTGTTATCTCCAACGCCTCTTGCACCACCAACTGCTTGGCTCCCCTTGCCAAGGTCATCAACGACACCTTCGGTATCGAGGAGGGTCTCATGACTACTGTCCACGCTACCACTGCTACCCAAAAGACCGTCGATGGTCCCTCCAAGAAGGACTGGCGTGGTGGCCGTACTGCCGGCGACAACATCATTCCCTCTTCCACTGGTGCCGCCAAGGCCGTCGGTAAGGTTATCCCTGCCTTGAACGGCAAGCTCACTGGTATGGCTTTCCGTGTCCCTACCTCTGATGTCTCCGTTGTCGACTTGACCGTCAAGCTCGAGAAGGCCACCACCTACGAGGAGATCAAGGCTGCCGTCAAGGCCGCTTCTGAGGGCCCCATGAAGGGTGTGTTGGGTTACACCGAGGACGCTGTTGTCTCCACTGACTTCACTGGTGACCACCACTCCTCCATCTTCGATGCCTCTGCCGGTATCCAACTCTCCCCCAAGTTCGTCAAGCTTGTCTCCTGGTACGACAACGAGTACGGTTACTCCCGCCGTGTTGTTGACCTTGTTGCCTACTCTGCTGCTAAGGACAACTAAGCAGCTCGTAGACCTGACACCTTTTGAGATCAGTGTCAACTGAGTGAGTTGATTCGATGATACTTTTTAGAACCCTTTTTTAATGAATAGAGTGCTTATGAAGTCAACAGTGCTGAGGTTGTTTGTTTTAGGTTTGTGTTTTGTATTTCGTGTTACTGTTTCGTCCTTTTTTCAGGTGTGTGAGTTGTTTTGGTGAGAATCGTTTGTCTTATTGATTCTTGGCTTCGTTTGTTTTGATGGAGCGGCATTTCTTCCTGGACTGTTGAGTTGGTTATATAGATCTAGTCGAAAGTCGAAGGGTACAATTCAAAGTAAGGTAGCAGCTGGTCGGGATTCTGTGCGTATTACTGAATAACGGTCCGTAGCTCGAGGTTCAGCAAAGCTCTTAAAAGTTTGTGTGAAGGTTTCAATCTTTGCTTATTCTTGACTTTCAAATTCTTAAATTTATCCCTCGCAATCCAAAGATCATATAATAAGTAAATCTAATTAAGTTATATAGTGATTCTTCATACTGTTTATGAACAATTTCATGACTCCCAACCTCAAAGAGGTTTGACTCTAGGTTGATGTCTATCAGTATATAAACTTAGATACCAATCGAATGCTTTAACGTGTATTTCATGTCTATTGCTATAAATGAATCACTCGTCAAGACAGTGTGTGTCATAATACTATTCCATTAGTTGACGTACTAAATTTAGAGGATCGTAGTGCTGTTTCAATTATTATGGAAAATAAATTTGCATATCTCAGCAGTAAATTCGGATGGCTCATTTAGTGCAAGACTTTGCGAATAGCCATAATGATCCATGAAGCCGTAGAGATAGAGGGCAACGCCGAACATTTCATTGGACTGTGCATAATTGAGCATAGTTCCAAGTTTAGTGAGTTTTTATTTATTGTCGAATGAGAACATATCAAGCGTTTTAAAGTACGGCTCAACATCGCGCTTTGTAAGGTTCGACAATGTAGACAAGTCCGTTAAGCTAGACAGTTTTACCTGGCGTTCACCGCCAGATGGAAAACCATAGTCACTATTCACGATGTCATTTAGAAGAGAATCGTAGTTGTCAGAGTAAGCGCTCACGGTTTTGCAAGCAAAAGCGGAAGCTATTAAAAGAAAAATACTCAATAACTTCATGATATGCTTAATTTCCTCTGGTACTCTTGCCTTTCTTCTATACTTTGGCTTGATAGTGACATTGTCACTGAATGAATTGATTGTCTAAGCCATTTCAAATGTCTTTTCAATGCATCATATTTGCATCTTTTTGCTACTCGACAAGCATCATGCTTGATATTACTTTAAAACATTCTTGTGTGATTGTAACATTAGCCTATTTACCGCTAACTTTCAGAAGCTAATGAAACCGTATTGTGAACACAGCGAATACAGAGCAGAACATAAGTCTGGTGAAGGTTGCTGTAGTAAATGCTGTTGCATCCTAGTGGCTTCTGTCTGTCAACTGAGTTACGACAACATGTATTCCTACTCTTAGTATCTAATTGTCATACAATCAACTATGTTCAAAACTTGGTAAAGTACGATGTCAGCATTGACTGTTTTCATTTGTGCGCGTTGTCAACTTTTGTATATGGATTGCATGTGTAACGGAAGCTCGGCAAAGAAACCTTTATCCGTCGGTTCGATAGATTCTATTTAAGTTGGAAGATCACTACGCTTTCTATTATTTCCAATTATAACAATGTGGCCGTTTATGATACGACAAAATTTACGGAAGGCTTAATATGCACGGAATTCTTAATTACTTATTCATGCAAAGTACATTAATTTCATAATAGTTCCCGCACTCGCGAAGATTAATATAGGGACTTTTCGCTATACTTATCGTAAACTTCCAAACTTTATTTATTTATTTATTCATTAAAGCGATGGAACCTTTGCCGAACAGTTGAAGTAAATCCGAAACATAACATAAACATCTTATTTTCAAAAATAGCTCTGAATCGCATTCAATCTGAATAAAATTCATCCGTGCCGAGGTTACTCACATGGGAAATTAAGTGTGATTGATACGTTGATGATTTTTCCCAAAAGTAATGTACCGAATACATAATAGATTCTCAAACAGAATGAACTAAATCATTTATATACATTTCGGTTCTATGTTACCACTATGTAACACGCTGAATTCCCCGATTATAAGTTTAATTATAGCAAGCTGTGTTAATTGAAATATTGAAATAATAAATCCGAGCCCAAAATTAATATTTAATCTCCAGAAAAAAAAAAAAAAAAAAGGGAAAGAAAGAAAAAGAATTCGTGCATTCTGGATACGTTTCATACTTTATTGACTCTATAAAACCTCATTGTAAAGTGTTTTGGCACATATTGCAAAACTCCATCACTATTTACACACCGCTATAGAAACATTAGAGCAGTGTCTCTATAGCCGATGACGGGTTGTAAGAAAATCACCAACACAATCTTTATGTTAAGACGTGTTTGCATTACTCTATCACGTATTCGCCTTCATCCTTAGAAGACCTCTCTCACAAGGAACTGCCTTCGTTGTCTCCTTTCATCCTTGAAAGTCTTCTTCTAAGTGGTGACTTTCTCTTCCCTCACTGCACCCACTACACCAACACGGAGGACGCTGCTGTAGGCGACTATGTCTACGACGACATTAAAGCGAAAGTCTGTCTACAATGTGGACGACACGGATGAAACCGTACTGAATCATGACATTTTGGCACAGAGAATTATCCAGGAGCCGGTTCCTAAGGGACTACAAAAATATTGGAATGGTCGGTACAGACTGTTTTCCCGGTTCGACGAAGGAATCTGGCTGGACTACCAAAGTTGGTACAGCGTCACACCAGAGTAGGTTTGACGAACGAGAGACGTTCGTCTTTTTAAAGGGCTATACTAACTACAAAATATACTAGATCGACCGCTAATCGTATCGCCGAGGACATTATAAAAAAATACCAACCAGACGTTGTAATTGATGCCTTTTCTGGCTGCGGTGGAAACACTATTCAGTTCGCTAAACGAGCTTACGGTATGTTTGTTGGGCAGTCGCATACTTGGAATTTAAAGTTTTAAAGTTTAATCTGCCGATTTGATGCGACACCGTTGCGACAACCTAAATGAAAACTAACAGGCGGGGCAGTAATCGGTCTTGAAATTGATCCTGTTAAAATTGCATTTGCTCGACACAATTTGGACGTCTACAATGTCGATCAAAGCAGAGTTATTTTTATGCAGGGTGATGTGCTGGATTCTCTTCAATCTCTCAAATTTCCAGCACAAATGAGGGTGGTAGTATTTATGAGTCCGCCTTGGGGAGGGCCAAGCTACAGTCAAAAGGACGCCTACTCGCTCTCTGATTTAACACCATACCCTTTCGAAGCGCTTTACAAACAAGCTCTAAAAATTACCCCGTTTGTAGCTGCGTTCCTTCCCAAACACACTGATCTGTACGAGTTGGCTGATTATGGCGACTTAACCAATCGAGTGCATATCCAACATTTCGCACACAATGGAGTTCCTCGAACTATGTGTTGCTATTTTAATTCACCGCTCTTGCCAAATGATGCTAACATTGAGTAAGACGTGGTTTCGAGTCCTTGCAATAACTGGATTTATGCAAAATAGCATACCCATTACGCAAACAATCGAGCGCAGCGGTAACAGCTACTCATTCACAATGCCATCCCTTCTATTCGTTCTTTCGTGACGATTCATTAAATGAGTTTATGGAAAAAAATGTGTTTTAACATGTTGAGGATGTAGTAATGCAGAAGGGAGAGAGAGAGAGAGAGAGAAAGTTTAAAAGGACCCTATTAACAGGAAGCCCGTGATTCTAATTTTTATCAAGCATGCTAGCCAGACCACCTTCTGGACGACCGAATAAGGGGCAAACTTTGTTTGTTTTCATGTGTCCCACCTGGCCGCAATTCGAACACTTTCGAGTTGTGGGCTTCTTACCCTCACCGTTCAAAGTAATACCTTCCTTGGCAGCATGACGAGCACGACGACGCTCCCAGTTCTTTTGACTCTTCGCCAATTCTTGCTCCAAACGCTTACGGTTGCGCCTGTCAGTGGCTTCGTCACCCGTAGGCACGACAGAATCAAGAGCTGTAGATTGCTCCTCAATTTCGCGGCGCTTCTTCAGGTATGCATGGATAACAATGGGGTCTCTTACGACCTCTTGCTTGCGTTCAATATTTCCATTTCGGTCCCGGTAAGTACGTACAATACGCAATACTTTGTCATTCGCAGATGGTGTGTCTTCCCGCTTTTCTTCAGGAGGATTAGCAGCATCATCACTCAACGATCTTAATCCGTACTTTCTCTGAAGTTCTCGTATGTCAGTGATTCCAAGGCCCTTCTTTTGGGCGGTCCAAATCCTCCGAATTTCTTCTTCATAGGCTTGTTGCTGTTTAGCAACATTATAAGCGTGAGCATTTTTCGTTTGAGGCTCATTCTTTTCCTCATTACTTTCATTCGCAGGTTTGAAACCACCTTTCATCGAGGTCCGAATAAAGCTGTAACCCTCACCAATACCTGTAGGATCACCTTCACCGTATAAGGTAAGCATGGCCTTACCCTGGGTAGCATTAATAAAGTTTCGTGTAGTAATCCAGGGTGCCAATAGCTGCTCAGTAGACATTCCTTCGTCATCATCCTCATTCAACTCATCGAGTGTTTTACCGTAACCAGCATCCTCAAGTTGACGTACACCGACTTGCATACTCTCCAAAAGGCAAACTGTTTCAGGCGACACCATGGAACGTGTTCCTTCTTCTTCGGGCACGACCTCATTTGGCTTAAGTTTCCAGTAGCCGGGGCCGTCACCCTTCTTCTGATACTCCATAAACTCTTTCAGACGCTGACGAATCTGCATTTCGTTTTGATCTGAGAAATGTTTGGAAAGCTGACGAATGAAAAGACCGTCGTTCGGTGAACGACGAATAAGACGGAAAACAAGCATCTTCAATCGATGCTTACTAGCCGTCGTAACTTTTCGCGAGTGCGGTCCAGGCACGTCAGTAACAGGGAATGTTTGTCCGCAACAAAAAACGTAGTTGATGTTTTTTAAATAATATTTACAGCCTTGGCTGTTTGAATTCCGAATTAGAATAAAGTCAGTTTCATTGACTTTGTGTCGGAACAAAGGAGCGCGTAACATTTTGTTGTATAAGGTAGGAGTAATTTCACCAGGTTCAACAGTTCCAAAATTCCAAAATGGGCTTCGATCTTGTACATCCAAAACATGGGTTTCACCAACCTCAAGCTTAGGTCGAGATTCATCTTGCTCATTCTTTTTCCTATAGTAGTTAACTATACGACTGGCCATACCAATATTGGAGAGCACAGGTGGATGTTCTTCTGAAAACTCGACACAGATCGAATATGTATTGTCACAAAGTGAAATCTCCTTCGTGGAGGGAATTAACTCTCTAGCAGATTTATGTTTATCTTTACTGCGTTTCCTAAGAGCGAGAGGAGAAAATACGATGACTGCATTAGGTTTAAACGTAATAGGCGGCCGATGATAACTTCTTTCGGCACGCTTACTCAAACGTGTCTTATAATAAGGAACAGTAAGCTTCTCCGCAAAAAATGCATGATCAATTGAAAGTTGAGACAGAGTGTTTCGCACCTTCGATTGGTGATTCTGTTTCAGCATTTCATAGGCAGCGTCGTTGGAGACATTATACTTCCAAGCAAGAGGATTCTTTTGTCGATGTTCTTGAGTGTTCTTCTGATTGTCTTCGCGCTTCTGAACGTGCAGTAAAAGTTTTGGATCATTCAAGTTGAGAACAACTTTATACTTGCTGGGCTCATCACCAAAAATACTTTCATCGGTATCCAAGTCAATGTCAACCAACGACTTATCAATTGAGAAATGACGTTTTTTTGCATTAGGTGAATTCACATCAAATATGACATCTTTTTCCCAATCGCTTGTTGTGAACATTGTGTGTAGATCCAGTCCATCGTTTCTCTTTCCGTTAGTCAATTCATTCATAAAAAAATCATAACGTACCTGAACAACTCCATCAGTTCTCCGTTTCTTCTCGTGAGCTGTGTAGATAGGAGCAGCCAAGGGCCGGCGAGCAGGTATACTTTTCTTGGATTTGAAGAATATGGAGAAATCCGTATCAACGTCCAGCGTTAACCTTGTAGGAACACAAACTATAGAAGTTAGTAAACCCAGTTACACATTTTAAGTTAATTAAAGCGTACCTCTCGGTTGCTTCTTCTTTGGAGGAGCAAGTTTGACAGGTTTCGGCCGGAACAGTTCAGAGAAGTTTAGAATAATGCCTTTCTTGAAAGATGGGAAATACTGTTTAACTACCATTTCCCTAGTCTGTTCCTCCTGTTGAGCATTGATTTCTTCTTCATTATCCTGAGCTTCCTTGGCTTCTTCTTCTTCTGGATGAGGCATCAAACCCGACGGAATGCTGAAACCAACACCTTCTAGTACTTGACCAGCAGCCTCTGCACCCATCTCCTTAACTAACATGCTGTGGAAGTCCTCATCAGCTTCATTTTTTGATCCGTCTCTATTAGAAGGCTCTTCTTCGGGCAAATTGTCATCAGAGACGTCCTCAAGATCGTCCATCATAGCATCATTGCTTCCAAGACCGGTACCGTCCAAGTTCAGACCAAAAGATGAAAAGTCTGTGATATCCTGGTTTGTCGACTTTGGTTTCTCAGTACTCTTCGAATCCTCATTGTCAGAACTGCCCATAGGAAGACCAGCTCCCAGTATAGACTGAATCATCGAGATTTCCTGTTCATTTGTGCTTAAAGCATTCTGATTTTGAAAAAAGTCGTAAGCTCCAGCTTCATCAGAATTCGGTAAACATACGTTGTTTCCGTTTTCCATCATCCGTTCTTCATTTATATTGTTCAAAATTAAATTATTCACAGACATGCTATCTGCAAAAAATGAAGGATAATGGAGTATAAAAAACTCCTTTCTGTTGCTTTTTACACTTCACCGTGGACAATGGTATGTGGCTAAGGACAAGTGGCGTTTTCGGTGTGTAGGATCCCTCAGGTAACATACATTGTTCCTCCTTGGGTAACAAATAACCTAGGTTATAGAGACAAGCAAATTCAAGAATAAACAATTGCAAGGATTGCAACATTCTGTATACACATTAACGTACTTGAAGCAGTTTAGAATATAGCACATTGCTGAATACACATGAAGACTGAGTTCGCTTGGTGCCATCTCGATGACACTCTCGATAGACAATTTCTCACTAACGAATCAGTATTAATATTAATTTTAGAGAGGTATTATGGAGCATTATGAAGCATTATGAGAAATTAAGGAATAATAAAAGAGCACCGAAGATATGATATAATAATCTTTTGAAGTTAAGTTGAAAGGGGACATCAACTAACGGGTGATTAGATCCATCTGCGTAAAAGTTAGAGGAAATGGTTGTGACGGTAAAGCAACAATAAGCCAATTAAGGTAGAAAGCAGAATAATTGTCAAAAATATGTACACGGGGCCGAGTTGTTCAAATACGTTGGACAGAATTGCCAAAGCAACTTGTCCGATGCAGACGCCTGTTTGCGAAACAATTGCATAAAGGGAAAAAAAGCGAGCTTCGCGTCCCTTGGGCAATAATTGTGAAAAAATGGATCGACAATAGGTATGCAATCCTCCGACCATGAAACCCAAAAAGATTGTCACAGCATACGCATCTGCGATACTCGTGAAACCGATTTGAGGACCAGTGAAAGGAAGGTCACCAATCAAACCATACAATGGAGCAAGGGGCAAAACAAATGCGGCAAGAATAACTGTTTGCAAGGAACTAAGATTGAGAGACTTGGTGAGTGTGGGGAATCCAAGAGTGCCGAATATAGCAAGAAGTGTAAAGGAAGAAATCGTAATTAAGAGCTGAAAGTTAGACATACCAAGATACGCTCGACTGTAGATGACAATAGCCGACAAACTTGTTTGCAAAGCACAGACCAAAAACATACGAGAAAACAAGAAGATTCGAACGGCCGGAATTTCCATAGCATGTTTGAGTGATTGAAAAGATTCGGACCAGCTGCCAAACAAGAGAGAGAAAAACGATCTTGAAGCCGTTTGTTCTACAGGAGTTTTCAAAAACAAAGCAAGTGGAATACTTGAGAGCAGCAACCAGACGGCGGTGATAAGCACACCGTTTCTCAAAAGTGTTTTTTCAAAATAATTAAAGTACGACAAGAACACATAGACAATCTGGAAGATAAGTGTTGAGGAAAAATAAACGCAGAAGGCCCAACTAGAAAGCTTAGTCGAGAGGGCCGTATGAAAGTGCTCCTCAGGGTGTTTCGCATCTAAAACCACACTGTTTTCCAAGAGCACTGGACCCTCTTCGTCTGTTGCACATTCTTCATCTCCCTCGGACGATGACGAAGAGGCTTCCTCAAGGATGCTTCCAGCATCGTTACGACGAAGATAATGGAGATCAGGATTATGGGAATGTCGTACTAAAATGGGTAAGAAGGAATCGTAAATAGAACCACACAGCACGTTGGAAACATCTGCAAATATAAAAAGGAGGATGTGTAACTCGTAAAGGTGACTCGGAAGCATTGCAATCGCTAAGGAGCTGATAACACCAGTAATTGTGAACAGAACGACGATTTTTTTCCGGTTATCGCGATAATCCGATATAGCGCCGACCGTGAACATTGCCAATACTTGAATAAATGTGGAAATAGCACCTGCTACAAAAACCAAAGAGTTTGTATTAACCCACGAGAGTCCAAACAACTGAACGACGCATGGTTCCGTTGGAGAAACAGAGCACTGTGTAACAAGATCGCTTTCTAAGACACCATGCTTGTGTGCATTTTGCATTAGCAGCAACGGGTTCAAAAAACCAACAGAGAAAACACCCTGAGGGCCACTTCCTGATCCATAAGCTAACCAACCAAAGATATGTTTTGCTGTAGTGATAAATGGCTCCAAGGGACCGGCAGACTGGAGAAGCGGCGTACGGACGTTTGCTGGCATGGCTAATGGAAAACCGATTTCAGCTTTTCACCGAGGAACACAGTGAGAATTGCTGCTTTAAAAGCTAAGTGGTATAGTAATAAACAAGGACGGAGCTGGTTGCCAGAACTCTCTGACGTAGGTAACGAGATGGGAGCAAGCGAAAAACCGAAACTAACAAGCACTCGTTAACCGATTCAGACTTAAAGATGTCTATTTTGTGGCTAGCAAATACAAATCCGCAAGATTTAGCTTGCAATATTGCGCGCAAACAGTCTAGAAAACCACGTGTGCGACATTTTGCCTCTCATAACTCGCCGGTTGCCGTAGCAAAAAGGGTGAACTTTAGGACGTTTAAGACATTTCGTTTAGCAGTCATGTTACCAACTTGTTCACCTATATAAGCTAGTTTTCAACGACTGTCGATTTCATAGTCATAAATGTATTATTTGAGAAATAGAGTTTCAGTAATGCCGCTTAAGGTTTCGCAGCAGGAATTCTTAAGATCAGGGAAATGGAATGAGGCAATGAGCTGAAGAGCGTTAGCAGGGGTAATATACGGATAGCTTTTAGTGTGGGCTTTGCCGATCGCCTTAAGTCAGGGATCGATTTACTTGACTTATGGTTATTTCGACATTGATAGCTTGAGCTGCTAGGCCCGGTTGATACACCTCTCTTTTAAGCAAGCTTGCTTAACAGTTTGCGGAATATAGATTCTGTTTAAGAGTGAATTCGCTAGGTCGTTTAAGATTGTTTGTGCGAAAGCCCTAAGACTATATAAATGAGTTCCATAATAAAAGTTGTTAGAGCTGTACCGTACTATGGGTTATAAGCCTCGACAGTATTGTTTATTCCGTCGAATTGATTATTGTAGTGTTAATCTAATTTAATTCAAGACCTGTCGGCTCAAGCCGAAATGATCATAAACAAGTTCGGATTATATTCACAACATGAAGCTTTCAATATGAAATCAGACTACACACACACTTTCAAACGCTTCAGGTTACAAAACGACTTGTTTGATTATTTCTAAAAAGGAAGAAAAGAGGGGAATAAGGAACGGGGGAATTCTGAACGTGATGCAAAAGGGATAAGGAAATAGGCGTCGTAGATGATCGTGTGAGATAAACATGCAAATGTAGGAAACCGAAAGGAAGTAGAAAAGGAAAAGGAAACCAGGTAACAAGAAGTAAAACAGAAAACGACTATTCGACGACAGATTGTCATTGAAGAAGAAACGAACCAATTAATAATTTGATTTCACCATTGCACGTATGCCTGTTGAGGCCTTTCGTGACGAAGAAGATCGTTCTCGCCAATGTGCTGATGAACCAGAACCTCGAGATCGTCCACGAGTAGAACGAGACGTAGTTTTCCGTACGCCTCTGCCTCGAGTAGAAGTTCTCGTAGATCGCTTACTTGACGATGATGGCTTAACGAGTGTTTGTGAATTCATAAAATTCAATATGCTCTGGCGTTCGCCATCATCCTCTTCTAAAGAGCTGGAGGGTTGGTAAAGGCTTTCACTGTCTGACGCAATATCGTGCTGCCAACCGTCTCTGGGTATATCATCAGCGTCCACATCGTACGCCTCGACAACGGTCCCCTGTCGACTTGATGAAAACTCTGTATCCGCAAGATTTTCCTCCTTCTCTGCGATATACTTTTCAATGACCTTTAAGAACTGTGGACCAACACGTTCAGCACGGTCACGCTGAATACCGTGTATGTTTGTAAGCTCAGAAATATTTCGAGGTAATTTCATGGCCATATCGACAAGCATGGTATCCGTAAAGTAATAGCTTACACGTACATCGTTTAATGCCATCAAGTTGCTCCTCAGCTGTTTAAGCTCAGCTAAACAACGGTTCATAACATCAATTTCGTAAGCTGTCATATTTTGCTGCATTGACAACTGGTCGAGATTAATGCGGGATGGAGGCTGCATGGGAGGTGCAGTTGTAGGCAGTTGAGAGTCATAGATTTCATCGGCAGTGTGAACAAAAGTTGACATGGTCGATTGTTTTTCCACAACCTGTCTCTGTAGAGGCCGTAATGGAAACGAATTTGATCTGGTCAATGTGCGAGCAGGGGCAGAGTTCGACGTCGAAGTTTCTTTGATTTCAAGAATTACTTTCTGTCTCCCTTGTAACACAGCATTAACAGTAGCCTGTCTCCCAGGGATAACATACGCGGATACGAAGCCACGTCTGTTCGCTTCCACACGTTCCATAAAAACACCTTCAGCGACGAGTTGATGGAAAAGACGTTCTGTATCACCCCGATTTAGGGTTTTACCATCACCGGCACCCTCAATACGATCCCATCCGTTCTCAACAATTCGTGCACTTCGACTGCCACGGAAGATATCCATGAGCTGGAGTAACGTAGTTTTTCCAGATATTCTTTTAAGTAAACCAATTGCTTTGATGGCGTAAGAAGACATATCTTTTTTGACATAAGTGGCTCCCTCGCAACATATGTCGCAACCTCTGTTACAAAGGGCTTTGTCAAAACTCTCACCGAAATAAGAAAGTATCTGTTTTCTTCGGCAATCTGACTTGTTTTCACAAAATTGGATGACCTGCCGAAGCATTTGACGTTGACGTTCCTTGGTCTCAGCATCACCTTCACCACTTGTAATAAGTTTCTGAAAAGTAATACTGTCTTTGTAACTGTAAAACATAATACAATGAGCGGGTTTACCATCGCGACCAGCGCGTCCAGTTTCTTGATAATAACCTTCCAAAGACTTAGGGAAACTATGGTGAATAACGTAGCGTACATCACCTTTATCAACACCCATACCAAAGGCAATGGTTGCGACGATGACTTTGTATATACCGGCTTGCCAAGAACTTTGGATGCGTTGACGTTCGGCTTTATCTAAACCAGCATGGTAATGCCAAGCTTTTAATCCGTACTCATTCCGAAGTTTTGCAGCAACTTGTTCACAGGATGTACGAGACAAACAGTAAATGATTCCGGATTGATCAAGACGGCCGTTACTGATGAAACGGTGCATTTCAGCAAACACATCCTTTTTGGGCTTTATTTCGTAGTAAAGGTTTGGTCTATTGAAACTCGATTTCATCTCGATACAGTTCTCCATTCGTAATGTGGTGATCACATCCTTTTTGACGATTTCATTTGCTGTGGCTGTAAGCGCCATCACCGGAACACCTCTGTACTTGTCACGAAGTATACCCAATTGCTTATAGTCAGGCCGAAAGTCGTGTCCCCAATGACTCACACAGTGTGCCTCATCAATGACGATCCGGGCAAGGAGCTTTCGAGTATATAAGCTTTCGAGAACACGGGAAATAGCACCATTGCTAGCCAGACCTTCTGGGGTTACGTATAATAATTTAACTTGAACCTTCTTAGCCATAAGAAACGATATCACTTGCTTTCTCTCATCCGATGGTTGTTCGCCACTGAGAGGTAGAGCAGGAATATTAAGCTTTCTCAAATGCTCAAGTTGATCTTGCATTAAAGATAGCAGTGGAGAGATGACAAGAGTTACGCCACGAGAATTACCGGTTTCCATAACGGCTGGTAACTGGTAGCACAATGACTTACCTCCGCCAGTTGGCATCAAGACGAACACGTCTTTACCTGCAAGAGTGCCGTTAATGGCCTCTATTTGATTCTTCCGGAAGCCTTTCAACTGGAACTTGGTCCGTAAGGTGTGCATGAGTTCTCGGGACCAAGGATATGACATTTGTGGATCATTAGGAGACGGAATAATAACGTTATGCGCTACATCACCATCCTTAGTCCCAGAATCGTGTGCAGAAGAAGCAGCATTGGCTGTTGCCATATGAGAATTAGCTGGAGGCAAGTTTTGTAGCGAATTGTTAATGCTCGTTTGCTGTGCTAATGGTACATCGACGGAACTATCGTCGTCATCATCATCATCAATAAGTATCACATCTCCAAGATCAGGCGGCGTGACATCCTCGATATGGTCATGTGTTGACGAAGGGAAATTTGAGTCAAAGTCTATATCATCAAACTCCTCAACTTCAGGAAAAGATACGTTTTCTTTTACGGGCAGGGTATTAGCTTGAGCGGGAGTAGCAGCGATTGTCTCCCTTTCATTGTAATTTGTGGGGGGGAAACGTGAAGCGAGCGTTGTAGACGGTGAATTCGTCAATTCTCTAACAGGGAAATGGTCTGGTACAGCAACAGAAGAGGTAATACTTTGTATCTGATGTGCTTCATCAAATAGCGTTGGTGATACGACCTGTGAATTATTGGCAGAATTACTTCCAAGAGCTCGCTTGACAGCAGTAATCTTTTCAGACATGACGGCTCGTTTAGCAATCCACACTTGTACCTTAGAAGAGCCAGGATCACGCTCCATTTGCTCAATTATTCGGTCTGAAAGTTCGCTTTTTTCATCTCGCAATACTTCCAAGTACTGATGAAGTTGTTGCAGAGACCAGCCCGAGAAATTGCTGTCGTTATTTGTGGATATAGTAGATGCTACATCGGTAGTCGTTTCTTTTGATAATGCTGCACGCACAGGAAAACCGGAAACAGAATTGGAGTAAGAGAAGACATCCGCGGTAGATAGGGTCTGCTGTTTGATTTTGGTTTGGGGATAGGTAGCAGAAGAGCACCCAGAGGACGGTATGGTTGGTGATTGCAAAGGAGGTAGTGGAGAAGAATTCGATTTTAAACATGCAACTCCGGTATCAGCTTGAGGATTGTCTTCAAAACACATCAGATTCTCTTTCTCCTCAGTTTTAACAGGATCACTTTTCGCATTAGAGGGCAAAGAAACATCACCTACTGTGCGCCGAGGAGGGTTTGCTTTAGCTAAATAATTCTCATGTTCATGCAAAAGACTCCCATCGCCCCGCTGCTGCATGTTTTTGGGCGGTAAAAAGACGTGCTCTTTTGCTAATGGTTCACTTTTATCTAAAAACGACATCTCCTGTTCTGCTGCACGCAAGAAATCCTCGTCAATGTCATCAAACTCCTCCGCATCAGAGTCCATGTGAGAAACGGTTTTCGAGTTCAATCCCGCATCAACCGTTCCAATTTCACTCAATCGTTTCTTAGGAGCAGCAGGGCTTCTTATTGCCTCTGGATATGCTCGTTTCTTTGACGATTCATTTTCAACCACATCACAAGTCAAATCAATTGCATGTGAGTCATCAAAATCATCAAAGAAAGAAGTCTCTGGATCACTAATAGATGCTTCTGCCTTGGTAGCTGGGGCCTTTGGAATAACCGGTACGTTCGTGTTGAAAGTATCGAAAGTCAATGTCGGTAAGGAAGATGTATTTGGGCTTATTTTCTGGGGCTTCTCACGAAAAAACCATTCTAGATGTTGTTTAATGTTTGTTTTCGTTGTAGCCATAGTAAACGAAAGATAAAACCTGAAGGTTTACTTTCATTTATTAACTAGCAGGTCACCGAAATGTACAAATAACATATGCAATTCACCCAGTATACAGCCTGAAAGCCTGCTCCTTTAGAAAGACGCGTATATTTTATTGACAATTATTGCCAAACCGAAAAACGCAGCCCAATGATTATACTTAACGCGTTAGTGCAGTCGGTAGACGCCAACCATTACTACCAACACTTTCATGGTAGCCCAAAACCAGCTTCTTCGCTAAGCTCGCTTAAGCTTAAATAAAGTGATCACGAGAATGCTTAGGCTGCCGAAACCTCAATTGTGTGCACCACCCTTCCCTTCTTGCGCTCTTGACCAGAACCATTCACGCAGGTTTCGCCTCTCATCGGCTTTTGACGGGCTTTGCAGCTATTCCTGGGCTTTTTGTTTTTTTTGGGGGTTTATATATGGTGTATTTTTGTTAGGGAAAGAGGATTTATATATTGGGCGATAGACAAAATGTCAAAACAAGGATTAGCTGCTGCTGGTGCAGAAGAAAATGGCACTAAGTCAGGTCTTGTGAAAAGACCTAAAAAACATCAGAAAAAACGTCAGTCTGCAGAATTCCATGCTGTAGAGAGTACGAAGAAAACCGTCAATTTCTTGGATGATTCCGATCGCAAGTTGACAGATACGTCTTCAATCAGTAAGACAAGCGTCAAAGAAGTTGCCCGGCAATTACTGAAAAGTCGGATGGAACTTCCCATTTGGGATGCTAAAAATGCCTTGCTTAAGAAATTCCGAGACAACAGAGTGCTTATATTAGTTGGTGAAACAGGTTCTGGTAAGTCTACGCAAATTCCCCAGTTTATCAATGAGTGCGACTTTTCTCGGGAAGGCTGTGTTGCAATTACACAACCCCGTCGTGTTGCTGCTGTGAATCTTGCTCGTCGTGTAGCCCAGGAACAAGGTTCAAAGCTTGGTGATACAGTTGGTTACTCTATTCGTTTCGACGACTGTTCGAGTAGAAGCACCCGTATTAAATACATGACGGACGGTATGCTTCTTCGAGAACTTATCAACGACCCACTTCTATCGAATTACCATACAGTCATTCTCGACGAAGCTCATGAAAGAACTTTGCTTACAGATATGCTGCTTGGTTTCGTGAAAAAGATTATTAAGAAACGCCCAGCTCTCCGGGTCATCGTTATGAGTGCTACTTTAGACGCTGAGCGGTTTTCTGACTTCTTCGATGGTGCTGAAATTTGTTTCATCAGTGGTAGACAATACCCAGTACAGGTTCATTATACATATGCTCCTGAGGTTGATTATGTGGATGCTGCTCTTCGCAGTGTTTTCCAATTGCATACGCAGCTGCCCGCCGGCGACATTCTTGTGTTTTTAACAGGTCAAGATGAAATTGAAGCATTGGAGAGTGTCATAAAAGACTACTCTAAACAACTTCCACCGAATGTTCCACAGTTGCACGTGTGTCCATTATTTGCCAGTCTTCCTCAAGAACAACAGATGCAAGTCTTTCAGCCTGCCCCTCCGAATCATCGCAAGGTCGTCCTTGCGACCAATATTGCAGAAACATCAATTACAATTTCTGGAATCCGTTATGTAATTGATACAGGTTTAGCCAAAGTAAAGCAATACAATGCTCGTCTTGGTCTTGAAAGTTTGTCCGTCGCACCCATTTCTCAATCTGCGGCCCGTCAACGTGCTGGTCGTGCCGGTCGTGAGGCACCTGGCCAATGTTTTTGCTTGTATACGGAACAAGATTTTGAAAAAATGTCCAAAGAGACAATTCCAGAAATAAAACGTATCGATTTAGCTCAAGCTGTTCTTACACTTAAAGCGCGTGGTCAAGACGATGTAATTCATTTTGACTACATGGATCCCCCGTCTCGGGAGAGTTTAGCGCGTGCTTTGGAACACTTGTATTCTATTGGGGCTTTGGGTGATAATGGAAAAATTACTGATATTGGTTATCAAATGTCACTAATACCTTTGGTTCCTTCTTTAGCACGAGCATTGCTTAGTGCTGTGGAAAATGACTGTGTCGCTGAAGTCATCGACATTGTTTCTTGTCTATCAACCGATAGTTTGTTCGTTTCCCCACAAGATAAAAGAGAAGAGGCAAATGAAGCATGGAGCAAATTCCGGCATAAGTTGGGTGACCACCTGACAAGTCTAAATACTGTACGCCAGTATTTGTCGGTCAATGTTTCCGCTCGCAAGTCATGGTGTCAAAAGAATTTCATTAATAAGCGAGCTCTCAAAACGGTGTTGGACATTCGAAAACAGCTTCAAGAGCATGCAAACCGTGCTGGATGGAATTGTACTGCCAACGATAATTACAACGCTGAAAGTGTACTTTGTTCATTCCTTCATGGCTATATAACCAACACCGCTCTGTTGCATCCTGATGGCTCTTACAAAACAGTCATTGGCAATCAAAATGTTTCCATTCATCCTTCTTCTACTCTCTTTGGTAAAAAAGTTGAATCTATAATGTATCACGAATCTGTGTTTACTACAAAACCGTATGCACGCGGTGTTACTGCTATCCATGCGTCTTGGTTAACAGAGGTTGCACCTCATTACCTGGGTCGCCAATCAGCGTGATTCGATGTTCGACGTTCATTATGCCGCAGCATAATCAAAGCTGATGGCTTGAAAATACTAAAGTGATAGTTTATCATAAAATTATCTCAAATATTGTCTTTGTGTACTGCACAGGGAAAATGATACTTATAGTTATTCACTTATTATTGTAGATCGTCTATACAAGATTAATGCAGCCGAAGACCAAATTGATTAAAAGAGTACTGTAGACTAAAAGAAAAATCTGAATCATGACTCTTTAAAGATGGTTCGTTAGTCATTATTCTCGTAACTTGTTATAAATACTGGTCCGGTCAGTGTTATTAGTTATACTGAGTTTTTGCCTCATTTCTCTCGAGAACTAAAACTCTTCACGACCATCCACAAACGGGCTTCTGTCGATATTTCTCATTAAACGGTTAAGCTGTGACCCCGAATTTACTCAGAAGAAACATGGTTCACGAATGTCTAAAGGATAGCACATCTGCAAGTTCGGAGGAACAGTTTGATCCCTCGTTTAAATTGGATGAGTTTTCTCGATATGGACGACAGATGTTGCTTCCTGAAATAGGTTTTTCAGGTATTTTTCTTTTTATTTCGTTACTGAGTACTCGTAATATATAACCTCTGTTTTTACGAGTTCATAACTTTAATTGTTCTTTTATTTTTTATATCGAAAATACTAACACTTATTAGGACAAAAAGCTTTCAAACAAACATCTGTTGTCGTTATTGGAGCCGGTGGGCTTGGTTGTCCCGCGTTGCAGTATTTGACTGCGGCAGGAATTGGCCATATCGGAATTGTTGATGGTGATGTAGTCGATTCAAGCAATTTACATCGGCAAGTAATTCATTCAACGAGCAGAAAAGGATTGCCTAAAGTCTATTCTGCCAGGCAATTTTGCCAAGACTTGAATCCTAATGTCAAAGTTACTTGCTTTTACGAAAATGTTTCTGTTGAGAACATTTTCGATATCATTCGTAATTTCGATGTTGTCCTCGATTGTACGGACAATCAAATGACTAGATATCTGTTGTCAGATGCTTGTGTTCTGTCCGGTAAGCCTCTTGTTTCTGCTTCAGCTGTTCAACTTGAGGGCCAGTTGCTTGTATACAACTTCGAGAATGGACCCTGCTATCGTTGCATGTTTCCACAACCGACACCTGCCGCCAGCTTGATGAGCTGTTCAAGTGCTGGCGTCTTTGGCCCCATTGTCGGTGTTATTGGCGTCATGCAGGCTTTAGAGACATTAAAACTTATTCTGCGTATTCACAAAGCTGGAGATGTGGAACCTTTTCAGCCTACTATGCTGCTCTTTAACGGCTTCAGAACGCCTCAATGGAAATCTGTTCGCATCCGTGGCCGACAAGCTTCTTGTACTGCCTGTGGTCCGTCTGCTCGACTTTCGAAAGAGTTCATGCAAAAGCAAGCAAACGAGTATCTAAGCATGTGTGGTGACAATTCTGGAGCTACTTTAGAGCCAATTGAAAGGATATCAGTACATGAACTCACAGACATTCTTGCGACGCGCAAGGATGTTATGTTACTAGACGTGAGACCCGCGGTACAATATGGAATATGCAGACTTCCTGTATTCCGTAATGTTCCTATTGCAGAATTGGACACAGTGAAAGATGTCTCTGGTGAAATTTGTGTCATTTGCAGAACAGGCACAAGTTCACAAAAGGCTGTTCGCCTCTTAAAAAAATTGAATCCTGCCGCAAAAATTTACGATGTAATCGGAGGTCTCTCTGCCTGGTCAAAGCAGATTGACCCCAAGTTCCCTACTTATTAAGTATGCTCTTCCTTTTTTTGGTACTATATTGGTCATTTGTTTTAATAGTATATACAATAATAAAAAGACAGAATGCACAATTCACTATTAATGAAAAATTGTATATGCAAGAACGGGACGTAAGAAAGGATGGTAAAGAGACGGTACTGAGAAAAGGACGTTAAGAAAGCGGATTGAGCATACTCGGGCATATCCAAAAAGAGTACATTAGACAAGTTCATTAGCGGACGGGACGCTATCGATTAGTGGTTGCTCAAGTGCCGAGGCAAAACCTGGATGCACATAAGGAGTAGCGGAACCGGAGGAAGAACTCTCGCGAGTACGCGCAATTGGATGTGCTTGTTCACGTTGGATGTAATACAGCGACACAAAGTTCATGGCAGGAGAAATCATTTTGAAGAAATTATAAGAAGACGCCAACGTAAATATTAGTAATGGAGCAATGACTGTACTTAACCAGTAAGCACGGCGTAGACTCATAAGTCCCATCATTGTCATTTGCATTATAGCACAGCTCATAACCATTCGTTGGAAGATCGTACTCCACAATTGTCCCGTAGAATGTTGAGGATGCTCCATGGCGTAAATTAGCTCGTATTTGTACACGATGAATCCCATGGTGAAATAAATAAGCCCGAAAACGAGAATAAGCGGTGAAATAATGCTGTAGCAAAGACATATCAGCATTATGAATAAAGGCTGGGGGAGGTAAATGCCGTAACTAAACGAATCGGGCTGTTGAAGAGATTTGTAGTCACGCAAAGTACGTGCCCGCCAACGTCGCACAGCAAAGGAGAACAGGTTTCCAAATTGTGCAAGTCGGAAAGGCAGCATACCTATTCCTTGCAGAACAATCAGATCAATGAAGAACTGAGCCTGCTTAGGCAAACGGTTGGCAAGCAATATTGCGAACTGAGTAGCGTCATGTGCCCAGCTCCATATGTTAGACGTTCCAGCAATAATGTAAACGAGAAAGAAGTTCACAAACAGATAAGCATAATTTTTGCCCACTGTGTAGATCTCTTCTTCTCCGCGAGAACTGAAACCTTGCATCCGTGACAACCACCGAAACAGAAAAGGCGAAAAATTGATGAACAACGAATAAACAAGAGTAGGCAGGAAGGTTTGAATCAAAGTACGCATGAACGGAACATCTTCCAGAAGACGCGCAAGAGACGGCCATAGCTTACGAATTGTATCGATGTTTATGAGAACGGCAATGGCACCGACTGGTACAGTCCAAAGAAGAATTAGCAACAGTGTAATAACGGAAACAAACCAAGACTGAAAAAATCTATGCCAACGGCCCATATACGTATTATGCCATTGCACGTCCTGAGGTGAAGGAGCAAGAATGATGTGCAGACCCATCAAGCTTTTCATGTCAATGTGCGTCTGTGCAGCGATCTGAGCACTAGCCATAGACTCGAATGTAACAAAAGCCTGGCCTGTCGCTGTAAAATCAACATGATGGGCAGCATCGAGTCTCTTATCACACTTGTATAATTTGGCACTGTAGTAGTCAATGGCGTCAATCTTTTTTCCACAACATTTGAAGAAATGCGAACGGATGAGTGGACGACAAAGACGATACTCGGCAGCAGCAAGAAGTGAAGAACTCTCATTGTAGCTGTTATTAGCTACTGGTGACGAAATATCGTATGCAGAAGATGCTACGGGGAGTCCAAGCCTTTCACAGTTCCGCAAGTATTTTGCCCAATAGTACTCAAGAGAGTGCATGTACCGATTACGATTGGAAAGTATTTTGTCCATTAAAGTGTAGTTACGGCAAATGCAGATTCGTTCGACCGTACCGATTTTAAGGTCGTTCAAATAACGTTTTAGAGCCAATTCACTGCGAAGCTCTGGCGGTAATCCAGAAACTAACACGGTACGGTCAGTTAAACGTGTCTGCCGAGCTAAGTACGTTTGACGTATGTCGGCGATTTGTTTTGTAGAAGCAAAGAGAACGTATAAAAGAAATATCGAGATAATGTAGGTGAATGCAACATACAAATACAGAAAACCATCACCTTTTTGGGCAAAACCAGGCCACTCGGAAATTTCGTCGTATTTTCGGCGGAAAAAATCAATAATAGAAAAGAATCCAGACACCTTTACACCTTCTGTGGAACTCGTGGACACAAAGGTGATATTACCAAATGCATCATCGCGAAAGTACTTGTTTACAGGAATAATAACGGTGACGCCTAAAAGCGATGCAAAGGATAAGAACTTCATTGCCATTCGAAAGAAAAGAAGGAAGACGAAACCATCTAAACCAGCACATTGCTGGACCGTTGCATCAGGAATGCGAATTAAATCCACGACCCACTTCCACAACGACGTGGAGAGCTCTGGTAATTGTAAACCGAGCAACGTTGACCGAGCTGCGTATAATTCTGACCATCGTCGGCGTAATAGACAGAAGAAAGTAATAGCCGTACTACCCAAGGCAAACGCAAGCCAAAACTGGGTGCGAAGATCACTAGAAGGACCTAAGCAGATTATGTTAGTGAGATGAACGGGAATAAAAACATGTGGAATGAGGAAGAGTGGGTGAGAAAAGAGAGAGAAACGAAAAATGGTTTAAAGTCGACGATAAACAATTACAACTAAAACAGACGTTTCAGTATGTCACCATAAAGGAGAAGAAAGTCCAATACTTTTAAAAGAGAATACAATGTTGATACAGTTTAGGAGACGCACAACGTCCTGACTACTCGTTTGTCCGAAATGCGCCAAACATGCACCGAATTTCATCTAGAGAACTTAAAATCCAATCTGCTTCTCACGCAGTCGAGTAATGGTTTCTTCTCATGTCCTGTCGGGCGATTGGTTGCTCAGGATCACAGTTAAGACGTTAAGTCTTTTCACTCCTTGCATAGATAGACCCAGTCGGTCTCTCTCCTTGCTTATCACCACCACATACCAACTTACGTACTCATTCTGGGATCTCCACCGGGCTCATCAGTATCTTGGAGTTGAGTAAACATTGTCAAGTGAGGTGAAGAGGGAAGCAGACAAACTGTCGCAGAGTTGTCGTAGTTGCCGCGACTTCGCAACTTCCAACATTAACAACCAACGCTACAATAAACACTCAGCACTTAGACGTACTGCCTGTTAATGGAACCTACAAACAAAGAAGTTTGGGACGATTCCGACCTTCGTCGCTCGTACGAGTTGGCGTTGGAGGAGTACAACAAGTACCACAGTCTTCAGGCAGCAGGGGCGGGGAAAAAGTCACCGACCGAGGTGACCGAAGACAACACCGAACTGGCCGATGTGTCAGTCACCAATTCCCCGGAGAAAGCCGAAGAAGGTGAAATTGAGGACGGCGAAGTCGGTGATTTTAGCGAATCACGTGGCACGGAGAAAAGCCAGAATGCGGAGAAGGTGACAAGTTCACCGACTAATCTCCCTGGGGGTAACCCTGAGCCCGGCTCGGTTGGAGCACTTCCGACCCCCCCGCCGCCGCTACCACTTCAGGGTCTTTCCTATGACGAAGCTTACCGCAACCTGCTGATGAGCTGGTATTATGCAGGATACTACGCTGGCTATGTTCAAGGAATACAGACGACCAATTCCTCAAAATAAAACAAGATACCTGTGCTGCAATGCAAGGAGTTGTAAATAGGATGAAATGTACGCGAGACCAACAGAGAATCAAGCTGAAGAGCCAATCAGGCGATTTAGAACTGATGCTCAAAAGATGAATAAGAATGGACAAAACAAAAACGGCATAATTATTTATCTGTAAAACTAAAATCTCCTGTTTCATTCAATATAAGTGAACAACGGATACAACAAAAACCAAAAAGACTATGCACCAAAGTTGCCTTCCGCGCAAAAGAAAGAGCATTACGTCAAGTGTCTCCCGCCCCGCCGGAACACAATTAAGCTAACGGACCAATGGCAGACTGATAGAAAACACACCGGTACTGCAGAGCAGCTTTACCGAAAAACATCCCTCGGGCACTTCGCTTCCTGGGTGAATCAAGAGTCATCTCGAGCGACAATCCCATAGTGTGAAAGTAGAAGAAAAACTAGCTTCTGAGGCCTTAGTCTATACGACCTCTATAAGATAATCTATCAATCTCTTCACAAGCGCTCCCCCTCATTTGTCTTGTTTCAATCCGTGTTAACCGTCCAGTCCCAAGTCGCTACACAACACAAAGCATTCCCCACCATAATTACGTCATTTTTCTGTGTGGGGAAATTGGCATGTCAGTATGATATAATACATTCGCACGCGAGTTGCATTACGTGCGTGACTGGTAGGCTTCTCAAAAATGACACTAGTAAATGCACCGAGGCCACCAACCTTAACCTAACCGCTTCACCTCAACAAACATATTTGTCGTTGAAAATACCATTTTCCGTTATAAAAACATACAAATTAAACCCAAAAAGCAAATAAATCTTTGTCAATGGGTCAGACTCTTTCAGAACCCGTGACGGACAAGCACTCGCTGGAGGGCGGCAATGAGCACGTTGTTTTTGGCATCTCCAGCATGCAGGGATGGCGTATCTCCATGGAGGATGCTCATTCCGTAGCTCTTCACATGAAAAACAAAACTGTTGAGGAGGCTATCGACTTTTTTGCTGTTTATGACGGTCATGGAGGAGACAAGGTTGCAAATTGGTGCGGTGAACATCTTCCTAAGCTTCTTGAGCAGAGCGAGGATTTCCAGAAGGGAGATTTTGAGGCTGCATTGAAGCAGACCTTTGTTGAAGCAGACAAGACTATTCTTGAAGGTATGTGTGATGTTTGGGAGTTTGATTTGTGTTCACAGGGGTGATTGTGCGCCTCTGAAGGATTGCAAGAGTCGCGTGTGCTGTTGATACGATGACGGTTCGCATAAATGTGCTCCTTTTTACGTAAATGGTAGTCTTTGTTTGTGGTATTGTCGTTTTTACAAACTTGAAAGCTACTCGTGGGACCATGTTGACTTCTAAAGCTCCAACTATGTGCGTTTGTGTTTACTAATGTGTACTTGTATAGACGAACGATTCCATACGGACCCTTCGGGTTGTACGGCTACTGTAATTTTGCGTGTTGGTCGAAAGCTTTACTGTGTATGTTCGCATTGGAAGTCCGGTTTAACGGGCACTCGAGCTATCAAGGGTAGTCGCTAACCTTAGTAGGCTAACGCTGGTGATTCTCGGACAGTACTTGGGGCTCGTGGTGTCGCAAAGCCTCTGTCTGTGGATCATAAACCTTCCAATGATGAAGAAAAGGCTCGTATTTGTGCCGCAGGTGGTCGTGTCGACTTTGGCCGTGTGAATGGCAATCTCGCACTTTCACGGGCTATTGGAGACTTCGAGTTCAAGAGCTCTGACTTGCCCCCTGAAAAACAGATCGTAACTGCAGTCCCAGACGTCGTTTGTCATGAGCTGACTGATGATGACGAGTTCGTTATTCTTGCTTGTGATGGCATCTGGGATTGCAAGACCTCTCAACAGGTTGTGGAATTTGTTCGCCGAGGCATTACAGCACATTTGCCTCTTCAAAAAATAGCCGAGAACTTGATGGACTGCTGTGTTGCCACAGACGCAGAAACGACTGGTCTCGGTTGTGACAATATGACTGTTTGTATTGTGGGTCTGTTGAACAACATGTCCGTAGAGCAATGGATGGACGAAATCGCAAAGCGAGTTGAAAATAATGACGGTCCTTGTGCACCTCCAGAGTACGCTGAACTACCTGGATCAGGCTGGACTAATCGTGAACAGGACCTACCAAATGTAAACATGCCATTCCGCATTCGCCGCGTTGATATGGATGCATCGCTCTCAGTCAATGACAAAAACGCTTCGGAAGATGCAGCTGCTAAGGATTCTGAGATGTTGCACGCTGATTCCTCTTTGGCCGCTGGTTTTCGTTTGAAAGAACACTTTTTTCCTTTGAGCTCGAGCAATTCTCGAGTTGTTGAATCTCCACTGCCTTCTAATGCTCCAGCTGTGGAGTCGCTTGAGAACACTGACTAATGTTCTTGTGTGGTAACTTCTTGCTGTAATGATAATGTCGAGAGCATCATGTGAGTGCGTTTGTTATTTCCGTCCTTCACTCTTTTAGAAGTTGTTGTAGTTTACCCGCTCTTTTGTGCTTGTGACCTGCCAAAACGTTTATTATATCTCTCCTCTTGTCTTCAGAGCAGCTGGGGCGTTGTTATCTAGTTGATATTTCAGCAGTTCCATAACAAGCGTTAGGTGAACGTTGCTGTCTGAATCAATTATTATCAGGACGCTGTATCCATCACAAAAGAACACACTAACATACACACACACACACACGCACACACATGCATTACATCTCTCTTCGTAAATGGAATCAAATATGGGTTTTATGTATCTGCACTGAAGCCACTGGTTTCTGTCACAATTTAACAGCGCTGCGGGCGTTTTGTGTCGATTTTACAAGGTTGTTTCTTTGGCATTAACTTCAGAGGCTTATTATTTTTTCAAAATTGAGACTAAACAGTTATGATTAGCCTGCTTAATTTTCTTCTCTGTTCCTTCCCACAAGTTATTTGGATTGGTAGTGACACCCTCGGTTTGGGTGATTGATTGATTGATTGTTATGAACAAAACTGTGAAATTTATATGATGTAAATGTTAGGGTCAAGAATCATGCTTTTGTTACAGTAATTTTGTTCCTCGTTGATGCTGAGTACGAGGGAGGCTGTGTGCAAGGCGATGCTTTTCATAATACCAGTTGGTTTATTAATGATCAGGATGCATTGTTTTATGTTCATCTTTCAAGTATTTATTTGACAGAGTGAACATAAATGAACGGTCCGTGTTTACTACAGAAGGTTATCGCTGTCTGGGGCTTTTCTTTGAGGTTCAATGAGTCTAATTATGTCGTGTGTACTAGTTTATTGCTTCTCGTTGAAAGTACGATGTATTGAGTATTAGTGAATAAATGAGACTTAAGATACTTCATCATGGAGGGGAAATTCGACCGAGTAGTGACACGAGAGACAAATTCTGCAGTTTGTCGACTTGGACGGATATCGCTGTTTTTCCTCGTTTATCCTTCAGCGCCAAATTCCTTGGTAAACATGATGTGTCGTTCAATATCTGATTGATTAAGTGTCGGCTTTACCTTGCGGACTGCACTGTAAAAGTCACGAACAGTAAGCTTTGGCTCAAGCAAACGTTCTGAGTCAATATCCATCCATGTAGCCTCATATGCATCTGGATCACCTGGCGAACAAGGTGTAATCATATCACTTTTCGTCGTTGGATCATAAACAGTCTTAAAATGTGTTGCTGTGTGAATGCGGCGAACGGGTTCCATAATAGCATCACGTACCACTGTTGCGATGTCTGAACCAGAGTAGCCTTCTGTAAGTTTTGCAAGCTCTTTATAGTCTTCATTCGTAAGCTCTGAAGGAATATTTCCAACATTAAGTTTGAATATCTTTGCGCGTGCGTGTAAATCGGGAAGGGGAATGTAAATGCGTTTCTCGAAACGACGACGAATGGCAGAGTCTAATGCCCAAGGAATATTTGTCGCACCTAATATTAAAACACCGGATTCATTCCGTCCAACTCCATTCATTTGAACCAAGAACTCGGTTTTGATACGGCGTGAGGATTCACTTTCACTATCACTTCGTTGTCCACAAAGCGAGTCAATTTCATCAATAAAAATAATAGAGGGTTTATTTTCTCTAGCCATCTCAAACAATTGCCTCACAAGTCTGAATTTTAGTTAGAGCGGGTTGCAGAAATCACGAATACAATTAGCGTACCTTTCACTTTCGCCTTGCCATTTACTCACCAAGTCAGATGAGCTAATGGAGAAGAAAGTCGAACCGGCTTCTGTTGCAACTGCCTTTGCAAGAAATGACTTTCCGGTACCCGGTGGCCCATACAACAAAATGCCAGACCATGGTTTCCGACCATGAGAAAACAGCTTTGGAAGCTTTATAGGTAAAAGTACGGTTTCTTTTAATGCCTCTTTAGCATTTTCCAAGCCTGCTACGTCGTCCCATTTTACATTAGGTTTTTCCGAAAGAATTGCACTTGATAAAGCACCTCGAAGCTTCTTAACTTCTGCATCTGCAGTGTCAGAAAGTCCATTTGCTGCACCAGAGCCTGGTTTAGGAGCGTCCTGGCTTAAAGAATTTCCATTCGATACAGGTGCTTGTACACTTTGTTTTTGAAGAAAGGCTTTGATTTGCTCAGCACGATCCAGGTACTCTACCACTTTATTTCGAATTAAGGTTTTTGAGTTTTCGTTATTTTCATCTTCACACTGTTAGTATCGAGTTTGTATAATTGCAAGCGAGGTGTAATATGTTTCTTCAGTTTTCGCATGCCATGAAGAGATCATCTCTATTATAAACAAACGTACACTTCAAAGCCATCATAAAGTAGTCGAGAGCGTTTTGATAATACTTATACGCCTCTGTGTATTGTTCCTTATTATCATTATCAATGGCTAATTTCACGAGCGATATTGCTTTCTATACAATGCATTAGTAAGACAAATTTCAATGAAAAAAGGAATAAAAACGTTCTTACGCTTAGAAAATCTACAGATGCCATTTTTTTGTCCTGTTTAAGAAGTGGTTGAAATCAGTAGTAAACCACTTGAACGAAAGAAAATTCCTCAATATTATGAGTTCAAAGTCGTACAACTGATTAGTATGCTAGCTTTCTTTAATCTAGAATGTATTCGCGATGTTTGATAGACCTTCTGTGGGTTACAATGTAGCTACGTCTAAGTGTCTGTTCGGTTCTCCAAAAGCGAACGCGAACGCCATTCACAGTTAATCGCTGTTTTTTGAATCAACGGAAAACGTTTACCTATTAATTATTCTTCTTTCTGTCTTTATAGAATCACTCGCATAACTAAGAGTTGTTCACCATTTGTGTCGTGTCGTTATTGGTAACAAATCAACCATTTAGTAACAGAAGGGGCGTTTTCATTACTTGTTATGGAAATTATATCTATTAACGGGAAGAACTCTCTTCCGTACGATTTTCAAAAATTCTGTAAATACTTAGAAAATGAGCATTGTTTGAACGAGGATAAACTGACACAAGATATAAACGAACTCGCGCTTGCTCGTGATCAGCTTTCAAAAAAACGGTATTCGGATAACTATCTTGTACTTTTAGACAAATATGAGGCAATGTTGCGAGTACTAGAACAGAAGTATTCTAACGCGGTTCCATATCCATTTGCCTGGAGTACGTCTATTTCCCCTTCACGAGTGGAGCAATTTTCTTCTCTGTACTTTGAACACGGTTCTTTATTGTTTCAAAGAGCTGCTGTATGTACACAGCTTGCCCAAGAATGTATGCAAAATGATGTCGTCGATTCCGTTAAAGCTTGTCAGTATTTACAAGCATCCGCGGGTACTTTCAAATTTATCTACCAAAAATATGTCTTTCCTGATTCGGAGGATTTACGTTTAGAGTTACTAAAAGGCTACGAACATGTTTGTCTTGCTTATGCACAAGCATGCGTACTTTTTAAAGCAATTGAAAAGAAATCCGTTCGTGTTTCTATTCTAGCAAAAATTGCTTCACAAGTTGCTGTATACTTCACTCAAGCTGAAAGCTATATGCGTCAGGCGGAATCCGTACCTAATTACATATTTGTTTTGTTAAAGACAAACTATTTTTACTACAAAGCGATAGCTCATCAACACTTTGCAAAGGTTGCGCTTGAAAGCTCTAAGTTTGGTGTGCAGGTTGGTCATCTTAACTGCTTAATAGATGCTTGCAGAAATGTTCTCAAGCAGTCTTCCATTCCGTCTACAAATACCATTAAAACAAATGCACAGGACTTGCTGACTATAGTAGAACCAGAGCTGACGATAGCAATGAGAGACAATGATCTCATTCATCTGGAAGCTGTACCAACGTCCAAAGAATTAGCCTCGCTGGAGAAAATAGATATGGTGCGTTCCATTGTGCCCCAAAACTTGGAGGATGAACCGAAAGTGAATGCATGCTTCCTAGATGCTTTAGTCTCTACTTCGGTATATTTAAGATATAAAAATTTGTCTGAACGTGCTATTTCTTTGAAGAAGGATGCAATCAGCAAGTTGGAAACTTTAACTGATGCAGGTAACGAGTTAGTTTCACTGTTTGAGATCTCTTTGCAGAAACAAACCTCATCTTCCTTTTCTCAAAACGCGTACAATGATATTATCCATTATTCTAAGGAGATTAAACGACTTGGAGGAACTTTAGTACTGTCAGAGGCCGAAAATCAACTTAACCAATTAATACAAAAAACTACAAAAACTCTTACTGAATCGAAAAAGCTGCTACAGCTGGATGATAGTCAGGATTCGGCCCTTCGTTTGAAGTATGGTACGGACCGCTGGAAACGTGAAGCAACAGAACATGCCGCAAGAAGTCTTCTTTTAACTCTGCAAGAACATGAACTAAGTTTGCGTAACGCTTGTGAGGGAAAAGCGAATTTGGATACAAAGTTGCGGAAATATACGTCCGTCCTCCTTTATCTTGAAAGTGACACAAAACAGCTTTTTTCGCAATTGGAAAACAACAGTAATCCTCCCTCAGCAGATGAGTTACGTTTACGTGAAGATGTTCAGTCAAGTTTAACCACTTGGAAACAGATTCAAAGTCATCGGCAAGAATTACATTCAATTTCTCTTCCAGAAAATACCCTGGAATTGCTTAATCGTGGCGGGAAAGAACAAGCTGAGTTGTTGATGAAAAACTTTCAGCAAGAACTTCACAATCAGTTTAATATCGAACAGCAGGAACTTGAACAGAGTTTGCTTTTTGAAAAAATACAGGCTCAGCTTTCGCAACTTCAGACAATGCGATCATTAACGAAGAAAGGAAATGATATTGAATCACTTTATGATCAACTAACTGATGGTTACCAACGTTTTATTGAATTACGTGAAGAATTAACCACCGGATTGAAGTTTGTTAATGACCTTTATGACCTTGTTCATCTTTCGCATGGACGCTGTATGAAATTCTGTGATAGCCGGAATGTTGAAGCGAAGCAGATTATCTCTAATTTAGAAAGCCGTGTGGAATCTCCAACAAAGCTCCCGAAAGCCGGCGTTTTTGATCCTACTGTACACAAAATTCGTTTTCAAAAGAAGCGCGAATAGAAACATATATACGATTCCTTATTAGATAACTTAGCTAGTCATGACAATATTATTGAGATATCATATTAAACGCTAATTGATGAAACCAACAGGCAAAGGGCTATCTTTATTTTGTTTTTTTAAATGCGTTTGGTCGCAAAGGCTGAGCGATACCGTCATTGTTTACGCCCAAACCAAGGCCCTGTTGCCATCCAAATTTTTGCAGTAATCGTTTCGCAAAACCTTTCTTTGCTTTTCTTGTAGAATTCATATCCTGTTCAGGAACATGTGATGAAATACTCTCATTTTGCAACTGAGATTCTGACTCCTTCATCGGAACATTTTCTAAGAGAATAGCTGGTGGTCGGATACCCAGATATTGACTGTCTTTTTGCAAAGCGGTGGGTTCAAGTTCTTTGATCTCTGGATGCTTTACAAGATAATCTTGCCATTCTTCTTCACAACGAACATCCTCTTCACATTTGAAATAAAGTGACAATTCTGTAGGCTGTGTGGGATCGTAATCAACATCAAGAGGAAAGTTTGTTGCTGAACTTTTATGACCAAGTTCATTTTCTGATTTAAGTGAAGCAGCCACGTTACCAATTGGTAACTCCTTAACACTATGCCCAGAAGTTGTATCACTCCTGTACTCCCCTTCAGAAGTTTTCGTTTTTTCTTCATTGTTTTCCCCCACTCGAGTCAATGTTCGTGAGGTTGCTTCAGGGCGAATTGGTACATTCCGTTTCACAGGCCGCCTCCGACGGACATTCGGAATAAACTGCAGTGGATTTTGTTCTTGTACAGGCGGTTTATCATCCTTTATTAGATTTACATCTGACGCATTGCGTACAGGCTGGATTCTGTTCAGCTGTTTGGATTCCTCTTCCTTAGATTTAGCGACAGTTTTATGTGCTTGTGCATTAATCTCATCTATAGAAGTATTATCAAGGCCTTCGTACAAGGAGAAGGCCATCGTTACATGGAATTCTAAAAAATTTTGTTCGCAGGAACGGATTCCTACATGAATGTGAAGCGATCCCGAAAAGTATTAAGAAAAAGAAACAGACATTGATTGTCTTGACGTAGTCAGAATGTAGTTTATAAACAGTAACTTTTGGTAAATTTCACTTGACCGTGGGTTCGTCTTCGGCTCGATGACCTAACTGTTCCTTAGCCTTAGGAATAGGTCTTCCACCAGTTTTTTTCGTTGACGTGTCAGACGTTTGTATTTGACTTCGGAGTGTTTTCTATTGATTGAATTACGTCTCGATTGTTGTTGTTCACGTAGCTTTCTTAATGGATGTCAATGCAGCTGCTAAGTCATATTTCAAGCGAATCTTTCAGGAAGTTTCAGGATTAAAAGTAGTTCTTCTTGATAAAGAAACAATTTCAATTGTCTCTTCCTGTTTAACACAGACTGAGCTTCTTGAAAATCAGGTTTATTTAACAGAGTATGGTGGTATACACTTAAGTTAGCTCAAACATTAACATTCTGTTACAGAGTACTCGAAAATCAAAGGGAAAATGTTCGTCATTTAAAATGCGTTGCTTTTATACGTCCTACGAAACTTCATATAAGACTTTTGTGCGAAGAAATTCGGAACCCAAAGTATGCTGAGTATCATCTTTATTTTACAAATATTGTGAGCAGAAGTCTCCTGGAAAGAATTGCAGAATCCGATGACTTTGAAGCGGTTAAAAGTGTACAGGAGTATTTCTTAGATTACGAAGTTGTCAACTCGGACTTTGCTTCCTTTGCTATGCCTCACGTATTAGGAACGGCTAAAGATACTTGGGATGAAAACGCTCTTGAACGAGTGCATCAGGGTGTCGTTTCCTTACTCTTGTCTTTGAAGAAGAATCCCGTAATTCGTTATGATGCAAATAGTGACATGTGTTTAAAACTCGCTGGACAGATTTCGTATACTATACAACAGGAACTCCAGCTATTTAACTTCCGGAAGTCTGATGTCGATCCACTACTTCTAATCCTAGACCGCAAAAATGATCCAGTAACACCATTATTAATGCAATGGACATATCAGGCAATGGTCCATGATTTATTTGGTATCCAGAATGGACGAGTGACACTCCCAAATACCTCGGACGCTTCACAAGAACCACAAGAATTTGTTTTGAATCCATTTCAAGACAACTTCTATCAGGAAACAATGCTCAATAACTTTGGAGACCTTGGTATAAAGATTAAGAATTATGTTTCTCAATTACAATCCAAATCCTCTAAAAAGGCCAGCGATATCGAAACTATTGATGACATGAAACAGTTTCTGGAAGCTTATCCTGATTATAAAAAACTCTCCGGAAATGTGTCCAAGCATGTGGCACTTCTGAGTGAACTATCTAATCGCGTACAACATGACAACTTGTTGGAATTGGGCGAGTTAGAACAGAGTTTGGCATGCAATGACTCTCAGTCTAGTGATTTCACGGCTATTCAAGCTGCATTAATGTCTACCGTACCTGACACCCTGAAGCTGTGTCTGGTTTGTCTCTATGCTCTTCGTTATGAAAAAGATTTTCCAGGTAATGTTAAAACTTTACAAGCGCTATTAGTCGCGAATCTCTCAAACCCTATGTCGGCTTCCTGCGTTCCTGTTTTACTCAGTTTGTGTGGTAAACAAGCGAGACAAGATGAGATATTTCCTTCCTCCAATATCTTTTCAAAAGCCGCTAGAAGTGGACTCCACGGTCTTCGGGGAGTTGAAAACGTTTATACGCAGCATGTTCCTTTCCTTAAAGTCATCTTAACCGATATATTAAATGGAAAACCTCGGACAGCCACTCAGCCCTATGCCTCTACTGTTAACACCGCTATAATTAAGAAACCACAAGATATCATTGTTGTCATTGTTGGCGGCGCTACTTTTGAAGAAGCAAAAATTGTTTCCGAACTTAATGCTGCTCAAAATGGTACTCGAATTGTTTTGGCTAGTAATGCGGTATTAAACTGCAACATGTTTGTTAATGTAAGGCACAGTGTTAAAACAACTACTAACATTTTAGGATTTACTTCGCTCAGCGCAAACCATTGGGAATGAATAGAACCCTGTAACGAATTTAAGATTTTGACGCTACTTACCCGCATATTATTATGAAACGAAATAAAGTCGCTTTTAATTCTCTGTAGACACGAGCTCGTCTATTGTTCTACCCACCTAGAAAACCGCGACCAGTCATTGACAAAATTTTTGTAGACCACTCTCGATGATGCATCGAGTGCTGCATTGATGCTTTCCTTTTCATGAGTGGACAAGTTCTCATAGATAGCATTAAATCCAGGAAGGAGTGCTTCTTTTATGTCCGGTGAATAAGTGTACCATATTTGATAGTTCATGAATTCAAGCAAAAGGAAAAGGAAATGCTTGGCTGAAGCTTTTGTAAATAATTTGTCTGCATTCGATAAAACAGAGGTACGCTTATTAGCGTCGTGCATGAGATTTGGATTCATCCAAATGGTTACTAACCGAGTGAATCCATTAGCTACCTCATTAGTGAAAGCACTATTTTTGGGAAGCCATTTAAAGCGTCCCTGTTCTTTTTGAGATTTCTGATCATTTTGAGTCCGAGTAAAGGAGACAAGGAAACCTTTTAGTACAGCAAACAGAACGTGGAATCGTCCATTAATATACGATCTGTGATTGTAGAGAAGACCTGTCAAAATTGAAATGAGCTCTAAAGCGAACTCATTTGAGTTAACCAAAATTGGTCCTTTGTATCGATTACCACAAAAGTAACTAAGTGAAAGAAGAAGATGGTTCATGCCTGTATGATTTAAGCTTTTGATAGGCATGTGTGCATAAATTTTAATAATTTTTAATACGCAGAAAAGAGATGGTTCCGAGAGTGAAACGTTTTTCAAAAGAATTTGTGAAAGTGTATGAAGAATATCCGAGGAAACCGTTGCAGTTTCCGTATAAGGTATTTCTGCTAATTGCGCCAGTAGCAACAAAACTCTTAGAATCGAGGAAAGCGGTATTGCCAGCTCGTTTGGCGCATGCGCAATGTGTGTGCAAAGGGAAACCGTTTGCTTTAGGAGACAAATGTTCTCTTCATCTGTCCGACCTTGTAACATAAAGCGAATATCCGAATCACTTAACAAGAGCACCTCATTCTCTTTGGAGAAAGCCGCCAAATACGCTAAACATCTAAGACAATCATCAACAGAGTTTGCGGTTAAAGCAACCAAAGATATCCACATCGGAAAAACATCATCTTCTGTCGATTGATCGATATACTTCATAATCACAAGCTCGATTTGATTTCGCAAATTAGAAAGACGTTTCATCAATGAATCATCTGATACACTTAAACGGACAAGGTTTATGCATGAACCAAGATAGTATTTAGTATAAGCTTTGGAGACTTCATCTCCGTCAGCACATGGTTTAGTGGCATGGAATAGAAACTCTGCCCCCTCATTTAACATAGGGGGAAAGATTTTGTCATCAGACAATGTTTTTTGTATCACATTCGCATGTGAAAAGAAAAGACTAAGAAAGAGTAAACAGCCAACGGAGCTAGAAGTCATACTAAAAACTTTTCGTATACTCGGACTCAACACATTGGCTGTGGAAACTGTAAACCAGTGACCAAGGATTTCCGAGGTACCTGGTAAAAGCGATATATGATTGTTTGCGGTTTCAACAAGTCTCATAATATAGCCTTCCATTTTTAAGGTTTCCCAGGCGATGGTAAGTTTGGAAAGGGCAAAAATTGCCTTTCGAAGAGATTTCATGAGAGCAACGTCTTTTTCAAGTTCAGCTGCCAAATCGTATAGTGCAAATGCATTTAAGAAGCGAGACCGGTTCCCCTTTTTAATGGATTCAATAGGTATGAACTTTAGCAAGTTTAAGATGAACTTCGCATGGTAAATAGTCTTTAATTGTGTGAGGAACGACCAATTTCCTGAAAAAACTTGTGAACACTCTTCATTCATGTAAGAAGAAAATTCCCCTTGTACCATGAATTTTATCATCGCCTGCTGAAATGCGGCACATACAGATGGCTGCTCGTAAACTTCTGAAGACGCAAGCATTCGCAACAGAATGCATGTATATGAGGAAGTTGAGGACTTGTCAATGTCTCCGCTTTCCAAAAAGGACTGTTCCAACAAAAATCCAAACCAAGTTTGCAAATCCAGGTGCTTTTCATAAGTTTCAAAAATTTTTAACCAACGACTCGTCATAGTTAAAAATATCGCTTTTGAAGCAGTAAGTGGTCTCAGCGTGATGGAATGTCGTTTATCTTTTGAGCCAGTATCATCAAGTTTAGTAGATAACGTAAGTGTTAGCTTTAGTACTTCAGCAAATTCTTCAGTGTCATTGTCAGCTATCGGATAAAGTTCAACGTATCCAAAATAGCACTGAAGAGCCCAAACCAAAACGGAGTCTTCAAGTTCAGCCTTCAACAGTAGGGACTGCAGGTAGCCAAGACATTTATCACTTGTAGCATGGGAATATTCATCAGAGAGATTTATACAGTCAAAGTGTGCCATTAGAATGAAAGAGTTTAAAGCGTTGGCGGGAAGTGAACCCTCAATAAATGGCATGATCAATACACTGTAAAAATCCTTAAGTAAGGAAATTGTACTAGTAGACAATGTAGTAAAGTGATGAAGACTCTTAATTAGCGAGGCAATAATCACCGTAGCGGCAGGCTTTAGAGAATGGTTACTAGCAGTCTGAATATACTCCCGCAACAAATCATTGAAAGCAGCTGTGCTCAGAGCCGTGCCAACACATGTAGCAAATGCATCTATCAGATGACGATGAACAATTAGGTTGTCGAAATTAGACAATCCCTGCAAAGTATTAAACCAGTCTTTGCAGAAAACATGCAAACTTCGAGCTCTTCCATAGGATTCAATAACCGAAGAAAAGAAAGACAAAACAGGTTTACGGTTACGCTCGTTAATCTTACTTGCACATGTCCATATGCATGGCATTCGGGAAAAGACAGCATCAAAGTTAATATCAAGAATATTCACAAATATCTGCCAGACATTTTGATACACGGTTTCGCTCGATGTGTATTCCGAAGAAAGCAAGACGATTTTGTCAAGTATATGAGAAATACTTTCGTCCGGAGCACCGCGACGAAGACTACTTTTAGCAAGCTGGGACACAATACCATCCAATGCTTTCAGCTGTTCAAATGGATCCGTTTTATATCTTGGTGATAATGCCAATTGAGAAAACATAGCAAAAAAGTAGAATGTGAGATCCGAAGCCTTCATAGTTGAAAGTGGCCGCATGATTGCTTGCTTCTGCAGTTCAATTGAAGAAAGAACGAAAGAGTAGAGTTCGGGGAGTGATAGCAGCATAACTGGTTCGACATCATTTTTTATGAACGTATTCAAAAGAGACATAGACGCTTCAGAAGAGCTAGAAAGTGAATCTAAAAGGACTGAAAAGCAGCATTCATGAAGAACTTCTTTAACACAAAGTTTCATGTCCTCCGTAATCGAAGTAGCTGATAAATAAGAAAGAAGAGGTGCAGAGATCAATTCGAAGAGTGAAATTGCTGCTTTCCTTGGATTTGTCTGTCCTCTAAAAGATACATAAACGATTTCTTGGACAAGTTTTAACGTAGTAGTTAAGCTCGAAAACTTTTGTGAATCAGTTGACACCGCTAGCAAAAGAAACTTGGAAAGTATCAAAGATGCTTGCTCTTGAGTACATTTTGTAGCATAGAGAACATCCGCAGTGTCATAAATTTTGTTAAGGGTAAGACAAATACTGTTGAAGACATCGGGCCGAAAAGTTTTGCAGAGAGAGTCAAAAGCTTTTATGACAAGTGGAATCAATGCTTGTTTATGCAGACAATTGAGCATAAACCCTTTCGACACCTTACCACTGCTCCAAACTGACCGAAGAAGATCCCAATATTCAATGCTTAAATAGTTTGGTTTTTCACTTAAAAGTTAATTTCCGAACTTAGACAATAAATAACAAATAAAGGATCACTTACCCATTTTTTCCATCTTCCTTAAGACGATCAAACAAGAAAGTTAGGATGAACTGCTCTTTTTTGGGAAAGTAAGTTTCAATCTCGTCATTAAACAATGAAGTGGCTAACTTCACTTGTTCTAATCTATTTCCCTCCTTGTCACGAATGGAGCGAGTAAGCTGCTCCAGATTCATTGTTTTAAACAGTTCGAACGAGACTGAACAGGTGAAGAAGTGCTTCGCTTAGGTGGGAGAACCCGGCCTTCATGTGACAGGAGAAAATGCGAAACAAAGCTCAAAATGAATTCTGAATTCCATTAAGCAATAATTATTAAAGGATTGCTTAACTTGTTGTTATCACAGCACGTATACGAAAACTAACTTTTGAAGAAAACAAATGCATCTAATCTAACATAGACATTACTTGAAATGCAAAACACCAAGCATAAGTTGACATACATCAAAGTGGATAAAGCTATTAGATTGCAGATTCATTGTTAATACATTACAAAATAGAGGGAACGGTGCTTCTCTCAATCTGGGAGATCCTGAAGAAGAATGAGTATACGTATAATGGTAATGAAACCAGACCCAAAGACCCAGGACAATAACAAGTAACGTATACGATTAGCATATGAGTTATAATTTATCGAATGCTTGCCAACACTTCGCATAAACATTGAAAAGAAATTTTTTAAAAGAGGGACCAAAACGAGTCATGACAAAAACATAAAACAAAGTAAAACCAAAGCATCGAAAACCGGGATTACATGTTGCTAAAAAGTGGGCTTCGGAAGCATTCGACCAGACTCATAGGATGCCTTTAAGGGTGACATTTGCGGCCTTGTTGCTTTCGTTACGCCAATGACAGAATTTCCAGCGCTGTTAGGAACACTGTAGCCGCCCGTTATGAAAGGATGCCTACTTGCAGCTTCTGGTGTTAAACGCAGCTCCGGATTCCAACGCAAACATTGGGCTATAAAGTCAACAAACACTGGTTGCTTGCAATGAAGAACTTGATTAAGAGTTCGAGTTGAGGGTATAAGCTTTCGTCCGTTTTCCGAAGTTATAGGGTACGGAATTCCATGCCTGTCGAAGAAAAGATTGGCCCTGCCGCAGTCTGAAAGCATTTTCCGGTCTGGCAAACCCAGCAATTCCATCATTAAGCCAAGCTGCTCCGATTCGTTTGCGCCTGGGAATAGAGGATAACCAGTATACATTTCCGCGAGAATACATCCAAAACTCCACATATCAATGGATTTATTGTAGGGCATACCGAGAATAATTTCTGGAGCTCTGTAAAATCGTGATTGCAAATAATTGTAAACTTTGCCGTTTACAAAACAGCTGCTTCCAAAATCAATAATTTTTAAGCGAGTCCGCGTTGGCTGACACAGTAAAAGGTTTTCAGGTTTAAGGTCACAGTGAATAATCTGCTTTCGATCGAGCAACTGAAGGCCTCTCAATACCTGAATAGCTATGCTCTTCACAACAATTAAAGGGAGTCCTTCAAAGTCTTGAGCACGTAAAACCTCATACAAGTTATCGTCCAGAAGCTCAGTAACGATGCACAAGTGACCTCGGAAATTAAAGTTTGAAATATAACGTATAATGTTATACTGATCAGCCTCATCTTTGTCACACAGCTTTCGCAAAATTCCAACTTCAATGAGCGCTTGCCCGTGAAACTTTTTGCGGTTACGAATAATTTTAACTGCAACGAGTTCACCAGATTTATGATCGATACACCTTACGACCTGCCCAAAGCTTCCTTGTCCGATATGATCAACAACCTCATAACGGTAGTCTAGGTGTTCACCCACTGTTACAACATAATCTCCATTCTCATCGTCAAATGACACGCTTCCGTCCTCAGTAATGTTAACACTTTTATGGGTTGCAATCCGGTCCGGGTCGTCTTCAGCGAACTTTACTGGCGAGTAATAGTATATGTAGTCATAGTGCTTGATTTCTTGGCGCTCATGCTCAGTTAAAAAGTCATTCTGTTCAGCTAAGAAACGATCCACAGGAATGGGGCTTTTCCGCGTGCACCTGAGCTTCAGTGTCTCCATTAGTTCAGTTTCTGATGCCAAAGAAAAGCCTTTCTTTTTGTGACATAAGCCTTCCATTACAATATCAGCATCCTTAATGATTCGCTCAATAGGAACATTCATTTTTGATCGTAACCGGTACTGAGGCAGCTGTAAGGGTGACATCGTATTAGATAATAAAGAATTCTCCATGTGAATCTTTGATTCAGGAGCCCGAGGTATACGCCGAATGGCGGAAGCAGATGAGTAGCTTGAAACAGTTGACATAGAAGACTTGTAGTTCGACAGTACGTTGGTTGATCGGGGACCATAATGGGAAGCCGGAATCCGGTCAGCGTACGGATCGCGCATTGGAGTTACCATACTACGGGAGCTGACGATATCTGAAATTGGTGAAACAATCCGAGACTTATTACGAAGGGAATATGAAGGTGTGTGTGGTGCTAGAACCGGAGGGGCAGGACTGTGATGCAAGTTCCGTTTTGGGCTCTGTTTTTGTGAAGCAAAAGCGGGTTTCGTAGATGGAAACAGAAGAGGTGACTTCGGATGAGTAGGGGTTTTAAAAGACTGAGGACTTTTTGAAGAGATGTGTTTTGGGGTGGTAGGTGCATCGAGAGAAGGAGACGCGCCGCCGAGTGTCGAACATGGAGTGCGAGGTTTGTTTTTTGTATATGGCAGCGGTCGATTGCCAGCAATGGTTTCCATCGACCGGTATGTTTTTGGTGATGGAAGCAAAGATGACCTGCCAGCTAAAGGTGAAGTTTGCCAGGAAGGAATTGAGGGTTTCGGTGCGCTAACTCCAGTAGGAGAGTAAAAAGGTGAACGTTCAACAAAAGACGGATTGTGAGCCATAGGAAGCGGAGACAAATGTGAGCGTGAAGGGGAGTGAATTTCATTTTCCTTGTAGACGGGCGTCCTCTCTCCGCTAGCATTGCCGAGGTCGCTTGCGACGCTCGTTTTTGGCGAAGCTGTAGACCAAGAAGTTCCCAATGGATTAACAAGACCCGGAGATGGGCGTCTGAACGGAGACGGTGTCTTCACGACTTGCGACGGTGATGTCCTTTGTCGAATAAAGAAAGGCCGAGTCGTGTCGTCCAAGCTTGTTCGCGGAGACGCTTTTTGTGGTTCAGTTAGTTTATCCAAGACAATTCGTCGATTCGGAGAAGTGTCAAAGGGCGACAATGCTCCGCTCGTTTCATGCTTGCTGTCCATCGAAGTGCCACGAGGAAAATGGAATAAACGCTTCGGCTTTTTTGGTGAGATCGACTTCGTTTGTCGGATAGTTACATTTGACATTAATGCAGCCAGTGCGTTATCCACACTTGGGTCATCGCAACCCTCACTCCCAACCTTGGTGGATGCCTGTAACAATGAGGGTCCATTAGGCATTGTAAGGCCGTTTTTGTCACGGGTATCAGAGTTGCCAGTTTCTCCAACGTTAGATTTACTTCCTGGACAACCGATGCTGTTTTTGCCCAGTGAAGATTGTTGCAAAAAGTTTGATGTTGTAGGATTACGTAGATGGCCGACCTGAGGAGCGGTTGACCATGGCGACTGGACACCAGCACAATCACTAGTGGTGTTGCTGGGGGCACTAAGTTTTTGGCCAGGGATATCCAGCGCAATGCTATGGGCAGCCTCTTGAATATGCAGGGTCTTGTTCGCAGCACTTGAAGATGTAGTTCCGTCTAGTTTAGTGTCATTTTCGAATTCAGATACTTCGTGTGCCTCTAGATTAAGCGGGAAAGGTTTTGGAGGATGATTTAAGGGAGAATGAATCGCATGTGCCAAAGAAGAAGGGGCTTTCTCACGAACTCTTGTTAAAAGTTCTTTCAACACAGCACTATACTTGGCAAAGTCTTGTAAATGTTCAGAGAAGGCTTTAGTGGACAGACAGCTCTCAGAAAACATATGGCTCTCCTCCTCTGCCTTATCGGAAGACGTCAATTGAGGTGCTGTGTTGCAATTCTCAGATTCCACTCCATGCTGTGACAGAAACGCGCTACCAAAAAGCCTCATCGTAGGAATAATTGCGCTCTTGACTTAAAGAGGCAATATGCAGACTATTTTGGCAGCAAAAAACGTGTTTGTAGACCAGGAATGTGCTGAAGTCTGTTGTGCGAAAAACAAAAGATGGTTTCAGACAGAAATCGGGGAATAAGATGAGAAATGCATTTACCTTCTTGATGGGAGGGTATCAAAGTGGTTGGTTTGTTGGAAACCGATTTGTTTCAGCGTTGCTGGTTGTGGAAGAAACGTATACCACCGGCAGAACTCGTAACGCGACTGCTGCCACCTGACTGAAAAGCGCGTTCTCGAGAAAAAGCGCAATTGACTTCAGAATCTTGCAGAATATATGAATTCGTTTCTTAATCTTGTTTGTTTTCATAAAACTATTTGTTTCCCATGTTCTTCCACTGTTTTTTTCGTCCTTAATATACGTTAGAATTTGAACCACTGACTTTGCAGCACGTTACAGAATTGGTGCCTTTGCTCCTCTTAAATTAGCATAAAACGTTCATAAATACAGTATCAGAGTTGTTTTCACGCTGAATTTTGCCTTTCTACTGTGCAATTGCAAAGGATCCCGGTGTTGGTTCTGGGTAGGTTAACTCCCGTCCACAAATTAAGGTTAAGCTATAGCCGAGAAAAAGCCGAACTCGGACGTGTTTAGCGACATTGCGTAAGCGAGACTAGGGCATCTTTGTCTCTCTCCCAAGTACCGTTTTCATTAGCGCAGCAAGAAAGATGGACGGAGTGGTAGATTCTCACTCGTGTTCCGGAATGTTACAAGAAGGAATGGAGCAGAACGCTGCGTTGTATAGTTACTCTGGGGGTGCGGACCACGAAGACGTGGTCAATTTTACGATGAACGAACTTTCTCATTTACAGGTTTCTGAAGACCAGGAACATGAGTCTTGTGCATACTGTGGGCTCTCCAACCCTAGTGCTATTGTAAAATGTCTTCATTGCAACAAATGGTTTTGCAATTCGCGAGGTCACACTTCAGCATCTCACATAGTTACACATCTGGTGCGAGCGCGTCATAAACAAGTGTCTTTGCACAAGAACTCTCCGCTAGGTGAAACAGTGCTGGAATGCTACAACTGTGGAACGCGTAATGTATTTCTTTTGGGTTTAATCCCAGCCAAAAGCGACACGGTCATTGTTTTGCTGTGTCGTCAACCTTGTACGAAGGTTAGTCTGGCAAAAGACATGAATTGGGATGTCAGTCAGTGGCAGCCTCTAATCACAGACCGTCAATTTCTACCCTGGCTCGTGTTGCCCGCAACTAAGGAAGAGGAAATGGCTGCTCGGCCCATTACCTCTCAGCAAATTTCTCGTTTGGAAGAGCTTTGGCATGAAAATGCAAACGCTTCTCTCGAGGATCTGGAGAAACCGACGGTTTCGGAGAATTTGCCATCTGTGGATCTGCGGTTCCCTGATGCTCGTGCGTATCAGGCTGCCTTCTCTCCTCTTGTGCAAGTGGAAGCTGAGTACGACAAGAAGCTGAAGGAGTCGCAAACGCAGAACGATGTTGTCGTTCGTTGGGACCAGAGTCTAAATCAGCGTTATACAGCTTGGTTTTATCTGCCTAAATTAGAGTCCGGAGAGATCCGTTTGGCTGTCAGTGATGAAATGAAACTTCGTTACGAAGGTGAACTTCGACCCAAGTGGAGCTCTACCGGTTATGTAATCAAAATCCCTAACAATATATCCGACGAGGTTGGCTTGGAATTAAACCGCAGTGACAAGATTCCCATCGAATGCACCCACAACTTCTCGGTTGACTACGTGTGGAAGTCTACGTCTTTTGACCGCATGCAGGCCGCACTGAAATCATTTGCTACTGACAATTCTCGGCTGTCTGGCTACCTTTATCACAAACTCCTTGGTCATGAAGTTCCTCCCCTTACACTAAAAACAAAACTTCCTACTACATTTTCCGTACCGAACCTCCCTGAACTTAACTCCAGCCAGGTAAATGCTGTGCGTTCCGTCCTCACTCAACCCCTTTCGCTCATTCAAGGTCCTCCCGGTACCGGTAAGACAGTTACTTCTGCTTCGATCGTATATCATCTTGCTACACAGACGAAGGGAAACGGGTCCGCAGTTCTTGTTTGTGCACCCTCTAATGTTGCCGTTGATCAATTGGCTGAAAAAATACATCAGACTGGATTGCGAGTGGTTCGTGTCACAGCAAAGTCCCGTGAGGACATAGATTCGCCTGTTTCCTTTTTGTCTTTGCACGAACAAGTTAAGAATTATGAAGGCAATGAGGAGTTTTCACGTTTGCTTAAACTTCAGAATGACGTGGGTGAGCTTTCGCTGGCCGATGAAAAGCGTCTGCGTGTTCTTGTCGCTTCGATCGAGCGTGAACTGCTTCAGTCCGCTAATGTTATCTGTTGTACATGTGTAGGAGCTGGCGATAAACGGGTTTCAAAGCTACGTTTTCGTGCTGTTCTCATTGATGAGGCTACACAAGCTTCGGAGCCAGAATGTATGATTCCTTTAACACACGTTTACAAACAAGTTGTGTTAGTTGGTGATCATCAACAACTTGGTCCCGTTGTAATGAATAAGAAGGCTGCACAAGCTGGTCTCTCACAGTCACTATTTGAAAGGCTTATCATTTTGGGAAATTCGCCCATCCGTTTGACTGTGCAATACCGTATGCATCCTTGCTTATCCGAGTTTCCTTCAAACATGTTTTATGAAGGAACATTGCAAAACGGTGTTACAACGGCTGAGCGACTTGCTCGTTATCTTGATTTTCCCTGGCCTCAGCCTGAGGAGCCGCTTATGTTTTATGCCAACTTTGGTCAAGAAGAAATTTCCGCTAGTGGTACTTCATACCTTAACCGTACCGAGGCTTCTACTTGCGAGAAAATAGTGACTCAGTTTTTTAAGGCTGGAGTAACTCCTGAGCAAATTGGTATCATTACTCCGTATGATGGACAGCGTTCGTATATTGTTCAGTATATGCAAAACAATGGTGCTTTAAAGAAGGATCTTTATAAAGCCGTTGAGGTGGCATCTGTTGATGCATTCCAGGGAAGAGAAAAGGATTTTATTATTCTGTCTTGTGTTCGCTCCAGTGAGCATCAGGGAATTGGTTTCTTGAGTGAACCTAGAAGACTGAATGTGGCCTTGACCCGTGCACGTTATGGTGTAATTGTTCTTGGCAATCCAAAGGTACTTGCAAAGCACGCACTGTGGTATCACTTCATTGTTCATTGTCGCGAACGTGGATATTTGGTTGAAGGACCATTGAATAATCTGCAGAAGTTTATGCTTGGGCTGGCTCCTCCAATTAAGCCTCTTAAGCTTCCCCGTAATCTGGTTGCTCAACAACCTTTGTCTGCTGGTATCAGCGCTTTTACAATTAACACGTTTGCTCCCTTCATTAACCTTCAAAACTACTATGCCGTTCCCTCGTATATCGATGAGTGGAGTCGGTTGGCAGAGTCAAAGCGTCATGATAATGGCGGTGCCGACTTAGATGATTTCCAAAGTCAGATTGGTGACAACGAAAGTGATTATGGAGATATTACTAGGTTTTAAGATGTTTAATGCTCTCTATTAATTATCTTATGGTCTGGGTTTTTTATGTCCTTTTTTGCGATTAAAACGTTGAAGCATTGCTTCTTCATTTAAAGGCCTTACTATGGTTGGGGTGAATGCTGTTTTCTTGGCCTACAATTCACCTGTTTGCTTTCATGATGTTTATGTTCAGTTGTGTTCGACCTCAGTTTCCGTAATGGTGAGCCATTTAATGTTTGTTTACAACTTCCTTTTTTCAAATATAAATAAGAGTCTCTCTCGCCGATAACCGAAAAAGAGTATTAACTCGAACGACGGAGGATATACAAACGCCGTATTTCAGTGGTTTGATTTTTTTATATTAAATTGTTTCGGCACTCGCCTCGAGGGTTGCATTGACGATATTTATCTTATTGAACGAGCAGTCATTCTGTCTTTTTGGGACAATAAGCTTACAGAAACTTGGTGTGCACTTGGAAGCTGCATAACAAACGGATTGTAGTTTAAAGGTTGTTGAAACTAAACGAATTTATTCATCAGTTTACGAGAGGAATACGTTCACACAGAATTATTAAAACAGAAAAACTTTTGCGATGTCCATAAGATCTTTAAATTATGGTGCTTCAACCACTTTTGCAACGCTTGATCCTACGGATCCCGAATCGAAATTACTTTTAGATGCAAAAGAAATTGGCGAGTTTGTCTGTGAGGCCTATCAAAGGTTTCTCAAAGGTACCCAAATTAATTATTCAGATGACTATTTTAATCGTCTTAAGTTTGCGGAAGAAGGAGCGTTGAATTTAGCACAAGAGCTATCGGCATTGGACACTATTAATCACAAACAACCGAATTTGCGGTATGTCGCATATTCGTATCTTCAAATCTTAGAAAACAGCATTAGTGAGTTGCTAAAGGACTTCGTACCTGCTGGCACTCACGAAAATCCTAAGGGATTAGAGAAACCGCAAAAAGGAACCAAGTCGTCGAAGAAAGTGGAAACGCCAACAACCATTACTATTATGCTGACAGAGCCTGAAGCAGCCATGTCAAGTGTGCTGGAAACGACCACTGTGACACAGCGTTCTGCAATCAAGCCACAAAGGCAGAACACTGTAAACAGTAATACGACGACTACTACATCATCTACGGAAATTAGACCTCTGCTGACCGATCCCAGCTCGGAGAAGAGGAAAGCAAAAAAGCCAAAATGGTTCTCAAGTTTCTTCCAAAAATGCCTTCAGAAAACATTTTGCTGTCTACCGTGTTTGACTAGTTGAGCGTTTTCATTGATAAATAAATCATTGAAGTCACATTCAAGAAATATTGATGGGCACTTTTTTTCCTAAAAAATTACCGCCTTTACTAGATCACCCGGGGCAATTTGGAATTGTTAGAGAATTTCTGCATTGCCCAAATCATTAAAGCCCGAGGCTCCGTAGGGAGCCTTTCTAGATGTTGTGTTTTTCGTCTTTGAACGGCGTCGCGTTTAGCGTTGATTAAGAAGTCTTGGACGATGGCGACAGCGTCGAGGTTGTATATACAAGAAACAGGAAGAGGAGGATCTTCATACTCGTCTTCGGGCGACGAGGGATCATCTGTGAACTTTTGTTTCTCCAGAAACCAAGTCCCCTTCTCGGAATCTTTAATGGCGACTGTGTATCGCGGAATACGCCAGATTTGTTTTGCGGAATCGGGATGCTCGCATACTGGCATATACTCTGCGCAATCCCCGGTGTGGTAAAACGTTTCACATAGGTCACAACCAGTAATTTTGCAAGAACCGATGGAGGGGCGATGACAATGACCACAATGAGCCAAGTTCATCATACTTTGATCTGACAGGAGCTCTGCAATTTCTCCGTAATCAAGTGTGGTGTTCTCTTCTTTGTATTGGCCCAATCTTCCTACCGTTATTCCGTGAAATTCGGTGACAATTTGTTGGGGCAATTTAAAGCAAACAGGATTGCTATCGTCTTGGTCGTCCATCAGTAGTGACCACATGCCCCGAGGCCTTTTAGGCGTTTCATTTTTCTTGTACATGCATTTGTTACAATACCAGGATCCTTCAGGAATGTCGTTTCGACTTAATGGAGGATTTAAGCAAGAAAGATGGAAACTTCTGGGACAAGATTCACAGCAGAGAAACAGTCCTTGGCCTCCGCATGCCCCACAGAAATCTTCATTTTGAATTACCGGTTTACGACGTCTGCGTCGCTTTGGTGCAGACGTCGTTTGGTCGCTGGTCTCTGTTCCAGTTCTTGATTTGGATTTTTTGGCAGGTGTAGAATTCGGTGTTCCAGCAGGCGCTGGCGATGAAGTTCTTGAGGACGTTAACGATTTCGGAGCTGATGGTTTCTTCGGCGACTTCATTGTCACAATTGATGATGATGCGCAGAAAGGTCGCAAAGGTACCGTAGGATCTTTCCTTAAACTTCGGACAACTTCGGTGTTCGTTCGGAGAATAAAAAAGTATACACGGAGAGGTGGTAGTGGATATGCGTTGGAGGGATGATGTGGGGGTTATGCAGAACTTCAAAAGAACACAGACGGAGTAATGCGTTGGACTGTAAGTAGTGCTGCTGCAGGGCTGCCGTAACGTTGTTTTGATGGAGTTCGTTCTTACCTATAAAGCACGAGTTCAGGAAATGAATTGTGTTACAGGAGAAAATGGGTTTCGTCGGTACTCGAACTCGCCACCTAATGGTATAGTCTAAAGGATTTAACTACTAAGCTACGGTACTGCGTTCGGGAAAAGGAAAGTGGAATTCGTGCGGTGTAATCTGTTCGTGCTTGATTGGGTCGGTATTGAATGGGTAGTGGAGTGGGAGAACGAGTAGTACATATATACACTTTGGTCTTATTATACAAGAAGAGTAAGGATATGTAATTGTATGTGTAATTGTATATGTAATCGTATATGTTAGTGACTGGCGATCTGTCAACACTCTGACACATGGGTGTAACAGATGTTGTCTGGTATGGTCCAGTATAATTTATTGGAGAAATGCACTAAAGTATTCATTCGGCTTATCCAGTGTGAAATAGTATGTATTGCAAAATAGTTAACTGTGTCGCAGGGAGAGTCACTTACTAACAAAGGAGATGAGTAAACATTATAGAAGAACAGTATGACTACAAATCGTTTTGTATATGAAAAGGACTTGAAAAAAAGTTGCTTTTGGTAAATTGCTTTCACAAATCTGTAGTCTTTACAACTCTATGATTTAAGTGACTTTTTTTAAAAATCCACTGAAACCCAATGTGTATTTTATTACGGGTTTGGCGAAAATTGGAAAAAGTCGTTACATCAAACGGTTTATAAATGAAATGTATGTAGAAGCACGCTTGACAACTTTTGCAAGTGACGAAGTAGTTAATTTTTATTGTCACTACTAATTTCAATACAAATAATAAATAAAGAAAGAATAGGCATCAAATAAATTAAATTGCACCTTAAATATCACCAACGGAACAACTAACTTCGACAAATACTCCCGTCCCACCTGTCTTCACATAATTTTGTCTACGGACGCCGGCAAAGAATTCGGCGATGTTTCGGTAAAATCTCGGTAAACATTCGGTAAACTTCGGTGTTGGCAACATGTAAACTGAAGAGACGGCCCACGCGTGCTCTGTGCTCCTCAATTCACAATGCAAAAATCTCAGGATATATACTCGTCAGAAGATGACGATGACATGTATTGGTATGTAACTAGTCTGCTTTATTAAGATGACTAACGGTCTAGTCCCCTTTGTATGGAGGAAATTGACATTTCCGACAAGAACTTCAAACCCTGTCAATGTGGCTACCGTGTATGTCGTTTCTGTTGGCATCACATTAAGGAGGATCTGAACGGTCGGTGTCCCGCTTGCCGGCGTTTGTACACTGAAGAAAACGTTCAATGGCGTCCTGTTACTGCCGAAGAGTATGTAAACAATCTGTATTTATCCAAGAGCACCAGCAGAGAAGCATCGCAGCCAAAAGCACGAGCACGGTGCATGCATCTATCTGGTTCTGTGATGCATACCGTTCAATGTATCCTTCTCTCAGTTACTAACATCGTTTTTGTCAGATGGAAGATGGATCTTCACCGAAAAAATGAAAGAAAACGTCGTGAAAAGGAAAGAAAAGAGCTTGAGTCTTCGAATAGAAAACATCTTGCGAACATCCGTGTTGTCCAGAAAAACTTGGCTTATGTGAATGGCTTGTCTCCAAAGGTTGCAAACGAAGACACCATCAATATGCTTAAAGGACCCGAGTACTTTGGTCAATATGGTAAAATTATCAAGATTGCCATTAACAAGAAAGCTGCAGCGAACACGCCCAACAGTCATGTTGGTGTGTATATCACTTATCAAAGAAAAGAGGATGCAGCCAGGGCCATTGCAGCTATCGATGGAAGCTTAAGCGACGGTCGCTATTTACGAGCTTCTTACGGCACGACGAAGTATTGCACATCGTACCTGCGCAACCAACAATGCCCCAACCCTCAGTGTATGTATTTGCACGAACCCGGCGACGATGTGGACAGCTACACAAAAGAGGATCTGGCTACCCTTCAACACAACCGAAACAATCTTCCAAAAGCGGCAAATGGCATTCATGGATCACCGTCTTTGGCTAACAAAACACCTCTTGTTCCCACTAAACTGATGGCTAACGGCGACGAAGTTGCTGGCGATGTTCAACATGGTTCTGCGAATGTGTCTCACACAAATTCACCCGCAACTGCAACCGTTACTGTTGTGCATCATCATCATAACCACGATGAGCCAACTGCTTTACCGCCTACGGCTTCCTGGGCCAAAATGTCCCCAAGTGCATTACAGGAACGCTTCCGCTCCGTTATCCATCAGCACAATGCCGAAGCCAATAAGGCTGCAGTGCCGAATTTCTATAAGGAGTTGGATCCCACAAAGTGGCTCAACCAGATAATGAACAACTTGTCCTTCGAGCTTTCCAACATCTCCTTCTCCACTGTCGACTCTGGTCTAGATGAAAAGCAACTGGAGCAAGTAAAAGGACTCCCTCCCTTGTTTGTTTTCAACGCTCACTCCATCATCGGCAGTTCTAGCGAACTCAACTCCAGCGACTTTTCTTCAGAGCAGACAACGGACAAATCAAAGACAAGCGATAACTTGTCTTCTGGTGTTGCATTGTCTTCAAATGTCTCAAGTAACGTAACCAGTACTGCTAAAAATGTCATGCCCCCACCGGGTTTCCGAGTTTAAGTTGTGAGTTTTGCTTGTGTGCACTTATTACATTTATGACAGTGTCCATGCAGCGTAAGCTTATGTTCGTTGCGAACTGTCTCTTGTGTATTATTCACTCTTCAAAACACGCTCTACGAGAGCTCGTTGTTTTGTTATTCTTTGTTTATTTCCTAATTTCCTCCGATATGTAAAAGTTGGTATCATTTCGTAGTTCATTTCCGGCTCCTGCCCCATACCTATAACACAATCTCATACATTACACACGCAAAAACTCCCAAACCCGTCAACACAGTAATCTACTGGGAGAACAAAATCTTTAGAAAATGATTAACGTTCATAAGAATATACAATAAACAGCAACAAACCAAAACCCGGTACCAAAAAGAACCCCAATTATTTCTTTAGAAAACGTTTGAAAGAAACACCAAAAACCATTCTCATGAAGAGAATCCTCTTTTCGACAGTAATCAAAACTACTCGTCGGCAATATGCATAGACTCAACGTCGTCGAGCAACTCGTCAACAGAGATGGCGGGAACCTCTTCATCGTCAATTTCTTCGTCATCCTCCTCCATCTCATTGTCAGCGGGAGGACGATAGGCATCGTTTTTGTACAGGTTGATGTTTTGCCGCAACTCGGGATCTTCTTCCAAGTTGCGCAAGAACAGCTCGTAGTCACGTTCTTGGCGCTCAAGGTCTTGTTTCTTGGGCTCCAACTCGCCTTGGTCAATACCGATCGATTTGAGCTTCCAGAAGCGGTTCTTACGACGCTTAGGATTGCTGTACGTCTTCTTAACGATGATGACATCGGGGATGAGATTATCCTTCAAAGCATCGAAGATTTCGTTGTTGAAGTTGGTGATAGCCATATGGTAGCAAAGCACGGTGTTACCGGCAGACAACAGGGCACCGAGATGTGTACGAGCCATGTGGGTGCTTCCATCAGACGACTTGATCAACTCCACATCGGCCAACACGTTTTTGCCGTTCGTCGGGCCAAGGAAATCAACGTCGGCCACAATAAACTCACTCAACTCGCCAATGTCTGCAAGAGACGGGAAAGGCATGTGCCAATAGGTGGTTGGAAGCATTTCGCATGTTTGAAGGGTTAAGGGATCAATGAAATGGATCGTGGTACCGACCTTTGTACACAGCAACAGCTGAGAAATGTTTCCATGAGCCTTCGCAAGCGGCTTGGGGAGACACACAAGGTCATCCTTGCAGATGGGAACAATCTCAATAGAGTAGGTGAACTTGTAGTGTGCCGTGTTCGACTTGATATCCTTGCTAATAAGCTCCTCACTGCTCTTGCTACGAATTGGGACGACAGCATTCAAGAACTCCATCATTTTTATGGCGTGTGTACGCTGAGAGTGAAAAAGTCGATGCCATCCTTGGCCTCCTTGATGTTGACCGTGTTCAAGTGAGCACGGTTCTTCAGAATAACTTGCTCAAGATACAAAAAGGTTCGCTTGTGGAGGACCTTTTGGCGAACCTGGACACACGCCTTCCAGATGTGTGGCGTGTACGTACGAGCACAATCGGGGCATTGAGTGTAGTTGACCACGTACTCCACAACCATGGACTGTTGGAGAATCGTGTTCGTGAAGGCCTCCTTCTGAACGGTCAACTTCACCTTTACACGACGCGAATGGGGCTCCGTCCAGATGAAGGACGCATCAATCAACCGAACCTGGTTGAGTCCACGAAGCTTTTTCAAGCAAATAGCCATCAGTTCACGCGACTCCAGCTGAGCTGCGACCCACACGTTTGGAGGTTGCAGATAACGTTCACACTCACGGCAGTAACTCAGCATGCCGTCACGAGGAATGCCCTCAGTGATGTCGGTAGACATTTTGATACAGTCAAGGCACATGGCCGCCGGGTTCTGGGGAATCGGTACACCGCATTGACAACACAGAATCGTCGACTGAGTCGATTCAGATGCGATGTACGAAAATCCTGCTGCATTGACCATTCCCTGCTCCATTTCGACTGCGTTTGCTACAAGCGTTTTCCGTCTGGAGTGGTTGGTGGAGGGTAGGTTGCCCGAGTCAGGCAGGAGGGCTTCATGGTGGCTGCGTTGAGACTCGCTGCACTTCACTAAACCACTCGAATAGGATGTGTGGAAATAGCAGAATTGGAGAGCTGTGGCGGTCAGAGAGGATTGTCGGCAGCAGTACAGGCGGTGCGGACGCTGCTGACGGTGTCGAAACGGGTCCGAGAAAACGATTCGAGTTGTCGCGAGTTGTCGTGAGTTGTGTGATAGATGAGACGCTGCAATTGCTGGATTTCGGCACGCAAATCAGCACTCGAAATAAAATATAAATAAGCCATTACTACTGCAGGGCGATGGGTATTCTTTGCACCTCGTACCAGGTCCTCAAACCGTCCTCCTACAATTGCTTCTTTCTTCTACTACCGACAGACACCACCGACACCACTTACTCCTCCACACCACAACACTCCGGGTTCGAATCTCGCACACAGCCATTATTCACAGAGCAATAAAATTGCTCAACGAGCAGCTGCAAGCCGAGCTGTCATGTTAAGCAATCGCCCTTGAGCCCTGTCCCTGCTTCTCTCTTCGCTTTCATCCAGAGCCCCCACCCTCTGCCCACTTTCTGTCTTCGTCTGGCCCCCACACCCCCACTTGCATACAGTCTCTTCCTAGCTTGTTTTGCGCGGTCGCAACCTCCGAACCTCACCTCTCTTCACCACTGTCTCACCTCATCATGGTTCACAACGTTCTTTTAGGTGTCATCGGCGGCAGCGGCTTCTACGAGCTCTCCGGATTTGAACATGTCAAAACAGTCAATCCCGAAACGGTACGTCTTCGCACTCTGGCCCTTTCGCGTTACGGTGCTGCTTCTTTTTAACGTAGGCACGTGCCTGACCGCGCGGCCCCCCCTAAACTTGACCGACAAGTCACCGAGATCTGTCCGAATCATTCGGAGAGACTGCTGCTGTCGGCCAGTTTCAGCCAATCACGCTGCTGCTTGGGCGGTGCTTTGGTGCTGCTCTATGATTCGCTCGCCTGTTCGCATGCTAACTGTCAGCCCTGGGGGTTCCCCTCTTCACCAATCAACATTGTGAAATCCAAAACTGGCCTCCACGTGGCATTTTTAGCACGACACGGTGTTGGTCACCGCTATACGCCGACGGAAATCCCTGTTCGGGCAAATATTGCTGCGTTGAAGAGCCTGGGTGTTCAGGCCATTCTTGCCTTTAGCGCTGTTGGTTCGCTACGCGAGGAAATCCCGCCCGAAGACTTTGTTTTGCCGAATCAGATCATCGATCGTACTTTGTGTGCTCGACCCAACACCTTCTTCCCTTCAGGATGTGTTGCACATGTGAGTTTCGGTGACCCTTTTGATGCAGACTTGGCACGCATTGTCGCTCAATGTGCAGGCGCTCTTGAACGCGGGGCAAAGTTGCACGTGCCCACCGTGGATCATGACCTCACCGTTGTGTGTATGGAGGGCCCCGCATTTAGTACACGTGCTGAAAGCAAACTTTACCGAAGCTGGGGAGCAAGTGTCATTAACATGTCCGTCATTCCCGAGGCAAAGCTTGCTCGGGAGGCTGAGATTGCCTACCAAATGGTTTGTATGGCTACGGTACGTATCTGCAGCGAATACTTCTCGAAATGGAGGCAGTGCTGGAGAGGCGCGGCGCCTTGATTGCGGTCGACTCTGTGTCGGTCATCGTCGCTGCGATTCATAAATTCACACGATGTTCCTGCACACAGGGTCACATACCAGCCGTCCCAAAAAGGTCATGGCGACGACCGGTCTGGCTAGCGCTTCCTTTTCCTCCTCCCAGCCTCGCTGTTCCCCGCACACCAACCGAAAACCTTACTAACTTAAAACTCAGGACTACGATTGCTGGCGCAAGTCCGAGCGCCCCGTCACCGTGAACGAGGTCATGACGCATCTGTCTAACAACACGGACAACGCGAAGCAGCTCTTGACGCAAGTCATTAAGCTTCTCGAACCCGAGCTGCGCAAGGGCTCCATCGGCGAGACCCTGCGTGGTGCCGTCCAGCATGGCATCCAAACCAACCATGCTCATCGTGATCCTGCCGTGGTCGGCAAATTGCGTTTCCTGTTCCCAAGTCTGTAAGCAACACCGACCTGAGTCTGGCGCTGCCCCGCGAAGATGGCCACGCCTCGCTTACGTTGCATGTGGGGCAACACACGTGCAAGCTTATTCTTTTAGCGAGAACCCTAAATTACTACTACCACCAAGAAAACCGACCGGGAGAACGGCAGACGCGTGGCAGTGCCGATCCTCCAGGGTTAGAGAAGCGAGTTGGTGGATGAGCCAACTGCTGTCAACGCTATTGCCGAGCTGAAAACTGTTTGACTTGCTTGTGATTTTTTTTTTACTATGGTGCCCTCAAAAACCGACAAGACCGTCGAGTTTTCTTCGTCGGGTGTGTTGAAACGACTGGAAACCCGAAACACAAATGCTAACATGTTCTAGGGATGTTCATTATCGACGACGTTGAACACGAGGACGGTTCTTTGCTGAAAAATGTTATTGGCGGTGGTGGAACATGGGGTACGTTATAGCACGATCGGAGGAGCAGATCGACGGTCTTCCTCACTCCAAATCTCTCTCTCTTTCGTTCACATCGAGCGGCGTTTTCTGACCCAATAGCCTTACTCGGTGCCCGCATCTGGACCCCCGGCGCTGAAGCAGCCCGTCTTGGGCTTGTGATTGACGTTGGAACCGACTTCCCTGAAGAAGTGCGTACCCAGCTGGAGCAGCTGGGAACTGGCAGCTTGTTCCGGGCCAATCCCGACCGACTGACTACTCACGGCTACAACTACGTGCACAACAATGGCTTCCGCCACTTCGAATACAAATCGCCCAAGAGGGCGATTGGTGCTGACGACCTGATCGAGGCTGGTTTTCATAACTGTGAGACCTTGCATGTCATTACCAATCCGACCAAGTTCCGTCGCATGCACGCGCGTCTGATGGAGCACCGCACGGCTGCTGCACCTCCCCTCATCGTCTGGGAGCCCACGCCTGAGAGCTGTTTGCCGGAGCACTGGGACGAGTGTCAAGAAGCCATGAAGCTGTGCGACATCTTCTCCCCCAACGAGGTCGACTCGGCCGGCTTCTTCGGCGTCGCTCCCGAGCACAGTCTGTCCAAGGCCACCGAGTTCGCACAGGCGTTCAGCGAGCTCCAGATCGGCCCCAATGGCCGTGGATGGGTCGTCCTCCGCTGCGGCCATATGGGCTCTTTCATTGCTCCATGTGTGCAGCAGACCCCCACTGTTTCCTCCTCGTCGCCCCGCACGCTTACTCACCTGCCTTGTTTTCCCATGGACCCCCACACTGTCGTTGACACCACAGGTGCCGGGAACACGTTCTGTGGCACGCTGATCGTCGAGTATCATCGCACGAGCAACATCATTGAAGCAGCGCTTAAGGCTACCGTTAGTGCTTCTTTTGCCATCCAACAGTATGGTCTACCCCGACTCACGTGTATGACGTCCGACGATGACGATAGCAGTTTTGGACGCGGTCGCGACTTCGGCAGTCGCGAGCTTTGGAATGGCGAGTCGGCTTCAGATCGCCTGCAGCGGTTCTACGCGTTTCTCAGCAAACAGGCGCCGGACCTTCTGTAGCAGTCATCGCACAGCTGCGGGCCGTCTCCACGGCGAGCGTTTTCTTTAGTTTCAGGCTACTTCGTTTTTTTCTTGCCGATCTCTGAGATTTGCCATTTCTGGCTCCTCCCACCGTTGGCCTCGTTTAATTAGACACTATGCGCTTTTGTCTTCGGCTTCTCCTTTGATTGGCTACACGTGACAAGCACGTCTTCCGGCAAAGATTTCCTGGGGCGATCAATGACGTATTGTAGCATGCTCGTGAGGGAATATCGCGGTTTTTAGCCAGTGGACATACTCTGCGTCATTTGCCTAGTCAGCCAATCACAGCACCTCTCCCGGCTGATAAAAAAACTTAAACCAATGGGCGAACAAAGGCGGTCACGAGCCTTTCCCTGAGCGGCGCCGGGTGAGGGGAAGCACTTTCAGGGATGATTTTATTTTTTATCGATGACGAATTTAACAAGCTGTGCTCCGCATTCTTATGTCGCGTTTATTCATCTCCCCCTTAATACCACACCCCAAGCTGCCCTTTACCTTAACCTCTCCCAACATCTACACCTGAATTGAGGACGAAAAAAGCGGCTTTTTAGGCAGTTTCTGCAAAGAATCGTGCATTTTGGCATAAAAATTAGATTTTTGCATATTAAGTTTCCCCAGGAACGGTTTCCTTGGTCTTTTGTCGCTGTTTATCGCCTGGCTTGCCGACAACCGTAAACCTTGTATCCACAGGCGCTCCAATCTATAAAAACGCGTGCATTGGTTCCTAAACAGTTATTTTAAACAGTTTAGTGCTCACCAAACGCGGTGTTTGTGTAATTCACTCGACCATCACATAACGACAATTGCTATAGTGGGCGTGGTGCTCTCGTTTAATTGCGGACAACCCCCCGACTGTGTGCCTGTCTTCCCCACTGTGCCACCTTCTCCCGACCCCAGCAGTTGGTGCCGTTGCCCTTCCCTACGGAGTTTTTTAACGTGTTTTGCATAGCATAGCCTTCTCACGTCTTACGCCGTAAAGATTCCAGTCTACGAAGAAGCGGACCTTCGTTTCTTGCTCCCAGTCTTGCGTGTTCATCGTTGTTGCTACGGCTGCCCCTTGTATGTTTATCTCAGCTGTTGTCTGTCTGGCCTTTTTAACTAAAGTTCCCGTGCGTTAACAGCTTTTCTGCACATTCTCCGTAACTGAGCGTCCTGCTCGTCTCATTTCCTGTGCATACATTCTTTTCATTCCTCCCTCTTTCAACGTTTTTCTCTCTCTGTCTCTCCCGTATATCGCTGCTGAGCACCGGCGCTTGTTTACTCCTACTGAAACAAATTGATCGCCATACCGTACGAAACATTGTCAAGCGTTACCTGCACTGGCTGCGATACACTCTTTCATCGGCCACTGTCCTTTTCTGAAACCTCACATTAAGATCGCATTGTACGACACTTGTCACGAAACAGCTCTTCAGCACCATGTTTTCTCAATCGTCGCCCGAGTTTGTTGGTGACGAAGACTTGTTCACAAATCCTTTACTACAAGAACTTGGTTACAGCAATGTTCCCACATCTGGTCATGTGGGAGCGGGTTTTGACGGGCTTTCCAGCTCTGTTGCTCTGAACCATTCGTCTCCCTCCAACGTTGCCAATTCCACTCAGCATTTGAACGCTGCTCCGTCGAGGTCGCCTCCTATTCCCTCTCTGACTTTCACATCGCTTGAGGGCGCAGCCTCTTCCGATCCGCACCTATCAACGGAGGATTTTTCCGCTCTTGGCACTAGCGTGCCCGATTTGAGTATTGCTGCTGCAACTTCGACATTTCCGTCTACAATGGCCGACTCGGCTTGTGGTTTGTCGCTTTCGGAGGTTGCAATGAAAAACCAGGCAAACTCTCAATCTCCTCACCAGTCCGTTTCCCTCTCTGTCCCTATGCAGCACAAGCACGGCTCACTCGACAACGTCGCACACAACATGCTTTCACCAAGCAGTTGTGTTTCAGGTGATGAGCTAGCCTTTTTCACGCCGGCTTCTTCACCCTCGAACTCGCTTTTGCTCTCTCCTGCGATTTCTCCTCGCGGTTCTTTTAGCTCTGCGTCACGGGCTCCCAATCCCGCGATCGCCCCGAACGGTGATCGTGACAATGGTACATTTTATGTAGATGTCAAAAGGCTTTCGAATACAAATGTCGAAGGCGCACCACAAAACAGCGCCTCTCTTCTTGGAGACGTGAGCCACGAACAACGCCCTTTGTTCAACGACGCTGCCGGTCTACAGTTTGGGGGTGTCCCGAGTTCGAGTTTACCTCTTCGTTCTGCTGCATCGTTCAGCCACAACGGTTCGGCCGACTTGTCCGCTATATGCCATACTCCACGCAGTGGCTCCGCACCCGAGCTCCAGCTCGACGATGTCTTCACGAACGTGCTGAGTCCTTCATACACGAATGGCGGAGGAGAGCAGTCGGCACCTGGTTCAACGGAGGATTTGCGAATGAATGGTTCTTACCTATCGACGCACTCAGCTTTCGAGACACGGGATCACGAGTCTGCACAATATGCTTACTCCCAAACTCCAGAGAGTGAGCTGGCTTACCCTCCACCATGGAGTCCCTTCATCAATGGTCCTATGTGTTCGCCGTCCGTCTCATCTACGAGTCTCCATTCTCCGTTGGCGACAAACATGCCCAACTTGAGTTATGATTCCATTAACCCTCCTGGTTACGCGTCCTCTCATCAACAGACGCCTACCCCACCGCGCATCAAGATCGTCCCCTCTTCACCATCGAGGTTTGGTAAGAAGGGCATAGATGCGCCCTACGCAACTTCTGAGGAGACCTCTCCACAGATTCAGGATTATCTGTTGCGTCGAAACTCTGCTTCTTATTGTTCAAACTATGAAGTGAACGCCTTTAGTGGCGGACCTTATCTTGGCGCGGGAATGTACAACGACTCCATCCAGCCTGCTCTGCTTCCCAACGGCGGAGCTGTTCCTGTGGGGTCCGTTGACGTTCGGGGGCTCATGCGTAACGTGCCTACCGTTTCACCTGCTTCGCTTCCTCAGAATCTCCCTGCCACGATTCCAAGCAATGTCTCATTTCCTAGCAGTGATATTTCCAATTTAAACAATTACTCTGTGCCCGCTTCTCGTACAATCCCTACCACCGTTCTTCAAGTGAACAATGGTACAAATGCTGCGAATGGCAACTCAAAGTCCTTGTTGCCTCCACTTTCTGCGTCACAAACGCTGGATCACCACGCTACAGAGTCCGCCAATGGGAAGAATAGCAAACCTTTAAGTGGATATGTCTGTCAAATCCCTGGCTGTGGAAAGCGCTTCACTCGTGCATACAACTTAAAGAGTCATCAAAACACTCATACCAACAATCGTCCTTACCAGTGCTCGGTTTGCAAGAAGGCATTCGCTCGGCAACACGACAAGCGTCGCCATGAGCAGCTACATACGGGCATTAAGGCATTTGCTTGTGTCACCTGCAACCAAAAATTTGCTCGTATGGATGCTTTGAATCGACATTATCGTAGTGAGACCGGTAAGAATTGTCTGAAAGTTGCTGCCGAGAAAGAACGGCTACAAAGCATTGCTGCTGCAACCGCCGCGAATGCCATGAATGCTTAAGAGGTAGGGGCGTTCCATGTCTTTTTCACAAGTTTTTATTGTTCTTTTTGTTTCATCATATTGAAACCAACCTCACCAACAGATGCTGTTGGTATTTCGCTCGTTTTTTAAACTTTCATTGGATTGCACTTTTTTTTTGGAAGAAACACACTTTGTCTATCGTTTATGGTTCGGAAAATTATTCCAACAGTTGTTTTAGCTCCCAATTAACGGCCGCATGCTTTATTATTTTATTTTTCTTATTTATATTTCTGATGCAACGAAACTTTCAAATACATACGAAATGTTTAGTACGTGCGCTGGCTCACGGACTCTGGTAAAGTGGAAACGGGATTGTCGCTATGCCGCGGGCGGTTGGCGACGGTTCTGCTGGACTTGCTTGTGCATTTCGTTTCTGGTTTCGCATGTTCTTTTGGTGTTTCGCGGACTCCGATTTCGAGCTGATGGAGCTGGCTGTTGATGATTAGTTTGTTTAAGTGCTGTCCATTCCTTATTAGTAGCATGTTTTATTGTCGTAGCTGTAAAATGTTTCCTAGTAATGAGTTTGTGCGTCTACCGCGTTCTACTGTGTGTCGGGTGTCTTCTGTATGCAGTTTGAGTGATTACTACTTAGCTTAAGCATGCACTATAAGCAGTGTATAGCTTATGCGGTCCTGCTCGTTTTACGGGCTCTGTTCAGCGTTTCTCCTTCATACATTCATCCAGATGAACAACTGCAATCCTTGCAGGTCGTTTCCCGTAAGACATTCCTCTGTAAACGGTTTATACTAACACGCACTACTAGAATATGTATTTGGCTGGAAAGCAGAATTGCCTTGGGAGTATACGGTAGAACGGCCCATTCGGTCGCTTGTCCCTTTACTGATTACGACGTTCTTACCAATGGAATTTGTAAAGACCGTCTTTGGAGGTGCTTAACTTTGTTTTCTCTCGAGCAATTATATTAACCTGTATAAGCATCTGTCAAACCAACAATTGTTTTTCATGTCTGCAGACTTTGGATGCTTCTCCTGTCGCTCTGTGTTGGTATGTGAATACAGTAAATGGCTTCTGCCTCTTACGGCTTTATTCTAATAACTTCGTAAGACTATTGCATTTGGCTCTTGTTTCCTCCCAAGACTCGTGTGCGAGCTCTTTTGGGCATTGGAAGTACAATGATGATGCTTGTCTATCAAACAAAAACATTGTCAAACTCGTTTGAAGTTATTTTGAGTTTGCTGGCATTCGTTCTCTTTCGGCGAGTGTCAAAAAAGGTTCGCTAAACGATGCTCATTTAAGTGCGATAAAGCTAACATTTATGCACCAAAGATCCAAAAAGAACCATCAAAAACGCCCTCTTTTGACACAATTGCCCTGTGTGCAGTTTGCACTTTGGGTGTTTTCACTCGCATCACATTCCCTGCATTTCTGCTTCCAAGTGCACTTAGTGCCCTTCGTACTTGGAGACAATGTCTTCGTCCTCAACAGTATGCACTGTGCAATATCTTCGTTTACGCTAACATGTGTTTGACAGTCTTCTCTGGTTCTGCTCGAAACTGATCTTCATCTGTCTTTTATTTACTACAGCATACCTTTTCATTGATTCATATGTATATGGTAAGCCCGTGTTTACTGTTTGGAACAACTTAATGTACAATTCTCAAACGGGAAACTTGGCTCAACACGGACTACATGCAAGATGGACACATTTACTTATCAACGTTCCATTGTTATGCGGCCCTATTCTTGCACAACCAAGTCTGTGGAATCCAATGCGTTCAGCTTGGTGGTACTTAATGGTTCCTATTGCACTATTGTCGGTATTTCCGCATCAAGAAGCACGGTTTCTTCTTCCGGCTTGTGTTTTCTTTACTGCATATGCATTTTCTATAACACATTCTAAACTTCTCCTTGTCTCAAGTCTCATCTACCATACTTTCTTGAGCATGTTTTACGGAGTCTTGCATCAACGCGGAGTGGTTCCCACACTCTCAAAACTGGCAGACTATTACTCCTCATGTTCTCCGTTATCCGAACCAGGGTCGGCAATGTCAATGTATTTCTGGCGCGTATATACTCCGCCGACCTGGATGCTTAAACGAACGGGTCATGAAAATGTGGAAGTTGACACTCAACACTTTGTTGGATACAGCAGAGAGCGTATGGAAGAAATTTTGTTTAAGAAGTTTATATCTACGCAATCTTCCCGCCCTAAAACCGTCCTGGAATGTCCACCGTTTTTGTTCATTTGTCCCAAGGTTCTTCTTTCAAATCCTGAAGCTTGGAATTTAACGTTGTACGACTCGGTGAAGATTCACTATGACCTCGATGATCTTGATGAAGTGAGCTTAACAGACATAATCCAACATAGCGGTATTGGCATATACAAACCCATGACACTGGAAGCAACGTCTAACACAGATGGCGCATGAAATACCTATTTTAACAGTCTATTTATTATTCTTGAATCGTTCGTTTAATAACCAAACCTTAGTTTTTAAAATGATAAAAGTGAGATACACGTTTACGCCTGATCACCAGCATTGTTCTTTGCCTTTTTGTTTCCTTTGGCGTTTTTCTTCTTTCTTTTACGTTTACTCTTCGAATTTGTCACAGACGGACGAGTAGCCGTACTAGTTGCTTCTGCATACCGTTTATTGTGAAACAGATTCGCAACAAAAAAACCAATGGTACCATAGCGTCCCGGCTCACAGCGGATCATTCCGCCGGCCATGGATGGATCACTGCAATATTCAGGTACACCACGGTCTGGCCATTGTGGAAGAGTAGATTCGAGTGGCGCGCAAGACCAGTCCTTCTCTTGTTTTAACACTTCATCGACTACTTGTTCATTTTCTTCTCGATGAACGGAACATGTAGAGTATGTAACGTTTCGTACATTGGGGAAAGACAGAGCGTGCTTGAGAATTGTGGATTGAAACTTGCTCAAATTCTCTTTTCGATCACCTTCATCAACAGGATCTTGCTCATTTACCAACAAGAAGTCCTGTCGACTAACAATACCTGAGCCAGAACATGAAGGATCCAAAAGAATGTGTGTAACATTGGCATACTTCTCGTCATGAACATCAGTATGGGTGAAGTCCATATGTTGGATCTCAACATTTTTGGCTCCAGAGATACGAACCATTTTCTGAAGCGTTTTCACACGATAAGCGTCACGCTCAAAAGCAAATATCTTTGCATTCGGATACAGAGCTGCCAGATGGGTAGTCTTGTTGCCTGGCGCCGCGCAACCATCAATAATGTCACCGACAGGTCCGGGCATGCCATGCAAAACAGCGGCAGGAAAGCAGGAAGCCTTATCTTGAATAATGATTTTTCCCTTCTCGTACAGTTCATTACCAACGAATGAGATGTTGCTTTCCAGCGCAAGTAAATTCTCCACGCAGTCGTCAAAATACACTTTACCGGGTACCAATGCATCAATTGAGTCGACAGGTTCAACACCGAGTCCTTTAATCACTTCCTCCTTGTTTGAAAGAATTGTGTTCACACGGACCCATCGAGGGAGATTTACGGGATTCTTCAACGCTAGCTCCTCGTTGGACTTGGCGCCTTTTTGAATCTTATATTTCACAAATTCACCGTTTAAACGTGTTTTGTTTCGTAATATCGCATCTTTATATAAACCGCCGGATGCTTGGATTCCTCGTTTCGTAAGAAGAAGATCATGAACCAAAACTATAGCAAGGTTTCTTGTGAGCTAAATATATATGTTAGATGATGGGAACAAATTTATAGTCAACAGTACTTTCTTTTCCTTTTTAAGCAACTCAGACCGTTCAATGACTTCGTCCAGAACCTTAGTGTCTAATCATTGTTAGAAATTCCGCTCAAATCCGTTGAAAAAAAACAAATCAAACAAACAAACATTTTAAGGTCTCGCAAACTAAAGCATAGGTACGTTTAGGATCAAACTTTTTATTCTTGAATGCAAGTTGCTTAATTGAACCTTTCCTCTCTTTTAAATCATCCAAAACGCCTGCAGCATGCACATAAAAGTCCATCCTGGAGGTATTACTGGGCGATTTTTTTTGATTTTTTTTTTGGACCAAATGGTACCGTACGAATAGTGTAGCATTCCGGTGATTTAGTTCATGAAAAATAAGCGAAGATAAAACAGGTATAGTTTAAGTTCAAGTGTATTAGGGTTTCAAGATATGTCGTTGAAGTTAATATTGAGAATACATGTTATCATTCATTACTCGGTGGTGTCCGTAACAGACTTTTGGTTATCAGGGAGTTCGGTAACAGGTTGATGCAGACTGCATTTTATATTGCAGAATGTCTTTGTGAAGTCGGCTGCTAAGTAAGCAGTGAAGTCATTGAACATCGAGAGTTTTGTGGATGTTCCATTCTTGAAAGTCAGTTGAACATGTTCTTCGGAATCATCAACCTCAAAGCTCTCAAGAGATGGCTCGTCCAGGAAGCTGATGCGACGAGTAAGAGCAAATACGGGAATGTGAACATCGATAGAATGGTCCAATATACGAGTAACAAATACACGAACAGGCATTGCTGGAACCTTATGCTCCTCACTATACTTGTTAAGGTACACAGAAAGGAAAACAAAATTGCTGTCCTCCTGTGCCAAACGAGCATTTTCTTTTTTCGTATTACAATGCGTCGCAATTTCATTGCACTGCTTTGTTTTTAGCGAGGAATCACAATCTTGAACGGCACATTCTAACAATCGGTGAACAATGATATCGGGGTAACGGCGAATAGGAGACGTAAAATGAGTGTAATGAGAGAAAGCTAAAGCATAATGTAGCCATTCAGAGACGGAGTCCGTACTTCCTGTACAGAAATACTCGGCACGCTGCAACGAACGAGCAGCCATGTTTTCAATTAATTCGGTAATGTCAGAAGGAAACTTTTCACGTAGACGCTGTAAGGAATCATTAAACCTGGCAGACGTAGAACCATCGAAATCAAAACCAAGATGGGCAAGGAAGCGAATGAATTCGCCAAGTTGCTTTTCTTTGGGGGGAGCATGACGACGTAACAAGGCAACATGAGGGAAATGGTTGCTAATTTTTTCGGCGACAGAACGATTAGCAAAAAGCATGAACTCTTCAATCAGACGGTTGGCATCTTTGTGTTCATAGACTTCACATTTCTGAGGCAATCCTTGTTCATCCAAACGAAATTTCAGTTCGCTTGTATTCACACTAACAGCACCATTGTCAAAACGTGCCTTTCGCAAAGCCTTGGCAATTATATTCAGGTTCCGAATAGAAACCTCAACATCCGTGGCTTTAAATCCGTCAGAAATTGGTTTTCCAACACCTTCTTCCCAGGACTTTCCTTCGAGTATATTTTGTGCTTCCGTGTAAGTTAAACGGCAACAAGTCTTAATCAGACTTTTTCCAAACCAACGGGGTCCAAGCTCACGGCCGTTGCGATCCACGAGCCATTCAACACTAAAGGCCAACCTTTCCACTGAGGGATTTAATGAGCATAAACGTTCACATAGTAAAGTTGGAAGCATCGGAATTGCGCGCTGAACAAGATAGACAGTTGTTGCGCGGGAGCGAGCTTCATTATCTAAAGCAGTTTCAGGTTTAACGAAATGCGACACATCTGCAATGTGAACGCTAATTCTGTAAGTTCCGTCACCATTGTCTATGCAAGAGACAGCATCATCGAGATCACGAGCCGTTTCTGGATCAATTGTGAGCACAATTTGATCAAGAAAGCTTCGACGTTTCGCCCGCTCCTCATCAGTAATGCACCAGTTGTCTGATGGAAGACAATCTAAAACTTCGTCGGGAAACTCACGGGAGTTCACCATGCGTTCCAGCAGGATAGCTTGAGTGCTTGCCTCGATGTTAGAGAGATGGCCAATACGTTTGTCAACTTTTGCCAAGGGATAACGAGATGTAGCAGACCAAGTCTTTCTCTTCACGCTGAAGATAACCCCTTCATTTTGTGTGATCTGTTCCCGCCAATTCGATCCCGAGAGTTCGCCTAAGTCATTTTTGTGGATAAGATGAAACGGCATACGCTTGCTTTGAGGTTGGAAAATACAGTAATTTGACTTTGAGTTTCTTGGACTTCCAGTGTTGGGTGACCATCCGGGAGGATGAAGAATGCCAACTACTGAATCTCTGGGCCACCGTTCAGCGATAGCCACAACTTTTGCGTTGGGATTGGAGGATGCAACTGAAGTAGGTAATGCTGGATCAGCTGTAAGGTCATCCTCAGAAGAGCTGCTTCCTTGAACAGTGACAGATTCGGAAGCCGGAGCACGGTCTTTTAAGGTCTCAATAATTACGGTGTCATTGTCCAAAGCTCTATTACGAGCAATCATTCCATCGATATAGAAGTCATCAGCATAGCCTTCAACGGTGACAAAAGCACTGTGGAAGCTGTCTAAAATTCTGAGAGTACCTTTCAATAAAGTTCCTTTCTTCAGTCCTTCCAAGTAAGCTTCTTTTGTCAAATGTTCTTCATAAACGGCTTTTAGTGGTTTCCGGGACTTAACAGTAATAGACTCGGTTACTGTGTCCTCAATTGTCGTAATTTCCTTATCTGATGTTACTTGCTTAATAACTTGAGTTTTTCTGCCTACGGTAACTTCTGTTTCGGTTGGTCCAGTTTGTGTAGCTAAAGAAACACTTTTTGACGGGTGATCCAATTTCACCTGTGCTAATTTTTTTCGTACATGTTCTAATAAACCATCACCGAGACCAGGATGAGTCATTTGACTTGTCAACATCGAGGTGTTATGAATTGCTTCACCTCGATCTTTTGATTTTTTAACGACAGTTGTCATTGCGTTCAATCTCTCCCTAACGATCTACCTAGAGCTGTTTATTATTGAACGTTTGTTTTTCGTAGTAATGGTTGGTGAGGGATTGTGGTGTACCTAAGGAAGTGTGTAATGTAGAGAAACTGTAGTACAAAGGATGTGTAAAGGAATAGAATGGTGAGCAGAAAACAAGTTCTTTATCTCGTTAAAGCATTCTTTCAACTCGGTATTTAGCCCTTTCCGGTCGGTGTTTCATTTTACTATTTCTCAAACTTTCTGCTCGTTACTGAGGCGCTATAGATAAACCTGGGCTCGTCATATTGAAGGGGAGACTAAATTTATATCGGAATTGAATTCGCGAACAAGCCAAGTCGTATTTGATGTTACACATTTCATTAAAAACTCATTGCTATCGGGATGCAAGCTGATAATTAATGGCCGTAGCCCTAAAGAACATAACAGTACAGTATTACAAGAAGTTGCCCCTAGTGGTTATTCGTTGCTTTAGAAAACAACCATAAAGTCGATTGAAAGACCGTCAATTGCTTCTCAAATACATTGAAAAAGACAAGAGGAGGGAGAGAGAAAGAAGGTAGAAAACAAAAAAAGAAAGAGAAAGAGATTAAAAAGAGGGGAAAAGAGACAGAGAGGGACAAAATTTTTGAACAAGTATCCTTAGCTTTTCATCCTTCATGCTCCTCAAAAAGAAACGTGAACAGGATAAGATTATCAACGTGGACGTGCGAAAACAGTGAATGGGTTCTGGGTCACATTTCTCTGTAAAATGGCAGGCCCATTCTTTGGTAGGGGAGAAACGTTTTCTTCTTCCCCTGTAAAATCAACAGGAGGTTTAAACGGTGCCATTCTATCCAATTGAACACCACCATAGACATCTTCTTCCTCGTCAAATGGTTCTTCTTTTTGCGTTTCCTCAGTCGGGTTAATGTTCTTTTCAGGAGACTGTTGCTCCTGAATGCATTGTCCGAAACCTGTTCTCAGATATTGATATTGACCTTCTCGATTGGCATTTGCTGCTTGAAATGTAACTTCTTGTATAGGTTGTTGCTTCACTGGTGTAGCATAACCAAATCCAGGAGGGGGATTCACTTGAGCAATGTTGTCGTACTCACCATATCTGCAAACTGGTGCCGGTTGAAAATTTTGGTTATAGCGATATGCTTGAAGTGCGTATGCAGAAGTTCCGTTCATGGTCTGCAGCTGAACTTCCTCAGCGGCACGGTAAGATTCGGCTTTCTTTGCCTGCATGTAAGTCTGGACTTCTTTCGCATCCAGAAATAAGCGATAGTCTTGCATAAGTCGGAGGATATAGTTCATACGCTCGACAAACACGCTAGCCCCAATGAACCCATGGTTGGGATTTCCGACAAAATCGTACATATCGCGGAATTCAAGAAGTTCGTGACAAAGCCCATAAATTGGCCGCAGGAGTGCCGAATATGAAGAAGCACAGTTGATGAAAAGAGAGAGTCTGTGGTAAAGAAGAACATTGTAAGTGTGGTGTGAGCCAACGGCCCTGCGAATCTGAATCAGTTTGTCCTGGTAAAGATCATGATCGAGAATCTTTCCAGATACGACTTCGTCTAGCAGTCGTTTGTAAAGCATTGTGGCTTCCTCCATCTTGTTTATATAACGATTCAAATCCTGCTTCAGTTCAAAATCAAATCGTTGGGTTGGCACACCAAGAGGAATAACACGAATATCAAAGTCCTTTGGCTGAAAAACTACACTTGGCGTCTGATTTTGTGCTCTTGGGGGAATCTTCTCTTTTTTAATCGCACAAGGAGACGGATCACTAGAGTCGAGATCATTAATTTCTTGATTAACAACTTCGTTTTCAATTGGAAGTATAGTCTCTTCTGGCTGCTGAAGGGGAAGACTGCTGCTGTTACGTGAGCTTCCTGAAATCAAGTGTCCGGACTCCTCTTTCTGTTTGACCTCTCGATATTCGTTTTCGTCAGGTTGCTTGTAATCTTCCGAAAGATCATCTCCATGAGCTGAATTAAGATCGTCATCAAGTTGATTTTCAAAATCATCGGCACAAAGATCGCGTGTTCGAGGAAGCCGTTCAAATACCCCATCATAATTTGGTCGAGGAATAGGATATTGTTCATCCTCTACCATTTCTCGTAATTTAGGTTTTCCATTTTCGCATGGGCTTTGAATAGTAGAATTAGTAGCTTCAGTGGAAGCAGCACTGGATGTGATTTCAGTTTCTTCAGTAATAACCCTTGTATGACAACGATTGAGTGACTCGTTCTCAGACATCAAATTCACATCGTCTTCGTCAGTTTTAAGTATTCCATTCATCGTGGAATTAGAATCAGTACCCGCTTTAAGAAGGGTTACTTCGGTGGGGATGCCTTGCCGTAAAGCACTGTTAATCTTTGACACGAATACATTAAGATCAATCATAAGGTGACGGTCATTTGAAATATTGGCCTCAACGGCATTTGAATGTTGATTCGACGAATCTGTGAGCGTACAGGAGTTGTTAGCTGTGTCTGAAGAATCTGAATAATTAGAACCGTCGACAATGAACACATCCGAAGGTGAATCAGTATTCTGTTTCTCTGATGTGTTCAAATCTAATTCAGTCGTCTTTAGAAATCGATTTGTAGCATCATCCAGTGAAGTGTCTGTAGTTCTCATTGCTGTTTTGGATTCATAATCAGCGTCAAGCTCCTCGGGGATAGGTGTAAGCTCATGAACAACTCTTTTAAATCGCCTTCTGGCAATTTTTCTTTTTAGGCGATTACTCATAAAGCTTCTTGATTCTTCACGTAGATTCTTGGGTTCACTGCCCACGATTAAGTTCAGCGGAGAGAATAAATCGACTGGTGCGAGTTTATCCAAAATTAGATTTGATTCATTCTCGCTCAAAGTTTCGACGTTTTCAAAAATAATTGTCTTTGCTTCCCTCAAGAATTTAAAGACGGCGCTTGCCATTGTTTTCAAAACGACAAACGCCATAAACAAGATTGGAATTGACTCATTAAGTGTATTCCGCAAAAATGATAGTGCCCATTCTATATCAAAGGAGCTTAGCACTGGAAAGCAAGAACTCAGTTGTAAGTGACAAGTGAAAACGAATGACAGCAACCGATTCGTAAGTTTCTCCGTATTCGAACGAGTGCAATCTTTAAACCGACTAAAGTGTGAAATTTCGTTCAAAATGTTTCGGAAGAACCATATCATGCATTTAAAACCGCAGAGAGTTGTGGATGCTCTGAAAATAAACAAGTCGGTAATAAGAGCATATACAAGAGTAACGTGTAACGCTGCGTAACAATTGGCAATTGAAGGCATCATGGAATAATAGTACAGTAGCAAAAAGTGTAATGCTGAGAATAAGTTCAACGGTAATCAAACACAATTAGAGATCGCGTTGCAAAATGGATAGCACGAAGATTAAATCCTCAAGGCTAGTAAAGACAATCGAAAAAAAGTGTAAATAATGGAATGAAAATGTTTATAGTCTGCTTGAGTACGAATGTACAAGTGTAAACAGAGCTATATCGCTGCTTCTGCGGCGTCTTCAAGACCAACAATGAAGCAGTTTTATACTGTATAATAAAGAGAGCAACTTATTTCGTTGATGAGTTGCTCAAATGGGAAACTGAGTCGAAAGTTATATCCACAGAACGAGCAGTAGAAATTAAATACCAATACAGAAGTAGGTAAATATAGAGTAGCGTGTAGGTCTGAAACATCTATTTATACCTCATATTCTGTTTGTTTACATTTTGTTTATTGACTTACATGTAAACAAATGTTAACGAATAGCAGCTGCTCAAAGACGGTATTGAGCCATTACTCAATTATCATAAGATAATTAATTAACAAACCATCAGTTCAACTCATTCCTGTGCAGTAAGTGCATGTTGACATCAGAACTTTTATAACAGAAGTGCAACCTTCGGCCAATTAGTCCCTATTTAATTTTTTTGAAGTTGTATAGGGGCAATTGTAATTGATGATGACTGCAGTAAATGTAAATTGAGCCTATTCATGCAATCGGTGCGAATTCAAACGAACGAAATAGATACTCCTGACGGATGGAAAAGCTAGAGGGACAAATGCAGCAACTCAATACGGACTTGAACAACTTTTCAATAGTCGTGACAGCCGAATACTGGTCTTTCACTTCAAATTGGTGTCACCCAATTCGCGTAATTAAAACCGGCAGCTTTGCGTACCAGAATGCTTAAATTAAAAACGATCATTTAACGACCAATAAACCTCCATGTTATTCATCGCTTAAACTCTTTCACTTTCAGAAAACAAGCAATATTGAACTCGGACAATACGCATGGAGGAATGGGTATGAGGCAGTTGCTTCTCCCTTTTATAATGACTCTTCAGTTCTAGAAATAGTTCGCTGGATTAGCCAGATTCATCTGCTAAGCAATAGTAAATTTTTCTCTTGCAAGTACCAGCAATCCCACCGGAAGGCTCGGAATTAGGAGAAGAGGTGTTTTCAACAAGACCCTATTCTTTGAAAGAAACAAGATGAACGAGAAAACATTGGCTCAGATTAACAAAGGGAGGAGAGCGTATGAATTGTTTAAATACATTTATAGTTCCAAAAATGCAAATGTTCTCGTGCTGGATTTTGAAGCGTATGAGCGTAATCAGGACCTTGTTACAGAAGCAGGAGTATGTTTGTTTCGGAAAAAGTCTTGGAAAACTTATCATTATCGTGTCCGAGATTATTTGCATTTGAAAAATGGAAGATTTGTTGCAGATCACTCAGAACATTTTAAATTCGGAGAATCCATCATTATTGGAAGACGACAGCTCTGTGAAGTACTTACAGGCTACCTGCGGTTACCCAATCTTGTTGTCGTGGCACATGGCCTCAGGAACGAGTTGAAGTACTTGGGGAAGCTGAGAATTGAGATACCACCGCATGTTGCTTTAGTTGACACCCAGGATGTGTACCGATTTTACTCGTACACCTGTCTCGGTGTTGTTCATAACCAACTTATTGGCTTGAACAAACTACTGAGTAGTCTATCTGTCATTCCATTTGGACTTCATAATGCTGGAAACGACGCTCATTACACCAAGGATGCATTGCTTTCTATGGCCACAGCTTTGACGTCTCATGAACAAGCATTGGATGCTGATCGATGCAAAACAATAAAGGCCCAGAAGAAAAAGTCGGACTCCAGCACTACACCTCAGAGCACGAAAACTGCGGCTGATGATATAAACAATGTTAGTCGGGCTGAAAACTGTACAACGACTGCATAGGGGAATCCTGTGGGGACGATACAGTATACGACCTTTGAATGTAGCTGATCAAAGGTCATTTCACGCGTTTGACACACTCAAATTTGTTCGTGGACTCGAGGCGGCCGGATGGACGCCTGTAGAAGCTAATAGTATTATGAGGACAGTGCACGATGTTTTCACGAAAACGTAAGCCTTAGTCGTACTGAATTGATGAATCCAAAGTAGACGTTAACGAGTTTTTTAGAAACGAAAGGAATGCAAGACAGTTTGTGAGCAGAGAACAGCAAGAGCGTGCGATTTACCAGCAGAAAGTAGACTTTGCACATCTTAGAAGCGATCTGCAAAGCATTGAACGAGAAGAAATGACCGTGTTGCACACAGAGCTGGAGCGACTTTCGACAGATGTAGAACGTTTGCGTACATCCTTCGAAGACCGGATCCATACGCTGCTTGCAGATGCAAGGCTGAAGATGCTCACTGAACGCATCCACAACCGAGACGAAGCTTCTGCCCAAGACCTCGAAGTGCGAGAAGTATCTGCTCGAGTGCATACAGAGGCTTCTCACTTGCGTATGCAATTCGCCAGCTTAAAAAGCCAGACGCTTCAATGGCTGCTAGGAATTATTACCGGGTATGTATGCAGAAGGCCAAAATCAATGAGCTTTCTGTGTTTTTATGTTGTTCTGTGACAAGCTTCGATGTTCACCTTTGCAACGAATTGCTAACACACGAGTATAGTTCTGGAGCACTGCTTCTCGCGTATCTCAGACTTCTGCTGTAGCGTCTGAGGCGTCTTTGAGGCCAACGAAAGCGCTGGTCCGCACAATTGCTGTTTTTTCTTCTCGAAATCGCATTCTCGCGTATGTCGCTTAACGGTCGCTAAAGTCATCGCTCCCTCCACAGTTACTCCTGGCCTTTAACATGAATATCACAGACGGCGAGCAAAACGTCCTTCAGGACTTTGTCAACAAGCTGCAAGCACAGCTGCAGGCTAGCACAGAGCACTACCATTATTTGAGAAAGCACGCAGACGCTCTCAAGGTATGAGAACACTCTTTACGACGTGTTACATCCGAGGACATGTTTCCAGAAATGCTGACATTCAATGTCGCTGTGTAGAGTCGGCTAGACACTTATACGCAACATTGTTCAGAAAACGAATTGACGCGTCTACAACGCGAGAACTCGACTTTAAAAGCAGAAAATGACGAGCTCACCGAGACCGTCGTGACGCTAGAGCAATTGCTGGAGTTATACTCGAAAGGAATGGACTGTATAGTCCAACGAATGCAAGGATACATTGTAGGTCCACGAACAAAAGCTCCGTATCTCACTAACACTTGGCAGAAAGTAACAAACAAGCGTCTCCATGACGCAGAAGTGAAGGCCGTTGAGGATCACGAGAAATTGGTCAAGAAGCGCGAACGTATCTCCATCGAACTGGAGAAGCGTGGAAGTTTGTTAAAGGTGGAATCGCTGCTCCGTGAGCTGGAGAGTAATTTGCATGATGTAAGCGTCCAGCAGAAGATTTAGCTCGCGAGCCGACCTGTCGATCTTAGCGGGGTTGCGGGGACTCTCGTGTGGATCTTCGGTGATCCACTGCAGATCTAATTCTGGTTTGATGATGTCATAACTTAAAGTTTTAACGTTTGCGCGTGGTTCGCTTAGCTGCGAGCCAAAAAGAGCAACCAGTACTAGTAGCAACGAAAAGCGAAATGGAATGAAGAACAGGATGAGCAGCGACGGTTTTACGGCTTGTGTCTACTGTGTTCAGCGTCTCCCACATCCCTCCCCGCACGCCTCCAGTCCATCTCTTTCAACTCTTTCATTTTCCAAAAAACAAACCCAATCCATAACAAGTTACCCAAAAATTAAAAACGTTCTTTGGCACGAGCGGCAGCATTCCGCAGGTTGGCGTACACCTTGCCGGGCGGTGTACCAAGGATAAGAGAAACGACAGCATCTTTAGCGACACGTATGTTCGTGTATCCGCCAAGGATGTGAATCTTTTGGTCGGCCAAAACAATACGTGTTCTCGACGCGTTTTCGATGGCAAACTTGGTTTTGCCGGCCTGTCCGGCGATACGGCCAATGGCACGACTCAGATGGTCACCGTGGAGCGTTTTCACGTCCTTGATTTCAAAGGTATCGATGTACAAGTCGTCGAGACGGAGCAAGGCAATAGCATCATCGATATCGAAACCCAGGGCAAATGCCCGGACAAAGTCCACACCTTTCTGCAGAGCTCCTGCGTCCTTGGTGGCTTTACTTTCACGGAGCTCCACAGCACGAGACTTGGTGTTCATACGCACCTGTAGCAGCAGATGCTCAACCAATGGAGGATATAATTTGTGCCATACATTTCGCAGAGGAGTCATTCTGTGAGGAGGAATGGGGACTTTTTGGGTTTGGGATTTAAGAGCACCTTTCTTCAACGATGCTGTTCCAGAGACAGCAGACGCCTTCATAGGAGGAAAGTGAGGAACACCCTCGACATCCGTATGAGCAGCAGGAGCGTCTCCAGCTGGAGAATCGGTCATCAAAGCATCCGAAGCGCCCGAAACGTCAATCACAACTTGTTCTTCGTCAACGGCAGAATTGCCGGCGGGAACGGGCGCAGTTGGTGCCAACATGGATGCAGTTTTACCAATCGGTAGGAGTTGGCTGAGAGGACGTTGCGGCGTTGTGTGTAGGCAAAGTTTTGGTGGTGGTGGTAAGGAATGGTGGGGATTGCGAGGTGGTGCGTTACTGTGCGCTCAGACTCGTTATTCCGAATAGTGATTATTTGTGCGGTGCATAATGGTGTAACGCGATGCAAGGAGAAATGTCTGGGATTCCAGGTTATGGGACAGAAACAAAACAGAAATAAAGTAGGCGAGAAATTGCTTCGTGTATGGACGAGTCGATTAAACGAGAGGGATGACGTGTATGCGTGTACATTTACGATGCTCAAACTTGGACAAAACCGTGTACTTGCTGAGCTCTATGTGGATTCATTGTGTCTATGTTTAGAAAAAAAAATATATATTTAGTATACTCAACCAACGAAAACTCGTAATACAAACTAGGCTCCTTTATTCTTTTAGAACAAAGACAAATTCACCTGATTTGTCTCGTCAGGCGACGCTTTGAAAGTGTTGCGACGATTCCACTCCTTTGTTACATCGGTATTTTCGCTTGGAGCAAAAAGCGATAACGACTCGCCAATCTCAAAGAGACCATGCGGTTCGGGAATGATAGGACTGCTTTTTTTGCCCTTCTTTTTGCTATAAAAAGGAGTCGGGTTTCGTCCCTGCTCCCCACTGGTTTTATGTGTCTAAAATAGAAGGGTCATGTACACGACCCGGCACTCCTCGCGGGTCCGTACCCTGTAACCGGACGTTGAGAGCGTTGGGACCTCGCCGAAGGACTGAGCGAGGTCGGTTTCCCGAGTACCTTGGAAAGGGGCACGCCTGAAGGAATAGGTTGGTTAAGTTGCTCCTTGGCTGCCGTAGATAGACGGAGCCTAAATGATTCTGTGACCTCTTCGTTAGCGGTTAGGGACGTTAAATGTCTCGAGTTTGCACAGCCTGGGCGACGGGTTCTGGCTAGTGCTCCTGATTTTTCTATTAGTCTCCCTTCTGATCAAAGGGTGACGGTCTTGGGACCCCCGTTCCCTGGCCTCTCTTACTCTTATCTGCGAGTAATTAGAAACGGAACTTGAGTTCTTGATCATAGGCAAATGAATCCAGTCAAAAATTAAGTGAAGTGGAGGGGAGTGAGATGCGGTTTCGTAGAATGGTTATTTTTATAAAGATGTGTTCTTTATTGGCTGTCTTGGGGTTTAGGGGTTCCTGTCGTGCTTTTGTTTTGATGGAGCAGCTTCGGGTCGGCTTATAGCAGTTTGTATTCAGTCCAATTTTGTTTTGAAACGGTGAATGGAGGCCCATGCTAAAAGCTAATTATGTCCTTCACTGTATTGATTCAACAGTAAAGGGTGTCTCCTACCTCCAACTAGTACTAAAGAAATTTATTCTCTGCGTATTATGTAGATGCAATAATTAATTGCTGCCGATTTTTTCCTAAATGCATGTTTACTAAGTTTGATTTGTTTCATATAACTAGTTTAAGGTTCAACAGAGTTATGTATACTAAGACGCTAACCCAGAATTAGCTCACGGAGTAACATGTTAAACAATTACTGATGCCAGTTTCTACACTGGCTTCGTGTAGCGTTATATTTTTGTGAAGGATTGCAACCGAGACTCTTGCAGAAGAGATTTGAATGCATCAAGTTCTATTTTCTTTCAATCGTCCCAATGAAAAACACGCCGTTCATGACACTAAAGCTCCTAACGAATTCACTATCATTCTCGAATTCGTTTAATCCCTGCACTAAGGTCTCAACTTAACAAACTAAACTCTGTGCAGTATTATAAAAAACATTAACATAACCAAAACAAGTACTCGGCTGTAAAGTAGTACATTTCTCAATCATAGCTTCCAATTTAACTTCATTTCATCATAATACTCGCGCCAAACACTTTCGCAACGATTCTCTACCCAACAACCAGCAAAGTGAATGAGTAGGTCGCCTGGCGTGTAGCGCTGAATTTCTTCGGCTGCCGCATACGAATTGATCATTTTTTGCGGCACTAAGGCAACGTGTGAGGCCATTTCTGGGTGATTTGCAATCAAGTATCCCAGCAATGTCTGTTCATTTTCAGACACTTTCTTTTCACGGTATGCCTTGTCCGACCATACATCAACAAACATACGCATTATCGGATTGACGCGAACAAAAAAGCTTCCCGCATTTAATCCGTTCAAGTCGCAAGAAATAATAAGACCGACGTTTTCCAAATCTGCATCTGAATACTCAGAAGGAGTAACCAGATGGGGTGCCGCCGAATCCTTTTCGTTAAAGAACGGCTGTTTTCGCAACAAGCTGCGACGCATAGCTTTTTGCGACAATAAATGATCCTGTAAAGACAATTCCTTGTTCATGATAATGGCGTCTTGGTCAAGCCACCAAATCCATTTTGCTTTGGGATACTTGTCCATAGTAGCGAGTATAGCAGGCATCTTTGCCCATACGGGAGGAATTGGCATTTCAGAAACGTTTACAAATTCGAATGCATAATTGTGTTTCTTGGCGTATGCAATTCTGTTATCAATGCATTCTCCAAAAAAACTGTCACCTTTTCCGTTTGAAGTATGCCCATCACTAGCCAACAGGATCACAATTTCATGAGATTTTGGTGTTGACGGGTCGAGAGGACGGTATTTTGGAGCATTGCAAGTAATCATACTTGAAAGATCTTTTTCTGACCGAATTAAATTGTCGTCCACATAAGGAATTGGCACCAGACTTGACCATGATGGATACGACCAACAAAGAAATGATAATGAAATTGCTGCAGATGCAAACAACAATAACAAGGTCTTAAACCTTAAAGTCATTTTTCTATCAAAAATATTTCTCCAAAAATTTACGGGAAGAAGTCGAGAGAAGCAGAGTCAACAAGCGACTCATAACCTCACAGGTAAAAAGCCTAACGCAATTCATTGGAATTGATTATATTTTTTCCCTGTAAGAATCCCATCACTAACCGAACATTCACCTGATCCTCATACCAGCAATTGGGAGGGGTTTCACAACGGATGTGAAGAACAGTGAACAACCCTGAGATTCTAATGCCTGTTAAAGATAGAAACATTGTGCCTCCTCCCAGGTAGCTTTTGCAACAATGTCGCTTATGAGTAAATATTGCGGGCGCAATTGCCTATGACTTGTGATGACATTCAAGGAAGGCGAAGATAGTAGTCCAAAGTCTGAACAAGCACTGTTTCATGGCAGTCCGAAAGAACTAATTCTTCCACTTTAGTATTAATGAAATTTGATTCTATTATTTTGAAATTTCTTTCAACTATTTGTTTAACTTTTGACAGTCTTGTAGCAGTTAAAAGGAGTTAACAGATTAAATTAAGGGTAAACATCTCATACTTTCCATAGTTGAACGCCCGACCCAAGCTTTGTGAGCTTATTCAATATAATGCGCGTATTTCTAACACTAGTTTTCGCATAAAGAGATTAAAGCTGGAGTAAGCGAAGTCAAATAAGTCGGTTCTTTAATTTAATAATATTTGAGGAAGGAACAGACTACGGTTCGTAAATATTTTGCGGTATGTATGAGCGGGTTTCATTAACATTGTTGATGTAATGCTCAAGTCAAGCCTAATTTTTTGTCTTCTTATAAAGTTATAAGTTCTAGTGATACTTCTTATAATGTAACATAGCTAATTGACCCTGTCACAGCAAGAACGATTGCAGACAGTTAAATTTCTCAGACTGAATATGGAGCACAGAATTTGTGCACTGCAATTTTGTCGTATTCATTTTTCTCTTTCTAGTAATTTATTCTTTAAGAACTAGTATAGTCGACTAAAACTCTAATAAAAGCGAATGATTATCTACTTCAACTGAAGAGAAAGAACCCAAATTGGCTACAATATAAAAAAGCAGTAAATGAAGAACCCTTTATTTCATACCAAATAATCTTGTCCTTATTTGCTTATAAACAATCATCTCTTCGATCCTTTCACATCCATCTAGCTAACAGTCAACTACCCATAGATCTGTTGCACAAAATTAATATCCAAGTTCTTATTCCCGTACATTATACGGTTGTCAAGACCGTCAGTCGCGACACATTTCTGGTTTTTCTTTTTGACTATAGTTTCATTCATAGTCTGTCATATTACCAAACTTTCATTGGAATAAAGCTACAAAGGACGACACATGCGCAGGCTTGTTCTGTTTACTCTCATGAGTCTGAACACTATCGGGATGTTTCTTTGAAATGCATAAACAGTGTGGGTCCGCCAAACATCAGTGTTGATAGAAACCAACGAAAGTGATGCTGAATGGCAATTTACGTGAAGTGCTGTACATAAGTGCAATGTATGCTTCAATACTGTGAGCGTACACAAGAATCTGCACAGTAAGTATCATAATTTTAGGACCTAAAAGGTCACGTCTACATTATTTAGTAATTCTGTTTTCCAGCAGAGAAGCTAAATCTCAAAAAAATCTGATCTTACATCCATTGAAAGTAAGTGAGACCTAAGTAAGGTTCTCCAAATATCACATATAACTGAAACAGAGCAAGAAATGGCATATACTTGCCAATAGGTTCCTTCGGAACATAGAGCGATGAAAACATTTTGTTCTTTTGTCCAAACAACACTTTATCAGCAATATGTTGTTCCTCGTACGAACGCAAGAGCCTAACTTGGCCAACTTGTATTTTTTTAAATGAAAAACGCGACACGTAAACAAACAATGAAGGCTAACCATGCTTGATGTGGGAACGCTTGTGTCTTTTATCAACGTTTTCATACTTGCTTTCTTACGCATGGTTTTTCCCCTCTTCCACGTTTATGTTTCCACCTTGATTAATACGCAAAAAAAACAATACTTTTTATTTAACCCCAATTACACCTTAATCAACTCAACTTCATACGTTTCTTTTTGGCTTGAGTCTCTTTTTTCTGACTCAAGTCACGAACATGTTTACGCATTAAACGCCAAATGCGAAGTTCGTTTTTTACAATAACGTTGGCATTTTGCGCATCAAAATCACTCTCATCGTTTTCGAGAACAGTGTATTGCTTCACGCAGCGATCCAGCAAGTCAACAAGTTCGTCGTAAGTACCAGGAACAATCTCTGACTTTTTAGGAACCTTCGACAAAGTAGGCTTATGCATTGCGACAAGCGTCAAACAAGCATCTGTGACATTATAACTGTCACGTCCAAAACAAAAGTCACCTTCTAAGTTTGTAATAACGTCCTCCTCCAATAGCAATTCCAAGCGTCTCTGAAATTCCTCTTCTCCAAGCTTTTGAATGTATTGGGGTGCCCACTGTTCGCGCTTCATTAAGACATAATCTGCAGTCGTGCCGTCAGGCTTCGTAAAACCGTACTTGCGCAAAAGTTCTCCGTTATCAATGTCACCATACGTGTTCCAAAGCTGTTCTCCCTTTTCGATATCTCGAGTAACCATCATATGGTACCCGTCTTCCAAGTCGTACATGCGAACCTAACTGGTTAGTTACTGCTTACGGCAAAAAGCACGAATACACAAAGATTAAACGCTAAACCATCCCGTCACTTACATTACACAATTCATCATCACCATTGAACATGTCGGCAATAGGACACATAGCCTTCTCAAAAACTTCTGGATCATACTCAGATTCCAGATCGGAATCATCTTCATTATTCTCAGAATGCTCACTATTGTCAACATCCATCTGTTTAGAAGCTTTCTGCGAATCATTGTTTTCAGTTTTAATTCTCTTTACATCAAAACTGTAAGAAGACATAACAGCTGCCATGTGTTCAAAGTCCTCCAGTGTCAAGCCCTCACGAAGCTTGGACTTATTTTTATCAATGAAGGGGAGAACCGTTTCTTTCCAAACTGTCTTTACCTCCGAACGATCCTGCATATTTTCCAACACAGTAGACTTTAGAAGACGCTTCTGCTTCTCGGCATCCCAATAAAACAAAGAAGTAATCCTTTCTTTTGTTGGAAATACCGAGATATATGGCTTCCAAAACGACTCTGGGTTGTTTTTCTCATTCATCATGAGTAATAACAGAGCAGCCCAATTTGGAAGTTCCTCAATCCCTTCAAGATGCTGTAGGTAAGAACCGGACACTTTCATAACGCTATCCTTGGGAAAGAAAACCACGGTTTCATCGGCCTTAATATTGTCAACTGCAACAATACCGATTCCAAGCGATTTGTTAACATCAGTGTAATCTTTCAGACTAATCTTGGGAGAGACGACATAGCCGTTCTTCTCCACAGCCCACTGAAGCATCTCCTGTGCCGTTTTCAGCATTTTTTCTTCTGCTACTGAAGCTGGAGGAGGGAAGGATAGGACGATGGGAGAAAGCTCACTAAGAAGTTTAGGGAAAAAACGATTTAAGGAAGAAAATCCGTAGAGTTCAGGAATTCAGTCGTGTTCTGGGATGTCAAGCGTCGGATCTCATCAATTTCAATAGACTTTGCTGTTGAGCAATGTTGAATGGCCTGCGTAATTAGATCGTCCAATCCATTCGCCGAGTGATGATCCGTCTCAATCAACAGTCTGTCCTTTGGAACACGCTCAATAAGGCTGTGAAACCTTTTGAGCGAGAATTGATGCCCTCGGAAAATGAAAAGTATACCCTAGATGGAATTTTACGGTCAGTAAACTGTTCCACTTGTTCGGGACTGCCAGAGTAGCTATGAAGACAGATTCGAAGGGGAAATGGTAACGGTCCTTGTTGATAAGCCTCCATCCATAAGGGATTCTCTCTCTGCTTTCGCAGAGAGGGAACCCAATGGCCTTCCCAACGAGCCTTAAGTAAAGTCAAAAGTAGGTCGTATGTTTGAACGCAATGGATACTGACCGGCCTTTGCAGTTCAGCTGCTAAATTCATATGTTGCTCAAACACTTCGATTTGGTGCTCCATGTTCACATAGTAAGGGGAAAGTGGGCCTTGAGGCAACGAGCTACGACTGTTATAAGGACCACTGGGAATGCGAAATGATTTGTCAAGCCCAATTTCACCAATCAATGCATTTGGGTGCTTATACAAAAAGTGTCGTAATCTTTCCAAGTAAACATTCATATGAATAGGCTCAGGAAGCTTTTCCATAAACTCAATGGGTGGCACCGGATGAAGGATATTCTGATAGTGCTGCATTTTTTGTTCTTCAGCAGAAATATCGACTGCAATTCCCTCCTTGTCTGAAATTAAAAGATACGAAAACCATGGGTGAATACCAAAACTCGGAATAATCTTGTCAGGAAAGTCACTAGCAGCTTGGTCGACGAAAGATTGATCAAAGGGCCGAGTGGACATGACGATACATTTATGGATTTGGGACTCTTTCACCAGGTTAAGCTCAGACGGAGTGTCTGTTAGATGACAATGAACGTCGGTAATGCTAATAGCAGACATTTTTTAATAGAAAGTGGATGAAGATTGTTACAATATAGTAATGGATAATTGCCTCAATAAGAAAGATGTTGGCAACAGAAGTATTTGTAGTGTAAAACTCGGCTCAATAACTTCCGTTTCAAAACGCAAATTTAAAAGGCACTGATTCAATTACACGCTAATATGATATTTACGTAAAGTAGTTCAAAGTATCATTCAGAACTATTTCAATGATAGGATCTTACGAGGTTCCAAAAGCTTCTGGTATGTTCTCAAACAATGTAGAATGTTAAGCCGTATTCTTGAAACAAGTCTTGATACTCGGTTTTGTACCTGACATTTTTGCCCTCATGGTTTGCTACTGCTGTGACGCATCTTTTGCTTCAACATGCAACCATCGGAAAACGTAGAAGAAGAAAAGCAGGAGCTTTCAGAGGTTGATCTTGAAAAAAAGATTCAAGAAGGTATGTTTGCGAGAACTTGCTGTCGTTTTGATGAGACTAATTTTTTATAGAGTACAAACTATGGAAACAGAATGTCCCTTTTCTCTACGACCTTGTAATTACGGAAGCATTAGAATGGCCTTCTTTGACTGTAGAATGGTTTCCTGGCAGTGAAAGGTTCGTTTTACTAAATGCTTTTGCTGCGGGCAAGCATTGGTCTTTACTATTTTCCTTATTGACACCCATTCAGATCTTTGGCTGACAATTCCTCGATACAAAAATTATTATTGGGCACACAAACTTCGGGAAATGATCAAAATTATCTTCAAGTTGCTTCTGTCCAATTGCCCACATTTGATGATGACTTGGATGATTTAACTCCCAGCAAAATGAAGCCGGCCAACTTTAAAGGCGACTATGGCTTGGATATTGTACAAAAAATTCATCACGAGGGTGATGTAAACAAGGCTCGTTTTATGCCTCAGAACCCGGATATTATTGCTACCTTGGGCTTAAATGGTAACGGCTACATTTTCGACTTGAATCTGTATCGTGAACAGCCCATTGTCCAAACAGGACACCAAGCATGTCTTCGACATCACACAAGCGAAGGTTTTGGTCTTGGTTGGAATTTCATTCAAGAAGGTACTCTTGCTACAGGCACCGAAGATACAAGCATTTGTGTATGGGATATCAAAGGAAAGTCACTTAGCCTTGAAAAATCCATTGATGTTGCACCAGTGAGTGTGTACCACCGTCACACCGCCGTTGTCAATGATTTACAGTTTCATCTTCAACATGAAGCCCTTCTTACTTCCGTTTCGGATGACTGTACTTTGCAAATCCACGATACACGACTCCCATCTTCTTCCAGCGCTTCTCAGTGTGTCAAGGCCCATGAACAACCCGTTAATGGAGTCGCATTTAATCCATTTAATGATTACCTATTGGCTACAGCAAGTGCAGATCACACCGTAGCTCTTTGGGATTTACGCCGACTGAACCAACGTCTTCACACTCTCGAGGGCCATGAAGATGAAGTATATAATGTTCAATGGTCTCCTCATGATGAGCCAATTTTGGTGACAAGTTCAACTGATCGAAGAGTTTGCGTATGGGATTTGTCAAAAATTGGTGAGGAACAGACTGTTGAAGACAGTGAAGATGGTGCCCCAGAGCTCATGTTCATGCACGGAGGCCATACAAATCGTGTTTCAGATCTTTCCTGGAATCCGAATAATAAATGGGTTCTCGCAAGTTTAGCTGATGATAACATTTTACAGATCTGGAGCCCTTCAAAAGTAATTTGGGCTTCAGATAGTCTTAAAATCGATTCAAAGGATTTAGAGTGAACATGTCAAGATACGCACGCAAAAGATGATTAGGCATAATGAATTCAAAATACCTCAATATACACAACATAACAAGACGCCATGCCGTATGCAACAACCAATTTCAAAATCAAACTGTATTAAGAAAAATGATCTAAATTCAAAAAGTATAAAACTCTGGTAACTATGAAACGACAATACACAAAACCTTTATGAAAGCAGCTGAATGAAAAAGAACGAAATTATTTCAGAGGTTCCTGATTGCGGAGAAGGCGCTTGTATAACTTCTTCGACACCTTGGCCGGTCTTCCAAGCATTTTGTTAACAAATACAGTTGCTTTTTTGATTAAGAAGACAAAGAAGATGTCTTGACCAAGTGCAGAAAGAACATAGTACACAGCAGCTACCGCGAAGATGAATCGTTTAAACGAAAGTGAAGAGGGTGAAATTTGAAGCAACTTAGTAAGGATCTTTTGATTATCGCCTCCGAGGACCAACCAAGAATTAAGTACAATAAGCACCAAAATAGTGATAACGAAAGAAACATTACGGAAGAGACGTTCTCTGTAGGGTGGACCAACTGTAAGGACGATACCAATAAAAACGTATTGGAAACATGTTACCAAGAACAAAGATGTTACATCGCTGTTAAAGATACTTGAACCTTCCTCCATATGTTCGGGAGGAATGTACCAAGGCTGCTGCCGAACAACGTGGACCACGACGAGCTGTGCAACAACCAACAAAATGATTTGCCCAAAAAGTGGTGCAAGAATGCGTTTTGAAACAAGATTTGCAGTAGGGCGCTTACGTGAAAGCCGGTGGTAAGGGCGAGACCGGCCCATAAAGATCGCCATAGGAAGAATAATGAACAAGTCAATATAAAGGAATTGAAAGTCACCCAAATTAGAGTTTGTCATGTAAAGAATGCTTACTGTAGTAAATTGAATGGCAGAGTACAATGCCATATATTGAAAACAGCTGAAGCTTGTGACTAAGGCAGCACGACCATCCTTAATAACATCCAAAGTACATGAGATGTCGAAAGATTTGCTCGTAAAGGGTGCGGCAACAGACGCCTCGGCTTCTGAAAGTGAGATACCAACATTCGCAGCCTTCAAGGCACCAACATCATTTGCACCATCACCACAGAAACCAACACAGTAATCAAGCGCTTGCAAATTTGATACGAGTTCGTGCTTTTCTGAAGGAGACATACGAGCAAAAATTTGAGCCTTGAGTAACAGCTTATTAAATAGCTCTGCAGGGGAGTTCGCGGCTATCCAACGGAAAACATCACCTGTAATCGCAATGTGGTAATTTTTAAGTTTGTGTAATTCCGTTGGAATGCTTAGGGTTGTTTCCTCAGGAGATGGATTAGGAACAAGTGTTTTGGGATCTAAAGTAAGACCATTCTGTCCAATCTCCTCCCAAAGTACAGTAGTATCACCTTCTTCAGAATCAGCATTCTCAACAAGGCGAGGGATGAAAACCAAACCATCTTCTGGCAAAATACCACATTGCCTACCAACACAAATTGCAGTAAGAACATTATCTCCCGTACACATAACAGTTCTGATGTTAGCATCGTTAAGCTCGCGAATAACACCTGATGTAGTGGATTTCAACTTATTCTCAAAAATGATAAAACCACAGAAGGTCAAGTCGGATTCTGCCTGATCACGCTTCATCTTCTGAGCCTTTGCCCAGTTGAAATTATCCAATTTCTTCATTGCACAAGCGATAACACGAAAACCATTGTGCGTATAATAATCCAAAGTTTCTTGATAATTCTCTGGAAACGAGTCGGGTTTACAAACACTGGGCATAATTTCGGGTGCTCCTTTCACGTAAACGCTAAATTGCTTAGCACTTCCATGCTTAACAATGACAGACATTCTTCGGAGATTTGAAACGAATTCAAAAGTTTTAATCAAGCCAAACTCAAGGTCAGATTCGGCCATACTGGAGTAATCTGATGCCCAAGGAGGAGATACAGTAGGAGGGGCCAAATGTTGAGCTCTAATTGCGGCAGTATCTTCTAACCGGTTGTTGTTTTTCTTTGAACTTGAGTTTTCCTCAGAGTATGCCCAATTGGTGAACTCAAACATTTTAACATCAAGGGGGTCACCAAGTAATTCACCGTCAACTAGACGGAGCATATGGCAAGTGGCCATTGTGTAAAGAAGTCCAGAAGGACAATCAAATGACATGAGATCCTTCGAGCATAAGTCGTTGACGCCGGTACGCATTTCTCCAAGCTTGTCGTCATCAACACACAAGACACCAAGGATATCAAGACCATCCTCGGTAAGAGTACCTGTTTTGTCAAAACTGATCACATCCAGCTTACCACTAACATTAACCCGTTGTGGACTTATACAAAAGATGCCCTTTTTACGCAAACGTGAAACGGCAAAAGTGATACCAATAGTCAATGTAGCGGGCAATGCTGGAGGAACAACAATAGTGACTAAATCCAAAGCACGGAACAAAATGGTGCGGAAATGTACTCCCAACCTGACAAACTGAACCGAAGACGTGACAAAGCCGAGGAGTGCGAAACCAAACATAACAATAATGAAGCGAAAAGAATCCTTATAAAACTTGAAACCAACAGGTTTGGGGAACAACATAGAACGGACCAGGGCGCCCTGAGTGGTATTGAAACCTGTTCGAACGGCCATAGCAAGTGATGTACCCTCTTCCTTTCCATTAACATAGGGTTTACGAACCTGAATCAGCTTGGTTCCGCAAAACAAAAAGTGTTTAGCCAAAGAAGCAGGAACGGAATCGTTAAAGTTAAACAATTCGTGCATGCCTTGATCCGTGGTCGGTAACTTAGAAACTGGTACTGATTCACCGGTAAGCATACTTTCATTGACCACACAGTCGCCCGTAAGAAGTAGAGCATCGCAAGGCAGCGTCGTCAACTCTGGATCAGAGAGTTCAAAAACATCGCCGACGACAAGATCAGTGGAAGAAATACTAGTCCAGAAACCATCACGATACACGCGAACAGAACAAACGAAACGTGACATCTCGCGCATTCGCTTCATGGTCTTTTGCGTTTCGAAGAGACTGTTCAAAACACTAATTACAGAAATCAACAGGATACAAACAGCATAGTAATAGTACGAATCCATGCACCACAAAACAATGGAAAAAACCTGAAAGATGTAAAAAGGGTGAAGAACTTCATCGACAAGTAGTTGACCAGCACTCTTCACTTTAAGGTCGATATCGTTGTTACCGAAAACTTTAAGTCTGTCATTAATGGCTTCACGTTCCAAACCGGACTTAACATTTTCTGTTCCACGAATCCATTTTGGATCTTTCCAATCTTTTTGGAGCAAGAAACAGTCTAACAATGGATGGTAAATGAATTTCGTGTAGCGATAAGAAACGTAACGGAACGAATCAACAAATGGATCGGTATCAATGTCTTTCAGAGATGAAACACGAATGGAAGCACCAAAAACTGTTGAGAGAGAGTTCTCGTAGAATTGTGTTTGAAGATTATGGATAGAAAACTCCCCCCATTGTGTTTCAACGCTCAACCAATCCGCAGAAGCAAACGGTTCTGATTTTCCCAGATACTTAACATACCATCTGGGCATCCAACGGAACAAGAGGTACAGAAGACCAAAGCTAAGTACACACAAGACTCGATACACATACAAACGAGTCTTATCCGTTTTAAAACCGGCAATCATAATCTCCAAGTCTTCGTCAATCAGGTACACAGCTTGGTATGTGCGTTTGTCGTTTTCGTCAGCATAGTCTTCACGAAGAAGGACTGGATGAGTATTCAATTCTTCCATCATCATTTCAGTTAATTCTTCCTCGTCACTGTACGCACTTCCCGTAGACTTGGGGATATGTGAACGAGGTTCCATACTCATTGCCGCCACGGATTCTGCATCGTACCGGCTCATATTGTACTCTGACTGTAAATAATCCACACTGAACTGACTAACACTCGCATCAGAACCATAGCGAGACCTACGATTAAAGCTTGAGACGCTTGAAGGAACACTAGTTCCCAAACCCGGACCATCAAAAATGCTGTCGTGACTCATGACTGAACTGGCAAGGTAATCGTTCAAAGACGCTCGTGAGCCGATTGAGCTCACAGACCTCTTAGGACGAACATGCTTAGGCGATGTCATCTTTAAAACAGCACGAATTCACCTCAGGAATTCCGCATGCGACGTTGCTGACTTGCTGTTCGAGGAGGGCACTTGGTAGAGGGAGCGAAAGTTTGTGGACACTATTGGTGAGAAGGGTCCAGTAAGTCGCGTTACGTCATACGAAATTGAAGGCGCGCTAAATGCAAGCGCGTATGTAAACAAATACGATATTTTACAAAAACGACAGTGGAATGATAACAAAAAAGTGGAGATCAAAAGTGGGTGAAGTTTCCATGGAAGTACATTACTGAGTATATAAAAATGCATGGGCATTGCTCTTGTTCGCAAGTTACAGGAATAATCAAGCTTAGTTCACATTTCTCCATACCATTCATTTTTTTACTGTAGACAGAAAAAAGTTTCCATTAATTTTTAAAATTAAACTTGCCTCTTAAAATAAAAGTATGTTGTATTCTACAAAACAGTTATTTATTCAAGGCCTGCAGGAGCACTAGTATTGAGTCCGAAAAAAGAATTCATTAAACCAGACAACAAGTTGCCTTGACTGAAAGCAGGCTTAATATGGAAATACTTCTCACCGATTTTTTCAGAGGCCTGTAGTGAGAAAAAGTTAGTATGAATAAGGATGTTGAGGAGTAAATTCCGCGACGTACCTCTTGCCATCCAGGCATAGCTTTAAGTTGCTCGGCATACGTCTCCTTTAAGTTCAAGAAGGAGGGCTGAGCTTCACGAGAAGCTGCTACAAGCAGCAACCAGAAAAAGTTGACGAGTGGGTGATTAGGAAATACAGAAACGGATACATCATCAATAGACGCCTTCTGCATAGTTTCTTGACCCTTCTCAGAAAGCAACTTGCTGAATTCAGACAAAGCAGTCTTAGCACCGTTCAGGTTTTCAGCTAACAAGTAATTGATGACCGCGCGACCGGCAAACACACCTGCATCAGTTTTCGTCTCTGCACCTGTGTACCATTGGTAAAGCATGTGTCCATAACTTAGAGGGCTCTGACTGTTTCCAAGCACAAAGTGAGACTCGGCTTTCTCGGGTTCCTCCCCTAAATACGAGTTAGAATCGGATGCATGAGATACAGATTATTCCCATACACTTAACAAAGGCATTTGCAACAGCATCTTGGACATCTTCATCACCAGAGGGTGTGCTTTTCTTGGACCAACTAAGAGTATGTTAGAAGCACGCAGTGATGAATACTCATTCATACGCAATCAAATCATGAACGTATTGCTTTCTCGTGGATTCTTCCTTCGGAAACATGGCAAGAACTTCAATTGCTCTGGCTAATAGGCACATGCCGTTAGCATTGGTTTTCTATGATTATGACAAACCCTTATGAGCTGGAGTGGTTTCAAAACCGGCCTTTGTGTAAGTATCCATGATATATTGCGCAAGATCGCCAGCACTTGCCGTTTCATTCATGTCAAAAAGTGTTGAAGCACCAGAGTACAGAAGCTCGACAGCAGTATCGAATTGCTTGTTCTTAACTTGTCTACAAGATGTGAGAATGCATTTAACATGTCCAACTTACCTGTTTACCAGAGTCCGGAGCATTTGATGGCCTTCGTATGGGTCTTCTTTGATGCTGTAAAATGTTAGTAAATCAACCATGATGACAGGGACGAACCGTTCAGCAATACGCTGTTTCTTTTGCTCCAAAGCACTCATTTTTACGTATAGTCTGGTTTCAATTGTTGTCTTGATGTTGTAATTAACAGAAAAAAATCCGATTGCTTGGTTATGGCTCCAGTAAGGTGGTCTACCGGCTCAGACGAACTTCGTCGCCAATTCCTTTACAAACACAGTTTTAGTGAAGAAATACGTCTGAAAACACTATTTGTTGCAACAGCAAGGCAGTAATCGTACTCCTTAAAAACACTGCTAGGTCTTAAACTCGTTTCCATGCATCGATGCCATGGACACTGAAAGCGTTCAGTTTTTGAATAACGTATGAACAAGACTGATGTTTAGGAACATAGCCAGTGCTAATGAATACATTTAGATCACATCCATTGAAACGGATAATGATGTTATTGAACACTTGCCTCAATTAATTACCTTGGCCTGTCAAAAAGGTCAAGAGCGACAAGTAATCGCGCAAATGCAGGAAATGATCAATGAAAGTGCTATTAAAGTAGAGCAATTATGTACTGATAACAATGAGGTAAGAGAAATTTATTTATGATAACAATGGCTTACCCTAGGCATTTAACGAATCGGTCTCTAGTTTCCACACAGTAAGAGACCGGGTAAATCAGTTACAAACATCCATTCTAGAACTCAATAATGATATCCAAGCTAGTGGGCGAGATCTACAGGACAAGGTACGAGTGCTCACAAAATCATTTATTTATTTACGACTAACTCGGATTCTTTCTATCAGAAATCGCAATTGAAGGAACTTCACGATGCGGAGAACAATCTGAACGCTTATAAAGAGAATCTAGTGATTTATCTCGATGTCTTCAACCACATTGAGAAGGCCGGAAGCTATTTTAAGGAGAAACGCTATTACAAAGCACTTCGTCTACTTGATGAAATAAGTAGTACGCGCTTAAAGCGAATGTCAGAGTATTCTCTTACAAAAGCTCTCGTCAATTCCTTGTCCAGTTCACGAGAGTATGCTAAAAGTTTGGCCATGAAGGACTTGCATGAATGGCTCTTCAACATTCGTGAAAAATCCGTCATTATTGGCAGTTTTGCCTTTGAAAAGATGGATGAACGTAGGCGTTCATGGGCAAGAGAGTTTGCACAAGACTTGCAAAACATTAATACCCGCTCTCCCTATTCTCTGCATCTGGCATTATTGAATACAGTCGACTGTAAGCACTAGACGCTTTGTAAGATGATTTATTAACGACTTGACACAGTTTCCCCCTTAAACAACGAAGCTATAAAGATCACATTTGAACCTCTTTACACGGGTATACATATTTTTTCATACCTTGGTATATTGGATGAATTTCAATTGTCATTTGAGAAAGACCGTCGCCTGCAATTAGAAAGTCTTGCGCCAAAGTCTTTGAATCAACTGGACTTGAAAATCGTTGGAAACTGGCTAAAAGCTATTGCAGGTTTTATGATAATTGAGTATTATGTCTTGCAGCGTGTTCCCGGCTTTCGTACATTGGATGAAGTTGATTTTCTGTGGAGTTCCATTTGCGACAAATTATCTGATACCCTCATCCCCCTTCTGTTTCAAGAGCAGAGCACAGCTACTATCATGAAAATTAAGAATCTTGTGATGCTACTCATTCACACAATGGAGTTCTTTAACTTTCCCGTGTGGAAATTGCACGGTCTGTGCATTAAGCTTATTGATGCTTTTGGAGGCGCTCTAATTTATAAACATGCTGGCATGTTTGCAGAAACTCTCGACAACGACAATTACGCACCACTTGAGATAAAGGATGAACAAATGTACTGTGAACTTATCCAACCATATTGGTATGATAAGAAGGTCGATTCATTTCCGGTCACCATGCCCTTCTCGAAAATGTGCTATGAGTGCTGTCAAAACGCAGACTCTTTCATTCGTCGATTCTTTATGTTCCTTAATGACTCAATTACTCTCGCCGTTGAAGTCAACGAACGTGCGCCAAGAGTATGTCTTATTTCTAAGCCATTTACACTCGGAGTGATACAGTTGTACTAACATGTATGTAGCTTTTTCGCCGATTCATTAAATTTGGTTTCGTGAATCAACTCACGGACCGGTTGCCTCGACTTGGTATTTCACAAGTTGCTCAAGTCGTGCAAAACTTTGATGCTTTTGAAGAACCGTTATTGAGAATGGAGCGCATTCTCTCTAGTAACAAATCTATTACGCCTATGGCTCAGATGTTGCCTGAAAATGCACAACCGTCTTCTCATAAAGCAACTGAGATGCTCGAAGAAATTAGCCATGGACGCAAGCAGGCTTTACATCAAATCTTTATTTGCATTAACCACAAGATTGATGATTTTGTTGACCTGGCTGAATATGATTGGTATGTGTTATTCTCTTTCTATTCAAAGATTTCTTCTAACATAGTCTAGGATAACGACCACGCCACGAACGACAGTAAGCGGCTACTTACAGGAAATGCTTGCTTATTTGCAAACTATGTATATGGAAATATTGGGTGGTATTGACAACTCGGACAAATCGTACATTTATTTGGAGACACTCGATCATTTGTCGACAGCCATAATGAAACTTATCACTCACCCATCTGTGCGACGAATTTCAAGTACTGCTGCTGCTGGTTTTAAACTGGATATTGAGTTTTTGGAAAGCTTTGCCGCAAAGTTGCCAGGTCAAAGCATCGTAAACGCTGATAGTTTCATTGAACTTCGACAAAGTGCCAAACTTCTACAGGCTGAAAATGTCGAAGAATACATGGATGCTGACAAGTTCGTTAGAGACTTTAGTCGTTTGGATACATCAACGGCGATAAAGTTGTTAGAGAAGTATGTCACCTGTTGAGCATTAAACTTTGGCTTCGTGAAAACTAACAAATACAGACTTCTCAATAATTACTCCGCATTACCCTTGAGCAATGACAGGCCAAAACGCAAGGCTATAGAACACGTTCTTGCTGCGCTGCGGAAACGTCTTGCTCAGGAAATTGCTCAAGCCCAAGCACAGGGTCCCCAGAAGAGCAAAGCTTAATTTGAAAAGGGAGGAATGAAGAAATGCATAAGTTTATATAAACGTTGTTTCCGGTAGTGCTCAGAAAAGCTGTGGCAATGAAATTTACTGATCTTAATGATTAACCTGTATCGTCAATAAGAGTATAGTTAAAACCGGTAAATGAAAAATAAAAAAGAATGCTGTTGGATTTACTGTAACCGAGTTCACAGGAGAATTACTGAAGCTAAGCTAGGTAAATTCGGGTATGAAATAGTTGCTACTTAAGCCGTCGGTCGAACTACATTCCTTCCTTAACACACATCACACTCTACAAAAATATCAAAAATGGCATTGGGAACACTCTACTCTTTCAGAGATAACACTCGTACTGTTTCTCTTCTCAAGCTTGCTGAGATGAACGGCGTTAAGCTTAACTTGGAAGAAACTTTTGCTCACCAATTTTCTCCGGAATTGGCTGAAAAGTTCCCTCTCCAAAAGGTAAGTCCAACAGGCGACAGTTGATTTCGGAAGAGTAGATCCGTTGGGGTAGTGAGTTTCTGCAAGCAGGTGATTGGAAACTGTTTCCTGTTCAAAAACGTACTTTAAATTTCTCTTCAAGGAGGTTCTTGCGTTCTTCGTTCTTAGTACATTCTTAGGGCTTGACACTAGTTTTCTCTATGAAAGGAAATCTACTGTTCCGTAGTCTGTCGGGTTTTTAAGTTCCCTTTTCTGTCTCCCCCCTCTTCACTTCTATCTGTTTCACTTCTCATTTCTTACAGTTGTTTACTAACGTTCCCGTTTAGCTCCCTTGCTTCATTGCTGAAGATGGGTTCTCTCTGTTTGAGTACATTGCCATCCTGAATTACATTGCCTCCAAGGGTGCTGATTTGAAGGGCTTCTTTGGTAAGGATGCCAAGGAGCAAGCCCAAGTGAACGAGGCTATCAACTTTGCCAACACGGAGTTGCTTAAGGGTCAGATTATCGCTCCTTGGATCCGTATGTGCAGAGGTGCCATGCCCTACAACAAGAGAGTTTTCGAGACCACGAAGGCTGCTTCCTTGGATATTCTTGCATACTTTGACCGTCATTTGGCTGACCGTACCTACTTGGTCGGCAACCGTCCCACCATGGCTGACTTGACGACTGCTACTTTCTTGCGTGTTTATTACCGTTTCATTCTCACAAAGGATCTGCGTCTCCAGTTTACGAACGTTACTCGCTACTACGTTACCATGTACCATCAATTCAAGCTCGAGGAGCACTTCCCTCTTGAGCTTATTGACAAGGTGGAAATTGCCAAGGCCAACTAGTTTCTTTTTTGATTGAATATATGAACAATACAATACAATACATCATAAATTACCCATTTCACATTTTATTGAACGTCGACGTAAGGCGCGTACTTACTGTCTTCAATAGTCATCACTTTTCTTGAACACGATCGTCTTGTTCGACATTTTGCCAAGTTCCTTGGACAATAAGTCGAAAATTTCTGAATCATTGCGTGTAGACAACCAGGCCTCTTTTCTTTCATTCCAATCATAATGTTTTGGACCACTGCGAGAAGTCAGCATTGAATTCGCTATGGATATAAAAATCTCTTTAAAAGTGTTGCTACTTTCACAGAGCTGAAATAACAATGAACTTTTTACGTACCTTATGGGAGATGAAAGCCAAATTTGATGATTGGGAGGTTGTTTGTTAATTACATAAGTACCATATTTGCCTAGTCCAAGAGTAAGTACGCCGTTCTGCAATTGGTTAATCATCGGCCGTATAGAGAGTGTTTTGAGTTTTCTTACGGCATATTGCAAGTCATATTCGGGTTCATTTTCAGCTTCGACGAACTCTTCTAAAGTGTCATTCAGTGTATCCATGGCATCATTAGCAAGTCGATGATACTGGAAATCTGTGAGGGTTTGAAGAAAACTTGTTTGGGAGAAGTGACGAAGATTGAGAGCCTTTCCTTGAGTCCTGAGCAACAGATTCCGAGTTGTTTGAAGGCCAAAAAGTTTTGTTCGTAAAGCTTGCATTGTAAGGAGAGTGAGTTGGGATGTCTGGGTGTTGAAAGAAACTTAGTAATGACAAAATGGATCTTCTACGTCGTTTGCGTCCGTTATTACTGCTTTTGTGTTTTTTTTTCGCGCTTCTCGCGCAATCACCTTTCTTGTCACTTTTCAACAAAAATAAGCTTATCAGATAGCGGCTCACTCAAATAAAGTTAATTCATGTTTTCGGGTCGTTTTAAACTAGAGACGAAGTAAAAGCTGAAATTACAGCTGGGTTCTAAGATTTAGCAGGATTTAAACAATGTTGTACTGTTTCTCAATTGTTGGGAGTTTATTCATCTAATATAGAGGTTCCTCGATAGTAATATCTTTACACTAAGGTCGAATAGTACTAGGACATTAAAACAACAAAACAGATATAATCGCATGTACTGAAGAACTCAACGTCCCGAGTACTTAAAGAAATAATGTGTTTTATCCCGGAACCGTCTTCTAGCATGGACTCTAACTCCATAAGTAAAAAAGTCCTTTAACACAAAGGCGGCTTTTCAATCTTTAGCCGTTACTAATTTATTTACTTACTAGTACATTTGACCAGTCCAGTTCACTTTCTACATCCTCCTTCCGCTATTCCTGTAGCTCTTATGCTTAATAATAGTAATTTATTCAAGTGTTGAAACTTTAGACAAATCTCTAAACTCGTAAAGGCGGAGAAAAAGAGAATGTATTCATGATATAGCGAGCGAATGATTACTAACAGTGGCAAGATGGAGTGTAAGGATGACCTAGACACCTCTCGCTTCAGTTATACACTCACTCTGTTCATTAGCTGCTGTTGAGAGAGAGAGAGGATTGATTGGTTAAACCATGTGGTTCATGCAAAGCGTCTTCTGACAAATGAAAACAGATATAGAAAACAAGACGGCACGCATTAATCATGCGCTTGACAATGAAGAAACCGCTGTTTAGTTCGCATTCTCCACAGGAGGACAAGTGCAGAACAGATGGGTATCTCCGTAAGGATCATCCAAACGAGCAACTGCCGGCCAGAACTTTCGCTCCTTAAGATTTGCTACTGGGTAAACAGCACGCTCACGAGAATAGGGACGGTCCCATTTTTCCGAAACGATATCCTTCAACGGGTGGGGCGCATTTTTCAGCAGGTTGTTGTCACGAGGTTGCTTTCCATCCTCGATTTCACGAATCTCTTCGCGAATAGAAATGAGTGCATCACAGAAACGATCCAGTTCTTGTAGACTTTCGGATTCCGTAGGCTCAACCATGAGTGTGTTAGCGATGGGGAAAGAGAGCGTAGGGGCATGGAAGCTATAATCCTGTAAACGTTTAGCAACGTCTGTAGCGTCAACGTCAGCGGTCTTCTTAAAAGAGCGGAAATCGACAATGAATTCATGGGCACAACGGTTTTTCTCGTTTGTGTACAAAATACTATAATGCTTAGACAGACGTGTCGCCATGTAGTTTGCATTCAACAAAGCAGCAGTAGTGGCCCCACGAAGGCCACTTTCACCCATCATTTTAATGTAAGCCCAAGAAATTGGCAGAATGCTGGCAGAGCCAAAAGGAGCAGAGCTAACGGCACTAATGGCCTGTTCACCACCGGTCTTCACAATGGGATTACCGGGGAGAAAAGGGGCAAGGTGCTTTTTGCAAGCAATGGGACCCACGCCAGGACCTCCACCGCCGTGAGGAATACAGAAGGTTTTGTGAAGATTAAAGTGACAGATGTCACCGCCAATCTCAGCAGGTTTGCAGTAACCGACCATCGCGTTCATGTTTGCACCATCAAAATAAACTTGAGCACCGTGCTGGTGAACAATTTCCAGTGCTTCCTTAACGTGCGGCTCATAAACTCCGAATGTGCTAGGGTATGTAACCATGAAAGCAGCCAAATGATCGGCGTGTTTCGATGCCTTAGCCTTCAAATCTTCGATATCAAGGTAGCCATTAGGCAAACATTTGACCGGAACAACCTTCAAGCCCGCCATTGCGGCAGAAGCAGGATTCGTTCCGTGGGCGGATACGGGAATTAAACAAATGTTACGATGACCTTCGCCGATAGACTTTTGGTACGCACGAATGACACTTAAGCCAGCATACTCACCAGATGCGCCAGAGATAGGTTGAACGCTCGTGGCATCAAATCCTGTGATGGCTGCCAAATCACGTTCTATGTCGTGGATGAGCATTCGATAACCCTCCGTCTGTTTTGTCGGAACATACGGATGCAGGCTTGAGAAGTTGGGATTAGAGATGGTCTTCATTTCAGTAACACCGTTAAGCTTCATGGTACAAGAACCTAAAGGAGTCATAGCATGAGCAAGAGAGAGATCCTTGGATTGCAAATGATGAAGGTAGCGCATCATCTCGGTTTCCGAGTGATACTTGCTGAAGATTGGATGCGTTAAGAATTCGGATGTACGACGAACACTTTGAGGAATGGACGCATTGCTAAAATCAGAAATGCCAGAACTTTTAGCAACCTCAAAAACAGATCTCTGAACATTGAACACCTCAAAAAGTACATCCAAATCTCGGTATGTTGAACACTCGTCTAGCGAGATACCAACATGGCGTTCATCAATCTTACGCAGGTTGTAACCATTTGCGAGTGCGCTGGCGATGACGTCCGCGGCATAAGGAACGCTAACAGTGAGCGTATCAAAGTGCGCCTTGTTAACAATCCGGTAGCCGGCCTGCTCCAAACCTTTACGTAAAACCGTAGTAGCTGCAACAATGCGATTAGCAATTTTTTTCAATCCCTCAGGTCCATGGTACATAGCGTAAAATACAGAAAGATTGGCAAGGAGAGCTTGAGCAGTGCAAACATTGCTAGTAGCCTTCTCGCGACGAATGTGTTGTTCACGAGTCTGCAGCGCAAGGCGATAAGCTGGGTTGCCTAGCCGGTCCTTACTCAATCCGACCAAACGACCGGGCATTTTACGCTTGAACTCTTCAGTGCAAGAGAAGAAACCGGCATGCGGACCACCGAATCCCATAGGAAGGCCAAAACGCTGTGTCGAGCCAACAGCGACGTCGGCGCCCCACTCTCCAGGCGCCTTTAGCAGTGTCAGGGCAAGCAAATCCGTGGCAGCAGAAACCTTCATTCCACCTGCATGAGCAGCAGCAGCCAAATCGGCATAATCTTCAACGGCACCATCAGCGGCGGGATACTGAACCATAATGCCGAAAGCATCCTTCGAATGTTGATTAATAAGATCAACAGAAAGGTCAACGACTCGAATGTCAATGTTGAAGCCAGTAGCTCTGGTACGCAGGACCGCAACTGTTTGCGGGAAGATGCGGGAATCGACCAAAAACACTTTGCGCTTTTTCTTATCAGCGTTCATAAGCATGGCCATTGCCTCACCGGCAGCAGTGCCTTCATCTAGAAGACTCGCGTTTGTAATAGGCAGGCCAGTCAGATCAATAATCATTGTTTGATAATTAATCATGGCCTCCAGACGACCTTGAGAGATTTCGGCCTGGTAAGGCGTGTATTGAGTGTACCAAGCGGGGTTTTCCAGCACATTACGCTCTATCACCGAAGGCAATTTGGTGTTATAGTAACCCATGCCGATGAAGCTCTTTACGAGTCTGTTTCTTCTTCCGATTTCGTTGGCCAGAGCTTCCAATTCCTTCTCAGAATAACCAACAGGGCCCTTAAACTTAACGGGCTTGGTAGCACGGACGCTTTCGGGGATAACATCGTTCAGAAACTCCTCCAGCTTGTCATAGCCCATTGTCTGTAGCTGGTATTCCTGCTCCTTGCTTGTAGGACCGACATGACGACTTTCAAAAGTGTCAAGAGCATGAAACAGGGGATCCTTGACCGACGGTTTCGGTAATGTGCAGGAAAAACGCTGGGAAAGACAAGACGAGGCCAGCACAGCCGCGTTTGCGTTCGACAAAAGAGCGTTCACACTGCGTAACAAGCGTCTTTGAGGGTAACCGCACGTAATAACAGCCATTGCAGATGCGAAACGCGAATAATGTCTCAAACAGGCGAAAGAACCGCTTTTCAATAACGCGTTAAAACGAATGAAACTACTGAGATATGACGGGAACAATCACAACAGAAAGAAGTAGTGAAACCTCTTTGAGGACTGCTATATAAAAAGAGGGACACACAAGAATTGACTCAGTTAGCTCAAAGAGTACAGAAACAAAGAAGGCACCAAAACCGACACCAGTAAGCCAATTGCGTCAATTTAACGCAGAGAACAAGCAACAGATCAACCGTGAGTGTTAGCAGGTACAGGAAAGAAAAAAAACGAGGTGTGTTTAGCGGATGGAAGATTCGCCCTGGGCGGCATATCCCGTTATATATGATGTATAAGAACCTTATCTAAGGAACTCCCCCGCGTGCGTATCACACGGGGCCATGCTGATATCTAAATGGAACTGATCAGCAGCTTAAACTCGTTTATCTATGTCCGTCGTGTGGGTGCTTCAGTAGACAGTAGTGAGGTCAGATAGATTAGCCTGTAAAACAGCACCTATTTGCAGTCGTGCAGGAATCAGTACGACGAAGAAGATAGATCAGTTACACCCCCTCAAATGGCAGAATTGCTTTAGGGACGAGACTGCATTGGGATGGGCACAGCAAGGTGATTCATTATCAAAATCAGAATTATGAACGCCCCTCAATTTGTAGATTTTCTTTATCGTAATGAATGTATTTCGTCTCAAGCGTTTTGTAGCAGGCTTCTGTGTTTGTATTGAGAATTATTGTACATTATCTAATTGATTCCTTGGGGAATAGGGGGGATTTGTGAAGTGCGATAAATGGGGATAGAGGGGTTAGCCAAAGTGCGTTATAGAGACATTGTGTGAGGTAGTGAGTCACGGTAAACTGTTTAGCGACAAACAACACAGTTTAGCGTCCTGTCTCCTCCACCACCCCCACACTGTGACTGCGTTTCCCCACACGAAATTACTATAAAAGGGCACGGCTCGATCCACGAAAAGCCATCGACGATACTCCATAGGATCATTTCTATAGTATACGTCCGGCTTGGGTTTCCTAACCTAGCCACAGAACTCAACACGGATGATGATTGGAAACACCGTTGCCCGAAGAGTGAGACAATTCTTTCTTCGGGAGGGAGAGGCAGACTCTTTTGGGTTATTCCTCTCCCCCTTCAGCGATGATCTCTTACACCTCGGGTTTCTCGTCCTCTGGACGGTCCCGTCGTGTAGGGCAGCTGGTGTATTCTGACGTGTAGAATTCCTCTTCTTATCGACTGTAGTGGTCATGCTGCTTCAGACGATGTGATGGGGATAATCGGGATAGAGTAGCTTGTGTTTTGGATTTAATTGTTAGTAGCTGTGTGTTGGTTGATGATCTTTGATTTTGGTTTGTCTTCGGTGAGCTTCGTGTTGTCCCTCATTCATCACTTCGTTTCGGAACATTCACTCTAACACTAAACCCTAAGACTTATCCAACGGGAAAACCGCCACAGTACCTATAAAACATCACAACAAATTCTCTTCAATCAATAAATTAAAATCTACAAGCTACGAATGAATGTTTCGCATCGTCGGCCCCTACGCCAATTGCCTAACTGAATAGGTCATAAGAGCAGGGTTCTTTATCAACGAATATCTTTCTCGAGGTCTCAAAGTCCGGAGACTCTGGCAGTGGTTACACACTGAATCAATGTAAGCACCGTGGCTGACCTCTTACTTTTTTGATCTGATGAACTGGGTGCGCGTCCTGGCCTTTTATAGTAGTGGATTTCTGTTAGGGTAGGGTTAAAAGCCCCGCTTCCACCTCATTCTCGTCTGACCGTGTTGCATCGCTTAGGAGTACGGTAATGTGGATTATGTGCTCTAACGTTCGTCGGTATTTACTAATTAAGGAATTTTAACAACGCGTTATACCACCAGAATCTGTAAGTCCTTCTCCGTACATATATCACTATTAAGATGTCGACCTTGGAACGCGTCAGCAGAACTTGATAACTATGTTCATCAGAGTAGAAGACATATTCTAGAGTTTATAGTGTTTATAGGAAACAATTTGAATTGCACGTAATTGCCAAAGTGCCGCCTCTTCGTTAATGTGACGGATGGTTTTTGCTCTTGTTGACTTTCTTGACTTTCAGTCCAGATATATAGATACATAGATACATACAGTTACATACAGTTACATATAGTTACATCCATACATACACTACAATCCCCCACGCTTGAACATTCCGCACTTTCGTCTATAATTGGTTAATTAGTATTCATTAAAACAAACAAAGTTGGACTAGAAATGCAAAAGAGGTTGGGGGAGAAACGAAATTAAAAATAATAAATGGCCAACGGAATTTTTGTTCACGCCTTGTGAATATACGAACGTGTAGGTAAGCTTTTTAATTTGTTTTGACAAAAACATCGAAAAATAAGAATAAGAAAGAGCTTATGCAAACCCAAAACCCTCGGATCCTTCATGAATAGCCGTGAGAAGAGCAGACTTTAACTCCTCATACGAGCCATACTCGGGTAAGTCGAGCTGATTAAAGCATGTATGTGATTGAGGCAACTTTCCGGGAACGGTGCTGTAATCTTTATGAATGGAGAACTTTTGCAGTCCAGTCGTACCCATTAAGCCAGCAAAACCGTTCAGTGGAACCTTAGAGGTACCAGTGACAAACTGAAGCAATTTGGCTAGGTCTTCCTTACCGAGCGAGCGAAGAGCCCTCCAAAACCATTGAATGTTCGACGATGCTGGTGTGTAGTTAACATACTCAGTGTTGTTTTTCCAGTCATCAATGTCAATGTCTGGCAGTCCAGAAAGAAGTAGCTCAAGTTCCTTCTCACTAAAGATACATATAAGACTCTCGTCAATCATCTCGGAAAAGCCGGCCTTGAGGTGTTCCAATTGTTGCTGGACACTGGATTTTAGGTGGTACTCAGTTAAAAGATGAACGTAATCACGCTTATTCTCTTCGGTAACGTTTATGCTTTGACCATTAGGGACAAGGTCAATAACCTTGTGAACTCCGAACGTATCCGTTTCCACAGAAAAAGTCTCCGTAATAACATCAGTGATGTTGTTTTCAAGCATCCAGTGTAACGATTTGGAGTAGTTTGTGTCCAGCGAATCTATATCATTCAGCGAGATAGGCTTGTTTAGCAAAGCTTTATAGACAGCATTGCTGAAATGGCAATCCAGCAAGCGTTCATCAAAAAGAGCTTTTCCAAGTAACCTTCCAACAAATCGAAAGTAAGAAAGATGTTCAGGATTAACGGCAGAAGTCTTATTTGGGTGAAAAGTATTCGGATCAGTAGGCGAAGGCGAAAACAGTGCATAGTTCGGATTCAGCATTTGATGAGTAACAACCTGAAACCACTCCCGAGTGATACCGCCAGCATCCACGCCTTCTTCGCCTTCAAACTTGATGCTGAGTCTTGCATGAAGAAGCTCTTTAGCATCTTTTGCATACAGAACACGGTAAGAATCTGTAAAGACGTGTTCGCGCCTGACGGGAACTGTCAAAGAGCGGGTGTAAAAGGGGTCGTTGTGTAGTTTTTGTAGAAAATACCGACGCTTGTTATCGAAATCAAGCATGTATGAGTTCTTCATTAGTATAGAGAAAGAACCACTCATAAGTGTTTCGTTCTCCCTAACAAGAGTATTCAGGAGTACTCGATATTTGCCAGTAAACTGTTGAAACATATGTTCGATACGGATATTAGTCTTCTCTTGTTTCAGTCGATTAATTAACATGGTAAGGTTAGACACGATCATGAAAGATTCAATTAAAGGTAGAAGAAAACGGGCAATTTCTAACTTCCTGGTGGCATCCGGAACATTATCAAGCAAATTTAAGAGACTTTCCCAAAGTGGAACGGAAAACATTAGATCACATTCATTAACAAAAAGTGCCAAGGAATGCTTTTCACACAGAAATTCAAGCGCCTTTAAATTTTGAAGCAAATTTGTTTGCTCAAAACAGAAACTTGGAACGGATGCAAAAATAGAAACCATTGTCTGTTCAATCGCCAATGAGCCGAGAGAATGTAAGATAACTTTCAACATCTGTTCCACCGCACTGACCTTCATGCTTGATTGTCTAAGTAATTCATGAAGAAATGAGCCAAAACATTTTCCATAAATGCACAAATTGTCCATTGCCCTTAATGCATTCGTGAAAACAATGCTGTTGCAATATTTCAAAGAAAAGACACAGGCCAAATGTTTAGTGAATTTGGGAGAGAATTTTACACTAAACGTGTGTTTCCGTTCATCGTAAATACCTTCTCTTTCCCTTTGCAATATCATACCATCATAAACTTTGGATTGGTTGCACAAAAACTTTGTCACCTTTGATAACAAAAGGGCTAATCCTTCAAGTAAGGTTCGATTAGAAGTGATTCGTTTAGATTTTAGCAGGCTCAGGATGATGTAAAACGGAAACATATGGCAATCCCGAGCACGTCGAGCCCCGTTCTGTTCAAACTTCTTTATATTCACCTTTTCGAAAAAGCAGTTGCCAAAAGTCGGGTTCCACTCAGTTAAATATACCAATAAATCAATGAACTTTCCCAACAAAGATGATATGTTTTTAGCATTGATGTCATTGGAAATGGCATTGAGTGATGTTTTTCGTTGCATAACCCCATTAAAACCGGACTTCAAAGCAGCGTTTCTGATACTTTTTTCTGCTAATTTGGAGACAACGGTATAGCAATTTTGAGCAGAAGGTCGTACCGATGCAAGTTGAACGACGATGAACAGTGAAAGTTCTAATACGTCAAAAAGATTCTGCTTGTTTTCACAAATCTTCAAGACAATATCAAAGATCAAATTTTGGCAAGTACCATCATAAGTAAAAAGAAGTTTTAGAAGCGAAGCGACTCCGGTAATCTCAAATAAATGCAAATTATTCCATGTACGCTCCGGTTTCGCTACTCGGTTTGAATAGGCTTTCAATTGAGGAAGTTGGATATCCGAAGAACTAAATGTCGGAATGATAGGAGACGATACACCATCAACTAATTCTGTATTTCTTCCTTCAGGCGCAGCAGTTGAGGAAGATGCCCCATGTTCAGAAATATTGTCCTCTACGCCGTGATGGATATTTCCACGGAGATTACTATAGGAAGTGATTTCTGCGCGAATGTCATCGGGCAAGGCTTCCAAAAATCCTTCCTCTATATGATTAAGTGGTCGCTCTGGAATTGCTTGTTCAGAAACGTCACGATTAAGCACTTCATCTAATAATTCATCAGGTAATGCTTCCAAAAATCCAGCATCAACATTGTGCTCATTATTTGAACCACCGATAACAGATAACACATTATTGCTAGTAGCATTATGCTGTTCATATCGACAGGGGCTTACGTTAAGAGAGCCTGTAGCCGACATTGATACTTCTTTGACCTGAGATTGGTCTTTTTCTGAGATCTCGTCATCTTTGTAGCTAACAAAGTTTTTAATACCCTTGAACATGTCCCGTTTAACCGCTGATAGGTAATCATAACCATATAGAAACTCAATTGAGCTTTCCCATCTCTGAGGCGTGCTTAAAGGCGTGAAAAATTTTGTATAACTTTCCTTCCCTTTTTGTCCGTAAAACGTGTTTTGGCTTTTAAAGAAGCGACCAAGGTTTTTGGGATACAGCGCCGATATCAGCCATCTTTCAAACTCCCCTTCAGAGATACTTATTGCTTCTGTTGAGATCTTCGAAGAATCAAAGAACGTTTGGACAGCTGCGGTGCCCACCAGTTTACCATCAATAGTTACCCAAGAGTCTAGCCCGGAAATCTTTTCATTTTCGTAGTTAGTCCAGAGCCCTAAATCTTCAGTAATCGGATTTAGGGAGTGATTTTCGTTTGGTGAAAACCGAGATGCCACAGACCTATGCAATAAACAAGGCCGTCTTAAACGAGTGCTTAATCCTGCTGATGTACGTTGAGAATGCCATATGAGAGAGTCACGTCCATCAAGGACTTCATTATTAGTGGATGAAGAAAAGGAACTAGAATCATCATTCTCTTCGTCCCTTTGCGTATTGGTGAAATGGACACTTACATCACTGTTTCCTTCTGACATAGGTTCAGTGACAGCATTTTCTGTGACCATAGGAGTAGAGCTAGCACCGGCAATAGTCTCGTTGTCCGCAAATATATTGATCGTGGAGTTCCCATCACTTGTACCAGTTGCATTGTTTGTGAAATTTACGTCGTCATTGGCAGCAGCCCTAACTTCTGTTCTTGTATAAGCATCACCGTCTTCGCTTTCCTCGCTGCTTTCGGTCGATTCAGCACCCCGCATATTCTCTGCATATGCAGGATATACAACCGAGGAGTTGCTATCGTCATCATCAAGGTCCCTGTCGCTAATGGCACTTTCCTCTTCATTTGACATGCTTCTTCAAAGAAAATATCATCAAAGTCCTCAGAAAGGCTAAAGCTTACAACATTCTGGCTTGAATGGTTTGAATGCTGCGTTGCAGTGGTAAGTCCAAGAACAGAATTCCTGTACACGTTTGGCATATCGTCGTCATAACTAACTGAAGACGAATCAGAGTCACAATCAAGTAACTCCGTATTGCTTGACATAGATACAAAAAGACTACTATGATCAAGAGCGAAAAAAACTAACTGTTTCAAAGGCACACAGATAGTCTTTAGACAGTCGTGTGCGTCAGGATAACTGAGATCGATAGTAGTTGTAGCAGAGACAAGAAGGGATATCATATCGTTGGAAACAAGTTGTTGCAGAATATAACCACAGGCCTTCGACGAAGTTTTCAGTTTGGAGTTTGTAAAAAAACTAGACGGAGAAACCAAACCATGAACAGTATTAGATATACAACGAAGTCGATGATAGCGTTCCGCTTGCGTAGATGGGCATAATAATTGATGCTGTAAAGACGAACATAAATCCTTAATCACATTTATAGTAATGCATTCGAAAACGGCTTCCTCTGCTATAGACGGACATTGGCATAATGCTATCACTACTGCGATTCCAGCCTCTGACAAAGCTTTTAGAAGAGATGTCAGTTTGTCAAGCGTTACCATCGGATAATAAGCACAAATAATTTCTTCTATAATGTACTTCAAAGTGTTTTGCTTACACGCATTCGAAGTACCACTGGTCTTATCCCACGTATGAGGAATTTGACAAAACCATGTTCTGGCAGCGCTGAAGTTGCACAGTAATTCCACAAAGATCTTCAAAATGTACTGAGAGTGAGAAAGTTCGGTTTCGAGTTCATTGATATCAACATCAACGAGACCCGATAATTGAGATTTATCCATCCCTTCAATTAAAGCAAATGATTTTGTTACAGAATCCGTAAGTTCCATAAAAAGCGAAGACAAAAAATAATTTATATTATCATTAATGATTTCCAGTGATGGATTAACGGTTCTTGGATTAGGATAATCTCGCTTCAACGTCAAACTAGTTTCTGCATCAGTCCCTCCCTCCTTTAAAAAGCAGAGCTCTCCAATTACAGAATTTAGAGCACAAACATTTCTCACAGCAAAATATGCAAATGAATCCGTAAATGTTTGTGAATCGACAGATGAGGAATGCGCCTTTTTTGTAAAGTAGTCGTACAGCTCTACACGCATAGTATGTTTCACCATGTCTTCCGTCTCAAAGATATTCCTAAGAACACTCATGAATAGATGCTGAAGTTTTGGTAAACGAGAATTGTGCTGCTTAACTGAGTTTAAGGCATCACCAAGACAATCGTGTATAAAGGCATAAGCGAGTTCCGGGATGGTTGTAAGACGGGCAAATATTCGTAGTAAAGACACTGTTGACAATAATGAGACGTTGAGTTTCAGCTCCTTAGAACAACAAACATAAACCTTCTTTAAATCCTGAGTTTGTAGAATACCACTCTTATGCATGTTTCGAGTTGCCTGTTTTAAAGTTGCTAATTGGTCTTTGAATAGACAACTATCGAGTAGCATTAGACAAGAAGGAACCCAAAGTTGTCGCTCTTGGTTATAGAGTGATTCATTATTTAGCATGAAGATGCAGTGACTTAATAATTTCTTAATCGTGGAATGTGATGCCCTCGGAAATCTTGTATCATTTATAAATACCACAAGGAACTCAAAAATGTTTCTATGCTCCAACTGTAATTTCTGTAACAAACGTTGTTTTGTGAAGTAAGCATTGGTAATATAATTAACGAACCAGATCTTCTGTCCCCTCGTTTGAAAGAAAATATGAGAAAGTTTTGAAAGCTCAAAAGGAATTGCTTGTTCAGTTTTCAAAATATCCAAGAGGTCATGTACAAATTCTGTTTCTCTTTCCCAATGCTTAAGCTTAACTTTTTTCTGCACAGTCCGCTCAGGTAAGAAGGTCAACGTAGATTTCCAGGAACCAGGAGACGAGACGGAGTTCAGTATTAATTCCGAATTTGTGTTTTTGGTTACAGCAGAGAACAGTAAAACCATTTCTCTGTGAAATGGACGAGAGAAACAGAAGCTTTTCGAACTTTTCCATAACTCAAGCATTGTAGGATAATACATCGTTAATAAAGAATCGCAAATGTTCTCATTCTCACTAAGCACTTCAACGCTTTCCAAGTTTTCATTAAGTGTCAAATCCTTCGACGTTCCAAATTTTGATTCCAAGTCATATAACCGAGAAATTACAGACACAATTAGCCTCAAGCAACCCGCGGCTGTATGACTAAGACAAGAGTCTGTTTCTTTTGAGTTATTGAGAAGGACAGACAAAGATAGCTCAAGAAGGTTAAAGATGTACTTAAACGAATCCCATTTATGAAGACAAGAACAGAAAAAGTGGAGGAATTCTTGGTACTTTTCATTCACAAAAAGACTCTGTAACAAAGAGAGAGTGGCAGAATTGTAAGATAGTACAGTAAAGCTTTCACAAGAATCATCACTTGGTAAAAAGCAGAGTTGTTCACGAAGAAAGCTAGCGAGCATCAAACCAGTATCAGTACGCTTAAATTTTATTGTTCCCGCAAACACTTTCCGAGAGCAAAGGTGCACCAGACCAAGGAAGATACTATTGATAATCGATGGAACCGAGGAAAGAACATATCGCAAACTTCTGAATCTTTCAAATCGTCTCAATGAAAGTGAATCCAGTTCTTTATATAACGACAGCATTCGATCTTTTATATCACGCTTTTTTAAACGCGTGCATGTGGCATCCCTCCATCTTTCAGGAACGGTGAAACACAAATTCAATTCCTCTATAAGAAGTGTCTTTCGAACATTTCCTAGTTTTTTTAGCAGAGAGTATTGTTCTTCAGCGGAAAAAACTAGCTGACAGAGATCCATGGTATGGTTACTCGAAAACAGAGGCGCAGAGATAAAATCCTGCAAAGTAGCAATCATTGATTGTAGCTTCACAAGATTTTGTACTTCAGACATCTTCACAAGATTTTCTGCATCTAAAATGCCGTCAAGTAATGACTCAAACCTCGATGATTTGTAATCTCTTAGCTTTGAGTAATCCAAATCATCCAATAATGAAACAAGTGCAGAAAGCAAGGGTTCGACTGCCTTCTGCAAATCCGCATCAGCAATGAGTCGAAGTGTACTAGACATTGCATCAACCGCTGATGAATTAGGGAAAAATGCCGGAAGCTTGAAGTTATACAAGTCAAGAAACTTGCTCGAGAACCCCATTTCGATAAAATCATGGCAACGTGATGAATCAGTTAACAAACCCTCGAGGAATCGAGAAAACACATCAATATATTGCAAGAGTACTGGCTGCGTAGAGCCACGAAGACCATCATCGTAGACACTTATTATTAAAGCATCATTCTTCTGAAGTGTTTCGGGAAGAGCCAAGCAATCAAAATCAGACTTCTGCTTTTCAGATATACTCTGCAAGCAATGTAGGACTTCATCAAAAAGTAAATGTTTTAATTTAGGATGATGACATATCAATTCCTCATAGCAATTACCCAATACGCCAGCAAAGTCGCTATCAAGTAAAACTTTACAATGACTTTCGCTGTAAAAGGAAGAAAACAAATATGAAAATGGGTTCGCGCACTTAAAAAGTTCAAAACCAGTTTGATTTAAGCAAATTGCTTCAAAAGCTGTGGGAAGCGAGAGAAATAATGATACAGAAGGTGCCGCATTTTTCTTTATGGAGGCAAAGAACGAATTCGGAAGGCCAGCTTCATAGAGAATTGAATATGCCGTTGGCTCATTATGAATAAATGCAGACATGATACTGATTGCAAGTGCATGATTTTTTGCACCAAAATCACTTGCGAAGTCCATTATAGTCTTTAAGGTTGCAACGAGTGATGTTTCAATCAGATTTCGAAACTCAAGCAAACCACCGGAGCTTTGGATAAGATGAAGAATAAACTTGAGCATGTGTTTTATACACGAAAAGTTTGCGTAAGGAATAGAGTAATCCATGTATGGCTTCGTTGCGACATTTTTTGACGAGGAAGACAAATTCGTTACCGCAGAATTAACTTCAGAAGTGACGCGCTTGACAAGATAGCTTGTTCCTTTCGCTTCAACGAACAAGGCAAGGCTGCTGTGAAGGCATAAATTAAATGATCCAAGATTTCGGTAACCCGCACCGTAATTCTTAGAGCACTTGCACGAGTGTTATCATAAACACTGAGCAACGTTTTCATGATCAGAGGATTGCAGAGGGCTACACCCCCCGGTTGTGTTGACGATAGAAAATCTATGTAATTGAAAACCGTAATGGTAAAATCGTTTGAAACAGCTGGTTTGTCAGAATCTAATGAAAGAAGTACATTCTTCAGTATTTTATAGAAGCATCCGTGCGACATGGGAATATTCAAGGCAGTAAGAATATGATTTTTGAGAAGCGGCCGATGTTGTGACATTGCTACTAATAACCGTAACGCATCGTCTTGCAACGTCCCGATCTTTGAGTCATTACTGCTTAAAATGGAAAGCACAAACGCAGGAAGATCCGAATGATGCACGCTTAATAGAGACTGAAACTCAGTTTCGTTTATGACATAGGCAATGGAGGCCAAACTAAGCATGCCAATACGGATCATCCGCAAGAAGTCCCTATGATTTCTAAATGCGCGCATTTTTCTCAAAGTCACCAAGAGTTCATACTGCCTTTCTGCAGGAATGCGGTGAGATGAACAGATGTCTTGGAAGTAACCTTCTAAAGAGCGCGATTCAAATATGGAATGATGGAGATGTAATTTTGAGGTTCTAGAAACGCAGCGCTGTTTTTTTCGCCTTGCCTTTTTCTCCGTTTTTGACGAGTTTTCGTCAACGCAAGTTTGGACCTCAGGATAGAAAGTAAAGGAGATCTGTCCCCACGAAGAGAACTGAGCCAGATCTTCGTCAGCTATTAAGTCAGGAAATGATTCTGAATCCTCGTATTGACAAGTGTCTGGAAAACAGAGAGAAAGCAATCGTAATCTGTCAATGGGTAGCTTGTACGCTTTCTTCCCAAATTTAAGTCCATTTGCATGTTGTCCGATGCGAAGAACAAGCTGAAGGGTGTAATATAATACGTCGTCGTCAGTGGTCAGCAGCAAATCCGTCAGACGATCTGAAGAATTGAAGAGAGTGCGATTCGCACAATGATCCATGAGAAAGGACACGAACTGTAAAATTATCACAACGATCTGTTTTGCCTTTTCCGAGAATGGGATTGTCTGAGCAGCAAGCAGACGATGTTCTTCAATGACCTCCCGAAGGATCTCATCAAAAAAGTTTAGAACAGGAATCCATGTGTTCAAGTCACCTCTAGGATAGCACCAACCAGAGTTTTGGAATTCATGAAGTTCTTGCAGCAAATCAATTCTGTTTTCCAAAGCACTGTTGCTATCCTCGAATCTATGAACTAAATCCGTTACAATTTGAGGCTGTTTAAGGACGTTAGCCACCAAGAAATGAAAGTTGTCTACAGTCTACAGTAATAGAATTGTTACTTACAGCATTGAATGATCTATTTCTGGAAGATATGTTAATCAACATATTCAAAATATGTCAACATTCGCATAGAAAAAGGACTCAGAGCGCTAGAGCGCTGTCGGTAACGAGGAACTTGAGACTGGCAGTCGATCCCGTCGTTTTCAAGACCAATTTTCTTTCAAGATACAATATATTGTGCTTTTGTGTGGTGAATTGCAGCAGCATGCACCCACTGTGTACATCGGCAAGTGGCTAAATAAGCTTATAGTGTCCACGTGACAATTTAAGCGAGTGGACTATACCCGGAAAACATCGCCGAGCACCCGCAGCAAAACCAAGCCAACACGGGAAGTAACAACAGCATAAACACCCCCATCTGCAACTAACCAACCGCAACTATGCAATGGACTGAAGACTAGGACCCCTACCCCGCTCGTATCTTAATTTACATACACACGTGGCAAATAAGGTTGTCGCATAAATCCACCACGTGCATTAGCCGACTGATGACGTACACTAAACCACCGCGCTTAAAAACTTACAAAAATTCACCAAAAGGAAGAAACTTGTTATAGAAAGCAGAGTTCGACACCTACTTTCTCATGGAAGAGGCACGACGAGCCTTGATGATCTCCTTCTTTTGCTTTTGCTCAGCGACACGTTGGGCCAAAAGTTGAGCAAACTCAGCAGCAGCCTCACGGTTCTTCTCGGCTTGTCTGCGCTTGAGAGCGAAGCGGTGACGCTTGTGTTGAAGGGTACGGGGAGTGACAAGGCGTTGGATCTTGGGAGCCTTGGTGTAAGGCTTCTTGCCCTCACCCTTAGGTTGGACCTCACGGCGAATGACGAACTTGCGAACATCATCTTCCTTGGTCAAGTTGAAGAAGCGGCGGATCTTGCTGGCACGCTTGGGACCGAGGCGCTTGGGGGCAGTGATATCGGTCAAACCAGGAATGTCTTGCTCACCTTGCTTAACAATAGAGAGGGCAAGAACAGCCAAATCTTGGCCAACAATGCAGCCACGGACAGACTTGCGCTTGCGCTCACCGGTACGGCGAGGGCGGTAGCAAGGGTGACCGGCACGAAGCAGGAGACGCACACGGTGAGGCAACAAGACACCCTGCATCATGGGGAAACCTTGCTTGTCATTACCACCGGTGATCTTGAAAACGTATCCAGCAAACTCGGGACCAACAGAGTCACCTGGAACTTCTTGGCCCATTCTCTTCTCCATGAACACGCGAAGACGACGCTCATCGTCAATCTCAATCAGCTTTTGAGTGCCATTTGCTGGATAAGAAATGTTCAACTTCATTTTGCGTTGAGGTTCCCGACAGGTGTATGAACTCTGTGTTGGTTACTACAAAAGTTGTGGCAGTCACGGCATAAACGAAGTGACTGCTAAATTTTCCCCTTGGTCAGGAACACAACCACCATCCTTTTACCAACATGTGTTAGGAAAACAGTGGAACTTAGTAGTGGGATTTAGGCATTGTTAGGGTAAAGAAGGGCATAAACGATTTTCTAGTGTTCCGTTTTCGTTATTTTTTACCAAATCTGTGAGTTTAAGATTGAAGAACGGCGATGACGGGAGGAGTATCTCTATCGTGAACTTGTAAATACGACAAAATGCATGACACTGGCCGAAACATAAATGCAACTGTTAGTAAGTGCTAGCACTGTGCTTTCTATTTTAATTATGGAACTCGTGTCACTGCTGTTGAGTTGCCCGTTTTCTACAAGCACTGACAATGTGCTTTAAATTGATTCAATTTCTGTGCCACCAACGCGGTATATGTTGTTTCAATGTCTTCCGTTTATAAGGATTGACATGGTTTCAGGTGCTTCTTTAAATTGTTTGTTTACGTTGTTTACGAAGTTAATAATCACAGACGTGAATGATTAAAAGTAAACAAATAAAGGCATATAATCCAGGTGCTTTGTGCTCGTGGAACTATTTACCACAATTATGGAATTGAACAACGGGGACGCTGCCGCTCATGATACATATGTTGGTACATCCACTGAGAGAAGCAATGAGGAATGGAAATTAAGAAACAACCGATTTGGCATGCTGAAACTTCCTAGCACGCCTAGTAAACCTCGGTCCTCACCCATAAAACGTTCTGGTTCTTTTATCTACCCAGCAAGCGATCGGTTTATACCGTCCAGTTCGAGCTCCGGTGCTTTTAGAATGTGCAGTCCAGTCAAACGACAGTTTATTGGGGTTAAATCGAAAGCAAACAAAACCGCAGATGAATCGGACAAGCATGAGCCCTTGCTTGCTTACGCTCTTGAGTTGGACGCAGAACCCAAAGTATTCTCCTATACACCGACTCGAGCAGAAGCAAATACCCGAACGCTTCCTAGCAGGCAGAACACTCTGACTCCGAAAAAAGAAAAACCCGTTTCGCTGCTGCCTTCTAGAATTTTGGATGCCCCTGGTTTGCGTGATGACTTTTACACAACTGTGCTCGCATGGTCTCCCGTTGGTGACCTGGCGGTAGGGTTGGCAGAAAACGTTTACTTGTGGAATGAATGTGCGGGGCCCTCTTTGCTCAGTGAGGGAAATGTCTGTGATGTCAGCAGTCTTTCGTACTCGTATACTGGTCAAATTCTAGCAGTTGGTCGCGTCGATGGAACCGTTCAGCTGTGGTCAAAAGGTGAATCGCGACCCCGTATAACGATACGGCAGCCTGGCGATGTTGGATGCATGGCTTGGCAACCTTTGCCTGGGGCCCGTCGTTTGCTGATTGGAAAAGGAACTGGACACATCTTACTGTACGACATCGTTTGGGGGAAAACAATTAGCAAACCCATTTTTGTTGGTGAAATAACAAACGCACACGAAGAACAGGTTTGTGGACTAGCGTGGAACCACGATGGTACTCAATTTGCTAGCGGTGGAAACGATAATAGGGTTTGCCTATTTAACAACGAGGACTGGAAGAAGCCACTTTTTGTATGGCGACATAATGCCGCTGTAAAGGCTCTTGCTTTTTGTCCCTGGCAAAAATCTTTACTTGCAACGGGTGCCGGATCGCACGACAAGTGCATACGGTTTTTTAATTGCTTCACAGGAAAAAAAGTGAATGAGTTATATTGTGGAGCTCAAGTTACTTCAATTCTATGGTCGCCTCGACATAAAGAATTCTGTGCATCATTTGGATATTCCCTTGAAGATGTCGAACATCGGCTTGCCGTTTACAGTTGGCCGCAACTTCAATGCATTGTTTCCGTCCCTCCGACTTGGTCGGATATGCGAGCAGTTTATGCCATCAATACGTCCAAGCTAGATGAAGAGTCTGGTGCTGTCGAGCCCGATTGCACTGTAATTGTGGGCAGCAGTGATGAAACTATTAAGTTTTTTAACCTTTGGGGTGATGGACATTGGCACAACAGACGTGTCATTGCCTGGCATGGTATTTTTGACAGTAAGATTTTAGAAATGATGGAAGGTATTGACTCCGAAAATGGCTTCCAAATTCGATAAATATTTTTTCCCCTAAAGCTTTTTTTTCATTTTATTTTAGCTAGTGCTTTTCCTAAAATTATCAGTCGCTGAATGTGGTTTTCTAGCACTTGTCCATCAAAGCTATCTGAGATTCGAACAATAATAATAACAACCTTGCGATTTTTGAGGAGAAGAGATCTTTTACAATTTCTAATAAGTAATCTCAATTCTGCGTTTCTCTTGTTTGTTCGACAGTGCGGGGATATTTTACTTCAAGCATTTACGAATGATGAGTTTGCGTAGTTCGAAAGATTTGAATTTTCTTAATAATTTCTAATTTAGTTTTTAAGAATGCTTACATTTCATTAGGTATTTCTATTTTTTTATATCCGCGTTCTTAAGAAAGGTATCGAATTATATAATCAAAGAATTAACAAAATAAATTTAATTCATAAATAATTGCTGTAACGACTTAATAACTCGTAAAAGAATAATAATAGATGTCTTTTTAATATTAAACTATTTAATTAATATTCTCTATAAACGTATTTCATTTATATGAATGTATGAAATAGCTCAAAAAAAAAAAAACAAAAAAAAACCTAACTGGCAGTTTCGTTACAGAATAACTTTTATATTCCTCTAATCCAATTATATTCACTATCCTTATTATCATTAAACGAACAACAAGTTTCGCGAGAATTCGTTTATGAGTGTTACCATACGAAACTTTTCCTTCTACACAGTAACCGCAAGTTATGTCTACCATTGATCTTGGTTTTGTTTGCGAGGATCATCTCAATGAAGATGATCTTAAGGATTTTGAATGCAGCCGTATGGGTGGTCCGGCTCTGTTCCTGAAACCTATGAAGGATCCTGTTTTGTGCAACTGTGGTAAAAAGATGCAGTTACTGCTGCAATTGTACGCTCCGGGACCCTCAGAATCTTCCTTCCACCGCTTCATCTATCTGTTTTTATGTCCTAACGGTGCCTGTCAAACGACTGGATGGTCTAAAGGGTATGTGCTTAATATTGATTTTTTTTCAAAGATCTATTTTATTTTGATAGGCCACCGTTCTTTATTTAACAATTAGTAGCATTAAGGTTCTTAGTTACCAGACGACCGAAGAAGATGACATGGCCGGTTTGTTACTCGATGCTGACTATGTATGTCAATATTGTGAAGCAAGAGAAATTGAAGTCGATAGTGAGCCTGGCAAAGAGGCAGAAAAAGCGGAGGATATCGACACGAGCAACATCAAAATCGAGGAGAATGATACAAAGGAACAGTACACTAAAGCTCAAGGCGATGTTGCGTTTCTAAAATTTCAAAAACGTCTGTCTCGTGAACCCGATCAAGTGCTTCGTTACTATCACGATCGCAACAATGACGATGCTCTGTGGTGCAGTGAAAATGGAAAGGTCACGGACATTCCAGCGTGCTCTTGTGGTGCTAAAAGAGTTCTTGAGTTACAGGTTCTCTCAACTATTCTCGCTCATCTAAACATAGACTTCTCACAAAAGGATGCACTTGACTGGGGTATTTTGAATGTCTATGTTTGTAGTGCATTCTGTGATAAAGCAAATTCCGAGTATGCAGAAGAACTCTGCTGGCGTCAAGAATTCTCTTCTCAAAGCATCCTGTCCGTCGAGTAGATTTACTACTCGGGCTTTTTCACATACGACATACCATTTAGTACTGGTTATATTTTTAGTTTAATAGACGAAGGTTGGTGGGGAACAATTGCTTTAAAACAAAACGTAAATTAATGAATTGGTAACGTAAAACTCACTGTGAACATTTTCTGTGAGACAGTTAAATCATCTAAGAACTGATCTATCTAATTGACACCGCACAACTCCTTAAGAGCGACAGCAACCCTCTCATAATCCGACTCCTCCATAAAAATACAACCACAGATACGAGTGTACCACTTCCCCTTATACTCACAAGTCCGGACAAAAGTGTTGTGCTTTTTCCAAAATTCTTCAGTCGCCAAGGCAGGAACTTCCTTAATGGGCAACTCCACATTCACCATTGACAAAGGAAACGGCGCCGGTGTGAAAGGAACACCCAGTGCATCCGCAACAATTTTTGCACCCTTGTTTGCGATTTCGTTCGTATAGCGACGAATGGCTTCCTCACCAAGTGTAGCACGGAAATCCAAAGCACCCTCAATACCTAAATATTTGGCAGAGTCCATATAGGTGGAAAATCTAAAGCGTTCTGCAAATGGTGCAGCGGGCTTTGCATCTTCTTTTCGATAGCCATAGCCGTAAGAAAGCGGTAAGGGATCGATAAGTGAATGGTTTTTCTCAGAAACGTACAAAATCGTCGTACCAGAGGGAGCAAACAACCATTTATGAGTATTCGTAAAGAAGAAATCCGGTTGAACCTTGTCCAAGTTTAAGTCCAGCAATCCAACACTATGAGCGCCATCAACAACACTGAGGACATTGTACTCGCGACAAAGTTCGACGACCTTTTCCCATGGCGTCAGTACTACCGGCATAGAGCTGATGAGATCGAACAAAAACATTTTTGGGCGGAAGGCCTCGAATCTCTCGCGAACCGTCTTTAAGAATTCCTCTCCATCAAAATCGACATCAACATCAATAAGTTCAATTTCAACTCCATAACGATCGCGAACGTAGTCTGCAGCAAACGAACAAGTAGGATAAGCCAAACTAAGCATAAGCAGACGATCCCCTTGCTTCCATGGATGTGTCAAGAGAATTGTACTTACAGCATGAGTCGCTGTGCCAACAAATGCAATGTCACTCTCCTTGGCACCCACAAACTCAGCAACTCTTGAACGAAGACGCCTCATTCTCCGTGGAAGCTCATATAAAAATCCAAGGTCCGTATTTTTCTGAGAAACTTTCACGGCTTCCTCCGTAGCAGCGAATGCTTGGCGACAAACGGTACCAAAGGATCCAGTGTTGGCGCAAACAACATTATCGTCAACAAAAAACTCCTTTTTCAAGGCATGGCCGAAAACAACTGCTTTTGAGTCTTTTCCTTCCATGGCACAAAATTCTTAACTTTTCAGACGTTGCTGCACTCGATGACAGGTAAAGCGAAATTCAAACACCAACGCTAACGAAAAAATTGTGATATTTAAAGAAGCGAAGTTCCATGCGATTTTAATCAATTAAAGACGTGTTGATCAAGATCGGATTAAGTGTCAACTATCGTTGCGTTGACGGTGGTCCAGACTTTTGATAGGGCATTCTGTTTAAACGAATTTGTTCAAGAAATCATAAAGATGAAACTCGAAAGCCTGAATTTAGCAAAAAATGTGGTAGATTCATGGAGGATATCAATAATAATTATGTTTGGAAAGATAAAAATGCGTTTTGAGCAGAATACCTTACTAAGACATTCTTTCTTCATAACTCAGCATAAACATCCGCAAGCCTAACGACCCTTACGGGATTGACTTAACGTAGAAAATCGTTTCTCATAAACGTATTTGTATATTCAAAAAAGGAAGGGTAGTCGTAGTGAAAACAATTAGGCGGATTTAATAAGATCAACCAGTCTTTTGGACTCTTGCTTCCAATCGATATTACGCACCGACATAGCAGTGTAGCGCACACGCACTTCGCCCTTGAAATTGTCTTGCTTTGCACGACATTCAAACACGTATGGCACATAGGAAGCGTCAGACATAACAGAAGTGAATTCGTTCTCGTCATTTTCTTGCATTGCGTTCAGCTCGTCTGCTGTCTTGCCCATCAAGATGCGACCAACATCATCAAACACATTTAGCCAAAGCTGACCAGTGTGATCGCCAGCTGCGATCGTCATGATATACCGGTAATGAGGAGCCTCATAGTCTTTGTTGCATTTTTCACAGTGCCAGGAGCCGCCCTGGTCAAATACCTTTTTGTTACAGTCGGGGGTCGGGCATGCGGGGTATGATATATTTTTTTTGCGAATATACACGACAGTAGCTTTTAGAGAAAAGTAGTCGGGTGTTTCCGACATGCCAAGGTGCTGTGCTTGCACCTCGGCCACCGTTTTCCGCTCGGCCGTGCGGTTTGTGCCACTGCCCACTGTTGCAGCCGAAGAATGCTTCATGAAATCCTGAGCACGCCCTTGACCATCATACCATCCTTTTAATGTGTGGGCCTCAGGAATATCCGGGTCCGTCGTCATTGTACTGCTGTTCAGCATAGACAGCGACCGACCTTGAAAGTCGTTCACTTTTACGCCCTTGAAAGCGATAATGCTTTCCTCAGGCACACTAAAGTCTATTGCCTGCTTTCCCCAAACCGTCATGCGCATTTCAAAGCCAGACTGGTCGACAATTGTAATGTCACGTTTGTCAAAACCACGAGAAGTGGCACGACTGGTAATTTGCTGCACAGGTCCGATATTTTGAAGGACACCGATGACATCGATTATGGCATCTTTTGCAACTTTGCCCACTTCTTCAAGTGTGACAAAGTTAAAACGAGCCATAGGAACAGCGTTTTGATCCTCCGACTTTTTAATCTCGGTGTCACGTTCGAACATGAGTTCGTACTCGTTTTGAACATTCGAAAACTGCTTTTTGGCAATATTGACTCTGCATTTGGAAATAAAATACACCTGTCCTTCTTGAAGGATATCATAAAAGGCGTCCACTTGTTCATTGAAACCCGTAGCACGGATTTCACCGCTTTCATCCAACAAATTCACACTAAATAACTTGCCCTCACCTCTTTGATTGTGCCAGTGTTTGATTTCAGACTTGTTTGTGACGCGTGCCCGGATGGTCCACTTGTTTTGATAGGGAGAAAGACCCTCGATTGGATAAATGATGGTACTGAGACCACCGCCTGCACGAACGGCATTCCGTTTAGCCGCCGGAGCAGGTGCATTGTTCATAGGAGGCGGCCGGTTACCGTAAAAGCTGGATGTGCTTGACGACTCTGAAGGCGGTTTCGATGCGTTTTGTTGCTGCTGTTGTTTCAAAACATCTACGGTTTCCAGACCAGCTGGATTGCCAATTTTCTCACTGATGCCGAGTTCAGGCAGAACGTTTAGTCCGAGAACGATAAGGATTTTGCGCTCCTTCATCACATTGACTGTGAACTGGGTCAACTGGACAAAAGCTCCCTTCACGAGCTTGTTTTCCATTACAAGATGGTTTAGCTGTGTACTTAACATGGATTGGGCATAGTTTTGAGAGTCTGAAAACACAACACGGTACCGCTTAGGAGCACCGGAGGTTGGGTTTGAATTAAGCTCTTTTACCGTTAAGACCTGTAAAACTGGGTTCGCAGGGAACTCTGACGGGTCTGATGTCGTACTACAAATATTAGCAACAAGTGATGAAGCAAAACACTTACTTAATTTTGTTTAATGACCCTACAGACAGTCTGTCAGCCATTGTATAGTTTTTCCTATGTATTTGGTTAAGGATAAGGTTCAAAGACGGGGTCAACGCGTAGTAACGCGTCAAGACGCGCCCGCGCTGCAGTTCGCTGACGCGTGTACGCGATTGCATCTGTGTACGCGTCTAGATGAAAAAACGCGTCGCGTCGCACTTTTGCGCCACGCGTCGCGTTTAGCATTTACATGGCAACAAACGCGTGGCTCGTTTGTTTTGCCGTCTGCAAACAACGAATTTTGAGGGACTGGGGCTGATTATTGAAGGCAGTGTTTAAAATCAAGCTTTCCTCGAGTTTTAAGTTACAGAAGAACAGGCTGCACCCTTTGTCGTTATTCTTGTCGAAGTCTTGGTCCACGCGTCGTAAACACAGGAGCACTTGCACGTTCAATCGTCCATAAATCGACAACAATGAATTCAACACCAACTAGCAATCGTTATACATTGATTTCGGAAAAGTCCTCGGGCTATGAGAGCGAAAAATACGACTCGTTATATCACAAAGTGCACAAACCTATATTTCCTCCACCACCTCTGGGCTCAAAGACCAACTCCTGCGAGTTCAGCAACCCTTGTACACCTCTTCCAAAAAAAGTGAACACCCCTACTTTCTCTACTAACTTGCGGTGCGGTATCTTTCCTCGATGGGACACACTCTCTAGTGCACAAAAACATGGATCTTTTCCGACAATCCCTCTTTTTTCTAAAATAACGAATGCAAGTACTCCTCTGGAAAGTCCGAAACCTAGAACGTCGGTGCCAATGAGCACAGGCTTCCTCAGCAAGTATGAACAGAAGCATTCGGCTTTTAAAGACATTCAAGGCTTTAGCAGTGTTCCTCCGCATACTCCTTGCAAGAAGTCCCGGCACTTTCGGATTATGGAGCCTTCTACCCCTCCCTCTCCCTCAGTAGCATACTTTCACGGTTCGCTAAAACGGAGTAAGCTCGATGACGAAATGGAGAACATGGACATGTCTGAAGAAGAGTTGGAACTGCCTTTCTTGCATTCAAACGCGTCTCTCGACCAGACAAGCCTTTTCGACACGCCCACAAAGATCAGATTTTCTAGCAGCCCGCTAGGAACGAGCTGGAAGGATGATGGTGATCTTGGGTCCGTTCTCAGTTCTACGACGATGAACAGTGCTCACTTACTGAGTGCAGGCACGGTGGATGAGTTCACCGACGACTCCAGCGACTGGGTTGAGCGTCTGCATGAGCAATTCGCATTCGTTTATCCCGAACACGAAGGCGAATTCTCGAAAGTGTATCGAGCGACAAACTCAAACAGTCAAAAACCCGACGAAACCGAAGTTTCCGTAGTAAAAGTGACGTGTCGTCGGTTCACCAGCCAAAAAGACAAGATGCGCCAATTGCGCGAAGCCACCATACTTCAATCACTTTACGGCAATGAACACATTATTGCTATTCGTGATTTTTGGGACTGGCATGGCCATTTGTTCATCGAGACAGAATACTGCCAGAACGGAAACTTTGCAACCTTCTTGGAGGAATTGAGCATAGTGCAGCCGCTCGACAGCTTCCGTTTGTGGAAAGTTTCTTTTCAATTGCTGATGGTATGTGCAAAGCTGCCCCTTCCAAAGTACTAACTATTGACAGGCTCTTCACGCAGTGCACGACAACGGCTTTCTTCATCTCGATGTTAAGCCGGCAAATATATTCATTACCCGTTCCGGTGATCTAAAGCTAGGGGATTTCGGCATGGCTACACCCGTACCTGTGCCAGCGGGCACTGATGTTGAAGGTGACCGCGTTTACATTGCTCCTGAAGTCCTCACAAATCATGAGTATTCTGGCGCTGCCGACATATTCTCTCTTGGTTTGGTTTTGTTGGAAGCCGCGACGAACGTTGTCTTGCCTCAGAACGGACCTAAATGGCAACAGCTTCGGTCTGCCGACTTTTCTCAGATCCCTTGGCTTCCGGTTGAACCGCCATTGCCATCGTTGCAGCGACAACAACATGTGTTGCGCGAAATGATATACGAAATGTTATCCCCGGACGTCGCTTCTCGTCCAAAAGCCTCGGATTTGCTTCAGCGACCTGAGTTTGACTGGGTTAAGCGCAAAGCTCAGTTGGGAGCCATTGTTTTTGAGCCCGTTACTTCTTGGTTGGATTGAGCAAGTCCGAAGAAAAGACATCTCTCACGAAGATGCAACTTCGTTTCCCTGTGAAACAAACGAACAAAAACACATCCACACCTCCATACACGCATTACGAGGGCTAATGCCAGTCGCATCGCCCCTTTCTCACTTTTTCCCATTCCCCGTTCACTCATTTCCTCCAATGCACCCTTGGTCATTAACTCGTGATTCCCTCTCCATTGCGCCGGACGCAGCACACTGTTTTTATCCATACTCTGGCTTCCAAGCCTTTTCCTATTGTCTTTCAGTTTCCCTTAACATTCTTTCTCCGTCGTTATTCGGGCTATATTATTCATAAACTTACACCTCTATTCTCCCTTTCCCGCATCCCCATCCCGAAAATGGATTGTATACATACACGGGGAGTCCTGTTCCCCGCACATATATCGTCTATAGTATACATAGTCTTTCTTTTCATTAATGTATTGACATAAAGTCTTCTCTAAACAGCATACTACAAGGCGATGATGCCTTTCCAGTTCCCAGCTCCAGCTTCTTCCATACTGCACCCGCGAATTAAGCATTCACGTGACTCGCGAATAAGCCTGGTGTAACGATCTACAATATTCGGCAACATGTAGATCTGCGAGATCGACGACACCTTAACCTTAACCCTAACCTTAATCTAAATCTTGTCCTTGGTGGTCGGAGGGACCGCGCAACGATCGACCCAACTACTTCCAGTGGTGCAGGCGGCATCCACGGTAGAGCTCCGTGCGCCTCTTTAAGGGCCGAGGTGACCGACGACACACGGCGCAACCCCTCCTGTCCTTAACACTATTCTTCTCACAGTATAACTTAGCCATGGGTGATTCAGACTTTGACGACGACGAACTATTCAAAGATCTTTAGTATGAGAGCACGGATGCGCATTTTTTACAACGAATTGTGCAGCGGTGAGGAGAAAGAGTCCAAGCCCGAAATCCCCGCAAAAAACGAGCAATTGGAAAAAGAGAGCGGTGCTGGAGAGTCAGAGGAAGCAGCAACCGATGGAAAGAATGCAGAGGACTCAAGGGAGGAAAAACAAAGCATTCCCAGCCCTCAACCGAGAAGCGTTGATGCGACCAGCACTGGCGACGATTCATACGGAGCACGACAAAGTGCGGAACCTACGGCACCAGTAGAAGCCCCTCAGGAGAGGCAGCATACGGAACAAAAACCTGCAGCTCAAGAAGAGCAACAGAGTCCTTTCAATCGTGAGGATGGGTATGGACGCGTGCTTTCCGTAGCCGGTTCCAGCGGAGCTAACGAATCACGCGTAGAAAAATGTTTATTGGTGGTTTGAACTGGGAAACAACGGACGGTACGTTCTTGCTCAATGTAATTTGGTGCATTTGTAATACATATCCTGCTACCAAATTCGTTCATGATTTGTTCATGATCGGCAGCAAAAGCTTGGTCTTGAAATTTCAGTTTACTGACTCTCTCTCTCTCACTAGAGTCTCTCCGTGACTATTTCGAACAGTTCGGCGAGGTCCTTGACTGTACTGTCATGCGCGACAGTACTACTGGACGTTCGCGTGGTTTTGGTTTCTTGACCTTCAAAGATCCCAAATGCGTTCAAGTTGTCATGTCTAAAGAACATCATTTGGATGGAAAGATTGTACGTTTGCTAATATCTATTTGTTTTTGTTTGCCTCAAAAAAATCTTTCGAAGCACATTTTTGCTAACACAGTCAGATTGATCCCAAAAGGGCGATTCCCCGTGAAGAACAAGAGAAGACTGCTAAAATGTTTGTGGGCGGTGTTCCTGCTGACTGCACAGAAGAGGAGTTTCGTGACTTCTTCAATCAGTTTGGTCGTGTCCTTGATGCTACCTTAATGATGGACAAGGACACTGGCCGGCCAAGGGGTTTTGGTTTTGTCACTTTTGAAAACGAAGCTGCGGTGGAGAATACTATGTCGCAGCCATATATCACCATTCACGGAAAACCCGTGGAGGTCAAGCGTGCAACGCCAAAAGCCAGCATGCGTGATCAGCATGATCGTCATCAGCAAATGCCAGGCAGTTATGGTCAAGGCAATCAATACTTTGCACAAAAATATGAACATGTATGGCGGCATGACGCCCTGCCATGATGGCTCAGTTACTACCGTCAAAATGCAGCAGTATATGGAAGCTGTACGAAACCATGCCGGCAGCGGCAGCAGCCGCCGCCGCTGCCGCTTCTGGTGGCATGCCCCTATCCCCAAGGAACCCCGGGTATGCCTTCTGCTGCCGACTGGGCTCAACAGCAGCAGCAGATGCAGGCCGCCTCTTCCCACTACGACCCGTCTTCAGGACGTGGAGGAACGCCTAACTCGAATACGGATTCGTACGACGGCGGAAACAAGCCCGAGTACGGTTCACGCGGCCAAGGCGGCGGTCGGTCGTCATCGAACAGACAGCGCTATCGTGGTCGTAGAGGAGACAACCGGGGCGGTTCTGGCAACGGCGGAGGTGCTCAAAGCTTCCATCCTTACCGTCGTTAAGCTCTCTTGGATCTGGTCCTTGGCTTAGCGAAATCACTCTTTACACCGCCTTGTGTGTGTATGTATCATCGTTTAGGGCCTACAAAAAAATTGTCGTTACAATAAAGGAGGAAAAAGATTATCCGACCGTCTGCCTGTATAAAAGCGACATCGGTTTTATGGTGCTTGTGTGATAACGATGCCACCTACGAATGAACAAAATGAGTACAGGTTACACACAAGCACCGTTTTTCACATAGCCGTCAGTATGTTGCAGACAGGCAATTTGCGTCCAGGTTTTGCAAGTTCAGTATGATGTTCCTCCCTAAACTTGTGTTTTCGTCTTATGGCTCTTACGTGCACATCTACACAACCCGCTGACTTTCACGTGTTACACTTCATAACGGATTTCCGCACTGTCATCCCAAATACAAAAAAGCCATTTTGTTAATTCGAAAAGTTTATGCATCGTCGTCCTCGTTGCCACCCCCCTCCTTCCATCCCGCACGTAGAGACACACCCGTTGTGGAGCTTCTCATGAAGGAATTGTTAACCATGTCGTGAGTTATGATTCACATAAAGAAACAAAGCAACTGTAGTTTTTGATTCGTCCTACTATTGCATCCACAGACCGGATCTTGTAAATTAATCATCTACAATGTTGTGATGTGTCTGATACTATTCATATCCCTCTAGTAACGTGTAATATGTACTTATGTAAGCACTAAAACGTCTTCACGCAACCGGCAACGGCACTTTCCATGCTCGCGTCTTCGAAGTGTTGTATTCGTCTTGTTTGTTTACACTGGGTCGGCCGCGGCGCGCATCCCCATCAGATAAGTAAAATTAGCGTCTGCCGTAATTTATCTTGGCGAATGAAAACACGACCCGGGATCGCAATTTTACGTGACCAGGTGAGCGATCGTAATCGAAATTGCGCATTTGTAATCATTACGTCAGCCCATTTATTGAACTACTACCTACTTCTTCTGCACATTTAAACTTAGAATCTCCAAACCACAACCATACTTCACAAAATGTCTCAAACCGCTGTGTAAGTTGTTAATAATCTTTCTGACGTGTTGCTAACAGTTTTCTAGCGCTGGTAGGTGAATCAGAGGTCCTATATTTGCGTCTAACTAGATAACAGATTTTGGCCTTATTGGCCTTGCTGTCATGGGTCAAAACTTGATCCTTAACGGTGCTGACAAGGGGTATGAAGGGATAGAGTTGTTGTAGAGTTTATGGCACAGACGTTAACCGTGTTTTGTCAGCTTCACTGTTGCTGCTTTCAACAGAACTGTTTCCAAGGTTGACCGTTTCTTGGAGAACGAGGCTAAGGGTATGTTTGGATGACGCTGCTTGATCAGATTTCGGCTTTTTGCTTGAAACAGCGAAAGCCGGCTGCAAACGACGTCTTTATGTGTTTCTTTGTGTTCTCCTGCTGACGTTTCAGGCAAATCCATCATTGGTGCCCACTCTATTGAGGAGTTTGTTTCCTTGTTGAAGCGCCCTCGTCGTATTGTTTTGCTCGTTAAGGCTGGTCCTGCCGTTGACGCTTTCATCGAGGCTTTGGTTCCTCACCTTGAGAAGGGTGACATTATCGTCGATGGTGGTAACTCTCATTACCCCGACACCACTCGTCGTTGCCAAGAGTTGGAGAAGAAGGGTATCTTGTTCGTCGGTTCTGGTGTCTCCGGTGGTGAGGAGGGTGCCCGTAACGGTCCCTCTTTGATGCCCGGTGGAAACCCCGCTGCCTGGCCTCATATCAAGAACATTTTCCAATCTCTTGCCGCCAAGGCCGGCGACAACGAGCCCTGCTGTGACTGGGTTGGTCAAGACGGTGCTGGTCACTACGTTAAGATGGTCCACAACGGTATTGAGTACGGTGACATGCAATTGATTTGCGAGACCTACGACATGATGACTCGTGGTCTTGGTCTCAGTGAGGCCGAGGTTGCCGACATTTTCGACACCTGGAACAAGGGCAAGCTCGACTCTTACTTGATCGAGATTACCCGTGATGTTTTGCGTTATGTTGCCGACGATGGCAAGCCTATCGTCCAAAAGGTTCTCGACTCTGCCGGTCAAAAGGGTACCGGTAAGTGGACTGCTGAGAACGCCTTGGAGATGGGTATGCCCGTCACCCTCATTTCCGAGGCCGTGTTCTCTCGTTGCTTGTCTTCCTTGAAGGCTGAGCGTGTCCGTGCCTCTGAGAAGCTTAACGGTCCCAAGATTGAGTTCTCTGGTGACAAGAAGCAATTCATTGACGATCTCGAGGAGGCTCTTTACGCTTCCAAGATTATTTCCTACGCCCAAGGTTTCATGCTTATGCGTGAGGCCGCTAAGGAGTATGGTTGGGAGCTCAACAACGCCGGCATCGCTCTTATGTGGCGTGGTGGTTGCATTATCCGTTCCGTCTTCTTGAAGGATATCACTGAGGCTTTCCGTGAGGACCCCAAGTTGGAGTCTATTCTCTTCCACCCCTTCTTCAAGAACGCCATCGACAAGGCCCAAGCTGGCTGGCGTAGAGTTGTTGCTCAAGCTGCTATGTGGGGTATTCCCATCCCTGCCATCAGCACTGGTTTGGCCTTCTATGACGGTTACCGTTGCCCCAAGCTTCCCGCTTCCTTGTTGCAAGCTCAACGTGACTACTTCGGTGCTCACACCTTCCGTATCTTGCCCGAGCAAGCTACTCCCAAGTTCCCTGCCGGTGCAGACATCCATGTGAACTGGACTGGTCGCGGTGGTGATGTTAGCTCTTCTAACTACCAAGCCTAAGCGGCAAAAAGTGTTGATGCACTAACTGTACTCTGTTAGAGTTCGGTTGTGTTGTTGACGACGATTGTGGATTTGGATGAATAAAAACGCCTACTTCTGTCGAAAGGCGAGTGTGTGTACGTTGATGTTCGAAGTACGAAAGCGGATCATGATTAAGTACGACACTTACGATGGCTTTTGGACTGCAAGTCTGCTGCTTCGTGGTTATTGTTCTATGAAGTTGGACATGAAACTCGTTATAGAATTAAGTTGGCTGAAATGCTATGAACTTTATGTAAAGCTTGATAAGGGCGGTTGCTGTACGTTTGATAAGAGGTTCGTAATGAGGTGTCAGTGAGAAGATGACTAGTCTTAAGGGTAGTTATGATCATCAATTAGATCTTTCTACAGGCTTCGTTTTTTTTCAAAATGGTATCTCATATCGTTTAGCCGTTGAATGGAAGATGTTGCGGACTGCATAGAAGACAAGGACGCTTCACTAAATGCCGCAATATAGAAGGGAACAGCGTGGACGCTAATAAAATTCTGATATAGCCAGTCGGAGCCTTTTTTCCAGTCGAGAAGTATAACAGAAAAACCGATGGCAATATTGACCCACTGAGTAACTCTCCAAGGATGATGATTACGGTGTGTAAAAAAGGATTCTTCAACGGGAAAGAAGTACATGTAAATGGAGCTGAAGAATATGCTAACGAAACTAAACACGCGTTGAAATAATGTAATCTCATGCAGCACAAGCGGCACACTTATAAGAAGATAGAGGAATGAAACACGATTTGGAAGAGCCGATTGTCTCGACGATTCGTTTTTTCCAACTCACGAATCAAAACTTCCTGTTCTAAACACAAAACGATGCAACGTTAGACATAGTTTCAGCAAGTACTTTGCCTTAAGGCAAGACAATTATACAAACCCTCTTCGTCTAAATATACAGTTGGTTCGTCCAACGATTTCCTGTGTGAGAAATCAATGATTCTCTTGCGTAAACCCTCCATTCCGTGCAAGTATAAGCGCTAGAGCTTTGCTGCTATGGTTCACCAAAAACAGCAACGACAGGCTAACATGTCACTAGCTGCCACAATCTAGCCAAGTCGTCATGGTGGTGAGGGATGGAAGCTGAAGGCAAATCGCGTAAATTAAGCTTATTATTTTAGCGAATGATTTGGAGCCGTGGATGTACCAAATTCAACATTACAGATGAATTATTCATATTAAAGAAAGCTGCAACAATGGTATAGTGCGTTCATCCACTCCCTGACGCCAACAAGTCACCAATTTGAAGCTAAAAACTGCTACTATTTCTTTTCATAACAATTACTATGTCTCTAAGAAACATTACCATAGTAATTGCTTTGTATTAGGACATATTTACTTGTCCATAATCACGTAGACCTAATTAGTGTCGTCGAAATTTCTTGATGAACTTGACCGAGAGATACTTTTATATTTCTAGATCGGTTAGTTACCCATCTCCAGCTTTTCATCTATACTGTGTAACGTACATCTTTGAGTTCTTGTTTCCTACTAGGGTCCAAGGTATTAGAGAGTCCCAACAGTGCTTTTGACACAATCTCTGTTGCGCCGGCCATGGGTTTAACAAAAGCAAGCGGCACATTATGAGACAGTCTTCGCGCAACACTGGCAACGTCTCGTTGTTGGGTCAAATCCGAGGGGAGCTGTTCAATAGTTGACTTTGTGGTAGCTAATTGTCGCTTTAAACCCGAAAATCCTTCACGCAAACCTTTCACGAACGATTCCGGTTGACCCATATAAGGACTAACAAGTTCCGTCTGTTCTTCAAACTGTAGATACTTCTCCAATCGATGCATAACACCGTGTGATTTTGTCGCCAATTGTGCATTCACAAGTACTGCCTCACGAAATGTAGTTTTGGCAAACTTTAAAAGCCCTTTGCCCAATTCAGTCATAAAATGTCCTTCTTGGTATCCCTTCACAGGAACGACAAACAGATCTTTGACACCCCCACCAACAGTTAACAATGTTCGCACAGGTACAATACCAGATAGCACATCTTCAAGTTGATTGTGTCGGATGTCAGAAAGCCAAAGCTTTAACAACAGTTTACCAACTTGGTCGAACCCCAATAATCCATTACCAACGACTTCACGTAGATAAACTTGGGAATTTTGTAACGTAAATAGACTGGAAAGTTGACTGTACAAATGACTCTGCAAAACATACGGACTTGCCCTCTTCGGTTTGTAGTCGAAAGACAGCACCACACCGGAAAATACAAGCTGCTGTAAGTATGGGGCATCAGTGTGTGATAATGGACGTTCAACACTAGCCGAGGAGTTGGTTGGCTGAAATAGGAAAAATCGAATGAGTTGATCAAGTGTGTCTTGGTCGAAACGAAGTTTGCATGGCGCAACATGAACAGTCATACGGAGTTCCGATGAATCCAGTTCCTTCACCGGCTTTACTCGAACGACTTTCAGTTGCACGAACGGCTTCTTCTCATTTCTCGGACCAAAAGCCCTATTGTACGATAAGACTTTGTTCCAATGAGAAGTGGGCATATTATCATATATACACAAATCCGACAATTTGAGCAAAATATCATATGGCATTTCAGGATTGGCAGTAGATAGAAAATGACCACAGACATTGCTTAATTGTAGCTTTGTTTTGTGTTCAAATGAACGACCCAAGTGTAAAGTGAAGGCTCTCTTTTTAAGGAACTCTGGTATTGGCGTATCAATGGGTTCACGCAAGGAAGCTTCTGATGGTTCTTCAATCGTATGCAGCCGATCAATACATAAGCAACCATATACAACTTTAGGATGTGAACCCTTTTTCTCGACATTCGACTTCTTGGATGACCAAGTTTGGTAATGATATATAGATTCTGCAAGAGTTTTGCGAGTTGTACTCCAATCATAACCATCATGTAAGTCAACGGTTACATTAATATCATGAAACGTTAAAGTAAAAGGATTGTCAACGTTTGTCGAAGCTTGAAGCACTTGAGATACCGTCTGATCATCCTTTCTGAAATAATTTTCAGTGAGATCAAACATGATGTTTGGTAGATCACTCTTTGGCAAATTAACATCTGCCGAACTGTTTACGGGACTTTGGAACAAAACTTCCGAAAATGTGCTAGAAGCAGAGTTACTGGATACTAATTCAATGTCTTCAGACGGGGAACTAGATAACTTTTGTTCCGAGTTTGACCCAAAGAAGTCATCATCAAATTGCAAAGCAAATGAAGGTGCTTCCAGACCATCTGGTTCCAATTTCAGGAGCATGTCTTGACTGTTAAAAAAGTCCTTGTCAATAGCGGACATTAGCTCGACGGAGTGCCTGACAACAAAAGTATTTTGATCTGAATTAGATGAGGAGGCAGGTTCATTCATGTTCACTGACGCTAGGAACTCATTCAATGTTTTAAAACTGTCAGCACAGACACTTACATGTGCATCACAACTGTTCACATCAAGTGTAATATATGGTTGACCTTGCCGCAATTTCAACATCGCCTTGATATTTAAGCCTCTGAATTGGGCTATTTGAACATAACCTAATGCCTTGAATAAAGCACACAAATCTTGTGTAAATGTCGGCGAAACGCCCGATGATTTAGGTAACGGTGATTTATCGATATTGTCAATAAGAAAACCACGAACGGAATGCACTTCAATTAAACCGCTGATCTGTGTTGGATCAGCAATGGGATCAATAAGCATGGAGGCACTTTCCATTAAAGCAAGCAATCGACTATACGTTGTTGGACAATTGAACCCCAGAAGGACATTTTCAAATTTTAACTCAATTGAGTGAGCAAAAGAAGGAAATTGTAGGAATGGTTTTTCTGGATCCGCCTCGAAGTATGTCTCCAAGAATGCCTGAATCCAAGGAAATGAGTAATAATGGTCAATAGATACGCATGAAACAAGCAAAACAAGTTGCTCATTCGTTGAGCTCGAGAATAGAAGATTCAAATTAACATTTTGCTTCTTAGATGAGTGCAAACCCTTAAGATGAGAGATGACCGAATGATGCTGACCACTTTTGTGATGGGTGACATTGCAACTCAGTTCATCTATAGTAGCAGAACAGTCAACCACTTCATTAGACGCTATAGTCATGCCAAATTTTCCCTTCACAAACGTAGGAAATACTGTATATGTGTCCTTGCAAGTAAACTGACAAGAGAGTTTCCCGAATCGAAATTTAAAGAGAAGGCTGTCCAACGCATTATCCGTCCTTTTTTCGATACTGTTACTCGAACTCATTGAAATAACAGAGACTAGTGAAGAGAATGCCTGTATTACCTTCATAGATAATTTAAGATCAATGCTTTCTATTACCACATTAGCGATCCGCTGGATATCAAATTGCGGTTTTTCCAGTTCAACAAACTCCAGTGCATCAAGCTGTGTTTCAACAACGCGAACATTGAAAGGGAGATATGATGAACACCTATGTGTCTCGCACAAAAGGCGTCTGAGTGTGATGGGTCTCTCGGTAATGCTCTGCTTACTACTTGACTTCCAATAAAAACAAGCTTCGGTGGTATGAAGAACAAAAGCTTGTCGGGTACCTTCTCTTTTGAAAATTATCGAGAAATCAGACAAGTCAATACAAGCGGATACATATGGGGCAAATTCGTCAGATGTCAAAATAAGTTTAACAGAATTCAAGGTTACAGAGAAAGTCAAACAACCGGACTTATCTGTTGAAGGGGAAAGAATTGAAGCTTGGTTAGAGTCGTTCGAACTTATCGAAGGCGCAACATTATAGAGATCAAAAAGAGAATTTGTTACATCAGAAAATAATTGTAGTTCGGCAACCATAGTAAAAACATCGTGTGCAGCCAACTGTAACGAAAAAGGAGAGACCGAGGCAGAGACCGAGGCAATTGCTGAATTTAGAGACAGCTTGCCACTAGCGAAAAGTTCATTATCGCCGCTCATATTAAGTATGGATTCATCATGAAAGAATAAGGAAACTCGTGAAACATCAAAAATGAAGTCATTAATCATGCGTGCATTAGAAACGTGAATACAGTACAGACCCGTTAAAAAAGCGGGAGATGCTTGTAAGTCAAAAGCAAATTGATGGAAAAGAGGTTGTATGACAGGAGCAGGGAACGAGGATATGAGGGAAGGGTATAAGGCAATGTGGATTTGACTTATATTAACGTCCAGAGATAATTCAGGAGACCGCTCATTCTGTTTCTGTGACAACTTTGGTTGTGCAGAAAGAATGTGAAAGCAAGAAAAAGCCCAAAGGACGAAAGGATGTAAGGGTACATAAACAGAAGCAATTTGTAAACTCGTGTACACAATAGAAGAATTCTGTAACTGGAATTGGATTTCAATTGGTCCTCGAATATTACAGACAGTTGCTTCTAACACGGGTGTATCAGAAGGAGGCTGAAAGGTTGCACTTTTATATACTGGATCTTCTTCTTCTATCACCGTTTTAAAAGAATCAATAGTTGCAATCGAGTCCGTAGAGCCCGAAGGTGAATTAGATGCTGTTGTCACCCGAGATGCTTTGGGCGACCCAACAGCCGAGTCTGAATCAAGTTCATCTTGCATACGTAGCGAAAGGCGGACTGAACCTATCCCTGCTTTCCGCGTAGCTGTACTTTGGTCAAGACTGTCAAGCCAGAAGCGCTCTGATTCAATAGAGCAGACCAAGTGTTTATCTGAAGAGTACAAGACAATTCCGAGTTTAATATCGGTCACATTTAGGCAAATGGAATTCATTAGCTTCTCGGATAACATACTAGCAATAGATCGTGACGACTGTGAATCGAGTCCAGAATCATGATTCAACGAGTCTGTCTGAGATAACTCTTCCAATGAAGCCTCTTTGGCTGCATTTAAGAGTGATTCGAAGAAATCCGACTCAGACATCGCGTCCTCATATAATGAGCCTCCCTCGAAATCGCTTTGGTGCAGCTGCAATTGTACATGCAGTTGGGATATAGACACTCGTATTTTCCCGTTCCATAAATCACTAGCAGACATTTGAATGCTCATTTGTTTGAAACCTCCGCTTACGACGGACAATTGAGGATGTTTCCATAAGTTATTAATTGATTCAGCATCCAAAGCCAACTCGTTCAAAACAAGCATCCCGCGAGAAAGAAGAACATTAAGGTCGTCGGACTTAATTTCATTTTTTAGAAAACGGCCCAAGAATCGCTGAATTGTAAACGCGACTAGCCGACTATATAATCTGTTTGGTAATGCACCAGAACTAAGCCAAGAAGATGGCTTGAACAGCCAATCCAGCAGTTTCATGGTGAACGACAGATATGAGGTTTTCTAAAAGTGTGATCAGCCAAGAAAAAACGTGAAATGTTAACCATTTAGGACTTTATTATTGTAGGTGAAGATTCCCAGCCTACAACGTCGTGAACAGACGGTGTAGTAAACTGGTGGCTAGTATGAAGAACCAGTAAGGGAACAAGTGGCAGAGGAAAGCAGGCAATTGAAGGCAATATAATCTTGAAGCGACCGCTCTGCTACAGATAGTAGCCATTGTCATCATGAATTAACGTAATTAACGATTTTATAAAAAAGGAGCAAATACCGGCATCAAAGCTGTCCATCCCACAACTGCATGAATTTTGATTTTGCTCTAAGATTCAGTTTATTAAAAAGGGGCAAGCACACGATCTAATGTATAAACTAAGCATGAACTTCTTCCGTAACAAGTAACACTTGTGTATACAGAGACTTCCGTAACTGTGAATTTCTCAACTTGGTAAAGCAAGAACAGTTACAGTACGAACACACTCGAATTGAAAGGAAGGACGAAGAACTTTAGAAAGAAGTCTGAAAGAACATGCATTGAGTACGTTCTTCGTAGCAGAGTGCTGACCAGAAAGGAAGGTGTTGACGAAGAAGAAATATATAGAAGAATAGAAATCGGGTTGCACAAGGGCAAACAATAGACAAGAAGAAAACAGAACAAGAAACAAAACCCAAAATGAAACACTCAGTCTAAACATGGCGCAGAAGGTAGGTGCTTTTGGAATGGGTTAAGCCGCGTTCGCGACGGTACCATTTTATGAACTCATCAAGCCAGAATACAGAGCTCGCCAACACTGCAAGTACGACGAGATCTTTGAATGCAAGTGGCTCCGTCTGGAAGATTGCTTGGAAGGGAGGGAAATAGATCACAAGTGCTTGTCCAATGAGAGAACCACCAACAGCAATATTGAACATTCTGTTGGAGAACATTCCTAACTCGAACACAGACTTGGTTTCTGAACGGCAACCAAGGGCATTAAACATGTCAAAGAAAACAAAACAAGTAAAAGTCATCGTAGTATCACGAGCGGTGACGACGCCATCACGCATTTGCAGCTTAAAGGTAAACACTGTACCAACAACGATGAGAAAGGCGCTTAACAATACACGTCTCAGAAGATGAGTCGTGATAATAGGAGCATTACGAGGACGAGGTGGCTTCTCCATAACGTCGTCGTCCACGGGCTCAACACCCAAACTTTGAGCAGGCGGGCCATCCATGAGAATGTTGATCCAAAGAATTTGCATAGCGTTTAAGGGATTTTGCCAGTGGAATAAAGAAGCAATTGCGATCAGTGAGAGTGCAGCAACACTGGTGGACAACTGGAAGGTAATGAAGTTACGGATATTGTTGTAGATACCTTTACCTTCTTCAATTGCTGCAAGAATAGTAGCAAAAGAATCATCAGTCAGAATCATATCTGCGGCTTCCTTAGCCACATCCGTACCTTGTCGACCCATTGCGATACCAATATCGGCAAGCTTAAGGGCAGGAGCATCATTAACACCATCACCAGTCATGGCGACGACATCGCCATGAGATTGAAGAGCACTAACGATTTTCATCTTGTGCTGAGGGGTTGTACGCGCAAATACAGACACCTGAGGAACTAACTCACGAAGAGCAGCTGGCGAAAGAGCGTCCAACTGTTCACCCGTCAAAGCATACGTTCCAGAAGCATCCTCATCACTGTTTGGCAAGGGAAGACCCAAAGTTCTAGCAATACTGAGGGCAGTAACAATACTGTCACCAGTAATCATAACGACGCGAACACCACTTGCGAGCAGGCACTTGATGCTTTCATGAACATTTTCACGAGGTGGATCGTTGATGCCAAACAGACCATGGAAAGCAAGCTTTTCAAAAGAGGTTCCGGAAGCCACAGCAATAATACGCAAACCGGTACTTGCCATTTCGCGCTCACGTTCAAAAATCTCGTTTCGCATAGTCTCAGTCATATCCAAAACCAAACCACCTTCCGTCACATAGGAAACACATTGACCCAAAACATACTCAGTGGCACCCTTCATGCAACACAGTTTTTGATGAGCATGTTGAACCACGACAGACATAAACTTGCGGTCACTGCTGAATGGAACTTCAGAGAGACGAGGGTAAGAGTTACGAGGGTCCTGCATACCAAAACGACTTGCGCATTCGGCAAGAGCAACATCCACAGGAAGTCCAACATAGCCCGACTCAAACATGGAGTGCGCCTTCTGGTCACGAAGCTTAGAATTGTTACACAGAAACGCAGCAAGCAAGAGTTTTTCGAATCCAAGGTTCGAAGAAGCGATTTTTTCAACGGAAGAGTCTGGCAACGTATAAACAAATTTCATACCAGGAATATAGATCTTTCCAACCGTCATGTGGTTCATAGTAAGAGTACCTGTTTTATCTGAACAAACCACATTGACACTACCGAGTGTTTCAACACTAGGTAGCCGACGAACGATAGCACGATTTTTGGACATACGCAGGACACCAAGAGCAAGGGTTACCGTAACAATAATAGGCAAACCCTCCGGAATTGCAGCAACGGCGAGACTGACGCCAATAGTAAGCATTTCCAACCAACGCTTTCCTTGAACAAAACCAATGAGCACAATGACGGCAATGATGGCAAAAGAAATCATGGACAAGTGTTTGCCAAGCTGATCCATGCTTCGTTGAAGAGGAGTCTTTGGCTTCTCGGTCTCCTGCATTGTCAGGAACACTTGACCAAATTCGGTATCCTTTCCTGTAGCAACCACGATTCCCTTACCACGGCCATGGCGAACAAGCGTGCCCATAAAGGCAGTGTTTCTTCTTTCATTCACAGCAAGAGAAACAGCATTGGGCTGAGTCTTCGTGGTTTTAGAGCGCGGAGTAGTCTCGCCAGTAAGGTTGGACTCGTCGATTTCCAAATCAATGGCATCCGTCAAACGCAAATCGGCAGGAACACGGTCACCGATTTCCAAACGGACCAAATCACCGGGAACAAGACCGGTAGCATTTATTAGTTGCTCTTTGCCAAAACGAATAACAGTACAGTTGTGAGGGACAAGATTATTTAGAGCTTGCAAAGACTTTTCTGACCGGTATTCCTGTACAAATCCGACAGTAACGACGATAAAGATAGCCAAGGCGATGCTAATGGCATCACTAACGTTTCCAAGAAGAAGAGAAATGGCGGCACTTCCGAAAAGCAAAAGAATTAAAGGATCCGAGACAAACTGCTTCAAGAACTGGCGGATTAAAGAGTCTTCCTCATCCGAGGAAAGAATATTCTCACCATGCACCAATTTTCTCTGAGAGATGCTAGATATGGAAGTCAGACCATTGACAGCATCAGTCTCAAGATCAGCGCATGTTTGTTCGGTGCTAAAAGCAGCGTACTGAGAACTCATTTTTGATAGCTAAGAGGGAGAAAAAACAAGAATGCAAAGAAACGCGCAAATAGAAACAAGAAAGAGCCAAACAAAAAAGCAATGAAAAAAAAGGGAAGAAATCAAAGACGAGAAAGAGCGCCGACACACGTGCAGAAAAACACGTATCACAGAGAAGAACTGGAATTAAGGTTGTAAGTGCAGGGATTCACGATGTGTCGTTAGGCAATACGACACTGAAACAAGACAAAAGGAAACGTAGGAAGAATGAGCGTGCAGCAACTCGAGCACAGTGTACAATAGGGAGAAGGCGTAGCCAGACACCTTCACTATAGCAATTTTTCGCGTACACGTGTATGCGAAGCAATTTACCTGCTCAACAAAAATACCAAAGAGAAAGAGAGACTGAACGGGACACGAAAACAATTCTTAAAAAAAGAGCCGATCAATGGACGAAATGGACAAGGCGCTTCGTTAGTATGACCACGACAGCGAACCTTAACAACCGAATTTGAACCAATTGCTCAAAAAATAGGGCAGTACGATTGACAAGATTAAAAGAGACCTAAAAGAGACCTAAACCACAAGTCAAAAACGCTTTAAAGTAGGCTAAAAACGCTGATGATCGTCGTAGAAAAATTGGCCGAAAACAGCGCAAAAAAGATCGCAAAAGAGAGGAGACTGGACCAGAAAGATGCCAAAACCTAAGAGAGTAGGTTCACGAATCGTAGAACCACGGTCAGCCGCTCAATGAGGTGGATTCGGTTGTGTACGAGTTTTGGTAGTGTCTAGGTGAAAGAGGCGGGTGCCCTGTTGTGTCCTCCGAGTCTAAGCCGCGCTCTGCAAAGTGGTGCGAAATGGAAGTGTTTAAACCGCATGTGGGGCAAGGTGGGGGCGTCTAAAGGCAACGAGAAATAAACAATACGCGTTTAAAAGTAAAAGTTGGCGTAAAAGGCGCTAGAAGAAGGCGGTTTCAAGAAGCAAAAAAGACACGTAGCGGGGTGCAAGGTATCGCGAGCGATCGGTGAGTCACAGCACAAAAAATATAAGACGATTTCGTCGCTTTGCGATCGCCTGCACGGAAAAATACCAGTCTTTCTCTTTCCACACTATCAGCTCGTGGTTTGCAAAAGTTGTCTTTGTTTTCTTTTTTAAAGCGCCTGGACGATTTTGTTTTCTTTCATGTAGCTAGATTCTATGGATCCTTTGTTCGCATGCCTCTTGTAATCTCATTAACGAACAACGTATTTACCCCTTGTCCTCCTTGGGCCCGACAAGCAGCATGACGCAGAACGGGTACAGTATCATTGTGTTGTTTTGGTATAATGGACAGTTGGAGAAAGAAGAATTGTATTCGTATTATGTGTTGTAGACATTTCCCGTAATACAAAGAAAATGCAATGAGGCAGGGCCCTTTGCAAGGAACAAGGCTTTGCGCGTTTGCACAGCAATACATAAATACAAGAGCATAGAGCGCCGTTTCTGCAACGACCGAAGAAAAGTGTCTTTGTCTAGTCCTCGGTTTTGTTTGTTGTGTGTGTTTCTTACGTACTTGCCCGCTTGTTTCTCATTACACAGAATGGATTCGGTTGCTTCCTGCAGCGCCTGCCTTGATTACTACAAGCATGGTTGGAGATCACCCTACATGTGGTATACGAATTGTTAAGCGGGGCCAGACTGTCGTGGCAGGCTGGCTCCCTCATTTTAGCAACACATCACTAACCTAGCAGTGTCATTGCATGAGAGGGTTCTCTTTATAAAAAGCCTTGCACAGCCCACTGGAAAGCCTCGACTTTTTCTGTAGTATTGCTCCGTTTGTCTAATGATATTTGTGCACAACAGCAGCAAGGCGAGAACAAAGAAGTAGTTTATTGGTGGTGCAAATTATGCATAGTACAGTTCCAGGCTCATACCATCATGGATTTCATAATCGGCAAGTGTGATGCCGTCCTTGAACACAGAGTTCCACTTTTTCAAGACAATTTTTCTGACAGTCTGTTAATCAAATGGTCCGATTGTTATTGTTAATATAAACAGATAAACACCTACCTCGGGTCAGTACCAGTCTGGGCCGCTACAAGTTTTTTGAAATCGCCAATGGTATCGTCAGGCATGCATTTGACACGAACTTTTTTTCCGAGACGATCGTTGCTGTATCTGTTAGCCTTGCTTTGAATCCATTATCATACCAAATAACCTCAATCATATTGTCCAAGCACGCTAAGAGTACAAGGCACGCAGACAGTTTGGTGTTGTAACTATGGTGGTGAGTTTGACGGAAAGTGGCCACGCTTTTATTGTGCAGACAGCAGAAAAGCTAGATGGTTTAGCACATTGTCGTCGGTCTTTTCATTACAGAGCACTTAGAACTGCTCGTTCATCCTGCTTGTGTTGACGTTGCGAAACCAGTGACCCCGTCACTCACTTCCCCCACGTTGCACCACGTCTCCCCCACTTCCCCACATGCGCTCATCACAGCGCCGCCAGCAGTGCCTATATACGACTCACGTAAGCATGACCGTTCTTCTCCGTTTCACCGTGTAAACTCTTGATTTTGGGACGTTTAAGGCCAATTTCACAGTACAACGTTCGTCTCAGTATTGGTAGAAACATCTTTGTATTGGATTCATTAGGGATAGGCTGGATACGGTTTAATTTTGCGTTTGAACGCTGTGATACTACCCAGCAATTGTCCTGTGACTTTCCGACTTCTTGCATCGTGTATTCCTGATTGATTTCACCAACAGTGCAACATGTCCTTCGCCAATTTAGATCGGGGCTTGCAGAGTTCAACTGCACCTGGCGAGTTTGCCAGTCTGTCTAATCGGATTGCTCAGGCTATTCATCAACTACGCAGTAACACAGCTGCTATGCATCGATACACAGTCAATGATGTGCTTGAAAACAATTTCCCTGTGCTGTTGGAGCAGTCCCGTTCGCTCTCGAAGAAGATTTCGGCCGATTTGCTTCGTCTTAAAGAGTTCAGAAACACTGATGAGTATAACGAAGAAGCAATCTCTTTTACGCGGTCCAAGCTTTCACGAGACTTTAATGTGGTTCTCGCGGACTTGCAGCGGACGCAGCAGAGATATGCTGATCAAGAAGCAGCCAATCTTACTCAAGCTCAACAGGAGCTTGACCGGAATGCTGCGTTATTGGAAGAGGAGCAGAATCCTGCTGCTTTATCCTCCGGCAGAAAGACCTCTCAAACCGTTCAGCAGCCTCGATTAACGAATGATCAAATTCAGTTTCAGCAGCGTTTAATCAATGAACGTCAAGATGAGATTGAGGATTTAGCTCAAGGAATTACCGAGCTAAACGAAATTTTCCGTACGTAAAAACCACAGCTCCCATGTGTCTTACTTCTAACGTTATCTGTAGGCGACTTGAGCACTATCGTCACTGAACAAGGTGACCTTATAACTAACATTGAGTACAATATCGGCAATGTTTCCAGCAATGCTAAGAATGCATCCACACAGCTACAGCTTGCAAACAACCGCGCTCGTAAAGCGAGGAAACGAAGCTTCTGTTTCTTCCTAATCTTGGCAGTTATTGTCGCTGTTATTTTGGCCGCTCTTATTATGGGATAAGTATGTACACCGACTGCAGAGCAAACCCGAATTCTTTTCCTGTCCACGACTACAGAACTCGAACACTGTCGTCTTTTTTTCCTACGATACGACCAATAGTAAGCTTAGATTATTGGCCACGCGAACTGTTTACGACGTCTGTTTTCTTAGCATCTTTTTAATAGTAATCACACATTGCGAAGGGTCCATAACTTCTCAGATGGTCTGAAAATAACAGAAATGTACTTTCGGTGCGTGCTCGCGGTATCAAAAGGTAAAGCGTGTTTTGTTTACAACGCGTTGCATTTAGCGCGTACAGCTTTTCATTCGTAGTCGCGTTCTTTCCACCGAGACCCTGCCTTGTTACCTGGCTAGTGTTGTCGTTACCTAAACCAGCTTCGTACTGCTGTAACAGGAATGGCAGTATTTGAAGTCGCAAACGAGAATGCGGAGGACGATCAGATTGTGTCTAGCTTAGGAAGTATTGATTTGACTGCCCAAGATGTTTGGGACCTGTATAATGCTCAAACGCGCCAATTAGTCACAGACGTAAGGATGTGAGGAGTAGAAAGTACTAGTATGACATTAACACGTTTGTTAGGCTTCCCGATGCATAAATTCACTCTCAACCTCTAAAATTAACCGTGTTTACCTCTCGGAACACGTTGTTGTTCCCAAAACCAAAACTTTTGCTAAAGACGCACAATGGATAAAAAAGGAAAACGAATCAGCCCGGAATCGCGTTGAGGAGTCCATTAAAAAGGCTCAGGATGCCTATGCGGAAAAGATTCGTCAGGAACAAGAACGCCTTTTGCGTGAACGGAAGGAGCAAGAGCGAAAAGCAGCGGAGGAACGAGCTCGGTTGGAAGAACAGAGGAAAAAAGCACAACTAGAACAGGAGCAGCAGAAGCAACGCGCAGACGAAGAACGGAAACGACAAGCCGAACTCGATAAACAAAAACGAGAGAAGGAAGAGCAACAGAAAAAGGATGCACTCGCTAAAAAACAGTTTCAAGACGATCCAAAAGAAGACAAAGAAAAGTACTGGTCGATCATTCAGGATTTGAAACAAAACGTTAAGAAGCCAGTAGCGGAAAACAAAGAATGGAAGAACTACTGCATTTCCCAGAAGCGGAAAATTACACCTCGTATCGGCCAAGTTACGCCTAGTCAAGCACAGATTGCGCGTATTACCTCAAATCTTCATGAAACATTTACTGCTGCTAAGTCACAAAACGAAACCGTCTATCGGTGGGTGTTGAACTTCTTCTGCAAGGGCGTTGTTCGGCAAGCAGAAGCAGAAGTTTCCGTCAACACAGTTAGTGCGTATCCGCTGGCTTCTGTATGCCTTAAGCTTTGTGCTATGCATCCATCCTTGTTCGACATGCTTATAGCGCGACTTCAAAAGAAATGTCCGTGGGTAATCCCCTACGTGTATGATACCACAACAGAAGAAGGCATGAAAAAGGCCGGCTTTAAAAGAATGTCAGACGGTCGGTGGGAACAACACACTACGTACAATGAACGGCAATGCGGAATTTTCGCCGTGTATGCCGCCATGATTGCCTTAGACACTTCATTGGCGCCCGCTGGATGGAAGTTCTTTGCTCGCATACTCAACATTACTCCTCCTCCCGTTCAGATGATACAAACGAGTCTGGAACGTGGCCAAACAATATGTGCCATTGTTACTACATTCTTGGACGTTGCTGGCAAGGCAATGATTCGGTTATACAAACGGCAAGCTGAAAAATTAATCATTGCTGCTTGTAGCGAAGGCTATGTTGGCAAACAAGGAGGACAAAGTCAATATGCTCGTCTAAGAATTGTTGGTGAAGATTGGACGCAAGGCAAAGGTGGACTGGCTTTTTCGTTCGACCCATGAAGAATCTCGACATCTATAAACGCTTTCATGAATCTTTCGTACATACGATTCTAAATTAGGTAATTTTTTTTTCTGTTTCTGCTATTCTGTCTATTTAAACGGTTTCGGAATCTTTTAACATTCTTTTGCTGCTGCCAGCGTCGAACGAGTTCACTGGACGAACTGTGTTTGTACCTCATTTACGAATCATCAACTTTCTCTGCAGTTCCTTTACTAGTTTTACCTTGTCAAGAAACTCCTGCAGCTCTTTTCTCCTCAGCTCTGTAACAACACATGGATTTGTCTTTTCTGCTTTTTAAGCTTGTTGACGTGTTTTATTTTTCATTTAACAGTAAGTACGCGTGGCTGTTGTTATTAGTGGTGTAGGGTATCTAAGGTATTTTCCCACCACCACGCAAATTTATCTGCAGCCCTCTCCCACACCCCGTTCACAATGGACGAAAAGAAGGCCCATGTTGCCAAGCATTCTGGTCCTAAAGCTGAAAAAAAGAAGCTGAGAAGGGTGCCGAATACAAATGCTGCCAACAATCCCAAGGCCTTTGCTGTAGCTTCCGCTGGACGGCTTGCCCGTCAAGCCATGCGGACGGCAGACCTTGATCAAAAGAAACTCCATGTTCCTATGGTGGATCGAACGCCTGATACATGTCCTCCTCCTATCATAGTTGCGGTCATGGGTCCCCCAGGAACGGGAAAGTCGACTCTAATCAAGTCACTTGTTCGTCGGTACTCAAAGTACACTGTGTCTCAAATTAAAGGCCCCATCACCGTGGTTGCCGGCAAAACTAGACGAATTACATTCATTGAGTGTCCAAACGACTTAAGTTCCATGGTTGATATTGCAAAAATTGCTGATTTAGTACTTTTGCTTATTGACGCGAACTTCGGTTTTGAAATGGAAACTATGGAATTTCTTAATATCCTTGCTCCGCACGGTATGCCTAAAATTATGGGTGTTCTTACTCATCTCGATTTGTTCAAAAAGCCAGCTACCCTTCGCGCTGCTAAAAAACGGCTGAAGCATCGTTTTTGGACGGAGTTGTACCAAGGTGCAAAGCTGTTTTACCTTTCTGGTGTGCTAAATGGTCGTTATCCGGACAGAGAAATTCTTAATTTGTCCCGGTTTATCAGTGTCATGAAGTTTCGTCCGCTTCAATGGCGCAACCAGCATCCCTACCTTCTTGCCGATCGTATTGAAGATTTGACAGTCCCAACAGAAATTGAGAAAAACCAAAAGGTTGATCGTACATTAACTGTGTATGGCTATCTTCATGGCACAAATATCTCGAAATCTGGAGCCCAAGTTCACATTCCGGGTCTTGGTGACTTTTCTGTAAAGGATGTCACGGCCCTTGATGATCCATGTCCTCCTCCTGACGCAGACAAGGTGAGACGCCGTCGGTTGTCAGAAAAACAAAAACTCATTTACGGTCCCATGGCTGACATCGGTGGCATTTTGTTTGACAAAGATCGTGTGTATATTGAAGTTCCTACTTCATCTTTCACGAAAGACAATGCTGATGCGGGTCTTGGTGAGAAAATGATGGTAGAACTCCAAGAAGCCCAGGAATCTTTGGGCGAGACTCACGACGAAGGCCTGCAGTTATTTACAAACAGTGCACCCATGCATAATTTTGTTCTTGGTGACGACGCAAATGACGAAGGTAATACCGGTCGGAAAACGCGTCGTATTCCCACAAATAAGGTCGCATCTCTGGAAGAAGAGGGTGATTTGGAATACGTGGAAGGGGGGGATGATGATGATGAAGATGCTGGTTCAGACGTGGAGTACACTGGCAAACTCGGCATCATGGGCGACGATACTGAATCCGCTGGTGTTAAAGAGGAACTCGCGTTCGGTAGCAGCGACTCTGAACTTGGTGACGAGTCTGCTGATGAAGAAGGCCTGGATGTTTCTGAATTAAAATGGAAGGACAACCTTGCTGAAAAGGCTGCGCAGCGTTTGGTCCAGGCTCGTCGCCGTGTTGATCTTCAACGCGTTGTCTACGATCTTTCCCTTAATCCTGAAGAAGCCATCTCCCGCTGGAACGGGGAAGGCGAAATGGGTGCAGAGGATGCAGAAGAAGACAATGACGATGATGATTTCTTTCGTGTTACAAAGAAGGGTTCCACTGACCCCACTTTGGAACGGAAGCGTGTAGCTGAGGAATACAAAAAACATATCCTGGAAAAGTGGAGCAAGGAGGAGAACCTTCAACGTCTTCAAAGCAAGTTCATTACTGGAAGTCTTTTACAGGACGGTGAGGCGGATACTGCAGAAGCTGATAACGAGGAGGAAGATGATGAAGCTGGCGACTTCGAAGACCTAGAGGCTGATGAGCAAGGAAGTTCTAATGAGGATGCTTCTGAAGGCCCAGAAGAAGCAGAAGAAGAGGAGGAGGACTTTTCTAAAGAACGTGAAGCCAATCTTCGGAAAAAGGAGGAACTCCGTCGTCGTTTCGAAGAAGAGGACCGCGGTGATCCGGAAAAGAAGGACATTGATTGGTATGCACAAGAAAAGGAGAAGCTTGCTCAACAGTTGGAGCGTAATAAGGAGGTTTTTAATGATTTGGACCCCGAATCACGGGCTCGTCTTCAAGGTTACGAGTCTGGAAAATACTTACGTCTTGTTATTGAAAACGTTCCTTACGAATTTATCCACAATTTTGACTCTCGTTTCCCTGTGGTCGTAGGTGGTTTGCTCCCCAACGAGCAGCGGTTCGGTCTTGTGCAAGTGCGCATCAAAAAGCATCGCTGGCACAAAAAAATCTTGAAAACAAATGACCCTCTAATCTTCAGTATTGGCTGGCGGCGGTTCCAATCAGTACCCATATACTCTATTGACGATTCTCGTACTCGTAATCGAATGCTCAAGTACACACCGGAGCATATGCATTGTTTTGCACAGTTTTACGGTCCTTATGTTGCGCCCAACACTGGTTTCTGTGCTGTGCAATCCGTGGCAAACTCTGACTCCAAGTCCGGCACGTTCCGTATTGCTGCCACGGGTACTGTTCTCAATATTGATCAGTCTACCGATGTCGTTAAGAAGCTCAAGTTGACTGGTGTTCCCTACAAAATCTTCAAAAACACTGCCTTCATTAAAGGAATGTTCAATAGTCCTCTGGAGGTTGCCAAGTTCGAGGGTGCCAATATCCGAACGGTATCTGGCATTCGTGGTCAAGTCAAGAAGGCTGTTGACCAAACTCATGGTCATTTTCGTGCTGCTTTTGAGGACAAGATTTTAATGAGTGACATTGTGTTTCTCCGTGCCTGGTACCCCGTCAAATGTCGCAAGTTCTTTACGAACGTCACCAACCTCCTGGAAGCCGACAAGGCCGAGTGGAAGGGAATGCGACTCACTGGTGAGGTTCGTCATGAGCTGGGTCTTCAGACACCGTTGCGTCCGAACTCTACATATCGTGAAGTTGTCCGCGATACTCGTCACTTTAATCCTCTCAAGGTTCCTGCATCTCTTCAATCCCAACTGCCGTTTGCTTCCCGGACAAAGGAGCTTAAGCCACGGGGTAAATCCACATACATGCAGAAGCGTGCTGTTGTGCTGAATGCGCCAGAGCGTAAGGCTCGTGACTTGCTGCAGAAGGTTATGACCTTGCACGCTGAAAAAGAGGCAAAGAGAAAGGCCAAAAAGGCAGCCGAACATGAGCGCTACCATGCTAAGATGCAAAAGGAGGAAGAGGCTTATCAAGAGAAAAAGCGGCAGGAAAAGTCTGCTTGGTTTGCTAAGCACGGCAAGCGTCTTCGCCAGGAGGACGGCGGCTCCTCTGGGAAACGGTATAAGAAGAAGAAGTAGGATGACGGTAGATTTAGGATTTTGTTATGGTTAAAAAAACGCGGTTAATCAGTTTTTTGGATATATAATATTATTGCTTTGGTGATTCATACTTCAGAACAACTGTCATTCACTGTATTTTTGTATTTGTTATTGTGTACGCTGTATTGTCTTAATTAAAACGCGCGACGCGTTAAACCCATTGCATCATTTATGTATCACGCGTAGCATGTAAACCACTATATACGCCGCAGTTAAGTATTTAGACTTCTTCTCTTCCATCCACCTCTGTAAACTGTCCAGACGGCAACATTAACAACTTCAGTCTTTACTCTGTGCAATTGAATCGTTGACTCAAGTTTCCGCAGATTCCTGCTGAATAACTGACGGAACGTAATAAAACTTGTTTGTAGGAATTAAGCAGGGACACCGAAGATGCATTCTACTATCATAATGCATGAGAACAAGACTAAAACATCAAGTCTCCCTCTCACTTCAAATCAACAGCGAAATTTATTAGAGGTACGTTTAAGGAAACAAAGGAATTAAACGTTAAACGACTATTTGGAATACGAGACTAAGATACTGCGTTCAGATATCACGAAACCTGAAGGAACGGTTGCAATATGCTGCATTTAAAGTTGACAACGGCTGGGAAACGCGATCGCTTGATCAAGTGGAAGTTTTGGTCCAAATGAAACTGCAAAGCGTTCAAGCAGGAAACAGACTGAAGAGTATTTTGAAGCAGCCGAAAACCATTAGAGACTCAATTGCTGAGGGAGAGCCTCGTAGCGATACTGTTCTACACGTTCAGGTGAGAGGTGATGGAAATGCCAAACTCGACACTTTATCTCCAAACTTCCCAACGCTTTTACATCCACAGAAACATGTTTCTTTCAGCGAAACCGATGATACAGATATTGCGCGACTTTTGTTGGAAATGTGTGCATCCCCTGGACCCGAACCAGTTGCAATGCCTGATCAACCTGCGAATTAAAGTCGTCAAGTGAGTGGTACTCTCATGAAAAGATTAGCTGCACACTACGAAACAATTCTCATACGTAAGTTTTGGACGTTTTGCCTTTCGGAACGCGTTGGCATGCTCTTTCAACAATTGGCACATCACCTAATTAGGGTTTTCCCCAATAGCGCAAATTTACGGTAAACACCATACAACCAAAAAAATTGCCGGCGTTTCGACCAGAAAGGAAATGCTTAATGTACCACCGGAATCCGAGGCCGACCCTGTTGCAACCGTAAAGCCGTCGCAATTGATGCTGTCAAAGGAAGTACCTGCAGAAGTGGGACACTTGGATTCCATACAAGACAAAGATGTTGAGGAACAAAAGCCTGACGTTTTAAATATGAAATCTGGTCTATGTTACGACCCAAGGATGCGATTCCATGCGACATTGGATGAGGTGGAAGACCATCCTGAAGATCCGCGACGTATCCTGCAAGTGTTTGAGGCTATCAAGGAGGCAGGCTATGTGTCTGCCATTCCCACCGCTAGAGATGCATTTATACGGATTCCTTCCAGGGAAGCAACGCTGGAAGAAATTCTACGGGTTCACTCAAAGGATGTTTACGACATGGTTAAGAGTTCGGAAACCATGTCTCGTGAGGAATTAGTGAATCTAGAAAAAACAAATGACTCTCTTTATTTCAACAACCAAACGTTTTTCTGCGCCCGGCTGGCTTCCGGCTCCGCAGTGGAAACGTGCAATGCTGTTGTTAACGGGAAAGTAAAAAACGCATTCGCCATTATTCGACCGCCGGGTCATCATTCCGAGCCCAATAAATCAGGTGGGTTTTGTTTGTTCAATAATGTTGCAATCACTGCGCGATCAATGATGGCTCGGTATCCTGAGCAAGTGAAACGCGTGTTAATTCTTGACTGGGATGTTCATCACGGAAATGGGACGCAGATGGCGTTCTACGATGACCCAAACGTTCTGTATATTAGTCTACATCGTTACGAAAATGGGCGATTCTACCCAGGCACTACTTACGGTTCTGCAGAAAACTGCGGCGAGGGAGAAGGTTTAGGGAAAACAGTAAATATTCCATGGCCTTGTGCTGGAATGAGCGACGGCGATTATATTTACGCTTTCCAAAAAGTCGTTATGCCTATTGGTTATGAATTCAATCCTGATTTAGTTATCATCAGTGCTGGATTTGACGCTGCAGCAGGTGATCCACTCGGTCAGTGCTACCTCACGCCTGCCGCGTATGCACACATGACACAAATGTTGTTGGGTCTTGCCGAGGGGAAACTATTTGTTTCCATGGAAGGCGGTTATAGTTTGAGCTCCATTAGTACAGCTGGTCTTGCCGTTGCTCAAACGCTTCTTGGTATCCCGCCGGCTAAGCTCCACACCGTGTATGCAACGGCACCGGCTGTAAAGACGGTTGAGGAAGTGACTCGGATACAGTCTCGATACTGGAAATGCATGCGGCCTATTTTCCACACTCCTCCAACAGATTACACTCATGTCAATCCTTTACACGAGGTTGTCAGAGCATTTCAGGCAAAGAAGCTGTTTGACAACTGGCAGATGACCATCCTTCCCATATCTCGAGATGGTTTGTCCGAGAGTTACGCGAACCAAGCCTTATGTTCTAACGGTTTCTTCCATCGGAAAACACTCGTTCTCTTTGTCCATGATCCGCCAGATGTGTTGGGATCGTCACAAGGAAATAGCAATCTATTAAATCTTTCTCAGTCTGCTGTTGTTGACTATGCTGAGACATACATTGATTGGTGTTTGCAGCAGGATTTTGGACTTATTGACATTAACGTACCTGAACTACTAACTGATGCTGATGGAAGACCATACAGTTCTACGGAGGAGACAAAGCTGCTGTGCTTATACATTTGGGATAACTACATTGAGCTGTCTTCAGCGGAAAAAATCATCTTCATTGGCGAGGGCAGAGCTGTTCCGGGTTTGATTCATCTTGTGTCTTCGCGAAACGTATCGACACGAGTAAAATCTGTAATCACCTTTGTTGGAACTGACGCGCTGTGCGGTATTAAAACTATCTCAAACGAAGATGTACCAAGTTGGTATTATAAGCATTCATTGGTGCTTGTGAGTAATGGAAATGTTTGTTGGAAGAAGATGAAGAGGAAAAAGAAGCGTTATGGTCGTTTAGTGCGTACGGAACATGACCATAAAGGCGAATTAATGCAACAGCACTATGAGTCAATTGTCCAATACATGGAGAAAATTCTACGACAGTGAATGATATATAATTGAAATGTGTTTACCGCACTTTACATACGGAGCAATATGATGTTTTACGAAGTCTTGCATCCGGGTGTCGAGGAACTTTTATTTTTCTGAAAACGAAATATTGTATTGAATATTGATAATAAGGATCAAGAATGACTGCGGTGAATGTATATTATAGACCGTTACACTTGTAAGAAATTTGCGTTCAATACTCAATGCATTCGTATTATTGAGCAGTGTGCGAAAAAATGGTCACAGCCAGATTCGAACTTCGTGCATCCTTTTGAACTTTTACGATTCGTCCATGGGTGGATGAGGAGAAGCGAATGAGGGGAAAATTACTGCCTGACAGCAAAGGATCCTTGGTAAAGGTTACTACTACTACTACTACTACACGCCCACACACCGCTGCCTAAGAAAAAGCCGTTCTGACCCAAAGCCAACCAACACTTTCTCCTCGCTGTGAAAGGAACGTTTTTTCAAAATGTCTGATACACCTTCATCCAATCCTTCTGTTGGTCTCGAAAACCTTGGCAACAATTCCGCTGCTGCTGGACCATCTCAACAAGATGTAAAGCCATCGGCTGAACATATTAATCTCAAGGTCGTCGGTCAGGTATGAAAGATTTCTATTATGCAGGTTACAATGAATGGCACAAAATGGGCCTAAAGTTGGTCTACGGTTTGTGCGTTAATTCATCAAGTTGGAAACAGACTGTCAGAATTCATTTGCTAACAAACCGTAAAGGATAACAATGAGGTCTTCTTCAAAATTAAAAAAACAACAGAGTTCGGTAAACTCATGAAAATATATTGTGCTCGTCAAGGAAAGTCGATGTCCAGTCTGCGTTTCTTGGTTGACGGTGAACGCATTCGCCCCGATCAAACACCTGCCGAGGTATGTGAGCTTTTCCTGTGCCTGCGTCTGTGCTATTTCAGTACAAAACAGCACGTTAGCTTTGGTTATCCGTGTGCTAACTTCGCTTCAAGCTGGAAATGGAAGATGGCGATCAAATTGAAGCAGTTCTCGAACAGCTTGGCGGCGCTGCCTGTGTTGAATAGCGCACTATGCTTTTATAAATTAATGTATGCTTCAATACCGGAAACATTAGAACAAAATGATAAACAAAAGGGCGGGAATTAGTAGTAAGGTGTTACTAAGGAGAGTGATGACTCGAGAAGAAGAAGAAAAAAGAAGTGGAACACGGTGTTGTTCGCAGTATTCGAGTAATTGCCCCATTTATGCCTTAGCTGAAGATGAGTATTTTCATCTTCTAGCAAGCATATCAATTTGACTTTTAAACAGCTCACGCATTTCCTTCATGTCCATTTGCAGGTCCATGATCTGTTCCGTTTTTTGCTGTAAAGCAACACGATTTGTCTTAAGTTCCTGTTCAAGCTCAGTACACTTGGCCTGCAGCTCCTCAAGTTCACTGCTGTTGACGGTTGAGGTCTCGTTCGTAACCATAAGGTCAACAATTTCCTGACGAGCCTGGTCTCGTTGTTGAACAACTTGTGCGATTTGTTGTTTGGAGTTCTGGAGCTCCGTCTCGAGCTGATGCACAGTTGAGGCAAGTCGTTCTAAGATACCGATGTTTGGTCCTTCTGTGTACTCGCTGGATGATGTGCGCAAAGGCATGCCAGAGAAAGAAGAGGGTAACCGGGCAGACAAAGGTGTCCCATCTTTCGCGAGCATAGGTGTGGCAGGATGGCTTGAAACGGAAACTCGATGGTGGTCATTGAGGGCTTTGGATACGGAGGGGACGCGAGGAACAGGCTCGGAAAACTGTGGGGATAATATTTCTTGTTTGGGACTGGAAAGCGTATCGAGGAATGCTTCAATATTCTGCTGAGCGGTAAAGGTGGGTGAGAATGCTTGTTCTTTATCCTCGCCAATATCAACAGCGTCAATTTGCTCATTTTCTGGTATAACAAGGTGGGTCACAGAAGAAGTTCGACTGACGCTTTCTTTTGCAAGTTTCAATTGACTAAGCTCAAGCTCTAAAGACTGTAACCGTTTTCCATTTTCCTCTTTCAAATCTGCAAGCTGACTTTCCAGCTCGGATATCTGCTGACACGAACTCTTACAATTCTCGTTAGCAACCTTCAACTCGTACTTTGCTTTTTCTAACTCCCGTTCACGGTCATCGAGTTTCTTGGAAATAATGGTTGCCTCTCTTTTTGTGTGTTCGTTTTCTTCCTGAAGCTTCTGAATCATTACAGTTTTCTGTTCAATTTCACGAGTCCATTCGTATCGCGCTAACACGTTTTCCGTGGTCAAAGTCTCGACCTTTCGTGTTAATTTCGCAATTGTGATATTGTCCACAGTAAGATCTTCTGTTTTCGTGATAAATTCTTCAATTCTCTTTTCTAATTCTTTATTCTTTTGCAATAAATGCGAGTTTTCGGTTCGTAGAGATGTTAATTCGTTTTCTAAAGAGGTAATTTTGGAATCGTCAACTGCTTTTCCTGGCACGTTTGAGACTTGAGACTCGAGTTTCTTAATTGTACTACGTAAACTTTTAATTGTATTGTTCAATTTCAGTTCTTTTGTAGACCATTCTTCACCTTCCTTCATCAATTGTGCGATTTTTACATCCTTAGGATCCTTTTTCTCAGTGGAATTTGCAACGGGCTGAGTCTGTCCAGCGTCGAGAACACGGTCAATGCTTGTCTCCACATTGGACATTGCTTGTTTTAAGAAACCACTCCATTTCGAGTTGCTCATAATTGCTGAAGAGAAGGCGCTCTGCACGTTCGCGCTGGTTTAAGCGTGTGAAGCCTTTATGCCGTATACTAGGTCCACTGGCTAGGATAGCGTATAAGGTTTACGATTTGCATTAAGCGAGTCGCTTAACCAACCTTAATTTAACCTTGAGTTTGTAGCGCAAAACATGTTCAGAAAAGCCAGAGATAGGTCTAAATTGGTTGATGAGAACCTTTTCATTCATGAAATTATCATTTTTAGAGAAAAGAAAAAGAGATGGTGTGTCCGTGATTCATTAAAGAGACGATGAATGCCTCCGTCAATTGCCAAGCTTGCGTCCACGACCCTGAAAGCGATTTTGTGTAAACGAAGGAGGAGACTGGGTAGTACTTCCTGAAGTGGAAGGACGCGCTGGGTTGCTGTAACGAAAGGGTTGAGGAGCATACATTCGTTCGAGGGGTTTTGATGCATAAACAGCGGCAATTCCGTAAAGATCAATGAGTAAGCCACTGGGACCCCTACTAAGGAAGGAAAAGAGTAACATTACGTATGGCAAATAGCGGGATTGCATCTGGATTCCAAATAACAATTGTACAATCCGGTCAGGGAAAACTAAACTCCAGCGATAAGTAATTGCAAGCAATAGAGCATTACACATGTAGAAACCGTTAGAGAAAATAGAAGCGCAGAGCTGAAACGATTCGGTTAGTATTATCCTTTTTTGAACCAGTAATGAATTCCAAGAACTTGGAGAATGAAGATACCCTCAAGTCCTAGTGACAACTTACACATATGGCTGCACAGAGGTGCACGAGATAAATCAAGTAAGCCTTGCTTTTTCCTGCGAACAGTACATTCTCTAGAGAGGAACTGTATTGATAAACTACGGGACAGCATTAGTATGATCACAACATTAGATTCAAACCCATCGAACTTGTTTAATTACATACATGCAAAAACCGTCATTAAAAAGGGGAAACCCGTTCCAGCATAGAGAAACGTCGTGAATATTCGCCAAACTTGTATTTGCTTGTAAACAAGTTTCGGCTCAAAATACAATAACCCAGCAGATAGTTGCTCACATAGAATGAGTATGGTGACGCCCGTCATGCATAGCACCGTGTAACGGGTCACCGGTGGGATCTTCCTTAGGGCTTCATTCAGTTTTGTAAAGAAACTGTCGCTTGCCATGGTTGGAAGAGGTAGGTAGTGACAAGAATAGACAAACCTTAGTAAATGGAATTTCCGGGTACACACTTCGAAATCGTAATGAGTTTATAATCTCGATGATGTTCTGTCGTTGTATTATGGATGACCAAAGAACTGTAACTATACTTTCAACGGTTTGAACAAATTCATTATGGAATAAACGTATGTAACGAACAAAATTAATTCATTAATGCCAGTTTGGTAATTTATTCACAAACAAATAGCAGATGTAAGTGGCTTCGTGAATAGAAACAAAAATTTATCTATAGAAATTCACCAATTCAGCGTCGCCCCCGAGTTTCTCTGGAGATAATTTCTTCAATGGCGCTAGGAGGTCGTCTTTTGTCGGGTGCATGTTCAGCTGAACCAGAGGGATGTTTCCGTTTACCCATTGAAGAGAATACATTTTTGCGTTTTGAGGCCGTTGGTTTTGTCGTAGGCGCTGACATGGAAATGTTTATTCCTTTTATGGCCTCCGCATTCTTAGTTGCGGCCGAATTAGCTTCGGGCTGTAATTTCGAGACAACTTTTAATTGAATAGGCTCTGATTGTTTACGTTCGAGAATTCGAGGAACATCTGTTTTATTTAGTTCTGTTTGACGATGGGCTCTTTCAATTTGTTCTTTAAGCAACCGTTGTCTCTGCTCTTCATCTGATCTGTCTTGAAGTTCCTTACGTCTCAGCGCATCAGCTCTTTTCAAAGCTTCGGGATTCTTATCGATATATGCAATAAAGAACCCCTTTTCCGTTTCCTCAACACGGCAAATACCCTCACGGCCCAGATATTTGCAAAATTCGGATAAAGTATGCCAACGGGTAGCGTTCATGTGAATATGATTTTTGTCGCGGATGTACTCTTGATAGAATTGATTAAAATGAATCTTTTTTTCTCCGTGAGATGTCCGTAAAAGAGTGATAAAATCATGCAAAAACTGACTTGAATAGTTTTGAATATATTTTGTTGGATTTTCACCGATAAGGTTCATTTGCCGAACATGGCTTTCACTTTGGGTATGACATTTAAATCCATTTTCATCTCGCATTTGCTTCTGACATGCAGAACAATACCAGCGTAATCGCTGAAGTCCCTTACTTTTTAAAGCATTGGAAATAGCTTTTGGTGTCCCTGCTTCGGCGCGTCCCATTGTGAACAACAAAGTAAAAGTTAAGAAAATGAAAGTGAATCACTAAAGGTAAGCCTTTATGAACAATCAACGGAAATCACAGAGCCTCAAAATCAATTTATGTTTAAATATTTCACACAAAGAGAATCAACTTTGCAACTCGACAAATATCAGTTAATTGAGCACAAAATATTTCTCTCGTAGTAGGATTTCAGCTGGATTTAACACTCTAGAAATCGTTGCCACTAAAAACAATAATCGCCAAAACTATTAACTAGTAAGAATGTATTAAGTTGTCGGTTACCTCGTGCACGCATTGAAGCTTTATGTATTCCGAGGCTCAAGCGTGGCTATACCGAAGGGTCACCACCAAATGGACGCCCACACAATAATCGAAACAGAGTATATGGAATATGGTAAAAAGCGAAACAAAAGCAGGAGTTGCCCTTGCAAGTCATCATAGAATTTAATAAAACAGCACGGCAATGAACTATAACCGTTTTTTTCATGAAAACTTATTTCAGTAAGTTCTTCTCGTTGAGATTCATTTGTTTCACTCCACCACGTGCAGTGTGGTAGAGTCTTTTAAAACACGAAAACAATTCGAAATACTAGCTTCGGATAAAACTTTGGCTACAATTTCCTACTAGTATATCACCTCTTGTCGGGCTTCCATATTGACTTCTTAAAATTGCAGTAACTTGTGTGCTTGGGGTGATCTTTTTCCCTTTAGAAATTTTGTCTAGAATACACAGCACATCTCAATGTCCGTTTTTCCAGTCCGGGAATTAACTTTCCCTGGACCTTTAGAGATTCAAAAGCCACCAGCTAGTAATCTCCCTTTAGTTATCGACAACGGTAGGGTTTCTGTACTAAAAAATACATATTTAAAACGCTAACGATTTGGTTTTAGGTTCTTGTCAATTACGTGCAGGGTGGGGCGGCGAACAAGAGCCTAGGTTAGTATTTGACAACCTTGTCTCCCGGTATCGTGACAGAAAACTTTCTCGTACTTCCACTCTTGTTGGTTACGATACACTTATTGAGCCTGGTGCTCGTTCAATCGCAAAGTCACCCTTTGAAAATGGTTTAATCAACAATTGGGACGTTTTTGAGATGGTCATGGATTACACGCTTCTCAAACTTGGTGTTAAGAGTCTTGATCATCCAGTATGTATGACTGAGCCATTACTGAATCCCAGGTACAATAGGTTGACAATGACTGAGTTAATGTTTGAACTGTATAATGCACCTAGTGTTTCATATGGTATTGACAGTATGTTCTCTGCATATCATAATCTTGGGGATAATGCAAGCGGGATTGTCTTGGACTTCGGTAACTCAGCAAGTAGTGTCATCCCTTTCATAAATGGTCATGGAGTTTTATCTAAAGCAAAACGCATATCTTGGGGTGGTTCACAAGCGGCCTCATACTTATTAAATTTGTTTCAGCTAAAATATCCATCATTTCCCTTAAAAATGGTTCCAAGTCAAGCTCAGCTCCTATTTCACGATCATTGTCGGGTCTCACCTGAGTTCATTTCAGAAATAAAGGTTGCTCTCAATCGTGACTATCTTGACAAAAACGATATAATCGTTCAATTCCCGTATCAAGAGGCACTAGCTCATGAGCGGAGTGAACAAGAGTTAGCTCGTATCGCTGAACGCAAGCGTGAGAGTGGTCGTCGTCTCCAAGCACAAGCTGCTGAGAAGAGAAGAGAAAAGCAAGCAGAGCGTGAGCGTGAATTGGAGTCCGCGCTTGAATTGCAAAAAGAAAGTTTGACTCTTCCTCAGCGTGCGTATCAAAAAGCACTTGAAAAGGCTGGGTTCGCAGATGATTCCGAGCTTGCTTCCCATATCCGAACATTGCAAACGAGAATACGTAAATCACAGCATAGCCAAACACACGAGGACACAGATGCCGCCTCGGAAACAACCGAAGTTGATTCAATCAACGAGAATTCATTTCCTCTTTTAAGCATTCCCGATGATCAATTAAGTGAAAACGAATTGCGACAGAAGCGTCACCAACGACTTATGAAAGCGAATTATGATGCACGGATTCGCGCCAAGGCAGAGAAGGCTAAGGAGCTGGCGGCTGAACAACAGCGATTAGAGGAAGATAGAAGGCTCCGAGAAGAAGAGTTTCCTATATGGGTCACTCAAAAACGTGAACAGTATTCCAAACTGCTCTACAAATTATCTGAGAATAAGCGCTTACGTAAAGAATTGAATGATCGCAAGTCGCATGCTTCCCAAATGCGGATGAAAAACCTAGCCAACTTAGTCAGTGAACGTCCGACTCATAAACGCCGCCGTCGGACTAACCAAGAAGATAACTTTGGTGCCAATGACGAAGATTGGAGTGCATACCGCGATGTTATGACTGCTGACCAACTTGACAGCGAAATTGAACGGCTTATGGAAGAAATATACGCTCTTGAAAAACAGCTTTTAGAGTATGACACTGAGTTTACTGACGAACAGACTTACGATGTTGTACATGACCCTAAAAAAACTCTTATATATGCATACACACATGGTAATACGGATTACGACTCATCAAACGTGGCCCAAAACTATCAGCTTCATCTTAATGTTGAACGTATCCGTGTACCTGAAATTGTTTTCCGTCCATCCATAGCGGGTTTGGATCAAGCTGGTGTGATTGAAATCATTCGTACCATGCTTCAAGATACTGAATTGAATGTTGACAACAAACTCATGAGTAACATTTTGCTCACTGGTGGTATGTCTTTACTTCCGGGTTTTGTTGAGCGTATAAAAAACGAATTAAAAGCGATCCTTCCTACAGGAACTGCATTAAATGTGAAACGGGCTCAAGATCCTTCGCTCGATGCTTGGAAAGGTGCTTCATCTTGGAGCGTGACTGAGAAATTCAAGCAAAGTTGTATAACGAGAGAGGAATTTACAGAAAAAGGTATGGATTACATAAAGGAGCATGCTCTCGGTAATCCTGTCTAAAAACTGGTTGCTGTACGTAACAACCGTCTCTTGGACACGATTTTCCATCTAGCCAATTCAGCTGGGCGATGATATCTCGTTTAATGAAAAGTAAAATGATTGAATATGGCTAAAGTCTGAATTTTCATATTATTGCTATTAGAAGAACAAAATGTTACCATTGTGTATTAAATTTACAGACAGAAAATTAGGTCATTATTCTTTTTCTTTAAATTTACAGTTATTGGTAAAGTAGGTATTTTTAATATTTAAATACCCAAATTCTCTGGTCTTCTTTAAACAATTTTCGTTATAGTGCATACTGAGCGTGCATACTGAGCGTAGACTTCAGGCTTTCCTGGATAAGCAGTGTTCGTTTTCGCTGCTCTGAAATTTGAGTAGTTAGCGAGAACCATATACAAACTGTATGACTACAGACGTAAAAGAAAAAGAAGCAAGTTCAAGCGGCTTTGCTTCGCCTGTAACTATTAGTTCTGAGGTTTCAACAGATAATACCGAGTCTGTTACTAAAGCTCGATCAAAACGAAATAAGTCGAGAAGAAAGAAGAACAAGAAAAAGGAAGATGTTCAAAAAACTCAATTGAATGAACCTTGCGACACTGCAGAAGAATTCGATAGCACTGAACAAACAAAGGGTATTGAAAAACTTAAGCGCCAGGCCTCTACTTTATCAAGTATAGTTCGTGATATTCGATTACAACGGACGGAAGCATACGAACAACTAGAGGAGCTTAAGGGAAAATATGCTGCTTTAGAAACAAGAGTTGAGAGTTTAATTAGCGAAAAAGAACATGCCAATGATGAACTCCAAAAACTGAGGGAAGAGAACGCTTCGCTTCGAGAAATGTTGGCAGATGTCGGCAATGAACTGGTAGCTGCTCGTGATATAATTAAAGAGCAAGAGGCTCATAATCAGCTTAAGTCAAATGACGAAGATAAAACAGGGTCCTACCAAATCTCCGAAATTATTGACCAAGAGCAAATGACCCCGGTTCCAGTTTCGCAAATTGACTTCCGTTCTCACTACCTTAGTCACAAGAAATCTCAGAGTAGACAGATCGAAGAGGATGTTATTGACCGTGAATATCTTCGCAATATTCTGTTACAATACTTTGAAAATAGGGAACGAAGAGAGCAAATCTTACCTATTGTTTCTGTCGCGCTTGGATTTGACGAAATTCAACAGCAATTATTTACGGATTATATAAACTAAACTATGGAGCAGTGTTGACACTGTAATCATCACATTCACGACTTCATCACTCTATTCATAAAAAACTAAATTAGACATATCTATGTTCCATGGTACGGTTAAACATCTTTCTTCCTGACTTGTGTTTACTTGACCGTGGTTGTAGCAGTGATGACTACAACGGGAACTTTGGACGAAATAACTTTACTGTTTCTCTTTCCATTGTGATGAGAGCCGGTCAAAAGTCCGAACATCTTTGACATTAGCCCTTTGAGCTTGCCAAACATAGCAAAATGAGGCTCAGCGTGATGGAACGAGTACACATAATCGTTTCTACTAAGACGTCTGATAGCCTCGTCACGGTCAAATGGTTCGTGCACCTTTTCGCCGTATTCTTTCAATGCCGACTTCAGGTCATCGTCTGACCATTTGCTGTAACCTACAGCAACATGTCGGATTGCTTTGCTTGCTTCGTTGAAGATGTTATCACCCTTTTCAACCAAAGCACCATATATGTTGCGAGCGTTTTGAACCAGATGTTCCCTGTCTTGAGAGGGATGCAGCTTACCAGTGTAATGGCTCTTGTACTTCTTAATCCATGCGCTCAAATCATTTGAGCTCACCTTGTCGAAATCGATGTTCCATGATGATAACGGTAACTTGTAGAGATTACGGCGAACCAGTGCAATTAATTCATCCTTAGTCGATGGTTGCGGTACCGGGATTCCACGAGCATCCAAGAAGGATTTTAACTTTGAGTCTTGCCATTTTCCGATTACAGTTTCGTCGGCAAAATGCTTAACGCCAGATTTCGCATTTTCAACCATATCACCGGCTTTTTCCTTCGCCTGGCTAGTCGCTGATCTCATCTTATCGGCGACTTTTTTACCAGCATGTTCAGCGTTCTTTGAAGTTTTGTATTCCAGACGCCGGATGCGAGCAAGCAAACGATCCTTTTCAGTAAGCTGAATAGTTGGCACCCCATGCATATCCAAAAATTTCTTCAAGCGTGAGTATGACCAAAATCGTGATAGAAAATGATTAAATCCACTCATTTCCTTCTCCACAAAAGCTTTTGTCGAATGCACATCTTCCTCCACTTCTTCGCGAGCAGCAGCGAAGGAGTCCTTTAGAGTTTGGCCAGGATGCGTCAAGCCGTGCTTTACTTTCTTAACAAGAGACTCACGGGGCACCTCCTTTTTACCGATGTGAACCTTGTGCTCGTCAAGCCAGTTTTTTAAATCGGAGTCTGTCCAGGACTCAAAAACCCAGTCCTCAGCATCACCAAATTTTCCAGATGCTTTCTTATAAACGTCGTGGGCTTTTTCACGCAATGCCGACGGGCTAAGTGCATCTAGTTTAGATGTTTCCTTCTTTGAAAGAGCACCATGACGCTCAAGGAACTTCTTCAACTGGGAATCGTTCCAGGAGTCAAAGATAGATTCCTTTCCTTCTTTGGTTTTGTCCGAGGCATAGTCTTTTACTCGGTTTGCAGCAGACTTAGTGTCATCTACAGCTTTGTTAACTTGCTTCTCGGCCTTGTGCAACCCTTTCTTTCCATGATAAACGGCGGATGCTTCCTTCATGTTAAGGTAATCCTTCAATTCCGAAGTCGACCATTCCTCATAATTGGGCTTCATTGCCTCCATGTATTCGCCCACTAAATGGCGAAGATCCTTCGCCGATGATTCAGGCTTGTACGGAACGGCATGAGTGTCGAGCCAGTTTTTCATTGTCGAGACATCCCAACGCTTATAATGACGGTCATCAACGAAGACATAATAAAGTATGCCGATCGCGGCGACTATAAATGTGAAAACAGCGATTCTCATTTTGCGCTGATTTCTAACCAATTGACTTCAAATAATCTTAACAACTAAATTCAACTGAATGTCAAACCAACTGAACGATCAGAAATGGTGTTAGAGCCGGAAGTAATGCCGGAATTATTGTTATATGTCGAAGAATAGTTATGACGAAATGCGTACGTTGCAAACGTTAGCATGAGCACATGAAGCCAAAAGTACAGAATGTGTCAAGAGCTTGTAAAGCATAAACACATAGAAATGATGATATACAAAAGTATGATCCGCCACTCGAATAAGACGCTCGACGTATCGGAGACAGATTGGTATGACGAGAAAGGAAACTGTTTGCCAAAAGTAAAGATTTGTTTTGCTGTAACACAGATGTACGTTAGCGTTAACGGAAAGTGAATAGGCCACCACATAGTCAGGAAAACATGTTGCTCACTCCTGTTTACTCTGGGGGATAGCCTTGAGGATATTTTCGCGAAGCTCAGTTGCGGCGGCTGGATCCTTAACCCTCACTGCGTATAATACAGAGTGGTTGTTTTCGATGAGAAACAGACGTACAAAATTTGTAGCTGCACCGCTCGACGCGGCGTCAATTTTAACACTTTGCTCAGACATCCCATAAAACAAAGGAGCATTCAAGATAACACGGTGGACAGCATCTGCACGCATAATTAGACGGCCAGCGGTGCTTGTACTCTCTTTGCCGGGGATATTAACTTTTAACAAACCTCTTCCCCGTTCTTTCCAAGCCTTCGACTCCGGGTCTAAGACATAAAGACGAGCACGCACGGAGAAAAGTGTTTCTTCATGTTCTTCGCCCGTGACTAATTCTTCCTCTGTAAGAGGTTTTGCGACAGTAGCGGTAGCGGTAACCGACTCAGACTTTGTATCGCTAATCTCATTCTTTTCATCTGAATTGGAGGAAGGCGATGGTTTTTCAGAAGTGCTCAAGAGGTCTTCAAATTTTCCAGGAGTCTTGGTATCGTCTTCCGTTGGTTCCTTTTTGTTGTCTTCAGAAGACGCTTTTTCATTTTCAAGGTACTTTTTTCCAAATGTAGACTTCATTTTTCCCAAGGTGCCAAAGGTACTTCCAAATCCCGCAGTAGAAGTCTTCACAGATGCAAAAGGTGATTGTTGGTCAGAAGTGACACCTGCAAAAGGTGAGCTTGTAGAAGAAAACATTGAGAAACCAGAGCTTTTGAATGGTGTCTTAACGGGTTTTGTGGATTTCTCAGATGAGTCGGAATCAGTTTTCTTGTCACCCTCATTGTTTTTGTCCGTAACTGGCAATTTCGTTACCGAATCACCACTTGTCTTTTTTTCCGTCTGTTTGTTCAAATCGGTGGATTCTTTTGTCTGTTTTTCATCGGATTCGTTCGTTTTCTCGGTTGATTCTTTCTCCGTTTTCTTCACTGAAGGTTGGACAATAGCATTTTGTTCCGTAAGCTCATTAGCATTTTCACCTTGTTGGTCAGAAACAGAATTTTCCTTCGATTTTTTTATCGAAGACGCGTCATCACCAGTACCTGAAAATTTACGCTTTCGTTTGCAAGATTCATTATTTGGTACCTCGGTTTGTTTACTCGTAGGCAACGAGTCTTCCTTTTTTTCCAGCTGAGTACTATCTGACATTGTACTCTGTAAAACAGGACACCACCTTTAGTTTTTTTAATGCAATTATCAAACAAAAATTGCTATGCAAGTTTTGCGTTGACGTCTAAGGTTAGGTCAGATCTTTCGCATACCCGAAATAAACTTTGTTGTCTTGACGACCAAACGCGACGCGTTAAATTAAACGTTAATTCATATCAAGTAAATTTGGATAATAGAGAATATTTATTAAATCGTACTTGGCTTCAGTTAATTAATTGATAGAGCATTTGTATGTTCATTGTTTGTTTATTTGGTTTTTTTTTTTTTTTTTTTTTTTTTTCTAAATACACTTTGTTATGATAAAGCAGTGACTAGAATCTGTAATGGATTACTTATTTAGCAATAAAGCTTTGTCAGAGTTACTTTCTAGCACTGATGTACGTTTGTTCATTCTCTTAGACAGAAAAAAATACCAAAATTTATATATTATAGTGCTTTCGTTTTTCCTTTTTGTTTTTGTTAATATGTTACAACAAGTTCTTTTTCTTGAACATAACGCTGGTTTAAATTAACACGTTTATTAAGTAGACACAATAAGAAGAAAGCTTAATTACAATTTATCACTTTAGCGTTGGTCAAGCAATCTTGCAGGGAAACCTAACAGCATAGGGAAAAAAGCAAACCAGGCGGTATTTATCTTGTTATCATATATTGTTCACATAACAAGCAAGACCTTACGTTGAGGCTTGTTAATACACGCTTACAATTCCCTTTTATCCGGTAAAAGTTTAAATTGATGAGTTCTTAACCATCTCGTTTTTGACAATTTCGAGTCTGAAACAATCCGTTTAAAGAGATATTCTTTTATTTGCGAAATCGATTCAGCTATAGCAGGATTGTTTATACATCATCTTCGACTTGTTGTAGGTAGTTTCTTGAAAACGCCATGGACGAAACAAATGTTGCGGAAAACGAAAGCAATAGGAGTCCCTGGTCCCTAAAACTCTCCTCCAGCATATCAACTCCATTGGCCCCATGCGTTCAGTGTTGTCAATTCGATGGCATACTACTACAAGAGCCTGTTTCAGCAATGGACTTTCGTACCCAAGAAAAAGTTTTGATTTCGGATGTCCTAAATGCATTGATGGGAATGCAGGGAACTTACGTACGATTGCAAAATGCACAACGTAACATGGATGGCTCCGTATCAGATCAAAAAGTCTTCAAGCTTGTCCCAGGCTTCCATCCAAGTTTGGCTGATATTGCTAGCGAAATAGTGCTCATGGGAAATCACCTTATAGCCATCCAGGCGTTTGTCAACGAGTATTCTGCGTTTGAGTACGGACGTGTGAACAACGCCTTGTGCGCTGCCATTCGGAATCTTTGTCGTGAATATTTGCTACTAGTTACTCAGTGCGAAAGGCAAAGCAGCGTTGACACAGGATTTTCACTTCAGACGTTACGTCTTTATACCCTTCCCACCGCTCAATCTCTTTCGCATTTGTACTCCCTTACATGTGACCTAATATTAGAAACCAAGCTTGCACAAAAAAGAAACACCGAACTGGATCTCAGTAACATTGACAATATTCTTGAACGACTTAACGAGGGAAACGGAATTACTGACGTTTTCAACAATCCACCCGGCAAACGATCTATATGCAAGGGTGGTCGCGTTTTGCGATTCCTATCACAACGAATTGAGCAGTATGCGGGGGACCCAGGAATCCGCGAGTTGCTTACTTTTATTTTCCACGAATCTTCAAAACCATACACAGAGATGCTCAATTACTGGATCCATCGGGGTGTCATTGAAGATCCATATGAAGAATTTATGATTAAGGCACATCGTGGCATCACAGCAATTAATATTGATGACGATTATACTGACGAGCTATGGGAAAAGCGGTACACCATCCAAGACGAGCTCGTCCCGTTACAATTAGAACCGTTGAAAGACAAAGTCCTGTTGGCGGGAAAGTACCTAAATGTAGTTCGCGAATGCTACAGTAGCATGGACAAGCCGTGGAACGCAGATAATATCAGTGAAAGCTTGTGGCCAACTACGTTTGATAATGATGTTTTCATGGATGCATTTCTGAAAGCTTATGGTTACGCCAATGAGTCATTGCTGCAGGTCCTGAAATCTACACAGTCGCTGTACGCTCACTTGTATTCATTAAAACATTATTTCTTTCTCGATAAATCTGATTTCTTTACCAGTTTTCTGGACATTGCAGGTCACGAATTGCGAAAGAATGCCTCTCAAATTTCCGTTTCACGACTCCAATCACAACTTGAACTGTCACTTAGACAGCCAGGCACTTTAACGCTGCTTGATCCGAACAAGGAATACGTTGGCGTTGAGATTAACCAAACTTCCCTTCTGGACTGGCTGCTACAGATTGTTAGCATCAACGGTCTCGAAGAAACAAATCTTGCACGCGAGCCGGTCCTTTGGCTTGAAGACAACAGCATTCAGCATGCAGAAGTAGGCGACATCGACAAGTCAGGCTCGAGAAGGGACGGATCGCGCCCACCGGCTTCAAAAGAAATCGATGGATTCCATGCAATGCAGTTGACATATCGTGTCCCCTTTCCACTCTCTTTAATTTTGTCCCGAAAAGCGACTATCCGCTACCAACTGTTGTTTCGATTTCTGCTCATGCTTCGGCACAATGAGATGCAACTTGAGTCTACATGGATTCACTTCACCAAGCAGGCCATTTGGAACCAGATTTCGTCTTCACGCCGTGTGGAAGTTTGGAAAAAACATATATTTCAATTACGCGTTCGCATGCTGTTTCTTGTTCGTCAACTTACTTACTACTGCACTGCGGAAGTCATTGAGCCAAATTGGACCAAGTTCATGGAAGGCCTTGAAAAGGCTCGAACAGTGGATGTCTTGATGCAAAAGCATGTTGACTTCTTGGATACCTGTCTCAAGGAATGCATGTTAACAAACTCAAAAATGCTTAAGGTTCTGTCCAAGCTGCTGACGACCTGTACAATGTTTGCTTCGTACACCTCAACGTTTACGCGGTCGCTCACGCTGATCCAAAAAGGCATTGCCGACACCGGTTCCCTTGATGAAGCACGCATGGCCAAAATGGAAGACGTGCTTCGATGCTATGATGAAAACTACTCCCACAACTTGAAGGTGTTCCTCGATGCATGCAGCTACTTTGCTAGCATTGAAACAGCAGCACTGCTAAGCTTGGTGATGCGTCTGACTACCTAGGCAAGCTTTGCCGGACAATCACTATTGGGAGTAACCCGTTCTACAACCCTGTCTTTCACTCGGCACTTTCTACAAGCGACTCAACGATGTCATTCTTGTGTCCCCATGGATAAATAATGTCACCGTTAAAATCCGACATGCGAAACATGAACATCGCACCTTAGAAAACGCCTTTTCTTCATCGAAACCATCCCTCCATCCCTGCTTTTCACAGCGATCCATCCTACCACGCAACCCGAAACCCTTTCAACAGCGCATTCTATTTGCAATGTTCCATCGTCCCATCTAGTATGACTTCTACATAACGTTCTCAGCAACACAATTCGCCTCACTGCTCTTTGTTCATACGTACTTCGCTAATCCACAAACTTTGTTCGGCATCTCGCTTCTTCACAACCTTGTCTCCATCTGCTGACCGTTTCCTCCAAAAGATAAAAACCTATTGGAGATCAACCATATGATCGGCGCAACTATAATGTCAGCAGCTCGACCTATTGCGACAGCGCTATCCAACGACCGTTTCCTGGTCTCGTCAAAGATTAGCTGAAACCAATCCTGGCGTGCTTATTTACAAAATATCCCTGTTCGCAAAATTGCGGCCTCGCTTACCGCGAACCTTGCTTCTATTGTTCAATAACGGGTCCGCCCAGCGTAACGCAATATTACCAAATGCTTCGGCACTCGCGGTTGCAATTGGCAATCCCGTACTGCTACAACTTATCTGTGCATATTACGAGGAGTACCAATAACACAGCCGCTCCATCAGCTCCTCGGGGGCTGACAAACGCTGCCTATCAACCAAACTTCTTCGACTCGGTATCGTTGCGCAATCTTAATCGCAATCATGAACGGCGGTCGCTTACTATTTTACCGTTCTCAGAATTATGTTAAAACTGCCGCTCTTCCGCAACAATTCACTATTCCTCTACCAAACAGAGTCAATTGATACACACGGAACAAACCGTGACTCTCCGGACTGCTGGCATCGAACGTTAACCACAACACAGACTCCACCAAAGAATTACTCTACAAACACTCAGGACCAAACAGACTATTTAGCAAGGCTCGTCCGTCGGTCGACTCGCTAGCTATTGTTTGTACCTATCAATTACCTGCACGCGACTCGCTGAACTTTCGGTGAAAGCTACTTGGTCGTCGAATTAAGGACGTCTGATTTGTGATAGTACGAGACGAAGTTTACGTCTCGCAGAGATATTTGATATCAAAACCCGACTCAGAATCGGCAAAGACATATACTTGAATTAAGGTGTACAGAGTCTTTTGTTATCACACTCTCCCGTGTTCTCCTTTTTTTTTTGTTCCTTTCGTTTGTTTCTCAATCTTCGTTTGAAGTGTCTACCAATCTTCCCCATACGCCAGACGTATTAGAGGTTAGTCGTATTTCCCGCGTTATCGGTAAAAAGCCGGACTTTCTAATTGCTCTACTTTCACTGCACATATTGCGTCTCTACCACCTGTTTAATTAGGTCTTTCCCCTCTCAAATCCACGGAGTAAGACTATCACCCTTTTTGGCTTGTTTTTCAGTTCGTTATTTATAAGTTGGTGTTTGGCAATTCCATTCTCACCCTTCCTCTCTTTGCACACAGAATCTCTGTTAAAGGTGAAGCTACATCGTCCAGTATCTGGCTCTCAAGTGCTTTGCTTCGATTTTTTCCCAATTTTTAAGTCATATTTCTTTCTCTTTCGTTTTCGCCATGTCTGCCGTTGCTCTCGTTGCTTCCAATGAACGTCGTCCAAAAAAGGAGACGACCAAGCGTTTCGGTATTGATGTACTGGCTGCAGGTGCTGCTAGTGCTATGATCACACCCTTCATTCTTACCATTGATCGTTCTATTGTTGAAAATACAAGTGGTCGGAGCACTCTGCTACGTTCCATCGGTCACTCGGTCGCGCAGATACTTCGTCGCCCAGTTTCTTTCATCTGCAGTGCGCCTTACGCTCTTGTTTTCAGCTTGTATTTTGGAACTTACATTGCCGCTAATTCCCTTGATACATATGAGAACATCAAGACGAGGAATCCTGTGTATAAGGTGGAGACCGGCGGCTTTGTGAAGTTTTCAACAGTTACCGCCACGAACAGTGGTCTGAGTATTCTGAAGGACAGTTTCTTCACAAAGTTCTGGGGAAAGGGTACACCCCATGCACTTCCCGGAAAATGCTATGCTCTCTACGGTCTACGTGATGCGTTGACTGTTGCTTGTTCTTTCAATCTCCCTCCTCTTATTGCTCCCTACTTGCCAGGTGGATTAGTCACTGCTCAAATGTTGACTCCATGTGCTGTTCAGTTTGTCAGTACTCCTCTTCATCTCTTGTCCCTCGATATCTACAACCGCCCAGAAAATCTGAACTTGACGGCAAGAATGCTTGAGGTTCGTAAAAACCTGATGAAAAGTATCTTTGCTCGTATGCTTCGTATCCTTCCTGCGTTTGGTATTGGTGGTGTTGCCAATCGTGGTATTCGTACATCATGCCTTGATAATCTGCAACGCAAGGGTGAAGCTTTCACAGCAGCTGAAGTGAAGGCTTCGCTACAGCAGTAAGTGACTGATTTAAACCTTCGTATACGAAATTGTTATGATTACTCCGCAAGTTTGTTTCTTGCTTTTGTTCAAGTATGTGCGGTTATCTATTTGGTCGTTTCTATAAAAGGTATGCCATAAAATCACTTTTTAATGTCGCGCTACTCTGACACTTGCGAGTGACGCGCAGCGGAAATTGTTTTTTTTCCCGCATAATGCTTTGAGTGAACTACATTTGCATAATGTTGTGATATAGCTTCGTATTGCACATTACGTTGTTTCGCCGAGCCTCACTGGTTTTTTCTTCGCTTTTTTTTTGGTTTTGGGGAATTCATTACCACTTCACAATTCCGTAAAATGTCACTATAGACTATCACATCCACATTTCCTAAGGTTTGAGATTTCGTTTCTTATGACTGTTTTCTTTGTAAGCGCATAAGCTGGTGTTTTGCTTCTGCTTTGCCAGGAAACTCGAAAACGGACTGGTTTCAAAATTACATAGATAGTCCGCGGGAATCGAGTGTCTGACATCGTAGATGCATTCAATTTATGTGTGAATTTCTGTACACGTAAAGGCTCCGTTTAATCCTTGTCATACGGCATACGGTTCACTTTTGCCCATTCATATAGCTATTTGAGAAAAATAAAATGTTAACACTTTTAATATAGCTTTTCTGATAACCCATTTAGGCATAACGATGTAGATAAAAAGGACTGGGACAAAACGCATGTTGTCTTCACTATAACGACTGTAAAGTATCAGTTATTTTCATAAACGCCACACGTTTACATAAATTCAAATGAAGACGTACTGAATTGAGAGTAAATTACAAACTATTAATTACAATTTTGACTCAAGTCATGTAGTAGGGTATTATTTTGCTTGTACAACTGAAGAACCATCTAAGAAACGGACATGGAATAAACGATTGGCGTTAGTGAACATGCCTTCTTTTAAACTGACAACAATAAATTGTGAACTAAAATATGTTAGTAATGTCCTCTTGAAATACAATAAATAGATATACCCTCTGAATTTCGACTTAATCAAACTTCCAATGTTTTGGGTGTGACTTAGATCCAAAGCTGCATCCACCTCATCCAGGATATACATTGGTGCAGGTTTATAACGAAGTAAAGACCTAAAAAGGTTAGAGGTGCAAGGGGACACGCTTTCTCTTACATAATTAATGCTAACGCGACGAGAGACCTTTGACCACCGCTGAGTTCAGCTAAACTGCTTTTCCAGATAGAACCAATCCGAACATGAATTTCTAGTCCTTGCGTGATATCCTTTCCTTCGGGGGGCAATAATTTCGCGGTGTTGCCAGGAAGCAACTCGTCAAAAATATCACCAAAGGAACTATTAACTTCAGTCCACGTTTTTTCTAGCGCACTTCGTTTGAATTGATCTAAGCTTTTCACGGTTTCCTGAATTTTTAATTTATCACGATGAATTGTGCGGATCATTGTGCGGAGTCTTTCTTCTTTCTTCTCAACTCCATCAATCATGTTCATTACTTTAGAGTTCACCGTTTTCCGCATGGCGCTATGCCGCTCTTTAAGAGACTGTAATTGCGAGCGTGATTGTTTTATATTCTGATTAGTAAAATCAAACACTGTATCAGCCCTTCCAAAGTACTGTTTTTGATCTTCAATCCAGTCATTATCGCGCAATAACTGTTCTAAAGCCACTTTAGCAACACCACGCTCACGCTCCAGTCGTTCATTTTCGTATTGCATTTGCTGAAGCTTTAGACGTAATGCATTGATAATTTCTGTTTTCTCCTTTACCAGCTGTTGCATATCACGAGTGCGTTGATCCATCATTGCAAATTTCTCTTTCTCTTTTGTTATAGAAACAAGGAGCCGCTCCTTTTTTCCTTCAAGCTCTCCCAAACTGTCGTTAGCTTGCGACAATTCGGAGCGTAAACGATCCACATTTTGTTCTAAATCTGATCGTTTTTGGTTATTCTTGTCAAGTTCAGCCTCGATTTGTTCAAGACTTAGTTGATACTTTTGATAGTTCTTTTGGGTAATTTTTAGTTCAGAGGACATCGTGTTCATTGACTGCTTATAAGCAAGTAATTCTTGCTCCAATTCCTTGATTTTCGAACCTCTGTTTGTTTTTAAACCTTCCATGTCCTCCTCAATTTTTTTAACAGCAACCTCTTGCTCGTTAATTTCAACATTTAAACGATCGATATCAAGCTTTAAAGATTGATGTTGTTCCTCAGCATTTTTGTACGTCTCTAATAACCGCACAGAAGAATCTGTCTTCAATTGTTCTTTAGACAATTCCAGCTGATGTTCCCGTAGAACGAGTTCTTTTTGAAAATTATTATACTGCCTGCTTGAGGCATCTTCGCGTCGGATTTCATCGAGAAGAGAATTGGCAATCTTTGACTTTTCATGAACGAATTTTGTTAACTCATTGTAACGTTGAATTTGCTTTAGAAGACCAGATGAATTGGTAGAGGAACCACCAGTCAGAAAACCAGAGGGGTCATAAACATCACCATCATAAGTGACACTTTTAAGATGTACAGACGGATTAAACGTAACTGTCTTCGCTGTTTCAGGACCATCACAGATTAACGTTGACCCAAAAACATAACGCATTGCCGGAAGTAGTTCCTCTTCAAAACCAATGAGTTCCAGAGCCAAATGTACTTTATCTGGGGTCAATCTTTTCGCGGTGCTCACCTTCTCTGCTGCTGCAACGAAGGAAGAGATTTTGTTTAATGGAATGATCGTGACACGCTTGCGCAACCTACCGTTTCGCAACAGTTGCGTGCCGACTTGCTCGTTTTCAACAACGACGTTAAATAAGCGACCGCCAGCAGCAACCTCTAGAGCAGTAGCTTTGTCATAATTATGTTCGCCTAAAGTGAAAAGTTGTGCAACAAGTCCACGCACTTTTGAGCGATCAAAATTTGGAACAGGATCGGCGTAATGAAATTCGAGATGTGCAAGTTTCCCCCTTAAACCTTCAAGCTCATTATTTGCGTGTTGTATATCTCGTTGTAACGCGTCAAATTCACGCCGTTTTGTTTCTACGTTGTTTTGATCCAAACCGTTGTTGGATAACTGAGATCGAAGTTGTTCCACTTCTCTTTCTTCAGCCGTGATTCTATCGTGGATAGCAGCCAGTGCCTCTTTTGCTCCATCCAATTTGGGTGCTAAGGATGACATAGTTGTCTTGGCTTCATTAAACTTCAAACGAGCGGTTTCACGTTGTGCAACCAGTGAGTTCAGTTGTGTTCGCGACTCTTCCAACTGTCTAGCATAGCCAAATTCTTGACCCTCTTTTGATGAAAGACCAGTGGTAAGCGAAGAAACCAATTCTTCTTGGGAGGAAGTCTTAGCTTGTAATTTTTCGAATGCACGCTTTTTCTGATTATACTCCTCGAGTGCAGTTGAGTGCTTTTCCCGAACTTCCGCAAGATTTTTGCTTAAATGGTGAGATTCTGTTTGAAGCTGTGCCAGTGAATTCGTTTCCTCTTCATAGGACGTCTGCTTCATTTTAATGGATGCGGAAATACGTGCAACATCCTGTAGAATCTCGTCTAAGAGAGACTCCATCTTCATAATACCACCAGTTAGGCGGAGTTCGCTTTCTTTATTGTCATCAAGCTCGGTAATTTTCTCTTTCAAATCATGAATTTCCTGTTGGAGGTTATTGATCTTAATTTCCTCTTGCTGAAAAGCAGTTTCACGCTTTTCCTGGGAAGCAGATAGGGACTGCATCTTGTTTTGCAAATTAGTGTAGTCATAAGCAACAATCAAACGGCTTAGTCTTTCAAGATCGTTATACACGTGTTGATATTCAAGAAATGTTTTCTTTTCTGCACGAAGCTTTGACAGTTTGGGTTCGATTTCCTCACGAAGCAAAGTATTGATTTCATCAACTTTGTGTTCCTTTCGCTGCATCGTACGAAAAGCTTTTTCCTTTCGCTCCTCGAACATTCGTGTGCCTGCCGCCTCTTCTATCATAGCGAGAATTTCTGTTGGACGCATGTTTAGCACTTTAGTGATACGGCCTTGCATAATCAGAAAGTTGGGGTTGTTGATATTCAGCTGCACGGATTGAAAGAGATTTTGAACAGTTTGTTGTAAAGCCCGATGTCCATTAATAAGATACTTACTCGTTCCTCCCATAAGAATCTGACGAGTAACACTCACTTGAGGATACATCTCAAAGCCAATAGGAGATTTTGAAGTGTCCCGATTATCGAAAACAATGGTGACACTCGCCCTGGTAATGCCGGCCTGACCACGCTTATATATAAGGTCCTGCAAGTTCTGTGCCCGGACTGTGTGCATATTGGTAATTCCTAACACAAAACAGATTGCATCCAGAATATTACTTTTGCCGGATCCATTAAGACCCGTAATCGCATTAAATTGGCTGTCCCATCCTGAGATTACGGTTCGAACGGCGTACGACTTGAAACCGTCAATAATTAATTCTTCAATTTTCATTGCTGTCCAATGTCACACCAAATAACATTCCGATCACACGAAGAAAGAAAGAGTGTAGTAGTCCTAGTACGATTCAATTTGCTAATCAATTGACTGCAACTAAAATATCACTGTTACCAGTATATGGAAAATACGTTGATCGATGGTGGTGGTATTTCAGAACGAGCACGGAGACAATGAAGTGTATGTACTTAATTTACGACAGACAAGCACGATAAACGCTGAATTGTTCTATGAATTACTAGCGATGCCGTGTTTGTTTTTGAATAAAAAGTTTTGTTTGACATGCATTTACTGGAAGTCCACTACACCATTTCGTTTATCGTCGTGGTTGTTTGTTATAGTGGAAATGGCACCCTATCCCCACACTGCCACTAATAACCTTAATTCTCTCCACCAAATAATGTTTGCGGCCACCTATGCCTGATACAAACCTGCCGCCAAACCTGACTTTTATCCACCGACTCCCAAACATTCTTTTCTATATCCTGCTGCTGCTGGATTTCCAGACAGCAAATATACAAAAATTATACGATAATTTATCACCTGAATTCAATCCTACGCTGCAAGTTTTGTTTAATTGCTGAAAAAGTCAGTAACAGTGAGGCCAAAAGTTTCCGTTTTTGGCAGACTAAAATTAACCAATGGGACAATATAATTCAATTCCATCGTCCCCAGCTCGTTCGAGGAATGAAAGCTCTCAAAGAGAGGAGGCTGCTGAGCACGATAATAATATAGTCTCAGGAAGTCGAGTCCGAGATCGGCATAGTAATGGATCGAGAGGTTTATGGAATAGAATTCTTTCATTTCAACGATACTTCGGGCTTTCTTCTTCCTCGCGGCAGACGCAGAGATATGCGCATTCCAATGATAATAGGCAACCATTTCGGAGTGCACTCAATCACCAACGTTCTTCATCTATGCGCTCACTAAGCCCGCGAAACTCAAGAATGAATACCGATTCCACTTCACGTCGCAATGCTCATGCGCTCTTGAGTTTACAGTCTGCTCAGCAAGACTTTGAGCACGCGGAACGCCGTTTCCGTGACAGTATCTATGCATTATATGAGCCCGATCGTGACCTTGATGCCCGGCGTTTGCGCCATCAGCAACAGCGTCTTCAGTACTCTTCAGCTAGGGAACCAGCTGAAGTTGACGATCACACAAATCCTGTGATGGGAAACGACTCTATGTTGCCGACATCCTCTGAGATTCAAAATCAAACAAACCAAGGAGACAATGCCTGGTCCCGTGTTACTTCTAATCTATTTAATTCCACTATGCAAGAAAACCAACCAGAACGCATATCTCTGCAGCCAGGGGAGAATCAAATGGCAATTTTGTCCCGGTTACTTTCTGTTTTTGCGTCTGCCACCGCATCGACACTAATTAATTCCGACAACAACTCTACAAACCCTGTAAATTCAAATAACGGCTTCTCGGAACCGAGCGTCAATTTGGACAATGCCGAGCCTGGTGAAACACGATTTGGTGATGAATCATTTGAGCAGTTTCTTCTTGCTCTTCGGGAGGGAAGACTTATTGATGCTATGCACTCTGACAATGATACCGGTCATGGTCCTGCAGCTGAAAATTTTGACGAGAACAATCCTGCTACACCTCTTAACTTCTTCCGTGTGTTTCGATTCGACAATACTCGCCATGAAGAAGCAGGTCAGCGGGAAGTGCCAGTGATAATTGTCGCTGTCCGAGCAGTGCAACCGACTGATGCTGAAGCGACACCATCCAACGTTAATATCAATTCTACGCGACCTTCACCCATGGAAGAACAGAGTGATGCACAGGCCGACCAACAGCAATTGCCTTCTTCATCTTCCGACGAAAATAATGGTGCTTACTCCTCCATATTTCCTCAAAGCTCGAGTACCGGTCTACAAGGTACACAACCGAACGGTTCATTGGAGTCTGATGAAGCTGCGGTTATGAGTGAAGTAACAGATGAGGGCTATGTCTCTCGAAGTTGGGTAATTTACATAATTGGTGCAAATTACCCAGAAAACCATCCACTTTTGTCTGCTCCTTCGTTATTTACGGATTCACCAACTTACGAAGATATGCTTTTGCTAAACTCTATGTTGGGAACGGTTAAGCCATCTATTGCTACACAGCAAGATATGGATCGTGCCGGTGGTGTTTTCACTGTTTCGACTTCGGATGAACGCTGTCTTGTTTGTCTCTCTGAATTTCAAAATGGAGAAGAGTGTCGGCGCCTTCAGAATTGTAAACACTTTTTCCACCGCGAATGCATTGATCAGTGGTTGACAACCAGTCAAAATTCTTGTCCGTTGTGTCGTATGAAGGGAGTTAATGTGGCCGAATCTACGACTGTCCCAACTCCGTAGTACGTGTACTCGTACAGTGTTAAGTTTCTTTTTCACTTCCGAGAAAACTCGTCTACAACATAAATGACTCTACATGTCACTTCGACGTGGCCATGTTCTTTTATTATTTGTGTATCTTGCATTGTTTTCCTTGTCCCTCTGTTATCTGGAATTAGAAAAGTGTTTGGATCGTCAAAAATGACACACTGCTGTGTATTTTTGTCGTTGAGTTACGCAACCAGTTTTTCTCCATAGCTATGTTCTCTGCGATTTTATGATTACTTCATTTCTTGATTATTTCATACTTTATGATTATACGTATGTTTATTTATGTGCCCCACTTTTCGATAAACCTCTCATTTAGTTTTTCTCGATTTGTAGTATGGATATGTACTTTAGCAGTGATTTTGCTGCTTACAACGGATACGAGTCTATTGCTAAGTAGCACACGATGTCGCATTACATAGTCGTAGTAATAAGGTCAGAGCTGTAGAAGCTAGATTAAGAGGCGGTTTGATGATATTAATAAATTCAATTGTGACAAACATGATGTCACTCTTATTGCACTTTATTAATTACAGGTTGACCTTACTTTCGAGCGAGTTGAAAGAAAACAAGATCAAAACATGACCGATAATAATTTCTTTAGTCACCGTGTATGATTAGGGTTCTAAGAGCTAATTGCTAATTAATTCAGAAACAAAAGCGCTTTAAAGTACAACCACATTTCCTTTCATTCACCCCCGAAAAGGGTATGAAATGGTAAGTGTATGAATCATTGGACAATACTAATTGTCAATAGGCTACCATCTGTTGCAATTTGGGCCGGAGCTGCAGGTTTGGGAGGTTTGTTTTTAGATTCTGAGATGTTGTTTTGTTATGTGTCTAACTAGAAGCCATACTGTTTGCTTCACAGGTTCCAAAGATAAAGGAGACATTTCTTCATGTACGCTTACGGCATATTTGGTATCATTATTAACTACTAGTTACAAAAGCCTATCGTCTTTCTTGGAGATCATTTCCGCGACAAAACGCCGGATGAAGACAAGTGGTTGTAAACTCGAAGTCGTGTAATGTTTTTTATTGTCTTATTATACTATCTGTTGTTGTAAACATTATTTGAATATATGAAAAATGAAATGCTAGGCCGTTACTATATCGTTGTTGTGGCAATTCATGCTGCCGTTTTTAGGGGTCGGCATTCAGTATGAACGTAGCAAGTATATGTATATTAAACTATAGAATTAGAGTATAACTTGGTGTTTTATACTACTTACTTTTGTAGTTGTAAGTGATTGAATAATAAGCTAATGTAAACATTGTGGGGTATATAATTTGTGAGCTGAAATCACAATGCAGTTGTACAGACGGCTGAAATAACTGCTTGTTACTCGACCAGTACTATAATGTAGTACTCATATAAATCATGTCAGTTTTGTATTTTATCTTAAATCCCCACTGGGTAAATACAAATAAGCTTATTTTTTGTTAAGCGAATTGTGTTCTTATTCTAACTCTTACCGAGAGTGCCACTCAGAATGGTACTAACAAGGATAAAGTTCCGCGACAATTTGGTAATAGATTATTATATTGCTAATAATTAATTTAACAATCTATCACAACAGCCTAGCTTTGCAATTGGTTGTGATAAAGGTTTCGTGACTTTCAGTCAACGCATTCTTAAGAAAATAGAAAGTTTATGTGGACATCTCAAAACTCTGTTTGTAAGCATTACCAGATACAAGTACTAACTAATGAATTGTTACTACTCTAGCCTATCAATTAAAAGTTGACTTGGTGCAACGCGACTCTTGGTTTTTCGCACACTGGCTGTTAGTCGCCTGTAGAAAGTTCTTTGAAAATATTAATGTGCGTTATTACAGTCAACTTCATTTTCAAATGCTAAGTGATTGCACCAGTCTAAAAACTCGAGTTTTTAAGAAAGAAAAAAATAAAAGAGTGATCTTTTGTTATGTTTTATGACAATTCTAACATTTCTCTATCTATTTCGTAATAATTAAGGAAAAACGAAATGTATTTAAATTAGCAGGGTACAGATGATATTAGCATTTACGATGTCTTCTGGGGATGGACATCCGATTAAGTTTGATGTTTGAAAGTAAAGCCGAGTAGATGTGTGTGTTTCGTTTACTCATGAAACGTAAATTGTGATAAGATGGCTAGGTATGCTTCGGCTCGAAGTTAGCCTCCAATGAGGCTCCAAACTGCAAAGACCATTCATTCAAATTTAGTGAATAAGGTTCGCTTTATCAAACCTTATATGACAATTGCGATAGTTTCAAACATGATAAGACAAGTAGTTATGTGAAGCTTCTAAATGCAATGGTTCAATTCTTTGAACCTATAAGTATGTCTATTTATTTTAATTGATGCTTACTTTCCGCTCAGTCGCTTATAATTTTCTGCTGATGGTTTTACTATTTCATTCCACTATATGTATTAAAATATGAAGACCACAATCATTAAGTTCGATTGTTTTGCGACAATATAAATTTTAAGTAGGAAATGTTTATTGAACATACCAAGTTTGTTTGATTGTAAAAAATAAGTAGAGAATTAAAATAAACAATGTCTATAAACTGATTGTAAACCTAATGTAATAAACTTCAGGGTGACGTTTGTCTTGTTTCTTTCGTATATTATAATAATAATTGAAGATACCATCTTCCTAATTCATAAAAATGCATACCAACTCACCGTATCATCTTTGCGAAATAGAATAATATGAGTAACAAAAACAGTCAAGTTTTCACATAGCCATTGTACATCAAAATTGAAATGATGTCTGTAGCTTTATTTCTAGCGTTATAGTAATTCACTGAAAAAGTCTTATCAATTCAGTGTTTATTATTTTAAATAGCAGCGTTTGTCCTCCAGTTCTGACAAATGCCTATAAAGCTTATTGTACGTTTACCAGAAGAATTATGCTGATACACTAGTGATTGTATGTCTGCCGATTTTGCCTTATTATCATTCCCAATTTAACACTGTACAAACAAAAGTACACATCTTTGTTATGCCCTCCGTTAGAGTAAGTATTTATCCCAATGGATACATATATGTCTTTTTTCTTCATATACATATGTATCAATTCTGGCACTTGTCGATTTTTCGTCGTTTTAGTTATGGTTATAGTGTTTAACGAAAACGAATAAGGAGCAAAATACATCAATCCACGAGGAATTAGGGGCCATTATAATATTCGTTAGAGAAGATTATAAAGAGTAGATACTATAGGTAAGTAGAAGAGACCCATTCGCGAATCTAAAACAAGTCAATTAAAAAAGCAACCAAAAAAAATGGCGAGTACCACAAACACCCGTATAAAGATGCGTTTACAGTACGACTCTAGTACTCGCATTTGTCAAAGGGGGTAATAGATATTTCGGTTGACCATAATGAAGCTTATACTAGATTGAATTCATTGGACACATTAACATCAAGCACATAAGTGTTATTGGGGTCATAACAGACATAATGACATGCGTTCATGTCATTGTGGAATGATTGGTGGCCGCTTGCTTAACAAACGAACGAATAGTTGTGTCAAGTCAATTTGCCGGTTTGGTTGAGAGTTATTGACGCTCATTATCTTCCTTTAAACGATAATCTTAAAGAGTTTCATCCATAAAGAGCAGTAAGTTAAATGAGCTTGTCGTTGTTTCACTTCAAGATCACTTGAACGAAATTGCCATTTCCAAAAGCACGTCGAAAGTTTGTAATTAGCATTCATGAGACTGTTGAGCCTTCAGAGTTACATGTTCGACATGAAGTAGCTTGGGTACAACTATCCCTCCCTCTTTTTCTTAACATAAGTACATGCTTTGTTTGCATCAGTTCGGTGAGACAGATGCTTTACAGGATATCCTTTTGCACATCTTAAGATACAGACTTGTTTGTACAGTAGCAGATAATTAGATAACTTTTAAGTGATGCAGCTTAATAAAATAAAGCTGATCTGCTTAAGATTTTTCCATTGAAATAATCACCGCACGTATAACAATATGACATGCAAATAGAAGAATAAGGTCACTGTGCAGCAGAAGCCATTTATGTGAAGTTGTTCTGTAGGTGTAAGATATTACAACCTGATTCCCACTCGCATTTACGCATTAATTGACACGTAAAAACGTTCCTGAGCTGCTAGTATACAAGGAAAAGAAAACAGAAAGGGAGTGCTTTAAAACTAGACGGCATTAGATCCTTCTTCTTTTTTTCCGATAAAGTTGACTTGTTGTTAATTTATCCGCAATATCAATAGTTTTCAAGAGCAACAGTCGTTCGTGCACTAGAAGGCGCGATGCTCATCCACTACGTTCAATTAATATACATTGTTCACATTACTCGTTACTTAATGGCTATTATAACCCACGTCTAATCTTTTTAATAAATTCACAGATATATACAGTTCCGTAGAAATTACAGTATCACCCGAAGAAAGTCAAAGATTAAGAAAACAAAACACGTTTTTCTAATGCACAATTTTAGTTTTTCCTTTTCAAATAAAACCTTGCTAATATTCTACGGAAAATAATTGCAGTCAATACTGTGAAACATAGTAACAATCAACGTACCCGTTCATGGATGGAAGGAGAATAACGGCATACCCAAGTATTCTGGCGGATAATTGATAAGCTGCCGACTTTCGTTATCTGCAAGCCAAGAACGAAAATAGCAAGCCGACATTCGATAACAATTTGGCTAATTATAGTAGTGTACCGTAACACAACAAAAACGTGTACCGTTTTAGATGAATTAGAACAGGTGGCTAGTAGTTTGGACAAATTTTTAAGGTACTAGGCCTGCTATGAATGTCCGAGAAACGCTTTTCCATGTAATTGCTAATGAATTGACCATGAAATAGGCATCGTTTTGCTAATAACACTAAACACTTCTTTTCCTTAAGGAAATAATTATCTATCACCAATTTCGGTTGTCGCAAGCACAGGCTCCTATCTAGCGAAAACTATCATCGAGCAAGCACGAATGCGTAACACCCCTCCCTATTGCAACTGTGTATTCCTTAATTACCGAACAGAAACTCTAGCTTCAAATATCCCTAACAAGACATGTTAAATTCGCTTATGTCTTTGTAATAGTTTCGACTTGCGAAGTTTTCGGCTTTTGGCAAACCAAATTTGTTTACGACGCGACGCGTTCCGAATTAAAAACGAACACCCCTGTCGCAAATATCCGCACCTTAAAGCTTCTTCGTCCAATCACCAAGCTCGGTTTCCGCACTTGCGAATGCTATTACGTAACAAGATAGGTAAAACAATATTCTCTGAAGAGAAATAAACGTGTTCGCAGCAATCACTTCATTCTTATCACCACTAGATACCCCTCTACCGTCATTTCTCTATTTCTAGTTCTCTTCAACTCTTTATCAAGAAGCGCGCCAACTTGTATCGGCCACGTAGCTTCATCACGTCATCCGATAACCCGGCTTTAACGGACGGATGCGTCTGAGGATGACGCACGCGAGGCTGCAGCTACTGGCCTATATAAGGCGGCTTTCAGTGGATGCAGCAGCTCGCGGAAGCTCTGTTACAATGAACCCGACATTTAAAATTCCAGGGACTTGACCATTAGCGCTGTTACTGCACACATTAACACACTCTTGGACTATGGACTCGACGTCCCGAAGACGTTCATACTACGACAAAACCATCCATTGGAAATGACAGACATAAATTGATTACAAGTTGACGAGTCCTGAGTCCCTAGGTTGAAAAACTATCAAGGAAATTATCACGGAAGCACCAAGGATCTCGAGCCAATGCTACAATAAACGGAGGTGGATAAGAGCCAACTGATGTCGCCTGAAACGACGACCTTTTCTTTTTATGGTATCGCGAGAGCGAATGTCCGCAGGACGACGGTTGACACAGGCTGTTTCTCTGTGTATGGAACGGGGGATGGAAACGAATGTATGCACAAAGACGGATAATGTGGGAAGAGGAGCAACGAGAGAAACAGAGCCTTCAGAAATTATTCTTTTCCTCCCTCAACAGAAAAAGTTGTTCAGACGGCCCAACGTGCTCTTATCGTTCTTGCCCTCGTTAAGAGCCTCTTGGTAGGCCTTCTCGTCGTAGTCAGCGGCCTGGTCGTAACGACCCGTAATGAGGTCGATGTCACGCAGAGAAGGAAACTTGACGCGACGATACAACAACCATCCGATCCATGCGGCAATACCGATAGGGACACCAATGCACTGCTCGAAGAAGTACTCGGCAGAGGGCTTGGCACCGCCGGCGGGCCAAATGGCAACCCAAATTTGAGCAATAAGTGCAAGCGCATTGATAGCGATGGCGAACACACTGAACAAAAGGCCGAAACGGCTACGGTACGGCATGATGTCGTCGGAAACGCCTTGGGCGCGCATGGCCAAACGCATACGCAGGTGCGAGGCACAAAGCATGATCCAGACAATCAAAGAACCGGTGCCGGAAATGTTCGTGAGCCAGGAAAACAGCTTTTCACCGCCGGAAGTCGTGTTGACGTATGCGAGGAAACCAAGGGCGAAACTGAGACCGACAGCGACGAGAGGCTGACCATGGCTGTTGACGTATGCGAACACAGACGGCGCCTGGCGAGCGATTGCCATGCCATAAAGAGTGCGGCTGGATGTGAAAACACCAGTGTTTGCAACGGACAGGATGGATATGAGGATAACGGCGTTAATGATGTCGGGCAGGACACGAATGCCGCCGTCCTCGATGGCGAGAATAAACGGCGACGTGACGTTGTGGAAGCCGGACTGTGTGCCCAGACGAGAGTCGTTGTAGGCGACATTGAAGGTGATGAGCAGCAGCGTGATGATATAGAAGCCGACGATGCGGTAGAAAACCTTCTTCACCGCACTGGGAATGGCTTTCTGTGGATTTTTCGTGTGTCCGGCGGCCAGACCAACAACCTCGGTACCCGACAAGCAGTAGGCGGAAGTGACGAAGACGGAACAGAAGCCCTTGAAACCGTGGTTGAAGGCGCCTGGATCGTGCCAATAGTGGGCACCCAGGTAGTTGCCCTTGGGAGCGGCTCCGCAGTTGATGATGATGGCAGTGAAGAAGAAGACAAGGACGGCAATGACTTTCAGAAGGGAAGAGAAGAACTCAGCTTCGCCGTAGCCACGGGTGCCGCAACAGGCAATGGCCACGACGTAGATGATGAACACTGAAATCCAGCCGGCAATGGGAAAACTCTGTGCTTTTTTCCAGTGCTGTGCGACGAAGCCGGCGGCAGTTACTTCAGCCGGGAACGTTACCATCCAAGTGCAGTAGTACAGCACGCCCTGCGTGAAGGACGTGGCTTCGTCCGTGAAACGACGGGTATAGTAGGAGAAGGAGGACTTGCCGGGAAACATGCAGCACATTTCGCCAAGAGCGTTGACGACACAGCACAGCATGGCTCCCATGATGATGAAGCCAATGATCGTGCTTGCGGGACCACCGTTTTTCAGAATGTTGCCCGAAGCGATGAACAGACCGGTGCCGATGCCACCGCCGATGGCAATCATGTACAGGTGACGGGGCTTCAAGTGTGCAGCATGGGTGTCCTCGGGTTCTGCATCGGCACTGAGGACGGCCTTGTGGAGTCGTAAATGGCTGAGAATACCACGGGATGGTTCCTCGATGGTGCCGGTGATGACACCCTCGCCTGTTTTTGCTCCCTCGACATTGACGTAGAGCTGTTCCTTGTTTTTGCTGTCAGTAGAGTCGCTGGTGCGCTGGTTGATCTCGAACGCGTCCATGGTCAACGGTGCTTAGAGACACGAACGGGCAGGTGGATCGAGTAAGCAGTAAGTGATAGGGCCCGGAGCAGCAGGGAGAGGGAAGAAGCAGATTGTGGTGTCGGTGGCAGACACAGTGCGGCGACACTCAGGATAGAATTACGAGCAGTGGCGGGAAGGCGGGTACAGACCGGAGTTCCTTAAACCTTGGTCTCGTCGGGGCTGTTTTCGATGAGATAGCGCGGAACTGGCATTTATACAGCGCCGCTGCAGAGGTAGCACGTGTGGCTTTTGATAGGCATAACAGCATTGATCGTTTTGCAGCTGATAAGCAAAAAATAGTTGAGCAAATAGACTGCATGGTGAAAGACGCACCTCAGTGGAGACCCCGCTTCTGATTGGCTGGTTATATATATTCTTAACTGTTCTGTCTCCTTAGTGGTTACTTTGGGCTCACGTGCACAGGCTCGCCAGATTTCCAGCCCGCTCATTGGCCGAATATTCGCGCTCTTCCGTAATCGCGGTTATCACGACTTTGTGATTTGTTGTGACAGTACCGGCGGCAAATCCGTCGATTATCCCGTGGGCGGCAATTCTCGCTGCCTCTAATTGAGCTTCAGCTTAAACCTTGCGAGAAGGCGAGAAGCGGGGTTGAGAGAGTGCGTGCACTGGGAAGATGTGGGCGTGTGGAACAGTGAGATGTGGATGTTATTCCACGAACATTCTACTCGTTGGGAACTACACGTCGTGTTCCATGTAGCAGGTTAATCCATTGAATTGAGGCCTGTGTTGGCTGCTGTCGTTGGCTGTGATGCCGCTTGTCGTTACGTGCGATGTCAAAAACTGCAGCAGCGGGAGTATTCTGCCGTCGTTGCACGACGGCGTTGATTGGCTTCTGTGGTATAGAGTTGTGTGTGGTTGCGGAGAAGCGGGAACGCGGAATATCTCGAGTTCAAATCTTGATGTAAGTTCGTTATAATAAACTTCCCGTCATGGGGTTAGGGGGTCCATTCACGAGAGCGTGATACTGTCTTGCACGTCTTATTGGGGTAAACTTGGCTACTCGGCAGCAGAATGGTGTTCAGTGATGTGATATGGATGTAGCGTCCCACAATTGAAAGATGGCATATTGAGATTGAAGAATACGAGCTTCCACTTGGAGGCTGTTGAAGTGTTGTTGAAGTGTTGTTATTGTTATTGCTGTTGTTACTTGTTGTTACTTATTGTTGCTATTGCTATTGTTACTATTGCTATTGTTACTTATTATTGTTATTGTTATTGTTATTGTTATTATTTTTTTTATTTTGTGTGAACCAAATTTTGCGTTCAGATTGTTTGTGGGGTATTGCTACATTTAGCGAACTGTAAACGAAATATACTCGAACTTTTTTGTGTGCTGTTGTACTGAACAACATTGCTTTTTGCATCTCAGTGCGGACACAGTGTTGATGACGAACTTGAAACACGAAATACTGAACACTCAACAACAACCAGGAAGACGATGCAGAAGTGAAGCTCAAGAATTGAAGAACCCTTATTAAGAAACCCATAAGACCTAAACCCTAGAACACCCGACATCAGACGGACCACTCCCAACACACCGTTTTTCATAAACCTCTATTCATTAAAGTTTTCTAAAAAATTATCATCGAATCAACTCACTCAGTTGACACTGATCTCAAAAGGTGTCAGGTCTACGAGCTGCTTAGTTGTCCTTAGCAGCAGAGTAGGCAACAAGGTCAACAACACGGCGGGAGTAACCGTACTCGTTGTCGTACCAGGAGACAAGCTTGACGAACTTGGGGGAGAGTTGGATACCGGCAGAGGCATCGAAGATGGAGGAGTGGTGGTCACCAGTGAAGTCAGTGGAGACAACAGCGTCCTCGGTGTAACCCAACACACCCTTCATGGGGCCCTCAGAAGCGGCCTTGACGGCAGCCTTGATCTCCTCGTAGGTGGTGGCCTTCTCGAGCTTGACGGTCAAGTCGACGACGGAGACATCAGAGGTAGGGACACGGAAAGCCATACCAGTGAGCTTGCCGTTCAAGGCAGGGATAACCTTACCGACGGCCTTGGCGGCACCAGTGGAAGAGGGAATGATGTTGTCGCCGGCAGTACGGCCACCACGCCAGTCCTTCTTGGAGGGACCATCGACGGTCTTTTGGGTAGCAGTGGTAGCGTGGACAGTAGTCATAAGACCCTCCTCGATACCGAAGGTGTCGTTGATGACCTTGGCAAGGGGAGCCAAGCAGTTGGTGGTGCAAGAGGCGTTGGAGATAACAGTCTCAGCAGGGTTGAACTCGGTGTGGTTGACACCCATAACGTACATGGGAGCATCCTTGGAGGGAGCAGAGATGATGACACGCTTGGCACCACCCTTCAAGTGAGCAGAGGCAGTCTCCTTGGTGGTGAAGACACCAGTGGACTCAATAACGTAGTCGGCACCAGCAGTGGACCACTTGATGTTGGCGGGGTCACGCTCGTTGAAGACAGTGATGGCATGGCCATCAACGACGAGCTTGCCGTCCTTGATCTCAACATCACCCTTGTAGCGACCGTGGGTGGAGTCGTACTTGAACATGTAGGCCATGTACTCCAAGCTGATGAAGGGGTCGTTGACAGCAACGATCTCGATGGTCTTGGCCTCGAGGGCGTTACGGAGGACGATACGGCCAATACGACCGAAACCGTTGATACCAACCTTAGGAGCAGCCATTGTTAAAGAAATTGAGTGAAGTTGTTGTGTTGAGATGAAATGTATTCAAATCAGTGTGGTGAAACTGGGTGCTCGTCCCAGCCTATTTATACCTGTTCCTGTCGCGGTTAGCAATCGCGATCCGTGGTGTGAGCAGAATGGCTTGCACACATTGGGAGAACGGAACGGAACAGAATGGAAGAAATTGTCGCGGGGAGCAGCCAAAAACCGCGCAATAATTTCGCATAGAGTGCATCACTTACGCAAGAGCTACAAGCGACATGATTCAAGCGCATTTAGTCGTATATTGTTTAACGAAACTGCTCGTTTAGCGCTAATGAAGTGCAGTGAAGTGCAGCGTGCCTGTTCGGAAGAACTAATTTCTCCGTTCGGAGAAATTAAGTGCGACAAGCGAATGACTTCTCGGGAAAACAGGCGAGCTTGGGTGCGGAGTACGGTCGGTGTTGCACTCTTTTACTGAATTCGAGAGGAGGTGGCGCTGATGTCAATGCTATGAAAGTCGTTCAGAGAGCTCGTTCTCGCAGTAATTGACATTGTCCAGCTAGTGTGGATGCCGGCAAGCCTTGGATTCGACTGTTAGTGGTCATGTTGCGGTGTCCCTAAGACCCGAGAACCACAATGATCTGCACACGGTGTTTCAACACTCACACAATTTGCATCTAGAAAATGATCTTCGTTTCATTCATTGCTTCGTAACTGTATCTAATAGTAGAAAGTTGCAAGGATGTGGGAATTAGGTGTTTGCTTATCGACGGTACGTCGATTGACGAGTGCTTGACGGTGGCTACGTATTGTACGTGTCGCGTTTCTGTATTCAGTAGCAAATAGCAATATACGAGCATAAACAAATCAACGGCATTCAACTAAAGTTCGAGACGCAATAGCTATTTGGAGACGTTGATGTATTTTTTATTTTCTAATATACCAACTAGCACTTGGGCATTTTCATTTGCTCTTCTGTTCGGTTAGTCAATACTTAATTTCGGTTCATCCCGTATAGTGAATAAACTTGTCGAGACACGAATGTTTGCTGTGTGCATGAGAAACTTTATTTGGGAAAATCATGCTTCGCCTCACTGCTTTCAGTGAGAAAGATTCGCGGGAGAATGACCATTTTAGTAGGCGAAACTAATTTATTGATAACTAAATACGTGGCTTTACACGAAAGCCATCTTGTGGACACTATACTAGCCGCTTGGAATATTACGTAGCAACTCGATATATAATTATTTGAGCAAAGACATAGTTATAAAAGAAAGACAGCAAGGAGAGTATTAAGCTTTTATGCGCAATTAAGAACCAAAAAAAAAAGAAATTAAACTTTGAACAACAAATACCGAGGGAATTACCAAAAAAAAAACAGACCCCTTTAAAACAAAAAACTGCTCTCAGGGATAACTTTAAACAACGATGCTGCTTAATGAAGTCCAATGCAAGCAACAATCTAAAAATACAGCAGTTCGTCAATAAAGAAAGGAGATACGTGAAACTTAGCAAAGGTCCAATGCCTTAGAGAACTTCTTCTTAAAACCTTTCTCATCTTGAACGACTTTTTCGGAATCTTCATTAAATTCCGGTTTAAACGTGTCATTAAAGCCTAGGAACAGGTCAATGTCCTTAAGCTTGACGCAGCGTGACTTTGTACAGAGTTTGTGTACCACAAAAAGGAACATCACGATGGGCATGGATAGATAGTGCTGGAAAAAGTGTGTCACACTTGGTCTTCCAAACGTTGGTGCAATTGCAACATACAACTGGGCGAGGAAGATTAACATTGTCCAGACCAGACCGTAGTAGGAGCCATAGATACCAAAGGGGGAGGTGTAACTAAGTCTCTTCGTCGAGACATTTTGGCTTTTGAGCGCGTGTCTTAAGCGCAAATGAATGAAGCAGATCGTACCCCAGCTGAACAACGTGTTCAGACCGTACACGGCCATGAGCCAAGCAAAGATGGAATAATTAGAATTGGATTCGCAGAGATATGCGAGACCACAGCACAGGAAATGAAGAGCAAGTGCAACAAGAGGTCGACCAGCACGGTCAACGTAGGCAAAACATTTTGGAGCGAATCCGTTAACGGCTGCTGAATGAACTGCTCTACTGCCGGCATAAATATTAGAGTTGGCAGCAGACAGGACAGATATGAGAATGACAGCATTTAACATCGACGGCATAACTTTGATACCAGCATCTTTAATAGCTAGAATGAAAGGACTGACCATGTTCTTCGAATGGTCAAAGAGTCTCGGATCCTTGCCACTAATTAAAAGACCCAGAACGAAAACGCCAATAATGTAAAATAAAGATATACGTATCATCGTCCGTCTGACTGCTCTCGGGAAGGTTACTGCTGGGTTATCAGCTTCGGCAACTGTCAAACCAATAGCTTCTGCACCAGAATAGGCAAATGTTGCGTGTAAGAAGACAGAACAAAAACCACGAAAACCGTGAGTAAAAGTGTCACTAGTGAATATACTTGTTCCAATGTAACCACGGTGATCTGTTGGAATACCACCGCAGTCAATAATTATACCGAGAATGATGAAAATAACAATCGAGACCACTTTAATGAAACATAGAGCAAACTCGACTTCACCGTAACCCCTAACGCTGAAGACGTTGATTAGTGCCAAGATGGCAATAAAGACAGTAACCCATATACCGCCATTTAAATTTGACCAGTAAACAATACACATACAAGAGGTGACAATTTCGACGGGAGTGCTAACCAGGGTTCCAAGAATAAAACTCCAATGCATAGCAAAACACCATGACTGGTCAACAAATTGACCAGCCAAGGACAAGTAACCTCCAGGAACAGGATAGTTTGCTGCCAATTCACCGAGTGAAAAAATGGTAGTCAACACAATACTCCCGACAATAATATAGTTTAAAAGGACAGCACAGGAGCCACCTTTCTGGAGTGAGTTTCCGGTACCTAACCAGAAACCAAAACCAATGGTACTACCAATTGCAATCATCTGAATATGACGACTCTTTAATTTACGCTGCAGAGCCAGTGAATCACATAACCGGGCGCGTTTAAAACTTCTGAAGAATCGGCTTACTGGGTTACCCGATTTATCTTTGACAGTCTTGACCAAGTTAACTGTATCAAGAGGGCCTTCATTTTCGAAAAAGGAGAACTTTTCCAACATTGCCTTCTCTTCGAGAGAAGCATTGGATGCTATTATGATAGAAAGATCATCCTCCTTTGGACGATTGCCGTACGGACTCATGATGCAACAAGCTTTAAAGAAACGTTACAAGAAAATGAATGAATAGGTCAAAATGTTATATCCAATAATGAATTTATTCGTCTTGTTGCGATTAAATCTTCATTGGCATGCTCAAACAAGACACAAACGAGAGACTAATACACGCGGGTGCGGTAGAAATCGGAAGTATTAACTTTGGAACGTGGACACGGGAAAAAGGATATCCACTTATGAAATATTTTTGCTGCTTTTAAAAAAGCTGAAATCTTCACCCCTGGGATACTGCGCTGTTAGCGTTGATGAACGGATGGCGCGGGACCGTTTCACTTTATGCACAGACAAAGACGGATAATAATTATTAATCCTTCAAACCGGAGGATCAATCTCGGGGAACAAAGAATCCGGTTATCCAATGTTTTTGAATTGAGCTGTCTTAGCTACAGACTAAAAGTAAGTCATCCACATATTTAGAGAAAAAGTCGCATTGCGGCAGTTTTTCCGGCAGCGTTGAGAAGGAAAAAACCAATTCTTGCGTGTGATAGGACAGATGAAAATCTTCTTTTCGTTAGTGCTCTTCGCTTAGTGGATATCCCACGGGGTTAGTGCGAAGCTAAGGGTCATTGGATACCCGTTGTCGCAAGCCAGGGAAGTGACGTGAGTATTTCCCATAGCATTGTACTATCCTCAGAACCGGAATGGAAACGGCAAAATAACCTTTAGCAAAATCACATTCTGAATGACTGCTGAGTGATTTATTTAGCTGTATGTCTCAAGATGGGTAATGTGATTGTGGGGACATTTTCTTAAATTTTTCCCCGTGTTTTCCATCGAATTATATTTAAGAAATTATTCAATACCCCGTTCGCTAAGATGAGAAGTCTCTGAGTACCTGTAGATCAAGCCGGGGTAATTCGATTATATTTGAGTTTTACGAGACAATTGGCTGATATGTTACGTGGCCCAACCAGCTGTGAGTAAGGACGGGAGTGATGGATCCCTTAACACGACGGGTACATTTCTCGTTTACTGACGGACTCACCTTTATTCAAAAGAGAGTATTAACGATCATAATCTGGTATAAGTAAGATTTTAAAATGGTAAAGGCCTTTCTATGTTTTATCTTTCTTGTTTATCTATGATTATTTTTATTCTTAACCTTGTTTAAAACTGGACCTCGGTCTTCCAATGAGATACTATTGCGTAAAGCAGACAGAAGAACTTAGATGATGCGAGTATTTGAATAAAGATTTTCTCTACACCCCGTATTTTAAAAGAGAACAGGCAACTTAAAGACATTAAATGTAAACCGCAACTAAAAACTGATGATCATTGGAATTATTTTGAGGGAGTGACACGTTAATGCGGCACTTAATATCCGACTTTATTCCTCCATAACATGTTATGCTTCAAACGATAAATCCTGATGCGAACAAGATATATTTCTTTAAAAGATTGGGATAAGTGTTAACGGCGAAGGTCGGAATAGAGAAATTTGACTAAAGAATAAGGACTCAACGTAACTAACTGGTCACTTAAGATTTCATAAATAGATTATTACAAACAAGGTATTGAAGAGCAGGACATTATTGACCAGTTTGATATTCGACAACGTCTGAGTTGATATCCTAAAGTTATAAATTGTTGAAATTCTATATGACTCTGACAATGAAAGGGTTAATCTTTTAGAGTAAAATATGATTCTGGGTTAGATTTTCTTTATCGATAAAAGGTTTTCTTAGTTCCCACAAACTACGTCCTTAAGAGAGAAACAATGTTTTGATAGTGCTACTCAAAGGGTGCATTCATTTACTTACACACAACCACTATTTGTAATGAACGAAAGTAAATTGTAACGATATGGTAATCAAGATTAATTTAATTTAATTCATTTTCTTTTAATTAATGAATACATAGCTGTAATATATATTACTGCCTTTATTAAAGCATCAAATATCAAAATAAAGCAATTAATGTGAGTAAAATTCACGTATTAGAATCAGGTTGTACAATATGACCTGTTTGCAGCGGGCTTAAACAAGCCTAGTCATCAAGACCACCGTTTCCAGTGCCCCATGGCAAGAATTTCTTGTTACACGTTTCAGTGTAAGCAAAGTCAGAAGGCTTGTAACAGATATCATCGTTACAGAACTCGAAGTCCAAAGCCATGTAAGTACAACCGTTGCCCAAAACAATTCTGATAGGAACATAATCACCAGCAGTCATTTCTCCTAATGGCGAAGTGGGTGCATCAGTTACAATGTTACCCTTTGAGTTGTCAGTGTAACCAACAGAATAGAAGTAGTGGTTCTTGTTCGACCAGCCCGAGATAGCCGTGTCTCCAATCCAACCGAAAGCAACATCGTCAATCTTACTGAATTGAACACTCCAATTACCACTAGCGGGTGCTCTGAAAAAGAATTCAACAACAAGAACCTTCAAGTTGGCCTTTGTTTCCTTCATACCGGGTTGATAGTCGGGCAAATACAAGGAGGACGGGAAGACCATAGACTCACCGGTGTTAATCTTACCGGTAAAAAGAGCATCCTCCTTCAAATTGGAAGATCCGAAGTATGCCGGGCGATCAAATGACTTTGCGTAACAATGACCTGTGGTACCAAACTCCTTCCAATCGGGAAGGGTGTAGTTATAGATGGCATAATTCATACCCAAAATACCACTGCAGGCAGCTGTAGGAACGTACACAACCTCAGTGGGTGTACCATCGCTCGAAATTGTGGTGGTTGAGCCAACCGAGCCAGTTGTTATGAAAGTCGTGAAAGTTGTAGGTGTGGGAACAACAACGACTACAGTACCTGACACGGAACCAGAAGGTTGGATTGTAGTTGATGTGAACGTTGAACTGCCCGAGGAGATTGTTTGAGTAACAGTTCCAGGGTTAGTAGGCTCAACAACGATAACAGTACCGTTAACAGATCCGCTGGCAGGAATGGTAGAAGTGTAACCGACGAAACCAGAAGTGGTGGTTTGAGTAACAGTTCCAGGTTTGGTAGGTTCAACAACAATTACAGTACCGTTAACAGATCCGCTGGCGGGAATGGTAGAAGTGTAACCGACGAAACCAGAAGTGATAGTTTGAGTAATAGTTCCGGGGTTGGTAGGCTCAACAACAATCACAGTACCGTTAACAGATCCGCTGGCGGGAATGGTAGAGGTGTAACCAACGAAACCAGAAGTGATGGTTTGAGTGATAGTTCCTGGGTTGGTGGGCACGATGACATCAACGGTAACTGTACTTCCATTGATAGGACGAGTGGAAGTATAGCCGAAGTTGCCAGACACAATAGTGTTGGTAACAGTGGTGGGATTTACAGGCACAATAACCTCGACTGTCGTTGTGCTTCCGCTAACAGGAAGAGTAGTTGTCAAACCAACAGTACCTGAAGTAATAGTCTCAGTCACGATAGCGAGGTTGGCGGGAACAACAACGCGAACAGTGGTGGTACTACCATTCACGGGCATAGTAGTCGTCAAACCTACAGTGCCAGAGGTAACTGTTTCAGTCACAACAGCGGGCTTTGTAGGGACAATGACGGCGACAGTTGTAGTGCTTCCGCTAACGGGGAGCGTGGTAGTATAGCCGATAGAGCCAGAGGTAAGAGTCTCAGTTACGGTCTTAGCATTGGTGGGAACGACAACCTCAACAGTAGTTGTGCTACCATTCACAGGAAGTGTAGTAGTATAACCAATGGAACCAGAAGTGACGGTCTCAGTGACGACAGCGGGATTAGTAGGGACGAAGACTTCAACGGTGGTAGTACTGCTGCTGACTACAGTGGTGGTGTAAGCAACAGATCCAGAAGTGATTGTTTCAGTAACAATGGCGGGGTTAGTAGGAACGACAACTTCAACCGTAGCTGTGCTTCCACTAATAGGAAGCAAAGTGGTGTAAGCGACGCTACCAGACGTAACCGTTTCAGTAACGGTTACGACGTTCGTAGGAACAACAACCTCAACAGTAGTTGTGCTACCATTCACAGGAAGTGTAGTGGTATAACCAATAGAACCAGAAGTGACGGTCTCAGTGACGACAGCGGGATTAGTAGGGACGAAGACTTCAACGGTGGTAGTACTGCTGCTGACTACAGTGGTGGTGTAAGCAACAGATCCAGAAGTGATGGTTTCGGTAACCACAAAGGGGTTAGTGGGTACGACAACTTCAACAGTGGTAGTACTACCACCAACAAGAGTTGTAGTGAAACCAACACTTCCCGAAGTAATAGTCTTAGTCACAAGATTAGCGTTCGTACCGTTGTTGGTGGAAATAGTCGTGTAAACAACGCTGCCAGAAGAAATAGTCTCTGTGGCAGTGGTGGGGACAACAACAGTACTGTTGTTTCCAAAACGAGTGGTAGTATACACGGCGCCATTAGAAGTAACGGTTTCTGTCACAGTGCTTCCATTCACATACTTGGCGGAGGTGTAAACAGCACCGCTGGAAGTAACGGTTTCAGTAACAACACCGTCTGCTGACTTCTGAGATTGCAAGTCAGTGTATGTTTGGGTTACAGCCTCAGTGACAGTCTTGGTAGTGGGGACCTTAATAACGACAACGTCGGTCTCGGTCGTCGTGGTGAACACTGTACCCTCGGTGACCGTAACAGTGGGCTTAACAACAGTAGTAACGTATGTAACCTGAGTTAAGGTACTCGTCATGACAGACTTACCTCCCCAGAATCCTTTGGTAACAGTGATAGGGGAAGCAATTGTCTCTGTAATGGGAATAACAGTCGTCTCTGTGACATAGGTTACGGTAGGAGAACAGATGACTGTTTCGGGAACAGTCTTTGTAAGAGTAACAACGGTAACAGTTGGAACATCGGTGACAGTAACGGTTTCCGTACCCAAGGTAATAGTTGTAGGCGTGCTACATGTTACTGTTGTAGGAACCTCAATTGTGGTGTAGTATGTCGAAGTAAGGGTATAGGTGACTGGAGCACCAAGAGGAGCCGATCCCTGAGCGGGATTATCGTTTGCAGATCCCCCGCTAGGAGAACCTGGGGTAACTGCGGGGTTGTATACATAAACTTGAGTCTCATAACAGCTGCAGCTAGGAGCGTAGCTGGAGCTGTAAACAGTAGTAGGACGCGAGGCAGTCTCGGTAAAAACAGAATTCGTCACAGTCTCGTACACTGTGCTGGCAGGGCACGTCTCAACGGTCGTAACAACCGATGTGGATTCAGGGCATCCACATGGCACTGTGTAAACACCAGGAGTGGTGAAGTACGAGTACTCGGTAAAGGTAACGGGAACATTGGATGTTATCTGAGGAGCGGCACAGAGTTCAGTTACTGTGTCAGTCTTAGTAACAGTGTAGTTTGCGTGGACTGTTTGAGTGACAGTGCAGGAAGCAGCATCCCTGTCGTAAAGTCCATGACGAGGAACGGCCTCAATGCTGGTACTCAGCAGCGACGCGAAAAAGATGAAAAGCGCTTGGGCTCTCATCCGCGAAAAGGAAATTGAGCTCGGTGCCATTGGGAAACTTGACCGTTGTGATGATGAAACAAGGACTAACAGAACTGCATTTATAGCCTTGGATTATCTTCAATTTCCGGAATTTGCAGAATACTCCTAGTTTCGGTTTCTCGTAAACGACCGCTACTTTCTCATTCTATTGGGGGAACCGAAATGGAGGGAAAACGGAACACGCGAATCCCTGAGATTTGCTTGAAGCAGGTCATTGGCATAACCTAACCTACCGAATCATCGGCCGCTTACTGTTTCATTCATTTTTGACTCGTATCTAGCTTTTAATGCGAATTGTTTTTCTCTATGGTATTGAAATTTAGGGTCTCAAAAATTAATAACGAGAAGTTGTCCAGTTCAGTATTTACATGGGGGTTTCTGATAGAAAGCGAGCTCGTTTAGCTTGTTTAGACATCGCTTTTTCTTTTAGTAATCTGTCACGTTCTCGCTAAGCAGCAAAAATTGTATAACCTAAGTTTACCGTCTTTTTCGCTAAATACGCTAGCGAAAAAAAAAATTGCGGTTGAGAATATATTGAGTCCAGAATAATTCGAAAACAAGGGGCAGTTGTAAGACTGATGAGACATTGTTTGCTCAGATATCAGCTTTAAACGCGACCATTGGTGCCCATTGAGGGCTAGCGTATCAGACAGGAGTGAACCCCGGAAATCGCTAGTATAGGGAAGGTGATCATGTTCTGATCATGAGCTAGGGGGGTCCAACTTCGCTTAAACTAACTATATCGTAGCGAAGCGAAATTCACTTGCGAATGAACTATAATGAATATCTGAATGAAGCGCATAGTGAGTACAAATAGCTTCAAAAAATCCGTAAAAGAAGCTCAATTTAATTGTCTTCAGCTGAAAAGAGCGCTGATAATTTTATTATGGTTTTTGGAATTACATTGACGATTAAGATCAACGTTAACTCGTAAGATTTAGGTGTTGAACACAATATTTGGAAGTATGGGGGAGCGTGACCACGGGGGGTAACCCGTAGGTTGCATTTATTTTTCTGTAACCAAACTAGGAGAAGGGATCAATTGGTGAGGTGATACACTTAGTAGATTACAGCAGTCCGCGATTTCAATGAACGACTTGACATCGCTGATTTTGATGATATGAAAGAATCAGGGAATTGGATGTTCTCTTGTTTGTTCCTCAGCTTGTTATCTTAATGCTTAACACATAGAGAGTCCAAATATTCCTTCAATATCTAGAAAATTATTTACAATGTATGATTATTAACTTAGGACTCTCATAGTCTATTCTGTATACATAATTTCCTAAAACTCTACGCTTTTCTCAATATTGAGAGAGACTTATAATTAACTTACAGACAAACGCTTTTGCCAATGTGATGGAAACCAAAATCGCTGCACTTCGCTAGAAACAAAGTTCTAGAAAACAGTTGGACATGAACTTAGAGGATGTGTCTTCGTTTTATTATGAATTGATATCAGCTCCTTTTAAAACCATAAAACAATACTTAAATGCAGGATATATTTAGACAGAGGACTATTTCAGAGCAGCTGGTCAAGTGACTGTAATACGTTGTAGCGTTCTTTACAGAAACTAATTATATTATATACTGTTTTAAGAATTACGATACCAACAGTTGGTAAATATCTAGCACTTGATTGTAACGGCTAGTGTGCTGCAAACTTTTTTTCATTTTATTTTCAATATATGTTTTATTCGTCTAAATTTTACTGATAGACCAAAAATAACATACGAGTCACAAAATTGAGCTGAATCATGGAAATGGATTTCATTTTATTATTGAATGGAACGAGTAAGCAACATGACAATTTCAAACGTTTTTCATTTTTTAGCACATCTTAGGTAATTCGTTAAACCCGACTTACTATGTAAACTAATGAATTTTCATATAACATGCGAATTTTTTTTTAAGTTTGTGTAAGATATGGTATCTATGATGATAGCGGTCATATATTTACTAAAATTGAAATCATACTATGTTAGGAATTAATTAAGCCGCACATGACACGCTTCTATGAGAACCAACTTCGCGCTACCAATGATTTTCTGTATTGGCTCTGCTATGTGGATTGACTTCGTAAAAACGAGCAATGTTATTGAAATTGATATTTCTACGCAATTCTACTTACGAAACACCAAGACTTTCTCTTGTACTAAATAGGGTTTTAACCCTCAGTTATAATGCAAAGGTCTTGTACTCTGAATAGATCAGCTGTATTCTATAAATCAGCTATTTACACAAACTACAACAATGCGCGATAATACACTTTGGTGAAGGTCATGGGCCTTCGTAATGTAACGTAGTGCAAGCCAGTACTCAAAATGCAGTTTCGATGTAAGCACGGGTTGGACAGTTGATCGCCAGTTGTAAACTTGTCAAGTGTTATAATACTTGTTACTGTATTAATTAGACTAAAAAGAACCGGTCCAAGGGAAATTTTCGCAAGTAAATACAATACATTCAGAGGTACGTTAACTATTATTCTATCATAATTAATTAAATAACAGTGTTGTTCTAATTGTTTTCCTTCGTTATTCATTTACTCTAACTATTAGGTAACCAATAAATCAGTAACAATGATTTTTTGCATTGAATAATTGGGTCCTCGGATCCTCACAAAGATATAGAGAATCAACAATGAAGAAAACAATATATTATGCATGGGTTAAACTGAAATTTCTTTAATAGTACTAATTCAATGGAATTTGCACACATGCAATAACATCCCTTCTTTAAAGCATTCACTTTATATTCACTATTGTATGTCAGCGCCGAATCTCAACGATTCTTGTCCAGACTACACTTCTGAATGTATATTCCAAAGACTAGTTCCATTTTATAAGCATTGCTTAAACCGGATGCTACTCTCCATTAAAGGCAATTATTTCTCCGCGAACAAGTAAGAACCAACAGTCCTCCGAAGCGGCCCAGTCAATCCAGCCCTTACTAATTGCTTTGAGCTCCTCTGGTTTTGCGATTTTATTTGTTAAAACGGTTTGGTAAAAACGCGATTTAAGGATGCGTTCGGCCCAAAGAGAAGACCACCATTTAATGTCTTCCTCGTCGCAAAAAAGTGTAGTACTACTTCCCTTGAGAATTTTGTCAGGCCGGAATCCTGCTCTTCTTGCCCATCGATGAAGATACTTCCCCGCGTTTGGCTCGCCGCCGTTTGCATATGCGACAGCGCTATAAATTCGCTGCCATTGAGACATATTGGCCGTTTCAGGACACCATGCGAAAGCAGCTAGAATACTCTCCCGAGCCGCCACAAAACCGCTCTCTGATTTGGCGAACGACTTCATCAATGTGAGACACTCAACTGGATCTTTTACGTATTGCAAGACTTGGTGTGCAAAGACCATGTCAAAATTGTTTTTTGGTTGCTGCAACGTGTGAATATCACCAACTTCAAATTGTACATTTTTGATTTTCGCCCTCCGAGCATTCTCTTCGGCTATGTTGATTACGTCTTTCGACATATCAATTCCTATGACTTGTGCTTGAGGAAGCATACGAGCAAAGTCAATCGTGATTGTTCCTGGACCACAACCAATGTCTAGTATTCGCATTCCATCTTTAAGGAATGGCAGTACGAACGCCGCAGAGTTTCTTACAGTTCTTTTGGAATGAGATCGTAAAACAGATGGATGGTAACCATGTGTGTAAATATTTCTCAACATTCTGTTACACTGTAATTGTAGTCAATTGATGCAATTATTTATAGGAAACCCTTTTGCTGCATTTCATCGATTACGTCATGAAACAGCATCAAAAAACTCGCGAAAAGCCTATTAATGTTGAGCGAGTTCAATTAGTTTAAGCAATACTCGCAGTAACCAATAAAAATGAACGAAGAAATGAAAACTTACAGCAAAGCGATAGCAATTATGAAAGATCTGTACTAAACACTGTACTCTTATAATAAAGAGACACCAAAACCACTGCCAATGTGTTTGTGAACAGTTGGACAAGATTTAGATAGCTTCAGTATGTTAACCTGTTGAAGTCTCCTTCCTCCTAAGTTTATGCAAGCATGGCTCCATTACACATATGTACTAGAAGATGCACTTCAACGTCATTGAAGCCGTACCATTTTACGTCAGCAACAAGTCAAGAAAGTGATTAGAATGAATTGCATTACACGTTACTAAATATCTTGTTTCTAAGAAATTGCGGTACAAAAAAAGCCGTAGTCCTTTAATCACGCACGGATAATTTAATAAAGACCTTTAGTTCTACTGCGGGGTTGTTTCTGTATGTAACCAATTCTCGGATGTGGTACTTTCCGATCAGGTGTGAAAAAGTTTAAGCCATCATAGTTGGTGAAATCTCGTTGAAGAAAGTCAACCTCGTGTTAAAGATTAGCTTTGTTGTGCTTGCGAATTGACAAGTGTGAGAAAGAATACTCCAGCAACTAAGTAGTGTAATTAATCAATCCCTATACAAATAAACTCAAAGTGTCGTCCAACAAAATAGTTTGCGGCCGACGTCATATAATGAAAACACCTTAACTATTCGACAAAATTTCGCACAAACGTCATAATGCGAAAAGTTATCAAGCTTATTCCTATGTTTTTCTTTTTTTTCATAATTATTAACAGCACATGCTTCGTGCGAACATTTACTTCGATGCACATTTTTAGCATGAGAGATTTACAGGGATATCGGCTATTGGGAATGATAATACCCACGTCCATAAAGCGGATCTAAGTAACATGCTTCTTTAACAATAGAGTATTCATTTGATATGATGTAATATCACTCCTGAAAGGCCCTTCGGATTTTTTAACTCAAAAACTGCCCGTGAACCCTTTGTCACTGTTCTTTTGCTTTGAGGCGGGCTTGCGGGGCCCCGCCCAACGCCCTATGTAATCATTACTATTATTTTCTATTTGTGGAGTTGCGGGGAACTTGACCGGTTTTAGCCAATCAGTGCTGTATATTTTTACGTAAGTATTTGATTAGCTCGAAGATTAACGGAGAAGCTAAAATCAAATCCACCTATGATTGGCTGCTAGAACATTAAGAGGGCACACCACCAAAAGCTTGTCGCATAACCGAAAAGCGGAGCGGCAGGCCCGTCGAAGATTCACGGCATTGCCGATTGCACGCGACCAGGCAAATGATTCAAAAATAATGTATAAATACTAGCGATTGAACGTTGCATTTCTTCAGAGAATCAATTCAATCAACAATGAAAACATTGCAGCTTCTTGGCAGCTTTTTAGCTGCGGGCTGTATATATTTTGGACAAGTCGCAACTGCATTACCAGCATCGACTTCAACCTTTACAAGCGCAGGTACAACAACAACAGGTACTGCATTCGAATCGGATGCATACAGCTTGTCTGATGAAGGAACCTCAACTTCAACGAGCTGGCGCGCATGGCCTACTTTGGATCCTAAGTTGGACGTTGGACGCGCTGTCGCCCCTTCTTTCAACTTGACATATCTTGGAAGCTCATGTACGGGCTACAAGGTTATGAATGTTTCCGAGAGCTCCACCGGTGTGCAAGCGACGCTTCAATTGCGCGGTGATGCGTGCTATGCTTACGGCACGGATTACAAATATTTGCAATTGAACGTCAGCTATGAGACGGAGGATAGAATTCATGTTGGTATTTACGATACTGATAGAAAACAATTCCGTTTCAGTGAGCGAGAGGATATCTGGGATGCTCCCCTTTATCATGATGCTTCTTACCCTAAGGATCGCAAATATGCATTCCACTACAATGAGGACCCATTTGAATTCTGGGTCACTCGTACTTCGGACAATGATACACTCTTCGATACTCGCGGTCAAAAACTTATCTTTGAGGATCAATACATTGAACTGACTACAAACATGGTTCAAAACTACAACATTTATGGTCTTGCCGAAACAATTCACGGTCTTCGTCTTGGTAACAACATCACAAGAACCCTCTGGACGAACGATGAGGCCAGTCCGTTGGATGGTAATATGTATGGAAACCATCCATTTTATCTTGAGCACCGTTATGCAAACCAGACAAATTCTGGTAAGGCTTCTTCTCATGGTGTTCTTTTGCTTTCGTCGACTGGTATGGATATTCTCCTCCGTGAGGACTATCTCCAGTACCGTGTTATTGGCGGTGTTGTCGATTTGTACGTCTTCGCCGGTGGCTCTAATGGCCCTAAGGATACCATTTCATCTTACGTAAATGCCATTGGTTTACCTGCTATGCAACAATACTGGACACTTGGTTTCCACCAATGCCGCTGGGGTTACCAAAACATTTCTCAGCTTGAGGAAGTAGTTGAGAATTACGAAAAAGCCGGTATTCCTCTTGACACTATTTGGTCTGATATTGACTACATGTATAAATGGCGCGATTTCACCATTGACCCAATTTCCTATTCTGGTGAACAATTCCGTACCTTCTTTGGTAATCTTTCAGAAGCGCACAAGCATTATGTTCCAATTGTTGATGCTGCTGTTTATGCCGCAAACCCATCCAACAAGTCTGATGATACCTACTATCCTTTCTACAATGGTGTTGAGGAAGACATTTTCCTTAAGAACCCTGATGGTTCCTTATACATTGGTGCGGTTTGGCCCGGTTACACTGTCTTCCCTGACTTCATCAACCCTAATGTTACAGAGTACTGGAAGAATGCCTTGTATAACTGGTCTCGTCAAATGACAGATGAGGGTCTTGGCTATGATGGTCTTTGGCTTGACATGAACGAAGCCTCTTCGTTCTGTATTGGCTCTTGTGGTACTGGAAAGCTTGATCAGAATCCTATCCGTACACAAGTTACTCTTCCTGGTGATATGTACGACTATAGTTTTGAATTCCCTGAGGGCACTGAGTACACGAATGCTTCGGAGTACCAAGTTGCCATGCAAGGTCAAAAATTGCAAGACGCCGCTACAAGCACTGCCGTTGTTATCCCCACTGCATCCCCCTCTACCAAGGCAAAGAAGAGTGAGGACCGTAACATCAATTACCCTCCCTACGCCATTGACAATGAACAAGGCAATCATGACATTTCTACTCATGTTTTGGGTGTGAACGCTACATCGTATGATGGAACTGCCCGTTATGATATTTTCAATATGTTTGGCTACGGTGAAACAAAGGCTTCTTACAAGGCCATGCTTGAGTTGGCTCCCAATGTTCGACCTTTCTTGATCCCTCGTTCTACATTCGTTGGCTCTGGTGCTTACGCTGCACATTGGCTTGGTGACAACCATTCTAAGTGGTCCAACATGTTCTTCTCTATCCCTGGAGCAATGATTTTCAACATGCTTGGTATTCCCATGGTCGGTCCCGATGTTTGTGGTTTCATCGGTAACAGTAACTATGAATTGTGTTCTCGTTGGATGGCGATGGGTGCATTCTTCCCCTTCTATCGTAACCATAACACTCTTGGCGCTATTAGCCAGGAAGCCTACATTTGGTCTTCCGTTGCTGAAGCCTCCCGACGTGCCATGAAGATTCGTTATGCTATGCTTCCTTATTGGTACACCTTACTTTACCAGGCCCATGCTGAAGGAACTCCTGTTTTCCGTCCCATGTTCTTTGAATTCCCTGATGAACCCTCTCTTTCTGACGCTTCTCGTCAATTCATGGTCGGCGATGCCTTCCTCGTTACTCCCGTTTTGGAGCCTAACATGACTACTGTTGACGGTGTTTTCCCTGGCGATAACTCTACCGCCTGGTATGATTGGTATTCTCATGAAGCTGTCAACCGTCAATACAACCAAAATGTCACCCTTGATGCGCCCTTGGAGCATATCAATGTCCATATCCGCGGTGGCAATGTCATTCCCCTTCAAGAGCCTGGTATGACTACTTTTGAAACTCGTAACAACCCTTGGGCGCTTCTTGTTGCTCTTAGCCCCAATGGCAATGCCGACGGTTTCTTGTACGCTGACGATGGTGTTTCTATTACTCCTAATGCTACTCTCAGTGTGTCTTTCAGTGCTCTCAACAATACCCTTTCAACTTATGTCAGCGGTACCTATGCTGTTGAACAACCCCTTGCCAATGTTACTGTTCTTGGAGTTTCTTCTGCTCCTCAGTCCGTCTTTTTCAAGGGACAGAACATTTCTTCTTACGAGTACAACAATGATAAGCAAGAGCTTGTCATTACGAACCTCGCCAACTTGACTTCCCAAGGTGCTTTCAGCCAAAACTGGACTTTGACTTGGTAATTTTTTTAACGCTTTACACGCATTAGTATGAATATTATGAATTAATGTTCTGTTTCTTTTTTATTAAAAGGCTCTGTATGAGGTGTTTCCTATTCTTTAATAAATTGGATTTGGGGTGTAAAAAAAGACAATAGGCAATTGCTACAGCAACACGAATGATTTCACAGAAATGAGAAAAACAAAAGCTGTCGCGAATCTCTCCGTAAGAGGGTCCGCCTGGGAGAATCCCATCGCAACCGTACTGCTTCTAACCCGGAGCTAGGGTGCGTTGTTGCCAACCTCCCCCGGTAACCCCATGTTTAACTCTCTGCGTATACAGTAGCTACCCCCTGCAACACAGAAGAGATTAGAAGATCGATTGCGAGACTCGAACCCCTTGATACGGGCCCCTCTGCCTTTGGAAAGCATTCCGCTTCAGCCAGGCCACTACAGCTTGGACGTCACGGAACCATTGGCCTTATGCCATGGACTCCATGCACTTTTGGAAACCTGGCGATGAAGCAGCCAAACGAACGGCAAGCTTCCGCCCAAACAAACGGATGAGCGGAAGAGAAACAGTGATCACATTGTTTCTCTCTAAACAATTCTATAATCAACAAGCTCCGCAAAGCCTGGAACTTCTGCCTTATTGAAATCTTGTGATTCACTAATAAGCAATCACAATTTCTAAGATATTATCAGCTACATAAATAATATAAATACTTGTAAGTTCAATTGCTAGAAAGCCGTTGAACACTTACAAGCTTATTCAGCATTTAACTTTCAATTCCCATTTTCGCAATTATCCAATTAAGGTTCGGTTAAGCGAACCAAGTTAACAACTGAGTAAGTGGTTTCAATCACCGTTTGAAGCCAAATAAGAATTAATCTCTTGAACCAAAGTAACCAGGCAATCGAACTGTGACATTGGAAGTTGCTACGAATAGTACATCTTAAACTCAATGCTCGAAACTCGGTTGTCTTGATGGGATATAATATTCGACGCATAATTGTAGTGTGAAAAGATAAAAGAAATAACTACTTATTTTCAAACAAACTCTTGTCGTTATATTAAAGATTAATAACTCGTAAGATTATCTCATGTAACAAAATCATCAAATAATATAAATCTCTACCTAACAAATCATTGCAAAACAACATTGCTGAAAATTGAAAGTCGCGAAGCTGTTTAACTCGTAAATCTCAGAGTTTATTACTATCAGTACCACAAGCAGATATCACCAGAAAATAATTGACCTAGCTATTACCAACAAGATCTTTTCTTGGTCCACCCAATGCTTTTCAAGCAAGAACTTACATTAATAAAAACAAGCTCGTATTTTATTCGCGTAACAACAGTAAACAAACAAAAAAAAAAAAAAAAATCGACATATAAAAGCAACTAAGTTCATCACTTAGTATATAACATTCCTCATTAGGGATTTTCGTTTAAAATGCTTCTTCAAAGATTTGCTTTACCTCATCGTGAGTAGGTTGGATTGGATTTGAGAAGGTGCTTGCGTCGTGCATGGCATTCGTAGCAAGCATATCGAAGTCCTCACGCTTTACACCAAGATCTTTGAGATGAACAGGAATACCGACTCGTGCAACCATGTCCTGAAGGAATTGAACGGCGCCCTCGGCCGTGTGTTCCGAGGCCCCCAAGTATTCAGCTACGGTTGCCAGACGATCAGCCGCGACTTTAGCGTTGAAACGTTGGACATGAGGAAGTAAGACAGCATTGCAAACACCATGAGCGATGTTGTAAGTACTGCCAATCTGATGAGCCATAGCATGAACATAACCCAAACACGCAGTGTTAAAAGCCATTCCAGCCAAGAATTCTGCGTAAGCCATCTTTTCCCGAGCTTCTTCGTCGTTTCCATTTTTTACGGCACGCTCCAAGTACTCGGCACACAATTTCATGGACTGTAAGGAGCACGCATCGCTAATTGGATTGGCCAATGTTGAAACATAGGCCTCGACAGCATGGGTCATGGCATCCATACCAGTTGCCGCCGTTAAGCTTGCAGGCATACCATACATCAATTCCGGGTCATTTACAGATAACATGGGGGTAATGTTTTTATCGGCCATGGCCAATTTGAGGTGGTTTGTTTCTTCGGTAATCACTGCGAATTGAGACATTTCACTAGCTGTACCAGCGGTTGTGTTGATAGCGATAAGAGGTAGTTGAGGCTTCTTAGACAAATTCATCCCCATGTAGTCCAAGATTTCACCTCCATTAGTTGCAAGCAAAGCAATACCCTTAGCACAGTCGTGTGGAGAACCGCCTCCCAAAGAGACAATGGCATCGCTATCAGCTTTGCGAGCAATTGCTAAACCGTCGTTCACATTTGAAACAGTAGGATTGGGTTGGACCTTGCTGTAGACTTCTACCTTCATGTCGCGTTCTTCCAACATCTTTTTAACTTTATCTGACAGACCAAGCTTGACGATTCCCTCATCTGTCACAATGAGAATGCTTTTAAAACCCGCATCCTTAATTTGGTCCATAGCCTGGACTAAAACTCCTTTACCAAATAGGTTGCATGGAGGCATACAAAATGCAACGGCAGACATTTTTTAATTTTAACAACGAGAAAACTTACTAATAAGTAGAGCCTTCAGAAAAACAAAGAAAAAAGGTTATGCTTCAGGGCGTAGCACCAGACATTATATACAATTTTCTTTCCATCGGGAACGGGTGGAAGATACACGTTACTTCCTATTTGTTTCACTCCCTGAGAAGAACGAGTCTTTATTGCCTGTATTTCCATAAAAAGATTGCCCTTGTTATGTCACAGATTATAAGACGACAAGATCGCTTATTCCCCGCTTATCGTCTTCTGTAATGAAATGCGACAAATACCGAAACAGGTATATTACACCGTAGTAGATAAATTGGAATTAGTTAACGATGGATAAAAGCAGAAGAAAAGAAATGAACGCTGAATCAACAGCCTAACGGTCATAAATGTACATATCAATCAGTATAGTTTTATTATTACTCCACGATAGAATAATTAAAGGAAATATATGTTCATGTAATAATATTATGAGTTGTATTCCTATGGTCACCTCAATGACTAGCGACGGCCAACCAGCTGATGGATAAAAAAATCATTGGTAGAATCATGTTCAATTCTTCCTTGGTTATTTAGCAAATCCCATATCAAACAGATGACATTTAGAGGACATAGCATGGAACAATTCTATTTAATTCATCTTTCCATTGTTGTTCTCGACTTTCACTCATGACTTTTTAAATCATGTTTCCATTTTCTTTACCAATAATTAACCTTCTTACGGGTTAAAATGATTGGTGTTTCAAACAACCACCGGGTAGAGACCGTCGGGTGTTTTCTGCATACAAATCACCTGTCATATAAATAAAAAAAAACTTTACAGAGTATTAACGATAATATTCTTCACCCTATAGTTTAATCAAATTTTGAAGCACAAGGACCGCAAAGGACCAACTATGACAGAATAATTGTAATAAAATAAAAGCATAATTATGCTAGAAGTTTGCCGCTGTTAACCCAAGTTTACGGCGGTAATAAAAGTTACTAATTTATAAATGTGTTTACTCTCATAATCAAGCAGAACATAGATATACCCCTGTTATCAGTTTAATTTATTATTCATTACTTTACCGGTTCTTGAGTAACAGCGGTTTATCCGTTGATTCTTTCTTGGATGACTATATAATGATGTATATACGGTCCGTTAATAAGCATCAGAATTGCACTGTTTGCCGTTGAACTTGGTTCCATGTTGCTTACATAATGTAGTTACATAATACTTCTCACATAATTTTGCTTACATAATTTGCTACATTGCATATATAATAAGAAAACCACGATGCCCGATGTCCAGTTTATACAAGTTAAAATTAAAAGTAAGCCCAAAACATGTCGACGAAAGCAAGAGCAGCCGGTACAGTAACCATCGGAAGTGACTTGACCGTAAACAGAATGGGCTTTGGAGCCATGAAAATTACTGGTGACGGTATCTGGGACATGCCAGCAGACAAGGAAAAAGCGCTGGACACGTTGCGGACACTGCCCAAGTTGGGAGTTAACTTCATTGATACAGCCGACGCTTACGGCCCCGAAACAAGTGAGAACTTGATTCGTGAGGTCTTGTACCCTTATAAAGGTCTCGTTGTATCCACGAAGGGTGGTCTTACTCGACAAGGACCAGGTAAATGGAGACCTGTTGGTCGCCCAGAGTTACTGAGACAGTGCGTCTTAATGAGTTTACGTCGTCTCGGTCTCAAACAACTGCCTCTCTGGCATCTTCATCGAATTGATCCAAAGGTGCCCCGTGAAGATCAATTTAGCGAGATTCGAGATATGCAGAAAGAAGGCCTCATTCGTCACGTCGGTCTCAGTGAGGTTACAGTCGCCGATATCAAGGAAGCTGAAAAGTATTTCCCCGTTGCAACCGTGCAGAACATGTATAACATTGTGACACGTAAGCACGAAGCCGTCCTCAAATACTGTGAGGAAAACAATATCGTGTTCATCCCCTGGTTTCCACTTGCGTCCGGTGAATTAGTTAAACCTAACAGCTTTTTGCACAATGCCGCAACCCAACTTAACTGCAGCCCTGCACAGGTGTGCCTTGCTTGGCTTCTACATCATTCCCCAGTTATGCTTCCGATTCCTGGAACAACCTCTGCAAAGCATCTTCAAGAGAATTTTGCCGCTGCTGAGATTCGGATTCCTGAGAAGTTGTACAAAGAACTGGACGAATGGGGTAAGAAGGCTGAAGATACACCATATCCTCCCGAGTAATTAATGCATAATTGTTCCAGAAGTACGCAGACGAGAGAAGTCATACTTAACTGGATCTTTTACGTTAATGCACGCTAGATTTTTAAAGAATTCTTCAAACAGAACGGAAAAAGGGTGACCATCATTGTTGAGGATAACGCTAGCAGTTATGATGAAGAAGTATTGTTTATTTGCCTTATGAATGCGATCGCGTCGTCATTTAGGGATTGGATATATAACAGCGACCCCTCCTAGAACTCTAGCATTAACACATTGTAAAAAAATTCAAGAATGTCGTTAAAGACCTAAAACTTCGAATATTTCGAATAAAGATTGAGAGTAATGGGAGATAAAACATTAAAGCGCAAAAATCAATCACACACATAATGACTTCTTCAATAATAGCACAAGGAAGAATAAACGGTAGTCATGACAAGCGTTCACGTACAAAATGTTCGCAACCGCAGAAGTGTTTAAGCATGCCATCTAAGTAACGAAATCCGAACAGAAACAGTTTTGTTTCATTGGGCACATAAGTTGTCGGCGAGAAACGTCAGAACATTAACCGCATACATACAATAGAGTTTTGGAATTCTAGCATTTATTTGCTAAAATGAAGTTTCGCAAGTTTTTCGCCCCCTAAATAACATTGGCTAAAGAAGTATCATTGGGATTCGGATCAGAAACGTTTTCGACGTATCCGACCGTTTGACCCTGAGGGCCCGCGCGAGACTTTTCCAAAGCCTCTTCCTGTTCACGACCGAACTCGTCCAAGTTGTCCGGTCGAGGAAGCCAAGGCTTACATCCTGAAGCGTACAAGGCATCAATCTCCTCAAGAGTAAGACCTTTCGTTTCATGTGCAAATAGGAAGATAACAACAGCCCCTGCAAGGTTGCATGAGGCAAAAATATAACCATACCTGAACCCGATTGAGCTAGTGATAAACGGGGTGAAGAAAGAGATCAAAAAATTCCAAATCCAGTTGCCAGATGTAGCAACAGCAGCACATTTCGAACGGTAACGCACGGGATACGATTCACCGATAATAACATAAGCAGCGGGAGCCCAGGTTTGGGCATACGCGAAAATAAACAAACAAGAAAACACAATCATTACAGCACCAGCGCGATGGTTGGAAGTACCATTTTTTCGGTAAAGAGCGCGATCGCCCACAGCAGCATAAATGAAAAAGCAAATAGACTGCCAAACACCACCAATAATAAGTGGATTACGACGACCAAAAACCTCGAGGACGTAAATTGCGCCGAACGTACACCCACAATTGACAGCGTCCAGAATTATGGCTGCCAAATAAGGAGAGTTCATTCCCGTACCTTTAAACACTTGAGTTCCGTAATAGAAGTAATAATTGGCACCGGTAAGTTGCTGAAAGCCCATGACAGCAATACCCAAAAATGTGCGATAACGAATTTTCTTGCTGAACACTTCTGACCACGTACAAGGTCCGCCAGCGAGTTCAGCTTCACAGTCAGACTTAATGATGTGATACTCTGCTTGAATAACTTCATCCCCAACAGGAAGGTCGTTATTCTTGGACATCACCTGGAGTGCTTCGTCGTCTTTTCCAATAGCAATCAAGTATCTTGGCGATTCCGGTAAATACATAATACCAAAAAGCATAATAAGTCCCCAAAGTAAGTTGATACCAATGGATACACGCCATTGGGCCGTCCGTTGGAGCTTGTGGGTGCCCATATTAATACAGGCCGCAATGAAAATACCCATAGTAATGAATAACTGATATGTTGTCACGATGGAACCACGAAGTGATGCGGGTGCAACCTCTGACTGATAACTTGGAGCCACCACAGACAAGGCGCCAATTCCAATACCGGTCCAAATTTTAGCAACCATGAATTGAACCCATGAGGGCACAGTAGTTAATTGAACAATTACACCTATCAGATACACAACAGTCCAAATAATGATCGAAACACGTTTTCCAAGTTTGTCGGCCACAGGCGAAGATAAGATACAACCGGTGAAGGAACCCAAATTAACCATACCAGTTAGCAAGCCCTGTCGAGCATTGGAATATGTGTAAGTGTCCGTTATAGGATCATATCGATCTGCATAACGACTCTGAAAATCTCGCATATTAGTAATTCCGCCAATGGAACCCGTGTCTGCTCCAAACATCCAGCCGGCCATAGACACGAAAACGAGCATAATAATGGTTAATGACTTCCCCATTTTAAGCAGCCAAACTTTACACGTATTTCACGCGTGAATAATTTTGTTAGGGAAACGATATAAGATTACACAGGGAGAGACTCCCAATAGTGATACAGATGAGCTGGAACAAGGTATATCAATAGCGACGAAAAGCAAATCAACGCGGCACTTATACCTTTCCTCAAAGCAAGGGAGCGGTTCGAAAGAAAATAAAAGCGGCAATTACAGAATGGGGTATACAGTGTACGGGAGAAGCGCCCTCTCACAATATTCTTTAAGTGAGAACAGACAAAACGTCTTCAGGAATAATGGTACACGATGAAATGGGAAAGATATAGGTTCCTGTTACAAGAACAAAACCAAACCTGAAATGCGGCAGCTGATTTAGCAGTTCAAATACTGCATATCCAAAGTTTATATAGAAACCGAAGACCCGTCATTCAAGGAATTGAGCTACCAACCACAGGAACAATCATTTGTCCATGGCCACCTGAAACGAAGCTTCGAGCGATGTAATTGGAGCTCAAACCGAAAACGGAAAACCCGTCCAATGAATTCCAACATGCTGCATCGCAACAGCGGAAGAAAACGTCACCTCCCCAGATTGACAAACCCAACCGCAGGACTGGCACATACCCCCCCAATCGAGCTTGTAAAGGGAATAAAAAATGAATGTTATACTTTTAAGAGAGACGAAACACACCTTAAAAGAACACAATTAATTCATAACCGATCAAAACGTTGGAGCAGCCGTTTTAAACACAAATTGACGCTGTTGTATCAGCCAATTAGAAAAAACACGGGTGTAACCAGTTCGATGGGGAAGGCGATGGGAGTACCCGACAAAGTCACTACGTCACGGCGACCTCTCAAAGCGATGAAGCAGAGGGGAATGGGAAACAATCATTGGGAACAAGACAGCCGGACTCCAGATCAATACCTTTCGGCATGATGTACGAACGGAAGAAAATTAACCAAACAGGTCGCAACCCGATGCACGATCGCGGTCCAAACGGCATTTATCAAAGTCAAGGAACAAAGGCCAGAACAAAAAGCAAAACCTATTCGAATCACATTCCAGAACATAGGATAAATGCGCATGAAAGGAAACGAAACTGGAAATGTCGTATCGGCGCGTCTCCAACATGATAAGCCTTAAAACCCCAGTGGAAGACTATGCATACCAATCCGTCAAAACGTAGGACCACCAGAACCGCAGACTAGACACAATAAAAGCCATCACAGCCAAGAAACAATGAATTGCCACAAGTAACCTCTCGGTCACGGGCAACACTAAAGAACGTGCGGAAACGGTGTACAGCCTGGTATTGGCTTGGGCAAAGAGTAGAGTTCCGCCTGAAATAATTACCAGCGAGCATAGTAATGATCACTTCTCAACCCTCAAAGGAAAGCTGCTCGTCGTAAGACAGGGGAGACAGTAATACGACTATATATGGCATAACCGCGAAAATGTTCACAACTAATTTGTCACTCCAGAGAGACAAATAACAGGATCTCACATAGGACTTGGGGTTAGATGGTAGCATCCATTATAGACACTAACTTGTTCAAGTTCGTCAAAGGTGTTCCTGCTGCATACAATCAGTCTCGTGGAACCCGCGTACAAAAGAGCGCCAAGACGTTTATCTCGAAACGACACTTCGAATGTGAACTTTTTTGTCAATTAAGAAAACAACACTGCCGCGGTTTCCTCGTCAACGAGCCCAACAACCCCATTTAGAGGATCTATTCGCCAACGTAAGAGGGACACTAAGAGAACAATCTCAAATGTCTTGACTCTTAAATGGACGTTCTTCATCATAAAGCTCCCGAATTGACCATGGTAATAACACATGCCAACCTGTAGGTTCGTGTGCACTAGATACTGGCATTACAAGACGAACCGCACTTTCTAACAAACATATGCAAATGCCAACCTAACTACTACGACGGCTCACTTGGTATCTTGAGAACGAAGTTCATGACAATCACACCAGGAACACATCTTCTGGTTTTTTGAAGCCGCTGCTAGGAGTGACCATGCTGAAGACGTTGGTGGTTTGTGCAGGCGTGGCCTGCTTTATACTTTTCTTTTCCGACTAAGAATCAGCAAAATGGTCTGATGCTGTTGACCCACTTCTGCAGCTGTTGATGACGTCAGTTTCTCATAGCCGAAACCGTGTCTCCACTATGCGATCGCAAGTGCGACTAAAAGTGTCGCTTTAGCTGATGTGATGCGGTCTTTTGCGGAGAAAGTGGGGACATGAGGCGGCAGCATCGAATTAAGGTGAGGGAAAAGCGGGGATTTCGCGGGCCGTGCTTCGCGACTGGTCTTTTATGATGTCATTGCATTCGGCCACGTATGTCCAGTCTGGCTCTTCACAACACGCCTAAAACTACTTAAATACGGCTTGTTGATCACAGTCAAGCCATAGCAATCACTTATTCACGTCTTCACTCATTCCTGACAACGTTACAGTTTTCAGGTAAAATCTTATAAACGTTCGGCAGTTTTTTCTTCTCCAACTGCTAAGCAGACGGCTTTTTTTCAAAAAGCTTATTCAATCATTTATCTCCTCATATTCTCGTACAGCTCTATTTAGTGCCCAGCTCTTTGCTGTTCAGGTCGCTGTATACACTTTCTCTGTTTTTATCGAGTCTCCACATTTACCCCACTCCTTGTCGCACTCTTTTCGCTTTCCCCGCATTTTCTTGTCGCAATTACCTAAGCGAGTCGCATATTACGGAAACCATTTTAACCGTTTTGAATTGTTAACGCTAACGAAAAACAAATCTTTTGAACGTCTTTACGATTAACGAACTTCTACGATTCTTTTCTACGAACTATCTTTTCTTGAATAATTTTTTACTATGGCAATTGACAAGTACATTCTCGTTACCGGTGGTGCTGGCTACATTGGCTCTCACACTGTGGTCGAACTCATTCAACGCGGCTTCAAGGTAGTCGTCATCGATAGCCTTGTCAATTCCTCTTATGACGCTATCGTCCGTGCTGAGTATATCGTCCGAAGCCCCATTCCCTTCTTTAAAATTGATCTTCATGACAAGGCTGCTCTGAATAAGGTCTTTGACGACTACGCCATTGAAGGTGTCATTCATTTCGCCGCTTTCAAGGCTGTCGGTGAGTCGGCCCAAAAGCCTCTCGAATACTATGAGAACAATGTTGGTGGTGCAGTTGCTTTGCTTGAAGTCATGAGTACCCATGGTGTTAAGACAATTGTGTACAGCTCCTCGGCCACCGTGTACGGTGATGTGTCGCGGTTTAAGGACCATAACTATCTTCCCATCAACGAGAAATGCCCGACTGATCCTGTCAGCCCGTATGGTAAGACCAAATATGCTATTGAAAATATCATTGCGGACTTGCATTCCAGCGATAACTCTTGGCGTGGTGCTGTTCTCCGTTACTTCAATCCAATTGGTGCACATCCATCAGGCTTATTGGGTGAAGATCCGCTTGGGGTTCCCAATAATTTGCTGCCTTATTTGGCTCAGGTCGCTGTTGGAAGACGCGACAAGCTGAATGTGTTTGGTAATGACTACGATAGTCGCGATGGAACGCCCATCCGTGATTACATTCATGTGGTGGACCTTGCCCAAGGCCACGTCGCTGCTCTTGAGTATCTGAAGACACTCGAACAAGGTCAAGGACTGTACCGTGTATGGAACTTGGGCACGGGTAAGGGCAGCACCGTACTTGAGATTCACGCAGCATTCTCTGCGGTCGTTGGTCGCGAACTCCCATACAATGTTGTTGGTCGACGTGCTGGCGATGTCCTCAACTTGACTGCTGATCCGACTCGTGCTAACACAGAGCTGGGTTGGAAGGCCAAGCTGACCGTTGAGGATGCGTGTCGCGATCTTTGGAAATGGACAATGGAGAATCCCTATGGCTTCCAGGTGAAGAACTTTAAGTGGAGCCTCTTTAACGATCCCGGCGCTGAGGTTAATTTTGCTAGTCGTCTGAACACATTCACTTTTGGTGATTTCAGTGTGACTATTGCCAACTACGGTGCAACCATCCAGAATATCGCGTTCAAGGGCCGCACAGTTGTCACCAGCATGGATAAGCTCAGCTTGTATCAATCGGACGACAATCCGGCATTTGGTGCTACGGTGGGCCGTTACGCCAATCGTATTCGCAACGGCACTTTTAGCATTGACGGTGTGACTTATCATACTGACAAGAACTGGCGCGGTCACACTATTCATGGCGGTTCTCGTGGCTTTGGTCGCCAGTTCTGGCTGGGTCCTGTCGCCAAGAGTGATGAAACGCATGGCACCTTGGAGTTCTTGATTTATGACAAGGATGGCAGCAATGGTTTCCCTGCAGATGTAATTGCTACAGCAAAATTCACTGTTGACGAGAAATCGCTCCGACTTGAGATTGAAGCCCGTATTCCCGAGTCGTCACCGAAGGATGTCACGGCCGTCAACATGACTAATCATGTCTACTTCAATCTGTCTTCTGGCGAGACTATTGACGGCACGATTATCAAGACGTGTACTGATACAATTCTGGAGTCCGATCCAGACTACCTTTTGCCTACTGGTCGTGTCATTCAGTACAAGCAGAAGCTTTCCGAGTCCGTGGACCTTCAGCCCTCCAATCCTATTGACAATTGTTTTGTTGCAAAGGTAGACGGATTCAAACTTGATACTCGTGGTGATGAGATGCAAACCATTGTCGAGGCACATCATCCCTCTACGGGCTTCAAGCTTACAGCTGCAACAACTGATCCTGCTTTCCAAATTTACACTGGTGACTTTGTGGATATTGGTCCATACAAGGCTCGCGCCGGTTTCTGTGTTGAAGCGCAAAGATACCTGGAAGCTATCAACAATGAGCACTGGAATAAGCAAGTTATCTTGCGCAAGGGTGAGGTTTATGGTTCGGATACCATCTACACTTTCTCTGTTTAAATCTTTTGAGGATAGTTTTGAATGTGACAGTTTAGATTACGAGGGCTTGAGAAGTCCATTAAAGTTATTTCTTGCTGCAATGAGTTTGAATATGATAAGTTTCTTATAGCAAATGGATTGACTGTGTGGTTTGAGGCCCGAATTTGCAGAGTATTTTTGCGATGTTGAAATAAAGTGTCTGAACCAAGGCGCCTTATCAAGGTTTCGTGATCATTTAATCTCAGTTTTCCTGCATTAAGGTACTTTCTCCTTTAATGGTAAGTTAGTAAAATGTCTTTATGATTAAAGACGCAGTCGTCGATTGTTACTGTGAAGAAAACAAGAGATCTAAACGTTACATTGATCAGAAGAAGATAACATAACGTCACAAACATTTAGTGAGAACTTATTAAATAAAGTAACCTTACTACTTACCGTTTGATAGAAAACGAGAAATATTTAGTTTACGGCTAGCATAGTGCAGGACCACTTTGGATGAACATTATATAAAAAATATATCCAAAAATGCTAAACTAAATATGGAAATTATATGCTTCCCAACTGTATACAACTCATTATGAATTTCGAAACAGTTTCAAGTAATGCTTCCTTCGTATTTATATTATGCATCTAAAAGCTACTGAATTAATAAGAAGACTCGGAACTGGAATAAAGAACAAACAGTTTATTATTGAAGTATAAGCTACATCTCTGTCAATTTTGTTTATACTTAGTGCACGATTAATATTAGATTTACTATTCAACTTATAACTGACATCCTCCTTTTAAAAAAGTCATTAAACAACTTATCCTTAATAGTCAAGCTAGTAACAATATAAAAAAATAAAAAATATTCGTAGTGACGAATTGACTTTACAAGATAATTAAGGTTCGTTTAAACAAATCGTTTATATTAAGACACTCGATGATGTTCTGATAATTCACCTAAATGTCGTTTAGCCTTTTTACAAATGTATGATAGGTTAAACAAAATATAGTAATTCATTAACGCGTACTTCCGCGGAACCAATAATAAAAATACCAAATAAGAACGACATCCAAACCTAATCGCACTGTATTCTACTAGCAAATACTTTTGTTAACTAAATTTGATGTAATAAGTTAACGCCATTTAAGTATGATTTATCTTGTTAAACCCTATTCCTCGGCTCTTAATTGAACTAATGTTTTTCGGCTGACATAAGTCGGCTCACCTAAATACTAGCTCTTTCTAATCGTATAAGGCGCATTAATATACTAGAAGTAGTACAATAATAATGATATGAAGACTCTTAAATGAATAATATCCTCAGTAATAACTATGAGAGATAAATTTAGATGATATGATACTTTATTATTAAGTTTTTGAATGTATAGGACATGGTTGATCTTCAACTGAATATTTCATTAATGTTTTAAATCCTAAAACCCTTTAATGATAAAAAATAATTTGGCGAATAACGGTGATTTCCTTACTAAATGTTTTAACATCTGTTCATCTAATGTTTAAAAATTACTAGCACTAAGTCCTTAATCATCATTTTAGAATAATTTTAGTTGAAGGCTTAGAACGTGAACATGACTATAACGTAATTACCATGCTCAATTAACCAGACAACAGAATCATTTACAAGTATCAAACGAAGAAAGGACTAGCTTAATTAATATTTACAGAGTGCTAGTGAAGAAAAAAAGTAAAATGAATGAACAACATTTGCCAAACAGTAGTAGAAACACACCTTGAACGGCGGAAATAATGCCCGCTAATTGTACGCGCTCTCCTAAGGCTCCTTGAAAACTGTCATAGAAGAAATACTACGAAGAAATTTGCTGAAAAACCAAAGTAATGTACACACAATAATGGAGGAGCCTAAAACGACAAACGCCAATAATGAGTTTCCCCAACCATAACCCATTTTATCGTACATGGCCTGACCAAAAAGTGGGAATGCAAAGGCAGCGACAGATCGAACACAACATGCTACAGCGGTTGAAGAAGCCGCATATATAATGTACGTGTCAATCAAATATACTTGAATGCCACGCCAACCCAACATGAGACCTACATTAAACATTGCCGCTCCAATGTCTGGGCCGATCCAATGTGTATGTTTTTCGGCTGTCCAACCATAGACAAACAGACCTGTGGGAAAGAACATTGTGCCTAAAAGAATAATAGGTACGCGAAATTCTGGATAAAACTTTCCATTATGTTTCGCCCGTAAGTATCGAAACACTTTATCAATAAAGACACCTGATGCTTGGCTACCAAGAACAAGGCCAATTCCTGAAGCAATGTAATTTAAACCAGCAATGGAAGGTGTTTCGTGATAATGCTGTGTCCATAGAATAGGAAACGTAGTAAGAACAAGGTATAGAATGCCTAAAGAATTTGTTAACATTGTCGAATAAAAAGTAACACAAGCTTTCGTACCGTACTGGATCGCCATATACCCAGAGCATATGATAACCAGTGGTTGAGTAAAAACCATTCGAACAGGACGCATAAGCGCCTCCGAAATTACATCCAATTTTGGACGATGCTCAATGCCCCATTCCGTATGGTATTTTTGATGGCCCGCTTCTTTGTTAAGAAGCCGAGCTTTTGCCGCAAGCAGAGTTTTCGGATACGTCTCACGCAAAATTGGAATGGAAACAAGCAAGATACTTCCACTTAAAATCGTAGAGGACCAGAAAATCCATTTGTATGTTGTGTACTGAGCAATGAAACCCCCAATTACTGGCCCCACTGTAGGGCCAAGTAAAGGAGCAAGTGACATGACTGCAACTGCTTTGCCACGTTCTGACGGGTAAAACAGGTCGCTGATACTGTAAGGTTCAGAGTCAGTATGTATAATTAATAACAACAAGTAGATACATTCATCCACATTGCATTTTAAATAGAATTGCCTCCTGTGAATTCTCGCAGAGGAATGCAATCTTACTGTACTTACGTTCCGCTCCCCAGACCCATAGGAGTAGCACTACCAAAGCCTGCTAGAAATCGGAAAATATACATTTGGGTCTTGTTTGTCGCCAACCCGCAAGCCATGTTAAAAACTTGTACGGAACTGTTAGCCGCAGATCATTAAGAAGCTATCACCTTCAATAAAAATATGGGACTTACCAACAAAAATCACGTTTCCATATTGAAGTAGCATTCTACGACCAAATACTTCTGACAAGGGTGCACTAATCATAGGAGAAATGGCGAATGCAAGCAAATAAATACTGAGTACGAGAGCTCGTTCTGTCGAGTTGGTGATGTTGAAACGTTGGGAAATTTGGTCCAAACACGGTGCAATCATGGATGAAGCGAATGGTCCCAAGAGAGCAAAATTTGAAACGACAATCAACTGTGCCCATTTTCGAGATGCACGCCAATTATGGGGGTTTTTAGGATCTTCCGTTCCATCCCAACTAACCAAATATGGATCAACATCTTCCTTGATGGATTCTTCAGCTACGATTTTTTCATCCTTAAGTGTCATTTTTTATGGTATTGAACCTTACGCACTCATGAAATAAGGAATGTTGCAAGGCGAGCCAGAAAAGGGCGAAAATCGGTAATCAAGGCCCAGTAGGTGCAGGGAAAAACGGACCGTCAGGAGAGTCCCCAACCAACAGTTATATGGGTCTTGGGCAACCTGCACCCAGCAATTACAGCTACGATTTATGAACCAATGTTGTTCGTTGTATTTGTTGGTGGTGAGCAAAACTAAGAACGTCACGTGAAACCTTGTTTATAAAGCAGCATACTCAATAATTATGTGAAGCCAACAAGGTATGGTAATGAAAGTGGATTATACTTTTATTGTTCCTAAAATGTTTAAGGGTTTAAATTTATTGCACAATATGTTGGCGTAAAATTATTCTAGAAAAGGCGCATCAGCTCGGTTAAGCAAAAGTCTAAACTTTATATTGACTTAAAAATGGTACCTATAATAATGCCTAAGCACGTTACAGTTTGACAAAGTCTCATTAGCGTAGTAACGGTGGTGATTAATGGTCGATGAAGTGAAGTAGTATGCAAGAAAACAGAGTTCTTTACTTCCCCAAAATTGTTTACAAACTATTAAGTGTCTGTAAATGACAGTTGTAATATAACGAATTGGTTCAATGAGTGGACGTGATCATTAAAGGGTTCTTTATGCTCATCTTCAATTATGGACCAATAAAACTTCTTGTTTTCAACAATTGTAAAAGAGCTAAAGATTGCGTAACCACGTTCTTGAGTACGATTAATAAATCATTATCTCAAAAATTAAAATCTAATCGATGATTATTTGCTTTAACAAACAATATTTCATTTTAAGCATTTTTTTTTTAAACAAATAAGGTTGTATACGAAAATACAAGAACAAAATTATACTATACTGAGCAGCCGCGTTTTTGTTTACATTAACATTAAACCTTCATTGATTGTTCGACCCGGACTATTTTATATTGCAGACTACGATAGTTAAACACCAAGAAGAATCCCTTTTCTTACAGATGATGTCGTAAGGAATATTTCGTCGTGAACAAAATAGACAAGACAGATGTATATTTTTGTTCAAGAAGCTGCCGACTGTTAAAAAATTCCATCTTCACGTACTACCTCTTATACATTTTAATGCACGCTAGAAGTATTGCACATAAGCCTCAGATTGAGCGAGGCACTACCATCGCTATAGGAAACGAATTCTTTTCTTCAATTTTCATGATCGTCGCTTCGTAGTCTACCCCGCCGAACTATATATGTTTGCGTCTTTAGGATCGTCAAATGAGAATCCAGGCATATATGATTGCTACATTGGAGCTTTTCGTCAATCTTCCAACTTTTCTCCACGCGGGATTTGCATGCAGATTTTACCGCACACGTGCGTGAAATGAAACGATGATTACGTGGGGAAAAACCTTTCTTTTATCGTAGTTTACAGCAAACCTGCTTGACCAGAACAGATACCTGTAACGATGTTGCTGCGACATCTGCTGGCGCTCGGTATTGTATTGAGCAATGCTTTTAATGTATACGGTTATGTTCGCCGGCTTACAGGCTCGGAAGGCGTAACTTGTTCACCAATGAACATTGATCCTACTGGAAAACATGAATCCAAAGTTGCTTTTGGGTTGGGAAACGCGTCAGTAGGTGCCGTTTCAGTGTTTGTGTGTCGAAATGATGACTTGACGCGTCTTCCTCGCAGTGTTTACGATTCTGTGGGTGCTTTTGAAGAGGTCGAAAACGTTCCCAGTGCCATTGCATACAATCTGAATGTTTCTGAAGGCCATACACAGGCGGAATACTCTGTGTTTGATGACGATGTGTACTGTGTCGTGTTTCGCGGAACGAATAAGGCACTGGACATGGAGACGGAAGATGCTGTGCTGGACGTTGACTTTGTAAGCGGCGGCAGTAATTTGTACGTGGATGAGATTACTTATTGCACGTATCGCGTTCTAGTCATGGTGAGTCACATTATTTTCACTATTGTTTGGTCTTATTTTTGTTTCTCAGCCGGTCGTCGTACCCTGCCGGCCCAATTAATCGTGCCGTTTCATTTTGCATCACGTATGGCACTTTCATTGCCTGAGATTCTGTACTATTTGATTAAGGCACTCGGGGATGTCGAACCCTTTTTCTTTCCGCGATTTGAACTGTGCGTTCAAACGTTTCGTGCACTGACCTCTTTTCTGCTTATGTTCACCATTGGGTTTGGCGTAGGCGTGGTCCGGCCAAAGTGTGATCGTGTATTTAAACAGGTGCTCTCCGTCTCGTTGACCCTGTTTATCGCTGCTGTGTACTATATTATTCGTAATGACACTGCCGACACCGACCCTTCATTTCTTCTCATCTTTCGTTTTTTCACCCAAGACCTCCGGCTCTTTCTTCTTGTCTCGTTTGGAGTGTTGCTGCAGCGCAACGTATCTCTTGCGACTAACTCTATGAAGCGTGAGGTCTACAAAAGTTGTGTCTGCATTCTTTTAGCACACACCATCGTACCCCGAATCCTCGTGTACCTTGCCCCTTACCTCTTCCACAGCTACTCGCCTCTTTTTGTGACTCTTTCTCGTGACCTTGGCTCTGTGTTTACAGAGCTTCTTATGATTTACCAATGGATCCCCGCACAATCCTTCAACGCCTCTGTCAAATATGTTCCTCTCCCAGACTCAATTACTAAAGGCTACTGAACGAATTGAAGAGTGTCGTAGCGAAGCGAGCGGCTAAGTTTTGCGAGCTACTGCCAGAAAAAGACAACTTAATTGCAAGGCAAAAGCGATGGGAAGATACAAGACACAGTGCAGCAGCACACTTCACATTGTTGCCATCTCGTGACTTTGTCTTCTTAAACTTGAGCTATGTCGTTAAGAGCACACTACAAAATGGCTTAATACAAATGCCAAATGCGACCCCAATGTTTTTTCCCCTTTTTCCCTTTCTTCATTTTCTTTTTGTTTTCTTTTTGTTCGTTCTACCATTCTTTCCTCTTTTACTTTTCTTCTCTTATCTCTCTCTCCCTCATTCAACAATACCCTCGCGTCCTCCTGCTTCGCTTTTTTTATTTATCACATTCATTGACTCGTTACTGATTCACTTCATCAAGCTGTCACAGGCAGCAGACGGATTCACTCCAGTCTAAAGAACCGTGCTTACCACTGTCTTCGAACCACACTGGATTGCAACGTCCACCTGCGCCAAGTTTGGTCGCTTACTTGATGTCAATCTTCTTAGTGGTGGCCGTCTTGTCAACCTTAGGGAGGACGATGCTAAGAAGACCGTTGCTGAAGGAGGCCTCGATTCTCTCGGGATCAACCTTGGCAGGAACAGTGATGGTACGAGAGAAGCTGCCGAAACGACGCTCGGACCAGCGGTGGCCTTCCTCTTCAGACTTGCGCTCATTGACAACCTCACCAGAGACGGTCAACTTGCCGTTGTCGTAGTGAACTTGGACATTGTCCTTTGAGACACCAGGGAGCTCGACATCGATGGCGACGGTGTCCTTACCCTCGTGGACATCCAAGGCAGGAGAAAGAGTGCCGGCCTCGTTGTTACGGTTTTGGATCTTGGGCGAGTAGCTCAAATAGTCACTAAAGACATCGTCAAATGCAGAAGGGAAACTGAAGAAAGGACGAAGCGACATGATGATTTTGTGTTGTTGTGTTGTGGATGTTTTTGTATTCACAATTGTTCAAATGATGATGAACTGTTGAATTGATGGATGAGGATTGTCCGCTTCTACGAGCCCTATTTATACCTTGGGACTTTTGGTTCAAGATCGTCATGGAAATTACATTACCTTTCCATGTTGTTTCTACCCAGCTCCACGACCGCAGCACATACGATGCGTTCTGTCGGCATGATGTCATGGTGGAGTAGAAAACGCGGGGCGTCTTCGAGCTGATTCGTGAAAGATCGCGGAAGCGAGCGGCTGCGATCGCAAAGAACAAAAAGTACGGCTGGATTGCGCAAAATGTGCGAAAAAAATGCGATATCTCAAAGGAAGCATGTTCAAGTCTTCCACTAAAGAATTACGAAAAAACCCTTTGTTTTCGTAAGATACGAAAATACATTTTTGGATAATGAGGGGGCGCACTGGCAGTAGTGGAGGGGAGTGTGGACGATGACGCATTTCCACACCATTCCTCCCAGAAGACCCTTTCCTTCCGTATCTCCTCTTCAAAGCCGCACTTTCTCTTCTTGTCGACATCATTTTTGCGTCACTCCGTTACACCCACGCTTCCCTTTCGCATAGCCGCTCCGTGACGCAAGCATCTTGGGCTTTGGATGAATCAAAATCGAAACTGACGTAATTTCAACGATCTTTATTAAGGTTGCGCCACGTGGAGCAAAATCACAGCACGTGTCGTTTTAACTATTTCTTTAAGCGAAACTAAAAAACGCTTAATCGCTCACCCACCCTTTTGCCGAAACGTTATTATGGTCAGTGACCAGAGGAGCTGTTCGCACTCTCGAACATGGACCAATACAAACCTCTGTCCCCCTTCCTTCACAATCACACCTGCAACTATCCCTACTCCTGTTTCTTTTTTTTTTCCTCTGTAATTCCTATCTTTCCATCTTTCAACAACAGGATCGGCTGACGGGCTGCTTCCCAACGGGGTCCTTATTCGTCGGCGACCCCGTTTCTTTTCGGATTTGAAAGCAAAGTGTTCATGTGCTTTTAGAATGCGACGCAACTTGCGATGCGCGCAACCCAGAAGCCGACAGTGTCGTACGAAAACTTTCGCCAGGAAGACGCTTCTGCAGCTCATTCGCCAGGTCCTTGTCGCAGGACTTGGTCTCCAAAGTATGAATTCCTGCTTGGTAACGCTACCAATTGCTTGTCCGTTAACACAAATCGTTTGTCATGAACGGCGTGGTCTCATAGTCAACGGGTAACCCTTTTCTCCTGACAATTGTTGATCCTTTTACGCTTCATCCCGCGCTCAGACCCTCACGTTTTCGTCCCAACCGCGCACTTTATCATGTATAGTGTCTCTAACCCTGAACCGCGAAAAGCCGGTGTCTTGCGAATCAACCATTTGTCGGATCAAATAAAGAAAACAGTTGCTCGAATGAATGTTTAAATAGACCACGTTTCTCAGTACAATTCTCCATACAGTTTTTGTATTCGTGAACAGCTTCCCACGTATTTTTTGTCTTTCGTAATCTATTTGCCATGAGAATTGTTTCGCTCGCTGCCGGTCTTATTGGCTTGTGCACTTTTTTGACGAATGTCTTCGCGCTTCCCAGTGCCAAGCGTGCTGAAACTACTAACAATGCTGCTTCGAGCACTTTAGAGGACTACCGCGTCCTTCCCGATGTCGTTTTCATTCCCGATCCTTCCTATGGAATGTCGATCACTTGGTATGCCAATGACAATTTTGGTGTCGGCATTGCATCCAATGGTACTCTTATCCCTGCTGGCACTTGCAACGGTGAAATTATGCCTGACATCTCTTGCTGCTATGGTATTTGCCGAGGCCTCGTCCGTCGTGATCTTTCTGGTGATTCAGAGAAACCATCCATTCCCGTTACGGTTAACATTCCTAAAGTTCCCGGCGTTGAAGCTCTGACCATTCATCCCGACACTACTTATGACATTAAGGTCTCCAACAGCAGCTCCTCACAGAGCTGTAACGGTGTCAACATTCTGTCTTGCTGTTCTAGCTTATGCTGTAATTGCATTATCATTTAGGAACGAGGGAAGGTATTATAGCTTGCGCATCGGTCGCACATGTTCTAGCACTTATGCTTGAGAAACAGAAACGATGCGAATCGTTTGCTTCCCCGCAGTCTCCGATTTTTTGTTCGATGTTTGTTTTTTTACGTAGCAGATATAATGAGAATTGATTAAATGCCGCTTAGGCTCAGAAACATAAAATTAAGAGTCATGACAAGAGAGTGTGTTCCTAAATAACTGGAAGTGCTCCGATCCTTCCTCTGGCAAGCAACTCACCAATCCTTCTTCCATTATGCAAATTGTTCCAGACAAAAATGGTCTTTCACTGAACTGTCTTCCCTCACTGAAAACAATAAAGCCTTTTACAATGGTAATTCAAAGTTCACATGAACATCAGCTTCACGAGCCATCTCGACCACTCGGCTGAAACGACAGGCTTTGCTGGCAGCTTCGTCAAGCTCGTCAAAGGAGAAAATACGGAGTCCAGAGTTGGCGATCACCTCCTTGGCGGCTTCCTGGTTTGTACCCTGCAAACGAGCAATGATGGGAATATTGAGCTTCATACTGGACACGACTGAAATGAGACCTTGAGCAATGACATCGCACCGAACAATTCCACCGAAGATGTTAACGAAAATGGCCGTAATCTTGGGATCCTTAACAATAAGACCAAATGCCTCACGGATTGCCTCAGCATTGGCGCTGCCGCCAACATCCAAAAAGTTGGCGGGTTCACCGCCATGCAGTTTAATGATATCCATGGTGGCCATAGCCAAACCAGCACCATTCACAAGACATCCAATGCTACCATCAAGCTTGATGAAGTTGAGTCCGCACCGGCTGGCACGAATTTCGTCAGGGTCTTCTTGCGACTCATCTCTCAGAGCCAAAAGGTCTTTGTGACGGAAGAGTGCATTGTCATCAAACTTAAGCTTGGCATCCATACACAGCACGCGTTGATCAGTGGTTTCGGCCATCGGATTAATTTCAACCTGGGTAGCGTCGGTGTCGTTAAACACCTTGTACAACTTTGTGATTGTATCGACAGCTTGAGCCTTGCATTGGGGTGAAACGCCCAATTCATCAACAAGTTCTTTAGCAATTCGAGTGTCCAAAGTAGGTTTGTTAGGCACGAGACGTTGAAGAATAGCCGAAGGGTTCTCGGCAGCGACGGCCTCGATGTTGACACCGCCCTGAGAAGAAGCAACGATGACGGGGCATTTGTTTTGGCGGTCCATAAGAATGGCGAAATAGTACTCCTTACGGATGTACTTGCGCTCGCAGACGTACACCATGTTGCAGGGTTTTCCGGCAGCACCAGTCTGCTTGGTTATAAGACGGTGTCCAATCATTTGGTCCGCAAACATCTTGGCCTCGATTGGGTCGTAAATAATACGGACACCACCCTTCAAACCCGTGTCAAAATGACCCTTTCCACGACCTCCAGCAAGAACCTGGGCCTTGATAACAAGGTCGTCGGTCTTCAAGTTATGAGCGACCTTTTCTGCTTCATCACCAGTACGGGCAACGGCTCCACGAGGAACATCGACTCCGTACTTTCGCAATATATCATGCGAGTAGCACTCATGGATGGCCAAGTTTCTCGTTTGAACACGAGCTTGGACACGAGGCGATAGTAAATTCTGTTAGTTAGTGGAAAGAACGAATGGTGTATCAGAGTAAGCGAGTCAGAAAGTAGGAGACGGGATAGATTGAGAAAGCTGCGTAAATGAAGAAAGATAATACCTCGTAAGATACGGGAAACCTGTAAACATTCGTAATGAATGAGTGAGTTATAATTAAACTCTATAATCCGGATTTTACACGTCCATCCTTTCCAAAAATTGCTTCTAATAAGCTTCTAACCAGTTTTAATCTTAAAAAAACGCGATTCTGACTAAAAAAAGACACAGCACGCGAGAAATCCCCGTAATAAAAATCCACCGCTTTCGTCAAATTCGCCAAAAACCAGCTTGAGCACCTAAAATCCCATCAAAGTCCAGTTCGTCTCGTTTTTTTCGCGTGTAGTGCCCGCTATTCGATATGACGTGTACAAAATCTACCCGTCTCAAGGCATCACTGCTCCTTCTCCTCGTTAACACAACAAACCTTCGATAAACGTTTAAAGATGCTCCGGGACAGCATTTTGCTCCTGACAACTTACGCTCAGCCTTCGAGGAGGTCAACCAGCAGAGTTACTGCTGGTAGACCACGCTGGAGTGCGATTGACTGCTGCACAACGCGTTAGACAGCCCTGGGGATTTTACACATCTGCTGTGCGATGCGTTAATTAGTTTTTGAGAGTGTTACTGTGTTACGGTATCCCATTTAACGAAGTAGTGTGTACTCCAACGAGCCTGGTAGGTCACATTTGTTTTACACACTGTGCCAGCACGCGTTGTCAACCTCCCGACAAGCCCGGTCAGCCTCTTCTGTCGTGTTGAAACGCTCATATTACAAGGATGAACTGGTTTTCGCGTAAGGTAAGTCGTCACTGTGGACGGAGAATGCTTAGAAGCATCCAGAGGAATTGCTGCACAAATGATACAACGGTGTTGCCGAATGGCACTGCCGACTGATGGGACAAAGGCTCAAACCGAATCAGTACAATTTGGTGTAAAATGTGGTTAGGGAATCGTCGACTGTACTTCTTTTTACACGCGATTGGATGTGTTTGTGCGTTTCTCGTTTTGATTGAATTCTGAAATCGAGTCTCGTCTTCGTACGTATCCCCCCTTTTCGCTCCCAATCGTTTCCTCTCAGTTCCTTCGTCTGTAACACGTTTCCTTTCTTTCTTATCTAACCTGCAGCGTCGAACCTTTGATTATGAAGAAGCACTGGATGACATTGCTGAGAAGTTGGAAGAATTAAAACTCGACATCCACCGGAACCGGATGCGACAGCGTCAATGGTCCTGGAAGTGGTTCTTGGGCTCGAGCACGATGTTTACGATCGTGTTTGCGGGCTGGAGCTGGCATTGTCGCTCACTGTGGGATTTGCCCGTGTGGATTGTATGGGGACTAAAGCTAAACGTATATGTACTGGGCATCTTCCTCTCATGGTCTGTCAAGGAGTGCATAACGTGGATGTTTGGCGTCATATTACGCCGGAAAAAAGCTCAGCATCGACACTGTCTTGAAGAGAAGCGTGTTCTTATTGAATCACTCAAGTCCCGAAAAGAGTACTTTGAAACACAAGCTCTGCTGGAACGCTATGCCGGAGTAGCACCGGAAACAGGGTCCACAAGAGCTAGCTTCTCAGGGGGTGCTCCAGTAGCAGTTGGTGCCGCTGACGCTGCTGCCGGTGATCCCTCCTCACAGGCGAACGCATCTTCAGAGAACGAATATCCAAAGAAATGGTATGACAAATTACTCGAAAAAATTGTCGGTGGCCCTGAACGCGACGTTCACAAGTGTGCCGCTCTCATCTGTTCCACTTGTTTCCGTCACAACGGCCTTGCTCCTCCGGACGTGGCTGCTAGTGATGTTTCATTCATATGCGCTTATTGTCGTGCTTGGAACGGTCCCGTTCCAACACTGAAAACAAATCCTCCTTCCGAACCTGTTTCAGTTCCGGCGAACGACAACAAAACACATGGTAGTAACAGCTCATCTACAAACTCTGCCGCATACCTTTCTCCTTCGTCGCACACCAATTCTGTACGTGGGTCCGTCTCTTCGGTCGCCGAAGGGGCAGCCGCCGACACACAAGACACAACGAACGCAGCGACAAGCGAAAATGCCGCCTCTGAACACAGGTGATTCTTCCTTCCATGTACATACAAAATGCTCTCCATTTCTGAACGATCGACATCTATCGGCCCCAATGATCCATATGGCCAATTGTTTTTCTCTCTTACTTACACATCTCAGTCGGCGATAAACACCTTCTCTTTATTCTTTCTCTCATTCTGCCTCAATGTCTCTTTTCCTGTCTATCTTTTCCACCTTACAATCCCGTTTCCTTCCTGTCTCTCCGCACAACCTCTCTCTCTTTCTCTTGCTTACGAATTTGCTCTACGCTGTGCTTCTTTTGTTTTCTCGTCTTCTTCAATCCATCGTAATGAGCCCTATCGTGTCTGCAACGACTGTACACCCTTCATAACTCTCTGACGCGGCAAAATTCTGTTATTTCTTCGTGTCCGCGGAACCTCCGCGGTAAGGTTTTCTTGATTAGCGCTCGTCGCTCTTTTCCTTAGTATAAAAAGTGTCACCCATCACCCTTTTCGCGCCCGTACCCTGTAGCCCCCATCCAGATTTCGACTATCCCTGTCCCCCCATCTACCCCACTGATCGCCGAGCTTAATTACCGAACACTACCACCAAACATCTACACTGGTTTTCTCCTTGCGTCTACCCACCACGACCGAGCCGACTGGATCCACCATGTCTTCCAATTCTATCAAGATTTTCACGGGAAATTCCCACCCGGATCTCGCTGAGAAGGTTGCTAAGAGGTATACGAGAGGAATGGTTTTTCAAACTTTGAAAACCGACGAGTTTTGAGCGAGTTAGTAGCTAACATGGTTTTTCGCCGCAGAATTGGGATTCCCTTGGGAAAAGTGTCAGTAGTTCAATATTCGAACCGGGAAACAGCCATTACCATTGGTGAATCGGTCCGTGATGAGGATGTTTTCATCATTCAAACGGGATGTGGTTCCATTAACGACCACTTGATGGAGCTGCTAATTATGGTGAATGCTTGTCGTTCCGCCAGTGCTCGCAGAATCACGGCCGTTATCCCCTGCTTCCCTTATGCACGTCAAGACAAGAAAGACAAGAGTCGTGCTCCCATTACGGCTCGTCTTGTCGCAAACATGCTTCAGACAGCTGGTTGCAACCATGTAATTACCATGGATCTCCACGCTTCTCAGATTCAGGGTTTCTTCAATGTTCCTGTGGATAACCTTTACGCTGAACCTTCTGTTCTGCGTTACATTCGTGAAAACATCGATACAGATACGCATCCTACTGTAATTGTTTCTCCCGATGCCGGTGGTGCCAAGCGTGCTACGGCTCTCGCCGACCGTTTGGATCTCGACTTCGCGTTGATTCACAAGGAACGTCAAAAGGCCAATGAGGTTTCACGCATGGTTTTGGTCGGTGACGTGAAAGACAAGATTGCCATCTTGGTTGATGACATGGCCGACACTTGCGGTACATTGGGCTTGGCTGCTAAGACTTTGAAGGAAAATGGTGCCAAGAGTGTGTACGCCATTGTCACTCATGGCATTCTTAGTGGAAAAGCCATTCGTGTCATTAACGAAAGTGCTTTGGAGAAGGTTGTCGTGACGAACACCATTCCCCACGAGGACAAGAAGATCCTCTGCAACAAAATTGAGACGATTGACATTTCGGGCGTTTTGGCCGAATGTATCCGTCGCATTCACCATGGCGAGAGTGTTTCTGTTTTGTTCAACATTGCTCCCGCATAAATTATTAGGTGAAGCAGCGTTTGTGCCACGCAGAGTGAGTACGCATGCGTGGATTTACGCGTCAAATTACCTTAATCATCTTTTTTTTTCTCTATTCACAATATCGTTTCGTATCTCGGTTTCGGTGTTAACATCTATACCGTTGACACCTGTTCTATCTCTTTTTGCACTTGTAGATACCGTCCCTTGCGCAGTGGGTCAATAGTTTGGAGTTTTCTTGCGAGTTGAACCCATTCTTCCTGCTCTTTTCCGTCGACGAGCTGTGGATTTATGCGTTGGAGGCTTCGACCATACTCAATGAGTAATTCACAGCACCCTGGTTGGCGATTAGTAAATGCACAAGAGGTACATACAAATAAAAAAGCAATTTTGTCTGAAAAGCTATTGGCGTTGGTGGTGTAAGGACCGTAGGTGCTGCTGTGTTGCTTTTGAACGGGCAGATACTTACATCTATTTTCCGGCTCCATTTCGTAGAGCTCATGGATGAGGTTGATTTCCTGGCGAAGCAAGTCGGCGCACTGTTCTTTGGTTGGAGGCAGTAAAAGAGCGTTCTCGTTTGGTGCATGACAGAAACCCATCAACCAGCGGTGATAGATCCAAGAACTAGAATCTTCAGGGTCGGTGAAGATTGCTTGGTGAATGGTATCGAGCTCTTCACAGATGTTAGTCGTAAATATTGCGTCTTATATCCTCGTTATCTGCGCTCACCTTGGCTGAGAAAAGTGCTTCTCAACTTCTCTCGCTGTTCTTCATCGGACTCTTCATTAAGAATTGTTTGCAGCAGTTTCGTACGGCTATGCCAAGCAGAAAAGTTGCTAAAGTCTGCTTCAATTGCTACTCGCGTATACTCCAGTTCGCGTCTTGCTAATGATGTGCCGTTTGTCTTTTCAACAGCAGCAACGACATAGCGACGATAATGCCAAGCATGAACTGGTGGTGTTAGCCATAAGTAATTAGACTAACGAGAAGCCATTTTTGGTTCTCACCACTTCTTCCACGTACAGTTTCGTTGATCCTTTATGAGGAGGTGTTCCGTTAACATAAGCTCCGATTGCCAATCCGGATAAGGAGCATTCTCTAAGGACCATCGACGATGATTGAAAAGCCAGTAGACCTTAGGATGATCCTTAAGCTTCATAGTAACATATTTCAGCTCATTATTCAGTACGTCTTGTTTTTGTGCGTCAGTCCTAATCGTTAATATAAAACTACTAACGATGTAGTTGTTTCCATACAAGTTCGGGAATATGCCATTTAACAAAATTTCACGTCTATAGTTCCATGCAGAGTATGTTTCCGGATTCCAATCAAGTAGTTCTGTGGTGAGGTCAAAGGCCTGCTTACTATAATCCTTCTTCTTTTTCTAACCAACCAAGAGCATTAGAACGGAAGAACCACTAAAACACGGGTGTTATTCAGCGTACTCGATCGAGCACATTCTCAAGCAGTGCCCTGTATTTCTTGATCTTCTCTCGTTCTTTTTTCATGCGAACTTCCGGATCCACATCTTTGACGTTTCTTCGAAGGACACCATGCTAAAACAGTTAGTAACAAAAAGGTTGAAAAGATAATTTATTAACGAGTAAGAGACCAAAAATGGCGACTTTAGTATTTTAAGGCGAGCCAAAAATGACATTCAATAAGATTGAACTATCGAAAAATTAGCAAACTTACCATCTTTAATATCCTTATAATCCTTGAGTGGTATTGCAAAACTGTTAATTGAGTGATCACTAGTTCCTTCGGTTTCTTCCTACAGGCCTTTATGGGGGACACCCTTAGGGCATGTTTTTGGTGGTGTACTCTCCTAGGGGAACTTGTTTAGCCTCCACGCAATAAATCACAAATAAAAACAGGTACTAGTTTTTTAATTGAATAATTATAAAGGAATGGAAACTCCTGCTTTATGACAGACACCACCCTGTTTTGTGCAACGCTTCTCATTCTCTTTTCGTCTTATTGAAATGACGTCACTCTAAACGCGTCGTATAACCTGCTTCTTTCGGTGCCTTTCACCTACCCAGAACCAAACGCAGGCCTCGTTCTTTTGACCGTCAATTCCTAAAATTCTTAAACTTTCGTCGGTTTTACACGTAAAACAATGCTTCATTATCACAAGGCTGCAAAAGATCCTTCTCCCGGACGAATCTGGCGTTTCACAAAAGTTTGCGTTCCTTCAAGCGTGCAAAAGCGCATTCCTAACAAGCGAAAACACACAGAACCTTCAACAACAATCTTAAACGATGTTAAAAGTATGAAACGTCAAAAATTTGACCGGTTTATCCCGTCTTTAACTAATCGCGATGCTTTTTACATAAACGAAATGACAGGTGTTGGGCTTGTCGATACGACACAGCGGTACCTAGGGAATTTATTTGAGCTTACGTTTAACACGGTGCTCTTTTATCAAACGAAGCATTTGAATTTTCCTCTAACAGCACCAGGCAACTTGCTTTCTGGTTCAGCAACTAACCACACGCCGCTTCCCAATCTATCGTTAAATGATGCTTCCTCAAACAATGTTCTTTATGAAACTTTAAACCAGCAATCCGGATCAGTTGAAACCCCCATACGTGTTTTAGACGCACCAGGTTTGCGTGACGATTTTTATATCACACCGCTAGCTTGGTCAAAGTTTGGTGAGCTTGCTGTCGCGCTTGCCAATCAGGTGTATTTATGGACTGCCGTAACTGGTCCTGTTTTATTAAAAATGGATGGTTCAAGCGACATAAGCAGTTTGGCCTACTCGGGCGATGGTTCTGTCTTAGCAGTTGCACGAATTGATGGTGCCGTTCAGCTTTGGCAAGGGGCGGCGGATCAAAAAAAACTTATATCTGAACTTTTCTTTAACGGAGATATAAGTTGTATGGCCTGGAGCCCTGTCAAGCGACTTTTATTAATTGGAGGTTGCACTGGCAAGATCTATAGCTATGTCCTGCGCAAGAACGAAGTCGTGCGTGTATCCTGTATAAAAAATGTTCACGCTGAACAAGTTTGTGGTCTGTGTTGGAACCATGATGGTACAATGTTCGCGAGTGGCGGAAATGATAATCGTGTCGCTGTGTTTGATGCCAGAACACCTACGGTGCCGCAATTTGTATGGTTTCACAAGGCAGCAATCAAGGCGCTTTCCTTTTGTCCTTGGCAAAAATCAATTCTGGCCGTTGGCACAGGTTCCAGTGATCAAAGCTTGTATTTCTATGATACTTTTCGGGGTAACGAAGTCGCGCGCAAGTTCTGCGGCTCTCAAATCACAGCTACTTTATGGTCACGACGTTACCGTGAGATTTGTGTTGCTTTAGGCTATTCGGATCGGCCGGAACAGCGTTCTCTTGTCGTATATCGTTGGCCTCAATTAACGCCCGTGTTTGGAATGTCTACGTCAAAACACAGAGATGCCCGGAGGGTTCGAACAGTTATGGCTGTTGATACTCATTGTCGAGTTGGAGGCACGTGGAAAGAAGGCGAATACATTATCGTTGCAAACAGCGATGAAACCGTGAAGTTCTACAAAATTTGGGGGGAGCACGACAATGTGCACCATAATGAAAAGGCCACAATCCAAACAGGTATTTTCGGTAGTGACATTGTCGAAATGCTTGAGGATATTCCGGAAAAATGTTTGATGTCTGCCATTCGGTAATGGGTGTCTTTTCAAATAAAACCCGCTTCCCCTCATGTAAAGATTTGGTTCCCTAATATTTACACCGGTATCATTCTCTAAATTTCGACATAGGAAATGTTGGTGGACTGCTGAGGGAGAATCTGTCTTCTTTTAAATTGGCCATCTCAACGTTCTCGAGAGTATGTCTAAAGAGCAAACCCTCATTATCAACATCATAGTGGCATATACCACACCAGCATGTTTCGGCTGTAATATCCCACTCAAATTTGATGGTTAAACGGGCCGCTGTTCGGCTTAATTGGTTCACTTCGCTGGACAACAGTTGCAATACTTGTTGATTATGGTTTCCAAACAGAATGTTGACTAACCATTTTACAGACAGAAAGAAGAACTCATATTTTTTAACTCCATGAATCACAGGAATGCTGTGAGAATGCGGAAAAATGGACAATTGAATGTCTCTGTGCAGGATTTCATGAGGAAGCGATTTCTGTAAGGAATAGGGAAACTCTTGTAGGATTAAATCAATCGCTGAAATGAGTTACTGAATTCGGTATGTTCTAATGCTACTTACTTCTTCCCCTCGCTATAAAACCTTCATCTACAGGCCCTTGGTGAATGGCGGCGCATCTTCCCCAGCGGAAAGATTTCCAAAGGTTGCTCCTGCAATAAAACGATCTTAAACCTAAACTCTTAACTATTATCATCAAAGTGTGATAGTGCCAAATTTCTAGACTATTAATGATTTATTTATGCAAGTGAGTGAATTGTGTCTATCGCTCATGCGATTTGCACATGATGGTATAGTGAAGTCAGTATGTCAGCAACACACGTAAATAGCCAAGCGATCAATTGTGAAACCGAAGAAATAGGCAAGTATATTATATTGATTTTGTAAATAACAGTCTCATTATCAAACGGACCCTTACAGTACTTATCATGACCGTGGACATTGAGTGACGAGAACCGCTCAAATTCAAATTTATTTTTAAATTCTTTTTATTAAATTATGGGCTTATTGAGGGACTTTTCTTGGAATTTAGTATGTAAAACAAAACTGTAAATTCAAAGACCAGAGACGGGGATATAAATTATATGATAGCGACAAGCGAAAATAATATCACAGGAACCTTCAATGGAATAGAGGTTTGAGGAATAAACAGGAAAAAAGACATTATTTTGTGAGGAGACAAGAAAGAACACTGATGTTCATAATAGTAGTTTATGTGCAACAATTAAACACTGTTACCTTGTTTTGCTGCACCGCAAAGTCTACTGCGTGCGCGGATAGCTTGACCCTTAAAGTAAAGGACATTAATAAGAACAATAAGAGGAAGAGAGCAGAAACCAACAACGGCAGTTGCCCAATGAACATTCATACGGGCAAACATCAAAGCACTTAAATGTGTAAAACCAGCAGCACCGAGATTAGATGGAAGCTCAAAAGCGGCCACTGCCGAGGCGGACACAGAAGGATAGGAATCGGTAATGTAAAGAAGCATTACTTGCCAAATGTGATAGTCGGCGATGTTGAAAAACGTCAGACCAATCAATGGAACAATCCAGTGAATGTAACTTTGGGAGCAGAAAGCAAACATAAAGATACCGATGGGGAAGAGCCAAATGTAGACAAGGGAAACCTTAAGACGAGCTTCTGGTCTAGCAACACCGTTGTTTGCTTGTTTGTCGCGACTGTAGATGCGAGAGTGCAAAGGTTCAAAAAAGAGCAGAATGATACAAGCGGGAATGGCAGCCAAATAGGTGAAGGAAGCCGAAAGATCAGCCATTTTGTAAATGTTGACAAAGACAGGCCAAATTGCGGCAAGGAAGAAATAGAGAAGGCCGTTAACGAAGCCATTGTAGATACCGAGGGCAGCAACAATAGGTTCTGTAAAGAAAATCTTGATAGCGTTGGTAAAAACAAAGACGGTTTTATCAGCAAACTTTCTTGCTGTCATGCGAGGGATGAAATCCGTATTTCCACCGCGTTTCTTCTCGTACTTGGAAATGATGATACTTGGAAGGGTTTCGGGCATAAGAGAAAAGACGACAAGGTAGGCTCCGGAAACAATCACGTTAATCCAATAAAGCCATTGCCATCCCAACTTCTTGTCATTCACGAGAGCAACACCCTCAGGCGAACCAAATGTCGAGAGCGAACACATGAAGATAAAAATGTACATTCCCCAATGAGATTCATCATCATCAAAAAGGTCTGCCACACCTCCTGCCACATTTCCAAGAGCGGTTGATCCACATATTCCGAGGATGAACATAGAGATGACCAGTTGAGCGTAATTCCGAGCAAGTGCACAGGAAACATTAAAACACAGATAGAAAACCATTGTACCAACGTATACCCATTTGCGACCAGCCAAATCAGAGAACGGACCCAGAAACAAAGGACCAAGACTAACACCCAAGATAAACATACTTTGGCCAAGAATAGACACTTGTGAAGTAAGGTTCCATTTTGCTTGAAGCGAGTACTGAATATCGGGATAAGCATTCGGTGTCAGGAAGATAAAACATTGTAGCGAACATGTTAAGCATGTTAAGAATATTTTTTTCCAGAAGGGCCACTTTTTAGGATGAGCAGGATGATTCTCCAGAGGATCGGTTTCATTATAAACCCTTTGGACAGATAATTCATCTTTCGTCTTCACCGAAGACACAGTATCCGAGTCTTTTACGGCATTAGACACTTCGGAAGAGAAGTTTTCTGAATACTATAGTGAATTGTTAGACATGATTTTTAAAACATTATCGACTATAAGCCAAGTCGAAATAAATAATCAGCAAAAAAAAAAAAAATAAATAAATAAAAATCATAAAAAAATCAAGAAAAAACAAAAGTACGGACAATATATTTTTCCTTTTTTTTTTTCAATTTTTTCCTTGATTTTTTTTATAATTGTTTATTTCGCCCATATTATACTTACTGCTTCAGGCCCCTGGTAATTGGCATCCCGTAACTTAGTTTGCTGTGCTGCTTCGCGTTCCATGCTCGTTAAACCACTTAGCGATGCTGTAATGAGTTTGTGCCTTGAATTCGGAAAGCCGGAGACTGTTGCCCCTCGGAACGCCGGCAGACGCTCTCGTATTTATACTAACGGATGAACCTGCCGCGGGTAGCGTTAGTTTGCGCCAAAGCAAATCTAGATTCAAAAAAAGTCTCATTCTCAGGGAGAGTCGTAGACATGTTTTCGCACTGGACTGTCATTCGTTCGTTACGCAGTATGCTGCGCGCGCTTCCTTCTTTCGTCCCCTATTCCGGGAAGATGGAAGATGAGATATACGGAAGCAGGCCGGATATCCGATCTCTCCAATCAAATACTAGTTAAAAACGTAAGCCCCGAAGCTTAACCTTAATTCCATGACGTCAACATGAACAAGGAAGAGTATATAAAGACGGAATGTCAGCAATTGTCCTCTCCCTCTACCACTACCTACTAATTTGCAAGACAATGTGTAGTATAATTATATAAAGTTACACCGGGGCTTGAATTGTAACAGTAAGAATTTGCAAAGAATGAAAACGACTGGGTGCTCGCCAGGAATCGGTAACTTAAACGAGCTTGGAAATGAACAATAAGTCAATATTAAGCGATGAACAGGAGTTAATTAAATGGGACGAATACTGTTTAAACAGAAGAAGTAATACCTCCGAAGTTAAGGAGCTCTTTTAAATACAGTTTACGTGCCGCAAAAACGTGTCAGCGTCCTTGCGCCATCCGAAATGTCAATCAAAATCACTGGATGTATTATTAAGCATCAGGCAGGCATTCGCACGGTGACGTGATTCAATAACCACAAGACCGCACCCTTTGCACTTGAAACGACGAGCAGTATGGCGGAAAATTCAGATACGGCAGTTGCCGAGACCGACGATTCCCAAGGACGGTCACCGTCTTACGCGATCTTGCTTGTTCGCCATGCGGAAACAGAGCATAACGTAAAGGGCATACGTGCAGGATCTGGGATTGACAGCGAACTCACCGTTCACGGAGCAAACCAAGCCCAGGCCCTAGCGAGTAGTCTACAACACCGCAATGTCATCGCTGTGTATTCATCCCCAATGAAACGTGCAATACGGACAGCGAAGCCTGTTGCTGACGCATGTAATGCGCCCTTAAACATTAAAGACTGCTTAAGGGAGAAACACCTAGGTACACTGGAGGGCGTATCATTCCGCGAATCTACATCTTCACGGTCACTGGATTCACATTTCAAAGTTGAAGGCTTAGAGTCGCGGTCACAGCTCCTTGAACGTGCTCAGCAGTTTACTTCGCTGCTTTTTGAGCATATTACGTCTCTTGAGCGAGATATTAGTGCGGAGTCAGATGTGCCGTCGCTAGTCATAGTTTCACATGGTCTGTTTCTCCCGTTCTTGCTGCGAGCTATCTTGGCAAAATTACGTTCTCCGCTGCCAGGTAAAGTCTCTCCATGGTTAAATGCTTCCTACACGAACATAACAGTGTTCAATGACCACTCTGCGCTGGTAGAAATGAACAGGTCTAACCACCTAAGAAAAGTCAAACGGACTCGACGCATTGGTTCCAGCAAGCACGATCCCAGACAAACAACTCTCCAGTTCTGCCGGAAGCTGGATGACTAATGGATGAAATTTCGGCTTAAAAATACGACTTACGGAGGCCGCTTTGTCTTTACTGGACAACAGATCAATCATTTTGGTGATTTTTGATTCTTAACAAAAAAAGTACAATCTATGTTTTATTGCTACATATTCGGAAAATCAAATCCTTTTGATCATTCCCGATACTCGTCCTCATCTTCTGCAGCCTGTCCCATTTCAGCATCGTCATTGTCGTCATAATCCCCGTCAACCGCTGCGGAGCCATAATCCGAGCCTTGCAGCAACTGCCGTTGAGATTCTTCGAGATGTTGCTCTCGTAGTTGTAACTCTTCTGCCTCATAAGTTTTGAGAGCATTCCGTTCGATCAGGTCGTTAATTTTTTGACGCATCACTTCCTCCATACGATTGGCGTCATTGTACACCTCAGAGTGCTCTTCATTATAAGTGCGTGCGTTACTAAACATTAACATGAAGTCGTCAACCAACTCTTGGAGGTTCCTATACCGAAGACTGCTAATCTTCCGTTTAATTTTATCGAGTGAGATGGGGTTTTTAATGATGACATAGTAGTCCGGGTACAGCTTTTTGCTGGGAATGTGAAGGAATAGAGCATTGATGGGCCGTCCGTCAGTGTCTTGTAGATTGTAGACGGCCTGGTATAGCTCCATCGCGCATCGCTTCAATGCCGCTCGGAGACATTCCTGTTCAATGTCTGCCTTCGACATTGTGTGGTAATTCGGTGAAGCAAAGTCGTCATCATCCTCATCATAAGCACTCGTACCCCGAGTGTGCCGTTTCCTTAAACGCTTGCTTCGTTCAGAATACAGATAATCCTCCTCATTTAATTCCTCCAAGGTGGGCTCAGCATAACTGATTGATGCCCGACGACGTTTATGGTTCATAAGAATAGCACGGTTTTCTTCTTCTGCAGCAGCGGCTGCTAGAGTATCAACATCAACACGATAAATTTCAGGCAGTTCATCTTCTGAAAGCAGACGAGGTAATGGTTTGCCCTTGCCATAAGCATCTTCTTGTTGACGTTGCTGATCAATCTCACGGAATATTTTCAGCTCCTCTTCGTTTCTGGAGATAAGTTCATTAAGCTCATCATCCTCAAACTTTCCATGATTTTCGTTCGCTTGATCATCCCCGTTCTCGTGTTCCAAAAGTGAACGAAGGAATGCTTCACGCTCCTCCGGCGTAGACTTATTGTCAAACTTTCCGGCTTGGATAACCTTGCCGTCCAAATCGAGCTTGTACTGCGCACGAGCAAGAATATTTTCCTCAATTGACTTATCAGTAATGAGACGGAGAATACGAACCTCTTTCGTTTGTCCGATTCGGTGAGCACGGTCTTGAGCTTGAAGATCTTGATGAGGGTTCCAATCGGTATCAAAAATAATGACGGTATCAGCAGTTTGCAGATTCAAACCAAGACCTCCTGCCCGAGTACTAAGAAGAAACACATAGATATCAGAATTGCGATCGTTAAAATCAGCTAGCAAGGCCGAACGATCTTCGGCTTTTGTAGAACCATCTAACCGAAGGTATTTCCAGTTTCTGTAGCGTAAGTAATCTTCCATAATACTCATGATTTGTGTCATCTGGAAGAAAATTAACGTCCTATGACCAGTTCTAAAAAGTTTTGGCAGTACCCTATCGAGTAGTTCGAACTTTCCAGCAGCACGCCAAAGCAGGTCGTAGTTGGTGCCTTCAGGATCGATAGCCTGCTCTACTTCCTCGAAAACGAATGGATGATTGCAGATCTTTTTAAGTTGCATAACGGTATTTTGTAGACCTTTCATGCCCGTGCGACCCTTCTCACCATCGGCAACAAACAAAATTCCATGTTTTTTCATTTGCTGATACAAACGGAGTTGCAGTGCCGAGAGTGGACACTTGATGACCTTTTCAATCTTGTCTGGTAACTCTTTTTCAACATCTTTCTTCAACCGCCGAAGCAAGAAAGGCCGAAGCACTTTATGGAGACGCTTGATGACCAGCAGCGACTCTTCTTCGGACAATTCCATCTTGTCTTGGCCACCCGCATTAGCGAACGGAGTATTAAACCACTCATCAAAACTCTTGATGGAGTTGAAGATTTTTGGAAGAACGAAATTCAGTAGAGCCCAAAGCTCAGGCAAGTTATTTTGCAGAGGCGTTCCTGTAAGGATGAGGCGGTATCGAGAATAATAATATGTCGTCAATGTGTTTGTCAGTTTGGACTGTGTGTTTTTCATACGATGACCCTCATCAATAATCATGTGCAGCCAGCGAACTTTAGACAGCACCGGCCGATCTTTGATTACATATTCAAATGTTGTCAACAGCACCTGAAAATCGCCTGACCTGACTCGTGCCTGTAACGATTTCCGCACCTGGGGAGGTCCCTTGTAAGCGATAATTTTAACGGACGGGGCCCACTTTTCAAACTCCAAGCTCCAATTTGTTAAAGTAGACAAGGGGACGATAATGAGAAAAGGCCCCTGCTCGTTTTTCCTTTCCAATAAGTACGTAATGAAGGATATTGTTTGAATGGTTTTACCCAAACCCATCTCATCGGCTAAAATACCGTTGAGATTATTGTTATAAAGGGAAAGCATCCATTGAAGGCCCTTTAACTGGTATTCTTTCAATGTTCCACCCACCAAAATGTCTGGTTGCGTAACTTCCTCCTTTATACGATGTGCAACCTGATAGTAATTCAGATGTTCATCCACGTCATCATGTTCCTTTTCCCCTCCAGCTTCTGGCATATTATCATTGTCTTTTGTAGAGGCGGAGGTGGTACTGCCGGCAGTACTTCCGTCATGAATGTAACTTTGCTGTTCACGGACAGCTTTGGTGAGCGATGATAAGTACGCATCTGTTTGTCGCAACAAGTGAGTAATACGCGTATCCTTCGCTTGGTCAATGAGCTCCAGGTATGCTGCTTCATCATCGGCCGCGAAGCGCTTGGAGACGTTGCCGAGCACTGCGCTCAATACGCTTTTGCTCTTCTTTTTCAGCGTGAGCATGAAAGTTCATCACACTCTTGTTTAAACGCTGACGTCTCTGAGCGACAGAATTAGCATGTTCAATGATACCTTGACCACGGGCAAGGATTGACTGTAATTGAGAGAGGAGTTTTTCTTTTTTCCGTTCGGCAAACTCTTGTTTTTGTTGAAGGCAGAGAGATTCCGTAAGACGTGCCTCACGTAACGATTGATGTTTCAGACTTCGGAAAATGTTTCGCAAATTCGAGCCTGCAAGAGTTCCCGTGTACGGAACTGTTTTTCCAACCTCATCACGAAGAGCTTTTTGTTTGGCTAACAAACGCAAGGAACAAAGTTCAATCCTCTCGTTAATCGAGAGTCTTTTATCCATGTCTGAGCCCTTCACAACTCTTGCTTCTAATTCTTGTATACGATTTTGCATAGACAGAGCAATGCTCTCCTCCACGCGTTCATAAACAGTGTCCCAAATCAAGGGTGGAGGCAATAAAGAAGGAATTATTAGACGGTTGTCTTTTGAATTGAAAGCCGCATATGTAATCGGCTTAGACACATAAGAGTTAGGATCGACGCATGACGAGAAGGATTTGCTCTCAAGTTCAGTGGTAGGGGAAGGTGCCGCTACTGATGATGATGCATTGACAGCAGCCGGCCCAAAAGAGATGCGCGCACCGGATACCACCGAAGCTGCGGGAGTATCAATTTTCGACATATACGCGCCTGTGGAATTGGCCTGAGCGGAGGGAGTCGATTTGCCAGCAGATGGAGGCACCGCGGGTGTCGACGAAGATGAAGCGGGAATTGTGGATGGAACAGCTGTAGTATGAGTCGCATTTTGTGCGTCACGAACGAGTGGATAAGCAGAAGCGTCTGGGACAACGCCTCCTGCAACCAATGCTGCAGCTCGGGCGCGGTCCACTGAGACTTGGGGATTAACAGCCGCCGCGGAAGCTTGCTGGGATGCAGCAACTTTGTTGGCAGCATCAGCGTTGGACCGCATAGCATTGGGATGACAGAGAACATTACCGAAAATAGCCTGTTGAAGGTTGGGAGGGATGGGAAGATTGGCTGCAATGTACTTGAAGGCAAGAATTTGATTTTTCAATGCAAGCACCTGAGCTGGAGTAAAGGACGAAGTGCTTGAATGGTTGCCTCCGGGGGTCGGCAGACTAGCTGCTGGAGCAGAAGGCACACTAGGCTTGGGAGACTGCCATTGCGATGCCGCGGGAGAAATGTGAGTCGAAGAGAGATGAGGAGAGGCACCACTAGGTACAGGCGACTGCTGTACATGATGTCCGCTGCCGCCTGCAGAAGGTGACGATGCGTTAAACGGTCGTCCACCACTGTACATGGGGCGCGAAACCTTTGGGTATTCTGCGGACCCATCCATTCCGGGGTACGGACCATTGTTGACTACCCCTGGAGCCATGCCCTGAGAACTACCAACAGTAGCAGCAGTCGCAGATGCATTACCTGGACCCAGGGAATCGGTTCCAGCGTCTCTGGTTATGTCTCGGTCTTCCACAACACCATCAGGAATGCGACTCTGTTGGCCCTGGCCATAGGAAAAGGCAGGTGTCGTTTTGGAGCCTGTCGCCATATCTCCCCTAACGTTCATATTCACTGAAGCGACATTTTGGCCATGCGGCCTGTTTACAGAAACATTTTGGACATTGTTTATACTCGTAGCAAGATTCGTTGCGGGAGCACCCGCTCGTAGGCCATTTGAACTGCCTGTCAAATCTTGCCCCTTCATAGAATTCGCAGTATTCATGCTCATTGTGTCTGGTGACGATGTTTTCTGGTCTGCAGCATTCCATGCCGAAGCATTGTATGTCCCGTTCTGTTTGTACGAGCCTCCTGACCCCATTTGTCCTCCTTGGACATTCTGTCCAACTCCATTACCAGCTCCAGCAGCAGCGGCTGCTCGAGCCTGTTGCATTCGCATAAACTGTGTCTGCTGGACCATCCGTAGGATCCCGGTCAGCTGTAGAAACTCATTGTTGTTCCTCTCTGCAGGTCCTTGCATCCGTAGATACTGCCATCGTTCATAGATCGCCTGGAGATTTTCGTTTGTTAATCCCTTCAGGTATGCGGGATTCACATGCGGTAAAGACATGTGCCTTGACAAAAAAAGGAACCAAACCGCAAATTCACGTTGCGTCACGCAGGAAATGTGCGCTAGAATTCAAAATTATCCGACTTTCCTGGTCGCTGCAGTTCCTGGTGCTGCTAGCTAGCTCGCTAGTAGAGACGCCAATGGTTGGAATTATCACCGAGCTCGATCAGCGACTTTGTATGAATCAAACGAGCGCTTTGATCCAACACAAACGAATGGTAAAGAAATCCGTGTATATCGCAGAGTTCGTGTTTGTTACCTTTCGCTATTAGCCACATTGGCTACGATGGCAACTCCGTGCGGCCCACAGCGCAGTGATGCGTTAAATAACGAGGTCGTGCGTGGGCGAGCGTGTCCTGTGACGAGCAAAGTTTTGTTGTAGCGAGCACGTGAACGACCACGCGAAAAGTCTAAGTATCCATAGAAGCGATGTTAATGAGTATGGCAGGGAAAACAAGAACGAATGAGTCGATGAAATAAAAGTCAATGAGAGGAAGCACCGCTTTTATAAACATTTTATGCTTTTTGCTGCTCGATTTTGCGGTGCTCTAACAAGCACAGACGATTTTTGTCGGCCCATGGCGCCAAAAATGCAGCCTTCTGTAGCTCACCCAAGTGCATTTGTTGGCGAAACGCGAATGCAAGGTCTCCGGGACTTGTTGGATACGAACCCAGAATGCGCTGTAGCGTCTTGGCCAAGTCATAAGCACTCGTGGACTTTGTTTTTGTTAAAGCAGCCCATGCAGTCGGCAGGTGAGGATGGATAAAAACGAACTGTTGTAAGAAGCGCTGGATATCACGATGTTGAAGGGTGTAAATGGCATGAATGAGTTCAAGAATCAAGTTACATTCCTGTTCGTTCAGCTTGTGTTCAAGCACATACTGCTCTAAAGATTCTTGAGCAGCCTCCATGACTGCTTCGTCGCCGTCGGAAACACCCATTGCACCAAGGCAGAGCAAAAGATCCAGCATGTCTGGGTGTTGTTGTAAGGCATCGAGTAACTGCTCGCGAGCAGCTTGTTTTGCATTCTCATCTCCTATGGCCCACAAGGCTTTGGAGACCAGCACCACAACATCGGGATCCTCCGTGCTCTCCTCCAGCGTCTGTTGAAATGCTGAAAGCGCATGGGTCAGGTTTCCGGTGAAATAATGAGCCAAGCCTAGCACCAAGTCCAGTTGCATTTTCAAACGGACATCCGTATCTTCACCCTCTAGCAGGTCAGAAACAACTGAAAGATTTTCAATTGTCTCGTTGAAACGACCAGATTGCAGATATAACCGTCCGAGCACCAACTTTGAATCGATGAATTTGCGTAAAGCTTCATGGGACTCGGTACGTTCATAGTCTTCTTCCAACAAAGTCCCAAGATCAGTGCAAACTGCGATAGCACGTTCAAATAAGCCGAGTCGCTCGAGCAAATTTGTTAAAAGATAGTACGCATGTGCTTGTCTCGGCCGTTCACTGATGACACGACCAATCGAGTAGATAGCATCCCAAACTTCACTTTCGTTGACGGTACTTGTATTCAAAACATTCTGAAATACATAATAAGCGTACCAATAGTTTGCTGAAAAATGATTACCGTTAGAAATGGCACGAGCATGGTAGCAAACACGAGACACATTCGCTTCATCAGCAACAAGAATAGACAAAAATGCGCGTCCGAGCCATGCCTGGACATAATCGGGATCAATGGACTGAGCGCGAGCGAAGGCCGTTTCAGCTAAATCATACTCAGCACATTGCAGGTACAAACCACCCAAGCTTGTCCATGCGCCAGCATTTTTCTCGTTACAAATGAGGGAGCGAATAAAGCAGTGTTGAGAAGCTCGATAAGCACCAGTTTTTGCCAGAAGGATGCCCAAAAAGCTCCAGAAATCGCCGTTTTTAGATTCAAGCTTAATAGATTGCTTGACGCAGCTTATAGCGACCTTCATGTACTCAACTCCTTCCAATTTGGAGAGCTCAAAAAATGCGACACTCAGATTGTACCAAGCTGCAGGAAGCATGATAGCATCCTTAGCTGTGAGCGCCAAACACATATTGTAACACACAATAACACACTTTGTAATAAGTGCAGCATCAACAGTAGCACCATCCAAATGAAAGTCATTCAATGACGAAACGTTATTTGAGTTAGCCATCTTTAGCATTTTTCCATCCGTCATGATTGCACGAACTTTGTCCAAGGGAAACTCGTGCATGTGCTTTTGAACGTTTGCATACATTTGTATAGCATCACCCAAACTCTTCCATGGAGATACATAAGAATTGTTAATGGTAAAGATAGCAGCACATGTGCCGATTACTTCTTCAGCATGTTGAATAGCCCTGGCATAATAACCTTTTGAATACTCCGAATTTGCTAATTTTACTAGCGTCTTACTCTTTGACACAAGGACACAGAGTTCATTTTTGCGGTTTAAGAGAATATCTTCATACAGAGTCAAGGCTTCATCATATTCGCCAATGTCCATTTGAATATTAGCGACCATGTATGTGGTATACCAATCTTCCGGATTTAATAGTTCAGCGCGATGGAAGGCCTTTAAAGCTGCAGCGTAGCGACCAGAACGCGAATATGCTTCACCCAAACCACTCCAGCAATGAGCATCACGGGCATTGATCCGAAGAGCAGACTGAAAGTGAGAAATTGCATTCTCGTAATTTTTTGTATTCAACGAGACAACGCCTAAAGCCTTATAATGCCAATTGATACGCAAGCGACGTGTGATACCACTTCTTTCTGTCGTAAGTACACGCCGTGCAACTAATTCAACAAGTTCCCACTCATTAGAAGCCGCAAACTCCTTAGCAAGTTTCTCAGCTGCTGCAAATTCGCGAGCATCAAGCTCAAATGCTTTTTGATAACACTTTGTTGAACGCACCTGGTCATGAAAATGTTCGTAATAAAAACCGAGGCTCGTGTACGCAGGCGCGAAATTGGGATTTGCTCTGAGGGAGGAAACAAAGGCGGAGAATGCACGTTCAATTTGATCTTCGTCTGCAATGCCGTCATTCCATAAGTAAGTACCTAATCTGTAATAGAGCTCAGACTTTTGTGCACTAGTAACAGCTTGTTCGTCACAAAGTTCAAAACACTTTTTAATCGTTTTCAAGGCGGTTTCATTTTGGCCGAGCAAATGATAACACCATGAGAGGTTGGAATGAGCAATAAAATTAGTTGTGTCTGTTGCCAGCAACAGTTGAAGTGTAGCCACTGCATCTTCTGTACGATCGCTTGCTAATTCAATATCACTTCGTCCTATGAGGGCCTCAGCATTCGCTGGCTCGGATGACAATACCAACTCGTAAAGCCGCAAAGCTTGAGGATGATAACGCGGAACTTCAACATGTGTGTACGCAATGGCCAGTAACAGTGAGAAGGTAAGTTTTAGCTTCTCAAGAGTGACACTGAATGAATTGTAGACATTTTGAAGTAAATCCAGTCCCCGTGTACAGAGATCAGTTAGTGTTTCGTAATCCTTTATGTGATAGCAATGAATAGCAAACATTTCATGAATAAGAATGGAGTCCTTATTGGCATCCAAACAATCAATAAAAAGCGCAAAAACTTGATCACCATCAGTGCTTTCTTCCTCAACAGCAACTTCGTTTGTAGCAGCTTCTTCCTGGCCCTTTTCCGGTTCAGACGCTTTCACCTCACCATCGTTATCTGGTTTTTTAGGACTAGGCAAAAGCAGCCTTCCAATGGACGTTTGTAAGAAGGCTTCGAGAGCCGAGGCCAGGGGGGTTTCGGGGAATAATTCACAGTATTTAGTAAGCTCAGTACGTTCCAACTCAAGAAATGAACGGTGATCTGCCCATTCAAGATGGATTGACCAAGCCAACTGCTCAGGTAACTCGAGAGTGACGATGTCATCCGCCAAGGAAGTAAGTTTTTCTAACCACGGTGACTTGTCGTTCAAGTCTGAAAGTAAAAGCTGCTTATAGAAAAAGTGTAATAGCTTGGATTCCGTGATACGTCTTACTTGCTCGTCATGAGACCAGTTAATAATGTTTTGGTAGATGGTTTCAAGAGGTGAACTAGAGTAGATTTCTCGGTCCACATCATACATAACCTGGTTAAGCTTTGCACCCAGTCTGTTCTTCCGTTTAGCAACTTCGGTATCAAAGTAAGTTTTGTCAAGGTACTCTTGAATATCAGCCATTTGCATATAAAGAAGGGCTACGCTGGGTACTAGACCTTCCAAATAATCATAAAAGGTGCCTCCTTCTGGGGTTAAAAGTTTAAGTGCTTGAAACTTTTGTTCAGGTGTGCCATATTGCTGAGCAGAAGATTGGAATTTGTTCATGGTAGTAAAACACCTCTCACGTTCATCATTGTTCATTAATCGTGTACAAATAAGATCTGTCATTTTTTGAAGAGATTCCAAGTCGTGTTTTTTATCATACAAGTTCCATAAGCCTTGCCACGCTAACAGGGACTTGTTGTCAATCTCTGTGGCCTCTAAATATGCATGTTCTGCTTCGGCATAGTTTTCTAACGATACATAACCAAGACCAAGGAAAACGTGTGCATTATAGTTTTGGGGCTCAAATAACAAAACCTTTTTAGAAAGGTTTATTGCCTCTTCATAGTTTTTTGTGTTTAAAGCCTCTCTCGCTGCTTTTAAAGCAGCTTTTGCCATTTTAAAAACGAGTTTAAGTGAGAGGGTACAGGGTGTGTTAGAGGATAAGTTATAAGTTGAAAAGCTTTGATAACACGAAAGAGCAAGCCTACCGAGTATTCTAATATGAAAAGTGGATGTGTGTACTGCTCTCAATGACAATATTTGGTTAAATTCATATCATTAGTGCTAATTTTGTTGTGGTAATGTAAACCGAAATCATTATAGAAATTAGTGCGACTGAAAGGTAGCCTTTCGTCAAACGTTACAAGGAGTGTTTCCATGCTTTATGATTGTGCCTTAAAGGAATACTAATAAGAGATTCCAAGGATACGCCATAAGGCCACGATGACGGGATGCCTAAGTGAAATACTCTTAGTGAGAAACACTCTCGCCCGGCTGAGGAAGAACGTGTCCTGGATTAAGTATTCCAAGCGGATCAAGAGCACACTTCAGTTGACGCATCAAGGCTACAGTATCAGGACTTAGTTCTTCGTTCAAATAGGCACGTTTGACTAGACCAATTCCGTGTTCACCCGTAATGGTACCGTCCATGTGAATAGCGTTCAAAACGAGACGATGAACCAGTGTTGAAGCTTTCTCGAATTCTTCAGGTTTGTTTTTGTCATACAACAGAAAGCTGTGGAAATTACCGTCACCTGCGTGTGATACGATGCCTCCAAGCAAACCCGCATCTTTTAAGTCTTTCTGTGTTTTCGTAATGAGATCTGGAAGACGAGACAACGGCACACAAACATCGGTTGTCCAAACTTGTAAATCCTCTTTGGCAAAGGCAAGTGTGCTCCAAAGAGCTTGTTTACGTGCATTCCACAAAGACTCTGCTTCTGTTTCGTTTCGCGCAAATTGAAATTTTCCACCATGGTTCTTACGTGCAAGTTTGCCTACAATATCAATTGTCTCTTGTACTGCCTTGTAGCCGCCGGCAAATTTGAAGAATAAAGTAGGTTTTTCTTCCCAATGGGAAGTTAAAGCCTCATTAATAATGCGCATTTGCGTATCATCCAGCAGTTCCATAGCGGCCACATTCAATCCTTGACGCATGATGTTCTGCACAGTGGTAGCAGCGTCGTGTATAGACTCGAATTGGCATACGGCAACATTTCGACAAGGAGGAATGGCATGCAACTTCAGCGTAATTTCAGTTACTAACCCTAGCGTGCCTTCGGAACCGATGAATAAGTGTGTCAAGTCGTAGCCGGCGGAGCTCTTGCGTGGCCTTCTCCTTGTCTTCACAATTGTACCATCAGCTAACACAGCAGTAATGGACAATACATTTTCACGCATAGTACCATATCGTGCAGCATTTGTTCCCGAACAACCTGTGCCAACCATTCCGCCAATCTCGGCGCCAGGACCGGGATCGGGGCCGAAAAACAACCCTTTGGATTGCAATTGGTCGTTGAGGTCCTCCCATTTTACAGCAGGTTGCACAATACAGTCCAAGTCGGCGTCGTGTACTTCTAGTACCTTATCCATGTTCATAAAATCCACACAAATGCCACCATACGTCGCACTAAAATGCCCTTCCAAAGAGGTTCCACCGGAGAAAGGAATAACAGGAACACGATGCTTATGACATAATTTGACAATGGCTGATACCTGTTCTGTTGAAGTTGGGTAAACGACTACGTTGGGATTGTGAACGTAATGGTAAGAAGACCATGAGCTGGACCCATGCCGCTCGAGTTCATCTGCGTCAATCGAAACGCTGTCTTCACCGAGTACTTTCTTTAATTCCTTAATAAATTTAGGATAAACTTTTGATGTTGCAAAAACAGGTTCAAACGGCGAATGATCTACTGAAGCGTTCCCGACAGCAAACTGTCTCGACAGTGACCGATTTTGTATATATCGAGTTGTGAAATACGTCGCACCGCCAGCCAAAATACCGCAAACAAGCCCATACAAGAGGCTGCTTCTTGATTGATTATTCGCCGTTGAAGATGAAAAACGACTTCCCAAGTGGTGAATCGGCTGCTTTTTTGTGATTGTATGTAGATTTCTGTGGATAGACAGTTTCACTGGTTGGGCACATGAAAAGCGCGACAGCAGGGAAAATCGTGATGGTGAAACCATCTTGCACAAATAAACGCGTAGTAAAACTCGTTAGTGAATGTGACCTGTAGGCGCAAATTAATACACGCCCACGTACTTGTTTTCCCGTCTATACTACTTCAGTTGAAATGATGTAGAGAAGAGAGAAACTGAGGCAGTTGATACCACACTCTTATTGCTTCTAGAGACCGTCAGGATTCTGTGTACGTGTCCAATCAAGTCATTGTTCCCCCTCTCCCGGGCGACTGTTTTGACCCGGCATTTCATCGACCAGACCAGCGAATGGAGACTGACGTCACGGAAAGTAAATGCAAACGCGAAAGTAAACAAAGCAGATATTAGGTTGGAAAGGACCGAAAAAAACCTCGTTTTAGCTTCACGGAAGCCGAAATTAAACATCACTAGTTTCTGAAGACGAGAAGGACGAATTCAAGTCTCTCGTTGTTCTATGGCGCACAGTTGGAGTAGGCACACGCGCGACAATAAGCGTTTCAATTGACGGATTGGGATGACTTCCCAACTCCTTTTGGACCGGTGGACTGTCTTCTGACGAGGAACGTGTGCGTGAATAAACAAAACTGTCCTTTTCTGCAGCCAATATTCGATCGTATTCAGTGTCAACATGATTTTTAGGCGAAACAACCGGTGTTTGGAACGCGTCATCCATCCCACTAGCAATGAAAGCCAAAAGTGTCCCGGAAATACCACCGACGAAGACTGACCATGAGAGAAAAATGTAAAGTGGATAGAAAACGACAGCCAACTGTTTGAAGGCGCGATACGGTGCAGCTAGTGTGATTTCAAATAGAACATACATGAAAGAGACAACCGGTTCGTACAAAAACGCTGTCGAGGTGATAACAAAACGAGAAGTGAACTTCAGCAAGTACCACAGGGTGTACGCTGCAAAGAGCAAGCCAACTAACACATACTGGAGCGCAATAAGCAGCGTGTTCGCTACATTAATAAGAATATCCGTCATCGACATTGCATCGTCGTGCACGTTCGCGTTTGGTAGACGGTAGACGCGCAAGTGCTTATTCTCTGAAAGTCGCATAGCAATGATGTCATATGCAATGATGTAATTAAATCTAAAGAATATTGTCGGCTATGCCTGTGATTGGTCGGTACTTGCGACTGCGGGAGGAATGGTCATTAGCCATTTGGAACCAGGTTTCAACGACGCCATAACCGAGCGGTACATTCTGACATCGGGTGCAGATCCACCGAAGTTCGAAATTCACCTACTCCCTTTATTTGACGTGGGGTAATTAGGTTAAGGGATCATCGCAGTATCTGCTGCTGCTGTCCTTAACCATTACTATACGCAAATGGGAAATACACAATCCCAAGAAGGATATCATGGAAGTAAACACGGGTCGAAGCCGTCAACGGTTTCTTCACCCCCACAATCGTCTTCTGGTGAAGTTGCCTCGTCGTCCCGAGCGCAGAGTTTGATTAGTATAGCGCCTGAAGAAGTTGAGCTGGAAGAACATGAACCAACCTCGCCTACAGACGCTGTTGAAGGCGATGATTCTCAACAATCAAAGTCAAAAAAGAAAACTCAGACGTCAGCAAAGAAAACGCACGTCCCTTACAATGGTATGGTGATGTGATATATCGCTCCGAAAAACAATCGGTCGCTAACAGTCTTGTAGGACCGCGTGTTCCTACTGTCATCCAATGGAGAGGCAATGGAAACAATGTCTATGTTACAGGAACCTTTTCTCGCTGGAAGAAGAAGGTTCAGCTCTTAAAAGAGTAAGTGTGCTATGCGATAGCTTTAAGTACTTGTACACTAACAATTGGCTATCACAGAGACAACTTCACCGTTCTGTTGCAGTTGAGACCATGCACACAACGGTTTAAGTTTTTGGTCGACGGCGTTTGGAGATGCTCACCGGATTTTCCTACTGCTACGGACGCTGAGGGTAATTTGTATAACTACTTGGAAATTGATGCGAATGACATAACGGAAATGAATATCGACCGGCCTGATGACAAGGTAAATGGCCGGGAGAGTGTTGAACGCGATGAGGAGGCCGAACAATACGTCTCCGAAATCCCCGCGTTCTTGTCGAATAATGCACTCGGTGATACGAAACTCCCTTCACCTCCTTCTCTCCCTCCTCATCTTGAAAAGTGTGTTCTCAACTCGAACACAGCATACAAGGAAGACCAATCCGTGCTTCCAAACCCTAACCATGTGGTACTAAACCATTTGGCTGCCGCTAATCTACAGATGGGTGTGTTGGCTTTGAGTGCTACCACCCGTTATCATCGAAAGGTATGCAATTTTATTCGACATTCATTGTTTCATTGATGATGCTAACATTATTCATTTTAGTACGTCACGACTGCTGTTTTTAAGCCCTTTGAACCTTAATGAGAAGCTCGGTTACGTTTTCGGATCCATTCCGCACAATTTTGATAGGCATATTCAGAATCCTCTGTTTTTGAGACATTTTTACATATTGCAGTGCAGTTTTCTCCGTGGTTAAAGCTGCTCACTCGTTCACGTAATTCATTTAATCTTCTTTCGGCTTCCAAAGCTGTCGCAATAAAACAACAACAAGGTAAATAAAACCAGCACTCACAACGGCATTGGTGAGGATTGATACCTCGGTCTCTTTCTTCGCATCAGCCGTTGGAATTAGGACGTTAAGACTTGATTCGACATAGTCAAGAACAAAGGTACCGGCAGGTTCTTCGAGCTTTTCTCTACTGAGAAGCTGTTCAACGGAATCAACATGTTCGCCGCAAGACCAAAAAACCGTGGGTGACTGCATGCTGGCGACATGGAACATTCCATCTTCCTGCGGTAGCTGGTAGCGTGTGTGCAAAGGAATTTCAATGTCAAATTCGTCCATGTTGAGTGGTGCATTTACATCCAAGAGGAGTACGCTTCCCCAACCTGGAACATTGTATGATGGGGCTTCCAGGTCGGTTTCGCCCACAAGTTCAACGAGTTCGTGTACATTCTTAATGTCTTTCTCCGCCAACGATGTTAGCTGATACTTGTCGACAAACAAAGTTGATGGTATAGCTGCCAAAACTTGCATTTGACACTTTCCAGGAGGCGTGACGGATTTGGAAACATGGAGGACTAGAGTTGGATGAAGTCCAGGCGGTTGTCGAAATGCACTTGTGTATGTCCCGACCACAGAATCGCCCTTAGGAACGCGTCCTTCAGAGGATAACCATTTGGATTTTTCGTTATATGTGAACCGACTTATGTGTTCATCTAATGTGCAGCTGGTATCTGTGTATATCAAGGAGCTGTTTCCCACATGAATTTCCTTTTTCCAGTCCTTGTTTCCGGTTAGTCAAAAGAACGCGAAGGAAGAAAGAAACTTACAATTTCGCCTTGGAAAGGTAACTCAATTGGCCTAATATGGTTAGAGAGGTACATTCTCTTATTACACATATAAAAAGAGTTACGACATTTGTCCATTGAAATGGCTTTTTGTCATCTGTTTTCAGAACATATCCGCATTATTCTTTACCTTTCATTGTCGTTTTTGTTCATCAAAAACCAGCTTTCCTTTGGGAAGAAGGTAGTTTGTACCAACGCATTCAATTCTCATGACTCTCTCCTGCTGTTCATTCATTATTGTTTATGAATAAGAAAATATCAAGTTCTGCCTAACACGAACTGTTATGTCAGCGCGAAGCCGTCCCAGCTGTTTCTTCCTCGGTGCGTACTACGTCCTCTGTTACCTAGGCTTTTTTGGTGGAGAGTTTTCCACATGCACTCAACATGGGTAACGCGTGAATGCAGTAGATAAATGATATTTTCTACGCGTCATAAACAGACACTAATTACGGAATTCTGCAATTCTGCAGGCAATCTTACTGAGAAGTTTAAAATTTGTTACCAGAATGTTACTATCGTTAACTTAAACGCCCTTGTTTCCAAACGTCTAGCTTCCTCATTTGTCTTTGTACTCCCCAACCAGGTCACATTTGTAATGTGCAATGAAGGGCTATTTTAAATGATTAGAGACAACGCTCATGCATGTTCTACTTCAGTTGGGACGTATGGGAACAATATTGTTTACTTTCACTTAAAACTTGATTCGCTTGTACTTCAATGTAAACAAATAAACAAAATGAAGGGTATAAAATCCCGGCGAAACGCTTGTCTCAATTCCTTGTTTCACACACAAATATCAGCAATTGTGCGTTCATGATGAGAATCTTTCTGAATAACACCTTCGCTTTGAAACTGTTCGCGCTGGTTCTGTCTATACTACTTCGTGTTATCGACGGATTGCAAACGATTTTGTCTTACGAAGCGGAAAACTTCGTCCAGGAACAAGCTACTGCTGCTCTTGCAGATGCGAACGAATTGGATACTTATACAAACTTTATTTACTGCATGTTCAAGGACGTTGTTTACGATTACGATTCTTTGAAATTCCGTGTGCTATTTTACAGACAATGCATATTAGCAGGGCGTATATTCTCTCGAGTTGTGGATATCGTCAATCGGAAACTTGACAAGTATAAACATACCCCGTTTTCAAACACGGATACTATCAACAAACTTACCCACCTTCAACATGTGCTATTCACTACAAACAAAGTGTTTGACAGGCTTACTTATCGTGCAAACAACAATGTATTTGTAATCCGCTGGATGATTATGTTTCCCATAATGCTTGTCGTGCGACTGGCACTTTCCCCACTGTTGGAAAAACCAAAACTTAATAAGCTTAAAGAACCAGAATTGCTGAACTCTCTTAACGAACCATTTAGATTTCAGAAACGCAAACGAGTTTATCGTACAATCCTTCAACTGACACAAATTTCTGGTTTCTATAAATCCTCCTATTTTAAACAGCATGTACAGCTTTCTCAAGTTTTCAACAAAGCCTCTGTGTTAGGAGAGAATGAAAGCTCGCACTTGCTAATAGCACACTCTCCAGAATTACTATTTCTTATAAACGAAGCTAGCAAGAAGACAGTTTTTGAAACATCGCCTATAGACGTGCTTGATGATGAAATGCCCCACAGACTCAATGGTTTGGGGAAACTGCTGCCACAAAGCAAACCTATGTGGTCTCAGCCAAACAATTTAAAAAAACAAGTTCGGCCTGAGACTTTAAACGTGCAAGAAGTTACATCTAGTTCGAGGCCAAAAGATCAGTTTTCAACAGAACTTCCAAACGGTGACAAGGAAAATTCTACACAATCAGAGCAAAGACCAAAACGGCTTTACAAAAGCGATTGTAAAGATATATTTGCAAAAGTGGGTTTTTACAACAAAGATAACTTTAAGACCCTACACATCAAGACAAACAACTTACTGACTCGTTTCGAGCGTATATACCAGGCGGAAGCTTACGCAAAAAAGGCAAAAGCGGAAGGCTTAAAACAACTGCCTGAACGAAACAAAGGTCGTAAAGTGGATGGTATTCCAAAGAAGTTTTGTTCCGATTTGGTTCCCAAGGGTGTTTACGAATGTTTACCTGAAGGAGAACTCCCGCTTGACTATGATACTTTAAGTTGGCTCAGTGGTTTTGTCGATATGACTGAAGACAAAATGAAGAAAGATGAAGAATTAGGTCTTTCGGGATTGATGGAACACCAAGAATCTGAAGAAGTGAAATCTATAATGGTGAATTACAGTGGTACGAAAACTTATCACTCTTTAAAACCCCATCCAGCTTTGTCTCAAGAACTTAAAAATGAGTATCTTGCTGCAACTGAAGATACAGAAAGGATGAAAAAACAAACTTGTGTACCAGAAGTAAGCAATCTTCTTGTAGTACGTTTCCACTATGATAAACCAAATGGAATTGAGGTTCGGTTCAAGGACCAAGCGCTTGATGATCCCAAAGTAGCGAAGGCGCTTGAACGCTATAATATTCGTCTGTTCGTTCAAAAAGTTGAGGAAATTGAACAAGAGTCTTTTAAAGAAGCAGATTTGCACAAGGAAGACTACGAAAACGCTAGCTTTCTATGCATTGAAATTGAGAACAAAAAGACTGAGAAAAACTACAAGCTTGCCTTTCCAGAAGCGTTGCGCTCTGCGTCATATTATTATGAAAAAGTAGCTACCGGAGCAATTGCATAATTGGGAAAGCGACAAAAAAAATGAGAAATCAGCTTTTGGCTGATAGTCTGAAAAAGATATCCTTTCTAGCAAACCTTTGGATACCATTGTTAGTGTTTATGTGAAAAATAACAAAAAACAAACTTTATAAGCGTAGGACATCGGTAAAAAAACGGCTTTAAAAGAAACGTTAACCACTTCCAGAAGTGGTAGGAAACTGTTTATCAACGGCTAGGATTATGATTTTTTGTCAGGGACAGACGCTCGGTTAGGCGCTGCAAGTTTTCAAGCGCCGCATCACTAAAGGAATGTGAAATACTTGAAGTCTTTTCGTCTAACGGGGAATGTTCATCTTTAGTAACCCATGGATCCTTAAATAGTTCCTCTGTAGTTATTCGAGTCTTTGGATTCTTGTCCAGCAAGCGCCGTAATAGATGCTTTAATTTGTCACTACATTCCTCCGGTATTTCGGGACTGTTGAGAAAATAATTAGTAAAAGTACGATTAAAATTGTCACATACTCCTCAGTCTTTATTTTTTCAACCATATCAACGATTGTTGGTGCCTCAAAGGGCAGTCGAGCAAAAAGCAAAACATACAGTGTTACACCCATTGACCAGACATCCAGCAATTTGGCACATTCAAGATGCATATCCAAGGTAAAAAGTTCCTGTGCTAAAGTTAGTTCTTGAAAAAAAAAGTAGAAAACAAATCCGCATATGCAGTACACATACTGGAGCCATGAAAGCAGGAGTTCCAGTCGGTTTTGAGGCCTCCTTTTTATTGTCTAGTTGCACAGCAATACCGAAGTCAATGATTTTTAAGCAGCCTTCCTTGTCCAAAAGCAAGTTGTCGGGTTTAATATCACGATGAACGATATCCTTGCTATGGACTAAATATGTTAGAGGTTGTGTAATGAGGGCGATTGGGACTTACTGTAACGAACGCCGAGTAACAGTTGCCGGAATAGGTTCCAACATCTGTGTTCATCGAAAGGATCGAATGAGATGCCACGATCTATCGAGCCAACTTTCCCCAGAGGGCAGTACTCGAGAACTATGAAAACGTGTTAGCATAAGAGGATTGGACGCAACTATTTGTCGGTGACAACGTACCCATATACAGGGTGTCTTCCACATCACAGTTAATGATTTCATAAAGCTTGACGATGTGCTTATGGTCGAGCTGTTCGAGAAGAGTAATTTCGTTTCGTATCAGATAAAAGGCATCCGTATCCTCGCAGTCTCGGATCATGTCTTCTGCTTTCCGGCCAAGACTTAACGAACGCATACGATTCTGTAATGGATCGTCGTCTGACGAACTGACATCGGCCATTTCTTTCATAAGCTGGGACACTTCGCGGCGCCGAAGGTTGGTCTTGGATATTTCTTTCATGGCCTAAAAAGTTAGCATCCAGCTGTGAACAAATCTGTTGCATACATATTCTTTTTTTGTGTTCTGATCAATGGCCAAGTAAACCGTGCTGTAGGAACCGTATCCAAGAGCATCTTTAAGATGGTACTGGTTGACGCATTTCCCGCTGTTTTCTTGTTCCTCGATGCCTAGCTCCCAATTTTGTTCTTCCGGAGTATACTCGCTTACGATAATTTTTGATGGTTTTTGGGCAGTTCCTGTTCCACGTATAGCTTGTAACATACTTGCAGATAATTGTAATAACCAGTCGAATGAGAGATGTTTGCGGTAACTTTCGCAAAGGATAACAATCGGAGAAAGCCAAATAAAATACTAAATCCGTTAATTTAAGACTCTATTCGCTTCCAGATGAATTGAGGTGGGGATAACTGCAGACAATAAGCTGAAACAAATGAAACGGTGGGTAGCGAACGGGCCAAGGGTTATCGTGTTAAATGGAAGAAACAGACTGATACAATGGCCTAGGGGATATCCGAAGTGTTATTATAAATGAAATGTTGTACCTGCTCCACAATGCCTGTGCCAAAAATCATGCAATCTGATACCAGTAAGAATCCGAGGTGAAACTAAAGACCAAAAATTGCTCACCGAAAAAAGACACGTTGACCCTATAAAACAAGCGATAAACAGAATTATAAGCTTAGCGACTACTACTAAATGTTGTAACTAGATTTCCCCACAAAAACAAATGCTCTTAAAGCAAATTAAGTAGATTATATGGACCGTTTGTTTCTCTACTACAGAACTCTGTATTTACCCAAGCAATTGTTGAAGTTCTTAAGTATACAAAAGCAATGAATGATGTTCGGCACGAATAAAACAATATATCTCAGTACCTAATTTGTCTACGGAATTGGGCAATCGCGTCTAGGATGCGCAGGACGATCCGTCCAGAACAATATATCCGTTACCAGTTCACATCACCGAGCTCTTATCCCGAGGACTTAGAAGGCGAAGTTTTTGGTGGTTAGTTGCGTTAATTCTCGTTAGCGTGCGTTACAACACTCCACCAAAAACGCGACCAAACATCACCGGTATTATCCTCGAGAAAAAAAAGCAGAAAGTCCATCTTCCACCGTAATTTGAAAATCATTTTTTTTGTCGCGTCAACACAGAATTTCTGTATACAAAAAAATTATTCCCTCTCGCCTTCATTCTACGTCTCATCATGTCTGAAGCAAGAAAGTTACCAAACATCATCATTTGCGGTACTCCGGGAACAGGAAAAACTACTTTGGCTGAACAGCTGGCAGATGCTACCGAACTTGAGCATGTGAATATTGGTACTGTTGTGAAGGAACATTCACTGCATTTTGGATACGATGAAAAGTGGCAGACGTACGATGTGGACGAGGACAAGCTGATGGATTACTTAGAAGAACGTGTCAAGCAAGGCGGTTGCATTATCGATTGGCACACTTGCGACATGTTCCCCGAAGAATGGATCGACCTCGTCCTCGTCCTCCGTACCGACCATAGCAAACTTTGGGAGCGTTTGGAAGGCAGAAAATACCCACTGCATAAAATTCAAGAAAATAACGAGGCAGAAATCATGCAAGTTTGTTTGGACGAAGCTCGTGAGGCATTCGATGAAAATGTTGTCATTGAACTTCCCAGCGACAGCCCAAGTGACATGGACAGTAACATTGAGCGCGTCTTACAATGGTTAGAGGCTTGGAAGAAAAACCATTAGTTTCGAAAAAAACAAAAGGAGACTTATTTTATTTTTTGTATAGTAATAGAGCTGTTTGTGTATGCAGTGATCCAAAAAAAAAAACATTCTGAAGGCTGTCGAATGCGTTTTCTTTATTTTTGGCGAGCTTTTTCTTGAAGAAAGTCTCTGAGCTTCATGCATGCCTTGTAACGATGGCTGATGCTGTTCTTCACATCATCGTCCATTTCAGCGTATGTCTGTTCAAACCCGTTGGGCTAAGATGTGTGTTAGCTAAGAACATCACATAGGCGGGCAAGCACTTACCTTGAAAACAGGGTTCCAACCAAAAGTTTCCTCACCAGTAGGCGACACAATGGTTCCATCAACTTCACCACGGAAAAGTTGGACGGGGTGGCCGGGGCCTTCACAGTAGCCAAAAGTGCAACCGGCAACAGCACCCTTGTCCTCAAAACCGGCAAGCATTTTGTAGAGACCTGTAGGGTTACGTGTATTAGCAAACATATCTCTGCTCGAAGGCTTCTTCTTTCGCTCTACCGCTTACCCTCACATCCAATGCTCTGATAGAACCATTTGCTGCAACAGAGTTAGTTACCAACTCGATATGTCGACGACTCCCTAACGTACATATATGCGCCTGGAAGACCATTCATAGCATTAAACCCAAGCCAAGTATCCTCAACAATCACCGGCCCTTTTACCTATCAAGAATTTGTAAGCCTGACATTCAGGATGTCCGATTCAAAAAATGGAATCAATTCAGAAAATTGCGTACAATTTCGGCCGCTGTACGGCATTTTTCAATGGTAACTTCGTCGGTGGATCCTTGAATCTCTGGCACTTTTCCGTGTAAGTAAATGTGAACAAAAACAGAGTGTTTCTCCTCGCTGGACGCATACAATCGTATTTGTGGTTGACAACTTCATACTCATTACCAAGAATTGCCTTCACCTCACGCAGCTTCATTTTGTTTCCGGTAACGAAAACGATTGTTGGGTTTTCTGTTTCTTCTGTTTTTTATGTAAGCCCATTTTCTACTTGTCCATCACATACTACTCATGTTGATAGCTTGAAATCTCTCGAGACACGCGGTTTACTCGTATTTTTTGTTTTGTATTAGCCTTTCTTCGGTGGTGATTCTGTTTTCACGGTTGCCATTCTACGTGTAAATAAATAACAACAATGAACACGCTCGTTCTCGTAATTCCTTTTACCGCACCTTTACGATTAACAGTGCACTTTCCCCTTGAGTGTACTGATACTCGTTCGAAGTACTGGAAGGACAGCAGCAGTTGGGTGCTACGTGTGCGGGACGATGGTTCGGTTCAAGTCGAGGTATTTGCTATTTGAGATTCTATATCCAGAGCACAAGCAGTTCCATGAAATCCCTGCTGTTCCTTCCGGCAATCAATTAACGTCGTCTTTGCTCTCGAAACAAATCCGTGCAGCTGTTCATGAAAATTTTGGTGACCACGGGTTGGGCTCTGTACAGTCGAATCTTTCTATAAAATACTTCTCTCCACGAACATCCACTGGGATCCTTCGGGTTGCACGACAACACTACCGTATCGCATGGGCAGCTCTAACACTAATCCACGAACTACTTGGTCAAAAAGTTGTCATTCGTGTTGTACGAACGGCAGGAACAATAAAACGCGCCGAAATGGCCGCAATTGAACGCAATGCTTCAGACATTCGTTTACTCTCTATCCATGACGAAGTGGAGGAGATTTGAGTAGAAAAATTTGTATGAATAAAAAACAAACTTTAAATAAACAAGAAAGGTTGGAATTTGTCAACGTAAAGATACGGCACTAATTAAAGAACAGTTTTTGTTTAACCAATTCGCTGCGTATGGTGCGTATTAATTGTGCGCAAAATTTGTTTACCACGCGACGTGTTTTTCATTTAAAAAATTTGAGTCATGCTATCACCGGTCCAAATTAGCAGTCACGGTGTTCCGTTTTTTCTAGGTATAAAAGAGGGAGAAACTCTCCCCCAGAGCCATGTGAGCCGGTCTTGGCTCTCTCAACCAGTAATGGGTAAGAAACTAAGAGTTCAGTTTCGTCGTTGCAAGGATGTAAATAATATACCCAAATTTTATAGCAAGGCTTATGGAGTGCTGTTTTGGCACTCTTCTTGCAATGATAGGTCTTTGTCATAGTTACACTGAGTTTACGACGATTCTGCGGATCTCTGTTCTTCGACAATCTCTTACTAACAGCACAGGAAATTTAGGGATAGTTAATGAATCATAAGGTGATATGAGTATAATTGTAACTGGGTTTCTGAGTGTGGATTTGATTGTTTGTGTGTTGTTCTGTGTGTAGTCGGGTTTGCCGTTTCTCTTCGCTTAATTAAGCTTAATTTGTGCGAATTGTCTCTGTCGTTTCAAACTGTCGCCGACTGTTCCCGAGATTGCCTGCCTCTTCGCGTCTTCTTCGTTGACTTTAAAGCTAATCGTTTCCGTCTCGTACACCTCGTCCATACACATTCCATACACAGTTTACTTAGAATACTAGTAGCTCTAAACCACCAAGCAATGCGGTTTCTATCCACCACTACTGTACCGCTTAGCTCAGTGAACAATCTTATCATATCTTATCGACATTGTTGGACGTGGCTCGAACGCCGTCGGTTTCCGTAGAGCAAGTTCACTAATGGTCTCGAGGTGTTCTCCATGAGAACATGCACATTGTCTAGATTTCGCTTTGTTTCCAGTTTCTTCTGCTGATTGCTTTGTTCTGCAACGAAGCAACGAGGTACAACACGAATCAGCGAGCTACACCGCCCTCCAACGTGTGCTACCGCATTATCTTTGTCCCGTTGAGGCATAGTGAAAAGGTATGACGTAAGAGACGCTAGTGTGCATACAACAACACCAGCTCAGTTGCAGCATCCTTTCCTCTACAAACCGCAGCTGGGAGTCGCTCTGTCCATTTGTCTGGTTTATTCGCTCGTTTCTTTGAAAAATCGTTCTTCTTTCACAAAGATGTCATACCAACAACGCATCCAACAACAGCTGAATGTCCTGGACAAGCGGGTACGTGCAGGTTGTTGAGTGCAGAACAAATTGCTAATTTTTTGCTTGTAGCTGTCCGCTTTCCCCGTCCTTAATGTCATGGAGCAAAAGGTCGGTGTGAACAAGGTATGAAAACTCCAGGAAGTGGCGTGTATGGATGCGGGAGTGTGCTTTTTGGGAAGCAAATCTTAATTTGTGGAGGACTGTACGCGTACTCTCCGCGTCCTTGCGCTCTCTGCTTCCTCCTTTCCTCTCCAATGCTTGCTAACGCGTAAGGTTTACATTTGTCTGGGTCTCGCTACCGTCTACTTTGCTCTGTTGTTCCTCAACTTTGGCGGTTACTTGTTGACGAACACTTTGGCCTTTGTCATGCCTGCGTTCTTCAGCATCTATTCCCTCGAGACTCCCGACAAGGATGATGATACTCAATGGCTTACTTACTACTTGATCACTTCTTTCATGACTGTCTTGGAGTACTGGATTGATTTCCTTCTTGTTTGGGTTCCCTTCTACTGGTTGATGAAGGCTATTTTCTTGGTCTGGCTCGCTCTTCCTCGCTTCAGCGGTGCTAGCTTGATCTACCGTGCTATTATCCGCCCTTACATTACTCCCTATGTCATGCGCGTCATGAGCAGAGTGAACAACGCTGCTGCTGCTGGTGCACCTGTCCCTCCTCCTCGCTCTGAGAAGCCTGCTGCTGCTCCGGCTGCTGCTCCGGCTGCCAGTGCTACCGGCGCTCAACTTTAGCTCTTTAAGCCCGCTTTGAAAGTGCTCTGAAAGTTATGTTGCAATAAGAGTCATGCTAGAATAGTTATGACATGCTGTGTATCACGTATTCAACGCTTGCAATCCGCTAGTAGCCTGCACACTACAATTCTTCTTTTTCCTAACGCGTCGCGCGTTCGCGTACGGCGGGCGACTGCGTCATGCCTCGCTTAAAAACTAAGCTTAAATCCCCGTCTCGTCGTTTCTCGTGCTGTTCTCGTAGTAACGCGTGTGTTCCGCAGCAGTTCTCCAACAAGAGATCGACGTGTCGGGGAATGACGTAGATACGACGTAGCCCGCTAGGAGCCTCGAAGTTTCTAGCATGTCGTCATGCACGCAAGTATATACGGATACTACAGCCCTCGTCAACGTATCCTTTCCCTATATCGCAATCTTACCTTTAACAAGGGACATATATATAATTCTTTACAGGTTACCTTTTCGGAACTGTTTACTCGTGTTTGTTGCACACATACTGTGTACGTTACTCTTTTGAACGAGTGAAATTACGCTTTTTTAAGCGACCAAACTTTATTTCAATTGGTTCTTTTTGCTTTAGAACAAGGACGAATTGCGCTTTTCTTTTTGCGTTTTTAATTGTTGTAATCGTTTCTCTACGCGTTTAACAATCTTTTCTGTTTATCCAGAAACCAGTCCTTTTTTCGCGACTTTTGTGTTTCTTTCCCGATAATTATCGACCAATAACTTAACGAAAATGGTTCATGATACCAAACTTTATGATTCTCTGGGTGTTAAGCCGGACGCTTCGGATTCCGAATTGAAAAAGGCCTACCGTAAATTGGCTTTGAAATATCATCCTGACAAAAACCCCAATGGTGCCGAAAAGTTCAAAGAAATTTCGCTGGCTTACGAAGTGTTGAGCGACCCGAAACGTCGTCAAATGTATGACCAGTTCGGCATCACAGAAGGAAATGCTCCTCCACCTCCTTCCGGCGGTGCTGGCGGCCCTGGAGGTGCCGGTTTCGGCGGTTTCCCTGGCGGCGGCGCCCGAACATTCACATTCAACATGGGTGGTGGTCCCGGAGGTGCACAATTCTTCAGTGCCAGCGATCCTAATGACATCTTTGAGCGTGTGTTCGGCTCGGCTTTCAGCGGTGCACACCCACGGCGGCATGGACGACGACATGGATATGGATGGCGGGTTCATGCCTCGGGGCTCTCGACGCACGGCCGGTGGTATGCCGGGCGGCTTCGCTAGCATGTTTGGAGGAATGCCACGCGGTGCCGGTGGTCCTCAGCCAAACTTTCAGACCCGGCCCTCGGCTCCCCAACAGCCCAACGAAGTGGTTACTCGTCCATTGAACGTTTCACTCGAAGACCTTTTCCATGGCTGCACCAAAAAGATGAAAATTACGCGTCGCATCATCGACGCGTCCGGCCAAGCTGTGAAGGCCGACCGTATCCTTGAGATTAAAGTGAAGCCTGGCTGGAAGGCCGGCACCAAGATCAAGTTCACGGGTGAGGGAGACGAAAAGCCGGATGGCAGTGTCCAGGATATCCAGTTCATTGTGACCGAGAAGCCACATCCCGTTTTTACTCGCGAGGGCGATGACTTGCGCATGAACCTCGACTTGTCACTGAAAGAGGCTCTGTTGGGCTTCTCTCGCCAAATCATGACAATCGACAACCGTCGTTTGAATGTCTCATCGTCCAAGCCTACGCAGCCCGGTTACGAAATTCGGTATCCCGGCCAGGGCATGCCCTTATCCAAATCTCCAAACCAACGTGGCGACTTGGTAATTGTGTGTCGTGTTAGTGTACCTTCCACCCTTACTCCTTCTCAGCGCGCTGCTGCTGAACAGTTTTAGGCTGCAGGGGTAGCAGCCGAAGGAACCGTTTATGACTCACTGATTTTTCTTGAATGTTGAACATGCATTCGCACATCAAATTGCGCACACATACTCACAATTTCGCTTTACACGCCAATCCCTCTCTCTCACGCCTGCTTGTCATTTGTGTGTGTACTAGTGTAGCGACGACACACTTTCCATCCGCTTTTTACTTGGCCTCCTTTTTTTCGTTGCCGTTTAATGTGCGAACATGTAATGAATTCCGTTGTGACGTTAATCAACAACCGCCGCTCACTCGTGAAACATATGGATCGGGTTCTGGTATTGCTGGGTTGTTTGAGTATGTAATTGAGCGTTACTGAGGTTCGAAGTTGCGACGCGCATGCAGCATTGGTCTGTGTCGACTTGAAATTTGTTATATTGAAAACTGAGAGGCTAAAACTCGAGCGTTACTTGAACTTAAACGTGATTAAATTGAACCGACCGTCATGCTGCTAGCAACGTCGGTGCCGCTGATAATCTTTTTAAACTCTGCAAAACTAATCTTGCCGTCTTTGTCCTCGTCAACCTCCATGATCGTTTTATCAACAATCTTTTTTATCTCGTTAGTACCAGCTTTTCAGAAGTGATCGGAAACAGGGATTGCCGTGTCGAAGCAAACCAATGTTTCTGACCTAAGGCTCTCAAAAGACCGAACATACCTGCTGCAGTTGATCGTCACGCAAGTTGGTACCGACCATCATCTTCAAAACGAGGAACAACTCTCCGTTTGAAATGTAACCATCTCTGTCAATGTCGTAAATCTTGAATGCGACTGGTCATGGTTAGCATGGGAACACCGTGTGAAAAGAAGAGTATCTCAAAGCGAAGTCGACCGCAAGTTGAAGATGAGCGGTCTGCCACTTGACACGATCCGCCCGTCCTTTCCCTCACCCTGAGCTATCCCCGTACTTACATCTCAGTTTCTCCTCCTTGTTTCCGTGAACAGAAAACACCGAAAGTGAGTTAAGAAACTCCTGGAAATCAACATCCCCACCGCCGTCTTCGTCAACAACGGCAAAAAGACGTGTTGCAAGCGGGTTTGACGCAATGCTGGGAATTGACAGGAACTCCTCACGGTCGATGCTGCCCGAAAGGTTCATGTCAATCTTCTGGAAGCGGCGCCGAAGTCGCTCGATCTCCTCACCGGAAACTGCGTGTTAGTCTACATGTTGTCTTCGAACTATATTGTCGTCTACATACAGGTGGAATTGGTAATGAGGTTTTCTAAGAGTTGTGATTGCGTCTGACCCATGTAGAGAGAAGGTCAGACGGGGCTACTATTTTGCATACCTCAGCCGCTGCTATGAATACGGTGGCGGAACGTGAATCTGTGAGAAGAGGCTGCGCTGTGAGGAGCAAGCTGCTGAGATGGTATGCTTGTTATCAAGATAGTGAGATTTAGCGTAGGATAATGGGATGCAGTATATTTTCTTAAAGTATTTAGCGTGCCGTGCTATGATATCTTATTTAATGTGCTGCACTTTACACTCGTTAAGCCTCGCTCGCTCTCACTAACCTACGTCATCTATAGAGCCAGCAGTACACGGCCTCTCCATCCTTTAGCAAACTCTGGCCGAGAACTTCTTTTTGGGTTTTTTTTCATTTACTGAAAAGCTTGGAGAAAATGATTCCCTGTGGTTGAGCCTGCTCTGCTCGGAGCACAATCTTTGATACATGGCACTGGATTCTTTTATTCCGACTGCATTTACTCGTCTTCAGTCCGGCACCCTTGTGTCCCATTAACCTTGTGCGTTAGTTCTCGCTGCAGAGTCTTATTTCATTTAACGAGAAGTAATGGTCTTTAAGTCTCGTTATTGCACATTATGTCGCTTTACGTGCTACGCTAAAAGGTGCTGCTGCTGCCACCAAACGACAGCAAAATTTCTGCAACTTCAAGAGCGTCCCTATGAGCGCAGTGTCGAAAAATGGTAGGGCGTACAGGCAGCGAAAGGTCGGCATCAAGACGGTGATGCCGATCTACCGCGAAAACGAGATTCCTGATTTCGATGAAGAGACTTCCATGCAGCGTACCGTGCCTCAGGTCGAGTCTGGCGTGGAAAAGGAAGAAGAAGAGGTATGTTTTGCTACGAGAGGGATTTTACGAGGTTTGGATGGTTTTTATTGCTTGTCTACGGAACTATTGCTTTTTTGGGATTTTCGTGGTCAAGACCGGGGCTTACGAATGTCTCTGAGCGATTTTGACGGTTTGGGCGAATTTTTGGCGGTCGAGCCGTTCCCGCTAGTCTCCAACAAGCGTTTAGTTTTTTGCGTTGTCATTTTGCTGCGTGGACATTCGTCGAGTTACTGACACCAAAAATACGACTTGACATGAACTTCGAGGCCTGCCATGTTGTGTGTGCTTGCCGTTTGGCATACGTACACAGGTTGTTCTTGGATCCCCCACACCACAAGCAACTGTCCATTCCATCCTGGCTTGTCTGTGCTAATCCCGTCCAACGCAAATGATGATGTATTCTTGTGTCTAACCCAGCGTTAGGAACGACATCTGCAGCTGGTAATTCATGCTGCACATGAGGCCATCGTTCAGGGTGCGGAAAAGACTGCAATAATTCCCACCCGTCCAGCTGTTCCTGTCGGTATGCTGCCGAAATTCTACAAGAAGGATTATTCCGTGCCGACAACATGGTTACGATTTTCTATGACAGTTGAGGAATGCGCGGCCCCAATGTACTGCATGGATGAACGTGATGTTAGTCAGTGGATTGAGCTGCGAAAGCAACACCAAGAGCTGGAGCGGTTTTCGGATGACGATTATGAGTTGTGCATGCAGACCTTTGAAGACGCCATCAGTGAGAAACAGCCGTATTTGTCCATTGATAAGGCTCAAATCCTTTCGCGGGACGAAATTCTCCCATTCTTTGATGAAAAAGGTGTTTCCTCGTTGAAGCCACTAGCAACTGAGCTGTATGGTTATTGGCGTTCTCGCAAATTGGAGCGCTCGGGTTTGTCTGTGATGCCTTCCATTCAAATTGGTGATGATAAAGACAAAGATGACCCGTATATCTGTTTCCGGCGTCGCGAGGTCCGTCAGCCTCGCAAAACTCGCCGCTCAGACTTGCAATCCTTGGAGCGGCTGCGGAAGTTACGCATCGACATGGAAACTAGCTTGTTTCTTTTGGATCAAGTATTACAACGTGAAAACAAAAAACTTGAATTGCTTCAAACGGATCGCTCTGTATTCCAGCATCGCTGTATAATGAAACGGTTGAAGCGCACACTCAGCATAAAGGACAGCGACGTTGGGTTGTTCAGTCCGAAGCGGCGGCCCCCAGTTATTGATCAGAAGCCTTCCAAGACTCACCTTGCACCGTCCGTTAGCCATGCGGAGGGCGAATTTGCATCCGAAGGTTCGGTGGAAGCAGGAGTTGCACAAAAGCAATATCGTGCTTCAACAGCAACTGGTGCCGCTGCTGCTTATCGGCCTATTCCCACTCAGATACACGATGCGCACCCGGTGCGATATTTGGAGGATGTGCAAGCGGATGCGTATACACACTTTCAAATTCGTTTACAACAAGAAATTGCCAAGCGTGCCCAGTCAAGCCTCAAATGGGTTGATCTTTTGGAGAATCCTGGAACAGCGTTACCATTTGCACTTCCTGAGACGTTTTATCGCAACGTCGAATTTTTCCCGACGAATGGTAAGACGGGGCTTTCCCAGCTTACAGCCTCGCCTTCAGATTCAGCGCCATCTCCAAGTTCGGAAGATACCGCGTCTGAGGATGGTCAGCAGCTGTATTTAAGCGGTCGGCGTCGTGATTCAACCACTTCTGCTTCTGAAGTGCTCTATCGGTATTCCACCCACTGCACACCTCGCAATGCAGTAACCGTGAGGCGCCGTATGGGACGAGGCGGACGTATTATTTTGGACCGGACATATGCCTTGCCCATGCACCAACCGCGATCGACAACCTCGAGGCTTAAAGACCGTTGGCTGTTTCACACGCCGTTTGACGCTGATGACACTATTATTTTAGACGATGAGTCTGATGCCTCCGTATTGTATCGTTCACAGCTCCTTCGCCTGCACGCGGACACCGCAGCGATCACCGAAAACGCTGTCAAATAATTCCTCGCTTCTTTCAACTCTTTTGACCCGACACGTTTTTGTTTCAGCATTTCTACAATCCGTCCTTCTTTTTTCCATCTTCTTCTCTTTGTCCGTTACGCCTTCTATCCGGACAGAGGCAACACCCATCTCCCTTCTTCCTTTCTAATCTAGACCACGCTTCGGCCATGACTAGCGAATGAATAATTAATGACACGCATTACACTACATTCACTATTTCGAGCTTTATCTTCTTGTGCTTATAAGGTTTGTCGGTGGGTTCTGGAGGTAGTAAATGTAGCAATATGATTGGTGCGTGTGGACACAAGAGTTGCCGTCATAGCTCGCTTAGAAAAACCTTGAGCTTAATTCCCGACTAAGTTATGAGCGACGCGTCTCGCGTCTGCCATTAACCAAACATGGTTGTTCACCAGGACAAATGGAAGAAAAAGGCTACATTGGCTTATAAAAAGAAGCATAATATACCTACTTATAAGCCAAAACCTCAACAGCCAGAGCTCGAATCAAATGAATGGCGGTTTGAAAACGCTCCTGAGTTTTTTGGCTCTGACGAACCTGCAGAAAACTCTATAGGTGCAGCAATTGGCGATGCGTTGGACGTTCAAGAACCAGAAGAGGAAATTGATTACTCAAAGTTAAATTTCAAGCCTACAGAAGGCATTTTTAAGAAGCAACGGAAGAAGCATTTGCAGACAATTCAACGTGACAGCGTCTCGGAACTGTTAGAGACTGTTGAATATGAAAAAACGATAGATTCGATTAAAAAACGTTACAACGTGGAAAGAGAGCGATCTTCTGTTGCAACTCTTTCCAAGGGTCAGGATTTTGATTCATTTCTTGAAGAGCTGGATGGACAATCAGACGCACTAGAGAAGCAAATAAATAAAGATGGGGGATCATCTAAAAGCAATCAGTTTGCACCCATAAAAAGTAAGAAAGTTCTTGAAAAGGACCAAGCTTGGTTAGATGCGCTTTTGCAATGAATCCTTGAAACTGGATATTACCGTGAATCCCGGAGTGGGCGAGCGTAATGAGTGTTCCTGTGCTCGTGACACCGGTTTTTCTACAGTGGTAACGCTCACAAGTTCCTTGATGCGAAGAATTTTGCCTGCAACTCCCGGGTTTATATTGGGATAACTGACTGAATGGACTTTTCCAAGTCCCAGGGACCGCGCAATAGCCCTTAATTTACTTTGATGGTGTTAGTGGAATTTATTTCATTCGTGAGTCTGGCATTTCACTTGTTTTTATTACCTTGGCATTCCGATGCAGGAACGTTGCTGTACAACCCGAAAACATTTTTTAGCTGGCATTTTTATCTTTCATATGACACTTTGAAATATTTCTAACGGGTATAATACCTCTATTTGCGGTTGAAACTTTCTAGCAGTTTTTTCCCTGCAAAAACGCGCTAAACGGCTACTGAAAACACGTTTCGTTAATGATTGTAAGAATGAGGTTTCTCTTTGTTAAAACTAGATCAGTGATTCTGAAAAGCACTACTAAAAAAAAATTGGTTGTCTGGGGTCTCGTGGTGAATCCATTAACAAAAGAAGGTATATGTGCTGAGTCATGCTCAACTTGTTTTAGCCTTCTGCGAGAAGGTTCTAAAACAATACTAAGGAATGTACAGTTTTGATGTCTTAATGAAATGTGTCGCTTGATTTGCTCAATTGTTTAGTGATTTTTTCAAGAAACGTTGTTGGGATTTTCAAAAATTCAAACCAGCACGAAAGCACCAAAGAAGCATGTATAAGCATGATATGAGTTTCTATTTTTTTTTGTTTTATATGTTAACCTGCGTTCTTACGAGCTTTTATTAATTATTAACTTTCAATTAATTGAGTCTTCCGCGCACATAATGAATAACTCCATCTTTGTTTAAAAGAAACAAGGTTTTTATAAATTCATTTCGTATACACTAACGTTTGTAAGGTGCATTCTTTTTGTTTTTGTTTGTGCACGAGTTCATAAGTTTGTTGAAACAAAAAAAAAATCAAAAAAGAGGATACATACAGCGCATGTGGGAACTGTTATATAAAACTCATTGTTTAATATCCTCTATGTAAGCTCAGCAGTTAAATGCAAACTCTGGAATCAAAGTTTTAAAGATATGGTAACATTAAACTTTATACGTTCCCTGCTAGATATTGTTTTTCAATGTTGTATTTGTGTGAACAGTCGGTTCATTATGTTTCTCTTTTAATCTGAGTGTCAACAGTGCATCCACTATAATGTCTAAGCGTCAGTTGAATCGCTGCATTAATAGGAAAGTTTGAGAACGCCAACGACATTTTTAATTGACACAGAAAAAGCAATTAGGATTATTATTTACAGAGAAATTAGTTCATTGGTGCTGTGTCGAATAAAAGTCAAAAAATTATATGCTCTATAACCAAATTACTAATGTACGACAACTCCAAACAAAAATATCCTTGGTGAGTACAATACAGTAATAAGGGTCGTTTTTTTTTGGCTCGTGTAATATATACTCGCTTTTTTAATAAGATTTATATATACGTTTTAGCAAAACATGCTATCATACATTTTAATGAATAATCATGAGAAGTCTAGTAGTTTGTGTAGTAAGATACGCCTATTTATGAACAAGATTTTATGTTTATAGCCATTTATCCTGCCTCATAGAAACAAGCATAGTACAATTGCTTTATAGGCCTTTCTATGACAGTTGACACTGAACATTACTATATAACATCCAAGGTTACTTAGCGCAGTGATTAAAATGCGTTATTAAGTAGTTCAATTTTGTGTACAATTAATTGCAATTGTTATTTACTACTTAAAGTGGACTGCTATAAATTACAAAGTTTTCACATCGGCAAGTAAAGTTTTAGCCCCGTAAGAACATACGAATCAATATTGACTGAATATTGACTAAATATCGAGTACTATGTATCTCATCATTGGCAACTAGAGAATCTCGCGGCTTTGGTTCGGAAAGTCTCTAATTCATCTAAACCCTCGATACGAACTTGTTTACTCAACGCACATAAACTACATAGATATTAATGTGATTTTTGTAATAACAGTGCTACAACTATCGTGATCCACTGTAAGTGACGTATATATGCTACGTATACAAGAGCATTGGGATCGTCAACTTGTATTCTGTACTACAAATAATAACCTATAAGCACCAATAGTACTACGACGAAATAGTAACTCAAGTGAACAGCCGTCAAGTATATTCTCTGTTAGAGCTCAATAAAATTGAATTGAATCAAAACTTGAACACTGAAATATTACTACCCTATGCAGACAAACTCATATGCTGTAACGTATTAGTACAGGAGCAGTTGGGACCGACAATGACTTTAGATGGAAAAGCATCCTGTAAATCATTTCTAACAGTTGTTGATTGTAGACAGCTGAACCAATAAGAAGGCAATTCTTATAATAAAATACTACTGTGTAATTGATTTCAATTAGTGGTTGTTCGCCCAACCAATCTAGTTTCGCAACTCAAATCTAAAGTTGAATTTGCGAAACTAAGATATACTCTTGACCTATACAATGAAGGAGTTCATGCGTTTTACGCTTAATAACCATACACATTGTTCTCAACAACATTCGTGAGCCATTGTTCAGCAAGAAGACGTGTTTTCGAGTGGTAAAGTTTACGCCCCATTACGACTAATGTTTATAATCTGTTATTTTCTTCAAAGATAACTGATCTGTTTGTCGACTTTGCATTTAATATCTTACAATTCATCAAGTCCATGACTTAAGCCACAAAGTCATGAACCACTCTCAACACTCGGGGATATAAACCTATTACTGTATTATAACACTACCAAGTGCTTAATGTATGCTATGCTTTCTCTCTCCTTACTGATCTCAACAATTCATTGCAGGGCATAGGTAACTTGCTCCTTAGCAGCTCCTTAGCAATTATTGCTCATGAGCGACAAAACTGTTAAGCTTAACATGGAAGCGAATAATCTTCATCATCAACGGGTCGGTTAATCAGGGTTGTTATGTGTTTCTCACATCCGCTGTAGATATCCCTAATTGCTGGTATGAGGGTCAGGTGAATAATCAGTTAATGATTAAGTTTTCACGGGAAAAAATTCGTTGATCTGCTTATTAAAGTAGTTCGCCTGACACTCTCCTGCCCAATCCCGAAGTTGCTAACTATCGGTACCTTTTGGCGTCCCCGTCGTAAAAGTCGTTCTTTAATTTTATTTGAAAATGAACCACCGGTTCAAGACGTTGTTGTTGCTACTTATAGCTTCCTTCGTATCCGTATCATTTTTCTATTGGTCTTATCCGTCGTGGTCAAACCTTGTTCCCATTCCTTTTGTGAATGGCGATTTAATTCAGTCAGAAAATGCAGTTTCAGGAATGACAACATTCAATGCACCAAAGTATCGTCCCCTCGATTACGCAACACCAAAATCACATGAAATCGTAATTCTGTTGGCTAGTGATGGTCATACTTCGAATGGAAATGGAGCCAGCTTCTTTCAAGAATGCATCGACAACAGAATTGCATACGCCAAAGAACACAATTATGCATTTGAGTTTGTAAACGTTTCCAGCATGCCAATTCCTCCTGTTTGGGCTAAAATGCCTGCCATTCTCGCGACCATGGACAAGTATCCACAGGCGAAATGGATTTGGTGGCTCGATCAGGACGCCATTATTATGAATAAAAAACTGTCATTACAAGATCACTTACTATCAAAAAAAGCATTGCGTCGCAGCTTGTTGCGGAATCAGCACTACCTCAACAACCAGGATGCAACGGAAACTCATCTGGTTACCCCGTCTGAATATTCAGACGCAGATCTAGATAAGGTAGGTCTCATTATTTCCCGCGACTTGAACGGATTGAATGCTGGAAGCTTTTTTGTTCGCGTCAATCCGATTATGCGTATGTTTGTTGATGTATGGTCGGACAAGGCATACCGTGAAAATAAAGTGTCTGAGAATGAGCAATCACTGCTGGGTTATTTGATGAAGAATCATCCTGAAATGGCTTCATATGTTGGTTTCGTACCTCAAAAAATGATCAATTCATACGATGCGTCTGAAGATGTTCAACGTTATACCCAAGGTGATCTTCTTATTCACTTTGCTGGTTGCTGGGTCGAAAATCGATGTGAGAGAATTTGGCGCCAGTACTATGATGAAATGAAATTGAATTGGAACCTTTGAGAACAGTTCCTCGAGGGGCGATGTTAGCGTCGCCTTCGTTTGGTTTTTTCTTTACTAATCAAACACTAAAGCCGTACACAAATCCCATAATCCAGGGATATGTTAGCGGATGCGAATGACTTCAGCTGAACAAAATTTTATTTGGAGTATGAGTTTTTATATTTGTTATTTATATTACCGACTCTATTTCTACGAAACCCGAAAGCCATATGCTGGTCATTGGCATTTATTAGTTAGCAATAACCAAAAGGTAAAAATAAAAGGAGCATCACTAACAAAGTAAGTTTGCTTATTCAACAATAAAAACCGATTAATTAAAGAACAACAACAGAGAAAATAAGTCAATTGTAATCAAGACTTGTAAATTAAACTACGTTAATAGAGCCAATATAATCACTACTTAAGTGCTAATAAACGGTACAAACAATAAAAACTACATGCAATTGCTGCTAATAAACTAAACCAAAGATCATTGACAGGAGAAACACTACAGCTGATTGCCATTCGCCGGAATAACTCAAGTTATGACCAACTTTCACTACTTTCTACAACAAATAAACGAAAACCATTGCTCTTAAGACATCAATTTGTCTTAAAAACTATGTTTAACAAGCTTACCACCCTTCCAAAGGACTGGTATCCTCCATTTCCAACTGTGACCAATTCTCTTCTTCGGAAATAAGATTCACGTGTTTCTATGATAAGATAACCCAAAACAAACCTTAATGATTACTGGGTTTATATTCCATACTTGAAAGCCAAACCCTAAGCCAAAAGACCTAACAAACACAATAACCTAAGAAGCCAAATAACCTAACAACCACCTCACACCTAAATCGCAGTCCAAGTTTTACCGGGAACGTGTTTCAGCTGCTTGAGTTAGGATGTCCAAGCGCAAACGTCCAGAGAGTGTTAAAAGTGATAAGATGTCTTCCAAACGTCGTGTCAGCTCTCATAGTACTCGTCCTGCTCCTCTTAGCGCTTTTGCAGTACGCCAACTTTCACTCAAAAAACAAAACACACCAGTACAAGAAAGTGACGACAAAAAAAAGGACACAAAGTCTAAAAATAACTTCGTTGAAGTTGTGGTTCCAGGTGTAGATCGAAGCCGTAAGGATTCAGAGTCAATTGAGTCAGAATCAGATGAGGAACCAGATGTTTCAATCATTAAGGAAGTTCCAGCTCCTGTATCTCGCATAGTTCAATCAGGTCGTAATTCCGATACATTCAGTCCTATTAGAGAAGCGAGCCCTTTATCAAACGAGACCAGTCCTGTGGATAAGGAACTTGAAAAACCAGAATTGGTACAGTTAACTCACAAAAACTCACTTCGTATCGGAAACATTCTTTACTTGGGTCTCAACACTGGAGATCAGGCGTCTTTTGTTGGGTCCTACGCTTTCCAATGCATTCAAGGTAGAATCGAAATTTTTGGATCTCAGTACGGGCCAAACGATTCCAATTGGGTTCCTATAAACGCGCCTCTTATTTATCCGTCCCCTATTTTCCGGGCCTTGCCTGGTCCTCACGAACCCATCGTCGACGACTCGTCGGAATCCGCATTCTCCTCTGACTCGTCCAATACGGAAACTCAAAGTCGGAAAAAAATTGAAAATGTTCTTTCATCGTTTAGCACTATATTGGCATTAAAAATTATGGACAATGGCCTCTCTAAACTGGCACAACTTTATGCTCCCGCAAGACGGTACTTTGACATTGAAGAGTCTTTCGAAAATGCTTACGACAGGTCCTCGAGTTTTGAGATTCTGCCACCCTCCTGGGTTTCGTTTGCTGATGATCTTTGTCATTCCTTGCAAACTAAAAAACCTGTTCGTATACTTGTTTCAGGGCCAAAAGGTTCTGGTAAGAGTATGTTTGCTCGGTACCTGGCAAATCGACTTTTAGAAAGCTTAAACGAAATTCAGTACCTTGATTCCGATCCCGGACAAGCAGAGTTCCTTCCTATTGGATGCGTCTCTCTCAACCACATCAACAAACCGCTGCACGGTCCCGCCTTTGCCCGACAAAATGCAACACCTCTTCGGAGTGTACGTCTTCACTTAGGCGATACAAGCCCTAAAAATGATTTGATACACTATCCTGCTTGCATAGAGCGCCTTATGAACGAATATCAGCATGACAATTTTGAGCGCGAGTTATCATCCATTACTCCATTGTCTCTTATTATTAACTGTCCCGGCTGGATTAAAGGATTGGGTGCAGAATTGTTACAAAAAACTATTCGACTTACGAAGCCCACTCATATTGTATACCTTCATCGTGAAACATCGTCTCGTTCTAAAACACAACAAAAATCCGAGCCAAATAATCAGGACACTATTAACTCCGATCTGTTCTCAAATGTCAAGGCTTCCATCGTTACCACACTAGAGTCCGCATGGAGTTTTGTGCCGAACCTGGTGTCACGCGTTCCAGCAGTCGAGACTCGGACAATGGCTGTACTAACGTACCTTTTTGCCGATGCCGCAACATCTTCGTGGGATATGAGTACATCAATGGCTGCTCGAAGACCTTTCATAACATCTTTTACCTCAGAAGACAGAGGAATAGATGCAGTGAATATTATTGGTGAACCTCTTAATCCAGTGGATATTGTTGACACCATCAGTGGTACCTTAGTTGCTGTTTGCTCTTTCGACGTATCAAGCGCCGAGGAATGGAAACAACAATGCCCCACTCAAACTCCAGAAGGCATATCAATTTTGTTCAATGATGGTTTGCCTCTTCATCCGGCCACAAGCCAGTGCTTAGGTTATGCTATTTTGAAGTGTATTGATGTTAAGCGCCAGGAGTTTCACCTTGTCGGACCACTGGATCTTGATCTAGTAGCGAACGCTTGTGAACAAGGCAAAAAAATAGTTCTTGAGAGAGGTCGATTAGAGCTTCCTACATGTGCCATGATGGATTACCGTTTCGTTAAGTATCCTGAACTGCCATTTCTCAATCGGTTACAAATTCACGGAGGTGCGGGATCTCGAGTCCGCCGCGTTCGTAGAAACATTGCGCGGAGAAGCGCCTTCGTTCGCACATAAAAAAGTTACATTTGGGCCGTTTACTAGATTATATGACACGGTATGTCAGTTCCTTTTTTGTTTTTTTTTTACATATGATTTCCCTTCCGATATAAAACGACTCCAACACAGATACCTTCAGTTCAACACACACCTCTTATCCCATTGCGGGTGCACGGGAAGCTATGAAAATTTGTTAAGAAAGACAGCTTAAATAGTCTTAATCATGTATTACTACAACCTTCCATACGTTAACTGGTACATCCTCAAGTTCCCGTAAATGACCACACTAAAGAGGGATCGGTAGTTAAAGGAAGCAGAGAGAACGGTTAGCGTAGGAGGTGAAAGTCTTAGGAAGGCAAATGAAATGTGAGTGCCAAACTATCGTAGAGTCTCGAAAACCGAAGAATGGTTTTCGTTTGGGCCAAAAAACGACAAAAATATTCATCGCATCCGTCTATATATAGTCGCCCTACCTAGCATCGACTTAAGCCGGCTATTTCTCCTTTGATGTCCTTCCACAGCTGTCTGATTACAACTGAGTCAAATGCTTTTAACGTTGGGCAAAATGGCGTCTATCACATGGGAATGGGGGAAATGTACCCAGAACAGTCGGTAGACAACATACACCACAACTATGCATCAGGGGACCAGCCCAAAGCTTTAAGGTCAGCCAAAACCTTTGGCTCTGTCTCGATTTTCTTAATCTGAGTAACCTCAAGCTTTTCGCCATTTGCCAAACGTGCCTTAAGCTCGTCAATAGCACGAAGCTTCTTGCACAAGGAACGAATTTTCTTTTCGTCACTGACTTCCGCAGGTGCATTAGCACCAGCCTTGGTGCCGTTGTTTTGCTTCTTCTGCTTGCCGTTTTTCTTTTCAACAATAGGAGTGGCACCGGGAACAACGCGTTCCTTCTTCACTGAGTAAGGCTTGGAAGAGGCACTGCTGCCCAAAACATCAAGCTCTCTCATGCGTTGAGAAACGGAAGACACTTGACCACGAGCACCGGGGGGACGGTAAGCACCCGTGGCTTTGATGACCGGCTTGGATGCGAGCTTGGCTGCGGATTCGTGAGGTTGAGGAGGTGCGGGAATAGTGAGGGTGCCAGTGCGTCCGAACGTCACCGGAGCAGCAGAAGGCTTAGGTCGCCAAGTGACTTGGTAAAGCTCATTGAATTCTTGGTAGAACATAGGTTTTCCGGTAATATGCCAGATCTTAATACTGTTATCAACACGAAGACGAGGTGACGTGACAGAAGTAAGCAAGAACTCGCTCTCTGGACTGAATTCACAATGCGTGGTGTTCGCAGCCTCCACAGTAGCCAACTTCCTCATGTTGTCATAACTGTCGTAAATATCAATGCTTCCCTGGAGATTTCCAAAACCAGCAAGCATTACATAACGTGCATTGGGGGAAAAAAGGAGCGTATTGCGGGGAGCAGACGGAAGAGTAGTGACAATGTTAGCACGGTTGTCGAAAATTGCGGTTTTTGCGGGCATGTAACCGTAAACGACACCGAACTCTTTGGAATTCGAAGACCAGCTCACATCGTGAATGGGACCCTCACGATCCAGGTCCACACGACAATCGTACTGTCCAGCAATACCAAGCAAATACAAGTTGGTTTCTCCATAATAGTTTTTGTTCGATCTATCAACCTCTGTTTGAGCGAGAACCAAAAGTGATGTTCCAAGGGTGTTCCACTTGAATTGCACCTTGTCAGCCTTAAAGAAAGTTTTTTGGGAAACAGGGGTATTAAAGCTAGGGATGTTGTAAGTCCGTACAATAGCGGGGGCACCTTTACGCTCAGGAACGAAAACCGCAACAGCGTGGTTTTGACCAGGAGAAAGTGCAAAGTCAGTAAGACCCTCGACACGGAGTTTGTACAAAGGACCCTTTGCCATCTTTCCTGCCTCATAGAAGTGAACTTCGTTCGTCACAAGACGAGCAACGATTGATTCGTCGTATGTGTACTGAACGTTCCAACCAGTTTGATTGCGTTGAACAAATTCAAAAAGCAGTTCTCCAGTAGCAGTGCTCCAGATCTTCATATTCTTTTTTTGGTTTCCATCTTGATCTTTAGAAGGGCGTTCCCAAGTACTGATATAACTTCCCAAAGGAGAGAAACCCATTTCATATACATTTTCGACCGCCAGAGAACTGACAACAGATCCAGTGGTGGGGTTCACAATCACAGCAGTTTTCGCTGTAGCAAATGCAAAAAATTTTCCATTTTTACTGTAACAAGAAGTACGGACTGGATCTGTAGGTGCAGCGAACCCGGCAACTGGCGAATAATTGTCGTCAACGTTAACGATTCCAAGAGTCTTGGAAGACCGGTCTATAGGAAAGTTAGCTATGTAATGATTTCAATAGGTTTACGAACATGCAAACTGATTTTGAGGCATCCTGGTGTGTTGTTGTGGGAGGGTTACCGTGCGAGGCAAAATGCGTACCCACTAGCTGGATGTGCCATTCGTCCTACCGATGTAGAGGTGGGACGAAGGAAAAAAATCAACAAAACAATAAGTTAAAAACGCAATCCCATAAAGTTAGAACTAGTTTTATTCATTTTAAAAAGATTATTTTTATCGGAAAGTGCTTTTGAACTGTTTCAAATGGCCGCTCCGAAGTGACATAGTATTTTTGGTTTTCAAAAAGCCAACTTTAATATGAATGGTAATGAGAACGAAATTTATTCGAGTGCTCAATGGATAATAAAATTCTATAAACTAACACAGACTTTTAAGTGGTTGCATCACGCACTTCATACGGACACGGCGGTACCGCTTGTACTTGTTTCATTTACAAACGCTTGATGGGACTCACTCAGTAACTCTAACGCAGTGCTTGCTAACTCCTCCACTTCGCTCGAGTTCGGCTCGCCTTGTGCTCGTGAATTATCGATTTTGTCATCGGCGTGGTCTTTCGAAGAAGCTGCTTGAGAAAGCTTATGCTCTTTCCACTTGAGCGAATGCTGCAGATTGTAATTGGGATGAGACGGTTTCGCAGGCTCCATCGGAGGCACAGAGTACCAAACAATTTGACCGTCCTCCGTCTGCTGCAGTGTGCGAGCCGTCTTTTCACCAATCAAAAAACCAGTTCCTGCTTCCACTGCTTCTTCCTGTGTGCCCGGAATGACAAAGGCTACCGGAAATAATGGAAAGGGTGCAGATGAGGTATTAAGAAAAGCGGATCCTGTCGAACCAGAACCCAGCAAGTTAGTGGGTTCTGGAGGGACTGAGGGCATGAGGGAAGCATTTGAGGTTGCAGAATTCGTACGAACATAATGCGGGAGCTGGACACGAGTCTGAGGGGTAACAGACTGGGGAGGAGGTGCTGGGTGCGCTTGCTGCTGATTCATCTGATACACGAGGGCCGGGTCGGGGGCTGTCGATTGTGAAGGTTGCTGCTGGTAAACCGGCCGACTAGGTCGCGGACTAATTTGCTTTGGGATAGGCGGATTTGCAGCTGCTGCCGCCGCTGCTGCAACGACGGCATTAGCATCAGGAATAGACATCGGTGGTTGCACAGAAGTAAGACCCATGTTAGGCATCCCTCTTGCCACTGCTGCGGAAGAGAGTTCCTGCATGGATAGAAAACCCATGTTTGGAGAAGCTTGGGACATATTTGATGTAGCGGGCTTTTGTAGAGTCGGTGTCGATTTTCGTGAATTCGGCGTATTTACTGTAGATGTAGGCATCATTGATGCAGATGCACCGACAACACGATCTGGGGAAGCGTAGTACTCACTCATCGTTCCCGACATAGCACCGGGTGTCGTGTCCTTGGGCGGTAGAATTGCTCCTTGTAACGGAGGCGCGTTGGCTTCATTGGAGACAATTCGTTCACCAGACATTGTCATCTGGGTTTTTTCAGCGAGCAAGTGTAGTAACGGACTCGCAACTTTGAACGGAACAATTGTTCTCTCATACATATCCATCTCATAATCTTTGTTACGAACTTCCTCAGGAAGACAATTTTTCCAAGACTTAATCTTGCTAAATTGCTTCGTATCCTCATTATATCTGGACTCGCACACGTAGATGGGTGTGATGGCATTAAGTCCCTTAGGCCGTCCACGGACAAAACGAGTGATGTACATGACAAAACAGCGTCCAACAATCTCAGAAACTGGATGGTCACGATACTGAGAAGTCTTAAAGACTTCATTTTCATAGAATACACGATCAGCCCGATGGACCGTCTGCTCTGGCCGATAGTACCAGCATGCCGTAACGTAAGGAACACCCTCCACACCCTTCCAAATCTTGAAAATCTGCGCGATGATGGGTTTGTTTGGGTCATTTTGATTATAGATGTGGACCCAGTCGCCCACTGATAAAAGTCCATCGTCAAAAGGTACATGTGGAAGTTGTATCTTGTCAGCCTTAGCAAATGATCGGTTTGGCGAAACGTGCACCTCTGGTTCCACAAACATTTCCTCATGGTCTTCTTTTTGGGATTCGACCTTCATTACGTCTGTCAAGTACCGCTCCAGAAAATCAGCATCCCGGTAAACTTGGCTAGACGGATCATTAAACACCTTTGCATTGTCGAACATGAGATAGAAATCCTTCACAAATTCATCAATGCTTTGATACTGGTGCTTGTTCAATTTTTTCTGAATGACTTCAAGAGCCATTGGGTGCTGAATTGCTTGGTAGTATTCCGGAAACAAGCGTGTGTCGGGGAGCCGTTCAAAAGGCGCAAACAACTGACGTCCAGTAGCGTCTCGATATCGGCGAACTTGGCGCATAATAACTTTGGCTCTTGCTTCGAGAGGAGAGTTAACCTTTGCGGGTCGAGACTTCTGACGTTTCGTATCTGCAGGTCGCAGTGGTTGTCTTTTTGAAGTAAAACTTCGTTTTCTTTTTGCTGCTTCCGATGAGTCTTCTGACTCATCGATAAAGAGATCGTCTGAACCATCGTCCTCATACTTTACATGATCATGCATGCCGAAAGGGTTCACCGGACTCTCATGACCAAACGGATGTGCATTATATGGAGCACGTTCGTTCAGCATCTGCGGAGTCACATGCTGTTGTTGCTGCTGAAGAAGATGTATCGGGTCTCCGGAGATAGATGGCATTAAATTAGGCCACTGGAACGAGGAAATTAGTCCCTGTTGGAAGAACAGCTGCAGCTGCTGAATACAAAAGGCCTCTAAAGCACAAGCATCCAAGTACACCGGTGAACCAGGAGGAAAATACATCTTGGCATTTGTGGTCATTTGCGCAAGATCGCGTATCAATTCAGACGTATCGTGCATCATGGACGTGTCGATTTTCATCTGAATAAACTCCAGGCATACGGGACGCGTCACCTTAGAGAAGTAATCCGGATACTGTTCGATCGACGGCAGCGTCTCGAATGCTGCAGCAAGCTTATGACCTCTTTCAATTTTCAGCGTTAGTAAGCAAGAAAAAACCAGAATTCGGACAAGAAAACGCTGGACAGTGGAAACAAAAGCTTGGACGACATCTCACTTCGCGTTTTTACGTTTTTACCATGTCGACACTTACTGAGAGTCAGTCGCATTGCGAACTCGGTCAAGAATGATGGAAGCCTGCTCTTGGATTTTCCTGTCAACACTAGGCATCATTAGTCACATATTCTGTACCTTTCACATACGATGGCTGCCTCATTCTTAATGAATGGCACGGAAAAGCTGTTCTGTGCAGTTAAGGATTGGTAAGAGTGGAACACGCGACGTGTGTCGCCCCTTAGCCGACAGAATTCGCCATACACTTCACGTGCACACTCTGTAAAAACCTAAGTCGCACAACTCCGCAACTACTGCGCTCACACCAAAAAGTCACCACCAACTCCACAAATACATCAACCACGAAACAATCCATAAACCGATTTTCCCATTCCATTCGCTCGCCGCTCCCACCCCCGTCGTGCCCCTCCTACCTATTTACTACATCTTGCAGATTCGTCGTAACAATAAATTTTGATTCAATTCATACCAAACGAAACAATAAACCGTATATGATAATAGAACACCTGTCATCACCATGAACGATGAAGGAGAATGAAAGATTGTGTCTCCATCACCATCATATCCCAATATTTTCATAAAAGCCGTTCACGCCAGCGACGCAAACAGACGCTCGCACGATACGCTTAGAGAGGAAGGTTCATACCAGTGTTGATGTGAACAGCCTTTGTCTGAGTGTAGTTGCTAAGACCGTACGAGCCCAGCTCGCGACCAATACCACTCTCCTTGTAGCCTCCGAAAGGAATTTGGTGGTGAAGAACGTTGTAGCAGTTGACCCAAACAGTACCAGCCTGAAGAGCGTTGCTGACTTGCAAGGCGGTATCGATGCTGCGGGTGTGGACACCAGAAGCAAGACCAAACGAAGTGTTGTTGGCACGACGAATAGCCTCCTCGATAGTCTTGAACTTGATGATGGCAACGACGGGACCGAAGATTTCCTCCTTGCCGACGGCCATCTCCTCAGTGACGTTGGAGAGAATAGTGGGTTCAATGAAGTAACCACGGTCACCATGGCGCTTGCCACCAATCTCCAACTTGGCACCGTGCTCCAGACCCAGGTCAATGTAGCTGAGGATACGCTCGTACTGAGCCTTGCTCACTTGAGCACCTTGGAAGGTGTCCTCATCGAAAGGGTTGCCAACCTTAAGAGTCTTGGCCTTGGCGACCATGCGCTTCACAAACTCGTCGTAGATACCCTCTTGCACGTACAGACGGCTACCGGCACAGCAGACTTGACCTTGGTTGTAGAAGATACCGTAGTTAGTCCAAGCCACAGCCTTGTCCAAATCAGCATCGTCAAACACAATGTTGGGCGACTTTCCACCGAGCTCCAAAGTACACATCTTCAAGTTGGAAGCAGCGGCAGCACGCATAATCATACGACCGACACCAGTGGAACCAGTGAACGCGATCTTGTCGACATCCATGTGAGCAGAAAGAGCGGCACCAGCGTGCTTACCGTAGCCAGAAACAACGTTGATCACACCGGCAGGGAAGCCACACTCCTCAATGAAGGAGGTCAACATGAGAGCGGACAGAGGCGTCTGCTCGGCAGTCTTCAACACAACAGTGTTACCGCAGGCCAAAGCGGGAGCGATCTTCCATGCAAACATGAGAATGGGGAAGTTCCAGGGAATCACCTGGGCACAGACACCAATGGGCTCGTGGCGGGTGTAAGCGAAACGAGTAGTGTCGGTCTCAATGGTCTGGCCGTACTCCTTGTCGGCCCAACCACCGTAGTAACGAATACATTCAGCAGCAGAACGAACGTCGCCACGGGCAAGAGTGATACTCTTGCCATTGTCGACGGTCTCGACAGAGGCAAGCAACTCCAAGTGCTCGTACACCTTGTCAGCCAACAAGGACAAGCAGCGACCTCTCTGGGCAGACGAGAACTTGCGCCAGGGAGCGTCAGGGTGGAATGCGGCACGAGCGGCAGCAACGGCAACGTCAATGTCCTCCTCACGAGCCTCGACGACATCGCAAAGATGCTTCTCCGTGGCAGGGTCGATCACCTCGATGCGACCGCCGGCAGCAGAGTCAACAAACTTGTTGTTGATAAAGAGACCAACAGGTTGATCAACCGTAAGACCGTTAGGAAGCTCGATCTTGACGGCGGGAATTTCTCTCAAAGTAGCAGCAGGCATTGTGTCTAGTAAGGAAAAAAAACTGTAGAAAGAGAAAGATGAATCAAGTGAAATTTCACCTTGAGACGAAAATTAAAGAATTATAAAGCGATTGAGGCGAGAAAGACGCGAAATAAGCACTCAATTCAACCGGATCGGTGCTGTCAAAGAATCTAATGTACAGATACTGCACAAAAACGTGTGTTTAAAAGTGAACGAAAAAAGAAACAGAACTGTTTTCGTTGAAATTAATGTACTGACGGCGTACACTTAAGAATTGGCAGTAAAACCTTAACAGAAAGTGTGCTGAGGAAGAAGAATAACTAAAGATTCAGCACGAAAATGAAGCAGGATCGATTAAAGAAAGCCGTTAACGCGCAAAGAAACGTTAAAGCTTGAATTTGTATTTGGGAAAAGGATGGTGGACTGGGAGGACGAAGACCTGGTTTTATATGATTTCAGAGCAACGTAGACCGGCGCGAATGACCAAGCAGCCTCCGAATTTCTTCACACGACAACTTGCTGGCGGCCAAGGAGCGCCTGCACCCCTCCAATGGATGACATCATGCAATTCCGTGTGCTGCAAAAAAGACCTCTGTAGATAACGTAAGCACTGTGTAAGCGAAGTGTGACATAAGCGAACGGAAAGGAGCTGCAGCAAACTTTAAGGAGCCGGGTGCTGATTGGCCTGCGTTTTATTGTCGGCGATCTCGTGCCCTGCGTATGACGTAGCCGTTTGTCTGTGGCTGTGGCGAAATTAGGGAAGTGTTGCCCGCGGGGAATCTGACGTCACCAGGGGGAAGAGGTGGACAACGACGGATTTTAGTGTGTCGGCAAGCGCAACCTCCGTTCTTCCGATGCATAGATACGCTTTCGAACGCAGTTTAATTGGTGCCTGTGCGTTTTCATTCGTTGGTTGATTAAAGCCCGATCGTTGCGCGCGATTTATTCAATTAAGCTTCTATCCGTGTCTGACGTCACTTCTGACTGTTTCAGCAAAAACCAGCGATTGGGTCATGGGTAACAATGCATAATCGAGCTGCATCGATCGTAAGACTTGGCTCGCTTCATGCACCCGTTTTCCCTGTTCCCGCACAGCCCAAACAAAGCTTCCAGGTTCCCGAAACGTCTTACTCCCGTCTGCCCCATCAAAGAAATTAGGTGTTCAGGCGCAGCCGCTTTGTCCCTCCTCCACACATTGACCCTCAAATTGCTCCACATCTTTAAAACTAAAAATAGAATCACGCCTCGGGATGGCCTGCGTCTATATGCGCTGTTAAGGCGTGTGGACGTCCATTGGTACAACAAAGCGGTCATGTGATTCAAACTGCGCGTACGAATGGCATGTGTTGCACGTGCTAAAGTGTCAAGTATTGCATTCCCTGGGTAGTGCAGCTTTAACCCAACTAAGCGACAATGACGTTTGCTTTCCCATGGGCACGTGTGCAGTGCTTGTCCAGGGTCTATGTCGATCCTCCGCGTTAGCTTCCGCTGGTGATTCTCTTTGCCTCAGTCCAAAACCTTAAGACTTTTCCTACAGCCACTGTTGCCGGCCGTCTCGAGCTACTGCTGCTGTCGAAGCTATGACATTGTTGGGACTGTGCCACATACGTTCTTCTTCTAGGGGGTGTCAGGGCGTGGTCTGGGTGATTGTTGGTGCATTGACTTCGTCTTCTTTCTGAGTGTTCGACTTTAGTTCGTAATATTCTAGATGCCTCTCACCCTAAGACTGACAATTCTCGTTGGGATCAAAAAGAACCATTGGTCGCCAAACCCCATACCCAGGTTCCCCGCCTCTCGTGTGATTGGCTCACGTTTTTCCACGCGATCAAATAGCTAGCGGGGTGTGTTATCAGATGCATGCTGCAACGCGTTGGGACTTGCTATCGAAAGATAGCGCGCTGTCTTCCAGGTTGCTCTTCGTGGGATGAGCAGGGCGTGGGGGCATGGGGGCACTGTGTGGGCAATATGCGTGAGTTAAGGGTCTCTGGTGACGAAACCCTGGAGACGTGGTGGTTGAAGTGTCCTTTGGGGTTCAAGTTCAAATCCTATTGACGCAACTTTTCGCTGTCTAGTAAGCGATCGCCCAGGAGCTCCTTTAAGACAGAGCATCCCAGGGAGCCTTGTTAATGCTGACAACATTTCCTATCGAGGCAGTAGTAGTAACCCATAGGGACTGCAGTGGTAGTAATAGAACGGAGCGGTACAGGGCAGTGCAATTGTGTCTATCGTTCTATCGTTAGTGTCCGTTCATCAAATCGGGTTTCAGAAAAGGAGAGGTCACCCCGAACGGTTGATTAGTAGTAGAAGCATTAGCTGGGTATGAACGGAAAGACCAATGCAAAGATGTTTTGGCGATTGCAGAATTGGAGTGTGTTTGTTTGCTGCATTTTTGATTTAGCTGTTATCCGTTACTAAGGCTAATCCTGGCCTTGGGAATCGCGCAGGCCTCAACAATTAAACAGTACGACTGTTTACAATCACAGTATTCTCTTCGGGTCAAGCTTTTGCTAATTGTCTGTCCATAACAAACTACATCGTGCTTCATGTATGAAATGCTTATTGAATGAACGTAATGGAATAATGAGAATTCTAAAGGTTAAAAAAAACAAGAAACAATAAAGAAGTATTAAACGGAATAAACGAGAAAGAAAAAAAATGGCAATGAGAGAGTGTGACAAGCCAATTTTAAGCCTTTACTGAAACAACATTGCTCTGGAGACAAAGTTCATAGAATGTACCTTTTTTAAGAGAAAGTAGGTTATGTGGAGAGTCGTATTCTAAAACACGTCCTTCGCCTAAAACCAGTACTTTGTCATAATCCAATATGGTGGAAATACGATGCGCAATGCATATGACAGTAGCGCTTCGAAAGACGGTTCGCAGATTTTTTTGCAGTTGTAAATCTGCATTGTCGTCTAACGAAGCAGTGCATTCATCCAAAATGATAATCCGAGGCTTCCGGACAATTGCTCTCGCAAGCGCAAGAATTTGTCTCTGACCTTGGGAAAAGTTGCGGCCAGATTGCTTCACAGGCATGTCCATTATCGAGCTTCGGAGCTTCTTTTCGGATGGGGACTGAAAGTCATTTGCTAGGATATCACTAGCGCCGCTTGCATCTAATGCTGAGAACAAATCACTATCGTCAAACTCGTTTAGTGGATCCAGGTTGCTACGAATAGTGCCGGCCATCATAACAGGATCTTGGGGTATCAAAGCTATACCCTTTCGTAACCTGGTAAGATCCATTTTTTCAATATCTGCACCGTCAATCGTCAAGATTCCCTCAGTGCGAACGGTAAATCGTAAGAGACTCAGCGCAAAGGTGCTTTTTCCACTACCGGTTCTGCCAACAACAGCAACCTTCTCACCGGGTTGGATGGTAACGTTTAAACCATGCAAGACATCGCTTTTTGCATTGGGTGAGTACTTCACAGAGTAATTCTTCAAACGAATTCCTCCATGAGGAGGCCATTGCTTTTCCATCGAAAGCTCAAGTGAAGCCTTCAATTCATCCTTCTCCGGCCGTTCCATGGGTAACATTGTATACTCTTCAACCCGTTCGTAGTTGTTCGTTAGAGTTAGTAACTCATTGCTTGCACGAACAAAGATCAATATGATAGTGCTGAAACCAACAGCGCCATTCAGTGAGAAACCGACATACTCCGCCGATATATTCTTGCTCATAAGGGCAATCACGCCGGCGAGAAAACCCACGATGCCACTTATTCCGTCTGAACGGACGGCGATCCATCGGTTAATGGCAATTGATATATACTGCACCGCAATCATGTTATCCAATTTGAGAATATTCATATTTGCAAAATACTCCATTTTCTTAAAAGCACGGATAACTGCCAGACCCTCAATAGTCTCGTTCATGAGATTGAAGACGACTGACGTTTTGGCGGCAACTAGTCCGGTAAGATGTCGTTGTGCTTTCGTGTAAATATGGCCAATGGTAATGGCGACGACAGAAACGATGAGTGCCAAAAACAAGAAGACCGGCATGACAAAGGATACGCTTCCAAGACCAACGATGATAAGCATTAAGCAGTTTATAGTATCTTCGAGGGAACACCACAAAAGGTTATCAACCGCGATAATGTCCTTCGCAAATCGTTGAATGATTCTTCCAAGAGGAGTCTGACTGAACCAATACATATGGCTATGAAAAACCCGTTTGGTCATTTCTTTGTGAAGTAATTGAGATGCATTCATGCCACCAAAGAAGAAAGCCAGACTTTGAACCAGATCGGCACCAAATAACATCAGAAGCAGAATACCGTACCCAAGCATAAAGTTGTCTGCGCTGATTTTTCCCGTCGAATCGTCGTTCTCTGAGGAACCAGTCGACATCGTAATCCAAAGTTGAATTGCCGCATTTAAAAGCTGTGACAAAGCAACAGAAATTACAGTAAATGCAATGAACGATCGTGAGCCGAACTTACTGAAATACCTTAAAATCAACTTCAATGAATTGACGTCCTCAGCCACTTCAATCTCTAAGCTCTTCTCCTCTTCGGGCAAGCCCTGGTGAAATGCGCGCTGTCGCGGCTCTTTAACATCGTCATCACAACTCGTACTCTTTGCATTTACCGTTTCGAGATTAATCTTTTCCGAGAACTGTTCTGGCCGAAGCATTTGAACTGTGCCGTTCCGTACGACGAGGAAGTAATCCACAGAATCACGGCATAATTTCACATTATGAGTTGAAAGTATAACTGTTCTATCTTGAAGAAAAGTAGAACGAAAGCAGGAATCAAAAATCCATTTAGATGTTTTAGCATCCAAAGCAGAGAACACGTCATCAATAATAAGGACTGGTGCTGAACTGTATAAAGCTCTAGCAAGACTTAATCTGTGGCGTTGACCACCTGACAAGTTGCAACCATTCTCCCCAACGCTAGTCATGTCCTGATATGGCATACTCTGCAGATCTGGTAGCAAGGCACAACTCTGGAGAACCATATCGTATCGTTCCTTGTTGAATGAATTTCCAAAAAGGACATTGTTGCGTATGGTGTCGTTTAATAACCATGGAATCTGAGGAACATAGGCAATCTGCACGTTCGGATTCGGTGTCTTAAAAATGCCACTTGTTATAAAAGTTTCACCAAGAAATGACAGAAGCAAGGTCGTTTTCCCCGCACCGGAATTTCCAACAACCAGACAAGTGCTTTTCGGAGGAATAGTAAAAGAAAGATTGGACAGTTGGAAATCGTCTTCCTTTGGATTAGCGAGCCAGGAAACAGAAGCATTCCTCAACTCAAACACTGAGTCGCCTGAAGACACCATCTCGTCTCGAATTTGTGTTGGTTCATCCAAAAAGGCACTAATTCTTCGTAATGAAACAGAAAATTGAATGCTTTGTCTTAACGCAGCTGCAACAGAGATAGATTGATTTCTCAAAACGGAAAATAATGAGATGGATGTAAAAGCAATAGCGGGAGTAAGGGTGCGACGTTGAATTTTTGTGAACACAAAAAATGTTACATACATGCTCAATAAAGGAAATATCTTCATCAGGCAGCTGAACATAATGTCAAAAACCGACAGTCTGCGTAAATGTTTTAACTCCGCGTTCCGTTTGCTATCAAGTTTTGCGACAGCTGCATTCTCCCAAGCAAAGTACTTCGATATCCGATATGTCTTCAGCAATTCTGCCGCGCATTGGACTCGTTCATCACTAGCCTGCCCAAGCGTACTTGTAAGATTAGATATTTTGCCCGCAATTACGAGAGGAAGGAACGCTGAGAGAAAGGCAAGTGAAGCCCCGGCAAAAGTGCTCCATCCTAAAAGATTGTAAAGAAAAACCAGCGACAATGTAATGTCCAAAGGAGCACGTACGGAGAGTCCGATAAATTCACGCGAATTGGCCACATGGTCAACATCAACGGATAATAAATTGTACACACTGTCTGGATTACGCTTTTGTTCCACGTGGTCTGTTTGTGGGAGCTTTCTGGTCAATACCTTTTCATAAATTTCTTGTGACAAAACGGCCTTAATTCTTAGCATATAACGCCTTGAAACATGCACATAATACTCCTTGCAAGCTGAGGCAATACACGGTCCGAAAAGCAAAACAAAAGTCCAAAATAATGGGCTCGTACCTTTGTCCACCCGTCCAGATTGAAAGTATTGAAGTAGCTGCTTCATACCGTATGGCGTAATGAATAGTGAGAGACTGACCAAGACAGCAAGAAACAGCATTTCTATAATAGTTTTTCTCAAAGTGAAAAGAATTCTGGTCAGAATGTTATTTGAGGAAACAGCCGCAAATTTGTCACGCCAAAGCTTTGTTGTGTTGGATAACGACAACGGTGGAATGTCGCGAAAATGAAGAATTGACAAGAAAGACTTCCAGATAATGCCGTCAAGCCAACTGTATGTACAGTATTTAGAGAGGTAACTGCATGTCTCCTCTGGATTTATGGAATGTTTAAAAGACTCTTTCAAAGAGGAGCGGTGCGATCGCGGAAAGGAAAGTGGGATGAAGCATTGAGCAATCGTGCTCATGATATACAGACATTGCAAAAGACGAATCTTTGTCAAAGCGGTTGTGAGCGACACCCCGACAAAGCTTGAAGATTTAGCGTACTCATAAACTACTGGAATCGCGACAGCCCAAGATAGAAAAACACCCGAATAGAACAGCTGCCAATTCAATTTGGAGGAAAGCAGGCGTAAGCTGTAGACAATGAGTATCTCATATTGAGCGAAGACTAACAGTCTCGTCCAAGCAAAAGGTTGAGTAAAGCTCGTTAGAAACAGACACGTACACAAAGACACAATGTAAAGAAGAAATGCATTTAACTTCCGATCCCCTGATGGACTAAAATGTTCATAGTTGCCAGAATCCAACGTGAAAGCTTTGTTAAAAAAGCTGGCCAGAAGATAAACATTTACGAGCAGCAGAACAGCTAACAGCAGGACATTTTGCCATTCTAGTTTCAAGGACAGATGGAAAAGAGCGTATATGTCAGAAAAGGACTGCAGTACCATGTTTTACGAAGGATTGACTAAAAACGATGAAAACGACAGAAAACTTTACATTCGGTCGGACGAACGAGTAAACGATTGCAAATAAAAGTTTGTTCTCAATAAATCAGCAGAAAAGGAAGTGTTCCGAGGTAATGAATTCAGAATGGACAAAAACCAAGGTTGGTTCGCAGTCAGAGGTACGCAGTCGCGTCCAACATTGAAAACTAGCCAAAATGTGACATCCTAACAATCGATGAGGGCTATAACATGTGGAAAAAGGTCATAAAAGAAACATAGAAACCGTACTTGCTACAATAAAGACCTGTACAAACATGCATACATACACATACACACACCTGTCCAATTCACAGGAAACGAACCTTCACACACCACTAATTGGTCATTAAAAAGCATGCATTTCATTTACCTCACTTGCTCTCAGGCGTTTTGTCCTCCTCTTCAAGCTCAGGCTCGCTGCTGTCATCAGAGTCATCCTCTCCCTTAGCAAACTGACTGAAGTCCATATTGCTGAAATCAGGCATGCCAGCACCGAAAGGATTTGCGGGCTCTGCGACTTCCTCCTGCTCATCCTCGTCTACCCAACGGTCAAAGTCAGTCTTCAACCAGTGCAGACGAGCTTTTTCTTTAGTGAGACGAGGCCAGAACTCCGCGGCAGCGTCCTTTTTGTACAAAACGAAGTAAATGCAACGTCCAGTGACATGGTACTTGCTTTTTTCGGGAATGATCTCTTTGAAGAAGGGAATTTCCACGGCGTAATGTGTAGAGTTGGCAGATTTTGCCTCAACTTTCAATTTGTCGTTCTCCACATCAATAGAAGGAGAAACGGAATCAGGAATCATAACAGTAAGGTAGATGACATTTTTGTCTTGTTCCTCAGCGTTGGAACGTTGTGCCCAGAGGACTACGCAAGAAAGTTAGCAACTGACAAAGACACGCAAAGACCTGTAACTCTTCTGAGTCTATCCTTACCCTCGGGAATTTGAACAGTGCTCATAGCTAACGATGGTATGAAGACTAAATGAACGAATAAAACGAATGAGCTTTAATAAACGAAATAATGGCGCGTGTAGTGCTCTTCTCCTTGTAGCAGTCGTAAATGGGAAAGGGGGAGTTCCTTGGCACACGCGTTGCCTCACACGCTCATATATATATACACTTACTCTAATGACATCACCTGCACCTTGGAGTAAATTCTAGAAAAACCTCACCACAACAACCAAGCTCAGGTAAAATACGGGAATTCGTCTATTCACGTAGTTTGGCGCGTGTTTATAAGGTGAATTGTTAGAGGAAGACATCTATTTTCATTCCAAGGCATTTTGAACGAGTAATTTCTGTTATAGGCGGCCATCTTTATTGACTTTTTTGTGAAGTTCACAATTGAACAGAATTGGTGCAATTGTTTGAAGAATCGAATGCGTGTATGAGGTAACTTTACGCGTAGTGTGTACAATTATCCATTTTATTTTACTTGGAACGCTTTTGGCGCAGAAACATGGAAACCATTAAATCGTTCTTTTTCAAACCTTCTCTTCAAGAACAAAATAGAAAATGGCAAAGCACGCTTCGAAAAGAGCAACGTGCGCTGGATCGTCAGAACTACGCGTTAAAAACTAGTAAAGACAAGGCAGAACGCCAGATAAAACTACTGGCGAGAAAAAACGATGTTCACAATGTTCGCGTGCTTGCTAAGGAGGTTGTCCGTTTGAAGCGTCATCAACGACGCTTGGCGGAGTCTAAAGCTTTGTTAAACAGTTTGGGCTTACAGTTGAACGAGCAAATGGCAAATATAAAGATCCAAGGAGCCATGCAGTCCAGTTCCAAAATTATGCACAGTGTTTCATCACTAAGCCGGTTACCGCAACTGTCGTCGCTTATGCAGTCTTTGTCTATGGAGATGACGAAAGCCGGTGTGTTGGAAGAAATGGTGGATGATGTTTTATCACCGGCTGCTGATGAAGAAGACTTGCTTGATGAGATTGATGAGGAAGATGAAGAGGTACGGCAAATTATCGCTCAGTATATGCCTGAGGCTGTCAAGTCTGCTACTCCTTCTGTGAGTGTCACTCCTCAACAAGTGTCTGCTCCTGAACCCATACTCGATCTTCCCTCCATTCCTAAACCTGTCGAAGAACCTGTCGCGAAAGACGAATTACAGGAAAGTGATATACTGGATATTCGTGGTCGGTTGGATGCACTCAAGTCATAGCGGAACGTCGAATGAGCGCATGTACTTCACGTCTCGTCCAATTCACTCGTTTTCCCCAACGCTTACAAACCTTCTCCTCATAATCTGCATGCAACGGCTGCAATTCTCGCTCATTTATCTCTTGGAATACAACACCGAAGCGCATATCCTCCCAACCACTTTCTAATACTAGAGCTCCGCTTTCCACTCTATCGACCTGAGCCAGATTCGCTTACTTAAGGTTAAATTAGACGAGGGATGAAATCATGTGTGACGTAAGAACCACCTATCTTTGCCACGGCAATTGTCACAGCAGTTAACCTCTCCCAAACCCGTTCTACGAGCCCTGTTACAGCCTACTAAACCTTCCTAACATTAAATACATAATCGAGATGCTCGTGCTTTTTGGACAGCCAGAGAACTGGCACACAGAGGACTTTGTCGCAGCCGACGATCGCGTCCGAGGCGGCGCGTCAGTAAGTCATCTATCTGCCCAAAAGGACGGTGACAACAACTCAATTGCGCGTTTCTGGGGAAACTTGGACATTAAGAAACTCGGTGGGGCTGGATTTGCTTCTCAGAAAACTGTTTTCACCGACCGCGTATGGGACCTTCGTGAATTTGAGGGCATTGAGTTGGATATTGCGAGAGGTGACGGGTTCAAGTACACTTTCAACATAAAAACTGACCTGGCTACGGACTCCGACGACCACAAAGCAACTCTTGTTTACGAGTTTGACTTTGAAGCCCACTGCACGAAGGAAGGACAAACTGTTTATGCTCCTTTCCACGCGTTCAAACCCACGTATATGGGACGTCCAGTGGAGGGTGCTCCTTCATTGGACAATTCACATATTGTACAATTTAGTATTATGATCCGATCGTTTTTCGGAAAACAATCTGGCGAGTTTAATCTTGTGCTGAACAGCATCCGTGCGAAACCAAGTCATGCTTGTCCCCCAGACGAAACGACTGCACCTCAATTTTTTGATGATCCTGCTGTCTGTTGCTGTTGCCAATAAGTGAAAGTCGAATCATTTGTCGTCCTCCCATCTCTTGTATAGTTTTACGAATTCAATTGTAGACTTGTCTACTACTATTTAATGAATTGCCGTTTTCTGTTATCGCATTATTTACTGACGCGTGGCGTTTTTCATTAAGGTTGCTATGGTAATATGCTTAACGCGTTGCTTTATGAAGTCCAAGCACGCGTCGAATTCATCCAAGAACCATAACATTGTTATAACATTGAACAACACAATCTTTTAGAAAGCACGATGATTCCTCGTGGAAATGAGCGCGCATTGAGCAAGAAACCAAACCCTTGGGAACGCTTGAGAAAATCGACGCGTTTTACTGCTAACAGCGTCCAAGAACAAAAGCGGAAAAGTGTTATTGAGCAAAACCGCGGTGGAACGACGGAAATGAGTCGTGTTTTGGATGAGGCTGCATACCTAGAGTGGAAAACTAAGCTTGAAGGCGATGCTGAACGGCACAGCGTTAACGTCGACGATTTAGACCACTTACTGGAGGAATTTGAATCCAGCTGAGAATGACGTTGTAAGAAAAGATTTCTACGACTTCATTAATCTGTTACGTTTTATCTAATTTATTTATTTGTGATGCATGCCTTGTGGAATTGGAGCAAATAAATACGAAGTGCATTACCGAGTATCTTTGATGTGCTAAACGTTACAGGCAATATAGAGAGAAAAGAAAAAGGTATATATATACACACTCGAAGATTCTGTTGAGTGTTCTTTCATTGCAGAGGACATGATGGTGGAATAGACGATTTCATCAATTGTTCCGGCAATGGCAATTCCTGAATCTTTTCCACAAGATCACACACTTTTTGGCGGTCTTTTATTTCGTCGTAATTCGGGTCCTCAAACAAATTCAGACACTCCTGGATGTGTTTGCACTGAGACTCATACTTACTCTTGTCCTTCTCGCTCATGTTTTGCAAGCATTCTGGGTATCTGTTTGCCAAGTCTTTCAACGGCTCGTACAACACTTGTTTGCTTGTAACCTGAGACATTAGGGAGTCAAGCATTGTTTCTAATGCATTGTAATCAACGCCAACATCTCCTGCACCGGAGCTAGGGTTGGCGCCGAACATTTTTTCAAAGAGATCTTCGTCTTTGAATGCATTCATGTTTGGAATGGCACCATTAGTGCCGGCAGAAAGAGTGTCGAGGTTCTGAATTTTTTCCAGGAGATTGGCCATCGCATTGTTCGTTCCGTCGTCTGTCTGTTTCTTTTCACTCGTCTTCTCCTGCTTATTTTTCAGTTCCTGTTGAGGAATTTCATCCAAAATGTCTATCAATTTGTTAGCACGTTTATGATGTTCGTGATGAAATCGGCAAAACTTGCTGTTTTATAACGTTTTGCAGATTTCAGGAGAAATTCGAAATATTCAGGAACTCATACCATCTAACTCATCCAGTTCGTTTACATTAGCAGTTTCTCTGCTTAATTTTTGGTGATGATTCTGGTCCATGGCAAAAGAGGTGGCTTTCTTTTGAAAAGTTGGTTGTATTGCTAGAGGTTTTATTTTGTTGAGGCGAGTTGATGGCGATTTCCGCCAGACTTCTCTAGTCACAAACATTTCACTAATCAGTCAAAAAAACTTCATCAGGTGGTTTTTTCTGGGCAATAAAGAATACCACGAGACATCATTGTTTCATTTCAAATGCTATTTTGTTCGTTGACTGATGATTGTTATACTTTTGTTACAAACAAACAGTATACGAAAGAGAAGTTGGCTGAGTATGAAAACGCAAGTGTATTATTATAGTTAAGGGAGCAACATTTTCAGACTGAGTGTCAACAGGTTTTAATCGTTTAAAATCGCATATTGTTTGAATGCATCAGGTATGCAAAGTTGACGAATTACCATTCCGCACCCACGTTGTTTAGATTTTGGCAAATTTTGTTTGAATAATTATTGTTTTAATGTTTTTCTGAGGGATACTTTCTCAACGAATTAATTTAAGTAGGCAGTATCGTTTTTAATTACTTAAGAGTCATTGCGTGTTTGTAGACAAGAGTATAATACTACGGTCTACATGGAGCTTGAGACACTTGATTTGATCAATTAATATTCTCATATCCACCGCTCGCTAGTGCTGCCTTTTAGGGTGAATCATTTTTATACTTGCTTATCATAGTCCCATACAAAAACTGCAATATTTATCCATAATCTTTTCAGTTTCCGTTCAAAAAAACTCATTAACCGCACATACATTTACTATATTTACATTTGCTCTCGTTATAGCTATCCCAAGTCTGTATTGGCATACTTGAGCTGTCAACCCGGATATATAATTTAACTCCCTATCGTAATTAATTAAAGTATCGTTATTGGAAATGCAAATATGAACATAAATTCCCCTTAAGCATGCGTATTTTCTTTGAAAAAAAGAAATCGGAGAGTTTATTAACTCCTCTTTCCTTGAAATATTTTCGCGTTACCAAGTTTGTTGGTATTGGCAATCGGAGCGCCGTCTAAAGAATCGAGCTTCTTGTAAAACTCAACGACCTTTGGGTGAGCCATAACTTTTGAAGGTGAAAAGTTAAGAATTTGAAGACCATGCTCCGAAGTTGCACGAGAAAGAGCAACATAAGCTTGCCCCTTTTCAAAAACTTTTCCAAGATCCACCTTTACGCGCTCGAGCGTTTGACCTTGCGCCTTGTGAATGGATATGGCATAGGCTAAAATAAGTGGTATCTGAGTGCGAGAAGCTTGTACCTCACCATCCGGAAGTTCAATGTTCCAGGTCTCTCTTTGTAAAACCAAGACGCGCTCGTCCCCGCCTACAAGTGAAAACCTAACTAAAGGCCATTTTTGTGCACGGGTTGAGGTACTCATAAGCGTTTTCAGCTTACGTTTCCGATATAATATATCGGGGGTATCATCTGACAAGGGATCAAGTGTCTCGTAGTCAAAAGGATTGCGGCCGTGAATATCAGCATCTCGTTTTTCAGCTTGATAGGTTTCTTCGTCAACAAAGCCAATAACCTTACCAAGCGAACCATTGACAAGTTGTTCATCTATATTTTTAATCAACATGACCTGAGCATTTACCTTAAGAACGAGTGTTTGAGGTGCCATACAGTTTTGCAGCAGCTTTTCACGAATAGCTCTGTCACGAATAGTTCCACCGTCAATGGCATTATAAACAACAGGATCCTCAGAAATTTGCTGCATTCGCATGGAATTAGAACGTTCCACCTCGGATCGAGTAGGGAACAATTCAGTGGGAAGAAGTCCATCTTCATAACGAATATTTCTACTAAGTGAATGGAATTTTTGAATGGACTCCCTCGAGAGTTTCCCGAGACGCAGCTCATTCAAAATTTTGACGAAGCCTTCATCTTTTTGTCTGAAGACATGGGTAAGACAGATCGTGTAATCTAATGCAGACTCCCATGTTTTCGACTCAAAGCAGAACCGAGCTTCCTTGCCACTGTCTGGCACGGGTGGAAGCTGGAAGAAATCGCCTGTGAGAACGAGTTGTATGCCTCCAAATGGTCGTCCGTTGTTACGAAGAATACGAGCAATCTCTTCAAGCTTATCCAGTAGCTCCGCATCAACCATAGACACTAAAAATTCTGTCAGCAATTTCGCAATTAACAGCCTAACAAACCTTCATCAATAACGAGGACTCGAGTCCGCAACCAGCGTTGCATGCACTTTTTGTTTTTTCGAATCTTCTTCACCAAGTCTACAGCGCTGTCTTTACCAAGTCCAATTCCTGCGAAAGAATGCAAAGTGACACCACCGATGTTGCAAGCAGCTAATCCCGTGGACGCAGTAACAGCTACACGATCAGGATCGCTATGAAAACGAGTCTTTAAAGTCTTTATAATTTTTCGTAGAAGAACCGATTTTCCTGTACCAGCAGAACCGGTAAAAAATACACTGTGTCGTTTGTCCACGACCATTTCCAAAACCCTTCGTTGCTCTTCAGATAAAAATATCTCAGGAACCGTAGTCTTGTCCTTGGCATCCTCAGAGGCCTTAAATAATGCGGAAACGTCTTCTTTAGTTTTCCTTTTTCTGTCTAGTAAACGAGACATACTTGAAGACTTTTTTAGCGTCAATTTATCTTCTCTTCCATTCAACTTCCGTGTTGCCAAATTCGGAAGTCTCGAAATAGAAGAAGGCTTCACGCCGACAGGCGGTTTGTTTTCAGTTTTTGCTTGTTGCAATAAGGGTGCTGGCTCACCATAACGGAAAGGATCGACAGACCATGGCAATGTGCGATGACGCTTTAGAGGAGGCTTTGAAGGGGAAGGTGTTGGTGAACCGTCGGTTTTGGTATAGGTATGTTCTCGTGTTTCGGAAATGGAAGGCATAAACGGTGCCGAGCTCACACTTTGCTTCAGAGAGCGGCCAGTCAGTTTGGAGTGCTCTACAGGAGATGATGACCATGGAAGAATATTTCCCTCACTTTCAATCTCATTGGTAAGGTCATCATCGAAATCAGCTTCGTCGATAAAGACGCCATCCATCACCTGCGAAGGAGATGAGAATTGCGAGAAGCCATTGGATTGGGGAGCGGAAAAGGGTGAAGACTGTACAAATGCCGACGCGTCATCTAGTTGTTGTAACAGTTTACTGCGAGATGCATCAACCTTAACCGGAGGAGACGAAGAGGGAAGAGGATCCGCGAATGGGGTCCCATCTGAGCGCGAGAGGGTTTTTTGGTCGTTTTGAATTGTCAAGTTCTCACCCAGTACTGACCTTTTTATGCCAAGAGTTCCAACATTTTGTAAATTTTTAGTCGAGGCAGTAGCAGATGTTGATGCATTTGTTAAACTTTCACGCTGAGCACGTTGAAACATCTTAAACTGCCTAGTCCAGGGTATCCTCTTTCTAAAAAATGCTTGAAGGCAACGCATGCATTCAAAAAAAATACGCGTTTCAATAAGACAGGACGGCTCTGTTTACGCGACAACCCAGGAAGTCTGCTTCACGGTGAACTCGACAGCTTAGACCGACCTTTCTCTGAACAATCCCTGCTATGATATGCACTAGAAGAATGAATGCGACGCGTCAGTCAGCAAGAATGAGAGCAATTCAGTGCGTGTTTTGCTGAGGTCAAGTCTAAGGGCGAAAAGCCCTACGGTTTACGTGCACAATTCCATTCTTGACGCGCTACAATTCGTTATAATATGTTAATTATTTTAGCGAACTGCGCAACAGTCCTCAAAAGTGCTCTTCAAGCCTTTAACTGATACCAAGTATTCATTACATTAAGGGAAATTAGCTAGTTACATTAGGTAGTACAGTAAATAGAACAAGCGCCAGTGAAGGGCGTTGTAGTGGGCTCCAATTGCACGTGTTCAACACACAATGTGTCAGACACTCTTGCTCTTGTTTCGTACGAAGTACATTTGACAAACGTGTTGAGGAAAACGGAGAATCGTACACAACAGTAAACATAACAGAAGTCGTGTCTTGAACGTAGACAAGCACACGCTTAGCATCAACGCAACCAACCAAAGCAAGATGGTTAGTCGTCGTTGAAAGGGTAAAAAGTAGAAATAGGAAACAAACAAAAAGGAGAACGAAAAATGAAAATGCCCACACACTAAAGTGTGTGGCCTACTGCAAAGTTCGGCAGAAGACAAGAGCAGGAAGAAAGAGGAAAGAAAATGTGCTCGGGCGTATCGCCGGGGGAGAAACGAGAAACTGGTACCAGCACGTTCGTACGTTTGCGAGTTATTCGCGTCAAGCACACGGGTGGGAAGCTGGAAAGCTATGTGTGTGTAGCAACAAACCAGTCATTAACCTTACCAATTCCGTGTTTCTTTTTGCGGTCAATGAAACAATTCTCTCGATACGGTCAGAGTGGTTAATTGGCTTTCTTGCCATTGCGCTCAGTAAGCTTTTTACGCTCCTCCATCGACAGATTGCCAATGGGAGCCATGTAAGTTCCAAGGACATGGTCCCAGAAGGTAAAGTAGGGCTGGCTATAGTTTTTGAGGAAACCGTACGGCTGATGGTGAAGATCGTGATATCTGGCATTATTCGTGAATACAATTTGAAGCGGATCCCAAGGGAAAACATAACCACAATGATCATCAACAGTCTTTAGCGTGGAAAGGGTGAAAAAGATGATGGACTGACGAGGGGTCAAGCCAGCTACCAAATAGGCAACACCCGCGCCAAAGGTGTCAAGAATAAGACCCTCGAAGGGATGATTGTACAGCGCACCCGTGGCGTAAGGGACATACAGACGATGGTGGTGGGCATGGATCATATTGTACAGGGCCTTGTTGCTGTGCAAGTAACGATGCCAAAAGTACTGCCAGGTGTCGATGATAAAAAAAGCCACAAAGAATTGCAGGCCAGGAACAAGCGCGTAATACGCGAGCCGTGGAAGGAAGGGGACAATAGTCAATAGCATTGGCGCATGATTTTCAAAGAAGAGGGTGTAGCGCAAAAGGTCCAGTTCTGCATTACTCTTCGTCTTGGACGAACCATCAAAATACGCGAGTGCCAAACCCACGGCAACCTCGCAAAACTGTTGGAACAAAACAGCTCGGATCACTTTACTGTGAGCAATACGGTTGCGCTTTGCGATCTCCTCTGGCGTATGGAGGCGATATTTCTCAAAAAACGGCAAGTTCAACCACGAAATAAATCCAAAAAACCCTGAAGCAACCCAGTAAGCGATTACTGGTGCAGCCAGCGAAATGGTAACATCGTTAACCGATGTTATTAACTCCAAATAGGACCCCATTTGAACAACTAGTAAAATACAATAAAAACACGTGAAAACAGAAACCACGCTAATTAATCGACAAAGAAGAAAATAAAAATTACAACTCTCGTAACTTTTGCGGATCTTCCGTTTGACGGGTTTTCACGCAAAACGGCGAGAGCAACTGTTAGATAAGAATTACAATAATCTTCTTAAATGCGACACAGAGACGTGCGACCCGTTAATGCCGCAAAAATAAACTCCAAGCGTCACACAAATTGCTCCAACAAGCAGCAGACGACCAATTCTACCGTTCTGCGTTGTCTTACGTGCACGGATTCTGCGTGGTGGTGAGCATTTATGGTGTGCAACCCTGCGGCTAATTCCTGTCGGCATTGAAGTCATGCCGCGCTCGACGACGCTGATTCGTCCATCCGAATCTCGGTTACTCAAAAACTGGCGATTTTTTTTGGACACCCGCAGGGTGCATTACGTAACTCCTTGCAAGGCCGATGTTGGCAAATCGAGGAGTACGAGAAAGGAAAGCGCGTGAGGGGATTCACGGACAAATCGAGAAAAAGAATGGCAAACACACACTCCATTTAACGGCGGAAAAAACTCCGTTGGTGTGAAAATCGGTCTCGCTTCTGCGAGCAACACACACATGACATTTTCCCCTCGCAAAGCTTACCCCCTCCTCACGATTCCACGTGTTCCGCACGAGCCACTTAAAACGACTCATCAGAGATTTAAAAAATTAGGTTTCAGGAGAAGTAGATCCGCTTTGATGCTTATTGGTGCCGAAAACATCGACCAAATTGCCGAACCTTCATCCAGCCGGCCTGCAATCGCTGCTACGATCGATCCCTATGTTCAAACAAAGCATGCCTCACATGCTGGAGTTAACCATTTAAAGACGGCCTTAACAACTCAACTTAAGCTCCGTCCAAATCAAAGAAACCGCTACAACACCCTCTCAGCTTACACAATTTAAAAGCGATAACCCCGCTCTCGACTCCACTGCCACCGAAAACCTCCCCGCCTTTGTGAAATACAGCAACGAGGCAGCTGGACATGGGTCCCCTTATAGATACTGTGGTTCGTTCAAAGTCATGCCATTTTTGACAATAAATCAGCCAATTCTTTGTCCTTGTGGTAGCTGAGATGCGAGGAGTGTTCCCTGCCGAACGCTCTTCCGTTGCAGTTTCGCGCCATTATTTAAAGCAAGTGCATCACTGACGTTGGCATCATGCGTCAAGAAAGGTGAATAACGAGCTGCATCGACATCGTTCTATTGCGTTTATCGCATCTCTCGTTAAAAGACACTAATTCATCCCCCGCAGTCCCCCACCCACCCCTGCTCCACTATGCTGCATGCCCCAGGTTATCAGCATTGTTTATCTTGATGTCTTGTTATCGATTGGCTGGTACCATATCGTCGATAATTCCCCCTTATGTTCATGAGAAAGCGTTACTTTTTAAGCGAAAACCTGTGATTGGTCAATGTTTCGCTTACTGATAATCCGAGCCAGCGCTTGATTGGTTCGGAGAAGAAATGCTATTCATATCTTTTGTCCACTGAATGTGACCAAAAGTATAATATGCGTGGCAATCGCCACCCCAAGCTATTGTTCTTGTCGTCTCCCATTATCGTTGTGCTTGAACACTGCCAGTACTTGTGTATATAGTGGTTGCCGAAGAAGCCGCTCATTGTACAGTTCTGTAATAGTTTACTCCTTGGACGCAAATCTGCTGCCTGGGCGCTTTCTTGGCTTCTTTCGGCCACGACATCTAATTAGCGGCAGCGTCAACTTGAATAGCTTGGGCACTCCTCTGTGAAATTGCCTTAGTTTTCTGCTGTTCTGGCTTCTTTTCTAATTTCTTTTTTATTTGGGTTTTTTTTGGTATTATTGGTAAACGGTTTGTAACGCGTCTCGTTGCTTACTCGAACGCGTGTTAATTGTATTTTGTGGTAACTGGATTACCATTGAAACAAAGAGTTTTCTTGTTATAAAATCACATTTGGTTGTGATCCGTGGCTTTCTGGTTTCTTTTCGTTGCTTTGTTGTAAATATGGCTTCTCGGTTTTCGAATTTTTTTGAAGAGCTTGATCTGCGTGTCGCTCGCTCCCCCGTCGGACGATGGTTTCGTTTGGAAGGTTGCGGCCACCCTCGTGAGCGTAAGGGCTCGCGCTTCTCTGTTGAAATCCGTGCTGGATTAACTACGTTCTGTGCAATGGCCTACATTCTGGCTGTGAACGCGTCCATTTTGAGTTCTACGGGTGGTACGTGTGTCTGTACAAACGCCGAGGACCCTACGTGTAAAAATGATGCTGCCTATGAGCTCTGTCGGAGCAGCATCCACCGTGACATTGTCACTGCGACAGCTGTCGTTTCCTGTATCGCTTCTGTCTGTATGGGTTTGTTTGCGAATCTGCCAGTTGGTATGGCTCCCGGTATGGGTCTGAACGCGTATTTTGCGTATCAGGTTGTCGGTACCAATGGTACTGGTCGTGTTTCTTACCGCGAAGCCTTGTTGGCTGTGTTTGTTGAGGGTTTCATCTTCTTTGGTCTTACTATTCTTGGTCTGCGTCAATGGCTTGCGCGAGCGATTCCTGCGTCACTCAAATTCGCTACTGGTGCAGGCATTGGTCTCTACTTAACCATTATTGGTCTTTCGCCTAGCGCTGGTCTTGGTGTTCTTGCACATTCTGATTCAGACATTATTGGTCTTGGAGGATGTCCTTCTGAGTACCTGACCAGTGATTATTCATGTAATGGTCATACGTTGGAATCACCTACCATGTGGCTTGGTATCTTTGCTGGTGGTGTTCTGACCGCTGTTTTGATGATGTATCATTTCAAGGGTGCCGTTCTTTGTGGTATTGGTTTGGTGACGATTATCAGTTGGCCAAGGAACACGAGCGTAACAATGTTCCCGCATACAGCAACAGGCGATTCTAACTTCGAGTATTTCAAGCAGGTTGTTAGCTTCAGAAAAATTAAGGACATTCTTGCGGCACAAGATTGGCATGTGTCGGGTGGACAGTTTGGCATCGCCTTAATCACCTTCTTGTACGTCGACATTATGGATATGACCGGTACTTTGTATGCCATGGCTCGCTATGCGGGTCTCGTTGATGATCGTACTCAAGATTTTGAAGGATCTGCCTTGGCGTATATGACCGATGCCTTAAGTATTTCCGTTGGTTCGCTTTTTGGATGCTCTCCCGTTACCGCCTTTATTGAATCTGGTTCCGGTATTTCCGAGGGCGGTCGTACTGGTCTGACCGGTATCACTGTAGGTGCCTGCTTTTTCATTTCCATTTTCTTCTCGCCCATCTTTGCTTCTATCCCCGTCTGGGCCACGGGTTCCACTCTTGTTATTGTCGGCAGTATGATGATGAAGAGTGCTGCCCTTGTCAACTGGGGTTATATGGGTGATTCTATCCCCGCTTTTCTTACGATTGCTTTGATGCCTTTTACGTATTCCATTGCCTACGGACTTATTTGCGGTATCGTTACGTACATCGTTCTGAATACTCTGACTTGGGTTGTCGGAAAGGTCTCTTTCGGAAAGCTCACACCTGCTGACGCTGACCAGAAAGAACCATGGACTTGGAGAGTGGAGGGTGGTATTTTGCCTCCTTGGGTTCAACGTTTGTTGAAGGGTGATCGCCGGTTCTGGGAGGATCCTGAGGACCGTAAGTTTTTCGAAAACGCCGCTCTGGAAATGCACATTTCGGATGAACATCACAGTGAAAAGAACACCAAGAGCACATTCTCCGAAAAACAAGTTCCTATGGAAGAGGTCGTTGAGACTGAAATTGGTGAACTTGAGATACGCACCACAAATACGCGTCCCTCTGAAGATCCAAGTGTTCGTCGGGAGCTAACTCCCTACGCAGGCATTGATGTCAATACAGACTTGCGTATAAAACAGAATTAGACAGACTTTTTTGTTCACATCTAGACTGCTAATGAAATCATTCGCATACACATATTTGGTAGATTCGTGTAAAGTGTTAACGTATTAAGACTACGGCATTTTTACTGACAGCACTTCGTCAAGAACCTTTGCGACTTGCCAACGTTCACTTTGAGACGAGCTAGGGGAATGCACCGGTACCTCCTCAATGATTTTTGCTTCGTCGGTGGCATTCCGTTTGTTGACTAGGCACTGCAAGCGGCGTGGGTGCATAAATGGTTCAATAAGTGCGTGTGGTTCAACTTGCCAAGCCAGGTTTATGTCATGAATTCCAATGCGTGGTGCTTCGTCTTCTGATGTTTGCCGCAAGTTCTTATTTACAATCGACAGACATTTTGCAAACAAGTTTTTGAGATGACTTTCAAGCCCTGCGAGGATGATTGCGGGCACATCTTTTTGAATACCTCCAAGCAGCCCGTTTTCAAGGGCAATTGCAGTTATCCTTGTTTTTAAAACATCCTGGTCCGGAAGTTCGAGGGTTTCCGATGACAGAGGTGCAACGTACCCGGCTTTTATATCGTTTACAAATACTATGAAACAGTTAGAAGGGACTATTACTAACGAGAGAACGACATGCCTGAATTTAATTTATCCTGAGAAACCGGAATCTTTGGTAGTTTGGCAACCCATGACTCTGAAGGAATAGAAGGGAGCGGAGTAATATTACGGTTGTCCTGTGTGTTGTGTTAGTAGAGATATGACAATGGAGTTTTCAATCAAAACTCTCTTACTTCAATTGCAGCCTTTATCCGTGCTCTGTCCTTAGCATTAAAAGAAAGGATTATTTTCTTCAACGTAAGAGCTTGTTTGTTATCGAAAGCGACAAAACGATTATGGGTTAGCAGGAACGCGTCAGATTTCTTTCTTTTAACCCAAACAACGTCTGTCTTTATTTTTTCGGTCCGATTCCGCAGGCTTTTAAGAATTTCGAGTATGAGAGTGTTGTGTAGTTTTACTAAAAGCAGTTTATATTAGCATAATCATGCCGTCTTATTCAACATTTTAGAACTGCCTCTGAAAGGTTCTAAAACCACGGAAACGGAGTTTTACATACCAAATTTGGGGTTTTTTAGGAATTTCTTAAGATATTTGTTCAGTTCATTTCTGTTTGCCTGTCCAATCAAAAAATCGGTGACCATAGTAGTATACATTTCAAAATCGTCTCCAAGTAATTGCTTTTGCTTTGACATAACCCCTTGCGCCCTTTTAGAGTCATAACGTTCATTCAGTTGCTGTTTCTTTTGCTTGGTTTGCGTGTTTGTCCCCATTTCTGAGTTCACTTTGTTGGCTTCCATGGTTGGAGAGGTTAATAAAGAACATGTTTAACGACCTACAAAATGAACTTTCAAGTTTAAAATTAATACCAAGAACCGCGAAAAACAGTTGCTTTCTGTACAGTACAATATAGTAGTTGATTGCTGGAGTTGTTACGGATTAACTTGCAGCGCTTCAAGTCTGCCGATCCATTATGAAAATGAAGATGCTGTGCCACGCGGACAAACAGATATAATACGATTTGAATTATCACCAAATGATTCTTCTTCCCCCCGTGCACAGTGCACTATTTTGGTCGTATTCGTTGGGCTTACAGAGGCAACTTTAAACTTACTTATAGTAAGTACCAACAAGTTTCTCACATTTCACGGTAATTGAGGAGTAACAACACTCATTAAACGAAATATACATGAAGCGCAACTCTCAACAGTAGTTACTAAACTTTGCCGTTTCAGCAATTTCGAAAAGAAAACAGAAATACTATTAATAGCAATCACAATACCAAGAGAATATCTAGTTTATACTCTAATATAACTCCGTTGTGAAAATATATATATCGGTATTCCATCGTATTTTCCTTCAGTCTAGTGCCTACAGACATCTTTGATGAGAGGTGATTTTGCATATCGTGAACTTTTAACACTACACCATAAAAAAAGGTAGGATCCACTTCTTACCTATAGCGTGAACATGATTGTCTCAATTTTGGATTACGGCAGCGGGAATGTTCGTTCCCTCGTAAATGCTGTCAAGTATCTTGGTTACGAAACAGAATGGATCCGTGATCCAGCGAAAGTCGAGGACGCTGAGGTTTGTGCACAATTAACATCGGTGATTGTATTTACTGACTTTTTAGTGCTTAATTTTCCCCGGTGTTGGAAATTTTGGTTTTGTTTGTGACTCGCTCAAAGAACAAGGTTACTTTGAACCAATTCGAAAATATTTGGCGTCAGGAAAGCCATTTATGGCTGTCTGCGTTGGTATCCAAGCACTTTTTGAAGGCTCTACCGAATCGCCAAGTTCTGAGGGACTTGGTATTTTCAAAGGATTTGTGGAAAAATTCGATACACAAACTAAGACTGTTCCGCATATTGGTTGGAATTCTTGTGCTGTTCGCAGCGACCTGACGCACGAATACTACGGTTTGAGACCCCACAGTAAGTACTACTATGTTCACTCGTACATGCTTCCTGCAAACAAATTGAGCATACCGACGGAATTTAAGGTAGCTACAACTGTTTATGAGGGAGAGGAATTCATTGGAGCTATCATGAAGAAAAATTTTTTCGCTACGCAGTTCCATCCCGAGAAAAGTGGTTTGGCAGGCTTACATTGCCTGAGTTCTTTCCTGAGCGGAGCATTTGCAGTACCGATTGATGGACTTGCTTCTCGGCTGAACGAAACTGCTGTCGGTGGTTTGACAAAGCGTATCATTGCATGTTTGGATGTACGCTCCAATGATGCCGGCGATCTGGTTGTGACGAAGGGCGACCAGTATGATGTGCGTGAGAAATCAGCTGCTGGTTCGGAAGTCCGTAATATGGGCAAACCTGTAGAGCTTTGTGAGCGCTATTTTAAGGAAGGCGCTGACGAAGTCACCTTTCTAAATATCACTTCTTTCAGAAACTGTCCCCTTCGTGACTCTCCTATGTTGGCAGTATTGGAGAAATCTGCCGAAACGGTGTTCGTTCCATTGACTGTTGGTGGTGGCATCCGTGATATTACAGATCCAGATGGTACTTTCCATCCTGCGTTAGAAGTTGCAGGTTTGTACTTTCGGTCTGGCGCCGATAAGGTTTCCATTGGTAGTGATTCCGTCTATGCTGCTGAACAATACTACCAAAACGGTAAAACTTTAACCGGAAAAACAGCCATTGAAACTATCTCTAAAGCCTATGGTAATCAAGCAGTAGTGATATCCGTTGATCCTAAACGCCATTACGTTGACAATCCTTCTGTAACTTCACATCATTGTGTTGAGACTTCCCGAGTCGGTCCTAAAGGCGAAAAGTATGCTTGGTACCAGTGCACTGTAAAAGGTGGCCGCGAGTATCGTGACTTGGATGTTATACAACTTGTTCAAGCATGTGAAGTTATGGGTGCCGGCGAGATCCTTCTTAACTGTATGGATCAAGATGGTTCAAATTCTGGTTACGATATTGAACTTATTCGTTCAGTGAAACAGGCGGTCTCCATTCCAGTAATTGCCTCTAGCGGTGCCGGTATTCCCGAACATTTCGAGCAGGTTTTTAATGAAACCAATTGTGATGCCGCACTGGCTGCGGGCATCTTCCATCGTCAAACCTGCAGCATCGCTGACGTTAAGAAGCATCTCGAGAAAACTGGTATCCTTGTTAGAGAAGCGTAAGTTTCGGTGTTTACATAGTATGCTACATTCATTCATTACCTTTGTGTGATCAAATAGGCAAGTGTATTTTTGCTTTTATTAGGATATTGCTAGTGTATCCCTTGTTCTGCAAGTATTTGCTTCTGGAAACAAGTAGTTCTTATGCATTCTTTTTCGTATCCTTTGGCTTCGTGTCATTTCTTACCGTATTAAATCTAATAGACTTAAAAAATAGTCTGTCATAGTACGCGATACATATGCTAAATAAAGATGCTGAAAAGGCTGCTGACGCTATGTACAAAAGCGTATTCAACTGATCAGCTTTCCATAAATTCGTTGTATATTGAGTCACAGCTCTAAGTATTAGGGACAAGAGAAACAACGGTGCCCCGGGTGAACAATCTTTCAGCTTAAAATTTGGTAATCTCTTGTACATGTACCGAATGGAAATGATGATTCTTAAGCCAAGATTGAGCATATTGGAATAAATGAAACCTGCGGGACCTAAAGAAAACCACTGTAGGAAGACCAGACCACTTAAAAAGTAAGCAACGCTGATAAATAACATATAACGAGTTTGACTTATTATCTCTTGAACAGAAGCAGTTGAAACAAAATAAGCCTCAGTAATCCCGTTTATTGCCATTACTGGAACATAGTAAGCATAAATGGATAAGACCGAAGCGGCATCAGAGCCACTCCATTGACGTCCAGCAGTGATGTTCAATAACAGTAAACTATAAGGCGAGCCAAAAACGACAAATAGTGCAAGGTATAAATAAAGTCGGATAAAAAGAGAAGCAACGTCTGAAGCTTTCTTTTTTCCATCAGTCGTGTTATCAGTATTGAGCTGGGCAAAAACGATGTGTGCCTGTTCTTCAATCGGACGTAACAAAATTCTCGCAAATATAGAACCTTAACATACGTTAGAATAATATGCCACGAGCGGCTTACCGTAGTTCGTTGCCAACGCAAAAAGACCCTGCACAGTCGGCGTTGCGAGCCATGATGCCATGAGTTTATCGCCTTCAGTTAGTACATGTTTGAGGACTAGTTGATAGCTTTGTCCGCCTAAATTCGTTATGATGTCTTTATCCCAAAGAATTTCTTTTCCATCAAAATTTACAGGTGTAGGGACGAAAAACACACGGTTAAAGCCCGTTGCTTTCCATAAGAAATAAAAACATGTTACGGATTCAACAAAGTTGCCAATAGCAAAAGGCAGACATGTGCTAGATCTACCACGCTCAAATAGCGTGAAGATGAATGTTGCAAAGCAATTACTCACGACACCATAGCCTTCACAAGATGCCCTTCGAGCAAAACGTTCCTCCCATTGCAGCTGCTGATATAGCTGTTCTGACAATAGACGTAAGAGACTTGAGACAACGTAAATTCCAATGGCTAAAGATGCAGAGTTTACCGCGACCGAACTTTTCAGATAAATTGGAGTCAAAATTAAACATAAACCAAATCCAACATACAAAGGAAGCAGCGATACATTTATAATAACCTGTCGTTGACCTTCTTTAGTCTTAAACTTGTAAGGCAATTTTAGCTCTCCTTCAGCGTATTTTGATTTTGGGGGAGAGCGCTGTAAAGCTAATCGAATTGCTTCTCTAGAAAGAAATAATATAGTGCTTTGTAGTACCTCTAATTTAATAGTAGCAAAGCCATAAGCCAATGGATTTGACAGGCGAATTGTGAATTGATTAACAATAAAATTTAGAACACGGGATAATGCCTGGAATAAAACACTAAATCCCAAACCAGTAGCTGAAGAAGACAAAAGACTGTCCTGATCCACCATCCGAACAGACCAAGTAGAGAAATCCTATACGAACACTATTTCTAGTGTTGGTGTTCAATTTCGAAACGGGTGTCAGTGTAGTGCTTGCGGTCTGGTTGTATTAATCCCAATCGATCAAACCGACAAATTCTTGGTCCAATCAATATCAAATACAAAGGTTATTATTACGTGAGTAGAAAGGCGTTGTTTTTCGATACAAAGCATATTTTACGAGGAATGAAAATACTTAGTCTTCTCTAAAAAAATAAAAAAAGCATTATGAAAGCGACACATGTATTATCAAGAACTTGGGCGAAAGCGAGAGCTAGTGATTGTTTTAGCAAACTAAGCAAAAAAAATAATTACCGTTCGAGAGCAGCTTACAAGCTAATTGATGTACGGATTATAACCATAGTCTAATGTACTTTTTAAGCTAACTAGTCTTATTCTAGTTGAACAGAAAACACCATATTTTCAATGAAGGTGACACAGTCATCGACTTGGTAAAAGTAAGCCCAGTTCTAAAATTTCTAACCAGCTTAGGGATTTGCACCAGGGTCATGGTCTCAAGTTGCATTAAAAGCGGTCGGACCTTACGGAATGGTAATTGGCGTCGATGTTCGATTCGTTAATCCGCCGCAAGGAGTCCATGCCATCATTGGAGATGTAAAGAACAATGTGACAGTTAATGGAGTATATCAGCTTCTAAAAAAGCATTACGGTAACACTCAAAATAATCAGTGTGATGTTGTTATAAGTGATATGTAATGTGCACACAATATCTACTTTAAGAACCGTTCTAACAAATCAGGTTTCATAATGCTACTGGTATACCTTTTAGAGACCATACTATATCAATAGTAAGCTTTGTTTTAGATGTGTTGTTTGTACATTAACATTCAGTCACTTTGTAGGGCGGCACTAGAATTCTCAGAACATGTTTTACGATCAAAAGGAATCCTCATTTGCAAATATTATAAAGGTATCGAGGAAAATCGGTTCTTTAAAGAATTACAAAGCCACTTTCGTGAAGTCATTAGAGCAAAACCGAAAGCTTCAAGAAAAGAATCGAAAGAAAATTATTTTGTTTGCTTAGACAAACAGAAGATGTAACGGTTTTAAAGATTTATGCTTCGTTATCCGTTGTTGATGTTTTCTTTTCCAGACGCCGTTGTATCTTTAACCGTAGGGATTCGATGGATTTTTTTGTAGCTTCCAGATCTTCTTCAAGATTAGCAGTACCGTTATTTTTTAATAAATCGTCAGAAATATGATTGGGTCTTTTTTCCCATAGCTTTGGAAGAATTGGTGAAAGAAATTCCAGCTGTCCTGAAACCGTAGCTTGCATTGGTGATTCAAAAGTCCTTCCATTTTGAGGATTCTTTAAGTTTGTGACCTTCATTGTCTCCTTCGGTGTAACGGCCATTGCCTCGTGCCCTACAGTGCTGTGGGCTGTGGTACTGGGCTCGATTAATTCCGACTTGGTCTCAGTACCTAAGATTGTTTCGTGTTCGCTAAGTCGCTTTTGTGATGATGTTAAAGAATGGTGAACAAGGTTTTGATTAAAATCAAATGTCCCAGAACTGTCCTTCTCGACTTCCAATAGCCGATGCTGCGTTTCAAGCAAAGAATTTTCGATCTTGTCTAATCTTCTCAGAATGGTCTGAAAATCTGCTATAACAGAGGAGGGATCCAATGTGGCAGTAGATGTTACTGAAACTAATGAATTAGAAACCGAAGTGTCATTAGAATACTCGAGCTCATTTGACAGAAGACGTGGATACGTTATATCCGGAGCAAAAGGAGTGGATTCCTTTGCTTGGTTGTCTTTAGAACTATTCACCGTCTTGCTTGGAGTACTATTTTTTCGTTTTTTATATTCATTAACAACGGTTCCCACACTGGAATCTGCTTCGTCACCGAAAGAAGAAGATATACCAGTTCTAACACCATTTAAATCATCCGCAACATCCTTTCCCGGAAATTGTTTATTTGTTTTCCTTTTGCGCTTCTTATTTTTCGTGTCACTTGTTGTATAGTGGTTCTTTAGTTCCCATTCAGCATAATCATTTTTTAATTTGTCCCACAAGTCTCTAACTGAACGTATAACGTTTTTAGTAAATTTCATTGTGTTTGCTCATATGCTCAGGAGTATATGTTTTTAATGAGAAACTGGATGAATAACCTCACTATTCCTCATGAAACCTGTACAAAAAAGGCTGTCAAGAAGACAAGTTCATTTCACAATTAAATACCAGCACTACTCCGGTACTACTTCATATGATTTCGGGCGGTAGTGTCTCCTTTTATCTCAATTTTGCTGCGACCTTGGTCTCATAACTACTTAAAGTATTTTCCTCGCGGTGGACCAAGGAAATTTTACGGCACAAATTTAACAACAGGATTTGCTGATAGGCCCTAATTTTCTTATTTAAGGAGCTAATTACTAGGAGAACTTGCAAAACTACCTTTAAGTTGTCTCTATTTGATTACCAAGGGAAAAGAAAATAAAAAAATAATACAATTAAAGAACCAGTGAATCCATGCCTGTATTTGGGGTTTGTGGTCCAATTTGCAGCGGAAAAGACGTCGCTGTTGAATACTTGAGGACTCAACATAGTTGTACACTAATTGAGTGTTGTGAAACAATTAAAGCGAGTACATCGGTCACCGTATTTAAAGTCGATGGAGAAACCTTAACGGGGGTATCGGAACTTGTTAATTTTGTTACACGTAACTGGAGAAAAAGATATGTTCTAAATAACTTCAGCGATCCAACGCTTCGAGATGCGTTATCAAAACGTCCGTTTTTCTTGCTTGTTTATCTTGATGCTCCTATTCTAACCCGATATGAGCGGTATGTAAAGTAAGTACAATTCATGACGCTTTTAAATAACGAAACATCCAGGTCCAAGCGACCCTATAACATAACGTTGGAAATGTTTTGTCGGATGCAAGACTCGGCAGCCTTTAATCCAATTGATGGAGTAAACAAACACCGTGCTTTTGCTAATGTTTACATAAACAATGACTCAAGTGAAAAACCCCAACTATGGGAAAAACTTAAAAGGGCAGACTTAATGAACGGCGATCGCTTTAGACCTTGTTGGGATGCGTACTTTATGCAATTGGCATCTCTCGCGTCGATGCGAAGTAATTGCATGAAACGCAGAGTCGGTTGTGTCCTTGTTCGTGACCAGCGTGTAATTGCTACAGGATACAACGGCACTCCGCGAGGGCTTCGAAACTGTAATGAAGGAGGTTGCACTCGTTGCAATTCTGCAGCTAAATCCGGAATCGGTTTGGGCACATGCCTATGTCTGCATGCTGAAGAGAATGCCTTGTTAGAAGCAGGCCGAGAACGAATTGGTGACCGTGGCATACTATATTGCAATACGTATGTTGATGTTTGACGCTATTCTAACTTTCAGTTGTCCTTGTTTAACCTGTTCTGTCAAAATTGCCCAAGTTGGTATTAGTGAAGGTAAAGATATGATTTATCAAGAAGCGTTAATTTCTGACCAACAGTCGTCTATAGCACATCGTATAGCATGGATAACCAGAGTGCAGATATTTTGAAAGCCGGCGGCGTGGTGCTACGCCAGTTTGTTCCGCCATTAACAGATGTATTTTGAATTCCAACTATAATGATCATTTTGGTATTATATGGTATCATTGAATTAATAACCACAGACATCTTTGTGTCTGTACAATAACCAAATCTAAAAACTGAACAATTAAGCCAGTACACAACACTTAAACATAGTCATGGTACCTAAATGCTGTTGAAATTCCATTCGCATGTTAATGTTAATGTTCATAGTTGCGAGTTGCATATACGTTGAACCCAGCCGTACTGTATTTAATTCATTCTGTTTCTACAACACTGCATCTACAGATTGGAACAACAAGTATTTAAGTTGTAACACAGTTAAACATATCCCTTCATACAACCATAATCTTAACATTAACCATACTGGGAAACAAGCTTGTAATTAATAGGTATAATTACCACCTTAACCTTTCATATCACTGCGTTTTAGCATCAGTACTCACAGTAGCTACAGAGCCCAATTGAGAATCAAGAGGCCAATAAACTCAATTTAAGGACATTTAAAGCTTTCATTATTCAACTCCAAGCCATCGCCATATAACCCTTAAACTAAAAAGAGTAAATATGAAGCTCTGTCCGACCCGTACGTTTGAGACCAACAGTTTTTAAGTCCAAACCAAACAAGTTAGGGTCCGACCCGTGCACCGATGTTGACTGTTCTTTCAAACTACACGGCCGTATATTAGCGTAGTTTGCTCTAAACTCGCTATGTGCCCTTGCGAAGGCCAGCGCGTTGCGCTAACCGGTGCAGGCCTCTTAGCTAACTCTACTGAGCTGCGCTACAAGGCCTAGGGAGTGTTACCGCACTCCCCTAAGTGTGCACTCCACACTAGAACTCCACGCAGCGCTTTCGGCGCTGCACTACGAGGCCGTAAGGCTTCAACAACGATTGCACATAGCCCTTACAAATGTGCAACATTATAAGTAGTTGGAAAATACTGATATTATTCAAACTTTATCTTAATACTGAGCCTGCGCGTAGCGTGTTTCATTTAGATGTAGCTATTTCGAGAGAGTTGTTCGAATGAAGAATTGAACAACGAACATAGAGTATATAGTCTCCTGACAGAACCGCTAGGACACGGCGTCTACCTTGTTCCTAGGGCATGGAACTGTGTAGGTAAATCGTTTTGTTCGGGGTCAGGCTTACGAAGCAAAACAGGAAAAAGTATTTTTCCCGCAATAACGCTTTGCTTATGTAAGCTGAAACGTTCCAACACCTTCTAGAATACCCTAGTCTACAAGGTATAAATGATTCGATAATTGTGACTATTAAACCAAGCTTTTTCTAAAGACTAATTTAGGAGTTCCGTTACATTTGGTTGCGAGGCATAACCTCCGTTTTGCTCTTTAAAATTCTTAAATAAGTTTTTTTGACCGCCGCGAAGACGAGCGTTTATTCATTGGATTAATTGGGAAGCCGTTGTTTTTCGTTTTACTACTTGGAATTTTTATAATTTTGATATAAAAAAAAAGAAAAAGTGACTTTTATATTTAAATTTCACTTACTACTCTACTCGGACTACTCAAAGGATTTTTCTTTCTTTGAAGATTGCCCGTGGATCTTTAGAGTCGGACTACTCTAAAGAAATTATATTTCTTTTTCTTTATTCTTTTTAATTCTTTAAATTTTCTTTTTTTTTTTCTGTGGTGGCGATGGCGAGTTTTTCGGTGCCAAGCCACAGTAGGGTTCCCCCGGAACCATTGCGCCCTTCGCGTTCGGACGTAGATCGCTTGCCGATCTACAAGGGCGATCGTGATCTGGCGATCCTGGAGGATTGGATCAGCCAGATGACAAGATGCATCCGGTTCTTACGGGTGGGCGACGAGTTCCTCCCTGAATTCGTGTCGAAGCGTCTCATTGGGGAAGCACAGGATTGGTTCCGCGCTCGCTTCCCTGAGTCATCCTTCGCTTCCTTCAAGTGGAAGACTTTTAGCGAGGATCTGCGCAACGCGTTTGCACCGTTTAACGCAACGCGCCGCAGGGAGCTGGAGTACGAGAACCTGCACCAATCAGGTTCCGTACAGGAGTTTGTGGAACGACTTCGGTCGTTCCAGAACCAACTTAAACTCACCGATCGGCAGTTGATCAACAAATTGATCGCTCGATCGGACCCTCTCGTGGGGCGGAGGCTAATGGCCACGGACTTTCAAACGTTCGAGGCCGCGGCCCGCGCTGCCCTTTCCCTCGGCGACCCCTCGGTCGTCCCGATAGACCCCTACTACCATTACCCAGGGTCGTCGGTTTATTCCCCCGCACCACGTGCGCCCGAGATCTACGATCCCATGCACGTGGATGCTTCGCGCATTCGCTCGGCGCCGCCTCCGTCCAATGAGGTGTTCTGCTTCCGTTGCCAACGTCTGGGTCATCTGGCGTCGGAATGCAACTGCCCCCGCAATCGTCCTCGTCAACGTGGGGGCCGTCCTCGTCTCCGTGCCAACCAACTTTTGTTTGACGAATATGGTAACGAATATTACGTCACTACAAAAAATGTTAAACAAAACACGGACACAGACGAAGAAGTTGCAACACAACAACAGGGAGTATATAGTGAATACAATTCAAGTTACCATTACGCGAAGGGAAATAAGGTGAATAAAGGAAAATATTATTACTATGAAAGAGCGGCCTATGTTTAGGTCAAAAAACAAAACTGATGCGTCAAAAACAACAACAGTTGGGCAATTTATGGTGCGTCGTGGTGGGAATGAAAATTTTCATGGTGGAGTTGTTGCCATGGAAACGGTTGTTCCTCACTCTACCACCGTATCCAGTGGGGAAGAAGTGGAGGTTTTGCCCCCACAGGAAGCCCCCGCTCCACTGAGCGATCAGTAGGACCCCGAGCCGCTGATCGCCATGTCGCCGGCACACCAGTGGTTGAATGCACGGTCGAAGGTGTAACAGCTCGCTACTTAGATTGGTAGGAGAATTAAATTGTTGATTTTATTTGTATTTTTCCGGGTTTTTTATAGCAATAATTCTGTCCAGTAGTGACCGTAATCCCAGAATTATTGCTAAGGTTGACCTCCCTAAGGTGAAGGTTGGAACAGGGCCTTTGAAGTAGGGACTCGCATGTCCTATTAAACAAGAAAGGTCTGTGGCCTAGTGGTAACTCTGAACGTTCGCACGATCGATCGGCGGCTCGAGTCTTGTTGTGACCTCAATTAACGAGGTTCAACCAACATTCCGTTACAGAGGGAGTCTGAACGACGTCCTTGCTGGACACTGGCGGCGACTCCTTCGTTGCCAAACATGCCAGACCTCTACCGGCATTTAGGTTTATTACGATACGCACCGTAACCCCCGCAATTGCGAGCGACCCAATGTCGTTAAACAACGAACCGGCGCTAGCGTACTCGAAGGAATCGCAGTCCCACAATGGTGTAGATCCGGTGTAAGGCCGCATAGCGTAGTTTGCTCTAAACACGCTATGTGCCCTTGCGAAGGCCAGCGCGTTGCGCTAACCGGCGCAGGCCTCTAGCTAACTCTAAGGAGTCGCGCTAGAGAGCCTTGCGCGCGCCAGCGCGCTACCCTAAGTCCATAGGGTTATGCAGCCAGCTCTACTGAGCTGCGCTACAGAATCTAGGGAGTGCTACCGCACTTCCCTAAGGGAGTAGGCCACACAGCCTACTCCAAGGAGCTACGCTACAAGGCCTAGGGAGTGCTACCGCACTCCCCTAAGTGTGCACTGCACACTAGAACTCCACGCAGCGCTTACGGCGCTGCACTACGAAGCCGTAAGGCTTCAACAACGATTGCACATTAGTTCTCGCTAATGTGTAATATTATAAATAGCTAGAAATTAACAATAATATTCATACTTAATCTTACTACAGAGTCTGGGCTTACAGAGCTGGCATTCCACGTCAAATCAAGTATCATTGCCAGGAAAGAGAGGCGGAATCTCTTTTGGATTGCCAGACTTGGCGGAAGTGTTGACCGTTGACACCCGGGTGGCCAGCAATTGGCGTACTGTGGTGATCATAGATTAGTTTTAGCTTTGTAGCCTCCGTACTAATACATAATCTCCAAGGTAATTGCGAATTGTTTCTGTAGTAAATGTAAGCATTAAGGTTCATTTAGGCGAAAGCCTAAATCTGGGCGATCACCACCAAGCCCAAGGCCGCCCAAACGAACTGCAACGAGCTGCAGTAAGGCCTTCAGACCTCCCGGGACACGCGCGCGTTAATTCATTAACGCGCGCCGCGACGCGACGCGTTTGTTTACATTTACGCGTCGCGTCAAAATGTCTTAAATAGCTAGATTCTATAGAGAATAAACTAATCTTATTCTGACCTACGGACTGAGTCTTACAGTAAAGAAGTCCGTCATCAATCATGAATCTGTCCTTCTCACCCGGTGTCCACCCTTCTGTCAGTGGCCAGCCTTTACGCCAAGGTTTGTAACGCCTTAAGCTCACAAAAGTGTGCACGTGACCAGGGCCTGAACCTGGACACCACACCGAGAGCTCCAGCGTTGTGCTAGGCCACGCAGCACTACGCTACGAAAGCCTGCGGTCTCTGACCGCACCCACGCAACGCGCGTTAATTAATAACGCGCACCGCGACGCGTTTGTTTACACTTACGCGTCGTCCTAGAATTGTATAAGTAGGCAGATAATTATTGAATAAAACTAATCTTAACTATACCTACGGGACAAGGCCTACATTTGGTTGCGAGGCTCTTCTGATCCAATAGAAGAGTTCTTATCTTGTCGCGGAAAGTTTTTCGTTTTTTTTCAAATTTACAACTTTTTTTTATTTTCTACGATCTAAATGGAAAGCGTTGAGCAGGAAAACGCTGCTACTTTCCCAGAGATTCAACGTCTGGGAGAAATCCTTCTCGCTCTAACAAAGAAAGAGAAGGATAAGGACAAGGAAACCTCGTCGTGGGTTTCCAAGCCCGCTCCGTACAGAGGACAACGCGATCTGCGCGTCTTCACGGAGTGGATCAAAGGTCTTGAGCGATTCTTCCGCTGGCACAAGACCTCTGCTAAGAGGAAGGCCTGGATGGCCTTCCACAATCTGACAGGAGAGGCCGCGTCGAGATGTGAGCTGGACACGACACTGTTCAGCCAGCTCGAGGACGGGAAGGTTTCTTGGGAAGCCTTCAAGGCGTATTTGCGGGATGCCTTCATCCCTACCGATGCTTTGGACAAGCATCGACGCCAGTTTTACCGCCTCCGCCAGACTGGTTCGGTCCACGAGTTCGTGGACAAGGTGAACCAGTATCAGGCGACGCTCGGCCTCCCCGAATGGGCGGTTATGGATGTCCTCCACTGTAAGGCCGCATAGCGTAGTTTGCTCTAAACTCGCTATGCGCCCTTGCGAAGGCTAGCGCGTTGCGCTAACCCAGACAGGCCTCTTAGCTAACTCTAAGGAGTCGCGCTAGAGAGCCTTGCGCGCGCCAGCGCGCTACCCTAATTCCATAGGGTTATGCAGCCAGCTCTACCGAGCTGCGCTACAAGTCTAGGGAGTGCTACCGCACTTCCCTAAGGGAGTAGGCCACACAGCCAACTCCAAGGAGCTGCGCTACAAGGCCCAGGGAGTGCTACCGCACTCCCCTAAGTGTGTACTCCACACTAGAACTCCACGCAGCGCTTACGGCGCTGCATTACGAAGCCGTAAGGCTTCAACAACGATTGCACATTAGTCCTCACTAATGTGCAACATTATAAATAGCTAGAAAACAGTAATATTATTCATACTTTATCTTAATCCTGAGCCTGGGCTTACACTTGGTTGCGAGGCTCAAAAAGACCAAGTATCAAAGCTCAGAAGAGAAGCGGAATCTCTCGCAGTGTTGCCAAACCTTTGGCGGAAGTGTTGACCGGTAGTCAACTGTGTTTTGGAAATTTTCGTTAATCGGAAATTTCATTTTTTGTGTTAAATCTCCTACCTAAAGTTTGTTGTTCTGTGCGTCGAGATGCCAGAACCTATGGAAGATGTCGAAGGGACGATTCCCCCGTTCGACGTTGAGCACGAGGACAGTGCTCCTTACAAACATCGTGGACACGATGTGTCGTGGGCTGTCTGCCCACCGAAGTACGATGGCAGACCGGACTTGCCCACGCTGGACAACTGGTTTCGGGAGGTGCGACGCTTTGTGAGAGCGCGCCAGATCCCTCCCCCCGAACACGCCTACTCGGCGTATTACTTCCTTACCGGTGACGCACTCGCGCGCGTTCACCGCGACCATCAGCTTTGCGAAGATCTTGAGAACAACAAGATCTCGCTGAAGGAATTTAGGCGAAAGCCTAAATCTGGGCGATCACCGCCAAGCCCAAGGCCGCCCAAACGAACTGCAACGAGCTGCAGTAAGGCCTTCAGAACTCCCGGGACACGCGTTTGTTTACATTTACGCGTCGCGTCAAAATGTCTTAAATAGCTGGATTTTATAGAAAATAAACTAATCTTATTCTGACCTACGGACTGAGTCTTACACTTGGTTGCGAGGCTTCTGAAAACCCATCAGAAGCAAGGAAAAGTTTCGGTTAAGTTTTTGTTAAAGTTGTTTGATTGCCAACACGGGCGGATACGTGTGATGTAACACATTAAGCTTATTACTAAGCGAATGTGCGTCACCCTTACTCCCCAGAGGGAGCAACACCAAGAACGCTGCCAACGGACAGCGCTTACGGAGGCCTACGGCCTCCACGTTAAGCTGCGCGTTAATGAAAACGCGCAACACGTAAACGTAAACCCTGTGACGGGTTTTTACAAAACGGTATAAATAGTTAGAATAAATAATATTCATTAAGCTTTTTCCTAAATACAATCGTAGCTTTTACATGTGAGGTGCTACGACAGGATTCACCTCGAGGAAGAGAAGAAGTTTGGAAAGGATTTTTGGATTACTAGCTGCCTATGGAACAGGAGTTTACTTTCTCGCTCGCGGAAGAACGATTGCATGTCCCTCGTCCGGACAAATACGACGGACGAATGGATCTCCCAACGGTGGAAGCTTGGCTGCGCTCGATGGAGCGCTATCTCGTTGCGCACGGCGTCTCGGAAAGACGTTGTGCATGGACTGCAGCCTGTTACCTCACAGGCTTTGCTGAAGAATGGGTTTGTGGTAACCCGGAAGTCTATCAGCAGTTAAAGGATGGTTCAGTATCCTGGAACACCTTCAAGCAGTCCATCAGGGAAAATTTTATCCCTGCAAATGCTGTTAGAGATGTAACGTGCTACGTTACGATGTGCTATTCTGGGAGAGTTGGTCGAACCAAGATTCGAACAACGAACACAGAGGAAACACATCCCCGATGAAACCACTAGGACACAGCGATTTACTTATTCTGTCACGGCACAAAACCGAAATAAAGTTTAGCTTCTAGTCAAGAACTTTATAGCGACTTTAAGCGACAAACTCTCCACTCTGAGCGACAGGTTTAGAATTTAGGAAATGAAGTTTATTTAACCGAATTATCACTACCTTAAGTATATGCACAAAGTGAATGGTACAAAGTACTTAGCAGTGAACGACTGGTCTTCTAGCGTTCACTGTTTTAGTATTTATATTAATAATTTAATATATAATCTTAGATTGGTTTTGTTAAATAACCAATTATGTTTTGTGATCAAAGATGTGAACTTTGAAATTTGTAAAAGAGAAGTCACTAGAAATTTGCATCGAATAGGTTTGAAGCTTATTTGCAAATCTCAAACCTTTCGTGGATCCGCCACATCTTGGATTTGATGTGAATTCCTAGTGGCCTTGACATATTCCTAGAACATGGAACTGTCTATGTAAGGCCGCATAGTGTAGTTTGCTCTAAACTCACTATGTGCCCTTGCGAAGGCTAGCGCGTTGCGCTAACCCAGACAGGCCTCTAGCCAACTCTAAGGAGTCGCGCTAGAGAGCCTTGCACGCGCCAGCGCGCTACCCTAATTCCATAGGGTTGTGCAGCCAGCTCTACTGAGCTGCGCTACAGAGGCTAGGGAGTGCTACCGCACTTCCCTAAGGGAGTAGGCCACACAGCCAACTCCAAGGAGCTACGCTACAAGGCCTAGGGAGTGCTACCGCACTCCCCTAAGTGCGCACTGCACACTAGAACTCCACGCAGCGCTTACGGCGCTGCACTACGAAGCCGTAAGGCTTCAACAACGATTCTAAGTCCCTTAGCATATCATAACAATAAATAGCTAGAAAACAGTAATATAATAATATTCATACTTAATCTTACTACAGAGCCTGGGCTTACACTTGGTTGCGAGGCTATCATTGCCAGGAAAGAGAGGCGGAATCTCTTTTGGATTGCCAGACTTGGCGGAAGTGTTGACCGTTGTCAACGAGTTTTTAAATTTTTCTTGTGTTATATTTTTCTCCTACCTAGGATTGTACGCTGCTCTGAGTTATGGATCAACCAGAGCCAATGGAGGATGTCACGTCGACATCCCCATTCTACAAGTCGGACGCCTCGTCCACCCGTCGCTACGACGTGTCGTGGGCAAAGGAACCTTGGAGCTACGATGGCAGAGGAGATTTGCCTACGCTCAACAGTTGGTTCCGGGCCGTTACGCGTTTCCTCCGGGCTCGCAGGATCCCGAAGGAAGCACACGCGTTTACGGCCTACTACTTCTTGAAGGACGACGCTCAGGCTAGGGTCGATGCCGACGTCGAGCTCTACGAGGCTCTCTCCAACGATGAGATCTCGTGGAGTGAATTCCAGGAGCGTCTGAAGGAGTTCTTTATTCCTCCAGACGCCCTGATGCTCTACAGGCACAGGTTCCTTGACTGCCACCAAACGGGCACAGTCAATGAATTTGTGTCTGCCCTCCTCCGGTTCCAGACCATCTTGTCGTTAGACAATGATGCGGTCAAGGACCAATTGATTCGTGGGTGCAAGCCCCGAGTCAGAATGAACCTCCGGTCGTTCAACCCGGCCACGCTGGGCGATGCAATCCGCATTGCTTACGCAGCCGAGGATGACAACAGCACGCCGGATTACTGCTGGACAAGCTACGCGTCCGGCAGTAGCACACGAAAGGAAGAACCACCAAGCGACCCAATGCTGGTGGACGCGTTAAAAGTTTTGCGCGCTTCCTCGGGCGATGTGTTTACCTTGTTTCGCGAAGGCCGTTGTTTCCGCTGCCGCGAAAAAGGACACATCGCCAAGAATTGTTCCAAAGGCAAGCCCAAGAAACCAAGGGCGAAGCCAGTTGCGAGGGTCAATGCAGCTACAGTTTCTTCTTCGGAGGATGTAGACCCAGTTGACCAACTAGTTAGAGACTTAGGTGAGAAAATAAAATCTTATTTACGATCCTATTCTACTAGCAGCAGTAACAGTTTGGATGTGTGCGCAACAATGGTTCAGGAAGGGGCAGAAGAGCATGAGGAAGAGGAAGAGGCAGTAGACTTGGCTTCAAAAATACTGGAAGCAGCT